CCACTACAAGTATTCCCGAACCATTCATGCTATCATTTGAGCGAATGAGCATGGAAACGCCATACTTGGACTCGCTATCAGAAAAATGTGGCACGGCACCGGTCTAAATTGTGGCTGTAAATAATCCCAAATATATAGATAAGATTTGTTTCAATTTTTGAATCTTGAACTTAACAGCTCGCTGAATATCACACAATGAGTCTATCTCCCTTTGAGAATGCTGACTTCAAATTGACCAGTGTTCCAGACCCTAATTGGCAACCGGGGTCTGGTGCAACAAATAACGAATGGGCTAAATATAAGAAGGTCGAGCTGGATCCGTATGCTGAAGGCCGTCTGCCTTTTGAAAATTATAAACTTCTTGTGAGCGCCATCACGCCTCGTCCAATCGGATTCATATCAACGGTTGGTAAGGATGGCACAAGAAACCTGTCTCCTTTCTCGTATTTCAATGTTATGAACCACGATCCGCCTGTTTTCACAATTGGCATATCGGGCGCTACAGGAAATCTTAAAGATACTTGCAAAAATCTGCAAGACACACAAGAATGTACCATCAATCTGATCAGCGAGTGGTTTATCGAGGCGGCCAATTACACATGTATAAATGCGCCTTATGATGTTGATGAGTGGAAGTTAGCAGGTCTTACTCCAGCCAAATCTTCCAAAGTCAAACCGCCTCATGTTGCCGAAAGCGCTTTTTCCATCGAAGGTAAACTGATACATACACACCATTTTAAATCAAAACGAGACCCCTCCAAAGGCTCTGGAACAACCCTCTTGGTGGAAGGAGTCAATTTCCATATCCGTGAAGATATTGCGGATGAGAAATTTACTACGGTGGACATCAATAAATTGAAGCCAGTTGCTCGTCTCGGAGGAAATGTGTATACTCGGGTTCTGCAAGGATTTGACATACCAAGGCCGGACTTCAAGTCAGAAATTTCAGAGCACCCAGAAGTTTCCAAATTGCTTTGAAATATTCTGCATTCTGAAATCTGGTAGCAGATAAAGCCAGTGGATAAATATATATTTAGATTCAGAGAATAGCATTACTTATGATTCCGAAGAGTAACATCAGCCTCCAAATTATTGTTGTAGGGGGAGGCATAGGTGGTTTATCGGTTGCTATCGGGCTCGTACTATCTGGGCACAAAGTTGTTGTTCTAGAAAAGGCTCACCAATTATCGGAGGTCGGCGCTGGGATCCAGATCCCGCCCAATTCCACCAGAATACTCGAGATACTTGGATGCAAAGCACAGATACTAGAGAGGGCTTTGGTGCCAAAGGCATACCACTTTCACAACCACAAAGGAGACAACCTTATCAGTCTAGAGCTTGACCCTTATTGTGCTCTCAAGTACGGTTGTAAATCCTTACATATACACAGGGGGGATTTTCACAGGTGTCTCGTTCAAAGGGCCAGAGAACTGAGTATCAACATCCTAGTAAATTCGGGTATTATTGATATTGATCTGGATCAAAATGCAGCAATAACCCATGATGGTCGCAAATATCAGGGAGACGTGATTATAGGAGCCGACGGCTTGAATTCGAATGTTCGCAGCTCTATATATGGGAGACACAGTTTACCGACAAATAGTGGGGATCAGGCTTATCGCTCATTGATATCAATTCCGGAGATGAACAAGCACCCAGAGTTAGACTTCATCCACAAGATCCCGTGCGTCAACTTTTTCTGGGGGCCCCAAGGTCATGTGGTGACTTACCCCTTGAAAGGCGGCAACAGCTGCAATGTTGTTGTCATGGGGCCCGACAACCTGCCCCCAGACTCAAGCGTTGTTTCTGCAGACAAAGGTGAAATCTTGCAGTTCTTAAAAACTTGGGACTCTCGATTGCAACTGCTTTTGAGCCTTGCAACCTCAACTTTCAAATGGAGACTTCAATATATTGAGGAGCTAGATTTCTGGAGCCATCCTACTCAGAATGTAACTCTTCTCGGAGACGCATGCCATGCAACTTTGCCTTATCTGGCTCAAGGAGCAGCACAAGCCATTGAAGATGCTGCTGCCTTAGCATACCTATTTGGAAAAATCAAGGACAAATCTGAGATACATTTCATATTGGGAATGTACGAACGCATCAGAAAGCCAAGAACTTCCCGCATTGTCAACTCCTCAAAAGAATGTCAACAAATATACCACCTCCAGGATGGGGAGAAACAGGAATTGAGAGACCTAGAATGTGCTCTGGATCCTCCACAAGAAGGATGTCCAGCTCGGTGGGCAGACCCTGAGTTTCAGGAATACTTGTTTGGTTACAACATATTCGAAGAGTGCGAAAAGCAATGGCTCAAGGCAACCACGATGAAAGAGAAATTGTGACCAGTTAGAAACTGCTGAAGGAATCTCTCGTCAATAGATCAAACAGATTTCTTCTTATCTGTGGCTGACTGGATTCGAAATGATCTTTAGGAATTTATCATCGCGAAAAAGTAGCCAAGCTAATTTATGTCTAAAACACTCTTATTTCACTCAGTAATCAATTGTGACGTCCAGAACCAGCGTCAGCTGGACCGTGGAGACTATGGAGACATTGCTTGCATATTTTTCACCAAACATGGTCTCAATCGCCCAACAAAGAAGTACCATGCGGTTTATGGTGATCTTCCTTCCACAGCTGAATTGGATAAGTTTGGGTCAATACACTTGACAGGCGCTAATCAATGTCCTTATGGAGATGAGCCCTGGGTGCTTGAATTGGTTGCTTTAGTGAAAAACGTTGTGGAGAACTACCCCTTAATAAAACTTACCGGCGCATGTTTTGGCCACCAAATCATCTGCAGAGCTATGGGCGGAGTGGTAAATCCGAATCCCAATGGCATTGAAGGTGGCATTTGCGAGATTGAGATTTCCGACGAATTTCCAAGAAGCATTTTAGATTTACGAACTCCAGGGAAACTCTATCTCGTGGAGGCACATAAGAACTGGGTAGAGGCAGCACCACCCGACAGTGTTGTTCTGGGTTCTTCAGACAAGACTCACAATCAGGGAGTCTATCGTAAAGGGCGTTTTCTCACACTTCAAGGCCATCCAGAATACGGAACCGACGTCAGCGAATTCATTGTACAGTCCTGGATAAAAAAGGACTGTTCTCCGGATTACTACGCCGATTGTGTAAAGCGGAACAAAACGCTGCCCAACGACGGTGACGTTTTTGGAAGAGCAATGGTCAGGTTCCTCACTGACGATAGTGTATAATTTGGGTTATAGTGATCGATGAGCTTGGTGTAAAGGTGCAGTTTCCTTATCGCAAATAGTATTTTCTGCACAGACAAGTAACGAAGTTAAACTATTTTATCAACTATTCTTTTCTTCATGAGTCCGGAAACTATCACCATTCACAAACCTGTAGAAGGGTTTGTACACGAGTACGCTCCAAGAATGACCGCTTTTGAGTTCAAGAATAAGGAGGCCCAGTCTCAGAAGGTTCTCCTTTTTATTGGTGGCTTGACTGATGGCCTGCTGACTGTGCCTTACCTTCCAGACTTATCCGCTGGCTTAGACAAAATTGGATGGACACTTGTTCAAATTCTCTTCACGTCCTCATACATGGGCTGGGGAACTGGATCCCTAGAGCGGGACGCCTACGAAATCGGTCTTCTTGTTGAGTATCTCCGGTCCGAAAGAGGGGGTTCCAGAGACAGGGTCGTTCTCATGGGTCATTCGACAGGCTGTCAGGATACAATTCAGTATCTTGCCAAATATGCCCCCAAGGAGCCAACAAAACAAGTGGATGGTGGAATTTTGCAGGCTGCCGTCTCAGATAGAGAAGCAATTTTCCACGAGCTGCAGGAACAAGGAAAGGGCTGGGAAGATTTAGAGGAGCTGAATGCTCTTGCTCGCAGCTATGTAAGCGAGGGTCGGGCATATGAGGTTCTTCCAACAAAGTACTCAGATCTTTTTTTGGGAGCTCCCATCAATGCGTATAGATGGCTTTCTCTCGCGACAAAATTGGGTGACGACGATTTCTTCTCTTCTGATCTCACTTTGAAGGATAACAAGCAAACGTTTGGAATGGTTACACGCCCAATCATGGTACTGAACTCCGAGAACGACCAGTTCTACCCAGACTATGTCGATAAGCAGGCTTTGATGACTCAATGGAAGTCTGCGACTCCTGAAGAATTCTGGTCCCCACATTCCGGGCTTATTCCTGGTGCGCTCCACAACATAGGTCCTGGGTCTGCTCCAGACGCTGTGTCATGGACTGTCGATAGAGTTTGTAAATTCTGTATGGATCTCGAATAGATGGATTTGCACAGCCGTATCTATAAAATTTGAAAACATAACCGTCAATTTGGATGTCAGCGGAACTGGACCACCAGCGTAGCTTACTGCGATATTCTAGTCTCTGCAAGCTGGTTGCCTACCTAGAAACTACACTTTTAGCTGACCTGCCAAATTTGAATCTACCTGATTACCAAATTTTAAACCTAGTTCTTACAGCGACAACTCTTCCTCCCCAAACAACTCCAGATTTACGATACTTAGATGATGGGAGCTCAAAAAGGCCATTGCATTTACGCTGTCTGGATTTAATTAAGCAGTTGATGGATATTCTTCGGTTGGACTTGAGACCTGTTGATCCTTTCTTTGGACCCGAACTGCCGTCTACCGAGGCCTACGATAGTCTGCGGGCACTACTCTATCAGCTTTTCGACTTTCTTACTTACAATGACGCCAGCCTCACGCGCTCTGCACGCCGCAGAGCAGAGAACATGAATAATCGCTCTCGTTTTGACCCTCTTCCAAACAGGAATACAGCTGCATTTTATGGCCTCAGCACCGAAGATAGACACAAAGATCAAATATTGACAAATAAGAATTTTAACAAGTTGCACCTCAGCTCGTGGGAGTTTTTTCGATGGGGTTTCAAGTGTGCGGATCGCCAGGACGAGAAGCCTTATTTTGTTAGCTGGCGAATTTGGAAGAATCTGTTGCATTTGTTTTTAGACTTTTACTGGTACGACTTTGAACGGCACGAATACTCTGACGACTCAAACGGGCGACTTGAAAACATCAAAACAACGCTTATCTACCAAGCGATTTTTGCCTTGAATGAGCATACCATGAAGGCTGCCTCGACGGAATTGATAGACATAGCTTTCACCTCAAAGGACTCGTTTTCTGCTCCTATTTTTGACAACGAATTGAGGATTCTCAAAACAGCAGTGATCCCGGACGAAACCAAGCGCGAAAACGAGCCATCAGATTCGATACCTCTTAGGCGCTCAGTACTTTGCTTGTGCTATAGGGTTTTGAAACAACTGCCCCAAAATCAATCTGAGAAGCTGATTGAGGATTTCGCGGTGGAAGTAGGGGAGAGACTGATATTATGGGGAAATGCTGATGTAATTGAGTTTTTTGCAACTTCTCATCCTGCGCAAGATGAGATGCTATTGATTGTCAGCATTAACCTCATGGAACAGATTACACATGATGATGTGGATTACGCTGAACCCTACTCCTGGTTTTTCAGCTCTGCCTCAATCGATGACGCATTTTTGAGCTTTATACTTACAGCAGAACCAGACTTTGTCAAACAAAGGACGCCCAATAGATTGCTGGCTCATCGTTCTCGTCTTGAGCTAATGAACCTCTTGATAAATTTCCAGCTGTCATTGTGGTTGAAAAATAACTGGAATAACTTATCAGAGCAAAGGAAGAGAGACACAGCCACCAAAATATTGTATGCCCTCGGAACGATGGACAACAATCGAGCGCGGAGCATCAAAGAAGTGTACAGAGAATGCAAGCTCAGAAATCTTGTCACCCAAGCAGAGACTGAGAAGTACCGCGACGGGAGCTTGTTTTTGACTAGACTACAGGACATATATAGGATCAAATTAGTGTAAGCTTCATCTCACGTCCAAGTGAACTAAGAAATTTATCATCTGTCTGACTGCAGATACGTGCCAAGGGCAAACGGGGTTCTTGTTGAGGTTCGCCAGATGCTTATACTGCATAATCAGATTTTTCAGCAGCTCGATGGAATTAACTCCTGCTTGACAACTCAGCAAGTTTAGTTCGATTATAGACCCCGGTTCGTAACCTTCAGCCGTTCGTCGACCGGAATTGACAATGAACCCAGTGCGTAGGGGCATGCGAATGGACTGATTCGATAATTGTTGAGCCACTTGCAAAATCACTCCATAACACTCGTTTGATAGCTCTATCAGCTCTGGATTCTCTAGAACCTGTTGTTGAGACCCTGTAAAGGCAGAAGTGTCCAAGGGAGATGCACCGGGATCATAAGAAGGCGTTTGTCCATTCATTGGGCTTTCCATGCGGTTTGCCACGCTAGGAGTAAGCATCTGCGAATTTGTGGACGCTGCGGTAAACTTCACAGAGTACATGTCTTTTAGATCATCCTTCTGCTCTTGGAGGTGTGACAAAACAAGAGTGGAAGGTTCCAGCTCCACGGTGAGAACAATAAGCGTGAGTTTGTTGTTCTTGATCGAAAGACGTTTCCACTCTGTCAGTTCATCGTCGGGAATAACATTGTTCAGTCTAGTCAAGATCACGTACGCCTTACCATTATGACTGGAAACATAATCCATAGAAATGCCAAAAATCTCATCCGAGACTTCCTCGAAAGTCTGGCATCGGCAATCTGGGCCAATCAACCAAGAGCGAGTAAAATTGATTTTACCGTACTGGTCGGACCAGCTTGCTGCGCACCAGTTTTTGTCAATCGATCGTTCGTAGCAAACATGCAAAAACAAATCATCCGCAATTAGGCCTGATGAAACTGGCGCCTTCGTCATTACAAAAGGTATTTTATGAGGAAGCTGTTTTGAGATTGTCAACAACCGAGCTCTGTCCTTAAAAGGCTCAGAAACGTCTTTGCTAGGATACAATGAGTAAATCTCTAAAGCCAGATCTCCAAGTTTTTGGGAAGTAATAACTGAATAGCACTCATTTTTGGAAAGATAAAGATCAAGTGGAATGACCTTGTAAAAAGAGAAAATAGGAATACTGATAGTGGTTGAAATATTCTTCTTCCTACGTTTTCTCCGGTCTTCTTCGGTTTCTTGGTCAACGGCTTTCATTGTAAGTGTGTTTTGGAATTGTTCGAGCACGCCTGCTAGATTGGTTAGAAGCTGCATGCCAATGTTTGGAACTGCAATCATGACTAAGATAGCATCTTTCTGACCACTCGAGTCAACCAAATATTGATTTCTCAGCGAGTCGGCCAGTGACGTAAGAGCTTCCTCGGTATTTCTAGCAAAAAGCTCGGCATTGCTGCCTGAAATCTCCAGAATATCTTGCAGCTGACTCATTTGTCCTAGCTTCCAAGATGAGTACGTAGCCATCAAATCCTGTAAGAATATCCGACTTTTATCCAGCAGATAAGATGTACCTTTTGGCACAACTAAAATAACTCTGATATTTTTTTCACCTTCAAGAGGTTCAAGGTTTAGCAGTTTCCAGTATCTCAGACTTGTCTCGTTGATTTTCAGCTCCTGGTCATTCCGTTTTGTATTGAAAATTGTAGTTGGGATTTTGAACAAAGAAGTGGATTTTACACTTTCGGCGATAGAACGGTTTGCATTCTCCTTGAATACGCCCGAGTGTCTTTTGTTTTCAGTTTCTGTAATGTTCATCAATGGTGATGTTGTGGCAAAGCTGGGATCATCAAAGTCTATTTTCGGGGCCTCCAGCTTGTATATCTCTTTCTCGCTACCAAAGAGACTGTCAAATAGTCTCATTTCCGAATTTGGTCGATCACAGTCCAACAGCTCGTAGAGTCTCATTTTCGAGGAACCAGGAAAAGCACTCAACACTGTTGAATCCAGTACCTCGTTGAGATCGGACGCTTGTTCCAAACACTGATCTTTCGTCGCTGTTGTGAAGAGCACAAGCTCTTGGATTATTGGCAAAACAAGCTCAATCCTGTCTTTTGAGATGACAGGATTTCCTGTCGAAAGAAATCTTGAAGGAATTGTACAGAGAGCTGGACCTCTCAATATCCAGAAAAGCCAGTTCTGAATTTCTTGAGCGCCTGAAATTTGAGGCGATGGAGCTTGGGGCTGCGAAATTGCAGCTTGGTTAACGAATGGGGTCATTGATGACAATATTCCTGTATTTCGAGGAATCGATGTTATACTTATACCAAGACCCGTTTTTTCATCATCTTCGTCTTCGTCATCCTCATCTATCTCTTCTTCACTGTCACTTATCAAGTCTCGCTCTTCAATATCGCTCTCTCCCTTTTTATTCTTCCAGAATGTCGGCGTTGTAGATGCAGATTCCTGGGAGCGCAAACTCTGTGCTTCGCTACGCACAAAGAACTTTCCGCCGTTTGAATACTTGCTGTCGATGTCCTTCTCAATAAGCGGGTTGAAATTGAGTGGGGCAAATATGGATTTCTTCAAGTCTTTTGGTGTCACTGAGCCAAATTCATCGTTGGCAGAGGAGGCATCCGTTGTCTCGGGGCTTGGAGATGCAAATATGTGAAATGAAGCGGGAGATGGCGCGCCAGGATCCTCATAGAATGGGTTCGATGGCTCAAGCTCAATGAAGCGCTTTGCATCTTTTTCTACAGGACTCGACACCAGTTCGGGTTTAGACTGCGATTCTGATTCTGGCACATCATGCTGTATGTCTTCCTCCTCTTCATTCATCGATTCTTCGAAAAGCTCATCCCAGTCTCCTGGTGATTCTTTTGCAGAGTCCATATCAACATCCGTTGGGTTGGAGTCTGCCGCAGGCTCCTCAGTTGCAGATAATTGTGGTGGCTGGGGTTCTTCGTCAGACTCAAGTATTAGTTCTTCAATCATTTCGAAAGAGTCAACTAGTTCAAAAGCCGGCTCCTCGACGTCATCGCCAAACTGGATCATGCACATAGAGGCTGGCCACATAATGTATTTTGAATTGGGAGCAGAAGATTCGAGATATCGCGCAATGTTTGGCGTAAGCCCGTTCATGTGGTTTAGATTTGGGACGAGTTTGATCCAGCGCGAAGGCGTCTCAAGTTTAATATGCGAGTACTCAAACAACAAACGCAAAAGTTTCTCGTAATTCGATGGGGGCTCAAATGAAAGCGAGTTTGCCAGCATATCTTGATTAGCAAAAGAACATCGCACCCCAGAAGGGCAAAGATAGAGGGCGTAATTGCTTTTCAAGATGTCAAATTCAGTGTCCAGGAGAGTTGACAGTCGGTAAAACTGCGGGATGTTATTTATGGCAAAATTAGAGATAATCTCATTGCGAATGCTAAGCGATGTGTTGATTTTTAAAATCTGGAATGTGTCCTGTGCAGTGCGAACCAGAGTTTGGTTACCAAATGGAATCATTTCAACCTCTGACGATCTAGCCATGAGATGCTGACAGATAAACTTCTTCATTGCTCTCAAGAAGCTGAGGTACACAATGCTACTCGGCCTGGAATGCTGTTGTGAGCTGGACTGAGATTTAAATACTGAGTCAGCATCAAATGTCGTTGAAGATGCAAGTTTGAGAGGGAGATTGCTTTCTATGATAATATTGTCAACTGCATCCTTCAACTGATTGAATCCCAACTCCTGATCCTGTGGGTTTAGTCTTGTTTCGAGTCTGAAGATGCATATTTCTTTTTTGGCCCCGTATGTCAGTATGTCCGATATTTGATAATCTTGAGCCAATTGCTGCTTAATCGAGTTTTCATAATGATGTACCTGTTCTAAAGGGGAGATCTTCTCGTCCTTCGTTTTATCGGAAACCCCGCCACTCTCTTTCGGTGGAGGGTCTTGGACTTGATAAAAATAGGCGTTGATCTTACTCACCAGGGCAAACTTGTAATAATTTACCAGTGTTGGAGATCTGTCCTCAAACGGAATATATTCGGAGCCGTTAGAGGGGGGTGGGCAAAATAGGGGATTCAAATCCTCTAATTTATTCATGGAAAGCAGAGCTTGAAGCTTGTTGAAAGAGTAGTCGATTTACTGAGATTAGGTATGCCGACGCGGCGATCGACGGTGGGTGAATTATTTTCCATTTTTCATATTTCAACCACTCCAACCAGCAATGGCGAGTAAGTACAGCAAGAGTTATCACTAACAATCTAGAATCCAAGGCTAAAACTACTATTATACAGCTGGCGTCTACAGCAAAGACGGGCTACATGCGGTCTTTGGTGATCCAGAGAACTGCCAACGAGAGAAAACATATACACTACGATCCAATTGTCAAGCGCCATGTTTTGTTTACGGAAAATAGAAAGCGTAAGATGCCACAGAAGAAACCGTTGGACTTCTCCAGGGGAGCGTTTGACTGGCAAAAGAAGAGATAGTTGATGGTGTCCCTGAGTGAATGTTAGAGTATTCTCAGCGACAATTTTTTTCCCTCCACGTTGTCTACGAGTGCTGCATATCAGTGAGTACTGACTGACACCACTTCACCGAAGATCAACGAGTCAATCTTGTGTATCGCTCGTTCATCATCTATATGTACATATTGGGTTCTGAGCCCGCGAAAATTTTTGCGTTGAAGAAATAGTAGTGGCAACTAAATAAATAATATGGATAATGAGTGAGGAAACAACCAATCCTGGGGATTCGCATGTCGACAACACAGATATCCAACCTCACGATGAGCCTTCTGTGGTGAAGCAAGAGGGAGATAACGTGGAACACAATAATGATGACGAAGAAGAAGAAGGAGAATTCGAGGACGTCAACTTAGATGAGGAAGCAGAGGATGACGAGGACGAGGACGAAGACGAAGATGACGACGATGAAGCACTTCGTGGACGTAAGAAAAGAAGAGGCAACCAGTTCCTGGATGTCGAGGCCGAAGTCGACGATGATGAGGAAGAAGACGAGGATGACGAAGATGCTGAAATACTCCGTAATGAGTTCTTAGCAGACGACCAGGCACACGATGAAACCGGTGTGGTGAGCGACCGGTTGCACAGAAAGCTGGATCGCTCAAGGGAAAAGCTTGACGAACAGGATGCACAGGCTTTGGCAGACCAGTTCAAGGCCAGGTATGGTCGTTCTGCGTCGTCTCGTTATATGGGGTCGACCACAAATGTCTCTCAACGTCTGTTGCTGCCATCTGTTGATGACCCTTTGATCTGGGGCATTCGTGTCAGAAACGGATTGGAGAAAGAGCTGGTCAAACAAATATATGCTCGGATGTTGAACAAGAGATATACGGACGTTTTCAGTGCCTTCCAAAGAGACAACTTCAGCGGCTACGTTTACATCGAAGCTCGCAGACTGGACGCTGTTAATCAAATCATTCAAGGCTTGCCTGGAATGTACGCAAACAACAAGGTTCTTGTGCCAATTGAGGAGTATCCAGACTTGCTTCGTCCCGGAAGATCGAATGAAGTCCAGCTGCAGCCGGGATCATATGTGCGTATCAAGGTTGGAAAGTATAAAGGGGATCTGGGAATTGTTGACAATCTTGCAGAAAACGATTTGGAAGTGCGAGTTAAATTAGTTCCAAGACTGGATTACGGTAAATCACAAGGCACTCTGGATTCTGGAAAAGGAAGACGTGGTCCTACAAGCTCGAAGTTTAGGCCTCCACAAAGACTGTTCTCTGAGATTGAGGCCAGCCAGAACGATCCCGAGCACCTGTCTACCGCTAGAAGAGAAAGAGGTTATTACATCTACCGAAATGAGGAGTTTATCGATGGGTTCTTGTACAAAGATGTCAAGATTCAGCAAGTTGAAACCAGGAATGTCAAGCCGACTCTGCATGAGCTGACGCTTTTCAACTCTGGAAGCAGTTCAGAGGGCATTGATTTGCAATCAATTGCCTCTTCTTTGAAAGATGCTAGTGATAAGGCCATTGTGTTTCAGCCTGATGACAGAGTGGAGATTGTCAGTGGTGAGCAAGCCAAGATGAAGGGTAAGGTGGTTTCTGCGCCGGAAGCTAAGATTGCTCGAATTCAATTGGAAGGCAATGACGACCCAGAGGTGAATAACTCCATTGTAGAGGTGCCAACATCCACGCTCAGAAAGATTTTTCTTCCTGGTGATCACGTCACAGTGATATATGGTGTCCATTCAAATGAGAGCGGACTGATCGTGAAAGTGGAGGAGAATCAAGTGACGCTTGTTTCCGACCAGACAAAGAAAGATATTACTGTGTTCCCTAATTATTTGATGAAGTCCATCGATTCCTCTACCAACTCAACGCAAACTGGAGCTTTCGAGTTGTTCCAACTAGTCAAGCTGAACTCGCAATCTGTTGGAATGGTTATTCGGGCAGAGAAAGAAGTGTTTACAGTGCTCTGCACTGACGGACGAGTCGTGAAAGTGGAGCCCAAGGCCATCCAATCTCCACTGGAACTCAATAAGATGACCGAAAAGACCACCGACAGAAACGGTCTTGAAATTGCAGTCGGAGACGTTGTCAAAGAAGTTTCAGGCGAGAGGAGAGAGGGAAACATTGTGCATATTTACCTTTCGCATCTTTTCTTAAAGTCCAAGAACGTTACTGAAAATAATGGTATCATAGTGGTTGATGCCACCGAAGTTCAGACAGTGTCCAACAAGGGCTCTATATTGTCAACATTCAAAGCCCCAGATCTCAATAAAATGAATCCAGACCGGCTGATGCCTCCTCCCGCAGCTCCCATAGTGGCTGCCAAATTCGGTGGCCGCGATATTACTCTCAATCAGAATGTTAGTGTCAGAAAGGGTCCTTATAAGGGTAAAAAGGGTATCGTGAAAGATGCAAACGGAGAAGTTGCTCGTGTGGAGATGCACAATCCGGCCAAGATCATTCCAATCAACAAATCAGATTTGCTTTTCGAGACTCGTCCCGGCCAGTTCGTGCCGTACGAACAGTATATGGAAAATTACAGGGGCAGACGTCCAGGCGCGGCATATTCATCTGGAGGTGCTCCAAACGGTGCTCCACTTCGCGGTAATGGTCCTGATCTAGGCCCTGGGGGCGGAAGAACTCCAGCTTGGGGTAGTGGAGGCAAAACCCCAGCTTGGGGTAGTGGCGGTAAGACTCCTGCTTGGGGCAGTGGTGGTAAAACTCCTGCTTGGGGTAGCGGAGGAAAAACCCCAGCGTGGGGCTCTGGAGGAAAAACTCCAGTTTGGAACTCTGGAGGAAAAACGCCTGCTTGGAACTCGGGCGGCAAGACGCCGGCCTGGAACAGTGGGGGCAAGACGCCAGCGTGGAACAGCGGAGGCAAGACTCCTGCGTGGAACGATGGTTCTGGCTCTGTGTGGGGAGGACGGTCTGCTTGGCAGCCCGACGCGGAAACTCCTCGTGACAACGATTGGGGCGTTTCTCCTGCGGTTGGAGATTGGACTGCTCCTACTCCTGCTAAAGATGACGACGACTACCATCCCGAGTAACTATGTAAAATAAAGTGTTTGTGACCCGTATATAGTAATGGCAGCATGAAAAGTTCACGAACAGCTGGAAAAAAAAAAACTGGACGCGGTGTTTGTTATTGGATCTGTGTTTAACTTGACGTATGAAGGTGATCGAAATTGTGAAATATATTATACTGTTCGCCGGTCTTGCTTCCTCGTTGAAACTTGAGATCCCGGCAACTCTGCACAGTCCGCCTCCAAAATGTGTGCGTGAATTTGTCTCCGATGGACAACTTGTTGTGGTCAACATTAACACCGACGGATATGTGGGCGACGGCCAAGTTTTAACGCTGCGTATTGTTGATTCCGAAGGCAACGAGTATCGTAAGAAGAGAGACGTGGCTGGTAATTTCCGCGCAGCGTTCACGTCGCAATCGTCATCGTCGTTCGACATCTGTTTCGAGAACCACTTGCAAAATAGACAGAAAGAGGGTCAATTGTCGCGTGAGATTGAGCTCGAGGTTGAGGCGGGTGCTGCTGCTAGAGATTGGAACGCTATCCAGGCAGTTGAGAAGCTCAAGCCGGCAGAGGTCCAGTTCCGCAAGATTGAGGAAATGGTCGACGAAATCAGCGAGGAATTGCAATACTTGGTGAGAAGAGAGGAGAGATTGAGAGACACCAACGAGAGTACCAACAGACGCGTGAGAAACTTCAGCGTTCTTATCATTTTCGTGCTCATAGGAGTCGGCTTGTGGCAAGTGCACTATCTGAGAAACTACTTCAGATCCAAGCATATTTTGTAGGCATTGTGACATCAGTTTAATCCCACTTCATGTTTAGCTCCCCCACGCGTCCCAGTATCAATGCGAAGTCAAAGAAGTCGATGTACTGTTTGTCTCCTTGTAGAGTAAGCATATCTGCCACTGTGCTCTGTGGCGTGTCTTGGTTCAACGAGGCTGCCAGCTTCTGCACATCTGAGAAGGTTAAGCGCTCTTTGTAACTGGGTTTGCGTCCGAGGCTGTTCAAAACGAGTTTCCAATTGTCCTGGATCAGATCCAAATTCTGGTTCAAGATCAAAAACAATCCGCCTCGATACAGATAACGTTCGAAATCAACAACCTCGGTGGTACCTTTGAGAATAAAATCATGTGGTTGCAAGAAGTAGATTAGTTTGTCGGAGATGCGCAAGTACTGCTTGAAAAACGGCTTTAGATATTTAAGCAAGAGGTCCTCCGTGCCATTGTCTTCGCAGTACTTCGTGAAAGCATCAAGCAAAAAATCCTCCATTTTCTGTGGGACCGTGTAGCGGCCTCCGGTGAATATGCCATGGAATGCGGTCGCCATAATAAGGTACCCGAGAAAACTCTGTCGAATTATTTATGTAAAGTTGCTGAAATTAGCCAATGAGGAATTAACAATTAACCAGTCCAAAGTGTATGTACAGCCATCATGTCTAGCTATGCACCCCAAGGTGCTTGAATGTATAAATGCCTCGGAGAGAATAAGAGTCCGGATGGGCGGATTCCGACACACTGCACAATACGCTTGACAATAAAAATGCAATACACGCGCATCTACATGAAAAGATTTGTAAAACCGACCACGGCATTGGCCAGAGATGTCGAGTGCTTTTTTCGAAGACACAATAAGCTTTCCCAAAGAACCATCCTCCACCTCAAATGACTCGTGTTTTTTTGAGTCCAAATGCCCTAATTGACACTTCGTTGTGCACCGACACACCCTGGCTGCCCCGTCGAGCTCACCCCGTTTTTCCCGGACTCCTCCCTGCCACCCCCAACCGGGCTCGGAGATGACACCCCGGCACCTGATTTTCCCCGGATTATCTGCACAGCTTGCATGGGGACCTTGTTTCTAGTTAAAAGCAATCTCCTTGCACTTTTTCACCACCAATGTCTGAACCTTGCAAACGGAAATTGGTGACGCTTTTGCCTAACACCATGAAAAAGCGCCAGCAACGTGCTGCTTCCAAGCCCACGACGGTGCTCAACAATCCTCGTGCTGTTACAAAGGGCCAGCCGAAACTCCGCTTCCTGAAGTCTTGCGCAAGGTGTCGCAAACATAAAATCAAGTGCAATCTCAGTGAAACACGCCCAAACCCGTGCTCTGCCTGTTCCCGGCGAGGCCACGACTGCCACATCGAGACGGTCGTCCATGTGCAGCGCTCCACGATCATCAAAAACCTCGCAGATAGCATCGAGGACATGAAGGCCCTGGTGGACATGTTGATGCTGCAGGATAGGTTGCTTCAGAACATTTGCCAGGAAAGAGGAATTAAAGTGGACGGGCTTTTTGATTTAGAGTCTGTCTCTGCTTACCCCTCACCTATGTCTTCGCACACTCCATCTTGCGACGAGAGCTGCAAGTCGCTTTCCATCGATTCGTGTTCGCCGGTCCCTTCGGATGACGAGTACTCCTTCGATGAGTCCCCTTGCTTCAAGCTTGGTAGCAAGGAGTATCCTGCCGCCACTATCCAGTCCTGGCTCAGCGAATTCAACACGGGCTACCTGGCAAAAGCCCCTATCATGCATCACATATCCTCGCCAACTCAGTTATTCCATCAGTCGCCACTTCTCTTTTGGACCATCGCCTATCTTGTGTCCAAAGAGGCAAATATCGTTGGCTATTTAAAACAGCAGTTGCAGGACTCCACCGATATTTATTCTATTCAGGCCATTGTCCTGTTGTCCTCTTTCCCTCAAAAACACAAGTTCGACATCTATTCTCTTCTTCAGCGTGCAAGGGAGATCGCTGTCCAGCACGAGCTGAACAAAGATTATTCCCCGCACTCAAAATTGTCTTCCACTCACTCGCAAAATATCTGGTGTCTGATTTTCGTGCTTGGAACTTTGCATAGCTTCAGACTGGGGAAACAATGGTCGACGTCGTCAGACAGGTTGTTGGAGCTTAAGAAGAACCAGAGCTCGTATACTGGAGAGCTAGTGAACATTACGCTCTATCTGTCAAAGATGCTCAACAGTCTGGTTTTCGATATCGACAAGGAGAATTCGGCAATGGACAATCTGATTCAAAGCTCCTTGTCTTCTTGGAAACACCAACTGAGCTCAATAGCAGCGCCTGAATATCAATCTCTATGCTGTCTGTTGTCCGTGATTCACCTGACACTAACTCTTCTGGAGCCTGCAAAAGAGCTGGCAGACAAAGCTATCCAATACTCCGCCCTGATCTCTCGCTGTCGCGAGCTGGTGGACCAGCTGGTGGGGATGGACATCGAACAGTCGCCGATATTTATTAAGATCGCTTTGGATTTTGCCACACTCTTGACTCTTCGCCTCAGCACTACGCCTTATAGTTCGTGCCCCAAAGAGGAACAAGCCGCTCTGGAGATGTTTGTGAAAATGTTCAAAAAGCTCTCGTCAACACGGGAGTTTGACGACTCTTCAGAGCTGATCTTGTCGATTGTCAATTACCAAACCGCAACGGTCTCTCACGGCTCTCTGTATTACCAAACTTATTCGTTTGCAACTAATCTTTTGCAAGGCCTTTACCCGACATTGGACGACAAACAGAACCCAGATACTGAGGATCCATACGTGATGGATGCAGAATACCGTTTGTTCCAGCAACTGAAGAACTTGGATTTAAGCAACCCTGAGAAACCAAAGCCTTTTGACGTCGTGGACGTGTTTTTGAGACTGGAGGATGAAACAGACACTCTTAACGAGATAATCTAACACTATTTATACAATTATGCAATCATCGGGTCCAAAACCATACATGATTTTGTCCACCGACCGTTTGATGCTAATCCAATCACTGCGGCGACTCACAAAGGAATACACTTCTTCCGGACTGAAAATACCGTTGTCTCTTCCAAGGTCTATCACTAGCTTTCCAAGATCCTTGCATTTCTTTTTATCGTCGCACTCGATCAAAAACAACTGGCTGATTTTTTTGAAAGCCACCAGATACTGCACCGTCTGCTTAATTTTGTACCTGACAAAAAAGTCGTACAGATAGTTGATATCGGTGATGAACTGGATCGCGCCTATGGTTGAGATGATCAGTTTTTTGGTCAGAAGCTTTATAAAGGTCGCAATAAACCGCTCGCCAATCTCCTCTTTAAATATGTCCAGTATGGCCTTATCAATAGATTCCGACAACATTTTAAAATGTGATTCCAGTATGGTAACAGTTTGCTTGACGTAAACACTTGGCTTTCCGTTTTTAATCCCCATCTGCTCCATGTTCACCAGATTGTAAGTTCCCTCGTTCACCTGAGACCTAAGAATGCACATATTGACCTCATTCATGATGACACCAATGCTGATATCAAGTCCATCAGCGACGTACGCATCAAGCATCATTTCGAGCTTCGATATGGTTTTTTCGCACTGGTTGGAAGATAAAAAGTCTCTGCTTTTTTGCGGTTTCGTTTCCACAATCTCGTTCTTCACTAGTTCTTCGTTATAGAAAATGTTGATCATTTGTAAAATTAAGTCTCCAACATTAACCAGCTCAATAAAGTTGGTAAGTGGCTCCACTGTGTAGTCCACACTAACATCCAGCTCTGCTGGATTGTACTCCTTTAATCGAGTCAATGCTTCCTGGAACCCGCTTTTTATATGGCGGTCAATCAATGTCGAAAGCATGTCTATAAATATATCCTGACAAACTTTGTAGATACTGGCTTTAATGTCAGAGGTGGCAGAGTTTTTCGTCAATCCAAGTAGTAGGTCGTAGCTGTTTTTGACATGCTGTAGAATTAGAACTGTCAAATCCATGCTGACCAGCGATTTGATGTTTTGAACATTGGTGGTCAAAATTTGTAGTTTAGCAGCAAACTTGGTCAGTCTTGTCTCGTTTTCAACCTCCTCTTTTTCTGTTTTCTTTGCTCCTTTGAGTCTGAATATATTAGTGAAACTACTGAAAATGTCGAATGTATGGTTTGTTTGTGCTTCTGAGGAATCATCCACAAACTTGAGAATCTCTTGTTCAAGCATTCTTTCATTCTCAACTTTGTTAAGTTCCCAGGAGTTTATTAAGTGGACGAGAGACTGGTGGCATTGTTTTGGTAGCTGATCGGAAAACTCCACCAGATGGGGCTCGTAATAGAAATTGATAAATCCAGTGATCACCGGATAATAATCCATTTTCGTGGCCTGTTTGGACGAGTCCATTGAGCTTTGCGGATAGTTCAAGTTCGCAAAAGTTGACAGCAGCTTATGATGCAGAAAAGGAACGCACTGGAAATAGAGCGAGTTCTCGTTCATGATGTTGACATGGGGTGGATCCGTTTTCTCGTCTTCTGGCTCCTCCGCTAAATCTTCTGGCTCATCAAGACCATCAACATGCTTTGCACGATTTAGAAGCTTCTCAACCAGTCCCCCAATCAAGTAGTTTCCGAGAAATGTCTCCATCAGCTTCAGCACAATGGGCACTTCATCGGCATTGGTATCAAATATCCTATCAATTTCATTCAATTGACTATTCAGTAAGCTTGCAACTTGATCAAAGATCGTGTCAACTTCCACAAAATCCAGATAGTATCCTTTCACGACTCCGCGGGCCTTGTGCGTGGCCTTCTTGAGAACGCGGTCCACGGTGTCCATGGATGACAGAAATGAATAAGTTTCAACATATCTATCAAGGAAGAACTCCAGTAAAGCTTCCAAACTGTCCACCTCGATGTCGCCGATATCTAGACTCAAATTGTCAAGTGCGCTGATCAATTTGCGTGCCTCCTTGAAGTCCTCTTGTCTCAGCCGTATTTCAATTTCTCGAATCACTGATGTTACAAACAGATCCAAAATCGTATTAAGCCTGATGACCATATTCCTGTACCTGTCCTCATGCCTGTATATTTGTATGAATTTGCCGATACCAGCAAAGAGCATGGACTGGTCAAAAGGATCATTGAACTCTTTGAACACTGCAAGCGACTGGAAATTGGAGTAGTTTTTCACCAGAAGATCATTAGATATGGGCGCCATGATCTCGTAGATTTTGATGAACTCCAAGCGAGCTAAATTGGGGTCCGAGACGCTTTTGGACACACAGTTTATAGGTGTCAATTCTTCGTCAATGAGCAAAGAAGTATCTCCAGAGGTCCTCCGGGTTGTTGCTTTCCCAATCTCGTTCCCCTGACTCCCATGCCTTTTCCAGCAGTGTATCGTTTTCAGATATCCTATCCACAACTTGTTGTCATTTATGATCTCATTGTAACAGGACTTGTTAACTAAGCTGAAGTTCAGCAAATCTCGAAAATTGCTAATATTCACTGCAATCGTATGAACAATATTGGCGGGTATCACCTTGATCGGCGGGCGAGGCCAGCCTGGCATGTCTACCGCATTCATAGGGGCACAAATGAATTCAATTTATTTTGATACCAGTTATCGTCGCGTCGATTATGCTATATAGAGTGATGGTACCTATTTAAGATACATACGTAAATGGCGATACTAGCTGTCACATGCATCACACACAGCCTCCAGTTGCGTCTTTCGGGGACATTCCAATCCAGCAGGAAGTCCATCAAAGACAATTTCATCGACTGTCTCTTCACCAGATCGTCCTCGTAGAGCGGCTTGATGACCCCCAGACGGTCTCTAAGGCGGCTGTTCAGTCTTCTTGTGCTCTCAGGGTACATATAGACCATCACAAAGGAAGCAATCATTAGGAGTATCACAAAACCGTACCACCTGAGGCCCTGGTAAGGGTCTGGGAGATAGCAAAGCCTCGATCGCAAGGTATCGTGAGCCACCACCAACGATCCTGTTTCGTCGACAACAAAGTCTGGATCAGCAACGCCATCTAGCGGATTATACAGCGAAAGCAGTTGGATAGCAGGTCTCTTGATTCCTCCCGTCATGGCAGATGACTTGACGGTAATTTCGTCAGTAAATGCTTCGCCGGCTACCGAGCGAACGGCTCCCGTGTTTGCCAAGGGATGACGAATGTGACAATAATCGTGATCATCTCCAGAAAAGATGACTTTTGGTTTGATCGAGTTTAAAATGCGCTGGCTCAGCTCGTACTCGATCACTGTCTGGTACTGCTTGCCGCGCATCACTGGAAACCGTTTCTTCGATTCGCGCAGTGGACCGCACGTCTGAGATTCTGTAAACCTGTAAAGCGGCACGTGGCTGACCAGAATTCGAGGATACTGTTTTGCAGGGTGGTCATCTTGGCTCAGGGCCGCAAGAAATTCTGTGGGATCTTTATTCACCTCCGGGTGTTCTGTTGAGGATAAAGAAATTGTGTCTAAAAGGACGAGAGTATGATTTCCCAGAACGAGATAGTCGTTAGGGTTGCCGAAAAATGTTCTGAAGCGGTTCAGTACGGCAATATCAACTCCATTTCCAAAACCGATATCGTGGTTTCCGGGAATTTGAGCCAGAGTTCTTGTTGACTCCACTGGATCAAAAACTTTGTGGAAGCGCGAGTATTCTGCGTACCAAACAGGGTTGGCCCACTCACGGCCGCCATCAAAGAGGTCTCCAACAAATAGCGTGGTGTCTGGACTGAGGATCTGGTGGTAAAGCCGATGATTTCGGTGTAAATAGTTGTCGCTAAGCCGCTGTGTTAAATATAGCAAGATCCTGTTTCTTGTAGGATACGAGAAGTCGTCCACCAATTGAGGATCTCCGACGACGACCAGATGATGTGGATCGGCACCTGAAGGCCAATTCTCCCAATTTTTCCAGCGGCAGGACTTAATCATGCTGCTTACTTGCCATCTCTCAAAATAGTGCACGACAAAGAGCCAGAGAAGCAGGAACGCGACAAACTGTCTGGACCGGAATCGCGCGCCATTGGCTAACTTTGTCGGCTTCGGACGCAGGTCTATGGTTGCTCGAGCCCCCTGGTACGCGTTTCCAATGCCGATCGAGGTGACTCCCCGGAATTTCGACATGGCGAGCACTTTTTACCACAGCTAAAATGTTTTAAAAAATGGCATCCTCGGTTACGTAATTGTATGGGCGATGAGACTCACCGACGGTCTCTTCGCGGAGGCGAAGACAAGCGCGAAAGGGCGGATCTGTACAACTTCGATGGCTACCTTGCAACAGGGGTATCTGAGCAGCTGACTCTGAACGTTGTTTCGAAAGTGCCGGCCGGCGCACGGCTTCGGCACAACCCCGAGCTGGACGATTTCAAAGACGCGGTTGAGCGATATCCCCTAAACCTGGTGGACCTAAGGACGAAGGCACGCAGTCGTCAGCGTTCTTTGCCGCCAGCAAAGCAGGGAAACCGCCACAAGGATCCGCTGGACTCGACGTTATTCGAGGCATTCCACAAGAGGGGCGAGAAAGAGGAGAAACGGTTTGCCCGTGACGACCGAAACAAGCTGTTGCGCGAGTATCAAAACTGCATGGAGCTGCTCGCTAAGCTTGGAGAGTCCAAGGCAGAGCAAAAAGACGACAGACTTCGGTTTCTGCTAGAGACCACAAAGATAAATGACGTCAACGATCCATTGGAATTGGACATAAAGTTCATGTTAACTGTTAAAGAGTTGGTCCATTTCGTTCTTAACTATGAGCGGGTGAAGCAGCTCGAGGCGCAGATCAAATCGACCTTGGACAAAGACCGTTGGGACGAGTCAGATGGTGATCTGGACGAGATACGAGCACGCCGAAAACGACGGATGATCCACAACCACGGGCCAACGGTCAAGATCAAATTCTTGGACGGTGTGGTTCTGCAGTTCGATCCTTTAGGTCGCGCCAAAATACATAGACGTTAATATACCATGTTATTTCCTGTGCTAAACGTTACTCTTCTCACCGCCCATAACGACGTCGAGCCCGGCAAATTCGTCACACAAAGTGCGCAGAAACTCCACGTCCACTAGCAGAATTAATCTTATGAGGACGCTCATCACTTTATAGTAATTGTCCTGGAACTGTGAGTAGTACTTGAACATGGAGACGAATAGAAGAGCCGAGAAAAGCGCGTTGGCAGCAAAGAGCGTGTTTCTGCGGAAATGTAGCTTTTCGGCCTCACGTTTGCTGTTTCTAGTTGGTCTGGTCAGGAAACTTGCTAATCCCTCTCTCCAATCCACCCGCTCTCCTTTGGCCGTGTCATTTTTCAGTATGAATCTGTTCTGCGTGATATTCATCACACAAAACACCAAAAACGCCTTCATGTGAACACTGTTATCGTCTTGCTGAGTTATATATGCCCAAGAAACCAAAGCAATGAGTTTCCGAACGCTGACAATGGCATAGGCGACCAACAGCTCGTTGACCGGGCTCGTTCCAGACGACAGACGGAGCAACCGGAAAAGAAGCTGAAAACAGCCTATGAGCATCCGGGACACCTTTTCCACTAGTAAGGGTAACAAATTGAGCCCCGCCTTGACCAGACCTCCACGCGTTTCCGGCACAGACTGGAAAGATTTGACATAAACAATTGATCCATAGCAAAACAGAACCATAGTGTAAACGCCGACATACGCAGCCATGGCGATCTTGGCTACCACATTCGATTCTCCAAATATTAACACAAAAGCGAGACACCCATAGAGGTGGTATTTAGCGATCCTCCCTATGGAAGAGAGAGGAACCGAGACTTGTCTCATCACAATATATTCGTTGACTGCTTAAGTAATCTTACACTTGGATACATGGCAAAATAAATTGAAGGGCTTTTTCATCTAAACTTCTTACAGTATGGACAATTCGAAAGTAGTGGACTCGACCACTTCAATTATTACGAGAAAGGACTTTCTGGCGCCTTCAAGGGTGACCGAAATACTTGACTCCGACCCCCACCTCGAATTGCACATTACAGAAGCCTCCAAATCGAACGAGACGCATAACCATCTGCAGAGTTATATCGTGTATACGATAAAAGTTGGGCCTCTAATGGTCAAAAGACGATATAGTGAGTTTGAGATGCTGCGTACGTGTTTGATTAAGACCTTCCCCACATTGTTAATTCCTCCGATCCCCGAAAAACAAACATTAGCATCAAATTTGACGTCCACTACTGCCAAGTCACTCGAGTCACATTTTCCAACCGCGAACGGCACCTCAGCAAACAACAATAACCCATTGAACCTAGTCGAGTATCGAAAACGGATGCTCGGTGTGTTTCTGAACCGATGTTTGGCTATTGACCAGATCAAGAAATGTCGCTATTTTCTTAGCTTTCTCGACCCAGAGACCAATTTTAGCGACTTTCTTGCATTTAAAGAAAACCAGATTCTTTACAAGACATCAATTTACAAGCTGGCGCCGTTTGATCCGCTTTCAAACCTTGAAAATCAGATATACCTTACTCTTCCCGTGCCATCTGCTTCAAATTTTGGCTCATTTCCAGAGCTAGCTGGCGAAGAACAATTTGAAAACTTTGTCAAGTTCGAAAACAAGTTTTCCAAGTATGAGACAGTGCTTGATAACATCTCGCGCATCAACAAACGGCTTGTCAAGCACTTCACTGAGATGTCTCCCGATCTAACGGAGCTTGGATCATCCTTCAAAGCATTGTCACTGATTCAGGATTCAAACTCCATTGAAAACGTTGGTAGAGTGTTTGACAGATCCTTAATTTATGCCAACCAGCTTTCTGAGGCAACAAATCTGGGCCTTTTAGACAAGCTCATTGAGCTCAAGAACTTCACCAAAATAGCTAAGAAAATCATCCAGTACAACCGAAACAAGGCTGTGCAACTCAAGGTGGTGGAGAAGTCGTTGCAAGACTCGCGCGCCAAGTACAAAGAATATCAGAAACAGGAGGAGGAAATATCCAGAATTGATGCTCTTGCGTCGCGGGCAACTGGCTCAGAGCAATCTGGTAATTCTAGCGCAGAAGCGCCGCTCACGGATGCAGAGCTACAATCTGCTCTTTATGTGAACGCCAAAAAGCCATTTTATGGGAAAATACCCGGAATCAAGAAGATCAACAATGTCATACTGAAGTACACAGACTCTAATCCAGATCAAACGCGCAAAAACCGTATTTACGATTTACGACTCAAGATATATCAACTTGAAAGACAACAGGAGATTCTCGAAGAGGAACTAGGGAAGATTAATGACGAAATATGGGACCAGCTCGTGAAATTCCACGAATGGTTCAGATCAAACTTAGCACAGCTAGTCGTTGAGTACAACAAACACTTGGGCGAATATATTCAGATAAATCTGGAAGCTTGGGAAGGCTGCTATAATAGGTGATATGTCAAAATATTAAACGTATTTATTTTTAGTGCACTGCCACATACGCCACAAGTTTACAAGAAATTCCCTTATCTTTTCCTCTTCCTGCCGCTTTTGCCATCCAATTAAAACACAAAGCACGAGCGTTCAAATATTAAGCGCAGCCCGATTTGATAGTAAGACACAAGATGGCCACGAAGGAAGCATCGAGCTCTTCCTCAGGTCTAGCTACACCAGATAGCGCTACACCGCACAATAACGGCAGCACCAATAATGTTTCAGACATCTTAACCCCCCAAGAGCTTTCCTCAGATGATTCTTGGTCCATTGTGACTGGGAGCGACTCACAATCAGTCGCTTATGATGACGTTGTATCCAGCGATGATGGAGAACGGGAAGAACATAACAAAGAGATTCGAGCTTCGGTTTCTACGCTCAAAAACGAACTTAACGGATCACACTTCTCGGTGCCTCGAATTGAACTGGATAAGGGGCCAGAAGAAGTTGCTGAAGATCGGGGTGCACCCGATGAGTCTCTCACTACACTTATCGACCATGTGAAATCTTTGAAGCGGGATAAATTGAAATCGTGGCATTGTATTGCCGCACTAGGACTTGCCCTGACCATGTTGGTTGGAGGAACGGTATTCAGAACTAAGGACGTGGACTGCTCTGCTGTGTCTGAGAATATGAGAATGACACTTCAAGACTGTCTAGTCAAGGGTTTAGATACCAAAATGGGGTGCTTAAAGCAGTATTTTGAAGAGCGCAAAGCGTATGAAACTCGCTGCTCATTTCAAGATCAGGACCTCATAACTTTCGAGAGCCATCTCAAATTCGGAAGGGAAATGTTTGGCGAAGGCGCGCTGGCTGAAGCTTATAGCGGACTTCTTTGGGCAAAGGAACAAAGACTTGAATTAGGCGAGAAGGGACTAGAGTGGTCTCGCAGGTTCGGGAGCGCTATGAAGGAGAACTTTTCGACAAGCTTGAAGGTACTTGCTCAGGCTAAAGAGCTTTCCATCGAGAAGCTGGGGGACACAGGTTTAGTATTACGTCGACTGACTAAGGAATGGGGGTACAACATGAGGAAAGGGCTCCAATTTGCAGATAATTTTCTCTTTCAGGCTCGGCTTTGGGCCGGTGGTACTGCTTTAGCTTTTGCGAGAGACGGGAAAGTTGCAATTGAGCGTGGCGATGAGCGCTTGAAGGAACTCTTGACTAAAGTGAAAACCGTCTCTTCAATGTTGTCTCAACGGTACTTAGATATACCTAAAGGGCTTTCTTCGCTAGTGGAGTTCAAAGACATTGCTCAAGGGAAGTTATTGGAATCCGGACAGAGGTCCTTGAAGAATTCCACTCGTGCGCTCAAATATATTCGCCAACGATTGCCGCTGATTCGCAGAAAATGGGTCTCGTTTGCTTGCAGCCTATACAGAGAATCCTGCCTCTCCTTCAGCAATGTAGGCTCACATTTACACACACAGTTCAAGCTGTCAGCTCATGGAGTCAGAGAATTCAACACGATATTACACGATAAATTTCTACAATGGTACAATAGTTTTGAAATACCCTGGTTTTAGTTTGAGTCCATTACGGCTCCGGAGAGTTTGGGATGGTCCCGGTTATGGTTTTGGTTAATTGTACTATGTATAGGTTGCTGGACTTTCGAATGACAATTAAGAAAAGGGCTGTAGCACCGAAGTAGCTAAATCGAGGGAGTGGACTATATTAAGTCAGGAGTTCCACCAACTGGCCATAAACGTCTTCTGAGATCATGCCGATCTTAAACAAGTAAGTGTGCAAACTCTTGACAAGAATCAGAATATCAGGACCCGAAAGGTTAATAACAATTGTCTGCAGAAGGTTTCCAACGTTGAGGTGATGTGTCGAGATGAAAGTTTCGTAATACAAGTACGAGAAGGAGCCCATCAGGAACTGGCAGTCCATTCTATCGGTGACTCCTCCATGACCTGGGATCGTATCACCAAAGTCTTTGATCTTGAACGCACGCTTGAGGCCAGAAGCGAAGAAGCCTCCAAACGGAGCAATCAACGAGGCAAAGAGAGACAAGATGGTAGCATGGAGATAGATTGGTTTGATTTGGACATATTCTTTCCCAACTATTTTCGCCACATCGGCTGGAATTTTGTAGATCTGGTGGATGAACACGGGATTTGGTTCACAGGAGACACCAGTCAAACAGTTAACCTGCAAATCGTTGTAGTTTTCGATTGGGCAAATGAAGTAGTTGTAATTGCACAAGTAGTAAGTGAGAACAATCGATGCAAATGTGGTGCAAATCCATGCTCCAACAAACCCTTCAACAGTCTTTTTGGGAGAAATGGAGATGAGTTGAGTTCTACCAAAAGTGATTCCGCAAATGTAGGCAAAAATATCGTTGGTGATCACAAGTCCGACCGGCAGCAAGAACCAAATCATGCCATGAAGGATATTATTGACGATACAATGGCCTTGGAAGATCACCAACAGCAAGATCATATGGGTGATGCACAATTGTGCAAACTGGAATTTCAAGTAGCCTTTCTTCAGAGTAGAGACAAAGAACACAAAGGCGAAGACGTACGAGCAGTACGAGACGAATTTCTGATGGATAATGAACTTCATCGCCAAAACAGAAAAGTAGTTGGAGTCGATCAAAAAGTTGATGGTGTATGTGATGAGCGATTTGCCTTCCAAGTAGGCAATAGTGGTGATTAGCAAGTACCAATTGAGATACCCTGTGTACTTGAGGTCCTGGTTTTTTGCTCTCTCACTCGTGATGGAGATAAGCTCTTTGAAAACCAGCACCTGGAGAACTAGGACCAGCATGATAGTCCAGAAGTGGCCTGCACAGATTATGAAGAACATACCGAAAATCATAACAAGGGTCCAAATAGTTCTTACGATGAAGGCTTGTTTCTTGCGTTCTTTCTCATTGACGACAATTGTCGGCTTTTCCTCTGCAGCAGGAGCAGAAGGGGACGCTGACTCTTTGGTCTCCTTCGAGGTTTTGGGTCCGGCCATGTTTTTTCTATAACAGCTTATCGAATATTCTGAAATAATTTTTTTTTCCGGTCGCGTCGACCCAATCACATGTGATACTGTAATGCTATTATTGTTGAACAGCTGTGTACATGACGAAATAGTATCTATATAACCGTAACGTAGAAGCGAAAAAACCCGTTTTTTTATTCCCGACCCCACTTCTAGAACATAAGCATGGTACAAGAAATTTGTCTTGTGACGATTTCTTTTTCATGTCCAAAATAGAAAAACCAAAGGTTCAGTACCAGAATTTGGACAAGTCCCGTCTTCTGGAGCAGCTGGATGAAGATATACAGGAGCTCAACCAGCTGAAGCAGAAGATAAAGCAGTTGGAAGAGAAAAAAGAAGACAAGGAACAGCAACTACAAGAGTTGGAAAAGGCAGCGACTCAAGTGCCTAGTGTGCTTCTAAACTCAACCTACAGGGAATATCGTCAATATGACCTCGCATATGATCGTGTGAAGCAGTTTTACAAAGAGCAACACGAGTTTCAAACGGTAGCGTACAACATACAGGCTCGAATAAACTTCAAGACCAAGATCCGAGACAGGATGACTATATGGGACGCCTTGCTGAAACTCAACAACCTCTTGGACGAGAGCGATCCTGACACCGAACTTTCACAGATAGAGCATGCGCTACAGACAGCAGAGGCGATTAGAAAAGACAATAAACCGCGATGGTTTCAGCTCGTCGGCCTTATTCATGACCTTGGCAAACTGCTCTATTTCTACGACTCGAAGGGCCAGTGGGACGTCGTCGGCGATACGTTCCCTGTTGGATGTCGCTTTTCAACCAAAATAATACACTACGAATTTTTTAAAGCCAATCCAGACTACAACAATCCGCTCTACAACACAAAATACGGTATTTATTCTCCTCATTGTGGTCTTGAGAATGTCATGCTGAGTTGGGGACACGATGAGTATATGTATCACCTGGCGAAGGAGCAAAGTCATCTGCCTCCACAAGCGCTTGCGATGATCAGATATCACTCCTTCTATCCATGGCACCAGGAAGGTGCCTACAAATATTTAATGAACGAGCGTGACGAAGAGATGCTCAGGGCTGTCAAGGAATTCAACCCTTACGACCTTTACTCAAAGACGGACAAGAAGTGCGACATCGACGAGGTCAAAGACTACTATCTCGAGCTGATTGATGAGTTTTTCCCGAAAAAAGTTATTGATTTCTAGCTGAACTCTCTTGAAATACCTTAATTTAAATGCGCATAATTAATTACTCCAGAATATCGATCACTCCGAAATATTGTTCGATTCCGTAAGGACCTGGGTCTTTCCAGAAGTCATTGTAGGTCGTCAGAATAGTCACATCGGAGCCAAAGTCCTCGAGGATCTTCTTGATGGCTGTTTTCTGGTTCTCTGGAGACGGTATGTTTCCTCCATTCTGCTTTCCCTGACTTGGATATCCGGTTTCTACCACCTTGACATCCATGTTCGGACAAGCTTCCTGAGTCACCTTGACCTGGTCGGTAAGGAAGGTTCCTGCGTCTGCTGCACTGATGTACTGATCGAAGTAGGCGTGAGCGTTGATGCCAACAAAGTCGATACCGGAGCTCGTGCACAGTTCTGGGTAGCTCTGGTACGAGCTAGGTGGTTCGGCGGTGGTAACCTTTCCTGTGTAACCACCGCTTTGCAGCTGCGACTTGACAGAGCTGATTTTGCTGATCAGGTCGCTGACCGTAGCGTAGCCGTTGCTGATGACCTCGTTACCGACGCTGAAGAAAGAGAAGAGGTCCCAGTCGAATCCTGAAGACGAGTCCTGGACGGCCGCGATCAACTCAGTGACAGCGTCGTCAATGGAGTCCACGCCGGAAGAGCTGATGTAGAAGCCCTGGTCGACTTTGATTCCTTTGTTTGCGCAGATTGGGAGCACGGTAGTGAGATAGTTGCAGTCGTTTCCGTAAATTCTGACTTCGCCGATTCCCTTGGACTGAATCAAGGACAAGTCGCTTTCCACGGTGTCGTAGTCCTTACAGGATCCTGAGTCGGTGTATGGAGAGTACACGATGGCAGAAGGAGTGACGGTAGAAGCTGCCGACGACGAAGAGGTAGACGACACAGACGACGTCGTCGAGCTTGCTGTAGAGCTTGATGACTCAGAGCTCGAAGACGAAGTTGTCGAGGACGTAGTCAAGGACGATGATGACGAAGACGACGAAGACGAAGTCGTCGTAGACGATGACTCGATGGTTGAGCTTGGTGCTTCGGTCGAGGAAGTTGTTTGCTCAGTTGAGGAGGACGTCTGCTCTGTAGAAGATGTTTCACTCGACGTTGATGCCGCGGTAGTCGAGCTAGAGGCCTCGGTGGAGCTTGAAGGCTCGGCCGTAGAGGATGGAGACGCGGTGCTAGAGGCCTCGGTCGTAGTCACAGAAGAGCTTGAGCTGGTCGAACTAGTCGAGCTAGTCTCGCTCGTGCTGGTAGACGTGTTTTCGACGTTGACAGATCCGACGAGATCGAAATCCTCGGAGCTGGTAGTGCTGGATGCCTCGGTGGTAGCTTCGCTGGTGGCTGCAGTGGTGGCTGTGGTGGTGGCTGCGGTGGTGGCTGCGGTGGGCGAGCCACTAGATGACTCAGAGGTAGAAGACACAGAGACAGACGAATCCTGGCTCGAACTCGTAGAAGTGCTAGAAATGCTGGTGTCAGTCGGCACCGGATTGCTGGTCTGTGTCTCGACGGCCACTGAGTCACTAGTCTGGCTGGCAGCCGCAGTTGGCTCCTTGGCAACCACGGTTGTAGTTGGCTGAACAGCATCGATATCGCTTCCGGAAGCAATAGTTAGAAGAGTGTTGGTGTACGTGACACCGTTGGAAATAAGAATCTCAACGATTGGAATGGTGGACGTCACCGTGTAGTAGTTGTCTTGTGTAGTGGTCACGGCATCGGCTGTGTGCATCCTGGTGACCACCTTGGCCAATGGCACAGGGGCCGCCTGCACAGCAGCAAGAACAGTTAAAAGAGCGACTGAAACACGCATATGGTAAAGAATGTATAAGTGAGTGTGGGTGTGCGCAAATTTTCAGGACCTTGGGGCAGACTATTTATAAGGTATCTAGACTGGTAATATCAAGCCATCGCTTAGAGGGAATATTCTCTGGCAACAAAGACTTCTTTATACCAAACCATTCAAACTTTAATCCTGCTACCCAAAAAAGCCGGTAGCACTGATAGCCATCCTACCTCCTATTGTTTTATATGCAACTAAAATCTTAGCTCAGACCATATAGAGATGGCTGGCTTCCTAATTGGGAAATTGGGCAGTGTGTGGTAAAAAGTGGCAGGACCAACTCTTCCGCAAAGTAGTAGTGCCATAATATTGCTTCCTGAAACACCATTAGACGCCTTTCATGAATATCCCCAAACAGGGGTCGTTCAATATTATGTCCACAAAACAGAAGTGATGAGTTTTATTTCTTTAGACCTGTATTTCGGAAAATTAAATTTGGACTACATTTAATACTCTGCTTCTGTCATTTCAGCCTTGCCTCCAAACAGTGGAAATGACATAGCTCTACTTCAGGTATTACGTATACTTCCAAGCAAAGACGCCAAAACGTAGATTATCATTACCGAAACAGGAATCCAGCCTCTCTGGCGCCCCATGCTGCCGGTGTATGGGTGTTTTCTCCGGGGCCCTCGCGCTAAGGAGCAAAATATATCCCTACCGCGGACATGAGCATTCTTCATGAGCGAGATATCGTTTGTTCCTCCCGGATTGTCTGGGGAGCCGCGCAGAAAAGTCGATGAACAGGATGAGTCTTCAGATCAGGACGATATGGGGTCTACCTGGCCGATCATCATTTTCAGCTCCATCATAGCTACCGGGGGACTGATCTTTGGATACGACATTGGAACTATTGGGGGTATGATCGACATGCCTGCCTTCATCAACACTTTTGCTGATAACCGGACTGGCGGTCAGATTGCGTTCCACAGCATCACCAAAGGAGCTCTGATTGGTATTTCCAGTCTGGGCGGGTTCGTTGGTGGCATCCTTAGCATTTCGCTAATCACGCCCTTTGGGCTCAGACCGACAATTTTCTCAGCAGGCGTCATCTACGCTGTGGGAAACATGGTGACTATTACCGCGACCGTGTGGATCCAGGTGATGTTTGGACGGGCGTTCAACGGAATGGCCAACGGCATTATATGCGTGACCTGTCCCATGTTGATCAGTGAGCTGGCGCCTACCAGTATGCGAGGTGGCATGATATGCATCCAGCAGTTGCTCACCACCGTTGGCATTCAGATTGGAGCAGTCACTATGTATTTGAGTCAGTCCCTCTTCGACAACACCAACACGTTGCAGTTTAAAGTGCCCCTGATCCAAGGGCTCTTTTGGGCGATTGCAGTCTGCGTTTTGATTTGGTTTGTACCGGAGTCTCCATACTGGTATCTCACAAGTCGCAATTTGGTGGAAAAGTCCAAAATGTCGGTAGCTCGAGCACGTTCTTTAGGAGTGAATGACCCAGGGGTGCTCCGGATAGTCGCCCTCATGTTCAACAACCACAGCTACGAGGACGAGGATGCCAATCCTAAGGAAAAGAACTCGATCCGAAAAGGAGAGCCCAAGTATCTGCTGCGCACGCTGACCGGCATCAGTGTGCTCTGCTGCCAGCAGCTTACAGGCATAAACTACTTCTTTTTCTTTGGCACCACGATCTTTGCTACAATTGGCCTCACAAACCCATACCTCGTTCCAATTTTCTTTGGATTCGTGAACCTGGTGTTTTCGGTGGTGTCCCTGTTCATCGTCGATCGCTTCAGGCGCACCAGCTTGCTGATGATCGGGTCTGTGCTACTCGCGTGCTTCATGCTGCTATTCACCATAGTAAGCATGTTCTCGAATTCCAACATGAACGTGGCTATGGGAGTCGTTATGGTGTCGGTTTCATGTGGATTCATAGGAGTGTTTGCTACTACATGGGGACCGTTGAGCGGCGTGGTTGTTTCCGAACTGTATCCGATATCCATCAAGGTGAAAGCAATGTCCATCTGCGGATCGATGAGCTGGCTAGTGACATTCGTCATGACCCTGATCACACCGCCGCTGACAGAGGCCTTTGGCTTTGGTATCGGATTCGTGTTCTTTTTCTTCAACGTCACCGGATTCGCATTGGTGTACTGCCTGGTCCCGGAGACTAAAGGACTGCCGATCGAAAGGCTGGACGAAATATACGAACAGCAGTGAATTACAACTTTTGTACACTTTACTTGATCTTCATTATCAAATACTAACGGGAGGTAGCATGGACTTTCTGGAAAGCACCCTTGGCCTGCTGTTTAGAGATCTTGGCGCCAGTAGCAACCTGTGCAGCCTTCTCGGCCTTCTTCTTCTCTTTTCTAGCTTGCTTCTTTTCCTTCTCCTTGATAGCAGCCACTTCCCTGGTGGCCTTTCTTTGTTCTGGCTTCAAGGCACGTCTTTCTTTGATCAAATCGAGAGAAGCACCGACAACAGCTCTTTGGTGCTTGATCGCCTTTCTGCTTCTCTTCTTGGAAACTTCCTCAGTGATACCCTTCTTGTGGTGTCTTCTGAACAAAACAGTCCAGGAGATTCTTCTTGGGTTCTTTCTTTGATGGAAAAGGGAGGCGCTCTTGGAGTTTTGGAATCTGAACACCTTCGAGTCACCTCTCACAAACAGAGTACCTCTGCCCGGGTAGATCTTCGAGCCGGAGAACGAGTCAACTTCAACCTTCATCTTGATGAGAAAAGATTCTTGCTGAGAAAAAAATCTAGAGAGCGTGAGGGTCGAAAAATTTTAGAAACCCAATGCGGAAACTTAGTGTGACTGTCTTTCAGAGGTAGTTATTTTTCAAACCTCTAAAAAAAAATTTCATCACCAAGCTTAAGACCGGAGTGAAAACACAGAGATGGTCAGTATCCTTTATCTCTCTCCGTAACTAACCATGCTAGGCACCTAAATCCAAGAAGAACTCAGAGAACATGAACGCCAAGTTGGCCCTGGCTATGAAGTCGGGTAAGTTCACCCTCGGCTACAAGTCCGTTGTCAAGTCCCTGAGACAAGGCAAGGCTAAGCTGATCATCATTGCTGCCAACACCCCAGTCTTGAGAAAGTCTGAGTTGGAGTACTACGCCATGTTGTCCAAGACTGCCATCTACTACTTCCAAGGTGGAAACAACGAGCTTGGTACTGCTTGTGGTAAACTTTTCAGAGTCGGAACCCTTGCCATTCTTGATGCTGGTGACTCCGACATCCTCTCTGCCGTCCAGAACTAATTTAGAAGTTAATATCAGATATCAGAAAGGCTGACATGCCTGTAGCATCGTCCGGTGATACGATCCGCAGGAGCCAAGGTAACCTTCGATCGGCTGGGATTACGTAATCAAAACAATTGAAAGCCGGGCTTTTGTTACGTCACGGTACCCCGAACGACACGATAATTTTTCTGCGGGGCGTGAATATTGTACGTATTTTATCATGGCCGAAAAACAAGAGTACGCCCTGGATGTCTACATCCGCATGAACCTCGACGATGAGAAGGACTACTGTTTTGAAGTCAAGAAAACACAGACTTTCAGGGACCTGTTCCAAATTTTCGAAACGTTGCCTTTGGCACTATGTCCATCCATCTTCTACAACAGGGTTCCTAAGGGATTCATGGTTTCGAGATGTCCTGGGGAGTTAACCGCCGAGGGTGGAGTTTTGTTTGGTCATCAGGCAGATAAACCTGAATGGCTTACACGGGTCTCTAACGATGATTTGGTTGTGTCCAAGGTTTGGCCAGGTCAGTTGTTGCTTCCTATTTGGGAAGAGAAAACTTTCCTTACCTACTCCATTTATGCTGCTCTTCTGACCTGGTTGTACACTGATTTGCCGGACTTTATTTCACCAACTCCCGGGATTGCGTTGACTACTTGGGTGTGTAAAGGTATCTGTTACTTGGTGGAAAAATACCACGATGCCGGGTTTGCTGAACATTTACGTGGGGAATTGCTTTCTGAATCAGGAAAGGTTCTTCAATGCGTCTTCTTCTTCTTCCATGTGCTCAAGGTGCTTATTATTTTCGGGTCCCTGAACTTCGGCGCTGTGAATCCATATTCATTCACCGGCAAACCGCCTGCGATCACAAAAGAAGATCTCATTAGGATTGGATGGACTGGATCCAGAAAGGTAACATTGGAGGCATTCAAGGAGGATTACAGAAAATACCGCATTGAGAAGGCCGGTGGCCTGATGGCAGCCCACAAGGCTGGAAGTCTGAGTAAGCTGTCGCAGACGACTATCACTCTGGGAGAAGGAGAAGGATTTAACACACCGCTGGACACTAAGGGCAAGTTGACGCTTAAAGACCTTGAGGACCAAGATAAGTTCTTCTTGACTTTGGACCTAATCATTGCTCAGGAAAAATTCTTCCATGAACAGCATGCTGATTTGGACGAGATGGAGTTTGCGAAGGCCTACAAGAAGTTTAGGAACTATGGTCCATTCGAGACGTCGCCTCAAATCAAGAAAATTGTCGAAAAGCGGTTTGAAAAGGACATTAAACCAAGTTTAAAGGAGTAGATTATAGAATATGGGGTTAGCTATCATTAATTTTATTAATCAGTGCAATTCAATCTAAGATTATGTCGTCGACGTCATTAGACCCTGACCGAAAAAAGGGCAGTTTTAGAGCATCATCTGCGGTAATCCTCTCGTTGTGATTCAGTCTCAAGCATAATTCAAGCACTTCGAGGGCCTCTGCATAGTCCCTCCCAAGCTTAGTCTCGGCAGGACGCCCTTTCTTGTCCAAAGCCGACAAAATCTCCCAAGCAGGAGAGTCTTCTGCCAGCGTGTCGCCCTGTTTGGCCTCCAGGAAAATTGATGTATATAGCAAAGCACCTAGCGATTGTGTGGACTCGATTTTGGGGAGGTTACTTTCCAGACCCAGACCATGCAGCTGTGCGCATTTGCGCATCTGAGAAAGCCCAAAAATATTTGTGATCTCAATGAGGGCCGCGGTGTCGTCTGTAGAGTTGAAGAATGGGAACCTTCGAGATAGAAGTGTGAGCAGCATGACCCCAGCAGACCATATATCGACCTTGACGGTTTGATTTGCACACTTCAGTAGCACCTCAGGTGCTCTGAATCCACGAGTTCCTGCTCTGTTGGCACGTCTTCCTGGTCTGCGGTCATCTTTCGGGTATCCTTTTGTAGGAAATGCATTAACAGGCGCGATTTCGTCTGCTGCCGGCCCTCCTTGGAAACAAGGGCAAGCTGCGTAATCGATCTCTGCTTCTTTTTCGGCAAGTCCAAAATCAACCAGAACTCCTCGCCTGGTCAACGGATTATATAGGAAATTGGTAGGCTTGATATCTCTGTGAATGATTCTTTTTTCGTGCACAAAACTCAAAGCAGTAAATAGTTCGTGCATGTATATCTTGATTCCAGACAGAGGCAAGTCTCTGTAGAAATCGCGGAAATCTGCGTGCTTATAAAAGGGCAACACGGCGATTACTTGATCCTCATAACGAACAGCATCTATTAGTGGAGCCACGTTCGGACATCCCACTAGACCGTGCAAAAGCTGAAGCTCGTTGTATATTCTCGAAGGGGAAGACGTGACATAGATTCTTTTCAATGCAACAATTGGAATGTCAGATGCTTGCGTGGATTTACTCATACGGCTCCTAGGTGGGGAGCTCCAAATCGCTTTTCCCATGCTAGTTTCGGATATGCGCTGTAAGTCGTATGCTTTGTAAACGGTGGAAAACGTTCCCTCACCGATCTTGTCTATTAGCTTGTATTTGGAAGACAGCCCGGGGAACGACTTGACTAAGGAGAATAGTTCCTGTCTTATCTCCATAGACAGTGAATCTTCCTCCTCAGAGTCCTCATCCTCGCCATATTCTGCGGGAGCAAGCTCTGATCTCTGGGGCTCTGATTGTTCGGTTGTCGCTTCGGTGATATGTTGTGTCTTTTCTAGCTCCTCCGAGGTTGAATGGATTTGTTTCGCTTGTGTCGCCAGGGAAGTGCTCTTGGCCTCTGATTCTCTATCAAGGAACGGCTCAGCACTTGACTCTGGCTTTGCCACAGGTTTCTCACTGACGTTATTTCGAGGTTCATCGCTTGCTGTGTGAGAGTTTGGAGGGCTGGGACGAACCACATTGCCCAACTGAGGCGGTCTGCGTAGTACAAGCCGCTTATGAAGCTTGAGACGAGGCTGTAGCGAGACCCCGGCTCGCTCCTTCTCATTCAAACTTCTCTTTTTGTCTCGCAGAGTAGTCATGAAATCTGTGCTTTTTGTTTTCTTTTGTATTTATTTTGATCTACGCGTAGACTAAATTACGTCAGCCAGTGCTTATGGTTTAATCTTTATCAGAGCAAGCGATTCTCTAGCCTTCGCCACACATGCGACAAGTTCCTGGTGGTCCTCTGGGGGCAAAGGACCGGAAATGTTCCTCTGCAAGGTGATGAGCTCATTGATACGTTTATCATCGCCGTGGCCAGCACAGACGATCAAAAGAGAATTGCTTGGCATTGTTTGGTAGATTTTTTCAACGCTATGATCAAAGTTGTCCGGCTCGCGCAGCTTGATCATCGCCAGCTCATGATTGGGCAAATCATTAGCCAGCTTTTGAACCGCCTCTTCGTCGGTGGAGACGTCAATGCGTAGCTCATTGAAAAATTTGTTGCCTCCAAAATTGATGGCTATCCCCGTTTTGGGGACTTTCTTGCCGTCGATAAGGACTTGTTTGTTTGTATGCGAGATACGGCGAAAGATCGACTCTTCAGTAATAAGCTTGCCAAATGCAGGGCCTTTTTTTAGTTTGAGCTGGACCAGCTCCATGCATGTAATACAATCTTCAACTGGATCATGACCATTGGCAGATTGTTGGATAGATTTTCCCAATATCTCGGATGCCAGATTGCGCAGAGACGGTTTCAACGGCGGACCCTTCACGTGATCGAAACAAATGGATGTGTCGATGATGGTTGGGTGTGAAATTTTCAGCGCACAAAGATCTGACTCTAACGAGTGTCCTATCAAGTAATCTTTACTGGAGATCGTGGCTTGTAATCTTTGCTGGATATCATGCAAAGTGGTGGTGACTCCTTTGAGGCTGTCTTCATCGACACCCGAGTACTGTGTTTTGTAGTCTGTGATCTCCTCGTCTGGTTTGACAAACTCCCCTATTACTAGCCTGTGGTCCTCATCAGTTACCGCGACTCTAGTGACCACGCTTCCGGACGCAGCCAAGCACATCTCACAATCCAGTGCAAGCATTTTTGGCTTGGAGCCTAGGTCCCTGGTGGCAAGGAATGAGGAATATCGCGCTATAGATTCTTTGGTAGCACCAGGAACATCGGGATGAATAGGGTAGCCATTGGCCACCATTTGCGTGTAGTCAAGTGTCAGATCAGACAGCTGGACACCCTCAAGCTCCAGCTCCCTAATCAGCGCTGGACGATGCTTTTCGGGCACTGCCGCAGAGGAAAGAGTGGCCGCACATGAGAATAGGTTTCTGTTGGCTCCTGGGGAAACCAACGGAATGAATTTTGCGAATGTCTGGGCAATAAATGGATATCTTTCCGTATTCTTTATTTCCTGCTCTTCAACCAGACCAGCTAAACTATCATACCCGAAATCAGCCGCAGTGAGTCCATCAGCAAGCACCAAAACCACTTTGTTCACAAATTTCCTGTTCTCGAGCTCTCCAAAATTCAGCTTGTTCACGTCTGTGAGCGTGTACAGAATGAGCTCTCTAATATTGACATACTTCAGTGGGTTCTTGCGTTTGCTATCAAACTTTAGCTTGAATACTGGAGTCTTGAGAGCGGATTTCTTAAAACGCGGTTTGATGGACTGGTGCGACGACCGTCTCCTTTTGGTATGTTCCACTAAGGGCTCGATTGAAGTGTCCTCTTCAAATAGAGCTTCCCCTGGGCTCCTGGGATCTGCCACACACGGCATTTTGCCCATGTCGCTGCTTACTCCAGCATCAACCATGTCACACGAAACGGCTAATATTTTTTTTCCATACTAGAGCACACCTTTACACAGCCAAATGGATCTGTCTAAGGAAGTCCTGATACTTTTGCCTCAGGTTCTCTGAATTGGCCGATGTTGCATTGGTGGTTGCTTCTCTAGCAATCGTGTCCATGCTGTGCCATTTCTGGAGCGTTTCCTCACATGCAAAATCCTCATTCAGCACCTTGATCTTCCCGTAGCTGTCACTTCCACTGGGCACGAACACGTTGTCATAGTCTTTCATCCGTAGTTCAGCCGAGCCTTTCAAAAGCCTGATGATGTCCTCAGGTGTATCGGTGTCCTGAAAGAACAGCACAGAGCCATTTTGATCCATCATGATCAGTCGCACTAGTTGCTGTAGATAATCAATCATTGTAACGCTTTTGACGCTGTAATCAACACGAGAGACATTCTGAACCAATATACAGCATCCAGGAGCCTTAGAGCATGCATTCATCCACGGTTTCAGAGATGTAGAAACACGCTCGAGAATGGTTTCTTGTGTCGGTTCCTCCTTCAGTAGAACCAACGCATCCAGAAGATAGACAACAAGCAATTGAGGGACAAGTTTGTCAAGCACTGGCTGGTACACTGTACCATATTCGCCGGCAAAAGAGTGGAACGACAGCTGAAGATCTGCGCGTTCTGCAAAATGAAATCCGTACGGTATGACACTGACGTCTCTGACTCCAAAAGCATTCAGAAACTGAACATGGTCCACTGCCTCTCCACCAACAACCAAAAGTTGTCTTTGCAATTGCTCTTCCTGCGATACAGACTCCAAGAGGTCTTTTAATGAAGACATGTTTATTATATTTTCTAGGCTGTGTAATATAGATCTATAGAGTTTACTTATTTGGAATTGTCGTTATAGTCAACTTTTCGTCTTTCTGATATTCCGGCTGTATCTCTTTTGACTCTGTTGAACATCGTGACGTCGTAGTTGAAAATGAAGTCGACGATCGTCCAGGTCCATGATTTGTGATGTGGTAGCGGCTCGTAAAATTCGGCAGCTATTTTTTTCAGCTGCGGGAGTCTACTCCACGCAACAAAGGGGAAGTCGTGGTGCTCGTTGTGATAGCCGACATTCCACGTCACCAGGTTGAGGAGCCCGTAGTATGAATAGGTCTCTAGAGGGGGAGCATCAACGTATTTTCTGTAGTTTTTGGGTGGGTTGAAAATGTAGTGCTCGGACACGAAGTGTCCAGCTGTTGGGTGCAGCGATCCGGCGAAAAACGAAGACATGATGAAATACCATAATGAGTTTGCAGACCAGTACTTCACCACAAGGAAATCAACAAACACTTGCACGAGAACATTTAGCAGGTGGACCAGGGTGAATTTCACCTGGGTAATGAACATCGGTCTCAAAGCGTAAAACAGAATCTGGAATGTGGCAAAGAACGCCTTGCCAAGAATGTTGGACAGCAAAATGGCCTCCAGGCGAGTAGGGATGTCTGTGTCGTAGATCTCATCCCCGAGGAATTTATGGTGGAGCTGGTGGTATGGCTGGAAAGAGGCGCTGTAGGGGACTCCGATAGGCAGATTCGTCACGATGGAAAAGAGTCTGTTGTGGAGTGGTTTTTTGAATCCCAAGTTGTGCGAAAGCTCGTGGATACAAAGGAAACAGTTTTGGTTGCAAGTCCCGCCGATAACGTACGCCAGAGCCATGAACTTGAAGCTCAGTGGACTTGTGTCCCTGAGATAGTACGCGACGCTAAACTGGATAAAGACAACAAGCAATGAAAGGTATTTTGTGAGCGGTTCGTGTCCACATAATTTGGTGACCTGGGGGTATTTTTGAAGAATGAGTTTTCGCCTAATGGAGTGCGGATCTTTCGCGTTTGTCCAATAGAAATCGAGGGTCTGCCTGATATTCAAGGTGTCGATCACAGGAGGGGTTGTTTTGTGGGTTGTTTTTGCCAGTCGATGAGTTATTTCAGACATTGCGATCGCTAAGGAAAGACAGATCCACACGTATCTCGTACGATTTCTCAGACGATATACGATTAGGTGCGAGGGGTGCCCAAGACAGCGAAAAAAAATAGGAGCAATCTGTAGTTCTCGGGAAATGTATGCGCAGAGCCACGCGCACCGTTTGAGAGTAGACTAAAAATGCAAAAACGGGAAAGAGCAGCCGATGACAGTGCTCACGTAGCAGCGTGAAAACCTCTGCATAAGTTTGCCTTCAACGTCTTGCACAAATCTGCCCACGTTTCCTAGTCCCCTGTATCGTAGCTCCCTTTTGGGTTTACCCTACCGACTAGAAAAAATTTACTCGACACATTACCCGACTTGCCTGCACGGTTCCCCTCTCCAATATGCTCTCCCTTAAACGACTGCATCGCTCAGCAATGGGATCACAGGTGCTTCGTCTAGCGGCACTCAACTCACATCTCTTTGCAAGCAGAATGAACTCGACAGTAGCACCAGAGGTGGAATTTAAAGTGAAAAACACGGCTCGGATAATCACGTTGAATAGACCCCAGAAGCTCAATGCCCTCAACACCAACATGTGTGAGGAGATTGTTGCGCGATTGGTCGAGTTCTCGAGATCCAGCTCCAACAACATGATCATCATCAACTCCAAGTCTGACAAGGCTTTCTGTTCGGGAGGCGACGTTGTCCAATGTGCCAAATACAATCTGAACAAGGAGCCATTGAAATCGGTAGAATTCTTTGAGAAGGAGTATAGCCTCGACTACTTGCTCTCTGTGTACAACAAGCCTGTGGTGTCCTTGGTCAAAGGCATCGTTATGGGAGGAGGAGTGGGATTGTCTGTTCACGGCCCATTCAGAGTTGTTTGCGAGAGCACCAGGTTTGCCATGCCAGAAACCAACATTGGCTTCTTTAGCGATGTGGGGACTTCATTCTGGCTTCCGAAACTTGACGGAAATTTGGGATACTACCTCTCATTGACTGGAGATGAACTTTCTGGACTTGACACGCTGATTGCTGGCTACGGTACCCACTATGTTCCTGCTCACAGACATGAAGAACTTCTTGAGAGACTGACTACTTTGGAGCTTCCTGAACTCGCCGAAGACCAAAAACGCAGTGTTTTCGCCAACCAGGACTTTTACAAGTTGGTCAGCGAAGCCATTGAGGAGTTTACCGTGCAAATCCCATCACAACACAAGTTCAAGTACACTGCAGAAGAACTGGACACGATCGAGTCCTGCTTTGACCCTCAAGCTCACAAGTCTGTGGAAGAGGTGATTGAGGCCCTTGTCAACGATGGTAGTGAGTTTGCACTGAATACCGTCGAGAAACTCAAGACCAAATCGAACATATCGCTCAAATTGACGTGGGGCATGCTGGTAGCAAACAGTCAGGCTACCATTCATGACGCGCTCACCAACGAGCTCAAAACTGCATCCAAAATGATGCTTGATTACAGGCCTAACGATTTCAACGAGTACATTTTGAAGAACCTCATCAACAGAAAGTCCGAAAATCCGGAGGATAAAAAGGTGGAGCCAAAATTCACGTCTGTGGGTGAAGTTCCAGATAAGCTGGTCCAAGGACTACTTTCTTTGGACGCATTTGAGCCTCAAGAAAGCACTGCTTTACCTGTGGAGGAGACTATCGAAGCGCTTGAAGCCGCCAAGGTGTCCAAATTCCCTGAATGTCCTGACTTGATTCCCAACTACGCGGAATACCCATGGCAGATGGGGCTCCCTACTCAAGCGGAGATCGAAAAATACGTTAAGGGCGAGGACGGTTCCAACAGAAAGTATTCTGTTACGGGCAAGGAAGCAGGTAAATACTTCCTGCACAGATATGGACACAGAAATGGCGTGCTTTACAAGGTGAAGCATGTCTTGGACAGAAAAACCAAGCCGAACGAGTATGGTAGCGATTACCTGGAGTGGAAATAATGTATATAGATTGAAAAAAAATTATTTAATTATGACAGGATATGAACTACGGTAAACCTTTATATCAACTGCCGTTGTCTGAGAGATGGTTACTGGTCATAACAGATCGTGGATACAAGTTTTACTTTGACAAGGATAATCTGATTTCCCATTGGGAATTGCCAAATGAGTGTGTTAGCGAGATGCAAGAACTGAAGAATAAAAGACAGCAGGTTCTTTTACTACTTGGAGTCGCGCGGGGTGCACAAATCATGGACAAGGAAACTGGAGACCTGAACGAGCTTCTCCATGGCGTACGGCATCCTGTTAAACAGATCAACGTGGTCAGCTCTGAAGAGGAAGATGGTGAAGACGAGAAAATCGAAGACAATGATCAGCTGTCGCCGATACAACGACAGGCATCGGACAGCACAGGAATAATGCTTGGTTACGAGTCCGACACTGAGGATGGCAGTGAAATGGAAGACTCCCAATCGGAGAAGGAGGAACAGAGTTCGGGAATTCAACGCCAGATGTCTGAAGCTAAGAATCAATTTACTAATTCATCCGACCAAGAGTCAGCTGACTCGTCGTCCGAGGAAGACTCTTCCGCAGGCCTAAATCTTTCCGATTTGGAGGACTATGAGGAAAGCTCCTCAGAAGCAGCAGAGCGTTTCTACAACATGTTAACGCGCTACGAGGTAGACCCGTACTCCTCCTACGATCTCGAATGTGATAAATTTATGAACGATCCAATTTATTTTGAGATAGATGATGATGAAAAACGAAGGTCATTATTTGACCAATGGTGTACACAGGCCGCTCGGTCGAACAGCAACGTTGATCCCACCACGAGGGCGGTGATGGATTTCTGCAAGTTGCTCATCCAAAACGACGTCAAACTGAATAATTATCTGGAGTTCAAACGCAAATTCAGACAATCCCCTGAATTTCGGGCGTTGGAGTCAGACAAGATGCGCAACAAAATTTTCAATAAATACATCGAGTTCCGAAAAAGCGACCCTATAGCGTTTGTGCTTCACGCGCTAAGAAAAAGCGGGAAACTTATAGTTCTTGCTCGTAAGCTGGAAAGCAAAAGACCTCGAAACTTGCTCAATGCTCTCCGCGAATCAAACTTCAATATCAACCGAGAAATCGTGGAATTTAACTTCCTGGACGACCAACAACAATCCACGGCACTAGAACAATTTCTAGCTAATATATGATAGCGCGTTTTTTTAACAACCAGTGAGCTTGTTCTTTGGAAAAGAAAAACCAGCACTTTCCCAGCTTGTGTTGTTCCAATTTTCATATGCGGTGGGGTGGTCGTTGATGTAGTCGTAAGTTGGATAGTCTGCAGGATCGCATGTGAGACTCACAGAGTCGTTAGGCTGGTATATTCTAACGTAGTCAATCTCCATAACGGCGGGGAAATCAATCGAAGGCCAATCGATGTAAGCCCAATTGTTCGAAATACCAAAGTTCAAAATCATAGACATTGGCTCCTTAGGAATACGTCTCCAATCAATATTACCATTTGGTGCAAGAGCATATGCGTGAACAGTAGCGGTTGGGTTATCACCAACAAACCATCTAATGTATCCACTGTCGTTGTCATTGAGGTACTCATATGCGTATTTTTGGAAGTATCTTGTTCCTTCACCCAGCTCGTACCAAGCGGTATTCAATGTGGTGGTCGTGGACACAGCCTGTTGGTACGGACCACCACAGTAGGTGTTAACAGTTGTAATCGACGCATTATGAATCTCGATGAAATTGTAATCTGGCATGTACCAGATATCCATAGGAGCAGTTTGGAACGACTGAGATGCCACACCGTTACGAATACCAGTGTCAACTTCACCTTCAATGATATCAATTTCAGGTGCACCCCTGCCTGTTCCCTGATTAGGGTGGTCTTCACCATCACAGGTACAACTGTTCAATTTTTGACCGGCAAGATAAGAGATTCCATCTGATGAGGATTGGTTGGCAGTGATTCCAGCATCACAAGCTTCATACGAAAAAGGCCAAACACCTTCAGTTGTTGCTTGATATCCAGGACGAGCAAGGTTTCCCAAGGACCACATACCAGGCCACAGACCAGAAACGTTACCATAGTTGGGGAATTTGGCGGAAACTTCCATAACACCTTGGGTGAAACACATTCTGTTCCAAGAATGCAGCATACCCGATCTGTAAAACAAGTTGTGGTTCTTATAAGCGTCCATACGAAGCTGAAGAGTTCCATTTTTGGTAGTGACCGCATCTGGGTCATACCATTCAAGATCCTTCGTAGCATCATAATGGAAATCCGGAGCATACCAAAATTGATCGTCACCATCGTAAAATGTGCGACCCTCTGCAGCAAACTCATCACTGAACACCAGCTTCCACAAACTGCCATCCTTTGCCGTTCTCGTTTTCGCACTATCCGGAGTGTCTTCATCGACTAAAGAGGTTCTGATTGCACTTAGTTGCGGATAGACGTAATCAGTCAAGAGCACGTATGTGTCATGGTACGGTGTGGAGTCCAAGTGGTCTGTGACACCTGTGTAGGTTAGAGCTGGCAAGACAACAAATAAACATAATGCGCCAAGAGCAAGGAGGATACACCCTATAAGAGCAGTCAAAGAACGCTTGTCCATGTTTTTCAGATCATTCCTGAATCTGTGCTTGTCATACTCTGCATCGGCGATAGGGTCTGGGTTATGTAGGTAATCATCTTCCTCTTTCTCATCTATGTGCAGGGGGAAAGAGGAGGCAGGATAGCCTCCAAACGGAGAGAAATCTGTGTCCACCAAAAATGGATTTGACGACTTTTCCGACAGCTGCGAGGAACCATCACTGTAACGGTTTTGACGGACACCCTCTTGTTGGGACCCGGTGGAACCCATGGAAACAGCACGAGAACCGGTCAGTCCTTGGGGATATCTGTCATAATCAAGAGGCTGTGTATTCAAGTTATTGTTGGACCCAAATGGGTTTACTATGGATGAGGTCGAGTCGCGATAGCTGTTGCTATACTCAAGGAACTGTTTACGTTCCTCTGGGGATTTGGAACCGTTGGAATTGGATGAGGACTCATCGTAACTCTGTGGCTCGTATTCCTGTTCAAACGGATCAGTGTTGGAACCCTCGCTGGAGTTCGACTCCATGTGCGGGGACCTGGAGGTCAGGTTACGGGCCGCCATCTTCTAGTACTCTATTGGTGAAACAACAAATGTCCGTTGCTAGTCCAAAAAAAACCTGTTTTTATTTTGTTCTGCTTTCTTGTGCCTACTTTTTTGCAGTCGTGCGCGTCGAAGAATTTTACAAAACATTACCCTCGCATCTAACGAGGCGTCGCAGAAAGGTACTGCATGGCCCTAACAATAGACGTTCCGTGCTTTGCTTACGTTGCACAGATCGCGGCCGGGTATTAGTGTCATCCTGGTAGGTGTTCAGATTTACCAAGATTACAAAGTATTGTAGTAACGTGGTTCTGATAGTTATTTTTAGCAGTTCATATATGCAACGCTTTCTCTGCCGTCTAAGCTGACATAATCATTCCTCATTAGTTTGATCGCGTGCGTAGTTGATCAGGGTGAAGCCAACAACTCCAAACAGAATGGAACTGGACATGATCTTGAAGACGAGGTCGGGAATTCCCATGCTCTTTGCGTCACGAGGGCCCCATTCACCATAGCTGATGTAGTATATGGCTTGTTTCTCGTCTCGCGTGAGGTACGTCCATCCAAACTCTTGTTTCACCTTCAGATAGTTGATAATGTCTTGTTGTGCGTCCCCGGGGAGGTTAATCCATCGGGCGGGTAGATTGGCCACGTCCATCGTGTATTCTTCCTCTACATTGTGGGATTGGAATCTCCGCTGTGAAACTTTGTAGGTTATTCCCGGGTATAGGGTCTTTTGGCTGCCATTGGCTCGCAGCAGAGATCTCCACTGCCGAACCCTGGCGGGTCCACCTATTATATTTTTCATTACTCGTTGAATATTTCTTTAAAATTCATTATTTTCTAGTGTGAGGCGCGAGGTGTGCCAGTATAGTCTCCAGCAGAGGTACACGAGAACACCACTTAGAGCAAATCCTGCGGCGAACAATGCAAAGGGAAACGTTAAGCAGTAAACGTTCCAGCTGGTGATACTGATGTCGCAATACGTGTCAAATTCAAAAGCATAGAACATACCGAAAACCAGTGACCCAAAAGCTGGGGCACTTAGGAATAAACCCCAAGTGGATCCAAGAATTTCAACTCCCCAGACAGTGGCTATGAGAGTGGGGAAGAGGGTGAACGCAGACCCGTATCCGATACCAACAAGACTCGTGATCACGGAAAAATGACTATAGTCTATTGCAATCAAGAAAAACGAAAGTGTAGCCACAGCAATACCTGACACCAGTAAAAGCGTGGTTGCTTTGATTGTCCCCAACAAGTCGGTTGCGGCGCCCATTAGGAGTCTCGTCATGGTCGAGAACATACTGAAGTAGTTCACTTGCGTGGCAACATCCTTGTTGGAAAGGTCTCCAACCATCACAGTTAGCGATCCCAAGTTTGTAACAAATATTTCCATTGGTCCTGCCAGGAAGAAGAGCGCAATATAAAGAAGCCTTGTGGAGGGGCTAGACAAGAACTGTCTGAACTTGGTTCCCTGTGTCTCAGGTTCCAGAAGTTGGCTATTGAGTAACGGGGTGCTTTCGTCATCCTCCGTGTCTTCTTCGCGCTGCTCCGATTCTCCTTGAATTTTCTGATAGACGACTTCTTTCTCTATTGTGACTATAATCGAGGAGATCCAGTTGAAAATGCCTAAAACCAAATATAGTAATGCCAATGCTGTGAAGACTTTGAGAATGTCTATTTCACCGCTAGTCCTTTGGAAGACCGGCAGTTTGAACAAATTTGCCAGAACAAGGGAAGAGAGTCCATAAAATGTCACAGGTAATGATATGCTAAGGCCCTTTCGTTCAGGATAGATTTTCGCACAGGTTAGCAGCGAGCAGAAGTACGCCGACGAGGTTCCACATCCGATTAGGAAAAACGCAAGACACATCCATGAGTAATTTAATCGGTACTCATAAGCAGCAGAAGCCAGAAAATATCCGGGACAGAGAATCAAGCTGATCATAGCTAGTAGAACGGGTCCATGAGAGTCACTAAGGTATCCCAAGACTGGTAGAGTCATATAGAGCCCCATCACCATGCATGCTCCCACAATGTTAATGCTGAACTGGTTGTAATCCAGATTGTCCATGAATTGAGGTGTGAAAATAGAGAATGTTACCACCGAGGCGACCAACAGGCAAGACGAAAGCGCAACAATGAAAGAGTATAATCTTATGGTTTCATTCTTGAAGTTTTTGGTAAGAAAGCGTCGTATGTGTAGCGTCAAGTGGTGTTCCAAAGACGATAAATGTGTCATGTTTCACGAGTATGAAATTACCCCGGAGTGAGTCTTCGATCTATGATTTTTTTTTTTTTCTTGATTCTGCACGACTCCATTTCTTGGCTCAGTACGCGCTAGCTATCAACCAAAGGTTGGGAAAAAGTCCTCAAGACTTCTTTTATCAAACTTGCTCAGCTGAGGAAAGATAACCTGTGAATACTGAGAAGAGCGTGGTCGCGCGGATTTTGCGCTCACTGAAGGGTAAAGGTCTTTCATCGAAACGTCTGGTAGCTTGGTGGAATTGTGAACTTCATTACCATTTTGGTCTATCGAATTGCACGATGACCCATTTTTGAAATTATCCTTGTTACTTTGGAGTCCAGGATCCGAAACTTGTATTTTGACACCCTTGAACGGATCGTCGGGGTCGTTTCTATTAAGTCTTGAGAAGTTTGCAAATGTTGCAAATTGACGGAATTGCGGTTGCAGTGATGATTTCTTGACGTCTCGCTTTTGCATTCTCTGAAGAGTAGAAAAAAGGCTATTAAATCCAATTTGTGAGTTGGAAAACGCAGGCTGGACGTTTATAGCATTTCCATCGTTGTTGATGCTCACACACGTGTTTGAGATCTGGTCTTTTACGGAACAAAAGACTGAGTGCGTCAGGTCGAAAGAGCCTAGGAACTTGATCCATCCCTTTGCAAAGATGTCAAAGAAGGTTGACTTCGACTGTTCCGGGTTTTCTGCAAAAACCATGATGAAAACAGGTCGGCTGATTTCCAGTTTTGTGTTCGCATTGTAATACAAAACACCCTGCTTTTGTTCTTTTGCCGAGGTTCCCAGAAAGCTGGCAAGATCATTTCTCAATTTAAGATATTTGAATGGGAGCAATAGACTGTAGTCTACCAGCTGATAACCTTTATGTACATCAAAAGGAACGCTCAAAAGCAAGTTTGAGCTCTCGACATTCTGCTTTTCAGCTTGAGTGTTGAGGAGAAACAGTGCCCGAGTATCTGGTGGAAATGCAACAGGCTGCACTGCGCTATCGCTGTACAGTCCACCAACGTCGAAGCTGCGAGCGACGTCTGCTACTTTTTTGAGTCCAAATTTCCGGAAATGTTCTTGATTCATTGCTTCTTTAGTAATTAGAATGCCACTAGATTTGGTCTTGTCAAATGAGCTTGAGTAGTGTCTCATTTCGGAGTTGTAAATGCTCAACTGAGGAATGTCCTGATGCTCGCTGAGAAATTCGGTAGCACTGTCTTTATTTTGAGTCTTCAGCTTATGGTTGAAAGGTTTTATTACTTTTGGAGGGATGATACCACCAAAAGCGTGGACACCAAGGAGCAAAAGCGCAAAGGTCTGTTTTGCGATTCTCATGATAAAGAAGACGCTGTGATAAAAGGGAAAAATAGATATCCTCAAATCTGTGCGCGGTAGAATAGACGCGCCCGTTTGTGGCGGTGAAAGGGTAAAAAAAAGTTACGAAATATTCAGTACGAGCAGAATGACGGGAATTTGGAGAACCAATTTGCGCCATGTCAATACTATTTCGAGACAATTCAGCACCAGTGGCACTGGCATGAAGGAAAGCATGACTCACTTTGGGTTCAAGACCGTTCCACAAGAGCAAAAGGAGCAGCTTGTCAGAGGAGTGTTTTCTTCTGTTGCGTCGAACTACGACATCATGAATGACGTGATGTCCATGGGAATACACAGGCTATGGAAAAAGCATTTCATTGAAAAATTAGACTGTGGAATGAGGCCAAACTCGTCAGAACCGCTACATTTCTTAGATGTTGCCGGAGGCACAGGAGACATTGCTTTTGGATTGCTTGACCACGCAAGACTCAAGTACGGCGACAATAAGTCCACTATGGTGGTTGCTGACATCAACCCTGACATGCTCAAGGAAGGTGCCAAAAGATGCCTCTCCACGCCATACGCAAACTCCCCTAGAATTCAATTTTTAGAACAGAATGGTGAAAAAATGGACGCTATAGAGGACAATTCCAAAGATGTGTACACCATTGCATTTGGAATCCGGAATTTCACAGATATCCAGGCGGGCTTGAATACAGCATACAGAGTGTTGAAGCCAGGCGGAATTTTCGCATGTCTGGAATTTTCGCAAGTGGATAACCAAATGCTCGATTACATCTACCAGGCATACTCGTTTTCCCTGCTACCACTGATGGGCCAATTGATTGCCAATGATAGAGATTCGTACCAGTACCTGGTCGAAAGTATTCGCAAATTCCCTAACCAGGAAACTTTCGCTAGTATGATCAGAGAGGCCGGCTTCTATGTCCCAGGAAAGGGCTATGAAAACCTCACCTTTGGCGTGGCTGCTATCCACATCGGGGTCAAGTTGTAAATATATTTCCAGTGCTCATAACCACGATTAGTGACTATATAAGGTGAAAAAATTGCACCATTAGAATTTATCCTTATGCAAGGGCATTACGTGTATCAGTGAGGATTCGTCCGAGATCATGTTTTTGCTGGTTGAAAACTATCAACTGACCGCTCTCTAGTGGACGGAACCATGTTCTGACCGCTCGAGGAATTTTTGGAACCGATTCTGTTCGAATATTGCGTGCAAATTCGAAAATGTCATATTATTAATTTTGAAACGTATATGCCTGTTTGTTTTTCTCGGGTAGCTCGTACCTGATCCAATTTGGCAGGCAATTCTCATGTCTGACCTCATTTACACCAAAGTACCCTGCAGGGTCTTTAGCATTAGAACACTTATCGCTCAATGGTCGGTTGTGGTACGGAGCCTGCGCGACTCCCATGTCTCTAAACCACCAGACTTTGTTCTTGTCTCCAAAAAGAGTCAGAGCAATGCTTCTGACAGGAGCGTCTCTCCATCCCTCGTAGTAGAATCCTCCCGAGTCTTCCAGATGTCTGAAATAGTTAGTATACATTTCTGATCTGTAGAAATCCATGTCGCCGATCTCCAATGCCGAAGAAAAATGGCATGTAGAGTAACCATTGGCTATTTTTGTGTGTTCAGGATTTTGCAAAGACTCAGTAAGCCAAGTGAAGGAAGCGTTGTTGTCCACATAGGCGGGATGCTGCTGGACAAACTCCAGTGTTTTTGGCCAAAGAGACTCCACGGTGTGAGGATTGTCGTACAAAGAGATAGCGAATCCATGCACCAAGTTGTTCTGCTCCATGAACCTGAATATGTCGTAGTCTATATTGCAGAAAAAATCGGTCCCGGCTTCCAGGTTCCAGTAGTACTTGTAATGTCTCATGATTCCCGTGTTGAAAAAATATCCAGCCTTGAACCGCATTTTGTTACGGTATTCTATATCGTTTGCAAGCTGGACTCCCTTTGCAGCCAGCTTTTTCATGCTTTCTTTCACACGGCGAGCGTCCGTTCTACTGGGAACAGTCCAGACAGACTGAGGTATTCTATCAAATATCACCTCGCCGGAGCATTTCTCCCTCAATTTGTGCTGAAACTCTGTTGAGATGTTTTGAGAGCTCAGAAAGACGTAGGGGTAGTGGTAATTGTGATTCCAGGTTTCTTCGATTTGGTGGACTGTGTTCAGAAGCTTCTCCATATCCTCTTCCCGCACAATAGACATAAACGTTCCGTTGGCCCTCACGTACGGCTGTTGATCTTCTTTGGTTGTCAGAACCATTATCTGCGGCTCGGACGGGATCTTCTGCTTGTATAGGTTTTTATAGAACTTGTGCGAGTCTTTACGAACGTAAGTTGTTGGGGCGGAATGGTCGTAAACTGGAGAACGGAAAATGAGAGCCTGGGAGATCTCGGTCCAAGTCCACGAGGTTGTTTTAGAGTGGGAAAATAGTTTCACTAGCCCGGGATTTTGGATCTTGTAGATCAGGGACTCTCTATCCGTGGGGACGCCTCCGCTAACGGCTTCCAGTACTATGACAAGTAACAGGAGCACGAGAAGTCCTACACGGACCAGTCTTCTAGGAATATGAAGCATATGAGACAAGATGTGGGAGGCACAGTCTGCTTTCTATAATCTGGGCAGGAAGCCCAGAACGGGTCTTTCAAAAACTGTGTTAATTGGCTATTGTGAGCAACAATAAAATGCGCATGGAATAAGAAAAAAAAGAATAGCAGCCGTTCCGCATACGGAAGAATGATCTGTTTGCAAAAGTTCGAAACAAGTAATAGTGCGTTTGAATGCCGTTGGTATCAATAGCAGCTCGGATAGAGCGTCGATCGCCAAATAACCTGCAGGCGGAAATATCTGCAATAAATACACCTCTAGTAATTAATTACCTCGCATCAGAGTCTATAAAGTCAGTTTATGTAACGTCTCAGGTGGACTGAATCTTTTGTTTTCTATTGCTCCAGTTGGTGAGCGACAGCGAGCGAGCGTAGTAGTACTTTTCATAGCCCTGCTTCTCGTCGTTATCGTCGTATTCGTCCCTTTGGGCATTTTCCGGCCCATTGAAGGTGATGTGTGGCATCACGATGATGTCGTCCACCTGGGTAGGTGCAATGGCACCGCTAAACGATCTGTACGAGAATCGTTGGTTTTCAGGAACCTTAGGTCCCACGATCGGCTTCAGATCCTTGTCTCTCTCATTTTTGGCGACGCGAATGAACACAGCATCGTTCAGTTCGTTCATATACTCAAAGAGCGTGTCTGTGAAGATGGAAGGGCCGGTGAACTGGATCAGAGGCTCGCCGTTTGCATCGACATTATCGAACACCTCGTCCCAGTTGGTGCTCTTCACTAGTTCCTGCTGAGTGAAGCAAATATACGTGATTCTCGCAATCAGCTTGGCCAGGAATGGATGGTGCGATTTGGCACGGAAAATCGAGTTAGAGAAGGAAAGACGTCTATTGTAGAGCTTTTCCCAGTTCTGGTCGTTGTAGTCGGCAGAGATTCCAACCATCAATCTGGCCCCAATCACCTTGGAATCATACCAAAATTTCAAAGGCTTGATGTCTGTGGTGTCGATGTCTGCATAGAGTCCACCTTTGATGTACACCAGCAAGTATTTCAGGAACTCGTACTTGAGTCGGTCATGAGGAAGGAATCTGAGAGCATCCACAACCTCTGGCACGCTGGGACGAAGGTAGTCCACAACAGTGTCCTCAGCATCAGACAGAGTAATGAGATTGTGATTGTAGTTGTCGTTGACGGTTCTCCATCTCTCGATGTGAGGCTTGCACTCCTCAGGAAAGTTTTTATCATCTGCGCGAACGTTCCACAACTGCCAGATTTGTTCTTCGATGTTCTCGTTTGCATTGTATGGGAAGTTGGCAATCAGCCTCGCCTCAATAGTGTACATGTCCTTCACGTTTTTTCTTGGTGGTTTGGACACGATAGTCGTAGCGTTATGGGTAGCCGAGCCAACATCCTGTGTATAGCTTTGGCTGAGGCTGAAAGACGGATTGGAGCCCGAATTTGAGACCAGCAAATTCAAAATGAGAAACACAGATAATGTAGAGATCGCCAGGTACTTGTAGTTGTTCCATAGTTTGGCCAACGCGCTGCCGAAAGAGCTACTGTTATTAGCTCCGATACTCATGCTATCAAGTTTCTTGTACATCACCTCTTCGCCAAGCTGCTGATCAGAATAGAAAGGTTGGTACGCGACAATGAAAATGCAAGCAGATTTGGTTTTTTTTCTTGACCTGTTCAAAACGTCATCTCTGCACCAATCTTGGGTTGCGGAAAACAAAAAAAAATATATATACAACCGGAAACGTTGCAAGGAGAACGCGCGCTCGGCAGCTGGCCGCCACGTGTGAAAAATCCGCTATCGGGTGACGGAAACCGGTAACTTTTATTTCTTTCTCCGCCGAAGAACAAAATAATTCAATGTACGTAATCGGCTGAAACCGGCCGGTATTCCCCTTTTGGGTATCGGACCGACCGAATAAGAAGGCCCTGTGGCTGGTGATGTTGTGGCTAGATAAAAAAAGAGAGAAAGAAAAAGTGCAATTTCAATACGTTTTAACTTAAAAAACACTGCAGCAACCGGTGGTGCGCTGATTCTCCCACAGCCTCCGTGTGTCCAATCTAACAACCACTAGTTTCAAGAGTTCTTGAAGTTGTACCTCTATTCCGTACAGACGACGAGCTGGGAACTTTTCTGCGACGACTACACAAAAGGCATAACAAGGGAAAACATTCCATCTAATCAAGGCAGCAGCACGCAAGGTATCGTCGATGTCTATGTTTTTCGCAAGAAACAGAAGAGCCAAGACCCTGATCTTGGTGGTGTCGATACTGATCACGGTACTGGTGCTTTCTTCGTCCGCCGGTACAGAACACCTGTCGAAATTCAAGCTGCCTACTTCTACTTCATATTCGATATATGCCGCCTCCAAAGTGAAAGAAGAGCTCTCAGAGTCTGCAGCGCCAAGCTCTACTCCCGAAGATGCGGATAATCTCAAAAACCTGTATTTCAACCCTGAGCAAGGGGGAGTGATCCCTGGAGGATCGTCAGGAAACACAAAAGGCTGGAAAGTCTCTTCGATAGACGAGTCTAAAGGACAACGAACGGACGACCGTTCCATACCTCTTACAGACAACCAGTCACCGACAGAAGAAGCTCTCAACAAAATTACCCCTGAAGACATTGTTCGCGGCGATGTTACGTTCCAAAACTTTTTCATAGAGATTTTCGAGCTGATGAGAAAAAATCAGTTGAGTTATCCGCTAGCGGAAAGACAAACTCTCAAGGACGGAAAGCCATTTATTGAGAACGTTTTGTTTTATGCTCAACCATGGGATAGACTCAGCGAGGATGATTGTTTGCAATTTGTTAACTTCCCACCTCAGTTTATCAATGATCTGACTCTCAAGCATGAGACCGTGGTCAGCAACTTGCCTAAGATCACTCCTCGATTTTACAAAGGCAACGGATACGTGATTGTTGGTGGTGGCAAGTACTCGTGGTTTGCTTTGCTTGGTATCGAGACCTTGCGTAAGGTGGGATCTACGCTTCCTGTCGAGGTTATTCTTCCTAGCGATGATGAGTACGAATTTGAGTATTGTGATCAAATTCTTCCGGCGTTAAACGCTAGGTGTGTTGAGATGCCTAGAGTGTTTGGAAAAGAAACCTTAAGAAAGTTTGAGGTGAACGGTTATCAATTCAAAGCCTTCGCCCTATTTGCATCTTCATTTGAAAACGCCTTTTTTCTGGACTCTGACGCATACCCGGTTGGAAACCCTGATCCACTGTTTGAGTCTGATCTTTATAAAGAGTACCAGATGATCACGTGGCCGGACTTCTGGAGAAGAACAACGTCTCCATACTTCTATCAAATCACCGGCCAAGAAATCGGACAAAAACAAGTGAGACATCTAAACGACATGTTCACCGATCCAAAGTATTACGAATCCGAGCTCAACGCTGACCCATACCACAACATCCCACTCCATGACAGAGAGGGAACCATACCTGATTGGACGACAGAGGCAGGTGAGATGCTTATCAACAAGACTCTTCATTTCCAGACCTTGCTTCTGGCATTGTACTACAACTTCGATGGTCCGTATGGATACTATCCTCTTTTATCTCAAGGTGGAGCCGGTGAGGGTGACAAAGAGACGTTTGTTGCCGCAGCCCACTATCATGGTCTGAAGTACTACCAAGTCTATAAACTCCCTGACAGAGCATACGGATGGTACAACCACGAACAGAACTACGAACACTCGAGTATCGTTCAATACGATCCCCTGACGGATTATTCTAATTTGCAACAGGTTAAGCAGAATATTCGCAAGGCTATCGAACTGGAAGGAGACAACTTCCAGTACGACTACGAAAAATTCTTTACCCAATATTTCCTTCCGTCAAACTCCAAGGTGTTATTCTACCATGTGCATGATCCAAAAATGGATCCATTCAACATTGTCAATAATAGGTACACGTTCGATCTTGATGGAAACCGCATCAGAAACCTGGGTGAAGATTTCCCAGAGTTCGACTTTGATTTGGAAAACTTCATCTGGAACGTCATCAATCACTATGTGTGCGAGAAGAAAATCAATTTCAAGCACTTCGAGAACGCCGATTGGAACTCCCTGTGTGACGGGTTCATCCAGGACCAGCTCAAATTCCTTGCTGAATCTTCGAGACGAATTTTCAGCGACCACAACAAGGTCCCTCCACCTGATCTTGTTGAGGCTCCGGAGAAGGCCGAAAAAGTTGAGACACCGGATGACGTTGCTGTTGAGTAACAGATAGACTTTTCTGGGTAACATAGTAATAATATTTAATTTGTAAGACGTGCATTAATCAGGAGACCGTGTAATGCTCTTCGCAAGCTATGAATCTACAGCTCGAATCACGTACTCACTGCCTCTATACTGGCAACTTTCTTACAGAGTATATAACTGAATTTATTTAATGAGTCTTGGTATCTGTCTGTCATGTGATATGCGCGTAGCTTAATTTTATTCTTATTCGCATTTTTTAGTCGCGTTCCGATGGAGATCAACAAGCTGGAGCGATATGTGAACTCCTTGAAGCGCGAAATAAAGCAATGGGAGTACAAGTATGAAGCAAAGAACGGCAAAATGCCCACCATCAATGTTATAAAGGCGCAACCGGCCGTTTCGGCAAGGTACAAAAAGTATCACAAGTACAAAAAGATCTTGGGAAAACTGCAGTCGGGAGCATTAACCGTCGAGCAATGGAAGAGTCAGGAACGAGCGCCACAGGATACGGAGCAGAATCTTCCGCGTTCGCCTCCTCCTTCGTCGCCTGAAAGCGAGAAGGAGATCGGACCTACGCCGCAACTCGACGGAAGAGTTTTGGGAATATTCGATATTGAGATCAAGGAGTCGCCAACCCGCCAAACGCCCACGAAACAGTCAAATCCAGTCATTGAGGTTGCAAGCCCAGACGCGTTCAAGACTCCGACAAAGAAGGTTGAGCGCAAGCTTCTTTTTCAGGAGACACCCCGTCGTGAGCGAACGGCGCTTTTGCAGGAGACTCCCCAATACCTACGGACAGAGTCGAATACATCGAATGCGATGTTTTTTGGCAATCTGACACCAGAGATAAAGAGTCCCCGAGTTGTGGATGTGTCTCCGAGCAAAGTTGTCGAGCCTAGTCCGATTATTCGTCGGGTCGGCAGGCGTACCTTGTACGAGCTGAATAACGAAATTAAGGAGCTGCAGCGACAAAAAAGTCAGGATGGAGAGGAATTCACAGAGGAGATCCATGAGGAGCCCCCAGACGACGAGACCAAACAGGAAGACGTAATCATTCGCAAAAAGACGGCTAAGAGAACCACCAGACGAGTGAAGCTACGCACTCTCGGACCTGAAGACGAGCAGGATATGCTGGAATCCCTTGATATCCACGAGGAAATAAGGAAATTGCGTCAAAAGAGCGAGACCAAGGCAATCAGCGAGGATGAAAGCGTAAGCCAATCCGAAAGCGAGGAAGAGGAATATGTACGCAAGAAGGTGACCAACGAAGACAAAAAGTCCGCAACAGGAAAGCACCCGCTATCAAACAATTTTGTGCGCATGAAGATACACAGGAAGACCGGCGGACGGTTCAAAAGAAGACGGTAGTGCATGTATATGATAAGATATATTATATTATACAATCACGCAGCCAGCAACTGCAGCATACCACCAATTTTGTACGCCTCTTCGCACTTCACAATTTCCTGTTCCACGCGTTTTTGTAGTCCCCACACCAGTTCTTCGAGCACCGGCTGTTTTTCTATGAGATCGCCGTACAGCTCCAATATGCATGTGGTGTAGTCTGCAATCACGCTGACATTTCTTGGATCGCTGATATTTTTCAAGCACCATGTGAGCAGCGGTTCCAGAGAATTCTCGTCTCTATCTAAAAGAGCAGTCCTCACCTTCCCACGCTTTCTCAGCTCCTCCATGCATGTGAGAGTGAGCTCTTTGGACATTCCAGAGACCAGAGCATGATCGAGGGCGTCAGACCATTTGAAGTTGTTCAGGTCTTTTTCAAATGGTTTCAGCTTCTTACTGCTTCCATTTTTGTCGTCCACCACACGAAACTCGCTCTCTCCGTGGTACTCAGAGCCACGCATCATTCTTGCAAACGCGGCAGATTTGCTCTGCTTGTTACCTTGAGGAACTCGCGGCTCTGTCTTTCTTGTTCTGATGGTCAAAAGTCCCGAGTTGAGTCCAACAACCAGATGCTTGTGGTTAGGCGAAACACCACAGCTCAGCACACCGCTGCCAAACTTCCATCCGAACTTGACGTCCCAGTTGATCGACTGCGAGTCAAACACTTTCAGATGCCCATCCACAGAGCCAGCAAGAACACCGCGCTCACCGGCATCGCTGAGGCACGTGACCGTTTTGCTGAAGTTGGACAGCGTTCTGGTGTTTTTACCGGCCGTCAGGTCCCATGTTTTCACGCTGTAACCACCACAGGAAACGAGATTTGTAGGATTGAGCGACAGGACATCTTCCACGGGGTCTTGGTGACTAAACTTGATGACTGGCTGCGAGCCAGCACGAGCATCGAAAACACGAACATAATCGTCGTAGCAGCCGGTCACAACGAGATTCGTCGAGACACCACTGATGAAATGAGCACTCCTCACATAGTCCTCGTGCTCTCCGAAACTAATGATCGGGCGCTGTGTGTCGGAAATGTCGTATAATCTTGCGATTCTGTCATCGGAACATGTCAATAGCTGTGTAGTGTTTGCCGGACTGAATTTGGTCACGTGTGTGGGATGTGAGGACGGAGTCAACGACACAAGGAGGGTTCGTGGGTGCATTGCATCAAAAATCTGGACCAATCCAGAAGCATCTCCTGCAACCAGAAGTTTACCATCGTGACGGAACTCGCCCGAGTAAACGGTATCTTTGAATCTGGAAAATGTCTTTGACACCTTGCGAGTTTTGGATGAAAATATCTGGACTCTGGTGGACGATGTCACAGCAAAATCATGAGGCGAATTGGGATCAAAGTGGATATGCGTCACAGAGTTATGCTCTTTAACCAGCTGAGAGCTCGTAAACCCGCGCCAGTACCTTTGCTCTGCCGTCGTCTGCGCCGGAAGGGTCGCATGTCGCACGTGGGGGACACGTTCAAGAGTAGAAGACATTCGTGAAAAGTATGAATATTTCGGTCTATCTTTACAAATTTTTTTTTTTAGTATGAACAGGATGAAATATGACTAGAGCATGATGACGTAATCACTCATGGCATCTTGGAGTTGAGTTCCTCAAGATGGAAGTCAATGTCTTTGAGATAGTCGTCCACATCGTACTTGAGGGCAAGCACGCGGGCACGCAGAAAATGTTTCTTGCTCTCAGCATACTTTTTTTCCCTCAACATGTGCATTGCCAGACCTGTGGAGGATATCATCTCGGCAAGATGCATGCCGACGGTGACAAATTCGGGCAGCTGGGTATCTGTGCCAAAAGACGCAGATCTAATCATCCCAGTCAGTTCGAGCACCTGCTGAAACGATGCCTCCGACTCTTTGTAGCTTGTTTCCTTGATTCTCTTGAGAACGTTTCCAAATTTACCTTGGGATGAGTCTGGCTTGGGCTTGAATCCGAGCGTGCTCAGTTGGTCTATGATGGCAATCTGGTCTGTATTCTCCAGGAGTTTTGCATGTTTGTCGTATTCTTCACTCATGAGGTACAAAACAACGCCCATTTTCGTCAGCGTAAGAGTCAATTTTCCTGGCTCGTCGATCGAGCTCTGCATGAGCAGCAAATTGGTACGAAGATAAAATGAGGCTTCGTCCAAACTGCCTTCTGAGATGCAAATGTCTGCGAATTGGTCTCTCAAGGAGACCAGCTCTTTCACAAATGGCAGCCAGGCATCACCTGCAGTGATCAGAAGCTTTATTTCCTTTGGGAGTTTAGCCATGTCTGGACCTGGCTGAGGTGCCAGCTGGGCCACCAGTCCTTCCTTCACGATGCTTCTCAGCTCGTTAGGCAATTTCGGAACTCTTGGATCCGCTGCTGTGAGGAAGTCGACAATGCTTCTGTTGATTTGGTCGTATAGCAGAACTAAAAATGCAGGGTAGTGCTCCGCCAGCCGCCTTTGTGCCATGACTATAATATCCAGTAGCAATTTCTTCACCTTGTATCTTTCCTCGGGCTTCAGAAGATTGGTGTATCTCATTGCGGCAACCATGGTTTGCTGCAACAGCATGTCGAATTTCTTCTTCGACAGGTTTGAATCTGGTTTTCCAATCTCTGACACCATAAATTCACTGAGGGTCTTGTAAACGGCGAGAGCGTGATCGAAGTCTTCTAGTTTTTCAAACATTTCCGCCACTTTCAAGACCGCGCCGGTGTAATGCTGGTCAAGCTCCGAGGTCATTTCATTATCACAAACAACCAGACATTTTCGATATAGTTTCAAGGCTTTTGCAAAATCGCCTTCGTTCTCGGCAACAAGAGCGTCGCTTAAAACCTTACCAAACTCGTTGCTATAGGTGGTGTCTTCGTAGTCCTCATAGACCCTGATTCCCCAATATATGAGTCCAGCCATTGCGCAGATTGTAAGAATTGAGGTCATGTTCGAGCGAGGCTTGCTTGGTATTGGAGGCGGAGGGACATTCGGAGGCTTGAAAGACGGAGGAATCACCGACTGAGGAGGTGGCTTGTTGGGGTCTTGAAATTGATTCAGTGACGGCGTCTTACTGATATCTTGTTGGCTGATGTATCTCAGTGGCTGGATGGCAGTTATACTCCGAAATCTGTACGCTCGCCTCCAACCACACGATCCTGTTGCTCTTAACATTTAAACTAAAAATAAAGCATTATTTTTTTATGTGCGGCAGATATTCTATGTCTTTTGCGCCGGGCGAACTGCCTGCCCAATTTGCCCAGCACAACCTTAATATTGATCGCATTGAGGATGCTGACTCATGGTCTGCTAAAAGGTATAACGTCGGGCCTCAATGCATAGAACCTGTCTACTTCTTCAATGTGGAGCACGAGAATACAACACCTTTGTTGCGCTATATGAAATGGGGGGTGACACCAAAGTGGGCGAGTCAAAAACCGCAAAGACTGTCCACTTTCAATGCTAGGTACGAAAACATTGAGCGCAGCAAGATCTGGTCCCATTGTCTCGATCATAGGTGCGTTATTCCGATCGAGGGCTATTTTGAATGGAAAACCGATTCCTCAAAAAATAAGCAACCATGGTTTATCCGTCGCAAAGACCAGAAACTAATGTTTCTTGCCGGTTTGTACTCAATTACAAGTGATGGCAAGTATGAATACACAATCATTACGCGGGAGGCCCCTAAACAACTAGAATGGTTGCACTCGCGCATGCCTGTCGTATTGGAGCCTGGCACATGTGACTTTGATAACTGGCTAGGGCTTGAAGATCCCAATTGGCGCAAGCTGAGTGGTTTGCTCAAAGTGCACGAAAAGGATGACCTTGAATGGTACCAGGTGAAAAAGGAAGTTGGAAACGTGAAAAATGACGGAGAGGATCTGGTGAAACCCATCAACCAGGAGAGCTTGCAGGGGTTTTTCAAGAAGGAAGAAACAAAGCCTATCAAAAGTGAGGTCAATGACTCAATAGAGGACGAGGAGGAAAAAATCTCTTTATCTCAGGAGATTGGCACGCATTCTCACCAAGAGCCTGTTATTAAAAAGGAAGAAAAAGATATAAAAGAATTACCTACGAAGCGACGTAAGAATTCGACTTCTGCCACGCCATCGCTGCGCAAGAAACAGCACGCAATAACGGATTTTCTTGGCAAATAATGGAGCGCTCAATTATATCTATATCGCAATCTTGTGCCGGTCTTTCCAGAACAGCAGAAGAACTCCGCCTTCGTACACGACAACTCTCATCAGTGCGCTCAGAATGAAACTTGCCCATTGCAAATTACGGTTAGCCATGAAGCCGGTGATGATTGGCGCAATCACTTGAGCAAGGAGTCTCAAGGAATTTTGTAAACTTAAAGCGGCAGCTCTCTCATTGTCGTGCGCAACAGAGCTTAGGAAAACGTTCTTGGATCCCATGTCCATGCTCTTGAAAACGTCCCTCATCAGCAGGAAAAACACCATCATGGGCATGTTGGTGGAAAATGGGATCAGGAAGACAAAGACAGAGCACGGGAAATGAGTCAAAATCATCGTCTGTATCGGGCCGTATCTTTTGCAGAAAACGGTTCCAAAAAGAGACATCACAGCTGAGACGCAGTGGGTCGCGAGGAATATATCTCCCACGGTCTTGGTGCTGGAGCCGAATCTCTCAACAATATAATAAGCCACCCAGGAATCGATGATGATGGCTTTGCAGAGGACATCAACGAAAAAGAGCATGATGATCTGCATGATTGTTCCAAAGCGAGGAGAGTGAATAAGTTGTAACGTTGTTGTTGGAGCCGGTTTTTGTTCGTCTATCTCGATCTCCGAATCCGAGCTTTTCGGAGTTTCTGCAAAATCCATCACCAGCTCGACCTTATCGTCCAGCAAGCTGGTGAGGAAAAAAAGAAGCAGATATACGAGTCCAACTGCGAAAAACACACATTTGAAAGCCGAGAGCTCGGACCAGCCAAATTTGTTCTGGAGTAACCATATGAGGAGGCCGTACACACCGCTTCCGATAGCCGAAGAGAGATTTCCAGTGAATGCATACCACGTAAAGAAATCTGATCTTTCAGAGGGCTGTGCTTTCTGAGCAATGATCGCATGCTCGCACGGACGAAAGATGGACACTTCGACTCCTCCGACAGAAATTATGCCGGCGAAAACGGTAAGCCATAAAAGAGGCTTAAACGTGGTCAGCTGGAATATGAAACTTGTTGTCATCATGGCAAGGTAGCAATGCCGCATCAATCTCCGCCTGCCGTAGGCATCCATAACCAATCCCAAACATGAAGTCTTTATCAGATCTCCCAATGTTCCGACGGATATGAAGATGCCGATGGCGCTGGCAGCGAAACCGCAATCTCGCAGGAAAATTGCCAGTATGACGCTGATTCCGCCATATGTGAAAGACCGAAGGAATTTGAGCAAAAAGATGAGCTTGGTGTTCCTCTGGGCGTAGAAAATTGTCCAGATTCCTACCTCACCGAGAAAATCAATCAAGTTCATTTGCACAAAATTTCTAGATCAAATTCTGAGATATGATGCATCCGTGGTTATCTTACATTTTTTACACCATAATTAATTATATTATATTAGTCACAAAGCTAATCCTTTCTCCTCGCTGTTGACTGAGATACGGTCGACCAACTCGCGTTCTTTCTTCTCGACGTATTTCTTAGTATCGCGTTTAGTGAGGAACACCTCAACAATAGGTAAGACCAGCATTAGGAAAGCAGCGATTGTAGAGATGATCAGTCCCAGGCGGAACTCTGGCGCATGACTTGTAGGATAGAAGACGATATTAGTCCACACGTTCATAGCCTGGGAGACGGCGTCCGAGTAGCCGATCACAAATGCTCTTTCACGACTGTCGTGACGGCACACTCTGTTTATCCACCCAGACACGATGGCCTGGTTGACGGAGTCAAGTCCGATCGCCAACATGCACACCCATTTCCAGCCCCAAGCGATATTCCAAGCTGCCAAGGAAGCGTATGCAATGATGAAGCAAGTTTGCGTGAATGCCAAGAACGGATAAATAGGGAACGAGTCCGAGAGTCCTGCAAGGAAAAATTGTGCAACCACACCCACGACAGACTGCAGTGTCGGATAGTTGTTGATTTGCGAGACGGTGAATCTGTTATGGACCTTAGCCTCGTATTTCAGCCACAGAGGCATCACAGTGCCGTCTGGGAGCGCCACAATATTGAGGAGCACCCAAAAGGTAGCAAAGAAGTGCACTGGCCAGTGAAGAATGGTCTTCTTGAGGATTTTGAGATCGTACTGTCTAGCACCGTCAATTCCGGATCTCACCTGGCGCTCAACAGCGATCTCGTACTCGTCCTTCGTCATCCACCAGATTGGCTTTGTGTCCTTTTGGGACTTGGCCTGCAGCGGGCCTGGGAACATGAAAAGTCCGAAAATAGCAACAGGAACCGTGAAGATTCCGTCAATGATGAAACCCCACTTCCAGCCAGCAAGGCCCCTCACACCGCTAAGATTTTCGTAGGCGGCGCTTTGCAGGTAACCGGAGAACATGCCTCCCAAACTGGACGATACAGAGAACACCATTACACGACGGAACACCTCATCTCTGGTGAACCAGCTTCCAATAATGTAGACCGACGAGGGGAAAGCAATACCTTCGCAGAATCCGATCAAAAATCTGAGGCAGTAAATATGTTGCGGTTTAGTGGCAGCAGCACCGCAGAAAGTCAAAACACCCCATATGAGCTCGAACGACGGCAGCAAAAACCGAGACCACTTTTGAGTCACCAAGAGAGTACCGATCGCCATGGAAACAATGTAGCCGGCAGAATATAAAGACTTGGCATACGACAGGTCGTCTCCGTAAAATTTGATGTCTTCCTCCATTCCACTGACATAGGCATTGGTGATATTGGCCTTGTCCAGGGCTTTGGTGAAATAGGAGACACAGATATAGATCAGCAAGCAAAGGTCAAGCTTTATTAAAAATTTGCGTTCCTTAGGCGTATAGATATCTCTTGGATACCAGTAAAACAGTCTGATAAAAGCATCGTACCAGTGGTTCACTCGAACTTGTTCTTCATCGCGGATGAGTTCCTCGACTTCGACATGGTTGTCGCTTGTCTTGGACTTGTGAAGGTGAATGGCGGTATCAGACATGGTTGGAAACAGGGACCCAAGCTCGACCCATTTATAAAACCGTGCTTTGGGAGCCACAGTTTTTTTGATGTAAGTCAGTGCCGCGCGTTAGCAAAAAGAAAGGTTTTTGCGCCGTTTCATTAGTGACATATTCTGCACAAATTTGCCAAGATAACGAGATTTTATAAGAAGCTGATATAAGCAACCCGAAAATAATCCGGTGCGCGCGCGCGTCGTAATTTATGGTGCAATTTTCCGGCCTCTAAATCGAAATACAATTTTTTCTATGGACTCTTCGCTTATAGTGGCCCTTGCCGTGGCTGCATTATATCTTTTTTCGGGCGGGAGGTGGACGGTTGTGTTGCTTGCTGCAGTGGCATACTTCTGGCAGTCCCAAAGGAGCGCGGCTAATACTAGAAAAGCCTCATCCAAATCTTGCAAATGTGGAGGAGGAGGATGCTGCACGACGAAAATTCAGCACGCCTCACCAGATGCCTCATCTGAAAACGAGGTCGATTTCACATATTCTTTCAAGTAGGGTCCGTAGCCCAAAATTATGCGATACCTGGCAATGCACAAAAAGAGTAATCATGTATAGTTTTGATCTCAATGTCCGATGACCGAGACACTTGCCGAAGTATCTGGAGATCCAGGGAATCATAGACTACAAGATTAGAATTTTGGTCATCCAATGCATTTAATTCACTCTTGATACGGCAAAGATCGTCGTATAAACTGAGACATGTCAAAATGACTTGAGTAAAATTTGCAAGTCGCTCTACCGATTCCCCTATGCTAGTACAATGTCCTGTATCGGCTCAAGTGCAACATTAGAAACAGTGGAGCGGCTATTTTTCAGGGTTCCATGGCTAAGACAATTCTCTTGGCCTATAGTTCATCGTGAGTCACCGGATCTGCTCTGATGATGGTCTCTATTTCCTGGTCGTACTTGGTCCATTCTGGAATCTGTCTTCTGGCCCTGTCAAGCTTCGGTTCTTTGGTTAACGGGTTATTGCAAAGATCGATTGTCTTTGCCTTCTTCAAGCTCTCATCGTCACACCACGTCTCGCACCACAGCCACTCTTGAGGAAGTGAATGGATAGGGATGGTGTGTTGCAAATTGTTAGGAAGGTCCTGATCTAGATTGCTCAGGGAGTTGGGGTCAGCAGAAAGAGATTGGTAGTGCTGTCTCAATCTGTCTCCAGCCGCAATTTGACGAAACCTTTTGAGATCGACCACATACAGAGCACTGATATGGTATTTCAAATTATCTCCTAGCAAGGTCTTCCAGTAACCCTGTTTCCAGAACCTGAAGCCTTCCATCTCTTTACGCGAGTCGCACATTGGAGTGAAGCCATAAACAGCGCCCTCTAGATCCAAATCCACAAGCTCCTTCATGTCTGTTCTCACAATTTGGTCCGAGTCAACAAAGATGACTTTTTCTAAGTCCTGTGGGAATAAAACATCCAAAAACAAGATCTTGTATCCCCAAATTGTGCGTTGTTTTTCTCTTTGACCACGAAGCCACGTTGGCCACTTATAGGTGACTAGCTCGTAATCAAATCCGTAATGCTTGGCTAGTTGGGGTAGGTGTTTTTTAAGCTTTGGAGACATGTAATTTTCAATAAGCCAAAACTTAACAGTGTGTTTTGTGTGTGCCATCACAGAGGCTGTCATAATCCCTAAAAAGCGCTCGTAGAGATGTCCGCTGGCGACTGTGAAAATGTTGATTTCGGCTTGCTTGGGTTTGAAAAGAGAGCCGAAAGATTTTGAAAGCCCCGAAAACAGACTATTGGACGCCTTTTTCCTCGAAACTATGGGGTAAAGCATAGCACCTGTCAGGTCTAGTATTGCAACTTTCTCTGCGCGGCGAGGCGTTATCTTGGTTTTGAACTCGGTGTCAACTGCCTCGATCTCGAACTCCACACCGGGTATGATTTCTTTGGTGCTCAGTGTCCACAAACCAGGGTTGGCCTTCAGTTGGAAGTAGCCTAAGTTGGCCATCACATTTGTGTCTGAAACGGAAACGCCATGTGCGTCCAGCAGTTGCAGTCCCAGTCCAAGAGGAGCAATGGTATCGACGCCTTCACGAGCATGGCCCTGTACCAAGATCGACTTCAGCTCGTAGACTCCATCGATCGACCCGGAAATATCCAGTTTAATGTTATCCAGGTCAGTGTTTGCCTCCTTGATTGAGACGATCCAGGAAGGAATTACATCCACATCTGCTGTGAACAGTGTCTTTTCGGGAACGTCATTGAAAAGAGCAGAATAATCGCGCTTTTCAGTACCGTTCTCGTAGAACTTGACAGAGGTTGGGAAAACACCACGATAAAGACGCTTGATTCCAAGCTCATCTTTCTCTGAAGGCTTGATCCATACTCTCAAGCGAACGAAGTCGAATCTTTCGAACACTTTGCTGAGCTCTAGAATGGACTGCGCTTGCTCGTTAAGTGGATTAATAACCAAGTCTGCATCAATGTATCCAGTGCCCTGCTCAACGAGAGAGCCCGATTTGGAAAAATCGTATCTTGGAAGCAGTCCAGATATTATGAAGTCACCGTCGTCATTGTAAAAGGAGGACGTGACAACCCAAGACTTGTACTCAAAATCATGAGTGTCCTGATCAAGTAGATCCAATCGCACGCTCTTTTCTCTGCTTAGCAAAATCTGAAGGTCATTTGCACTGACTATTTTTCTATTCTGCAAGTCAACTAGACGTCCATTTAAGATCAGATAAACTTCGTCATCATCGGCGAAATCATCTATACCAAAACATTTAGAGACTGTTGACAATATTGAGTCGTCAATTGGCAGAGATGTAAACTCTCCGTCCAAAAACAGGAGAGCGCTCTCCACATCGTCCAATATTTGATTAAGGGTTTCAGTTTCTGGTGAATTTGACATATCAACGATACGTAGACTGATTCCACTCTTTAAGGCCTCGGCAACTTGAGTTCTGAATTTCCTTGATGAAAGCTTTCCCACAACATTGAGTACTATTTTATCATCTCCTCCAAAATGTTTCAGTAATTTGTACGTCTCATATGTTGGTGCAGGAACGTAGGAGGAGCGCAGTCTGTCTAATGTCTCTGGAATCAAATAAGGATCACGCCTAGCCAGGGCCCCTTGTCGGAGGTAGTCTTTCAAAGTAGTCTTCCTTGGTATTTTCTTCTGTCTTAGTTCGGAGTTGAGGAAAAGAATATCAGCCGTAATTTGCTCGCTCATAGCGTACTGCCAATTTTGGCTGAACTCTATAAATATGCCGTTGACGATGACATGCGGTTGGGATCCCAACGCAAACTGATCCTTGAAAGATTCCAAGTCTCGAAGCAGCTCGTCTCTGTCGGAAACGTCCACTTGCTTGAGTGTGTCGAGGCCAACGCCTGGAGAGTTGATCACTTCGTGCACCAACATCAAGTACCTCATGGCTTCTGTCGGTCCTGAGGCCTTGTAGATTTTGACGAGCTGTTCGGTGACTATCTGGTCCTCTTCAGTTCTCACTAGCGGCACAATGCCCACTCTCTGAGATATCGAGTTCCTCAAAATAGCATTGATCATCATTAGGGAATACTGAAGTTGCAATGGATCCGTAGGATTAATGGCAAGCACTAGATCATGGATGTTTTCTCTTGCAGGAGGGATTTTTTTTCCACTCCATTCTGACTTGTATGCTAGTCTTGGACTCTGGAGATCTGCATATTCCGGATCGTTTTCAAGATCGTTGAAAAATATGATACCCGGGTGATCCATTGTTTGATACCGGGGCAAATGGGCTGCAGCGACTATCGATTCGTTTGCAAACCTGTACAACAAACTCTTGGCTTCATTTTTATCCACACCCACTGAGGATAGATTATCAACAATCAGTTTCTCCTGCTTAAGCTTCTTCAGTATCTCAAAAACGCTGATGAACTTTTCAGTCGCGGGAACTCCATTGATATAAATCCCTGTTGGGACATTTGGAGATTCCATAGATCTTTCTTCAGGCTCATTCTGGAGAGATATATAAGAAGCGTATTTTGGAAAATCAATCATGATCTTCCTGAACAGCCCCAGATCAGAACCTTTCTCGGTGACGTAGTTGACTAATTTTCCAACAAGCCCTTTCATCTGATTTTGAGACACTTGCGGAATATCTTTCATGTGTCGATCAACAAAATCGTCGACAGGGTCCAGGGCCTCTTGATTTGTCTCGAACTTCAGCTTCGCCTGCTGTTCCTCGGTGAATCCTCTATCATCGATAGCAATGTAGTCCGTTCTTTTGAGTGTCAAATCAACACCATAACCTGCCAGAACCTCTTTCTCTTTTTCCTCTCTTGGGGTGTATCTCCAAGCGAACCCAAGTTTGCCAGAAACTGAAGATTCGTACAGATTGGCAAAGAATCTGCGGAACTTCTCAGACTCATAGTCACCGTAAAGTATGAGAACATTTTCATTGTTGCCAATGACTCGATCAAAGGCCCTCAATGGCTCCACATGACCCTCAGATGCAGTCTTCAGTGCAAAGACGTCGTCAGGCTTGCAATACACGTTATTTTCCTGCTTGAGCCACGCGTCATCGCATTCTGAGGAGTAATCCTCCTGGTAATGAGCCACAATTCGAGGTGAATACGTCCTTAGAGCCAGATCTGTCTCGATAAATCCCAGCTCGTCGGTATTCACCAAGGAGCAGGCGTACTTGAAATAGTCCTCATCCGATAAGGTTGTGTCCTCTAATTCAATTTCTTCTTCGTTGTGTATGATGCCAATAAGCTTGAGAGCCAAGGGAAGATACAGACTCTCGTTATATGCGCTGAAAGTCTCGAGGACATTTAGCTTGAATGGTGTCCGGTCCCAAGAACCTACCATTTGGAGATTGAGATACTCAGCCAATGTCAACACCCAAACGTTAAATAGGAAAACAATGCCCACTGCTTTCATGGCTAAAACGATAGTAGCTCTCAGTGGAATCTGCCGCCTGGATTAATGGTGGGCAGTATTATTTATCAAAAACCTTAACTTGAAATAAAAATTCCGTTTCTTTGATCCTCAATTAGCTGATGTGGACATGTGCAAGACGAGGCTATTCGAGCGTGGCCAATGGGGTGGCCTCTGTGAATGCCATGAAGTCTCCCGCAATACGAGAACTTCAACAGCTGGCAGGCTCAGACTTGCAGTACTCTTTCCCTACACCTCGTCAATTGAAAGCACATCTTGACAAATACATCATCGGGCAAGATCACTGTAAAAAAGTTCTCTCGGTTGCAGTGTTCAATCATTACATACGGGTCCAGGATGCTTCAAAGGAGAATTCCTCTACATTGCTGGGAGCACCAGTGCTACACAAAAAGTCCGATACCGGCGTGGAGCTTGAAAAGTCGAATATTCTCCTGTTTGGCCCTACAGGCTCGGGAAAAACGCTGGCAGCAACCATCATGGCCCGGGTGCTTCAGGTACCAATAGTCATACAAGACTGCACCTCGCTGACACAGGCAGGTTACGTGGGCGAGGATGTGGAGAGCTGCATATTAAAGCTTCTGGCCAAAGCTGATTATGATGTCAATCTTTGCCAGCGTGGCATTGTTGTTCTAGATGAGCTGGACAAACTTGCAAAGCCGCAGGTTTATGCTGGTACGAAGGATATAGGCGGCGAAGGGGTTCAGCAGGCTCTTTTGAAACTGGTCGAAGGAACTAGTGTTTCGGTCCAGGCTAAGAAAAGCAACCATGTAGAAAACACTGGGCTAGGAGGAGGCACGACAGAGTACACGGTGGACACCTCTACAATTCTGTTTATTGGGATGGGAGCTTTCACTGGACTGGACAAGATCATCAAAAAGCGACTAGGTCGTAAAAAAGAGGCCGACGTCCTATCCAAAGCGCAACCATCTGATTTGGAGCAGTACGGTTTGATCCCCGAGCTTGTGGGACGGATGCCTGTTTTTTCGTCTCTGAAACAGCTTGAAGTGGACGATCTTGAAAGGATTTTGGTGGAGCCGCAGAATTCGATTGTCCGCCAGTACGAGTACTCTTTTGCGAAAAGTGGAGTGAGGCTGGCCTTCACTAGATCTGCCGTAAGGAAAATAGCAGAAACGGCTCTCAAAAATGGTACTGGAGCGCGGGGTTTGCGTGGGGTCCTGGAGAAAGTGCTGCTGGCAGCGAACTACGAGTGCCCTGGGAGCGGGATCAGTTTTGTGCTTCTAGACAAGGAGGTCATGGAGATGGACGAAATAACACCCAAGTATTTCGCGCGAGGAGATATCTTTAGATTTTTGGAACAAGTGGGAAAAGAGGACGAACAATTGCGCGGAATGCTGAGTGACGAGTATGGCATACCAAAATTCGAGTCGATAAAAATTTAAATAATCCGAAAAATACATATTATATTTTATTTCCATGTCACTTGATGAGACCACGCTCCGGACTAAGGAGGCGGTTCACAAAATACTCGAGGCCAAGTTAAACGGGACGAGATCTCCAAAAGAGAAGACGCCTACTTTCGTGAAGTACACACCAACGTCAGTTTTCGATGAAGGAGAGAACAAGCAACGGATAATCAAAATCAAAGACAAGGAGCTGGATCCCACATTGCCACCTAGCGTGCGTATTCGCAAAACTCCCCAAGGCCCTGATGAAGCCCCTGTACCAGTAATGCACGAAGAAACGACAGTGAAGCTCACAAAGGAGGATCAACGCAAGTGGTATATACCCCCAGCTGTGTCCAATTGGAAAAACACCAAGGGATTCACGATAGATATTGATAAGCGTCTAGCGGCAGTTGGCCAAACCCACTCCACCGAAATGAGCGATAAGTTCGGTGATTTGAGTGATGCTTTGAAGGATGCTAGTGAACAAGCAAAGAAAGAGTTGAAGCTTCGCGCCAAGCTGAAAAACCAGCTCGAACAACAAAAAGTGCTGGAGAACCAGGAAAAGCTACGTGCGGTGGCGCAGGAGGCACGGTCTGGCAAGCGTAGCAAGTGGGCAGACGACGAGCCTGAAGAGATTAGCAAGATCGCGAGCAAGCGGGAGCAGGCTCGAGCAGAGAGAAGAAGGCGCGCGGAACTGGAGTTGCGGAGAGCAAAAATGGGTACAGAGACGAAGGTTAAGGTGCTGGCCGCGGAAGATGGCCGCGAGATTAGCGAGCGCGTTGCTTTGGGCGTGGCTTCTAGACAACAAGAGGCCAATAATCCTCAGAACCTATATGACGCAAGACTGTATTTGAAGGGAGCAGCCAGCAACGTTCGTCACAGTGACGATCAGCTATACGATAAGCCTTTATTCGAAGCTCAAGATGCCATAAATGATATTTACAGAGCGCGCAGCGGAGCTGAGTTCCAGGGTGATTTGGACAGGCCTGCGCTTGGCCATCAAAAAGGGCAATCCAGCGCCGGGCCTATTGAGTTCGAAAGAGATGTTGCTGGTCAGGAGACGGAAAACGAACACGGGCTAAAGAAACGACGGGTTGAGTAGGTCTGAATGAAAAAAAGATAATTCGGATAATTTATTTAGTATATGGTTAAAATTAGTGCATGTGGTATCAGCTAGAACCTACACAAGCACACATTGCATATGTCCTAATTGGAGCCGTTTCTGTGATTTTTTCCCTGGTGTCCCTTGTATTCAAAGAGCAGCTTTTCATTGGAGAGGCTATCGTGGGGACGTTCTTTGGCTGTGTCGTTGGTCCTCATGTCTTGAACTGGTTCAATCCATCGCACTGGACCAATAATGTGGATAATCTCACGTTCGAGCTGTCGAGGCTGATACTGGTGATTCAGTTGTTTGCTACCGGGGCAGAGCTCCCTCCGAAATATATGTGGAAACATGTTCGGTCGCTCAACTTGGTCCTCTTTGGGGCCATGATTTACGGGTGGCTGATACTTTCGCTTTTTGTGTGGCTGATCTTCCAGAGTGTTGGCCTCAATTTCAGCGACTCTTTGCTGGTGGGATCCACGTTTGTCGCAACAGACCCTGTCCTAGCAGCAGCCATCGTTGGCAAGAGCAAGTTTGCAGAGCGAATCCGTGCTGACGTAAGAAACTTGATCCAAGCCGAGTCTGGGTCGAACGACGGTCTTGCGTTCCCCTTCGTGACGCTCTCAATAAACCTTATTCTTAACAGGCCCGATAATACGCATGCGGGCAGGATCGTGAAGGACTGGATTCTCGTGGGTATTTTGTATCAGTGCGCATTTGGAGTTCTCTTTGGTATCGTTATTGGTAGCTTGGGCAGATACTCTTATCTTTTCTCTCGCAAACAGCGCTGGATTGATAACGAGTCGTCACTGGTATTCTACGTTGGCCTGTCGCTAATCATTACCGGGCTGGCATCGATCTTGGGCTGCGACGACTTGCTAGCTTCTTTCTCTGCAGGATGCGCCTATAGCTGGGGTGGACAAATAGATTTCGAGCTACAGCCCAGCGGTGACGAGCATACAGATTCAGAGCCTTTGCGCTTCTCGAGCATTGTTGATCTGCTTCTCAACACGGCATACTTCGTTTACGTGGGCTCAATTCTTCCCTGGAATGAGTACTCCCCATATGCAGGTAAATTGGTGGCTCTGGGCGTCGTTTTCGTGTTTCTTTCCAGAATCCCTGTCATGCTTCTTCTGCAGTACATTACACCAGACATCCGTGACTGGAAGGATGCTCTCTTTATTGGCCATTTTGGTCCCCGAGGAGTCGGCTCTATTTTCTGCTGCCTGTTGGCCAAACACCTGCTAGAAACCCGGTCTACAGACCCTTCTTCACATGAAACCCTCCTCAAAACTATGTGGCCAATAACTACGTTTATTGTTGTGGTTTCTGTTGTCGTCCACGGCTTTTCAATCTGCTGCTTCACCGTCTACTCCACAGCAGTTAAAGTCCGGATTGAACGACAAACTACGCCAGAGTCTATGAACTCTGTTGAGCCTGCCAACAAGCCAGCCTCCTCCACTCGTCGTCGAATGTCCAAGCTGCGGGTTGTGCAACCAATTGCAGATGACCCAGACTTCCCCAAATACGCTTACGTCAGCCGTACCAAAGTGACGCTGGTGAACCATCACGGCGATGTGATCAAGGAGTTTGAGAACAAACGCGGCTCGCTGGGCGTGACTTCACGGCTGTTGGCTTTCAAGGAGGGTAACCAGATCGTCATCGAGGACAATGGCTCCGAGATCAAACGCTATGACCTGGAGTCGGTAGCTTGAGAGTATACACCTGAGACCGCTGAAAATAAAATGCGTATTTCTCCGGAGAAGGAATATGCGTGTGATTATTGTAGGCGGTGGAGTAGCGGGTCTCAAGGCCGCCTCGGACTTGCACTCTCAGGGAATTGAGTTTGTGCTTTTGGAGGCCCATGACCGTTTGGGAGGCCGTATCTTGACGGATCGAACTGGTTTGACGGCTTACGATCTTGGAGCTTCGTGGGCCCATGACACTTTGACCAACGAGCTGTTTGACGAGATGGTGGCGGAAGGTGACTACGATCTGTACTATGACGACATGAAGCCTTATATGGTTGGAGAGCATTTTTCGAACGATGATTTTCAAAGGCTGAAAATCGAGCAGGTTGCGAACGAGATCACCAAGTTCGTCGAGCTGAGAGAGTTCAGCAGTCTGGATATTGAGGATCACAGTTTGCAAGACGTGGTGGAGGAGTACATCAGCAAGCAGAGACAGCTTTTGACGTCTGAGCAGGCTGACTATGCTCCTCAATTTATTCGACATCTGGAGTTATGGCACGGTATAGGCTGGGAAGAGATGAGCTCCAAATTCTCGCTTGTTGACAACGTTGGACGCAACTGTCTCATTAGATCGGGCTATGATCAGCTGGTTCAGAAGATGGTGGACAAGCTCCCAAAAGAGTGTCTGAAAATTAAACAGGTGGTAGCACGGGTCGAAAAATCGACAACTATCGTCGTGCACACGGCGGACGGAAATATTTATAAAGGTGACTACTTGATCTGCACCATTCCACAAAGCCTCCTGCAGCTAGCTGCTCCCAGCACCGGAGCCATTGAGTGGGTGCCGCCATTACCCGATCGGATTACGGGGCCGCTTCGAAACATGGGCTTCGGAAAGCTGGGGAAGGTGGTTCTGGAGTTTGAATCTCCGTTCTGGTCGCACCTGCAGTACGATCGATTTCTCGGAATTTCCAGCCCCACGGCCAAGATGGGTGTGTGGAGCCATCCTGTACTTATTCTCAACATGTTTTACATCAGCAAAGTGCCGTCTCTGGTGTGCTTCATCCAAGGAAAAATAACCGACCATCTAGAACGCAATTCGCACCTTACCTGGGAGTATTTCAAGCCACTTTTGCACAAGCTCGGCCCCGTGTCTTCGGCCCCCACTAAAGTGATTACCACGAGCTGGACTGTAGACCCTTTTGCTCGCGGCTCCTATGCTGCGTGCCGTCCTGGAGACGACCCAACAGACGTGATTATCAATCTAGAAAGAGGGCTCGGAAACGTGCGGTTTGCCGGAGAGCACACAATTTTAGATGGCGCGGGAGCAGTGCATGGAGCGTGGATGAGCGGAAAACGTGAAGCAAAATATATACTAGAAAATCTATGAACCATATATAGATTCGTTTTGAAACCTCCCGTGTTTGAAACAGTTGGTGCAATTGCATGCGTCGTCGGGACAACAGCAGTCGAAGTCAAGCTGGCTGATGTCCAGACTATTAAGGAAACTAAGGGCGGCCTCCTGCAGTCCCACCTTCTGGCCGTTCACAATCCCGTGCTTTTCACAGTTGTAGCAGCCACAATCGTCGTCCGCACAGCAGCACTCCTCCTCGTAGCTGCTGTTACCGCAGCTGGCAGGCTCTGGCTGCACCTCCACCTTGCCGCACGTGACTGTGGGTGGGTCCGGCGGCACTCCCTGGTTGTGTACCTGGCAGAAGTGGCAGGTGCAGGCATCCGGCTCACACAAGCAGGACCCTGGTACCGTACAGGACTCTGTCAGAAACATGTCGTACGTCATGGGCGACTGCTCGGGCTGTTTTTTCGCTCTTTTTGACCGGCAGCTCCCGCGGCCGTGGCTCCTATTTGCGATCAGTTCCAGGCCTGCCTGTTTATTGGGCACCTCTATCACGGGGTCCAGCAGTTTTAAGGACTTTTTGGAAACGTTGAACACCTGTCGTTTATTGGCCTTAAGCACAATGACAGAGTTCTCTGGATTGTGGGATTGCGGACACCCGCAGTGTTCGTGGTTATCGTGTTGCGAATCAGCAGGTATGAGCTGTTCTCCCATAATGGCTATTCTTTTTGAGGAATCCGTGGCAGGGCGCCCACGCGACCTCACCAGCACTAAATGGCGCTTTATGTGCTGGCACTGGGACGATCGGTGGCCCCGGATGCACTGTTCGCACGCATACTTGTCCCCGTCCACCAAAATCATACCAGTTATAATTTTCAGTCGAACAGGAAATTTGCTCGTATATATCCGGGCTGTGCCGCTTGTTAGTTTTCAGATAAATATTAGATGGCACCCAAGATCTCCACAGCACAGCGTCGTCTGTTGAAGGAATTCCAGGAGCTTCTGAAATCCCCGACCGATGGCATTGTTGCAGGCCCTATCACGGAAGATAACCTCTTCAAATGGCGCTGTATTTTGGAGGGTCCCCCCGGTACAGTTTATGAGAACGGTGTGTTTGAAGCAGAGATGGATTTCCCGGCAGACTATCCACTTTCTCCGCCCAAGATGAAGTTTACGTCCGAGATCCTCCATCCAAACATCTACAAAGACGGAACCGTGTGCATCAGCATCTTGCATCCGCCAGGAGACGACCCTCTGCAGTACGAGTCTGCGGACGAGAGATGGGGCCCTTTGCAAAGCGTGGAGAAGATTCTACTAAGTGTGTGCTCGATGCTGGCCGAGCCGAACCCGAACTCGCCCGCCAACATCGATGCTGCAAAGCTTTGGCGCGAGAACCGCGACAAGTTCGACGAGATTGTTCGGGCCCAGGTGCTTAAGTCTTTGGACTAAAATCGACGCGTCGATGCACATCAGTCGGGATTTGATTTATTTTAATTATTTCCATCATCGATTATGTCCACCCAAAGAAAGCTTGCACACCACTCGGAGGAGCGCATTGACCGACTGCGGTCGGTGATTCTCAAATCTATTTTCATTGGCGGCATGTACGGAGCACTGATCTCTGTTCCTTCGGAATTGCTTCTTAGGTGGAGGTCTCCATTCTACAGAGCATTTGGATTGCGGATCCGTATTTTCTACCACACCATTTGGATCGCCGCAGCGGCGTCGTTCCGTACAGAGCGTGCTGTGCTCGAGTTTGAAAACGTGGTGCGTCGCGAAGAGGAACTCCGTCGACAACAGCTTATAGAGGACAGCGTGATGAGTGGCAGCTATACGCAAGAGCAGGAAGGAGTGCGGTTACCTAGAGCGTGAATATTCTGAATTATATGTAAGTAAGGTCAACAGGCAATTGCAGGTTGTCGAAAAGCCCCTCGTAGTCCTCAAAGATATTTGTTTTCATGATCCAGTCATTCCAGATATTGAGCTCGGAAGATGGCATGGTCGCGTCGATCGACCTTTGGAATTTTTGGAAGAGAGAGTCCTCCGTCTCGTTTGCCGGCCAGAACAGCGCATATTCTGTGACGGCCACAAATTGCGGCGATTTGGTAAATTCAGAGAGTTGGCGGTTGATGTCTTTAAGCTGCTGCATGGTTATAAACGCAAGCAGGTTCGGAGCAGTTTCCAGAGCAGGGTTTCTGAGATTAAACACAGGCTCTCCTTTATTCTCCAAGATTCGCATTAAATAGCTGTACGTCTCGTACAGCCGGTAGCACAAGTAGTCCTGGTCCCCCATAATGGCCAGCAGCTTCACGCAATTGCGCATAACTGCCACCACATTCTGCAGCAGCTCGGTTACTAGCGGTTGCTTTTCGTCATTTTTCGTTTGCATTAAGAGTAGCCGAACTCCAAGGTAGACCAAAAACTGTATACTTTTGTAGACGCATGTAGCCATGGGATGAATGATGTACATTATGTGGGCGGAAAAATCGGTTTTCAATCGGTTAAAAGACCTGAGCGTGAGATCCAGGTTACGCAAAAAGATTGTAACAGTAGCCTGTAAAATGATAGAATAATCGGTAATTATTCTGTTGCGCTCAAAATGAAGCATCAAATAGCAATTGATCATGAAAATTAGCGTGTTGATGTGAATCTCGCTCTTCACGTTCGAAATAGTGGATAGAAGTGACGCGTAAGGGTCCTGGAAGTAGCTGCTATATTGAAAGAGACCTCGTTGCGAGTCTAAGAGGCTGACTGCCGACATTAGGTCAACCACGCGTGGCTTTTCGCGTACCTGATGGACCTGCACAAGGAACTTTTGCAAAAATGGGAATATGATCTTCATTTTGTTCATGCGGTCGTTGATGATTTCCGAGTCACCCACCATGGCTGGTCCATGATCGCTGTTTTCCAGAAGCAGGATTGGCGTCTTGCCGTACGATATCGAGTGTTCCATGTCCATTTCTAGCAGAGTCCACCAGAGTCTTTGCCAAAGAAGTTGCAACCGTTCGTTCTGTGGATGGTACAATTTGGAAGCCTTTTTGTCCCCAATTGGGAATCTGAGCGGTCTATTGATGCCCATCCCCAGAGCAATCTGACAAATAAGACCATTAATGTTGTAGCCGTCCGTGCCATCACCTCCGTCCCCGTCCTCCTGGCATGTAATCTGGTAAAATCGAAGTAACATGAGCGCCTGCAACGACTGAATGCTTGTTTTGCGCAAGAAATTCGACTCAAACAGCGCATAGTTGACCATGTTGATGACGTCTGCATTTACTGGCTGCTGGATGAGAACCAGCTCATCCCCGTTCAGCGGCGCCCCCACCTGGTGTTTCAAGAATAGCGACTGGTAGGAAAAGCGCATCACCAGCAGCAACGCTGCCGTGACAAGGTAGTCGGATTTTTGGCCGAATTGCAGCACACAGCGACCCTTTTCCTCTTGTATCATGCGATTGACGGTGGCCACAAACTCGTCTTCCAAGAGCACAGGAAAAACCGGATGGATCGCACGCAAGTAGTAATGTATATGGCGCATTACGGTCTCCTTGGCCGGCAACGCAGCCTCCATCTGCGACTTTAGCGACAATTTCTCGCCCTCTTCCAAAATAAACCGTTTCTGGCCTTTCTTGCGCATCCTGACCTGCCGTTGCAAATCGTTCGGATTCTCAGTTTTCGACATAGCCAGCAGCTCGGCTTTGATGTTCTCCTGGTAGCGACGCATATCGTCAAACAGCTGGCAGGCAAACGGGTCACCCCGCCAGATTTTATTTCGCTGAAAAGAGCCTCCGCAGATGAACCGATTTTTCTTAGCCATGTGCAGGGCTGTATTAGGGTTTGGCTCGGCCTGAATAAAACTGACCGTATCGCGCGACTCAGGCATGACGGTAAACAGTTGGGCCTCCATGGACGCCAGCTTCATTCGCAGATCGCCTATCTCGGAGATCAGCGAGGCCTGCTCCGAAACAGTGGTTCGTGGGGATCGAGGCAAGTGTTTGATGACAGCATTCTCCAGACTATTGGTTTTAAAGTTCAAAACGCTGACTGGAACGCCATTAGATGGCGCCGCGGAAGCTTCAGCAACCCCTGAAGGTGCCCAGGCCTGAGGGCCGTCGTACTCGCATTTCAAGTTGGCAATTGTGCACCGATTACAGATCGGCCGGACTCTATTGCACTTGACCTTCCTTCGACGACAACTCAAACACGAGTACGGAGTTCGCCGCCTTTTCTTGACAGGCTTCTCACCCTCCATGATGTTGCTGGCTTGCAGTAGTACGTACGAGGACCGTTGTAATTGAGTCCCAAAAAGGAATTCACCGAGCAGTAATACCGAATTATGAACGTCAAAGAATTTGGTGCCCAACTCCTTCGAAAACTCATGATTATGTAACGTCTCGGCAAGTTTGTTTCGTGGTGATTTAATTTTTTCCCGGTTGATGGCAGTGCAGCTTAACCACGCAATTCCGGGGTTCTCATCTCCCTGCGTAGCACAGCACGCATTTTTGGCAGCTGCCTGGGGCCTAAATTATCACTCCATTGGCAACTATAGTCCTTGCTGACATCCTCCACGAACGACTCGAGGCTCTAGTCCACCGCTCCCGTTCTGGTTTGTACGGCTTGGCACCCCAAGACTCGTGCATGCATCCGCAAAGCACACACCCTTACACCACCGTGTGGAGAACCTGGGGAACCTTTAGCCCCATGACCTGAAAAACAAGAAAAAAATACACTGGAATAGTTTTGAGTTTTGTCCGAGTTCAATCTGTTTGTTAGTGAGGTCTATTTTGGCCCACCTGTAACTTTTGCACAGACTATAAGCAATGGATTCCGTGGAGCCGCATTCGCAAGCGGAAGGTCCCCGTGAATCTCCCCAGATAGCCGGCCTCGACAGTTCTAGGAGCCCTAGTTCCTCTGAGCCTGTCCAGGCAGGCATTCCGGACTCCCGCAAAGATGGTTCATCGTCTTCCGCTTCATCCATGGCCACTTCCGTCGCTGGTGGCTCGACTGTGCGGGAAGAAGTCCAGGATCAGGAATACAAGGCTCAAGGGCAAGGTTCCCCCAATTCAGAGGTACCTCCACGCAAGAGGTCGAAGGTTTCGCGTGCGTGCGACGAATGCCGGCGCAAGAAAATACGCTGCGATGCTCTACTTGATCACACAAACACCCATGTGACCAAGATGTGCTCAAACTGCGAAAAGAGCGGCGACGTGTGTTTGTTCACCCGAGTGCCCATGAAACGAGGCCCCTCGAAAGGTTATACAAAACTCAGTGGAGATAACAGCAACCAGTCGGCAGGTAAAACCTCACCACGACTGCGTACCCCGTCTCATGGCAGCTACCCGCAGCTTCAGGGAATAGGACAGCAACAGCTTTCTCCAGGCCAGCAGCATGCTCCACTGTTCTCTCCAAACTCAAGCTCTGGAAGTGGGACGCCTGCCTATCAAGCGTCGCAAAGTCCGCAGGTTATCCTGCCTCCCCTCAACACCCATATATTGCCACCTTTGCGTGGCAGATCCTCGTCTCTAACCTCGGCAGGTCAGACAACACGCCAGCAGCCTATGTTCTGGAAGGTACCCTACGAAATGCCAGCATTTGAAGGCAGAAGAGACTCTATTGATTCCATTTCGTCTTCTATCAGTGGCTCCTTCCCCCTTTCTGCCCGGCCATCCATTCAAGGAAACTCGCCTAAACTGGCTCCTAGTTTTGGTTTGGATAATCTACCGACATCGGATTCCGAAGATGAGTTTCTGAACAATAATTCTTCCCGGCTCGCAAGGCCAAGTTTCCAGGTGCCCCTTGTTTCTACTCGCTCCAAAGAAGGTACCGTGAGCCCTGTGCCTTCTCATAATAGTTTGCAGAGTCTGAACCAGAACTTTTCTCGACTTGCGATTCCTGCCCCCCAGTTCAAGACTGCCCATCTGTTGAAATCAATTGACCATAATCTGGACGTCTATTTTAGCAAGTTACATGCGCAGTATCCTATTCTGACGGAAAAAGGACAAATACAAGAGAGTCTCGAGCAACTTCAAACGGATGAATATGCCACTGTTTTGGAACTATTTAATTACTCACTTCAAGTTCTCAATTCTGTGGACGCAAACTTTGATTTCAATGTCATTGTTTCGAGCTTCCAGCAGATATCCCTAATTTATGCATCCAAATCCTTCATTAACAACAATGTCCACGCCAAGACACTGTTTCTCCTAACCTTTGTGCTACTCAACTACACCGTGATTCTATCTGGCCACGAATACTCCATCGGTTTCACAATCTCGTTTTCGATATTCAACGACTGGAAGATTTATAAGGAACCATCATCGTCGCCGCTTTTCCGTGCGTTCATGCATTTAGTCGTGTTGGACAACATATTCGCGCTGTCGTTTGGAACACCAAGAAATACAAGTCTCGCGTTCAATCAATCTTATCTTCACGAATATGCAAAGAGCTTAAAAGCCTCAGAATCAGAGTCATTAGAATACGTGACCGTTGGACTAAACCTTCTGCTTCTACCTCCCACAGACCCCACAACCAGCATACCTATGGAGTCCAAGCTGTATCTTCTGAACGACAAATACAAATTTTTAAGCATTCTGGAGGCAGAAAGCGATATATGTTGTTTGATCCGGAATTTTAGCTCTTCCCTGGAGAACCTAAGGACCACAGAGGCAGACGATTTTGTTTTCGATCTCCAACTCGAATTCTCAAAGCTCTGCAAAAGACTCATTTACCTGATTGACGAACAGGTGGACGATCTTGAGCTTTTGAAAATACAACCGCTTCTGCCCCTATACGTGTTAAAATGCTTCAAAATCCTTCTTTCCTTGAAGTCACTCATCTCCTCTCTTATCAGCTTCAACATTACCATCAGCAACGACGATTTCAAAGATAGACTTGCAAAACTAATAGACACGATAGATGCAAACATGGAGAGGCTTCGTCACCTCCGCACCACTATTCCTTTCCTAAAGGTTCTAATCTCATCGTTAAAGATTAGGACGGCAGAAACGCTACTGCTCCCTGCCTTAACCGAAAAACTTCCCCTATTGCAAAACTGGTGCCGCCAATCCAGTTCTCTACTGCATTCTACACTCACCAGAGATTACTTTGAAGGATGGTATTCATAAAAAAGAAGAGAACATTCATAACTTATCAATAAAGAATTCACCATTTCTGGTCCTTGGTTTTCACGCCGCTGCTATCAAATCCCTGAGCGTGACGGTTACCACTCCATTCATCATTTGTGTACTCGTCACCCATTTTATTCCTCACCCTATCGTTCATTTGGTTGTCAAAGTCGTCAGAGAAGTTACTGTCTCCACCGCTACCGGTGTAGTTCTCTCCATACTTCTGTTGGCCTCCACGGCCACTCTGGCCACCTTGGGAACCATACTGGTCGTAGTTGCCACCGCTGCCACCATATTGGTTGCTGTTATGCTGACCGGTCTGGCCTTGGCCGTAGTTGGAGCTACCGCCGCGTCCAGAACTTTGGAAGTCGTCATAGTCGTCACCTTGTTGGTCATGGTGGCGATTTCCTGATAGCTTGTCGGAGAGTTTATTAACTAGGTTAGACATCTTGGGTATACACTAATTAAAGAAGACCGTGGGTATTTATATACTTTCGGCAATTGCTCGTCGCCTCAGAAAGCAAGCATGGGCGATCATCTGGGCAAATTTCTCTTTTATCCACCAAGCTTGCTATACTAGCGAGCCACACCCCTGCATTCACCATGTTGCTATTGCTATGTATATTACACCTCGCACCGCAATACTAGTTTAGTTCACCTTACGTAGGAGACGCAACTTTTAGCACTTAATCTTGTACCGACACTACATGATAAAGCCCAAACCGTTCAAGCTTCGCCCGCCTCGCGGTGTTGTTTTTGACATGGACGGCACGCTGACACGTCCGCAAACACAAATGTTTACCGATATGCGGCGTGCCTTGCAAATTGAGCACGTCAAGACCGATGTTCTGGACCATTTGGCTACGCTCTCCGACAAGGACAAACGGCTTGCCGAGGAGAAGCTGGCGCTGATTGAGGAGTCGTATATGCTCAAGACGGAGCCCACAGTAGGCGTCGCAGAGCTTCTCCAATTTTTATCACGCAAAAATATCAAGTACACCGTTTGCACGAGAAACCTAATAAAGCCTGTGCTCCACCTGCTGGAAACCCATCTGAAAGGCGTTGAGTTTTGCGAGCCGGTTGTTACACGAAGTTTCAGGCCCGCCAAGCCTGCTGCAGACCCGTTGCTCCACATAGCAGCCGCCTGGGGGTTCCAGCCCAAGGACATGGTCATGGTCGGTGACTCGCGTGACGACATGCTAGCTGGCCTAGCAGCCGGATTCACCACGGTTTTGCTACAGCACGAGGACAACGCAAAGGTAGTTGATGACTTTCCGCAGATAGATTACGTGATTCACGATTTCCACGAACTGATAGAATTACTAGACGACTAGAAAATATGCCACTATCTAAGCATAATATTATTGGTTTGCGTCATATACTTGACGCCCTTGTATGGCTTGACGTTGGTGGAGCCTCCGCTTATAATTTTCATTGAGTCGACTTTGATCAAGCTGGGCACCGAACCTTTGTTGGAGTACGAAACAGTCACGTAGTCGGGCTTGAACGTTGATGGATCTCCGCCGGATCTCAGTAGTTGGCCTCTAAACGTGCAATTGATACCGGTAGGCAGCATTTTGTCGAGAACCCACCCTTGCACGCCGTTCCTGGATTGCAAGTCGCCGTGGGTGATGCGCAGTCCTCTGACGGTGTGGTCTTTTGGCACGTGGATCTCCACTTTCAAATCCTCTATAAACTTCACAGTGTTGAGCAGCTTGGTTTGGAGCTTGATCTCAAACTCATTCCTCTCAATCCCCAATCCCCCCACAAGCTCCACATCCACGAGCCCCATGTAGTTCCAGATGTTCACTGGCGTTTCTGTTTCTAGTAGGTTGATTTTGTACTTCATCAGCGTGAATTTGTCGTCAGGAGGTATGAACTGCACCACACCCGGACTCCTCGACCATGTACCTGTATCAACACACCGATGGAACGATGGAACTCCCAGATCGTGCCTGTTGAGATTGAGCACCAGCTGAACAGTTGGAACTCCCGAAAGAGAACTGTTGAAGTAAACGGTGCCATCTATGGTAGCCAGCACAGGTTTGCTTTTTCTCGCACTCAATCCAAGACTGTAATACGTTGAGGCGCCGTAAGCAGGCTTGGGGGATTTGGATGCAGGCACAATCCAGCTAATCTGCTCGACAAGATCCACCAGCATCTCATTCTGAGTATGTTTGACATTAACTTTCCGCCACGGAGTCTCGCTGCCCGATTTTTCGTATATACAGGAAACGGGAAGAATGCCCTTTTGAAACTGATTGGATGCAAGAGAAGATGCCGAAGATGACGCGTGCAGCAAGCTTGATCCCTGTGCCAGTGAGTTGATCGAATTAGATGCTGTGCCTTGGATCTGCTTGGTTGTCGAAATGATTTTGTTGAGAATGCTGTTGGATGGCAGAAGTTCTTGAAGCTGGTTCAGGTCGGTGATATACGGGAACGAGGCGTCCACCATTTCTTGTAAGATGAGCAGCAGGTTGTGTGCGTTCAGCTCGATTTTAGCGGGATTGAGCACCGCGCCATTGAGAAAAGCTTTCACGACAGCGCCAAAATCTGCTAGGAATTGCAGATACTGCAGATCATTAACGGTTCGCGAGATGGTGACAGTCTCCTTCTGTTCCTTGGCGTCGTCACCATCTTCCTCCTCCTCATCGTCCTCATCGTCGCTTACGACTTCCGTATACTCTGGAAACCTTTCGCCTGCCACAATGACGTACACAGCGTCTAGCTTTGTCCACGCGACACGCCAATTCGCGTCAATATCAAGCACAGGCTCCAAATGGTCGAAGATAGATATTGATGAGCCAGAATCCTCAAAACCGTCTTTGTGCATGCTGTTCAGACGGTCCTTCACATACTGGAATGTAGGGGCTGGAGAACTAACAATGTGCTCAAATATGGGCAGGTTTCTCCCATCCGCAATAAACAAACAATCTATCAGGCCCATTAAATGATAATAAACTAATTCTGTAAAAATTGGCAGTTATCTGATTACATATACGAGATTATGAGGGCAGTGATATATCTACGTTTCGCCAAACATGCACTACAACCAATATGCCCTAGGACAAGGCCGATTTAATCAGTTTGGTAGGTGTCGCTTCTCCACCCAGCCTACCTAATCATTTTGTTCATTGTCTGTGACTACGTGTGAAAAAAAATTATATATAAATACGACTTGCCTTTCCTCTCTGCCTCGAAAAAAAAATAGTGGGAATTAAGGGTGTGTTTATCTTGTATTTATTTCAGCTGAAAGAACACTACCTTTCAAGATAAATTTACAGTCATGTCACGTCTCGAGAGGCTTGTGGTGCTCCTTGAAACGGGCTCCACACAATTCATACGAAATACAGCTGCTGACCAGCTCAGTGATCTGGCCAAACAGCATCCAGAAGAGACGTTGAACCTATTATCCAGAGTGTATCCGTTCTTGAAAAGCAAAAAATGGGAAACGCGAGTGGCGGCTTCGCGCGCGTTCGGCGGGATCATCTCGCATGCGCCACCGTGGGACCCAAACGCGGAGACAGAGGTAAAATCTGAAGAAGATTACGAGGCCATCAAGAAAGAGGAGGAGGAGCTAGATCTGCAAAAGATGGTGGAGACGACGGGAAACTGCTTCTTGTCGTTTGACGAATGGAATCTCCTGGAGATCCTGCAAGCGAAACGGGTCTTGCTGGCCACGTCTGGGGCAGAGTTTGTCAACAACGACTCCGAGCCAGCTCCCAAAAAAGTCAAGACAGAATTCACAGCAAAATTAGGAATAGACGAAGTCAGTGAGGAGTCGACACCAAAGGAAGAACCTCTTGATACTCCAAAAAAAGAGGAGCTGGATACAATCGAGCAAGCTCCTGCTACCAAGTCTCAGCAGTCCGCCAGAATGCGTGCAATGGCCAAGCGGAAAGCGAAGTTTGCCAAAACGGGTTCGTCGAAAAGCACTCCGGTTGACCTCTCTCAAAGCAGTGTGAGTAGGAGGCTCGCCAAAGACGGCCCTGTCAAAGAGGATTCGGACGACAGTGCTGGATCTGCCACTCCAAACGTGAACATCACCTCGCAATCAAATGGCACCAAGCTTGTTGTCGAGCAGAAAGTGCCTGATATCTCACCAATCTTACAACTGCATGCAAAAGTGTCACATTTGGTTTGGCAATTCCAAGGTGTCTATGAATTACTTATAAAAGACTTATTCAACGAGACATGGGAGATTAGACACGGCGCAGCGATGGGACTCAGAGAGCTTGTCAAATACCAAGCATATGGCGCAGGCCGTATAAAGGGTCGCTCGATAGAGGAAAACGATGACCTCAATAAGCGCACTTTGGAGGACCTTTGTGTTAGACTGATCACTCTCTTCGCGATGGACAGATTTGGAGACTATGTTTCTGATACAGTGGTTGCTCCGGTTAGAGAAAATGCAGCCCAGACGTTGGCAGCCCTGCTGCTGCACCTGCCTGAAGACATTGTTCTGAAGACATTTGCGGCTCTCACACAATTGATCAAACAGGATTTTGGACAATCAGATTATAAAATGACGTGTTGGGAAGCCAGACATGGAGGCATGCTTGGTTTACGATACTTCGTCAGCATCAGAACAGATTTGTTGTTCAGTCATACAGAGCTACTTGACGCCACAATAGATATGGTTTTGTTCTGTCTCCATAGTAGTGGTGATGACGATGTTCAGAGCGTTGCTGCCTCCACGCTGATCCCTATCGCTAGCGACTTTGTCAAGCTCAAACTGGATATGGTATTCAATATTGTGAATGTGATTTGGCAAGGACTGACCGATTTGAAGGACGACCTAAGTGCTTCGATTGGATCCGTGATGGATCTGCTAGCAAAACTTTGTTCGCATAAAGAGGTTCTCGATAAAATGAAGGAGTACGCCATTGAGAACGAGGACCTTAGCTTCAAAAATCTAATTCCTCGCCTATTTCCTTTTCTCAGACACTCCATTACCAACGTTAGAAAATCTGTGCTCAAAACATTGCTTGCTTTCCTGGAAATAGAGGATGTCACCGTCAAAAACTGGATAGATGGAAAAGCGTGCAGACTCATTTTCCAGAATTTGCTTGTCGAGCAGAACGCAGATGTGCTACAACTTTCAGAAAAAGTATACTACACAATGATCGATCAAATATCACAAGGCGCTCTTGGATCAATTGACGACATTTTCGCCGATCACATCACTCCACTGATGACCCTTCTGATGACTCCTATAGGTGTGGCTCGTTTTAACTACTCCATGAATCCAAACTGTATTCTTAGACCAAGCGGTCAGACCTTATCGTTCAATGACATTCCACTGACAGGTTTTAATATAGAGGAGATGAAACCAAAACAGAAGAAACGAAAAATGTCTGACGATCAGCAGCAAGGTTCTGGAAAGCTCAAACAAAATGATGCGGGCATTCCGGAGACAGAGTATGACAATGCTGTGAATATAGACGCACCAATGATAAATGGTGATTTAACATTGGTTGGAATTGACATTGTTGTGAAAACAAGGCTGGCTGCAGCCACCGCTCTTGGGCGCACCCTTGCTCGCTATAATTCACTGGAAAATCTAGAGCCTATATTTGACAAATTGGAGGCCTACTTCAAGGACCCGCATTCCACTCCTCGTTTGTTCGCCTGCATAGTTCTTGAAGAGTATTGTCAGAGTTGTATCGACCAAAAGAAGCCTATCGAGGAATCAACCAAGTCAAGGTACCTTCCAACGCTTAATGAGGCCTTATCCAATCCAGAAAGTCTTCCATCCTTCAGAGAATTTGTTCCTATACTGAAAGGTCTTAGAACCCAATGTCTCCAGCTTTTCCAAATATTCAGAGAGCAAGCTAGAGTTTCCTCGAGCAAAATCCCAACGCTTCCTGTCCTGGTGCAGGGAGAGGAAGATGCCGGCCCAGATGCGTTTGGTATTGAGCTGGCGACTTCAATAGTCAATGATGTGTACAACAAACTACTCAAGTCGCTGACCCCCGTCTATAAGATGTCTGCATTACAGTCGTTGGAGGACGCCAAACATCGTGTCAATATGGCCGTTACAGAGGCAACAGCTTCGAAAACCAATCGTTCCACTGGAATATTGTCTTCTTACTCGTCGGCAGTTTTGAAGCTCTCTGGGTTGCCGAAGAAGCTAACACCATTAATCCGGTCTTTGATGGAAAGTATCAAGGCCGAGGAATCTTTGCTCTTACAAGCAAGAGCAGCTTCGACAGTTTCTACCCTGATTATGGAACTGAACAAAGTTGGCAAAACTGGAGCTGTAGACAAAATGGTGAAGAATCTTTGTGGGTTTTTGTGTGTGGATACATCAGAAGTTCCTGAATTTGTTCCTAACAAGGAATTTACAGATATAATTTTATCCTTGAGAAAAGAAGAAGCCAAGACCGATCCAGCAGACCTTGCTGCTGCCGAAAGAGAGATACTCTTGGCTAAAATAAAGAGGCGCGGTGCCAAAGTTGCTCTAGACGACTTGATCGAGAAGTATGGAACAGAGGTCTTTGACAAACTGCCAATTTTGAAGAATATCGTTTTTGAACCGTTGGATATACTTTCACGCACAGAGTTCAGCGATGCTGAAGGTCAGCAGGCCGTCGACTCGCTGGAAATTTTGCGTGCGCTGTTAGGCAAAATGGATAGATCCCTGCAACTGACAGTTGTGGATAAGCTTCCTATAATTCTGGAAGGAATCAAGTCCAAGTATTCAGTGTTCCGTTATTCTGCTGCCAAATGCTTTGCCACGATATGTGCCACGCTGCCATCAACAGGATTCCAATTTTTCGTGAAGCATATTCTTTCACTTCTAAACAATGCCCTTGATCTCAAGGACAGACAGGGAGCCATTGAATGTGTCTACAGACTATCAATTGTCATGGGATCTGACATCTTGCCTTATGTTGTCTTTTTGCTTGTTCCTGTGCTGGGCCGGATGAGTGACGCAAACCACGATGTGAGACTTCTCAGCACTACAACTTTTGCATCGATTATCAAGCTGATACCTTTGGAGGCAGGAATTCCGGACCCTCCAGACATGCCAGAGGAGCTGCTTGGTGGAAAAGACAAAGAGCGCGAGTTCATACAGCAGATGATGGATCCTACAAAGATCAAACCCTTCGAGCTTCCAGTTTCCATCAGGGCAACATTGCGGAAGTACCAGCAAGAGGGCGTTAATTGGCTTGCGTTTTTGAATAAATATCACCTTCATGGTATTTTGTGTGATGATATGGGGCTCGGAAAGACTTTGCAGACAATTTGCATAGTGGCTAGTGACCACCATCTTCGCGCAGAAGAACATAAAAAGACACATTCTACGGAGTCGCGTAAACTTCCAAGTTTAATCATATGCCCTCCATCGCTCACAGGCCATTGGGAACAGGAATTTGAGCAATATGCTCCGTTCTTGAACGTCGTTGTTTATGCGGGCTCGCCTTCGTTGAGAGCCTCCATTCGGTCCCAGCTTGCCGGGGCAGATGTGGTGGTGACTTCTTACGATGTGGTCCGTAATGACGTTGAATTTGTCAGCTCCATCGACTACAATTACTGTGTCCTTGATGAGGGCCACATTATCAAGAACGCCAACACGAAATTGACACAGTCGGTGAAACGCATCCGTGCAGAGCATCGGTTGGTACTTTCAGGAACTCCAATCCAAAATAACGTGCTTGAGCTGTGGTCATTATTTGACTTTTTGATGCCAGGATTCCTCGGCACCGAGAAAATGTTTCAAGACAGATTTGCCAAACCGATCGCTCTTTCGCGAACCAACAAGGGACCCAAGGAACAGGAGGCCGGCGCGCTAGCATTGGAAGCCTTGCACAAACAGGTGCTACCATTTATGTTGCGGCGCTTGAAGGAGGACGTTCTTTCTGACCTGCCTCCGAAAATCATCCAAGACTATTACTGCGAGCTGTCCAGCTTGCAAAAACAACTGTACAAAGATTTCATCAAGAAGCAAAAGACAAACGTCGAGAAGGATCTTACTGCGTCCGATGAAAACCAGAGCAAGCAACACATTTTCCAGGCTCTTCAGTATATGCGAAAGCTGTGTAATCATGCTGCTCTAGTTCTGACGCCAAAACATCCGCAGTATAACGATGTCATGAAGTATCTCAAGACGTACGATATGGATATCAGGGACATTGAGCACTCGCCAAAGCTGATGTCGCTGAAAAACTTGCTTCTTGAGTGTGGCATAGGCAGCGACGGTGGTCAAAAGGGCGTCATTCCAGCGGAAAATGTCATTTCTCAGCACCGTGCACTCATCTTCTGCCAAATGAAGGATATGTTGGACATGGTGGAAAACGATCTTTTGAAGAAACACATGCCTGGCGTCACATATCTTCGACTAGATGGGTCCACCGAGCCTCGGAAGCGGCAAGATGTCGTTCGCAAGTTCAACAACGATCCCTCTATTGATGTCCTTCTTCTAACCACTAAGGTTGGAGGTTTGGGTCTCAATTTGACAGGAGCAGACACCGTGATTTTTGTTGAGCATGACTGGAATCCAATGAACGATCTTCAGGCCATGGATCGTGCCCACAGATTGGGACAAAAGAAGGTGGTGAACGTGTACCGGCTGATTACTAAGGACACTCTGGAAGAAAAAATCATGGGACTACAAAAGTTCAAAATGAACATTGCTTCTACGATTATCAACCAGCAAAACTCCGGACTTGCGTCGATGGACACTAACCAGTTGCTAGACCTGTTTGATTCGGATCCAGACGCGGAAACAGAGATGAAGCAACGGGAGAAGGAGAAATCCGGGCCCGTTTCTGATAAGCTCGGCTCTTTGGACGTGCCGAATGAAGTTGGTTTGTCTGGAAAAGCCGGCAGTGCTGTTACTGAGCTTGCCGAACTCTGGGACGAAAAGCAGTACGAAGAAGAGTACAATTTGGACTCATTTATCAAGACCCTGAAATAGTGTAAAATAGAAAATTGTGAAATAACAAGAAAACTCGGTGGCTTGGTGTTGAGGCTATTGTACTATTGTTCCTGGGTTTTTTTATTATTCTAATACATAGGATCTCCGAGCGCCACCTGATGTGCATATTTCCTATTGAATGACAATAGTAATACAATAGCGGCACAATAAATACCAAAGTTGCCTAAGCAGCATTTGGCTAAAAGTATCGCTGGCGGTGGAAATAGTATTTTTAAGTTGGAGGAACATTGAAAAAAAAAACAATTGTAATTATATTTTTTCCGACATGGACCAGCAACTAATTGCACAACAAATGAACGGCAATCCTGTCTCGCTGGGCTCTCAAGAGGTTTCGTCGTTGGAAGCCCGTTTTGCGCAAGAGAATGCAGAGACTTGGATTGCAATCGGAACCTGTGCAGATACCATCGGCAATGTCGAGAAAGCCGTTGAGGCTTTCTCTACAGCGTTACGGTACACGCCAAATAACCCAAAAGCTTTGACGCAGCTGGCCAATGTTTACAGAACTCGGGACGCCTTCGCCGAGGCCGCAGATCTGTATCGCAGAGCCCTGTCTCTGGACCAGAACAACGGTGAAACATGGGGTCTTCTCGGACACTGTTACCTGATGTTGGATGACCTGCAATCCGCCTACACCGCTTATCAGCAGGCGCTTCTCAATCTGCAAAACCTGAGCGTTCCAAAGTTGTGGCACGGAATAGGCATTTTGTACGACAGATACGGCTCCTTGGAGTATGCAGAGGAGGCGTTTGTTCGGGTTTTAGAAATGGACCCTCAATTCGACAAGGCCAACGAGATTTACTTCCGGCTCGGAATCATCTACAAGCTTCAGGGCAAATTGTCCAAGGCCCTTGAGTGCTTCAATTACATACTCTCCATGCCTCCGGCTCCTCTGACCCAGACCGATGTTTGGTTCCAGATGGGGTCGGTTTTGGAGCAGAACAGAGACTACAACGGCGCCAAGGAGGCGTATGAGCGCGTGTTGCAGAGCAACCCGAATCACTCCAAGGTTTTGCAACAACTGGGATGTCTGTACTCGCAGCAGGAGGCTCCATTCCACGACTTCGACGTGGCCCAGCAGCTGCTGAGACAGTCGATTGAACTCAACAACGCAGACGCCCACTCCTGGTACTACCTTGGCCGTGTTTACATGTCTAAGCAGGACTATCCGAACGCTTACGAGGCCTTCCAACACGCCGTCAATATCGACTCGAGAAACCCAACGTTCTGGTGCTCTATCGGCGTTTTGTACTACAAAATCAGCCAGTACAAGGACGCGCTGGATGCCTACACCAGAGCCATCCGTCTCAATCCTTATCTGTCCGAAGTCTGGTACGATCTCGGTACGTTGTACGAGACGTGCAACAACCAGATCGGGGATGCTCTCGACGCCTACCACCGCGCGGCGTCTCTCGATCCAAGCAACCCACACATCCAAGAAAGACTCATGCAGCTCACAAAGTACCAGAAAGAAGGCGGTGCGCCACCTCCGCCTCCTCAAAGCCATCACCAGCTGAGTATGCCTACCCAGCAACAGGTGCTCCAGCAGCAACAGCAACAGCAACAACAAGAACAGCAACAGGCTGCAGGGCCTGCACCGGGGCAGCTCAAAGTTGGCCAGCCGTCGGCCACTGTGAACGCGAAGGTGGCTGAAAGAGAGACGACACCCGAACCGGAGAGGAGTAATGGCGTCAAGCGAGAAGCAGTGGAGCCACCAGAGGAACCGCACAAGAAACAGAAAGTGGAGTCTGCCGAGCCCGTTGACGCTACCGAGTCGGCCACCTCGGCCACTCCGAGAGAGCTCTCAGAGCCTGCCCAACATGTTCCACCCGCTCAACCTGCTGAGTCTGACGAGCCCGCAAAGACAGAGGAGCCTACGATCGAACTGAAGCCGATGGAAAAGGAAGAGGTGGATGAGTTGAAGAAGTCGTCGGAAGAAGTGAAGGAGCAAGAGGTGCAGCGGGCTGTTTCAAGCGAAGCTCCTGTGCGGAAGATTGAGGAGGAAGACGATTACGACGACGAAGACGAAAGAGACGAGAACGACGAGAACGACGAGAACGACGAGCAAGAGGAAAAGGCGGAGGAGAGGGCCAGCGAGCCTGCCGATGTGGAACAGAGTAGAGAGGAGCCAGCAGAAGCTAGAGACGAAATACGCCTGCCGCAGCCGGATGTGGAGAACACCAAGCCTGAGACTCCAGCCGACGCAACAGATTAAGTACACTAGTGTTATCATTATCTATAAGCGATTATGTCATTCTATAACTGAATCCAGAAACTCTTTGATCTTGGCGAGTGTCCGCGCTTTCACGTCATCGGGCACCATGCTGAGCGCCTGCGGTTGTAATCTATCCACGAGTTCCACAAATCGTAGATCTTGCGACTCGGGCGTTCTTGCGATCGTTTCGGACGCGAGCTCAGCAAACTGCTCAGTCCAGCCAGAGTTTGCGAGTTGGATTTTCAAGAAGTTGTAAATGTCCTGGTACTTGCCCGACGCTATTAGCTCCTGTTCCAAGCGCGCCTTTATATCTTGGCTTGACATGATTAAGTAAATGGTGAAAATATTCTGGTGTGTGGTGTATGTTTGGAAGATTTAGTACCCTATTTTTACGGAGGATGAGCAACTCTTCGAATTTGAACGCCGCCAAGGTCACCAATGTCCGGCCAATGGCCAACGAGGACGCCAAGTGGCTCCAGCTCAGCAAGATCGATTATGTGTCTCCTGATGGCAAGGCCCGTCAGTGGGAGATGGCTTCTCGCAGGACCCGCCCCGAGGGCACGTCTGTGGACGGTGTCGGCATCATTGCGATCATTGAGAAGGACTCAGGGCCCGAGGTTGTTTTACAGAAGCAGTTCCGTCCTCCTGTCGAGGGCGTGTGCATTGAGATGCCTGCCGGATTGGTCGACCCCAACGAGTCTTTACAAGAATGTGCTATGAGAGAGCTTAAAGAGGAGACCGGCTATGTTGGCAAGGTGCTGACCACAGGGCCGCTCGTCTTTAACGATCCTGGCTTCTGCAACACCAACACGGTGATTGTCACTGCCAGCATTGACATGGCAGACCCGCGCAACCAGAATCCACAGCCTGAGCTGGAGGAGAACGAGTTCATCGAGATCTTCACTCTTCCGTTAGCTACTTTCTACGAGAGTCTGGAGAATTTGGGTAAACAGGGGTACAAGCTTGATGCTCGTCTACAAAACATTGCAATGGGACTAAAGCTTGCAAGACTTTATGGGGGCAAGTAAGGATGGTAAATTTAAAATTGCTGGAAAGTTAATAACGATGATGAAAGTAACGAGAACGAGTTGTATTTATGATTAAAAAAGTAGACGAGTAGAATGCACTGCCGATTGCTCGTGCGGCCTACCAATGCTATAGACCGAAAAATGCCATTTGGGTCGTCGATCAATAAGCTTAGACTACAGGAACACAATTTTTACTCAGTAAATAATTTTGCAACAATTATGGGAAGACCAAGAGTAGGTATACCACTGACGCAGCTAACAATTTAGCTTATTCTGCTTGTGCGACACGGAGAGTCCCAGGGAAATAAAGACAAGTCGGTGAACAGATACATAGCCAACCACAAAGTGCCCTTGACAGAAAAGGGACACGAGCAGGCAGCCATGGCGGGGAAACAGCTGAAAGAGTTCCTGAAGCCGGACGACTCGTTGTGTTTCTACACCTCGCCATATTTGCGAGCTCGTCAGACACTTGAGGAACTTGTGGAGGCGATTTCAGATACAAATATTCCATATAAAACGTACGAGGAACCAAGGATGCGAGAACAGGATTTCGGCAATTTCCAGGGTACCGGAGAGGAGATGGAGCAGATCTGGATTGAAAGAGCACAGTACGGACATTTCTTCTACCGCATACCGTACGGGGAAAGCGCGGCAGACGTCTACGATCGGTGTGCTTCATTCAACGAGACGCTATTTCGGCAATTCAGCAAAGAGAGTTTCCCTTCTGTGCTGGTCCTGGTGACCCATGGGATATGGGCACGTGTCTTTCTGACCAAGTGGTTCAGATGGAGCGTAGAGAAGTTTGAGGACCTGCAAAACGTGCCTAATTGTCGCTGGATAGTGATGGAAAAAGATGAGAACACGCAGCGTTACGCCCTGCGCACACATCTGAATACATGGTCAGAGCTTGAACAGACGAAAAGAGAGGAAGAAGTCAAAAGAGATGCCGGGAGAGAGTTCACGTTCAACAGCACAGTGCCTCTCACGGACGATGAGGTAAGACAGGTAGCCGACGCGGAGGCGCGAGCGAAAAACGAGCAGGTGCAGAAATCGCTAAAAATCAAGCGTCTGTTCGATAAGTTGAAACAAGACTGTCAAGACGCGGACGACGACCACGAAGATCAAAGTTGCAAAAATAAAGTGTAATACGAAAAAATGAATAGCAAATTCTGACGGCCTAGGCTACGACCCGCTCTTTAGCCGACGGTGGGGTCCCAACACCATCGCTGTATAAATATCACAGCGGGCACTACTTTATAGCCTTGAAACCGAATCTTTACAATACCCGGAGCTAATTGTCCCGATCGGCCAGCCGCAACAGCCGCAACACCTGATTAAGTTCAAAAAAACCCTTGCCCCAGAAAAATAAGTATCGGAGTGGTTCAGCACGTAGCTCTAAAAAACGTGATATAAAAAGTGAGAGGATTTCCCAACTGCTGTCAATTAAAAGTTAAACACATATTTTCAAAATGGTACGTTCCGCATTAACGCTGGTCCATGCGATCTCTGGCCATCTGAGACCCGCTGACCACTCCCGATATTCAGAAACTAACTCCTCACCCCAGGCTAGACAATTCTTCGTTGGTGGCAACTTCAAAATGAACGGTTCAAAGGACTCGATTCAGACGATCGTCCAGAACCTCAATTCCGCTTCTCTTCCTTCCAATGTCCAGGTCGTGATTGCTCCTCCAGCTCCGTACCTTTTCTGGGCCGCTGAGCACAACAAAAAGCCCACCGTGGAGGTGGCTGCCCAGAACTGTTACGACAAGGCTTCTGGTGCCTACACTGGAGAGGTTTCCGCTGTGGCTCTCAAGGACTTGGGCATCCCATGGGTGATCTTGGGTCACTCTGAAAGAAGAATTATCTTCAAGGAGTCTGACGAATTGATTGCTTCCAAAACTAAATTTGCTTTGGACTCTGGTCTCAAGGTGATTTTATGTATTGGAGAGACTCTTGAGGAGAAAAAAGCCGGCAAGACCTTGGAGGTGTGTAAGAGACAGCTTCAAGCTGTGCTTGACGTTGTGTCCGACTGGACCAACATTGTGATCGCTTACGAGCCAGTTTGGGCCATCGGTACTGGACTGGCTGCTACTGCTGAGGACGCACAGGAAATCCACAAGGACATTAGAACTTTCCTGAGTACCGCGATTGGCTCCCAGGCCGAGTCTGTTAGAATCTTGTACGGAGGTTCTGTGAGTGGCAAGAACGCTAAGGACTTTAGAGGCAAGGAGGATGTCGATGGATTCTTGGTTGGAGGTGCTTCCTTGAAGCCAGAATTTGTTGACATTATCAAATCCAGAGAGTAAATATATCTATTTTTCGTCGTCGTCTTCGAATAACTCGAGTAAGTTTATGTCTACCATTAGTTGTCTGGAGAGCTCGATCGCTCTATCCTCGCATTTTTTGATCGAGCCGCTTACAGCTGAGCACTTGATGATCACGTCCTGCCCGCGCAGCTGACGAATGAATGTAAGAGCAGCAATGATGTATCGCACATTTTCCCTGTGTATTCGTATTATTCCGGTGCTTGTGCGGTTCGAGAAGTACTTTATTGATAGCGAGACGGCCATCGAGAGACCGTAGTCTCCAAAGTTATTTTGGAGAGCCGTTTTTATTTCCTGAACCAGCAGCTTGGGTGTGATTTTGGCATCACAGGGGCGATGGAGAGCGAGTATCGCATCCTTGCGACTCCCGTAGAAGGGCTCTGGAGGCTCGGGATGGATGATCTCAAATAAGATATACCGGGACTTGAGACGAACCATGACTGAAAAAAATAAATCGTCGCGCCGACAGGCTAAAGCATATCAAAAGATTTTCATTTCAGCATCGACGGCAAACTTAATCTTGTCTTTTGTTTCATCAGAAGTGTATGAACATTTGCTGTTTCCAGCGTCATACACTGAAACCTAAAGCAATACAACAAATACGCAAGATGTCGCAACAATGGACTGCCACTAAGGTCAGAAATACGTTTCTAGACTACTTCAAAGATAGAGGTCACACTTTTGTTCCCTCCTCCTCAGTGATCCCCCATGATGATCCTACTCTTTTGTTCGCGAATGCCGGTATGAACCAATACAAGCCTATCTTCCTAGGTACCGTGGATCCTTCTTCGTCGTTTGCCACTTTGAAGAGGGCTGTGAACTCACAAAAGTGTATTAGAGCTGGTGGAAAACACAACGACCTTGAGGATGTCGGAAGAGACTCCTATCACCACACATTTTTTGAAATGCTGGGCAACTGGTCGTTTGGAGACTATTTCAAGAAGGAAGCCATCCAATACTCCTGGGACTTACTCACCAGGGTGTACGGTCTTGAGGCAGACCGACTTTACGTGACATATTTTGAGGGCGATGCAGCCAATGGTTTGGATCCAGATCTAGAGGCCAAGCAGTATTGGAAGGATGTTGGTGTTGCAGATGACCACATTCTTCCTGGAAATGCCAAGGACAACTTCTGGGAAATGGGCGATCAGGGCCCGTGTGGACCATGTTCTGAGATCCACTACGATCGTATTGGTGGTAGAAATGCCGCATCACTTGTCAACCAAGACGATCCAGACGTTTTGGAGATTTGGAACAATGTGTTCATCCAGTTCAACAGAGAGCCGGACGGATCATTGAAGCCTCTGCCAGCCAAGCACGTTGATACCGGTATGGGCTTTGAGAGACTTGTTTCCGTTTTGCAGAATGTGAGATCCAATTACGATACCGACGTGTTCCAGCCTCTCTTCTCCAAGATCCAAGAGATCACTGGCGTCAGACCATACTCAGGGAAGTTTGGTAAGGATGATCTCGACGGTATTGATACTGCTTACAGAGTCTTGGCAGACCACGTGCGTACTCTAACTTTTGCTCTTGCTGATGGAGGTGTTCCTAACAACGAGGGAAGAGGTTACGTTTTGAGAAGAATCCTTAGAAGAGGTGCAAGGTACGTGAGAAAATACATGAACTACCCTATCGGTAAGTTTTTCTCTCAACTGGCACCAACTTTAATTGAGCAGGTCAAGGATATTTTTCCGGAGGTGGCTACCAACACGGACACCATTTTTGAGATTCTCGACGAGGAGGAAGCTTCTTTCGCGCGCACTCTTGATCGTGGCGAGAAGCTTTTTGAGCAATATGCCATAATTGCTTCCAAGACCCCCGAACAGACTTTGGCTGGAAGAGATGTTTGGAGACTCTATGATACCTACGGCTTCCCTGTTGACTTGACAAGACTGATGGCGGAAGAGGCCGGTTTGAACATTGATGATGAAGGATTTGAGAAAGCTAGACTGGCTTCTTTGGAAGCTTCGAAGGCTGGAGGAAGCAAGTCTGGTAAGACCTTGCTGAAGCTCGACGTCCACATTCTTGGTGCCCTTGATAGCAACAAGGATATTCCTGTGACCGACGACAGTTACAAGTACGGAAACAAGGACATCAAGACCAAAATTGTTGGTATCTACGATGGGAAGGAGCTTCTTGGTTCCACCGAGGGCACAGAAGCTGGTCAGCAGCTTGGTGTCTTGCTGGAAAGGACACCGTTCTATGCCGAACAGGGAGGCCAGGAATACGACACCGGTAAGATCGTCATTGATGGCCTTGCCGAGTTTGAGGTCGAAAACGTCCAGTCTTATGCTGGATACGTTCTCCACACCGGTCATGTTGTTGAGGGCAAACTCTCCGTTGGCGATCAAGTGATTGCAGGATACGACGAACTCAGAAGATGGCCCATTAGAAACAACCACACGGGCACTCACATTTTGAATCTTGCTCTTAGAGAGATTTTGGGTGACGGTGTCGACCAGAAGGGTTCTCTTGTTGCCGCCGAGAAGCTGCGTTTTGACTTCTCCAATAAGGCAGCAGTTACACTGGAGCAGCTGGACAAGATCGAGGCCATCTGTAACAAGATCATCAAAGACAGCATGCCTGTTTATTCGAAACCAGTCGCTTTGGATGTTGCAAAGAAGATTTACGGGCTCAGAGCAGTGTTCGGAGAGACTTATCCAGACCCTGTTAGAGTTGTTTCTATTGGTGTTCCCGTCGAGGAGTTATTGGCAAAACCTGATAACAAAGAATGGTATGACTACTCTGTTGAGTTCTGTGGTGGAACGCACGTCGCGAAAACCTCGGACATCAAGGATTTTGTGATTGTTGAGGAAAGTGGAATCGCCAAAGGTATCAGACGTATCGTTGCCGTGACTGGTACTGAAGCCCATGAGGTTCAGCGTGTTGCCAAGGAGTTTGATGAGCAGCTGGACGCGATTGAGAAAATGCCATTTGGCGAGGCCAAGGAGAAGAAACTCAAGGAGACCAGCACCAAACTCGGCCAGCTTTCCATCAGTGTTTTGCGTAAGGCGCAGCTGAAGGACAAGTTTGCCAAGATAGATAAGGCCGTGAAAGACGAGGTCAAGGCCAAACAGAAGGCAGACACAAAGAAGGCTCTCGACGCCGTGAAAGAATTCTTTGCAGAGCACGAGGACGCTCCGTTCCTTGCGAAACACATTGACATTTCTGCAAATGCAAAGATAATCACAGAGACGATCAACATGATCAAGAAAGAGAACAAGCAAAAGTCCTTGTTCTTGATCACTGGTCAGAAGGACGATGCTCGTGTTGCTCAGGGTGTGTACATCAGCGATGAGCACCTGGGCAAAGTTCAGGCGACTGAGGTCGCCAATGTCGCGGCCGCCTACATTGGTGGAAAAGCCGGAGGCAAGGGCAACGTGTGCCAAGGTATGGGAACTGAGGCTGCCCAAATTGACAAGGCCATCTCTGCTGTCGAGAAACTGCTCGAATCTAAATTGATTATGTAAGACTGGATTAATTATTCATGTTTTCAATATACCTGGTGCTTCTGTGCGCAGTGGTCTACGCGCAGGGACTTGATCTTTCGCAGTACGAGATCGACGTTCCTGGCCAGTTTACACCAGACAATCTATTTGAGAGGAGCGTGGAGCGTAGTCTGCCGCCACAGGATTTGTATGGACTGCAATCTGTTTCTTCATCGATTGGTTTCAATCAGTCGCAGACCTACGCTTTTGCCTTTGATTCGAAGATCGCCACTAGCAACGTCACACTGAAAATATCCATCGACTCAAGACCGACGTCCTGGCGGAGTAGCGACGAAGGGTTGGTGCTCTATTACGACTTTGGCGATGATCTGACAGATATTGAGGATACCACGAAAGTCGAGTTCAGGAACTCTGAGGCCATCCTCACGCTGAACGAGACACAGCTCAACATGCACTCGCTCATGTTTGCGCGGCTGATCTCCAATGGCTGCGCCCAGTGCAAGGATGACCAGGTGTGGACCTATACGATGGAGATATCTGCCGGATCGATCTACTTTAACTACACGGGAGAAAACCTAATATCTGTGGTCGATGTGGACGACGAGAGCGTTTTGTTGAGTGGCGCGGATTTGTGGTCCAATCCACATGCCGAGTTTGTGCTTTCGTTGTACAACGATGCAAACTACACCAGCGAGGTGTTGACACAGCCGATCGATAATAGCACGGTCACGGGAGACCGCAATCTCATTCAGATCTCTGGACTACAGAGCAATGCCACCTATTTTGCCACCTTTGCAGAACAGATCTCTGGAAACGACGTGACTCTTGTTCACCAACGCTTTAACTTCACTTTACGCGACTCGCAAGCGTGCAAGATCATTCACAACCTGGAATTCTGTAAGGATGTGGCATACGCGGTTCCGGCATCTGCGGCACTGGTTGACGGGGCTCAGACGGTGGACGAGCTTGCAGCCTTATATGACAACTACTCATCGTCTCTGTACGTGTATTTTGACTATGCGCTGCAACAAATACCCTGCGACACCGAGCTAGACTCAAGGTACTCACCTATCGTGACATGCGACGACTGCAGGCAATCGTATCGGCAATGGCTGTGTGCAGTGACCATTCCAAGATGTTCTACATTAGATGCTCCGTTATACAAGCTGTATAACGAATCAGAAGGAAGAACAGATTTTATTGCCGAGACGATTCAGCCGCCTCTGAGCTACTACGAGGTGCTTCCTTGTCTGAATATCTGCCAGGCGATCGTTCGAGATTGTCCGCCAGATTTTGGATTCAAGTGCCCTTCAACATCGGCGTTGATCAAAAGGAGCTATGGAGACGATAAATACCTTGACGAGGGAGACACCTACCTCGCATGCAATTCGTTCACCTTCGAATACACCAGTGCAGCCTCCAGGCTTATTAAAGTCCCATGGATTCTATTAATATTGAGTCTAGTTGTTTTGCTATGACCTAATCTTCCACCTTGACACGTTTAGATTTCTGTTCGTGCTCTTGAGCATCTCTATTCATGCCCAGGGCCGCGAGTTCTTCCTTAACGTTCACACAGGCCCCCTCTTTAAAGACTTTGGCGAGCACAGGCCCCCAAATTTTCGCATCTTGCTCAAAATCCTCTATATCAAAGACGTTTTTCTCCAAGTCCCATTCAGCTTGGTTCCGACGAATAAGTTTCACCATGTACGCTGACGAGCCAACAGCACGTCCCATATCGCTGATCAAAGACCGTATATATGTTCCGGAAGAAACCTTAGATGTGAAATGAAGCAGTGGTGCTTTAAATCCATCAGGGAGCTCCTTCACAGTTCTCAACGGCTCACACTCGCGACTCAATGACTCATCCTGGTTGCACAGTTCCATGTACTCTTTTGAAAAAGACACCTTGTGATTATTCAGTGTTGGGTTTCCGCTCAGCTTGTCAACGAGTGCGGTTCCATCTTCATCGACCTCGCTCTTGAGAAATTCATACGGATGATCTGTGCTGAGACAGTCATCCTTCAAATCGAGCTCATACACTTGAACCTCTCTTGGCTCGATCTTGCGCGGAAGAGGTAAACCGCGTCTGGCATATTCATACAGAGGCATTCCTTCCATTTTTAGTGCACTAAATATTGGCGGAGTCTGCTGCAAATGACCAACAAACATCTTTTCCAACAATTCCACTTTCTCTTTTGTAATATGGTCGACTCCGCTAATCGTCAGCAATTGGCCTTCAGAGTCTCCAGTCGTTGTCGATCCGCCAAAGAGTGCTTCCGCTTCATAAACTTTGACAGAGCCATTCAAATAGCCTCCCAGCTTCTTGGTTCCAGATCCAACACCAACAATCAATACCCCTGACGCTAGGGGGTCCAAAGTACCACCGTGGCCCATTTTCACTTTGAGTTGACGAAGCTTTTTCTTATAACCCTTAGGTTGAGTTCTATGAAGCTCTTTTTTGATTTCATCGAGTGCAGGTTTGAAAACCTCAGACTCATTGAAAATTTTGTTCACACGAGTAAGGAAATTGCTGGAGGTGACCCCTGACGGTTTATTTATTGCAAAGATTCCGTCCATAAGGGTACGACGGTACATAGACTTTTCCGTATAAAGTATTTTTTTTTATTTATTTTCCTATTTATTTACTACTTGTTCACTACCAGAATTATGTCAATTCAGCTTCTGAGCGCCGATTTGGCTGCATTGGTGGCCGAGACCAAACGGAAGAACACAGACATTCGCCATGCGGCCGATAAGTCGCTCGAGACTCTCAAAGCTGGACAGGGGAAAGACGAAAGAGCTTTTTTGAAATCGCTCTCCCAAAATCCAGACTTCATTAACCCTTTCCTCCTTGCTTGCCAATCCAAGAATGCTAAACTCACGGGAATTGCGCTCCAATGTTTTAGCAGACTAATTCCTACACACAGCTTACCTGCAACGAAAGTGGATTTAATAATCGACGCCTTATTAGAGTCTACTCATTCCGCGATAGATATACAACTCAAGATTCTGCAATTGCTGCCCTCCTTTTTCCAAGCGTACTCAATGTTTATTAGTGACGAATCGCTTTCTAAGTTGCTATTGGTATGCTCGTCATTGCAAAGCACAAATCGGATGGGTGCCGTTGTCAACACCGCACAAGCCACGTTTCTACAATTAGTAAATTTGGTGTTTGAGAAAGTCCACGACGAGGATCAAAAGGGAGGCTCGGAAGCCCTGTATGATGTCCCAATAAGTACTCAAGAAACAAGGAAGGTTGGGCCTTGCGCATATGATGCACAACGAATTGTGAACGACCTTTGCACTCTGATCGAGCACCACAAGCCAGCGTTTCTGAAAACAAACTATATCACCGAGGATTTTGGATTCGAATTACTAGAAAGCATAGTCAAGAACAATCGACAAACGTTTCTGGAACACGAAGAACTCGCTCATCTGCTAAGGCTCCGCGTGGCCCCAATCTTGCTGCGTTTCTTGTCGTCAAGCAAAGACTTCACGGTGATGGTCCGTGTATCGCGTTTGATCTCGCTCTTAATTCAAGAACAATTTGAGGTCCTCAAAATTGAGTCCGAAGTCACCCTCTCGCTTTTAAATCACACACTAACGAAAGAATCCGCGACGCCCGTTTGGAAACGCATTTTGTCTCTCGAAATATACCGTGCCCTATTCAAAAACTTTGAGCTAGTCAGCAAAATATTCACTGAGTATGACAACAATCAAGAAGAAGAGCGAAAGAAAGTCTTTGCTGATTTTTTCAGAGCATGTCTTGAAATCGTGAACGAGCATAAACCGATGCTTAACACCGGTGATCTGGTTCAGGCTCCTCTTAGCTCTTCAGCAAACTCTGACCCTGTTCAACAGGCTAATTCCTCAAAATCAAAAAAGCCAACGTCCAGCTCAGCGCCTGCCACTCTCCGTCAGGCAGAGGAGAAAAAGGTTGGTCTATCTGTCGCAAAGTCTGCGATCAAGTTTTCCTACATTGATTCACTTGATAAAGCCGACCCTCCCCATGTACCAGAAACCTACTCCTGCTATTTGGTCTGTCAGATAATCATAAGCTTCTGCGAAGGTATTTGCAAGGCTACTCTTGATTTGGCTTCCGAAGGAGAAACCGTCTCATTCTTGAACGAGACTACATTTTCTGAAAAGTCGAAGCAACAACAGTATGCATGCTTGAGCGTGATGTTGCTTTCCAATTCGAATGACTTGTTAGAGCTGCACAAAATTTTCATCTATTCGACAATAGATTCTGATCTTTTTTCCAAAGTTGTCAGATCTCTGCAAAAACTGTGCCATGCATCGGGGATATTGTCGCTGAAAGAAACAAGGAACAAAATTCTCAATTTCTTTGCAATATCCACTCTCAAGATAACGGGCAAAGAGGGACGCCAAAACAAATTCCTGTCATTCGGTGAGTCTATAGTAGGAACCATCAGTTCCACTATCGGAAATGCCGTTTCAAACATGGCGATGGCCTCCTCTGAGACAGAACCCATGCAGCTGTACAGCCGAAACATTAATTCATGTCAAATCATGTGTTTGCGGGTACTTCTGAGCTTAGCAACCTCTTTGGGTGCGGTTCTGGATGATAGCTGGGACATAATATTCATCACCCTTCAGTGGGTTAGCTACTATCTTGACGGTCCCTCAGACCTCAATATGAAGGAAATCCCGCCAATGCCCACCTTACTTAATGATCAAGACCTTGCACATGTGGATTCCTCGCTAAAAAAGCTCCGAGAAAGCTTAAATTCCCAATCAAAAGAAGTCTTCCATTCCATGGTCAGGTCTCTGATGCGTTTGTCATCGATGGTTCTAAAATCATCGCTGTCGAATGAAGATCGAAAGGGAACCAAACCGGTGGATGAAGGAAAGCTTGAGCCCTCCATTCTAAACAAAAGCTTCTTCGTCAACAAGCTCACTGAAATTTGCGAGATTAATCCCATCAAATTTCTTGTGGAGTCAAACCAGAACTGGCGTTGTATTAACGAGTTCAGCATTTCAACAGCAAAAGATAGATCACTAGAAGATTCACTTCGCATACTGGTTGCTCGAAATTTCAACACCATAGTTAAAAATGTCGCTGTAACAGGGTTTAATTCCGATTCAGAGGCCATTAGGAATGACACTGAAGACAAAGTCCTCAATTCATTGAACGACTTCATCGACAGTTTTGCCAAATTACCCACTTCTGAAGAGATCTTAGTGACGAACTGCGAAATAGAAATTCAGCTACTCACTTTGGATACATTGAAGGACATTGTTGACCAATACGGAACATTGATATCACACCATTGGAACGTAGTTACTCAAATGCTCAATAGCCCGTTTGATATAATTGGAAACATGGATGACGGTATGTTGAAGGAGAAAGCAGTGGACGACATTATCACCTCTGTTCTTCGCTCGACTTTCGAAACCTTGAAAGCCATTCTGGATACAGTGTTGCAAAGCATTGCAGCAAACCAAATAAAAGTCATCATTGATTGTCTCTACAACTTTGTGACTCAGAAATTTGACCTCAACATTTCCTTTAATTCTATTAGCTATTTCTGGCTTATCAGTGATCATCTAAAAGAGAAAATTGAATCTGAAGAAGTTGGCACTTCAACTATTGAAAATGTCACTGAGTCCAGGGAGCCACTGCAAAACTCCCTTGATCTCGACTCTCTAGCGCAAGCGCCGGATATCGAAAAATACAAAGGACTGTGGCTCTACCTCATTTTGCAATTATCCAAGACTACCTCAGATCCTCGAACGCAAGTCAGAAATGGCTCAATCCAGACTTTCTTCAACGTCATCGACTCGTACGGGCCACTTTCTCCTTCCTGGAAACTAATCTATGATATCACATTGAGTCCAGTTATTATGTCAATTGACCCAGCAGAAGACTTATCCATTGGATGGGTAGAAAGCTTCACATTAATTGTGAATGGTCTTAGCAAACTCTTCAGCCAATACTTTGATTACACTAGTGTATCAAGTATAGTATATTGGAGGGGCTTGTTTGATTTTTTCTCCAAAATGATCAACGTTGATACAAACTGGACTGAACTCAATCTACAAGTATTCAAAGCATTTTCTCACATAGTGACTAGTTTTCAATCTCAGCCACCACAAGAGCTAGTGGAAATTTTGTACGACTTCTGGGCTGGTTTCCAGATTTCGTACAATTTATCAGATGATTCGCTCTATCAGACCTCGCTGTCGGCGTTCATCGCATCATTCTCTGATTTGTTCAAAGTTTTGAAACCGGTACTGACTTTGACGAAGTTTGAGCATATTCTGACGCTGCTCAACTCCTGTATCAGATATCCGATTTTGACCGGAACACAGAAAGATAACCACAAATGCACAGAACTCCAAAAGCAGGTCATAGATACTCTTGCAGGTTTATCGTTCGATGATCTCAAGTACGAGTCGCTGCTGATCCAGCAACTCAACTTGATCGTTATTCTTCCTTTTTCAACTAGGGATCTGATTCAGAAAAAATTAGGAGCGAGGGTTTCTAAAATACCGACATTTATAGCCGCGAGCCACGAGGCATTGCAGCTTCTGAAACAGCACTTGGAGCCCATTTCGGATTTGACACCATTCTTGAATGACCGATGCATAATCAAAACCTACAAAGCGCTCTTAGAACCGTCAAAATCAAAAGATCCAGAGTTTAAGTGCAATGGCAATTACCTGTGGATGGAAAGCATGGACATTCTTGTCAATTTAAGCTCACAAGTGTCTCTCCTGCTGACACACCCGGACAAGATTAAAGAAGAAGTTAGAACACAGTTGAGCCAATTACTGATTCAAACGTTCAAAACATCCTTCAGCTATTCAACTTCCGAAGATCAGGAATCGGAGTCTTTTGACTTGGAGAAGTATCAGCAAATGAAAAGCTGTTTGGTGCCACTGTACTCTGAGAGTCCCTTATCCTCAAGGCTTGAAGTTGAAGAGTTCATTGTCACGGTGTGGACTTCATCTTTCCTTTACGCCTTGGATGACATTGAGAATTCAATATTGGAATCCTCAAAGTCTCCATCAGAGGTCGCTCAGAAATTATGCCATTATGATTTGAATCTTGTTTATGGTTCCACTTCGGAGCTTTCTAAGTTACCCAGACTCAAGCTTGCCAAGACTTGTTTGCAAGACCTGATTGAATTCTCGATTCCGCGAGAGAACAATTCGTTGTTTGAAAATTGTCTACCATACTTTATTTCTCGATGTGCATTTGCTCTTCGCAAACTACTGAGCGACGAGAGGCTTCTTTACAAACAGCCAGTTCCAAGAATTCAGCAAACCGAAATAAATATTGTCCTCAATGGCCTTATGACCATTACCAACGTGCTCGACACTTCTCCTGATCCGAAACCAGTCTATGAGAAGTTGATGGTACTTTATCCTCTTCTTGTTCAGGCTATAGCTGTGAAGACAGATACAAACATGCTTATGCAAAAACTCACCTTGAAACTTGGCAGGAATCATTAACTTCGCTCTATTATATATGTCATGAATTTGAGGGCGCCGTTTTATACGACGAGTAGGTTTGAGTGGTCGGATCACGGGATGCTTCTGGCAGGCCCGATGTTGACTCTCCAGCCAGCAAGATATTGGATGGAGTTTGTTCCTGAAGGGTGCTCTGTAAGCTGGTAGGATTGTACACTGTTGGAATGGTGTGTTTGGCTCCCAACCCTAACCTGACGCGTTCATAATCTCTCCATGTCATTTGGACAATTGATGATCCATCAAATTCACCATCTTTGTTATCATGGGCTCCCTTGTCACCACCTTGCAGTTTTCTCGTGTCCCCCCAGCTGAAGTCATCGAATTTCCAGAACGCGTAAGCAGGGAGCACAAAATTCCATATGGGTAGGGATAGGAAGTATACAAACATCCACAAAATGTATCTCAAATCCGAAATTGTAACAAGGATCAGTACCCCCGGTAGTCCAAAGATAATAGCCATAAGGATCAAGGACATGACAGGGGTTGGTGTGGTGACTAGGGAAATCACAATGATATAAAGTGTGAATGTAATGGAAGCAGGCAAAACCAGAGTTCCAACGAGCTCCACTGCGATAATGAAATTCATTGAGAAACAGAACGTGCCACAAAGGTCTTTCACGAGTACTAGCTCCATTAAGTTGTGAACCGTCGAGTTGATCCATCTTCTCCGCTGAGAGAGAAGAACGCTGAACTTGTCTGGAACAACGGTTTTGCATGCTGCTTTTGGAACAAACACTTGTTTTCGTCTTGGAAACGTGCGGAGCATTAACGATGACAGGTATCTGTCTTCACCCAGTAAGAGAAGGTTCTTCTTATGGAGACTGTCGAGAACATTCTCCGAGTACTTCTCGACAATATCGGAATTGGCCAGGATGGGAACCCATACATTCAGATCCTTTGGTGTTTTGATTCGATACATGCAGAAGCAACCCGGAAGACACGTCACAGTACCAAAAACAGACTCAAATGCTTTGGACTGATGATGGGAAATATAGTACTCAAAAACTTGGATCGCAGTGACCCAAGATTGGGCTTTGTTAGATATCTTTGTTTCTCCACATAGTCCCATGACGTCTGGATTCTTGACCATTTCTGCATTCATGTGGGTAAGGGAGTCGGTGTAAATCAAGGTGTCTGCATCGACCATCAATACAATCTCGTACCAATTGGCCATCAATCCCGTGACTTGCCATATCGCCCGCATCATCTCAAACTCCAGCTCCGTCATTCGATCGTTGAATGTGACCTTCTGGAGGAAAGACATCAAGATGATTTGCGAATCTCTCTTTCCACGGTTACCAGGTTTGGCGCTATCTGCTTCTGAAGGTGTTCCACACTTGACAACCAGCAGAATGGGGTTCTTCTGTTGTTTTTCGGGTGGTACCGTTGCATCATTGTATTTATAGAATCCAGAGTAGACTTTTGCCATATTGTGTCGTTTGGAACCTTGAGCGACCGACACGTAAGAGTAAGGCTTAACATCCTCCTTTGGAACAACAAAACCAGTCATCAGATCCAAACAGATATCTGGCGTTGATCGATCATTCCCTGCTCCAGTTATGATTCCGTCACAAATCACGACAATGAGCTTGTGCGAGTTCGGATAGTCTGTAGTAGCCAAAGAGTCCAATGTGGTCCTTATCCCTTCTTCATCCTCGGAGTAGCAGGTAACAAGACACATTGTATGAACTAGAGGATAACCAAACGGTTCCCAGCTGATGGGAGGCTGGCAAATAGCATCCGGTGCTATCAAATCAAGTCCCAAAGTGTGAATGTCGCTATCTTCAGTTCCCAAGAACAGACCGTTCTGAGCAGAACAGTCTCCACCCCAGCACTCTTGGAATGCCATTTTCGGCTGTACCTTGCCTTTCTTCGCGCGGCTGGTGAGAATGAACGCCTCTGTAGTCATTGTGAGATACTTGGGATGGTATTCCTGTATTGAAATAGGTTTTGAGTCATCTTCAATAAGCCCAGATACATCTTTTCCCCACGAGAGTTTTAGGTTCTTATAGTTCATTACCTTTGCGTGATAGTCGGCCCTCCTCTTGATTGGAACGGTAGAAATGGGAGCAGCAGAATTAGGATCGTCGACCCATTCTTCGATAGAACGATCTCGTTGTGCAGAGCTTTTGATGGAGGTGACTGATGCTCCCTGTTTTCTTGCCACGCACCACTTGAAATAGCAGGCAACAACGAACTTTGCAATGACAATTGACAAAACAAATACCAGAGATACGTATAGCACTATTGTAGCGGCGATGCAGCCGATGGTGTCAACGTCGACAACCCCAACTTTCAAGATTTCAATCAAGCAATTAGCAGCCTGTCGCTCGTGTGGCTCAGTTAGGAGTAAAGATAAATCATGTCCTTTCATGGTGGGATCGTTTTTAAGCTTGTCGAATAATTCCGGATAGTCTAGATCATCTTTTTGCAACCAATCCAAAAGTCCCATGTCCAAAACATACCCGTTGTAAACAACAAGGTTTCGGGAGCCTTTTGTTATGGAGTCCCATGTGTAGTAAACATCCCCTTGAATATCTAGTCTGTAAAAGTTCTGTCTTGATTTTGCAGACGTGTGGCAAGCATATCCGTTGTAGTGCACTTGAGTGAAATTAGGTTTGCTAGAGCCATCAAGGCTAAACAGTTTGCATGGCATATACCATGCGAGCTCAGTTGCCGTATGTGGAATGGTACAGTTTTCCTTCGGAACAATCAGTCCTTTGCAGTTGCCATTGACATTCTGGAACAAAAAAGTCGCGTCCATACCGCCTGCATTGACCGGAGGATACAGAATGTTGGTACCTGCTTCTATGCCCACTGCTGCCGGGTGCGATGAGTGGTCTAAAACGTATGCACGCCCATTGATTACCAGATACCCGGTGTTGATGTCAGAGGGTTTGAGTCTCATTCGTAGGCCCGTGCAAGTGGTCCTGGTAAAGCCAAAGGTGAGAAAAGCAATAATAGAGCCTGTGCAAAGAATGATAGAAATCAAGGCTATCTTTTCTCTCCAAGCATATTGTCGCTCTTTGGTTTTGAAGCCGAGAAAGGATAGTAACGGCGGAGGAGCCCAAAATGTCATGGCATAGCAGTACATTTTCCAATACGAGGTGATTTTAGGGTCCGATTCTAGATGTTTGAATTGAGGTAGCGCTTTCCTCAATAAGTCAGGCTCGCCGCCACCCGTACCCTGGACATCGCTCTCCGAGTTTTCTGCCACTGCTGTCAAGACATCTGTTGGAGGAGCAAAAGGCATACCCTTATTTTTTTTCTCTAGGTCCTGGATAAGTTTGTCGCCATTATGTTGCGACAGTGTGTCCAGTGTGAAAGATAACGTGGGTGAAGATCTGCGGAGAGGTTTTGTATGGTGCGAATAATCGAGAGAGCGAAGTGACGACGCCCTATTTAGCCGTCCTCCTTTCTTGTAACGGACGGAGCGTTCTCTTCTGACGAGAGATCGTTTCCGTCCCACGCGCTGGCTTTCAGGATCCAGTATACCGCGATCGGAACTACCAATGGTATATCGCCGAAAGTGTGTCTGTTTTTCCATGGACCTAGCGGTAATCTTGAAAGAGGGAGAAAAAATAAGGGAATTTTTTGTGAGAGATCAGGAAAGGGCCAAACTTGGGCGCGACCGACCACAAGCAAAGTCGTTTTGAGTAGCCTCCATAATCTGCCGTTTATGTGCCGGCCCAAATGCAGCCAGCGTAATGGTTGGGTTCCGGCATGTTACCTGAGCGGGTAGAGCAGACAATGGGATAATACTTTGGATTGTTTTGTCAACCAGACCAAGCCTGCGCGAAAATTGGAATTCGCGGTTTTGTCCACAGCCTTATTAAATGTTTTAATTAACCCAAAAATCTTAATTACGTACTTTCGCGTCAGTAATTATCCCAATAAGGCAGGACCGCGCCGCAAATGTTTCACTCAAAAAAACTCTTCTTCTTCCACCATGTCCAGACGTAGCCCTAGAAAGAGAACGATCATCGACGACGATAGCGACGAGGAGGCTGGCACGGGATCTGTCATGCCGTCCTCACCTGCTGGCGCTGGCTCGTCGGCCGGATCGTCCCCTCGTCACATGCCTTCCTCCCCTGGTCTCCCTTTTGACGATGAAGAGGAGGAAGAAGAACGCGAATATTTCAACGATGTGGATGATTTGGAAGAGCAGCTGGAAGAGCAAACCGGTGTTGATCTGATTGGCGACGCGATGGAGCGCGACTACGTCGCCAATCCTGAACAAGACACATACGAAGAGGCTGATCTCGATGACCGGGAGTATGAAGAGCTGTCCGCCGCAGAGAGAAGGCGCGTCGACCAGATGCTCAACCAGCGCGACCAACTTGTGCGAGGCGCTAATTTGGATCTCGACGATGCTATGGATAACGATGTGCCAAGAGATGAGTACGGTCTGCCTATTCAGAGACGGCGTAGAAGACACCAGTACGACGAAGATCCCGAGGATTATCTGGAAGACATGGATCCGTTGACAGAGGAGCTGAGCTTGGAGGCTCTTGCCGAAGTCAAGGCTCCTTCGATTCTTGAATGGGTGGTTATGCCAAACGTGACTAGATCGATTGCCAGAGAACTAAAATCGTTCTTGCTGGAATTCACCGACGAACAGGGTCGGTCTGTGTATGGAAGTCGAATCCGGACGCTAGGTCAGATCAACAGTGAGAGTCTGGAAGTTTCATACGTGCACTTGCTGCACTCGAAGGCTGTTCTGGCCCTTTTCCTCACTACGTGTCCAGAGGAGATCTTGAAGATTTTTGATGTGGTTGCCATGGAGGCCACCGAGTTGCATTATCCAGATTACAGCCAGATCCACTCTGAAATTCATGTCCGGATCGCAGACTACCCAACAATCAACAACCTGAGAGAGCTCAGAGAGGCCAACTTGAACTCCCTGGTTCGCGTGAGTGGTGTTGTTACAAGAAGAACCGGCGTGTTCCCGCAGCTGAAGTACGTTAAGTTCAACTGTCTCAAGTGTGATGCTGTGCTGGGACCGTTTTTCCAGGATTCGAACCAGGAAGTTCGCGTCACGTTCTGCACCAACTGTCAGTCTCGTGGACCGTTCAGAATGAACACGGAAAAAACACTGTACAGAAACTACCAAAGAATTACCCTGCAAGAGGCTCCGGGATCTGTTCCCGCTGGAAGACTGCCTCGCCATAAGGAGGTGATTCTGCTATGGGACCTTGTTGATGTTGCCAAGCCTGGAGAGGAAATTGAGGTTACCGGAATCTACAAAAACTCCTACGACGGTACGCTGAACGCCAAAAACGGCTTCCCCGTTTTCACCACTGTGATTGAGGCCAACGCTATCCGGCGGAGGGAGGGAGCGGCCAAGGGAGTGTCGGATGGCTCGTTGATCGAAGGCGGTCTCTCGCCATTCCAATGGACCGAGGAGGAAGAGAAGAGAATTCGTCAATTGAGCAGAGAGCGCGGAATCATTGACAAAATCATCGCCTCCATTGCACCTTCGATCTACGGACACAAAGACATCAAAACTGCCGTTGCGTGCTCCTTGTTCGGCGGCGTTCCCAAAGATGTCAACGGAAAACACTCTATTCGTGGAGATATTAACGTTCTTCTTCTCGGTGACCCTGGTACTGCAAAATCGCAAATTCTAAAGTACGTTGAGAAAACAGCACATCGAGCAGTTTTCGCTACCGGTCAAGGCGCATCTGCTGTCGGTCTGACGGCCTCTGTGAGAAAGGATACAATCACCAGAGAGTGGACTTTAGAGGGAGGTGCTCTGGTTTTAGCAGATAAGGGTGTTTGTCTTATTGATGAGTTCGACAAGATGAACGACCAGGATCGTACGTCGATCCACGAGGCGATGGAACAGCAGTCGATTTCCATTTCCAAGGCCGGTATTGTGACTACTTTGCAGGCCCGATGCTCCATCATTGCGGCAGCAAATCCTATTGGTGGCCGGTACAACTCGACCTTGAACTTGCTGCAAAATGTGAATCTAACCGAGCCAATTCTGTCGAGATTCGATATTCTCTGTGTTGTTCGCGACCTTGTGCATCCAGAAGCCGACGAAAGACTTGCAGGTTTCGTCATCGATTCTCACATGCGGTCCCATCCCGCCGAAGAGGACGGTGAACGCGAAAAAGAACAGGAGATCTCTCCAATAAAGCAAGAGTTTCTGGTGAAGTATATCCACTACGCAAGAACAAGGGTGCATCCCAAGCTGAATCAGATGGACATGGACAAAGTGTCGCGTGTTTATGCCGATTTGAGGAGAGAGAGTAATTCCACCGGCTCGTTCCCAATTACCGTGAGACACTTGGAAAGTATATTAAGAATTGCAGAATCTTTTGCTAAAATGCGGCTGAGCGAGTACGTTTCGAGTTCAGACCTTGATAGGGCCATTAAGGTCACCATTGACAGTTTTGTGGGTGCGCAGAAGGTGAGTATTCGGAAACAGTTGCAACGCAGATTTATGAAATACTCTCTGCCACAGAGGACGTGAGGATATATACTTCTAATGGAATGGTTGCTTTTCAGTGGCCTGCGTAACCTCAAGCAGCAATTGGTCGAAATCGCCTCGGTTTTCAACCAGTCGTCGCAAGTGCTCGACCCCATCATGGGAGCGAGCGGATCTCCGGCTCAAATGCTTTTCAAGCTCTATCCTGCTCTCAAATACTGCCAAACACGACGGACACTCCAGCGAAGGCGGCGGCTGGTTTTCAGCAGCTGGCCGCAGACGTGCGGCATTCTCTCTGGTAGAGCTCATTTTTTCGCTCCCCGTAAAAGCTGAAAAAATTTGGTGAATCTAGTTTATCTACAACATTTTAATGGCCCAAAAAGTGTACACTCCATCGCACATTTTTCGGTTTATCCCGAACATAATAGGTTATGTTCGTGTGCTGACACTGATTGCATCGCTTTTCACGATGCAAAACCATCCAAAATTCACCATGTGGGTGCTATACTCGACCTCCTGTTTGCTGGATGCCTTTGATGGATACGCGGCCAGAAAATTGGACCAAAGCACCACCTTTGGTGCGGTTCTGGACATGGTCACCGACCGTTGCTCGACCTGTTCGCTTATTGTATTTTTGACCAGATTGTACCCCAATTGGTTCATCCTTTGGCAGATGCTCATTTCTTTAGACTTGGCCTCGCACTATCTTCACATGTATGCCAGTATCACCAGCGGATCCAAGAGCCACAAGTCCATGAAAAAAGACACAAACATTCTCCTCAAGCTGTACTACGAAAACCGTATAGTCCTGTTCTTGGTTTGTGCCCTGAACGAACTATTCTACATGGCCCTTTACCTCGACTACTATAAGTTCAGAGCTTTGCCTTTGATTGGTATTTCGTTCCCAAGACTCCTCATTTATGTGTCTGCACCTGTCTGGTTTTTCAAGCAGGTCACAAATGTGATCCAGCTCATGCAAGCCTGCACCACGCTCGCCCAACAAGACGCACAAACATACAACCTAAAAAATTCTTAGTACAGGCTAATCAATTATTTTCTTTCTATTCAACTCTAATAGAACGACACGTCGGAATTGTTGACGTCGAATCCCCCTGCAGAGGTCGTCTCATACAAGAATTTGCTCGAGGGCTTCTTGAAACGAGCTTGTGGCGACGCAGGCCCGTTGTCTCTGGAAAGTAGCTGTTTGCGGATCCTCTCCTGAGGCGTCTCGGAAACAAGCGTAGCCGGCGATTTTGTCTGTGAGATGTTCATATTCGCAAATGATCTTGATATATCGAGCGCCAGAAGCGACGTGTCGGCCACATCCTTGCTTGGGCTGCCAGTCAAAACTTTTTGCTCCGACCGATCAGCCTCTAGTTCTTCCTGCGCGTCTATCCCGTTCACCAGCGGAAGACCGAGCAGTTTGCGCTGGCGACTTGTCAACGGCAGGTCCAGACATTTGTCCTGAGGTTTCATCAGCCGCAGCGAGCTCACACCGATATTGAACAGCAGGATTCCGTATACTGTGCGATTCACGTAACTCGAGTATTGGATGAATATGGCCGGAAATAGCGATGTCCCGTCACGAAGCCTAAACTTCACGTTGAGCAGAACAATCACTGCCACAAGGAACCGGTACAACAGTATCATTAGTGTGTTCACTATCACTGTGCGAATTTCGGCGTCGCGGTTGACTATTCTACTCAGGGCGAGCTCGACGTAGGGACTTTGCAGTTCGCTTTCATCTTTGGATTCGACCTGGGCTGGTTTCTCCTGTGTTGGCAGGTTTGTGCTCTCTTTCAAAGGCGACTTATGTCTTGGCTTGAATATCGATCGCTGGTAAATGTTGCTATTAATCGATTGTGGTGATTGCTTCTCAGACTGTTGAGGAGTGCCGGGAAACTGTTGTTGGAATTTCTTGCGCAAAAGAGGCGACATGGGTCCCTTGACAGGAGTATTTGGTCCAGCTAAAGGAGTCGAAGATATTAACGGTTTAGTGCTCTGGGGAACTTTGAATGGAGATGAGACTAGGGGTTTGATCGGGGTATTGGGTATACCAGCGGACTTGCTTGGAGACAACGCTGGGATCGATTTTCTAGGAGATGGTGTAACATGCGCAGATCCAACAGGAGTGGACGAGTTTAGCGTTCCTCGATTGGAGAAGCTGATTCGCCGCCTTGTCTGCAAGAATGTGTCTTCATCTGGTGTATAGTATGATCCATTGATCGACGAAGCCGTGGGCGTAAGGAACGACATCCAAAGTAAATAATAAATTATTCAGGAAAGAAAATGTATTAGATTTTACACCAAAGTGTATTATGTAATCAAGCTCTAAATCTCAGGGATCTGGTTCAGTGAAGAGGCCAGTATCCAGGGAACAGGTAGTGCATTTTCTCTAGCAGGCGTTTGTCCTGGCCGTCTTTCTTGGTGCTGACAGAGAATTTCATGCTGTGTTGATAGTTGAGACCGATTTCACCGGATTTGATCTTAGGCTCCAACACTTGAACCAGTTTCTCTGCTACCCGGTGAGCATTGGCACTGTTGGCAGACAGGTTTCCGACAACTGTTTCTACAGTGACAGGCTCCTCATTTTCGTTCCACGCATCATAGTCTGTCGACATACAGATCATTTGGTACGCAATCTCAGCTTCTCTAGCAAGCTTAGATTCTGGAATACAAGACATGTTGATCACAGATCCTCCCCAACTCTTGTAGAGTTTGGACTCAGCTCTCGTGGAGAATGCTGGACCTTCCATACAGATCAGCGTCAAGTCATCTTTTTCGGTATCCTTGGTGTGCAACTTCACATCTTCACCCTCCAGAACTTCTTGGCAAGACTCGGAAATGACCTTATTCAGTTTTGGATCAAAAGGTTCTCCAAACATCGCATGAGCAACAAACCCGCGCTCAAAGAAGGTCGACGGACGAATTCCTTTGGTTCTATCAATGACCTGGTTCGGAACAACAAAATCGCGGGGCTTAATGTGTTGCTGGAGAGATCCAACAGCACTGAAAGCCACAATTGTGTTGACACCGAGTTTTTTCAGAGCGGCAATGTTGGCCCTGTTGGGAACATCAGAAGGCAGTAAGTCGTGGTGAGGACCATGTCTTGCCAAAAACGCAATTGGGAACCCATCTTTGGTCTTGGAGATGGTGATGGGAGAGGAAGGAAAGCCCCACGGAGTAGAGATCGTTAGCTTGGCAACCGGTGTCAAGGTCTCCAAATGGTAGAGGCCCGTGCCTCCAATAAAGGCCAGCCTGACAGGCTCATGGAATTCGGCAGGAAGAGTCATATACAAAATGTAATAACGAATTGACGGATTTATAAAAATATTACTTATCATGTGGGACTGAATTTTCAAGCAGCGCCGATCGACCGGACGATTGTATCTTTTTCTACTCGCTTTAAATTTCTGCCATACAGCACACTAACTTTTGGCACCGCTTTTATTCCAATGTCTGCGTCCGCATCCTACCTCACGCTGACAGCAGCGCTTGTTGTTGGTGGCTACATGCTGTTCAATGGTTCTGGTGAGGCTTTCAACGTTGGAGCGTACCTGGAGTCCATCTCGCCATATATGTGGGCCACGATTGGAATAGGCTCGTGTATTGGGTTTTCGGTCGTTGGAGCGGCCTGGGGCATCTTCATTACGGGCTCTTCCATTCTTGGAGCGGGTGTGAAGGCTCCTCGCATCACCACGAAGAATCTGATCTCGATTATTTTCTGTGAGGTTGTGGCCATTTACGGTTTGATCATGGCCATTGTGTTCTCATCCAAACTCACTGCCGTCGACACGGCCTCCCTTTTCACCAAAGAAAATCTATACACGGGATACTCGCTGTTTTGGGCTGGACTGACGGTGGGACTGAGCAACCTCATCTGCGGAGTGGCGGTTGGTGTCACTGGATCCACAGCAGCTATCTCGGACGCCGCAGACTCGAGCTTGTTTGTGAAAATCCTGGTCATTGAGATTTTTGGTTCCGTGTTAGGGCTTTTCGGACTCATTGTGGGCCTGCTGATGGCAGGTAAGGCCACCGATTTTACATAGTGAAATCTAGGCATGTTTAGATCTATATGTCTATAAGTTTTCCACGGTAGCACCCTCGATAGCAGGCTCGAGAAGTTTCCAGACACACGCGACACCCTCTTTCTCGAATCTGGCGATGATGTCTTTGGCTATCTGCTCGAAGTTGTTGGTAGCAAGACATAAAATGGTAGGTCCTGCACCACTCAGACAGATACCCAGAAGACCAGTATGGCTTTGCGGCGTGAAGCCAGATAATATCTCCGTGAGCCCTGGGATCAACACCTTGCGGTATGGCTGGTGCAACTTGTCCTGCATCGAGTTATAGATAACTTGTGGATCAGGTTTTTCCGCTCCAACTGCGGTAGTGAGCACAGCCAGACGTTGCAGATTGAAAATCACGTCTGGTCTCGAGTATTCCGCGGGGAGCACCTGACGGCTCTCGGAGGTGGGCACTTCGAATTGCGGGATGATGGCGATGCATTTGATGGCTGGGTTCCAGTTGTACTTGACGTGGGTTCCAATATCGAGAGGAGCCTGGATGGCCGGTGCGTGTGGCGCGAGCATCTCGTCCAGTGGCTGGTGCACAAGAGCGACCTCAGAGTCTGTCAGTTTTCTGAGATAGGAACCGGTGAAACCACCAATCATCGCGGCAGTGATGTTGTCTGGATGGCGCTCAATCATCAGACAGTAATCTAGACATCTCTGTTTCGAAAAACCCAGATTTCCGACCTCGTTGGCCAGCATCACACCAGCCACCACTGCCGCGCCGGACGATCCCAGGCCTCTGCCCAAGGGAATGGGGTTGTTGACGTGTATCTTCGTGGTTTTCGGGAACTGGTTGATGCCGTTGCAACGGAGCACAAAAAGTGCGGTTTTGGTGATAAGGTTGCGATCCGACGCCAGAGGAACGTTCTCACTGCCTTCTCCCTCGTACGAGATCGAACAATTAAATTTATCGGTGCTTGCCAACAGCGGATCGACCTCCAGCTCCAGTATGAGGAACAGGTTGAGCCCTATTCCCAGGACATCAAACCCAGGACCAATATTCGCGGACGATGCTGGAACACGAATAATAGTTTTAGCCATAGTTGGTGAAAAAATTTTCAGGCTCCACCTATAGTAGGTCAGACACGGTCCAGCCGAAACGAGGTGTCATGCCACTACAGCTCATAATTCTTGTAAAATTCGTATATATAGGAGTATTGTGCGCTACTGGTGGCTTTTATTTTGCCAGGCCCGCCGTAAGGGTCCAGCATTATGCCCGCTCGGCTTATCGTCTGCAAAGTGGCAGACAAATTTTTGTTGTATTTGTTTATTTGTTTCTGCAAAGTTATTCCAGATCCACGCTGAACCTCCAACTTCTGTCATTCCTTTTCTTATGTTCATTGTGTGCTGCTAACTTCGAACATGGAACCACATAATTCGCCCAAAGGAACAAAAGGATCCAGAAAGTCAACGCACGAAGAGCTCTTGGCCGCCTCACATGCTGTTGAACAGGAGATCAACGCCGTCAAAGCCCTGAAACGGCTTTCTATCGGCAACAATCTAAGCTACGACCCGGACCTACCTTATAGCGAGTCGGAGAAAATGGACTTTGATATAATAGACATACACAACGATAAGGAGAACGAAACACCGAAAGACGATGAGCTGGATCAAGATCACATACTGCCGGAAGCTAACGAGTTCATGTGGGTGCCGGCCACGGCACATCCCCAACTGGCTCCGGAGAAATTCCGGAAACACGTTCAGGCCACGGTCGACGAGATCACGTCCAAGCTTCAACGTTCCGCGTCGTCGCGTTCTTCTCTTTCCCATGAGACCCGTGACCCTCAGACCGACCTGGAAAAGCCTGCAGAGCTCAACAGAGCCGATACCGGACTCCGCAGAAAGCCATCCATCAAGCAGCTCACGAAGGAGTTGGAGTCGCTTTCCCAGATGGCCGGTCTTGATGACACGGACGCGGTCACCCTTGCCCGGACGCTTTCCTCGTCGTCATGGAAACTCAAAGAAAATATCGACTCTGTCTCCTCGCTTTCGCGCAAGTCGTCTGCTTCCAGCGTCGACTCGGAGCTCGACTTGCCCGGATCACAGCTAAAGAGATCAAAATGGACAACGTACAGGAGAGGTTCCAGATCTTCGCGAGCCACGCCTCAGTCATCACATAATCTAGCCAACTCTACATCCTCGGCATCTCCAGAGCTCACTGCGTCAAAGACCCTCCCGCATACTCACAGTACAAAGCCTGCCAAGTTGGCTGCTCCAACGTCTGCAGCCGTCTCGTCAGAGATCCTGCCGTCCGCATCATCAAAGGCACCGACAAGCTCTCTTCCTCCACTTCCTGTAGAGAAGAACTCACCACTACCTCCTTTACCCAAAGAACAGACTGACCAGACAGCTCCACCCGTGAGATCGCCACCTCAAACCCCAGAAAAACCTGTTGAACAGAAATCTAGCAGAAAGTCAAGCTGGACTTGGCTCAGCGGCAATAAAGACAAGGAGAAAAAAGAGAAAGAGCGGTCTCCTCCAAATCACTCACGCAACAGACATGGCACGGCTTCTGACGTGGTGTCGATCCAAAATGCAGAGTCTCCTTTCCCGTCACCTCCTCGCGAACCAGAAAAAGAGAAGAAAAGCCTAAGTGGATTTTTCAAGCTCAAGAAAGACAAATCCAAATCGACAGAGAAGTCGGCTCCTCCAGAAGGTCTTTCTGACTCAGATAACGAAAGCATCACAGACAAGCGAATACTAAATCTGAGAAAGAAAAAAGAAGAGCCGAAGCCGGAGCCCGTTGTTGAACAACCACGCCCAGCATTACAACAGCATGCTCCTCCTCCTGCAGAACCCCCTCTTGATGCGGTCTCTGAGAACATCAAGCAAACGCTAATGTCGCAGAGACGCAACACAAAGCCCAATCAGCCTCTTCAGATGACTGATTCTGCCTTTGGCTTTCCGCTGCCCCCTATATCTCCATCAACACTGGTGATGCTGAACCATCGCTTTCCGATACATGTGGAGCGTGCTGTTTATCGATTGAGCCATCTGAAGCTATCAGACCCAAAGAGACCTCTTTGCCAACAGGTGTTGCTGAGTAACTTCATGTATGCTTACCTGAATTTGGTGAACCATACTTTATTCTTGCAGCAGCAGGAGGAAACATACGCCCATCCTGTGGAGGAAGAACCTTTCGTGGAACCAGTTGAGGAGTACGCTTTTGACGACGTTTACGGGGGCTATACTGAGGAGGTAGTCTATGAACATTGAATGGCATATTTATTAGGCATGATAACAAGGATTATCCATTTCAAATAGACGTAGTCAATGTGCTAAAGTATGCGGCAAAAAACCAAATCCCTGCCAGCGACAGTACGTAGTAGAGTGTCTGCCACCACACAGGGCCCTCCACTGTAAACAGCGGAAAGGTCATAAAGTTGCACCAGCAATGTGCGGCCACACAGGTCCAGACCGAATGCGAGTTGACGAAGATCAGATTTGTCAGAATTCCGAAGAATGTTGTGTATAGAGTGCGGAACAGGAACGATACGAGAATGGCAGCCAATGGCACCTTTTCGTGTTTCCAACTGTCATAAGCGTGAGTGACATGAGCCAGCCCGAACAGAAGTGGCGACAGGTATATTATTTTGGAGCGTACAGGAGAATCGAGAAACGGACCATATAAGCCCAAAATGGAGGCGGTGTATGTCATCTCTTCAGTGATTGGTGCGATCACTATATTGCGCAGGAAGTGAAGCATATCCAGAGACTTGAAATCGTGATAGATGACTTCCGGGCCCCAAGACAGATACTCTATCAGTGACCCGTTGAAAAGACCTATGAAAAGTAGCAGCACTCGCGCAACGCTAGAAACTGTTGTCCTGTCAACTGTGAGTCCCATGTAGGCAAATGCCTCGCTAAATCCGTAGGCGGTTTGTGTCACTTTAGTCATTAGAAATGGTACAAGTAACACACAGATCAAGGTTGACAGGCTGGCTCTCACCATTCTTGATTTGATAACTTCTCTGGACTCCCGGTGTCCTCGTTGTGGGTTAATATACAGCACAAGAACATACGATGAGGCAATCGCTACTGAACACCAAAAGGTGCTGGTCAGCGAATCCATCCTGTTGTTTGAGATCGAAAAGAATTTCCAGGTGTCAGGAGTTCTTGAAATCTATCGTTCTCCAACTATAGATTTGCGCAGATACCACACAGAAACGATAACCATGAATCCGACTGCGCCACAACCTATCACAAAAGGGTTGACTAGGCCTTCTGTTTCTATTGGCTCGGGTTCTAGGCCCGAGGTGGCGCTCCGGGGCTCGGCTGCAGAGTTGACCAGCTGAACCAGGAGCTCGGTCAACGAGGATGCCCAGCTGGAGGATATGTGGAGTGGAGGCGGCAGGAATAGCGATCGTGTGTAGTTCTCCGGCTGTGTATCGCATCTCTGCTGTTGCTTGTCCAGATCCGCTTTCAGGGCAACGAACACCATAGGAATTGAGTCGAGTTTCGGATACAGCCGGCGCAGCTCTATGAGGTGCTGGAATGATTCAGGATCGGAGGAGTCATAGGCTAGGCATATGACATCACAAGAGTCCAGTTTGGAAGAGTTTTCGAGTATTGCTGGTTCCAGCTCCCCCAGCTCTTCCAGAATCAGGTAGCATTGTTTTCCGCCAATCAGCTCGACATTGTTGACGGCAATGCTTCGTTGAATTGTGGGTGAATGAGCTTCGCTGTATTGTCGACCCAAAAAGGACTCCATGAGTGAAGTTTTGCCACATCCCGGTGCGCCTAAAATGAAACAGTTGAAAACGGTTCTGTCAGAAACGCTTCCTCTGTACACTTTCCCGTTGCGTTTCCTCACTTTTCGAGGCTTCGTAATCCTCAGAGCAGTTGTGGTTCCACTCAACTTGCCAATGGTAGACTTATCCTCGTACCCAAAGTAGCCCAGATAGGCAAGAGTTGTTTTGTAGTCTAAAAAGGTCGTCATCGACCACTGGGCCAGCCATCCCTGTAAAGTCACATATCCTTGCTCGTTGCACACCACTGTGTGGGGGAAGTTGAACTCTTGCCACAATCGTGGAACTCCGGGTGTAGGATAAAAGAGCTGATTGAGTTCTTCGTCGTTTAAGCCTCCATCGTTGTCTTTATCGAATAGAAGGAACAAGTCCACCAAAAATCTGTATCCGTTAGGAGAGAGCTCAACACTTGAGCCATGCGGCACATCTATCTTTGGATAGAGAATCTTGTCGTCTATAGAAAGAGAATCTGTGTAGTGGAAAGCTCTTAAAATTCCCCATATGGTTTCGTGACGACCTGATTCAGCATACAGTTTGTTGAGAGCCACAAAACCTTCCTCAGTTATTCCTCTCTCTCTTGCTGTTCCAGGTAGTGCGGAGTTAAGAGTCATTTTAATTGAGTTCAGCTCGTTGATGTCCAGAGACTTGTGGAAGCATTTAAGCTGCAGCTGCAAGAACTCGGCATCGTTCAAGTAGCCATCCTGGTCAGTGTCGCACAAGTAAAACACTCTTTTCAGGGCATTCAATGCAAGTGGTTTTAGGTTGCTTTCCTTGTAATCATACAATGGTGCAATTGGATGTGTGACTGCTCTTTGACAGAGATAGAACGCCTGGTTGACATTGTAGTTTTCCTTGGCACTGCATCGAATGCACGCTTCTATCTCCTTGAACTCTTTGAGTAATGGTATTAGCTCTTCGTTCAAAATTGACTCGCTTTCATTGGGTAGTTCATCCAGATCGGATTTGTTATTGCACAGCACGATAGGTAGATTGACCCCCATTGATCTGAACATGGGGATCCAGTATAGAGAAATTCGCTCATACGTGTAGCGGTCAGAGTATACCAGCCATATGACGTCTGCCTGGCGAATCTGTTCCTGGACATTGTTCAGATCTGATGATACAGTATCGATCAGGACGCTAGATTTAGGGGAATAGGGCGAGCCTGAGAAATCCTTGGGAATGCTGATCGGTGGTATAAGATGCTGAATGCTGGGCACAAACTTCTCCTTCACAAGAGTGGTAATCAGACTGCTTTTCCCGACTCCTTCATCACCGCAGATGACTACTCGTATGGAGTCCATATTAGATTATTTGAATATTTATTTTAGTGACCCGATTTTTCATGGCATAAATTTGGAAGGCAAAAAGTATTCAACTAACAAATGGTAGGTATACAGATGAGTTGTAACAACTAACAAGCAGACATCCATTGGTACGGGCTACGACTTGTCAAACTCGATTTTCTCGCCGGATGGGAGAAATTTTCAAGTGGAATATGCCTCGAAGGCGGTTGAGAACGCAGGAACCTCGATTGGGATCCGGTGCAAAGACGGGATTGTGCTGGCCACTGAGAAGATCATTGCGTCCAAATTGTTGGCTCCGGGCAAGAACAAGCGTATACAAACCATAGATAGGCATGTGGGTGTTGTGTATTCCGGACTCATACCAGATGGAAGACATTTTGTGAACCGTGGCCGTGATGAGGCCCAGTCTTTCAAATCGCTTTACAAAGAGCCAATTGGCCTTCCAGGATTAATAGACCGGCTCGGATACTACGTGCAAGCATACACCTGCTACAACTCGGTGAGACCGTTCGGCATCAATGCAATTGTTGGTGGGGTGGACGACGATGGTGCACACCTGTACATGGTCGAGCCAAGCGGCACCTACTGGGGCTATTACGGCGCAGCTACTGGAAAGGGTAGACAGACAGCCAAAAGCGAGCTGGAAAAACTGGATCTGCCTAACATCACAGCTAAAGAGGCCGTCAAGGAGGCTGCAAGAATCATATATCTGGCCCACGAGGACAACAAGGACAAAGATTTTGAACTCGAAATTACGTGGGCCAGTAAAAGTGAAACGAACGGTCTGCACCAGCTTGTGCCCAAGGAGTTATTCGACGAGGCCGTCAAATACGCCGAGGAAGAGGGCGAAGAAGGCGATAGCAGCGACGATGAAATGCAAGATTGAATACTAGATTAGTTTTATTGTCGTAATTTCTTATTTTCCCGTTCCAGTTCTTGAAGCCGTTTTTCAGACTGCTTACGCTCAAACGCAAGCGTCTCTTCGGCATGCTTCCACCTCTTTGTTAATTCTTCTATCCGTAATTTTAGTGACTCGTCTGCTACCGGAGCATGGTCTGTAGACACTTTTTTACTCATTTCGGCATGATCTGCCACGATTGTTCGCACGGCAGCCAGATCGTACTCGAAAATGGTCTCGTATAGCTTTTTTGTATCTGTTTCGTTGAGCTGGAGTTCATCTCTATTGGCAAGTTGTAGTATCTTTGCAGCAGCTTCTCTAATTGATTGTTTATCCAGTATCTCACTAAGAATTTGAATTAGGTGAGTCTGGAAATTAACATCACTGGTAAGGTAGTCTTGCCATTTCTGTTCTGCATAAAGTGCGTTATCCTCATGTAAACGTATTTGCGATTTGAGTTCGTCGATTTGGTAGTTGAGCTTGATTTTCTCAGAATTGAGCTGCCTCTGCTTGACGAGCGACGAGTTGAGGTCAGTTTCCATTTTTGCAACGTATTCCCTAAGCTCTTCGGGGCTAGTTTTATCTGGGTCAATCTCGCGATCCTCAATTGCCTGAAGCTGTCGCTGTGCCTCTGAAAGCTGCATTTGGATGTTTTCCTTTTCCTCCAGCAAACTATCAAATCTGGTTTTGGTGTCCTCAAATTTAGCCTGGAGGTCTTCGTAATCTTTCAGCCGGGATTCCATGGCAATTAGTTTCTCATCAGGCTGAGACTTCTGAATTCTGAGCTCTTCGAATTTGCTCTCCATTTCTCTCAATTTCCGATTTTCCTCCTCCATCAAAGTCAGCTTTTCAAGTTCATCTTTAAGCTTTTTATTCTCTTTTTCCAGCTCGCTGCCACGGTTCTCGAGTTGTGCATTTTCATTAGCCAGATGATGCATCTTACTTTCCAACTCATCTAGTCTCTCAAGCAGTGCCTCTTCATCTTCCGTTCCTTTGATTTTTGAATTCTGTCCATTCATCTCCCCAGATACTAGTCCAAAATTTGAGTCCAGTTTTTGCGATAGTCTCTCTGTTTCCAATCCAACAGCCCTCAGCTTTGCACTCAAACCTCCTTTGCGCGCTCGTTCAACTATTGTGGAATCCCCGCCGGCCTCCTCAATCACATCTAGGATTTGGTCAGCCATTAATTTCCAGTCGCTATGATCCCGCTGTAAAACCTCCAGCTGACTTTGTAGCTCCTCGAATGCTTTCACAAGGTCGTCAAACTGTTTTCTTAAAAGCTCCGTCTCTCTATTGTCGTCAGTGTGCTCGAATTGACGCCTCAAAAACTCCATTGCCGAACTCTCTTCGCCATATCGTTCCAGCAGCAACTCCTTCTGCAGTCTCAGTTGAATTTTGCAATCTGTCAATTGTTTCTGTAAACTGTCTATTTCGTTGAAATCTGAGGCAGACTTGCCCTTATTGCTTGTTTGCTTGCCCGATGACACGTCTTTAGTGCCTCGCCATGTGTTTTTGACGGTGAAATTAGGTACAGGTAATATATTCAGTGTCTTGTCGATGTCCAGCTGTTCCTGCTGTTCTTCTTCAGAGCTGCCGTTGGGAGACCCTGCCAGCTTGGCCCGCAACACTTCGATGCTCTGCAAGCGCGCAGCACGCCGTTCTCTTCGTGCACTCGCGTCTCTAGACCACGACCTGAACGGACTCCCTCCTGCGGTGCGCGGAGAGTTTGTTAGGTTGAAGCTTGAGAAGTCGGCCGTCGTGGGTACACTGTGTCCTGGTGTATCAGAAAACACGTCTTTGTCCGACTCGTCCCCCGACCCAACGCGTTCTGTATTATAGCTCATGTCGCGAACCTTAAAAAAATATTGAAAATATATTCATATCGTTAGGGCTCACAAAGTCTAAATTAAAATTGTGAGTCCTGTCTACCGGTTCACCGACTGACGAAGAAAAATCTTAATTTCCCGATAGCGAGTACTAATACTATGTGAGGACAAGATTTGGGCCCTATCCATGGTTACCCTGCTGGATAATTAGCTCCGCCAAACAATAGTGCGGACATACTGCTATTATTAATCAAAATTCCGCGTTACGGTTTCGGGAAACTTTTCAATGGATCTATCTAGAGTTTTTCGCACAAAGAGGGTATTGATGGCTGACTCATACTATGATTTTATTTAAATACAAGAGTTTGCGTTCATATGGCTACTTACGATGAGTCCCAACCCCGAAAACGAATACTACGAAGATGTACTGCCATCGTTTGAGATGCACAATTTCCTGTTCAATCGAACGCTCTTCGATACCGAGAGAATCCCTCAATCGGGTTTGCCCCAATACGGGGAATCATACCCTGAATCCACCACATCTTCGCAGTCTGTAGCTGCTGAGAACCAGATCTCGCCAATTGACAATCCGGATCTACTTGTGCTCAATAACCTGAGTACCCTCCAGACAATCGATTTGCCTTTAAAGGTGTCTATCGTCTTTACGAAAAAATACCCTGTTTTCGGGGAACCTTATGAAAAGGAGTCTCCTCTTCGATGCTACCAGCCCGGAGATATGATTGTTGGGTTTGTGACTGTCGAAAACACATGTAATGAAATCATCCCGTTCGAAATGCTTCTTGTCTCGCTTGAGGGAACGATGACTGCTCCCCAGTCTCCCAATAGCACCTGCTCCAAATATCACCGACAAACATTTTTGAGAACATACGACCTGAGTGCTTGCTTCCACCACGGCTGTATAAACCCAACTCCGTATAAAATGGGGGAATGCTTATCAAGGGACCCTGTGGATGACACCTTGTACGGATTTGGTGACTTGAAACAAATTTTCCCCGGAGCCAAGCATAAAAAATGTTTTGCGTTCCGACTGCCCTCATATCTGCTAGAGACTTCGTGCTCTAGTGGCACGCTCGATCACTTGCCAGTGCCTCCGAGCTTTGGAGTGAGTCCCTTCGCTTTAGGTGGCAAGGCAATGGATATCAGAGTCAATGAAGCTCTCGGTTACGGTAGAGCGGACGAGCAAGGATCTCCCATTGTTACCAACGATCTCGGCGACAAGGGCCTGTCAATTACTTACAGTGTCAATTTGAGGTTACTGGGAAGACCACAGGAGCTTTATAAGAGGTTTTACAAGCGTCACACAACTCACGATTATCAGTTCATCATCGTGAGAGACTTCAGTGTTCCCTTCCGATTTACAAACACCAATATTCCAGCATGCTACGATGGCGGAAGTGCCGAGAAGCAGTTAGACAAGATCGAGCACCAAGTGGCAGAGCTTCTTGTTGATCTCGAGGAGCGTGGAGGCTTGATTGAGGCCGGAATTATTGACACTGAAGAACAAGACCAGCTACTGGCGGCACAGGGTGCCGACAAAAAGAAGTGTCTCGACTCTTTGGGGGATCCAACATCAAACATTCCGTCCAAAATTAGGTTGGGTAAAGGGTTTTTGAAGACTGATGCAGAACTTGAGATTGACATCCAGAGCACAGATGGAATGGCTTTGACTTCATTCGAGCCTGCTCCCTTGAAGAGAGTTGCTTTGGCTTGCGTCAAAAGGAGCACTGGTCAGCTCCCGCAATATAGGCCGTTCACAACCTCAAACACGTCATCAATTTTTGAAGACGTTAGTGTGTCCACCGCCCCTACAGAGCTGAACACAGAGCTCACTCATATCGAGTTTGTTTTGAAAACAAACGACAATGCGTTGGTGTTGCCTCAAGATATTACCGTGAAGCCTGGTTTGAGAGCGTTCAACATCTATTCTGGCCATCACCTTCCTTTGGTGTTCAACGAGAATACTCCTTGTAGGTTTTATGATACGGGGTCTTTTTTCAAGATCAACAGAAAATTCGAAACCTACTTATGGGAGCTGAAACGTCTTGCAAAGAGAACAAATCGTCCTATATCCAAGCACCTATATGAAAGCTTGCTTAGTCTGAACAAGATGAGATGTAAAGGGAATACTCTCGACGTTTTTGAGGTGCAACGCATACGACTGAAGTGGGAGAAAACCAAAGAAGGATTCGTTGCCAACGTTAAAGTTCCGCTGATTTACGAGAGCAGGAAAACACGTAACGTGCATTTGATTCCAAGCTTCCAGACCTGTTTTCTGGCAAGACAGTATGTTCTGGAGCTCAAGATAGGAAAAAACAAGCCCTTGGGGATACCGATCCGGGTTGCCTAATTGATCTTAGATGATATAGTATTCGATGAAATGTGATATAAATGCATTTACAGCAAATCTGTTAATCTAGCTTCCTGCATTTTTTGTCGCGAGCTACCTCGAAAACTTATCAGCGACAAATATTGTATGTAAGCACGATTACTAATTCTGTGAAGTTCTTGTTTATCAGACAAAAGTAAGATCTCAGACTGACTCACACTTTTGTAAAGACACGGGCTTCCATTTTGGTTAGTTTCCTTCGCTTTTGAAGTATGGACAGCTCCTTGAGTGACGAAGTGATGGAGGATGTCCTGCCTTCCTTTCAAATGCATAATCAGCTCTTTAACAGAACGGTTTTGGACCCCGGGGATGAGATAGAACTCCCCGGATACGAGGAAACGAGCTGTCCTTATTCTGCAAGAGGACTTGCGTCCGAAGAGCAGGTTTCACCCTTACAGAATCCAGATTTATTGGTTTTGAACAATCTCAAGAGTCTGCGAAAAATAAACGCACCAGTGCAGATTACAATTACCTTCACAAACCAATCGCCTTTGTTTGGTGAACCTTATGAGAGCAGGCCTCCATTGCTTTGCTTCTATCCAGGAGATGTGGTGAATGGACTTGTAACTATTGAGAACACTGGTAATGGTATCATACCGTTTGAAATGTTTTTTGTCTCTTTGGACGGAGTTGCTACCATACCCCAGAATGGTGATTCCGGGACAGAATGTACCTACCAAAAACACTGTTTCTTGAAAAGTTTCGATCTAGCGGCCTGCTTTCACGAGTGTGATTTTCAGCAACTCGAGAAGAGTCCCTGTACGGGAAAAGATCCCGTTGATGGTGCCATCTTTGGGCTCCCCAACAGCAGAAAGTTGCAGCCGCGAACAAAGTACAAAAAAGCATTTGCTTTCCGACTACCATCTTTCTTGCTGGACAGTGCTTGCAACCATCAGTACGAGAGCCATTTGCAGGCGCCCTCAAGTCTAGGAGTGAACCCCTTCGCCAACAACGGAAGAGCTGCAAAGGCCAAAATTAGCGAGCGCTTGGGATACGGTTGCCTGGACGAGCAAGGCGCTCCTATTGTCACTCAAACCTTCAACGAGCCTGGACAATCGGTATCCTATTCCCTCAACGTCCATATCTTGGCACGGAGTGAGGAGATAGCCAAAAGTGTCGATGAGCAGAAAAGCTATGAACTTCCATTCGTGATCTTGGAGGAAAGCAGCGCGTTTTTGAGGTTCACAAATACGAACAATCCCGTTATCGATGAGGATGAAGACCTCCAGTTGCAGGTGGATAAGATTGAGCACCAGGCAGCTGAGCTAGAAGTGACTCTTGAGGAGAAGTGCAAGCTTCGGAGAATTGGGGTCACCGATCAAAACGTACTTGAAAGTGTTGTCGCCACGGATTACATTGTCAAGAAAAAGAGGGGCAGGGAGCAGGAAGATTTAGACTTGTCTGGCATTCAAAAGATCAAGCTGAACAGAGGGTTTCTCAAAGGGGAGGCTGAATTTGAGGTGCAAGTCCAGTGTAATGGACAGATTGTGTTGCACTCATTTGAGCCCGCAAGTCTTGGACCGGAAAGGGTAACTTTACATAAGACCTTTTCTAACGACATACTGTCAGGCCCGAACAGTATCCATATGTTCAAGAAGGCAGCTTCTGCCACTATCTTACCAAGCATAAAATCTGGTGAAGTACTTATTTCCCTGAAGTCTTTGGATGGAGTGCTACCAAAAGAGATAGTGGTAGAGCCGAGCCTACGAGTTGTCAATATGCACTCTAGAGCACATATTCCATTGCATTTTGGTCTAAAGGGCACAGGGAGGTTCTACAATTACCGGACTTTCGTTGGTATCAATAGGCGATTCGAGGGATGGGACGCACAGCTAAAAACGCTCTGTAAGGAACTAGGGCAGCCTCTCCCGAGACAGTTACACGAGGATATCTTGGGACTGAAATATCTAAGATACCGCGAGCACAGAATTGACCTATTTGAGCCGCAACGAGTCCAGCTTAATTGGAGACCCGCTGGGCCTCATCATGAATCCGAGTTTACTGCAGCGATTGTTCTTGATGTGAAAAAAGCTGAAAGCTTCCATATTATTCCCGAATTCCAAACATGTTTCCTTGCCAGACAGTACGTGCTTGATCTTAAAATCGGAAAAGGTGGAGTTTTGGCGTTACCACTGACGGTCTATTGAGAAGCTATTATATTTTCGTGTTTGGGAGAACGACTGAATATATGAGATCGATATTTGCATGCATAGCACCAACCCAATACACTCCCACTAATTCAGCTAGATTGCTTATGAGTAACGTCTCACGCTTATCGGCTTCTACATGATTCGGGACTTAAAACGACACAATTGGGAGCCAAATAGTTATGTTGTCGCAGCTCAGCATTCGCAAGATTGCTATATAACGGCCCGAGGAGACTGAGCACGATAGACAACGGAGAGCAATAATGGATCTTTGGCAACTGCCTGTGAACATGTCTGGGCACCAGATGGTTCTGTGGCCCATATTACAATATCTGTTACGCTCGATCGAAAATGCCAAGCTTGGTACCCTTTGCCAAGGCTCGGGATAGTTATCTTGCGTCAATAAGAGGTTATATAATAGCTAAATATCCAACTCTTATGCCCGTTTGTGTTACATAGATTTCAGGCTATAGTACATGTATGGCTTTTCTAATCCTCTGATCCTGACTTCTTCTTCACGTCCGAGATCATAAAGTCATCTCCAAACCATATATCGACCTCATTTTCGAATAGGATTTCGTGATATGACGACGATGTATTCATCAAATCGACCAGAAGCTGGTCAACTGGCTGTATCTGGCCGTTGGAGCTGCTCATCGAAATATCCAGAATAGCGTCGTCGATGGTCTTGAACACCTCTGCACAGCGTTTGGCAAAGTACCAGTTCTCGCTGAACCCATTGAGGATCTCCACACACAAATGGATGTCGGTCTTGGACTCGACCAGGTCGATTGACCAGTGGCACAAGCAGTACAAAATTGTGGTGCAAGTTGTCAAGAACCGATAAAGTGTGATCCAGTTCAGTGGTAGCAAATTCGAAGTATAAAGGTTGTATGTGAAAGACAAGTTTTGGAGACAGGCCCTGCCCAGAATCTCCAGGTTGTTGAGCGATGGTTTGGGAAATAGGTACGAGGGGCGGTATAACAACATCAGCATGTGGTAGTACCTTGCCGAGAACCATGCCGTGGACTCCAAAAAAGAGATGTTTCCTTTCTGAGACGACTTGGACGATAAGAGTCGTGAGTTGCTGTACCATTTTTCGATGTCCTGTCGTATCTTATTGAGAACCTCGTCCTTGGATTCGGCGGTGGGGTAGATTTCCGACGACTTCACACAATGAACGCTTGTCAAGATCTTTCCCTCGATTCTTCTCATCTCTATAATATTTCGAGTAACGTTGAGAGTCTCAATCCCTTCGCCATCAATCGGCTCGGGCAACGGAACGTTGATGTCGTCGTCTCTGATGGCCACTGGTCGTCCAAAGCTTGTAGATATCAGCCTGTCCATATTGAAGACGGCCCAGAACAGCCTGTGTCTCATTTCTATCTGCGCGGGAGTCATTCGCTTGGCTTCAACGTCTCTGATTTTGCGATTGAGTCCTATCGAAAGTGCTAATCTGGTCAAAATTCCCACAATGGACCACGAGTACAGGCCTTTTGGGTCGAAGAATGAGTAGATTCCCAAAAGAACCAGCGACCGCACGCTAGAGATGTCCTGGAACGAAACAGCAGAGGTGAGTAGACTCATTGACTTCGAAGAAAAATACTTGGAGTAGCCTTTGCTCTTGTCAATGACTCCTGCTCGCTCCAAGGTGGTGCAACCAATGGCCATTATCATATTGAGCTCAAAAAAAAACGATGCGTCAAGATTGCCGCGGGACTGGAAGAAACTGTCAAAGTCCACCGTCGCGACCTTGTCTAGAAACTCGTTTTCGTTCAAGATCGGGTACGATCTGTTGTTGTGGTCCAAGTACGCTTTGACAAATTGCAAGGCCAGATCTTTGTTTATAGCCAACGGCTCCAGTGGTGGTGTAGGGGTTTTATTGCCCATAATGGTGTGGACCAGGTTTGAGTGGATCAGGTCGATCCCGGGCTCGTGGTCGAGTTTACGCGTCGGCGCGTCAAAGAGCTCACTGGGTCCACGTCCGGGCGTCGCGCGATTCACCAAGTTGTGCAATGGGGCCGATTTCTGGGACAAAGGAGGCAACACAGGGGTCTGGAATTGCTGCTGTGGTGTCGGCAAGTATTTCTGGCCCGGAGCAGGCAGGAACTGTTGCGTTGACATTATATGATGCTGCGGTTGAGGCGCAAAGGAGGCCAGCTCTTTGGAACTCCCAAAAGGACCGTTCATTCGCTGGAATACCGGTTGGGACTGTGGCTGGGGCTCGGCAAGCCGAGCAAAAATGGGCGGCAAAGAGTCGCGCTGCGCAGGTAGAGCAGTCTGCTGGGTGTCGATGACCCTCTCAAAGTTCTGCTCCGGCACGCGTCGTCTGTTTTTCCTCTCGACGTAAGTGCACTGCTCATTGTTTCTAATACAATTGGCACATCGCGGGAAGTCTTTTGTACATCTTTTCTTGAGTCGGCGGCATCTTACACAGGCATAGGGGTTGTAGGGCGGATACTGTGTTTTGCTCTGCGACTCCTCAGGACTCGTGCTCATTTTATTCACGTATGCAAGGAGGATATGTCCGACAAGTTATCTCCAACAAAAAAAACTTAAGCTAAGTCCGCTCCACCGCTAGCCGCACGGTAAAAAAATTATTTTGACAGGCGGAGATCCACTGTGTCGGGTGTCGTACATTAAAAGTCTACTGCCTTAAATACTTTGCAAACTTATATTTCTCCAAATGACTTGCGGCCACAGTACCAGAAATATCCGTACGCATCGTCCTCGACGGCCTTGAAAGTGATGGTGCAGCCTTTTTTGAAGTACAACACGTCGCCTCTTTGCGGATACACCTTGGTTCCTTCCTCGTCAGAGATCTCGACGGTACCCTTCACATCGAGAACAACCTTCATCTCGTCGTAGCCATAGGTGTACACGAGCGGCTCGCCACTGACCTGCTTGTAGAAACCCGAGGTGATTTGGAAGTCTTTCTCTGCGTTGGAGGACATTGTGTCCTCAAGATACGAGGTGGGGCCAACAGGCGCCGGCAGCTTATCGTAACCTTCAGCCTTGGAAAGGTATTTCATAGGCATGGTGGATGTTTGCTGGCTAACACCGTGCGGCCGTCCAGTATATATACACCCTTCTTTATCTTGAGCATTATTACCGAAAACGGAAAACTATTCCGGTGATAAGCCATTTAGGTAAGTTGAAGAATCGAGCTCAGCAGAACTCTTGGAAACAGCCCAAAGTCCCAGCAGGAGCTCTTGGCCACAGTAAGCGGTACCGCCGCTTCTGGGTGTCTTCAGGGTGCTCGGATCGTGAAAAATTAAACTTCCATCCCCCGTATTTTTTTCCCCAATTGGGAACTTCCATGTACTCGAATCTTATCAGACGCTATAAATACCCGGCCGCTGGCCGCCTGAAAACAAATCATGCCTCTCTTCTACAAGTCCCACAAAGACAACGGATACACTGTCAAGCCAGAGCCAATTCCTTCACCAGGAAACAACTCTTTTCTCTCGGACACCTTTACTTCTGATGCCCCACCCGACAAGCAGATTTCTGCTGGCTTTTATAGACAGGAGGGTGGAAAGGAGCTCGTGTATGCATACGATTACGACGAGATGAAGATCAACCTGGAGGTGCACGGAAAGTTCACCATCAGTGACGAGACTGGAGCTACGTACACTGTGTCTCCTCACGACACGTTCTACTTCCCAAAGGGATGCACCATCACCTTCAAGGTGGAGGGTACTGACGAGATTCCTGAGTCTGAGGCATATGCCCTGAATTTCTTCTGTGGTCTGAGACCTAACGGAGCTGCATGAAAATGTTGCGGGCAGTGTGGAAAAAATAGTTTGAAAATATATTTTTAAAATCTATACTAGACAAAGTATATGTTAATAGTGGAGAAAGCGCTTCCTAGAAAAGGTCCATTGTCGCTGACACAGCTGGCCCGGATGAAGTGCATTCAAAATGCGCATTTGATCAACGACATAGGACAAGCTCCTTACCATCTGGTGGAACCTATTCTCAAGAAGAAGACAGCTAAGGCTCTGAGAGCCATCGAGGAACAGTCTCCGCAGATAGTTGCGCACGACGATCCGCTCTGGCAGTGTCTGATCCAACGCGATTTTTCAGAACGCCCTTGTGAGCAGATTACAATCAAAAACGGGCGCAAGATAAAAGTGCCCGCACGAGAGCTGTACGAAAAATATGCTCGCGAACGAGAGCTACAGCGTCGGACAGCCACGCAAAACCTTCGCCAGATCACCAGAAACCTCACGTTGGAGCGCAACAAGAACAAAGTGAAGGCGGTTGATCATATAGTCACGCCAAAAAGTATCCGCAAGCCGATCGTCGTCTCGCGACCCAAGAGCGTTCTGCTGCAACGCGCCATGCAGCAAAACAAGATGCGAGCGCAGTTTCTGAGCCAGAACGATAGGAAGAAATAGAGCAGGGCCTCTGAATCACGGGTCATGATCATATCTATGTGTAACAGCAAGTAATTTTGATGTCTGATCTATAAGCATTTAGAAGCAATTTCGAAATCCAACTAAGTCACGTCGTGGACGGCTTGTCTTCCTTTCTTCTCTTCGGTTGTCTATACGGCGTTGCGTCCTGCTTGTTCTTTCCCTCCAAGGAGTTGTCTATTAGATTTTCGTCTCCACTGATGGCCACCACCTGCTTGTATGACTTGATCCGGAGTCTTCCAGCAAGTAGTGCTTTCAATGGCCAGTCTTTGAATATCTGTTGACTGCGATTGTGGTCTAGTCCAAATAGGACCAACATGTTGGCCACATCGCTATAATTGCGTAAACTTTTGGCGCTTTTGGCACCGCTCGAGCACACAAGACCTCGCAACCGCGAAGCCCTAAACAGCTGTTTTAGGTTTGAGATGGCTGTGGCCCGTGTGCTTGAGCTGGTGTCGACCAGATCTGAATACTTGATCTCGAAATAAACACCTTTTTCGGTAGCAGAACATATGGTCTTGTGCTTCAGATAGCACGGGAGTCTGTTGGCCATGTCCAACGAGATAAGGTCCACCTCCATATTAACTATGCAAGAAGTCAACGCCTTTTCTGTGCGCGGCTCAACAGCCACAAGATCAAAGGCATTCTGGAGCTTTGCCACCGTCTGCATCTGCGACGCGTCTTCCACGATTAGAGTGACCCGGGTGAAAAGCTTGAGTCGGTCTTTGAACTCGGAAAAAGGCGACAAATCGATGGGGTTTACCTGTGCCGGGAGTCGTTGGCCTTGTCGTATGCGAAAATTGAGCGCAACATGAGTGTACCCCAGTTCTTCTAGCACCGCCAGTCTATTTTTCAGCTCAGAGAGCTGCGACGCCGTCACAGACGAGCCGTAGTCCTCCTGCGGCCATAAAACATTGACATCACAAATCATGGGGCACCCACGGAGATTACAAATATTTTTTTTTCTGGCTCGTGGCTGGTGTGGCAAATTTGCCACTCGAAAAGGATATATAAATACTGCATCAGTCTTTGCTGACAATCCATGACTACCGCAGCCAAAGACGAGTCGCTACTAGACATTGGACGGCTATGTTCCGTCTGCCAGAGAGTGGACTTTCTCCCGTTTACCTGTCCGCATTGTTCGACGTCGTTTTGCACAGACCACAGATTGGACTTCAATGAGCACAACTGCAGGGTTTCAAAGGTGACGAGACCAACCATGAAATCCACAAGCAACGTCACGTCGGCATCTTTGTTCCCAGATCTGGAGAAAATACGAAAACAAGCAGAAGCAGACCACAAACAGAAACAGACACTCGCCTCCACAACGAACCATGCGGCACTGAAAAAGCTCAAGGCGTTCATCTCGTACCACAAATCGAAATCGAAGCCGTTCTTCCGCATTAAGAAAGACACTCCGGCCTCGCGGATGGTGGAAATGTCAAAATTGAAAAACCAAGCAGTTGGGGATCCCAAGATCCCCGCATCTGAGCGCGTGTATATTTTTTGCCAATACGTGCCCGATGAGTCTAAATTTGGTGACGCGCATTTGACCGAGCAAAAAGCAATATTTGTCTCGAAATCTTGGCCTGTGGGGAGGCTGCTTGATTCCGCGGCGGACTTGCTCAAGATCCGAAATGATAATAATAGAACCACCGAAAGCATGAGAAAACTTACAATTTTCCGACGCCGCCGAAGGGATGAAGCGGAGACGGAGGAGTACGTTTACGTGCCCGCGAACGGAAGAGTGGTGAGGGAAGTCTGCGATGGTGACGTGGTATACATCGTGAGGGGCGCGCAGGTGTGACCTCAGGGCCCGAAACAAGGAGGGACTTGCGCAATTGCAGTTACGTGTTGTGTACGTTTACTATTACAGGTGAAAAATTTTCCCCAACATTTAAAATTTTAGTGTGTTGGATTTTTCGAGAAGTATCGAAAGCCACACTTATGCAAGCGAAGCGTGTCAAATCATCTTCTTTGCAGAATTAATAAGAAATATAATAGAGTATGACGTAAGTTTAATTACTTTACTATATATGCTTTGAGTGATGTAATGCAAGATGAAGAACCTAATGCCCTGTTAAACGTACCTAGCGCTGTAAACAGCCCAAATCCGGCAACAGCGCGGTATCCGATGTAAATGATGAAAGAAAAACCCAGTTTTCCCTGATGATTTTCATGACGATGAGTTTAAAAGTCATTCGTGAAATGCAGATGTAGCGATGCAAGTTTTCAAAATCGGCCTAATGAGTAGAAAGCCATTTTTTGTAGTTTTCCGAAGCAGGAGTACGTGAGAGTAGATCGCTCACGTTTTGGGCGGCCGACCTGTACATCTGTGATCTGGGTATTTCGCTCACGTTCAGCGGAGCGGTTGATCTAGTAGCGTTCAAATCCAGCCTGTTAGAGTCCAAGTCATTCTGAACAGATGATATACTCGAGAGCATAGGTGACTCATAGCTCAAATCCTTGATAGGTGGTGATTTCAGCAAGCTAGACGTGTTTTTGAACACAGGCGCGTAGTTATACTGTGGAGCCAACACAGGAGATATAATTGTTGGGATCGAGTTGAAGTTTGATGTCTGCGCGGATTGCACGGAGGAGCAGGTAGACAAGGTAGGCGAGGCGGTTTGCTGCTGATCCACCACTCTACACTCCTCAGAGCAGTAGACAGAGTTGCTAGTACATATCTTCTCGCAGACCAAGCAGTAATCGTTGAAAGCAGACATTTTGGGTGAAAACTTTTCTTGAAACTTTTGAAAATGTAACCTCCACTTTATCGGGCTATTTATACTTAAACCACGTTTAGCTTAATTTTTCTCTCCTCATGTGCGACACGACTAATTTAGAGTCATATATTCATTGCTGTCACATTTTTTTCGGTAATAGTAGTCATTGGAAAAAAAATTTTGACGCACCGCGTGGCTCGGAGCCACCATTTTTGGTCGAGACCCAACAGCGAAACCGTAAAGCCCGCAAAGCCCGCCCCAGTTTAATTAATTTTTCGCTATACGCGCCAAGCCACAGTACCAGGGGTGGAAATTGTGCTTAGCCCCATGCATCAGTGGCTAGAACTGGTTACAAATGCGGCGCAGTCTAGAAGAATATTTGTTTTACACTAGTGGTTATACAATACAATCAATCTATCGGTCTAGGTCTTTGTCGATCTGCGCTTCACCCTTGTAGCAATTGAGCCTCCTAGGGACTCGACACGCTTGACCTCGCGCATAATGGACCTGTACTCGGGCGAGTCGATGGTCAGGTCGATTTTCGACCTCTCCGTGGTGTGGTGGCCAGATTTTGCCAGCTCGGTTTTAGCGAGCAAAATGTTGGACAACAGCTCGAGCAACAAAATGAAGAGCGAATTCAATATTGCGAGACAATAATTGGAGATTGTGAGTCCGATGTCCAGCCACGAGCCCTCGGTCTTGACCAAGTAGAAAAAGTTGAGCGATAGCAAGTCGCTCAACGAAATGATCAATGACGAAATACTAAAAATAATCAGATGCAGCTTCACGTTCATCAGCCCAAGTCCCACGCTCAGAATCACGTACGGAATAATCAGCTTGAGCATGAGTAGTGCGCCCATTGGGAATGGATCAAATATCGGCAGCAGCCGGTACACCGAATCCAGCGAGAAAGTTGACACAGACGCAATATTTCCGGTTCCGAAAAATGCGATCTGTAGGAAGAAGAACCCGATGATGGCCACCCTCAGCAGCTGCGGCCATTTTGTCACCCTTGAGGATATCGCGGATTCCACTTCGATCCACTGGAACACCATTGCCGAGAACAGCACGTAGAATAGGGTTTCAAACGAGATTGTGAGGATCACGAACGTCGGCGAAAACGCCAGGAAGATGACCAGGAAACGTGTCTTGTAACTCGGGTCCGGCCTGCGCTGGTGCAAGAAGGGCAGCACAAGTAGCGAGAGCCCCAGGTTGAGCCACCCTAGAATTTGCGCGTCCTTAGGTAATCCTTCTCGGCGCTGCAGTGACACCACTGCTTTTGACGTGGACACAATAGCAAGAGCCACCAGTCCCAATTGCACCAGCACCAAGTTTGCTGTGTATGGGGGCAAGCGCAAGTGGTAGAGGGCCGCTGCGCCGATCAACAGAGTCAGCACTCCACCCGCCACAATCAGCTCCAAGGTTTCAGTTTTGACAGGATTTTGCGCGGGAAAAAAGGAAAGGATGCCGCACGTTGTAACCCACGCCAGGCCTCGTGAAAGTGGCAGTTTTGCCACAGCCATCGGGTAGACCCCTAGGACCACAAACATGAGCACAAAAATTTCCCTATTTGTGAACCCTATCGTGATGCACTCAAAATACCCAACGATTGCTGCCAACACCAACAAAATAAACCATTTATTGTATCCTTTGAAAAATTCACGGAGTCCAACAATCAGGGTCTCACGCTGCTCCACAATGCTGTGCCAAAAATAGAGTGGAAAAGCCGTGTAGAAATAATAGTTGACAGGCGAGTTCTGGTAGTAGAGCACGTAGCCCAGGCCAGCTGCCAGCGACGCGAAAAGCGTGTGAACGCTGATCTGCTCCATCCAGCCGGCCGACGTCTGGATCGTGGGCTTCACATGGCTCGGCACAATGTACAATTGCAGAAAAATAATGAAAGAGTAAACGATCCACCCAACAAAGCCGAGGGTGACAATACTTCTCAGCAGCAGCCAGTTGTATTTTTGGAGGTAGTCGAGGCCCCGTAGCGACACCGTAATGAGCTCCTCGATGAGCTCAATGGCTGGTTTTTCCGCCTCGGTCACACCCTCAGACACCAGCTCAATCAGGTGTTCGATCTCAGCCTGGTACGCACGGCCCGACTTGGTTTCGAAACCTGGGAACGGCTTGAAGTCAAACTGGTTGCTTGCCACCTCCTGCAGCTTTACTAGGTACTGCTCGTGGATGCTCAATGCGTTCTGATAGAGTCCTCTGATTTTGTCGAGCTCAGGAACGTCCAGATACTCGATTGGAAGCTCGCCCACGGAGTTGGCAGGGTAATTGAGGCCAATCAGGAACGACATCAGCGAGGCGATGTCTGCCTGTTTCACGTCGTGCCGTTTGATATTGTCCAGCCCCCACGTTTCCATCTCGAGCGGCTCTTTGGCCAGATACTCGTTTTTGGACGGCTCGATGAAATCTGGCTTCTTGCAACCCGCGCCCCAACAAACCAGCGGCGTACGTGTATTGTCTGGATGGCCGTCACCGTGAGAGCCGAAATCGCTCATTCCGTGGTCTGCGGTGAACACGAACGCTGTCTTGTCGTCTCCGAAAAAGCTGTTCACCTTGGGCACCAGCTTGCGGATCTGGTCGTCCGTGTAGCGGATATTGTCGTAGTACTCTTTTGAGTACGGTCTGTAGCTGTGGCCGGCCGTGTCTGTTCCCAGCAGATGCAAGAAAAACACGTTTTTCTCCTGTCGGATCTGGGCATCCAAAGCTGGATCTTTGGTGGAATTATCGAACAGCTGGTCGAGATGCTCAAACACAAACTTGTCGAGCTCAATGGACGACGACGTGAAATCCTCGAACTCGTGCCCGTACATCCAGGTGTCCACTCTGCTGGGATCAGATGCCCCGGCAGCGAACATGGGTAGAATGTCTGGCGAGCCAAAAGAGTAAGTATGGGCCGACTGGTTGAAGACAGAGTCGAAATCAACAGGATTTTCTTTCCAGCCTTTCGTGACCGCGCTCACGTCCTCGTAAAAGCCTGCAATCATGGCCACATGGCCTGGTCGCGACTCGGTAGGCATTCTGGTGTGCGAGATACCGTACGTGCCCTGAGTCTCTATCAAAGAGCGGATGTACGGTGCCAAATATTCGCTCTTGCCGGTCTCTGGGTTGTAGATTTTGGCCAGTGTCTTGTCAGCGCGCTGTCCATCGCCAACGATGAGGAAAAGACGTTTGGCTGGAGGACTGTCTGTGCTGACAAAATGGTTCATTCCATGGACCAACGGACTGACAAAATAGATGTCAAAGATGGACCACAGATACAGCAGATGGAACAGCACGCCCACGACAAGCAGGGTCCTCCGTTTGTGGCTTCGGTCTTTGGGCATTGCAGCGAAAGGAGTGGATGGTGTGGTTGAGATTTCTTTCGCGTTTTGTTCACCATCAGCGTCGATCGACCGGCGTTTTCTCGACAAAAATAAAATCTCACATGGAGTGAGTGGGTTATTGAGCAAAAGAAAACTTAACCAACTACTACCACCATGGTTTCTCAAGAATTTACCGACAAAGTGAGTACCAAGCCGTGTTGGCGTGCTAATACGTAGGCTGCTGCGGTCCAGAATATGGCCAAAAGACCCAATGACGACGAGCTGTTGCAATTGTACGGCCTGTACAAGCAGGCAACGGTGGGGGACAACACCACCGACAAACCGGGTGTTTTCGACTTCAAGGGCAAGTACAAGTGGGAGGCCTGGAAGAAGCTCGAGGGAACTTCCCAGGAGGAGGCCGAGAAGAAGTACATTGCTCTGGTCGATGAATTGCTGGCTAAATACAACTAGTTAATCGGCTAATCTGTGTGCTGTTTCGTAGATAGGCGGGCATTGATGCGCGACGCAAAGTCGACGGTCATCACCGCGGGGATCACAAACGTGGGGAAGTACACGCCCAGCAGGTTCAGCGTCTCTGCGGTGGTGAGTCCGTGCGCCGCGCTCTCGAAGAACACGTAGACCAGACAGCACAGCGTGGTGAACGACGCGTTGAAGCCGTACAGCAGCATGTACGGGTGCAGTTTCAGCGAGAAGCGCTTGTTCTTCCAGTAGTCGGCCACAGCGACCACAAACAGGGGCAGCTGGAAAACGAGCTCAAACCCGACAAAATACTGGAGCCACAGCGGCGGCTCAGCGCACAGAAAGTCTTTGTTCTGGGCTACGTGGAAGTCGCTCAACTGCTTCTGGATGTCGAGCTGCCAGGCACGAGGGACGGCCAGCGTGGCATCCATCAGCACGGTGATAGGGATGTGGAGTAAGAAAAAGCCAAAGTAAAATCCATTCAACATAACTTAGATCGGAGCAGTGAATCCGTTGTTTGCAAACACGTTTTGGCCAGTGATCCAGTGACCGTCTTTAGCCAAAAAGGTGATGATAGGCACAATGTCCGAAATTTTTGTGAGTCTGCCATAGGCACTCTGTGACTTGAAAAATTCGACCCGCTCCTTGGTCTCCTGGCCGTACAAAAATGGCGTGTCCATAGGACCTGGAGACACGCAGTTGAACGAGATCTTGCGAGGAGACTCCTTCGACAAGGTCTTGCACATATAGTGGACAGCGCCCTTGGCAGCCTGGTAGATGGAGTAGCCGTCGGTGTATGCTGCCAAAAGAGACGTGGTGAGCATAATGACCGCTCCCTCGTCGGCAACCTTGTTGGCGGCCTCTCTGAGGAACAGGAACGAGGCCGTGGTGTTGGTCTCGAACATGGTGTTGTACTCGTCCAGAGAGGTCTCGGCCAATGGCTTTCTCAGCACCATACCGACGTTGTTAACGGCAATGTCGATCTTGCCCAGGGCAGAGATGGCCGTGTCGAACAGAATTTTGGTGTCCTTCTCCTTGGTCAGGTCGCCAGAAATGACGACCGTCTTGACCTTGTACTTGGACTCAAGGTCCGAAGCAAATTTGGTCAAGGCATCCTTCTCCTTGGCGGAGTGGTAGTGCAGAGCTAGGTTGCTACCACCTTTGGCAAAGGCCAGGGCGGTCTCCTTTCCGAGGTTCTTGTTGGCACCAGTGATGAGAGTAGATTTTCCTTCAAAAGACATGTCTTGAGTTGTGTTCTGTGATGGGGAGAGAGCAATTGCTTCTCTCCTTATATACCGTTTCTGGGGCTTCCGCAAAGACGGAGATAAATATATTGAGGTCGTGGACAGTCCAAACTCACGGATTTTATTTCAGTGCCAAAGCAGCAATAACAGTATACACCTATTCGCCGTACAGTGCCTCTCGCCGTTTCGTGACCGACTCCACACCGTGCAACTTGATCAAATCTGGAATTTTGTCTTCCTCCTTGAGCATGCGGTCGTGCTCAGAGGTCCAAAATCCGGGATAATTGCTCAGTATCAGCTCGTCGTTCCGGATATAGTTGAGAATGGCCGCCATGAACAGATTCAGGTGGCCGCACGAGCAATCAAACCAGTACGTCAGCCAGCCCATCGACAGACCAACTTTCTCGTTCATCACTTTGAACAGCTCAAAAGAGGTGGTGATGGAAGAGCCAAAGCTACCAAATATCTGTTCGATCTGCGCACAGGTCTCCTCGACGTTGATCAGGGACTTGTTTTTCAGCGGCTCCGGGTCCTCCTTCTTGAGCTCCTCGAAGGAGAAGTTGCCCTCGGTCTCAATGGAAGGCAGCGCGTCGAACTTGCTCAGATCGTCGTTCAGAGCCTTGATCTCGTCCTCGTTCGCGTCTTCAAAGAGATTGGCGGAAGCAGCCCCGTCGTCCAGGCGTTTGTCTTTTTCGCTCTTGGCCTCCGGGCTATATCCCTTCTTTGCAGCGTTCTCCTCGGTTTCCTTGCGCTCTACAGAAACGCGCGCCAATGCCTCGATTCTGTCCAGACTAGGAACCATGTCGTTTTTGTCGTCCAGCTTCATTCTCTTCACGTCCTTGGAATCCTTTGCTCTCGAACTCAAGTTCTTCATTGGCTGCGGGGTGATGTTCTTCGCCAAACAGTCCTCGTAGTACTTCATATACTCCTCCAGACCGTACTTCGAGGCGAACTTCCGGTATCGGTCTCTCCACGACATCGCGCTGTGTCTCGGGAACTTGGCCACCAGCTCGGTGAAAACCGACTCCGGAATGCTGTTGCCGTCCAGCTTCCGTTTCTTGGCGTATTGCGACATGTTTTCCTTGAAATGCAAAATGTGCTTGCACAGCTCGTAGTCCTCTTCGGCGGTGTATTGCGACTTCAGCAGACTTGGAAGGTCCTTGATCTTGATAGGCTCGTTTGTCACCGGGTCCAAAATCAGCTTGTTCGTTTGCGGATCCACCTGGTACACGTAGTCGAGCTTATCTGCCAGGATTTTGCGAAACCTGAACCGGATCGAGTTGCCTGTGTGGCCGCTTAACACGGGCAGCTGGGCAATTTTGGCGAAAAAGCTGTGCGTCGACCGCAGGTTCGGGTTTCGTCTGATCAAATCCAAAATACAAGCATCCTCCAGCTCTGTGAATTTCATCGACCGTTTCTTCTGGGGCTCAGCGCTCATTGATAACGCGCTCTCAACAGACTCGTCTTCCTTGAGCCCCGTCTTTGCCAACTCGCCAATGTTGATGTTGAGGTTCTGCGGTAGCTGGGGCGGACGGCGGAGCTTGAAATCGTTCAGGTCCGGCAGAACGTGGTCTCTTTGCGCCGTATAAACAAAGTTGAACGAGTACACCGGAACGTTGACGTTGGGACTCACGTCCGACGCAGACCGAGCAAGATATATTCCCTGGCTGTTTTCACCGCTCACCACACTTCCTCCCAGTTCCTCAATCACGTGGCGAACATCCTCATTGGCCGCACCATTTCCCAGCAAAATAAACTTCTGCCCTAGCAGGACCTGATCAAGCGGCGACCGCGACAAGGACGGATCCACCAGAGACTCTTCAGCCTTGATGGAAGCATCAGTGTCGTCCGGCTTATCCAAGCTCTCCACCAGATTGTTGATCAAACTTTCGTCCTCGAGCACGGCGTTCGAGGTTTTTTCTTGCTCGCTGGCTTTCATGGCTGCCGTGGCAGTAGCAGCGGCAGACTCCAGCGACGACTCGGCATCGTTGGAAGCCATTGTTATTTTTTCTGAGCTGCTGGTGTTTTGATGTTTTGATTAAAAAAATAAACAATCGGGTCTCGGTTGTTATCAAGCTTCCTTACACCGCTGATACGCGTATGAAAACGGATTACTTTGTAGAGCGAAATTTGGGGTTGGTAAAGTCTGTTTCGGTACAAACGACGACAGGACAACAATATCCTGTTCACAGTGAACCCTTTGAATGGTGAAAGGTTTTTTTTTTCGCAACCGTATTTCATTGGTGCAAAGGTGCCATGAGCCCGGGCCCCTTCTTCGGTTGATTACGTAAATACATGATATCTAACCAAATGGAGTGTCGCTGGTCCTTGGTTCTTCTTTTTGGATAACTGGCTCCTTCGAGAGCAGCTGGCGCAGCTCGTCGCTCACCACCGCCTCCGTGGTCTCCCTCAGAGCGTGTGCGCCAGCCTTCGAGTTCTTCCTGTCGAGCAACTCGACCATCTGTCTGAATTTCAAAAATAGCAGCTCTGCACGCATCAGCAGGTCGTCAACGTCCAAATGGCCGCTCAGGTCGTTCATGAACTTGAGGATCTGGTCAAACTGATTCAGATTGTTGATAATGATTTTTGAGTTCTTTTCCATGATGGCAAGGGCAAAAAAAAGAACGAACTGCGAGGAGTAGTAGTTGGTCCATAATATTTCCCAGAGCCTCATTGTGTCCTCAAAGGAGAGCTCTCGTTTGAACCATACCAGCAACATCCTGAAAAAAAAGAACAAGCTGTTGGCATCGCACTTCTCCAAATGCAGATACAGCTCTGGGATCATGAACTGGACAAGCTCATTTAGTGTCTGCATCTGGAGCTTCATTCCACTCAGATCCTTGACAAAGTTGCGCTCCATTGGCTCCATAAATGATGCAAACGCCCAAAATGAAAGTGGCTCGTCCTGTATCACGTAATATAGTGGCGAGAGAAGATCGCTCATTCCCTGCACATAGCCCAAGTTGTAGTTGAGCTCGTTGTAGGAAAATAATATATCCCTCAAGACGGTGAGGTTAGGGTTGCCAAAGTTGTCGTTCTCGTCGTCTTCGTCGTTCTCGTTTTCTGGAGAGGCAGGCTTGAACATCTCAATGTCGCGGTCCGTTCTGCGAATATCCTTGTGGATCCGCACTTTTTGGTCCTTCCAAAATTCATCGTTCATCTGTCGCTCCATATCTGACTTCCATTTTTCTTTGTACTCGTTGTAGCTATCATGTAGCGACTGGATTAGTTGATCCCTTTCGTGCCTGCTGGTGTCCCAAGGGAACACTCCCAACAAAAAAAGCCATGCCTCCTTGCGTGCAGAAGGCTCGAGACCGCCATGGAAAATTCGATCCTTCACCTCCTCCACGGTGATTTGCAGTCTGCCGGCGCTATCAAACATGTTGGTCCACTCAATGCTTGACACAGGCTTGAGCCTCGTGGCCTTCGACAGCTCATATGGTGTCAAATTACCAAAATTCTCGCCCAACTCACTTCTAATCAACTGGTGATAGTAGTTATTACCAATGATAAGTTTCCGCGACTTTTCGGCCTCCTGCTGCACCGCTAGTGCCCATCTCGCCAAGTAGACATTTGCGCTATCAAACTCGTCGCCGATAACCCGCACTTCTGGTTTTTGCAACAGTTTCTTGATAGGTTCTGGTATCTTATTGCTTTCTGCTACCTGGCCGATCTGTTTTCTGGCGAATGATGTGATGCTGGCCAGGCCCGTCAGAACCTTCCACTTTGCATTCGTAATGAACTGGTCCACTGTCTGTGTGGCGTTCTCGAGCGGATCTTTGGTGTCAATAATGTTGGGAATAAAGTTGATGCTATCTTCCTTAGTAGGATTCACTAAAACCATGCCCTTTTCCAATGGAGACTGCTCCAACACACAGTAATTCCGCAGACAGCTGATAAATCTGTCTCCACCCCAATACAGGCCGCCGTTCATGTTCTCTGCAAAAGGATTGAAGCTCTGGTTTTTCAATTTTTCCTCGCGAATGGTCCCTGGACACTCGTCGTCGTGGAAAAATAAAGCAGGCACTTTTTCTAGCGAATTTTTGGGATGCAGCACCACCGACCCGTACCATAAAGTGGAGGCCTTCGGGCGGATCTGGATACTGTATATGTTTGAGATGGTCAGCCCAAAAGCGTACGACGACAGCGACGACATTTTCGGTCTTGTGATGTACTTGTTCACCTTAGGCAGATGACTGCTGGAGATAAGCTCCTGTGTGGAGCCCCTGTCTGTGCTGCCGGAACCGTAAAAGCTGGTGTTTTCCCCATCCAGTCCGTACAGATCAAAGTAGTCTAGAGCCTCCTTGTCCTCTTTGCCCACGTCCGTTTCTGGAATAAACGCAACCACGAGATCGAGATTGGGCGAGTCTATATACGGTTTGGCTATCACAATATACCCTGGGACGTTGTCTTTCTTCGAATTGGTCACATGAATGTACACCTTTGACTTGATAAAAAGCAATTGCGCCTTCCCTGGCGGAAACGGCTGCTTTGGTGCGGACATATAATAAGCAGCTTGGCTTTGATTTGCCTTTGATTAAGATTATTTATTATCTTGGGCACAGCCTCAAGTGTAAAAATTTAGTATACATTATAATACAAGCTGCGTTCACAGGAACACGAAAGAGAGGTGGTCATTAGGAATCCGGGTACGATTCTGAAGCTCGGTGCCAAGCTTGGTGTCCATTTGCGGGTTCCAGAAAACGTCTCCCAGCTCGAACTTCCTCGATAAGTACACAAAGTCGTCGCTTTCAGACTCCTGGGACTGAATCAAATTAGGAATGGAGGTTCTTGACTTGGACAGGAAACAGTGGTACAGCTGGGCGGCGTCGAACGTCTCGCTTGGGGCTGAGCGGATCTGGATCTGAGGCGGAACGTATTTCAGCTCCAGACGTCTTCGTACTTGGTATCCTAGCTGAATGGCAACAGGCCACTTATAGCTCAAACTGTCGAGATAGTGGAGGTTGAAGTTGATTTTGTCGCGTGCGATCTCCCGGGCTCTGAGATCCTCGCTGTTGATGTGCTCAAGGTACCCGAGACACGAAATGTATAGCAGTTGCGGGAAGATGCCGAGGAAGTGTCGCAGCTCATCGATATCGGACAGATGCTGCGTGCTGACAGAAATCAGATATGCACTTTTGATGGTGACGGCCCACGACGGGAAATAGTCCGTGGAAACGGGCCCGTTGCGAGTCAGTCGTCTAACGTTGGCTCGATGATTGATTATTAGGAACGTCTGGTGCACCATGTTGATCACCAGACACAGGACCGACCTGGCGGCCCGCGAGTCCATGCGATATACCAGGCTTTTCGGTAGTCTATGAAACCACTCGGCCCACAGCGTGTCGATCTTCATGGCCGTATTGTCGTCGGCAGGAATCGACCAGGCTTGCAAGTGCACCGTGCACATGTGCATCAGCACCATCACGTATTCGCATTGCAGCTGGTCCAGGCCGTAACTCTTGAGATCGGCCTCTGTGACAGGCTGGATTGGCTGCCGGTTTGGCTTGGTCACGTGAGCCAGGTGCAGCAAATGGTACTGGGTGTACGTGATCCACCAGACGACGCGCAGCTCCGGGCTGCTGGAAACGTGGAAGCCGTACTGCTCGGCAGTGAACAGCGCGAGCTCGACCCAGTAGAACGCGTCTTTGTTGGTATACGACGGAGCATGACAGCTGAAGATGACGAGGGTTTGGACGATGCACAGCGGCTCGGTCTCGATCTCGGTCTCGTACGCGAGTCGAGCCTTGTGGAAAAGACGCTGGGTGATGGCTTGTTGCTGCTGGAGCTGTGCAGGGGACCACTGGTCGGTGTCGATGTCCCTTGAGCCGGCAAAAAGAATCGCGAGCAGAAGCAGCGCAGAAGACGGTGTACGCAGGTTCTGATTCTGCTCGTAGAACGCCTCGCGGTTGACGATGGGCAGCTGGTAGTTGAGCTTGTCGAAAAAGCGCTCGATCAGCAGCCAGCACACCTCCAAAGGCGGCACCTTAAGTGTCTCGCTTTTCAGTCGGTCGAACCGTGTCTGCTCGCTGACGATGAGGTCTGGACCCGTTGTGCGATAATAGTCATCAAGGAAGACGGGGTCCGGACACAGCTTGTGGGTGACTATCTTGGAGAGGCGGCTGTCCGATAAATTTTGTGCTTTCAGGGCGATCGAGTCCAAATTGGCAGCGAGAAATATTTCAGGAGCAAATTCGGCATTTTTCTGCAAGTCAGAGGATCCCTTGCCGTTAGCGGAGCGCAGCAGGTCCTGCGCGGACTGCTGTCTCTTCCTTCTTGTGTCGTACATTTTCTTGCGTTCGAAAACCTGACATGTGGTGCCGTTGAGCTTGCAGTTGGTGCAGGGGACGAAGGAGCTTGCGTTGGAGAGGTTGTCGTTCTTGACCGAGATGTCGCATCGCACTTTTCTGTTGTGGCAGCTCTGACAGCTGAATTTTGCCCGGGGCCGTCTGGAGCCCGAGTTGCGCCGTTGCAGCGAAGGGTCCACCAGAGCCGAATAGGCGTACGACTGCAGATTGTGTTGTCCAGCGTTGTTGGGGTAGCACCGATTCGGGAAGCCATCGGGAGGAGTTTGGTACGGAAACATGGATGCTTAGTGGGCCATATTTTGCAAAGGGGGAGGGTCCCAATAGAAGCAGCTGTGTTTTTTATATGTTTTCCAGAAAGACGCACAGGGATATACAAGATTTTGCCGCAAAACTCCATACGAGTATTTTTTACCTTTCAATATGACCGTACATCAAAATGGAAGATACATGCATGAACTGACAAGATTACATCAATTCGGAAAGTGCCTGCTGGCAGTGCATATAAATCGGTGCACCGTGGCATTGTCCATTAATTTTCCGGAGCCGGAGAAAGAATTCGCACCACCTTTTTTGTCATCCACACTCGGTTCTGCCAGTCGGGTATCTGATGTTTTTTTTGTTTGCCGGTGATGCGGCTTTTGGGGATTGTTATCTGTGCGTACAGCTGTAATAGTGGATTGGATTTCAGACGACAAACTTGCTGGGCGAGACAGTGCATGCAGTACTGAGCATTACTGAGCATTACTGAGGTGTGCTTTTTGTGTGCACAGAAAGCCCCCTGCGTCTTGGGAGTGACTTAACATTTTTGTCTTTTCGGGCTCCAGAACCAGCATATGCGGACTATTGCTATTATTGCTGCTCAAGACAGGCGGATCACTCTCGGTATGTGGCATGCAGAGAACAGCTACTAGTACCCTGCGTTCCTTGACTCTTACAGTATTTTCCCTTATAGCGTAAAGGTTATCGCGTTCGGCTACGAACCGGAAGGTTCCAGGTTCAAGTCCTGGTGGGGGAGATACTTTTTTTGACTTTTTTTTCTGCAAGCTCCAAGATACTATAGTATATTATTAGTCTCCTCTAATTGCTGTACTAGCTGGTTCAAACCATCGGCATCTAGCCTAGACAACGTCGTCGAGAGGGTATCCTCAATGCACTCATATGCGTGCCGGATATCCTCCTCGGTGAATCCCGCGTTGACATTGATTAACAGTGTAGGAACCACCGGTAGCAGTTCATGGTGGAGAACTCTTTTTGACCTGGTGACCAGAACGCCCCGACCAATCAGCTCGTCGATCATTTTCTGTAACAGATAGTTTTCCCGGTTGTAGTCGCGCGAGAAATATCCCTCTTCGTGGCCGTTTTTGATGGCTTTGAGCACATCAGAGCCCGGTCCACCGTAGCTCTCGGGCAGGTTGAGCTTCTTGCGCAAAGCAGGCGCAAGTCTCAGTATCAGCACTGGCGAGTATTCGGCAGATCTCACAGACACCACCTGCTGCAGCTTTCTCGATTGTTTGAGCAGGGAGTACAGTAGCTTGGTATTATCCTGCAATGGCTTCACGTATCTGTTGACCTTTCCCGGTTCCTCTGCCTCTTCCAGCATTGAAATCACGGCAGAGGCTGCGCTGGCACTGTATGGGGGCAGAGCCGCAGAAAACACATAAGCGTTGGAGGAAAGAACTTGGTAGTATGCCATATCACGACATCCAACACAGAACCCTCCGCTGGAACCAAAAGCGTGTGCCAAAGAGCCCACGGTGATCTCGATCTCCGATCTTGGGATTCCGTACACTTCTGGCAACCCACGGCCGTTAGAGCCCAAAGTCCCAATCGAGTACGTTTCGTCGAGGTACAGTCTGAACTTGTACTTGTTTTTGATTTCCACCAATCTCTTCAAATCTGGCGAGTCTCCAAAATTCTCGGAAAGAGCCTCCGTAACAATAAATCTTCTGTTGAGCGGTCCTTCGCGTAAATCTTCCTGCAACGACTCCAATATCTCTTCCAGGTGGTCCAAATCGTTGTGGTTGAACCACTCAATATGGCATCTGGAAATCAGGGCAGCTTTCTGCAAAGCGACCGAGACTCCGCCATCAACAATCACAATGTCCCCTCTTTTCAGGAAACAAGGCAAAACAGAGGTGGAAGTACAATAATCCTGCCCGTAAATGATACCCTCTTCCGCTCCTAGGAACCGAGCCAGGTCCTCTCCCAAACGCACATGAACGTCCTGTGTTCCATAGAAATTCATAGGGTTGCATGCACCAACTCCACATTCGCGAATGGTCTTGATGGCACGTTGCTTCACGTTCTCGTTCAGCCCCATATTCAGGAAATCTCTGGATGCCATGTTGAGTAAGTTCGGAATAATATTGCCGGTTTTGGGATCCTCTAGTGCCACTCTGTTACCGGCAGCACCCTTCACCATAGGAATGGCGTCAAGCTCCCATCTCTCCTCCTTTCTGAGAGGAGGAGCGAACGGTTCGGGCTCCCAGTCGTCAATCAACTCCTGGACCTCTCTCTCAGACAGATGGACCTTTTCCTTCTCATCTTGTGAATACTTTGATGCAAAAAAGTACCGAATGGCAACTAGTGCGAGCAAAACCTCTAAGAGTGTCCTCCATGGATCGTTTTTATGCGAAGCACGAATGTAGTTTAGCACCAGGGAACCACCAGGCACCTTTTCTACCCCGCGGATGAACTGCTCCCAAAGCTTAACTACTTTTGAAATGTATGCAATAACGGCTTCCGGTGCTCCATTGGTATTCTGTATAAGAGTGGTTGTCACAACAGACATGGTGTTTTTTGGCGATTCAACCTATTGCCTGCAAAAAGTATGATCGCAATTGGTAGTATTATGGTTTCTTTACTATCCAAATCAGAGGCCGCGTCTATCCAAAACGAGAGCACCAATATGGATCTTTAGTTGTAAAGTTGCACCTAATGCCCGTTATTTATTAATTCAAGAATCAGTACAAAAAAAAAATCAACGGTCTATCTCTAGCTGCGCCTCTGGCGTGGCTCAACTTATTTTAATTTTCGTGGCTGGTCACCTTATTTGGTTACTCTACATCACTCACTCTTCCAGGTCTTCCAGGTCTGCGAGCAGCTCTTGTTCGAAATCGTAGTCGCTCTCCTCATCCTGCTCCAATTTCTGCTTTTTGTCGTTGCCTGAAACATCGCCCTCGTCGTCGTCTCTTTCTCTCTTCAATCGGCTCTCGTCTGCTTCCAGCTCTTCCTCGTCTTCCTCATCTTCGTCATAGTCAGACCCCAAAAACTCCTTCATCTCCTCGTCTATCTCCTCCCAGTCAAGATCCTCGCCATCCAGCTTGCTATCGCCGATGTTGTGACTCTTTATGTACGCATTCACTTCATTTTCTGATAGCAAGCCGTCCACCTTGATAGCGTAGTCTTCTTCAGGAACTTTCTCCCATAACGCGATGCAGCTGAAAAGCCAGTCCGGATTCACAACATGAACGTTCGGGTCTATTGATTTCGCTAGTCGCACTTTGAACGTTCCTGGATTTTTGCAAATAACATGGGTGACAGACCTGTTGTAGTTTGCAACAAACGAGGCACCAAAAGATCTCGCCCAGATAACAATATCTGCCGTTTCTAATGGGGTACCCAGGGGCAAAACACCACTCAGAAGGAAGACGTAGCCTTGGAACACCAGCTGCTTCATCGACGTCATGATATCCTTGACGTCTGGCAGAGTCTTGCTGGATTTTTCCACCTCGAAGTAAAACTCGTTATGGATTCGCACCAGAGCCTGTCCCAAGGTTTCTAGCTCGTTATCGTCGTCGCATAGCAAATTGTGCTCCTCTCTGACCTGCGGGTGGTCTTTGACAACATCTTCCTCAATGATTCGCTCGAGGTTCTCCTGTAATTTTGCCAACGGTCTGTCTTGCAACTGTTGCTCTAAAACAGTACTTCTTTCCGTCTCTTGCGCGGCAAGAAGTTCCTTGTTTTGCTCTCCTTCATTGAGCTCCATCATCCGGTCCACAGGCGAGTAGCCCGCTTGTGGAAGAGCCACGTTGACCTTGTTTTCTTCGCTCTCGTCGTAGACGTCTGCGTCGTTGTCGTCGTCCTCCTTTGGCGAGTCGCTGCCGCTGCTCTCGGAGCCTTCCTCGTCTTCCGTGATCACTGTGTTTTCGTCCGCGTTTTTGCTGAGCTCTCGCAGCTCTTTCACGCTGTTCATCTGGTCTTCAAGCTTGTTGACAGACCTTCTCCGTTTGGAAGGGCCCAGCAACGTGCTCTGTCGAGGCAAGAAACTCGAGTTGATGTCTCCAATTCCAACGAAAAAGTCATACGGAACAACCTTGATCAGGTTCGGCGACCAGTTCCAAACGTCACCTCTGTCATCGATCACGACCACCATAGACGTGTCAACAGGGAATAGTCTCTTGAGAGTTTTCTGCGTCAGTGATCCACTCTCGTCTCTGGAAAGTATTCGGTCTCCAAAATATATACCGTCAGGATCTATTATTTTGGCTATGCTTTTGGCATACGACCGCGTCGCCATGGTGTAAATGTGTAATTCGTACAGTTTCGAGACTTTCTCCAGGAACTCTTGCAAGCCAGGCCTCAGCTTGACATAGTACCATCTTTTGTGGGAGGGCGGCTTGGGTCCTTTGTAATTTGGAGGCAGAATGGGTTCCTCTTCTAAGCAAAATGACCGCACGTCTTTAATCGACTCGTAGTTGGGGTTGGTTGGGTCTGACATCCATTCGCCAACCGTGGGGTCCACAGTGGCATGGATCACTGTTTGATCGAGATCCACCACCAAGGACAATCTCTCCTCCTTGAGCAGTCTCTGCGTGGAGCTGCGTTCAATGTTCTCAGCCTCCTTGGTAGACACTTTCAGGTTCGTCGTGCCGTGAGACATCGAAATCGGGGCTCTATCTTTGTCGTTGAATCCTGTGTAGTCCAGGTCCTCGACATTCTTGCCGCACAGCGCGCAGAGACCGCCATATTGAATCGAATGGCTGCAGGGCTCGATAATCTCCATTATTTTGCTGGAGGCGTCTTTCAGCTTGTCGCCCACTTTCACGCTAATTGATGCCACCTTTCCCTCCAAGGGACACTCGAACGAGCCAACATACTCCACTTTCACTAGTTTGCGCTCTGCGTCGTCGCTCTTCGACTCGTCTTCCTCGCTTAGGGGAACTGGCTCGAAATCAAAATATTTGTAGTATACAATAGATGTGTGTCGTTTGATTTCGTCGCCTTCGGCCACCCCAATCTTCACTATCGTCAATGGATACGGTAGCTTCTCTGGAAGATAAATTGGCGTCGTTTCCGACATACTCAGGGCGATAAACAAAAATACTTTATTTTTTTTAAAATCGCGACTTTTTAATTTATTTATTTTATTCAAAAAGGTCCATATCAACGTCCTCGTCCGAAATCGCATCCACCGCAGGGTCTGGTACCACCGACGGAGAATCTTCAATGGCAGGTTCTGACCTGGTGGACTCAACAGGCGTGGCAGATTGTTCAGCCACGGCGTCATCTTTGGACTCGCTCTGCTCCTTTTCCACGTCTTGCATGATCTCGTCAAGCTCAAAGTCATCAATATCAAAATCGGCTTCCTCGTGAACGTCGCTGCCAAATTCCGGAATGCGAATCTCTTCTTGCATGCGCTCGCGTCTCTCTTTTTCTTGCTGGACTTGTTTTATCCGCCTCTTTTGCTGGGTCCTGAGTCCACTGACCACTTGGTCGTACGTTTGGTCGTAGATGGTTCTAATGTAGTTGTTGAATTCCTCAGGGTACCCGCTCGATTTTGTGTAGAACCCAAGAACCCGCCCCAGAACGGCCTCCTGCGACTCGACACGCTCTTTGTACTTTTTCTCTTTCTCCTGCCTCCGTCTCTCAAGGGCTGCAAGCCGTTTTGTTGCCAACGCAACAATGTCAAACTTGCCTTCTCGCAACTCTGGCTCTTCGTTTTCTTGCACCTCCTTCTGCTCAGCTTCAGAACTCACATCTGTGTCTAGCTCAGGCTCACTCTCTCCTTTCTCGACAGGAACAACGTTGTCCTTGAGGTCCAAAATGTGATGCAAAGCCTTCTCTCCAAGTCTGGCCTCCTGGACCAGCTGTTCGCGCATCTTGATTGGATCCTCAATCACAGCAGTGTACTTCGGAGTAGCACGGTAGGTGTGATCTGGTGGGAGCGGTGGCATCCAGCTCGGGATGTACTCTTTTGGACCCACGCTGGGCGGAATCACCTGCGATATTACAGAGGAAGTGTCGTTGAAAAACACAAATGCCGGATCCTGCTCGGTCACAATCTCGTCCTCTGCGGGCTTATCGAGAATCTCGCACAACCTGCGTGCTCTGCGATTAATATTTTGTAACTTCTGGCAGTCTAGCTTTTTCGTCAACAAATAAGCCTCGTAGATGGAGTTGTAGTCAATTACACCCAACTTTTCAAGCGTCCTCAAATCGGCCTTCCCCGGCTGTCGTCTGCGCTGCACCTCCGTAATTCTGTGGAGTTGCGAGTATACTTGGTCAATGTGTCTGATAGCAAGAAGAGTGAGCTGGTTTAGAGCCGATCGCGTAATATGTTGTATTCCTATCTGAGCGAGCATTAAGCCGAGACATGACTCAAGTAGCATGTCCATGGGCTCTAGCTCGAATTTGACTCGCTCTATTGGTACAACTTTAGCAAGGTCCATTCTCGACGGCCGCGGATCTTCTATCTCCTTCAAGAGTGCAGCAACAGCTTGCTCGTCCAACACATTGTCGTCGTTGGGACTTTCGGGCTGCTGGCCGGATTCTTCTTGTGCTTTTGAAGATTCTGTTTCTTCGGCCATCGAGAATATTATTTATTTTATTTTATTTATTTCGCCTTATTTTTTGCTCCTCAATTTACATGTCAATCAACCTTTTGGCAGACCGGTCTGCAAAATCATTGGCCGCGCTTAATGAAACCGGACTAGAGGTGCTTTCGAGACTGGAATTGTCCAACTCCAAGTCTCCCAAATCTCTCTTGGTACAGGAACTGTTCAGTGAAAGCTATTCATTGCTAAAGCCTTTGCAAGACAAAACGGTACACTCTAAGTATTATAAGCAATTGCTCCATAAATTGGCTAGAGTACTCAGTCACTTCAAAGATGGGCTCATTGAGCCTCAGGATAAAGACTTGGCCCAATTGCAGTATCTGATCTCCTTCTACGCCACTATAGCTTTGGTCACCGTCTCCAGTCATATTCTGCTTAATCACACGCTCAAAGTTTCGGAAGACATCGATTACTACGACAAGGTACTCAGCTCCAACCTCAACACCTGTGTCTATACGATTCAGACGCTCCCGGTGACCTTGAAAAAGGGATTTGACAGTTTGGTGAGCGAGGCAGTGCGCAAGAGTGTAAACTCTGCCAGCACCGAGAATTTGGCTCCTAGCTGGGTCCCCCAGAGATTTTCGTCCTTCTGCTCTAACATCATAAAATGGATTCGTTTCCTCATAGAGGCCACGTCCCAGAACCTCCGTCATCTGTTGCTCTCGCCAACAGGCTTCCTGGTTGAGAAACATCGCAAAACCAACAGTATTGTGCGCCACTTTGTATCCACTGTCGTGGGACTTCCTATAGCATATTGCAAAATGGAAGTCAAGCATAAAAGAGACACGCTAGAGGAGCTGAAACACGAGAATGTTGAAAAGCTTGGTTTTCTGTTGAAGGAAATGCCGTACAACTCTCTAGCAGAGCAGCCAGACGCTATTTCTTCTTTTATTCCGAAACTTGCTGGCTTATATCTACCATCAGCATCAGACATAGCAGACCATTCGCTGGAAACATCTTTGAGATCACTGTCGCTTTTGTTCGAGACGCTGCCCCAAATGAAGAAAGAGCTGGAGTTAAAATATCGTCAAAACCAAGAGCCTAGGAAACTGCTCAAATACTGGCTTCCGATCTGTGCTGCTCTGTGGTACGGCCCAAACCTGGCCTATGACCTCGTTTCCAACAGGGAAGCCATCTTCAATTGGCTGAAACTCAATCTGGTGGATACCACCGCTGGATTCTGGCACAACTGGATTGTGGAGCCATTCAATAATATTCTCAGAACAATAAGACACGACGAGAACTCACGCATTGCGATCATGTCCCAAAAGTCGCTCTCCTCGGACTTGGAGTCGCTCGAGAGAATGGTGCTAGAGTACTCTCTGGACAACCAGGCCTATTTTGGTCAGAGCGAGGGGATGTCCCAAGACATGGCGGAACTAGTGAAACGAGAGGTGGCACAAGGGAACCTCGAGATCGTGATGAAAGGCTACGAAAACGACCTCAAGTCTCCTCTCAAGTCCATCATTCTCGGGGATATGGTCAGAAACCTGCTGATCCAAGTCCAAAAGATGAAAGTTGACGGCGCATTGGCCATGTCTGGAATTGACAAGATCATCCGGTCTCAGGAATTGGTCTTTGGATTTGTAGCCGCCTCTCCTAGCTGCTTGATTGTCTGGTACATGGCGAAAGTTGTTAGGTCGTACCTAAAAACGGGCTATTTCATCAAGTTCACCAGAGATACAAAAATCGCTCTGCGCCGCTCGCTCAGCAACCTTGAGAGATTGGTGGATCTCGAACTAACCACGTCTGACTCCTCCACTTACTTCAACGAGGGCTTGCTTCTGCTGGAACTGGTGAACTTGCGCAAGCTGGGTCTGCAAATCCTTCCTGTGTATGCAAGACAGGACTGGATTAGAGACCTCAATGATTTATCAGACCAAAATTACGACTACAACTTCAAACTCATGACCATCTCAAGAATATGGAACAGTTACAGAACACTCATAGAATAGCAAGTTTATTCGGGCGTCGTATAAATCAAAGCGGTTGGGCGAATAAATCACAGGATCGAATCCACGATCTTGTTGCCGATGGTAGCTCCAGCACCAAATATGGTGGAATCTCCTAGTCTCTTGCCAAAATTCTTAGCCTTCTCGGTCTTGTGGTGCTCCTTAGGCTGTTCCTGAGCTTTCTGTTGAGCGGCAGCTTCTTGCTTCTTTTCGGTTTCCTTGTCTCCCATGGTTATCGATGATGAAACTGTGCCACACCCCTTCGTATTTATATCTCGCGCTTACGTAATCGAAGCAATCTTGCTCTATTGCTCTAAAATACAAGCCTACATACGTTACATCATAGATAATCAGACGTGGCGCATGCGCGTCTTACAAAGGAACGTGGTTACTGTCTGAGGATTGCGGAGAAGCGGGCGAAATTCTGCCGTTACTGATATCGCTCAAATACTGGACGCTAGATGCTGGATTCTCGATCTGGTCGTTGGTGTACACGTTCATGTGGTTGAGTGTAGGAGCAGCGGAAGGGGAGCTTGAGACGAACGCCAGACTCGGCGGTATTAAGCCCAGCCTGTGGGGCGACCCTGACTTGAAAGAAGCGTTGGAAGCTGCCGAACGAGCCATCCGGAGCGGGCTGTTGAGTATTCTATTGATCGATTCTGCACGTACGCTGAGCGGCACGCTATCAAAGTTGCTCGACTCTATGAGCGAGTCCACTTCGTCGGATATTGATGACTGCTCAGCGCTTCGCACGCTTTCTAGCAGCTGTGGAGCCAGACTGAGCAAATTTGATTTTTTGTGTCTGATCGATTTGAGATCCTGCGTGGTGGCAGACAGAATATCGCTCGTAACCTCGTAGACATCACACCCGATGCGGATCTGATTTAGGCTTTCTTCGTGGGAGAAACTCGCAGCGACTCCTTGCTCTTGCGCTCTATTTCCCTCATACGCGCTCTTCCCTCCCTTGTTTGGAGTTGTGGGCTGGCTTGCACTGGTTGGACTCGCTGACTGGCTTGCGACGGTCTGTTTGTTCTGTAGGGGCGTGCGATTCCTCCCTGAATTACTTACGGGACTCCCGCCGGAGGAGCTGCTCGAGCTGCTGTTCGAGTGTCTTCGTTGTTTGTTCACGGCAGGCCGTCTAGCAATGTCACCTAGCCGTCTTTGGGTGCTGTTGTTGGAGCCAGAGGTGCTCTTTGTCGACCGCAGCGAGCTGGGCTCGCCCAGCTCTGTGATCCCGTCGTTGATGCCGCCGCTTTCTCCCAGCATGTCCTCGAACTCGGGAGTGCCAAACTTGTTGACCAGGTCCTCGGAATTGCTCTTGTACATGTTGGCCACTCCCTGGTTGAGCTCGTGAGCGTCTCTGGCCACGCTTCTCATGAACAGGCCAAAGATGCGGAAAACCGCCCGCGGAAGCAACACCACCACCAACACCGCGGCAGCCACCGATATGGTGTCAATGTGCTCATCCACAAACGGCCGCACCTTCGTCTCGTACTGCTCGATAAGCTGGTCGAAAACTGGCTTCCAGCCGTCCAGAAGCTCCGACACGTGGACCTCAAGGTACTTAGAGTAGTAGTGTGCGAGCTTGGACGAAAAGAGGTTGTAGACGTCTGCTGAGAAAGCGCCTATTTCGGTTGCTGTTTTGGACAGCAGCTCCTTGACGGTGTTGTAGCGCGGCTCGAAATAGGCGATTATGGGGTTGTAATAAGGCGCGAGACGAGAAACCTGCTCCACCACTGGACGCGAGGCCGAAACAAGATGTTTTCTCGCGACTGCGATGGCCGGAAACAACGTCGCCTTTATCTGAGCGTAATACGGTGCGCCCAATTTGATAACATTCTGGACATGTTTGTTTTCATTGAGGAAATAGAGCCTGACTTTCTGAAATAGCTCAAAAAGCTGAACACGGGACTTGTGTTTCTGTGGCGAGACGGATTCTGGTGTTAGCAAATAGGGGGCCGGTCACTTACCATATGTGAGAGGAATCTCAGGCAGCGTAATTATTTCAAAGTTCTTGAGTAGCACGAGCGAAAGCAGCGTGATCACTGCATAGTACATTGGGAGAATTGTAATCATGGTGTTTTATATCTCTGACAAACGCGGCTAATTGTTGCTTGCTATTCAATGAAAAGATTCAACAGAGATGATTGTTTACTGTTATTGCTTTCAGAATTAAAAAATAAAAAATATCGACGCGACGCTCGAGTCTAACTTTATTTTCATGCTCTCTCCGGACTTGGCAGGAGTGGTTCTCGTGCTCAATGTCCTCTGCGCGACAGCCACCGCCGTTGTGCTCGTTGTCCCGTGGGTGCCGCAACTGGCTTTTCTCCTCCAGTACGGCAAAACCCTGCAGAACGACCCGCACCCGCGCCTGCTAGATCTGTACGTGCCGAAAAAATGGTTTACTCACTTCTACGAGTTCTCGCTCGCGTTGAGCACTGCCGGGCTCGTCTGGGCCTTTGCAAACTACTCCTTCTGCCTTATCCACCTCGTCTGCATGCTCACGTTTTTTCAGAGTCTGAAAAGAGTGTACGAGTGCCTTTTTGTCTCGAGATTCTCCCCGACAGCTAAGGTGCACGTGACACACTACCTGGCGGGGCTGTTATTCTACGTGTGGGCAGACCTGCTACCCGTTCTGAACTTCGAGCTGCCCGGTTCCACGCTGAAACGCGGCCCGTCGACATTTTCGTATTTCTGTGCGCTGCTGGCGCTGCTGCTTTCGTACGACCAGTACATCAACCACAAGCATTTGGCCAGTTTGAAAAAATATACAATGCCCCACAACGGGCTCTTCAGATACATCTGTTGCGCACACTACTTCGACGAGGTGTCCATCTACCTGTGCCACTTCCTTATCCAGCAAAACGTCTCGTCGTTTCTGGTTTTTCTGTGGACGCTTGTCAATCTCTCTGCGTCGGCTACGCAATCATACAAGTTCTACGGAAAGCCAGCCAAGGCAGCCATCATCCCGTTCATATATTAGTCATCCCATCTTTTGATACACACGCTGGCGTTGGTGCCTCCAAACCCGAAACTGTTGGTAAGAGCGTAGTCCACAGTCTTTTGCTGGGCTTTGTTGCTTATGTAGTCGAAAATGTATTTTCCAGATCCGTCTGCGTTTCCAGGACGGTTGCAATTCAAAGTCGGCGGCAGTACGCCGTTTTTCACCGCAAGAACCGTGTAGATAGCCTCCACCGACCCGGCTGCTCCCAAAAGATGCCCTATGGCTCCCTTGGTCGACGAGACGCTCAGATCCGGCCTGGAGTGCTCAAAAAGAGCCACCAGAGCATTGTTCTCCGCGTCGTCGCCCAAGACGGTCGAGGTCGCGTGCGCGTTGACGTAGCCGACCTGCGCAGCCTCAATCCCAGCAAACTCGATGGCCTGCGCCATTGCTCGCCGCGCGCCGTCTCCGTGCAAGTTCGGCGACGTTATATGGTTGGCGTCCCCGCTGAGACCGTAGCCGGCCACCTCGGCGTAGATCGTGGCATCTCTGGCGCGCGCATGCTCGAGCTCCTCCAAAATGAGCACCCCGGCACCCTCGCTGAGCACAAACCCGTCGCGATCGACGTCGAACGGCCGCGACGCCTTCTCCGGCTCGTCGTTGAACTTTGTCGACAGCGACCGCGCTCTGGCAAAACCGCCAACCGCAACGGGGTGGATCACTGCCTCGGCTGCCCCTGCTACCATCACGTCTGCGTAGTTGTCCTTGATAAACCGAGCCGCGTCGCCAATGGCGTTCAGCCCGGTCGCGCACGCCGTGGCCACCGCGTGGTTCGGCCCAAGAAGCTGGTGGCGGATCGAAATATGGCCTGCTGCCATATTTGTGAGCAGCTTGGGAACAAATAGCGGCTGCACCCGGCGGTACCCTTTTTCGTGGAAACTGACCGCATTTTCGTATAGGTCGTCCATGGACCCGATTCCGGAGCCGACACACACACCGGTGCGCTCTTTCTGGGTCTCGGAAACTGGCAGCCAGCCGGCATCGTCGAGTGCCTCTTTGGCAGCCACCAGGCCGTATTGGATGAATGTAGACAGTTTGCGCACCTCGTGGGCTTCAAAATGGTCCAGTGGGTTGTACTTGTTTTCTGCGGCCGGTCCGCGAGGAATGGCTCCGACCACTTTGGCAGGAATGTCTTTGTACTGAGAAGCGTTTTCCAGCTGGTCCACTGAGGAGAGACCAGACTGTCCTGCAATGAGTTTCGTCCAGTTCGTCTTTGCGCCCACACCCAGCGGCGTGACCATGCCCAGGCCCGTGATTACAACTCTGCGGCCAGCCATAGATCCATATTTGCAAGACGTTCAGAAATATTCGTTACGCCCAGCACCGAGAAAACGACACAGCCAGAGAAAAAAATTATTTCACGGAAAAGTCTAAAAAAATTTATTACACCAAGTATGGCAGGATCGCAGCTCAAGCAGCTCAAGGCGTCGCTGAAGGCAGCAGGGCTGGTGGGTCAGACAAACACAAAGAAGAAGGGGAAGAAGCACTCAAAAAAGACACCGAATGAGTCGCGAAGGGACGACAAGCAGCAAATCCTGGAGAAAATCAGAGAGGAGTTCAACCCGTTCGATCTGAAGGTGAGTCGGTCGAAGCGCGAGGACCTGCTCGAGAAAAAGCGTGTGGTCGGAAAGCCCGGCATCTCTAAGCAGGCTGGAGAGGAAAACCGCCGCGCTGCGTTTGAGGCCAAACGGTCCAGAAAGAACAAGGTGGGTGGCCTGGTTGATCGACGGTTTGGAGAGAGCAACACTCAGATGTCCGCAGAGGAAAAGATGCTTGCGCGGTTTGTGAAGGAAAGACAGACTCAGGCGTCGCGCTCTTCCGTTTTCAATTTGGAAGACGCTGATGACGATACGTTGACGCATTATGGTCAGTCTCTGGCCTTTGACGAGACTGCCCACGACGAGGACGAGGACGAGCCATTTTTCAGCCAGAAAGGAGGCTCAGGGCCCGCAGAGCTGGAAGACGAGCCCGTTGGCCGCAAGAAGACGAAGCAGGAGGTGATGAGAGAAATCATAGCCAAGTCGAAACACTACAAGCGGGAGCGTCAGAAGCTTGCGGAGCAGACCCAGTTCGCCGTCCAGGAGCTCGACGAGGACTTTGATAACGTGATGGGCACGCTGAATAGTGTTCCGCAGCAGAAACCTGCTCCTGCTACCAAAACAGAGGAAGAGAAAAAATACGACATGAAAGTGAAACAGATCGCATTGGACCGCCGCGCGGCCCCCGCAGACCGCACCAAAACAGAGGAGGAGCTCGAGAAAGAGCGGAAGGAGAGACAGGAGAAGCTGGAGGCAGAGAGACAGCGTCGTATGGAAGGTGAGGACCTGGAAGAGCACGGCGGTGCTGACGATCTTGACGACGTTTGGGAAGGAGCTAGTGATCTGAACGAGGATGAGGTAAGCGAAAATGAGGAGGGTGAGGAATCTGAGCAAAATGAGCAGCCCAGAGCCGCAGAGGAGCCGAGTGTCATCAAAATTGGAGGCAAGGTCATTACTGTGAATTCTACCGTGAAGGGAAAATGTCCTGCTACTCTGGACGACATGATCGAGGCAACCAAAGATATTGAAACCAAGGACATCTCGACGTTCGTGGTGGGCGTCTTCAAGACGTATCAGCCCAAACTCGCCCATGGAAATAAAGAGAAAATAGGAGTTTTCAGTCGTGTTCTTGTACAGTACGTGCTCTACTTGGGTGAACACTATGACTCGAAAAATGCAGAGCTGGTGGACTTTCTTGCCAAACTCATCAAAAGCATGTGCGAAAAGTACCCAGAGGAGATGTGCGAAGAGTTTCGGACGCAGCTCAGAAATGTGCAACATATTCTTCAAAAAAGAGACTTTTCCGCATTCCCGCGCCAGCATGACCTTCTTCTATTCACACTGATCGGTGCAACGTTCTCCACCTCGGACCTGTATCATTTAGTGGCAACGCCGGCATCTTTATTGATCGGGGAACTGTTGGAGGTGATGCAAATCAATTCGAAAGTGCACCACTTGTTTGCAGGCATATTTTTCTGCGACCTGCTGCTGCAGTACCAGCGGCTGTCCAAACGTTTAATTCCAGAGGCCGTCAATTTTTTGGAGCGTGCATTGCTGGCTCTCGTTCCCGAGCCAGAGAAAATCGAAAGCACGCACCTCTGTGTGATCCCAAAAACCACAAAGTTCACTCTGGCCTCCAACACACAGTTACCAGAATCGCTTGACCCGCTGTCCTTGAACAGCTGGAAAGACGCTGGCCAGAAACAGCTGATCAACTTGCTGCTCAAAGCTGTGACGACTCTTGACAATTCTCTTTCAATACTTAAAGAGAGTGGAGCATTCATTGAGCTGATCAAACCATTCGAAGTAATCCTGAAACACATGGTCAAATACTATGCCTCTTCTTCTGTGCCAGGAACACTGGCAAAAGTGCAGAATCTCACCAGGAACGCCAAGCTGGACAGACACCCGCTCAAGTTGCAAGCACACCGCGCAATTGCAATCCCGACATACTTGCCTAAATTCGAGGAGAATTTCAACCCTGATAAAAAGTCATACGACCCTGACCAGACCAGACAGGAGATCAGCAAGTTGCGCCATCAGATCAAACAGGAGCGGAAACAGAATCTGCGGGAAATCAGAAAGGACTCTCAGTTCGAAGCAAGAGAGCAACTCAAACTCAAGCGCAAAGAGTATGAGGAGTACCATGCCAAAATGGCCAGAATCATCAACTCGATCCAGACAGAGGAAGGTGCAGCCAAGAACGAGTACGAGCGGGAAAAGAAGAGAAGAAAGAAATAGATTGTGTAAATTAACTCACGCCTTCTTTATGCTTGTAAATCTGGTTGATGAGCCCCAACACTCCGGCCTCGTCGTCGCCTTCCGAATCAGCCTCTTCGTCGTGGTGCGACGTATCCTCCACTGGAAATCCGTGCTGGAACGACTCGCCAAGAAGAGTGCTATTGTTGAGTGTTTGCAAATAGTTCCTTGTATCTGTGGATAGGCCTGCGGTGGTGTCTTCCATAAGATCGATGTTTTGACGTTTAGTGTACACGGACTCGCCTAAATTAGGGGAACGCAATTGAGGCGGATATCTGACAGTAGAGTGAGTTCCGCGGTTTTTGTCCATCATTGAGTTGTTAATCATCGCCGAACGAAGCAGGTTTTTCTGGCCCGGACGTCTGCCAATTCGGTCTACAGTCGGCTCCTTGCCAGTCTTTCGCACCGGCTCGTTTCCATAGCTCTCTAGGAAATAGAGATACGATTTGACCATTTTATCGTCGTCAGCAGTGTAGTATTCCTGTTTCAGGTCATCGTAGTCATTGGCAGCCTGGCTGCGAACAGGCTTGTCTTTGCTGTCAAACTCGAACATTGCAAACGTGCAAACGTAGCCCAGTCCGTCAACATGGACGCTAAACTCTCTGAAGAAGTCGATCACCTTTTCAGACACGTCTGGCAGCCGGCAGTACAAAATGTATGGAAGCATAATCAAGCTCGTAATTTCCTTGAGAACCAAGATGAGCCGCAGGTTGAAAAGCTTACAAAACTCGTTCTTCACCTCTTCTGTGTGGAATCTGCCATTCCATGAGCTAGGAAGATAATGGGTAAACTGGGCCACGTATCTCAATGATGCCTCTGGATCGAAAACTGTGTCATTCTCCGAGACCGAGCCTTTGCAAATGGTGAATATGGCACCCAAAGTGGAGATATAGAACAGGACCGTGCGGCCTTCGGTAAGCTCAAAATTCAGGAAGTTCTCGTGGCCCAGAACGGTGAGCACAACCAGTATGGTCACAAGTGAGCCCGTGACAAACGCCACAAAGTTGAGGACTATATTTGCTGCTTCCTTGGGAAACTGGTTAATATACTCTGTAGCGCGCGCTCTGCTCATTTTCAGTCTTTTATCAAACATGTGCGGCAGCTCGTTGAACTCTCTTAGTTTCCATCTGGCATAAGGGGAGTATTCACGGGACCCCACCAAGGATGGATTAGTTTTGATGTCGTAAAAGAACTTGAGGAAGAAGTAAAGGAGAAAATATATGACCAGAAACGGCGTGAGAAATATGCTCAGGATTCCGGCGAGTCGGAATCTTTTGCGCAGCTCTGTGGCCAGAGCAAGCCGTTTGTGTTCGCTGAGCACGGCATGTTTCAGCTGGCCGTCGGTGTTGAACACGAAATCAAATATGCAAAGTTTGAGGTTCCACTCGAGCGTTTTAGTGAGGAAATGGTGGTTGATAAGCGGGATAGTCAGGGCGGGAGAGAGAACGTTCTTGTTGAAAATGGCAATCATGTAATTCTCCTTGCGCATCAGACGGTTGGCGATATCGTGAGCGCTTAGTCGTTTCTTCGATTTGAGGTCGTCACCTCTAATATTCTGGTTTCCTGAAATCAGAGCGTTGGTGTTTTGGTCCCGCAGAACCATGATCTTCTTGACAATGGTAGACCAGCTAATTGTCTGGAGCTCTTGATCGGAGACCCCAAGAAGCAGGTTGTAGAAGTTTCTAATTTCTTTCAGGTCTTTGAAGTGGTGGTAGAACGATTTGATCCGTAGCACCAGAATGATAAAGAGCACAAAGAAAAAGAATCTTTGACCAAACGATATTTTGGAATAGCACTGGTCAACCACCACATCCGAGTACTTGGTGGCATTGCCGTTCATTAGCCGGTTATAGTCAACACAGTTGCCCATGAAGCTGCTGAGCCAGACCACAAACACAATGATGAGCAGATCGCTCACGCGCGACAAAATGATGCAGCGGTAACCGTTGCCCGTGTAGTAGCCGTACACGTCCTCAAGAAAGGTGTCTAAATTGGAAACGTTCGACCACAGCCAGAGAGCACGTTCCATGGGACTCAGCAGACCGAGTTTCCCGCGTAGCTGACGCTGCTCGTTGATATTTCGCACCACCTCCGGCTCGCCTCCTACACTGTTTTCTCTCCTATACGAGAGCGGGGGTGGCGGGAGCTTGCTGGAGGCATTGGTTGGGAGCTGGAACGAAATGCCCCTCGGTATAGTTTTAGGGATATTGTCGATAGTCCTGCTTGCAATTCCTCTTGCCTTTTCGCCCCACTGACTGAAATTGGGGCCGGCTCGAGGCTCTGCGGGCGATGGGGATTTTTTCGTCTCAAACGTCCGCGTGCTGCCCTCGTGCGGACGGCGTCGCTCCATCATTAAACTCTCAGGCACAGTATCATAGTCGTCCTGGCGAAGTTCCGACTCCACCTGTTGGTACAGCTCGCGTTTCTGGTCGTACAAAAGATCGTCATTGGAGGCCGACTCGGTTTCAGAAGAAGATTCGTCCTCTGAGTTGACGTTGATCGGGTGCTGCGCCCGTGGGGGGCTCTCGACCTCGTGCTCTTCAAACGTGTCCTGCAAGTTGTTGATGCTAAATTCAATGTCGTTGTTGTCGTCATTCAGCAGAGGATTGGATGCAGACCCAAACACCCGGGACAGAAAGGTGTGTTTGTTAAGGTCGCCCATAAATATTAAACAATAAATATATGTCAAATGTTATCTTTGCCTTTATTGGGGCTTACGTAAAGTCAGAAGGCCCGACGTGAATTCAAGAAAAAAAAATAACCAAAATTGTTCGGTCATGTCTATTAGTCTGCTGAGGGAATGCACGAAGAACGGCAAGCCCATTGCGTTTCCGGAGGGCCAGGATATTTCTACGGCCAAGACGCTTATTTTGGACGGCCAGGAGGTTTCTCTGGACGAGAAGACCGGGTTTGTTAGCGGAGACAAGATCAACCATGTTTTGCGAACCATATACCAATGCTGGTTGCACAGTGAATCGAACACGACCGAGTATATTTCCGACTGCGAGGCGAAGAATATACCTGTTGTGAGTTTTTTGGAGAGAACGGAGCTGATCTCGTATCTAAACGGGTCGTCCGAGACGTGTGCTTATTTACAAGGGGCAGGACCCAAAGCCCAGCCTGGCGGCGAAAAACGGACATCTACAGAGGAGCAGGGCGCGGCAAAGAAGAAGCGCGAGTTAGACCCATTTTTGCGCGAGGTTCTGAGCAACGAACGCAATTTGATCGACCATAATAGGGCTCTGCAGGGCACGAAGCCTGTGGACTTTTCGAGCGTTGCCAAAGAGTGCGAGTATAAGATTATCCGTGCGGCCAAGCAGAAAACCAAGGCGAAGGGCAAGGTGCCCGAGAAGAGCACGACGTCTGTGGGGAAGAACAAGGAGCCCATCATTATTCTGTCGCCGTCTGCGTCTGCTATTTTGAATATGAGCAACGTGAAGGAGTTCCTTCAGGACGGAAGATTCACCAACGCTGCCGACTCAGGACACTCGACAAGCAACATGCTGCAGATTGTGCGCAACTCGAAGCGGTTCGACAAGAGAATGAAGTTTCTGGCGGTGAGCAACGTGGAGAAATTCTTCACGAAGCCGGAGTACTGGGACCGGGTGGTTGCAGTTTTCACGACGGGCCAGGAGTGGCAGTTCAAGAACTACAAGTACAACCAGCCAAGTGTGCTGTTTCAAAAAGTGAAGGGCTTCTATCTCTATTACAACGGAGACCCAATTCCGGACAAGATTCAGCAGTGGAACGTGCAGCCGATAGGCATTGAGCGGACGCAGCGGTTCAAGGACCGTCAAACGAGCGAGTTTCTGTGGGAGAGTCTGGAGCGGTTCATGGCCGGCAAGGGCTACAGATGATAGAACTACACTAAAATTTCGTCATTTCGATACATTGGTACACACCTATTTCGCCTGGCAGATTAATGGTATCGGGCCAAGTATGGCACAAGAGGTAAAAAAAACTGTGGATCCTGCGAATTCGTAGCTTAGACCTGGGACATGGTTGGCACTCCGGTTCTAACTGGCTTGCGGGAGGAGGAAGTTCCCAGGAAGCCGTTCTTGAGGATGGAGAGGGAGGAAATCACCAGCGAGAACAGGAAGACGAAGAAGGAGAAGTAGAGGAACGCAACGGAAGCCTGTGCCTTTCTGCATCTGTCCTTGGAACCCTGGGTCACGGTGTTGCTGTCCAGGTAGCTCTGGTTGGAGCAAGAGTGGCATCTGATGGCGACGGCCAAAGCGGTAGCACCGGCAAAGGTGAAAACGAAATTGAGGAAGTCCCAGATGGCCAGGAACAAAGGCGAGGCCAAGAAGGAGATGAAGAAGGCTAGCACTCCGTACAAAGTGGAGGTGAGGAGTCCAAAGGCGGCAGCAAAAACGCAGAAGTTGACCTGTGGGTTGCCGTGGTCGGCTGTAGCGGCAAGCGAGCCTGTCAAACCGAGGACAATGACGAGGAACACAAAGTTCACAGTTCTGAGAGAAATGTCACCGTATGATAGCATTGTGTAGATGAGCAATTGGGAAAAAGTCTAATTTTTCTTTATTAAAAAAACAGGACTGAAATTCCTAGCTGTATTATATATAGTCCCACAAATACAAACAAATAAGCAGCGAAAAAGGGAAATCTCTGTCCAAACAGGAAAAAATCGCAATAATTTCCTACATTGGTTAGGCGGCCCCGCTGTTTGCTTTTTTCCCGAACCGGCTGAACAAGGTCTGTGGAAGGCGTCCTGGCAGGACTCGATAATCACCCGTCCCCATATAGATTAAATAGCATGCATTACTAATGGAACACGGCACCTAGTGGTTTGCGGTTGCTATTGCCGGGTGGCAATTTTGACTGCCTGCAGGGCCCCGCCAGACCCAACTCCGTCGCTGATTGTCCGTGTGCTTGGTGGACTCCGGCGCGGTCCCGCATTTGCTGGGCTCTATCCTGAAGCTGACAACTGCTGACACCGAGGTCCATTTATAAGGGGCTTTCCTAAAGAGGAAAGAAAACTTGCCTAAAAAGTGTTTCGCGCAAGCAACATCCTTGCCCGAGAGAAGCAAAGGAGAAACACAGAATAGGCAAGATTGTTTCAATTTTAAAATGGGCAACATTAAAATCCGAGGGGTACCTTACAGTTTTAAAAGGGTGAGTCGGTCCCGTATACTAAATTGCGATCTCTGAATTTTCGGCCGGGAAATTTGTCGTTATATGACACTATCTATGTAGTAACCCTTGCACCGTCTTCTTTTAGAAACTAATGATCAGAAGATCACTTGTGCTGTTCAATGCCGACTCAGGTGCCCTGAAACGCCGTCTGGAGCAGCTGGCTGAGGACGCGCGTCCCGTAGCCGACGATCCACGGGCAGGCGCGATCCCGGACGCCTTGCCCGTGGATCTGCCCAAGTTGCGGTCCAAGCTAGATCAAATCGAAAACCAGAACTTCGACCACCAATACCAGAGAGAAATCGGCTACAGCAAAATCCCCACGTATGCGGGCAAGCAAGAGCGAGAGATTGCGAGCTCCAAAGTGTGGACGGGCAAGGAGTCTGTCTACGATGCGTCGCTGAGAATGCTCAGCGACAAGTACAAGCCGATGCCCAAGGCAAACGTGCGGCAGAGGCTCCACAACGCCCGCGACGGGGCCCTCGACTACCAACTGGACAAACTATCCGACAAAACCAAAGCCAAGCCCGAGGACGACCAGTTTGCCGAAATGTACAGAGAGCGACTGTTAGGCCCTGCGCAGTTTCTTGGGGACTCGTTCGCGTCTGTAGACAACTCTGTGCGGTCGCTGGCCGACCAGCGGATCCAGGAAGCGCAGCGGCGCGGCGAGTTCCGTAATCTTCCCCGGGGAAAACCGCTTCCTAGAGACTACACCAGCAATAACGCATTTATTGACCGCACAGAATACCATTTGAACAACATACTGAAACGGCAGGAGGCCGTGCCGCCGTGGATCGAGAAACAGGGCAGTGTGGAGGCCCAGATCCGCCAGTTTCGGCGCCAGCTCGACTCCGATTGGACACTACAGGCGGTGCACATTGTTTGCGAGAAACACTCGAGAGAAAGCGACGCGGACAAGATCAAGATTATGAGCCAGTACGCACAGGCGGAGCACAGCGACGGCCCGTGCCATAGGAAGCTGCGCAGCAGCCAATGGGAACAAAAATACACCAAGTATCTGGACGTCAAATTAAAAGCGTTGAACGACAGCATCCGAGGTTACAATCTGCAGGCTCCTTTGGCGTCGCAGAAACTGTATCTGCGCGCAACCACGGAGCTGGAAAAATGCTACCGGCGGTGTGCGGAACATCTGGAGGCGGCGATCAAGAGACACCTGCTGGGCTCCTCGATAACCCCGAGATCAGACCGGGTTCCTGGGTATCGGGAGGTGAGGCAGCGGGACATCCGTCAGGTGTACCAGGCGCCGACCGAGAGTCTCGGGAAACAGCTGCTCGACATGTTCCGCTGGCGGCGCAAGGACGAATGAGAGTCTGTGGAGACGACGGGTATATATGTGTGGAGGGTAAATCTGACAGGGTGTAGCACAGGTAATATTTTCCTAAAAATGCGGTTTGCGGCCCCGCAACGGGAAAAAAGAATGACTTTGGTGTTCTTGTCCAGAGTGGGGTGTCCCGCCCGTGTGTGCAAATAGCCTCCTACCGTTCACCCCGGAAATTGCTGTTTTTCTGCAAAATCCGGGGTGTCTCGCGTGTATCCGCCAATGAAAGCAGCCGGCAAACACGGAGTCTATATCCAGCGGGCACCGACCCAGGCGACCACCAGCCGGGTGTTCCAGAGAGGGGAATGACACTATAAATACGCCCTTGTCGCCCTCCCTTCCACCATCAATCACATCATGAAGGTTGTACTAGTTCTCTACGACGCAGGAAAACACGCCCAAGACGAGGAAAGACTCTACGGTTGCACCGAAAACGCCCTTGGTATCAGGGACTGGCTCGAGAAGCAGGGCCACGAGCTCGTTGTCACCAGTGACAAGGAGGGCGAGAACTCTGTGCTCGAGAAAAACATCCCGGACGCCGACGTGATCATCTCCACGCCTTTCCACCCGGCCTACATCACCAAGGAGAGAATCGACAAGGCCAAGAAGCTCAAGCTGCTGGTGGTTGCCGGCGTGGGCTCGGACCACATCGACCTCGACTACATCAACCAGTCCGGCAGAGACATCTCTGTGCTGGAGGTGACCGGCTCGAACGTGGTTTCCGTTGCCGAGCACGTCGTGATGACCATGCTGGTGCTGGTGAGAAACTTTGTTCCTGCGCACGAGCAGATCGTCTCTGGAGGCTGGAACGTGGCCGAGGTCGCCAAGGACTCGTTCGACATCGAGGGCAAGGTCATTGCCACCATCGGAGCAGGCAGAATCGGCTACCGTGTGCTGGAGAGACTCGTGGCCTTCAACCCTAAGGAGCTGCTCTACTACGACTACCAGTCGCTGTCCCGCGAGGCCGAGGAGAAGGTCGGCGCCCGCAGAGTGCTCGACATCAAGGAGCTGGTTGCACAGGCCGACATCGTCACGGTGAACTGTCCGCTGCACGCGGGCTCGAAGGGCCTGATCAACGCAGAGCTGCTCAAGCACTTCAAGAAGGGCGCCTGGCTCGTCAACACCGCCAGAGGCGCCATCTGCGTGGCCGAGGACGTGGCAGCCGCCGTCAAGAGCGGCCAGCTCAGAGGATACGGCGGAGACGTGTGGTTCCCGCAGCCGGCTCCAAAGGACCACCCTTGGAGATCCATGGCCAACAAGTACGGTGCCGGCAACGCCATGACTCCGCACTACTCGGGCTCTGTGATCGACGCCCAGGTCAGATACGCCCAGGGCACCAAGAACATCCTGGAGTCGTTCTTCACACAGAAGTTCGACTACAGGCCTCAGGACATCATTCTGCTGAACGGAAAGTACAAGACCAAGTCGTACGGCGCCGACAAATGATTTGTGCGGGAGCAGCTGACAGCCTCTAGATGAAATAGGAAATATAAGTATGGTTTTGATTTCTAAGTGCACGTAGCGGTCGCGTCAGCCTGACTGGCACACCTCGCTTAACCCCAGGCCGCGGGGCTTGGCAAGGCGCGCAGAACGGCGCGATGCGGTCGAGAACGCGTCGGCCCTCCTGTGCGCCGCACCGCCCTGCAAAGGAGGTTGCGGCTGTGCGGCTCGACGCGATGGAAAAAATAAGCGTTAAAAGGAGGTGTCAGGGAAGCACGCCGCGGACTGGAGATATATAAAGCGCAGCTTCGCATAGCCCCATCCCCCCAATGAGCGACGACCAGGCCTTGGAAATATTCCTGAAATCCCCCGTCACCCAGGACATGATCCACCACCTGGTGACGGTCACCTTGCAGGTTCTGCCCTGCGAGTCCTCCAAAACCATCACCCAGAAGGTCAAGTCGCCAGCCGACGCAGAGCCCGTGCTCAAGACCAAGCCCCTACCCTCGCTCATGACCTTCATCACCAAGCTCGTCCGCTACACCAACGTCTACACGGGAACGCTGATGTCGACCATCGTGTTTCTCAACAGACTCAAGGCCAAGCTTCCCCGGGACGCCCAGGGCCTGCCTTGCACGCGCCATCGCATATTTCTGGCCTGTCTGATCATCTCTTCCAAGCACCACAACGACTCCTCGCCCAAGAACAAGCACTGGAGCAAGTACACGGACGGCTTGTTCCGCAAGGAGGACGTCAACCTGATGGAGCGCCAGCTGCTCATGTTGCTGGACTGGGACCTGAGGATTTCCAAGGACGAGCTTCTGCGGGCCTGGAAGCGGTTCCTGGACCCGATTCGCGCCGAGCTGCGCAAGAAGGAGAGAACGCGCAAGCCAGTGCCGGCCACGCCTACGATCACCGTCACCGCGTCGCCAGCGTCTCCTGTCCTGCTCACGCCGGTCAAGTCGCTGTGCAGCTCGCGCTCGTCGTCCGTGTCGTCGCTGGACACCCTGCACTCTCGCGCCTCGTCGGTGTCCAGCACCTCGAGCCAGCTCCTGGACGACTACTCTCTTGGTAAGCTAATCGACACCGTTGCGCAGCAGGAGGAGCAACAGCTCAACAATCTAATGAGACAGTACTGTTCTGTCTCGTCGCATAGCATTCGCCCATAGGACTAGGTAGAGAACATTCGGATAATAGGGATTATTTATTTGTGGTAAGTGTAGATGGAAAATCAATAAATATCTTTTCGCACAGCCAGGCTTGTTTTTTATACGTAATTAATCATGGAGGACGGCGACAGCGTGAGTTCCAGCGAGGCGCCGGGCGCAGAAGACGCCGTGCCGCGGAAGAAGCTGAGTTTGCAGGAGCGGCTGGCGCTCGCCGCGTCCAAGAACAGCCGCAAGGACGATGTCAAGGACGGCAAAGAGAACAAGGAAGTCAAGGGCCCTCGGGACGCCAAAGACGCTGGCTTGGGAGCCGAGACCGCGAAAAGTGAGTTTTCGCTGCCTGCAGACTACAAGAGCCTGGAGCACGACGCGCTGCTGGCGCTGGTTGAGCGGTCGGCACAGGTGGTAGGAGATCTCAAGCGGACAAATCAACAGCTGGCACGCAAGGTGGACGATCTGCGTCGCGAGAGGGCTCCGAAGCGGTCTGTCACGCCCATTGGCAGCGACGAAGCGCTCAGGCGTAAGCTGGAGGAGAAAGAGCTCCAGATCAAGGAATTGCTGGAGGAAGGGTCCAAATTGTCGATGAAAGAGGTGAATCTGACGCAGACCATCAAGAAGATGAAGCAGAAGGAGCTGGATCTGGAGGAGGATCTGGCGCGTGCCGAGCGGGAGGTAGGCAGTCTACAGGCTCGTGTGGCGGAGCTGGAGGCCGAGGTGGGCGGGTTCAAGCACAACGAGCGGAGTATCAAGGAGGACCGTCTGGGATACGAGGGCCTGCAGAAAAAATTCGAAAAGGTGCAGAAAGAGAGGGACGCGGCCATGGACGAGCTGAAGGAGCTGAAAATGCGCAGACTCGACGTCCAGGTGGCCACTTTGCAGAAACAGTTGGAGACGGAGCTGAAGAACGGAGCACGGCTTCAGGAGAGGCTCGACAAGACCGCAGAGGAGTTTAGTCTGTACAAGGAGGACGCACGCAACCAGATCTCGCAGCTGACGTACAAGTTGGAACGAGAACGCGCGAGATACAACGAGCTGAGTGAGGAAAATGCTGCCGAAATCAAACGGCTGGAAAATAAAATGGAGGCGTTCCGGCTGCTCAGCGAGTCTGTGGACAAGAACACGGACACGGCAGGTGTTACAGACGCGTCGTCTGTTTCTGTCGACCTGATCCAGGCGCAGTACACGCAAGCACAGGAGAACTGGAAGCTGATTGAGAGCTCGTACTTGAAGAAGATCTCATCGCTGGAAAACGACGTCGAGGTGCTCAAACAAAAAGATATTGCCAGCTCAAGGAAGATCAAGACGATGCAGAGCGACCTCAAGTCGAGAGCGGCCGAAATCAGCGAGCTGCTTGAGAACGAGTCCGCACTACGAGCCGAGCTGGAAGCTACCAAGAACCAGCTCGAGATCGCCGAAAACGACCTTGAGACGGCCAAGCAAGGCCAGGACGCGCTCAGAAAGGACTATGAGGTGGAAAAAGCCAACCTAGAAAGAAAAATTCAGGCCCTCGAGGAAGAGAAGAACCGTCTTGCCAACATCAATAAGCTCCGCATAGACACCCAGGCCTCTTCTCAGCAGGCGACCCAACCGCAGACCGGCTTCTATCTCAACGAGTTCAACTCCTCGTCGAGTCTCAACCACTACCGCACACAGCGCTCCGTTTCGCTGGTTTCTGCCGATAACATAGCATTGGGCGAGTCGTCCACAACTCCGCGTCCAGGAGCGTTTGCAGGCGTTTCGAGCCGCGGCCAGTCGCAGTCCTCGTTCTTTGGCTCCAGCCTGCACCACTCACAGAGCAGCTCGATGCTGGACACCATTGACGACCCGCTGACTACAGAGGAAGACATCTTTCCTGCCTCGTCTCCGATCTCCGGCTACCGGGCCCGAGGCGGGCCGGGACTTAGCCACATGGCGTCAACGGAGGACCTGGGGACTCCGCACTCGTCCACGATTGGCGGCATGGGCAGCTCAAACGTGAACGGCGGCTCAAACATCCAGCTGATGGGTAAACTGTCGTCGCGGATCCGCCGTCTCGAGCTCGAAATTCTGGGACTCAAAGACGAAATTGCCGAGCTCAACGCGCAGAAACAGGAGGCGGCGAACGAGATCGTCCAGCTGGTGCGCGAAAACGGGCAGACAAAGGAGTACAAGGAGAAACTGGCTTCCTTGGAAGAAGAGCACGCTGCTCTTACTTCTAGCTACGAGACCACATTACAGCTTCTGGGCCAGAAATCCGAACGGTGCAACGAGCTGCAGGCAGACGTGGACGATTTAAAGGACTTGATGAGGTCCCAGGTCCAGGAACTGGTGAGTTTACAGGAAAAACTCGCTGCCAGTAATTAAAAGAATACATTTTTTCTATTAGATGTTTCCTTGCTCAACAGCATGCTGGGTGTGGGTATCAATGTCGTCCGATTCCCAAGGATACGCGATCCAGACGTCTGGCACGTCCTTTCCGACAAAATACTTACCGCCGCCCATCTTGTCCTCGTCGATCTGTGCTCTCTTCTCCTTGAGTTTGTTGTGTAGCACGAAAATAGAGAATCTGGTCTTTTCAGAAGTGCGGCCCAGCTTTTCTGCGATTTCTTTGACATCCTTGTACAACTCAGAAACAGCGTAGTGCAGAGTGGTTCTGGTGTCGTCAACCTCATCGACAATCAGGATATTCTTGCCAATCAAAGAGTCGAAATGTTGCGACAGAGCACCAAAGTCGAGCCACTGGGTTCTGACCACCTCTTTACCGATTTTGTCGTCAGTTCCGGTTCCCATATCCTCATACAAGGAAAGTCCAATGGCTTGAATAGGAATGTTTTTCTCTCCAGGGCTTCTCAAGAAAGTTCTGATAATTCTGGCCGGGATAAATCCACCACCACCAATGGCGATGATCACGTCCGGCTTTCCGAGCTGCTCTAGGAACTCCTCAGCACCTGCCTTGCAGAGCTTGTGGACGTTGTTGTAACTGATGTACATTTTTTCAGCCATGGCGAGATCTAAAACTTGGACGATTTCTTATCAAAAAAAAAAAAAAAAGCTGCTAAAATTTGGTAAAAAAAAAAAAAGTAATCCCTACACCTGATTCTAAAATATGCATCTATTAATTTAGTCAGTACATCCGTCAGTCCTCGTCCTCTTCGTCGTTCTCCTCCTCGGCTTCTTCTTGGTACTCCAGATCGTCGTTCTCGCCATCCAAGAACACCGAGCTCTCAACAAAACTCACCTCGTTGGGCGTTTCTGTGCCTTTGCTCATCATGTCATTTCTGAGGTTGAGCTGAGATTGAAGCAAAGAAAGACGTCCCTGTAACGTTAAAAGGCTAGGAAGTAGTCGGATGTTTTCCTTGAGAGAAGACTGGAGCAGTTTTAACAGACCAACAGAGTCGGCGTCCTTGGAAATCAAATTACCTTTGGAAATGAGTAGCCACCTGAGCCAGGTCCCCAATCCCTGCGAGTTTTGCGAGTCGTCTGCAATTTTGAGTGTCAGCTGCTTAAAAAGATCAATAGTTTCTTGATCTTTCAGCGCAAACATGATTGATTTGGCGCTTTCTTGGTTCTGAGACAAAATGGTAGCCAGCTGGTCCATATCCGTAAGATTCTCAAGTATCAGCGTATAGAGCTCGTCGATGTTTTGTCTAAAATATTCCACCGATTCCTCTTCGTCACTCTCGTGCTCCTCGACGTCGTGCTCCTCGTCCGAGCCGGAATCGTTTTCGTGGCCCACGTCAATAATGATTTCTCCTTCCTGGGACAAGGTCTCAATTTCAAAAGCGGTGGTCCTAACATCATAGCCGTCAAACCACGAGCCGACAAAATGGTCTTTTATGCTTACGAGATTGACAAATTTGACAGCTGTGTTTGGTTTCAATTGCAAATTAGCCACGAGCTGTTTTCTGGACTTCTTGCCGAAAACCTCAGCAAAAATCTCAATGACACCATCTTCCGTCACAGCAGCTAGTGAGGAATCTTGCAGCAGTATCAATGACTTCACGGGAGATGCGCATTTAAGCGAAGACAGCACTTTAGAGCTGGAAAGCGAGACAAGTTGTATCAGGGGTTCATCCTCCCTGGCCAGCGCAAGCAAATCTGGGTTTTTTTCGCAAACTATAACGCTAGTTATCTGTGATTGATGGGCCTTTGGCGCTGCGATCTTGACTTCCTCCTCGGCATCTCCGATTTTGTAAGGGTCAAATACGTACAAAGCAGAGGAGGCAATAGCAAGCTTGGAATTAAGATACTGAAGGTATTGGCATTGCTTATCTGTTGTCCAAGGACGAGAGTCGACCACCCGATTTTCGAAAAGACCAAATTTGCGCAGCGTGAGATTCTTTCTATCGTATCCCCAGACATCCTGGCCCGGGCCATCAGTGAAATCGATAAGGGCAGAAACAGTAGAGATCTTGTTTACCACCTCTTTTGACAAAGGGGAGTATATCAGAATTTCATTAGTGGATAGAAGCACTCCCAGGTAGCTTGTGTCTTTGTTTAGGAGCCATTTGACCCGCTCTACTTTCTCATCTGATCCGAGGTCGATACTGGATTTGAACTCTTCGCTTTCAAAGGAAAGAATACGCACCTCGCTTCTTCCCGGTCCGCTAAGCACGCATGCCAGGAACCTTCCACGCTGGTCGGCCACACACTCCACAAGCTTCATAGGAGTTGAAATAAATATTCAAGATGGAAAAAAAAAAAATTTTTAGGACGTCGATACGCGTCGATTGAAACCGATCGACGCAGATTACAATAAATAAAGCACCTAGCTATCATGGTTTAGGGGACTCAGAGGACTCCTGTGCCAGCGGACCAACGCCGATCTTCGCCAACCCAAGTTCTGCGCTCGTGTGGAGCAGATTGAACCGCTGCGAGGCCGGAACGTTCTGTGCAATTTCCAAATTGCGCAACCGTATGCTCAGCTCGACCTCCTTTCTATTTTTTTCGTCAATGTCGGCCTGGAGTTTGCTGATATACTCCACAGCCTTGCTTAAGATCTGGCCCTTGTTTGGCTTGCCATCTTTCGTGCCTGACGACTTGTCTTTACTGTCCACAAACAAGTCGCTCGGAATTGACTCGTAGAGCTCGTATATTTTCTCGTTCATGTTGTCTTTGCGTTTCTTATCGATCGTTTGAGGCAGCGAGCCGGTTATCGTGCCTCTCCTTGAGGAGACAGACTCCGGCTGCACATATTCCTTTGTGGCTGTTTGCTCATCTGGGTCCGCGTTTTCAGGGATAGTTGGTGTTCTGTTCAGTGCCTTTGACAGCGATGCACGCACACTGTCCTCCTCCGTAATAGTGTGCGGCTCCGTGTCGTCGGGCGGTAGGTCCAGAAAATCCATAATCAAGATAAAATTGATAACTAGGAACAAATGACGACGATAGTCGCGCCCCAAGACAAATATTTATTTCTAGGCTTTTCTTGGTTCGCTTTAGTTTTCAAAATGCCAATTGATTATTCCAAGTGGGACAAGATCGAGCTTTCTGACGACTCTGACATAGAGGTGCACCCAAATGTCGACAAAAGGTCTTTTATCAGGTGGAAACAGAGAGACATCCACGAAAAGCGGATGCAAAGAAACAACGAGATCAAAGGGCTGACAATCCAAAAAGAGATGTACACCAGATTGAACGCGCGGGTGGATAAGATGGTTGCAACTTTGGGGGACAGTATTGCAGACGAGAAGAAGCGGAACGAGTTTTTGAACGCCAATTTCGATCCAAAGGAGAAGTGTACCTTGGAGGAGAACGCCGACAATATTCCATACAACGAAATGGTTGAGGACCTTTTTGTGCAAATCTCGGATGACCTAAAAAAGGAAGACAAGGATACAAACGATCCAAAGCTCGTGCTGGCAAAACTGCTTGAGCACAGAGCAAAAATCGAGTCTGTTCTGAAGCAGATAGATCCAAAACTCGAGGAGCTCAAGAAGGAGAAAGAATTACATATATCAAGCGAGGATATTCACGACGGGTGGAACAGCTCAATCATCAACAAGACCCCATCATCTTCTGCTCCCCCATCGGCAGACTCTGGCTCTTCCAAAAAGACCAAATCCACAGCTACCACCATTGAAACAATTAACAGCCCAGAAGTCGCCAAATTGGCCCAAGTGCCTTCCAAGCCTCTGGACCAGCTTGACGAGCTGGAGCTTTTGCCGGAGACAAGGGAGTTTGCCAGTATTCCTGCTACCGACCTATTAAAAAGCATCAAGTTCCTTGAGAGCCATCTCTACATTGTTTGCGAGCAACAAAAAGACGCCTTAATGATGAGTACTTTTGACTCCCAACTAAGTGGGGATGCCAAGACTGCCAAACAAACCGTTCACCAGGCGCTGATTTTACAGTACCTGAACGATTTGTTCAATGCTGCTGGTGGACCAAAAGCGACAATTCAGCAGAAACAGCAGGCCGTTGGATTGTTTGTCACCAAGCTAATGGATAAATCATCGCCAGCCGCTCGCACGTTTGAGGCAGACTTGGAGAAAACATACAAACATATCGTTAACAGGTGTGAAGTCATAAAACAGGAACAAGAACAAAACGCCGAACAAGAGGGCGTGGAGCAAATCCAGTTAAGGTCCATGGACCCAAATTCAGAGCTCGTTGTTAATCTCCCAGCGGAGGGTACTCCCGAGTATGAAACTTTCAAGCAGATACCAGAAAACATGCAAAAGGCGTTGGAGACCAAGGAACTGGACGCCATAAACAAAGTCTTTGCTACCATGTCGATTTCAGAGGCCGAAAACGTATTAGAACTATTTGACAAGTGTGGCGTGATCCAGATCCAAGCTTTGCTGGAAAACGAGGACGAGTTCAACCACTTGAAGGAGGAATATGAGGAGTTAGGAGACGACGAAGCCGAGGATGTTGGCGAGCAGCCATCCTCTACCGCGGACATCGTCGACTAGGCAACTTATTTGAGGTCGGGCATTCTGAGGATCTCGTTCTCTTTATTTTCGCTCAGCTGCTGTAATTGCTTCAAAATCTTGGAGTTCTTCCACTTGTCAGGCAAGGGAGTAACATCATAGTTCTTAGTTGCCCAGTAATAGATGTCCCAATCTGGCTCGTCTAGAAGCTTATCGTACTCTTCTAGTTCGCTCGGGGTCATAGTGTCCAGGTATCTGTCGGCGAATCTGCTCAATAGCAGGTCGGACTCCAAGATGCCTCTTTTGCGGGATTGGTAAAGCAATCTTTTTCTCTTTTTCTCTGTAGACTCGTTAATTCTTGGAAGCGGTTCCACTTTGATCTTGACCTCCCCATCCTCCTGCCTGAGGCTGTGGCGGCTGGACCCTTCGTTGAGCAGCGGTCTTATGAATGAGAACGTTCTGATTGGTCTGACTAATCTCAGCATGATAAATTAAATAAGGTGAAAAAAAAAAGAATTTATCTTATTCTTTATGACTGAAGAGAAAAAAAGGAAGCTTGAAGTGAACGGCACTTCTCGCCGTTTTGCCGAAGTCAGACGTATCACCAACGAGACCAAGATCCAGATTGTTCTGAGTCTTGACGGAGGCTTCATCTCGTGCAAAGATTCCATATTGGACAAGGAGTACGATCACGCCTCGCAAGCGACCTCGGCACAAGTGATCTCTGTCAACACCGGTATTGGATTCCTGGACCACATGATCCACGCTCTGGCCAAACACTCGGGGTGGTCTTTGATTGTCGAGTGCAAGGGAGACCTCCACATCGACGACCACCACTCGGCAGAGGACGTTGCCATTGCTCTGGGCGAAACGTTCAAAAAAGCTCTTGGTCCTGTGAAAGGAATGAAACGGTTTGGTCATGCCTACGCTCCGTTGGACGAGGCTCTTAGTCGAGCCGTTGTGGATCTGTCGAACAGACCGTACGCCGTGATCGAGCTGGGGCTCAAGAGAGAGAAGATCGGAGATCTGAGCTGCGAGATGATTCCGCATGTTCTAGAGAGTTTTGCTACCAGCGCACATATAACGCTGCACGTGGACTGCATCCGGGGCTTCAACGATCACCACCGCAGCGAGAGCGCGTTTAAGGCGCTGGCGGTCGCGATCAGAGAGGCGATCTCGTACACGGGAAGAGACGACGTTCCTAGCACCAAAGGCGTGCTCATGTAATAGACGGGTGCGAGGTGTGGCTAAAGATAAAAAAAACAGTTCTGCGCACGATTGCTTGATATAGACTATATTATTTGAAACGGAAAATAGGCGAAAGTATGTCGTCTAACGACGATCTTTATAGGGAAGGGGGCGCTTTAGGAGTTTACTCGTACTATTACCAGACGAAAAAGGACAACTTCAACAAAGTCAGATTGACATCTCCGATAAGAGGACAAACCATGACTAGCGTTAACGGTGGCCATCTGCCTCCTCCAAGACTACAGACTCCCATTTCTGTGAACCGCGCGCCCCGCCTAGACATCATGAGTCCGCACCCCATTGACGAGGACCTCTTGATACCCAACAAGGAGCTCGTTGCGGACGCTATACAGCGAAGGCCCCTTATCAGGCCTTCCAACCTGGACCTGTGGATCAGGGTGATGTCGCAGCTGGCAGGCAAGGACAAAGTTGGCAAGTGTATTCAGTACGGACTACGAATCCTGATTGCCTACTCCATTAGAGCTCGCAAAACACAATTCCTCAACAACTTCAAGCTGACAAGCGTAGACTTCAACGGGAAAACCGCGGACGTGCTTCGACAGCTTGTTGCGCGGCCAGAATTGATAGTGGTGTTATTTCTGGGCCAGTTCGAGGCCAGGTTCGTCGGCCTTACCAAAATCCTCTCGATTTACAGACAGATGCTACGGGCCGGTACTGTGCCGACGAAAATCCTCAAGATGTTATCCCGAGTTTCCGAGACTGTGGGTCTTTTGCAGTCGTCAGAAAAAGCGTCCACGAAGCTGCAGCGACTGAAGTCTGACTGGTGCAATTTCAAGTCGTTGGGTGAGATTTGCGCGCTGTATTACGCCTGGTTCGACGAGTCACTGCTCGCGTACAAGATCGGCCTTCTGGACGAAAAGACGACTCCCAACTACCGCAAATTTGCTGTCAGACACGAGGCGCTTGCGTGGTATACAAATATCATACTGGGACTTCGTACACAGTTCGAGAAGCTGTCCCAATTGAGCAATAAGGAGAACTCTTTGAAGATCAACTACCAAGTCAAACAGCGCGCCAAACGGCTTGTTTCGACGATCAAACCCGACCAGTCCCCGATCTCACTATACGCGTCGCTGGAAAACACAGATACAAAAACACAGTTGGTGCAGTACTCTACAGAGCTGAAGAAAATATCCAAGGAAAAATACATGGTGCAGCTCGAGATCCTCAAGCTGCTATGCGATTTCGCTTATGACACAGTCAACGTGTTCCATTTGAAGGTTGATGAGCCCGTGCATCTTCTTTTTGGGCTCGGAGCAGGAGCGATTTCTTTGTCGAAAATATGGATAGCCGAAAAAGAGAAGATGGAAAAGGAGCTAAATCCAGGCCTAAATTAATAAATAAATCAATTTTTGTCCCCCCCTTTTTTTTTTTTAATCGTGTCGCGTATGAGAGGAAGAACTGAACGTAAACCATTGGGCGCCAAAGACACCAATATCCATGGTGTGTCGCGGTCGACGTCCCCATACAAATACAACAGCTCCAAGTCGCGCTCCGGATCGCTATCGCCTGTTCGACTGGACAAGTCGTCTCCTTCAAAGTTTGACAGCAGCGAGTCGCTCGCCTCGGGATTGATCAGACTTTCGCCCGGAAAAAGGCCATCTGGTGGGCTGAGCTCGCCAACAAAGAAGCACAGAGCGCACAAAGAGTTCCTGATTTACGAGGACCACACGAATTACAGGGATGCCCTCGACTCGCTAGAATCAATGACAGTGACAAACGTGGAAAACAAGGAGAACGAGAACCCCCGCAGCAACATGTGCCAAGATATCGAGAACCGTTCACCGCAACGATTGTCCAAAAAACGTTCCGCACTGGCGGATCTGCGGATCCACCAGTATCCGGGCTATATTCAGACTTTTGAGACCAACGAGGCTGGAAGATCGGGGATTTTGGCTCCAAAGCACCAGCTCACGCAGGGGTTCATGATGAACACGACTGACGTAAGCACATCGACCAAAAGGACTGCTGTTCCGTCGTTTGTGACGCCGCCCAAAAAGAACCGCATCCACTACAAGTACATCGAGTCTCTAAACAAGGTCGACCAGGCCAGATCGGTGCGGTCGCGCACAGACATCGACGTCCACGAGGTGCGGAAGCTCACTTTTGACCTCCATGACGACTCGATAGCGAGATACCAAGACGCGCAAAAAAAAAATATATTTTAGAGTAATGAAATGATCTATTTATGAAGACGTCCTCGCTTTTGGAAGACGACAAACAAAATGGATCCGAGCTGAAGGTACAGCTGATATCCTACGACTCGTACCAGTCTGCGCCGTCGTCTTTGGACAAACAGCGATTTACGTTGAATAATAAACCGTATAGTGGCAATAGCACTGTATTCAGTCAAGTTCCTGTGATAAGGGTTTATGGCAAGCTAATCACGGGCCACACATGTCTATTGCACATCCACAATGTTTTTCCGTACCTCTATGTGCAGTATAGGGGCCCCACATCGGACGAGAAGAAGATTGACGAGCATCTATTGAGCTGGAAGAACGAGATAGACATGCAGATTTATCAATCATTCAGGTTTCGCCACAGAAAAAAAAGCAAACCAGCAACTAAGGAGGAAGAGGCGACTGACTTGGAAGATGTGGACGACGTCAACGACGATGACGACGAGCTTGACGACGAGGACGTGGACATCGGCGCCGGAAACACCTATGTTGCAGATATATCTCTTGTGAAAGGCAATTCTTTTTACGGATACCATTTTGGTTTTTCTCCGTTCATCAAGATCAGCCTCTTGAGTCCCCGGTACGTGAAAAGGCTCGAAAGACTGCTTGGAGAGGGAAAATTGTTTGGCAAAGTGGTGCAACCGTTCGAGGCCCATATCCCGTACATGTTGCAGTTTCTGACCGACTACAACTGCTTTGGCTGCAACTGGATCTATCTTGAGAAGGTGTTCTGGCGGTCGCCTTTGGTTCACACGCAGGGTCATCTGGATGCGTTTCAGGAGTACTTTGACACAGACTTTGCGCAGCTGAATCGAGTCAAGGTGACTCCTGAGGTAAAAACGGAAATAGCCACCCATTTGACCCGTGACATGTTCAGTATCAATGTGCTCTCGTCTGAAAAGTATCCGCGAATGGGACGGGCGTTTTGCGAGCTCGACACTTCCGCTGTCTGGCTCAAAAACAGACTAACGTGCAAAGAACGAGATGTTCATTCAAAATTGTCTTTTGACATTCCCGAAGACCAGGAGGAAGACAGCTATATTTACTCGATCAAGAGTTTGCTAAGTGATTTAGAATACCAACGGCGCCAGAGGAACATGCCTTCCCAGGCCAAGGTCAAGCTTTTCAGTGGAGGAAAGCGCGACTTTACCGGAACGACCTGGATTGAGCAGGAAGAGCTGAACGAGTTGCTCGCTTACTGTGTTGAAGAATCCAAGAAGGAATGGAGCCGACTGCATCCCAAACATTCTCTGGAGCCGGACAACGTGGTGCCCAGAAACAGCTGGCTTCAGAATTACAACACCAGCTTTCAAAGCATTGACCAGTTCCACCGCCCGAATGTGCCCGAGAGCCATCTTCTTAGGGTTCCTGAGGAGCTGATTTTGCACGAATCTCAAATCTGCGACTGGCTGCTTGAAAAGGATACAGAGCCGGCGGTTGCAAGCACACAGGAGGTCTCGGACGTCGACGTGGTCTCCGACGCGTCGGACTCTTCTTCGGATGAAACAGAGCACGAGGACGATTTTCTGGGCAGTATACCCCATATCCAGGAGAAGCTGGGGCTTGTAAATGGCGAGAGTCCGGCTCCGGTTGTCTCTGATAAGACGAGCACCGACCAGGCTCATAGTTCGGACTCCATCAACCTAGACTTGCGAATATTCGAGCAGACACAGGCTACCAGAAGACATAGCGACGAAACCAACACCAGTGCAGGAACAAAGCACGATACACAGATAGACAATCCAGCCATCAAATTGGACGCTTCAGAAGAGCTGTTTGAGCTGACTATACCGCCGCCAACGTACCCGAGTTTCGACGCCATGAGAGATAGTTTTGAGGACCACTCGATGCTCAAAATTGATTACCCCGATCCATATTACAGCTCACGAAACGGGTATAGTGACGCGCCAGAGTACTTTGCCGGTCGCAAGTTCCAGGTCAGGTGTCTTGATCTCGAGGGATTCAAAGCGTACGATGTTGCTACCAAAACCACCTCGAACTCCGTTTCCATAGGTGGGGACGGGGTAGCGAGTATCTGGAATTATCGAGAGCATCCGCCGTCGTATAAGGATGTTCTTTGCTGGTCTATCGAGCACCCAGACCCTGTCAAGACGCGGTCGCAGCTGCTCAAGTCCCAGATCGACCAGGCAACTCAGAACATGAAGGGCTACAAGGTCCCGTCTTTCCAGTCTCCTATTGTGCGCAAAGCAAACAATTTCAACAAGCTGATTGTGCTGAGCATGGAGCTGCACGTTAACACTCGCGGGGACCTGTTTCCGGATCCGCTGGAGGACGAGATCAGGGTGATTTTCTGGTCTTTTGACGACCAAAATTACCCGATCGACCTTGGGATCGAGGGATCCGGGGTTTTTGTGGTCAATTCTCACGAGATCACACGGAAACAGGTTAACTACCCCGTGCAGACTTTTGCAAGTGAGATCGACATGGTGAGGGAGCTGATTTCACTGGTTGAATTCGTGGATCCAGACATTCTCTCAGGATACGAAATTCACTCTGCTTCCTGGGGATATATGCTGGAAAGATTTCGCAAAGTGCACAAGATGGACCTGGGAGTGCGTTTGTCAAGGGTGGCCACCAAGCAGCTGAACAAGCTGAACGACCGATGGGGCTACACGCATGCTTCAGGAATAAAAATCACAGGCAGACACATGCTGAATTTATGGCGACCATTGCGAAAGGAGCTGAGCATCAACAGATATTCCCTTGAGAACGTGGTATGGCACACTTTGCACATCAAGATTCCGCACTACGACCACAAAATCCTGACGCAGTGGTTTCTCTCCAAAAGTCCGGGAAACCTCAACAATCTTGTGGAATACTATATGTCCCGGCTGCACTGGCAAATGAAATTGATCAATAAGATGGAAATAATTGAGAGAACGGTGGAAGAGTCGCGTTTTTTGGGAATCGACTATTATTCGGTGTTCTACCGCGGGTCGCAATTCAAAGTTGAAAGCCTGCTAGTGCGTCTGGCAAAGGCAGAAAACTTCATTCTTATTTCCCCGTCGAAGAAACAGGTTTTCAAACAGGACCCGCTCCAGGTGATTCCCCTTATTTTGGAGCCCGAGAGCTCGTTCTACAAGAGTCCATTGCTTGTCCTGGATTTCCAGTCGCTGTATCCGTCTTTGGTGATTGCCCATAATTTGTGCTATTCTACGTTACTTGGCAGACTACAGGGTTATGACCCTAAAAAAACACAAACCATAGGAATCACGTCCTGGAAATTGCCACCTGGACTTCTGAAGCTGTTTGAGAAACACATCACTGTCACGCCGAACGGACTTATGTTTTTGAAGCCAAACGTTAGAAAATCCGTCCTGGCCAAAATGTTGAGCGAGATTCTAGATGCCCGTATTTTGGTGAAAGATACCATGAGCGGCCTCAAGGACGATTCAGAGCTCTACAAACTCTATAATAACAGACAGCTGGCGTTGAAGCTGATCGCCAATGTCACCTACGGGTACGCATCCGCCACGTACTCGGGTAGAATGCCCAACTCGGCCATAGCAGATGCAATAGTCTCTGCTGCACGCGAGACTCTACACAGTGCAATAAGCGAAATCGAGAAGAACGAAAAATGGGGCGCCAAAGTGGTATATGGAGACACAGACTCGCTGTTTGTGTATCTTCCAGGAAAGAGCAAGGCAGACGCATTCAAACTAGGCCGAGAAATATCTAATTACATCACCTCTGTTAATCCGTCCCCTGTTCGATTGAAGTTCGAAAAAGTATACTTCCCGTGTGTCCTGATCAGCAAGAAACGATATGCGGGATACTCCTACGAGCACGAAGACCAAGAAACGCCCAAGTTCGATGCCAAGGGCATTGAGACTGTGCGACGAGACGGAGTGCCTGCACAGCAAAAAATGGTGGAGAAATCGCTGCGACTACTTTTTGAGACCAAAGATCTCACCAAAGTCAAGCAATACGTGAATTTGCAATTCCTCAAAATCATGCAGAACAAGGTCAATTTGCAGGATTTCCTGTTTGGCAAAGAAATCAGACTGGGATCGTACAAAAACCCGACTTCTGTCCCTCCAGGTGCTCGCATCACCATGAAGAAGGTTGCCGAAGACCCTCGGTCCGAGCCACAGTATAGAGAAAGAGTATTCTACATGGTCGCCAAAGGATATAAAGACCAGCTGCTTCGTGATCGATGCATGGCTCCAAGGGACTTTATAGCCAACAGGAATCTCGAATTAGACGCATTCTATTATATCACCAAAGTGCTCATACCCCCGCTCCAACGGATCCTCAACCTCTGTGGTGTCGACGTTAATAAATGGTTCGACGAGCTTCCGCGGAACCTGGTTGCCCCCAGCTTGGATCAGCTGAATTTCAAAACACCTCTTATCAATAGAGCCAAGTGTGTTGTTTGCAATACTGTAATTCAAAGAGCGCTAGGGAAAACAGGAAAACTGTGCCACCAGTGCAGCACCAATGAGCTGCAAACCATCGCTCACATGCGCTCGTCCGTGCGCGCGAAGGAATCCCAGATGGATGCCACAATGCTAATCTGCAAGCAATGTACAAAACGGAGTCTGCGAAATAACAACTCACCGCTTTCCACTGCGCTGGCATGTACCAACGAGGATTGCTCTGTTTTCTACGATCGAATCAAAGCGATCAGTCAAACGGAGAAAACAATGGCAGCCTACGCTGAGTACCTCAGCTGGTGATCAGTACATTGAGTATTTATTTTCTTCCTGTATTCGTGTATCCAGTTGACTAATAGAGCTGTTCGCGTGGTTCAACAGGTCAGGAAATTGACTGAATTCTGCGAGTTTTTTCTCCACCGTAAATGCTTTGTGCATCATCTCTAGATCGTGCGTACGCTTGAATCCAGTTATCGATGTTTCCAGATAGTCCAGTATTTTGTTGCACCCGTTTTTCAGTTGATGTGCGTTGTTGATTTCCTGTGTTTCAATTTCGATCATGAGCACTCGGGCTAGCAAGTAGTACCCGTAAGAGGAGAGCCATAGATTTCCTATCTGTAGTGACAGCGGCATCAGCTTCTCTAGAATGGCCTCTGCATCCTGTGCAGAGTCAACAGGATCGATCTTCAGTATCATTTCACACAAAACAATAAACCCTTTCACCACCAGCGTGATCAAGGATGATTTGCGGGCGGAGGCTAACGCATCGATAATAATTGTCATGGCTCTCTCGGGACTTGATGAGGATTGCGCCATAATCATCGCGTAAAAGATTTGAAGCTCAATATACCAGTAGTGGTTGTATGAATGGTCATCAGCTCCGATTCGGGAAAGCGCATTCGTCACAATCTTGACAGCTTCACCCTGGTTCCCAATTTTCAGCTCGTATTGGGCTTTGCGTAATTGTAACTCATAGTATAGGTCTTGATCATTGATTTCGTCTGCCTGGCTTTCTAGTCGTGCCAGTAAAATGGACACCTGCTGATGGCGACACTTCTTTAGCCAGAGATCGCTCTGCAGCAGCATAAATCTCGGTTGCCATATCTTCATCAACGAAATATCGTTCACAGCTGTCGCTTCGTATGATTGAAACTGAGCAATAGCTTCATCTACATCTCCGCTCTCATAGGCCAGAACTGCCCGGCGCATGCCGATCGACAATTCGTCAAAAACGCTCAAGTTGGGCCCACAGGCGTCCAGAGCCACATCTGTATACAATCGCGCCAGCGCAGGGACCCCCACCCTACTCCAGATGGAGGCACTAAGCTGGCAGTTTCGCACAAATGTCGACCTGATGTTGGCTCCAATATCGAAATTAAGAAGGACGTAGGACGCACGAGTGATGTTTTCGAGAATTTTGCGCAATGGGCCACCATCAAAAGTGAAATGCAATGCATGGTATTGGAAGGTCATTGATTGAAGCACCCAGTTCCTATTTTCTTTGGTTTTGATTTTCAGAAACTGCAAAATCTGGTCCCGACTAGTATGGTTTCCCATCTTGGAATATAGATGAGGTCTATCTTTCAGAAAGTTGAATAGCCAAGTGAGGAGATAGTTCAGACAGTCAAGATCTTTGTTTTCTCTGGCCACAAGAATGGCCTCGTCAATGGCTCGTAGAGCCTCTTCATCGGAATTGAATGAAGCGTGTAATGTAGCGAGAGAGAGCAGCGCGTAGTGGTAAAAAAGCTGCTGTTTGTTGGACATCATATAGTCGAAATATCGGTGTAGCGCATTAAAAGAGCCCTCGTAGTCGCTTTGTTTCCAGCTCTCCAAGTAGTCAATGTAATATGCAGAAGGAATGATTCCACGTTGAGATTCGGAGAGAAGTTTCAAGATATTCTTCATTGACTGAGGGGGAGGAGGAGAATACTTCTGCATGATCTGAACCTGCTGTTCTAGCATCTGTGCAAGGTCAATTTGCGAGATAACCTGTTGACGCGAACCGTCCACACGAGCATCGAGTAACCCGCTGTTTTTCAGCACCTGTTTTTGCCACTGTGTTTGGGGTTCGACAAGGCTCTTTTTGACCTTGTGGCCATTGAGGCTCGACCAGAGCTCCTTCGTTTCCTCCCTGTATTTGAGAAACGTGTTCCAAAGCTCAACAGTGTCGTCGAACACAAGAACTTCAAACGCGATCGCTATGTTGTAAACAAACCTGCCCAGAAAACTAGAAGAGGTAAGGAGCTTACTTGGTTGTGTTCGCTCGTCGACGTTCGTATTTTTGGGTGTATTCTGGTAGTCTACCAGCAGCCTGTTGACGCTGGAAACAAAATCGTGAAACATGTCGAGGGAAGTTATGTTCCACAGCGAGTTTAGTAGGTATTTCTGAACAGCTTTGATATCTTTAGCCACCTCCGCTGAGGTCTGTGTGTTCATTTCGTTTGCAAAAGACGCCACTGCATCCTCTATCAGTTTGAGAATCTCCTTCAGAGAGGGGAAATACAGGCTGATCAGTTCGGTTTGGCTCTCCCTGGAGTCGTTGTGTTCTATAAGCTGGACCAGAGTAGAGAGTATTGGGGGGATTGTTGATGGCGGCAAGTCCTTGTAACAGTACCCGATGATCAAGGCCAAGATCGGGATCTTCGAGGTGGCCAAGATCGGCGTCAGCACCAGCCCGTCTTCAGAGCCCTCCATAACAAAAAGATTAGATCACAAAATATCGATACGCGACTAAATACAAATCGAGGTCTAAGGTGTAGAAAATAAATATAATCATCAATCTACATGGTCAGGACAGATCATCTGAGTTGCATGAAAGCGTCGAGAAGAACGGATGAAGGACCAGTATCATTTTTGTTCTTCTCAAACACGTTCCAGAACCTCAAAGTCTCGTCCCCCGCGCCGGTGACAATGGTCTGGCCATCTGGAGACATGGCCAGATATAGGACTCGGTAGGTATGTCCGGTCAAAGACGCGATCTGCTGCATCGTATTATATTTCCAGATCACTATCTGGTTCCTGGAGTAGCCGTGCGTGGAAACGATCTCGTTTGAGTTCTTTGACCACGCCAAATTGCAGACTTGCGAGCCCGTATCCACATCGTTGGTTTTCAATCCTGTGATGGTATTCCAGATCTTGATCCTCCTATCTGCAGTTCCTCCTCCGGAGGCAAGAATTCCTCGCTGGTGAGGCGACCAAGAAATCGCCTTGACTGCAGCCTGGTGCTCGGTGAATCTGAAAAGGGGCTCTTCGTTCATGCCTTCCCAAACGAGAAGCTTGTTGTCGTTGCCTCCCGAGGCCAGTTTGTTTTCCTCGATGTTCCATCTCAATCCACACACCTCCTGTTTGTGTCTTTCGAGCCTCTTGATATAGTGAGACGGATCTCGCACGTCTCGATGTAGAATGGACCTGTCTCGTGATCCAGAAGTCAGTATATGCTGGTTCCAGGCCAATGAAGACGCCCGCGACGAATGACCTGTCATTGTACGCGTGCATCTGCCCATCGTGGCGTCCCAAATCTCCACTAGTCCCGAGCTCGTTCCAATGGCCAGATGGGTGCCTGCTCCGATCCAGGACAGACTGGTTATAGTGTCGTTGGAGCCCAGATCGCACAAACGGTTCACAGATCCGCTGGAAGCGTCCCACAAGTACACGCAGGAGCCTAGGCCAACTCCCAAAACATCCTGGGAGCCCCAATCGACAAGATTGAGGTAGAAGTCGTCTGCAAGCTCTGGGGCGTCTAGCACTCGATAGGGCACTTTAGATATTGACCGGGGCTTTTTTTGCGGCGACAGAAGCATCTTCTGACTGTCTGCGCGCACCGGACTGAGCGAGTAAAGCTCGTTGTGCACGTTCAACGAGGAAGATGCCGGGCGGGATTTGGAAGGCGATTGGTAGGTGAAGATGTTTCCAGATTGGCGAGGGGTGTGCTGAACACCGTCTTCGAGATTGAGCTGGGACCCCGAGTGGCTTAGATTGTCGGAGCCCGGGGGCGTGATCTGGGTTCGCGAAGGGTCAGAGCTCGAGCTGGTCTGTGTGGCGCTGGGGTTCAGAGATTTTCTGCTTGAGAACGTTGCTGGCAGATTGTCGCCGAAAAGCTCGGACTTGAGCACCGCATCAAACGTCCTGTTTGCCTCGTCTTCGCGGATATAATCGATCTCGTTTTCGACGATCGACCCCGACGCCCGATTCGAGTGTTCTGCTGCGGAGAATGACTGGACCGTGTCTGAGTTCAGACTGAAGGCTGCCTGGAGATCGACTCCTGTTCTGCTTGGAATATATCTGTCGCTATACATTGTCTTCTTCTTGGCTCTTCGTGGCGTCCCTGGCGAGGAGAGCATAGGATTGGGCACGCCTGAATCATGGTTTCGCGGCGTGGAGGGTGTGAGTGGAGGGAAGTTATTGATTGAGTTTCTGTCGTTCAATCGGTTTCCTGACATTCCGGTTATTCGTTTGTGTGGCCGTGAATCAACGGTATGACAAACTGCCGTTATAAATCAGAGATCGTAAGGAGTGACTTTTGGTGGTAAATCAGTATGCCAAAATCAAAACAGCTAAAGGGAAATATTATTTCTGAAAAATAATTCTGTCACTACTATAAGTGCGAGCAACAGAGCAATGGACTACAAAACCTAAAATGGAAAGACATCGTCAGCTAGTAAGTTGAGGAGCAGCAGAGTGTGCTAACCGCCAGGCAGAAAATAGAGCCCATGCTTTGGAGAAGATCAGGCTCCGGCAGCAGGCGCTGAAGGGCCAGAATCAGCCCGTGCCCCAAAAAGAGCTTACCACAGAGCAGCGAAATCTGATTGAGAAAAATCGAGAAAAAGCCCTGGAGCGACGCCGTATCCGCGAGGGCATGGAGAAGGGCAACTACCGTATTGCAGATCAGACGATGTACGCACCAGATGCTCCTGGTGGCGTAATCGAAGGTGCCAAAAACGGCGATCGCAACCACGTACAGGAGCGCATAAGACCGTCGGTGAAAAAGGCCGACTACATTGAGTACGACTTCAGCACGATGCAGGACACCTACGGAGGATTCCTGTCGGACGCAGACCGCAAGGAGGCCCGAGAATCAGACAAGACACTGGAACAGTGGCAAGAAGAGAAACAGAACCGGCCTCTGGTCGAGCCTGCTCCTCCGTTGGACATTGCGAACGCACCAAAGTGTTTTGAATGCGGCTCCATCGAGCTGAACCGGAACTTGCTACAAGTTTTTGGCTGTCGTGTGTGCAAGAGCTGCGAAAACAAGTATCCGGAGAAATATTCTCTCCTGACGAAAACAGAGTGCAAGGAGGACTATTTCCTGACCGAGCCCGAGCTCGCGGACGAGACGCTGTTTAAAAGACTGGTCAAAACCAACCCGCATAGCGGAACTTACTCGAAAATGCAGCTTTTTCTGAGATATCAGATCGAAGAGTACGCGTTCAAAAAATGGGGTTCTGCCGAGAACTTGGACAAGGAGTGGCTTCGACGAGAGGAAATGCGGGTGAAGCGACGCGACAAGAAGTTCAACACCCGTCTTCGCGAGATGAGGAAGAAGATGCGTGCCGAGGAGTTCACGCGGAAGTTACGAGGAGAGCGCAACGAAAGACACGAGCACCATTGGAGCCGGGGAGAGCCCACGGGCGAGCCTGGCATGGTGCGGCGTCGTTGCAAGGACTGTGGGCTTGAGATTGAGGAGATCCAAATGTGAATAACGCAGTAATATTATGAGCTATATATCGATGTCTGTGCGTCTGTGACTATCGTGATCGTTCGTGAGCGGGTAAATTAGTTTTCGGAATGTGATGGTAAGTGTTCGTTGGCGCTTTTTGGCTATGTTCAGTTCAGTTCTGGTGAGTCATAGAGAATAAGATGGCATCCACAAAGACAATGAGAGCTCGCGAAATGGGCAATCTCTTGGCGTAGAAAGCGGTCAAATGAATGATACGCGCTCGAAAGACGCATCAGATGGACCAACGTCGCTGTTATGATGGAGCGAGAAGGCAATCGGAGCCTCATGTCGAGTATTGCTGGAAAGGCAAAAGAAGAGAAAATAAATACAAACAAATCCGTACACCGTCGCACGTGGGGACCCACAGTCGGTGGACGGGTGGCATTTTTGGGGACGTAAATTTTCTAACGTGCATTATTTGTTAACCCGTGCTCTTGTAATTAGCTCAGCTGCACGGGGCCTTGAAACTTATAAAGGGCTTTGCTTGCCCAAAATCGTAATCCGTTAATCTTAGTATGCGTCTTCAGCAATTCTGCGCGATTGTGTGCACCAGCCTCTGCTTCAATCGTCTCGCAGCAGCCCTCAGCATCCTGGTGCTCAATCCGTCTCCGTATGGATCGAGTATCTCGACCGCTTTCCACCAGGCGCTGAGTGCAAACCACAAGGTGATTTCGGTCTCGCCGCTTCACCTCACTTCCCCCACCGAGAACGAAGTTACCATCGACACCACGCCTATTAATGATGCTGACCTCAAAGATTTCTTAGACGAGCAGGAATTCGACCTGAACGACCTGCTCGGCCTCCAGGTCGGTGAGAGATTTTACGGATCCAAGCAGGATGACAGATGGTACGTGAAGGGCTCTGTGATGGGCACTGCGCTCTTTACGCTCGACTATCTGCTTCCACATCACTACACGGAGATGTCGTCCATTGATTTAATCATCGTCGCGTCGGCGGGCCATCTAGTGGACGGCCTGTACCGGCAACAGACGTACGTGGACCTAAACGTCATGAGACTCGCGCAGACCAGAAACATCCCCGTTTTCAACGTCAACAGCAACGAGGACTGGGACATGATCGTTGCCGGTCCTTTGGACGAGCAAAACTCGGACGAGGCAAGCGAGCTTTTGGCCTTGTACCTGCAGAGAATTGAGGCGCTGGTCGCACAGCTGACGCAAGACTCCAGTTATGGCAAGCATAACTTCCATACTGCGCGCTCGCTTCAAAGATCGCCCAAACTGAGACAGTACTTCGAACACGAGAGACGGAACGATAACCCCAGATTGCTGCCTAATGGTGTGGGGCTCAACATCAATCTGCGCGCGGAGGCCTCGTGCATGGACACAAACAGGGACTTCAGCTTCATCGAAACCCGCACAATTGGTGGATATAACAAGGTTCCGTCGTTGAGTTATGATGAAACCAGGGGTGTGGCCAAGATCGACTCTGTCTACAGTATCGACAACGATCTTCCGCGGAACAAGGACAAATTCCTAAGCGAGATGAGTGTGGACAACGGCGACTGCCTGATCACCATCACGCCGATCAGTTGGTCTGGAGGAGATTTCGAGACCTACAATATTCTTGGGAACGTTGTCCAACAATTGAACGCGGACCACCCGGAAGACGGCCCAAAGCTTGTCCAGCAAATTAATGATAGTAAATAAGCATTTGCGCAGATGCGAATAATAGAAAACATACCTCGTGGCTAGTTATATAACCCATCAAAGGCTGCTTTGTGGCTGAGGAGGGCAAAGGTAAAAAAATATTTTTCCAAATATAAAGAAACAGCAGCAACAAACAGCGTTCTTTATCAGTTCCTTTGGCAAGCTTTTGTCTGCGAATCAATGACGCTCACAAACCAGATGGATTTCCAAAATCACTTTTTGACTAAGGACTTGCATCGCATCACAAAACCCAAGAAACTGGGCAAACGTCGCTATGCCGATGAATCCCACGATGAGGATGCCAACAAGCCCCGTTTCACGCCAAAAACACTCAGCAAACTCGCCCAGCACAAAAAGCAGAGAAAGCCGCAGGTTCTGGGCCAGAAACTCTCTGTTTCGAGGATCATAGAGACTTTAGACCAAGAATCGTTGCAGAACCTGATTTCTAATCTGGTGTCCGAACACCCAGAAGTAGCCCCCACGCTGCTCAAAATCTCTCCGCAGGTCACTATAGAAGACTCCTTAATGGTACTAGAACAGAAACTGGAAAGAATATTGCAAAACATGCCCTACAGGGTCGATGCATCGTCCGACTACTCATTCCTTAGAGTGAAACCGCATGTGGAGGACTTTTTCCAGACTCTTTCTGATTACACATTAAACTTCCTTCCTCCCATTGAGTCCGATCTCACTATTCCACTTATGTTTCTGATGAAATTCCTGGCCAAGTGTTTCCCACGCTTGCCCAAATTCCATGCCGTTGAATACCGCTATTACCACAGTCTCACAGTTGACAAATTCAACACAATTTTGGACGATATCCTTGTGCAATTCCTCAGCGAGAAGAAACACAATATCATTCTCGCCATCAATCAAGACTGGCTCAGTGATTTCCGGAAAATCAGCGAGCTTAACGACAACAAATTCTCATCCGTATACGAACGTTTGAAACAGGAGATCGACCAGTACGAAAACCCCGACGCAGCGTCTGGCCAGCCGTCTCCGGGAAATTCGGGCCGGCTGACGGGGCTTGCCAACCTGCTGAACTTTTCCACCGACAACAGCCCGTTGCACGGCAACACTGTGGGGAACGTTTTTGACACCATTTAATCAGCAGGTGTATGCATTGCTTTCGCTAACATTTCGAGTATATAAGGCTATTTACAGATCGATGCCCCATTGGCCCAGCTCCTCCCGCGATGCGGTCTGTAAGAATTTCCTCATTTTGTTTTTCAGAATGTTTCTCTTGGTAGTTGCCGGATCCAGTTCGAGTCTATTTATAAGCATTTTGAACGCTGTATTGGATTCTCCTTGAGCTATTATGTGGTCCAGCTTCTTGCTGAGCTCCAAATCCGACCGAATCGACTCCAGCTTGTTTGAGAGATGCCAGAGGTCCGACATGTAAAGCTCCTGGTTCTCGAAGTCCGTGTCCCAGTTGGAGATTCCATATTTCAGTTTCAGGCTGGCTATCTTCTCGCGCTCCTCCTCAGACAGCTCCGAATAAGGTTTTCTGAGCATCTTCACCTCGTCCAAATCGTCGTATAGCGTCGAATAGTTGTTATCGTACAATTCTCTTCTCCTGAGCAGGTCTTGTCTTTTCCTGGTCTCTTCCTCTGCCACCAGTCGTTTGGCCTCCTCCTGGTAGTGCTGGAACTCCTCACCTTTATTTTTCTTGATTTCCGCCACAGCAAACGACTTGCGCGCACTCAGCGGACGTGTGGCCTCGATTCTCACCAGATCTCCTTCTTTGCAAATGTTGGCTTCGTCATGGACCAGAAAATCCTTTTTTTTCAGATATTCTTTTTGCAGTTTCTGGTTCAGCACCTTCTGCATGACCCGCACTTTCACGGTCTTGTCCATCTTCCCTTGGGAAATGACAAACCCAATAAAGTTCTGTCTGGCCATGGTTGTCGGTTGGTCGAGCTCTAAAAATTTTAAAAAGTTCAAGCTTTGTGGAGTCGTGTGCCCTCCAAAACTTATATCTAAACGAGCACTTTGACAGACACTTTATCTTTTGCTATGCCATCGGGTCAGGCTTCGGACGACGACGCTGCGTCTGAGTTATTTCCCCAGCTGGGGAACTACGAGCCCTCGTTGTCTGCCTCTAGCGAGGCGTCAGGGTCGACGTCGTCCGATCTTCACAGCTCCATCTTACGCAAAATCATAGGAGCAGGGTCTGCTCCAGGAGCCACGTCTTCACGGTTTTATTACAGCGATTTGTACGATTATTACGCCAACAACGCCAGCTCTGAGTATGCGAGCGATTTCGAGGCCTACGAACGGCGCATTCAAAAGGAGAATAGAATCAGAAATGCTATATCACGCTTGAATCAGGATCGACACAGTCGTCAGAGCTGGAGCCAGACGAAGCTCGGAATCGTCAATCTCAGCAGAGTGAGCAGTCTCGAAACGGTTCCCATCGACGAGTGCGAGGAGGTGGGGGAGCTGCCTATAGAGCTCCAGGCCGTAGGACATAGCAGGAAGTCTGACTTCAGCGATATCAACATAGACGACGACCAGCCAGAAATGATTGTGAGCAACGACGAAAATCTGGACTACACTTTTCGACGAATAGAGCCCACGGTCAGAGCCCGGAAGAGGAAGAAGTCGTTTTTCGACTACTTCAACATCAATCGCAACTACCGCATCCAACGCAAGTTGCATGTCCGCCATTTGCACCAAATCGCGCTGGGAGGAACGCTAGGCGTGGGCCTATTGCTTTCCTCGGGCAAGTCGTTCAGCATTGCCGGTCCGCTGGGCTGTCTGCTTGGATTCAGCATCGCCGGATTGATAGTGTTGGCTACAATGCTGTCTTTCTGCGAAATGGTGACGCTCATCCCGCTCTGTGGCGGTGTTTCCGGAGTGTCGTCGCGATTCGTCGACGACGCGTTTGGGTTTGCGCTCGGAGTATGTTACTGGCTCAGCTACTGCATCGGCTTCCCCACCGAGATCACCGCCGCGTCCATCATGCTCAGTTTCTATCCCAGTCTCGATATCCCCGGGCCCAGCACGGCAGGCTGGATAACGCTCTTCCTGGTGGTTGCGCTGCTGATAAACCTGTGCGACATAAGGGTTTACGGCGAAATCGAGTACTTTTCCACTCTTTTCAAACTGCTTATCCTGGTAGCTCTACTGATCTACAACTGCGTGCTCAACGCGGGCGGATCTGCCCCCCACCACGAACGAATCGGTTTCCGATATTGGGACAGCTCCAAATCAGACCTCGAACACCACATCACTTACGGCCCCTTTAGGCCAACCTTCGACGTCAAAGACACGGGCACAGGCGCGACTGGCGGCATAGGCGGCGCCAAGGGCCGGTTTCTGCAGGTCCTGGTAGCGTCCGTGGTGGCATCTTACGGCTACGTGGGGACGGAAATCGTTCTTATCGCGGGCGGCGAGTCCCGGAACCCGCGCCACGCCATCCCGCTAGCTACCAGAAACATCTACTGGCGTATCCTCGTGTTCTACATTCTGGCAGTGTTCATCATTGGCCTCAACATTTACAGCGGCGACCCGCGCCTGCTGAGATATTTCACCTGGACAGGCCCTTCCACCGAAAGCGAGAAAAAACAGCGCGAACAGCTCGAGTCCATGGTCATCCAGCTCAACGGCGGCGGAAACTGCAAAACACATCTGCTCCAGTGGGCGGGCTTTGCCAACGGCAACCAGTCGCCGTTCGTGATTGCGCTCCAGAGTGCCGGGCTGTGCAGTTTTGCGGCTGCTACCAACGGCTTCCTGGTGTACTTTGCCCTGACAGCGGCATCCTCGCAGCTCTACGCCTCGTCACGGACGCTGTACTACCTGGCGATTCAAGGCAAGGCGCCCAAGCTATTCTCCATCTGCTCCAGGAGTGGTGTTCCCTACATGAGTGTCTTATTTACAGGCCTATTCTCGTGCCTCGCATATTTGTCTGTCGACAACAACACCGCCCTGGTTTTTGAACGGCTGCTCAGCGTCTGTGCGTCCACAGGACTGCTTGTTTGGTCGGGCATGTGTTTATCGTTCATCAGGTTCTACTACGGGCTGCAGCTACGTCCAGATATCATCAGTCGAACAGACAAAAATTACCCCTACAGATCTCCTTTTCAGCCGTATCTCGCGTACTTCGGGATGCTGGGCTCGTTGTGTCTGGTGCTGATTGGAGGTTTTGTCGCGTTCATCCATGGCCAATGGTCTCCAGCATACTTTATCTCGTGCTACGGCTCGTTGTTTGTGTGCATTTTCTGCTACATTGTGTACAAAATTTTCCGACGCACCAGAATCCACCGTCTCGACCAGCTGGACCTCGACTCTGGCAGACGCGAGATCGACCGCATAATTTGGGAGGACGACACGCATTACGCGAGCAACTTCAGGGAAATCATCAGCAAAGGCATCAGCTTGCTACTTTAATACAGCACAACATTACCGATTTTTCAGTCTCTCCAGTAACTGCTGCTTTCTGAGTGCTACCACGGCGTCTTGGTACTCTTGCTCAGTAGGGAGCTGAGGCAAGTCGAATACAGCACTCTTCTCAAAACCGCTAGTCCGCAGCTCTTGTGTCCGTTTGCGCTCAAACTCCAGTAAAGCACACTCTTCTGGAGTCTCCTGGGCCGTGACATTAGGAATCCGCAAGTCCAGCTCGTTCTCGTCTTCATATCCGTAGTACGCCGGCCCCAGATCTGTCTGATTCAATCGCAAAAACCGCTCTTTTGCGTTTCCGGACGCAGACGCGTTCTCCTGTTCTCTAGACTTAAGTAATCGTTCCACCTCTGGTAGCTGTTTCGCTCTGCCAAAATACCGGTAATTGTTCACCATGACAGAGCCATCGGCTACAGCAGACGTTCTGAGGTGATCAGGCCCGCCAAGTTCCTTCACACGATGATCCCATGCGCGCCGTTCCCGCATGAGCTTGTTCAATTCGTCGTTAAGGTCCCTGATCTGAGAGTTTTGAAGCAACGGGTCGTTGATCTTCTCGATCTTGGCAGATATCTCCTGCAAACACATGGTCCGAAAAGCCTCTGCCTCGTGGACGTCATCTGTGTCTTGCGTCACGCGAGGTCGCGAGCCAACCACTCCGTGCTGTCTTCCGTACAATCTATTGAGCATTACCGCGTAATATTTTTTTTACATGATAATAAATAATTCAGTTTTTTTTTCTGCTGATTTTATCTGAGGACAAGTGGAAAAAAAAGATCTTTTTTTAATTACTGTGAAGTACCCAGACATAACCAGCGTCCGCGATGTCTCCGTTACTCTCATACCGTTATAACAAGTTCCTTGTGGCGGGAGCAGCCTTGGCCATAATCTACATTGTTGTGTTCATGGCGCCATCCCATCCAAAGACAGAGGACGCGTTTCCTGGACTAGTGTCTGAGTCACAGGTCACCCCTCCTATCAACCCAGGCGCGTCCCTGGACACGTCTGCTCCCGGTGAGCTGATCGAGGAGAAGAAACCAGTTATTGACGACGTGTTATCATCGACTCTGGAGTCGCAAAGCTACAAGACACGGGCACAAGAAGAAGAGAAACAGGCCACCCCGGCTGCTGCCAAGCCAAAGGCCACGGGCGTGAGACAGTCCACACCCTTGCACGACTCCAAGGAGGAGGCCAAGGCTGCGCAGGAAATCAAGTCTGCATCCTGCGAGTCGGGCGAAGAATATGTCATCATGATCGACGCGGGATCCACAGGATCTAGGATCCACGTGTACTCGTTTGATACATGCCAATCTCCGCCAAAGCTTTTGGACGAGGAGTTCAAGATGATAAAACCAGGTCTCTCTTCGTTTGATACCGACACGGTTGGAGCTGCTGCCTCTTTGGACGAGCTTCTCGATGTTGCGCTCCAGACCGTGCCAAAGAATAAACAGGCTTGCACACCGGTTGCCGTCAAGGCCACGGCAGGTCTCAGACTGCTTGGAGAACAGAAATCTTCAGCCATTCTTGCCGAGGTTAGACGTCACCTGGAGGACGACTATCCGTTCCCTGTTGTCGAGGGAGACGGAGTTTCTATCATGGACGGCAGTGACGAAGGTGTCTATGCCTGGATCACCACCAACTACTTGCTTGGAAACATTGGTGCCAAGGAAAAGCGGCCGACTGCTGCCGTCTTCGATCTGGGAGGAGGATCCACCCAGATCGTTTTCGAGCCACTGGATGGCCAAAGCATGATTGAAGGAGAGCACAAGTACGAAGTGAGCTTTGGGGGCGCCGACTTCACTCTATACCAGTTCTCGCATCTTGGTTTCGGACTCATGCAAGGCAGAAGAAAGGTCAATGCTCTGGTTTTGGAAACTGCTCTCAAAGATCCAAAGTACGAGCTTACTCCAGTTTCTGACCCTGAAAACGCGGTCGCCAAGGTTTCCATCCCACACCCATGTCTTCCACCGGGAGTCACGGCAGAAAATGTGATCGTTGAGCTTTCTGACAAAGCCAGCTACGTTGTGAACTTTGTTTCCATGGCCAAAAGCGAAGACGACGACATGGCTAAGACTGCTGCTGTTCAATGTAGATCATTGGCAGAGACCATTCTGAACAAAGATATGGAGTGCAAATCGAAGTCCTGCTCATTCAACGGCATTTACCAGCCTTCTTTGAGACACCAGTTCTCCCAGACCTCAGACATGTTTGTGTTCTCCTACTTCTACGATAGACTCAAGCCTATTGGTATGCCATTTTCTTTCACGCTGGACGAGATGAAAGACCTCACCAAGATCGTTTGTTCCGGATCCACTGCTTGGAACCAGTACCTTTCGCAGCCTGAAGGTCTCAAGGAGCTGAGTGCCGAGCCTCTGTGGTGTTTGGACCTTTCGTTCATGACTGCACTGCTGCACACAGGGTACGACATTCCTCTCCACAGAGAGCTGAGGACCGCCAAGAAGATCAGTGACAACGAGCTGGGATGGTGTTTGGGAGCTTCGTTGCCACTTTTGGATAAAAATTCGGGATGGAGTTGCAAAGTTACCAGGGACTAAACTGAGAGAATTTAGGTGAGTGAAATAAATACTAATTATACGATATGCTCCAAAAAAATTAAATAAAATACGGAATCGTACCGTCGGTCATCCGAAATAATTTCTTTTCGGTCAGAGCATGGAGGATTTTAATACGGAAGCGTTGTCTTCCACTAGTAGCTCGGTGTATGAGCTATCGGGATCTGAGCACATGGAGCGTTCCGAGTCTTTGCAGCCCAAGCAACCAATCTTACACGATAGCTTATACTGCAGGGATAACCCAAGGGAGACTTTTACGATAAAGGACGACCCAAACAAGCCAAGCCAGCATCGCGCTCTCTATAACGCCGCGGGCAAGTCACCCACCACAGACGACTTGTTTCGAAGCTTATCGAACAAAAATCTAAAGAGTGTCAAATCGCATGCCCAACTAGCAAAAACGGCCCACGGTGTCCGAATCCTTGCCAGAAACTTAGATAGGGCCACGATACATTTGCAACTGCGCTCAGTTATGCTAATCACCAAGGCAAGAGATAACTCGCTTGTTTATCTCACCAAAGAGGTTGCTGAATGGCTTCTTACAATCAATGATCAGACCCAAGTCTACGTGGATTATCATCTGGAAAAGTCCAAGCGGTTTGACGCAAACGGCCTGATCCATGATAACCCCTCCGCCAAAGGCCGTCTGAAGTACTGGACCAAGAAACTTATCAGAGATAATCCCGATATCTTCGACCTGGTGATCACTTTGGGCGGCGACGGTACCGTCCTCTACGCTTCTACCCTATTCCAAAGGGTTGTTCCTCCGGTGATGGCATTTTCTCTGGGCTCGTTGGGCTTCCTTACGACCTTCCCGTTTGAGAACTTTCGGAGCATCCTGGCAAATGTGATCAAAAACGGAGTTCGCACAAACTTGAGAATGCGTTTCACTTGCCGTGTTCACACTGCTGAAGGGGACTTGATTTGCGAGCAGCAAGTCTTGAACGAGCTTACGGTTGACAGAGGGCCTTCTCCGTGGGTCTCAATGCTGGAGCTGTATGGTGATGGGTCGCTACTTACTGTTGCCCAGGCAGACGGGCTCATTATTGCTACCCCTACTGGGTCGACTGCCTATTCGCTAAGTGCAGGAGGCTCGTTGGTGCATCCTGGCGTCAGTGCCATCAGCGTGACGCCTATTTGCCCGCACACGCTCTCCTTCCGTCCGATTTTGCTGCCAGATACCATGTCTCTGAAGGTGAAGGTGCCTATTCGATCAAGAGCCACTGCTTGGGCTTCGTTTGACGGACGTTCCAGAGTTGAGCTACTCAAAGGGTACTACGTCACCGTATGCGCGTCACCCTTCCCCTTCCCGACTGTGAGGTCTTCCAAGACAGAGTACATCGATAGCGTGAGCAGGGTGCTCAATTGGAATAACAGAGAAGAGCAGAAATCTTTCATTCATCTGCTAAGTGACAAAAATAAAAAATCCTACAACACCTATCACAGAAGACACGGTTCGTCTCCAGAGAGCGATCTTGAGGACGAGGACAGCCTGGATATGAACTACGTTAAGCCGTCGAACGAGAAAAATGAAAAGCAGCATGGGCGCCACGAGTCCGCTTCATCAAAAGCGCGCTTCATGATAAATGGCGAGCATCTGGACGAGGTGGCGAGCAAGTGTGGTATTACAAAGCCCTCGAAGCTGAAAAATGTCATCAAACCAGAAGATTTCAACGAGACTCTGGAGGAAGATATAAACGAGAGAGAAAAACAGGATTTGCAGGACGAGCTTGCAGGAAAATTCGAGATCGACTACAACGACGACAGTGAGGACCAGGAGCCAACTAATCATGTGAGCGGCGCAACAAAGGGCGGAGATAAAAGTCCGAAGACCAAGTCGCGTCTGGTCCAGACCAGAACGCGTAGAACTGTTGCAAACGAGAACATGAGCGACTCCACGGTTGATATCGACGACGAGGACGATTCCCAAAATAATTACTTCCGGCCGCGCGCTGGCGAGGAAATTGAGACTCCGGTGAACCATTCGCCGGGCCTGGAGCCGAGCATTGACCAGGTGGTGTCGAGCCATCTGTTCGACGAGGATCTGAGAGGCAAGCTATTCCGGCTGAATGTGTAAAGATGTGTAAACTATTATAATCGTGCCATGATAAGACATGACAGATTTTGTAAAATAATTAATTTGAAAGGGTGCTACTGATTTCAAGCACGTCATAGAACAGCGTATCTTGATCTCATCGAAATCGAAGCCCAGGCCACAATTGAATTGAAAGACATCAAATAGTGAGGAATTGTTGCAATTGACATATTTAATCGCAACAAACCCTTTCTACGCATAGTTCTACATCTAGAGGCAAATTGCTCCATTTCAGTGATAGGAGATCTAGCTAGTTTCACTTAGGTTCGCATAATTCAGCCTTCTATCAGAAAAGGACAAACAGCACAGCTGAACGCACAAGCAGTTGGTATTTGAAGGTTTTTTTGAATACCCCCTTCTACAGCTTGTTCTAATATTCTTGATACGCTTTGATCATGAATGGGCTGAATCGTGGCACTAAGGACGGCTACGAGCAGGAAATTTCGTCGAGCGACTCTTCCGACTTTATCACCGATGACGAAAGGTTGCCCACGTCTCAACCACATCCAGCACAAGAATCGGCTGGCTCCAGATCGCAAGTCTCCACAGACCACCAAAACGTCTTCCAGCAATATCTTGACGAGCCTCCACGATGCTATGAGATTGAAGCGGAAGGAGCCGACACGTGGGAGATCTCTGGAATCACAGAGCTGAAAGATGAAAAATACGCTGGCCCAAGATTTAAAGTCGGAGAGGACTTTGAATTCAACCTTCTCCTCATGCCGCCAACAAGAAAGAACACGTCTGCTTACTCCGTGTATCTGGAAGCGCATCCATTGAAGGCCAAAGAGGACGAGAATTGGCACTGCTGCGTGCAGTTTGCCATTGATGCCTGGCTTCCTTCAGAACCCTCTGTTCACAAAGTTAACAATTCATTTTATCGCTTCAACCCCAGGATCACCGATTGGGGATTCGTTGGTCTTCTTAACAACAGACAGGCGTCAGACGTGAAGATGCTGAAGGCCAGCAGCCTCAATATCACAGCATATGTCAGAGTCATCAAAGATCATACCGGCGTCTTGTGGCACGACTTCCTGGATTACGATTCGAAGAAAGAAACCGGCTATGTGGGAATTACAAACCAAGGTGCGACCTGCTATTTGAATTCTTTGTTACAATCCTACTTTTTCACCAAAGTGTTTAGGAAGAAAGTGTACCAAATCCCAACACAAGACGAGATCAGTTTCGGTTACAACTCTTTTCAGCAATACCTTGAACAGCCCAAAAGCGTGTCCTTATCACTTCAAAGGATATTCTATAGTCTACAGACATCAGACAAGCCTATTGACACACTAGAGCTCACTCATTCTTTTGGCTGGAATAGTGCGGACGCTTTCACCCAGCACGATGTCCAGGAACTCAACCGGATTTTGATGGATAGACTAGAGTCCAAAATGAAGAATACCGAAATTGAAGGATGTCTCAATGATATCTTTGTGGGAAAAATGAAGAGTTTTATCCGATGCATTAATGTCGACTATGAAAGTAGTCGCATTGAAGATTTCTGGGACATACAGTTGAACGTGAAGAACCTCAAAAACATAAGAGAGTCATTTGAGAATTACATTGAGCTGGAGCTTCTCAATGGAGACAATAAATACGATGCCTCCGGATACGGTCTACAGGATGCTGAGAAAGGTGTTGTTTTCGAGAGTTTCCCACCTGTATTGCATTTACAGCTCAAACGTTTTGAGTATGATTTCGAATACGATCAGCTGGTCAAGATCAACGACAAGTACGAGTTTTTTGACTCAATCGATCTCAAACCCTACTTGGACAAAGAGGCTCCAAATTATGACGAGAACTGGGAATACCAATTGCAAGGAGTTTTGGTGCATCAAGGTGATGTTTCTGTGGGTCATTACTACGCAATGATCAAGCCAACACCAAAGGATGAGTGGTTTAGATTCGAAGATGATAAGGTGTGGAGAGTGACTCCATACGAAGTCTTTGAAGGTAATTTTGGTGCAGATAGTCTGACCATCGACCCTAGAAAACTTACCAGAGAGCAACAGCAGGAATACCAGCTCAAGAGGCACACTTCAGCGTATATGCTTGTCTATATTCGCAAGACGAAGTTTGAAGAAGTTTTAAGCGAGGTTACAGATGCTGATGTTCCATCTCACATTTCCAAGCAAATCAAATACGAGCAGGAGGAGTATGAGAGGCTACGCAAAGAGCAAGAAGAAATGCACCTGTACGCGAACATCAAGGTGTACACGAATAAAGGCTTCTTGAAATATCAAGGGTTTGACCTTGGTCCAAACGAGGAGGACAGACTCAATTTCTCTCCTGACCTGTTTGAGCCCGAGTCTTTTTCCTTGAAGTTCCGGATGCTGAAGTCAGAGTCTTTCTCAAAAGTTTACGATTTGGTGGCCCAAAAGCTCGGCTACGATGTCGATAAGGCCAAGCAGTTCAGGTTTTGGAGCATTGTAAGTCGCCACAACTTCGCATATCGCCCATACATGCCTATCCCGCGCCATTTCGATGACCCTAAGAACAACGACATCACTGTGAACCAGGTTGTCAAATACAATGAATCTTTGATGTCGAAGAGAAGAAGAACAGCGCAGAGTTCACAGCTGATACTATTTTTGGAAGAGTCGTCGAGAGAGCTCAAATTTGTGTCAAATGGTATATTTGAGCTTAAAAACAAGCAGAAGATCCCTGCCTCATTCTTCAGCTTGGAACCATTTGATGTGAGATTTGAAAAGGCGGTGGAGATTGTCAGCTCAGAGTTCAGTCTACCCAAGTTTGAGTCCGTGTCTGATGCTTCTGACAAGATCATGTTGTTTATCAAATATTTCGACCAAGATAAACAATCGGTCAAAGGAATTACCCATATCATTGTTCCCGCGGAAAATCAAGTTGAGTATCTAACGGAGCTTTTGAACAATTTGATGGGATTTGATATTTCGACTCCACTGAGATTTTATGAAGAATTTGGACTGAACCAGATTCAGTGGCTCAATCCCTCGAAAAGCTTCTACAAGTCTGAGCTAGGTAATGGTGACATCATTTGTTTCACCAAGGCTGACTCAGAGGTGAATCCGAACCCTGACCGGGAGTTGAAGACTGTTGAGGACATCTACGACTTTATGGCAAATAGATGTCATTTCAAGATTTCACCATTGGTCAAGGTAGACGAGGATGAAGAGGAATACGTCAAGATTGCAGAAGACATAGACCCTATTGATACGAAATCTAGGTCGGATTCTTCCAAGTCGTCTTTGAACAAGGACTTTGAGCTCTGGTTTTCGACAATGTCGAATTACCAGGCTCTGGCAGAGAAGATTGGGGCTCACATCAAAGTTGACCCTGATTATTTGAGACTGTTCATCTTGGGACACTCTAATCAGCGCATTCCTTTGAAGAGAGATACTGTTTTCAGAAGGCTTATTGACAAGATTCCAAAATCCCAAACGCTAGAGATCCAGTACGAAGTTTTGAATGTTACCCTTGCAGAGTTCGAAGAGATGAAACTCTGTCACGTCTCATGGGTTGGCCAAGGTATTTGCCGGGAGCAAAAGCACGAGTTCTTCCTTCCCAGATCCAGCACTATTGACGACCTAATCGATAGGTTGCAAACGAAGGCTAACATCAAGCCCCAAGAACGTCAAAATATTGTTTGCTGGGCACCTGACCGCCACGTTCGCCTGAGTGTCTACCCAACAGAAACAACAATTGACTCTTTTGATCATTTGGTGATTGGAAACTTCCCTAACTTCAAGCAAGTGTTGGAGCATGGTTCCAAAACGTCGAAATTGGTGACAGGCTTCCAGTTCTTCGGCAAGGTTACTAGCCCACATGGCCTTCCATTCATTTTTGATTTAATCAAAGATGAGCCTCTTTCGAAAACAAAGTCGAGGCTGCACAAGCTTCTTGGATTGAGCGATAAAGAGTTCAACAGTGTTAGATTCGGAATTACAGACTTCAAAGATGTCGAGTATTTGGACTCTGAAGACACAGATTCCATAGTTCTCTTTGATGTTTTGAATTCAGCAGACATACAGATTTGTGTTGACCACCCCGATCGCTCTGTCCGCAAAGGGTCCGTGTTTGAACCATCTATCTTTATTAGGGAATAATTATGTCATTACTGCGCTTGTACTTGTTAATGCTGAGAAACTTGACGTTTTTCATACTCCTTCTTTCGGATCTGGGTGCTGCTCAACTTATTTTGAAACCCATCAGCCTCGTCACCTCCTAAGGTTGCTATTTGCACCACCTCTAGAGCTGGGAAGCCTTTTTCCACCCTAACTTGATTGATGTATTGGCCACCTTTCGCACTTTCCGAACTTAATACCAGTGCATCGATATCTTTAACGCTCGCGGTCGGTCCACATATATCGTTTATTTGATGTATTTCTATCTGCAATCTGGGACTGATCAACTCAATAAATTCTTTAACTTTTTCGACTCTTGTCTCGTAACTCTCTAAATATTCAGCGAATTTCTTGTTTTTCAGCAGTTCCGGACCTGTCACTCCTATTATAAGTAGTCTTGCAGTGACAAACACAGAGGCTGTCAAAAGCATTTTGTGTCCACTATGTAGATGATCAAACGTGCCTCCTACAGCTGAAATCTGATATTGTTGATAGGATGCGTTCACCGTAGCGGCAATAGCAGTTTTCTTGGAAAATTGCGATTGCACATCATCCAGGTCAGAATCAAGAACAGCGATGGTTGGGTAATCCAAGTTGCTGTTTGATGAGTAATGTTTTATCAGTGTACAGTCAGCGACATGAGGATCTTGGTACACAACATTCACATCTAAATCCTCATTATAGCGATAAGCGATTTCATATATTTTTGACATGTAATTATTCAACTCATTCAGATTTGCGGGTTTGTGGTCCAAAAGAGCAAACAATTTGCCCCTGCAATGCTCCAAGGCAACATAAAGTAACTTTTCGAGCAATTCACCCTCCGGTAATAAAACAAGAATATTCATTAAGATAAAATAAAAAAAAAAAATTCGGCCCAGGTAAAACATGACTTCGATAAGAGAAGTTCTAGAATCAAGGAAATATGTACCGCCGGCAAAGCTGAAAGCACTGCTGGCCGAGTCCGAAGTGTCTTATGCATCCGAAGAGTACCAAAGATTGCAATGGGAAAAACTCAAAAAACAGATAAACGGAGAAATCAATAAAGTGAGCACAGAGAACATCAAGGAAGTGGTATTGGATCTTTTCAAGCTCAATCTCATCCGAGGCAGGGGTTGGCTTGTACGATGTTTAATGAAATCCCAGGTTTTGTCGCAGTCCTACACGACTGTCTATGCTGCTCTAATATGTGTGCTAAATTCTAAAATACCAGAGCTGGGGGAACTTCTAGTCACGAGGTTGATTTTGCAGTTCAGAAAAGCCTACAAGAATAACGACCGAGATACTTGTAAGGCATCTGTGATATTTTTGTCCCAACTGGTCAATTTTCAGGTTTGCCACGATATCGTTGCATTGCAGCTTTTATTTTTATTGTTAGAACATCCAACGGATACTACGGTGGAAATTGCGTGCGCCCTGCTACACAATTGCGGACACTTCTTGTCAGAGAACTCTTCCGTCGCACTAAATGCCGTTTTTGAGCGTCTGGGGACGGTTCTGACGGAGGATATGGTTTCCAAGAGAATACAGCTGCTCATACAGGAGGCCTTCAAACAGAGGAAAAACAACTACGACGCAGCTCCCGTGATTGCGGAGGATCTGGATCTGGTTGAAGATGAGGATAAGGTTACGCATACACTGAGTCTTGACGATAAATTGAAAGCACAGGAGACCCTGAATACTTTTCAGTTTGATCAGGAATATGAAAAGCACGAGAAGGAATATGATGAATTACGAAAGCAAATCTTGGGTCTTGATAACGATAGTTCCGACAATGAGAGCGAAGACGAGAGTGAAGACGACGAAGCAGATGATGTGGTTAAAGAGCAAATCCGAGACCTTACAGAATCGGAACTCACCAATTTCCAAAAAACTGTCTACTTGACAATGATGTCCAGTATCAACCATGAGGAAGCCGTGCATAAGTTGCTAAAGCTGCAACCCATCGATCCTGAACGAAAGGAGCAAATGCTGGTGGACATGATAGTGAAATGCTGCGCTCAGGAGAAAACGTACTCCAAGTATTATGCCCTGGTTGGTGAAAAGCTGATTTCCGTGAATCGCAAATGGACGCAGGCGTTTGACCAGGTTTTCGTCGACAACTACACAAATTGCCATCGATATGAGCTGTCTCTGATACGAAACATAGGATCGTTCTGGGGACACATGTTGGCCTCCGACAAGATGGGCTGGGAGATCTTGCAAATCGTGCAACTAACAGAGGTGGACACCAACAGTGCTAGCAGAATCTTTCTCAAGTTTGTGTTTGTGAAAATGCAAGAAGAACTCGGTTTGAAGAAGCTCAAAGTTCGTCTATCGGAGGATTATATCCAGCCGTATATCAATGGTCTTTTTCCAACCTCTGGGGCCGACCGGTTGCGGTTTTCCATTAATTACTTTACTGCAATTGGTTTAGGTGCCCTCACAGAAGACATGAGAGAAAGTCTCAACAATCTGCCGGAAAGTGAAGAGAGCGACGTCGAAGATGAAAATGAACGAAAGAGAACCGCGTCTCCCGATCATTGAGAAGCGAGCACCACCTTCATCTCTGCAATTCTGTACAGTAACCAATGAATATCTATATTGCTACTCAACGCTCAAATTGGCAGTTTCATCTGCCAAGTCGTCAACTTTTGGATCCGTAGGGTGCGAGCCAACCGGAACGCTGGCGGGGCCATCTCCTCTAAGATCGATCTCGCTAAGTCCAGCGACTCCTCCTAGCTCCTCAAACCTCTTCATGTAGTGAGCTCTCTTCTTGTGAGCCATCTCGACAAGCGCAGGATAGTAGACTTCGTGATCATATTCAAAGTCCACTAGCCCATCAAATTCCTTGTCCAGCTGCTCTGCGGGACAGAATTGAGAGAAGTCGGCGTCAAACACAAGTTTCTCTCTAGTCAATGGATCAATGAAAGGGTAGATCAACTTGAGGAAAGTTCTACCCAAGAACGGAATATTAGTTAATAATGCTTTACCAAGCCTTTCAGGATAGTGTGTCTGAAGAATATGTAGCACTTGCTTACCGACTCCGAGCGGGGGCACCTTGGAAGTCTCTGACTGCGCAGCAATTTCCGGATGGTTCTTGAAGTCGATCAATAGCGCAAGAGAGTCTTGACCCGATGGCATAAAGTCAATCACCCTTTCTAGGAAGAAAACCAAGTGCTGGACTTGTCTGAACGACGTTTTTGTGTTTTGCCGCCCTGGCTTAAGGTACAAGCATGGTCTGCATTGGTTGTCGAAACCCAAGACAACCTCCTTGCCTGTCTCTGATTCTGGCGCGACTAGTTCGGGAGTGACGATGTTCCTGGATTCATCAAGGTAGTGATCAATACCAAACTCGGTTCTCCAACCCAACGTTCCTTCAATTCTTTTGATTGCGTGGGACACATCCCACTTGGTGGCGCGCAAATATCTCAGGAAGCATTCTCTTGTAAGCCATGCTTTTTGATCGGCACTTAAAGGCTGCAATTCGCCCTTGTGGTGCTCAGTGGTGGGAACCTTAAGCTCTGGATCCTGGAAATGCTTGAGAACAGTGAGGTATTTCTGCTTCTCCTCTTCGGAAAGCTCCTTTTCGGCAGGAGGTTTCAGATAGGCAGGGGGATGTTCAAAGGGTATAGAGACCTTGATGAGGTCCTTCTTCGGTGGTGTCTCCGGTTGTGTCTCTTTTTTTTTACCTCTCCCAAACATTTTTCCTATTGTACAAGCACGCGTTTGAAAGCCCAAGTCGTGTTGATTTACCTGAATTAGAGTCGTATCTATATCGGGGTGCTTATATATTTTTGAAAAATAATATTTCGGTCCGAATTAATTTCCGTTCGCGTTCGTCAAATGTTTAGTGCCTTGAATTTTCTGAGAAACTTGTCCCGCTTCCGAGAACTATCGGCGGACGTGCTCTGCGCCAGCTGATGAGCACTAGAGGAACGAGAAGACGCTCTGCTTTGTGCAGAGCTTGGGTTCGAGACTGAAGCCAGATTTTTGCTTGGCTGCGTAGCAGCAGAACGCTCGTATAGGTGCTGCGGCACCTCCTTCTTCGCAAACTTCTCATCCAGAGGAAAATTGAAATTTTTGCGCTCGTCATTGATAAGCCTAAGGTCCCCAATAAGGTCCCATGTAGAGTAGAGCTCGTCAGTGCCAATGAAGATGTTTTTATTAATCTTGGCCTCGAGCGATGTGACGGTGCTTAACTCCGAGTGAGTAAGACCTCCGGCAACAAAAATCAAAAGCTTTTCTTTGTTGGAATCAGCCGACTGCTTCGAGCTCTTCCATTTAGGCATGTTTCGAACAGGAGCATTGAACTGCTGCTCGGCGTCGTCGTCGTCAATTGGCGCTCCCTTGACGTACGGGAAATCTTTAGGTGCATCTTCATCTCGATCATTTGAATATGTCTCCTTGTAGACCTCTGGGAGTTTTCCGTAGGCAAGCCGCGTGACAATGTTGGTCAAGCTAGGAATATATCTTTCCGTGAGCTCAGGAGTTTCTTTAATGTCGAAATAGGACGTTATCCTGAAGGGCTTGTCATTAGGCTTAGATTTCAGCATGTTGAATCCCAAATGCTGGAAGTTCTTGAATAAAGTCACGATTGAATCCGTCTTGCTTTGGTCGGGTAATCCAAAGTGACAGAGCTTGCGCAAGTCCGACTCCACGATGCCACCCCTGTAGTAAGTGTATACGATGAGCAGTCTGATCTTGTTTCCTGTGTCAATTTTCTCGTTAGCAAGTAGTGCTAACAGCTCTTCTGTAAGCGGTTCATACATTTCTTTATTACCGTTCATATTGGAGGCACATTTGTTCTCAAAAACCATGCAATCTAAAATACACTCGTCACGAAACGTCTTGTCTATTTTGTTGATTAGCTCAAAATGGCCTGTAACCAGCTGACGAGAGAAAAGATAGTCGGCTTGATTCAGTGCCGCATGTGACAAATCGGATGCGTACTTCAGATTTGAAAACTTGGCTTCTGTGGCTTTCAGCTCGTTCACCTGCTCGATTATACTTTTGGTGTACTCTTCAATCGGCAGATCCTGCAACCTGGAATATACGGGATCTTCATCGTCGAACACCAGATGCTTTTTCTCAATGCCCTCTCCTGTCTGGATGCGATAATCGTACACATAAGTGTACTCGCCCCTTGCCTTTCTAATCTGCGTGTCCATGAGATCGAATATCTGAGATCTATAGAATTTGTAGTGACAAAAAGGAGCGAATAGGTCCATCAGACGGTCAGTGATAAAAAACACTGTTTTTGAATTCACCGGAGACAGTTCCTGGTGCTTGCGATAGTACTCATCAAGGGTCTGTTGAAAAAGATAAGCAATTTTGCGTGAAACAGGGGAATTATAGTATCGAACTATTGGATACTCGTTTGACAATACGCAGGCACTCATCATGGCCTCGACAGCTTTGTCAACTTGATACTCATTAAGGTCTGGGCCGAAATGCTGCGGGTTATATAGAGCAGGAATGGAATAATGATTATTTGTGACATACACTCGACTTTCCAGAGGATTCAAGCTGAGAAAGTCTATCGAGTCCAAATTGTTGCCACAAGCCTTCATTAAATTAGAGTTGGCCTTCAATCGAGCATAGGTTGTCTTGGTGAGGCCGGGCAAGAAACATAACACAACCGATTGGTACCGGCAGCCGGCAGAAAAATCCGCGAGCAAACAATCAATTGTGTAAGGTACCAACGGGTCCAGTATGTAAATCGCCTGTTCTCTGTTGAGTGACCTTTTTTCGTCATCTATGCAATAAAAGGTGAATACATAGTTGAGAACCTCGTCTCTAAGCAATTTCTCTATGATAGGGTGGGTGGTGTGGTCGGTAATCAGGTGTCGAAATTCCGACCGATGTGATTTGAGCTTTGCGATGAGAGCTTTAAGTTAGCGTTACGTTGATGTTGTCTACTTACCCGCTTTCTGCAATTCGAAAAGTGACATGATGCAATGATTCAGCTTGGTTCAAAACATTAGCCAACCTCGTTTAATTTCAGATTATTTAAATTATTTGTACTTCGCGCGAATATGAGTGTCTAAAAGAAATGGGTGTAACATCTCGAAAGTTCGTGGACAGGCATCTCTGCCTTCACCTCATTGAGCTCGTTCTTGATCTCAAGTGCCAGCTGAGGCGTCAGTTGATTACAGGTGGCTTGATCTGGCTTTCTATCGTACTCGTGCTCGCCATAAGTATCGAAGAGCAAGATCTTGGACGAGAACCTGACTCTTGGCATCTCGGGCATGGGAGATGCCATTGGCGAGGGGTTCAAGTCCCTCGTATCGATACTTGATTTTGATCCAAAGAAGCTCAGGCGGATCGAGCTCTGAGACTTGCTCTTACCTCTTTTGGACCCGTTGCTGTCCCTCTTGTTCAGCTTACTGATCAGAGACATTCTTCTCGATTTGCGAATTCCTTCTCGTGAATGACGGCCATCTGAGTCCTGGCTTGTCATGGATGCTTCTGCCACATAGTCCTCAAAATCTCTTGAAGGCTCCTCATCGTAGGAGAAACTATAGTTTCTGGTGGCCCCGAAAGATTTCACGCTCGGAGTGAACACCGGACCCTGCAAGCCTGACAACGGCCTATCGAGAACGGGACTTTCTGCTGTCTCCGAAGCTGCGCTTTCCAGCGAGTGTCGATAATTCCCGTGATGGGGGCTGCTGATGGAGTAGCTTTGCGAATGCATATCAAATGTTTGGCTGTGTTGGTCTTCATCCTGCCATTCGCGGACAGTTTCCCAGTTTCCGTGCTCGGGAGACGAGTCAGGTGTGATTGGGACCTGCTGTGGCGGACCTGAAGCCGGTTCTGGCTCTTTGCTTTCAAATTTGAAAGAGATAGCAGGCTCAAGCACAGGCTCTCTGTCTTCGCCCTCGAGATGGAAATCGGTGTCTATTTGAAGATCATCATCTCCAAACTGAATCATGTTGTATATATCGCTGAGCTCCTCGTCCTGCAATCCAAACCCAAACAGGGGTTCTTGACTCTTTTTCAGAATGCCCGTGTGTCTTTTGCTTGAAGACGATCTCAGAGAAATAGGGGACTTCGGAGACCTTGCTGACTGCGGTGACCTCACCACCGTCATGCCATCCGATGTCACGATCGGCCCCTCAACTTGGTTGCTGTTGAGCATCTCCACAATGGAGCTGCTTACAGAGTGCGAGTGAGCCATAGACGATCTTGCGGACTTGATGGACCTCATTGATCTTGAACGCTCCAGAGTCACAATGCTCTGCACTTCGTCAGCAGCGAGTCTCTTGGGGAACAATGCCTCGCCCGCCAGAAGCCTGGTGTAGCTGTTCTCTCGTTTGCCCAGCAGCGAGTTTCTGTCTCTGGCAGGAGCCAGAGTTGGTCTTTCGGGACTGTAAAAGTTTCCGTTGACCGGAGAAGGCGTGTCCAGACGGTAGACATCCGACTCCGCCTGGATCTCTTCCGAAGACACGTCGACGTTCTCGTGGTACGTGGACTTGCGACGGTCGGCAGTGGAGACGTATTTCGGCGACTGCAGAGTCAAAGGACTCTGGTCCATGAATTCGGACTGTGTTTCCAGTGGAGTCGAAAGCACAACACCTGCCTCGGAGCCAGACGTCTGGCCGTTGAAGCCGTATGTGTCCAACAAGGACTTCTGTTCGCTAGAGGTCTGCGACTCGGTCTTCTTAACTGCATCTGGGCGATTCTCTTTATCGCTTTCCTCTGGCTTGTCATTGCCACCGTCTGCAGCCATAGTATGGACCTCTTGAGTTTTATTCCTGCCGAAGATGCTCTTCCTCTTGATCTTATCAGTCTCTGCGCCCAGACTCTTTCTCTTCCACCCACTCAGCAGACTCTTACGACGGTCCTTTATTTGATCTGGTTTTTTCTCCTGTCGAGGCTCTTCGAAGCCGGCAAAGCTTTTTGGTCGCAACGATTTGGTTGTCCTGGTCGGTTCTGGTTCGTGCTCAGGAATGACCAGCGACGGAGTAGACGAAAGATGCTTTCTGTTCTTGAACAGGCCCCTGAATGAGAGTCTTTTGTTGTTTTTGGGAATTGCGGGCAACTCTTTCTCTTGATTCACATCCTGTGGCGTGTCTTTAGCCGTCTGAGGTGTGAACATGTTTTCAGGCTCTGCAACAGGTGTGGAAGTTTCAGGCTCTGTTTCCTTTCGTACGTCAACTTCCACCACTGGCAACTTCTGTGGCGTGGAAACAGGCGTAGGGAATGCCTCCTGGATGGTCACCGGCGTCTGGTTCTCCGAGGTCTCGTCTACCAGTCTCATCATATACCTTTGCTCGACGCGCGGGCTAGCAGTTTGGGCCACAAACGATTCCTGCTCGTCGTAGCCGATTTCGTGAATCACAGAAGTCTCTTGTCTTGGAATGTTGAACGAATTAGAGTTTGGAATGGCGGCCGAGTCGTCAAACATTTTGAACGTTTCGACAGGTTCGTTGAATATCATCGATGGAGAAAATAAGTTTGGCGTCATTAGGGTAGGCGTGTCGTTTGCAGGTTTCTCCTTGATTGTGCTGGATAGAGAGATGAGGTCGGAAGCATCTGGCGCGGTGGTGGAACTGTGGGCGGTGAAAAAAGATGCATACGACTGGTTGACGGGGTGACGGTAGATGACGGTGTCATCTTCTGCGGTGGTCTCCGCAACAGGTTCTATAGGCTCTGGCTCCTCCTGAATTGACGTGAACGTTCTTGTGGACTTCGTTTGCATCTTAGCGTTGAGTATATCGCCTAAAGCTTGCAAACTGGGGCTGTTTGTCATACCAATCTTCTTGGTTGGCTCCTCTTCGTAACTCTCGTCAATGGTGGTCGAATCGTTCACACTCAAGGTAATGGTGCTCATAGAGGGCGACACAACTATGGAACGCCGGACATGAGTTGCGTGTTTACTATTATCCAGAGCGATATCGTTGAGACTGGGACCGGAGTAGAACCCTAGACTGGCAACGTTCGCGCTCATCTTCGAGCCTGTGTCCCCATGGAAGTCTTTAATCGACGATGACGTGCTTGTCTGGAAAGATGAAGACCTGTCAATGTTCTTGAAATCGTCCTCGTCTTGCACGGTGCTCATCGAGTTCGAGTCCTGAGTGTACGGAGGAGAACTATGATGTAGTATCTTGACTCTTGGAAAACTGGCTCTATCTGTGTTGGAATAACCAGACTCAGACGTATAACTATCCAGTGTAGAGGCCATTGCAATCAACCTCGCGTCTTTACCAAGATGAAAATCTGGGGCTTTAGAATTTTTAGACAGGGATGAAAATCACGGTTTAAACGCGAAACGCGTGTGAAAAAAAAAAGTTTCCCAATCAATGTAAATGAAAGGTACAAGGACGATCGTCGCAATAGGCGTCTAAAGCCCTTTTTTTGTATCCCAATTATTCTCCCTCAATATTTACAATTTCATGGATACCTCGTCTGACAGCTCAGATCCGGATGTTGCGTACGAAACAGTCACGCCAAACGAAGTGGAGCGGCTAGTTGGTTTTCCCAAACATGCCTCTTCGACTGATTCGGAAGACGGGAGCGATCTTTCATTTCAAAAAAACGACAGCCTCGAGAATGGCCTTCCTCCCTTGCGATTCCTCACCAAACCTGATCATATTGGCAGTCCTATTATTTACCAGGACAAGCAAGCAGGAAAGCAACGCTTATGTGTGCGCTCAAAGATATCTCCTTTACAGGATAAAACCAACGTATGTGCGAACGACCAAAATCCGTTTAAAGAGGATCGGCACAAATCAAGCGTCGGTAAAAAGTTGTTGGTGTCAGATTTGGTCAGCCACTTTGATAAAGAAACATTTTTGGATCCTAAAAGCAAGTTCATCAGCCGAAGAGATGAGGCTCGTTTGCTATCGCCCATGCCACCCGAGTTGGAGCGAAATAAAAGCGATGCGTCTTCGCCAAGCAGCGACTATAGATCATTTCCTGTATACGATCCAACTGCTATTCCTCCTCGCCCAAATGCGCTTCAATCCCTTGTACCCAATGAGGATAGTACGGACAGCGGCAGCAGGGTCAGCTCTACGAAGTCTTGGCAACCACCTCAAAAAACTCCAGTTTCCCATCAAGAAGAGAGTCTCTGTCGTCCCAATACTCCCATCGCCAAATATCCCACTACACCAATCTTGGAACCACAATATAATAGTACTGGATTTCAACACTCGTCCGAATACTACCATTTGCTAGTGGAAAAAGACAAAGTTGAATTGCGCTACCACAACCTGCTCTCGGAGCACAAGAGACTCATAGAAAGATTTCACTTTCTGAAAGAGGAGAGCGAGAAGTTGAAACGTCTCTCGCAAGCACTCAATGAGGAAAGAAGTCGTGAACTGAAACGCTATAAGGAGGCAAAAGCTTTTTATGAGTCACTCGAGAAGAAGTATGATGTCGATTTTAAAATGCTGGCTAAATTCATCAGAAATGCTTTTGAAGATATCATAGGAGTACCGATTGATGGGTGTGATACACCAGAAAACGAGAAATCCCACCATACCCATTGTGTCAAACTTTTGGAAATGCTGCGAGTCGCAATCAGGACGAAAGAGCGCATGAGCGTGAAAAGCCACGCTTCTGATATCCAGATGCTTAGAAGAAGAATGGAGCATATGGAGCTGGATTCCAGTGAGATCAAACAGCAGCGTCGATACGCTAGTAAATGGCTTGAGGCAACGTACTGTTCTCTTCTAGGTGTATTGGGAGGCAGTGTATTTGTACCCGACAAACAAGTCCTGCTCACGGTGGATAATATTCAGCAGAAAATACAGAAAGGCGCAGACAGAGATGCCGAGTGGATTCACAACGGAGTCATTGCTGCGCTGATACGTGAGTTGAATGCTAGATAGCCTCACATGATGATGCAATCTGCAGAAGATTTGGCTCCTGTCTTCAAATTGGCTGGTTTCTGCAGCTTTCTTTTCGTGACATTCAAATAAGATGGTTTGGATATACTTTGAGATTTCTTGGGCGATGGTATGGAACTGGACGCCAGTGTGGATCCCGAAAATGACTCCAAACTCGTAATACTCTGTTTCTTGTTGATTTTAGGAGAGCCAACGGAACTTCGTTCGCCTTTGCTTGTCTCATAAGTGATAACGGGATCGATTCCTCCTTGAATAATGGAGTTCGCAAGGAAACAGTACAGTTTGATCCAGGCCTCTTCTGTTTCGAGTGAGAACCCATCATCCACGTCGTTGCAAAATCTGTCTCGAAAAGTTTTGATTAGAACTTCGCCCATCGTTTGGAAATATTCCGGCTCAATTCCCAAGATTCTTGAGTGCAATCTTCCAAGACTTTCCAAAGACTCGTTCATTCTGCTGAGATCATCCAATGTTGACATGGCAACATTTATCACACCTGCAAAAGCGGATGCCTGGTGTTTAATTGATGGAATCAGTTTCTCAATCATAGGATCACGAGTGATAAAGTTTTCATATAGCTGAATACAAAACAGCGATGACGCGAACGAGGATCCTGAGTTCGTCGTTCCAATGTTGATTGAGCGACTCTGTTTTTGGGGAGTTCCGCGTAGAGACCCGGTGGCCGAAGGAATAGATGGAGTATTTACCCTTGGGGTGTCTGATCCCGTTGATGACGAGCTGATGACTTTGCTCCAAGAGGACTTCAGGAGATCAATTTCTTTCGGAGTCAAAGTCAGAGAGATCTTCATACGCGACTGATTCACAACCACGGTGTTGGGAAGCCAATGAGAGTCCAATGTACTATAATGGGACGATATCGAAGTGGTGGAGGCCGATGTAGCAGTTCTCGAAAGAGATAGATCGGAAACCCGGGAATTTGCCAAAGACGTTTCGGGCACCAAAGAAGGGACTCTGGATGGAGCCCTTGATATGGAGCTTCTCGACATGGCGAGTTTGATCGAAAATCTACTTGGGGAAAAAAAATCAGTGCTCTTTTTTACTATCAAAATCGGGAAAGGTGCATTGGATCTGGTAATATAATGCAATCGGTTTGTCATATAATTTTATAGAAGAATTATATAGATACAAGGTTGATAATGCACATAATTTAGTATTTGAGCATTTGCCGAAACGATCGGCGCACAGCGACGAAATACAAATTGTCTAAGTCCTCGACTGGCAGGTTCCATTGGATGCCAAATCTTGGAATGCAAAACCCTGTTGTGGTAGCATCACATATTAGCCCATGCGCCGCCACAGAAACAAATCCGCTGATAATGCTGGTACACCGGGTTGACAATGAATGTAGGCGAGCTTAAGTACACCTCATTGCCATTCACCGAAGAAATGGCGCCACATCTTATACACTTGCGCATCATTAGTGTTTGCGTATTCGAGGAATTTGAGCCATTGACTGCAGGCCTACTTCCTGAGCCGTTCGCCTGCTGTGCTGATGGGTTTGCAATAAACTCAGAAGGCTTCAGTAGTTGTCTGCGTAGCATGTCGAGGATGAGGCCATCATATGTGTTCATCTGAATGAGTTTTTTGTTGTAGGAGTTTGAGAATTTCTGGTCCGTCTGCCGTATGAGTGCAGGACGCTTTTCCTCTGCATTGAAACCTGCCATATCTGCCTCCTTAGAGCCAAGGTTGAGCCAGCTCACATCATAAAAGTATAATTCCACGAGGTCGACACTGCCGTTGGTGAGCACAACCCGATCATACACTTCGCACAATTTTCTCAGAGGCTCCACAAACGTCTTTGAAACATGGCCTTGGCATATGAGCTGCTGTTCGATTGCCAGTGCTGTAATTGGATCCAATCTCATATTTCTGAGCGGCCCGTCTGCTTCTAAAAGAAATCTTTCAAATGCCTGCAAAATGATCGGCGAATTATTGATCAGCGATCCCAAACGAACATAGGCCTCAATCGTTGGATGGGCCACAATGGCTTTTCCCGATTGACTCTGGTTATTCGATGGAGCAGCCAGCGTCCATTGAGAATCTGCGAAAAGCTGGTTTTCAACCGACTTGAAAGTCCCCATTGGATTATCTGGCGTCACCAAAGCGGCCAGCGATGGATCGTTTTTTTCAATGAACTTTTGCACAAAAGAAAACAGTCTTCTAATGTTGGAAATAGCAAATATCAAAAACGATCGTGGTACTTTCCCCAGCACAAGAGGAATTGCAACCGACTTGGCAAGGAACTGCTCAACCTCCTTTGGGCTGTTGCTTTTGAAAACACCGTGCAACTCAACCAGCTCTTGATTCAGCCATACGATATAGTCGACACACCATCTGATGACTCCGAGCACAGCAATAATGCTCTCTTCGCGGGCACGTGCGTTTGCGAGAGTATCAGAAACATGGAGTCCTTTCTTTGCAAATCTTTGCATATTCGAGTAAATCGTGTGAATGGTGTACATGATGGACGATGTGACAAACTTCAAATTCACGAGCGCCCAAGCTATCATGCCGCTTTTGTTCCGCCGCCAGTTCAGTTCTGTGCCGAGAGACAGTTGCAAAGTGAGTATTCGTTGCAAAGGCTGGTTTTGGAGCATTTTATCTGTTTGCTCACTAGATACATCAATATTCAAGTTGATCGCTCTTTGGCTCTCCTGCAAAATTGACATCAAGAGTCTATAGGCGTACTCCTCTCCACGATTGTTTTTGGCCTGTTCAAGCTCGCAGCGAATCGTTGCCACCAGATCATCTGTTGAGTACCCATAGTAGCAAGCGTTTGTATGACGAAAAGCAACGGCTGCTGCTGTGGCCAAAAGAAGTCCTTTTTTGTTGGGGACTGCGTCTGACTGCCACGCGTTCGTGCGAGCAGAGTCGATATGGAGTGTTGTTTCGTTCCATGGCATAGCGACAAAGCAACAGACGTTTGGCGAGATACATGTGTATTGGGGCAGGAACTCTATTCTTGGAAACTCAAATCCCGCATCGGTAAGACACGACACAGTTTCTGGGAGCAAAGGGCCAGTTGGCCCAAAGTCATCTCCCAGTTCATCCAAATTGTAGATATTCTGGGCGGCCTTGAATGTTTGCCTATTGATTAGTTTGATCTCACCGTTTGCTAGGGTGACGGCAATTGTCAGATCCAGGTTTAGCAGCTCGAGACACACGATCGCCTCATCAAAAGTGAATTTTTGCTTGAATATGGGCTTATAGGTTTTGCGGGACTCAAAAACATTGCTCTGATTAGATGCAATCTGTCCAAACATAGGATGGATGACAGAAGCCATGTCGAGGTTGCGCAGTTGATATCTGTATATGGTGGAGACGGGAGACTTGTTCCCAAGAGACCTATCGTTGTCAAAAAGCAAAAGCAGCTCTAGTTCCGTGGATGGGCTAAAGTCAGGTGAGACTAACTGTATACCGGTACAGAAAGATGCGTTCTCATCGACAGAGCAGAGCCCCATACTCGCCACTTTGCGGATTCCTAGTTTCGGAGGTATTCTATTCTCATCGGGCACTCTGTATGTTGGTGTTTTGGTAAGTTGTTTGGCTGCCTCAACTAAGAATCCCCAATCAATGATCACCTCAAAGATCTTCAAATAGTCTCCGATCTGGACAGCCACAATAACTTCTCCATCTCTCGTAAAGCCGAGGGCAGCATGTTCAAGTAGGACATCTCCGATAGGAAGCTGGTTCACGGCTCTCTTGTACTCAATTCCGTGGTCCTCTTGGTACCAGAGCCAAACCTCTCCGTTTTTCCGCACGCCAATACAGGCCTGTTTCGTTGCCAGAGGATGCATCGTCCCGTACGGCTTGTATTGGTGAGCTGTGTAAGTGTAGTAGTAGTCCTGAGCATCCTGTGCAGCAGCTCCCAATTTTGACGCGCAGCCATTCGTCACCGGGTTCTCCCGCGTTGCCTGTGTTTTAACTGCTGGGGAATTGACAATCACAGGTTTATCTATGTTGAGCCATTTGATTGACAGTATCTGGTTTCCCTCCCTTTTCAAAGCGGTTGAAAGATCTGGAAATGGTGCAAAGGAGCTGTCTGTGTAAAGGAGCTCAAATGAGTTGAACGAAGTACGGGAATATTGCGCAGCCTGTACTCCCTGGTTTTGTGATGTCGGAGACTGATTGGTCGAGGGAGTAGCAGTAGTATGAGCCCCAGCTTGCCCACTGGCGGTAGGAAGCACCCGCTTGATTCCAGTTACACATATGGACACGTGGCCGACTGAGTCGCTCAGAAATAGGTCCCAGCCAGTATTACTAAACTGTACAGTAGTCAGCTTAGATAAATTATCGGCTCCCGTTATTTGTTCGTCCTCGTGGTCATAATGATACTTCTTGGCTCCCAATACTCTGCCAAAAGATCCTATCTGAAATCCTGTTGGTGGCGCCAATTGCCAGGTCTGGCCATCAACACACTCGAGATATGTCATTAACAAATTATGTTTCCCAGCGCGAGGAGCCGCGTAGGCCAGGTGTCCTTGTCTTGACCAAGATATTTGATTGTTGAGCACATTTGTCTGTGCCCTGCGTACGAGAACGTCACTAATTTTTGGGCCGTCCATCTCAATCGATCGCTCTTGTTGGGGCCATAGAGTAGAATATTCCAAGGAGTTTTTTCGCGGCACAAGTTTCGCTTAGGTCAGCCCTACATACGAACTAAAAACAACTTTCATTTCAGCTACACTCCACCTATGCAATGAGCTTGGACCTGGCGACCGTTTCTGGTTGGCTTTACGCCATAGCCTGGAGTGTCTCCTTTTATCCCACCATATTGTTGAATCTCCGGATTCGAAGCGCCGATTCCATCTCGTTGGATTTCGCTATTCTCAACCTGCTTGGCTACTCGTGCTACACAGCGTCTATATATCTCCAGGTGTTCAGTGAGACGGTAAGGAAGCAGTTTTCTGGTGCTTTTGGTGGCAATCTGCCGCTACTTTCCGTCATTGACCTTGCCTACTCCGTGCACGGCTGGATTTTAACCGTTGTACTACTATCACAGATCATTTTGGGAAACCAGTGGTGGGGCCTGAAAAACACGAGAACCTCGTTCAAGTTCAGTAAGCTTGTCAAAGGCTACTATGTTGCATTCGGTCTCTTTTTGCTATACAATATTTATTATAAGAACCAGAAAAACCAGCTCCTGAACTTCACGCTGAACCTTTCCTACTGCAAGATTCTTGTCAGCTGTACCAAGTACATTCCCCAGGTTCTACACAATGCCAAGCGAAGGTCCATGTTTGGAATCTCGAAGATGCAAATTCTACTGGATCTCTCTGGCTGTTTCTTCTCTATTGCTGAGCTCTTGCTGAGAAACAAAACAACTTTATTGAAGCTCCTGGAGGCGAATAGAAGCAAGCTGGGGCTTATATTTGTTACAATGGTATTCGATTTGATCTTCCTCGCCCAATTTCACCTCTATAAACCGCCTCGCAAGCAGAAGCCCAATATGATGGAGAAGATTCCGGTTTAGTCACGCCGACGCGTCGATGCCAAATTGAATAGAGAAAAAGTGGAGACTTTAAATAATAATTTCCTTTAACAATGTTCGCCTCCCGTTATATTCCCCGCCGCCTTGGACTGGTCGGCCAGCTCCGAAGCCTGTTTATTCAAACCCAGTCAACGCCCAACGAGAATGCGCTTAAATTTGTGCCCTCAGAGTTCAAATTTTTGCCTTCTCCTAACACTCCTACATTAGAGATCACAGGTATAAAAGACGCATTGAACAAATCAGAGTTGGCATTCAAGCTTTTGAGCGTAAATGACAAATCCATCAAGTCGATTCTGTTTGGCTACAATTTCATAACCGTGATCAAGGGAGAGAAGCACAGTTGGTCGTTGCTGAAACCTGAGATCTTTTCGATTTTAACTGAACATTTAACATCAGGACAGGCAGTGATAAATCAGAAGTACATTGACATATTGGGACAGCAGTCAGCAGAAAATGAGGATCTTGATGGATACGAGGACGAAGACGAAGTTGTTGCCTTGATCAACGAACTTTTGATTACAAGGATTCAGCCGGCCATACAAGAAGACGGAGGTGACATCAAGTTTGTTAGATTTGATGAGGATACGGGAACAGTATTTTTGAAGCTGATTGGGGCTTGTAAGAGTTGCTCTTCTAGCGAGATCACATTGAAGAATGGCATTGAAGAGATGCTCAAGTTTTACATCGACGAAGTTAAAAGCGTGGAGCAAGTTACGGACGAAGAACCGATCATGGAAGATTACCAGCGCGCTAAGGAAGAGTACCCTCCAAGTTTATGAGTGTCATGAGTGTTTATTGAAGAAATATAAGATTATACAAGTTTTATAAGTTCCGGTTTTAGTATGTATCCATTTCTATTGTTCTAAACCTTGGTCTGGTGTGCCTTCTGCTCCCTCTTCTTCCATATCGCCGTCTTTGACGAAAGGCGAAGCAGGAGGCATTGGGTATGGATAGTAATAGTATGGATTGTAAGAAATGTAGGGCACCGACATTGTTCGAGAACCGGGCTGGGGTCCTCCCGGACTGTCAACTAGAGGATAAGAAACCTGAGATGGGGAAGGTGCTGTCATCGGAACGTACCCTCCACTGTGCATACTTGCTGGAAGGCTGAAACTGCGCTTGGTGTAATTTTGATTCAAATAATTGTAGAAGTTGCCAAGGTGATTCTGATTATAATGATGCAACCTTCCCTTCTCAAATTTGTTCTCCTTTCTCTGGGCAAAGGAGACCTCCAGCACATGGGAATCATCCACACGATATCCATTCATCGAAACCAATGCTTTTGATGCATCTAGAGGTTTATTAAAACAGACAAACCCAAATCCTCTAGAGCGTCCCTCACGGGACTTGCTTTCTGTGTCCTCATCTCCTTCATCCATTACTGCCGAGTCATTTGGTGGGTATGTCATGATTTTGGCTGACATGATTTGGCCAAAAGGTGCAAATAGTTCGTAAAGGTCTTGGTCTTTGTATTCCAGTGGCAGATGAATTATGTACAAGTTTGAATCCTGGTATTGTGGACCTGCTATTGGAAGACCGGTTGCAGTCGAAATGAGATTTGAATCTGGCGAAACAATGAAAGAGGGATAAAGATTGTTAGAATTCTCGGGCTGAGGAGGCATGTATTGTGGTTGGAACGGAAGGTAATTCGGTTTGTAAGTATTCATCTGATTTTGCATCCGATCCTTCCTTCGCTCGGCCTTTCCGAGCTGTAATTTATATCCAGGAGCGATCTCGAATCCATCTAAGTTTTCTTGTGCCTTAACAGCATCCTCGTGGCTCTTGAAGTTAATGAAAGCGTAGCCTCTGTTATGGCTCCCGGTCCCTTGAGGAAGAAAAACGGACTCCACGTCTCCATACCGCCCGAAAACCTGGGCCAGCTTTTCTTTCGTCAAATCGTCTGGAACGTTCTTCACATAAAGGTTGGTGTATTTGAGCTTCTTCATCTCTAGCTCCTTGAGTCTGTCTCTTTTGGAGATGTGATGGTTGACAAAGAGATGATTGCCATCCACATTAACGCCATTGAGATTATCAATGGCTTTTTGAGCCTCGACCCGATCCGAGAAATTGATAAATCCATAGCCTTTGGATACCCCAAAGTCATCGTATATGATCTTGCACGATACAAGTGCTCCGTATCTGCTGAAGATTCTGACTAGATCATCGGATGTCGTTGTGGGGAGTAAACCTCTCACATAAAGATTTCCGGGTAATTGTTTTTTGAGCTCGTGCTCTGTGGCAACATGCTCATACTCTATATCACGCTGTTCAAGGAACTCCTTGAACTTCTCGAAATGATCCTTTTCCTCGAATCTGGCGAAGACAGTCTTTGGGGATTCTGAGTTGCCCTTCAGCACTTCGCAGTTGACCTCAGGATAGTTGTAGTTATTCTTGAAAACCACCAGGAGATTCTCCAACACGGCTGAATCTTCATACAGTTTGATGACATATAGAGGATTAACTGATTCCGTCAGCTCCGGCGACGTCATTATTGAGATACTATCTCTTGCGATGCTCGGGTTCAGTTGCAAATAAAATAAACTTAAAAAATGATTTGAAGTTAAATCGGGAAAAGTTTTTGATTTAAAGTCCCGCTAAGCTAAAGTTGATGGTATAGATCGGTTTTGATGGGGATGCAGAGACAATAAGGGAAAAATAAATACGGTCTGGAGACTAAATTAGAGATAAAATTATCTAGAACAAGAAGGATGTTACTAGACTAAATGTGACGTGCAAGGATTTTTGGGCTCTGCACACTACAAGACATGTAAACTGCCCTTTTTTTCTATTGTGCTGTCTGGGCTCAATATAATAACATAATCCACAATAGCCACACACAGGTGGACATGAAAAACCTGATCCTGTCTACCGGACTTAGAAACATCTCGAATTGAAACGTAGCCAACTCGGAATTATTGACATCAGCTGATACCCGTAATTTTGCGAAAAATGATCATTTTACCCGGATCTTGATTTATTGCTCCGAGTATTTGCGTTTCGAGCCAACAACCACACTGTACCAAAAAAAAAAAAAAAAAAAAAAAAAAAAACAAATCAAGTATGCGCCACCGAGAACAGGTTTGTCATTCAGTATACAAATATTAAGCAAGGAAGAAAATAATAATAACACAAGCTCCTAAAAATACAAAGGGTGTTTCACAACAGGTTCATTTCTTGGAGGATTTTGATGTTTTAGCCGAAGAAGCTTTCTTGGAAGCAGATTTTTTGGTAGCTGTAGCCTTCTTGGGAGCAGCTTTTGGCTTGGTAACTTTCGAAATTGTGGCCTTCTTGTTCGTATCTGCAGACTTGGCAGCAGGGCTTCTTTTCGCAGCAGACTTAGCTGAAGAAGCTTTAGTTGAATTTTTGTTCTTACCAGCCTCAGTTGGGGTAGCTTTTTTTGACACCTTGGAAGTGCTGATACTTTTGGCAGATTTTGAAGATTTAGTTGCCTTCAAAGTAGTTTTGGCGGAGGATTTGGCAGTTTTCGATGGAACCGGTGTCTTTCCAACGGTCTTCTTTGGCGAAACTTTTTGTGGAGCCGCCTTCTTGATGGCCGTTTTAGTGGCTGGTTTGGAGCCTTTGGTGACAGCCTTCGTGGTTGTCTTGGGAGCTGTTCTGGTAGTTTGTTTCTTGTCAGCTGCCTTCTTGATCAATTTTTTAGCGGCTTCCCTTATCAGCTTGATAGGGCCTGCGGGGCCTTTTGGCTGTCTAAAGTAGCCTAAAACGACTCCTTTCTTGACAGCCAGGTTAAAGGCAGTATCAAAACTAGTAGATTCACCTGCTGGGTAGTTCTCTTGGATGAACTTTTTGATTGCCTGGCGACTGAATAATTAGATGTTTGTTTACCCTTCTAACTTACCTAGACCCATTTCTGTCTTTCAGAGAGGTAATGGCATTGATAATTAAATCTGAATGTTAGATGTTGATGCGTACTATACTCACCCTTATATGACAGCTTGGATGCTGGCGGTTTTGAGGTTTTGGCAATCATTTAGATAAAAGCACGAAAGAAATGGTAAAAACAATCAACATTCCTTTTGTTTATTTTTTTTAAATTTCTGCGCCCAGGAGGTACGGTAATTTTTGAACGCGTCGCCCCTCATCTTATCGCTTGATAGGTCGTCCGCGACTATCGTCGCACTATTTTTTTTCCTTTGTTTATTCAAGTTCCCTGGGATGATAGATGTTGATGCAACATCTACCCAGCAATTACCATTTGCTGTGGGATCAAGTAAGAACTTTCTATGGTGCCCCACTATGGATCTGGTGTCTTTTCAATTGAGCAAAAATACGCTTTGGGTCTACAGATTAGGAAACCAGCGAGTGTGGACAATCGAATTAGATGATGATCAAGAGATCGAATGTCTTTGCTGGAGACCTGATGGCAAGGTATTTGCTATAATTTCCACTAAGGGACAGGCCAATCTTTTTGACTCGAGCAGCGGTAAACTGATGCTCAAATTTCAGATTGGGAGTTCGATAGAGACTTGCGGCTGGTTCAATAGGCTCAGCACGTTCGACACAGCTAGCAAATACGAGCAGATGTTCAACATCAATCTCACCAGCTCGCTTCCTAAACTCACATCGTCACATAGCTCAAAGAAACTGGTCAACGATGATCAATTAATAAAGTGTGAAGATTCTTCTCTTGATTTCCTCATCATTGGATCTGAACATGGCATGGTCTCTCTGGTTCTCTATGGCATCTTTATCATTGAGAATTTTCAGCTTCCGCAGCTACGGGATTCATACTCAACGTTTCTGGGCATTTGCTCGTCCAAAAACCTCGTTTCGCATTACATTTTGACAGAAAAGGAAGATGGCCTTTTCGTTATCAAACTGACGACTTCATTCGTGGAAATATACGGTAACTTACTTCCGCGTGTATGTCTTGCTTGCTCCAAACTTGTGGGTTTACTCACATATGTCAAGGAATTGATTGATGATTTGGCTTCGGAATGCAAGCCTTTTGAAGATTACACAATGCGCATAGTCGATCTCCTGAAAACTGAGATTGAATCTCAACCGGAATCAAAGGGTACCACTGTCGACCCCGTATACGATCTTTATGATCTTCTTCTGACTGGAGTCATGACCGAGCCGACAAGGGCCTGGATTAGTGACTATTTGGGAGACCGAGGACTAAAAAGGTGGACAAAACTAGGCAAACAATATTTTGAAAGCTCTAGAAGAAACCTTTTTTACAATCTGATTCCTGCGTTAGAGCACATGCTTGTTTATCTCACAGACTTACATGGCCTTTCCAATTGGAGAGAAAATGAGGGCAAACTGGGCCTTCAGAGCCAGCTTTTAGATACAGCTATTGAGCTGACTTCAAGATTACTCCGCCTGCTCTACCAGAATATGCTGAGGCTGAACGAGCAACAACAGTGTTTTGAAAGTTTTGTTCAATGGCTCAACGCAATTCTGGTCGAAATTACATCTGACGAAAAAACCCCTGACATCATCAAGACCAAAGACGTCATCAGGTTTCTTACAACAGGCTTACAAAAATCAGCTAATGACGAATCATCCCAAGTATTCTTTGATCTAAAGCACACATGTGAGCAATTCTTTGATGTAATCAAAAGCAACATGAAGACCAAAATGGACTCCGTTATGATTAGAAGAATCGGAGACATTGGTTGCGTAAACGCAAAACTTTCAATACATAGCGAAGACGAGACCGAATTCGGGCATGTGATAATGCAGCAAGAAAAGCAACTTACAATTGTGAAATTTGAATGCTCCACACTAGATCACTCGATTTACCCTTTGAAATTCTCAGATGTGCTTTCTGGCAAGACCGCAGATATACAGGGAGTGTTTTTGAACCCGAGTGAACTGGTCATCTTAGTGGCGTTCAGGGATGACATGCCTAAAAGTGATCTTTTGGTTATAGATACTGGTGACGTTATGACTGGAGCTTCAACTGAGTTGTCTCACAAACATATAAAAAAGCACAACAAGTTTAGGGAGGGATTTATTCCGAAGTATCTTGCTATCAACCCATTGCGCAGAATCGCATGCTTACTCGATTCAAACAAAAGGAGCTACATCGTCGTAGAAATCTAATGTACATATCTATTTTACACTAACATAGTAATTGAAGAGGTTTTTCGGCGGTGGAATTGAAAAGTCTCTAATCTTCGACAATTTGAACTTTCCGTTCTTAGTCAATGCAAACGAGTCACGGGTGAATCTCTCGTATGCAAAGCTCATCGGATGACTACCAAAGGTCTCGGACTTGACGAAGTTGTTTAAGTGTTCCATATCTTCCATCTTCATCGGAGGGTACTCATTAATGAAGCGCTTTATTTGAAGCAGCTTTACAAGAATCAAATTTCGTCTTACTGACGGTGAGAGAGGTAGGCCTGCTGGGTTTGGGGGGATTTTGAGATTTAGTTGTGGCAACGCCCAATCGTGGTCTATATGGTCTTTATATTGCGTTCGCAATTGACTGAATAGTGAACATAAGGGCTTCTTCGATCCGTAAGTTGAGCTTTGGACTGCAGGCTTGACACCATTCAAGATATCAGTAATGCTATGATTGGAAGGAAGAGACTTTGTCTCTGATTGTTGCAAGTTGATCATGTACTTCTCGACCAATCCTGGAATGCTTTTGAAATCGTGAATATCGTGTGTGATCTTCAGGATGCCTGAGTACTCGCTAAAAAATCGGTCTTTTTGAGCCCTAGAGTAAACTTTAGCTCTCGCAAAATCAGACAGCCATTTTGGCGCTCGTGCATCAAAAGAAATCAAATCGTAATAGGCCATCCGCAAGAGTTTAACGCCAGATTTGTAATGACCGTTTAGGGAGCCATCTAAAATAAGGTCAAATCGTTTTCCTTCCTGAAGTTTACGATGCAGTGGCGTTGCTGTGTCTTTGAATTGCGACCGAAGCCAATTTCTCAGCCGTCGGTCAGCAACTGCATCAAGCTTGAGGTTCAAAAGTTTACGGTTAAGTGATCGGTAAAACTCCAGGAGGACCTGCTTCTGATCTGGTGGCATTCAAACAAAAAAAATTAATGGTCAAATAAATAAAATGCCTTGTCGCGACTAATTTACTGTATTTTATTTACAATTGCTATGTCCTCCATCCCCCATTCAAAAGTGAATCAAAATAAAGAGAATGCACTGCATTCTAAAGGCCAGGATGTGCGTTCTGATAAGGGGATCTCACGGAAGACATCGAAAAGCGTGCTAAGAACCAAGTCCTCAAATGCTATCGTGAAACCGCAGGAGTTTGGAAATTACAATAAGATTCGGAAGACGTCAACGCTGAACGACGTGCATTTGTTCGATCATGATCCAAAAGCCGTTGCTGTTCGAAAGTTTAGAGTTCAGCGCGATTCGCCGCAGTCTAGAACGAAGCACAAGCTTTCGGCGAAAGAGGAATTCGATTTTGAAGACGACATAGAGATCGTGCCAGCCGCGGAAGATGAGCTTCCTTACATTCCCAATACCTTAACGCCGATTCCAGATGACCTCCTAGATGATGTTCTGAACAATAAACACAAGTCAACAAAAACTATCGATGACCCGCTTGAATTAGATTTGTCATATTTGAAAGATATGGAAGAACAGGATTCCTTGGAAAGCGCCTTCAAATCGAACGAGTTAGTTTTGGAGTTTCCAGAAGAAGGGGAAGAATCAGCATCCAAAAAACTTGACAAAATACTCGAAGAATCGGAGTCGCATCACCACTACAAACCAAAGAGACTTTAGGAGCGTTAAGACTTTTGATTTCATCATATACAGGATAACTATGTTCACGAGAACCAACTGAACCACCCTTTCTTCTGTTCTGGCTCTTCCACTCCTATATGAGTGACATTGGTGTCATTGAAATAGGTGTTGAAGGATTTCGGTAACTCATGCTTTGATTGTATTTTGAAAGCCACGTTAGTTACAATTTCTCCGTCTTCGACCTCACCTCCCGCCGCAGTCTGGGGCTGCCCGCCATAAGAAATATCCAGGATTGACTTGAGCTTGCTGATGTCGTTCTTCTCCAAAAACCAGTTGTCTTTAGGGAACTGGATCTCTACTCCGATATAGAGATCTCCATTTTTGTTGCAGTTGTCATCAAGCGGCATTCCCTCATTTGGAACTACAATCGAGTCACCTGGCCGCAGAACTTTCCCAGCAGGCACGGAGATTGAAATCCATCTATTATCTAGTGTTTTCACTAGCTTCCGATCTTCAAATCCGCACAAAGCATCGACCAACGAAATCGTGACTTTCGTGTACAGGTTTTGGTCTTGTCGTTTGAAAGTTGAGTGCTTTTTCGTTTTATATTGCAATACCACATCCCCAGGCTTTAGTCCTGGCTCTTCGTCCGCCTCGCCTTTTAAAGTCACTGACCCCGTCTCGGGAGCCCCCCTTGGAATATTGAATTCCAAGATTTTAGACTCTTCCACCACTCCCTTGCCTTTGCATTTTTTACAGTTATCTTTCTCCTTGTGGATGGTTTTTTTCCCTTTGCATCTCCAACATGGAACAGCCTGCTGGGTTACAAGCCCTGGTGCCAACTGTCGAATTTTCATGACATATCCATCACCATGACAAGTGGTGCATTTTATTGGAATTGCCGATTTACGTGCTCCGCTGCCTTTGCAATGCTTGCACAACTTGTTCCGCGTAGAAGAAGTCTTTATCACTTTGCCATTGTATAGTTCTTCCAAGGTGACTTCGACCTTCAAAATTGCATCCTCAGTTCTCGTCTTAGGTGGTGGTGCTCTCCCATAAGAGCCTCCCATCCCATTGAAAAAACTGGCGAAGTCTTGGGGATCAAAATCGAAGTCGCCTTCTCCAAATGCAGCGTTCGCAAATCCTGAATCATGATAGTCAAACCCATTAGGAGCGCCATCTGTGGTCCCATATGTGTCGTATGCGTTTCGTTTCTCTTCGTCTATAAGCACTTCGTAGGCACTGCTGATTTCTTTGAATTTGATTTCTGCCTCTTCTCTCTCTTCCTCTGAAACTTTATCAGGATGGTGTTGCAAAGCTAATTTCCTATAAGCTTTACGTATTTCAACCGAGGAGGCAGAAGAGTCCACTCCCAGAATATCATAAAGAGACATTATGGTTCCACACAATTGTACTTCTGTTTTTTTATCATAAAAAAACTTTACTCCGTTTATGTAAATTTTAAAAAAGTCAAATCGCTGAAACACAAATACGCACAATTAACGGAGGAAACCCTTTCTGGTCTTGGTTGGCGCAGTACTAGGCAATGGAGCAGGATCATGGTGGATTGGCTTAGCCATCTCGAGCTCCCTCTTCTTCTCCTCTAGTAACTTGATTTGTTTCAACAGCTTGTCTCTCATTTCCTTGTGTTTGGCAAAGAGATCAGCCTCAGTCTCCTGTAACTTCTTCTCCTCTTTGCTGACCTTTGATTGGAATATCGATCTAAGCTGTGCCTCCATATTTGCCAACTTGGCCTCGTGCAGCTGTTTTTCCTCCTCCTGTTTCAGGACGGGATCGAATTCACGGAAAACGGAGTCGTCTTGCTCAATTCCTAGTTTTTTTAACTTGGACGTTCTATAGTTCTCATAGAGAACGTTGGCAGTGGTCTCTTTCAACTCCTCCATGAAGTTTCTAATCAATAGTTGTCTTAGCTTGATGAAGTCACAGTGGTCCTCATTGTCAATCTCAATGATGCCCCATGGATAAGATCTACCTCTGACTATTCTTCCATCTGGAGTTTGAATTTGGTTTGTGGACCCAACAATAGCGAACGGAGCCTTGGCCATGATTTCCCGAGAAGCGACCTTGGTTTCCTCGTCATCGTTGTCGTACTCTGGAGGAGTGAAGAGCTTGATGCCTTGGTTGGTTATATCGTCCATGATTCTCTGTTTAAACTCCTGGATTTCCTTTTCGGTGAGCGTATCCGACTTGGCAATCACGGGAATCAAATTCACTTTCTCGTGAACCTGCTTCATGAATGTAATATCCAGCGGCTTCAAAGAGTGCCCAGTTGGTTCAATAAAGTACAGACAGGCGTGAACCCTATTGTCTACAACAGTGGCTCTGTTAATCTTGGTCTCGGCCTCCAGATACATGTCGAATCTATTGTTGATCTCGTCGACAATTGGTTTCCAAGAGTCAGTGTTGTTGATGCCTTCTCCAAAACCTGGACAATCAATGACAGTCAAGCTCAGCTTGACATTGTTCTCCTCAATATCGGCACTGACAGTCTCCACGGAAACTGGCGTTGGGTCTTCTGGGTTAGGAAAGTCTGGTTTGTTGAAAGTCTCGACTGGGTACAGCTCCTTATTGAAAAGAGTGTTGATCAGTGTGGATTTACCGAGTCCCCTCCCACCAACAACCATAAGGTTCAGACTGAAACCTCTTCTAATCGATTTTCTGTGCCACTGTTTTGGCAAGTTGGCGAAGCCAACATATCCATTCAGCTTGCGCCGGATAATTTTGACCTCTGACCTAGGGGCGGCTGCTTCGCTAGGAGCTAACTCTACAAGTTCTGGCTCTTGCGCAGGGGAAACGTTCTCTTCGGGTTCTAAACCTGTTAGATTCAATCTTCGATGTGACCAGCTGGCGCGTACCGCCCATAGTAAGCAACACTTTATGAGTGTTGTTTTGGGTATGATGGCCGCTCAAACCAGTCCAATGACGATACTCACTTTCAACTGTCATGATAGCGCTCGTCTTTTAGGTCTTGTACGTCCTCGAAATGTTCAAAGATTAACCTGAAAGAAGCTTTGTATTAAATTTAAAAAAGATATATGTATTTATTTTTCGAGATTCAACGCTACAATCGATATTGGAACGCGTAATTGGAAAAAGCTAAGATTTTCTTTGAAAACTAAATTAATTGAAAGATGACCGAACAGTCAAGTTACTCACAAGAGCTAGTGAAACTGCTTGAAAAGGGTGCTCAGGCTTTTGCTGAAAAGCAGTATGAAAAGTCTGTCGAGTACTATTCTGAGGCATGCGAGAAGTCTAATCTTTTGACAGGCAATGATGATCCTGATTTGCTCTTTTTGTACGCAAAATCTTTATTTGAGAATGCTGTGTCCAAATCTGAGGTGCTAGGTGCCCAAAATAACCAAGACGAAAAGGCTGAAGAGACTGAGGACGATAATGGAATGTTTCAATTCAACGAGCAGCTTGCTGAAAATGAGGAAGACGAAGAAGGATCTGAGCAAGAACAGGAAGAGCAAGAGCAAGAAGAGTCTCATGAGCAAGAACAGGAGCAAGGAGAGGAGGGAGAAGAGCAGACAGATTTTGAGGTATCGTGGGAGATTCTGGATTTGACGAGGACTTTGTACGAGGAGAAGCTCAATTCCCTACAGGATGAGCAATTGGTGAAGCCATACCTGGAATCAGATAAAAAAGACATACAGGAAATCACATCGCCATTGGTGGCCATTAAAAGGAAATTGAGTGAGGTTTACGATCTGCTGGGTGAAATATCTTTGGAAACGGAAAACTTTAGCCAGGCAGCTCAAGACTTCACCACTTTGGCCAATTTAAGAACGGAACTATACCCATTTTCCTCAAGGCTTGTTTCAGAAGCCTACTATAAGCTCTCGCTGGCGTCCGAGTTCAACACGGGAGAAGCAGGGTCCAGTGCAACGGCTGTAGAGGCTATGGAAAAATCTTTAAAATCCATAAAAGAGAGATATGAACTTCCAGACGAAGAAAAAGACGAGAGTTTGCTTCAAGAGATGGAGCAAAGACTGGACGATTTGAGGAAAGGTGATGCTGCGATTCAGGAAGAGAAGAAGAAGATTATGATGGGCATTTTGGGCGAAAGCGATGGTACAGAAATCAAAGCCACTCCTAAAACCGTTCCTGTGAATGATTTGACGGGAATGGTGAAGAAACGAAAACAGCCTGGAGGGAAAGTGGTTACCAAAAAGGTTAAATCTAATAAATAGGCGAGTCATTATATGCTTCAATCGATGTGCTACGATTTTAAAAATTCCTCCTATTTAAAAACACTTTCATTTACTTTGGCGAAATAAATACACTTGATTCAGGTGGAAGAATCCTTGGGAGCATTTTTGCCCAAGATTCGGAATAAAGAGCAAGATAAACCTAGGCCCTTTTTGGTCAACAAAAGCCTGGCTAGCTCAATCGGTAGAGCGTGTGACTCTTAATCACAAGGCTGCGGGTTCGAGCCCCGCGTCGGGCTTATTTTTTTGCCCTTGAAAATAGGCTCGTTTATGAGCGCATTGGTTTCTAAGACTACTGTCGTATATGCGAATGAAACAGGCTCATGTAAAAGCGTCAGCTGCTGTCGTGAATCCTGTGTATCGTGCATCATTTTTTGTTTTCCTACCCAGCCTCAATACTGAGTTTCCCAACCACGCTAAAATATTTAGATTTCTACTTGGTCCCACAATCTAAAAGTTTGGACAATGAATTCAACATTAAGGCTAACTCTTGCCTATGTAGCAGGAGGGCTGACTTTATGGCCATTGATCCTGTTCGTGAAGAACGTAGCCTTTGACCTGAGTGTTTTGAGCTTCGAGGATTCTATACACAAATTATGCCAGCTAGCAATCACCTACATACTGGGAGGATTGACTTTTTTGCCCATCACACTCATGATTGGATGGCACTTGATACCACGGGCTCCAGAGAGTGCTGAACAACAGAGGGAGCTCGAGGAAGCAAAACAGAAGGAAGAAAGCAAGGCTAAAGGGGAACCAGAAGGCTATAGAAGTCTGATGGCAGGACAGGTTTTGGAGAAAGAAAGCTCGGACCTGAAGACGTACCACGAAGGATGGCTGACTGTCACACGAGAATATTATCAATTTCCACAAATTGACTGGAGCGAGTTCCAGACACAAGCTTCTTCAGGTAATTCGCTAGGTGCCGAGCAGGCCAGCAGCCAACCAGCCCCAAAAAGTGGTAACTTTTTGAAAATGGTTAAAGGAAACAAATCTGTGCCTGCCAATGCGGAGGAGCCCAAACAGGACACAACATCACTCGATGCCAAGAAGCTGAAAGCAATCAGAAAGAAGAACAGGTATTACGCGGTTTTAAAACATGGCAATCTGTTTCTATATGATGATGAAGCAAAGAAGAACGTCCAGCACGTGATTGTGCTATCGAACCATGTGATAGGAATCTGGCCTAGAGAACTCAAGGATGGCCAGCTTTTCACGAAGAAAGCTGCAATCTGTATATTCAAGAAAGATTCAGAGCCCAGCCGTACTGCTCCTCATGCCACATCTCCTGAGCCAGAAAACCTGCTAGATATTTTGCAAGGGAAAGTGAGTTTGGAAACTCCGCCAAAAGACACGTTTTTCCTTTATGCAGACCGCAATACTCAAAAGGAGGACTGGTACTTTGCATTACTCAGAGCAACAACCAAAGACGTCCCTAAATCAGGCACTGCCAAAGACCTGCTCGAACCGTCATTTATGGCTCGAACATTACACTTCATGACCGCAGATATGATTGATCTGATTCAGACCATCAATTCTTCGGAGGGTCAATTGACTACGCAATGGCTGAATGCCCTGATAGGTCGTCTTTTCCTAAGCTACTATAGAACCGAGGAATTCAAAGAGCTTATAAAAAAGAAAATTGATGAACGTCTCAAAAAGATCAGAACGCCAGACTTTCTGGACGACCTGCAAATCAAAAAGATAGACGTCGGACACTCTGCCCCTTTTTTGACGTTTCCTAAGTTGCAAAATTTGACTCCTGAGGGTGACCTTAGTCTTCAGTGTCATGTGCTTTACCAAGGTGGTCTAGTGCTAGAAGTTGCCTCTAAAGTATTCTTGAACCTTGGAACGAGGTTCAAGCAGAGGGAATTTGATATCAACCTGAAAATTGTGATGAAAAAACTGGAAGGAGACATTTTGCTTAGGATGAAGCCCCCTCCAACCAACAGATTATGGTACGGGTTCACAAAAATGCCCGAGTTCGATATGGTGATTGAACCAGTGGTCAGTTCCCGTGCTCTGAACTACAATCTTATCACAAACATCATTACCAACAGGTTCAAGGAAGCATTGGGAAAGACTCTAGTGTTACCATTCATGGACGATCTTGTGTTTTATAAAACAGAAGGCGAGATCTTCAAAGGTGGTATTTGGGACAAATCTTTAAGGCCTCCTTCGGCGGCTGGTACACCACAGCAAACTCACCCAGTTCCGCCACCATTACCATCAAGGGAACTTAAGACGGAGGAACTGGAAATGGACGACATTGTCTTAGAAGAAGACGAAAGCTCGTCTCTCAACAACTCTTTTAAAGGAAGCACCAAGGAGTCTATCAGAGACGACAACACTTCTGAAGCAGCCCAGTCATCGACGAATAACTACGCTCCAGACAGCAGCTCCGTATTGACCACAGGGTCTGGAGGATCGTCCTCTTCTGCGACAAACACAGCCAAATACAAAGATAGAGCCTCAATGCTTTCGAAAAAGTTTCTGTCAATCAACAAAGGTTTGTCGCTGGATAGTACTGTTTCAGATAGTATTTCTGAAGGTGCTGTTGGGGACGATCAGGCCAAGTCACTGGCCACATCCTACTCCAAGCTCAAAGGACTGTACTCTTCAACAAAACAAAAATTATCTGAAAAACAATCCACCACAAGTCTCAAAGAAATCAATTACTCACCTCCTGAAATGATTTCCAACCGTCGAGTTATTAAAAAGACATTACGCGCTGAAAACGATCAACCAGCAGTTCATAAACGACAACCATCTGTCGAGATGTTTGCCAAAACAGAGAAAACAAGCACAGAGTCAATCGGTGCACTGGCCTATGATGAGCAGCAGCCAAAGACCCCAACAAGTCCAGCCATGTTCATTAACGAAAGATACAGAAGCAGTTCGGTGAGTAAACCTGTCTCGCCATCATCGTTAACAACTCCTCAAAAACTGAGGCTTAGTGACCAAGACAGAGATGAAGAGGCCGAAGAGAGGTTGCACGCAGATGAGAATGTGTATTCGGGACCATTAACTGAAAGCACGAGCGCAGATTCTGACCACGAGACCCTGGATTTTCCATCAGCTACCAAATTGACAAACACTGGCCCAGCCCTATCCAGGGTGCCGCCACCACTTCCAGAACGCCGATAGTATACATTACGTTTATAATAGTACACGCTACTTTAGTTTAAGCTTGATCTTCGGCAAAGACGGCGTTGCCGAGCGACTTTGTGATGAAACTTTCTCAGGATCCACCGAAGCTTCACTTTCTATTCCGGAGAATCCTGTCTCCGTCTTTATCGCAGGAGCTGCCTCAACAGATTTCTGACTTGAATCACCAGGATCAAAAGCGATGTCATTACCCACTTCTGATTCTTGAGCGTTCACTGCGTCGCTTCCAGGAAGAATATTGTCATGGGCGCCTCCTTCAGGCTGCAAATGGCCGCTCGACTCAGTAGCTGACTCGGGAGCTGTCTCAGGAGTGGAAAGGATATTGCGAGGCTCTGTTTTGACCGGGTTAAGCTGGCGCAGTCTTTCAGGGCTGATCTTTAGTTTCACTGGCAAGCTCCTTATCTCACCAAAATTCTCGTCATTGGATAACAGAACTCTCTTCTCGAACATCTGGAAACGCACATAGCGAAGCGGTAATTGTTTGTCGGTTTGGATAATATCATACGCCACACGCCTTCCCTTGGGAAGCTTTCTGTATTTGAATTTAACTTCGAATTTTTCCCTTGTGGACTTTGGATCTGAAGATACCTCCGAAATAGAGGAGCGTTTTAGCTTTTGCGTGGAGCGAGAGCTGCTATTCTCTGTGATTTTGAGCTTGATAGTTGGAATTTGAATTTTTAGTCTCCCTTGTCTCTTGAACGTCACCTTGTACGTTTCAGAATGAGGTTCGATATTAACATCAGTGACCTTAGCAACCAGTTTCCTCTCGTTCGGAAGTTTTGTGGTGACCTTGAAAGAGTCAATGGCTTCAAAGATGACTTCTATAACATCAAACAAATTTCGTTTCTCACTCACGGATAGCAAGCACGAATGAATTGCCGACCATAGTTCTTTACGCAATCCCTTACCAATGCTCAGGTCCCTGCGAAGCGCCTCCAATGCTCCTTTCATGGTGAGCCGAGATAGCTGGTCGCGTCGGGTCTTCATGTCATTACCTGCTCCACTGTCTTCCACAATGATGAGGTTGTTGATCTTCTCATTAAAGTCACCTTTTCTCGCTCCGAAGAACTCATCGTCTTCGAGGTTAGGAAATACTCCATCCACGGCAGCTGCACCAACTGCTCGCATTAAAGCAAGGACCAGATGGTGACGAAGGTAATGAGATCTTTCAAGCTTGAGAGTAGTGAAGAATAGCGACAAAACATGCGAGTTTCTCAAACCACCTAAGAGCAAAAGGCTCTCAAAAGCTTTCAATCTAATGTCTGCATCGTAAAAGGGTCTTGTGTATGGAATCAAGTCAATATAAGAGAGATCAACAAGACCTAAGAGGGCCAAGCGCACTTTTTCTCGAAGCATTGTCACAGTCACAATGTGGTGATGGGAGGGAGACCACTGGTCCATTTTTGCGGCCCTATTTATCTCCACCATGGTCTCAACTAGGAATTTCTCGGTAGGATCTGTGAGATTTCTTTGGTCCATCTCAACATGAGATTCATTGTGGTTTGGAATCTTTTTATTTGAACTGACCATCAAATTTGTCAAACAAGTAATAAAATTGGCAAGATAAAAGGAATCGTCAAAGTAGTTGTTATTATTGTCATTGAACTTCAAGATGTTGAGCATAATTTTCTTAAGTTCGATTGGACTGTCACCATTCTTATTCGTCACGGTTGACAGGCCAGTCACGATAGCTTTCATGACAAAGTAGTCACTGAACTCCGAAAAGTCGTTAGGCAGCGGTAAATATTCATTTGGGTCCAGCTCAGGATATCCTTTGGATATGGTATTGTTGTAGCAATAAAAGTACTTGTAAGCTTTGAGCAAAAATCTCATTCCCAGATGATCGTTACTCTCTTTTGAAAACCTTGCCAGTCCTAAAGCCGCCTCCGCCCTGACGCCATAAAAATACCGTTTATCAAGAATTGTTCTCATTAGAACCGTCGCAAAATAGATTGATGGGTGCAATGATTCCGAAAAAAACTTGACGCTTTCTAATTGTGCTTCCACATCTCGGTCTTGTCTGAGCTGGGATTCAAACATATTTTCATTTAGATTGATGTAAACCTTGCAAATCCATTCGAAGTCTGCATCCACACGCAGCCATTCGAATGCGTCTCCAAGAATCTCATAGTCGTTTTCTTCAATTTTTTGTTTTTCTGTGAACCCCCAATCTTCGAGATCTTTCGGCTTCATGAACACGTCTCCCAGTTTCTTCACCGTCGGTTCATCATCGTCGCCGCGCAATTTGTCCTTTTCTCGTTCTTTTCTCAATTTATCCCTTTCTCTCTTTTCTCTTTCTCTTTCCTTCCTCTCAGCTTCTTCTTGATCTTCTTCTTTTCTTCTTTTGGATCTTCTGTACTTTGTGTTATATTGAATATCCAGCTTGGTGACGGGGTCCTTGATGTCAACAATGTGCTCATACGGTGTACCATCTGCTTCGTGAATACGGATAGTAATAGGGCCAGTGAACACATTGGGGGCTGAGAAAGTTTCCTCTTCTGATAAGATCTTACTAGCCTCATCCACAAAATTCTCTCTCTGGTGCTGTTTCCTCAAAGTCTCTTTTGAATTTATGTCCATTTGCAGCTCGTCTTCTGCTTCCAGCTTATTATTTTTCTGTATCTGGCGGATGCTCATCTCGATAAACATTCTCTTCTTATTAAATCTCTGCGTCACTTGAAAAATTGGAACTCCACAACTATGTATCCAATTTTGGAAAAAGGACTCAAGTTTATGATGAGCCACCTTCTCACAAACATGGTGAAAGTGGGCGGTTGACAAACAGTTTCCATTTAGTAAGTCCCCTGACATAGCCTGGAGAAAAATCTTTGGGATGACACGAGACAACCCAAATGACTTGTCAGTCTTTGTCATTCGGCGATCCAAAATGAACATTACCAGAGGGGCTTTCAGCTTTATAAACTCCATATCCTGGGAGAGATTGATCGGAAAGCGAAATAATTGATTGGCCAAAGGCCTTTTTCCAACATCGATCTCACAAAGGTAATCGGTGCGCAATTTAACCTCGTATCTGTATCGGTTAACACCAAAAAGCTTTTTCAGAAATTGACCTGCCATGAAGTACGAAATACCAATTACCAACCAAAAATCATTTAGCGATTTTGGAAGAACGTTGATGCCGGAATATTGCTCAGACAGAGCAACGGCCAACTTTTCTGTCACATCAAAGATAGGCTCTATCAACTTAGGACTGTAGAGCAGTCTCGAAGACATGATTGTCATTCCGGCAAATCCACAAGACTCGCACGGCATGTCATCGACATAGACCATTGTGTAGCTGGGGAACGGGAACGAGCCAAACTCTTTAGAGTAAAAATCAAACATTTTGTACATTGCAATAGTTGTGTTCAGAACTTCCTCCTTGCGGCCAGGCAAGAAATAAAGCATAGTCGGCACCTTATTCGAGTTCGACTCAGCAGAAAAATTCGTGGCATTGTTTATGTCATTGTCTGCGAGATTTGCGAGGGCATTGGAAGGAACCAACTCATCAGTACCTGGCTTGACGTCCAAGATTGGGCAACTTTCGAACGCGCCCACGGCAAAACCTAGGTGATGAGCAGACAGTGGATTGTAAAACTGAAAATTGATCACTTTCTTGCCAACATCCAGAGGAGAGGGCGACTCTTTGACGCCGATCAAATCTGGAACCGCAACTACCAATGGAGTATCATTGCGTTCTTCTTGGTCTTCGTCCATTTCGTCTTCGGTTTCCATTCTTCGTAGAGCCTTCTTGGCTTCGTCGGAGCCAACCAATTTGGTCTCTCCTATGTCACCCACTGTCTTAGGCACAATTATGTTTATGTCCCACGCAGGTTTTTCATATAGGTTGTCTATACAAGGAACCCATGAGCTAGCACTGCATCCCAGATCGTTGTTCGAGGTGTAGCAAAACCAAAGATCTTTCGGGATATTTGTGCCATATCCTCCATTGAAGAGTAATCCATTTTTCGAGTTCCTGATCAGATAGCTAATTTTGATATTCAATGGAGTGTACACTTTATCTGAACTCATCATAGCGTTGGTCGTCAAAGGTGTGTGCGACCGGGCAGAATTGACATTGGGTGAAAAAGTTTGTTTTGATGTTGGGTCATGAAGCCTCAATTTGATAGAGTCTGGAATGTAAACGATTAATTCTGATGTGTTTTCTGTGTATGACGAGGAAGGGTGCTCTTGATTGTTTTGATCTGAAAACAATGGATAAAACCTAGATCTGTAGAAATGATGCTGCTGAAGCTCAATCACCTCGGAGTGTGTATCATAATTTGGGTTGTATTTATAATTGGCCAGAACCGGATTTTCTATGTCATTGAGATACTCATCGTTTTGGAAGAAGTCCCCGTAATGATAACTTGCCTTTTTGCCATTCACTGTGATGTCCCTTATTTGCATTCCCCTGCAGTCTAATTTCACCTGCCTGACACTAGAATTGAGAGGAAGAACGGTCAATTCAGTCTCTCCCACCACTGACTGCTCTGCCAAATCAATGTCCAGAGTGACTTTTTGGTACCCAATTTTGATAGGCTGCGACGGTAAATCATCAGTATCATATTTGTGATGCCTCCGTGGTGTCGCATAGGACTTCGGTGTGAAACGCGAATTTACCGACGGGTGATCCTGCGACATGGTATTGGTACAACGGCTGAGAACGACTTTGTTTTTTGTTTTCTTCTGCTGGCTCCGAAACGTTGTGGTGCAAAGATGTGCCTAAGATCAAATTTATTTACATGTTCTTTTAAACCGGGCAACAAATAGTTTTGTTTTAGATTCAAGATCAGAGCCATATTGTAAACTTGGGGCTCAAGACACTGTAAGGAGAATCTGAGTGTCAAATTTGTCAATTGGATATCCGTTTACGGTTTATGCGGAAATAAATTGATCCAGGACAATCAACTCCTTGATATTTAAGTATGGACAGTCCAGACAGCGAAAATAGTTACGAGCTGCTCTTGGAGCTAGTCAATTCTCCAGACTTTGATCTGCACCAGTGTCTAAGCTATCTTCAAAAGTATGCCGACAACATTGGAATACACTATTTTCTCTGTCAGAGAGCATCCAGATATCCCATCGGCGAGCTGAGGTTTTTCATTCCTCAATTCCTCCAGCTGCTGATCACGGTGGAGACGGAATCGGTGGCTCTCGAAGAGATGTTGAGAACTTTATGTCTAAGAGATGTACACTGCAGCTTGATCACATTTTGGCATTTACAGGCCTTGCTCCAGGACCTGAGCAAACAACCTGAAAGCGTTGGTTTCCAAACTTGCAAACGAATGCTCAATGATTTACAATACCAGTTGTTTAACTTCTCCAATAATCAGCATACAATCACCTCTTCTGCTACTTCATCATCTGGCGTTGTCAGCAAGCATGAGCTTCACAAATCTTTCAAGGAAAACGTTGCACCCTCCATAATTTTAGCGACTTCCTTGATATCAGGAGCAAGTGTTCCTAGAAGCACCAAATATGTGGCACCGATAGTACGAATTCAAGGAAAGCGACTCAAGTCTTTTGTGTTTGAAGTGGTTAAAGACATCAAGAAAAGCTTGAATGAGAATTTAACAAAGAAGAACACAATGAATAATGCGCTTTTGGGAAGATCGAGAGAAGAAGTCGAGGACTTAAGGAACGGAAAAGGTATGAGTCGTGGAAAACGCAGCATTTCGTCATCATCCATGCACTCTAATGACGGTCAAAGAGAGCAGCTTAATTTTGACATGATAGACTCATATGCCGATATCAACATGCCAAGCCTCAGCAGACCCTCGCTGAAAGCAAAAAAGACTTCTTTGTCTCTACTCAAAGCGCAAAGCGATCATTTCGATCACCCTAACGCCCATCACAGCGAAAGGTTGCATGATCATGCGATTTCTTCGATGCCCAATCTTCACATGTTTAACAACGACAACTCAAATACCGACATCCCATACTCTTCAGATGGGTCATATGCTTCGTCGATAAGGAATTCGTTTGATTTTAGAGATAGCAGCGAGATTGAGAGTCTGTATGGCGACGAGCCGGCCTCCCCTAGCTTGCCTCAATCTTCGAAAATGTCTCATAAGGTTCCCCTATCAGAACTACAACAGGTCAAGCTTCTCAAATCAAATTATTTCAAAAACGAGACCCAATTTGTTATAGCGCTACAGAACATTTCAATCAGGCTTGCCAAGGTTCCGAAGGAAGCTCGATTGTCCACATTGAAAGCTGAACTAGCTACACTCAATAAAGATTTACCTTGTGAAGTCGACATTCCGGGCCTTTTACCGAAGAATAAAAAAGGGAAACTTCACAGAATTTGCAAAATTGCAGTCAATGAGGCTGCTGTTTTAAATTCCGCTGAGCGCGTGCCGTACTTGCTTCTGGTAGAATATCTTGCTGATGACATTGACTTCAACCCGAATTCGACTCATAACAAGCTACTCTTGAGCAAATTGGAAGACAACAAAGGAACGAATGACACTTTCAAGTTGAGCGATAAAAAGTATAGGTTTGACCTGGCTTATCCTCATGCACCTTCTTCCTCTGCGTCCTTGAGCTCTTTTGATATCAAGGCGAGTACCAATTCGAGAGAGCAGTACCTGGAAACCAGGGAAGCAGAAGAATCTGACTTAGCTGATTTTTCGGTTGTAAGCTTGAGCAACAAAATCGACAAGAACGCGCACAAAACAAAAAGGCTAGTCAGATCAAAGACCAGTAATCCAAAGCTTGAATCCAGTTCTCCGTCGACAGATGTAATTGAGGAGAGGATAAAAAAACTAGAGCTTTCGTTCAAATCTCAATACGAGGGAGGATTGGATAACGAGAGCGAGTTGGCCAACCAGATGAGGATTGCAGCAGTCATGCTTACGCAGCTAGAGTCACCTGCCTCCACGATGCCAGGCTCGCAAGCAGCAGAGATAAAAGCTCGCATCATAGATTCAATGAAGGCCATGCAGCATGGCTTTGGGGTGGACGGATTGAACGAAATTCGCGGTGAAGCGGGTGAGCGTAAACTTTCAAACGATTTGAAAGTTGCTGGTCTCAGCTATTTGGGCGAGGATTGGAATAGCAAGAAAGCTCGCATTAGGGCAGAATCAAAATACGGACATCTTGAAAACTGGGATTTGTTTTCAGTCATTGCCAAAACAGGGGATGATCTGACTCAAGAAGCCTTTGCTTGTCAGCTAATCCAAGCTATGGCTCGAATATGGTACCGTGATAACGTTAAAGTGTGGGTGAAACGGATGAGGATTTTGGTGACGTCTTCCACCACAGGCTTGGTGGAAACAATAACCAACGCCTTATCGATACATTCTATCAAAAAATCTTTGACTCAATACATGTCATTGAACAACGAAAATCCTCGAGGAGAGATTGCAACGTTAAAAGACCATTTCATACGCATGTTCGGTGACGAGAACAGTCCACGATACAAGCTTGCTCAGGAAAACTTTTGCATTTCGCTTGCCTCGTATTCCGTCATATGTTACCTTCTACAAATCAAGGATCGTCATAACGGTAACATCATGCTGGATTCGGAAGGACACATCATACACATTGATTTTGGCTATCTTCTCTCCAATTCTCCAGGGTCAGTTGGATTTGAAGCCGCTCCTTTCAAGTTAACCATGGAATATGTTGATCTTCTTGGGGGAGTGGACTCTTTCTATTTCCAAAAGTTCAGGACTTTAATGAAACAGGCTTTCAAGTCACTCAGGAAAAATGCTGACTCTTTAATCAATCTTGTGGAGCTCATGCAAAAAGACTCTCAGCTTCCATGTTTCAAAGCAGGTGTAAACACTAGCATTCAGCTGAGGCAGCGCTTCCAATTGCATTTGAGCGACGATGAGCTGGACCTGTTCATTGACAATGTGTTGATAAACAAGAGCCTGGGAAGTATGTACACAAGACTCTACGACCAGTACCAGCTTCTGACCCAGGGCATTTACATATAGAGAATGAAGCATTTGCATAATTATAGCAATTTTCAATTAAGTACATGTAAGAAAGTACATCATAGTTTCATGGAATGAAACATGCCATTTGTGTTGTGAATTCGAGTCGTCCCGGTGCGCACGCGTACCTGATATTCTTCAGGTTGCATGGATGAACGACTCGTGCCGTTTTGTTCAGTACTGCTGAACATGCTAAGCCTACCGGGCTGGTCTATAGCTGATGATGAGTTATTGGAGCTCCTCGATAACGTGGTTTCCGAAGGCAGAGCCAAATAAATGTAAGATTCCAAAGACCATTCATACCACACTCTGTCAGGCGCCGTGTCCCGCTTCACGAATACAGCAAGTTCCTGGTCGTCAGTCAATTGCATCGGCTGCTCTAACGGCATGAAAATTGGCAGCCACGACACTAGGTTGTGAGGGCTAGGACCGGATCCAGTTGGACAGTTAGATATAATGATACCATTGTATAGCTCTGCCTGAAAAAATCCGAGCAGACCATGAATCGTGCCTTTGCGATGGCAATGCAATGTCGTATGTGCTTGACGTTTCATGTTGCCATTTTTAAGAGGATGCTGGAATGTCCAAAGCTTGGAGTATTTCGACGACAAAGTGTCGTATTCGTCGCATAGCGGAACATAGCATGTATGAAATTTGGACAAGTCGTTGCATTCAAGGAGCTTAGTGTAAATGGATGGGGAGATTGCAGGGGCAACAAAAGAAGTGTATTCCTTGGGGATGAAAATGCTATTGTCAGGATCGCAATACTGTTCCACCGAGTACAAACATTCCGGGGACAGCTCGTTGCAACCGAAGCTACCAAGTAGCTCGCTAATAATCAGATGAAATCCAGACTGTGATGGAACATGAGGCGCCCATGACCTCACGTCCGCATTTATAATGTCCACTTTTCCATTCCAGAAATCCTGATTTCGCTGAGACAGATACACCATGACTGTTGGACTTTTCTCGATCGCCGTGATATGGACCTTGTCTAAATCCAAATTGAGAAATTTGATGGCAGCGAAAAGTCGTTCAATAAGAGGACCTCTTCCCGGGCCGATCACCAATATCTTGAGATATTCAAAGGATTGTTGAACATCTGACTCGGGGCCCTTTTCAGTCACAGTCAAAGACGATGTGTTAAATGCAGTTGCTCCAAAGTTTGGTAGGTTCCTTACATGCTGAAATCTTGGCAAATTCATGAGATCCATTAGTGAAGAAATCATTGCTCGCTCGTAGCATTCATATTTCGCCTGATCTTGCTCAAAAACCTTATAGGTGGCATTGTTGAGGTTCTCTGACAACGGCTGTAAGGGTGTCTGTAGAGATTTGATGGACCTCAATTCGGAAGGATCCAGATTTGCCATTGCCAGATTTGAAAGAGTAAACTCCTCGATCGGCAACAGCTGGTTATGACTCGAGCTTGACTTTATGAGAAATTTTAGGTATTCTAAAAATGATAGATCTCCAAGATAAACTTTGCTACCGTCAACATTGATATAGGCCTGGCTCGACTTGTCATCGAGAGTTGAGTTTCTAAGATTGGCGATAAGATCACTCTCCTTGTCAACTCCATGCAATAGTAAAACAGGAGGATCCAATATCTTTTTCTGAATTATCTTCCAGATGATCAGCTGGTTGTATTTATTTAACACCGGGTAGCCTTTTGAATTTGGAATAAAGCGAGAGCTCGAGATCAAGTAGAATCGGATGGGCTCTAATAGCCATCTATTGACAACATTTTCGGGAATATTTTGTTTCGGGGATGCTAGACTGACTGTTAAGTTTCGATGGTAATTGCAGTGGATTCTTATGGTATTCCACATATCCCACGTCGAAAGCGGATCAATGATCGGGATAAGTTCACCTGTGGTTGGGTTTGTCTGGGGATCTTCACATATAGGCAAAGAGATGGAAATCTCCATATCAGAGAATTTATGCAGAATGGAATTTAAGCTGTTGGTGAACACAGCAAGATGATTCAGATCTTTGGGCGGCGCCAGTAGCAATTTGCGAACACCCAGAAATTGAGCATATGCTATTTCGTTGGAGAGTACCTGGAGAGAAAACTCGTTGATTAAAGGATCATTGGCGCCAAGCTCGATCCAGGGAGATAGCATGCCGATCGTAGTCCCGGTATGAGGCCCTGTAAAAATATTCACCTCATTTGATCTGGGGAATGGGACATTAAGTTCCCCTGGAACCGCCCCGAAGCCACCTTCTTTGATACTGTCTTTGAAAGATTGGAAGTAGCTTTTGCAATTTTCTCGGTATCTTGGATTTGTGATGGCAAGGAGAACGCAGCTATAGCCGTTCTTGGTTAAAGTTTGTACCAGCAACCGATCGCTTTTCACCAAAGCCGAGGTGAGTGGCAGAGGTTTGATTCCGATTCTCATTTGAGGTTCCATGGGGTCGCCGCCTGTCTTGTCATGTACCAATTTGCAAAAAAGAAGTTTATTTGGCAAGCTAATATTAATCTCGTTTCATAATGCCTTGCATATTGTATGCGCCAATATGTGAGATTGAAATTTCAGCCAAAAATCATTTCGCGTTGGGAGTGGTAGGCACGGCCGATCGACGCGACGAGGTCGGCACAGAATTTTTGTAGAAAATTAATCAATCGACAAAAACACAAGCACACGAGTCTTTCTCAATGTCTTACTCACAGCCAAGGCCAAGAGAGTTGACGCCACAAGAGAAGGAGCGTATCTTTTCATTCAGAGAAAAGTACTATTACTCTCCAAGATACTCGGACGATCACTACGAATATCGACACGTCGCACTGCCTAGGGAATTGTTGAAGCTGATTCCTAGTGATTACTTCACAGAAAATGGAACATTCAAGATTCTGACAGAAGACGAATGGCGAGGACAGCTTGGGATCACTCAAAGTCTGGGCTGGGCCCACTACGATTGCCATGCGCCAGAACCTCATATCTTACTTTTCAGAAGAGCCAAAAACTAGCTCTCTGTTCCGCCATTTTGCATCGACACCGCTATGAATGACTAGCAAGATACCACTCATCTATTTAATAAAGCTATACTTCTAGATCCAACATTTAATTTCTTCACTAAAACGCGTAAGCTTTTTTTTTTTCTTGGATATCCATTAAAAAGGGGATCCATGAAATGTCCGACCAGACCCGTCAACTGTCTTCGGTCTTAGACACTCTGCTACGTCAGCAATCGGAGGGTAAGACCCAGGACTCTAACTCGCTAAATGCACTCCTCAATAGCGTCCTTCCAGCATACTCAAGAAAGTTTCTATCCCATGAAGAACAGGAAGTGGTGATTAAGATTTTTCAAGCAATCCATCTGCTCACGTCCAGGAGCCCATCCTTACTTTTTGAGAACAACAGGTACAAAGCCGTCGTGAACGGTTTCAAATATTTCTATGATGCGCGATACCATGGATCCGAGTTAGCACTGCAGGCAACTGAGTCGTTGAAACGGATCATCAACGATCAGTTCAGGGGAAAACTGGCCTCCAGCTTGCACTTAGATCTAATAAAAACGGAACTGATGGAATCACTAAATGACAATCTCAACTATGTACTCGAGAGTGTAACCAACTCGACCGCCTCAAAGCCAGTTGATCTAAACTATATCACCACTACCAACGATTACAGGTTCTCCAAATTGAGCATTTCCACACGCATTCTTCAGCTCCTTCTTGATGTCTCACTGGAAAACGCTCTATTACTTCATTCACAAAATATATTCACGATGGAGACATTCATTGGTCGACTTTGGTTCTGTATGGATAATGTGGTTGTGAATTTGAAATTCAACAGCGATGAGGCCGGGGACACATCAGATATTCTGTCGCAAACATCAGTCGACATGATTGCTGTTAAGTTTGATGTACTGTACGCCACTCTTTTACAATCCACTGCAAGCTACACCTTCGATGATGAGTTTTTACAACACACTCGTTTGGAGCAACTACTGTTCAAGTGTAAGGATTTGCTCAATTGGCCCTTAATCTCGCGGTTTCCTAAATTACAATCGACCCTCGCCGCAACTTTGATGAGGCTGTTTATCAAATGCAAAGAAATGGACACTTTGTGTTATTTCTGGAATAAGCTGGCAATCACCACAGAAAAGTTGGCATACGTTGACATGATGCCTTTCAATCTAGGTCCTGACTTATTCATTGTCATCAACTTACTCCTCATACTGAATATGAAATTTGGCAGGATAGACAACATGGGAAGCCCTTCTACATTTCAGGCCCACTATTTGAGCTCCTACGAGATAGCTTTCAGACCTTTCTCGACAGAAAGGCTACACTTGCTGCGAAATGAACTTCTTCTTTGCGCCTTAGAAGATGTACTAGAGCCTGATCTGGACGTGTTGTTGTCTTTGACAAACTCCAAGTCAATGGTTAATTTGGTTGATTCGACTGACAGAAATCTAAAGGGAAAGGAGAATTTGGCATTGGATCATGAGAACACGCCTGAGGTCGTTGATTTGACTTCGAGCTCTTACCTATCGCAAAGCACAATCTCCGATTCCAAACTAAAAACCTGGATCTCCAAGCTAAAGAATGCAAAGAAAAATGGCCAATTCGATGCCATTAGCAGTACACAGCTGGGAAAGATTTGCATGGTTACTGCGATTGGTAGATATGCTTGTTTGGTTGCTGAGGACTATGATTTCAAGAGCAAGATATGCCGCAAGTGCGATTATGCTCCAGATAAAACCATATATCTGCTTGATATAGTTGATCCCAAGAGGCCGTCTATTGGGTCCAGTTCAGAGATGGAATCTGCTTTTACCATACTTATTGACACTTTTATATCAGACCCAGCATCTTTGAATGATGAACAACTGATTGTGTCCATACTGATCGCCCTTCGCCGTATTTTTTGCTCGTTCCGCCCACCTTCGCTGAAGAAATCAGTTAAACTATGGAGATTCATTGAAGCTTGTTTCCTTAGCGTTGTCAGAGAGATTCGTCTTCTTACTGTCAAGATCTTCCCGCTTCTTCTCTTAGCCACAGAGGATGATCAATATGAGTCGGACTTTGACATTGTGTTGAAGTATTTAAGCATGTTCAAGATATCGAGAAAGACGGCATATCTTTTCGAGGGTATCATCATGTCATGGGGCGAGCTTATTATGATCAGTCGTCTTGAGGGAAAGCAATATGTGATGCTCAATCACTTAATACAGTACATGGGCGACAGTGATCAATTTAGATCAAATCTTTCTTTCCATGAATTACGCCTTGTCGCTTCCACCAAAAAGCTGACGGCTTGGAAACTGGTTGAGCCTTTCATCCCATTAATAAGCTATGAGCTTGTCCAAAAAAGGAACACACACCCAAATATGCTCAGGATTTTTTGCGATTGTATCAAGATGGATGTCGATGTGTTCCTCAACAGGGTTATGGAATTCACCGTTCCACTTTTCATTCAGTCCTTCTCCGAAGATCACTTAGGATTTATTGCTGGACAGGTTGGCAAAACTAGGTCACAACTTGTAACCAGCCACATTGAAAAGATATTGGCTCTGTTGTTGACTGCGGACGAGAACATCGATGCTAGCAAAATCGTTAAAATTGTGGCCTTGTCCAATCCAAAATATAAGGGAATGAATTTGCGAATACTTATCAGCGAGTGCCGCGTCATGGATTTGATCTGGGAGTTGCTGAGCCTCTACAACTCGGAGCACATGAAGCCGCGTATCAAAAATGCCATAGTCTATGCCTGCATGTCTCGACACATTGGAGACATGTCTGTCAGCGATGATGATGAGTTCTTGAACAAGGAAATGGACTCGATGATTTTGGGTATAGCCCAATCGTTTTCTGCTATCATATATGATCATAGGGGTAGCAGGCCCTACCTACTGAAAGTTCAGGCGATCCGTGCCATCCGTTGCATTGCAGAAATATCAACCAGTTTCCAAACATGCCTCTCTCAAATTATGACCTGTTTACAAATCGCTCTTGAATCTCCAGAACTCCAATTAGAAAGTCTGGAATGCCTGCATGTTCTTGTTTCTAACCTAGACTACTCACCATTATCCATCATTGTGGACCTGCTCATTTCGTATTTGATACAGAAGTACAAGTTCTTCAACATCAAATGTAAGAATATTGCACAAAATATTCTTGTGACGATTCTCGAAAAGGATCCAAAGGTGATGAAGGAACACCCTTCTTACATTTACTCTCTCTCATTGATCAGCGATTTTGACAACATCACGAACAAATACGATATAAAGAACCATAACATTCTTGTCGAATTTGATAGGAGATTTCAAGCAGATAACAAATGGGTTGTGTTACAGGTGCTTGATGATTTCAAAAGCTTCCTTGACTCTCATCAACTGGATATTCATAAAACATATCTCAATGACTCTCGGTTACTGCCATTGTTTTCATCACTTCTTGCACATATTATGGCGGTTTCTAACAAATTTTCCGTGACAAACACTGAGATTCCTCGCAAATGTGCTGAAGTTCTAGCGTGCTTGGGTGCGCTGGACCTCACAAAGGTTGGGCATTATTTCAACAGGGCCCATAAAAGAATAATCCTAGTGTCTAATTTGGGCAATCACAGAGAGATGGCAGAGTTTTCTGTCTATTTCTTGAATAATATCCTTGTCAAAGCATTTGTTGCTTCTACAGATCCCCAAAAGCAGCTATTTCTGGCATACTCGATGCAAGAGTACCTGAAAATCCTTGACTTCACCCCTGAAAACATTCAAAGCAAGGAAGCCCCGGAAAGTCTTGTTTGGGCTAAACTGAATAAACTATCTCAAACAGTTCTTCGTCCGCTGCTTGTTTCGCGTTATATGAAAAATTCTTATGGTTATATGGCGCTAATGTATCCTTGCTATAAGAACACAAAGAAGCATTCATTTTGGATTCGCGAGTTCACCGAGGATCTGCTTCACAGATCTGAGGATGTTCGAAAATTACCGAAAAATGCCAAGGCTATATTTGGAACTTGTTCCATTATTATCAAAGACCAGGATCTATCCATTGCTGAATTTCTGCTACCATATACAGCACTCATGATGATTGTGTATGGAGATGACAGGATCAAGGCTGATATCGAGATCGAAATGATTACAGTCTTGAATGAAGATCTGGACCTCCTCTCCAATGACTCGGCCATTGAGAGCCTGAAATCATGTTACAGGACAGTCTTCTCAATTGTTGACTACTTTAGAGAGTGGGTTTCTGAGAGAAAGAGAGATAAAAAATACCTGCAAGGTAACTTCGTGGAGGAAAGAAAGAAGATCGAAAGCTTCCTTTCTTTGCTCCCGTCTGAACTTCTGGCTAAACGCACCGCCCAGTGTAACTCCTATGAACGAGCAATATTCAACCTGGAGCAGAGTTACGCTAGCAACAAAATGGATAAAGACGAATTTTTCACCACGATTCGACACATGTATGCAGAGATTAACGATACAGATGCCTTACAAGGAGTGCTCAAAAAGTTTTCGACAGAGAGTTTGAATGATAAGCTTCTTCAATTTCAGTATTCTGAAGATTGGAGAGTTACACAAGAATCTCTAGCTGCGCTGACCGAAATTGATTATGGGGACAATAACGATCGCAAACTGGATTCAATTACTTCTCTCCTGAGATGTCTTGATGATCATTGCGAATATGATCAGGTGCTCTCCAAGCTTCGAGAATTCGAGTCATCGATACAAGAATTCGAACCCACGAAGGATTGGGTTGTTTGCGGATTGCAGGCCTCAATTTTCAGCGGTCAGCTCGAGGAACTAAAGAGATGGGTCTCTCATTCACAGGAATTTCCCTCCATAACCTCTCCGGGGTCGTCACTGTCAATTTACTATGAGTTTGCTCGAGGTTTGATAACCCTAAGCGAAAATAATTTGCGGGCTTGCGACGAGCATATCTTTAATGCCATCACGCACCTTGGAACTTCGTTGTCAGTTTCGCGCGAGATATCCCCATCCAAGATCTCCAATTACATGGTTATGCTTCATTGCTTGTACGACTTCAGATCATTAGTCTTCATGGAGAACAAGCAAAAAGTACAGAACTGTATGGATTTGCTGCAAATACGAGCTAGGAATTCCACCAAAGACTTCAAAATAAATTGGAAGATTCACTCCCTTCGCAAATCGATAGAGAAGTTGCACCCTCAGGCTGATGTGCGCGCATTTCTGGGAGACACAATGGTGCAGGGATCTCAATTCCTGCGACAGGCTGGAAAATACGATCTTGCAACAAAGAGTATCACGAACGCATTATTTATTGGTACGTCGTCAGAGATGATGGTTAACTTGGAATTTGCTAAACTGCTTTGGGCCCAAGGCGACCACAGCCAGGCTCTGAAAATAATCAAGAGTCTGCTAGGAATCGCGAAGCCTCGCAAATCTCCGGAAATTCAACTCACATACACCGATTGGCTGGAACAGTCGGCTAATGGAAGTTCGGATGACATTATAAAAGGATACGAGGCTGCCGCTGCTTTGGACCATGTTAGTGGAAAACCACAATATTACTTAGGCCGTTACTACAACAAGCTCCTCGACGCTCAAGCAGTTGAGACTCCAGGATTGAAAAAACCAGAAAAGGATTTCTATGGAGACCTGGAATTCAACATTATAAAAGCATATATTCGATCTGCTGCCTTTTCCAACGATTATGTTTTTGAGGTTCTTCCTAAGGCGGTGACGATATGGTTAGATTATTTTGCCAAGTATCAAAACGCAAGTGAGCTGACGGGGTACTCTCATGAAACGATATATGCTAGGAGGAAGGACAACTACTCGAGCATTCTCAAATTTGTGAAAGTGGCAGCGTCTGAGAACGAGCTACCAATTTACAAGTGGTATACCGTTCTTTCGCAACTAATCTCTCGCATGGTTCATGGCGATTCTGAAACCGAACTTGTGATTTTGAATGTCATCACTCAGTTGGCCAAAGCATATCCAGAAGTTGTCTTATACTCCGTTTATGCACAGGTTCAGTCCACGTCACCAGAAAGAGCCAAACGTGGGAAACAAATATGCGAAACTCTACAAAATAACAAGAATGCCACACTGTCAAAGCAAGTGTACTCAGCATTCCAACTTCTTGAGGCGCTCAAAGGAGTGTGTCAAGCAGACATCAGCAGGCAGAAAAGAACAAAAATGCATTTGTACTCAGAGCTAAGATTTTCATACCCGGAGAACCAGGAGTGCAGAGCATTGGCAATTCCAATTAGAGTCAATTTCCAGAAACTGCTTGCCACAGGCCTGAATAACAATGTGTTGAGGAAGTCAAACAATTATCAAGTCGATAAGTTCATTGCGTTTAGGAATTTCGACTCTAAAGTGAGCATTCTCTCTTCCATGCAGCGACCTAGAAGACTGTACATTACGGGTACTGATGGCCGTAGGTATAGCATACTTTGCAAACCTCATGATGATTTGCGAAAAGACGCCAAGCTGATGGAATTCACCACCGTGATGGACAGATTGTTGAAGCTTGATGCCGAAGCTGACAAAAGAAACCTGACCATCAAAAACTATGCAGTTGTGCCATTGAATGAGACAATGGGTCTCATCGAATGGGTTGATAACGTACGGACTATGAGGGATATCATGCTAACTTACCTTCAAAGACAGGGGATAACCATGGACTTTGGAAAGATCAAGCAACTATTGAGCGAGGATCTTTCTGTCGGAGAGAAAATGCACAATTTCCAGAAGCTGTTGCGCATGTATCAACCAGTGCTCCAAATTTGGTTTCAGGATCAATTTCCTAATCCTGTGAACTGGTACCAATGTCGCAACGATTATGTGAAAACGTGTGCAGTTATGTCGATTGTCGGATACTTGGTGGGAATGGGTGACAGACATGGCGACAACATAATGTTGAGCGAGTTATCTGGTCAGATTTTACATGTGGATTTCGATTGTTTGTTCGACAAGGGAAAGAAGCTTGCAGTTCCAGAACGTGTGCCATTCCGTCTCACACAGAATATGACGGCAGCGATGGGAGTCACTGGGTATGAAGGAACGTTTAGGAAAACTTGTGAGGTGACGATGAAGATTATTCGCCAAAACGAGAATAGCCTCATGAACGTCCTGGAGACCTTCTTATACGATCCAATCATGGACTGGAAGGTGAAGCACAAAAAACGTAGGTCTGCTACAGAAGAGACCGATTCAAAAGGCTTGCAACCGCAGGTAGCTATGGATACCATCAGAAGAAAAATCAAAGGAATCCTTGATCCAAAAGACTTGGACACGGGCGCGAAAGACAGCGGCGGGCTATCAGTTTCGGTGGTGGCCCATGTTGACGCAGTGATCCAACAAGCAACATCAGTGGAAAACTTGTCACAGATGTATATTGGCTGGATGCCATTTTTATGATCGCATAATATACTGAGTTAATGTTACTTAATCGCTAAACTCCTCTTCAGAAATGTTGTCACTTTCGGCAACACTTTCTTCGTCATCATCCTCAAAATCGCTCTCATTATCACCTTCCTCCTCTGCACTATAGTCCTCCTCGGAATCAACATCTTCATCCTCAGGGTTGTCATCGGAAGGATTGAAGTCAGACTCTTGTTCATCCTCCTCACTGTCATTGTCCGAATCACCACTCCCTGTCAAGAACGACCAGCCCCCGTCCACAAAAAATTGGTAGGGGTCAGCTTGGATAGTTTTCATGATCGTGGTCCAGTTCAAATTAACGGTACCTTCGCTGTACGGAATATCCACGTCCGTAAGCCATGCCTTGACATCTTCTAGCAACTCCATCGGAATGGTTGAGATATGTACAACGGGCCTGCTAAAGTCTTTGAAAACAAACACAAGGTCAAAGTTCTTTAGCCCGAATTGAACTCTCTCCAAGTGTGCGATTTCGATCTCCTCTAAGGTGATGACCAAGAACGGTAGATCAATCAATTGCACCAAGCAGTCTCTTGTTGGAAGACACATCACAGCAGATCTCGAAGGCACACCTTGGAAACCAAGTTCTCTAAATGGAATATCAAGATCAACCAAACCATTGGATGCATCTGCAATCTGTTCGGCGAACCCTTTGAACTCCTTGTCCAAGGCAGCTTTCCTTCTTCGTTCTTCCTGCTCCTGTTCCAACTCATCTTCGTCTCCATAACGATATTTTCTTTTCCTGTTACCTGTTTCGTCAACAGTGATGTCAGAAGCTTCCCTGTAAAACTGAACATCGTAAGTCTTCTTCTTTCCAATCATAATTGGTGTCTTCAAATGACAATGAATAATGACCAACAATTCTCCTTTACAGGATTGGAAAAACAGATGCTTGATGTTGGAGAAAAGAATATCCACTCTTTGATCGCTTCTGCCAAGAGATTGGTACCTAATACCATTCTGGTGGATGGTGATGTTTCCAGGCAATCTCTTAGTGTCTGGAGTAGGTCTGACAAAAACATTATCCAATCTTTTTGGACGGTTGACCTCAATAAGGGAAGCTTGAGTCACGACATCGGCCTGATCTCTCTTCTCCGCCTCTCTCTTGACAGCGTCCTTCTTCATCTCAGTAATCTTTTTCAAAACTTCGCTCATTCGCTCGTTATCCTTTGAACGGAAAGTCAAGCTCCGGATAAATTGCTTATCCTCCCCTGGTTCATAAGGAAGCTCCTCCTTCTTTGTGACAGCGACACCCGGGGAATTGAAATTGAGCTTCAGGTGTGTGTACTCTCCTTCCTCGGTTTTTAAACCGTTTTTGAAAGCGTTGATGTGGAAAGGCACCGGTCTTCCACAAATCGGGAGTATGATAGTCTGATTCTTGGAATCGATATGGATCTTGAGATCTCTAACATTGCTTGGAATTTGCGATTCACGAACATAAGATTCGTATTTTTTGAAGATCACTCTTTTATCAGACCCATCCTGTGCGTCTTCTGGATTGAACCTATCCAAGCCCTCTTTTTGCCTTTTTGCATGTAGCTCCTTTTGGATCTCCTGTTGTATTTGAGTTTGGTCCTCGTCGGAATTCTTTTGTTCAGACCTCATTTTCGCCTTGAGCACACGGGTGTTAACACCATTGTTGTTGATCTTCAAATCAGCCTTCTCGGGCATTTCAGACTTCACTTTGATATCATCAAGTTCTTTTTTCACTTGGGTGCTTTCATCGTCATCAAAATAAAATGCAACCTCTTTCCTAAATTTAGGAGAATCAGTCAGAACGATAGGGTCTTCGTCCGTAACTTTGACTGTGTCTGCCAACATCAGCGCGTAGCTTCCAAGGTTTGGGTCTGACAAACCACTGAACCCAACAACCAAGTTGTACACCGAATTTTCGCTCAATGATCTTTCATTCTTAGCATTAAGGATACCAGTGGAGTCTCTGAAATCGATACCCATCAAAGAGCCCATATTTTTCATAAAGTTTTCCACAAGATCTGGTCTTTCGGTCTCAATAAAAGCAAGAGTTTTACCGTAGACATCTTTTGCAATTGCTCCATCTTTCATTAGCGAAATTGCTTTGGCTTGCACTTTGAGTAGGAAATCGTAGTTTTTCTCCATCTCTTTCGATGGGCCGATCAGAAAAGTACGCGTAACATTGGAGCAGTAGCTTCTGTATCTTAGACCAAGCGATGCCATGATCACCGAACCTCCAAGTTTGTCGTCAGTAGACTCCACTGAAAATTTAAGCTCATACTTTCCGTTACTCTGAACAATAGGCTTGTAGCACCAGTCCAGATTGTTCAGATCAAAGTCAGAGCCGAGCTTCTTCATCGACTTGTCGGTTTCCATGTTTCTGAAAAATTTGGCATCATCGATCTTGTTCTCGATTCGGTCTACCAGCTTGGAGTTGGAAACATCCAGCTCCTCATCAATGATCTTGCTCATCTCGTCCGAAAAATAGCTCATCATATTTGTCGAGGCTCTGGAGGCAGTTCTCAGACATCCTTGTTCATCCTCATCCTTGGCTTCAAGTGTAGAGGAAACTCCAACTGCGCAATCAACAAGTTCGAAGTCACTTTTCTCTTCCTCCCAGATCGCGTTCCATTCGTCCATAAACTTACCAGCATACTTGTCTTTGACCAGCACACCAAGCTTTTTGCCGCTTTGTTTCATCTCTTGCACAAATTGCTCGAACAGTTTCTTGTTGTGCTCGGGATCCTTTGTACGCGCAAGAACATTCAGGTTGACACTGGAACTCTTCAAAGGTTCCAAATACTTTGCTTTTCCAACGGAAGTCAGCACGGTGACTTTTTTCCCCGTGATAAAGATCAAGGTGGCGGGGAACTCATAACCCAAAAGCCAGGTATGTAGAACGGTGGACTTTTGGTACGGATTCGTATCGTCACTGGATCCAACGGCAATCAATAGACCAGCAACGGAACCAAATTGAGGCGCATTGGCAATGTTCCTTTGCAAGAGATGGAGTCTCTTGCGGAACACCGATTGATCAATTTGAACCTCAGACATGGTGCAATGAAGAAGAACAACTTAAGGAAATGACATACGCGTTTTTTTTTCCACGAGAGAGAGAGACGGCGACGCGACGTTTGAGCCCCGGGTAACTTGTTTTAACATTATCACAGCGGTCAACAACAAGTGAAACGTAAGAAAAACAAACTAAACGAGGTAGACCTGAAGAGTTCAGTTAACTTATTACAGGTTTAGGTTTTCGAAACACATAATTCAAAAAACCATGGCGGATACTGCAGAGGATTACTCATACGACTACGAATACCTATTCAAAAGTGAGTTTCGTCAAGTTGCTTTTATACTAACTCATAATAGTTGTTCTCATTGGAGATTCTTCGGTTGGAAAAACCAACCTTTTGTCTAGATTCACAAGAGACGAGTTTAACCCAGACTCCAGGGCCACTATTGGTGTTGAATTTGCCACGAGAACGGTCGAGATCGATGGTAAAAGAGTCAAGGCTCAGATCTGGGATACTGCGGGACAGGAAAGATACAGAGCGATTACTGCTGCGTACTATAGAGGAGCGGTGGGGGCACTTGTTGTTTATGATATATCCAGCTCGAACTCATACGAATCAGTTTCTAGATGGCTCAGGGAAATGAAAGAACATGCCGACGCAAACATAGTGATAGCTCTTGTTGGTAACAAGTCTGATTTGGACCATTTGAGAGCAGTCCCCACTGAGGAGGCTAAGGATTTCGCTGCTGAGAATAATCTGTTATTTACTGAAGCATCTGCATTGAACGCCGAAAACGTCGAGCTTACTTTCCACCAACTTATTAAGAACATCTACGAAATGGTTTCAAAAAGAAAATTTGATATGGATGGAATGGATTCTTCTGCTAACAAAAACCTTGGAGGACAGACCATCACGCTCACGCCCGCTCCTAAGGATCAGAAAATTTCGAAAAATTCTGGTTGTTGCTAAATATGACTCCCTTGATTCTAATATCATGTATATTGATTGACTCGTTAATACCATCAGGTTGTTCATTGATTCTTTGCCTCAGGCTCTTTGAAATCTCCATCTTCCTCGCCATCGTCGTCATTGAGAGAAGTGCTTTCCTCTTTGCTCAATTGCTCGCTAACTTTGCTGTAGTCCACAACCCTGCCACGAGTTCTTCTTCCCGTCGTGATGATGTTGACAGTGTCAATTTCTTGCAGGTCATCTTCCTCTTCTTCTTCAACTACAAGATTGTCATCGTCAACTTCCTCCTCCTCCTCCTCCTCGGAGTCTTTATCTTCTGCAGGCGGAACATCGTCGTACTTGCGCCTCGAGTGCTTTCTCTTCTTCTTTTTCTCTTGGGACTCATCCTCATTCTTTCGCTTTGCAGGTTCTTCAGACTTGCTTTCCTTTTCGGATGACTCTTCCTTCTTACCAGTCTCTTCCTTGGCCTCAACCTCTTTCTGATCAACAGATTTTTCTTCTTGCAATTGCTCAGACATGATAGAACTCGATTATAGAAAAGTTTCACTTACAAGTAGCCCTGAGATATGTAATCAATGACATAATCATAAAAATGTGAGGCCAAGTGGCTGACTTCGCGGCCTTGAAGCATTTAAACAGAATAAATTATCCAGGCCCGCGCCTCAGGTGGCTCAAAAAGTGTTGTGGCTAGAATTTCCATTGGCTTCTTGCGGAGAAATTTTTATATAAATCTAGAGGCAAAATCACGCTTGTATTCAAAGGTGTTCATTGATTCTTCTAAAAACAGACCAACTATCGCTATTCAATCCGGAATCAGTCACATGAGTTGTTAAACTGTTCTCATTATAAGAGTACCCAACGAAATTAAAAATGCTGGCCTTTAGAAGAAGCTCGAGAATGGTGTGTCGTCAGGGCATTGTGCGTTTTAACTCGTCCAAGAACCCTGATGGGAAATCTCCCAATTCCGACTCATTCATTTCGACGGGCGAAATCGACCCTGTGCTCCTAGATAAACTGTTTCGGAACAATAAGCCCCAGAAATCTGTCTTACCTCAACATGGTTCATTTGCGCTTCGACAGCAACTCGCTAACATTCAGCAAAAGGACAAGTTCAAGGTATTGGATGAGAATTTGTTGAAGCTGCAGTCGACTCCGATCAATTTCAATTACTACCTACGAAATCTGAAAGATTTGAAGAATGCTAATCAGCTTCCATATAAATTTGGTGCAAACCAACTGGTCTCTAAAGATTCGGATGTCAACGATTTATTGCGAAAAGTTGTTTGGGAATTCAACGCACCCATAAGATATGCATTTGGGTACGGATCTAAGGTATTCGATCAAGGTTCAACAAAGAATTCCAACTCTCAAGTCGACATGATATATGCAGTGTCGTATCCCGATCACTGGCACTCACTGAATATCGCTCAAAATCCCGATCACTATTCCAGTTTGAGGCATTTAGGCTCAAGCATAGTATCTCAAATTGGTGAATTGGGAGCAGGAGTGTATTTCAATCCGTTTGTTAAGCTCGATTTCAAAAGAAGCAAGGTAGACACAAATTTTGAGCTTAAATACGGAGTCACTTCTATGAACACACTGATAAACGATCTCATAAATTGGGATACTATGTATCTCAGTGGAAGATTGCACAAGCCAGTTGCCGTGGTAAGAAATACTCCCAAAATTTGTCTATTGAATCAGTATAATCTGACAAATGCTATCAAATTGTCACTACTCTTGGCCAACAAAAGTGAAATTTCAGAGTACGATTTGTATCATCAGATTGCAGAGCTAAGCTATTTGGGAGATCCGAGGTTAAAGGCCAGAGGTGAGGATGTCCGCAAAGTCGACAAAATTGTGAGTAACCAGTTTGAACAATTCAGAGAAATGTATCTACCACTTCTCACAAATTATTTCCCAAAAATTGTCCAACAAATTAGTTCTCCCGACAGTGCTGAACATCGCTTCAAAGTGAGTTTGGACTCGCAAAGCATCGCCGAAATAATTGTTGATTTGCCAAATACGTTCAGAAGACGTCTACTGTCCAAATATAGCTCCAGGTACGAGTCAAGCCTTGCTTCTGATTTATTCGCGAGAAGGATTTTAGCTCCAGATCAACAGCTTGCTGACCTGAAGCCAGTGAAATCAGCATCAGAGCTGTCGTTTTTGGATCTTCAAAGACTTTCCGAAGAGGTAAGCTTAAGTCAGATACCAGTGGAGGACTGGAATTACCTCCCAAACACGTACAAAGTGAAGAGCTCGCCATTTATAAGAGACATTGCAAATGACCATCTACTCATTAAGTCTCTCAAAGACACAGTTAAGGAGACCGTTCTGAGGCCGGCCCTGATTCAAAGCCTTAAGGGGGTTTTAACGGCTGGAGTGCTCAGATCGTGGAAATACGCCTCAGAGAAGAGGAGAAAGTTCAATCAAAGTATAAATAATGAATCATAAACCATGAGTTACGATATTATGTACATTCAAATATTACAATGCTCTCACGAGAACGCGGACTGTTATACAATCTTAATAACACAACTTGAACTTCCACTATATCCGACGGATATTTGGGTGCTAGTGGCGTTCCAATCGATGGAAGATACGAAATTGGAGTTGTCAACCTCACCAGGCTGATAATAGCTTAATTGTTTTAGCTTTTTTGCGGCAGTAATAGCCCAAAGCATTATATTACCATCGGAGTCTCCAGTAGCCAGCTTTGTGTTATCAGGGGACAAAGAGGCCACTAATATCGGGGAGCCGTTGTCAACTAGCCTAGAATCCAGTACCCTGTTTTTAAAAAAGTCCCAAATTTTGAGAGAACCGTCCAGTGAACAGGTGATAACACACCAGTTTCCATCTCCCAGTTTGCACCAGTTGACATAAGTGAGTGGCTGCGAATGGCCTGTCAAGACTTGTAAAGAGTTTATTGAATTCCCTTTCCATATTCTTACCGTTTGGTCGTCGGATGCGGAGCATAAAAGGCGAAGCTCGCTATTGTACATTATGAGAGAGACAGTGTCAGAATGTCCAGCAAGGACACCGATAGGCTGGATGTCTCCCAATTGGTAAACATATAACGAATAATCCGAGCCTGGTAAAACGAACTTAGTATCGTCTATCCAACATGAATCAGTCCCCAAACATTTGTCGGTACTGTCTGCTGACTGGTTATCGATATGCTGAATTGATTGTCCAGTTTGAGAGTCCCAAACCACTGCTTTGTTGGTGATATCGAGGCTTAGTAGGTATGCGGAATTAGGCGACCATCGTATAGCCAACACTGGAGAGCAATGTAGCGCCATAATGAATCTTATTGAACCACTAGAGTCCCACAGACGTAGCTCTCCATTTTCGGACGCAGTCATCAGCGTATTTCCTTTGGGACTCCAAGATATAAAAACGATCTCTTTGCAGGATGTGGGATGCGGAAGCAGTTGCGATTGGGGGATTAGAACTTTGCTGGACTCATCCCAGGTGAGTGTGCATATGCTGGACGTAGAATCTCGCTGTCCCCAAGCCAATACGTCTGGCTCTTGGGGGTTCCAGTTGCTTGCCAGACTAGCTGGAAAAACAAAGCTATTCTTCAGCACCACAGTGAATTCGTTATCATCCTCTATCCTCCCATTCTGTCCTGCTGAGGAAGCTGGCTGTGAACTATTATTAGCCACGACGGGCGTAGACTCAATTCTGCGTTCTGCAACTCCATCAGACGACTGGGATATTGAGTTCAGGAGGTTGAAATTCATGTTTATGATATCTTCAGAGGCAATATCGCCACCTTTTTGAATCATATCATTCACTTTACAGTATAAAATTCCCTTTTGAACCAGGTCTACCAAACACCCAAGTGGAATTCTATCGCTGTATCTATCGTCGTACTCGTTGATTTTGGTCTCATCTTGAAGAGCATACGCGCTCAATTCCAATCCAGCCTCTTGAAGATACCTCCAAATAAGGTAATTCAACTCTGATGCTGAAAGCGACATTGAACATATACCTGCACCAAGTCTGACAACGACAACAAAATTACCCACTAAATTTTTTTCAAAGTTTAATAGCTAACCTTGTCTCTATCTGGCAGAATAATTTATGGGTGATTTAAATTAGCACAATCGAAGCACAGCAAACGAGCGTATCATGACATTGGTAAATACAGACTCCAACGTCATGGAAACAAAACTGGCTACATTCAAAACAGCAAAATTTTACAAAATTCCACCGCCGGAGGTGATTCCTGACACTACATCCAGCGTGGATGAAAATAATGGTTCAAAAGGATACAAGGAGACTCAAATAATACGATACAGGTTTCAGCCAGAAAACTGGCGGTTGAAACGCTCAAATTTCCTGTTCAAAGGATCTATAGAGCTACACGAGCTACAAAGCTTGGATGCGTTGGAGTCGTCTAAGGACCTATCGTCAGAATTGAAATGTCGCCTGACGATTAATGCCCCTGGAATAGACCGCTGGGGAACCGCTTATTACGAGAAAGTATACCACGATGGTCTTCTGGTAACTAATTACAAACAATCGAATCCTTTCATGACAATCCAAAAGATAATACATCAGCACTACGTGGTGATAGTAACAGAGGAGGACAAAAAGATAGCGATAGGGATGATTTTACAAGATTTCTTTGACGATTTACGACTCACGTCAAATCTCAAGGATTTCGAGGAAAGGTTCAAAAAATTGCTTGCATTCAAAGACAGCTTCGTCAACGAGTCTCCGAAGACCACCAAGGAGGAACGATCGGAAGGATCACCCAATAAATTTAATATCGACGAGGATGACGAATTTGGTGATCTTGTGTCCAACTAATTACGAAATGAGAATTAATAATGTATCCTATCTACATCGTAATCACATGTCTCTCTTCCACATGACCTCTTGCTTCAATTTGATCAACTTTGCGTTCTTTGTTCTGCTATCCCATCTTCTCACTGCTTGCTCTAATTTCTTTTGATGTTTCGCAACGGTTTCTGGATTAGGCGTCGTCGAGATATTGATGAAGTGATCTGACACCTTAAATTTGGCCTTGATCTCGCGCCTTGGAACTCCTCTGTTTCTCATTTCCTGGATCTCCTGGATCTCTTCGCGGTTCAATTTGTAACTTTTTGGCGTGCTTGCCTTGAAAATTACTGGCATGTTGTCCAGATTAGAGCTTATGCGTGTTTTTTCCTCAGGATAGTACAGCTCTGAGCTTTTCCTGGCATCATTGTCAGGAAGGAAAGCCTTGGGCGTTACCTCCGGATCTAGGGCCGATGGTGCTGGATGATAGAAAAGGCCGTCTGGAAGCTGTGGTTTGATGTTGAAAGCAGATGATTTTGCATTGTACTTATTTGGAACATGGGTCAATTTCGGAGGAATCGAGGAAGACTTGAACCTCACCAGCGGAAACCGCAAGCCGTTACAACAGGCTCTAAGTGAACGCATCGCTGATTTTTCACGATTTTCTTTTTTAATTTTTGAGACAAAACCCATGGTGCAAGGATGTACCAACTTCAGTCGTCAGCGGTTTTTTGTGCCAAACAGTATCTGCAAATAAAAAGATCTCATTGGCTCCCCTGGTGAAAAAAAATCGAATGGGAGGTGTGCGGGTCTAAATTAGTTTTTCCATCACAACACTATCACTGTTTCTTCACCATGTATATCAGGGCCGCGAATAGGACCAGAATCTCACGTTCCATATTCTCAACTACATTCCTAGTAGCTTTCAGCATCGTTGCTGCCAATAGCGTTGTGTCGTGCCCCGTGGACAGAAGCGTGAATAGTGAAAGCGAGATTCCAGGTCACATCAGAGAACAGATGCTCAAAAAAGAGAAAGACCTTAAACATTAAGGCAGCATTCAAAAACATGATTTTGTGCCATCAGTAACATCACAGAGAAACAACGCCATTATATTACTGGCACTGCACAAGGCAGATCTGGAATTGGTGACACTGATTCTCCATATATTGTCATGTGGTACCGCTGTATCATTGGTATATGGTTATGGTTATCAAGCACTGCAAGCGGTCAATACCTAGACTTTTAGCTTCGCCACTACATTCGGTGAACATGCCGACCTTTTGGAAGCCTAGCTTTCGAAAAGACATGTTTATATAAATTGGACAGATGTGGGTCTGATCCAAGATATTGGTGAGTGTTTAAAACCCCTAGCAACTCGATTATGGTCAGTTTGTGTACATACTTGCAACTGTATAATATATTCATTACACGTTCATTGCTCCAGCTCTTACTGGCTATCCTCTCAGGTGTAAAGTTTTTTTTTCTCCCCGAGAAAACCATTTTATTATTTATTGATGAGCGACGAAGAAGCCCAATCGGACTATTCTCCGGAGGCTAACTTTAATGACCCGGAAACCTCTGAGGAGAGATCAGACCTACATGACGGCTCTAGCGGCGAACATTTGAATCCCGAAACAGACGTAGCCAATGTCACCGAAGATGTTGGAGCCACTGAACGACACGAAGACTACAACGAGAACTTGCACACTCAAAGTCAGTCCGAAGCACAGGCAAAGCCGTCGGTAAGCTCACCTGAAGAAGATGAGTACAACCCAGAGGCAACATATGAAGAAGACGCAAATGAGTCTGCCACTCCGCCCGAAATTGAGCAGGCGGAGGATACTACAAAACCAGTTCCCGAGCCAGTTGTGACAGCGGAGTCAACAGAAGACACTCAGGACACTCAACCGGAACTTGAAGTCAGTGACGAAGAAAAACAAGATCAAGGGGAAGAAGTGGAAACGAAGACAGAGAACTCGTTGGAAGATGCCAGACCTGATTCGCCGCCCACATCGGCAAATGGTGAAGACGTGGACGTTCCTTTGTTTAATGACGTGATCAAGTTTTTCTTGAGCAGTTCGTTACTGAACGATTCTGAATTCCAACGGCTGACTCCGGCAGACAAAGAACGGAGACTACTTGCCGAATACAATAAGGCCAATAATTCGCATGTGAATGTTCGAGTGAACTTTGGAGCAACAACGTCTTATAACAAACCCCAAATGCGTCCTGGAGAGACGTTCCAGGTACTGGTGCCTATCAATCCATTTTGTTTGAGACCCGACATCACTCAGCCAATGTCTTCGGAAGAACGGTCAAGCTACGAACAATATCTGCGCGATGAGGACACGGCCCTGAGCAGTGGTAAATGGGATAATTTCCCTATTGGGTCGCGGCTATTTATCGGAAATCTTGCTGTTAACACTTTAAGCAAAGAAGACGTCTACAGAATCTTCCACCCTTATGGCGAAGTGAAACAAGTGAACCTTAAACAAGGTTTCGGCTTTGTGCAATACGCCAAGGCGGAAGAGTGTTCACGGGCTATCGAAGGCGAAAAAAACGTTCCGCTTCATAACAGATTCATGCACTTGCAGGTCTCAAAGCACCAGATCCAAAGAGCCATGGAGCAGCAAGGAAAGAATACCGGTTCATCAAAAAATAACAGAGGGAGATCCAGATCTCCAGATGGTGGCCACAACAAAAATCGGTCTAGGTCTCCGATCAATGAAACGGAAGTTAAGGTCATCACCTCAAACGATTCGACGGCAGAGTTCAATAACAAAATACTGAAAAGACTCAAGCAGGATGGATTAGCTTTGGAAACTGAGCACTTCGATTTGCCCGTCTCGCAAGTTCCTCAAGAAGCAAGCACCTCTGCCGCATACAAAGGCGTTCTAGCAGTTGTGATTCCTCATCACGATAAGCTAGACATGATGATCTACGAGAAAACCTCCGATGGTGGCATTAGATTCGACGAGTACTCCGAAATCTCCATCAATGAGGCCATCGAATTGATTCTAAGTGCAAAAGCTAAACGTTTTGCTTCCACTCCGCGGGAGCATCAATCGAGAGGCCGCTCGAGACAAAACAATGGTGGCCAAAATCGCCAGTCGAAAACCAGCAACCAAGCTCTGTACAGCACGCGCAACGGTAAACAACAACATCAACAGAACTCTGGATCTGGAAGGTACGGCAATTCCAGATACAACCATCAGTATCCTACAGCTTATGCCACTGGAAGCAACGCACAACCTTTTGTGCCCCGTCCAGGGTATGGCGCGCCAACTCCTCCACCTGCTCCGTATGGTATACCAAGTAATGTGGGATTTGCTCCTTCCTATCCAGGTTATCAGCAGCAACTGTATCAGCCTATGGGTATGCCACAAGTTCCTCCACCTCAAACACAGGGAAATCAGGCACAACTATTACAGACTATGCAAAATATGGACCCTGCAACTTTACAAAATGTCTTGTCCTTGATGCAACAGATGCAAACCCAACAACCTGGAAGTAACCAACAAACCTCGATGCCGCAAGGAAACGCCTTATCCGGCCTCTTAAATCAATTGCAGAACTCTGCACCGGGTAACGCTCCACCTGCACCATCATACTCTGGTTCGCTAAATCAGCCTTCTCAGCCTAGTAATTCCAACAATTCCGGCAGCAACAATAATCAGGATCAGACTAACGACTTGTTTGAAACCTTGGCCAGACTGAAGAATAATATGTGACGCCTTGAAAATCTGCATATTTCTCTAATTGTTATACTTCCACGGCTGTAGAATTACAGTTATTTGCTAAAATACCAGGATAGATCTATCCTTGACACGAGACTGTAGACGAGCACACAAGTAATTATAGCATGCTTCCATCCTCCGATCAAAAGTCGATCGACGGCATAATCGACGTCACCGAAGATTTTTGATAATATTTTTTGGATCTGTATTTTGCGGGAACGCTTGTTTACAAACATTGATTTGCCGTGGTTTTTTAGTTGAAGTTCACGGTCTGTGCCTGCAATTAGGTAGCAAATCGTCTGAGGAATAGCAAGAGTACGTTCATTTCAAAAGAAATAGCGAACTCGCTGCCACTTGCTTAGTCATACAAGTACACAGAGATAATGAGTGTCGCGGATCAAACAATACGACAACTTCGAGCCAATATATTGTACTCGCTAGATTATGACCTTCTATCAACTGCTGAATTCACGTCTGAACGACTTATTGCTCAAAATCCTAATAACTTAGACAGCATTCATCTCTATGCGTTAGTGCTATACAAACGCAAACGCTACAAAACGGCCTACAATCTGACAGCCGGTTATAGCGTACAGCATGTTGGCTGCTCATATATGTTTGCAAAATCGTGTTTGGAACTAAAGTGCGAATCTGACGGCATATCAGCGCTAACGAGAACCTTACCCCTCTGGTCTCAGCTCAGTCGAGCGGATGAGACCGATTCCAGATATATGCCAGATAATGTGGCCTGCTACATTCTTTTGGCTAAGCTCTATGCCTCTGTTGGAGACGTAAGACGCAGTGCGCTGAACTACTCTCAAGTCCTCAACATCAATCCCTACATGTTCGAAGCATTTGAAGAGTTATGCAAAATGGGCGTGAAAGTCAAAGTGAACTCTATTTACAAAGTGAATACCATTGATGAGATTTCAGGATCACTATTTAAGAATGTACAACCTACATCTGGAGATCAGAAAAAGGGAGGTTTTGGTTTCCCTGATCAGAAATCCGACAGCAGACCTTTTTTCAAGACTCCGGCACATTCAAGCACTGGGTCAGCAAACGGTGGAAGTGTTGCGCAGACGCCAGAGCAGCAAAATCATACGATGTTGGCGACTCCCAGGGTAAAACAATTGCAAGTGCCAGACGCCCCAAATCGAAAAGCTGCAAAGAGCTCCAATTTTGAGGGATTCAAACATCCATCAGCCCCAACAGACTCCATACGCCGGAAGTCTTCAAGAAATTCAGCATCTATCACATCAAGGCTATTGGGGCATCCCTTGAATACACTTACAGATTCGAACATCACCGCGACAAGTGGAGTGACGGGGGCATCTACAACAGGCTCACAGAATTCCAAACGTGAGGGAGCCGGGAACAAGCGAGTCATTGGCTCAACATTCTCAAATACTGGTGCAGTGGGGAACGAGACAAAACCAGACATTCTTCAGAGATCAAATGACCAACAACTTCTGGCAACTTACGCTAAACTTGCGAAAGGCTTCAAAGCAATGTGTTTTTATGACTGTTTCAAAGCAATCAGAATATTTGACTCGCTTCCAGATAATGAAAGGAACACTCCCTGGGTTCTGGGAAAGCTAGGACGTTTACATTTTGAGATTGTGAATTATGAGGAAGCCGAAAATTATTTCATCAAATTGCGCCAGCTTGACAGAACGCGGATCGAGGAGATGGAATACTATTCTACATTATTATGGCATTTACATAAGGAAATGGATCTAAGTTTCCTTTCGCACGAGCTCCATGAAATCTCCAAAGACTCGCCAGAGGCTTGGATTGCTGTGGGGAACTTATTCTCGCTGAATCGAGAACCAGATGAGGCAATAAAATGTTTCCAGAAAGCCAATCAAGTGGACAAAAACTTTGCATACTCTTATACTTTACAAGGCCATGAATATTTGTCTAATGATGCATTTGAGAATGCACTGGAATGCTTTAGACACGCGATACTGCTCGACAAAAGACACTATAATGCATTCTACGGAATTGGTATGGTTTATCTGAAGTTAGGAGATTTCCGAAAAGCAGAGTTTCATTTCCGGAAGGCTGTTGAGATAAATCCAGTGAATGTGATTCTTATATGCTGTGTGGGGATGGTTCTTGAGAAATTGGGCAAGAAAGAGCAAGCTTTAAGACAATATATCTTTGCATCTCGTCTACAGCCTTTGTCAATGCTGGCATTGTTCAAAAAGGCTCAAGCCTTGATTTCACTAAAAAGATACGACATGGCCCTCAAGGATTTTGAGAAACTTGAGAATCTGGCTCCAGATGAGGCTTCCGTCCATTTCTTGCTCGGAAAACTCTACAGGATCTACGGACGGAAAAACGATGCTATTAAACAATTCACTATAGCTTTGAACCTGGATCCTAAGGGCTCACATTTGATTAAAGAAGCCTTGGAAAGCTTGGAAGACGAGGAAGATGTTGAAACTACTGGCCATGATTCCTAAAAGCATGGAATTAATTTATGTAACACGAAAATGTATTTGCGTACACAGCTCGATTAATGAGTCGTCCCCAACAAAAGAGTAGCAGACAAGCATATCGTCATCACGATGAATCCCCAAACAAGCAACAACAATCCTGAGTACTTTAATATCCATTCCTTTGTAGACAGCCGAGCGCTATCTTCTCCGATCAGTTTGTATGCGAAAAATCCTGGCAGAATAAAAGAGATGGATGTTGAACCTGTGGAACCCACAATCGCTAGCACGTGAGCAAGCGACTTGACTGTGATGGCAACAATGTAGGATGAAACGACGATTGTTGTAGTGATCACTACAAGTTTTGTGTTTGTGAGTTCCACATAATGATCACCTTCATTTTCCTCGTCTGTGGCGAACGAGTCATCGAAAAGGGCTGTTCCATTCAGAGGTGAAGCCTGGGATATTAGATTTCGACGCTCTTCCGCGGTCATGAGTGTTGAGCTAGTCGTGGATCTTGACAGAGACCGTATGGAATTTGCCAAGTTTGAGTCATTTATGTAGTAAGCGACGTGATTTATTGAGGCCCTAGCCGGATTTGACTGTAACGGATAGCTTAGAGTGACGAGGATCACGATGGCAATCCTTCCAATTGTAGATGAAGCTGAGTTTGGGTACATGGCAATTATATTCCCAGACACAGTATCCCCGAATGTAAGATAGCCAGAAAGACCAACAATGATATAAAGAAGACACGCTGAACCGATTGATACAATATTCATTTTGGTAACACTGGCTAAGGATCGATCGTGAAGCTCGTTGATAATCCCTAATTGATTTTGATGGCACGTAAATCCGAATACGAGAATTGGAAATGAAGACAGAATAGCAACCACTGAATTTGGCTTCAGTAAGTGAACAGGTCCTTTAATAATATCTTCCTTTCCTCCACTCCATATGTGCACGAAATGGACCACGACTAATATTACCAAGTACCCAACTGAAGAAAGAGCAACAAGCGATGCAGTCTTGAGAGAGTCCAGCTTTCTTTTGTAGACAAGAGGCAATATGGCAGCCAGAAACAACGTAATCCACAATGTTCGGCTTAGTACCCAAGGATGAGTTTGCAGGGTATGATCCGAGCAAATGGAATCCATGATTTGAGGCATGAGGTCCCCTACCACAATCAAATAGGAACAAGCTACACCAAAACATTTGATAGCGATCGCAAGGTCAAAGACAATCCCAAGCTGGGGCACCGTGAGCTTCGACAGAGAAAAAAATGACGCATGGCCTGGTATCGTGTACGAAGCTGATATCGCCAAAAGGTATAGACCAAGACCAGATGTGAATGCCGAAAACAAGACGAACAGCACTCCCAATAACACACCGTCGCATTTGATGGCATAGGGCACACTAAGAAGACCGGCCCCCAGGATAGTGTTCATGAGGTTGATGGTACCGGAACGCATTGTCGCGCCTCCGTGTGAGCTATTCAGCTGAACCATAATCAAATAGATAATTTAATAAGATTTTTCCTATGTACATACAAACCTTAATATCCTTTTCTAACAGCGTTCCGCACCACACCCAGTAATTTTCTAACCCCGGCATCAAAGCGGGTTTTCTTGGTTTTGATTCTTTGCTGTAACTTCCTCTTGCTTGGTTTCAAGTAAAATCTCTGTTCGTAATATGTGCTTCTGAGCTTGGTGGATTGGGCCATTACCTCCAATCTCTTGATACTTCTCATGAGGTCTCCTTTTTTGACCATGATGGAGCGTCCGGCATGTGCTCCATCAAGAGGGAGCTTGGTAGCATATTCAAGGCAGTTTGGCTCTTTAAAAGCTCCACTCACGGAAAAACTGCTCTGTCCCAAGAACGATGTTTTGGTGCCAGAGCCTGTCTGTTCGTTTTTATTGATTCCACTTAGAATAGCCAAAGGATCTGTTTTTGGGCTTGACGAGTTATATCTAAGAGCATGTGGTGCTCTTCCAAGTACTTTAGGACGTAAAATACCGAGCATCATTACAGGAGGAATACGGGTATTAATTTTTTTCTTCAAACTCTGTAGTTGGTGCTAACAAGAAGAAATATTGGAAAAAAATATTTTAAGGCGATTTTCAAGAGAGTCATGAGTACAGAGCCAAATAAATTAGCCAACCAAATTGAAAAGGTAGCTCTTGAAGAACCTGCTGGTGAGGATAACTTGAATGAATTAGCTGTGGAGAGCAACAACGGGGAGAAGAAAAAGAAGAAGAAGAAGAATAACAAAAAGAAAAAGGGCGGTATCAATCAGTTCTTCCCCGACGGTGTGTTCCCTGAAGGAGAGTGGCAAGAGTATACCGGAAGCGAAGAGAACTTGAAGAGGGTCACTGACGAGGAGAAAAGATATTTAGATCGTCAGGCCAACAACAAATGGAATGAGTTTAGAAAAGGAGCAGAGATTCATAGAAGAGTGAGACAGACCGCTCAAAAGAACATTAAACCTGGAATGACAATGACTGAAGTGGCGGAGTCAATTGAGAATAGTGTCAGGGCCTACAGCGGTACGGACGATAGTTTAAAGGGAGGAATGGGATTTCCTTGCGGTGTGTCTCTCAACCATTGTGCTGCACATTACACACCTAATGCTGGGGACAAAGTTGTTCTTCAATACGACGACGTTATGAAGGTTGACTTTGGTGTTCATGTTAACGGACATATTATTGATTGTGCCTGGACTCAGACTTTCAACGAGAGATACGACCCTTTGCTGGACGCAGTGAAGGAGGCCACAAACACTGGTATTAAGACCGCTGGAATTGATGTGAGAATGACGGATGTCGGAGAGGCAGTCGAAGAAGTGATGGAGAGCTACGAAGTTGAACTTGACGGAAAAGTTTATCCTGTTAAATGCATAAGAAACTTGCAAGGACACAACATCAAACCGTACCAAATTCATGGTGGAAAGTCTGTGCCTATCGTGAAGAACGGTGACACAACTAAGATGGAAGAAGGAGAGACATTTGCCATTGAGACGTTTGGATCAACAGGCAAAGGCTATGTTGTTCATGGCGGCGAATGCTCGCACTATATGAAGAATTTGGACGCACCTCCTAATGCCCCTATTAGACTCGATAGGGCCAAGAAGTTGATGCAGGCTATTGACAAGAACTTCGGCTCTTTGCCGTTCTGTCGCAGATATCTTGATCGGATTGGCGAGGAAAAATATTTATTAGCATTGAACCAGTTGTGCAGGGCGGGATTAATCACAGAGCATCCCCCGCTTGTTGACGTTAAAGGTTGTTATACGGCACAATACGAGCATACAATTTTGTTGCATCCAACAAGAAAAGAGGTTGTTTCAAGGGGTGATGACTATTAAAGCTCATCTTTGAGCATAGATCTGATGGTTGATGTCGCTGTTTCAAATTCCGTTGATCTGTTCGGTTCCGAGAACGTGGCAGTGACTGCCATCATCGTATCCCTCATGGATGCTGTCAGTTCCACAATTGGATCTTTTGCTTTGAATGAAGTTGCGCCCCAGAAAATCGCAGTCAAAGTCTTGTATAGTAGCCAGATGAACAATCTGATCGGTTTTCGAAAGATCCTTTTGTATAGTATCCAAATGCAGACTGTACAGAAGATATATAAAGAGCTGTAAATCTGTTTTCTTTCTTTGGAACTTGACTCATTGATAGTCCTCACCAATTTGTTTGACCTAACAAGAACGTCTGTGAAATAACTGTACTTGCTCGATAGGTTTGTCAGGGAGTTTGTTGAATGTGCAAGATCTGAGATATTCATTTCACTGGCCAAAAGTGATGACTGTAGCAACTGATTTACACTTTGTAGTTTATTCGTAAGAGCCGAGTTCTTGTCCAGCAGCTGTTCTTCCTTTGTGAGTTTTTTTAGGTTATGATCATCCAAAATGGGCTCGTTCGTCAGCTCATCAATTTGCTCTTCTTCGTCTTGCACTGTCCAAGATTTTGAGGACAGCAATAACTCTCTGAAGTCCACTCTCACATCAAAAAAACGCTCCTTAAGTAGTGCGAACTGATACTCTGTGTTCTTGTACGTATCTCCAGACACGCAATCAAGTTTCGCTGCTATGATGTTTTCGAGCTCTTCTAGTTTTTCGTACAGTTCTGTTGTTTTAGCCTGAGTGTCTAGACGGATAAACTCCAAGTCCGTGTCTTTTGTTATCTTCAAGTGCTTGAACTCATACAAGTTGTATTGAAGATCATTGAGTATGTGCTGGAAGTCTAGAAGATCATGATTTAAGGCCAAATCCATGCTATGAAAGACTAAAGAATATGAGTACTAAAAAGATGTAAGGATGTGGAGGGTCTCGTAAAATAAATACCGGTGGCGAACCAAAAAAACATACTTACAGATATGATTATCGATACATTGTCGTCTGGAGTTCGCAGAATTCCCGATTTTGAGGTTGCACAAAATGTTTACCTTGTTCAGCAAGGCTTTGGAGACGATGAGCTTGTGTACAGAATCCTTGAACAAATCAAGGAACAGCAAATGGCTCCTTACTATGACTACATAACCAATGAATTGAAGATACCAGGACTCAAGTTTGACAAAGACTTATATGATAAATTGACTCAGCAGAACACAGAGACAGTTTCTGACTTGAAAAAGCAGCTAGAGAAGCTTGCAGAGGACGATGAAGGAGAATTGGAGATTTTGAAAGTTTGGACAGACCTTCTAGAGTATTATGCTGCGATTGGTGACAAAACCAACGCGCTTACCACCTATCAAAAAACTTTCGAGCTGGCACCATCTACAGGCTCAAAAATCGACTTGGTTTTGACCATTGCAAGAATTGGATTCTTCTTCGATGATAAACTGTTCACGAAGAAATACCTAGACGAAGCCAATATTTTAATTGAGAAGGGTGGAGATTGGGAGAGACGAAATCGGTACAAGACGTACTTGGGAATTTACCTGATGTCTACTAGGAAGTTTGAAGAGGCATCCAAACTCTTGATTGATTCACTGGCTACCTTCACATCCACTGAGATATCCACCTATGAGCAGGTGGCTCAATATTCACTGATCTGCGGTGCTATATCTTTGGAAAGACCAGACTTGCGTAAGAAGCTGATCGAATCGCCAGAAATTCTAACTATCGGTTCTAGCTCTCCCGAGTTAGCTTCGATTTACAATCTAATCAAGTCGTTGTACTACTGTGAGTATCAAGATTTCTTCCCAAATTTGATCAAGACGCATGATGAGATTTTGGTGAAAAATAAATATTTGCGTCCTCACACTAATTTCTACATGAGAGAAATCAGATGTAAGGCATACTCTCAATTGTTAGAAAGCTACAAGTCTTTGTCGCTTAAATCAATGGCGGAAAGTTTTGGCGTTTCCGAGGACTTTTTGGATCAAGATCTCTGCAAGTTCATTCCTAATAAAAAAATCAATTGCATCATAGACAAAGTGAATGGTATTGTCGAGACGAATAGGCCTGACAACAAAAACAACCAGTATCACGCACTTATCAAAAACGGGGATTCTTTGTTGACCAAACTTCAAAAGTATGGTGCAGCGGTGCGTCTAAGTGGTGCAGAAAAGGTGTAGTAGAATTAAATGAGTGTTGAAAAAGATGAGAAAAATGCGGTAGAAATAAAACGTAAATAGTGTACTACCTCAGTCTTTGAGTCATTCTTTTTGAGCCTGGTGGGCCATCTTCCGTGCCCAAAACTCTGTTGTCGCTGATTTTGCCCAAATTTTTAGGCCTTCTCGAGTCTGCCTTAGCCTGTTTCTTGGTGGGATCTGGGTTGGACTTGGGCTTTGATCCTGCTTGGTATTCTTTGTTACGATCATTCAAGTTGCGGCTCTGCTCTGATGATGTGAATGAAATATCGTCGGATTTTTTGTAGGCCAGCAGCGGTGTTTCCTCAGGCTCTTCCTTTTTTGAAGCGGGCTCATCAAACACCTTTATATGCTCATCCTTGACAATCGTTTCCCCTTCTTTTACTGCTTCTCTATTCTTTGTTTCAGTTGAATCACCCTCCTTCTCCAACTTGTCACCAAGGTGACCTTTTTCTTTGTTCACCTCCGACGAGCCTGCGCCTTCATTATCTAATTTTGATAACTCCTTTGAAATTGCCTTGATCTCCTCGCGATCCTCTATCTCCTGTTCTTCCTTTTTCGCACTGGTGCTATCTTGTGGAACTATAGACCCTGGTTGATTGCTTTCGAGAACGAATTTGGAGTCTGATGTGGTATCTTGGTTGTTACTAGGATCCTGGGCTTTTCCAGTCTCCGGTTTCGTCAAATGCTTGATCTCGTGGATCCCAACGTTAGGTTCTCTAGGCACCATGAACATGACACCTAAGACGAGCAGACAGGCCAGTGTGAGAACTACAACCTTATTTTTTGAGCGGCTAAAGAGTGAACTCATCTTTGAAACAAAACTTGAGATTACCCCGGCTCTTAGTCTAATTTGAGAAAATACGAGTTCTGCCTAATTTTATTATTCGTGCATAGGTTGGCTGCACCCAGGATTTACAGAATAGTTGATGCTGGTTTCCAAACTTGGACAGAATTGTCGTCGGAACAACTCACTAGCATATTGGCATCGTGCGGGTTCCAGTCAAGGTCATTCACGCCAAGCATGTGTCCCCCATGAACGAAACGCAATTCTTCACTTGGGTCACAAGACCAATCCCATAGTTTGACAGTACCATCCGAAGATCCCGTTGCAAGTAGTGATCCATTGTCCGGGTTCCAAGACGCGCAAGTGAGCGCTCCATTGTGCGACTTGTTGACTATTCTCACCGGAGCCTCTAAATGTCGTAGATCGTGGAGAGAGATGTTTCCTGTTTCGGTTCCTATGGCACAGCCAAACTCATTGACTCGACTGAATGCTACCACATTGATCGGAGAGTCCGACAGAGTTCCCTCTTTGACGCAACTCATGTGAGCCCTGGTATCGAAAATCTTGAGCTTTTTGTCGTCCCCCACCGTTCCTATCAGATTCTGGTGAAAATAGAGGTATTCTAGACAATTGACTCCGTAATCATGGGCAGCAGCCGTCTTAGTCGGCCGAAGAGTCGAGGTCTTGTATTTGCGTTTCTGGATCTCAAGTCCAGTGGCAGTCGTCGGGGCTGACTTTCTGTCAGGAGTATTTTTTTTGAACTTGGTAACATCCCATAAAGCTATCGTACCGTCTGAGGAGCCAGAAGCCAATTCTCCTTCTTTGTATCTGTTCCAGTCGAGCCCCCATCCTTCGCTTTGGTGAAACTCCAGCTTGATGTCAGAAAAGTCGTCGCTGTCGTCAATCTCGTCCTCCGTAAAGTTGTTTGGTTTCTTGGTGCGATCAAACATATATAAATGTCCCTTGTTGGTGATAGTCGCTATTAAGTCTGGATTCCGCGGCATGTAGCGGGCCCTATTAATCTCTCCTCTGTGAGGAATCTTCTGTACCAGCGACATTTTGGTGGCATGCCAGTCATTGCGCTTGGCAATGAACTCATTTTTCATTGGATCATAGTCTGTTGCGATATCCACAAGCTTGGCTGATTGCCGGAGCGTTTTCAGTCCGTACAAATTAAGACTTTCGCATTTACTGAAACCGCTCGAATGTGATCCCAGCAACAAGCGATGTTGCTGGTAATCTGTATCTGCAATATCCTCTAAATCTGGAAACCATTGGACTGTAAGACTGGGCCACAACAGAGATGTAGTTTGAATATAGTCGTACAGCAGTGGCGCATTCTTTTTCCATATGAAGTATTCCTCGCGCCTCTGTTCACCTATAGGGTCGCTTTCAAAAATCCCTACCCTCTCTGGTGAGCCCTGTGTGGTCTCTTTCCAGTTAGAAATAGCTTCGGCCATGGTTAATTTTTCAAAACGCGTGTATTTTTCGTGTTATTGGTGCACGGGCGCGATTGAAATCCTATGGAACCCGAGACAGAAGAGGCACTGCTAAGTTGTCGTGAGAGACTCTACGAGACATGTATCAGAGACTTGTCTAGTAATGGCCGCAAACAAGTCTACTCTGACAACATGAGTTTCGAAGATCTAGATAATTGGCGGAGGGAGGTTATGCCAGAGATACTCAGAACACGGTACATCAAAAAGCAGAGAATGTGGCTTGAAAAGGCTGAACTGGAGAAGCTCATGGAGTGGAAACTGTCCAGAGGAAAATTTCGTCCCACGCTGCCAAAGCTGATTCAAAGCAATGATCCAGACAAAGTTCGAGAATTTAGTGAACAGGCATTCAATGTGATAATTGACTACTGCGACTCGGGGCACGATAACGACAGTGAATTCATTAGCGTAGTGAGAAAGTCTATGGAATTTGTTTGCAAACTAAGGGGTGTGGGCCCAGCTACATCCACGATAATCTTATCACTAGCAGGTCCAACTTTGCGGAAAACTACTGATTTTGGTCTTCGGGACACCCCTTTTTTCTCAGATGAGGTGTTTGAGATCCTCAACCAGGACCATGGCAAAATCAAATACTCTACAAAGGAATATCTTGAGCTTCTCCTGCCCAAGCTACTGCTGTTCAAAACACGAGAGCTTCAAAAAATTGAGGAAGCTCTATGGTGTCTTCGCAGAGCAGACAAGATTCATGGAAAACTGGATGACGCACTAGCTAATCTTTTGATCTCCGTCCGTAGGGGAACACGAGCTGATCAAATGGTGACCGAACCTCCATTAAAACGCCGCAGAAAATAGCTAGAAATTGTGGTCAGACTTACAAGAAATCTGTTCTCCTCGTTTTATGCGACACCGTTGACTTTGTATTTTAGGCTGCTGCAACCCCTGAGAGTTTTTTTTTGGGGACCTTGAAAATAAATACCGGATCAAAAAAAATAAACACGCTCATTATTTGAACACGATGGGAAGATCAAATCCGGTGTCACTATTCAACCCATTTGCTCTCAGTACCTTTGGTATTTCCTCTATTGGATGGATCATCACCTTTGCAGGATGTATTGCTACAAACACCCAAAATAGCGGTTTCCCGAAGTTCGCATGGTGGGCAGTTGTTTTTCAACTATTGCTCTTGATCGTCATTGTCGTTCTGTACATCACGAATACCTTCCACTACCACAGATTTTTCCTAACATGTGCGATCGGTGTCGCATTCGTGTACAACTCCAACGCGACAAACAACTTAGTTTACGACACCGACTCAGCCCCAGCGGCTGCCAGCGCGGGTTTCATCATTCAGTGTATTGTCAATATACTGTGGCTATTTTACTTTGGATCGGAGCCTAGCTCACCAATTATCTCCTATATTGATTCGTTCGGGAGCAGCGAGAATTTGATGTTGTCGTCCAAACGGTCGAAATCCAACAGAAACGCCGCCGGGCAGTCTCAGATACCTCTCGATGAGCCATACAAGGACGAGACAATGGGTTATGCTGAGAGAAATTCCATCTCCAATGAGAATTCGGGCTTACATGAAAATCCTTTCAATACTCAAAACTACACTGCGCAACTCAATGGACTAGAGAACGCTTCAACCACGAATAGGGCTTCTGCATTGCCGGAAGATGATTATCCTATCACTGTTAGAGGATTATTTGATTATGACGCTAGCCCTGACGATATAAACGAGCTGTCCTTCAAGAAAGGCGACATTTTCCGTGTCAAAGACACCGTTGGAAATTGGTGGCAAGGTAAGAACTCGAAGGGTGAAATAGGTATGTGTCCAAGCAACTATCTCGAAGTCATTGGCTAAACTCTGTATTCTGTATAGTCGTATTTTAATTGGATCGTGTTTAGTATTTCGACGATCGACGCGCGTCACGAACCGAGATCCATTTCAAAGGGTCGAATTTTTTCTTGTTTACAATTTAAAACAAAACAAGGTCTAAAGCTTCCAGACTTTAATTCACCAGGCTAATATAGACAGCGGCACATTGCCGTTTTTCAGATTTCTCTTCTTATCAAGCTGAGGTTTTATCTTTGATTATCGCTGGGCAATAAAATTTTGCGCCCGATATTAATTTAAGTTCACGCTTACAACTACGCACCGCCTGAACAGCTACATCCTTTTCCTCTGTTTTCGGTCCAATTCTTGAGTCTATAGTGGCACTGCCTGTTTATGTGGCCTGAGCACGGACTAAATCGCAAAAGTATACTACAATGGCTGAATTGCACCGAAAAATAAGCAATCTCTCATCGCCGTCCTCAATAAACAGACTAACACCGTCGAACTCTTCAAATATAACAACAATTCCACCCACGTCGCGAGGACACTTCAATAGCCAAATCTTCACGAATAGCGCTGAAGAGCAGAAATTCTCGTATGATAGCCATGCCTTTGTGGATGAAGACGACTCAGATGATGGAATAAATGAGCATCCGCCTATGCTCAGTTCATACGCCATGTCCTTGCTTGAACAAATAACGAACAAAAGCCATACAATAGATCAAAAGCGCGATTATGTTGACTACAAGAACGTATTTGATGAACACCAGATCCAGACGAATGAACCTGCAAGTGAACTATCGCAGCTCGACACAAGCAGACCTTCCAGCCGTCGATTTAGTTCTTTCAACTCAAATGCAATCCAGCAGCCTTACTCGCTTCTCAATACAAAGCGCTTTGGCGCGGGGATAGACATGGCTGATACCAGCGCCACTAAAGCTCGCCAGTCGCTTAGATCGGCACGATCGCTGTCCAAATTTGGACTTGGAGCTCCTAAACGCCTTTCTGAAAGTGAGCTCAATGAGCTTGCTCATACGCCAAAGCAGCAGAGCAGGTCTCCAACGTTGAATGCTGCAACACACAATGACGAGGCGAAACATACAATAACTACTAATATGTTTACTACGTCCATGAAGACAAATACCGCTCCCACACATTACGATGCGGAACATAATGAAGAGAACTTTGTGATAGGAAGCAAACACACCTACGTCCAAACGCCCAAGCATGAAAGAACAAGACCCGTTTCATCATGTTCCCCAAGGATAAAGCGAAATAATAATAGTGAAACTCCTTACAAATCCACTCTTCAAATAAAGCATGCGACCAAAACCACTAATGACCTATACACGGAAGTCAATCAACGCACACCTACCAAATCACCTAATATAGATCATTATGCAACTCCAGAGCAGGGTCGAAAGGTTTTGACTCCACTTTCACAATCTCGCTGGAATCAAGAAAAAAACGGCGTTTTCAACTTCCATGAAATGAAGGAAAGACTTACTCCGGCAAGGAATTCGCTTGGAAATAGTAACGCAATGGATGATCGAGTGAGAGTATCTCGAAGCAGCATTTCAGATGAACACAAGGAATTGTCTGTATCAAAAAGATCATGGGAAGCAGGCCCATATCGGAGCACGAATCAACCGAATCGTGCGTATGAAATCGAGAAACCAAGCAATATCCTTACAATCAATAAGCAAGATTTTGAGTGTCTAGAACAGATTGGCAAGGGAGGTTCATCAAGAGTTTACAAGGCCCGTGCTGTCAATGGGAAACGAGATTATGCTATCAAAGTTGTCACTTTCGATCAATTTGATGAGGGTGCGATTGCAAGTTTCAAGGGAGAGATTGAGATTTTGAAGAAGCTTAGGGATCAGGAAAGAGTTGTCAAACTAATAGACCACAGCTTGAAGGATGGATCGCTTATGCTCGTGATGGAATGTGGTGATATAGATCTTGCCCATGTCCTTGCAAATCGCTCTAATTTACCCTTTGATCCAAGTTTTACCCGATATCATGCTGTTGAGATGGTTAAGTGTGTGAAAGCGGTTCACGATGCGGGAATTGTTCACTCGGATCTAAAACCTGCCAACTTTCTATTTGTCAAGGGTACACTGAAACTAATTGACTTTGGAATCTCCAATTCGCTCTCTGACCACACAGTCAATATTTATCGTGAGTGCCAAATCGGTACTCCAAATTATATGGCCCCCGAAACTCTTATTGAAGTGAATAATACTTTGAAAGGAGACAGCCTAAACGGAACATGGAAGGTTGGCAAACCTGCTGATATATGGTCATGTGGGTGTATAATCTACCAAATGGTTTACGGCAAGCCACCGTATGCGAACTATACTGGCAATAAACGAATATTGGCAATTACGAATCCAAAGGTTGAAATTCAGTATCCGCGAGTTACTGCAGATGGAACAAGGGTTAATGGGCTAGTCATTGATACCATTCAGCGATGCTTGAAAAGAAACCCATCTTTGAGGTCCAATGCAGATCAGTTACTGGAAACGGATTTTCTCAAACCCAAGGTAGTTACCCATAAGTTCATTGATGATTTGGTTCGCAACGCAGTCAAATATGGGAACACGCATCCGAACGTTTCGGAGCACAAGCTTGACATTCTTGTTGAGGACGTGTGGAAAAAGGTTAACGAATATAGTTGACTGTATAATATAACTACGGCATCACTAAATCCTTTTTCTTGAAATAATTTACAACATACCCTTTATCTTGGACCCAATTTCTCCAAAACTCTAGGGCCTTGTTCTTCCCACTCCTGTTTGCTGATCCACATATGGTCTTTGTCTGCCATGATGTTTGCCAAGACAGCACCACCGATAAAGACCATGTGTTTTCTCCTTGGCGGATCTTCGATTCTAACCTTGAACTTGTCGAGTCTGGAAGCATCGCCTTTCAGAACCTTTGTAAACCATTGTTGTTTTAATTCCTTCTCGAGTCTTGAAGGAAGACCAGGATACATTGACGATCCTCCACTGAGAACAATAGACTTGAAAAGAGTTGATCTAACGTCAACGTCACAAGACTGGATTGTGTTGAACAAACATTCTCCAACACCGGGCTGCTCTATATCTGTCAGAGATGGCTGGAACAAACACTCTGGGGCCTCGAATCTTTCAGAACCAATCTTGATCACTCTTCCGTCTGGCAGTTCAAAATTCTCCACGAGAACTGTGGTTTCGTTGGCTAGTTTTGTGTCAAAATCCAAATCATACGAGACATAGCATAGTTTCTCTTTGATCTGTCTAACGGTCTCAAAATCTGCGGTTCGGTTGAAAGCGTATCCCCTTCTAAGTAATAGGTTAATAAGGTTTCTGGTGACATCTCTGCCTGCAACATCCAGTCTTCTGGTCAAATGGTTCAGAACAACGGACTCGTACACGGGAACAATGTGTGTCACACCGTCTCCCGAGTCAACCACAACACCGGAAGAGAGACCCTGAGCATAGAGAGCAAGAACCGCCTGGATAGCAACGTAGACTCCGCCAAAGTTGTATTTCTCAAACATCACATCGCACATTGTCTCCCTATTTTTCAGCGGGTTCATTGGTGGCTCGGTCAATAGCACTTTCTGTCCTGTCGTGTCAATCTTCATTCTCTCATAAAATGCATAATCCCAAAGGTGTTCCATGTCTTCCCAATTTTTGATAATTCCGTTCTCCATTGGGTAAGATATTTGCAGGGCAGATCTCACAGCGGACGCTTCGTCTCCGCACATGATATCCTTGATTTCAATGTCTCCCGTGCGCTCCTCAGCCCTTAAAATTGGTCTTCCAACGATGGAAGGAAAGGTATGGTCTGGAAAGTTCTTCCCGGCCCGTCCAATTTTCACAAAGCCGGTACCCTGATCGAGAACAATTGGCTGATCCATAGTCATTTACTGGCAACTTTTCTGCGCAATGCCTAGCTCTCAATCCTTAATTCTTACAACACACAAATAAAAAGACAAGACTTTTTGGATATGATATTTTGGGTTACACACACGACCTCTATATATGAACCTAGCCAAGCATTGATCTCTTCCGTCCTCTTAATCTAACATCCTCAAGGCGTTTGCTCACTTCTGTGTACTTGCGCTTGTTGTTTGTTTTCTTGCTATATGTCTCTTCGTAACCTTGAAGCAGCCATTTGTTGTATGTTTTTGAATAAACTGGATGAGTAGAAGTTAATGCTCGTTCCAAGACGTAAAGGTCCACAGCCTTGTCTTCTGCTAAAGGCGAATATGAGGAGAGCCCGAAATCTATGAGGGTAGGTTGCAAACCTTCTTTTTTCTGCTCAAGAAGTATGTTGGAGCTTGTGAGGTCTCCATGAACTATGTCCTGCAAATGGAGTTTTGCTATGGCCTGTCCAACTAATATCAGTACTTGCTTGACAGAGTCTGCCAAGGCAATGGATGCAGTGGTATTGCCCTCCTGTTGTTTCTCCAAATACCACAGCCAATTTTTCAAAGAGCTGATATGTCCGTTGGGAAGTTCGAAGCCCAGATATTCCATCCATATCATGCCATGTGGTGCATCGAGAGCGATTAGTTTCGGAGCTGGGATTTCCAGGGTATACAGCTTGCTAAGAAGCCTTGCTTCTGCAGCTGTGCGAGATTTTGTTAGCTGTTTATCCAGGACCTCGTGTCTATATGTTTTTGGCGGCCTATACTTGATGATGTATTTGGAAGAGTTTTGTATATCTGAAGGATGCATGGACCCTGAAAGATATGGATGCACCGTCGTCAAAAAAACAACAGCCTCGGCACCTTGCGATATCACATCTAACGGGATCCCCGAAAGATATGACTGAGCTTGAGCTACAATCGCGGAGCTCATTTGAGGTACAATTTTTTTAAATCTATTTAATTGAATAAACTAAATTTGGAGGTGCGTTTACCCACATTCTTCTTTTCGTTGTGAAGCAGCATGTGACGGAAATATGCCAGGAACTTATTTCCTTCTTTATCGCAGTCCAGCTGCTGAATCTTGACAGTTTCGTGACATTTCTCGCATTCGACACTATGGACCCTCCGCTCTGTTCTCCCGCGAGTCTTGAGATGCTTGATCTCCAATGCTTCGCCAACCATTCGAGGAAAAGGCATCTCCATTCCATTCGAATAGACACCGTGCAGTTTAGTGACGTGATGGAGATAATTGGAGTCTTTTCTTTCAAAAAACAGCTCACTGAGATCGTCAGATTGGCAATATGGGCACAGCCCCTCGCCGTCTCCTTGACCTCGTTCCTGGTGTGACTTTCTGTATCTCACAACCAATGGCTCATAGTAGTTGGCACTAGAATTTGAATACCGTGGTGGAAGGAAAATCTCCGCTTTGGGGTTTCTCTTGTAAATATATTCATCGTTTTCAGGCACTTTGCGAAATCTGGCATATGTGATACCATTGGGCTGAATATAAGGATAAAAGTGCTGATTGAGCCACTGGTTGAGCTTCTCCGGAATAGTCTCGCTGAAGGAAACTTGAATATTCGTGTACTTGGTTTTCTTACTACCCTTGTGATGTCCTCCACTTAGACATTCTTCTTTTTGCGATCCATAGTACCCTGGCGAGGCCATCTTTGATGCCTCTGCCGTCACCAGATCCCATTCGCGAAAGGTTCTCGGTTCTTCGGCAGCCGCTGAAACCAGTCTCGCTGTATTTTCTTCGATCTGGCCATCTTTAGAATAGACATAGTCATTATCGTGTGCTATGCTAGAAGTAGGGGTGATTTCCAGTGACGAAGCAGACTCTCCAAAGTCATTAAAAGTCTGAAACTCAAATATTTGGTTATCAGGAGTCGGAATGGAATCATGCTCTTGTGGTGATACTTGTGGAAACGACGTGAAACTGTCCATTATATCGAACATCTCTTGATCAGCATTCTCATTTTGCGACTCCATGTCCAGAAAGGAAAAGTCTGAATCATTCAAACTCGAGAAAGAGGAGGGAAAGTCCAACACTTGCAATTGCAATCCCTTATCTTCGAGACCATCTTGGTAGCCATTAGGAAGGCAAGCAATTTCCTCGAGACTCACTAGATCCTGCATCAGTACGATTAAAGTTTAGAGATAATTGGATGAACTGTAGGTAAAGCGAGAAAGCATAGTATTCTTATACCCTTATCCATGAAGGCGAACTGGTTTGAAAGGCGAACAGCACCTTTGACTAAATCTCAACGGTTATGCCAGTAAAATCATAATCTGTTTCCCGAATAGGTAATTCCTCGGGGAAATAAGCTGGCTATAGATTCCGGCTGCAGTATAAGCTGCCGTTGCTATACGTCAATAGGACAGTTCACTACCGGATCCGAAAAGGTGGCAAATGCATTCGCCACCAGCCCCAGAGCCATTTAATATTTACAATTTGTCTACCGCGTTAAATTATATTTTGGGCGATTACCGTTACTATTTCATTTTTGCTGTTGGCCTCCATATAGATTTCTCCACTCATCGATCTTTTTCTCATCAATTCTCTTGAACAAATATTGGGCCTTTCCGATACAGTGTCCAGGTTGGATCCACAGACCAAACTCATCGGGAATTATAAGCTCGGGAACCCTCAAAATCTCCTCTATTTGCTTGCTTGTCTCAGGCATGTAAGGTGCAATCACAGCAGAGACCAAATACACGATGTTGAGCCCAATAGCAACAACCGCGTCGCTTTTCTCTGGGAAATCGTTGTATAAGGAGTTATCCAGTTTATTCTCTTGTAGAAACAGGTTGCCTCTAGCGGAAATCATCATCGCGGACTCCAAGCCTTTTCTTAGATGCACTGTCTCCATGTCATCAACATATGTTTTCACAAGTGAATTCAAGTCCTTCAAAAGTTCAGGGTACACTTGGCAGTCCTTAGTTTTGAAAGAGGGCACCACGCCATTGTACTTGGCGATAACAAACTTAGCCAGTCTGTTGACGAAATTGCCCAGGTTTGCTAAAAGCTCGCTATTATTTCTGGTGACAAACTCATACCAAGAAAATTGGGAGTCTTGGTTTTCTGGTCTGACAGATGCCAAATAGTATCTCCAGACAGAAGGAGACACGCCAGTAGCCTCTGCATTATTACCGAAAACACCAATACCTCTCGATTTGGAAAACTTGCCTCCTTCGTACTGAAGGTATTCGGTCGTGTTCAAATGGTGTAGCATAGTCCATTTTTCCTTGGTACCAATCTCAGTAGATGGGAACACAACGGTGTGGAATGGCACATTGTCCTTGCCCATGAACTGGTAAAGTTGAACGTGCTCAGGATTTTGCCACCAGTCCCTCCATTCATCAGTGTAGTTTGCCGTAATGGAGATATAGCCGATTGGAGCATCAAACCAAACGTAGAGAACTTTGTTCTCAAACCCTTTGAGTGGCACAGGAGTTCCCCAGGTCAGATCTCTAGTGATACATCTCGGTTGCAGTCCTTCTTTGAGCCAGGAGTTCGTTATCGTTTTCGAGTTCTTGGACCACTTGCCCTTTTCTGAAGCTTCGGCAATCCACTTTCTAACCTCTGGCTCGAGCTTATCTAGCGATATGAAAATATGGTTGGATTCTCTAGGTTCTGGAGTGTGTCCATCAAGTTTGCAACGAGGATTGATAAGCTCAAATGGATCAAGCAAGTTGCCACACTTGTCACATTGATCTCCTCTAGCATCTTCATACTGGCACCTTGGGCATTCACCTTCGACATATCTGTCAGCTAAAAATCCTTTGTGAACTGGACAGAACAGTTGTTTCATGACTTTTTCTTCCAGGTATCCATTGTTGTACAATTTCAGAAACATCTCTTGGGCAATTTCGGTTTGCTTTGGTGTAGTCGTTCTCCCAAAGTGATCAAACTCAATCTGGAACCATTTGTAGACATCGGAATGGACAGCATGATATTTGTCACAAAGCTCTTGAGGAGTGACCTTATCTTCCAGAGCCTTGGTCTCAGTAGCAGTTCCGTACTCATCAGTACCACAGATGTATATCGCATTGTAGTTTCTGCGCTTGCAATACCGGGCGTATATATCAGCAGATAAAACCGAGCCCACGATGTTTCCCAAATGGGGCACATTGTTCACATATGGAAGCGCAGAGGTGATCAGGATATTTCTCTCATTTGGTTTTGGCTTCAGCTTTCCTTCCGAATGAACAACAGCACATCCTTCAACAACATTCACTCTGTTGGTGTTCTTTTCCGGAACTCTATGAGGTTTATAATTCTTAAGTGCATGGCTGATACCCTTAGCCACAGCAGGGATTTCGGAGAACGTTTTGAACCAGCCAGAGAGCTCGGTGTTGGTTTCCTTGCTCAAAAGAGGATACAATGAAGAAAACACGATGATCTGGGTAACGTCTTCTGCGTTGGCAGGGGGTATAGGCCCAATGTGAGACAGGATACTAGCGTCGATCTGATTCGACTTCAAAGCAGGATACAAGATCTTTTCGTCCTTATCGATTAGTTCGTGGTTTCCGAAAACAGAATTGTTGTGGGTCTTAGTGGCAGCAAGATATTTCACAATCGCGTTGGGTTCAATAAGCTCAAAGCCATTTTTGCTATCCTGTAAAGCCATTTGTGATTTGCCTTTAGTATCGATTTCCAGTTGCAAGCCTGGTGAAAACACAGCAGCAGCAATGGAGACTTTAAGATTGCTAACTAGCAAGAGCACTGATCCGTCAGAGGAACCAAACAACTGCAGAGACATGGATATGACTAATTCTATGTGATTGTCTTTAAATTATTTGGGGTGAGTATTTTGGGCGACAAAATTTTCATGTCGATCGTCGTCACGACAGTTCTAATTAAGAGTCCAGGGACTCAGCTATCTAGGAACAAAAGTCCGAAGAAATTCACTGTTGCCTAGTACCAAGATACAGTGCCCCCATGTTGTGGTTCTCTAGAGCCACAATTCTATTCTATACGTAGATTTGCAAGGTCGAAGCTCGCGCCCGTCAGCTGTGGCTCGCAATCTTCAGTGGACTTCTGTTTGGTATCCGAATCAGCTAACTCTGCGTTCTGTTCTCGGTCCTGCTGTTTTTCATGCTCGCCACGGTGTCTAGTCGGAGTCATAATATTCACCTTGCCGTCAGCTCCAAAATATCCTGGTGCCACCCTTCGGATATTTTGCTCCCAGTCATCGAATGGCTGAGATCGACAACTCAATGCTGTATCCCCGTATCTTTCCCTTACTTGATCGGCCATCTGCCGCTGATTTTCGCGTAGGTCATCTAATTGCAATATGAGTGCGTCTAATTCTTGCTCTTTGTATATTTGCGTGGAGGCCGGTAGTTGCTCAAAGTCGTAGGGTAGCATCACAGGATGTGGCTTGATGAACTTCCCTGGCATCACAATAAGCGGAATTTGGGACAATAGCCTTGATTTGGAGTCCGACATGATGATGTATTAATACAACACTATTTAGAATTTAGCCACCCTTACACGGGGTCTTCAAGCCTTCTTGGTTGCCTTTGCCTTGGCCTTCTTTGCTTCAGCTCCTGAAGATTTAGCTTCGACGGGGGCGGCATCTTCAGCAGTTGCCTCATACCTCTCTTTCAAATTTTTCAAATAGAATTCTTGTTTTAGTCTGGCATCTTCGAAGAAGGCATAGAATAATCCACCTTGCAACAAGACAACTCCGAGAAGGATGAAAACTATCATTGTCTCCGATGCTGCAATGACCCCCAAGCCTGTATTCTGGTCAACCTCTCCCCATTCTCCAGCAATACAGGACATAATTCCAACTTTGACGTTACTAACATAGACACAAACTGCAATCACTAATGCACCCAAGGTTCCATATTCGAAGTATTGAACATCTTCAGAAGGCTTGAATATCTTGATGAATGATCCAACGAATGCAATCGCAATCACAAAGTGGAAAGTGTAGTTGATGATAGGAGGAATTTGACCCCAGACCTTGTAGTGCTCCAAGGCAGCATCGAAAAATTCTTGGCCTTTTGTTGTGTCCCACAAAGTGTAGTAATCATAGGGCCAATTGCTGAAAAGCACACCAAGAATGAACGAAACTGAGGAGATAACCATGAAGGTACCGACAAGCACCAAGCTCTCGTATTTGACCATAATGAACTTAATTTTATTTCAACTAGTTTTTTTATCGACGCTCACAAATTTACAGGGAAGATAACGACGAGACAGCCAATCTGAAATTTAATCTGCATTATTTCTTGATATGCTTTTGGCTCAAAAATATATACGATCACGTTAAGCGTAGCTTATAAAAATTATTGTCATACTTTCTGCATTGGCCACAGGCCACAATGGTCGCACTAATACATGCCGTTTGCTGACTTGGATCACGTGTAAGCCACCAGCGCCTTTTTCTTTCTTCTCGATAAAATGGTGGCCGTGTTGAGGTTCAGTTCAAACGGTTTGGATGATGAATCCACGTCCGAAAATCCATCCCCACTCGAGCTCAGCTCGTTGTTTGATGCAAAAATAGAGTTGTCATCAATAACAGCGCCTCTGGACGACTCCTTTTCAAATTTGAGGTTTGCTTTCCTCACTTCCGGATGTATCTCATTTGGATCGGGCTCAACCATTTCGTCGTCTTCCGCAAGAGCTCCCAGTTTGGATCTTCCATTCTTATGCTGCCTCAAATACTTCTTCATGGCTGCCTCTTCTCCCATTCTATGAACTGCAGCCGAGATATCAAACGCCTCCCTCATAGCAATGGCCGCAGGCGAGTACAAGGTAGGGTTTTGTTTTGACAGGTGAGATGGAATGGCTCCTGAACTGGCAGTAGCTGGCAGTGGAGCGTAGACCATTGGCTCCTGAGAAGAGTCTGATCCAATAGATGCGCTCTGAATGCTGTAGTTCAAATCCGAAGATATCGAATTCTTCTGGTGCAAAAGTTGGTGCTGCTGTGCTTGGAAAAGCTGAGCTTGACGACATCTATTTGAAAACTCTGAAATCCACGGGTCATTTAAGAAATCGTCAATGGTATATCTTTCTCGTGGGTCAACCGTAAGCAATTTTGAAACACAGTTCTTGGCCCCGTCGCTTATTTCGTCCCACCAAGGGGATAGAAATTCGAACTCTCCTTTGGCAACTTTTTTAGTCAAAACATCAATTTGATCGTTGAAGAATGGTGGAAAACCACATAGCAGAATGTAAAGAACGCATCCTAAAGCCCACATGTCAACTTCCTCAGAGTATCTCATGTCTTTCACAATTTCTGGAGCGGTATACCCAATAGTTCCACAAGGCGTTTTCAGAGAGGCATCCGCATATATCTGTTTCGACAAGCCAAAATCACCGATCTTGATCGATCCAATTCCACCGCCGCCAACATTGGGAACGAATTCACCTTCGTCTAGTTTAGAATTCGGATCATCGCTCTTCCGCAATCTAGGAGACTTTGAGGGAATATGCTTGATAGGGTTGAAAAAAATATTTTCTGGCTTTAAATCACGGTGAACAACTCCCTTTTCCGCATGGAGATACTTGATGGCTTGTGCAACCTGAGTGATCACATGTCTGGAGAGGTCTTCACTAAAGTATGTGTATTTAACGATCTCGTTAAAAATTTCGCCACCCGACACAAGTTCCTGTACAATGAAATAGAACTCTTCTGTTTCAATGAAGTTATAGAACCTCACAATGCATGGGTGATCCAGTTGCCTCATAATTGTGACTTCCTTCAGGACTGACGCTTGCTGGCTTTTATCCAGTTGATACTTTTTTATGACCTTCACTGCGACAGGCTCGTTAGTCTGCACATCCAATGCTTTGTAGACGGTAGAGAATGCTCCTTCCCCAATCTTGTCAATCATCTGATATCTTTCCAGTGCCTGTTTTTCCGTCTCTCTCTTGCGCTGTTCGTTCTCTTCGTTGACTAGGTCTGCAGCCATCTTAGAGTATTCATCTTTGCGATGACGCCGCTTACTGGCTCCTGCTTGCTGGGAAGCAACGGGATCAGGAGAAGCCGAATTAGGGGACTCAGAAGGATCCAAACTTTGGACGCTTATGTTTTCCATACTCATCGGCCGGCTGTGCGCCTTGTTACCGGTGGGATTAGCATTTCTACCATGTCTGATGAATTGTTTGAAATTCTAAATGTTAGTCTGTATGAATGAGTCTTGTCAGGCAAGGGCGTTGTGGAACAGCAAAATCCAAATCCAAATCACTAAGCAAATGGGAGAACGGATCTCAACAGCTCCTTTCGACTTGCTTCTAACAACACCGATGGTGCAAATACGTACCAGAAACATTCTAAAGTCTAGTTATGTTGTAGAGAAGAGGATATGTGATATATCTGCGACGGTCAGAAAACAATATTGGGATTATTCCAAGATCGATTTGCGCTGCATAAACCGGTAAGTTATTTGCTACTTCTCTTTTCTTCCTTGTTCCTTCGCCATAATCGCTTAGTAATAAAAAGGCTGTGCAATATTTGTACCTACTTTGATCTTATTTTCATGCCAGGCATGTCTGTAATAGACTGCTGTCTTGATGAGACTTCCTTCTTGAGAGGCCAGTCTCCTTCTCTCATTCAATATTTGACCGTTATCGACAACGATCCAACAGTGATTCAGAAGAAGGCAAGCTCGAAAAAACGCACCATTGCTGATATACTCAAAGAGCACCATGAGTACTACGGAATTCATCCGAAACAAGAAGCCGACAGCAACCGAAGAAAGATAACTTTGCCAGAGCGTCTGATAACACTTGCCAATACACACCTAGTATGTAGATTCACAAATGCTCACGATGACCTGACTTTTGATAAATTGGCAGCGTTGTATTGCGCTTCCAAAGAACCAATTGATAATCCGCCATTCGAAGTGAGCCTCAAGTTGCATGGTGAAACGTTAGAGGTATGGACTTTACCCCGCGGGAAACAGAAGTCATTGCTGTTGTTCAAATTGCAAGTCAGCAGCCAGTACGCACCTTTCTTGTCGGCACAGATGAATTTTGCAAGAAAGGCCCCGAAAATTGACCCCATTCGCCTTGAAAAGCCCACATTGCGCCTCCAGGTCGTTCTTGACCACGCGAATCGGGGCTTTTCACTCTACATTGACATTAATTTCAAGTTAGAAATCCAAGAAACGGTGGATTACAGATACCCCTTGGATGCTATCAAGAAAATCCGCGAGCTCAGCCCGTTTATTTTCACCCCCATATTGACGCCCTACCAAAAAGCTTACTCCTCCAAGCCGTTTCCAAAACCAACAGAGTCTTCATTCTACGATTTAATAACCAGAAACACGGAAAAAATGGCCTACGACAACGCAACACTGGACATCCCTGACATTCGCAAGACCTTGATGAAATTCCAGCAGCAGACATTGTGCTGGATGCTTCGACACGAGGGTGTCTGCTTCAATGAGATGTCGAAAAGAATTGAGAGGTTGCCACCAGTTGAGTATTCGCCTGATGATTCTAACACGATCTCCGAAGCATTGGACCAGGTAAGTTTTGGCTGGTCATACATGAAGATGGTTGACTCTGATTCATACATTTGGTATAATTCATATACAGGCAATATTGTCTCCACGGAAATAGCCATCGCCTATCTGTCTCAGTATAACCAATTTCCAAAGAGCGCCAAAGCATTGCTTTCCGAAGAGATGGGCCTAGGGAAGACAGTCGAAGTGATTTCACTCATTTCGGTCAATCCAAGAACACAACCTTATGGGGAAACGAAGATTGACAGCTTCAATGGAGGAAGATACATTACAGAGGCCAAAACTACCTTAATCATCTGTCCGCAGTCCATTATCGGTCAGTGGAGACAGGAAATTGAGGACATATCTACAACCCTGAAGGTTATGATATACGAGGGTATATACAACTACGAGAGGGAAGCTGAGAATTCAAATACGAGACTCACGCCTTCTGATATGGCCGCCAAGATTCGAGAGCATGACATAGTGCTCGTTTCTTATCATACAGTTTCGCGCGAACTACACAGGGCTATTTTCAAGCCTGTTGCAAGACCTACACGGAAGTGTGCAAAAAGAATAAAGCTCACACCAGGGGGCGCTGATTCCAAGGAAATTCCAGAAGTCAAGATGGAACCTGACGAAGTGGAATTTGAGGACACTCAATACGAGAGGACGGATTATTCTTCGCCGCTAATGTTATGTGAGTTTTGGAGAGTTGTTCTTGACGAGGTGCAAATGACTGCAAGCATGACAGCAAATGCCTCGAAGTTTGCCAGGATCATTCCCCGCGTACACTCTTGGGGTGTTTCAGGAACACTGATAAAAAATAATTTGAATGATCTCTACTCGCTTTTAAGTTTCTTAAGACTAAGCCCCATTGACTTATACTCCATTACCGGAGAAACCTCTCCGTGGCTCAGTATAGTATCAGAGGCTCCATATTTTCAATTTCAGAGGCTTTTCAAAAATATCTGTCTTCGTCACACAAAAAAAATGGTGGCAGACCAAATCAAGCTCCCTTCGCAAAGAAGAATTTTGCTCCGTATGCCTTTTAGTGTCATTGAACGTGATAACTACGATAACTTGTTTGCAAATTTTCTTCGTCAAGTGGGACTCAATGAACAAGGCGAGCCCGTAGTTGATGACTACGATCCAGCAAGATACTATACCTCAATGCGCCACTGGCTGATTAGACTGCGTCAGGTATGCTGCCATGCTCAGCTGGGATCGAGCGCCAGCAGTAGGCGTAGGTTAGGAGGGATATTTTTCGGTGACGATAATGGGAGTGACAAATCAGGTATCATTTTGGGAACGTTGGACGATGTTCTTTCCAGTCTCAAGAAAACTACTTTTGACGAATATGTGTCAGGAGAAAGAAATATATATAGTTTGCAATTGAGACGAGGAAAGATATACGAGTTTTTGAGACTTCCACAGAAATCAATGGAGATATTTGAGATGATAATGCCCGACATTGAGCTAAAAGTCAAAGAATTTCAAGACTCAGGTGAAGAAAATAATGCCAAATTGCGGTCGTGGTTGGAACTGCTATATCAAACATATTTCCTCTATGCTTCCTCTCATTATCAGCACTATCGGCCAATGCGACCAATGCCAGATGCGTTTGACAGCAAGGGACAAGTTCCTGATGTCGAGGAAGATGTGCTGAATCCCGTTGAAGAGGTCGATTTAAATACTCTATCTGAAGATGAGAGGTCACATTACCAGATTGAAAACGAGTATTACAGAAAGGCGGACGATTTACTTACACAAATTCTTCAAGAGCCTATTGTCAAAGTCAATGAGGCGATTTCCAAACTCATCGACAAAATCAGCACCTATTCAAAATACAAGTTCCCCAATAACGCACACAAGAAGACATATGCCGCTGTTTTAAAGGAGTTTGATTTGGACATTCCAAATGATCTTTGGAAGGTCTGCAGTAATGAGTCGGTGGATTTGGGTGAAAATTACGGTCACTCAATGCACGCACAAATGTACCATGAAAGACTTTCTAAGACAATCTCTGACCTTAATATACAAGGACACATTATCAATGTTTGGATCTCCAAGTTAGTGGATTTGCTAAAGGAGCCGGTGACTAAGGACGAAGACAATCAGAATACGGGTGAAGAATACGGTGCTTCTCTCATAAATCAAGAGCTTGCGCATACCTATTTAGAAGAGTTACAGCTGATACTTGAGGACCGGGAGAACGCAATGATATCTTTTGACGACTCTTCTCAGAAACGAGGGAAGATGGTAAAGGAGAAGATCATTGTAAATGTGAATCAGCCTACGAATTACGATCTTCACGTTCATTTGGACAAGATCAGAAGAGCTGTCCTTCCTGAAGGGGCATACAACTCAAAGTTTTGTCTGCGGACGCTCACAACAGAAGCCCAAAATCTAGTTCTGGACTTTCAGAAATATGATGAAAGGGGCAACACTTTGTCAAGTGACTACGAGTTTCTGAAGAGTCTCAGTTCAATCATAAAGAAAGAGTTTGATTTGCAAAGAAAGAACATTGTGCATCTCCGAACAAAGCTGTTTGAAGTCCTTAATGATACGTTCAATTCCAAAATCACATATTTCAAATCTTTGCAGATAAAGTCGGACATTGTCGCTAGGTACCTTCCTGTTAGACCTGCTATTTCTCCTGATATGACTCCCTCAGAAAAGGCAGAGCAGGATTTACGAGGTTTAGATCTAGAGATTCGGGCTTTGCAAGATTCAGTGCGTGCCAGTAAAGTCAGACTGACCTACTTGAACAGTATTATCGACGATTCTTTCGAGGACCACGAAGAGGAATCCAAAAACGAAAAGTTATGTGTTATTTGCCGATCGTCCATTGTTGTAGGCACCCTAACTACCTGTGGTCATCAATTTTGCAAAGACTGCTTGGGAGAGTGGATGAGACTGCACCCTACTTGCCCAATGTGCAAAAAACGGTTGTATTCCTCCGATCTGTACTCATTCACAGTGACCCGGAAAGAATTGAAAGGAGGAATGATGGCTGACTCACAGGATTCTGCAGAGTCAAAACCAATGAGCGAGGTCAATAGAGACCTTTCGCGACTTTACCAGTCTTTAGATCCGACAATGCTCAAGGAAATCTCGTCAATTGAACTGAAGAAAAATTACGGCTCCAAGGTGGACATGATTGTTCGACAAATAATCTATTTGAAACAGATGGAGCCAGATGTTCAAATTCTTGTTTATTCGCAATGGACAGACTTTCTTAAGTTCTTGGGAAGGGCTTTGCGTCAAAACGGCATCAGTTTTCTTTCATCGTCAGATGTGACTCACGGTGAACCCAATACTAAAAAGGGAAGAAGCACTTTTGGCAGCAAGGAGATTGACAAGTTCAAAAGAGATCCACGAATCACGTGTTTCCTTTTGAACGCTAAGGCGCAGGCTGCCGGGCTTACTCTCACGAATGCGTCTCATGTGTTCTTGTGCGAGCCGCTAGTCAATCTACCTTTGGAGCTGCAAGCTATCAGTAGAATCCATCGAATTGGCCAATCTCAAGAGACCAAAGTTTGGAATTTTGTTATTGAGAACTCCGTTGAGGAGTCTATTGCTATCCTCTCGACCAAAAAAAGGATGGAACTTGTGCGCAGGAGAAGTCATCCAGAATCCACGATTGAGGACTTGGACGATGATTTGGTGGATGCTACGGAGCTGTCCAAGACTCTAAACGGTCTGGTCGATAAAAAAGTCAGCGGCGGGGAGGTTGTTGCCAACGATGAGCTATGGGCAAGCTTCTTTGCAGCCAAATCGGGCAATCTGGTCGATTCCATTGTGGCGCATCCAGAGTGACTACATTACAAACAGATCAAATAATAGCGAGTAATTATCAAAAACCGAATCGCGAACGTAAAAAAGTATCTTACACAGCCAGGAAATTAGTGTCGTCGGAACCGTTGTAGATTCTGCCGTCGTCAACCAAGGTGGCAATCTTGGATTCCGCGTCTTCGATGGAGATATTGAAGTTTTGTGCAATAAGTTGCAGAGGCACACCGTCAGTCATCACGGCACTGTTCTCCTGAACAAACTCGAAAATCTTCTCAAGTGGAGAGTTTGAGCTGTCAGCAGTTCCATTATTAACAAACAGGGAACTGTCTCCATTCGCACCATTGGAATGTTTTCCAGTCATCCTTGATCCTGAATTGTCAAGGTAAACTTTAATGGCACTAAGGAAATGATATGGAATCTCGTTGAAATCATGGATCTTTTGCACTGTTTGTGTCTGAATCTGTTTCTTGCCTGAAAATTCCCTAATGGTAGCCACCACCTTAACGTATTCACCAGTCGCAAACGAGTCCGACTCATTTCCTTCTTCGTCATTCCATTTTCTCACCGAAACCATTCCTGTTCCGTCTTCGATCTTCAACATAGTCGATTGAGCTTGAGAAGCGTCGAGTTCTCTGATGATACCCACAAAGGCAACATAATATAACTCTAGCCCATGCGTCTGAAAAGGTGCGTCAGGTCCGGACTGGTTAGCATCGTTGATTTCTTTGATAGTGACCGGGATAAGCGACTGAGTGACAGCAGACCTTGTCTGAGAGCTGGCTCCATCGTTCCCATTGTAGTTGCCGTATCCAGTCCCGTCAGAGGTGTAATTGTTGTACGGTTGATATCCGCTCATGTTTGAACACGCACTTTTATCTATTTACAATATTAATGAGGCAAAATTATTTGCCATATTTTGGTGTGTTACGCGTCTTGAGAAATTCCGCAACGCGCACAAAATCGACCCGTCGATCACTGTTCCAAAATCTTTCGTAGTCGGTCGGGTGGTGTTTTCTGCATGCCAACGAACTCCATGTCATAAGTAGCGCGGCCTCTGGTAAGAGATCTTAACTTGGTTAAATAACCGATCATTTCTCTCAGTGGTGCCTCAGCCTTGATGACTTTGTTACCTGAGACCTGCGTTTTCTTCATGTACACCAAGGTAGGGTCGTAAGGAACATAGGTTTTTTCGGCTTGCTCCTTGGCCCAGTGTATTATATCGGCACTCGACGCGCTAGCTTCGTCTTCAATTCCTGTGATTTTTGCATTCCTTGCACTCATGAGGTCTTGGGAAACGGGTCCCAAATCCTCGTCACTAACGTAAACAAGCACTTTCATTATCGGCTCCAGTAATGTTGTAGCTTTGTCATCCAGAGAAGCTAGGGCGTCCAGAATTGTCGTTCTAGTAACGCTGATAAGAGGAGATATGTTGTTCGCTTCTGGATGGATCATCCATCTACGGACCCGAACAATCATCGAGTGCAATGGAAGCTTGGCATGCCGACCACCCATTTGCAACGCACCCGTGACACCAGACAGAATACCATTAATAAGCGTTTCATAAGAGACCGGCAAGGACCATATTTCCGCATTGAGGGCTTTCTTGACAACACTAGGGATTCCATCTGGCTCGATAATTACGACATTGTCGTCTTGCTCCAGGTAAAACACCCCTTCCTCTGGTAAATCCAGTTCTTCAACTGGGCCTTCGAATGAGTCCAAAGAAAGCTCAATTTCGTAGCCTTCCGGCAAATGTCCTATGTAATACCCTGTCGGAGCAGTTATGGTTTCTTTGTACGTCACTCTGACCTCGCCCACCTCGGCATTTACCTTCATGTCGTTTATCAATCTATCTTTGGTGATTTCTAAATGTAGCTCACCCATTCCAGAAAGGATATTCTGACCCGTTTCTTCATCATAACTCAGATGCAAGCTTGGATCCTCTCGCAGCAAAGTTTTCAAGCATGCCTCCAATTTTCTGTTTTCCGAAACGGAAGCAGGCTCTATAGAAACGGAGAACACAGGGGGAGGAACCTTGATCGATAGAAGACGTGCAGATCTCTCTTTCGGAGATAATTGATTGGGGTTTTTGGATACAGAGTGGCAGATCAAGGTATCTCCCGTGACTATCTGGTCGGTTCCCGTTATCACTCCAATGCTACCACATGAAAGATGTCTCACTTCTTGCGGCATATCTGCATTCATAAGCAGCAGTTTGCCGATACGCACCTTTTCTCCGGTACGACTGTTTAAGATAGTGGAATGCGGTTGTAATTTTCCACTGTAGACTCTCACAAATACCATAATTCCTCTAACAGGGTGGGAAATCACTTTGAAAGCAAGTGCCGTCATCAAATTGTGATTATTGTTGATGACCAATCCTTCTCTGGGGTCGACCTTGATTGGAAGCGATTTGTCCTGCTCTGCTGCCTGTTTTCGCGTTTTTGACCTTGCGCTCTGGATAACAGAGGAGGTCACCTCTGGAGGCCTGATTTCAAGTGGCGAGGGAAGATAGTCGTTGACTGCATCTAGTAAAGGCTGCACACCTATGTTTCTGAAGCTTGCGCCACAAAGCACGGGAGTGGCATATCCTGCAATACAAGCTTTCCTCAAAGCTTTTTTCAACGTCGAACTTGGGACTTTCATGTAATCTTCCGTCTCAAAAAATGAGTTGATCACATCTTCGTCAAACTCACCCAATTGTTCCACCGCAGCTTCCCTGCATTTCAGCACCTCTTGGTACACCTCTGAATATTTGGAATCGTCAGCAATGTCTATCACTTCGACTTTGCTTCCATCGGAGGCCCCGTCCGGGCCGTTCCATAGAAGCAGCTTTTTGTCAAACACGTCTATAATTCCCTCGAAAATACTCCGTCCCGTCGATTGGTCTTTGATGAAGTAGGGGGCATTCACAATCACTACTCTAGTCCCCAACCTACTAACAATCTCTTTCACCGTACGCCCAAAGCCTGCACCTTCTCTATCCATCTTGTTCACGTAAGCCACCACAGGAATAGCTAGGTCTTTTGCTTGCTTCCAGACTTTCTCTGTTTGAGCCTCAACACCTGCCACAGCATCCAAGATGGTCACCGCTCCATCAAGAACCCTCAAAGATCTTATTACCTCGAAGGTGAAGTCAGCGTGACCTGGAGTATCTATTAGATTGATCTTGTGCTTGTTCCAAGGAATGGTCACGGCTGCTGATTGTATTGTGATGCCCCGATCTTTTTCCTGAGTCATGTAGTCTGTCACCGTATCTCCCTCGTCGACATTTCCAATTCGGCCTGTGACACCACTATAATATAGCATCCTTTCGGTAGTGGTCGTCTTACCGGCATCGATGTGGGCTATAATTCCGATGTTGCGCACCCGGTTCAATGGCGTCTTTAACAGGACAGTCTTATAGTCCTCCGTGGCCCTCCATTGTGGCGAAATGTGAAAAAGCCGCCGCCCCTGTCTTGCCAAAAACGGCTCCAGCTTGAAACCTCGTAAAAGCATAGATGGAAAAAAATAATTCGTTCATCATTTCTTGTCATGACATCAAATGACTTCGACATAAAGGAGACCTATCTCAAGTTTCTTGAGGAGGATCCTGAAATTACCATGCCGGTGGCTGCCATTGAAAGTTTGCTTACCATGCTAAAAATTAAGCAGCCTTCCACCTCTTCGGAACTCATAAACCTTTTGTCAGACGCTACAACACAGCTAAAAACATCCATACCGAATGCCATCTCTCTATCTGCAGGCTGCGATTTGTTTACCAGATTTGTTTTGCGAAACACCCATCTATATTCGGACTGGGAATCGTGTCGCACCCATCTTGTCGAGAACGGACAGCTGTTTCTGCAAAGAGCCAAAGAAAGCAGAGAGATGATAGCGCAAGTGGGTCTCAAGTTCATACAAGATGATGATACAGTTCTGGTTCACGGTTATTCTAGAGTGGTTCACCATCTACTGGTTCACGCAAAACAGAAATTCGTGCGGTTCCGCGTATTTGTTACAGAAGCAAGGGTGGATCGAAGCACGAACGATGGGATAAGAATGGCGGACGCATTAAAACTTGAAGGAATACCTGTTTGCATGATCAACGACTCACAGGTTGGCTACGTGCTCAACAAGGTGGATAAAGTTTTCATGGGAGCAGAAGGTGTCTCAGAAAGTGGAGGAATCATAAACAGAATAGGCTCTTATCAAATTGGTGTCCTAGCACACAACGCAAACAAACCTCTTTATGTTGTTTCCGAGTCACATAAGTTTGTCAGAATGTTTCCGCTTGCTCCTGATGATCTTCCTGTGCCAGCAGAAAATGCATTGACCTTTTCAACTGACACGAATGATGGCTTTAATGGCCACCATCATGTTGATTTCACGCCTCATCAGTACGTTACTGCTCTTATCTCCGATTTGGGAGTCTTAACTCCTTCAGCAGTCTCTGAAGAACTCATTAAAATGTGGTACGGATAATCATAGATCTTTCAATAATAGCGTACTATACATCTATTTAATCAAACTTAATCTTCTTACCTTTGGCCTCCACTATGGCTGCGCTCTGTCTCGGTGCATTGGCCAACGCCACTGAAGAAGCGACTCTTTTGGACGAGTCGTGCGAGCTGTATCTATTATTTTTCTCAAAGTTGAGTTTCTTAGTTTGGAAACCTGTGCTTCTCTCCCTTGCAACAACCTTGTGTTCGGTCTTTCTATGAAGCACTTCTTTCTCTTCTCTGTCCTCTGTAATTGCCGGTTTGTCTGTGACTCTTTTTCCAACTTTTCTAGCAGACCTGTCTTCGCCGTATTCCAGTCTCAAAGGTCTGTTGATTAGTTTGCGCACGGACTTGTCTTTCAAAGCATTGGTTGGGCCCTCGATGTCCTTGAAATCTATGAAGCAAAATCCTTTGCACTTTCCTGAATCTTCAAAGGTAGCCATTCGGATGCGAATAATCTCTCCGCAGTGTCTGAAATGCTCCTCTAAAAGCTCTTCTGTCGTATCAAATGAAAGATTTCCAACAAACAGAATTCTAGAAGGCGGATTTTTGGAAAGTGGTTCTTCAGATTTCTGAGGTCTTCCTTCGAACGAGTTGGCATCCTTAATAAGCAATCTGCGTCCATTCAATTCTTGCTCAGAGAGAGCAATAGCTGTTCCCACATGTTCCTGTGATTTGAAGTCAATGTAAGCGAATCCCTTGATTTTATGTGCGGTTTTTTTGGGAATATTCACTCTCGTAATATCGCTTTCTGTAATAGCTGGTTCCATTTCCTCACTCTTTGTCACCAAGAAATTCTTAACATCCTCAGAGGTTGTATCATAAGCGAGATTACCAATCCAGACACCTATTTTGGCCTTCTTTTCAGGCTCTTTCTCAGCGGTCTTAGGTTCCTCCACAGGAATAACTATTGCTTTTTTCGCCTGTATTTCATCAATGGACTTTTTTCCCTTCTTGAGCAATCTCGCCTCCTTTTTCGATAAGGGTGCTTTTTCGTCTAGTTTTATCTCCAACTCCTCGAGCTCCGCGGCTTTTCGTTTCTCTGGCATGTAGTGGTACTTGTCTGTAGCTATGCAAGAATTTTTCTATTTTTTTTTTTGTTGCACCGCCAAGATCAGAGGATCCTGGTTGGCACAATTTACCCGGTCAGAAGACTTTCATCAAGTTCAGGTCTCCCACAAAAACACCTTTACACTTTCACATCGGTCTAGAAACGCTGTAGTGCCTGGTTTTGAATTTCTTTTCCAGCGGGCTCGAACAATTTCGGGCGCATGCTATTAATAGAAAAGCTGTAAGCACCACACTTTGGCAAATACTTGTTTATTTTCAAAACAATAGTGGAGTGTATATATTATTTCTAGTTGTTTTCCTCAGATTGATCTTAGACTTCCAGTATTTCTTGAAAATATCTTTCAATCGTTTAGTCCTTGTGATACCATTTCAAAATGAAGTTTACGACGACAGTTCTGACATCTCTTGCATTTCTGATAGCCAAGTCTAACGCTGAGGCTAGCGTAAGTATTCAGCATCATTATCCGGTTCGGATGTTTTGAGGGTAGTACTAACAAGCATTATAGTTAGGTTTTGACCTGGGTGTGCAAGCCACCGACGGTTCCTGCAAGACCGCCGAGGACTACGAGTCTGATTTGGACACGATCTCCTCGCAAGCCTCCACCGTGAAGGTTTATTCTGTGTCTTCATGCAACACTCTTCAGATTTTGGGACCTGTTGCCGAAGACAAAGGCTTTACCATTGCTCTTGGAATCTGGCCAACCCCAGACTCTACTTTCTCCTCGGAGAAAGAAGCCCTGACTTCTTACTTGCCTAACATCTCGAAAAAAACCATTCAGGCGTTTTTGGTCGGTTCTGAGGCTCTCTACAGAAATGATATGAGTGCTTCTCAGCTGGCCAGCGATATCTCTGAGATCAAGGATCTTTTGTCCGGTATTAAAGACAAGAATGGTGACTCCTATGGAGATGTGCCTGTTGGAACTGTTGACTCCTGGAACGTCTTGGTTGACGGTGCTAATGCCGATGTTATCAAGACCGCCGACGTCATCTACGCCAATGCCTTCTCCTACTGGCAAGGACAAACCATGAACAATGCTTCCTTCTCTTTCTTCGATGATATCATGCAAGCTTTGCAAACCATTCAAACCACCAAGGGTTCTTCTGACATTGACTTCTGGATCGGCGAGACCGGATGGCCAACCGAGGGTGACAGCTTTGAGTCTGCCACTCCATCTACCTCTAACGCTGAGCAGTTCTGGAAGGAGGCTATCTGTGCTATGAGAGGTTGGGGTGTTAACACCTACGTTTTTGAGGCCTTTGATGAGTCCTGGAAGCCAGACAGCTCTGGATCCTCTTCTGAGAGACATTGGGGTGTCTGGAATGCTGACAGATCGCAAAAGTACGATCTCACTTGTGACTTCTCTTCGTGATTACTTACATCATTTGAATATGCCATCTTCTATCTAGACTTACTTAGACAAGAGGAGGAGTTTTGAAAATGCGACTACCAATCTTGTATTTCGAATACTTAGTAGATCTTCTTCTTCTCGTCGACAGAGAGTTCTCCAGCTCCAGTGTCCACGATCAATAATAATCCGCCGACGATACTGAGGGTCTGGAAAAACTCGTATCTCAAATAGTCTCTTCTGGTGTCTTTGTAACCATAAGTCCAGTAGTGGTTGGTCAACATGTTGTTAACTGTGAGAAGAAGAGTTAAGAATGATGCACTGAATTTCGTTTTGTATCCAACCACAATTGACATACAGGACACAAGACCAATCAAAATAATGAGGAAGTTGATGATGGTCCATTTGATAGTCATCGTGAAAGCCAAAAATAAAACTATGAGCATGATGCGGCCCACCAGCAAGAAGTATTTTTTGTTGTCTTTCGACTCCATCATCGGTAGGCCAGGCATGAGCAAAGATCTCTTGTCGACAACAAGCGAATCCGACAAGGCAAGAAGCAGACCGCCAATGACAGAAACGTTTCTGAAGAAAAACACTGGCTCAAAAAAGAGACCATAGACGAATCCTTGAAGTAGGACAATAGAAGAGAGCAGTCCAGTAGCAATTTCTGGCTTTCTCCTAAGGATGACAAGGACTGCTCCAGTAATCATGCAAACTATATTAAATAGCAGGAACAGCTTGACAAACCATTCGTAGAGATGTCTGAAAGTTGCCAGATAGTACACCTGCTCCTTCCATTGGGACATTATTCTGAGCGAGTCCTCAAAGAAAGTGGCCACAATCAGAAATCTTCCAATAAATGGCACATATGGTTTAGCTGGTGAAAGGTATCCATCAATCAGTTCCTCCACCTTCTTGGTGAACTTTTCAAACTTCATCACATACGGATTCTCAGAGGGAATCATTTGAGCAATCGAATCCAAAGCGGATGATGTGGACGTTCCAAAAGACGATTGGCGTTGAGATCGTGGATGGGCTCCAAACGAATCACTCCTACCGCCTGGGAATTGTGTGCCTCTGAATTGCATGATGCTAGATTTTGTTAGAATTCTGATACGAGGTAAATTCGCCAATTATTTATTGTCTGGACCAGCTTCCTAAAGACGGGAGATATGGTATATGGCTCAAAGGCTCTGCTGAAGACTTACGATTACTCAATTAAATCCCTTTTGTGTAGTCTACTACCAAAAAAGCCCAAATTGAAACTTCGAAATTTTTTGACAACAGATCAATTTGCCGTCTAACGTTAACCTCTTTGGGCAAAACTAAAATAAATTCTATAAACCCCAGAAAGTGAAAAATCTAGCTTGCTCGTCGCACTACCTTCGCATGAACCTTGTAAACGTCGCGATGTTGAGTATATACAAGCTAATTAACCGTATGAACAGATTCCAAATCAAAAGACTGCACAATCTGATATTGTTCTTTCACCTGTTTGGTCAAGTCCCTGTAAAAAGATAAACTGATCTCACTTGTCTTCAAATCGCTCAAGATTTTCGAACGTCTTGAAGATTGTTTCTCAATGGTAGTTGCAAATGCATTTGAAATGTCTTTTGCAGGATAGTTCAAAACTTTCCGCACCTCCTTCGATATGCGTAGCGAGTTCAAATGCTGGTAATCTTCGGACTCGATTTTCTTCTTAATTTTCTTCACAACGTTTCTTTGGTAGGCGTGAGGAGCATCCTTGTAGAGATAGTACAGCGGCATGCCAATTGCAACACCTATTAGGGTGCCTGGGACGACCTTAGTAACAACAGTCCTTGGGATGTAGTTGGATATTGAAGCAATTCCTGTGACAGTCGAGATGACCCGAGGTCCGTATAAAATGACCATACTTGATAAACCACCAGCCCAGAGTTTATTGGCAGTCAAACCGATCAGGAGGTTAGTTCTGGAATCAGGAATCGTGATACCACAGATTTTGCAAAAACTTTCGAAATTTGGGTCAACGAAGTCAAATAAGGAGACTTCATTCTCGATATGCCGCTGTAAGTTGTCTTTTTTCTTCGAGTACATTGAGCTTGGTATGAATCTCGTGTTGGGCAGACTACCTTCTCCAAGGGCTTGGACTCCTATTCTTTTTATTTCATCGATGGCAGAACTGGTTTCGTTACGAGCATGTTCCTCAGCAGAACTAACAATCTCCAGTATCTTTCCTATAATTCTTTCCTGAACCTGTCGAGCAAAGTCAGTGATATTGGAATATCCTTCGAATTTGACGCCCAAGCTCAAATGATCCACCTCGTTGATAATTCCATTGATCTGATCGCGCGAATTGGTGTAAACCTCAGAAGACACAGACTCAATTAGCCTTAATATCTTTTCGTTTGTTTTAGCTGACGACTGCAAAATTTCGTCGTACTGAGGCCCAAGTTTCTTGAGCTCAATCTCTGACTCTAACTTGCTTTCGTTGTATAGTTTTTCGTTGATTTGAGAAAGTTCAATGAGATCAGAGTAGAGTTTGACAAGATAATTCTTTGCAGGAAGGAGCTTGGACAAGGATCTTTTTTCGACGAGAAACTTCCTTAATGAAGCTTCTAGATGGTCAAAATCGGGAGAATGAGGGCCATCTCCATCATCAGGATTACCGTCTGGGCCATCACCACCCGGATTTTGCTCAATCATTTCTTTGGAAGAAACGAAATGCACAAAATTGCTTGAGTTCTTATATGTTTCTGGAGATAAAGTGTGAACCTGGTCCATAATTTTACGCTTGCATTTGTTTTGGTCTCTTATATTGTCAAACTTGTTGACAACGATGAATATCAAGTTTTTGTCATTCGTTGCACTCGAGATAAATTCCCTGCCAGAAAGTGTAAAGTGGTTCTCAGCATTGACCACAAAGACAACTAAGTCAATCTCCTCTTGTCTGGAAAACACTTGTGTTGTATGATAAGAATCCAGATTAAGCCCTGGTGCATCTATGAGCTTTATATCAATGACTCCATTTTTGAGCAGAGACTGATTCACAGGTCGGTTATCTGACACATACACTATTAAAAGCGAATAATGTTCACTTTGGTAGACCAGATGCTCCAACTCTTCTAAAGGAAATATCTTGTATGTGCGCTCGTCGTTTTTCAAATAAACAGATCCAATTGGAACCGCGTGAACTTCCTCAATGCCGTTGTTGTTATCGCGTGCATCGATTATTTCACAAAACACATTCGTGCATGGCTGCTGGTCCTCCGGCATCACTTTTCTTCTCAAAAGAGCGTTACAAAATGCAGATTTTCCAGAGTTCAAATCCCCGGTTACCAGTACCTTCGAGGAAGTGTCATCAATTCTATCTCTCAAAGATCTCAAGTGTCTCTTTATGTGCGAGAATTTCTCGTTTAGAAGCTGAGAGAGAGCGGTTTTGTCGAGAGTCTGAAGCAGGTTGTCGGAGTTGGGTCCTATCTTCAGATTGATTTTTAATAGTTCAAAATTGTATGTTTCCGAAGATGAGTCTCTAGGCTCGGTCAATAAGTGCTGAGAGTTCCCCACTGAGTTGTGTCGGATGAGAGCAAGCTTTGAACTCTTTGAGTTTAACTTAGATTCTAACGTCTCATCTTGGATATTGGTTGGGTAGTATATGGGCCGCTCGCTATTCTCACTTTGCAAGTTGCTCAAGATGTTTGACGCAGTATTGATGGAGCGATCTAACGATATCCTGTTTTCGTTGTATTGTAGTTGCGATAATTGAGACCTCGCCAAGTCTGTTGCTTGCGCAGAGTTTCCGTTTAATACTGAGATATTCTTCTCGGTTCGAATTCCTTGCTCACCGTTTACAAGGGTTTGACCATCAAGAGTGCCCTGCCTTCTATTGAAATTTGCTACTGCAGGAGTTTGAGCGTCTTCATTTGATCCAAAAAGGGTGGCGTTATCATCTTGGTCGGACTCACTTAGAGAGTCCTCAGCTGCATTATGATCTTTTTCGACCTTATCTTCTGACATTTTGTGCCCGTTGTGATAAGCTGAGGTACTTCGGGATGTCAATCTTGTTCCAGTGGTTCAGGCAAACCCGTCCTAAATTCAAATTAAGTGTTATTTCCCCGTATTACGTCAGTAAAATTTTTATCCATAAATACGGCACATGTCCTTTAGAAAAAGGGGAGAGATCGTTAGCGGACCAACTTCTCGATCGGTTGGAGTCTCTGGACCTGTAATTCCCAGAGCTGCTCCTGGTAGAGGAGCTGGTCAATACGTGTCTCGAACAGCTTTGCCTGGGGGTATACCTAAGAAGAATTCTGAGAATGCTTTGGCTAATCATGTTGGTGTGAAGCCATCGATTCTTACATCGCAGCCATGCATATCCACTGGTTCCAGTGACATAGATACTCTATTAGGCCATCAGGGACTACCTATAGGGTCTTCAATACTGATCGAAGAAACAGGAACCACAGATTTTGCATCTACTTTGTCGAAATTATTTCTGGCTCAAGGCATTGTTCATAACAGAATCAAGTCATCCCAGCCCAATACCCACGATGTTGTGGTGGGATTGGACCAAAATTGGGCTAAAAGTCTTCCGGGAGTATACAAGGGGAGTAAAGAGAGGAAGAAAGAAAAAGTCCAGCAAAACGAGTCTAAGGTTAGTGTCTCCAACATTGTGAATCAGAATAATGATTTGAAGATAGCATGGCGTTACGGGCTGAATCAAAGGAAAAGCGAAAATGACGATGATACAATAGACCAATATCCACATTACAATAACCAGTTTGATATCACCTCTGTGCTTACGGTCGCACCTGGACCTCACGAGCTAACCTGTATTCCTAATGATAATTTGACAAGAGCATTGAAACGGATCGAAGAAACTGTGATCAAACAACCTAGCAAAATAGTAAGAATTGCAGTGCCCTTGTTTTTGAATCCGTTGGTTTATCAAAATGAGAGTAGCGCACCCGAGATCTTGAGGTTTGTTCATGGTCTGAAGCAAATACTCAAGAAATACCCAAATCAGGTTGCCCTACTCATGACCATCAACCTGGACTTGTACCCTCGAAATAACCCCCTTATCGGCTACATGGAGCTGCTGTTCGATTCTGTCATTGAACTGCGTCCTTTTGACCCTCAGTTGCATGATTTAATGGAGCGAGTTTACAGAAATCAGCCTGCCAAAATAAAGCATGGACACTTGAACGTTTACAAATTACCTGTTTTGAGCGAGTCTGGCCTCATGTGCGTCCAAGAAATGGAGTATAGCTTTAAGAATGGACGAAGACGTTTCGAGATTGAAAAGTGGAGTATTCCTGTCGAGGACGAAGAAAAGAATGATGACAAGAAACTGGAGTTTTAGTATATGAACCAATTGTAACATTCAATCATTACTTATATATACGTTAAATCATTGCGTCATGAGATCGGTGCGTCATGAGTGAGGCATGGTTAATATCAATGCCCAATGCCCCAATTGTAGTAGCTGCTTGCAGTTACTCATCTAAAGTCTGCATCTGGACTTTGTGGAATCTTTCCTCATTCTGAGAATGATTCGAGCCACGTCTTTCTTTCTTGAAGACAGGAGGAATTTCTCCCGCATTGATCAAGTCCTCTAATTCGTCACCATCTTTGCCCCAATTGCCCTTTCCAAAGCCACCTTTCTTCACATGATTAGGGTCCTGATCAAAGTGTCCACTATGGGTGAAGTATCTTGGCTCTGCGTGAGAGCCCTTGTCATTCCATTTCTCGGTTCTTGCCATTTTTAGTCAAAAAGTAAATCTAAACTTTGAGAAAATGCTGTATTCTTAGAGTTTATATATCAATGATCCAGAAAACTATGGAAACTGTGCCACTTCAAGCAACCACGTCACTCCCCGGTGGCAAAATGTATCACAATGCAGTTGTGTACCGGCCAAAAAACTAAAATTCCCGCGTGAGCCGCCCACCTGCCCCGCGCATTTACGTCACATGAGCAACACTATTTTAGCATTCTCGAACAATTCCGCCCCAAACATGCGCAAAAGATCGATAAATGACTTTCTAAAATCTGCAGATTTCTTGTTTGAGAAATCAAACAATTGGCCATGTTGCGACTTCGTGTGATCTATAACGAGGCAATACGGAAAAATGTCATGTATGGCTCCATTCGCCACCCAATCCATGATTTGCCAAAGAGGGATTAATCCAGGTGAAACAAGCGGCAGGGCATGAACGACTGACTCTTCAACTCGCCTCCACAGTTTCTCGTCATTCTGATCTCCAAATTCACTAAGTCCGAGAGTTCCACTAATCTCTTGAGCCACTTTTCTACTGGCCGAGAAACTCCCTCCCTGCACCCCGTAAATATTCTCTGCCACATTTATCATGTGACTTAAGGGGTTACTCTTTATCGTTGAAGGGACGGCTGGTTCTGTAGATGTCGACTCCAGCTCGCTTAAAGCGATAAGTCCACTGCAGTCGGTCACTTTCTTAAGCTCGTTGAGCCTGTAAAAAGTGAGAGTCGTCAAGTCCAAGATTTCACCACCAAATTTGGCTTTGTATTTCATCTTGTGGCAGTCGTCCGCATAGTATCCTAGATAGTAATATTCTTTTCCTAGCTGTTCCGTCAAAACCAACTCCCGTAGAGCACTGAGAGTGCCAAGTCCCAGATGAGCATAATCAGGGTCCCAAATGAAGTATACAGAAGACACAGAATTAGGCAAAATATCCAAAATTCCTAGTGCCACTAGCTTGTCCTCGATGTAGTAGCATTCATGAACTGGACCTTCCACTTGTTCACCGTCAATGTCTATGATTTTGAGCTCCCGCCAGCGATTCAGCTTTCTCCAGTACTCTGGGGACCGGGAGCCCGAGTATTGCTCCGGAAAGAACGACTGGCATAGAAATCTCTTGAAACCTTTCTCCGAAACTTCATTGGGGTCATCGTTGTGTATTGTTGTCTGGTACTTCTTGTACAGCGCATATTTTTCAGGGCTGAAATTAGCAGGGGCAATCTCTGTTCGAAATGACGATGTTCTTGTTTCGGCTGACAGCAGTGCACTCTTTAAATCAAATGGTCGATTCTTATTGTTGGATTCATTCCCTGTAATAAATCTGACAAATCTATTCACATTGTGTCTATGTTCCTTACTGACCTTCAAAAGATTTGTATTTGATCTGATTGTGTACAATCTGCAGCAACTTCGAAGCAGGTCCGGACGATAGAGAAAACTCCCTGATCTTCTGAATCCTCGATTCATCATCAGTTCATAGATTTCCGGGGTACACGAGTATACATGGCAGCATATGGTGCTGGAATTGGGGTACTCGTCAAACGGTTCTGTTCCCGCACGGTAAGCCTCCTCATATGACTGCAAGCTGTATGATCTTCTAGGTCCATCTTTCTTCCCATGGCAATATCCACAATCCCTACCAACAATGTACAATGGCTCACCAATCACCAAATCCATCTGATTTCTGTGAAATAATTTTAGTACATCTCCATTTTATTGTTGTTTAATTGTGCTAATGAGAATTCATTCCATGATAATCGATCTGGCCTTCTGATCTATGATTCACCACCAATTTCAGCACGCTTGTTTATCTGTGTGGTTCCTTGGGACTCTCCTTATATATTCATTGCGCTACCCTAGCTTTAGTCATAATTACCTAATCCTCTGTAAGTGTACTAGTGAGGTTTGCTACTAATTTATCTGTATAAAATAAAACCATTTTTCTCTTTGAACAGCAAGCGATCAGTATGAGTGGTACTAAAGTGGATATCCTCAAATTTGCGGACAAAGATGGTGAATATAAACGGAAGCCAAGCGTTTTCAGAGACTTCATCTCTTCCAAAGCTGGCGCTAAATTTCCACCTGAAGCTGGGAGATATCATCTATATGTCTCCTATGCTTGTCCCTGGGCCCACAGAACTTTGATTGTCAGAGCGTTGAAAGGATTGACAGCGCTGATTGGAGTCTCCGTTGTCCATTGGCATATGGATGATAAAGGATGGAGATTTCCATCCAACGATGACCCATGTGAGGGGGCTACTGCAGACAAGATTTATGGAGTCAAGAGATTGAAGGAGCTTTATTTCAAAGCAGATGAGAACTACAATGGTAGATTCACTGTTCCGGTTCTTTGGGATACTAAGACTGAGACCATTGTGAACAACGAATCCTCGGAGATTATCAGAATGTTGAACACTGAGTTCAACTCTCTGCTTGATGAGCACCATGCAAAAATTGATCTGTACCCTTCAGACCTTCAGCAGCAGATCGACGACCTGAATGACTGGATTTACCCAAACATCAATAATGGAGTTTACAAGGCGGGCTTTGCGACTAAACAGGAACCTTACGAAAAAGAAGTCAAGGCACTCTTTGAGAAACTTGACAAAGTTGAAGAGATCTTGGGTAACAGGTATCACCATGGCGAACACTACCTAACGGGGAACATTCTAACGGAGGCAGATGTTAGATTGTTCACCACCATCGTTCGCTTTGACCCGGTCTACGTTCAACATTTCAAGTGCAACCTGAAAATGATTAGATATGATTATCCCCACATCCACCAGTGGTTGAGAGAGCTGTATTGGACGATTCCATCTTTCAAGGATACAACCAATTTTAGTCACATAAAATTCCACTACACCAAATCGCATGTTGGGATTAATCCACATCACATCACACCTATCGGACCAGTCCCAAATATTGTGCCGTTAGGCAAATTCAAATAATTTTTGTATGTCCGTATTTTCTGAATATTATTATTATTTCATGAAATCATAGATGTCGCATAGAAAATGTCAAACATCTGGGGAAGTACGTTATTTGGTTTGGTTCGCCAAAACTCGACTAAAGCTGGATACTCCTCGTATGTTTCTCCCAAAGTGGTAGAGCTTCGTGTAGGGAGAATAATAGAAGTGAGAAAACACGAAAATGCAGATCGCTTATATGTTTCGAAAGTGCAGATAGCAGAGCACCCCCAGAGCCCGAAGTATGCTCAGGTTTGCAGTGGACTTGTGGATCATATACCAATTGAGGCTATGCTTCATTCAAGAGTTTGTTTGGTGACCAATCTAAAACCCAGCAAAATGCGTGGTATAAAGTCAGAGGCAATGCTCCTAGCAGCCACAAATACTGACGGCTCCAAAGTTGAAATAGTGAATCCTCCAAGAAGTATTCCGTTAGGTACTTTATTGTATTTTGAGGGTCATAAAAATGAGCATGAGAATTCTACAAGACTGAGCTCCTCCCAATGGAAGAGTATAGCCGAAAACCTCCATACAGACTCGAACGGCAATGTGGTATATGGGAATGAGCAGCCTTTGTTGTTGCGAAACGAAATAAACGATGACCCTTGTACTGTTCGACCGCTTACCAATTGCAAAGTTCGCTGATATTTGCGTAAGGACTTGGTGCTACACCCTGCACAGCCTCGTATTTGTCTGGAACGGCTGCGGCTTGATTCCGACCAGGTACATAATTGTATCGGCCGCTGCAGTTACGAGACCAGAATCTATAAGAAGGGGTTTGTATAGAAGGAGCATAACGCCACTTTTTTCACCCGGCCGGATGACTGGTCGCGTGTCCCTGTTAAGACGGAAATCTACAATAAATCAGTCTCCTTTTTTTACATGGCAATGTGTGTTTGCGGCGATGCCCAGAAAAATTTCAGCCGAGCATACCAATTATTTCAGATATGCTCTAGCCAAACTGCAGAGCTGGCAATCTGAACACAATCACAAATTGTCCTGGCTTCATGATCATAATCACACGTAAACTCACTGTAATCGGCGACAGGTCTAAATTTCGATGACTTAGAGAGCGGAAAAAAAACGCCACACACTAAAAGTAGAAAATTTTGTTGTTGATAAATACATTATTCCCTTTTTTCATTCATCTCTTGTACTAGTTCACAATTACTGAGAGTCGGATTCTCTTTGACCTCTTGGGCTTGTTCACCTGATACAGAATCTTTTTGAAGAATCAGCAACGATTTTGCGCCGATTCGTCTTGCCGCTCAATAAATAACGATGTCAAAGCCAGTTAAAAATTCATCGATCGCCAAACTCGTCGACCCAGGAGCAGTTGGCTCGGAACAGGCACAGGGGGCGCATGTGAAGCGTGACTTATCGAACCAGTTTGCAGCGCCCACATCAGCCTCATCGTCCTCATCCTTTTCGTCCAACGGTCTTCAAAATCAGCAAGCGGCTCAGCAGGCCAACATACAAGCCGGCGCGGGACAGTATTATTCCATGCAGCAACAACAACACCAAGCTCCCCAGCAATACGGCGCTAGTTTTTTGCCTCCTCCGAACCCAGTGAACATGCAGCAGGCCTACTACATTCCTTTCTTTCCGAACCCCTATTACAACCCTTCCCAGCAGCAGCAGCAGCAGCAGCTATCTCAGCAAAGATTTTCCTCCAACGTTCAGCCGAGTGGGATGTCTCCAAATGGTACCTTGAAACTTCCAACATTCTCAGGAAATAGTCCGTATTATCAAAAGGGCAGCCAGTTGGCCCAGGCTACATCAGGCATTGAGACACCGTCACAAAACATGATCGCTTCCAACCCATATATAGAAGGTTCCGAAGCTGGCGCTACCCTCAAATCTAATCCCTATGGTAACTCTGAAGCTGCCAAAAGAAGTATGCAGTCTCTTGATCCGGAGAACGAGACGAAGCCCTACAAGTGCTCTCAATGTGACTGGGCTTTTATTCGCCACAGCGACCTTCGCCGCCACACGAGGTCTCATGGAAACCCAGAATACCACTGCCCGTACTGGCATCCGGAATATGCTACGTGCCCACATAGAAATCAAGGATCTTTCAATAGATTGGATGTCTTGAAAAGACATTTGCGTCTAGTCCACTTTGATCCAGAAATTAAAGAACAAGGAAGAGACGGGCTGGTGAGAAGACAAGATGCGGGTACATGTCTTTCATGTAGCAAGTATTTTGTCAGCAGCAAAGCCTTCATTGAGCACGTAGACGATTGTGCTCTCAACACCCCCATGGAACAGTGGAGATACAAGAAAAATGGTATTGTAACGAGCGTGAAAAAAGAGAGAGGAAAAACATTTGAGGGGAACTTACAGCCGAACGCGGACCAAGAATTCCCTGGTAACATCGAGCAAAAAGTGATCACGGGAAATGATATACTAGTGAAGTCCGAGCGTATGAAATACAGAGATTCAGATTCGTCCGAATCGTTGGATGCTGAACCTGCGACCTCTAAAAGACTAGCCTCATCGCTTGACAGGGCCAAAAATGGCAATCACGATTATCTCAAGCGTCCAAGAGGAAGACCAAGGAAATTGGTATCCTGAAAAATTATATACTGGATGTATTTTTGTTTGTATACTATAAAATGAAGTTCAACGATCTAGTTTTAGCGAAAAATAAAAAATAGATAAAAATTATTTTTCCGAAAAGGGACATCAACAGGAACGTTAGATTGTTGCGCCATTTGAGAATACTTGAGTGCAACTAATTCCGTAATCCTTCAATATGAGAGGTATGTATACATTGTGAAAGATCAATGTCTAACTCGGAAGATTATAAATTAGTCGTCCTAGGTGCTGGAGGCGTTGGCAAGTCCTCACTTACGGTTCAATTTGTTCAAGGAGTTTACATTGAAAGTTACGATCCCACTATAGAGGACTCTTACACGAAGGAGATTGAGGTTGATGGTCGAGCCTGTAATTTAGAGATATTAGACACCGCGGGAGTGGCCCAATTCACAGCCATGAGAGAATTGTATATTAAATCAGGACAGGGGTTTATTTTGGTTTACTCAGTCACCGACAAAAGCTCTCTGGAAGAGCTCATGGCAATACGCGAACAAGTGATGCGCATCAAAGAATCGTCTAATGTTCCCATGGTCCTTGTGGGTAACAAGTGCGATCTTACAAATGAGAGGGAAGTCACTCCAGAAGATGGAATCGAGGTTTCCAAAAAGTGGAATAGAACGCCGTTTTATGAAGCCTCAGCCATGTACAAAATGAATGTCGAGGACGCATTCATTGATGTCGTGAGGCAAATAATCAGAAAGGAAGTCCAGGTGTCCTCGAGTGGTACACCAGGTTCTGGTCCTCAACAGAAAGAAGATGCGCCTGCATCCGCTTCAACTCGAAAACCATCCGAAAGTAAGAAAAAGCCTGCACCGGCCGCCGCAAAGCCAACACCAGCTGCTGATGCCAAAAAGAAAAAGAAGAAAAGAAGGTGTGTAATTTTGTAATCTACAGCTTTGTATTTGGGACAGTGCGACAAGTTCAAATGTAATAGCATGGCTGTTGCTAGTACAAGATTGCACTGCCTGGCCGGTCCATATTCACTAGTCAAAAAAATTTTAGGCAATAAAAACAAATGACAGCCGTGGGGTTCGAACCCACGCCTCCGAAGAGATCAGGACCTTAACCTGACGCCTTAGACCACTCGGCCAGACTGCCATCTTCTCTTACATCCCTCTCTCAGACGATTATGCTGAGAAGACAAGGAAATAACTGCGCCTGGAGTTTCTGGCAACTAAACAGCTGATGTTGAAATTGCATTTGAAGATGCATAGCGTTTGTATTTTTCGCGGTTCCATACGAAGAATAGAGATTCAATTCGTGTAATTACGGTAATTGGCAGCCAGTCATTTTATAATTGTCAGTCCCCCGCATAATCCACTTGAGATATGCCCGGAGTTTGCACTGAATATGGGTATTACACCACTCCGATATGTACAGGGTAGCGCCATATTATCGAAAACCCTGATTCGTTCAATCTTACCGCATCTGGGGAAACGACTGGTCATCCACAGGCAATATTCATGCCACTCCAACTTGACCTGCTGAAATATAAACACCTCGTTTTCTTGTGGTAGCTCCGAAAATTACAAGCTTGGATAATGATGAAAGCATTGTGCTACTTGGGTCAAAATAAAGGAATTCGCTGGCAATCAGTTCCTAAGCCGAAAATCAAGTTACCAACAGATGTGGTTGGTAAGATACTTGCAACCACCATTTGTGGCACCGACCTGCACATCGTCAAGGGACATGTGCCTGAATGCACAGAATGTGCTGAATCGCAGCCAGAACGAGGATTAATCTTAGGTCACGAAGGTATCATTGAGATTGAGGAGACAGGTTCCAAAGTCTCCAAATTCAAGAAAGGAGACATTTGCATTGTGTCCTGCATTTCACCATGCGGTGAATGCTATTATTGTAAGAAGAACATTCAAGCCCATTGCAGAGAGACCGACACTCACTGTGGTTGGATTTTAGGTCATACTATTGACGGAACACAGGCAGAGTATGTGCGTGTCCCATTTGCTGATCATGGCTTGTACAAGGTTCCAAAGGGAATCTCTTACGATGCCCTGATCATGCTAAGTGATATTCTTCCAACAGCGTATGAAGTTGGAGTGCTCAACGGTAAGGTCAAGGAAGGCGATACCGTGGCAATTGTTGGGCTTGGTCCAGTTGGGCTGTCTGCTCTGATTTCAACTAAGTCAATGAATCCAGCCAAGATTATCGCAATCGACATGGATGATTCAAGACTCGAGGTTGCAAAGAGAATGGGAGCAGACGAAATAATCAACCCTTCAAAGACCGATGCCAAGGAAAAGGTCCACGAGCTTACCGCTTCGGAGTTCAAAAACTCAGGTGTCGATGTTGCAATGGAGTGTGTTGGTATTCCACAGACTTTTGAGATGTGCGAAGATCTGATCGGCCCCGGTGGCCATATTTCGAACGTTGGTGTTCACGGAAGCGCAGTTCAGTTGAAATTGCAGGAATTGTGGGGAAAGAACGTGACCATGTCTACTGGATTGGTGTCAGCTTATTCTACGGCCGAGTTGTTGCAGAAAATCGTTGATGGTAAAATACATCCCGAGTCTCTGGCAACTCACCATTTCAAACTCGACGAGTTTGAAAAAGCTTACGAAGTTTTCTCAGACCCAGGCAAAAGCAAAGCAATCAAGGTCGTTCTAACCTCAGAATAGTCTCTATTTCTAACACCCGTTCTTTGTTACGTAAGGCTTGCTGAACAATCAACTAGTTTCTTCTTTCTTCGTATTCTTGTACTTTTCTTCGGACCTGCGTTTCTCTTCTGGATCAAGAATATTGATGCCTCCTTGAAGTGTTCGGGAAATAGCCTCTGTGGTTCCAATTATCGGGCGAATCACCATGATAGGAGTGGCTTTGGCAAACTCCCGAGCGGCAATCTGTGCACTACCGCTCCGTGCAGCACGCGTGCTTGCGGACACAATTGCTTCCCGAGCAGTGACTAAGTTTCTTCCCAGCGAAGTGTAAGCAGTTTGCAACCCCTCGTTTAAATTTTCCGGCTGATTTGAGTACAGACTGACAATTTTCTGGGCTTCATTGTCAGACTCATCATAGTAATCATCTAGATCACTATCGCTCTCCAACACATCAGGCAGCTCAGCAGTACTCTTGAACACAGCCGGAACAAGAAATCTTGATTTCTGGGCCTGGTCTGTGTCCTGTGTGCCATCTCTATCCAACGCCGAAGGTTCCTCCAGAAATTCTTCTTCTTCACCATAGGAGTCAAATGAGTTTCGATGTAATACTGCACCACTCATGGTATTGCGGCCCAGTAAAGACTTGTCCCCGGGAGTCGCATAAATGACCTCGCTGGGTGATGTTCTTCTTCGAGACTTTTGGTTTTTTCTGTATCCTGGTAGTCTCACAGCAGAGCCGTCTCCTCCCAGAGCCTCTTCGGTAGACTCTAATATATTTTGTGTTCCTGCAGCAAGCTTAACACCAAATTTGAGCAGCTCGCCACCGGTTATTTTGGCGAATGACAGTGCACCTTTTTGAAGACCTCTTATAACGCGGCCATCTTTCTCATATTCTTTCAAAGGCACAGCTACCAACTCTTTGAAACCAGACCCAATTTTCACGATTGATTTCACTGGAGCAAGACCTGAAAGAACCCCACCAAGCTGATTCCTTTTGATGTCAGGCATCCACAAGTCATTAAGCATTTTGTGCAAACGAGTGAATCCCGGTATTCCATAAAGCACCAACTTCTTCAAAATCATCTCAGACTCATCGAGAATGAAAAAGTTCATGAACTCGGTAGTGTGGCCAGATCTAATGCCAGCATAATCAACCTTCTTAGGCTTGTAATCAAGTTTAATCCTCACGCAGTTGACCTGGAACTTTTCAATGAAAACCTCTTCTTCGTCCAAAGCTGGGGGGGTGAAGCGGTCATCTTTAAACTCACCAAATCTTGTTAAAAAGTCTAGCGTGTCTTGGTCCACATAAAGTCTCAACGGAAGCACAGATACAGAGATCACCAATTCAGAAGCCGCCAATGATGCAACAGGGCGAACAGTGTCAATGACAGCATGAAGCATGCTGGAACCAAGTTCCTTATCCCCAGCTTCACGCAAATACCCCACAAACATGTTCCAGCTTGACGTGGGAACATTATCTGCCACTTTGAAGGATCCGACACTCAAATCAATTCTGTTAACGAGTTCTGAGTCATCTTTACTCTCATCCTCACTGAAGACTATAGAGTTTTTAGTTGGTTGAAGTTCATTACCAACCATGGTCAGGATGGACAGATCAAGGTTTTCTAGCTCAACTAGAACCTTGTGATATACAGATCTTTTCAAGCGCACTCTCCTAATTGAGCCCTTGCCTAGCTCGATGTTATGAGAGGGCGCTGTAGAGCGAGCGCTAGTAGTAGTGTTGACTGATGCGGGTGATGAAGAGCCTGGAGACAAATTATTACGCTCGCTCACATTTTCTGAGGCCGCACCGTTGCTGATCGACTTGTTGATATTATCGTAAAATGATTGAGGGTCCTGTCCAGCTAAGAGGCCCACATGGATTGACTCGTATAGTATCTCATTCACAGCTTCTGCATCTAGCTCGGTCGAATCATTAGAAGCGGAACGGATATCCTGGCTGGTGGAACCCTCAATCACACCATTCATACTGTCACCTATCTTTGCGGCTCTATCTTCAACCCGGCGAATGGCATTCTTAATTGTGGTCTGAGTCTCCTTCCAGTCATAGCCATCATAAAGCTTGATTGTAGCATTGGAAATACTGATTCCAATAGCCATTGGTATAATCTTCGTCGTGAACTCTTCACCCGAATGGTTGAAATGATTATCATCAAAAATGATATTCGACATGGTACCTGATTTGGTACCACTATTGGCCAAGCTACCAGAGCGTGTGGCTGATTGCTCACCGTGATCAGGGTTTAAACTTTTGTTGTAAAAATCTTCGACAATCTCCAGTTTTTCGTCTTCAGAGATCTCAGTTTGCCCCAGACTACCAGCATCTGCACTTACCGCCGACGAAAAGATATTCTCATCAACGTCCCTAAACACATCAACTTCATCCGTCGTTGGCTTATATTTTTCATTGAAAGTAAACTGCACCGGCTGCTTCAGATCTTTCAAAGTCTGAATCAAGCATTGGGACGAGTCTGCACAAAGGTCGAGAGCCAATGCATCAATATGTATCTTTGTATCAATCAAGGGAAATATTTTTCTGCCGGAAGAAGCCTGCGACATGCTCTTTTCCAAGTGACTCTCACTATCAAATGTTGAATTCAGAAACAAAGATGAAATATAACCCACAGGAACATAACCCTTGCTTTTCAAAATAGCATTCAGCGTCCAGATAGCATGATTGTTGTTCATGTTGATCCAGTGCCTCAATGATTTGCTTTCTTTGTCACTGAGAATATTTGCGACGTCATCAATCAATAGCAGAGTCAAGGAACTGAATGAAGATTGCAATTTTGAGCGCCCATCAGTACCAATCAACAAGTCAGCAATTCCTTTCCTGATAACGAGCTCAACCTTGGATTTTAGATTGACTGGGACAAGACCTATTGAAACATCAGCAAAGGTAAAGTTAATCTGATTTTTCCTCCCAGAAGCAGAGATGGCTGAGCCTGGATCAGCTTCCTCTTGCCTCTCTCGGGATTCCAAAAGTGTGACCCATTCTCCATAATAGTTGAATGAGCAATTTCTGAAGTGCACCCCCAAATTATCTTTGAATTTTGCAAACATCATGGGACACCCTTTGTTTCTGGGATCCGCCGCTTCCAGCAATGACTCATGTACCGGTTCACATATTCGTTGTATCAAAGCGTTCATAACATAAGTGTGCAGGGTCCCATCTTGCAGATAATTCACATATATATCTTTTAAGGAGACTTTCAGATCCCCAAAATTGGGACAAATATTGGAGAGAGTTCCTGTCCATTGATTGATCTCGACACTGTATTTCAGCATTTTGGAGGCATTTAGAAACAAACTATTACCCAGTCTTACTTTCTTCTGTCTTGGTGCTGGAGATGAGATCACCATAGACTTGTACATTAAATCAGCAAGTCTCCCAAAGCCGCTTATCAGTTTGAACATGACCCCAAAATCAAGCTTCAAAGTGACATTCTCGATTGTAGTTTTGATCTTGCTTTTGAGCCATGTTTCCTGAAGCGAGCTTGAATCAAATGATCGTATTTTGTTCACACCTACCGAAGATGACTCAATATTGGATATCATCAAAAATTGGTTAGATGCATATTGATCTCGTAGCGTTGCATCGTTATATTCGAAAAGAATACTGCTAGTATCGAAGCGACCTTCCTGGGAATCGTAAGTTATCGGAAGGATGGTAGACGTGATATCAAATTCACTGAGGTGAAGCTTGATGTGAATAGATGACATTTGTGCATGGAAGTCGCTCGATTTCTGGTTATTTGCTGTCTCTGGTAAAGAGAAGCGGGATGTATGCATGTTTGAGTATGGATTAGGAGACTTCATAGATATAGCCGAAAGGAATGCCTCGACAACAGGTTCCATCAGTGAGTAGTAACGCGCTGCCGAAGTCAATAGTTGTTCATCCACAACAAGATTTGCAGATTTCGGACATATTAAAGTGATGCGAGATGCATCGTTGCTAAGCATTTCAAGCCCGAGGTCCGCTACATTTGATGCGCGGGAGTCGCCGAAGCTAAAAAGCACAGTTCCACCGTCATTTCTCGATAGGCGTATTTTTGCAATGGAACCAAAAGAGAAAGAGGCATTTTTCTGTTCAAAGCGTATATCACTGAGTGATAAATAAATGCTATTGTCCAGAGCAAATCGTCCGTCATCCAAAAGTGCTGATTCAAGACTAACACATATCTCGTCAACCTTTAAGGTACTCAGCAAAGTCGTGCTAGTAGGTTCGCTTTTGTCGCCCGTTTCTTCAGATGTTCCACTGGTACTCATTGCCGAAAGCCTCACAATATTTTTGAATGATTGAATGACTGACGACAAACATTCAGGAATTGGGGAAGCCGCAATCTTGATCTGTCCCACGTCCACTTGCACGTTCTCTATGTTTTGAAGTCCATCAAATTGGAAGCTGAAATTACTGACATAGGCCACACATACAGCTGATGGTTGAGGAGGCTCGTGGGTAGATGCCCTCGGGGTAACCGAGGAGAATACGTTAGATGTCGCGCTCATGTACACGGATTCAGATGTCTTGCTTGCAAACATCATGCTCTCCATCAAGGATTTATGAATATCGTCCTTGTCTTCTGCCATAAACGAGGTTTGCATTAATTCATCATCATAGTCCTCAGAATCGCTGTCGTCAGACTTATTTTTGTCCCTTTCCTTTGAACTATTATCTTTATCCACTCCCTCTCCTGGATAAACTTCTGGTTTGACAGCATTCAGCTTCATACCCTCAACTGTAATGTATCTGGTCCCTTCCTTTGATAACAAGGTGACGTGATCAATGCACACTTCCATTACAGAAGCCTCGAGTACCATAGTGATTTTTATGTCACGTATTGTTAGTTGTAGCCTTGACAAAGCCATATCTGCCGCCTTTGCCATCATGTTGCTCATTTTGTGGTCTTTCGTTTCTGTTGGAAGGGGATTAAACTCAACCGAAGCAGTTTCTCGTATATCTTCGTCGTCCACAACATTGTCCTCGAACATAACACTGTTTGCTAAATCAGCTGTGCTTTTCGCAAGGGAAAACTGATCTGAGCTGTTTGGCTTTGCAGAAGTTACCGAAGGAGTGAAAGTGATATTAACTCCAGCGCAATCCACATTGACACCATCGCTTATCGTGAGAGAAAGAGCAAGCGTTTCAATAGACCCACTTCTCATGTACAGTCCTGGTATGCTGAACTTTTCAATATCTAGCTCCAGATTTCGGAGATTGACCTTGGAGCTTGCGCCCAGTGACACATCCAAATTGGGTAGATCAATCTCGGAAAATAAGGAGAGCTGCTGAAGGATGTACTTCAGTAATCGCTTCTGTATATTTTGAGGCATCCATTGAGGCGCCATTTTTTGCAGATATGCGTTGCGCTCCTCAAAGGGACTTTATGATACAAGTTTACTGGAGTAAACTCAACTATTAGATCAATAATTCAGATTCGCCACTTTTTAGGTAATATAAATATTCATTCTACGATTTATATCTTTTGACATGATAACCAGCCTCCGTGGCGGTGCGATTTTTTTATTAAATGTGGGGTGCCTCACTAATCTCCTATTTCAACAACCTCACTGTGCATAGCTTCATGTATTATATTTCTCTTCTTCAACTCAATTTCTTGCCCTTTGATATAACTGATGAGCGCAAGACCGGCTATAAATGTCAGTCCCACAAGAAGCGTGTTAGCCGGATTAGGGTTCATTTTGAATATGGTATGTGTAGCATTGTCAAGGGGGGCCTGTAGCACATTGAATAATCCGGAGATGCAATTAATAGACCCATAAACGGTTCCAAAGGTTTGGTAGCCAAACACTTTGGCGCAGTAATCAGAAACAGCCGTGTAGTAGAATGGACGATAAACCACAAGCATCACAATACCCAAGTATTGCACAATCTGTACAGGAATCATTCCCAAGATTCCTATCAAGAGCGAGATATGAAGCAAGATCGATAACACTGTCACAATCTTGAAGTTGTCCAGTAACACTCCAATAAAAGGAATGGCAAACACGCCTCCAACTGGAAGAGCAACATCAAAAAACTTGTTTATTTGGACGGCAATTGCCTCGTCCTGGAAGTAGTATTCCATTTGGGACCGTATAGTTGCCACAAAATAGTTCACCCTGAGCATTTGAATGGTAGCAAAACAAACCATAAGGGTAAACCAAGGTGAAGTCATTTGTTCCTTCAAAGACTTGTTATGAAGCACTCCAGAAACACCTCCTGACTTTTCATACAGACGGTTTTCAGCAATCTCTTCATACACTGACTTGGTTGATCTATTAGATCTCACGGACTTGACAGATGGCCTACGTGATCTTTGAGCTTCAATCCGGGCCTGAGAATACCTGAGATCCTCAGGATCCATTGGTAGGCCCGTTTCGTCAATTCCTGTTTCTCCGATTTTGGCCAATGTTTCCACTGTTTTATAGGACTTCTTGGGCATCACAGTGAGCTGACACACCAATATAAAAATTGGCACAATCAGATAAGCAGTGAAAAACTTCTTGAGACTTAGGTCCCGAATCCAATTGTTCTGGTACACAAGTCTGTACATCAAAAACAACGCTGAACTGGAATCAAAGGCTCCGGTCAAGAAAGCTAACACAGTGCCCGATCTACCAGGGAACGAGTTGGCCAGCTGGAATGAACTGATAAAGACAAAAGGACCACCGAAAGCAAGCCCGATATAGCCTGCAAGATAGGGATCAACAATAGTAATTGATTGTCCCTGCGAAAGACTTATACCAGCAAAGAAGATCACAATTGCGCCAATAATGCCTGTCACTCTTGGTCCGAAAGTGTCGAGCACTCGTCCAACCACCAAAGCTGTAGCGTTGGTGATAACTGCCGCGATGGTAAACATAAAGTTGAGTTTCAGGTCACGCTCTGCACACATGCCGTTCTCTCCAGTATCAATGTTTTTTTTGCAATACTCGCGGTAAATGCCTTGATCAATCAAGATAGGTTTCAATGCAGCAAATCCAAAGATAGGGCCGGCGGCAAACAGGCACCACGTCAATGCACATCCAACTTGGAACAATCTAATCCTCAAAGGAGGGAGAGACTCCTTAATAGGATTTGTTGCAACAGGAACCAAGGGAGTTTCTTCCGTAGCAGGCATGGCTAAATAAATGCGCAAACTGAAAAAAAAGCTAAAAAACCTAGTCAATTATTAATTTAGCTAGCAGCCAACAAAATTCGACACTGTACTGATAAACGGAGGAAATAAGCCTGCTTATCTATGTGCGATTTATTTATGCAACACCCATCTTTCCGATCTCTTCACTTAACTCCTCGAGTTCTTTATCCCCATCCTTTTCAACGTCGGGCTTTTCATTGGACTCGTTCAAAACGTTCTCTATCCAAGCGACTTCTTTTCTAATCAAATCCTTCGTGTTTGGAACAAAATGTCCTCCAGGGTGCTTCAAAACAGTAGCATTCTCACAGCATTCAACAAGGGCCTCGGCTCTGTCAGGAGAAACCACAGTATCAAGTTCGCCAAAAATATGAAGGGTGGGAAGCTTGATTTTGTTCTCGTAGTATTTCTGGTATTGCTGAGGCTTGAGCTTGAATCCGGCATAAAATATTGCAAACTTGAGCTCCTCGTTTGCTTTTGGCTGACCAACAATTTCGGCGTATTTATTACACACAACTGCGGCCAAACCGGCACCCTGAGAGAAGCCCATGATACCAATGAACGGCCCGTGTTCTTTGTAGTAATTCTTCACCGCGTCTAGAGCTGGCTGGAGATCATAGTCGTCATTTGGTTGCCACCATCCACGATAATCAAATTCGTCCTCGGCATTCTCGCTTGGGGGAACCTCAAATGGCAAATCAGCTTTTTGGATCTTGAGAGATCCTTGAACGAAGATAGTGTGGTATCCAATTTTCTTCAAAGCTTTTCTGATCCCTGAAGCCTTAGCAGAGAAGGTAGGGCCGTTCTGGGCGTAACCGTGCAAACAGAGAATTGTTCCTTTGATAGCTTTCGACATTTTTCATATACTTTTTGCGCTTAAGTTTTTAGGGGGTGCACAATTATCCGGGTTTTTTCATGGCTGTGCTTAAAAAACCCGGTCTTTTCAATTAGCATTCCATGGGTCTTTATTGGAAGATCTTTTTTTACGTCATTATCAAGATGTAGTGTATTTTACCGTCTTCGAGGAAAGCTTGTTATCATCAGCTTGTAACTTTATTTGAACCCATCATTTCCTAGTTGGGATAACTGTTCCACAAATCAGGTATCTAGCCTGACACTATGATCCCAATTATATCCAAAATTGGCAAAGTTAGCAACTACAATTACTGCATCTAATACATTATACTTGTTTTCCTGTTTCACGTACCCTTGCTGTGCACAGCCTCACAAAAAAACTTCACGGGCCCGAAAGCTTTTAAACTTGAAATTTACACTTTCGTCTCTAATGACTGTCGATGCAATTGAAAACGGGTGGTTCGAGCCAGTGCCGTTGCAAAAATACCAAGATTTGGTGATTAAATCTATCCCTGAAAATCTTTCTGGCTGTCCTCCAGATAAAACAGTGGGTAACCCTGCAGTGCAAGTGGCTTGCGGCCCTAATCTAAGATTCTTGGGTTGCCTTGAAAACGGCAAAACCAATTACAGGGGATCTATTCTGCTTGTTCTGCGCGATACCCCGGAGACTGAGAGGGTGGAGCCATTTATGGAGTATTTTATTGGGCCTGCTACCACTTCTACTGGCTCTCTTCAGTTGAGCAAAGGTGTGTTCTCGGGGACCTTGTTTCACCAGGAACAGGGCCTTAGCTTCTGGAGATTTAGCATGGAATTGCAACTCCAAGAATATGAGCAGAAGGTGAGGTATTCTGTCAACGACGAGTACAACGAGAACTTTCAGTTTTATCTGCCTTCTGTCGAGCAATCCATGAATGTCATGTCATACTCATGCAACGGCTTTTCGCTGAGTGTCAAGACTGCAGACTTCAAAAGCTCGCTGTGGTACGATGTTATGCGCAAACACAGTGAGTTGCCATACCATGTCATGGTTGGCGGGGGTGACCAGATCTATTGCGACTCCGTGAAGAAGTCCTCCAAGCCTTTTGAAAAATGGCTGAAACATAAGAAGTTGCACTCTAACGACAAGCTCACTGACGAAATTGTCAAATCTCTCAAAGAATACTATTTGACCAATTACATACAGTGGTTTGGTAAAGGGTACTGGGAAGGAACAGCAGGTGCCACTTTGCAGTGCATCTACCCTTTGGCATTGCAACAGATTCCTCAAATCAACATTTTTGACGACCATGACATCATCGATGGTTTTGGCTCGTACAGTCACCGTACCATGACTCAGGATATTTTTGAGGGTGTTGGTAACATTGCATTCCAATATTATTTATTATTCCAGCATCACACCTCTCCTACAGAAGACTACAAATCTGAGCCTTCCTGGATTGTGGGGGCTTCTATTGGTCCTTACATCAAACAGCAGTCCAGATCCGTCTATACAAGACTAGGAAAAGAGGTTGCACTAGTTGGCTTGGATTGTAGAACGGAAAGAACGAAAAAGCAAGTTGTTACAAAAGAGACCTATGCGCGTGTCTTCGAAAGACTGAAACAAGAAATCACCGCATCTAACGGCGACATCAAACACCTTCTTGTGCTGCTTGGGGTCCCGATTTGCTACCCTCGAATGGTGTGGATCGAATCCATTTTGGGATCTGCCGCTCTGGGTCCCATCAAGTGGTTGGCCAGAAAAGGGATCATTGCGAAGGGTCTGGTCAACGAGTTTGATGGTGGTGTGGAATTACTGGACGATTTGAACGATCATTGGTGTGCTGTTCACCACAAGAAAGAACGTAATTGGTTGATGGGAGAATTGACGAAGTTTGCCGGAACACATGGTGTCAGAATAACAATTCTTTCCGGTGACGTCCATCTTGGCTGTCTTTCAAGAATGATGACAAAAATGCACAAACATCACATGTTCAGCAGTAGGATAGACGAAAACCGCAAGGAAAGTTTGGCGCACCCAGAACACGATCCAAGACTCATTTTCAATGTCATTTCCTCTGCTATTGTTAACACCCCACCACCTAACGGCATGGCAACCCTGCTGGAGAAGAGGTCGAAAATCCATCACTTTGACACGAATTGTGACGAAGATGTCGTGGATTTGTTTGTTAGGGACACCGATGGCTCTGCTAGAACAAACCACCTATTCCTGAATAAACGGAACTATGCTGACCTCATTCCGTTCAAGAATCTCAAAGATACAGAGCGTTATAACAAGTTTCGCCCAGGAGATTTGATCCATCCAGGCCCATCTGAAGCATTAGAGAAAGCAGAGGATATTGGCGACGGAAGCTACTCCACCAAGAAGATTGGCTACCCTCTGGATCCAAGTTCTCTCGTCACCACGTTCCATTTTGAGGTGGACATGAAGGACACAAACTCTCGAACTTATGACTACGAAGTTTTAATTCCTCATCTAGAAGGAACTTACGATTTGAAAGACATCGGTCTCAAATAGATTATGCTGTACTATCTCTATGTATTGCGCACTTGTAAGATTATTATTCTTTTTTCTCCACGAATATAGCCATCAGGGCGAACACAGAGTAGAACATCGCCAAAGGGTAAGCAACCAAGGGTCTGGCGTTACTCAGGTTGAGCACACGAACGAAGAAACCCGAGGAAGCGAATGTGCACCAAAAGATGGCCAAGCATGCTAAAACATAACCAACAGTGTTGTCCAACCTAATGAGGACGGCGATACCACTGAGAATAACAAGGGGAAGCAAACAGTATCCTATAACTGACGCGGTTCTTAGAAAGTCGAGATTATTGTTCGAGGTGTTATTAGACATAAGTTTGAATAGCCAGTGAAGCGAAACTGTTCCAAACAATGCCACACCGTATATGTATCCAAAATGCGTTTTTCCTGAAAGCAGAAGCAGGGTACCAAACAACAGACAGAATATCAGGGGTCCAGCCAAATCTGAGTCCTGGATGATGTCTTCACTCAAACTGCTGGATTTGAAGTTCAGAACCGCTAGCGTTTTCGATTTGATGTGATTGAAGTTGATGCCGAGCTCCTCCAGCAATGGGGGTTCCCCAGGATAGCCACTGGTAGAGAAAGCTGCGAGAACGCCTTTGCTTAACGGTGGTTGATCTTGGTCTCCGCCAGCATAGGAGTAGCTTGTTTGCATTGACCCTGTAGGAATTGATCCATTGTAGAGGCTTTGCTGTGATGGACCGTTATAAAAGCCGAGATTTGGTTGCTGGTAGTAGGACATCTTGGACGTCTGCTAATTTCGCCAAAAGTTTCGAAAAAATACACAAGCTCACAACTTTTTCCCACACCTTTGCACGGACCTCACTTTTAAACAACAGATGGAGTCTTTGGTGGCCGACATATTGGAGGAGTATGGCGATCTACATCGCTCAGTGCTTCAGTTTCTAATGGCCGCGAAAAGCATAGAATTCGAAGTTTTATATACAGTTTTTGTTAAACTTGTCATCAAGTCTTTGATTGAGAAGCATCATCCAGAACCATCGAATTCAGATCAAGAGAGGTATTTACGCGAATTGCTCGGGCAGGCTCGACCTGAACTACCGACACTAACCTCAGAAAGCTTAGTCAAAACAATCGCATTGATCAACCGAGAACTTGCTGCGCTAGATTTCGAGATAGTGGAGACTCTGGCCCAAGATGATGAGAAAAATATCATTGCCAGCTTTGTGAACACCAAATCGTCGCCGTCCATTAAGCTGTCTACAAGCTACACGGAGAAAGAAATTGGTGTGATCAATCAGCTGATCGACCAAATGTTTGAGAATCCATTCGATGATGAGGATAACTTAACATATTCTCTTTCGTACGCACAAGCACTCAATATTGCGAAGCGAAACATCCAAACGATTACCGACGCGCAGAAATTTATCAACAAGTTGGAATCATCAGGATGGCTTGAAACTGTGAAAGGAAAATACACCCTTAGTACGCGCGCTCTTGCTGAGCTCAAGTCATATCTAATCACCAAATTCGAGACCAAGTCGGCAGAGAACCCAGATGGAGCGGTATCATTGTGTCATGGCTGTAAGGAGCTCACAACAATGGGATATAGGTGCTTCAGGTCACAATGCTATGTCCGTTTTCACGAACACTGTCGCGACCTGTATACGCAATCGCATCGAACCCAAACCTGCCCTGCTGACGACTGTGAATCTTCGCTTGAAAACATGATCAGCTTCTATTAAGTTTGAGGTGCGCTCATGCGCTCTATCTCGTCCAAATATTCGTTGGTCACCTCATCCACCAAATCGTACACATATTCCTCCAAGATACGCTCCTCATATCTGTCATTGTATATTCGGACTTCTCCTCTCGAAATCGCGTCTTGAAGATCCACAGGGACAAGAATGTCAGGAGTGGTGTTTAGTTGGATTACTCCTCGGTTGTAGCAACTGATCATCGGATAGTATCCTAGCGAGCCATCATCTTTGGTTTCAGAAATCCTGCCTTTCACTTCCTTGCCATGTTTCTGTTCGGAGGAAGGCGGCAGAAATGCATTCAGGCCCTTGAAGGCAACTCCGCAAAACTCTCCATTTTTGTACACTGTTATTGAAGAATTTGGAAGCTTGCATGGCTCAAACTTTACCGTATCTCTCACAGCTTTTTCTCCAAACACGGTCACAGGGTTCAAAAGATGCTCCATCTCTTTTGATACAGTATAGTCATATTGTTCAAAGTAAAGCTGGTTTTTGTATTTGATCGGAATTTGGTCACGTACAATGTCAATTTCTGCGGGCTCGTTAACAGAAACCTCGAGATCGGGTTGTCCAACTGTTTGCTGATGGATTTGCTGACTAGCTAGCCGCCTTTGCGTCTTTATATCCGGTAACTTGATGAGCAGCCCAACAACATCGCCAGTTTGAAACTGATCGTTCTGCAAGAAGCTACCCTGCTTACTTAAATGAACCGTCTGGCCGTACTTGTCTCTGAATCCATATCCGTATCCATCGAACCCTACAGGGGCTTCCAGGCTAGCCTCTCTTCTAGCAACTCCAAATCTAACATGGCTTTCTCCGTCATTGGACTTGATGAGTCTGTACTCAATATACCAAGTTCCCTCTCTGATAACGGCATTCGCTCTAGCGCTTCTCCATCCTTGAAGAGCAGTAGCAGTAGTTAGATTCTCATCGACTAATATTCCTGGGGACTTATCAAAATACGAGAGTCGGCAATAGAACGGAGGAAAATCAGTTGTAGAGTACATCATTGACGTGAATGCAGGGTTCGGGCGACATGGCTTATATTTGAATGCTCTCTTATTATTTGGATTGTCATCATTGGAGTAGAATTCAATGTCTCCGAAAACCACCTGCTTATTCAAAATGGGTTTTCGTAGCTCCAGCTGCAAATCCTGGGATGAATAGGGTAAAGGTTTCAGCCGAGGCACCACTTTGATTTGGCCCATCGTGAAATCTACAACAAAATATTTTTTCTTCTAGGATGTTACGACAGTTGAGTCTCAAGTACAATATATTTACAAGTATTGCGCTCACCAAAACAGAAAGCAACTCGGCGGGATTACTGGCAAACACGTCGTATGCCTTGAAAGACAATCTTGTTACTCGTGATACGCCCACAACGTGCTCCTCAAAAATTCTTGACAACTATGTTTCTCCATTTGACTCTACGGTCAGCAAACTATTGACCCAAGAGGGTTCGCAATTAATTGGGAAGACAAACATGGACGAATTTGGTATGGGAAATTCTTCTTTGAACTCTCATTTCGGGCCCACCCTCAATCCTTTGTACGAACAAAAATCAGACATAGTAGATCTCGAGGAAAGGGAGTTCTGGATTGGAGGTGAAAGATTGAATGAAGAAATCACCTTTAAAAGACCATACACAGACAATTACTTGCATCGAAAATACCTAGTTCCCAAAGTCAGATCAGACTACAAGATAGATCCTCAAATGAGGATTGTTGGTGGATCGTCAGGAGGATCTGCTGCAGCGGTTGCAGCTGATCTAGTAGACTATGCTATAGGAACAGATACTGGAGGATCAGTCAGATTACCTTCGTGCTATACATCCATATTTGGCTTCAAGCCATCTTACGGAAGAATCTCAAGATGGGGGTTGATACCATACGCTCAATCTCTCGATACAATTGGCATCATGTCTAAAAATATAAACTTGGTCAGGAAAGTGTTTGGTATACTAGACAAGCACGACAGCGCAGACCCCACGTCAGTCTCACAAGAGAATAGAATATATGACGACAAGGTGGATTCGCAGATAAAAATTGGTATCCCTACTGAGATGAGCTTGGAGGGCATGGAAAACGATGTGAAGGAGAAATGGAGAAAATTGCTCAAACAACTGCAAAAACTTCCCGAATTCGAGCTGTTTCTGATCTCTGTGCCCTCACTATCGAAGAGTCTCCCTGCATATTATACATTGGTGACTTCTGAGGCATCTTCTAATCTAGCCAGATACGATGGAATAAGGTACGGATATCGTACTGGCGAATATACAAACCTTGAGCCAGAGTTCGCCAAAACCAGATCCGAGGGATTCGGGCCAGAAGTTAAACGTCGAATAATTCTGGGGTCATATTCTTTGTCCTCTTACGGTTACAATAGCCATTTCATGAATGCTACCAAGGTAAGGTCTAAACTGATTCAGGAGTTCAATAGCGTTTTCAAAGAGCCACACATGTTAACCAAGGACCACAATCCAGATGGTGTGGACTTCATTTTGTGTCCAACTGCTACCTCTTTGCCACCTCTTGTGTCGCAATACCAAAAAGTCACTCCTGTGGAGTCATATATGAACGATATCCTGACCGTCCCATTTTCTCTTGCGGGACTTCCTGTACTTAGCATCCCACTAGGAAGATCGATAGGTTTTCAACTTGCTGGACAGTTAGGCCACGACTATAAAGTTCTGAAGCTGGCGCAAATGATCGATGAACTGCACATAAGATGAATGAGTCTTTATTAGTTTCTATAGTACAATCACACTGGAAGGACGCGGACACCAGCCAATTTGTCCAAAACAGGACCAATGACCGGGTTCGAGAGAATTGGGCCAATGTAAGGAAGAGATCTAAGGAACTGCACCACTGTAGCGAAAAACTCTCCAAATAATCCCAAAATGCCAAAACTTTCCACTAGGAATCCCCAAAACGAGTATTTCATCAATATGAGGAGAACTCCAAACAGGAAGCAAATGGACCCTCTGATCTTTTGTGGTCTAGTGAAAAAATACACGGTTTTCTGTGGACCGATAATGAGCACCAATCCAATGATGAACAACAGGTTACTCATTGCAAGAAGGGCTGAATCAAAGAAAGTGACAACCCCCAGAAAAAAAAGCAGGACCCCACCCGCAGTGAAGCCAACGCCGAATTCTGCATGTCAGCAATTGTTAATTCAAAACTTACTTTGTACTTCGGTCAGCCAAATCATTATTTCAGATGAATATTATTTTTTAAGCATAGGGAAAAAATGTTTACACAGCCTCTGGCTGAAAAAAACAAGTCATGCGCGCACTGCCCTTCGCGGCACAGCTCCTATGCGTAGCTGTATATAAATAATCAGAATCCAGTACCCCTTTCTTGGCAAACTAAAAGCAACACCGAATCCACAATGAGTCTGGACTCCAAAGAACAGCCTCCTTCCTATCTTGAAGCAGTTGGCGAAAATTCCGCTGCTACTTATTCAACTCCGAGCGTGCAAAGGGAAAGACCGACGCAGGTGATTAATTCGAAGCAATGCCGCTGCAAGAGTTGTCGAAGAAGCTTTAACAGAGGATGTCGTAGGAACCTCGACGCTCGTACATTCTATGGTCGCCCTCGCCGTGTGGGACTCATTGGATTGGCGGTCATGGGTGTCGGCTACGCAATTGATAAGATATCGGAAAATAAGGCCCGTAATATTCTTCCAGGTGATCCCAAGTTGGGTGGGGTTTTGTGCCCGAAGTGTGAAGGACAGGGTACGCAAAGTAATGACTCAGTTTGTGTTACATGCCAAGGGTATGGTAGAATAGGAAGGGAATAAGTAAGGCGAGATAGTTGAGCGACTGAGCGATTCTATAAATTAGGTAAACTTCTAGTTATCATCAAACAGCTCGTTGACTGCTTCATAGTTGATCTTCTTACTCAGGGATTTGTTTTTCAGCATGCTTTTAGCGCTATCAGCAGCTGAAAGTTCCTGGTTCAAGGCGGCCGTCAAACCCAGGTGTGAAGAGGCACCTGATAAGTACTCCCCATATTCGCTCTTTAGATCGTTACCCTTATCTTCAATTTTCGTGGAACGTTTTCTTCTCTTCGGATGTTGGTTGTGGCCTGCGATTCTGTCTGCATCTTCTTTGAGACGCTTTGTTTCTTGAGCCAGCAAAAATTCTTGATTTGATCCCACCCAGAGACGCTCCTTTAGCTTGCTTTCTTCCTCGGTCAGAAGAATATTGTTGATTTCATCATCGTCTGCGTCGTCCAGGTTATCTGGGTCATCAGGAATTTTGGACAGCAAGGATTCCGTCTTGGGAAGCGCCTTCAGAAGATTTCGAGGCCGATTCCTCTCAATCATTCGTTCAAATTCAAGATCCTGGACTGAGATGGTTTCTTCCTCCTCTTCGTTCTCTTCCCCCAAAGTGGCATTCAGCTTGCGCATTTTATCCCTTTTCTGTCGCTGGAGAACTCTTTTGACATGTTCCTGGATTTCCTTCTCAGAGAGTTTGGAGTCTTCCAGAATGGCAGCAAGGACAGGATCATTGGTAACATCCTCGGTGCTCGTTTTCTCTAACTGGCTTTTCAGTTTTTTCTCGCTTCTTCGGTTTTTCTGAAATGAGGGCGGAAGACTAGATTTGACTTCACCACGCTCACGGAACTCCTCGACTGTTAAGCCCGATGCGTTTGTATTCTTGAATTCATTAAGTCTTTTTTGGATTGTAGATTCACCGATATGCGTAACGGCAACGATTTCGGAGTGCGTTCTCCTGAAATTGTTCATTCGCGCAGCCAGAAGAATACATGCGCCAGCGATACCTGCAGGTCTTCTCCCCTCATGAATCCAGTCTTCGCTCATTCGGTGTGCAAGCTTGATGGCATCGTTTATGACCTTTGGTAGCATGCGTCCAAAATCTAGCTTTTCTGCAAAGTTCTGGATGAAAAGTGACGGGTCAACTAGAGGCAAAGATGTGATATGGAGAGCCTTTACCATCTTCAAAAAAGTAGCTCCAACTGCATAAACTGATATCTGTAAACGAGAAGAGAAATCTATCAACATGTGGTGCGTCTTTTCCTTTCTGCACGCAATATACAAACACGCTGCAACAACATTTTGCGAACGTCGTCCTTGTACAAAGTTGTTGGTGAGAGCCAACTGAAACCACTGGCAAGCCGCATCGGCTATATAGTCTTTGATCTTGAGAGCCGCAGCGACATTTCTGATCCGTTTCTTACCATTTTGTAGCGTTTGTTCGCGTGAATCAAGAGATCCACGATTATTACCAAAATTTGCTCTAGTCTGGTCTGCACCAACTATGGATCCTTGAAGCATGGCAGCTCCTGACGGAGCCTCCCCAAACGTGACCTCAAGCACGATTGGGTTCTCCTCAATAACAGTACCACATCTGGCACATGCTAGATCAGATGATGCAGTCTTGTGATCGCGTTCAAATTCAGTGCTTCCACAGTTTTTACACCTGGGCACCATATTATGTGAATAAAAACAATTTATCGAGAAGCCTAGATATAAAAATATTAAAAATCGCTAAAGCGCACCGCCACAAATATGCATTTATAAAACAATTAGCCACACAGCTTACAACGACTCTAAACCGTCAAGCGTCTGCTTTGCAACGAAGAGCCAACTCTTCCACAACGTGCTGTTCTGTAGTTTGCCTAGCTTCCCCTCGATAGTAGCAATCTCCTTCTTGAAAACTGAAACAGGCCAATATTTGTATCTTTTTGTAGCCAAGGCAATGATGTTATAAGCAGTGATTATCAAAGCGCGAGGATCTCCTTCGTCAAGAAGATCGATATACCGTTCAGGGACTTCCACTGTGTAACGCGAGAGAGTACCATACATGTCATACTCCAGCTCATATGAAGGTTTGAAACTTCTTGCAACCTTTTTGTCAGTAGCAAGAGCTGAGTTGGATGGCGCGCCAGTAGCGACGGATTCAATCGGAATATGTCGTGGTGTATTATTTGGTTGTGCAGGCGAAGAAAGGTTCGCATGAGCTCTGTATTCCTTCTTCAGCCTATCGACCATTGCAATCATTAGAGCCTGCGATTCTTGATCCAAAGGCCGTACTCTTTCTTTGTTTGCTTCATTAGTCGTCGGGTAATCCACGTGGACAAGGTCATAAAGGAACTCCGGGAAGTAGTAACTTGCATCTTGTGACCATGAATTGATGCAGTAGCGTGCACATGCGTCGTTGAATAATGGATCATTTCTATAAAGTAGCACGTAGTCTGTGAAAAGGAGCCCCAAGTTCCGTCCTAGTCCAAAATAGCCTCGTGAGCAGACCTCCTGATTTGGACTGGCAGTGGCATAGAATATGTGCAGCATTGTAGTGATCATAAGTGCCACGCTTTTTTTTATGTCCTCTTGCACTTTCACTTCCTCACTCATGGAATACATGGACTTGCTGAAATGGTAATCTCCAAGTTTCAGGTAAGTCATTTTGTTGAGATTCAAAACATCATCATGACCATACATGACTTGCTGAAAGTAAAGATCAAGGCAGCTGGCGGCCATGAACGAATGCCAGCAAAAATCGTAAAGCGGCGAAGATTTGAATGCCGATATCAACATGTCTCTGTTGATTGAATCCTCACAGATCCTAAAAGGCAATGTGTTCATTGTGTGGAACTGAAGTTTGAGCAAGAATTCACTATAGAACGTGTAATTGGAAATTTCTTTGGGAATGTCCAAATCAGCTAGATGCGAAAAAGCGGTTTTAGGGGTCAAGAATTCCGGAGACACGAAGTTGAATCTCGTTTCATTTTCTATACTATGACACCTGCCCCAGTGCTTGATCGGATATGAAAACCCGAACTTTCCATGTGGTTCCGACATCATCCCTGACGAAACAGAGGACACAGGACTAGGGTTTATGCTTTTAGTTTGCGTGGTATTAGTGTTTTCTGATGATATTGAGGAGCTTCCTTCGTCAAGAATAAAAAGGGTCATGCGATTGCCTCTCTGGTCGGATGAGGACACGCTGCCCATGTCTCCTGCATGTAAAATTGGATCAGTCTCGCCAAAAGGATTTTTGAAATTGTTTGTCTCAGACAATACTTTCGATTCAAAGCCCGACTGGGGCCCATAAGTGCAAACAAGCCCTCTTTTCCGGCAGCGCAAACATTCGGGCTTATCTTCATCGCACTAGGAAAGTTAGTTAAATTGGCTCGATGAATACTCACTTTCAGCCTTCTTCTTTTGCACGAAAGACATCCGGTTTTGGTTTTTTTATGGGGTCTTCGCAGGAACGACATGAAAAATACGAGCTGTAGGCACCGTTATGCGTTAACGAGGTTTCAGTCACAAATTGCAACAATAGATATTTTTCCCAATACTATAACACAACAGACGATCTCAGCTCTTTCGAGATGAAAAGTCACTTAGTTTCCTCGAAGGTCCCTCTCCTAAATGAAACGATTCGGGAAAAACTTAATCTTTTTATTTACTCGGTAGTGTAACCTGAAAAATTCCGGCCCTATAATAATTATCTTGCTTTATGTTGGACACCAGTTACCGTAAATTGTGCGTCCTGTCTGAGACTATGATGTAATATTTATTGGTGTAAAAAGGTGGGCACTAGAAATAGGGCTCCTAACATGCGCTTTTTTGCTGAGACCTAATTTTGAATGATCTTTACGGAATGATATGACGTCTTGTTATCAAAAATCACGGCTGTGCCATTTGTTTACGAATTTTGACTATCATTTGTTACGACTTCATCTATGACCAACGCGTCTTCAATCCAAGACTTGGCAGACAAGATTCCTATTTTGCGCTCAGATGATACTTTCAAGCAGTATGTTGATGAGTCAGCTTCAGTTAGGGGTCTGAAGCTTGACCCGAATATGCTAAAGGAAAACCCTGAGGCATTAGCCAACTTGACCAAGAACAACGAGAACTACCTCAATAAACTCACTTACCAGTTTCTTGAGACCGAGTCCAAACAGATTTTTCTTGGGTTTCTGAACGAGGGACACAAGTTGACTGCAGAAGAAATGGACACAACCAACCAGATGATCGCCGAATCTAAACAGAAGTACGAAGAGATGGAGGCAAATATAGCGAAACTCCGCACAGAGATTCATGTGGGAAGCAGGAAAGTGCTTAAATCACTTGCCGAAGTCAATCGGCTCAATAAAAGTATCAACGAGCTTAACAACACTAACGACAATCTGCAACAAGAGGTCGATGATCTAGAGAAAAACACCACAGTCAACATTGGTTCTCGCCAATTCCACTCATACGAGCAGCTGGAGCAGCTTGAAAGTCAGACATTAGAGGAAAGTGCACAGTTGCAAGAGGAACTGGAGCAATTGAAGCTTTTCAGGGAAAACAGAAGCGAGCATTTGAAGCAGCTGGAAAATGATTTACAAAATACCAAAGATTCTGTTAGGAGAAATAGGGCAATCCTATCACAGTCTGTCGAAAAACGCCAACAAGTTGAGGTGGATCCTAATCTAGATAGGAACTACAAGCACATGGTACAACTTATCGAAATATGGAAATCATTCGCCAATAACTGAGCAAAATATATGACCATTACGCGCTTTCGTTATATATCGAGTTCCTTTTTGAGAAAAGCTCCCATGCTTCCAAGGTATCCTTCGTGTCTCAAAAAATAAGCCTTTTTCGAGCCTTCAGACCAGAAGTTTATGGCATAGCTCAATGTTCTGATTGTTTGATAGTGGTTTCTAATGTATGAGCCAGCGAAATATATTTTCTTCAAACCGTGTCTCTGGGCTTGCAGATAGGCGATTTGACCAATATTATTGGAAACAGCGTATAAGAGCGAGCGAGCTATGTCTTCCTGGTTAAGTTTTTCCAACCTATCAAGACGAACATCATGATTCGTTTTCTCGAGCTCTTCATCTTTCTCAAACACTTTTTTGAATACCTTTCCCATGGAAGATGCAATGTGGTTTGATTTGAGACCGATTTTGTTGTACCCTTTCCCATAGATATCACCGACCAATAGGTCGACGTTCTCGTTATTTCCGTGAGATGCCATTTCCAGCATTTCATCAAAATCCTTACACGTCGTCAGCACAGATAACAAGCCCCATAATGTTCCTCCTCCCAAAGAAGAGCCACCCACACGGATAAAGCTATCTGGACCGGGGCCGGTCACCTTGATTATCGAAACACCGGAACCAATGTTGACCAGTAAGTAAGGATATATGCTAAAATCAAGTTCCAACTCTCCTGAGTCCACTTCCACATATTTGTGATTCTTTTCGTCAAAATAAAATATCTCGTTTTGAATTTGGCTGATAAAGAAATCGAGGCCAATTATTAAACACTGCATTTCATCCTCTTTTTGCACCTTGCAATTGAGAGACTTTTTCAGTTTGTCATAAAACTTGTAGGATCCGCCTCCGGTCGCAATCAGCGTCAAATTGGGATTGATAAGAGTCTTGCCGTCATGACGGTAATATTTTTTCAATATAGTTTTAAGGTACTCAATGAACTCGTCGATTTTCGAGGTTTCAGTCTTGTAGAAATTAAGTCTTCCGCCTTCCTCATTCTCATCTTTAGAAAAGTATACCAGTTTTGACAACGATCCCCCAATATCTATTGAGATTTCATTCACCGTTTCGGTGTGATTGGGCAACGCGATATCTCGAGTTTCTGGTAAAAGCCCACCTTTGTACTCCGTCTCATCGTGCACTATGTAGGATCCTAAAGCATTGAGTGGTTTGGGGTTTTTACAATGGTTATGCACATAAACGCTCCCCGTTGGTGAGCCAGATCTTTGCTTCTGTATACCACTGACTTGTAACATATAGGCAATAGCAGAGTGACGGGTTGAAAATGTTGACGATGCAAAAGTGACGACAGATATATATTATACGGCACAACTGTCCTCGTCTGTCAATTCCAGGGCTGGTGAATCAATTCCGATTATTTGGCATTAATACACCCAATTGTTGCTGACCTTCGTGACCCAACAATTGGCTATCCTTTTGACCTTGGGAAAAAATTTAATCCCCCGTCAGTCGCGTCTATAGACGCAATATTCTGCCAAGTTCTTTTAGTACTCTACCAAGATCTATCTGCTTCAAATAGCCGTTGTAATGGGCAACTATGGTTTCCCTTAGAAAGAAGAAGGTTCAGAAATTGAATCTCAGTATCACAATATATGAAGCAAGAGATTTGTTTCCACAGTCACAACTCGCACCAACCGTCTTTCGCTGTAATACGAGGTGCTATGTCAAGTTGCCGCCATTTGCTTCTTTCAAGACAGCTCGAATCAGGGATGTCTCTAACCCACATTGGAATTCCACACAATTGATAAAGCTCAGAACTCCTCCATCGAATGTGACTGAGAAGGATCTGGAAAAATTACCAGTAACATCATTCCTGATTCTAGCTTTGGAGATAGTGGACAGCAAGGGATCTAAGAGAAGTTATTTTGGAGAGGTTCGACTATCTGTTATCGACTTATTGGAACAGTTGAAGAACAAACTAGAGATTGGACCAAAATGGTACAAGCTTTATTCATCTGAACGAGAGCAGACCTTTGTCACGGGATCTGTGAGATGCAAATTCGCATTATCCAGTCAGCGCAAGAGGTTCAGCAAGAAATCACAGGCTTGCCCAAAAGTTATAATTGAGTCGGAGAGCCACTCAAACGAAGTTGACTCTGAAGAAGAATATGACGAGTCTGATGACGAATTGGTCCCTTCCACCCCCCCTTCGGAATCTTCATCCTCGCAGACCAACGAGGAACTTGTAAGGTACATTGAAGAATTACAGAGTTTCTACAACAAACTCAAGAGTTTTGGAAGGGACCCTCTCAAATTGGTCAATATCAGTGAGCAGAACTTCTACACCGACTATTCGTCCGATCTGATTTCTTCTTCAATCAATGGGTTTGCCGGTCTAGATGTAGAGGACGAGTCCAGTGACGAAGAACAGCAGGAATTGAAACTATTTAAACAAGACCAACGTGCCTCGGAATCCACTGGTTCAGCCTATTCTTCAACAGAAGATCTAAGCAATTACACATCTCCAGCTTCATTCTCTGATCTGCCGCTAACACCACCCACCTCTTCCTCCTTGGCCTCGGAAAGGAGACGTAGGTTTGGAAAGCTACGAGGAGAGCGGGTTAAGCCAAACTATGAGTTTACAGCCGGCAGAAACTTTGTGGGGATGCTTTTTGTTGAAATCATTTCTGCATCGGGATTACCCCCCTTACATAACTCAACTAGAACCGGCTATGACATGGATCCATTTGTGGTCATTTCTTTTGGTACGAAGGTCTATCGAACTTCTTGGAGAAAGCATACACTGAGTCCCATCTTCAATGAAAGATTGGCATTTGACATTTCGGAGCATGAGAAAACCTTCAATATAAACTTCAACATTTTGGACAAAGACTATTGGACTCTCAATGATCCAGTCTGCGAGAGATCTATTCCCGTGAAATTTTTCATGACAGAACCAGTATCCACTTCTGACGTAAAGTTGATAAAGAAAGAGGAGGAGGAAGACCTGAAGTACAAGAAAAAGCTGTTCGGTCGAAACCCAAAAAGAAATCTGAGTAACATTTATGATGAGAGCTTGAAAACCTTGGAAGTCAAGATGGATCTGTATGCCCATTGGATGGAAAAATACGGCAAAATTCAGAGCGTTGATCCAAAGTTGAAGATAAGAGTGAAGTTCGAATCCTATGCCAATTTGAGACAACAGTTGTTTCGACTTCTTCTCAAAGAGTATCAGACTGACGGTTCTGCAGAGATGGACATAATTGAGCTTGGATCCTTCCTTGAATCCATAGGATCCAATATCGAGGAAGAGGATCTGATAGAATTTTTTGAAAGACACGGGAAGAAAGCTTGGCATGGTGACAAACTTAATTTCGACGAAATCATCGAGGACTTTGAGACCATTTTTGAGAGAATGGAGCAGTATGGGTCCAGCTCAAGCAAACACATTATCCAAATTGCCAGATGCCCGTCTTGTTTGAACAAAGCAAGAGTTCATGATGATTCTGATATTATTAAACATCTGGCTATTTGCTGTTCGAAAGATTGGTCCTCAGTTACGCGAATGTTGAAACCTTCTTTTACTACTCCTTCGTCGGCAACCAGAAGATGGTATACTAAAGCCCTCATCAAAATAGCATATGGGAAAATAGAACTAGGGAAGAACAATGCCAACATTTTGGTGCAAGATAGAAATACTGGCTTGATAATAGAGGAGAAAATGAACGTTTATGTGCGGTTAGGAATAAGACTTCTCTACAGGTCATTCAAAGGGAAGAGGAATAGTGATCGAATCAAAAGAATTCTCAGGAATCTAAGCATAAAACAGGGGGCCAAATTTGACAGCCCTTCCTCAAGAAACAAAATCGAATCATTTATCAAGTTTCACAGTATAGATATGTCTGAGTATCTGATTGAAGACTATACGAAGTACCAGACATTCAATGAGTTTTTCTATCGGAAACTCAAGCCAAATCTGAGGCCTCTGGAAGGCGCTGACTCTCGATACGCCGTCAGCGGTGCAGATTGTCGTTGCTGTGTTTTCCCAACTGTTGAGAAGTCTAAGGAAATTTGGATCAAAGGAAGAGATTTCACAATGCAAAAGCTGCTTGGCCCAAAGTTTGATCACATTTCATATGAAAACGGGTCAATTGTCATATTTAGATTAGCTCCGCAAGACTATCATCGATTTCATAGCTCGGTCAACGGCACTATCACAAAGATTGAAAAAATCGACGGCGAGTATTATACTGTCAATCCAATGGCCATTAGATCAAAATTGGATGTTTACGGCGAAAACTCAAGAGTCAACATCGAAATAGAGTCTCCTGAATTTGGAAAAGTTATAATGAGCTGTGTGGGCGCCATGATGGTTGGTTCCATTGTGTTGACGCGAAAACTAGGAGATGTGCTAAAGAGAGGAGAAGAAATTGGGTATTTCAAATTTGGAGGCTCTACAGTGTTATTGTTGTTTCAAAGAGACAAGATTGTCTTCGACTCCGATTTGGTATCCAATTCTGAAAACTCGACAGAAACACTAATTAGAGTTGGTATGTCCATCGGACATACGCCAGAGGTCAAAGAGTATCCTCGTGAACATACAGATCTGGATAAAGAGCCAGAGGAGACAAGATTGCGGATTATCAGAACACTCACTGGAAAACCGATTGGCGACTCTTCCGATAGTCTTGGTAATTGGGAAGTTCAAAACCTTGATCTGGAAGACGCTGTTAGTATTGATTTGGAAGATGAGGTTTCGGATGTCAGCTCATAGTATTTTAGCATGGTCATGAATATATTGCATTGCATAGATTAGTATTTAGTAGGAGTAACAGGCACGCCCTGAACCGCAGGATCGTTGACAAACCATGATACTGGAACAGGTCCCTTGTTGACGAGCTCACATGGTAAACCAGAATCTTTTTCTTCAAAGATCTGAGAGAGAACCGGAGCTTTACCTGCACCCTCTGCAACGAAAGCGATGTTTTTGCTATTAAACAAAACAGGGAATGTAAACGTCACTCTTCTTGGTGGTGGCTTTGGGGAGTCTTGAAGGTAGGCAATTCTTCTGCTTTTCTCACTCAAAAGCTTGTGCCCTGGGAAAAGCGAGCAAGTATGCCCATCAGGACCGCATCCAAGCAAAATCAAATCTAATGCCTCAGGGAGCTTGTCCTCATAGTCAGAGGCAATTTTGTCATCTGTGGAGCCGTCAGCGGCAAGGAGGGACTCGTCGATGGTGAAAACCTCGGGTAATTCAACGTTATGTTCTCTCAATGATTTGAGAACCATTTCGTTGAAAAGTCCATAATTGGAGTCTTCGTGATCCAAGGGAACCAATCTCTCATCGCTGAAATAAACCTCCCATTTGGACCATTTGACATTAGAGAAGTTCTTCTTGTTGGCTATCAATCCTTTGTTGAGGACCTTGCCCAAAGATCCACCACTAATAGCAATTCTGAATTTGTTGCTTTTCTCCAAAGCAGCATTTTGATTCTGAATCACATACCGTGCAACCGCATCTGCAACATCTTGAGAATCGGCATAAGAATGGACGCTGACCATAATGATTGAGTTGAAGCAAAGTTATCGGATTATATTTTTACTCAAATTTCAAGACTCGGGCTGACATAATAAGATTCAAAAACTTGCATATAAATTTTAACTCTAGATCATGGCTCAAGGTAATCTGAAATTATCCAAGAAAAAGCCTGCTAGAGTCACAAAGCTACAGAAAAATCCAAAGGCAGCTGCTCCAAAGATCCACAAACCGAAAAAAGTGAATCGCAACGAGAAAAACCTTTTCAAGCTATCTCAGAAGCATACCGCAAATCTAGTTAGCAGCACCGAAAAGCTTATTGCATCTAGAGTGGGGCATTTGGAGCTAATCAAAGGAGCAAGGAGAGAAGTTGAAAAGAAGGCTAAATAATGTCGCAACCTTCCACGAAATTCAAGGACCTTCAGTGCAGTTGGTCAGTTACCAACGAAGTAATAAGTATTGCTCCCAGCTACAAATTCTTCAAAGAACGCGAAGGAGAGAATAACGAAAAACGGGTGCGTAGATAGTTGGTTGGGAATGGTTTGTACAATATACTAATGGCTACGTTCTCGGAGCGTTCAAAGATTGTAAGAAGTGTAGGAATTTCATTGACCAGCTTACAACTCTCGACAGACAAATTCTAGCCAGTACTGCTTTCTTCTCTCAAAATCAACACTATACTTGAGAAGGAGACGCGCAAGCCTCGAAGTTGTCTTCTCTAGCTCAACCGCCTGGCCTGTTATCTGATCTTTGATGACTACCGGCTGTCAAAGTATTTGCGTGTCAATAACGGAACCTCCATTTTTTACAGCAGATTATATAAGTGTTGCAGAAGAGGTATAGACCGCTTTTTACAGTTTAGACTTTCGATGGTGAATTTCATCCAATTTGCCACGCTGGCAAGCATGGCTGCCGTGTGTGCCACTGCTGTCGAGAATGCTGCAGTGTATCGCTTTGGCGAGCGAAACACCCAGGATCAAACAGTATTGCTTTCTCAAAAGGATTCCATATATAACCTTGCAGATGAATTCGATGTGTCTGATTTCTACGAGTTGGACAAGCTGGACAACGCTGAAGCTTTAGGGGTTGGAAAAAGTATGTCCTGCGACAGAAAGGATGGTAACCAACTGGTATTGATAGTCAATGGAGTCGATGAACCACAAGCATTCTTCGAGCATATAAAGCCAATAATTTTGGTGGAGGGAAAAGATGATCATTCATCATACGAATTTAGAAGGTTCCTTTCCGAACTTCCATCTCAGATGAAAGCACTCAACTCAAATCTCAAGCTGAGCAAGCTGTCAGGTCACATCTCTATTCTTGGCCAGAATATTAACAAGGCGCTCTCCGAAACATGGTCCAGGGTATTCCACGACAAGGAGCACGATTCAATATCATTGTTTTGGAGGGAGATATCTAGCAATTACGAAGGCTTGCAGTTTTCCAAAAGGTCGCTAGACATCATAGGTGACGAAGAATTTATTAACGAGTTAACTCAACTGGAGTTTCTGCTTAAAAAGGAGCTTGTTACAACAGACGACAAAATCATTGTCAATCTTCAGTCATTGACCAACATTTACAGGAAAACGGGAAAGAATTCGCAGGCTTACCAAACTTGTAAAAAGCTTGTGAGCAAGCTGATAAGCTCACTGCTGGAAAACAGTGTGAAGTATGATTCAACAATTGTGGTGATGCCATTGCAACAACAGACCATAACTATGAAAATCAATGATGACGCCAAACAGGGGTTTTCTCTAACAAAAAGAGACTCTTCCACTGTGTTCGCTAGCGCGAATGGATGCTTCAGCTCCCAGGAAGATTGTCTGGACTCTACTTCGACGTGTTCTGGGCACGGACTGTGCTCAAAGGTGGGTAAGTGCTGGAAATGTGTTTGCTCTGCCACTCAGGACTCGTCAACTGGCAGGACCACCAAATGGACAGGTGCTTCGTGCCAGAAAAAGGACGTCAGCGCTGAAGCGAATTTGTTCTTGTGGACAACAGTCGTCCTCCTTTTCGTGTTTGCTGCTGGTATTAAGCTACTTGTCAGCTGTGGCAATGAGGAGCTACCTGGGGTGCTAATTGCTGCTACCGTTCCTACTAAGAAAACGATGTAAGTTAATATATACTGGTTTTCCATAGAATTACGACTGTAGGATCTACCAGCCCCGCTCAATAGGAGATAAGCACTATTGACCGAAAGGGCACTAAGATGATCCATAGACTCGATCTCACCAAGTACTTGACGCCTAGCTATCTCTTGGCTGAGATAATTAAGCAACACGGTTTGTTAGTACTGGTTGTCCGCACTAAAAAAAAAATCTTCGATTTGGGTCCCGTTTAAATATAGAAAATTTTGGGGAATGGGCCGGGTAATACCTTTATATAATACAATAATTGTGATTATTATTCTGATAAAGCGATGTCAAATATCCTCCCTCTAAACAACTCCGATCTCAAGAGCGCTGCAAGACCGGTTCACTTTATCATAAGGTTTGCGAATGGTGCACCAGATGTTGTGATCCCAGCAGGAACGGTCGCTAATATGGGAGATATATCCACAAAAGATATACGACAGCAGATCAGGCTCAAGGACAAGTCTCTTGCCAATAAGCGTCTGAAACTTATTCACAACGGCAAAGTTCTTTTGAATCATACTGATTTCAAAAAGAAAATGCACTACTTACTTAACGAAGATACAGACGGATCCGAACCCGTAAAGATCTACGTGCATTGCATAGTTGGAGAAGAGCTGTCTCAAAAAGAACTAGCCCAAGAGGAGGCACTCGATCGCCAGCCGGAGAAAAGTACATCTGAAGCCCCTAAGGGATTTGACAGACTGCTCTCCCAAGGGTTTTCTGCTCAGGATATTCAAGAGTTGCGGCGGCAATTTCAGCAAATACACGGAGCAAATTTAGACAATCAATCACCAGAGGCTCTCAGGGAGCTAGAGGACAGATGGATTGATAGTACAGTCAACAATGAGATTGATGAGTTCCCGGCGAATATAGGACCAATAGGGGGAGGAGGAACTGGAGGCGCGGGCCCTGTGTCACGAGATGGAGATGCACATAAAGACCTTTTGATTGGGGTAGCTATAGGGTATTTTCTTGGTATTTTCGCGCTATTTTTGATCAAATTGGAGGTTGGGGGTATACTGAATAAGCGGACGAAGATGGCTGTTTTTGCGGGGGTATTTGTGAATTTGAGTTTCGGCTTTGTTAAGGCATGGTCATAATATTCATATCTCAAAAATTTACTGGCTCAATTCGCGATACCAGGGATTAAAGGCAAAAGGAAGAAATATTTGCTTGATTTTAATAATTCATATTCAATGAGCACTGCGGAGAAAGTTTCTGAGTCGATCAATCCTGAACGGGATGATACATCCACTGACAGCTCCCTGCGATATGCTGCATATGCGAATAGATTCAGAACCATTGCGCTAGCTTCTCACAGGTATGTCGCATATACCTCTGACATTGGAGAGTCCTTCCGTCCGGTGGTCAATCAAAACTTCGTGAGGTTTTGTTACGGTATCTCGTGGTCCTATGTTCTTGGAGACGTGTCTCTCGAAGCGTGGAAGGCTAAAATGAGACAAGAGGGAAGATATACCCCGGGATTGCTCCCTTGGCATAAATTGCCAGAAGCAGATCCTATCGCAGCTGCTTCATACACCGGAATGGACTGGAAATGGGTCGGAATTCAGAGAGGTGTTTTCCAATCCATTGCCTCAATGGGTTTGCCGGCATTTACTATCCATTCGGCGGTTAGATATTCCTCTCTTCTGTTCAAAAACACTTCAAACAAAACACTAAAAACCTATGGACCCGTCGGAATTGGTTTGGCTGTTGTTCCATTACTCCCTTATTTGTTCGATGAACCTGTGGAGAATGCTACAGAGTACATTTTTGAGCAGGCATACAAGAACCTGAGTTCCAAATAGTGTTGTATATAGAATCATCTGTGCACCAGAAATCTAGCAGCGAAAAAAAACTTTTTAGCAGATCTTGATATGTTCGGCTTCGGCAAGAAGCCCAAAGCGCCGGAAAAGGAGTGGATAGTCGACAGTGATAAACCCATTTCGACTAAACCCTTTGAGGTTCCGTCGGACTCCATTCAGAAGCCCAACTTGCAAGACGCAGAGACCGAAGACCAGAAAACAAAATATAGCATGGTGCTGAAGCACTTTCGATCCACTGAAAAGTACCCTGTACTCGAGAAAAATTGCAATGCTAGTGAATATGTCGAACTCAATGACTTTGAAAAAGCCTGGTTGAGTAAGGAATGTATTTTAAGGTATCTTCGTGCCTGTGACTGGAATGTTGACGAAACGATCAAGCGATTGACTAATTCAATTGCATGGAGACGTGAATTTGGAATCGCGGGAGGAGAATTTGAAAAAGTGACGGGAGATTTAGTAAAGGAAGAAAACGAAACTGGAAAGCATCTGGTGTACGGTTTCGACACTGAGGGTAGGCCTTGCCTAATACTTCTAAGCGGTCGACAAAATACTAAAACTTCCTTCAGACAAATTCAGCATCTGATATACATGTTGGAGACTAGCATCGACTTCATGCCTCAAGGACAAGACAAACTAGCTCTATGTGTGGACTTTAAAAAATACCCAGAAGCCTCACTTGTGGAGCCAAAAGTGCCGGCAGTCTCCGTTGGGAAGCAGGTGCTGCACATTTTACAATATCACTATCCAGAAAGGCTGGGTAGAGCTCTTTTCATTAATATCCCTCTGATTGTTTGGGGTTTCCTAAAACTCTGCTGGCCATTTGTGGATAGCTTTACCAAACAGAAATGCAAATTCGACGAGCCTTTTAGGGAATTTATCCCACCAGAACAGCTGGCTGTGAACTATGGTGGAGATGTTAATTTCGAGTATGTCCATGATGAATATTGGCCAGAAATGGTGGAACTTCGAAACAAGAAAAGACAAATTTACCTTGAGAACTACCATAGATTGGGAGGTGGAATTGGCCTCAGTGAGACAGATCTCAGGAAAGGTCTGTGAGGAAAAATTGCATATAAGACACATCAAGTGAGAAATCTAATTTTTGCGTATTATACAATGTGATAATCAATGTCTGATGAGAATGTACAGATTCTCCTGTTTGAGCGAAGAAAGAGATCTGTAGTTTCCTTCTAAACACATTAAAAGTCCACCAAACGAGACATAGACAGAAATATTATCATCCTTCCCTTCTTCAAACTTATAAACCGTTCCATGCATGACATAATCGTATTCGTCCATCAAAGACCTTTGACCTGGCTTAGGGGGTCTCCAAGAACCATTGGTAGAGAACATACCTTGATCATCCTCTGCTCCTTCGAGAGCAAGGCTTTTTGCCAAAGTCACAGATAGTGAATCGCCTGTGGAAACCGGAAATAATTCTGTGTTGATATCCAAAGTAAGCTTGGTATCTGCTGAGCTGGTGGAGTTGGCAATTATTCTTGACACTTTGTCATACCTAGCACTATCCAACGATTGGACACTGAAAATATCATCAAAAAGAGTGCTCGACATGCTCTTTAGATGCGAATTAGATCAATATCTATGGAAAATTTTTGATATTTCTAATATTTTTTTAATTTGTTATTACGGGTCCGGGTAAAATAGCTTGATCTAAATTGTACATTCTGTTCTAATTCATCCAACGATAGGGTAGTTTTCATACATTATTTTAAAGTGGTTCAAATTCTGAGGTTTGCGTGTGGTTGATCAGCACGCAATAGACTATATGGCAAGAAATTCGGATACAGATCGGCTAGATGCCGATATAGAGCTTCAAAATCAGACATCAAGAAGAAACTCGTTCCAATTAGAGGAGTTGAACAACTTTGCCATTGACGATGATGACGCAGATCTTGTCTATCATCCAGATTCCCATAAGAGATTGAACAATCTCAGTGGTGACTTAGCGGGGAGGTCCTTTTACCATAGACTTCACCAGTTTCTGAGTCTACCTAAAACAAGAAGAAAAATATCAATTCTTGGTATAGTACTTTTCATTGTGTGGATTGTGCTCTTGGTGACTTTCGCACATAGTGGAGCTTTTCAAAATGGTAACAAGACGGTTTATCCTGGTCAGAACTCGACTTCGCCAAACTCTACCGACGAATCTGCGCTAAAAGACCCGCAAGAACGCGTACCGATGACACTACAAGATAGCAGGACTGGAGCCTTTTCAATCTTTTCCTATGATCTTGTATTCATCGACATCCCAGGCTTGAGCTATGAAGAAGATCAAGGATACTACCTGCATCGCTCAGGCTCGTATCATTTCCTCAAAAAAGCGTCTGATAGTGAATTCAATAAGAAGCTGTACGATCAACCGCAGGTTGAATACAATGGTCAGACGCATAGATTCTCCCTTATATCCTTGAACTCGAAGCTCAACAAAGCCCTGTTGGTGTCCGAGGTTGAGGCACAGTGGAGATATTCGAGCTATGGTGTTTATTGGATTCTCGATGTTGATTCGGGGGCCATCAAACCGGTGTTCGAAAAAGATAGTGACCTCCCGAGAGTCAGTTTCGCGGAGTTTTCTCCTCAAGGTAGGTATGTGACATTTGTGTTCGAAAACAACATCTATCTATTGGATCTCCAAACCAATGAACAAACTCAAATTACAAATGATGGCAATTTATCAATTTCAAATGGTAAACCCGACTGGGTATACGAGGAAGAGGTACTCTCGAGTGACCGTGCAATTTATTGGTGTCAAGATGAAAGCCATTTCTCATTTATCAGATTTGATGATACGGACGTTCCCGTCTATGACCTTGAGTATTTCAGGGACAATACGTATCCCGTGACGGAGAAGTTGAAGTATCCAAAACCAGGATACAACAATCCTGTTGTGTCTGTGCACGTGTATTCATTGAGCGGCAAGACTACGCAAGAAGTTACACACGATGATTCTCGTCTCGGTTCTGATTACGTGGTGTACCAGATGGCCTGGACTGACGGAGAACAACTTATAATTAAAGAAACTGACAGGACTAGCAGACTTGTTGATATCAGAGTTTATGATAGCGAGACAAAAAAATCCACAGTTGTGCGTTCATTTGATACGAAGGATTACGAGGGATGGTATAATAACAATGGAGACATCTATACCGTGCCAGGAGGGGGTTACATTGACACAGTTGTCTATGACTACCACGATCATCTGGCTTACTTTGAGCATGCCACAGACTCTGAGCCTAAAATAATAACTAAGGGCGATTGGGATGTTGTTGATGGTGTAGCCGGATACAACCCGACAAGCAAATTGCTCTATTTGATCGGTACAGCAGGAAATGCTCTCGAAAGGCACATTTTCACCGTTAAACTTGATGGCACGGACCTCAAAAACCTCACCAATACTGAGAATGTCAGCACTTATCAATTGTCTGTCTCAAGTGGAGGGAAATATGGTCTCGTGAAATACAAAGGACCTGCTATTCCAACAGATAAAATCATTCAAATGGAAAATTTCACAGAGGACAAAGAGGAGTACGTTCAATCGAAGAATTTAAACACTGCAAATATGGTCGAAGAAACTCTGAAGCGCTATCAGGTGCCGTCCAAGGAGTACAAGACTGTGACTCTTGAAGATGGTACCAAGATTGATGTTATAGAAGTGAGACCATTTGACTTCAATCCTAGAAACAAATATCCTCTGCTTGTGAGTGTTTACGGGGGCCCTGGGGCGCAAAAGCTATCGTCCGCGTTCAATTATGGCTTTGAGGAGGTACTCGTTTCAAGTCTGGAAATTATTGTTTGGTATATTGATCCTAGGGGAACTGGAGGCAGAGGATGGAAATACAAAGCATTCGCAAAAGACAAAATAGGCTATTGGGAACCGCGAGACATTGTCGAGACCACCCAGCGGCTTATTGAGACTACAGATTACATAGATATGGACTTAACCGCCATCTGGGGGTGGTCATATGGTGGCTTCACCACTCTGAAAACGCTCGAGTATGACTCTGGCACCACATTCAAATACGGGATGGCCGTTGCTCCTGTGACCAATTGGTTGCTTTACGATTCGATTTACACAGAGAGGTATATGGGCAGACCTGAAGACAATGGAAACTACCAAAGTATGTCCAAGATTAGTGATGTCGACAAGTTCAAGCAGGTCACTAGATTTATCATCATGCACGGTACCGCCGATGATAACGTGCATTACCAAAATACGCTACAACTTCTGGATGCGTTCGACAAAAAAGGAGTTGAGAACTATGATATGCATGTCTTTCCAGATTCGAACCACAATATCAATCATAATAACGCCAACATGGTTGTTTATGATAAACTCTACAAATGGTTGGAAGCAGCCTTTGACAAGAAATGGGTGAGCTTATGAACGTCTTTCCTCATTACTACATAAATCGCATAAATCGCAATGAATCCTGTCTCGTATCACTGAGGTTTTGAGTAGTTTAGAGAGCCGCATTTCTTGCAAACTCTGAGGTCCTTGTCCTTATCAAAAGCAAGGATTGCCTCTTTGACCTGCGTTCCGAGGTCAACACAATGGAATTGAGCCTCATGACAGATAGCCTTGCAGTTCGAGCAGTACCACCTCATTTTGTCAACCACGTCTTCGGGTCTATCTTGCTCCAGCACCAAACCAATGGTATTTGCAAATCTGACGGGGTTGTGAGGAGTGTTCGGAGGCAGTAAGAACGATTCACCTTCCTTGATGGGAATATCTTTGAATTCCCCATCATCCACTACCTTCAACAGCATGTCTCCTTTGTACATGTAAAACCACTCCGGAGTCTGATTGATATGGTAATCGGTTCTCTCGTTCGGTCCACCCACGATCATCACTGTGAAACCACCTCTGTGCAGGCAGTAGTTATTCACAGGTGGCTGAAGCAGGTGTTCGTTCTCAGCTATCCATTTGGTGATATTGATCGGTTGCGGCAACATTGTAAAATGAGTTACTTCGGTGATGTTGAAAAATGATCCGACCTGCACAGCCTTGAGGATTTTAAGGTCGATCGGCCTAATTCGACTTTCGGGGCTGATAATCAGTTTGATCAGTAAAGTAAGTATCAGACTCAGGACAAAAGCTGAGTCAGCGCGTAGGTGGTGTAGTTTGTATGAGTCAACACTGTCTAGGTGAAGATGGCATAGTAATCTTGCTTCTTTATTTTGTTACGATATCCAGGCATAGATGTACAAGAACGTTGGGCTTCCATTTTAACTGATTAGCTGTACAAAAACAATCGTATAGAAAATTCGCTCTTCATAATTTCTTGTTACTAAAATGGCTGTCAGTACATCTTCGACTGCTGGCATTATTGGTGGCAGGAACCCCTTGGAGTATTCCACGTCGCAGCCGTATACTCTGTTTATATTTCAGACGATATTCATTGTGATTCTAGCTCAAATAGTGTACCGCCCCTTATCTCTCATCAAACAGCCCAAAGTTATTGCGGAAGTGATAACTGGAATTCTGCTGGGACCAAGCGTGATGGGTCACATTCCGAATTTTACTTCCACTGTGTTCCCAACAAACTCTATTCCTGGTTTGACTTTGGTCGCCAATGTCGGTGTCTGTCTCTTGCTATTCATGGTAGGATGTGAAGTTGATGTTGTGTTCATCAAAAAGAATCTTAAGATCGCGGTTTCTGTTGGCTTGTTTAATATGGCTGTGCCCTTTGGCCTTGGATGTGCCATCGCAGTCGGTCTTTGGAACGAATACAGAGTCCATGATGATAGCTTGCAACCAATCAAATTCACCACCTTCATGGTTTTCATTGCCGTTGCAATGTGTATTACAGCATTTCCTGTACTTGCGCGTATTATTACTGAGCTTGGGCTGGTCAAAGACCGTGTGGGTGTTCTAGTGTTAGCTGCGGGAATTACAAATGACCTGGTTGGGTGGATACTTCTTGCTCTCAGCATCACATTGGCGAACTCCACGAAATCAGAAGTTACAGCCTACATTTGTCTGGTCACAATTGGCTGGTGTTTATTCGTGGTGTATCCAGTTCGCTATGCTTTGAGAAAAGTACTATTATACTTGGACGACATCTCAAATGGACCATCGCAATTGGGTACCACGATCATCCTTATGCTCATGTTTGCATCAGCTTTCTTTACAGATATAATTGGTGTCCATCCCATTTTTGGAGCATTCGTCGTGGGAACGATTGTACCTAGGGAAAACAACTATGTCATCATCCTTACAGAAAAGATCGAAGACCTTGTGAACATTGTTTTCGTCCCACTCTATTTTGCACTTGCCGGTCTTAGTGTCAACTTGGGCTTGCTCAACAAGGGAATTGACTGGGCTTATATCGTTTGCATTATTGTGGTAGCAATGTTGGGTAAGATTTTCGGAGGATTTGTGGCGGCTCGTTTCTTTGGACTCTTTAAAAGAGAAAGTCTCACTGTTGGTGTCTTGATGTCCTGTAAAGGAATTGTTGAGATTGTGGTTCTTAACACGGGTCTGAATGCAGGAATAATATCTCAGAAGACATTTTCGATGTTCATCGTTATGGCATTGGTGACGACGTTTGTTACCACACCATTGACTTTGTTGTGCTATCCCCAGTCATACAGGGATTCAGTTCAACGAAGACTTGCTGAACAGGAAGATAGGTCTGCTTCTTTGACAACAAAGGCATCAACTACTAATGAATACGAAGACATTGTTTTTAGAAGGCTGGTGTTGAATGCCAACAATGTTGAGAATATATCAACTGATTTGGTTTTCCTGGATCACCTGGCAATTCCAGAGCACATTCCTGTCCATGCTGTGAACGTTAAGTCCTTAAGTGAGCGGACAGCAGATTTGCTCTACGCTTCGATGCTGAAAGGAGAACAAACCGGTGATAATTTCCAGCTGAATGCAATTCTCAACATCCTCAAAATCTTTAGCGAATTGAGTTCACTACAGTTCACATCTGAAATTCTGTATAGTCTGCCGCAGGATCAGTTCAAAACTCTACTTTACGGCGTTTCGTATTTCAAACATGACCTACTCATACTGACAATGAACCTCAAGGAGTATCAAAGAAACAGGCCATTGGTCAGCGAAATGAGCAGACTGGATAACAAAGACATCTACAGGTGCTTTTTCGTTAACAATAATGAAGATGTGGCTCTCAAAAGTGATATATCAGGGTCCGTGATTGATACGAAATCCCAATTTTCAGCCGATACCATTTTGAACCCAAACTCTTTCGAGATTCGCTCGCTTACACTCACTATATCGAATTCCACTGTCTCGCAACAAGACCTGATAGCACTCAAACTATTCAGTGTATTTGTTCGGCACAAAGGAATAGATAGCTCGCGTATAATTATTCACAGAGACAATGTGATACTTGCTACCATACAAGAGGATGCTACTTTGGCGAAAAACTCTAAAATCACCATCATCGCTGGAGAGTTTGATCACGAGCCTAATGATGAATACGTCAGCAAGCCAGCAAACGATCTGTCAATCATCACGTATAAAGATGGATGTGAAGAGCTGATGGACCGTTTATTGTCCGAGAATAACAAGGTGTTGGTTGTGTACTAAAATAAAAAAGTATCCTGCGATTTTTTCGACCGATAATTACGATAATCTTGAAAATCGGACTAAATGGGGTATTTTTGTCAAAAACTGCCTCGAGGCACAATAACCACACAATGCAGTGCATAATTGAGGATCCGAGATTCGTTGACGGGCTATTTGTTTCTTGAAAAAGCTAGACTAACGCGGTACAGACCGAAAAGACCATCACTAAAACTTTTGACTATTAATCACATACACATTTTCGCCTGATGATCGAGGCCTTGCCCAGTGAAATCGTACTTCAGATCTGTCAAAACTTGCATCAGTCAGATTGTTTTCATTTGATGCTATGCAACAAGTTCTTGAGCCAATGCTGTCGTGAAAGATTATATCAATCTATCATAGTGGATGATGAAAGCCTCTATCTTGACGACCTTTTGGAGGATAGCTATTATCTTCGTGATATATGTGGTGTCAAAGTGTACTCGAGCAGAGTGAGAACCTCGTATGGCCTGAAACAGCTGATCAGAACGCTTACAGAAAGTGACTCGGTTTTGCTAATTCAGAGAATTGAAGTCAACCAAGATCTTGGTCTCCTCCGGCACTGTATATCCAGAATGACAAATCTAAAGTGTGCTCAGCTACCAGAGTCAGGCGTACTAAATGCTCCCTGTCTTCAATCACTAAGAACAAGAAAATTAGAAGGCTTCAACAATAATCTTTATGAACTGGAGCTGACCCAGAGCTGTAAGCTAAGTGTTTCTGACTTCAAGCATCTCAGAAAGTTTTCGGTGAATGGTATTGCGAGAACTAGCTTGAAGCAATATCGGGTACCATTATCATCGCTCTTCATCACCTATGGCCACAAACTTAAGTTGCAAGAACTTACGATAAAATCGGCACTGATTTATCCTCAAGAGTCAAAACTTCTACTCGAGGCAGTGGAGTTTTCGAGGGTGCAGGTGCTTCGCCTGATAGACTTGTTTGAATATCCCACATTGAGTTTGCCGGAAACGGACATCAAGTGGGAGGACTTGCGCATGTCAGATTTGCCGCAATGGATATCTCGATTGTCAGAAGGTAATCAGTTTCCCCAAACCGGTAAAGTACTATTAGAGGCATTGTCACCATATGTTAAAGGATTGAGGGTGTTGGAGTTGCAAGTATGCAACTTCTTGGCTGACCACGGTCCCCAGTTTATCTCATCTATCACAGATTTGAGGACTCTCAAAGTCAAAATTCCATGTCAACATTTCGTGGCTTCTGATATGGACACTCGAATTCGGGCGTATTTACAGAGTATTTCTTTGCATACAAATCTTCGTCATCTGGTCATTGAATCGCCGCCAATAGATTTACCGTTGCTCGAAAGATATTTGTCGCAAATGAGCAACTTGAAAGGTCTCAAGTTAAGTGTCAAATCTATTGATCAGGCCCGATTTGTCTCATTCATTCAAAGCTTCCCTGAATTGGAATTCTTAGATCTAGGTGTTGATCCTTTTCCTTCGTATGAGTTCCAGGAGAAGTATTTTGTTGAAGCTTTGAATCATGGTCCACTACAATATGCAAGATTTTCTACCTCCATCCATGACATAAAAAGGGGAAAGATCAAAGGCAAGCATATCGAGTGCTGGTTTGACGATAAGCTCATGACTGTGTAAGATGACCAAAATTAATGACTAGTTTGGTAACCATTGTTTTTGTAGACAGAAACAATTACGCTACCAAAATAATCACGGTAAAAAACTTGTGTATCGAAGAATGCTCAGATCTTTACATTCGAGATCGAACGTGCATTTAAGCAAACACCTCTTGCTTTACAGAAATTCGGTACTAAGTCAGATATATGGCACCAATGGTATGACAGCATCGTACCTTTCAAACTATACTCAAGCTGAACAATGCAAAATAATTTATCGAAATCTGATAAGGCTTTTGCCTTACCTAAAGCTTCCAGGCCATTTCAAGCGAGTATACACACTTTATATTCAAATGAGGTTCAGAGAGGATTATGAATATAAGCGCAAACTGTTAATCAATGTTTCTGATGAACTTACCACTGAACAGTTGAATATCAGATTTATAAACACAGTTAATTTTGTTTCTAATGCATGCTCAGAACCACGCACCGAAGAAAACATAGAGTTTCGCATTCTAAGGGGAATTCTGCAACACGAATCATCTAAGTATAATTTCAAAGGCGAGCTCGCTGAATTGTATTCAATACGAGCTTTCAGCGAGCTGAGATCGACTGCGAAAGCCACCGAAATAAATCCAAAACTACCTCCCAACTGGTTTTCATGGTTGGAGACATCGCGAGATTCTATGACTTCAAAGCAAGACTACAGCTCGCCAACGAAGAAAGATTTAATAGACGAAACTCTGTTTGCGGTCTTTCGCTATGAAAGAAACAAAGAGTTGCTCAATGAGTCAGCAAAGCTAGTATTATAGCATTTGTAATAATAATTGGAACTAAAATTGAAAAGAGCTCTATGTAATCCCATTTTTCTATCATTCAATACAGAATTGAAAGCGACTTTGTACCAGCGATCACCAACCCAAAGAGTTCTTCACATTCGTGGGGTTGGATATGGAAGGCATGTATCTGGTTGATCCCAGCTCCACATTGGAGTTGGAATTTCTTGTAAACATTCGTGTGAAAGATGCGCCCGAAGAAGAGTTCGTGAGGCGAACGGCACCTTCGCCTGAATAATCAGAATGGTATTGGTCAGCATCCGCTGGAGAGCCACTGGATAACATTAACGAGTGGAATTCACCAGGACCGTCAACATCCGCATGTTTCTCGGTTTCGTATTGTTCTTGAAGCTTCTTCTTTCTTCTTTTGTAAATGAATACCATGACTGCCGCATAAGCTGTAGCACCTGCAGCAGATCCGGCAACAATACCAGCTATTCTGCCACCTTGTACCTTTGTTGATCCAGAAGAATTTATGGTGGAAGAATCCATAGATCCTAAAGACTGAGAATCAGCTCCATCGCTATCTTCCCCACTTTGTGTACCCGAAGAATCTCCTCCAATAGTTGCAGATCCCATTGAAGTTGCATCCAACAGACCATTTATAGGAACTCGGCTGTCAATGTAGCTGGCAAGAGAATTCTGAATTGCATCTGGATTCGTGTAGAGCGTTGACGAAGTATTACTAATCTCGTTTTGTAAGTCAGTAATGTAATCTTGGTCAAAGTAAACTTCTGCAACAGTGATAATGTAGTCAACGTTCGCAGAAGAGTAAGGAACCAATTGTTTGACAAAAACAGCAGACTCGTTCACTTCCGGATTTGGGTATGTGAGCACCTTCGGCAGGTACTCGAAGATTTGATTGGAAGAGTAGGAGTTTTCACAAACAAATGGGTAATTTAGCTCTTGCTTGAATCCCACGGTGATCAACTTATAATCCGGTGACACTGCTGCAGTCTCAACTGGGGAGATGGCTTTTGGTAAGGCCGACTCTGCAATGGATGAGGTGCTAGATTGTGACGTTCCAGATGCAGTCGACGGATTTTGGTACACAATACTAGTTGGAAGCCAATTTGGTGCTGTAGTTGTAGGCACAGAGGAGGAAATCGCAAAAACAGTACTTTCAGGTTGTTGCGGTTGGTAGGTTGCAGGACCCGTGGTACCCAGACCAGGGCTGCTACCCGAATATTCGGTAAATGAGTGTTCAGTACTTTCAGGAGTTGTTCCAGACAAGCTCACTGAAAATGAGGTATTGGACTCAGACGTATTTGCAGGCACTTCTGTGGAGCTGGCAGAACCAAATTCATACGTCGATTGAGTGCTATAGGCCGTTGTAGGCCCAACTGATCCAGTCCCTTGGTCAGCTGTAGAGTCAGATGATGAGAGTGGTTGAGTTTCACTTGACGTCTGTGAGACCAGGGATGCTTGACTGTCAGTCGTAATGGCGGAGACAGGTTGGAAGGCCGATTGCGTCGAAGATAGCGATGACGTCATTACGGAAGAGCGATCAGCAACGGATCCACTATCAGTCAGCGAAGAAGTGAGACCTTGTTGAGCAGTTGTGCTAGATGATTCTTGGTTCGTAACCGAAGAACTGACACCGATAAAGGCTGGCGAGCTGGTAGATGATGATCCTTCAATTGTAGTTGCCGCGTTGCCAGTTGAACCGAGTGAACTCAAAGTACTTGATAAACTCCAAGTCGAAGAGGCAGCAACTATAGAACCTGATGGAGTAAAAGATGAATATAGAGTATCCCCAGTTGGAGTGACACTTGACAATGTCGTGGCAGCGTTCACAGGTGAACTGGTAGAGGATTCAGAAAAAATCTGTGAGGCAGAATTTATTAGACTGGCTCCCGGAATGTCAAGAGTTGACGATGAAGTTCCCAAAAATGTATTCTCTGTACTGGATGGCTCCAAGTATGATGATTCTGGCTCGGTGACTGATGAGCTCTCATTTGTGCTTGTATCTAGAAAAGAGGTGGTCGTGGCAGCATTTCCTGTAAAAGAGCTTGATGCCATACCGGTAGATAAGTTATTGCTCAGGTCCGTAGATTCAGCTGCGATAGTCTCGGCACTTGTGGGTGATAAGGTCCAGAAAGATGATCCTGCAGACACATTCCCTGGTGATGGTGTGGCACTTATCACACTTAGAGGGCTCGAGCTCTGAGTAGTGGTGATTTTTGCAAATCCTGAGTAACTTCCATAGACGCGTGATGTCGTTGATGTAGAATCCAAAATCGCAGAACTGAGAGATGTTCCAGATGGTAATGGGGAATCTGTTTCAAATTCATTGGAAGATGAGGACTCAAGTGATTGTGACACGGTTCCCGGCCCAATGGATTCGATAGTCGAGGAGGAAGGCTCCGGTGACTCGGTCAACAATTCTCCTCCCAGCGATTCGGATGACGGTGACGCAGAAGCTGAAGAGGTCTCATAGGCTATCGTAATCTCAGAGGAGGATTTAGAGTCGGGCTCTAAAGACGATGAAGATCCCAAATCATCTGAAGAGAAAGTCTCAGAATCATCTTGTGATGTTGCTACTCCGGTAGTCTCTGATGGTGGTGAGGCTTGTGTTTCTGAATATGAGGACTCGACACTCGTTGAAGAAGGCAGAGGCGAATCTGTCTCCGATATTGTCGACTCCGTGCCGCCAGCGGATGACGACGAGGAAGCCTCACTTGAAAAGGTTGCCGAATCTGTACTGCCAACGACTTTGACGGCCAAATCAGAGCTGCTAGATGGACTTGACGACCCTGTAGCAAAGTTTGATGAGGAGCTGAACGAAGAGCTTATATCAGAATCTGAAGATTCCGATAAAGAGGTGGAGCTAGTTGACTCTGCTATGACGCCCGATAGCGCTATGGTAGTCGAGCTCAAGCTCGTACCCTCTAAGCTACTAGCTTCGCTTGATGAGCTGTCTGCTGTTTCGCTTGAAGAGAGTCTGGGAGAGCTGGTTGAAGAAACCGATGAGGAAGCTGAAGCTGACGACTCGGATTGCTGTTGTGATGTTGATGCATAAAATGTAGCCTTCGCTTGTGTAGCACCAGTGTAGCTCACGCTCGATGACGCTGAAGACGTTGACGACGAACTTGAGTGAGATTCCGAAGAGCCTATACTTGAAATTTCGGATGATGAAGTTCCAAGGGTAGTCACGCTCTCGGTGCTTTCAGAGTTGCTTGTTGAAATCTCTGAGCTGGAAGTGGAAGAAAGCGTGGAATGAGACGTAGTCTCCTGCGAGCTGGAACTTTGAGTATATTCAGCTTGAGTCTCAAAGGAGGATGACGGAGTAGATTGCGAAGTAGCGGAAGATGATGAAGCCAGCTTTGTTTCTAGAAACTCACTAGAAGAGCTTGGAGAATCTGAGGTCGGTGAATACAGCCAATTTGAAGGATTCAATAAATCCTCCAAGCTCTCGGAGGGCGATGATGTTGACGATATGGATGATGCTGATGATGACGAGCTCTCAACCTCGGTTAGACTCGAGTTCGAATATAAACTATCTCGAGCTATCCCCTCATTATCGAAGTTTTCTCTTTTTATCACTTTCCTCATCTCCAGGCGAGGAAACATCGAGGGAAGGTATAGACCGTTCACCATGGTGGACACCAAACTGAGAAGGACAAAATTATTGAGTTTGACCATTGGTGGAGTTTAAAAGCGCGTTAAATTCTTTTCAAACGAGTGGAAGGGTATCAACTGTGTAGTAATATAATAGTGAATGACGAAACTGTAGCTGTTTTCTTGCTGTGAAATAGCTTGTGTTTGAAGCAGAGTGTATTTATTTGATGTTGGAGAAGTGTGCGCGATTACTATCCATACACGCAGATTCTGTGGATTCGAAAAGCTGTTTCTTTCAAAGAAACCACCTCAAATTGTAACGCAAGAAATCTCTAAACAAAACTTAAAAAGCATTTACAAGTTTGACCCCCTCTGAGAACTGTCCAGCGGATGGTCGTGGAAGACACAGCGTCCCTTTGTTGTCGTAAAATTTTCAAGCGTGCAAGTAAATTATTATCTTGAACCAAGAAAACGCCAAAAATAGCATTGGTTGCATGAATGCCGGATCTCGGAATTCAATAATATACTCCATAGTCTGTGTCTGTGCACAGGTACGGGATGTAAAGCAGTCTGCTGATGGTGAACCATAGGTTCTCCCTGTGAGCATGTACGCCTCAAAGTCCAGATTCTGCTTTGCTGATCTTATTGTTCCAGTAATTCCGGTTGGTACACGACACTGTTGTATCAGATCTAGAATTATGGCACGTCCGTATGGTGGTATCAAGATATGAAACACTAGTTGGAGGATCAGAGTTCGTGCTACTGGCAGTAAAACGTACTACTTACAGTATGAAAGGTGGATTTACTTAACTAGGTTCGCGTAAGTCATTGCGGCAATTATGAATTTAAAACTCCAGCCCTTTACACCATATGAATGACGCGTCTTGAACATTCCGAGTTGATATCCGTTCTTGGCACGATGAATTAATTAAATTTCAGTGCACAATAAAAAAACACAAGTTTCAATTAGGGCGCGACGAATTGGGTTCTGCAGTTCGACGAGAGTCTCGGTCGACGCGTCGAATTCTCTTGAATTAATTTATACGTGGTTTGCACTAATCATGTCAAAATACACCTCTTTAAAACCTCAACCGCCCGTTCCTGAGCCTTTTGATGATGACGATGTGTTCATCCAGCCGGATAGTGGCGCATCAGAAGTGCATGAAGCAGATTTAGGCTCTCCGGCAAACCCAGAACCAACGACTGCACCGTCAACAGCAAATACAACATTCACGAGTTCAAAGTCCAAGAAAACCTATTCTGGTGGAATATTCACCCTCAATTATTACCGGCAATTCTTTGATCTTGAGTCAGGAGATTTCTTCCGCAATTGCTACAAAAGCTTGAACCCTTTAGTGAGACTTCCCGAGGAGGAGTTTAGGGAAGTTGGGGACCTCTACGGATCAGTTTGGATCACGGCAACCTTGGTTTATCTTTTATTCTTTTGCAACTCATTTGCTGAACTGATAAGCGAATGGTTTTTACAAAATGACAAACTAGGCATCAACTATTTTAAAATGATCATCACTTCCATCAACTTGCTATATGGATACATTGCAATAATCCCAACGCTCCTGTATTTGGCTTTACGCTTCTATTTCAAAGTCGTCCTGCTAATTCCCTTGACCAAGCTCATCTCGATATACTCGTACTCTAATATCATGTGGATCCCAGCTGCGCTTTTAAGTATATTCCGTGGATTACTTATAAATCATCACGTTTTGGATAGTGTTCTTAAATGGACATGTATTGGGATAGGGGCCATTCTCAGTGGATGGAGCATCACAGTTAAAATATCTCAGTATTTTGGAACGATTTTCGGTCAGGAAGACAAAAAGTTCTCGATGCTGGCGCTTGGACTATTGATTTTGGCCCATGTGGGTTTCTCTCTAGGAGTGAAAATGTGTTTCTTTGGGGATTTATAGAGGACGACGCAGCCCGATTGGTTTGTTAAGATATATTGCTATACGTACGTAGGTTTTTACATCACTATACCAGTTTATTGTTTCCGAATGAGTTTCGACCCTCTTGCTCCTACTATAGCAAGATGATGTCGTGTACCAAACAGAAAACCTCGAGATCGAAAATTGTCGTTGAAGTGTTGAAAAATTAAAGCTCGACTGGTTTTCACTCTCCCTCAGAGACTTAGAGTACCAAGTGTTGCAAGTTTACCATCTTCTATTTAATAGAGTTAGTGGCCGGACTCAAATTTGACCTCTTTGTAAACTTTTGATATCCAAAGAATTGATAAGTGGAAAAATGTCTGACGAAGTGCCAGCGATCAAAGCTCCTAGAAACAAACGGTTCATCAAGAAGCCTGACGTTAAAGCAAGAAATGCCAAGCTTGCTGAGCTCAACAAGGAGTTGGACAAATACAACAAAGAGATTGCTGACTTGAACAAGCAGATCGAGATCACTGTGACTCCGAAAGATGTTTTGGAAGAGAGAAAGAGGTTGACATCTGAGCTCAACACGATCATCAAGCAGCAGAGTGAGATTAAGAACAAAAGAAACTTGCTGAACGAGCAGATCAGGGCTATTGATGGCCAAATGAAGAAAAAAATTGGTGATTTGCAGGCCCAAAACTCCAAGAACAGCTTCAAGAATGTCGAGGAAATTGACAGAAAAATCAACCAATTGGAAGATCTCATTGGTTCTGGTACTTTGAAGCTTGTTGATGAGAGAAGATACGTCAAGGAGATCACCTCTTTGAGAAAGCTGAAAAAGGATTTTGGTTCTATTGAGCAACTGCAGAAGTCCATTGATAATGACAAGCTCAAGATCCAAGAGCTGAAGAAAAAGCAATCTTCTGTTTCCAACAAGGAAATCCAAGCGAAGTTCGAAGAGGTTACCAAAAGCTTGGATTCATTGAGCTTGAAGAACAAGGGTGTTCAGGACAAGAGACAGTCATTGTTCGACAAGAGAAAAGCTCTGTACTCAATGAAAGATGGAATCTACGCCGAGATCAACAAGGTGAGATCGGAATTTGATGCCCAGCACAAGAAATTCGTTGCTGACATGGAGGCTGAGCGTAAAAGAAGAGAAGAAGAGGAGAGGATTTACAACTTGACCTTGAAAAAGCAAGATTTGCAAGCTGAAATTGAGCTTTTGAAGGAAACTTCAAGGAGACCTGCTTTTAGTCGCGAGATCACTTTGGTTGAGACTTTGCTTGGCCACTTCGATCCTACCTATGTTAGGACTGACAAGGAGCCACTGGAAGAATCAAAAGCTCCTTCAAACATTACTTCTACTGGTCGTAAGATTGAAATGCCTGCGGATGCTGTCATCATTAAGAAGGAACAGGAAAACTTTTTTGCCGGTAACAAGGCCAAGAAAGGAAAAAAGACACAGAAGAAACAATCTTCCAAGTTTGTCATCGAGCCTGATGTCATTGCTCAATTGTCGGAGCTGTCCATCGCGTTGCCTTCGAAATCTGACGAGATTCCAAATACGATTAGCAGCTTGAAGGCCAAGCTGGAGGAGTTTAACTCGAAGCAAGAGGAGCAGACTAAGGAGAACATTGCCAAGGCTGACAAAAAGGCAGCCAAGCTTGAAGCAGAGATTGCTAAGATTGATGCAGAGATCGAGGAGGAGGCAAAAACCAAGGTTGTGAAAGCAACTGAGGAGGCCGAATAAACCTCAGCGGTGAATAATTTGGCAATCTTTTTCTCTTTATACAGAAGAATAGATCAAAATTAACTCAAATCAGATCTCGACGAAATACGGACATTTAGAATTTCAGCCAGATGAAATTTCAAAATCATATATAAAAAAAAAAAAACGTAGAATCAGGCTGTGTCAGCTCCACTACTACTAAAGAACCGCTGGGCCCTGCTAAAGGAAAAAGAAAAAATTAAGATAAGCTTGTACTCACTAACAAATCTTAGTGCGCTTTGGATGAACGCCAGATTTGTTTGCACTGTACTGTATCATTACATAATATAACATCACCTGGGGTGTGGACCTTGGTTGGGAGCACAGTCCTTTTCAAAGTTATAAAACTCACATTTTTACATTGTACCTGGTGGATTCTTCTCTAGCGGTGTCATCGAGGTTATTGGGTATATCCCATTACCAACAACATTGGTTTAGGACTTTTGACAATTGACGTAATATAACATATATTTAATGAGCGAAGGCAGTCGAGAAATCGTTTTAGATGGACACAATTCACAAGTATTGCGATCTTCTTCGAGCACAGGACATTTGGATAAGCTCGCTCTACTCCTTGATTCGCCTGAAGAGTCCGAAACCACACAGCTACCAGATGATTATCAAGCGAAGACGAGTGATATTTCAGAGCCTAGATCAAAATGTTTCGGTCTCACGATCAAGGAGTCTTCACAAATGTCTAACTTTTACTACAATGGATTAAAGGTCCCAATAATGATGTATAGGTGCTTCACATATCTGGACCAAGAAACAGGATATGACAAAGTTGGAATTTTCCGCTTATCGTCTGTGAAATCGGAAATCAACAAATTGGAGGAAATGTTCAACAGCTTGGGGGACGTGGACTTGATTAACCTGAACCCGAAACCTAGCATACATGCCGTCACGACACTTTTCAAGCGATGGCTTCGCTCCGGAGAAAGAATATTGAACGAGGAAGATTGCACGCAACTTAAACTACTACTTCAACTTTCGAACGTTTCCATTAGAATTCGCGAGTTTGATTCTGTTCTTAGAGCGCTCCCGTTGGAGAACTACCAGATATTAAAATGTTTATTCATCTATCTTGATAAGGTTCTTGAATACCGAGATCAGAACAAAAATTCGATTGAAAGCTTGGCGATGCTATTCAGCGCGAACGTCTCCTACGACCCAACAGGCAAACATGTTCCAATATTCACTGAACTGCTGGTTAATAGAAAATTTTACTTCCTTGATTGATGGGCGCTTACTCTCCATAATAATGTACTCTTTACCTTTATCGTTTATTGCGTAAGTTAAATATTCCTTATAATCTCCTTGGACACGAAAACGTCGTCACCAACTTCCACTTCGCGAGAAACACCCACGTTACGTCTCCGTTTTCTAATCACGTTCTCGATGAACGCCTCTCCAGCCTTATAAGAGGACCTCACCAGCGGTCCTGATGCACAGTAAAGGAATCCCATATCCAAGGCAACATTCTTCCAGTGCTCAAATTTTCCTGGAGTGACGTACTCAACAACCTTCATGTGTCTCTTCGTAGGTCTCATGTACTGCCCGAAAGTCACCACGTCCACGTTATTCTCTCTCAAATCTTTCAAAGTTTGCAAAAGTTGATCATCAGTTTCTCCGAATCCAAGCATCAGGGAAGTCTTCGTCACCAGATTGCCGTTAGTCTCTTTGGCCGTGCGTAACACCGACAACGACTGTCTGTACGTAGCACGCCTGTCTCTTATATGTGGAGTCAGATCTTCCACGGTTTCTAGATTGTGAGCGAAAACATCTAGCGGTGAAGATGCAAGGACTTTGACCATCTCCAGGTCTCCACGGAAATCTCCTGACAGACACTCAACTAAAATCTGAGGAGCTTTCTCTTTGATTTTCTCGACAGTAGAGCGCAAGTGATGAGAACCTCCGTCGGGGAGATCATCTCTGTCCACGGTAGTCAAAACCACGTATCCAAGTCCCCATCTGCTTATTGCCTCTGCTGTATTCTCGGGCTCGTTTGGATCTAGGGGGCCCGGGTTTCGGTTTGTCTTCACCGAGCAGAAACGACACCCTCTCGTGCAAGTATCTCCCATCAACATGATTGTAGCAGTTGCTTCTGACTTCTTACCTCCCCAACATTCCCCAATATTTGGACACTTGGCCTCCTCGCACACAGTTGCCAGTTTCAACTCCCGGACATCTTTCTTCAGCGAATGAAATGATTTACCTTTGGGAATCGGAACTTTGAGCCACGAGGGCAACCTTGCGTCAGGGTCTTTCCGCGCCAATTCCAGAGGATCTACAAGTAGATCTTTAGCCTTTCCACTGATAAAATCCTCGAAAGAGGGTCCTTTGTTCAGCTTGTCAGTGAACTGAGTAACTTTTCGTCTTCTTCTTGGCTTGGGAACAATGGTCTCCTCCGCGCGTTGTTCTCCCACGTGACCTGTAGTTGGGACTGATGCAAGTCCCCTGATTCCCACAATACCAGGTCTGAGATTGGCGGAGATCAGATTCTTGCATAAAATCATCGTTGGGTATATGTATATCAGTCGGCTCTAATTTATTTTTTTTACCCTCGCACCGTCTCCTTGGTTGATTATGTAATTCGAGCCTTCATTGGACTTTTATCGTCCGGGAAAATTTTGGGTTCGACTGACTACGGAGTATAATATATAAGAAAATGCTGATATAATCAGTGATAATGATAGTATGTAACAATGTCTACCTGTTTAGCCGTGTTTTATGCAATGGCGGCATGACATGAGACTCTGAAGTATCAGGAGAATTCTCGCTTTGTTCGTGTTTCTTCTCTAAAGCGACCGCAACAACTTTCGCCATGAGTTGTTGGCATGTAGCGTCGTCATACTTGTTCAGCCATGGATGCGACAAAAGCTCAGCATAGACAGGACGATTATTTGGATTCTTGTTGAGGCACAGATTCACGAAATCACGTGCCTCTTTGGAAAAGCGATCGTCAGGCAAAGTTGGTGGTTCGCCATCAACAATTGCACTCAGTTGCGAAAATATGTTGTCGTAGGTTTCTTGTGGATAAGGGTAACTGCCCTTTGCGATCTCAAGTATTGATAATCCCAATGACCAAATGTCCGATTGGACTGTATAGGTAGCGTCGTCTGGCGTTGAAGATTTTATGCGTTCTGGTGCCATATATGACTGGCATCCAATGTTGGTTCTGGCTAACGAAGCGACTAAATTACCACTAACACCAAAATCACATAGCTTCACTTTCCCAGAGTCTCCGACCAGAATATTTGTCGGCTTCACATCTCTGTGGATAATGTTGTGATCGTCTTTCAGCTGCTTAAGACCCTTCACAACACATTTTGTAACATATGCTAACTCAGGTTCGTTAAGCCCATTTCCATATATTTTGTCAAGTGACCCACCTTGCATGTATTCCATGCACATATAAACTGCACCTTCAACGAAAAATGCGCCGTAGAAGTCCACAATGCAATCACTCACACAACTATGAAGCACTTCGAGCTCCATTAGGATTTGTCTGAACTTAGAATCGTCCAGCTCCAGCCGGACTTCCTTCATTGCCATGATAATACCTGTAGGTTTATGCAATACTTTGGATACTATTCCATAGTTTCCACGTCCCAGTTCCTCCAAAAACTGTAGATCGTCATGAGATATTCTAAAAGAAGAGCCATTTGAGAAATCAACACCTTTGGAATGTACAGATGCCTTACCAGCAAAATTGAGAGAACCCGACTTAATGTCCACATACTTCGCATAATTAGCAAACATGCCTGCGGGCTTGGGTTGCGCCTGGGGAAGACGCAGATTTGGTTTAGATCTTGCTCCTCCGATAGGAGCAGGCGCGCTGTTATGCGGAACACTCGGAACTCCTCTCTGAGGCAGCATATTGAGTTTTAGCTTATTCATTGACTTATTGGAAGATGTTTGACTCTGAGGGTCGGTCAAGGAATTAAGGTCGAATTTCATTCCTCTTCTTTGAGATAATGACTGTTTTCTTTGAGGGGGTTTAGCCTCTGTAGAGGGCGCTGGATTAATCTCGTTTCGAACAATCGCATCTAACTTATCAGCCAAAGCTACGTCCGGTAATTCTGGTAAAGGCTTTTCCTGACTGGTCACAGTTTCCGATGATTTGGTTGCGTGTCCGCCAAACGGGCGCTCCACGGGGTCTTTGATGGTTTTGAAACTATGGCTGCGGCTCCTTGAATCCGACAGCGCTTTCTCATCGGTTTCCGGTTGTTTCTTTGGAATCCTAAAGGATGTTCGCCTCATCAGGCCTTCCGCGGATTGAGTGTCGGCCTTCTCCTCCGCATCAAGATTTGGAGTTCCCGGGGCGCCAGCGTCCTCGGTGCGCGGAGTCGTCGGCGAGCTCATGATTGGAGAGGCATTTCTTGCCGGGCTGAAAAGTTCTTCGCTCGAATGCTGTTGTTGCCTCTTGGCTTGAAAAGCTAATAGCTTGGCCTGTGCGTTAGGATTAAGGCCACGATTATGAATGCTAAGATCTTGTAATTTTGAGGATAGGTCGCTGTTGTCTCCCATGCTGTGAAAGGCGGACCAAAGGAAGGAATGTACTGATTCTGAAAATCTGAATGCCCAAAAAATGTATGTCTCGAGACAATGCTTGACTCAAACAGTGTGGGATGGAGTGGCGAATGTCACTAGATTTTGCCGTTAGGCTTTACCTTAGCTGGAATGGTCCGTCCAGTAGAACAAGAGGTTAAAGGATTGAGTCGGGATGTATGCTTGAAACTTTTTTCTGTTTGGACCTTTGTCTTCGCACCTGAATCACCTCAGCTAAGCTCACCAAATTTTGACTGCTTGCGATTTTTGTTGTAATTTTTTTCAACTTGGCAAATTTCAGTCCTTTACAGATAGTCGCGTCGAAATATAGGTCGACAATAGAAAGACTTTTAGAAACTCAATTTTTTCGCTTGGAAGCAAAATTGTTTTTTCCGTTGATGTGATGCACACTTACAGGGTTCACTTAATAATAACGGAGCAAGTGCAATTTATATAAGGTTTCTGCCGACATCTTCTATAAATAATTAGGATCGATGACGACATACCACAGAGCCGCTTTATTGACCTCCACCAAAAGTTTTCGGTCCTCGCCTAGGAATTGTGATTGTAAGACTGCAAAAGCTGAATGATTCTAAAAATAACTGGAAGCATATCTTACCACTATTGCAGATGAGCTCCGACTTGCCCTGATTGTCGCATCCTTTGGTTCTGAAAGATCCGAGCAAATCCCGCATAGATTTCTATTGACGATTGCAGTAGATGTTTGTCTACGGTAAATAACGACCTTTTTATTCAGCGCACTAACAGCCTGTAAACCATGCAGTCACAATAATAAGAACATGTACGGTTCCTTGCAAGAAATCGAATAACATTTCTCAATTAGGATATAAGCACGAGTGCCTTATTATTGTTTAGGCCTTGTGCCGTTTCAGCCTACATGATATCTCCTTATTATCCGTATGCGTTGCTCAAAACTGATTCTAAAATTGTCTTACTTTTTAAATTCATGCCTTTTCAATTCGAAAACCTGCCTCCGGAGCAGCTCGAGCTGCAGGTCCCTGTTTACATCTTAAAAGGGCAAACGTTTGCACGCCGCAAGGGATTGCTTGCAGTGTTCAATGACAAATTTAGTGTGCAATATTACGAGATAGTGGATGGCTACTTCAAAGCAATGGTCCATCTCGGAGATGGGATAAACTGTCTCACTTTGCAGCATGTAGATGGCATATGGATGAACGGGAAGCCTGCCTTTCCCAAGGATGGGCCAACAGTGTTTGATCAAGCAGTGGTCAAGTTGAACTACAATCCGATAAAAGACGAATCTCTTGTTCCAAAAATACATTTGTGTGTTCTGGTCGGCAAGGACTCACCTCAATTGTTTGACTGTCCGCAGGCCAAAAGATACGAGGGGAACAATCTTGATGCGGCAGTACGCAAGTTGCGCATGGGCGGAAGGTTAATGCAGGCCTTCACGCAGGATGATATGTATTTAGAGAAATTCGGATCGAGGAGCTTCCGATTCGTGGAAGAGAAAACCCGGAGCACCATCAGCTATTTTGAGGAGGTAAAGGGAGTTGTGCGCAACGAAATTAAAATCCATGTTATTCGCTCGGACCGCACGGTTGGCGAACTTCGAAGTGCTGATTATGCACAACAAAACCCCAAGGCAAAGAAGGCTGGAGAGCTATTTGGCATTGCGATGGATGCTTTGACCAAATATGGTGGCCCATTTGCAGAGTCTGCAACCTCCCGCGTGCCAGCTATGGCGGCTGTCATGATCTTGGATGCTCACTGGGATAGGACGCAGAACTTAATCTTGGGACATGCCGCATTGGGCGGTGGAAATGATAGGATCAAGCTGGCTATCTTTGGATCCCATGGACTTCACTCCTGGCCAATGAATATGGAGTCTCTGCATAGAGCATTGACCGACACTACGCCGATCAGTACTAGTGAGGTGGCCAATGATTGCAACCAATGTGGCACTGCTTGGGAATGCTTTACCTTGACTCTAGGGGCCTTCATGCATGAGATAGGACACCTGCTTGGCTGTCCACACCAAAAAAACGGAGTTATGCTCCGTGATTATCTAACAATGAACCGCAAGTTCTTAGCGAAAGAGGCGTATTGTCAGCGAACAAAGAAGTCAGAATGGGGCCCTGTTCTCACAAGCACAGAGCCTGGATGGCACAGATTGGACAAAATAAGGTTTCTGTATCATCCAGCCTTTGCTGTTCCTGCTGATTTCTATGTTGAGTCATTTAGACCAACTGCGTTTAGATGCAACCAGGGAATGAAACTGCCTGCAGATGCAGTCTGTGAAATCTCCGTTTTGGCGATCGATAAAGATACTTTGGACTTGGTGGCACCTTCAGGGATCTATCTAGTCGAGTTCATGACCGGTGAATTTCCCGATTTGCAATACGAGTTCTTACCCGTGTTCTTGAAAGGTCAGGGCTGCAGCCCTGTCGTTCGCTTGTCCGTCTCCCAACTTGAGTCTCAACTGAAAAGCAAGAAGCCCATCAACGTTCGGGTTCTTGCTCGTGGGTTTGTACAAAAAGACATCAGTGATTTGCGGAAATTCCTCAGAGAGCTGAGCTCTCCCGTGTTGGTGAATGGTGGTACATTGTCTCTTACCAAAAGCGAGGTTTACGGAGGAGGTCAGGGCCGTGATTTGATGGTCACATTTCCTGAAAAGCGAATTACCGGGCTACAAATCACGCATGGTTTGGCGTTGGACGGAATTAGAGTTCTCTTTAGTGATCGAAGCTATGTGGATTTTGGAAATTTCAAAAGTCATCACTCGGATTTTCATTTGGAAGAAGATGAAACTATAACAGGATTCAATATACGCTGTGGAGCTTGGGTTGATGCTATTCAGATTCTGACCAATAAAAGATCGAGTCCAATGCTAGGCGGAACAGGGGGAGGTGTGCGTCAGTTTATCGTGCCTCATGGTAAGAAGTTGCAGGGCTTTTATGGAAAGTTGTCCAATTGGTGCAACGGTGTAGGGTTTTTATATGGTTGAACCGCTTCAAAAATAAGAACCTTGTACGTTAGTGCTCTCCACCAGACATGTTGGGATGAAACGATTAATGTCTACCAGTGGCACTTGAAGTCCAGACGGCAAGTCTGCAGAATTGAACAGGTATTCTTGTTTCACCTCTTCAGGGGAAGGCACTTTCTGGAAATTGATGCTATTGTTGAGTTTCTCGTACTTGGAATTTAAAATGCGTAATAATTCAACTACAGTTGAGATATTCTGTCGGAATGCAGGTGGGAATGCTGAATTTTGAAATTCTCTTACAAACCTGATTTCTTCCCTCCAAAGGTGCTTGTCTTTAACATTGGTTTTTCTCGCCTTGATGTGCAACTTCGATCTGATCTTGGATTGATCAATACTTTTGGCAAGACCATATGTGCTGATACCGAGGGCTATTCCCAGCTCATTCTTGTGATAGTAGGATAGGCTTCTGTAGTATGAAAACAGAATTTCCACAAAACTCCTCAAAGTCCCAACTTGCGAAGATTTCCTCAGTTGTTCCAGAACTGCGCATTCATTGTAGACAAATATCAGTATGCGAGCATAAGTATTCAGTTTTTCCGGAACTTGATCAAAATCACCAAATCTGGCCTCGATCTCTTTATGTGTCACGTGGATATTCTTGAATACAACTAAAAGTTGCACCATTATCTGGTTCAGATGATAAATGTAATCAAAGTGCGGTCGATGCAATTCAGACACCTGATCCCGAAATTCAATCGCAAGCCCAAATGCGCTCTTAAGCATATTAGATAATTTTCTCCACGCGTCGTCAGCGAGATCGTTCGAGCTGTATTGTATTTCGAGGGCCTCCAATGTCAGCAGATGATATATCTGCATGATAGAGATGGACGAAGCAACAATTTCATCATAGGCAGACCAGTCCAATGTTTTGACGGCCTTGTAATTGGACCAGGGACATCCTTCATAGATCTTGATTTCCTTGCCACCCTCCAGAAGGTCTTGGATGTTAGCTACATCGGTCCTTCGGCTGTTTTTGACGAAACTAAATAATTGATCGATTAGTTCATGCAGGTTATGCACAGAATTCATCAGATGACTGGAGCTAATGGCATGTCGCAGCTCATTGATTCTCGTCGGGGTGTCCAATTGAACGTTTGTACACGGGACAATGATTTCATCGCGAGCAAAACTCATTATGTTCTTTGCGACGAATTGAGCAGTTGTATATAGTTGATTAATTTTACACCCTTACACTGCGACGTGTATCTTGTTGTGGGATGTGGCCCTTTTTTAGTCTTGTTCTTACAACATGCATGGAAGTACAAAGCCACCGTCTCCCCTTTTTTACACCTTAGCTCCCAGTATACAAACTTCTTCTCTTATGGTTTCTCTATCCTCTTCCTCTTCGACTGCTAGATATGCACAACTGATCCTTGGGGTGATTCTCCTCGGTTTATCAGGAAAAATCATCAACGACAGAAACTCCTTGACATCTCTGGCAGATGAGCTAATGGAGCTCTATAACAGTACTTCATCCGAGACTTCTTTTTCCTTGGCTAAACGGGACGCAAATGAGCCCTCCCTTTACGTTGACCCCTCGTGGAAAAAATCTGCGGTTGTGCTTTCTTCAGCCTGTACCAGTATTAGTTCCAATTCCTTGAACTACGCGTTGCCAAAATTTATCACTAAAAAGAACACAAATTCAAACACCCAAGCCCTTCTGTGGAAGTCTTCTGCCTTCAGAACCTTGTCAACCAGTGCGTCGGATTTTGTTTCCAAGACGGCGATAGGTGTTTCCCTGAAACAAGCTGGATATGCTTCATCATTATTTGGATCTGAGGTGCTTTCGCAAGCATTGTGGGTAGTCAATGTAATTATTCAAGTCAGTCAATTTGGCTCCCAATCATGCTCCAATGTCGAAGGCTTGATCAGCAGCTATAACCTTACTTCTGATCTTTCCGATTTCATATTGTCTAATTACTACAACGAGAACGGATCGGATAACTTGACATCGTCTGATAGTGAGCTATACGACCAGATTGAAAACTTATTCTCTCAATCAAATTCCTCAAATCTCTTGGGGTCTCTATCCAGCTTGCTAGACTCCTACAATTCCAATAATCTTACTACTTTGGAGAAGCAGTCGGCCTTGTTACTCAAACTTGCAAGCAATTGCCAGCTAAAGAAATCTTCCATGGCTTTGTCCATCATTACTCTTGCAACCTATCTTCTTACTAGTACCTTTTTGGCTTCAAGTGCCGTGTCATTTGTGAATCAGTACCATAAAGAAAAAGAACAGGCTACCAAAGCGATCCAAGCTAAGCCAGAAAGTGAAGACACAGCATCGGAAACACCGAGACCTCAAATTCATTTTGTTTATAAATCTGACTGGCTCCTCCCAGATATTCTTAGTGATGAGGAGCTTTATTCAATTTCAACCGTATAATTGACTTTGGCTTTTCACAATACATCTGTGCTACAAAATTAAAATTGCTTGTTTTTAATTACATATATTAATATTCGATTATGCAATGTGAGTTTTAGATTGAAGTTGAGCAAAGTAGCCATAATTTCAAGGACTCATTTTCTATACCAGCGTTAGTGGCTATCAGATGAATAAAGTGATTGCAACCCAAGCAATCAAAGTAGTCCAAAGAACCGCTGCTAGTGTATCGTTACTTTTTCTTCCCTCATTGGCCAAAGCTTGAGCAGTGGATGAGCTTTGGGTGCCGATGTCAGCGGAGCCCACAGTCCATGAAGATGCACGATTAGCCCAAACAAGACATGAACTTTCGGTAGCAGTGACCACTGAGGTGACAGTAAAGTAAGAAGACTCAGTAACGGTAGGTAGGACGGTTGCAGACGTAGGTTGAGCAGCAGTAGGTTGAGCAGCAGTAGGTTGAGCAGCAGTAGGTTGAGCAGTAGGTTGAGCAGTGGTCTGAGCAGTGGATGTAGTAGAAGATGCAATGGTGGAGACCACTGTGGTTGGGTATAGAGTTGAAATCAAAGTTTGGTAGCCTGTAGTCAAACTATACGATTCAATAACTTTGGTATCCCAGACAATATAGGTACCTGTCACCACCGTTTCTGTAACTGTCGTATCGTAGCTGGTGAAGTAGTTTTCGCTATAATCTGTGTAAAGAGAGTAAGAAGAGCCATAAAAGATGGAAGTCACGGTCTCATACTCGATACTATTGGTGGAGTGATTGAAGTAACCGAGGAAACTTGTTGTGGACACAGGATAAGTGTATATTGATGTTGCTGTTGGCTCAACAATCAAAGATGATCCAGGAATAGTCTGCGTTGAAGTGGAAACTTGCGAGTTCACATACGTTAGTGTTTCTGTATGGGTCACGAGCAACACAATAGCAGAACTGGTGGATATGACATACGTGTTAGTTGACAGCTTGCCGATCACAGTTGTGACTACCTCATTCGTGTTTGTGGGTGTTGCCGTAGAGGGACTTTCGGTGAGCTTCGGGGTGTCAGGCGTCGTCTGCAAAGAACTCGTAGCTGTAGTGGTTGTGTATGGTGTAGTAGGTGCAACAGTACTAGTAATAGTTGATGACGGGGAGCTAGAAATGGAAGATGAGGACGTGGATTCAGCAGTGGTCGTTGTCTCTTGTGTTGTGAGAGAAGACGTAGACAGGGACGAAGAGGAGGAGGAGGAGGAGGAGGAGGAGGAGGAGGTGGTGGTGGTGGTGGTGGTGGAGGTTTGCTCCAGCGTGGATGATGTGGAGGAGGAAGAAGTGGTTGATGTTGGCTCAGAAGTATCAGTGTTGATAGTTCCCTGCAATGAGGATGGAGTGGTGATTAGGATACAACCATCACATGAGAAATCTGGGTTCCACTAAAAGGGGTTAGCTCAATACAAAAGGCTTTCTTCATTTGATGAGTAGCTACTTACTCTTGTAGTGTAACCGGAAGCAAGTTGAGTTAGGGCTGAGTAAGCGAGTAGGAATCGGAGCTTCATTGGGATTGGATTGGGTTCAGACCGATTTTAATATAAATACAACTTGGTGAAGGGGAAAAAAGGGGATCAACTTTTACCCTTAAATTTCACCGTCATAATGTGTGAACTATAGTACATTTGTTGCTATCTACTAGTGTGTTTTTTTGTTTCCTCCAACGCCTTGTCTAGATCTTTCAATAGCGTGCTCCATCTTGGTCCATCCTTAGCCTGGTTGGAGGAAAAGTCAACGCCAATTCCTGTTGGCTTCGGGCGCTCGTCATCGTCACTTTCGTCAGAGGTATCTTCGAAGTCACTGTCGTCAAATTCTAGCCCAGTGTAGCTGCATATAGCTTCCATAGCATCCTCCCAGCCGGTAACGTTGAAAACGCTTGATCGTCTATGTGATCCATTCAAGTTTGGGGGTGTGCTTATTTCAACAAAAATGTTTTTCGACGTGGGGAGCCGGCTCAGTTCGCTCAGCGGAGTAACCGACAATACCACGGTAGCGAGGTCCTCGAGCTCAGAATGGGGACACTTGTCTCTAAAGTTCTGTAAAGTAGCACAAAGAGTGTCGTCGGTCCCCCAATGGACCCTGTTTTCGTCAGCAGTCGGAGTGACATCGTTTAGCAGCTTATGGTACTCGTCAATCTTGCTGAAAAGATTCTCCTTCTCATCATCATCTGCCCCACTATCAAAGCTTAGCGTGCTCAACACCTGCGACTCGGAACGCAACTGCAAAGAAGAAGTAAATACCATGTGTATCTGAATCTTGACCATTAATAGACTGCGTACTATGTTCTTTATGGATACCAAGGAATGGTGCGAGGGATTTAGTTGGTTGATGACGATAATCATTGCGCACGGCTTACGACTGAACACGAGCGAGTTGATGGTAGCTTCGTAAAATTTTGGGTTCACGCCTGGCGGAAGCTGCTGGGGCGTTTCAGTTTCGTTAAATTTCAGTATTTCGTAGAACTCGTCCTCCTTCACTGTTGTGGTGATCAAACCGCTTGGAAATTCCGTGTTGAGGTTGGCCAGCGCCACACCCCATTTTTCCAAAACCTCCTCCTCCGAACAGCTCAAATACAACAGCTCAGAGTCAAACTGAACTTTCACCACTGTTGGCGAGGGGATTTGAGATTTCAAAGAGTGGTCCACGGAAAAAGTTTTGATGGTGCTAGCGCACAAATCCACAAGTACGAACATGCGCTCAAACAAGTAGCAGTAGCACTCATCCCACAGCGCAAGGTCTTCACTTATCTGCAACTTGTCAACGAGACGCAGATCACCGAACGAGTCCACGGCTAGCTTATTAAGTCTAACCGTATCGAATTTTTGGGACTGTAGCATTATTAGCTCCCCAATGAACTTCGACCGCAGGAGATATATCGGGAAATCGCTCGTCCACGAGCTCTTCATCCTTGAAGAACCCAATGGCAAAGTTGTCGTGCTGCTTGACTCCGGAACTGTTTGGACGGATACCGATGAAATGATAGAGGACACAGCGGAGATCGAAGATCCTCGCGAAGGCTTTTTGGCATGTCTTTGATGCACCCATTGATCGGCCCTATTGCGCTGTGTTATCCGTGGAGAGGACCCATTGGAGCCCGGCTGAGAATTCGGCGGGCGATAATGAATACTATGTGCAGGCTCCGGTTTCCTGACAGGCACTGTCAAGATATTAGTGATCATTTGGTCGGCAACTACCTGGGATGCAGGAACCGCTCGCACGTTCTGATGACATTTGGGACAATGAGGGAATTGTACAGGGGCCACCGAAGCCGACGACTGCACCTTTGATATATTGACAAATTCCATCTCCAGCAGGAGACATTTCTCATGGCAGCTGTGCTGACACCTAAGCTCTATGATACCCTCAGGGTCCATGTTCTCTGACTTGTACAGCAGCATGGATTGCAGGGGCAGATCACAGAAAATACACGAGTCTGGTATCGAATTCTTGCGTTTTGATTGAGGTGAGCTTTGCTGCGACGATGTTGGCGTACTCCATATGTGGGGCGACTTCGAAGGTTCTTGAAACCTCGGGGAGGTAACCGTGGTGCTCTGTAAAGGCCTGGATTTATTTTTTTGAGAGGCGGGTGAGTTGTTCGAGTTACTCACCGCGCTCCTCGGCGAGCCAAAGCTGAATTTCTCTGTGAACTTGCCAAACTTCTTGGAGATTTCGTATGCAGCAGGACTAAACACCGTCGGAGTTTGGGGTTGGGGATGTATCCCTAGAGAGGGCGATGCTTGTGCTTCTTTGCGAGCTCTACGGGGTCTCGATGGGGAAGTACGTGGTGAAGCTGAAAAAGACTTCTCCAGTGAGCTAGTCAAATTTTCCAGCGACTCTGCCCCCAGCAAGCCGCTTGAGTTCACATGGAACTTCTTGCTTGAGTCTCCTACCTTACTCATATCGCCTAGGGTAAGGTTGGAGCCATCCGACGTAAAGAAATACGTATGAAACAATTGATAATGATGTATGTTTCAAAATTTTAAGGTATGAAAAATGCTCACACTGCCTGATAAACGCTTTTCAAGGTACGGGAATAAAAACTTATATTGCAAGACTCGTTACATGAACTAAGCGGCTTCCTGAAGACTGATAATCCGAGAAAGGTGCTGAGAATCGTCGGGACCAGGTTCTGCGGCTGGAGCGTCACCCCCTCCGGTAAACTGTGCCGTTCGCTCAATGGCGTTTTGACTAGGCATAAAGATCACCTTGGCGTTAGAGCTCTCGGCCATCTTTTGCATTGCGTCCAAGTATCTGATTTGCATAGCAGCTTTGGAAGCCAGAACGTCTGCAGCCTTTCTCATCAGTTTGGCGCTCTCGACCTCGGCTCTGGCCTGAATAATCTTGGATTCTCCAATTCTCTTTGCCTCAGCAGCCATGGAAAGCGAGTTGGAAACTCCTGGCGGCAGGCTGAAGTCCTTGATTAGCAGACTCTCCACCTTAACACCCCAGCTGGCAGCAGGTTCCGCGATAATTTCCTCGATCGACTGCGCAATCTCTTCTCGTCTCTCGATAGCGTCCTGCAAGTTTCTGGCACCTAAAACCTGACGCAGCGTGGTTTGCGTCCGCTCTCTCAGCGAGTCCTCAATGTCATAAACAGTGAAAAACGCTGTATGAGGCTTAACGACTTGGTAATACAGAACACTCGACAACGTGATGGAAACATTATCTTTGGTGTAGCAGGACAGGGTAGGTATCTGCATTGTCTTGAGCATCACGTTTGAGTGATGGAGCTTCTCGCTCAAGGGGTTAACTTTGACAAGTCCAGGGTCCACTGCTTTGTACAATTGACCAAACTTAGTGATCAAGCCGACATGTCCTTGATCGACATCCTTGTACGGATTAGGGAAGCAGAAGCAGCAGGGAATGGTTCCTAGGGCTCCAAAACAGGAACCAACCCCGTTGATGAACGAGCCGTACCAGCCATTATCTGGTGTGTCCCATTCAAAAGCATACGACATTTGGAAGTCTTCTCTTGCTCTTGGTTGCTGAGTGATGATAGGCCTCGAGGTGTCTAGACCAGGAGGGTTTTTCAGGTCCATAGTGTCAGGGTAGTTGCTTTCGTTGTCATTGGTTCCCGTTTGGGTCGGTTCGAAGTTAGACGTCATGTTAGTCCACAATGGGGCAGAGTTACTGTTCTTATATAGCTTACAAATAGAGTACCCACGACTCTCGGCTGTGCAAAAAGAGCCTGTTTTTTGTGGAGATTGGTGACCTATCGTGTTGCGCTGCATGGCGCAATCTGATAATCATCGCATGACGTCATCGACCGTTTAGAAGCTATTACCTCGGCTATTATGACTAGCCGAGAGATAGTTGGTGAAGTCGTTAGAGTCGTTGGAATTGAATCTCGTATTTTTGGGCCGTACGGTCAGCGGCGCGTCGCTGTCCGAATCTTTATCCTGATCTATCGGAGCTGAGTAGTTGAAGTTGGAAGGGTTCTGAATAAAGAAGGGATCGCTCAGGTCGAAGCCCAGCAGCGGATCGACCGTTATAGACGAGTCGAGCTGGTCAACGCCCGACGGTTGGTACTCCGTGCCTTTGTGTTGTGGTGGCAACGGAAATAGCTGTTGCTTAGGATCATAGTAGTCCAGATTATAGTTCCCCAGGCTGATTTGAGATAACGAGTTGCCACTGTTGCTCATGTAGAATGGGACACGATCCGGCGAGTCTTGGCCTGCAACGTTGGCCATTCTGGTATGGTCATGCGACAGATGGTCAGGCACATTGTGCACCTGTATTTTGGAGTTTGAAGAAAGGGGTATGCTGTCCTCCTGGATAGGGGTCATTGCCAGCTGGAACAATCCAGAGGCTCGAGATTGTGGTCCCGGTTCGGCCCTGTGTTCAGAGTTCCTCAGGTTCGCCGAGGAGTTTTGCTTTTGCACGTCCGCATGCATCTTGAAGTAGTTGTCGCACATTTCGTTGATGTACCGCATGATTCGTACAACGTTCGGCCTCCAGTAGTTGAGTTCCACGATCTCAAAAAGGTGCAACAGCTGTTGGCGAATAGCACCGATGGTATCAGAGTACATATATAGCTTATTGTACCCCAAATGCATCACAGTATACATCACAACCAGCGTTTGGTAGAAGAAAGTGTAGAAGAACGGGTATATGTCATGGAATGATGGCTTGTGGAAGAAGTTGTTGTGTAGCTCTACTAGCAACTGAGCGTGTTCTAAAACCTTCAAAACCGAGTCCAAACAGCTCTCTAACGATTTCTGGTAGTTTGACATGAAATGCTGGTGGAATTTAGCTCTATTACCATAAAGCATGATAAGGTCATTGATTGTATCGCAGTCGGTATCCAGAAGGCAGAATTTCTCTTCAGGTTCAGTTCCGCAAGGGCGCAAAATCGTGAAACGGATGTCCAAAGGACAGCTGTTGAGAAGCTGGTTCAAGTTCAGCTGACTCAGTGACTTAAATGAATTTTTCCTCCTCGCTTTTTTGTCAATGACCGGCAATGTAATATAGCTGGGCTTGGATCTGTCTCGTCCTTTATAATTTCGCACCTCTCGTGTGTCGGCTAGGATTTTCTCGTAGATTAGGATTTCGCTAACAAAAGCCTCGTCTATTTCCATGATGGTGTCAAAATTAATGTTGACTTTGTATGAGTCAATTAGAATGTTGGTGGACTTCTTCACCAACTCTGCGAGTCCAATTTTGTAATTTAGCCTTATCTCGTAGTTTCTCAACAAGGGTTGGAACGTGAATGTGACGGGATTCGGGCGGCCCAGAACAGAGCAAAGTGTGGCAGACACGAAATTGATCACAAACCACAGAGAGGCCCGTTGGTTTTTTTTCACAATGTCGAGAGCAGCTTCGCTATTTTCCTTTTTGAGTGTATCGGCTATAGTCTCATCGTAAACGTGTAACCCAAGGGAGTACGCAGCACTGACAATTCGGAAGAGGAGATACCAGGACCTCTCTATCTGGTTGTTGAAATAAAGATCTTCACACTCAAGAATGTAAGCACGAAGACTCGTTGTAGTTTCGACCTGAATGCCCGATTTCAGGTTCCTGTACTGCTTGTACAGCAGCGGCCTCGTGCGCTCGTAGGTAAGGTTGTATTCCTGGAAGAGCGGATCGCTCGCAGGCACAGAGCGCAGCACAACAATCAGCATAATGATAATGAGCAGCAAAGTATCATCATCGTCCTTCCATGTTTTGGCATTCTTGTAGTTGTCGAGAAAGGCCAACAACGGCGCCTGCTCAAGGTAATTTATGTAGTGGAATCGTAGGTGGAAGAACTTGCACACGAGCTTGCGAATAAGTGAGATGTTTTCTTGTGTTTTCTGTTTAGCAGTCATCGACTTGGCCTTTTCCGAATCAACATCGTATAGAATAGGTAGCTGTCGTTTCTGCTTCATCTGTCTCTTGACGTTAATAAAGTCGTCAAACTCTCCGACGTCCGCATTTGAAAGTGCTCTCGAAATCATAAACCGTGTCGAGTTAGGACCATAGTACATGGGGCCCGCCGGCTTGGAAGTCCCGGAATCCTCTGCGGCGTTGTCCTCGTCGTACTCTTTCAGTTTATCGCGTTTGTACTTCAGCTTCAGCTCTTTGATTTTCAGTTTCAACGCCTCGTTGTCCTTGCGCAGGCTTTGTATTATCTCGTCCTTGTCATTCCCTACGTTTCCAACTACCTCGGGGTCATCTTCGGGTCCTCGTTTGGCAGGGATGGTGGGAGGCTCCGACTTCACGGTGCCCGTGGTAGGTGACACCAAGCCCGAGCTGAGCGCCTCTGCTTTCTCTTCTTCCGGAGCATCTACTATAAACTGATCAACGCGAATGGAGCGGAACTTTTCTGGGTAATAACACTGTCGGTTCCGTACTAAACACTGGTTGCAAGGCACCTGCTTATTGCACTTGACCTTCCGCCTCCGGCACTCAACACAGCTAATTGGCATCAACATGTCGGAAACCGTTGGAAGTGCAGAACGGGGAAAAAACAGATCTTTAGGTCCGCTTCAATTCTTTTTTCGGCGCGGACAAGGCTGTGCAATGTGGGGCTAAAAACCGGGGTTCTGGAAGAAACTCATTCTTGGTATGTACTCCGAAACCAGAGGGCACAGCATAGTTGACATGGACTGCCGTACTCTACGGTTGTATGGCTAGTTCGCAAAATTTTAGCTGCCTTGCTTTGCCTACTCTGCCGCTACTGTTGTACGAAATTGCCAACTAATGAGCCGAAAAACACCCGTGCACGCCGAAGGTAAGGTTAAAGAAACCAGACGAAAAAAATCATTTAGCACGAGGATTCGAGGGACTGACCGTGGTCACGTGAGATAGCGTAGTTGCTCTTCTAATCTTAAGTAGTGCCAGAACGTGGAAAAAAGTTCCAATCAATTCTAACACCATGTTTTCCAGACAATTGCTTAGATTCACCACCAGAGCTACTCCAGCTTTCAGACGGTTCATCACTTTCGACGCTGCAAGCCAGCCAAGAATCAGGATCGGCTCCACTGTTCCAAATTTCACTGCTCCAACTACTCACGGTGACATCGACTTCCACCAATACATCGGTAACTCTTGGACCGTGCTCTTCTCTCACCCAGCTGACTTCACCCCTGTGTGCACCACTGAGTTGGGTGCTTTCGCCAAATTGAAACCAGAGTTCGATGCTAGAAACGTCAAGCTCATTGGTCTGTCTGCTGAGGGTGTTGAGAAGCACAAGTCCTGGGTCAAGGACATCGAGGAGGTCGCTTTAGACAACAAGCCATTTTTCTACCCAATCATCGGTGACGAGTCCAAGGAAGTTGCTTATTTGTTCGACATGGTTGACGAGGAAGGCTTCAAGAACTTGGGCAACGGTCCCGTGCAAACAATCAGATCTGTCTTCATCATCGACCCTGCTAAGAAAGTCAGACTCATCATGACCTATCCTGCTTCTTGCGGTAGAAACAGTGCTGAGGTGTTGAGAGTCATTGATGCTTTGCAAACCGGCGACAAGAACGGTGTCGTTACACCTATCGACTGGACTGTTGGTCAAGATGTGATCATTCCTCCTTCTGTCTCGAACGAGGCTGCTAAGGAGAAGTTTGGTGATTTCAAGGAGGTCAAGCCATACTTGAGATTCACCAAGATCTAAATGTGTATACAATATTCAGTATATTGTCTGAAAGAACATTCACTATATGTCCCACCCGTACACCACAACCGCTGCTGTAACCACCATTTTTTTGTGACATTTTTTTGTACTTGTTCCCAATTGGTCTACTCCGTTCCGAGAGTAGCTGATGATTTACCTGCGCATAACCCCAATTGTGTCCCACACCAAATATATCTCCGGTAGAACCGGCCAATTAGAGTCACCTAATTATCTAGCACAGTCTTACTATGACAGGCTTACGTACATATTGTGGGGGAAAAGTATCATTCTCGACGTAGTTTGGTGTAAAGAAGCTTGGGGACAAGGCAGTTTTTTTTGAAACTTTGCTTACGATATTACTGTCTACTGTTCATCTGCTTCACAGTCAATATTCCGTTTCAAAACCTGTCCACGGTTATTTAGAGCTACATTTTGCTATTCATTGGTGTGTTGTATACAGATTCGATGTGCGAAATCTATTAATCTAGTCATGTCCAACATTTCGATAAGTGGATCAGTCGAGAGACCAGAGGTGCCGGTGATCGCCCCAAAAGTTGAAACTGACGACGAATCAGTACTAGCCGACTCCCCATATGCTCCAAGACTAAAAAGAGCATTCTCTTCGGCGGATAGCGCGCGCAACTCGAAAAGGACCAAAGATGAGGAAAATTCACCCTCCTCTTCCGGTCACGCCGCTGGCCATCGCCCAGTGACCTCATGTACTCACTGTCGCCAGCATAAGATCAAATGTAACGCTTCCGAACGGTTTCCCGTTCCTTGTTCTCGCTGTGAGCGCATGGACTTGAAATGCGAGATAGACCCCCAGTTCAGGCCCAAAAAAGGCTCTCAGCTTCAGTCTCTTCGTAATGATGTCGACGAGCTACGCAAAAAAATTGAGTTTTTGACCAAGAATGAATCGCTGATTTCGAATGTGCTCCAGTCCTCTAATCCAGATCTTTTACAACAATTGAAGGAGAAGAAACCAGTACAGTCTTTGCAGACCTCGCAAGCACCACTCACCGTCGAAGAAACTCAGGGTCCTCCAAGACCCGCAGTGACAGAGCTGAATCCTCTTCCTGTTTCCCAGACGAATTCGGTGAAGAGCAACGGCTCTGTATCCGAATTCATACTGGGCGACGTGAAAATTTCGTACGAGAAAGCCACAGAATTACATCAGAGATTCATCATTCACTATCTACCTTATCTCCCCATTATGATTTCGAACGACTGTGTGCAGCTGTACCAGCAATCACAGCTTTTATTCTGGACCGTGATGCTCACCGCATGCCTTTCTGATGCTGAGCCATCTTTATACATTTCGTTGGCGTCTCTCATCAAACAGCTTGCCATAGAGACATGCTGGATCAAAACTCCCAGAAGTACTCACATTGTTCAGGCGCTTTTGATACTGGGGACCTGGCCACTACCTAACCAGAAAGTTCTGGACGATTGTTCCTACAGATTTGTCGGACTGGCAAAGAGTCTGTCTCTTCAGCTGGGACTGCATAGGGGCAAATTCATTAGTGAGTTCTCAAGAACCCAAGTGGCTCTTCCAGACGCGGAGAAATGGCGCACAAGAACATGGCTGGCTGTATTTTTTGCTGATCAGTTCTGGGCGTCAAACCTGGGTCTCCCTTCCTCTATGCAGACAGATTTCCTGCTTGAACAGGCCCGAATTGATCAGTCGCTCCCGAAGAATTTCCGGTGTCTGATTTCGTTGGCCATTTTCCAAGCAAAGCTTGTGAATGTGATGGGGTCTAGTGTCACAAGTCCTGACGGGCTCATGGATCCGCGAAACAGAGCAGGTGCTTTGGCGATTTTAGAAAGAGAACTTGAACGGCTAGCGTACAAACTGCAAATCAACGATATAGTCGTGGAAAGCTACTATCTTTATGTCCAGCTGATGGTGTGCTGCTTCGCTTTTCTTCCAGAGACGCCCAGCGAAGACCAAACGAAATATGTCACGCAAGCTTACCTTTCGGCAACTAGAATCGTTACAATTGTTTCAAAGCTGACTGAGTCTAGGCAACTCACAGAGTATCCTATTTATGTGCGACAGGCGGTTTCCATGGCTGCTTTTGTATTATTCAGACTTCATTTGACACCATATTTATTACCAAAGTACATCGATTCGGCAAGACAATCAATCGTCACTGTCCACCGCTTGTTCCGTAATATGCTCGCTGCTTGGAAGGATGTTGAGAATGATATTAGTCGAACTGCCACTGTGCTCGAGAAACTGAACTTTGTCATCATCACGCACCCAGAGCTTTTCACAGAAACAGATGGTATCATCGCAAGAATGCGGTCGCACCTGACAGGCTCGTTGTTCTATGATTTGGTTTGGTGTATCCATGAGGCAAGACGAAGATTGATTGCTGAACAAAATTCTCCCGTCAAAGAAAGCAAACCAAAGAGCAGTCGCAAAGTGCTCCCATTACCATTTTACAACCAGATCACAAAAGACGACTTTAGAGCAATTACCACCACAACTCCAAATGGAACGACCGTCACCACACTCGTGCCTACTCACCAAGCTATATCGAATGCTCGGGCGAACGCGTCTGCTGCCGGACTATCAGACCCTACCGAAATCAATGGAATTCCTTTGGCGATGCTTGAGGCCACTGGCTCGCTACCTGACAAAAACAAACACGCTGGTAATGGCACGCATTCTGATTCAATGGACCCTCCAAAAGTTCAGCTACAGAATAAGATGGCCACGAAGTCACGGAAGAAGAGCAAAAGTGGCAATGCAGTTGGTGTCTCAACAAGGCCTATAGCCCCAGCTCCTCCTAGATCACAATCTGGAGCCCCATTGCCGATGGAACAATCGCTTTTTGGTCCTCCTATAGATGCCCCGATGATGTCCCAAATCCCACAGCAGGTAGTGTCGCAGACGCCTTCGGCTACCAACTCCAGAAGCAACTCGAATGAGCACTCGCCAAACTCTGATGCGCTAAACAACAATTTGTTCATTGATTCCATATTCCAACAACAAGGCGGTGCGAATTGGATGGACAATACGGACGATTTCTTGGGATGGTTCGACATAAATATGGCTCCTGAATTCTAATGTCACGTACGTTTATAATAGCTAATAGGTATATTCTGAATAATTTTATTCATCCTCGGCGGCCTCAGTCTCGTCTGAAGGATCGATGACTCCGCCCTGGCCCAATGCAAACACAGTCTCGCTTTCTGCGAGACAGGGACTATCGTAAATCTTGCAAATTCTGTTTGCACCCTTGGCTTTCTTGAAGTATAATCTTGTTGTCGACGAGTGGGCGACAATATTTCCTCCAATAGGCTTCTTTGGATCTGGATTGAAGATCGCTCCTCCGTCGACTTGCGCAACAACTTGGTTCGTAATCACCACGGCAATACCAAACTCGTCGGCAAGTCTCTGAAGCGTACGCATGAACTTTGCCACGTGCATCTGCCTGGCACTTAACTCCCCTCTTCCGCTATAATCGGTCCTGTAGAGTGCCATTATAGAGTCCACAATCAATAAAGAGAAGCGCGACTCGGTCATCATACTGGCAGCCTGGTGCAGAAGCTGCAATTGATGGTCTGCGTTGTAAGCTCTAGCGTAGGCGACATTATCTAGGGTCTCATTCTCGTCAAGCCCAAACCGTCTAGCTATGGCAACCAGCCGGATGGGTCTAAAAGTGCCTTCGGTGTCAATGTACAGACATTTTCCCTCACCTCCTCCATTATCAATGGGAAGCTGGCAGGTGACGGCAAGCGTGTGGCAAAGTTGCGACTTTCCCGTTCTAAATTCTCCAAATACCTCGGTGATAGCTCCCGTCTCAACGCCACCTCCCAAAAGGGTATCCAGCTGCTTAGAGCCTGTTGTGAGACAAATCAGCTCTGATCTTCTTTGATGAAATTCTGTTGCGGTGGTGAACCCGAGTGGCACCAGCTTCGAGGCTTCCATGAGCAGCTTATCCGCCTTCTGCTCAGAAATTCCCTTGACGGTAACGATGTGTCGCTTGGGAGTGTATGCGATGGACTCCACAGTATGGAAGCCCGCCTCTTTCAGTTTCTTGATATCTTGGGGCGTGATCCCATTGCCTACCAGCTGCTGGATCGGAACGGGTCCCGCAGAGTAGTCCTCATCTTCCTCGACGACCATGCTCTCATGGTACTCCGTTGCCTGCTCTTGTTCGCCCACGCTAGTTTGTTGCTCGTTGGACATGGTGTGATTAACTTCAGCGACTTGGGTCATTGCGAACTTAATTTACCCTCAGCGAAAAATAAACAACGCGAAAAATGCACATCCGGCGATCGGCGCGTCGATAAGAATTCGAAGAAGTAATTATATCATCAGAATTATGGGTGCTCACACGATTAAACTGAACCCTAGGTTCCGCTTACCATAAAATACTGGTAGCGTAGCTTATGCCATATACAGCGAATGATGATCTAGCGTATGATTGAAGAAAACGCAATATTGGTCAATTCTACAACCGCGTGAAACACAGAAACCAGCTATGTGTAAAGAGGATTCTAATTGAGCTACACGCGGCCTCTGGCTTCATTACGAGGTTGATGCTATGGCAATATATTGAGGCGAGTCATTCTTACTCGTCATGCTCAGGATCCATGCACGAAAACAGATTTGTTATGCTCGTACAATAAAACATATTGATCTGAAATCTACGATTATTGTAAAAGAGGAAATTTTCTATTGTCGCTGCAGTCTTCCTTTTTGTGCATTTTCGCGTCGCCAAACTACGCGCAGACGATTTCACTCGTTAATGAATCCAACGACCAAAAGCTAGAAGGATCTCCAAGACTGATTTATAGGACTTCTGCTACTCGCACACACAGCATCCATCTCGCGGTATGTTTGTTAACTCAAAAAATTGATTGTCCGCACAACTGCTTATTTCCTGCCTAATATTTTAGCCCCTGTCAACGAAATACATGCCAGTTATTTATCTCGATCGGGTAATCATAGGACCTTTCCCGTTAAGCACAATCTTCGTAAGCGTTGTTGGTCTGCATCTACCTTGCATTCGCAACATCCGCTCCAGGCAATCGATGCAGGCAGTTATGTCCAAGAAGGGAAACACCAGAATGAAATTCAAGATCTGAACTCATCTTGTACCCTTCATATATTCAATTTCTTTCTCGTTCTCCGTCACTAATGAGTGTAGACTGCGAAATTGCGAGACAGGACCTTAGCAATCTTCCGCCGAAAAGCACCGCGGTGCTTGCACGCGAGTCTCAGGGAGGTGGCCCAAGCACTATTCAGCCCGATACAAAAAAAATTGACCCTTTGTTGATGTCCAAATTACGCGACCCATCTTGTTCGCTTAATATCGTTTTGGCAAAAAATAAGCTGCTAGGCACTGCTTCCGATGAAAGGCTTACAGGTTTGTATGATGTCGCCAAAGAGCTCTTCGAGTTGAGCTACCACAAGATTCAAAAGAAACACTACCTTGCGTTTCTCGCGGGAGGTCTCAGAGACCAGGGGGAACCAGAGACCGATATCAACATTCTTCGATGTTTCTACATGAGCCTGTTCACATGGAACACAGACCTACTGAGCTCCTTGCGCCTCTTGTGCCGAAAATTATTTTTTAAAGGTGAATCGCAATTCATTGACAAGGTCCTTCAATCTTTTGCTGAAAGTTGGTTTTACAGTGCGAGCAGTGGTAAGCCGAAAAAACTATACGGGGACTCAAATGGAGTGTACTTGACTGCCTACTCCCTAATCTTGTTAAACACCGATCTTCATACGGAGGAAATTGCAAAAATGCAAAAGATCAGCCGCTCCAAATTTGTCAAAAATACCTTCGAGGCATTACAGCAAAATCAGGTTCCGATTGAAGACATTGATGGGTTACGCCATGAGCTCAAGAAGTTCTACGACAACATTTCAGAACAGAAGCTGAGCTTATTCGAGTCTACTTATTTGCACTCCAGAACCAACTCCATTGCCTCCCATGATACAGAACTCACAACAATTCAACACAGATCATCACAAAGTGATCAGACTTCGTCCTATATTTCCGATACAGACAAATCGACTCCAGCAAGCTCAGTGAATGCCACAAAGTCATTCGGTTTTGCAAAATTGATCATGATGGAGAACAATTTGAGAATTCAGACAGATAACAACAATAAGCTTTCACTTGGTCCCAACTCGCCGCGTTTGGATGAGATATCTGAACCTCTTCAGGACCTCGAAGGACTCGAGTCTGGTCTGCCAGACAATCATAACTTTGAAAAAGAAGGCGACCTACACTCAGAGCTTGTAGGGCCACCTTGGACTAAGGAAGGTATCCAAAATGTTGTTCTGCCTGTAAAAGCTCCTCATAATTTTACTGGTATGCTTTCTTTGTCGGCACTCAAACCTGATTGGCAAAGCCTTTTCGTCGTCGTGTTCGAAGGTGAGCTAAAGCTTTTCAGATTTGATCAGTCTGGCTCAAATGCTGAAAACTTTGGTGATGGTCAATGGTGGAAGTTTGCAACTTGTGTGGACACAGTCAACCTCTGCTCTTGTTTTGCCCAAGTTGTTGACAAAAAATCCCGTGCTTATTTTTCAGTGATCAAACGGCACGGAAATGCTCGCAAAAGAACCGGACTTGAAACTTACTGGACTTTAAACATTCCTATGCCAGATATAATGACAGGTGCTGATCACCTCAACGGTTATTATAGTGCTCACTTCTGCGCTGGAACCCCGGAGACTGCCCAGGAATTTGTTGATACATGCAATTTTTGGGCAGGAAGGTCGTCTGCTATCCCTCCATCAGAGACTCTGTCGTCCTTGGATTTCGGTTGGTCAGAGAAGACTGTGTCAGTGTTGAGGGCAAACAATGTACGCGAAAGTGAAAAACATCTCTCTAGATTCAAGGTTGCGAGCTGGATTCCCATCACTAATGGTCTTGTGTCCACCCACCATGACATGTCCGAACAATTTGCTAAGGTTAACACCCATTATAGTGAACTACGCTTGGCTTTGGAAAAACACAAAGAAATGGAGAAGTTAATTCCGCAGTTGGATCTGATGACTGCCAGAAACGTCGGGGCAATCAAGATATTGTCTAAAGTTTTCCACGGGTCAGATAAGGTGGATAAGCATTTGGTGGTAAGAAATGTAAATGTGATGAGGGTCAATTACGTGAACAGACTCAATCACCTTGATAGAGAGCTTCTCAGGTTCAAATGTTATGCCGACATCCTCGAGAAAGCCATCAGACTTCGAAACAAGGGGCCTGATGACCAAATTGTATAATGCTAATGTAGAAATAGGAGCGACTTGAATTACTACGTGGATCGACGCGACTTTTCCAAATCTTTTGGTGGCGAAATAAACTGTAAAACATCAAGAAATAAATTATACCAGATATGTCTGACCCTTCGTCGATAAATGGTGAGTGCTGAATGAACAGCTTAGATAGCTAACCAATCAGGTGGTACTGCGGTGGCAATGGTGGGCAAAGATTGCGTTGCAATTGCTTGCGATCTGAGACTCGGTAACCAATCATTGGGAGTTGCCAACAACTTTGAGAAGATCTTCCAGCTGGGTCATGTCTTCCTTGGACTAACAGGGCTGGCAACAGATGTCACCACTGTGTATGAGAATTTCAGAATGAAGACCAACCTGTACAAAATGAGAGAAGAAAGAGAAATTGAACCAGAAAGTTTTGCTAACCTTGTGTCATCATCCTTATATGAGCGTCGATTTGGCCCGTGGTTCGTGGGACCCTTGGTGGCAGGAATAAACTCCAAAACTGGGAAGCCATTCATCTGTGGTTTTGATTTCATTGGATGCATAGATTACGCTAAAGATTTCGTTGTTTCGGGCACTGCAACTGACCAGCTCTACGGAATGTGCGAGTCGCTATACGAGCCAGATCTCGAACCAGAAGATTTATTCGAAACCATTTCACAAGCACTGCTGAACGCTGCCGATAGGGATGCTCTCTCTGGGTGGGGAGCTGTGGTGTACGTGATCACAAAAGACAAGGTGATCAAAAGGTATCTTAAATCGAGACAGGATTAATAAAGATGAAGTAGAATGTATAAACTATATGTGCAAATCCGCTAGTGACCAGCTTTGGTCTTCTTCTCGTATTCAATCTCGATAACTTTCTTGAGATATGCGTTCTTACCGTACTCTTCTTCCTCAAGCTTCTTCTTTTTCATTTCAAATTCTTTTGCCTTCTTGCGCTTTTCCTTTATCTTTTCTCTCTCAGCGGCAAGGCGGTTTTCGTGCAAACAGTTGGTTAAGTCTTGTTTAGCAATATTACATTTCCCGAAGGCCTTCTCCAAGAAACTCGTTCTATGACATTCTTCAAGGGCGTCTATCAGATCTTCGCATTCTTTCCAGTTAGCACCATAAACTAAAGCCCACAAAAGCACTATACGTACTGATAAAATGCTCTCTATCCAACACGGGATGCATGGTGATCTTATAATTTCTTTCTAAAAAAATGACTTAAAATTAAATTGTAATCATGTCTAATCAACAGACGGAGGAGGAAGTCTTTGAATTTTTAAATTCATTGCCTGAAAACAATGGCCAACCAAACAAGGAGTCTGAAAAGACGGATGAGGATATTTTGGATTTCCTGGATGAACTAGAGGCGAAGGAAAAAAGCAAGACGCCCAAGACGAAACAAGAACACAAGAAGCCTGAAACGAAATTGGAGGAGAAGAAAGAAACGAAATCCGACGAAATAGCCGAAAAGAAGCCCCAGACCAAGCCTACACAATACAACGAAACCACTAAACAAGAGCCAACTGAAAATGCGTCGAATGAAGAGGTTAGTGACCCAATCACTTCGTTTTCTTCGTGGTGGTCCAAAGAAGGCAGTGCCAAAGTGACGTCCCAGTTTTCCTCTCTTTGGGGCACGGCAGAGTCCGCTATCAATTACGCTAGGGAGCAGAAATTGGAGGACAACTTGAAAAAAGCCTTCCAGGATATCGGCATCACAGGGGTGTTAGAGGGTGATCGTGAATTGACTGACGACGAGAAACAGAAACTATTGAAATTGCCTGACACCAAGCAGGCGTTGAATTCCTTGAATAAGGGATTCAATTTGCTGTCGTCGCAATTGACTTCAGCGCTCGAAAAAATCCAGCTTGATATTGATGCCAACAAAGACGAGATACTCGACATCAAGTTAGTTCACGACCTCAAAAACTACAGGAACCTTCCAAAATATGTCAAAAGTAACTTTGAATCTGTCATGAGAGCACAAGTTGATGGCGACATTCAGGTGAGGATTGCGGAAAGCGGGATTTTATCGTCGTCAGCAGAGACCGCAGATCAATCCAAAAGTCTAGGCTTGTTTGCTGGTAAGTTATCCGACGGCGAAAAACTCATCCATGCAAATATCGAGAGTGTCATGAAAGCAAACGCTAGCAAGGAAGATACAGAGGCTACAGAAATCAGGAAATCCGATATATATATCGGCCTGCTAGCTATATCAGTAAGTAAGGAGGACACACCGGCAGAAGAATCTGAAATAGTGACTATTGACGAATACCAGTCATCATCGTTTTCGTTCACGTCGATTCTAGTGGATCAGACTCACGACATCACCATAATCAACAGATCACAGCCGTTTCCTTTTAAGTGGTGCAATTGGCTGGACGGAAAATACGCAGAGGGCGAAGCAAGTGAAGAAGTTGATCCTAGCGAGTGGGTGGCCGAATGGATCAACAGGGGGCTGGATATGATGTTTGGAGTGCTCGCGCAAACATACATAATCAAACGGATGGGGTATTAGAGGCCCTCTTCGTTCTTGTCGTAGTTTTTCAATATCTTGAGCAGTTCAGATTCTTCAGAGGCTATCAGCTGATGATCCCAGTCTACAACAAGGGGCGGCTGGAAGAGATGTTTTTCCACCAACTCGTCCATACTTTTGGATTCGAGTTCCTTTAATGCTGTGGAGTCAGTGGACTGTAAGTCAATCACGTGGTCATTGGCTGATCCAATCGAAGGAAAAGCCGCCTTAAACGCTTTTTTGCACTGCGGATTCATAGAAAGCGTGTCCTTGATGAATTTGAGCTGATCAAGGGTAGGAAACCGTTCGGAGACATCTATCTGGTAGTTGTAACGCAAGCCTTTTGATCCGAATAACAACTGAGTGAATTTAGATTGCGATCTGCTAGACTCGCTGATCCGAGACTTATTTGTTGAATGCTGCTGTAAGATACCCAGCAGCTTGACTGAGCTTGCAATTTTCGGTGAATGGCTACAAATTAGTCACAAGATGTGGTTACTCACAATATAGTGATGGTTCCTTGTAGATTTTGAAGACTTTTCAACATAGACATGGAAAGATATAGTATTATTTTTGTTGCTACCTATTTTTCCAAGATTACATAATTGTACTATCTTAGACTTTGTAGCCGAAGACGTCCGGTCTTCTCTGACTCCAGAGAGGCATGTTTCTCCTGATAACCTCTAGCCTGTCAAGATCAATATCGGCAACGCAGATATCTTCTACATCGTCAATGTCTGTGCACTGAGCAAGGATAGTTCCTGACGGATCGATTATACAAGTGTGGCCGTAGGATTCTCTGTTTGTCACCGTTCCGTCCTCAACCTTGTGTTTTCCCTTTTGCGCAGGCATCACAACATAGCATTGGGTAAAGATGGCCGTCGATTGAGCCAGAATCTGGAAATGAGGACCCGTTTTCATTGTCCAAGCAGAGGGATAAGTTAAAACTTGGGCTCCTTCGCTTCTCAATCTCAAGGCCAGCTCGGGAAAACGTAGATCATAGCAGATCCCCAATCCTACGTTGCCAATGGCGGTTGGAAACGGCTTCAGAACTTTGGAACCTGGTTCCACGGATTGTGACTCTTTCAAAATCGGTCCATTCTTGATGTCCACATCGAAAAGATGGATTTTCTGATATCTTTGAACAATCTCACCTGCTTCATTGATCCATATCAGGGTATTTTTGACACGGTCAGAAGTCTCAGAAGGCTCATGAATACCCACAGACACAGAAAGGGAGTTCCCCGCAGCGTGAAGCTCTTGCAGCTTTTTTTGGATGGCCAACACGAAAGGCGAATCTGAGACGGACTTCACAATCTCTTTACTTTGTTGCGCGTTCCGTGCAATGTAATCTGAGGCTTCTGGTAAGAACAAAACCTTGCATCTCAAACTTGCAGCCTTTGTAATCAAATTGATTGCAGCAGCAGCGTTGTCTTTCAAAACATTGGAAGCACACAGTTGCCCAGCGGCGACAAGGACCATTTTCTTATCTTAAGTTTCAAAGATCGTGCACAGCCGGGGTAAAAATAAATTTGACCAAGGGAAAAAAAAACTTCCTTAGGATGACTTCTTCCATTACACTTTGTATACCATCTTCATGCATTTCACGAAGCAACTGTAAAAATCTGGAGCAAGCTACGTTCACCGCCTATCAAATAGCGAGAGCGGCCTGCACTTATAACGTTGGCGAGATAGTGATCCTTGACGTGCCAGAGAACACGGAAGCTGAAGAATCGAACAAGATCAAGTTTGAGGAAAAGAATACTACAGCAAGTGACTCGTCTCGGCTTCTTGCTTCTCTTCTTCAGTTCTTCACGACGCCTTCATATCTTGTGAAAAGTGTGTTTCAAGCATCAGTGATAGAATACTTCAAAATAGCCAAGAAGTTGCCTAAAATCTCAACCCTTCCATACATGCAAAATGACGCTGCTGCTTGCTTCAGAGAAGGAATCTCGATTCCAAAAATGTCGGTGGTGAAGAAAAATGCTGAAGGCAAGGTGGTGAAAAAGAAGAAGCCTGCCACTACCAAGTACGTCAATACAGGAGAGCGCGAGATACTGGAGCTCGAGAAGGAAATACCTATCAATACTAGAGTCACTGTGAATACGAAAACGAAAAGCGTGGTATCTCCAGACGAGGCTTACGGGAAAGCAGGCGCTTTGAGGACTTTTGGGTATCACGTGCGGGTGGCCACCAGGTTTAGTAGCCTATTTACTGAGCCAGGATACACCGAGGGATATGATCGATGCATTTATGTGAGCAGCGGCGATTACTTCTCTAATGAGCAGCCTGCAACTGGACTCCCGAGCTACCAGAAAGAATCAAACAAAAGGCTTTTGCTGGTTGTGGCTAAATGGAACGACATTCAAAAAGCATTCAAATATGAAACCATTGAAGGGGTTACCGAGCCCCAACAAATGATGGACTGTACTTTAGAAATTCCACTGGGCACAAGAATCGAGGATGGAGTCCTTGTTTCGCTGGCAAAATTATAATATCCTTAATTTCCAATATTGCATTATCTATACATTAGCTACTCATTACTGGCAACCCATCTTCTGGCGTTCCTGAAGATTCTGATCCATGGTCCATAGCCACCCCAATTAGCAGCTTCAGACGCTGGATAGTATGAGTTTGCCTCTAGTCTGCAAACTCTTTCTGGATGAGGCATCATGGCCAAAACTCTGCCGTTTGGAGTCCGAACTCCAGTAATTCCATTTGGCGAACCGTTTGGATTGAACGGATACTTCTCTGTAGGAAGACCATAATTGTCAACATATCTTGCGGCAACCAAACCCTGATCGACAAATTTGCCTAGGTTGGCCTCTGCATCACCAAAATGAGCTCGTCCCTCACCGTGAGCAACGGCAATCGGGATTCTCGACCCACGCATGCCATCGAAGAATATGAGCGGATTTTCGGTATTCTCCTCTATAATCTCAATGGTGCAAACTCTGGCTTCGTACTGCTCAGACTTGTTCCTCTCGAAAGATGGCCAATACTCGGTACCTGGAATCAGTTCCTTGATCTTGGACAGGAACTGACAACCGTTACACGCTCCGAAAGCGAAAGTGTCAGTTCTTTCCTGGAAAAATTTGTAGAACTCGGCTCTGGCACGCTCGTTGTATAGGACAGAGGTAGCCCAACCGTTACCAGCTCCCAGAACATCACCGTACGAGAATCCTCCACAGGCAGCAATACCAACGAAGCTGTCCAGGGTGATTTTTCCGGAAATAATATCGGTCATGTGAACGTCAATGGAGTCGAAGCCGGCCTGTTGGAAGCACCATGCCATTTCCTGTTGACCGTTGACACCCTGTTCTCTCAAAATGGCCACTTTTGGACGGCTCGTCAAGGACGGAAGCATGAGATTGTCCGCTGGATCAAATGTCAGTTTATAAGTGAGGCCCGGATCCTGGTTGTCAAGGATTGATTGGAACTCCTGGTCGGCAGTCTGTGGGTTGTCTCTCAGTCTTTGCATGTGGTACGAAGTCAAGGACCACGTTTGTTGCAATGCACCTCTGGACTTCTTCAGGACAGTCGATCCGTTGTAGACAACCCTAATTTGCTGCTCAGCATCAAACACAGGTTTTCCAACAATAGACACGGTTGACTCTGGAACACCGGCGGAGGCAAGAATCTGCACAAAGTCTGCGTAATCTTCGCTCTTGATCTGGAAAACAGCTCCGAGCTCCTCGTTGAATAGAGTCGTGAACATGTCTCTCTTTGGGTCAGCAATATCAATTTCCAAGCCGCATCTGGCAGCAAAGGCCATTTCCAATAAGGCGACCACTAAACCGCCGTCGGACTTGTCGTGGTAGGCAAGAACGTCAAACTTCTTGTGCAGGGCCAAGAGTGCATGGATGAAGTTTTTCAGGAGACGAGCATCATGAACCGTGGGACACGAGTCGCCAACTTGGTTATACACTTGGGCCAAGGCAGATCCACCGAGCGAGGCCGTCGCCGAGGCTGCCAAGTCCACCTGCACAAGCACAGAGTTGCCGACTTTCTGCAGCACAGGTGTCCATGTGTTGGACGTGTTCTCCACACCGCCAAAGGCAGTGATGATCAACGACATAGGTGCAACCACTTCCTTCTTGTCCCAAGACATCTTCATCGACATGGAGTCTTTACCCACTGGAATCGATACGCCGAGTTCCGGACAGAGCTCCAATCCAATGGCTTGAACAGCTTCGTACAACGCAGAGCCTTCTCCAGGATGGCTTGCAGGAGCCATCCAGTTGGCCGATAGTTTGACGAGATCGAGATCCTTGATGTCTGCAGCGAGAAGGTTCAAAAGAGACTCGGCCACGCACATCTTGGCCGAAGCAGCAGCAGAGATCAGAGCCAAGGTAGGCTTTTCGCCCATGGCTAGGGCCTCACCCGTAGACACCACCTCGTCGCCAAGGGAAGTGGCCGTGACACCGACGTCAGCCACAGGAACCTGCCACGGACCAACAAACTGGTCTCTGTCGACCAAACCAGTGACCGTTCTATCACCAATGGTTATCAGGAAAGACTTGGACCCCACAGAAGGCAGTTGCAACACTCTGGTCAATGCCTCATCGAGAGAGGTGTCCGGGGCAATGGACACAGGTTCGAGCTTCGGTGTCTTAGTGACGTCTTCACGAGACATCTTTGGAGGCTTGCCAAACAGCAGACTCATGTCGAGATCGATAGGAGTGGTTCCCAGTAGCCTGTCTGTCAACACCAGTCTTTTCTCGTTGGTTGCAACACCAACAACAGAGTAAGGACATCTTTCTCTTTCGCAAATATCTTTGAACAGCTGCAAATCCTGCTGGCCAACTCCCAAGACAAATCTTTCCTGAGACTCGTTACACCAGATCTCGAGGGGCGACATTCCTGGTTCCAAGGAGAGAATTTCTCTGAGCTCGAACTTGGCACCAAGGTCATTGTCGTGAACCAGCTCAGGCAGGGCATTCGACAGTCCTCCTGCCCCCACATCGTGGATACACTGGATAGGAGAGTTGGAGCCAAAAGCGTTACAAGCGTCGATCACCTGCTGTGCTCTTCTTTGCATCTCTGGGTTGCCTCTCTGGACCGAAGCAAAGTCCAAGTCTGCAGAGCCCTCGCCAGATGCGACCGACGAAGCGGCACCTCCACCCAGACCAATGAGCATGGACTGACCTCCAAGAACGATAATGGCAGAGCCTGGAGTGATCTTGTGTTCTGACTTCAATGCCAACTCGGGTCTCACAGCCCCCATACCTCCGGCGATCATGATAGGCTTATGGAAGCCGCGAATTTCCTCTTTGTTGTCACCGTTGACAACCTTTGTGGTCAAGGTTCTGAAGTACCCGTTGATACATGGCCTTCCAAACTCGTTATTGAAAGCAGCAGACCCCAACGGCGCCTCGATCATAATGTCAAAGGACGACGCAATGTGGCCAGGTTTGCCCACGTCGAGCTCCCACGGTTGGCGAAGAGTCGGAATAATCAGGTCGGACACTGAAAATCCAGACAGTCCGCACTTCGATTTGGAACCTCTGCCGACGGCAGCTTCGTCCCTGATTTCACCACCAGAACCCGTGGCAGCACCCGGGAAAGGCGACACCGCTGTTGGATGGTTGTGGGTCTCCACCTTGATGAGAGTGTGAACAGTCTCCTTCTTGGAGCTCCACTTATTTCCGTTGGACGCATCTGGAGCGTAAAAGTAGGCCTCTGGTCCTTGGAAAATGGCCGCATTATCGCTGTAAGCACTAACAGTATATTTAGGATTCAGCTTGTGGGTGTTTCTGATCATCTGGAACAAAGACATGTCTTTTTTTTGTCCGTCGATCTGCCAGTCAGCATTGAAAATCTTGTGCCTGCAGTGCTCCGAATTGACCTGAGCAAACATGAACAACTCCACATCAGTTGGGTTTCTCCCCAGTGTCTCCTTGAAAGCGTTCATCAAATACGCAATCTCGCCCTCATCAAGAGCCAGTCCAAGCTCCTTATTAGCGGAAAGCAGATTGTCTTTAGAAGAAATCAAATCCACGTACTCCAGCGGTTTCGGCTCATGCTCCACAAACAGATCGTCGTACACCGGCACGTTCTCGTTGATGTAAAGGGACTGCGTCATTCTGTCATAGATGGAACTTAAACAGGCATACTTGTCGCTCGCAAAATACTGCAAAATTGGAAAACCCGGTCTCATTTGCAGAAGTATAGCCATACCTCTTTCAACCCTGTCAACCTTGTCGCCTAGGCCACAGACCTCAACAATATTTGTAGCCTTGGAGGACCACGAAGAAATGGTTCCCTGTCTCGGAAGAATTCTTATAAGGTACAAATCGGAGTTCTCATCTTGCGATAGCAGCGAATTGAATGCCTCTCCTTTGTCAGACACTTGAACTAGCGTACTCAGCTTCGATTCAAGAGGGTCGTTGAGATCAAGCTCATTGTCATATTTCAGCAAAGTGGCCAACTTTTCAAAAGAAGCAGGATCAAGATCCTCTTTGCAATGGATATAGTGAATTTGACACGATTTAACACTCATCACAACGGACGAGTTCACTAGCGTGTTTATATTATCCACCAAAGTGGCCACTCTAAAGCTTGACAGGGCCTGAGGTCCTGGCAAGATGACCATATTCGGATGAGCCATCGTACGTATCTGAAAAATAAATTAATTTAAATTAACAGTACTTTTTGATAATTTTTTGTTTGTTTTTTGACTCGGACGAAAAGGACGATCGGCCCAAACCGTCTCTTTTTCATTGGAGAAATTAATCGAGGTCCACCAGCCTGAAAATATAGCCATGACCGAGGATCTTAAAAGGAAGGCTGAGGATGAGGACGGACGGGAGCCCAAGAAGATCAAAACTGAGGACTCTGAGAACAACCTGGATCTCAATCCTGAGGCTGGAGCAGATGCACATGCAGACCAGGATGGCGAACATGAGACCGCAGATGATGATGATAAAAAGCGATTGGTTCCATTCGAGTTCGACGGCCACACATATACATACAAGGAAAAAGCCGGTGTCATTGAAGAACGAGAAGGAAAGATTGAATTACGGGTTGTCAATAACGACAACACGAAGGAAAACATGATGATCTTGACGGGACTGAAGAATGTGTTTCAAAAACAGCTCCCCGAGATGCCGAAAGCATATATTGCTCGGCTGGTTTACGATAGATCACACGTGTCCATCGCTGTGGTGCGAAAACCGCTTCATGTAGTGGGAGGAGTCACGTATCGTCCTTTTGAAAGTCACGAGTTTGCAGAGATTGTCTTTTGTGCCATCTCGTCCACTGAACAGGTGAGGGGTTACGGTGCCCATATGATGAACCATCTGAAAGACTATGTGACGTCAACTACAAATATCAAGTACTTTTTAACGTACGCTGATAATTATGCCATTGGTTATTTCAAAAAGCAAGGCTTTACCAAAGAAATAACGCTACCGAAAAAAGTGTGGATGGGCTACATAAAGGATTATGAAGGGGGAACGCTGATGCAATGCTCGCTTCTCCCCAGAATACGATATTTGGATAGTGCGAAAATCTTGATGTTGCAAAAAGCTGCTATACTCTCCAAAATCAGATCCATCAGCCAGTCGCATGTGGTTAGACCGGGCCTGAAACACTTTTCAAAGCCAAATGCAAAACCATTAAACCCAATCACAATACCTGGAGTCAAGGAGGCCGGATGGACGGCAGAAATGGACGAACTGGCACAAAAACCCAAACGCGGTCCACATCACGTCGTGATGCTAACACTATTCACAGAAATGCAAAATCATCCTTCGAATTGGCCGTTCCTGCAACCTGTCAACAAAGACGAGGTTCCTGACTACTACGAGGTAATCAAGGAGCCAATGGATCTCAGCACTATGGAGGTGAAGTTAGAGAATGACGCATATGAAACGTTTGACGATTTCATATACGACTGCAAACTTATTTTCAATAATTGCAGACAATACAACGGTGACAACACCACTTTCTACAAGAACGCAAATAAGTTGGAGAAAGCCATAGTGACCAAGCTCAAAGACTTCCCCGAATACTCGCAATATATCGACATGTTGCAGAGTTAGATATGTATAATAGAAGTAACTATGTTGTTATACCCAACATTAAATTTGCTCCTCTGCTTGCTCTTGCTCCTTGAGAATATCAATGATCTTGGCGACCTCTTTGTCTTCATAGATTCGGAATCCGTGATCTTTTGTCACACTTGCCAGCTGGGCGTTCGTAGAGTGTAATTTTTCCTCCATGACTTGCTTGAGAACTTTCAGAGCCAGAACTTCGGCATCTGCCAGCGTCAGCGATTTGTGATACTCATTTTGCAACTCGGCTTGAGCTCCCTCCGATCCGGATCCGATGGCCTTCGCGTCGTATCTATAGAACGTTCCTGATGGTTCCGCGTGGTATAACTGGGGGCCCTTGTCGTCATCGTAACCGGCAATGAGCAAAGCCACCCCGAATGGTCTAGACATTAATCTCTTTTCGCCAGACGCTCCTTCGCCGAAACGCAAAGCCAGATCACACACAGATTGCGTCAGCGATTCAACGCCTATTTTCTCGTGGTAATATAAGTCGTGCTGCACAGACGCGACTCGAGCATGGTCGATCATCGACCGCGCATCTGCAGTCAGGCCAGACATCGCACATCCAATGTGTCGGTCGATCTCCATGATCTTCTCAATACTATCGCTCTCGAGCAAAGATGATGTAACCCTCTTCTCGACTCCCAGGATTACTCCCTCGCTGGTACAAATTCCAATGGCAGTCGAACCAAGCTTAATGGCCTCCAAAGAGTATTCCACTTGGAATAAACGGCCTTCTGGGGAGAAAGTAGACACTCCACGGTCGTACTCACTTCTCGTCAAAAACATTATGTACTTTCTTTGGATGGCAAAATTATTTGATATTTCGAAAAGCGCACACCTGAGACCTTCAAGCTAGAAGTTTAGCTCTGGAGTCAGAATCTGTATGGCGACCAACTACTAGTTTGGGACTTACATCATAAGACATGTGCCTAGCACGTACTCTTGGCAGGATTCTCGTGGACCAATTTCTGTAAGTTACAAAAATAGCAACTGATGCTTTAATTCTCTCAGCATTGTCAAAAGGAAAGTTCAGAATTGCACGTCAGACGACTTAAAAGGCCAATTTCAGCTTTTCCGGGGCTTGTGAACAGCGCGAGTCCCAAAATTTCAAAGAAAATGCAGCTTGCTACGCGAGCTAAAATAGTTCCAACTGTAATAGGGGCGTAGCAGTTTTCCGAATATGTGCAAAGCATCCACTATAATTAGCAACCCTCGACGTGCCTTGCAGCTGTGGTGTTGGAGTATAAATACCTCCGTCTGACTTGCGTGTTCTGAAGCTTCACAACAATTGTTAGGATGAATCTCAGATACGCTTTACCAATTTCGATCTTGGCTGTTCTCGGCCAAAACGCAAACGCCGCAAGTGATATTGCTGGAGCTTCCTCCGAGGCAGTGTCAAGAGTAGGAGCAGCAAGCAGCTCTGTTTATGGAGCCGCGTCTTCTGTCGCAGCAGGAGGCTCTTCTGCCATCGGCAGAGCTTCTAGCTACTTTGGAGGATTGGGTTCTGGAGCAGCTAGCAACGCCACATCCAGCGGTGGCGCTTCAGGTGGACTGGGTGGCACTCACACGACTTCAAGGTCTGCTGGCTCAGAAGAATCATCCTCTGCCCGCAGTGGCTCTTCCTCTGCAACCAGCGGTTCCTCTTCTGGCAGCAGCACCTCCAGTGGCTCTGGAGCAGACAGACTTCAAGCTTACCCTTACTTTATCACCGGAGGTGTTCTTGGAGTTTCCGCTCTCATGGCTCTCCTCTAGACAGATTCAGATTCCAAAAGTTTTGTGTTTTCTTGACTGGCTGCTTGGATCTGTCAGATTCTAGCCCAGTGTGCTTTTTGTGTGGATATTATATAATTGGAAAAAGGGATCGATAAATCATAATTTGCAATACATAGGTTTCTTCGTTGGATCTCAGTTCTCGATGTCTTCTTTGATCACTTCAGTTTTTTCTAGACTGCCGGGCATTGACTACGTCAACGGCTTTTTTCAAGACCTCTTGTTGTCGGTGCTTAAAACAGGTGAGTAAGGGAAAATCTCCCACTAATATTTAGGACCGGTCCCCAACCATCTGTCTTTTGTTATGGATGGCAACAGACGGTATGCCAAAAATGCTGGTCTCCCACTTAAAGAAGGACACAGAGCAGGTGCCGAATCGCTGGCCAAAGTGCTCAATTGTTGCTTCAAGTTGGGGGTCAAGGATGTCACGGTTTACGCTTTTTCAATCGAGAATTTCAACAGACCCCAGAACGAGATAGATACCATATTCTCCCTTTTGAAAAGCAGACTTGCATACATAGCTAATGAGGACACCGATTTCAGGGACTACGATGTCGCCATCAAAATAGTGGGAAATCGAAGTCTCGTGCCCTCTGATGTTTTGACAGATCTGGAAAAGATCGAGGAATCAACTGTTTCGCATGGTAGCCACAATCTGTTTATTGCGTTTCCCTACACCTCCAGAGATGACATCGTCCATTCGATGTCGGAAATTGTTCAGAAAGTGAAGCGCGACGAACTGAGCGTGGATAGCATTGATGCACACACAGTGGAAGAGAACTTTTACTATCGTGGAGAAGCAGAGAAAGTGGACATTCTAGTCAGAACATCAGGCCACACTCGCCTCAGTGACTACATGCTATGGCAGTGCCATCAGGATAGCGTGATTGAGTTCTCCAACACGCTGTGGCCCAACTTTAGGTTTTATCACACTTGGTGGACAATTTTCAAATGGAGCTACTACAAAACGCTGATTCTCGAGGATGCAGAAACGATGCAATTGAAGAGGATCAGCGACGAAGAGATCAATAAGAGATACAAGGAGCCGATCAAGAGTCTTTCTCATCCTCCGTTCGCCTCTGTCACAAGGGTGGCTTAGCCACATCTCGCTTTGCTTTGGCCGACTTAAATTGGAAAACGGTCCCTTCGACTTTGCTTACCTAATAATTTAAGCGATTTTCTCATAAACGCGTGTGAAAAAGATATTTGCAGTACGCGTCCCAAAATAGGAAAAAACACGGTACGACCAAGAACGGTTGTCTGAAATTTAGTAGACAGGTCCTTTGAGATCTGTGCTTATGTCATTTTCAGGTTCGTCTTGTGTTCAAGGGATTTAGAGATTGTTTATAATTTAGCAACTTACTGTATTGCTCACTATGAGTAACAGCCAGGTACAAACCTATACTCAAAGCGTTATTCTCAAGGTTTTGTACACATTCGACAACACAACGCAGTTCTTGGTGAGATCAAAACGGCCTCTTTCATCCAAAATCATCCAACTTCCGCAACAGCCTCCGCACAATGGCGCCGTGATAGGATGTATCGACATACGCAAATGTTTAGAGCTCATTCACAACATGTCTCCTGAGTGCTTCCGAGAAGGTCTGGACTACTCGATCTATTCCAAAGACGTGGTCGAGATAGACGAGCCGTTTGTGGGCTTCGGGCTTTATTCCAAGCTCATGGAGAGACGGACGCCCGTGATCATCACCGGACGCGTATGCAAAAATTTTGTCAACATCATCAATGGCTCTGGCGTGGGTGCTGATACCTTGGAGGTGAAATTACGCTTCAATGTAGTTAACAGACATCCAACTTCTTTCCAATACTCCAAATCTGAAACGTCGAACGCTACTCATGCAGACAGCAGCAGTCCCATGTTCTTGCCTAGCGAGTCGTCAGACTCTAATAGCGAGACTCGAAAGAGGCCCTTCAATTCTCTCGCCAACGCTCCGCAACTGGCCACTAGAACACAGTCGCTCCCGTTCATTAGCCAGAACAGTCTTGCACACCGCATCATGATGTCCGATCAGAACAATACACCGCTCGAGTCACGCGAAGACGCCATTGCATCCAGATTCTCGAATTTCGAGAAACTCATGAAAGCCACCGATCCGCCGACCAAGGCCAAGAAAAACAAAAGTTTCATCAGCAGCGTGGTGAAGATAGGCGACGTGAGCACGGGCAACCACTCCAAGTTCTCGAAGCCTGTCACAGTTCAGCGCTGTGTCAATTGCACGTCCACTTCTAATCCGCCATACAGGTTTCACAAAGACGGTATATTTGAGTTTGGCAACTCAGGTTTGCTTTGTAACATCTGTTCGACCTTGCACGCAAAAAACGACACAAAGATGCTTCGTGAGCGTGGCGATCTGGGAGTGAAAGGGCTTGTTGACAGCCCTTATGCAAAGATGTCGCCAGTAGCAGATACTCTTGCAACCGCAGCACGCAAACGACAGAAGCTGAACAAAACCAGAGCCAGCGACGAGAATAGCTCTTCTCCTCTGGCTACGAGCGCGAGAAAATACCCGAAGCTGGAGCCCGACAGGTCATCGCCCGCTCAGAACCCTCTCACAGACCTCGACCCGCTCTACGATTCCAAAAAGGAGTCGCCGGAATCCAGCGATAACGATTCGCCTATTAATGCCACCAAGCTGAACACAACTTTGATTCCTCTCGACGATGACGATAAGGAAAACAACCCACCCGCAGATGAGACACACGGAGACCAACCGCAGTCTCTCATGGTCCACGACATCTCTCCTAGTCTGCACCGCCTCATAGAATCTTTTTCCAATGTGGAGCAACCAGGGTCTCCGACCAAAACGTCGCCCAACGACCAATGGATCAATAACCTGTTCACGCACGACGAGGAAGAGGAGCCGGTCGATGGTCAGTTTGAGGACGATCCAGAGGTCTACAACATTTTGAAGGGCGGATCCAAAACGAGCTCTCCTCTGAACTTCAAATTTGACAAGACGCCAAAGGATAAATTTGAAACGACTCCAAAGGACGCGTACACCGTCCAGACACAATGCATCGACAGCGGGGACCACCTCACTGGTCTACTGACACAAATTTTGGCCAACGAGCCGCACGAAACTGATAAAGCAAAAGTGACAGTTGCACAGCCCGACGAGCGAAGACAGGGTATCATGATGCCTAGCTCACCATTCTTTTCACTGCATCAAGATGATGGCAAATCAGGTGATGGAGACAGTTCACGCACGGAAAAGATAAGCTCCGTTTGGAATAGCGGGTCGTCCCCGACCACCTCTGTCACGTCTACCGAGAAGTAGTCATTCTCTAACAGCTAAATATTTTTATAGAAATACGGTTCATGTTGCAATACAGGACCACTGGATATAATGGCTATGCGTGCAAATATTCGCCCTTCTACGACAACAAGCTTGCAGTAGCCACTGCGGCCAACTACGGGCTTGTGGGGAACGGGAAACTCGTTATCTTGTCTATTCAAGACAATGGCATGGTGGTGCAAGATACAGAGTTTGAGACCCAAGACGGCTTGTTCGACGTGGCGTGGTCTGAAATCCACGAGAACCAGGTTTTGACGTGCGCTGGCGACGGCTCCATCTCTTTGTTCGACATCGCCCTGCAGAAATTCCCCATTCAAAGATACCAAGAACACACCAGAGAGGTGTTTTCCGTCTATTGGAACATGGTGGACAAGGGAATTTTTTGCTCCTCGTCATGGGACGGTACAATCAAAGTCTGGTCGCCTAACAGACAGCAATCCATGCTCACACTCGTCTCGTCCACAGATCCTGCGTCCGCAGTGGACGGACCGTTCGTCCCAATGTCCACGAAGCAAACTGGAAAGCATCCCACAGACTGCATGTACCAGGCTACGTTCTCTCCTCACAGCCCGTCACAGCTGGTTTCTGTGAGCTCATCTTCACATTGTCAGGTCTGGGATATCAGGGCGCCGCAGCCTCTGCAGATAGATTTCATAGCACATAACGGCATGGAAGTGCTATCTTGCGATTACAACAAGTACAGACCAACAGTCATTGCAACAGCCTCTGTGGACAAATCTATAAAAGTTTGGGATCTCCGCATGATCCCAAATGTCCAGCATCATGTTCTCGGGACAGCAAACAAGATTGGACCGTCGCCTGTCAATAGATTCATAGGACACGATTTTGCTGTTCGCAAGATCAGCTGGTCACCGCACCACTCGGACACTCTGCTCAGCTGTTCATACGACATGACGTGCCGTGTTTGGAAAGATCAGACTGACAGTAGTGCGCGGTTTATGAACAACAGATTATGGCACGGCCGATCTTTACTCAAGACGTTCGATAAGCATAAGGAGTTCGCCATTGGCTGCGACTGGTCCTTATGGGGATCGGGATTCGCTGCTAGCGTAGGATGGGATGAAATGTGCTACATTTGGAAAGCTGTATAATCGCGATCATTAACTCGTAGCAATATTTATTAGGACAGTTGGACTTCTTCCTCGTCACCGAAACTGAACCGTTCAACCTCGTTGAGAAGCTTCGTCACCCATAGGTCTCGTTCAATTCGCGACCTTGCTAGAAATACCATGCTATGGCCGGTCACTCCTAGACGAGATACAGTTTTTAGCATTTTTCCCCTTTCATGCAAACTGATTTTATCAGCAGTGGAGTCTATCTCCTCATCTTCGTCAGAAGAGGAATCAAGGTGGGGATCTTTGAGAATTACACTTTTCGAGTTAATGTTTCTCATCATGACTCTTTTAGATCCAAACCAGATCGTGAATCGGCGACAGTGTTCGTCCTCGCTGCTTTTCCATCCATCGGAGTAGATTCGTGGAACCTGGTGACTTCCGGGAGAAACTTTGCTCAACGTGGAATCGCGAATCGAAACATCCAGGTCATTCGTGGAATTGCAAAAAACGTAGCAGTTTCCTAAGCTGATCGTTGTGTAATGCTTGTAGTATGCAGTCGGCTTTATAGTTCCAGACTTGAAACTTCTATTGAACATATCGTAAAGCACAAGAAATCCTGGACATAGTAGGACATAAAACATTTTGAAGCTTTTGTGCTTCTTCCTCTTTTGGTAGAGCACTCCACTCATCATCAAAGGCTTGTCTATTGACCAGGATGATATGTTATAGAGATAAGGATCCGTGTGCGCCTTTGAAAGCTCCCATTTGTTTGGATTGTCATCAACAGTCAAGATAGATTCGTATTTGTCGTCTGGGAGATTGGAAGCTGTAATATTTTTCTCCCGTAGATTGATGATGCGTTCCAGATCTTCTTGCTTCTTCTTGATCCAGTATTCACGAAGCTGAAGAAGGTTGAAAACCCACTGGTCTCTAACTTCTCTATTACAAGCCTGAAGCCGGAGTCGAGAGCCAGACTTCATTATCAGCTCAAAAACAGAATCCACATAGCTTTCGTCATCCAACCGACTTTGTTGATAGCCCCATGCAATTGATCCAGCCAACCTAATAACGTGAGGAACCTCAGACGTAGGGATACATCGGATTTCGGAAACATTGCATAGGTCAATGATTCCTTTGCAATTCACAATAATGGACGCTCGTCTTTCAGCTTCATATAAGGCATCCATGTCTCGTCTTTCAAATTCCTCTTTTGAAATACCAGGCTTCAACCACGATATATGAGATGGATTAGAGGAAGCCAAAGGAAATGGACTTTTTTCAAAATATAGCTCTCTAGCATGCACCTTTTCTGTCAATGACTTCTCATTTAAAACTTTCCCCAGAGGACTCATTATATCAGTCATAGAATCTTCAAAAGGAGGAACTGCAGTGTAAAAGTCTTGAAACATGAGAATATTGTCAAAACTGCTGAAATAATGCAGCTTGTAATAATTTCGACCAAAAGAAGACTTGAGTTTTCCGCTCCTGTTGGACAAGCAAACCAAGAATCCTTCCACGGGCCTCGGCTCTACCATGGGTTCATTCATCAGCATTAGTGGCTCGTGCTTTAGCTCTCTCAATTCAATGTCATGAGTATTATTGAGAGTAAGCCATGTAGCTTGAAGTAATTTTTCAGACTCACCCAGGATCCATTCCAAACGATCGTATTTTTTGGCCGCGAAAGCCAAAAGATGTTTCGTGTATGGCAAGCTATTTATGAAAGTGTTTCCTTTTGGGGGAAGACATCCTTTCTCATTCAAGATCAACAACTGAGTAGCTATTATATCCACAAGTTTGTTGAAAGCATTCGAGCGCGGAACACTATATCCTCTCTCTAGCATTTTAATCTTAGAATCATTTTCCTTGATAAAGAAATCCTCAGGGCGCAAATAATTGGATAGGTTTTTAATTGTAAGCGACAGATCAATATCCGGAATATTCAATGAAAGAGTCTTCTGCTCTTCTCTTGATCGACTTTTCAGTACTGTGTTGAAAAGACTAAGCCATCGAATGGCCGATGACTGAGTTTGCGGAAGAAGGATGTACTCAAAATCCCTATGCTTTCTCATCATCTTGGAGATCGATATAGTTTTATCCAGGACGTTTCGAAATCTGATTCTCGTATCAGAGATGGACAATAGGACGTCAAATTCCAAATGTGAGGGGGAGGATTTAGGTGGTTTATTTTGATAGACATCCTCAAACATCGACTCATCATCATCAAATTGAGAAACCCCTTCAACGTCCACAAAACGGATGTTTCGCTTTTTGAAGAATTGGAGCACAATAGGATACTCATGGTTACCTGTAGAGCGCGCCACAACAATATACTCCTTCCATTTCTCGACTAGCCTTGAGGAAGCTTCAGCCTTGTATTTTGTCTCCTTCATGATAACTGTGACAAGCATCTTCTCCATTTTAACAATATTGCCGGCTGAGAATTCTTGAAACATTCTTTTCAGCTTTCGCCGTTGTTCAATCTTGGAGTATTCACTGTTGATTCTATGGCGAGCTCCGACGGTTTTATGCTGGAGTTTGTCAAATATGGTAATCATTTCCTCATTCAATTGCTCATAGAGGTCTCTAAAGTGGGAGTGGCTTTGTTGCTGATCACCAATATCTGAAACTCCAACATGTTCTTCAGGATTCAGCAGCTCTACCTCCATGGTCTTCTTTTTGGACGAGCGGTTTTTTTTGGTAGATGTCGAAAAAGTCACGGACTTCACCATTGTTGGGGCCGCAGGCTTTTCTGTACCGACTTGCCTCTGAGACGCCATTAGTGTATCAGAAGATCCAAGCGTAGTTTCATTGGAATCACCCTGTGATCCGGAATTTTGAAGTTGTCTAGTCTGGGATGTTGGTTCAATAAACTCATTTGCGGTAACAAAAGAGGCATTGGAGGAGACACCATCTGTAATTCGAACCTCTTTTCCCATGATACGCGCTTTGGCAATGTCATGATATAAATGCTTGTGTGAATATAGATCACTTGTGGCATTCTTTTCCCCACCATTCTCCAAATTAGAACGTGAAGAGAGTTTCTGATTGAATACTAAGAAGTCATCATTGGACCACCCAAGGGTCCTTGTAGGATCTTTGCGATTATTAGATTTCCGGGTACGAGATCTTCCTAGGAAAGAATCAGAGTTACCTTCATCATAGCGACGCGTGCTACAATGGTTTTTATTCCTCTGTTCTTGCTCTCTGGTCGAGCCTGTCGAGCTTCCCTCTGGACGACCGTTGATCGTTATTGAGTGTAAACTCAACGACCCAAGATCGGTTCCTGACTGCGTTTCTTCGGAGAAGTCACTAGATATACCAGAGGAAGACACGCCCATATCCGGTCGACTAGGTCTAAATCCAAAGTTACGAGCAACGTTGTCGAACATTTCAGTGGATTTTGACAGAGAGCCGTCACTCCTCTTGCCTATCTTATGCAGAGTCGATAGCAGGGCAGATTGTTTATAAAGCAACCATGATCTAGGAATTGATCCAAGCGAAATTATGGTTGTCGTTCTATTCAGTCCGTTCGCGGTACCATATCGGAGTTTGAACGCCGTGAAAGAGTAACATGGAATGTCTATTGAAGAGTCTCCTTTCCTTTGAGTATATCCATTCATATGCAACTTGGCTATAATTCGAATTCCATGAAATTTGGAAACGACGCCAAATCACCTAAACACTATTAATACCCCTTAGTTGAAACAAGGGCTCTCTAAAAAATCTCGAAAGCGACTAACGACGCGTCGAAAAATAGGACGCCCCATGATGCACGCTCTATGTATCAACCCATGCTAACTTGTACGTCGGAAGAGATGGAAACAGTTCTCGTTAGCTAAGTGACCTATGAAACATCAAAACTGGCCCCGAGGAGCACTCGAAACGCAAAAAAAGGAACGCGTTTGCTCGGCTACTTGAAAAAAACGTTGGAAGTAAAAGATGGTTAAAATTTTGCCAATGTTCTGCTCAACTTGAGGCATCATAGTTGCTAGTACATGCCATTGGATTCACCTGGATACGTAGATTGTCTGCCAAAGCTTTATTTTATTCATTACAAATACGAGCTAACTTTCTTTTTTCGCTCGGCCCGGATAAAGTAGATGCGGATCCCCAAGGAGTTCTGAATTTTTTTTTTTTGTAAGGGCCATTTTGCTTTTAGGAAATCCTTGTTCAAAAGCTCGAATTTTGGTCATTGTTCGGAGAAGAAGCTCTGTCACTTATCCAACCACTATAAAGATTGGAATTGAACAACTTTTGAATAACTGTCAGACTCCAAGGTATCCGACAAAGTCAAGCTTCGATAAGGACAGATCAACGTGATCCCGGAATTTGTCTTGATAAACAAGCCATGTCACAGGACCCAGATAATAGCGTGGGAAGCCCTTTTGAGGACAGCTATGAGTTTACGGCTGATGATTCAGACTTCAGGTTTGTCCCGGGAAGCTCTGTCACAAATACACCACGCTCCACGGCCCCTCCTAGTGGGAGGTCGGCCTCCAAAAGATCGCAACGCTCACAGTTCCAGGACACACTATTTGATACCGCAGATGAGTATGAAGATGATGTGTTTGGGATGACAAAGTCCGGTTCAAGAAAGTTCTCCACTGTCAATTTGCAGGATGCGCATGTTAGATTCGAGGGTGAGGGAAGCGAAGACGACGAAGAAGAAGAAGATTATTTGGGCGATTTGCCACGGTCAAATAGCACGGCCATCAAGCGACACAGATGGGGCACTCAGAGACGCAAGGACGGGAAACCCTTGTCCAGGAACAAAACGTTCAAACGGAATCTCTCGAAGAAAATGCCGGGCCGGAGAATGTTCAGCGGTGGAGATTCTGCCGATAGGGACGACGATAATGACGATGGAAGTCAAGATCGATCGTCAGAAAAGAGAAATATTTATTGGAACCTTGCTTTGCCGGACAGCGAAAAAGACAGTGATGGCAATCCTCCAGAATATACAAGGAACAAAATTCGGACCACCAAGTATACACCGCTTTCATTCATTCCTAAAAATCTGTACTACCAATTTGAGAACGTCGCCAATATCTACTTCTTGATCATGATTATCATGGGAGCTTTTGAGATTTTCGGAGTTCCCAGTCCTGCTTTGTCAGCCGTTCCACTGATCGTTATTGTGGCTATCACAGCATTCAAGGATGCGCTTGAAGATTCCAGACGTACTGGCTTGGATCTAGAAGTCAACAACCAGGTCACTCACATTTTGAAGGGCATGGAAAATCCTAACTTCAATGGGGAGCATATCAGCTTGTGGAGGAGAATAAAGAAATTTTCCTCTCATCGAATGCTGGATTTGATTCACAAAGTAAAAGGCAAGAAAAGGATAGACCCTCTTAGGGAGGACCCAGCCCAAATTAGAAAATCAATAGATAGCTTTGATTACAGAAAAAGTTTTCAGGGCGACCATGCTGCGAGCTCAGCATCGCTGACAAGTGACGCAGCAGCAGATCCATTCTCCGATAAGAATGAGGAGATCGGAGGGGACATGTATGCGACCAGAATTGAGCCATTTACAGCCCCTCCCTCATCCACTAGTCACAAGAATTTGAATCCAACTTTCAAAAAAGACTATTGGAAAAATGTTCACGTTGGTGATATTGTGAAGATCAAAGCTAATGAGTCAATTCCAGTTGATCTCCTAATTTTGTCGACTTCTGATGCCGATGGAGCTTGTTATACCGAGACAAAGAACTTGGACGGTGAAACTAATCTGAAAGTCAAACAGGCTCTCAAGTGTTCATCAGCATCAATAAAATCCGTTAATGATTTAGCCAGATGCAAATTTTGGCTGGAGAGCGAGGGACCGAAAGCCAATTTGTACAATTACCAAGGAAACCTCAGATACTACGTTGCTGGAGACGATACTGGCAAAATGTCTAATGAGCCTGTTACAATTAACAACATGCTCCTTCGTGGCTGTACGCTGAGAAATACCAAATGGGTTGTTGGAATGGTTGTCTTCACTGGTGACGATACGAAAATCATGATGAATGCTGGTGTGACACCTTCCAAAAGATCAAGAATATCTCGCGAATTGAATGGTTGCGTCATCTTCAATTTTGTTTTGCTCTTCCTCTTATGTTTCGTCAGTGGTTTGGTCAATGGAATTTATTACCACAAACCCAATACCATCAGGAACTATTTCGAGTATGGAACAATTGCGGGTTCACCAGCTGCAAATGGTGTGCTTGGGTTTTTCGTTGCTCTCATTCTGTACCAATCGTTGGTTCCTATCTCTCTTTACATTTCCATTGAGATCATCAAAACAGCACAGGCATTTTTCATTTATTCAGATGTTCACATGTATTATAATAGGTTGGATTATCCATGTACCCCAAAGTCCTGGAACATTTCGGATGATCTTGGTCAGATTGAGTACATTTTCAGTGACAAAACTGGAACATTAACGCAAAATGTGATGGAATTCAAAAAATGTACAATAAACGGTGTCACGTATGGACGGGCATATACCGAAGCCTATGCAGGTATTAGAAGACGTCAAGGAATTGACGTTGAAGAAGAGGCAGCGAGGGAGAAGGAAGAGATTGCCAAGGATAAAGTCGAAATGATTAATATGCTGAGAGTCATCAATCAGGGAAAATTATCACCAGATGTCCAAGATGAACTGACTTTCGTTTCGAAGCCATTCGCGGAAGACTTGAAAGGTAATTCTGGAATCGCACAAAAGCAAGCCCTAGAACATTTCATGCTTGCGCTAGCTCTATGTCACAGTGTTCTAACTGAGCCATCAGAAAAATACCCAGGAAAGATGGAGCTTAAAGCACAAAGTCCTGACGAAGCCGCACTCGTGGCTACAGCAAAAGATGTTGGATTCGAGTTTGTGAGAAGAACTAAAAAGGGATTAGTTTTGAACGTTCAAGGTGTTGAGAAGGAGTATCAGATTCTGAACATTTTAGAGTTTAATTCGACCAGAAAAAGAATGAGTGTTATGATAAAGATCCCTCCAACTGACAAAAACAAAGAGCCAACTGTTCTTTTGATATGTAAAGGTGCCGATTCCATAATTTACTCTAGGTTGGGTGAATCCAACGATCAGGAACTGCTAGACAAAACCGCGATCCACCTAGAGGAATTTGCAACAGAGGGATTGAGAACCCTGTGCATTGCTCAGAGAGAGCTAACGTGGTCTGAATATGAAGAATGGCAGGCCAGACACAATATTGCATCTTCTGCTTTGGATCAAAGGGAAGAAAAAATGGAAGAGGTGGCTTCTTCGATTGAGCAGGGTTTGACTCTTCTCGGAGGGACTGCTATTGAGGATCGTCTTCAAGATGGCGTTCCCGATTCAATTCAACTTTTAGCGAAGGCAGGCATCAAACTTTGGGTTCTGACTGGTGACAAGGTTGAAACCGCTATCAACATTGGCTTTTCATGTAATATGTTGGAAAATGGTATGGACTTGCTTGTCATCAAGGTATCAGGAGAAGACATTGAATCGTTATTCACCGAAGGTGAGATGAAGTCTCTGGCTGGGAACAAGGCGGAACTGGTGTTGGCTCTCATTGAGAAGTATTTGAACACACATTTTGACATGGAGGGTTCATTGGATGAGCTTCAACATGCTAAAAAAAATCATTCTCTACCCTCTGGAAACTTTGGCTTGGTCATTGATGGTGAAGCCTTGAAGCTAGCACTAAACGAAAAAACAAAGTACAAGTTCCTACTCTTGTGCAAGCAGTGCAAGGCTGTCCTTTGTTGTCGTGTTTCTCCCGCACAGAAGGCCGCGGTGGTCAAGCTGGTTAAAGAAAGTTTGGACGTCATGACTTTGGCTATTGGTGACGGATCCAACGATGTGGCTATGATTCAGGCCGCTGATGTCGGTGTTGGTATTGCCGGTGAGGAAGGAACGCAAGCTGTTATGTCGGCAGATTATGCTCTTGGTCAGTTCAGATATCTGGCGAGACTGGTTTTGGTCCATGGAAGATGGTCTTATAAACGGCTTGCGGAAATGATTCCAAGCTTCTTCTACAAAAACGTGGTGTTCACGCTGGCTCTGTTTTGGTATGGAATCTATGACGATTTTGACGGAACATACCTATTCGAGTACACGTACCTGATGTTCTACAATTTGGCATATACCTCGCTGCCAGTCATTTTCATGGGTATTTTTGACCAAGATGTTCCGGGTCATATCTCCTTGTTGGTGCCGCAGCTCTACCAAACTGGCATTTTGAGAAAAGAATGGACAATGGAGAAATTTTGGTGGTACATGACAGATGGATTTTACCAATCTTTGATATCATATTTCTACCCTTACTTCCTCTACTACAAGAATAGTGTTGTCACTTTCAACGGATTGAGTTTGGATCACAGATACCTGGTTGGTGCCCTGGTCGCCACCATTGCCACTACTTCTTGCGACTTGTATGTTCTGTTCCATATTCACAGATGGGATTGGCTTACGGTTCTTATTATCTCTCTGTCGATCCTTGTGGTGTTTGGATGGACCGGTATTTGGTCGTCATCTACCTATTCGGGAGAGTTTTACAAGTCCGCTGCTCGCATGTATGGCACGCCATCGTTTTGGGCATGTTATTTCCCAGGCGTGTTGACTTGCATTTTACCAAGATTCACGTATGACTTCATTTGCAAACTGTGGTATCCGAAGGATATTGACATTATTAGGGAAGCCGTTGCCAAAGGGGACTTTGACCAGTACCACGAGGATTACGATCCGACGGATCCAGATAGAGTGCAAATCTCAAATTACACCAAAGAACAGTTGGCGGAAACACCTATTCATCTACCTGACACGCCTGTCACCCCATTCAGAGATTCGATCAATGGAACTGGAGGAAAACGTGCGTCAGTCTTCCAGCGACTGTTCAAAAAGGACAGGGACTCGACCGCGTCTCCAATCCCGATTTCTGAGTCTGTAGATACTCTGGCTACAGAAGAAATTGAAATGGAATTCACAGATAATTTGCAGAGACCTTCTTTGACTGTGAAAAGAGACCCTCGAATCATGACGGATGCTGACCGAATGGCTCGTCTAAGAAGCCGAATCAGCCGGAACTCTCTCGACACGAATAGACAGAGGTCCCTAGATTTGACAAGACAGCAAATGGAGGAAATGGAAGGCCGCGAATCCTCGCCCCAGCGTTTGCGTTCCAGCCTAGAAATTCCTGGCGTGACGACGGCTGAGAATTTGATAGGGCGTCTGTCAAGAGAACATGAAAGAGAATGATTCATTCTATGTACAATTATAAAGCTTTTGGAAATACTCGTTCAACGAGGTTTGAAACGAACCCTTTATCGTAAACATTTTGTAGGTCCTTCCAGGAGCGGACCAATTTGGGTTCGTGGGCATTTACTGGAGTGCCACCCAAAGTGGTATATCCTGTCTCATGGGCGATGATGTATTTGCAACCATTCTCAGTGTCAACTCTGTACAATAAGCGGCTCTCAAATAGATACCGAATATAGTCCCATTTGGCAGTCTCGTTCGTGGTGACTCCCAGGTAGATGTACCGCAGATGTTCTGCTAAGAAAACTGCTACCAATGGCAGCAACAAAATGCACAATAGAAATAGAGCTCCAGATATCTTATTTACGGAGTTCGTTTTCGTCACTGTATGCCAGAACATGCGTGGAGTGGTAGCTAATGCTATCCAGCACAAATATGCTCCATACGTAAACGTCCAGACCTTGGATGCCAGGAACGTCAAAAAGTAGCGATAGGTGTAGTACCCAACGTCATTGTTCAGCCAAACACAGTGATGATCAAATAGCTGGACACAGCGGTCGCACGTGGAGCAGTGTTTGCTTCTTGCTGGTTTTAGAGTTTTGCACGTCCGACAAGTCGAAGGAGTGTATATTATTTCGTCGAATGGGTAAATGCAAGCTGGTTTCGACCCCGGATCGAGTAGCACAGCCATGGAAAACGTGTAGTAATTGAGTAGGACAGAGGGGATAACGATACTGAGGTGATTCTTTGGTAATAGCGGCAGTGTGTTCTTTGCAAAAAGCCACAATGCTGAGGAGTATACTACAATGTAGAAGGCCGGTATAGCCCATCCTGCGAAACGAGCCATAAAACGTAACTTCCCATTGAAATGGTGCGAGTCAAGGTATTTCAGCGTTGAGACACTTCCATCCAATAGACGGCTTAACTTTGAGTGTAATAGGGAGATAAATGTGTTGCGAAACACTGGAAGATCGCCAAGCAGTAAAATGCACACAACAGCTGCCAACGATAGAAGCAGAGGTACGAGCATGGTTTCGATAATTATTACCCGGCTCCTCTATATTTATTCAAAATATGTTCTCTCTGTTCCAGCGGGCCCAGACCGTGTCGAACTATGTTCTGACGCTTGTGATGACGATGGCTGCAGTCATCTCTGTGTCATGGTTGATTCAGCTACACTTCAGCGAGCACGGCTCAATCCCGGCGCACATTTCAGTCAACAAGGCTGTTAACACGATGAAATATTCGAGGAACTTTGGAGGCCGTCCAAACTCTGGGAAAGAAAACGTCAGACTGGCTTTTGACGTCACGACAGATTTGTCGTCTTTATTCAATTGGAACACCAAGCAGGTGTTTGTGTATTTAGTTGGGGAGTATCCTGGAAAAAAAGACGAGGTGTCCAAAGTTGTGTTTTGGGACAAAATCATACCGACTAAAGAAGACAGCATCTTGGAACTAACCGATGTGCGCTCAAAGTATTCTGTGTGGGACTACTATCCCAATCTGCACAATAAGACTGCCACGCTCAAGCTAGAGTATAACATTCAACCGCATGTTGGACCCTTGATTTGGGGCACGGCAGATGCATTTACACAGCTACAATTTCCCGAAATATTATGAATGCAAATGATTTATATACAGACTATGTTTGCTGCTGGTGGGTCTTGACCATCTTGTTGTACATGCGTTTTTTGTCATACTTCGTCCGAACGTCGATCACAATGTTTTTGGCCTCTTCAAGCAGCCCGGCTTTGGCTTGTTGCAATTGGTCGAGCTTTTCCTTGTAAGCCTTGATGTATTCCTGTAGATCCTGCAACTCCTGCCCCTTCGCCTCGCGTGCGGAGTCCGAGATTTTCTGTAGTAGCATCTTGAGCAGCCTCGAGTACTCATCAATCTCATTTATTCGAGAGCGAATATACCTGTGGCGCTTTGTGCGAATCTCCTTAGAGGCTTCAATGCGCGTGTGTTTGTCGGCAATACTGGTCTGCAACATCGCTTTGAGCCTAAGTTTGTTGAAGTTCTCTTGTATATGTGACCTGTGGCGCAAAATAATATCTCTCTTGGCCAAAACCGGGGACCGCAACACTTCCAGAGCTTCCGATCGCGGCATGGCTTTGAGATGCTTAGTGAGATTCATTAGTATCAGATGGAAATGCAGGGGACTCGAGCGGATCGGAGCAGGCGGCAGCGTCGCTGAACTTTTGAACTGCAACCGCAAGAAACGCTGTCGGCCACGTCTCATGAGATCAGTCAATAAATAGCGCTCAATGAACTTGACGGTCTCATGAACCAGAGTCGGATCCATACTTAGCTTCAGTGCTGCCTCGTTAATGTTCAAGCTGCTCAGCACGAAACCGTCCGCCAACATCTGCTCGACGGCTTGAGGAATTGTTTTCAGCTGGCCTTGGTGAACCAATTGCTTCAAACGGTAAGGCCAGACATCAATGATCGCTTCCTTCAGATATCGCGAAATCGCTTCAGGCTTCAGCGATCTATCTCGCAGCCTGATTTCATCTAGAGTTTGCAAGGTGGATCCTGTATGCAAACGGAAATTAAGATCGTCCATTTTATCGTACACCTGCGTATTCTTCAGACGAGCGTGCACGATTTTCTGTCTCACAATGGAATAATATCTGTTGAAGCAACTGTCAAACTCCTGCCAACGGTTTTCCTTGCCAAGAATCATCAACTCTAAGGCCAAGATATGAACGTTGTCCAAAAAGTAAGAACTGGACGTTTCGATGTACGTTTCGAATAAAGAACGAGCCTTCCGTGTCTGGTTCTCATTTAGCAAACACTTTATAGCTGTTTTGAAGGCCGCGGGACTCAAATCCTTTTCTGCAAATCCCAGAGAGTCCTTAGATTTGTTGTTCAACAGTTCTTCCATGAGTGAAGCATTGAAATTGCTCACCAAGTCCGTTCCAGCTTGAAGAACTAGAGAATACGTCTTGGAGCTAATTTCGACTCCCCTGGAAAGCGCAACTCCAATGAGACCAAAAGCGTTCTGCAAGTTTCCCATTCGCATGTATTGGAAGAAAACCTGGTTGAGCAACTTTGAAGGGAACTTTCCGTAATGCTCCCTCAAACCATCCATAAACTTGACTAGGCTGTTGAACTTGCGACGACGACAGTATGCAATCAAAAATGGCTCATACGACTCGACCTTCAACTCATCCTTGTATTTGCCAGAAAAATCGGCCCACAGAGCGTCGAAAGTGCGCAAGTTGCCTAATCTTGATGCTGCTAGTAAAGCCACCTCGTGACTGCCATAGCAGTCTAACTTATCAGCCTGCAGTTTTCTGAATATGTCAATCACAGTGTCGTATCTTTGTGAGTTGAAATGGGCTTTCAATATCCATGTAAAATCAGGCGCCTCTGGCGTGAGTCCAAACTTGGGGTAGTACACGCTCAACAGCGTCTCGATGCTCTTATGGTCACCCCCAATAGCACAGTTACTCACAAATCCTGAAAAGTTGTTCCTTTTCAAAGTAGCATTCTTTATCTTGGTCAGCTCATCCAGAAGCTGGAAACATGCCACTAACTCGTTCGTTCCAGAAAGCGCTTGTAACATGAGGCCGTACGCTTTGGGGGAGAGAGGAATTTTGAAATGCGAGTAGGCTGCGAACCATTGCAAACAATCAGCGTATGCCTGTTTTTTTATGTGTGACTTGATGATGGCCTGTAAAACTCTATCTGTGGGGGTCATTCCCCTTCTTAGAAACATCTCCCATAATTCCAGAGTTTGGTCCGTGGCTCCACGACTAGCGAGTGCCTCGAACATCCTAGTGTAATCTTCCAAAGTTGGGGTGTACTGCAATCGAGACAAACTAGAGAAAAATGCATTTAGCTCATCCCATCGATTAGCCCTGCCGAGCATCTCTAACACTTCTTTGACAACGTATCGGTGTGCTTCCTGAGGCAGGCTTTTGAAAACATTATATGCTTTGCTTTTGTCCAGTTGCAGCGTGGCTAGAAATGTCCCGACTTGATCAATTACTGAAATTTCTAGTCCCAGTTGATTTTTCAATTTGACAAGGTCAAACACATATTGATGGTCACCCCAGCGCGAGTACCCAAAAATAAGGCAGCTGATGAACTTGTCCAATTGAGCGCGGTCTAGATCAAGGTGATCAGCAAAATGTTTGGGAAGCCTTCCAGCGAATAAGTATCGGTGTTTGAGAATGTAGAGCTCCCTGGGTACTTGGTCTGATAATTGTATGTCAGGGAATTCGTGTGCCCATAAGTAGCAGCTTTCTATCGGACTCGTCTTTGAGAGCATAGCAAAGATGATGTCTTTTTTCCTGTGTGGATCAATCAACTGGTTTGCCAACTTGTACCTATTTTTCAGATCCCCAGAGCGAAGTACACGGTACGCCTCTGCCAAGAACTGGACATCGCAATTCTCAGAACCCAGTATGTCCACCGCTGCTTTGGCCATAGCTTGCTTCTTTTCCGGGGACTTCGACGTCCATATCTGATGCCTAAGATGTTTAGTGAGCGCTAAAGATAATCCTCGATAGCCCTTAATATGGTTTAGTAGACTGGCATCGTGGGATTCTTCGAACTGTAGTATCGCACTGACTTCTCGCGTATTATTCAGGTTGTCAAGCCTCCGAAGCAGGTGGCTTGTCTTCTTGGTACTGTATTGTTCAAGAAAAGAGTTCAAATCCTCCAGCGTTCCATATTTGTCAATGATGGTGGTAAGTGGATAAAACTGTGATTCTTTCAAACCTGCGAATTTGTCGACGGAATCTCTAAACAGTTTCACGATCAGGCTTTCGTAGCGATTCTTGTACAAGTAGTCAAAAAGCTCGGCTTTCTCGTTATCGTGCTCGTTTTTGGTGTTTGTTTTCTTAAGCTCTATATATTGTTCCACTTTATCGTGAGCTTCTTTGAATGATTTGGAAGAGGATGGCTGCTCGGCCATAATCTTCAAATTATGCTCGAAGAACTTGGTATTCGTCATGGAAATGTTGCGTTTGAATTGCTGTAGCTGGATGGCGATGTAGCGCAGTCGATCTCGTGAAAGAATCGGAACAAGACCACTATAGCGATACGTATCTCGGGACAATGTTGTGGTCAGGTCAAGACACCATTGCAAAGCAAGCTCTCGCCTGGTAGCAGACTGCAACTCTGTACATCGCAGAAGTGCGAGCTTGAGGTTGCTCATGTCAGATAAAAGAGCTTGTTCTTTTTCCGTAAAATTTGTTCGTAGAAAAAGTCTTGAGCCGCAAGAAGGAAAAAAAAAATAAGTTCAAACTCTTAGAATAGCTACAATCATGTCTAAGAAATATGACAGAGAGACGAAGAGTACGTATACTTGCAAATATAGACTAACAGTCAGCTCGTGACATCAAAAAGGCTCTTGCACATAGGGCAAACCTGAGGAGAAGCTATTTCAAATTGGTGAACCAAGAGAAAACACCATCAGAAGAACCAAAGCCATCCAAACCGCTCACATATCAGGAACGAATCAAAATAAAGCAGGAACGCAAGGAACGCAGCAGGTTACAGAAGATAGAAAGGACAAGGCAAAAGCTACAACAGATGAAAGAAAAGGAGAAACAAAGAGAACAAAAGACAAAAAGCCTAAAGAATGCGAAGACAAGAACAGGACAACCCCTGATGGCTCCAAGAATCAATGATCTTCTTGACAAAATCAAAAAGGAGGTTGAGAACTAGGCTTTCTTTATATTATTGTGCTATGAATCAGTGTGTCGAGCTCGAAGTCGCCTATTTCCCCATATTTATCAGTAATCGAGTCCACATTGACAATCGGAGAATTTTCTGGGTATAGAGATGGAATGTCACTTAATAGCAATGGTGATTGCTCTTTATTTTTCCGTGCTTGTTGGGCCTTGAGTTCGCAGATCTTATCGAAAGTGTGTTCAGGAATTTCGTAGTATATTCGAATTTCTCCATTGAGTCCCATGGCCAGAAATTTGGTGTTATCTCGGGGAACACTCCATAACGGCTTGAACTCGCACTCGTGCAGACGTGGAATGAATGGCGTATTCCATTCAAAAACCTTTTGTGTCGTAAGGCTAGCGTAGTAGTCCGTGTTATTTGGAATCACCAATATTGTCTGCCGCTGCCTGTCTGCGGCGATGATATAGGGATCTTTTATAATGCAGTGGCCCATGAGATCCCGACTAACAGGGTCACTTAGGTGAGGCGAAAGTGATCCATTAGGCTCTTTAAGGTAATGATAAGTGTACACCGAGTCTTTGGCGGTCACCACAGCGACATGGTTACCAACGCAATTGATCTCTTTAACCTCGGATGGAAACGACTGCTGGCCAAAGGTATCGCTGAGTTTGCTTTCCAGAGGCTTGTATTTTCTAAGACGCACAGAGTTGCGATCAGAATAAATGATAACGGAGTCTGGAAGTTGTGCTACCGCTGCAACTGGTGAGGATTGGGTCCACGAGTACAAGACTTTTAGTAAGACCACGTCTTTGACTTTCTTGAGCTCAATGATTTTGACCAGCCCCGAGCCGTCTCTTTTATCAACGCATCCAACGAGCAGGTGTTTATGCGTGTAGTCTTCCACTCTGCGAGATTTCACATGCCATTCCGATATGGATAGGGGCTGCTCGTGTTCGGCCAGGACCTGTTCTTCCTGGTCTGCTGCAAGCACTCTTTTGGTTTTGTGGTCAACGAAAAGAAGCTTATCGGGGCCAGCTACCAGCACGACAAAGACGTTATGGTATTCGTAGTACATCATTTTCAACGGAGTAGAGCCAAGCTTGACTTTTTTGATGCTCCAGTCGATTGTACGGGACACAAACAGACTGCACAGACCGTCGTCGCGAATAGCAAGAAGCTGATCTTCTTCGTATTGTGGAAGCAGATCGTCGTGTGCCATTGGAACAAGCACGGCCGCCTGACACCCTCTATCAACGGTCTCTGCAACCCATATCCTCTCAGGATAGCACGATTTAGACAGGTCAAGCTTCCACAACGTTTTAGTGACGATAAAGAACTTACCTTCACTCTGTTGGAGAATGCTAGCTGGTAGTTCGCCTATTTTTAGTGATGCAAGAAATTTGTCGTTCTCGTAAAGCAGAAGACTTCCATCCTTTGATGTCAAGAGAGAGTGGTGCTCGGTGTACACTATATCGTGTGGAGTCACAAAATCGTCGATACGATCCGAGAGGTCAAGGGTGTCAGCGAGCAGGAGCCGATGGTCCTCCAGCCGATAAAAGTGGATTTGATTGGAATAGGTTCCGATTGCCAAGTACGGCTGTTTGTGTCTAGTGATAAATTTCATCAAAGATGGCTGGATCCCAATGATGCCTGGGCTAATAGCTAGAGACGTCCCGGACACAGTGAATGCTTCGATGTTGACCTGGATTGTCTCATCACCGTACTCGTAAGCCAGCACTACTATGTTCTGCCAGACCGCACTCAGTATTATTCTTTCGTGAACATAAGTGGTCAAAAAGTCACTCGACTGAAATGTGCCAAGTCTCCATCCATGTTCAAATATCTGGATAAACCTGCCGTCTGGTAGCATGCCAAAATAAATAGTGCGCTGGCCACTTCTGAATTGAGACAGTTCTGTAATATCCCCTGAGTCGTCGTCGTTAATGAAAGCAATCACCCATGACTCTTGGAAGCTGGAAAGTACAAAATGCGGCTGGCCACGGAGCTCAAACCCATATATGTGGGTCACGTCCCTGAACCGAGTTTCAGGAATAGATTTCTCAGCTCGGTAACCTTTGTGCATGCTGAACAAGGCACCTCGCGACTCGCATCGGCCAACACACCATAGTTCCTCGCTAGACGTTGCGTTGACCAGCTTGGATCGCTGTGCCGGTATCACCTTGTAGTCAAAGGTCGGAAACCAGTTCATTAGACTTCCCTTGTCCTCGATAACCTTCATCTTGAACGCTGCGCCATTAGAACGCGGAACAAGGTCTATGATTTTATATTCAGCGGACCCTCGCTCGTTAAAATATGTCAGAGAATACTGTTTTGCGGCAATCTCTTCCAGGCAGAAATGACTGAACACAGATGGCTGAACAAACATCTCGCTGAAGCGGATTCTACGGTCTCGTCTGCGCGAAGACCCAAATATTTCCAGTAACCAAAGAGAGACGTCCGTTGATAGAAGGATCTGGTCGTAAAGTTCTTCCTCGTAGTCCTCGCATGGGAAGCACGTTATAGGATACTGGGGAATATAGTACGAATTTGGCTTGATATATTTTCCACCAACCATCGGAAGAGCCTGTTCAGTAACATCTGCCTCGTCCCGTGAAAGCATATAATGTATACCGTGCACAACGCACTTGGTCTCCTGGACTTGGAGAAGACACTGCGTTTTTCTTGTGGGGATCAGAAAATACGGTACTTCCTCCAAGTTCCACAGCAATATTGGATGAGTCTTGATACTATTCAAAGGATTATCGTATTGGTAAAACTCGTTGTATTCCAGTCTCATAATATTTTCGTCTGTTGATATTAGGTTGACTAAGATCATGTACTCCTTGTCCACTGGCTCCAATGGCTCCAGAAACACTGTGTCCACAAGCGCTCCTCCAATTATCATGTTTTGCGACGATCCAAAAGATAGAACACCGCGCGAGTCATATTCTATGTGCATTATTCGTATCACCTTGGAAAAGGCAGCAATTGCCACCATCTTACCTGTCTTGTGGACCGTCACTTTGTATCCAATCACGCTCGTCTTCTCGTACGGCCCTAAACTGCTGGTTCGAAGCTTCTGAACAACAATTGGCTCGAAATGTCCTCCAGAAACGAAAACGCGCAGCAGTAACATCGTCCCGTTTTCCAGACACACAAGCAGAGAATCCTCGAGCTGGGACTCCAGGCAGCCAGGTATCAGTGCACAACTCAACACACTCGACTCAAAGAAGGCCTTGTCCTTGTTGTTGATGGACACCGAAGTGTTCCTGATTGCAATATTCACATACATGGTGCGCTCTTGCTCAGGCTCAGCAAGCCTGCTTGCCTCCGGCGCCTTTGGGTTATTTTGCCAGACTTCATTAATGTAATCTGGCTCGCTGCTGAACATATCCATGGAATCTGAAGGCTCCAGAAGGTCCTGCCAGGTAGCACTCGTCAGGATGCGTTTGGATCTGGTGTTCAAGGGATTCAGATCTTTATATCGCGAATCCTGCGCGATCACACGGACCCTGAAATCTGAAAAATACGCCTTGATTGCCTCAGACCCGGCTACCGTGCGCTCGAGGAAGAATGGCCCGCACTTCTTCCCCATACTTTTATTCATTTTACGCAAAGTCAACTTTTTCCGTCCTTTTATCGTTCCGCTTACGTTATACATTTATACACCCGGTCCACAGCAGTTTCTGCGTCCTCATCTAGGGTTTCGGCCAACTCTGACACAAACGCGCGATATTCGTCATGGTCCGTGCCGCGGTGGTAATTGTTCGAAACGAAGCTGACAATGAAGTCTACCAGTGACTCCTCTCTAACACCCAGAAACTCTTCAAGAACCTCTTCTGCTTTGCGCCGGACTTTGTCCACCTGATCTTCCGTTAGAGCAGGCGCCTCTTCCTTCTTACGAAGTGATATCTTGACTGGTTTGCTCGTGAACGAGGCCATGAACTCTTCTTGCTCGGCAGTTGCGTCACGTTCCTTGGCTTCCTCGTCTCTGTCTATAGCGTCCATTCGCTCCTCGTCTTGTTTCTTCTTGCTCCGGAAAGCAAGATAATTGCTATGGTTCACGTAGTAGCTGAAATTCTGATCGATCTTGTTCGCAGGGTCCTTGATGCCGTTGACAAAACTATCCAGGAAGCGCTTCCGTGCGTTGACAACGTATTCCGTTTCGTACGCATGGTGTTCGATTTTCTTGTGGAAAGCTTCTATGGACTTCAAGCGCGCCTCGTCGCGCTTTCGCGTCTGCTGTATCCGCATAAAGAAAGTTTTTTCTGCCCTTGACTGCGCCTGTGTCTCCTGTTGCTTCTTAAATTCTTCATCGTCAATTCCGTCATCCTGTATCTCTTCATCAGACTCGTCGTCGTTCCTGTCATTGCGAGAGGGCAGCATCCTACGCAGCTTCGTCTTGCTCAACTGTTTGTCCCTGATCATTTGCTGCTCCTTTTTTTGACTTTCCAAGTACCGCACTCTCATTCTAAAATCGATCACATTCTGCTTGACCAAATCAAGCATGTCTGGTGGAACGTCTTCGAGATCTTTGGAATCCACCGTATAAACTTCGTCCTGTCCATTGAGCGTTTGCGGCCCTTTTTTTCTCAAAGTCTCATGTTTTTCGATCTGGCTCAATCGCTCCCTGAACTTGGAAGAGTCAATTTCTGTGATCTCAATGCTATCCGCCAACTTCTCACATGCCATGCGCGCAGTCTGTTTCAATCGCACCTTTAAATCCTCGCTGCTCACCATTTTCTCAAACAAATATAGAGTCAAGAGGTCATGGAACTCGATGAATATTATCTTGGAGTCGATGGTATCGTTGTTGAGCGCAGTCCAGCTGAATTTGGTGTTGATATGCACATTCTCGTCATTCACTTTGACTGGCACTGATGTGAGTAGCTCGGTCACCGTGTAGTTCAGTAAATCGTCCGTAAGATAATTGGACTGAATTAAATATTTTGGAAGACCTTCAACTCCAACTGTGAGAAGAGATTTGATCGGGTCAGTGTCATCGTGAAATAAATTGAGGGTAATGTAATGCTTGAATTCATAATTCTCACCGTTAAATTGAGGGAATTCTTCAGGGTGGGCCAACGTGCTGCCGCCATCTTTCGACTCATTGCCATGCAACGTCACTGTGTCAAACCCGCTAATAGGAACGATATCTCGTAGACTAATAAAATTCGGGAACTTGAGAGGTCTCAGATTAGCATGTTCAAGGTCAAAAGCCTTCCTTTGGGGTTTCTGAATCTTGTCCAAAGCTGTGGATCCGACAGGATTGGGAGCTTTATCGAACCCAAAATGATAGAACTGGGGCATTTCCTACAATTTTCTATTTTCCTCCATATTTTCTTCAAAACTTGCACAGCCTTACTATGAGAAGTTTTAATGCTGGATGTCCCTTCCATTGGTATCCTAATACGCCTTGACTCTTAACTACTTAACTTTATCATTTTCTTCAACCATAAGTGTTATAACGATATCAGCAAATACATAAGTCAATGAAACGATGAAAAATGAACCCTAATTGCAACAAGGTGCAAGGAAATGATGGAGCTTGCAACAGCTACCATTGAACATGACAAAATGTATGTAGCAATCATAAAATCTCAAGATTTCATACTAAAGGACTAGAACTTCTGGTCATATGACTCGGAGAGATATCCCTGGTTCTGTTCTGTTGGCGTGCCAGGAGCCGGATTCGGATTATAGTACATGTAGCATGGATAGAGAGAAGGACTGGTATTTGGATCATATGGCGCATAGGTGTAGTAGTATCCAGTTGTCGGAGGTCCTCCAACTCCCTGAACTCCAGCAGCATTTCCAGGAACTCCCATGATCGCTGGATTGTGGACCCCTGAAGAAACTGCATTGCCCATGTAGCCACCTAAATCCTTCGTTGGAACAAGGTAGTAATAGGGCGCTGGCGATTGGTAATAGTTAGGTCCCCCAGCACTTCCCATCTTTGGAACCATTTTAGAATCGACCATTGGATGCACTGGAGGGAATTTGGGGGAGTACTCGTCCACATCGACGGATGTGTACGAATAAGTGGTTTTGGACGCTCCATTCGTAGTTGATGAATATGCTGTATGGGTATTACGACCCGCAGTGGCATCGTCGTTCTCCTCAATTCTTGTCATCCCGTTGTTCGATAGCCGCTCGTCGTCGCTAAGGATGGCATCTGGGTCTTCTGCTAGAGAGGCAGATGCTTTAGTGCTCTTAGTGGCATCATTGACGTTTTTGCTACCTGCACCAGCACCAGCACCAGCAAAGTCAAATTTATTTTTGTAGGTCTTTCCTGATGAACCTGCAGGCGAAACGTGATCCTCAAATGAAAACCTTCTCAGTGGTGGAGGGTTGGATATATTATTCCTCTTGAATGAGGAAAATGGTTGCATCTCTTGTTCGGGAAAACCACTGAAACTACCGAACCGCGGCCGGTAGAAATTGGGAGCTTTTTTAGGCTTACTTCCCGTATAGCTATGATTATTGTTGTTGGTGTTGTTACCGTTGTTCGAATTGTAAGAATGTCTTCTTCTGAAGCTCACGGGTGGTGGAGCCAAATTCAACTTTGGTCCGCTTTCGTTTGAATACTTGTTTTTGTAGTTGTTGTACATCTCACGGTATTGCACATGAATAGTCTTGAACTTAAACATTGAATGGTTTTCTCTTTCGACTGCGGATGCAGCAGCTTTTCTGGTTTCAAACTTGACAAAGGCGAAGTTATTCAATGGCCTGTTGACTAAGATGGCCTCTTTGATTTTGCCATGTTGCTCAAACCTTTCAATCAGTTCATCTCGGTTAATCCTTGGATCAAGCTGGCCGACAAAAATGGAGTACTTGTCAATTGTCACTTCAGGAGTGTCGCTTGATTCATCTTCAAGATTTTGTGCCCATTCAACATTCCAGAAGGGTTTGACTTTCAGGTTTGCGTAGGCGCTAATAGCATCTTGACGATATACAAATTTGCAAAACCAATAAGAGTGAGACCCGGTATGTAGATCAACTAGATTTGATTTCTCATCCACAGAAACCAGTCTCTCAATCTCTCCGTATTTTTCCAGAAAGGATCTGATTGAAGATTCTGGCAATGCCTTATTCGTAGTCTCGATGTAAAGAGTACGATTGACTCGAGCTTTTTCACACCTTATGGTTCTCCCGTTTAGCAAAGAGTGTTGGCCTTCTACAATTGCACGTTTTGCATCCTCCTCCTTCGTATACTGAACAAATGCATATGGCCTGTTAGCAGGATCTCTCAACACTTTCACTAATGAGATGGTACCCCATTGTTTGAAATGGTTGCTGACTGACTGGCAAAGAATGTCATCAGACAAGTTGGAAGATAGACTGGCCACAAAAACACAAGCTGAAGGGCGCCCTCTTTCGGCGGAGGAGCTCTCGGTTTCTTTACTAAAGCTGTCATCTTCATACGAAACGCTTGTGTTCTCTACTTTTCCAGTCGCCTTCTCCTCAGGACCAGACAAGGGCTGTTGTTTCGCATTCCGGTTCTCCTCTTCAAGCTCATCATCCTCACCACAGGAAGATGCTCCCTCTGAGTAGTCGGAAGACTGCTCGGTACCACTGTCACTATGGAATTTAAGGTTCTCTGATCTCAAGAGGCCGTTGTCGGCCATTGGCTGCAATTCTGTATGTTTCTCGATTTCCGAGTTCTTGAAAAGCTGGATACTGCTGTCGTCAATGCCCTCCATCATAGTAGTTTGCAATACCTAGTTATATCACTATGCAGAAATTCAAGCGCTTGAAAGTAATGTTATTGGCTTGGGTGCTGTGCAATAAGAAGGGATAGCTGATTAGTTGAAGTTGCAAACAGACTATTGCCTTTAGGCCTTTCTGGTGTCTTCCCTTGAAGCTAATTGACTAAAGATTAAAAATCCAGAAGATAGTTCTCCCACAAGAGTCTTAATGGAACAAAAGAACAAGAAAGTGATATCCCAATGACAGAATGCACGTAATTATATTTATGGCTTTTGTCTTTCTTATAGTGTGCGATATGTGTGAACTGCGTATCCGATAATGTGGATCGTGTACCACAGAGTTTTGGATCAAGCGGAAAAGGTTGTGTTTACAAGAAACGTTCGATCTAAAGGCAGATCTAAGACAAAGATCTGACACACCAGTTAGTGATGCATTGAAGTCCCTCAATCAAATGTTCATGCAAAATTGTACCAGTCAGGCTCATTTGATACTAAAATGTCGGTTGTGCCCAGGTCACAGTCTCAACTATAAGATTCCACAATTGATCTTAGCACGAGTGTACAGAGCACACAGCCCACATCTAGCGACAGGATCCTGTATTCCAAATGTGTATACAGATGAACAAACACACTAAATGCACTGGTGAAAGGAAGTTTAATTCAAGCGCCACAGCATCAAAAACAAAAGATGTTGGGACAAGCATTACTTGCATAATTTCTTGTCTGTTGTTTGGGCAACCAAATTTAGCTATCAGGCCAATGTTGGTTCTGACTTAATGGTGTTTGAGTTGTGTACATGATTATCTTTTTTACAAATAGGGATTAGACATTGCATATACTAGATTCCACATGCATCTATTGTACAGATCCGATTGTGTGATAACGTGAGCGGGATCTCAAGTGGAGTACATTGGTGCAACTCCACTACAGTAGCTAAATACCCCGTCTTGCATTGAGCTACGCGTATCTCTTGCAGGCTACAAGATTGCAATTGGATATCAAATGTGGGAATAAGAACAGAAAAGCAAAGAACATCCATTCCAATCTAGCCCCCACCAGAATACGGGTTTGTCATGCGCCTTGAACTTTTCTTCATTTATATCATGTGTAGCCCACCCAACCTCCTTTGCCGGAATATTTCTTTATATTCCCCGGGCCTTCGAAAAACTAACTCTTATCTGCACTGCCGTGATCCAACTTTAGACTCAAAGTAGTGTTGATATAATTTGCCTTTGGTAATTTTTTCCAAGTCTACAACTTTATATCTGTCATGAGTAACGAATTGGCACTTGTAGAGAAGGTGGAGCTGCGATTAGCATTGGCAGACACAGACGAGAAATTTGAATCTGCTTTGAATTTATACCTGGCTCCTATTCTCCTCAAGTTTTCGTCCTCTGATGTTGCAGTTAAAACTCAAATCAACAGAATTGTAAAATATCTACTCACCAGAATAAACACTTCACAGGTCAAGCTCCCTATAAGGAATCTTGTGAACCAAGCCAAGTCACCAAAAGTGGCAGCAGGTGTTGATCCTACGGTGGTTCAGTCTTATACAATACTCTTCATCTCTAAAGGATTGCCTCGCCTCTCAGAAAAAGAGAGACTGGAATTGATACCGCTCATAATAAATGGCATTTCGGCGATGAAAGATGTGATTGCCTCCAGGATGTTCAATGTTCTTTGCAAGATACTCCTAGATTGGCACGCAGACGACTCGCAAAAGGGTTCGTACCTCTCCATTTGGAATGTCAACGAATCTGATCAGAATTTCCTCATCAGCAAATTTTCGGAATTCATGTTGATGGGACCAGTGCTTCCCGATGAGTCTCACAATATTCCTCAAAACCTCACGTTTCCTGGTCTTTCAAGCTCGTCTATCTCTTTTTTCACCTATCAGGCAGGCGCAACGTTCGATTTAGGCACTTTGACGAACTACAAAAAGGCTATATTCAGGTTTTCCGAAACAGTGCTTTCCAAGTCTGCCACAAAAATTGCAATCATTGCTTCAGCAGATACCTCGACTTCACTTGCCAACGATGCCAATTCGTTCTTGAAGAGAATTCAGGTCGATTACGAGAATAAATCATTAATCGACCAATTGATAGATTTATTCATAGGTGATAGCGTTCGGCCTCCTGCCTCGTTGTATTTGCAGGAGAAAATCATGAGTTTTTGCAGCCAGTCGCATTTCGCAGCTTCTTCTCCCAAGGCTGCTCAATTATGCACGCTGGGACTGGAGTCTGATTACCCCAGGTTAAAACAATCGACGATCAAATTCATCAAGTGGCTATCAACTGCTATGTTGAAAAATGAAACTAGGCACGACGAAACTCTTTGCAAGACTATTGGGCTTGAGCTAAGAAATAATCTCGCTAAAGAAGATGCAACTAACAACACGACACAGCGCCGTTTTCAATACGAGGCCTTGGCCGTCGTCCTACGAAGAATCAACGATCCGAAAGATTGTACATTTGTCGACTTCCTATTTAAAATGATGGTGCGAGACTGTGCCGACCTTAGATCCAGTATTCAAGACGCAATATCCGCTTTGGCCCCTTCGTTGCCAAAGTTATCATCTGACGAGAAGCAGAAGCTCATGGAGATATTGGCGTCCTATATTAAGGAGACGCCGACGTTCGAAACAAGGGACAACATATTGAGCTGTCGCTATGCGGCAGTGAAGCTAGTGAACGTTTGTTTCCCATTCAGTGATACAAAGGCCAGAATATTGAACGTTCTCGCGCAGACCCAATTTGATAAACCCGAAACTTTAGAGGAGGCATCAAAAGGACTGCACCCTTATTACTTTTCTTTGATACAAAATATCAAGTCTTCTGAATCGCTAACCGTGGAATTCCCTAGCTTTGAATCCATAGTTCAAGAAGCTCAGCACATTGACCATGCTAACATTGGTAAGCTAATGACTTTTGCCTGGAGGTGTCTCGTGATGCAAGCCATCAAAGGATATGTCACAGTTATTGTTCCTGATCAGCAGTGGGAAACTCGACTCGAAAACGCATTAGAGTACGATGAAAAGGTGAAAAGCCTGCTCTTCAAAGAGTTGGAGCGTCTGGAGGATCCGTCCTTACGAGGAGATCCGTCTCTTCTCTCTGCATTTTTGAAAATGCAGCTCGACGTTTTTGTCGCTGAGTCAAGTTTGGAAGCAGGCCGACAATTGTATCAAATCCTTGTATCGAGTCCTCGGCAAGCAGTTTCCAGTACGGTCTCTTCAATCCCTCAGCTCAAAGCCATGCTCACTGAGTCCGTTTCAGATGAGGTAAAATTATACGTTTCGAAGTGTTTGGCTATCATTGCTTCTCAGGATACTTTAGAGGAGCAGAATCTGAAGTCTCATCTGACTAGCTTATTTAATGATGATCAGATCATGGCAACTTCATTTTTGATTTCTCAGTTGGTTTTACATGGAAAACAAAGAGTTGTTACAACCGAATTGTTTGACGAAGTTCTAGTTAAAATAGAGATTTCCATCAAATCCTCGTCTTCCAAGCTTCAAAGAGAGGGTCTCGAAAGCTTGTCACAGTTGGCTTTGTTTGGATGTCTGGGACCGATCTTGACTCTGTCTTCAAAAGTGAATTCATACAACAGTAAGTTTGTTGAATTGTTGCTGCCCCTGGTGAAAAAGCTTAATGAGAAAGCTGCTATCGCCATTTCTTGTCTGAGCCTTTCACTTCCACGGTCAGATACAGAAAACCTGTCTCTGATTGAGTCTGCACTGTATGGGACTCATAATTCAAAACAGACAGATTTTTACTTCACAGCGGGAGAAGCCTTTAGCATCCTTGCTGCGGGTGTTCGCTCCAAAGTGGTGATGAATAAACTGGACATCAGAGATGAATCACTGAGTCCTCCGTTAGAGCATGATGTCTCTAGGTTACCTAGCATACTGGACACTGTTATTGAGGCTTGCGCAAACACGAAGCCTGCTCTGAGAAAAGCAGGATGTATTTGGCTATTGTCACTTGTTCAGCATTGTGGACACCTTGAACACCTTCAAAATAATTTAAGTTTACTCCAACGCTCGTTCCTGCGGTTTCTGGCAGATAAGGACGAAATCATTCAGGAGTCAGCATCAAGAGGTCTGAGTTTAGTTTATGAAATGGGGGATTCAGAGCTGAAAGATACACTGACGCATGATTTGCTTGGCTCGTTCACGGACTCCCGAAAATCGACCACCAGTGGATATCTTCACGAAGATACTGAACTGTTTGATCCCGGTGTTATGAACACAGGTGACAGTTCTGTGTCCACCTACAAAGACGTTTTGAGTCTTGCCTCTGAAGTCGGAGATCCCGGCTTGGTCTATAAATTCATGTCCATTGCAAAAAGTTCTGCTTTGTGGTCGTCCAGAAAAGGTATTGCTTTTGGCCTAGGTGCAATCTTGGACAAATCCAAGTTGGAGGCTTTAATTGCCAATGACCAAAAGCTGTCTTCCAGACTGATTCCGAAGCTTTTTAGATATAGGTTTGATCCAAGTCCTTCAGTTGCCAAAATTATGAATGATATATGGAACTCTCTGCTACCAAACTCGAAAGTGATAACGGACAACTTCAAGACCATTTTGGACGATCTGCTTACAAATATGGGAACCCGAGAATGGAGAGTGAGGCAGGCGTCGACAGCAGCGATTCAAGATTTACTCCGCCATGTATCCTTTGAAGAATACGAGGCTCATTTGGGAAAAATCTGGACTATGGCTTTCAGAGTTATGGACGATATCAAAGAAAGTGTGCGGGCGGAGGGAAATTCGCTGACCCGGTACCTCGCAACAACCATGGTCAACAAGATCTCAAGTGTTGATCAGCAGACCTCCAATGAGTCAAAGATATTATCCCAGCTAGTGCCTTTCCTTCTAGGGTCAAACGGTCTGTTGAATGATTCCGATGACGTGAAGAATTTCGCTTTGCAAATCATTATAAAGCTCGCCAAATCATCGTCACTCTTGCTGAAGCCTTACATCTGCGACATGATTGAGCAATTGACCATGATGATGTCGTCTATCGAACCTCAAGTCGTCAATTATCTTGCATTGAATGCGGAAAAGTATAATATGAAATCAGACGACATTGACTCTCAAAGACTTGCCGCACTTGGTAGCTCTCCTCTTATGGAAGCAATTGAACAATTGATGAACCTTCTGGATGAGGAGCTGATGACAGATTTTATCATTCATCTTTCAGATGCGGTAAAAAAGTCCGTTGGATTACCGTCCAAAGTGACAGGGTCGAAAATCATCATCACTCTCATTACAAGGCATTACATTATTTCACAGAGACATGGGGATGATCTTCTCAAAATTTGCATGAGTCAACTCAAAGACAGAAATGAAACTGTGTCAAAGTCTTACGCTATATCTGCTGGATATTGTGTCCGTATAGCCTCACTGAAAAAAATAGATAGTCTGGCGAAGAAGTTGAAGGCATACTATTTTGAAGCTGGTGACAATGAAAAACTCAAACTGCTGTCCGCCAGCGCTTCAGAATCAATCTCTAAATACTCTGGTGATAAGTTTCAGTCAATCGCTGTCAGCTATCTTCCCCTGATTTTTGTTGGAAAGCATGATCCTGTCAAAGAGGTCTCTGATTTATTCACTAAAGCATGGGAAGAGTCATCCTCTGGAGGGAGCGGGCCAATCAAGCTCTATCTCAAAGAAATAATTGAGCTCATCATGTCCAACATAGACTCTACCGATCTACAGATTCGACAGAGTATTGCATTGTCGATCATTGAGATAGTGGACAAATTGGGGCAGGAGATCAGCTCTCTGAGTAACTACCTGGGTCAGCTCTATGAAATCCTCATTGTTTCTCTTAGGGGCAGATCTTACAAAGGTAAGGAGAATCTATTAAGTTCACTGGTTCTCTTGTCTACTAAGACCCCAAATTTTCTCCATGAGACAGATAATTCAAAGATTTATGACCAGGTCAAGCGTTATATCTTAATTGAAGCCAGACGAAAAAACAAGGAATACGCAATTCACAGCGTACAATCGCTTGGTATTTTCTTGGGCACTTTCCCTGACGAGGAAATGTATGAGGAATATTTGGATCTGATTGACTCCTTCATTCAACCAAAACCAAAGAATGAGTCGGACATGGATACAGATTCGGAAGACGACGATAGGAATTCAAATAAGAAAGCTAAGGACGCTCGATTGGAAGAAACGAAGATTAAGCTACTTGAAAACCAATTGAGCGCATTGAACCCTGCGGAGCCCAATCGAAACCTCTGCGAACACATCATGAAAAACCTAGTCGAGTATTTTGACGACGATCGCTTCCAACTAACCTATAAAACCCAGTTGGCTATAATTGAAGGTTTCGCCAAACTTTTGGAATCTTTTGATCTTCTGGACAATGATTTGAAAAAGCGAATGTTTGATATTTGGACCACTATTTCGACCAATTGTGCCAACAGAGAAAACCTTCAAAATGTTCTGATTGCATTCATAAGGGCTACCAGCGACTTTGCGAGAATTTGTCCCGCCGTTTCTGAGAGCTGTAACAAGAAACTTGAAGAAGTGGCTTCTTTAGAAGTTAACTCCGTGGTCAACATGGAGGTTAGCAAGGCATTGAATAGATGAAGTATGAGTTACTACAGAAATGGAGTTTGCGATAGAGCGTCGTCTCTTGGTTATACCATTACATACTCATTCAGAAACCGCCTCTGAGTCTCAGAACCAGGTGAAGAGTAGATTCCTTCTGAATGTTGTAATCGGAGAGAGTTCTACCATCTTCTAGCTGCTTACCTGCAAAAATGAGTCTTTGCTGATCAGGAGGGATTCCCTCCTTATCCTGAATCTTCGATTTGACATTGTCAATCGTGTCAGAGGACTCAACTTCAAGGGTGATAGTTTTGCCGGTGAGAGTCTTGACGAATATTTGCATACCTCCTCTCAATCTCAAAACTAGATGCAAGGTCGATTCCTTTTGAATGTTATAATCGGATAACGTTCTGCCATCTTCGAGCTGCTTACCAGCAAAAATCAATCTCTGCTGGTCTGGTGGAATACCCTCTTTATCCTGAATCTTAGACTTGACGTTATCAATAGTATCAGACGACTCAACCTCAAGGGTGATAGTCTTTCCTGTCAAAGTCTTGACGAAAATTTGCATACCACCTCTCAGTCTGAGAACAAGATGGAGTGTGGACTCCTTCTGAATGTTGTAATCAGACAAAGTTCTGCCATCCTCTAATTGCTTTCCTGCAAAGATAAGTCTTTGCTGATCAGGAGGAATACCTTCCTTATCTTGAATCTTGGACTTAACGTTGTCAATCGTGTCAGAGGACTCGACCTCGAGCGTGATAGTCTTTCCTGTCAAAGTCTTGACGAAAATTTGCATACCACCTCTCAGTCTCAAGACCAAGTGCAAAGTGGACTCCTTCTGAATGTTGTAATCGGACAGAGTTCTACCGTCTTCTAGCTGCTTACCAGCAAAAATGAGTCTCTGTTGGTCAGGAGGAATTCCTTCCTTATCTTGAATCTTCGATTTGACATTATCGATTGTGTCAGAAGATTCGACTTCTAGAGTGATGGTTTTGCCGGTGAGAGTCTTAACGAAAATCTGCATTTTTGAGCGTAAAACTGTTGTTTTGTTGTCTTAAAAAGTTCAGGGGATGCGCGATATTTATATGTTGCTACGGAAAACAGGCAATTTCGGTGGCAAAGAATAAGGGGGGTTTTCAAAAAAGAAACGTTGTTTTACACCAGCCACGCTTGATAACAGAGCTGTCTAACCAAATTAAATTAACACACTTACGAAAACATGCTTGCACAGCTGAATAGGGGTACGATTTCCATACAAAGTTCCGGTAGTGCCTATTAAGAGGCAAACCTAAGTTCTTTTCTTATTATTGTAACGCTGTTACAAACACACGCCTCGTGTGGAATAATCGGATAAAGTCGTGCGGCTCGGTTTTGAGGGATTACGATGTGGCGGTAACTTGTTTATTTGTGGCGCATTAATTATCATGCCAGAACTTTCTGGCGGGGTACGGCTGGTTAGTATATATATTAATTAAGTCATAATCGACGCGACGACGTAATTGTCGTCATATTAAGTAGCAGGATCAGATAGCTAATACTCGAGGTCAGTCATCAAATCCGCATCGATCTGGGTTCAAAGTGATTCACCTCTTCTTCTAGCTCCAGGATGTTGCTAAGCATGCTGCCTCTACGTTCTCGTTCTTCGTCTGATGAGGACGAATAGACATCCAAGTCACGAAAAAGCTCTGCCCTATTTATCTCCAATGATTTGCAATTGCGTTCACCTGTGAATGAAGTCCGGCTGGGCATATCCAATGAAGATCGAGGAGTCGGCAACTTCATCTCTTCTCTGAAAGTGATAAAATCTTGACGTTTTTGTTTCAAAAGTTCTCGATTTTCCAATAACCTGAGGATTTCAGATGCCTTGTTGCGAATGTTGAAAGCAAGTTGAGCGTCTCCAACGTGTTTTCGGCGAGTATCTATCTGATATTCTTTAAGAGTCCTGATCGAATATTGATTCAATGTCAGCCAAGAAACAAACTCCAATGACGAAGTCTGTAACATGTACAGCACAATTGATAGCGCTTTGTGAATCTGGATGGGGCTTTTGGAACGCAGTTTGCGAGACAGCTCCTTGGTGATCGAGCCCAAGTCGCCCGGGTGATTTGAAAGCCGAGACAGCTGGTTCAACTCCGCGGTGGTCGGTCCCCATCGGGTGTCTTTTGTTGCTTCCTTTATGAGAGTTTCGCTATGAGAAGCCCTTTTCATAGGCAGAAAAGCTATACTTCTCATTCCAAGGCAAAATTATGTCTCACTCGGTTTTTGTTAGGTTTTTAAAATTATTTGAGGGATGCCGAAAATGCCCAGTTTTTTTTTTTTAGCCGAGACGATGATAGAAAAGGGGGCCGTATTTTCGTCTAATCATTATATTACAGTAGTATTTTAATTATACATCCGCTTGCAACAAATACCTCTTTAAAGTGCCGTCTTTCAGAACAGCGAAAACCTCATAATGATCCTCTAGAGACTTGATATCAAGGGTGACAATCACATCCTGAGCGAGATCAGGAATTTGTGCAACCTCAGAGCTCCATTTCTTGCTTTTTTTATAATATCTGAATACTGTCTGATCGTTGAAAAGATATGAGGAAGCTTTGTCAATAGCCAGAACAGCGCTACTTGGAGAATCCAGCACAGCTTGGAAAACGTCCTTCCTCAAATCGTATATTCCAATTTTCGATCCCGAGTCCGTGGAACAGTGTATCACCAGTGAGTAGCCATTTGGAGAAAATAGAAGCTTATCTATCACTTCAACGGTGCCAAGCGAGTCAATGGAAACGTTAAGCTCGACAGAGTTTTTAGCAATATTGAAGATCTGAACGACGTTGGTCTCGAGGCACAATCCGAGGAACAGGCCATCTTGATGCAGAGCCATCTCACTGATTTTGGATTCAAAGGGATCTGACTCGTACAATTTTTGCTCCCCGTCAAATATGTATAGCTTGTCAGTCTGTGCTATGATCAGGTAATGTAGTAAAGGGTGGGCCAGAATGCTGGTGATTGACTTTTTTTCCAAATGGAACTTTGTTTCTGATTCTCCTTCAACGATATGGACTGTCCCGTCGGTGGAAGCGTACACAAACTTATTTTCGTTGAGCCACTTCAAGTAACTAAACTTGGCTCGTTTAGGAAGCGCATGCCGACTGATAAGCACTTTTTCAACAACATCATAAACAGCGATAACATTTTCCGAATATGCGAGTAGAATTTTGGTCTTGTCAGAGCTGAACTCTGCTTGAACAAGTGTTGTCTTCTTCTTTTGTCCATCCCATATTTTAAGGTCCTCTTCAAGTGCAAACTTTATATCTGAGCTCTCGTCAATTGGAGACTTGAATTTTTGGGAACGATGTTGCTGATACAATTGCGAGTGAGCCTCAAGTAGTTGACTAGCATACTCCTCAGACAGTGGTTGTGATCCGTTAGTTTGTTCCGCTGGCGTGTCGATCTCAATGACCTCTCCTTTTCCAAGCTTCGTCGTGAGCTCCTCTAAAGCCCTTTTGTACTCGTCGCGTTGTTTGATGGCGCTGGCAGCGACTCGCACTGCTGCATCCTGTTTGTACAAGGCCAGGCTGAGCTCTTTCTTGTATTGGTTCAGTTGTCTGCGTAGCTCAAATGTTTCCAGAGCCAATGCATCCCACTCGCGCTGAAATATTGATAACAAGGAAGGGATCGAGGTTGATGCAGATTCGCGCACAACCAGTGGCTTTTCCAAAGCAGACACCTGAATGGCCACCAAATCTTCAGAACTTAGTGACTCCCCCGATATTGGGTCTGTTCCATGCTGCGCAATGTATTCCTCTACCAGTCTCTTTTCGTACACATGGCCAGACTTTGTGGACAACACTGGCTCTTCAGCCGGATTGCCTGAGATAGAGCAGATCATCAAAGCTTTGTGTATTAATATAGAAAATTTTCGTAGCTAGAGGAAATGCGCCACATGTGGCACATTACATCACGCGAAGCTAGGCTGTGGCGTATCTATGTTTGAGGGAGCTGGCGAGATCGGGCCTGAGGAAACTCTGACCTTTCGCGGCACAGGGGCAGCTCCAGCAACAGAGTTATTGGAGGAAAGCATCCTTGTTGCATCTAGGGCTCTCTTTTGGTGCGTCAGCTCTGCTCCCAAAAAAAAAGCAGTCAAACGACCGAAGTACAAAAAATTGACGATTTTTTGTAGCGGATTTTTACTTAGACTGGGTTTTTTACTTCAAAGCGCAAACTTGGAGTTTATCACAAGCGGTTGCAGCCAGAGCGTTGTCTAGTTGTCGGGATACTCTTGCTAGAGCACAAAACACCGGTTTATACTAGCTCAAGCAGTCCCGTGGACCCTGCCTCGGCACATCAAAGATCAAGCCACAAGACTGGTATAGTCAAAACGTTCTCTAGTTTGAACGATTTTCAGGCCTTCTGTGGTCGCTACTCACACCTATCTTGGTGTAACATCTTCTACGAGCAAGGAGGACGCTAAGGATACAAATTATAAACACATAGATGTTGGTGTCAACGGAAAATCGCTCGGCTTGCGATTCAACTGGTAAGTCCAAAGTGGATGATCATAGTGATGTATCGGGTCCGAGTCGAAATAATACATCGTCAGTAGGCTCGAAGAGTCCCTTGAAGTTGAAGACTCGCCAGCAGTTGGATTTGCAGTCGAACTCCTCGACTTCCTCAACGCCCGCCAAATTCAAGGGTTTCAAATATAAGGGCCGGCCCCCAATAACCGAGGTTCCCGAGCTTATGGAATTGTGCGAAGAGTTTCTCCTCACCACGAATGTGACCGGTCTTTCCATGATCGCTCGCCAACGTGGTCTTCCGCCATCGCTAAGGCACAGAATTTGGCCTGTTCTGCTGAAATATCATCCATATGTCTTGAACCCGTACGTGCAGCCTGATGACGACGTTGATGATGAAGACGGCGAACTGAAAATTCCGGAAGCTCAGATCAAAGCTGACCTTAACAAGTATCTCAGAAACGCTGAACGTTACAAGCCAAAGGTTTCAACTCCGGAGCTCAAGGACCTGTTCGAAATCCAAGACAAAATTTTTGAGACGTTGGAGAGCGCAATTATCAAGTTCCTGAAGAAATGGGGATCTATTGTACATTACAATTCTGGCCTTTCCTGGATTGCCCTGGGCCTCGCAGAGTGGGTTCCTCCATTGCTCAATTCGCAGATTGTTCTTTGTGGGAAAGACGACATCGCAAAAAACGGAACTAAGTTGCGAAACATAAATGACACTTACTTTGAGAAAATGGAACACGAGGGCACAGGCACTGTGAGCTACTCGTCAACATTGAGCTCGACTCCTGTGGTATCACAATCTCCAAAATCTGTTTCAAGCTTGGAAAGTTTGAACCCTCAGCTCGCGTCCAATAACCACTCATTCAAACAAATGACATTTGCAGAAATCTACGAAAGAATGGTACTAGTTATTCTGCACACTCCTGATCCGACCAAGAAATACGAATCAAAACAGAGCGATGAGCATTCGGATGAATCTTCGGACGATCTACCAAAGTTTGGGGGCTCGATTGAGGATAGAATCTCATTTTTCTTATACTGCTTGAGACGCCTGCTGCCAGAGTTGCATAAATTCATGTCTGAGGAGGGTCTGTTGAAAGGAGACTGGATTTTATGGTGGCTGAAATACTGCTCTTCTAAAGTCTGGTCCAGGTACGATAGAGGAAGAGTGTGGGATCTTCTCCTTGGATTCAGGAATACGTTTGATGAGGGCGACATGGAGCAGTTGGGGCAGCTGACAGAAGAACAGAAACGTTTACTTGGCCCTGATATTTTTTGGAACCCATTATCTGAGCCAGACGTCCACTACAAGAAAGGCAGGTCCAGTAGTATCAAAACTCTCATCAATCAAGTCTCTTTGTCATTTGATCAAACGCCAACCCTGTCATCTCTGTCTCTGAAAGACGACGACGATATTGAAGATATGCCATTGAACGAGACTGGCTTACCACTTTCGCAAATTGATGCCCATGTCCAACTTATCTTTATTTCGTTGGCTTTCTTGAAGGCAAAAGAGTTCACAATAATGGAACTGGACCAGTCGGAGATCAAGCAGCTTCTAAACAATTTGTCTTCTTTGAAGATGTCGGAGATCCGCTCGCTGGTTGGTGGAGACGGTCAGGTTGCAACTGCGTCTCTTCCGCAAGACAACTGTTCATGTGCTTCTTGCAACGGAAGCGTGAACAGTAGCAGTTCAGTCCTATCTTCCCACACTTATCAGCTGAAAAAGTCCAACAGAGACATTGAAAATATCATATTTGAGGCAGGTGAATTATGGAGAAAATTCATCTATCTGGAGATGATCGAAGAAAGCTGACATTTTGACAGTCAAGCATAGCTATTTTTTTTGTCATGATTACATTTATTATTAGCGTCCCTAAATGAATAAATAACTTATTCTTGAACTAATCCCATCTGTCGCCGTCTCTCCATCTCTTTCTGAACGGCAATTTGATTGACTCTGTTTTTCTCTTCCTGCGCTGCCTTCATCCTGGCCAGTTTCCTTGCTTTCTTAGCTTCTGCGAGTGCACGTAAACGATGCAGTTCGTCATCCTCCTGTTGCTTTTCGCTATCCTTGTAGGGCTTTTCCATAACATGTAGCTTCTTGTCGTTTTCGCCTAGCTTATTGTTGTATAGGCCCTCTAAATTTTTGCGGTCCACCCCGGCTTCAACTTCTTGTCCCTCCGCTACCTTATCAGCTTCCTGACTATCTTGCTTTAGATATAGTTGTTCTTCTCTCAATTCTTTCATCAAATCCTCCTTCATTTCTTGTTCCTGTTTGTGCTTGAGCTCATCATTAACGTTCGAATTGATGATGTCGTGGTCGTTCGTCTTCTTGAACTTAACAAACCTGTAGTTCTTTCCATTCTTACCGCTGACGTACGGATTCAATGGGAAATGACCAAAGAGCTCCTCCTTGTGGGTTTCGTCTTCTTGACGAAGTTTCTTATTCTTCAATTTTTCGAGCAAAGCAGATTCTACATTCGTGCTCATGTCTTCAACTCCGAAATTTCTGTTGACATTCTCGTCGCCCTCTTCGAGCCCTTCCTCATCAACGTCTTGTAAGTATTCGTCCACTTCGCTCCAGTCAATGCTGACGTCCCTTCTAACGTCAGTGTTCTTGAAAACATTGAATTTCAAGCCATTCCATTCGGAATTCACCTCTTCAAAGGCTTTCATCCAGATCTTGTCATATAGCCTTTGTATCCTTGCTTTCTCGAGTCTATTGGTCTCCTCCTCGGCCATCCATTTCATGTGTTGGATGTCATCGGACGAAGGCTCATAAATATGCCAGATTGTGTAGTGAGGCAAACCTATGACAGAGAAGTTCATTGTACGGCATAGTTTTCCAAAACCCTCAGTCTCTGCATGCTTGAGATATGAGAAAGCAGGAAACATGGCACCGCTGCGAAAAACATGAGCCTTGCTCAGAATGGAGACTCCCCCGATTCCATCAAGCTCCATCTCAACCTCGGGATCTCCATAGGGGTCCCTTAAGTATGCCAAATGTGTCCTCCAGGTTGCATATTCAGGATATCCTTCCACAATCACGGCATCTTCGTCCAGTTTGTCTGCCAGCTCGATTCCTCCTTCACTTTCCTGCCAGGAATTCAAGTCATAAGGCTGTTCATAGCCCAACCAATCAGGCAATGGACGCCAAATGTTTGGGACGATCACATCCTTGTCGTGATGCATCAGATCCTCAATGATAGTGGGCGGCACGGTTTCAACGTCTGCGTCCCTCCAGTAGACCCAAGAGTGATCAGGACGCAAAGCAGTGGCCAATAGCCAGTTTCTGGCAATCGCCATCAGCTTACGTCGAGGACCTTGGGCTTGGAATCCATGACGGTCGGAAAATGATTGGCCAATGATTTGTCCAAAGTCTTTTTCGTAGATATTAATTCTGCCGAAATGCATCCAGGGGTCTTTATCGGACTGAATTTTTTTCAGTTCTCTTTTCAGATCTTTGATGGTCGAATCGGAAGTGTCAGAGATCAAGAATGCAAGGTCTATAAGGTTGTGTGGGTACGTCAAGTTTCTCATGTGGCCAAAAAACATTGATAGGTGTGGAGCCGCATCTCTCAAGGGAACACAGAAAAGAACTCTTTCCTGGTGATTCCATCCGTCAGGGGAAGATGAAGCAACCTGTTGCAAGTCGTAAAACTCAATGTTGTAGTCGTCGTAGCTTCCTGACTCACTTTTGTATCCCGACGGGAGATCGGGGTAATATCGATTGCTAGTGCGGTCATTGAAACTGAACAAAGTCAGGACAGAAGGTGAATAGTATGTTATCAAAAAGGCGATGATAGCCACTATCGGCAAAATGGCATATATGATCCACGCCAGGCGAACTAGTAGCGAATGAGAAGCATACTTGTCGCCCTCCTCCTCATCACTCGTGTATTCTTCTTCGTCGTCGTTGAAAGGAAACTCAAACTTGGCCATTCTTTGACGAGGTAGATTCAACTGTACCTTTTCTGCTGACGAAGGGGTTTCAACAGAATCACCTTGAGAGTCCGAAGACAAAGGCGGTTGCCCATCCTGAACCCCCCTTTCGACTTCCCCAAGTAATTTCTCGAGAAATATGTCCTGAGACATCACAAGATGAGGCTGATTGATAAAGACACTTAACTGATTTACCTAGATAGACGGTAAAAAAAATTGTATCAGTTTCGGGCTGTGGAATAAATCCGTTGAGGATGCAATTAGCTATTTAAGGTACATATACACTGGACATCAGTATCACCAAGTTGAATCATAAAACCTGATGAATAGGAACATGCGAGTAAAATGCATTGTCGTTGGTTTTTCGGTGGGCAACTCAGCAGTTGAGGTGAGTTGTATCTATATGGAAAGCCTGTGTATATGTCCGGCCAGGCTCTGCCGTTCAAGCAAGTAGATCTATGTCTTGAAAGAGCTCAAATATCCGTGTATTCGGGCTCCTGACGTAATCGTTGTCGACAATTGTCACCAATGTGAACGAGTCGCACAAAGACGATAGGAATTCAGTTGCTTGTGTAGCTTTCTCGTGTTTGAAAATTGAAAGCCATTTGTCTAAAATCGAAAAAAGCTCATCCTTCCATGCTAAGAAAGAGATTCGTTCCACGATGGTTGGTTGAATTACCTCGGTTCCCGGGAAACAGCCCCAAGTGACTGCAATAATGTCTGAGTCTTGCGTATTGGTAACCAAATGGCCATCTTTGTTAGTGGCATAGAAGGACAAAATGTTAGAGTTTGCTCCCTTGTTTATCTCGTTGATGCGTTCAATCAGCGATCCCACCACTGTGGAGGGAACCAAAAACTCCAAGTACTGTTTCTGGTAAACGTAGCCATTTCTGGGCCCCCATCCGAACACCTTATCACTGGACTTGAGTCCATTGACAGAAGGCTGAGAGTTGATCGTGAGAATTCCGTGCTTGACAATATCCAAAATCTGCTTCCTGGTAGGTTCAATTTCTGCGGAAATCTGGCCATCCGACCAAGGCAAACACGATAGTTCTCCGTTTATGTATCTGATGGTCAGCTCGGCCAAATCTTTGAGGCTGCTGGGAGTTCCCCAAAGTTCAAGAGCTTTCTTGGGAGAGTGTCTGATGAGCTCCGACTCACACGATTCAACAGAAGCAAAAGCAGGAGACCGAGAGTCTCCCCATCTTCCATTCGGGAACTCGTCCCAGTTGGCAGTTCGGCTGATATAAGAGAATTTTCTGTTTTTCCAAAAAATGGGTCTGATTGTCTCCTTGGATCTGTTTGGATTGAGCGATTTTCTCCATGGCTGTTTCATGTCGTGAAGCTGTTGCTTGGTTACCAAATTGAGACCCTGCAAGATCATGAGGGTGGATTTTTCCAGGTTCATGGTGTAGAAATGCAGATGGGTTACTCTTTTGGAGTCGAGCAATTGCTGACACATCTCGATCACCAGCTTTGTTCCAACTTCTCTGACTTTGGCGTCATCGTCCTTGATAGGCTCCAAAGCCTCGCTGAAATGCTTAGGGATCGCAATCTCTGACCAACCAGCTCTTCTGATGAAGGCAGCATATGTACTAATGGGCATGATACCCGGGATTATTGGCATGGTGATACCTATTTTTCTGCATTCATCACACCAGTTGATGAAGTTTTCCGTGTCATAAAACATTTGGGTGACAATGAAATCGGCACCGGCATCCTGCTTTTCTTTCAAATAATATAAAGTTTTCACGGGATCTGATTCTTCGGGGTGACCCTCAGGATAAGCTGCAACGCCAATACAAAAGTGGTCGCCGTAGTGTTTTCTGATATATCTGATTAAGTCTTTGGCGTACTTGAAGTCACCAGTGGACTCTGAGCCGTCCAACGGTGGGTCTCCTCTCAGAGCCAAAATGTTTTGGCATCCACTTTCATATGCCGATTTCAGAGCTTGATCGATCAGGTCTGTTTTCATGTTTGTACAGGTCAGATGCATACACGTCTCGAGGCCCAACACAGATGACGTAGTCTGAACCATCTCTGTCGTGAGTGTGCTTAAACGGCCTCCTGCATTCCAAGTGATATCGATGAACAAAGGATTTAGATCATACATTCTATCCATTCTATCGTACAAGTTTTGGAGACCCTGGCTTGTTTTCGGGGTGAAAAACTCAAAGGAAAATGTTGCCGGTGCATTTTCTTCCTTGTGCGAGTCCAGCAGTTTGTTTGTGACCTTCATCTTCCCCTGATCACCACTTCTTTATACACAAGTATTATTGTAGCTCGAAAAATTTTTCAACAAAAAGCCTCACGCTGGAGATGGTAGCAGCAACGTGGGTAGCAGATTTACCAACAAAGGTTATTCTTGCAGCTACAGTCTACACTACATAACCAAGTTTGTTGTCCGGTCTTCGTATTCGTATTTTGCGGATCTTGTCGATGCTGGCTGCCGCCGAGAGCTTTATTCAGGGGTATTTCTTCCTCGAAACTCCGCATGTGATAGTGCCGGTCGAATAAACGATATTTTGCGTCGATCGACTGTTGAAAATATTTACAGTTTTCATGACTAGTAGCTTCGAGTTTCACCTGCTCCGGGTGACCATGGCTCAGCTTCTTAAAGCGCATGGCTTTGACAAATGCAACAACCGGGCTCTGGATCTTGTCACCGACCTTTACGTGCGGTATTTCCAGCTGCTCTTACAGACCGTCACAAAATACATGGAGGCCCGCAATGACATTGAGCCCAACATCCAGGACATCTCCGACGCTTTCCTGGAGCTCAAGATTATCTCGCCGGCGCGAAGGCTGGACGCCTTTGATTCTGATCGACTTGTTACGCAGGGCTTGAGCAATTTCGAATACTGGTTCCAAAGTGACATGAACACGCGACTACGAGAGGTGGCTAGACCAAACAAAGAGTTTCTCACAGAGCTGGCAGAGCTCAAGAGCTCGATGGATATACACACAAAGATGAACAGTCTGACCGCAGCATTGGGCCAAGCAACCCCAGGACTACACAGGCAGCCGACCCAGCCCCTGGAGCCATTGAGCGTGCCGGCAAACGAAAACGAACCGATCGACGATGGAATACGATTGGACCCGGACTGGATCCGTTTTGTGCTGCGCGGGCAGCTGAGCGAAAAACCTGACACGAAGTTCAAAGGAACAATTCTCGAAGAATATGTTCCGCAAGATTTACAGCAACCCACAGTGACCTCAAATAACGATCATGTGGTCTTTGGACCCACTCCAGAAAACCTGGTGCAACATTTGCCTTACGCAGAAAATCAACAAATGGACGATTCCGATGATATATAGCTTCCCCACTCTATAAACGTCTATTAGACTTGAACTTCTTCTGCTTCCGCGGAGGTTTCTGAACCTTGTTGGAGGTTTTTGGTTTCGATTTGGACTCGTTGTCCGACTCCTCGTCCCAATTGATGTCGTCTCCTTTCTTGTGCTTGTATCTAAGTCTATTTTTCTGGCCTCTGATTGGACCCTGTCTGACAGCCTCCACATATGCATCGATAGAGTCTTTATTGAGTACATCTTCCTGCTCTTCGGCTTCTTCAATGACCAACTTACCATTCTTCGTCTTGAACTCGTTCTCCAATGTCTTTTTCGTGAATTTCTTTGGTTTTGAAGACGAGATGTGAGTCAGTGTCTGCTTGTCCAGCAGATCAAGCGGCATCTCTCTAGACTCGGAAATGTATTGTTGAGACTTTCCAGATGGCTGATCCTCCTCCTCTTCGGACTCAGAATCGCTGTACAGAGCTGCCTCGTAACCAGACATCACTCCTGACTCTGCAGCATTTGTGCCTGTAGCTTGCGACTTCTTTCTCTTGGCTCTGGCCTTCGACTTCTTAATGTTGGCAACAAGTTTCTTGTCCTCCTCGGGGATGCTTTCCTCAACAAGCTCGACTCCGAACTTTCGGATCAGTCTCTCAATGATGTGTTTGACCTTTGATCTAAAATGATTCTTGTGCTCATGAGAGGCGGCCATCAAGTTGGTCAGTAAGCCTTTCATGTTCTGTGCAACCATCTCTTCCGGCAAACTCAAAATCGCAACTTTGACAAAGCCAAGCGTAGCCTTGATGATTTCCCTGTTTTTGGAGGTCAAGAAGAGTTCAACTGTTTGGTATAGTTCGGATATGAACTGAATATCCAGTTTCGAGTGATATTCATACACTAAGCGAGCAAGCGAAGTGATAGCAGCACTGATCATATTCGGAGTGGCTCCCACCAAACCTGCAGAGCAAATGGTGAAAAATTCTTGAAGCGAGGCGGTCGAATCGGGCATCTCGGGATCGTTCATCGAGTTCTTAACTGGGGTTCCTTCAAATTCAGCCATCTTGGCAGCCATCACGATAAGAGTTTCGTAAGCAGACTCTCTGGTCTTCTCGTTCAGACTCTTTGTGCTGATGATCACCTCTGAGACAACAGCAGGAATGAAATGCAGGTTTTCTGCTGGCAAAATCTTGATGATATCCAGAATCAGTGCAAATCTCGCGGACTTGGCTGCCGTCATGGTAGTCTCTGTGGTCTCGAGAAGAAGAGACAAAATATTAGAAATGAAATTCAGAACTGCTTTCTGTCCGGCATCCGCTTCCAATAGCCGACTGACGATTCTGTAAGAACGCTTCTGGATTTGAACGTCCGCAATTTTAACTGTCTGATTGAAGATCGAGAATAACGCATTGTAGCAAGATTCAGGGACGTACTTAGCCATCAAGACTATCAGGTCCATCATGGTGATTGACAATTTCGGAATACTGGACTTCGCAGATGGCTCATCCGTCTTGATCATATCGGTTTCTTTTTCGTCATCCAACGCTTGCTTCAAAATCGAACAAACTTTGTCAAAGGTGGCAGAAAGATCTTCCGGCTTCGAAATCTGCAAGTATGCATCAATTGTTTCCAGAACAAAACCTCTTTGGGCCATTGAAGTTTGAGAGAAAACATTGAACAGCACCGACAACAATTTCGATGCTTTTGTAGCTGAGAGATATTCGATATTCTTTTGGGCTTCCTCTAAGGGGAATTTTTGTGCTAAAACCATATCCTCCAAAACACCCAATGAATAAGCGACATTACTTTCCACCAGGAGCTTGAGAGCATGGCAAATCGTGTTTCTCAAATCGGCTTTTTCATACAAAAGTCCCGCCAATTTAGAAGCAAAATCGTCGGTGAAACTTTGAGTTAAATCGGTAGGAAGATCACAGAAGTGAGGCATGAGAGACCAAATTTGATCCACAATTGTGGCAAAAATCTTGATGTTCATGGACTCTGGATTTCCTTCAGCTATTTTTCGCTCAAAGAATTCCACGTTTGGAAGAATCTCAGAAATGTAGAATCCCAGACTAGCATGTCTTACATTGTCTCTCAAAAGCGGTAGCAGCCAAGCTCTCCCAATAGCTTGTGGATTGGTGAGATTCAATGGAAGCACTTTCAAAACTTCTTCCGGCCCAATCGAGCCGATAGCGACGGCAATAACATTTTCACTGACTTGGTTAAGTTCGAATCCTTCCAGTTCATTGGACCGCCAGTCGCCGATTATTTGTAGATGGCTAGCAAAATAGGGGCCCGCACGAAATCTGAATTTAGCCAGAATGCTTATGATGACTTCACAAATCTCCTTGGCAGATTCCCTATACTTAACCGTCAAGTATTCATTCGTTAGCTCAGAAAGTTGTTCTATAATCTCTTCAACGTTTTCAAAAACCTCCGGAAGTGTCTTTGGCGGTTCAAGAAGGTAATTCACATCAACTGAGTCGGTGACAATTGCAATCAGGCATTGCGAAGCACTGATACGAACATTGGGATTTTCGCTCAGGAAAAATTCACCCACGATTTTGAAGACGTCTGGTAGCTTCAAGATACATTTGTATGCGTCCACAGACTTGGCGTAGGAAGTGAGAGCCCTAGCAATAACGGCCAACCAGGATGGGGTCAGATGCTGGTCATTAAGGGCCGGTTTGAGATCGAATAGCACGTTTAGGACTTGAATAAATTTATCTTCGTCAACCTTGTCATTCATAGATTGGAAGAGTCCTTCGAAAGCTTCAAAGGAGGACGAAACCAGGTACTGGTCACTGGTCTTGGCCACAACAAGAAGAACGTCACAAAGCGGCATTATTTGTCTCAAAGGCCATGAATTGGCCTTTGTAATAGCAGCAATCAATTGCAAGTTGTGTATTATTTCAGTATTGAGCTCCTTATTTTTCTTCTCCTGTTGTTGTCTTTCCAACAATTTGATGACCGAGTTCAGTGCAAATTCACCACAAAGGGTTGAAGCAGGATGCTCAAGAGAAGGCCCAGCCGGAACAGTGCTCAGTATTTTGTGCACAGCCTCTTGTGCTCTCTTTCTAACCTTTGGTCTGTGATCCATAGACAGCTGGAGCAGACCTGTGAGGCCTCTTTTTGGGCTAATCTTATAGTTGTTCGAATTAATCCAAGCACCAGTCTCTTGGGCAACAAGAAGGCTTTCAAGAACACCTATGCTCGATCTCAACAATGGAGCCCCAGACTCGTCACTTGACAAGGCGGGAGCCAGACGTGCGACAATTTCACTGAATTTTGATCTTAGAAGCTGTTTCGGCGTGTACGGAGACACCAAGTCCAGGAAATAAAGAGCCACAGCAGCAAGGTTTCCATCTTTGATGTTTTCACCATCACAGCACTGATCCAAAAGAGAAAGGAAGGAGACAAAATATGTAACGGGAGTCTGCTTCTGCTTTTGATCTTTCAAGTTTTCATCGACGGCCTGAAGCACAAGAGCCAGTTGTTTCTGATTTTCAAGTTTGGAATTCAACTGTGTTCTTATTCTACCAAGTCTCGAGTCCAACTCCATGTCTAACAGGAGAGGATCATCTTCGAAGGTAGACATAATAATACAGAGATAAAAAAAAGCTGAAAAAAAAAAAAAAAAAAAATTTCGATATGCGTGTAAGGGTGTGGTACTGATTTTTCATCAAATAATTTTGAATTTTCAGTATCCAAGACAATCATGAAAGGACTTGTCAGATTGAGATTAGCCCGTATGGGTAGAAAACATCAGCCACTATACAACATTGTGGTGAGCCACAAAAGAACGCGTAGAGATGGAAAACCGATCGAAGTGATAGGAACTTATGATCCGAGACCTAGTCCGCTTACTCCTACACAACAATCGGAGGGAGTGATACCGGTGAAAGATGTAAAGCTAGACTTCCAAAGATCGAAGTATTGGATTTCAGTGGGCGCACAGCCAACTAAAACTGTTGAGGATTTACTTAAGAAAGCTGGCATCCTTTACCCAGAGTGGCCATCTCCCGCGAGAAATGCAAAGGTGACTCCTCGCGCGGAAATTCCAATAGAAGGTAAGAAGTTCGCCTAAATACATGTATATACAATCAAGACCCCTCACTGCATCAGTTTGGATCTTTAAATGGGCCAATTAAATTTTGTGGTCCGACCGGTAACCTTTAGGCTATTTAGGAGACGTTTATAAAAACTTAGGATGGAGAACGTCAAGGTCAAATGGAACCACCATTTGACCTTTGCTAGCAATGACAATACCGGTTCTAGGCTTACAATATATATATAGCGCTATTTTTCTACTGTTGCTCCCTAAACTTTTTAGTTAGCAATGTCCATACAGAGTTTGATCCAAATTTCAGATAAAACGGCGCTAATTGTTCCTGAGACTAAGCTTGAGCTTAGCTACTTTCAGCTAAACAGTATTGTCTATCATCTCCAATCGATCTTCACAAACTCCGTCTCTCCCCTTTCCCGTAAGGGGTCACAGAAACAATTGAGGATCGCAACCTGTCTGCCAAACGGACTCGAGCTGGTTGCCTCATTTCTTGCTGTTGCCACAGCAGGAAACGTGATCACGCCGTTAAATCCAAAATACACAAGATCGGAGTTTGTCGGCTATCTCTCTGACCTGCAAACGGACGCTGTCATCGTTCCTCGCTACGGCCACCTGAAGCCTGACTCAGAGGTTGTTTCTGCTGCCCGGGCAATCCCTACAAAGCCCTTTATTATTGAAATCTGGTACGACACAGCACGGTCCTTGCTTCAGTACGAGATATTCCATCCAGAAACATTGGCATCTATGTACAATTCAGTTATCGACAAATCAGGTCTACCTCCTAAAGAAGCAGGAAGCCAGATGCCAGGCCTTGCCAAAAACACGGATATTGCATTGATATTGTTCACAAGTGGCACCACAGGGAAAGCAAAGAAAGTCCCCTTGACGCATTCCAATCTCACTAGCTCAATGATAAATATCATTAAATCGTACAAACTAAGAAGCCGGGACAGAAATTATGTGATCATGCCTTTATTCCACATCCACGGACTCCAGGTTCTATTAGCGTCCCTCGCATCACAAGGGTCCGTTGTCGTCCCAAATCGCTTTTCCGCATCTAAGTTCTACCCGCAACTAAGAGAATGGAATTTCAACTGGTACTCGGCCGTCCCAACTATCCATATCATCCTGCTGAATCGCCGTCTTCCCAAAGAACTCAAAGGAAAGCTGCGGTTCATCAGGTCTTGTTCCTCCTCGTTGCCGTCAGCCGTCTTCACCGAGCTTGAATCGAGTTTTGGATGTCCTGTGGTGGAAGCCTACGGCATGACTGAGGCATCGCATCAAGTGACTTCAAATAACATACCATTCCACGGCAAGATACCCAGAAAGGCTGGCACAGTTGGCATTCCTCAAGGATCTGTGGAAGTCATAATCATTGATGAAAATGAGGCAAACCTGAACAAGTGCCAAGTTGGACAAGTAGCTATTTCCGGACCCAATGTCACACTGGGATATCTGCAAAATGAATCTGCAAACAAAGAGTCGTTCTTCAATTTTCACGGAAAACGCTTCTTCAAAACGGGTGATCTTGGAATGTTTGATAATGAAGGACGACTAGTCCTCAAGGGAAGAATAAAAGAGATCATCAATAAAGGTGGAGAAAAAATCTCACCGGTTGAAATTGATTCAGTGGTGAGCTCGCATGAGAAAGTGAAGGACTGCGTCTCCTTCGGATATCCCGACAAGAAGTATGGAGAGAATATTGGATGTGGTATAGTTTGCAAGAACGGCACCTCGTTGACCGAAACCGAATTGAAAACGTGGCTTCAGGGTAGATTGGCAGGCTTCAAGCTACCACAAAAGGTTTACATTGTTCAGGAATTGCCCAAATCTCCAACCGGTAAAATTAACAGGAGGCTAATGAGCCAGGTCTTTGGCCTAGATGCAAAAGTTTAGCTGAAAAGCCAAGGTCTGCAATCCCAGAATTCGTCTTTGATTATGTCGCAATGGAGTTTCTTGATTTCCGATTTTTTCAGTTTCTTCTGTAACCTTTGTGTTTGTCTTTTGGACAGGTCTATGTTCGAATCGCATCCGAAATCCAGCTCTCTTACAAAGATGGTACCTTTTTTGTATATTTCTGGCTCGTTGTTATAGTTGATGCCAAACTCCTTGAATAAGATCTCATGCTTGTCTGAACTCAATGTCCCAATAAGCCTATTCTCTGCTTCTTGAGTCGTTAAGCCCCCTTTGACGAGAGACCAGAAGGTAGTATTATACAGATTATTGATGTGACAATCAACTTGTCTCCATCTGAAGTAATCTTTTACCAGTTCTTTAGTTGGGTAGCAAACTGTTCGTGCATCAAAAGTCGGCAGCCGGTCAGGCTGAAGTGGTTTTTCGGGAAACGATTGACTCCAGTAATATTGGTAATATGCAGTAATTGTGGATGCAAATGTTGAGATGAGCTTGAATTCTCTTCGCTCAAACAAGTCGCACTGTCTCTGTAACAAAAATGAGTACTCGTCGGAATCCCCATAGGCCATAATGATATTAGGAATGGTTTCCATCAATTTCAGTGCTGCTGAATTCATCACCTCAAGGGCGCGTAGATCGTTTGGTTTTTCGAAGTCATACTTAGAAGAAAATTTATGAAACCCTCTTCCATCGACACGAATTACTATGTAGGTTTCGGGGAGGAGTATGGACTCTCTTTCGAAATTCTTGACGTACTCGTATCGTGATTTAGCCATAATTTTTTATATATTTTAGGGCGGTGTATTAATTGCAGAAGACGGTAGCACTCCATAGTGCCGTGAAACCCGGACTGTTTTAAAATAGTGACCTCATTTCATCATTCTATTGACAAGCTCTAGGAGTGCCATACTGACACAGGTGTCCCCATTCGAGGCATGACTACTTTATTCGAGTGTGCTACTTGCTAGCCCTTGCACAGACTACATGATAAATACGATTTTTCAATGTCGGTAAATAGTTGAAGAAGTGGGCTTTAGTTCATTAGCAAAAATGTAAAATCACTAGTTTGTGATGTTCAAGTGAAACCTTGGAAAGCTTAGATAGTGAATTTAAATTTCCTCGATACTAGGAATTATGACTGCCGGTTTGATACTGACCTGGGACAACAGAGGCAAAGGGTGCTACAACTCTGTAGCAGCTACGAAGGAGAACCTTTACTTCACGTATCAGTCTGGTACTACGTTGATCTCAAGTAACCTGCCTCTGTCAGGTGTATTGAATTACCACAGGCTTTAAAACTAACAGTTATTAATGTATGGAATTTGAAAATTGAGATTCGTGAACTAGTTTTCTGGCTACACAATGATGACTGTTAGGCAAGAAGTTGTGTGACCTGCTATTTAGAGGGAATTGCATCGGCTCGTATTTCGTTGCGCTCGTGGCACATCAATTCTAGCTTACAATCACCCCTTATCACAAAGATAGATGTCGTGGGATCTGAAAAATTTTATTTGGAAAAATATTTTTTTGAATCAGCTACATCCCAATGACTACAGCCAAGTTCAGAACACTGGAAAGGGAGCACCGCTTCAAAAATCCTCCGAAGGACAAGTCGGCTTTTCAGATGCTCTATGATGCGGTCAGGCCGCATGTCGGATCTTTCAACGCTTTGACAGATGGTCCTGATGGAGGACTTTTGAACTTAGCCGTGAAAGACATTGGAACAAAAACGATTTTCGACACCAATGATGCCACTGGAACGGGAAATAAACTGAGAATAAGAGTTGACTCTGTGCAGATTGCCAAACCGCAAGTTCCATCGACCGACAAACTCTCAGTGGTCAGAAACACCTACCCTGCAGAGTGCAGAGAAAGAATGACAACTTACAGGGCTAGACTCCTTCTCAAAGTGTGTTGGTCCATAAACGACGGCGAAGAGATTAGTGAAGTTAGGGAAGCAGGTCAAATTCCGATCATGTTGCAATCCAACAGATGTCATCTTGAAAACTTGTCCCCTGATCAGCTTGTAAAACTGAGGGAAGAGAGCGATGAATTGGGAGGATATTTTATTGTCAATGGTATTGAAAAACTGATCAGAATGCTTATTGTGCAAAGACGCAACCACCCGATGGCAATCATAAGACCATCGTTCACTAATAGAGGCACTTCGTATTCGCATTTTGGTGTTCAGATTCGCTCGGTGAGGCCAGATCAAACTTCGCAGACAAACGTTTTGCATTACCTTAATGATGGAAATGTCACGTTCAGATTCTCCTGGAGGAAAAACGAATATTTGATTCCTGTGGTGATGATCTTGAAAGCACTGATCGAAACTAATGATAGAGAAATCTTTGATGGTGTTGTGGGAGCCGACACTGGAAACTCTTTCTTGACTGATCGTTTGGAGTTGCTGCTAAGAACTTATAAGAACTACAATCTTTACTCGCAAAAAGAGACTCTGGCCTATCTCGGTGACAAATTTAGGGTGGTGTTTGGTGCTACCCCTGACATGTCTGATATCAGCGTGGGGGAGGAGGTTATCAAAAGGATTGTTCTAGTTCACTTGGAAAAGAACGAGGACAAATTCCGTATGCTCCTATTCATGATTAGAAAACTTTACTCCTTGGTGGCTGGAGATTGCTCTCCAGACAATCCGGATGCAACCCAGCATCAAGAGATTTTGCTGGGGGGTTTCCTCTATGGAATGATTTTGAAAGAGAAAATTGAGGAATATCTCCAAAACATCAGATTGCAAGTACAATCGGACATCAATAGAGGCATTGCAGTGAATTTCTCAGACAGGAAGTACATGTCAAGAGTGTTCTTGAGAATCAATGAGAATATTGGTCAGAAACTACAGTACTTTTTGTCAACCGGTAACCTGGTCTCGCAATCTGGTCTCGACTTGCAACAAGTGAGTGGTTATACTGTGGTGGCAGAAAAGATTAATTTCCATCGTTTCATATCTCACTTCCGAATGGTCCACAGAGGTTCTTTCTTTGCGCAGTTGAAGACCACTGCGGTCCGTAAATTGCTCCCCGAATCTTGGGGATTTCTGTGTCCTGTCCACACTCCAGATGGATCTCCTTGTGGATTGCTAAACCACTTGGCTCACAAATGCCAAATCACCACAAAGGCATCAGACGTCACAAAGGTCCCAAAGTTGCTTCACAAGTTGGGTGTTTCACCGACTGCTTCCGCTATGAATATATCTGGTCCGAATGTCTGCTGTGTTCAATTGGACGGTAGAATCATTGGTTGGTGCTCTCACAAGCAGGGGAAGATCGTTGCTGATACCCTGAGATTTTGGAAGGTGGAGGGACACCACGAAATTCCCCTAGATTTGGAAATTGGATATGTTCCGCCATCCTCTGGCGGTCAGTATCCAGGTCTTTATTTGTTTGCTGGAGCCTCAAGAATGGTGAGACCAGTCAGATACCTTCCATTGGACAAAGAGGATATCGTCGGTCCCTTTGAGCAAGTCTTCATGAACGTTGCTGTTATTCCTTCAGAGATCGAAAGTAATATCCACACACATGTTGAATTTGCGCCAACCAATATTCTCTCCATCCTAGCTAATTTGACCCCATTTTCGGATTTCAACCAGTCTCCAAGAAACATGTACCAATGCCAGATGGGTAAGCAAACCATGGGAACTCCCGGTGTTGCCCTGTGCCACAGGAGCGACAACAAGCTCTACCGTCTTCAATCGGGTCAGACACCAATCGTTAAAGCCAATCTCTATGACGATTATGGAATGGACAATTTCCCCAACGGAACCAACGCAGTTGTTGCAGTCATCTCGTATACAGGATACGATATGGACGATGCGATGATTATCAACAAGTCTGCTGATGAGAGAGGATTCGGTTATGGAGTGGTGTACAAAGTTGAAAAAGTGGACTTATCTTTGAATAGGAAGAGAGGAGATCCAATCACTCAACACTTTGGCTTTGGAGGCGACGAATGGCCTGAAAGCTGGAAAGAGAAGCTAGATAACGACGGGCTGCCACACATTGGAGTTCACGTCGAAGAAGGCGACCCTATTTGCGCTTATTACGATGATATTTTGGGCAAAACTAAAGTGAAGACCTACCATAGTTCTGAGCCAGCTTTCATCGAGGAAGTGAAGCTTCTGGGAGATGACAATGGAACAAGCGAGTTCCAGACGCTTTCGATAAAATACCGTATTACCAGACAGCCATTAATCGGAGACAAATTTTCATCGAGACACGGCCAAAAGGGTGTCTGCTCGAGAAAGTGGCCTCAGATTGATATGCCCTTCAGCGAGACTGGTATCCAGCCGGATGTGATCATCAATCCGCATGCATTCCCATCGAGAATGACCATTGGTATGTTTGTCGAGTCACTTGCTGGAAAAGCTGGAGCGTTACACGGTATTGCTCAGGACGCAACTCCATGGAAATTCAGCGAATCGGACACACCCGCAGACTACTTTGGCGAGCAGCTGCAAAAAGCCGGTTACAACTACCACGGAAACGAGCCGTTGTATTCTGGTGTGACGGGAGAAGAGCTTCGCGCAGATATATACATCGGAGTCGTTTATTACCAAAGATTGAGACACATGGTGAACGACAAATTCCAAGTCAGATCGACAGGTCCCGTGAATTCTCTCACATTGCAACCTGTCAAAGGTAGAAAGAGACACGGAGGTATCCGTGTGGGAGAAATGGAGAGAGATGCCCTTATCGGTCACGGAACGTCTTTCTTGCTTCAAGACAGATTGCTCAACTGCTCGGACTATACACAGACCGCGATTTGCCGCTCATGTGGCTCGTTACTGTCCACGCAAATGTCCGTCCCTCGCATCGGCACTCAGGCCACTACGAGATGTCGTCGCTGCGCCAAAAAGATTGATCGTGTGCTACAAAATATGGATGAAATGGATATTTGGGAGGATGGCCAAGGAACCAAGTTTATTGGAGGTGGGGATACAACCACCGTCGCTATTCCGTTTGTTCTCAAGTACCTGGATTCTGAGCTTTCAGCCATGGGCATCCGCATGCACTACAACGTTGTGCCATAGAGGCCAGGAAATTTTGCAGAGTATAATCCCTACACCGAATGTACAAGTTTTCTTAAAAACTACTTTTTATTAGATCTATCGCGTAATAGCTGCATAAACAGGTTGACGATGAGCGAACAGCATCTGCCACAGGGCTATAATCTGCGTCCACTAGAGAAGGAAGACTATTTCAGGGGCTATTTGCAAACGTTGGAAACTCTGACCTCGGTAGGTGATGTAGATCAGGAGCACTTCAATGACATAGTTGATTACTGGAAGTCACAGCCTAAAACATACAAAAATCTGGTGATCACCGACTACGAATCGCAAGTGGTGGCGGTTGGGTCATTGATTGTGGAATCTAAACTGATTCATGGCTGTGCCAAAGTGGGCCATATTGAAGATATAGCTGTGAGACCTGATCAGCAAGGAAAAAAACTGGGTCTGTACCTGATTCGTCAGCTGATTGAATTAGCTAAAGAGGAAGGTTGTTACAAAGTTATATTAGATTGCGACCCGAAAAATGAGGGCTTCTATGTTAAATGCGGAATGTCCAGAGCTGGACTCGAGATGGAGTACCGTTTCTAGTGCAGGAGGTTTTTCAGAAGATGACCTATTGCGCTTGCTATGCCGTCCACCTTCACCAAGACATTGAACGTGTCGTCAAGGTCGATGCTACTCTCGCCATCGGTATACATGCACTCCAATCTGGATTGGAACTCGCCGACAAATTCGGCGTCGTCACTGTCAAACGCAAGTTTCCAGTTGACTGTCAACTGCTTGCCGTCTTTGGCAATAGTCACAATCTGGCAGTTTTTAAATCGAGCAAACACAGCTAGTCTGTCGTTTTGCAAACTTGCAGAGATATCATTCACATTGTATTCCGCACCAAGGCTATCAAATAGCTGTGTCCAGACTTTCAATCTGCGCTTTGCTAAATTAATATATGAATTAGTTGCATAGATGAAAAGCGACAAGTCTTTTTTGGCACAACATAGCCTGATTAGCTTGTTGATTTCTGCCATCTCGCTCACAATTGAGTGCTTCGATTTTGCGATCTCGAGATTTTCGACTCTCTCTTGTGAAAACTCAACAGCTACCCTGAACTCCAAATAGTATTTGAAATTTATAGTAAATGTAAACTCCCCTGGCCCTTGCTGGACATCAGAGATAACCATATGCGGGTAAAACATTTTGATGAGTTGGAGTCGCCTGTCCATGTCGACTGACGGCAGATTGGAGTGTTCTTGTAGTAGCTGACATGTTTGAAGATATCCTTGTAAGTTGAACTGATTCTCACCAGTTAGTTCAAGTTTGCGTTTTTTGAGCTCATCGACCTTTTGGACCAAATCATCTCGTTCGAACTCCAGGTTCAATATCTGCTGCCTGAGGTTCGAATATTCTTCTGCAGACATCGATTTTCGAATTGTAAACAACTTGATCCTCCTTGACTTTCACGCACGACCTCAAAATAAGTTGAAAAAAATAGCGTTCAAGCCATTAAACGTACTAGATGGTATCCACGCCAGAACTGAAGAAATTTGTGGACAAGAATCTCAAAGTCACGCTCAACTCATCGAGAGTAGTCAGAGGGAGGCTTGCAGGCTATGATCTTTTCCTAAACTTGAACTTATCAGATGCCGTGGAACTGATTACAAACAAACAATCTACAGATGAAGTGAAAGTGGGAAGCTGTATCATCAGAGGTAATTCAGTTATTAGCATAGAACCAGTGGAATGACAAATTTTAAGCTACCGCGTTATCTATACATCTGAAAAGGCTTTATCCAACAACAAATCGTGCGCTGATTCCTCTCTGTCCGCTGAGTCATCAACGAAACTCACTATCCGCTTCAGGTCTTTATAATAGTTGATCTGAAACTCATCCAATTTGTCCTTATACACGCTTGAGAACTTTTCGTCAGCTTGTGTAATCAATAAATTGTCCAATTTGTGCATGCAATTCAAGTGCCCTAATTTTAGTCTTTTTCGTTTGAGGTCATCCGCACGTTTCAGTATGAGGTCTCTCAAAAACAAAGCCATGTAATGATTTTTGTTTCGCTTATTAATCATAATCTTCGAAGTTGAGCCAGACCGTACGTCTGAACTTAGTAAGGCTTCAATATGGCTCAAGTTGAGCTTGATTGGCCCAGTGCTGGTTCTTTTTTTCTTGCGTGCCTTTTCTGCTTGCAAATCGTCACCATGAGAGTTGGATTCAGCGCTTCCTATCCCATTTTCTTCCGTGTGAAGAGCCTGTTTCAGCTTTTTCACATCTGACTCTTCAAGTCCCAAAGAAGTTAGGTCAGCATCCGTATCGTCAGCATCCGTTGACTTCTTAGACTTTTTAACTCGTTTTGCTTTTTTTGATTCATCGTCACTCGGAGCGTCCTCTAAGAACTTGAGTCGTAGATTTTTCATATAAACAGCAAATGCCTTTTCGTTTTCTGTGTCAACATCGTTGATCAACTGAGATGAATTCTGGCTTTGCTCAGGCGAGTATTTTTTCGTTGGTGGCACGAGCTGTCGGAGTTTTTCAACAAGCTCCAAATTATCATGAGCAATCTCCTCTGCCACATTCAGTCTAGAATCAATTGTAACAGTAGCCAGCGGGTTATTGAACGGATTAGCTAAAATCTTATCTGCTTTGAAGTCAGTCTCCAAGAAAAGATATATTAACCACAAAAACCTCTCAACCTCGTCGTTCGGATCTGATTCCGTTTTCAGCCAGATATCGTTAAATATTGATCCCGAAGACATGGCAAAACCCGCGTGGTCCATATTGTCGGTCTCCGTTTGTGACAATTGCTGAGCAGTCGGAAAAAACAGCTTTCCAATCTCGTACTCATGCACACAGAGCAGGAATAGTAAACTGACAACATTCAAATGAAATTTATTGTCCTCGTTCATCCCCAAGATGAACTCCTTGAAATTTTTTGGAACTTCCTGATTCAAGTCGTTGATTGATTTTAGGATTGATTTTATGCGAGGTGTATCTTGTAATGGCTTCACAGCGGACATCGGGAAGTAATTTTTCGTGTCTTCTGTCTTGAGTCTGGCTTCAACAGGATGAAGAACGTAAAACTTCTCGAAAATGGAAGTATGGTCTCCAACATGTAGAGAGGGCACAGAATGATAAGTTCTAAACTGAGATTTCATAGCGTGGTCAAAATTCACGGTCGTGTTCAGGCGGCCGATATTAACAAGGATGCTGATAACTGAGAAATTCAAGGCGTAGCTTAGATCATGCGAAAGGCGATCTTTCAAGACTTTGGAGACCTTGCTACTTTTCATGAGAGTCACAAGGTAAAGCTCAAAGAACGTCAAAGAAGATCCATCATTGAAGTGCTCAGTGCCAGATTCATCTCTATAGTATTTGAAGTGCTCCGGCCAATCGAAATGCTCCCCCGACTTTTTGAAAGGGTTGGTGAATATTCTCCTGTTGTTGAAGAATAACCTCATTAGGAAAACGAAGCGTATATCCTTTCGCCAGTAAGGCTCTCCATCGGCCTTCTTTAAGTGTCTAGTGCGCGAATTCGTCAGTACCGATGGGTGTAACTTCTCTTTAACTCCGTCATCAGATTGTCTTTTGCGTTTTTTCGTATCTTCAGCTTCCGTGATCTTATCTTCCGACTCGACAAGAAGAGGATCCGAGGACTTTGACTGTTGGTCTGCCGGGGGATGAGTGTATTCCACATTGGGATCTACCTGCGTGTTATTGGTTATACTATCATGAACTGGATCAAATGACATGTTTCAAAAGTATTTAAATCTTCAACAACCTCGCTATAGACAAGATGGTGCACGGTTGTCGAAATTCTCGAAGAACCCCAGCGTTAAACTTTTGGACTATTCTGTTATTTCAAGCACGATAAGTGGAGGTGTAAGGATTCGATTATACACGTGCTCCGAGCCGCATGATAATTTAATTACTGCTGCCCTACAAAATTGCAAAGTAGAGAAAAGTTCCATAGGTGATTTTTCTAGTCGAGTAAGTCAAGCCAGCATGTTGTTTGGTGTGAAGCTCCAAAATGAAGTATTTCCTCCATGGAAAAACTACTACATCGATTATGATCATTTGAAGAGGCTTTTGAAGGAAAACGTTATCGAATCCACTGAAAATCATCCGGGATCCTCTTCAGCTATGAGTGCATGGTCTGAGAAAGATGAGGCAGAGTTCGCTTCACAGTTGGACGCTGAATTGGAAAAGGTGTACACTTTCCAAATTTCTAAGTACAAAGAGCTCGACGAGGAAATATCCAAGCTGGAACTTCAAAGCGAGGAGTACTTGAAAAGCATTTCCGAGAAAAAAAGCACCGATCTTGACGCCAAGACATTTCAGAAGAAGCTTGAGGAGCTTTTGTGGCTGGCAAAGGAACTAGATCATTTTGCAAGACTCAATTTCACGGGTTTCATTAAGATTGTCAAAAAGCATGACAGACTGCATAAAGGCTACTCTGTGAAAGCATTATTGAACGTGCGAATGAAGTCGTTGCCATTGAATAACATCAGTGAGGATACGTCTCCATATCTTTTCAGAATCTCAACATTGTACTCTTTTGTTAGAGACCAAATGGGCTCAAGCTCATTGTCGACCTCTCTTCAGAACTCAATTCAAAAACTGTCATCTTCTGGAAGAATATCTACCACTCCGAGCGCATCGTTGAACAATATGGGCCAAAAGGATTATGGATACAAAGTTCTCAAGTTCTGGATCCATCCTGATAATCTAATGGAAATCAAAACTACTATTTTGAGACACCTACCGGTCCTTATATATACCAACCAGAATGACGATGATGATGACGATTACAGTGTGGACCCAAAAATTACATCTCTTTACTTCGATAACAGACAGTTCGAATTGTACAACAATAAACTACTGAAGAATTTAAACAAAACACCCTCGCTCAGGATAAGATGGTCAGGAAAACTAAGGGATAACCCAGAACTCACGATTGAGAAGAAGATCTTTGACTACGACACTGGAACTTCTAATGATGTCCGTCTTTCATTGAAGGAGAAGTACATAGATGATTTCATTTTCCAGAAAGATGCCAAAGATGAACAAGAGGACATGGAGCTTCCAAACCGCCTGAAGAAAAATGCCAATACGAAATTGACTCTGGACAAGTTTGTTAGGAGATTGGAAAAGAAGGGCATCTCAAAGGAATCAATTGATAAGTTATCTTCCAACTTCAAGGAATTGCAACAGTTTATTAGAGAGAACGATTTGCAACCAACCTTGAGAACTGTTCACACCAGAACCGCCTTCCAAATGCCAGGTGATGACAGAGTCCGTATTACAATCGACTCTGATATTTTGTTCATCAGAGAAGACTCTTTTGACCCTGATAGACCGATCAGAAACCCAAGCGAATGGCATAGAATGGATATTGATTCCGCAATTGACAATCCATATTCACTTTTGAGAAAGGGCGAGTACGCCAAATTCCCTTATTCCGTCATGGAAATCAAATTGGCCAACTCAATTTTTAATAACCCTTCTTCCAGAACTCTCGCCTGGATCAACGATTTGACTAATGGGCACCTAGTTAAGGAGGTTCCAAATTTCTCAAAGTTCATCCAAGGTATCTCTTCTCTTTTCTTGGAAGATGACAATTTGGATATTCTTCCTTTTTGGCTTCCAGAGCTGGAAAATGACATTAGGAAAAACCCTGAACAAGCGTATCATGATTCAAGGGAGAAGCAAATAAGGCAGCAGCAACAGGATGAGGTACTCAAGAATCTAAAAAAGAAAGTTGGGGAAAGCCCTAATCCTGTGACCAATACGGGAACGGTGCATTTGGATCAAATTGTTGAAGAGGAAGAGGATTTGGACGATAATGAATCTTCCGACGAGGAGTCTGCCACTGATGTGAGCCCCTCGGGGAAATCTACTTCCAATATGGTTTTAGGTTCAAATACTTTGATGACATCTGGTGCTCCATCTGAATCTAAGAGTCTTGTTGAACCCCCAAAAAAGAAAATGTTGAATGTTGCTTCCTATTTCATACCTGTGTTTTCAAAGGCCTCCAAACTAGAAGGATACGAGTCTGAAGACGAAGAGATTGTTTTGCCACCGGGAGTGGTGAAGCCAAAAACTCTTATCAAGCAGTCGGGTCCAATTAAAGTGGAAGCCAAAGTTTGGCTGGCTAACGAGCGCACATTTGTTCGATGGTTGCACATTACTACCTTGCTTTCGGCATTGACATTCACGATATACGCATCTGTGTCTTCCTCACACATCCCGGTTGTCGCCACCAACATTGCGTACATCTATTTTGCGCTAACCCTCTTTTCTGGAGCTTGGGCCTACGCTATTTACATGAAGAGACTGGAGTTGATCAAGCTCAGATCTGGAAGACATTTGGATGGTGTTTTTGGTCCACTAGTCGTAGCACTGGTGCTGATTTTCAGTTTGTGTCTTGAATACTATGCTGGTGTGAAGAAATACAACGAAAAACACTCTCTGCTCACCAGTGAAGGCTTATTCACTTCTACCAATGATGAAGTGAATGCTCTACATCCAGTAGCAAGACTCATTTTACAGAAAATTGTCTCCTTTGTTAATTCTATATAGCTAATGCGGCAATATCATACCCGTATCATTTTTTCAACAGATTGAGCTTGATAGTATTGACTTTGTCTTTTGTTACAAGATAATCATTGAGTTCCAATCCATCATCTGTCGCTATACATGTCAACAATACCTTCAAGTTAGCAAGTAAGTCGTGGTCGTCGAGCTTGGAAAGATTTTCTGATTCGAACACTTGCTGTAAATTCTTCAATAGTAGGGATAATCCAAATTCAAACCGGATGGCCAGATTACTATTTTGAACAACAAATAGAGGGTAAACGCGGAGCTTGGTTTGCATTTTGGAGACTGGGTCCGTAATATAAGAATTAGAGCCAAGAAATTTAAGTGGATATCTCAAAGGCACGTCCAAATAGTTGGACAGTTTGATCACTAGAAATACCACTATACCAAGTAGTGCATTGGTTTTCTCCATTTCTATGCGAGTCATCTTCAGATAATTCAAGCTTTGGGGGAGTCTGTACCCAAAAAGCGAGAACTCCAAGCTATCAGATATTGTTATAGGGAAGATTGTCAAGAGTGTATTGGCTATTCTGGACTTTTCTTTCGATATTTGCGAGCTTATGGATTCCAGATCCAGTGAATAATGAGCATAATCTTCGCGCTTATACTCTTTCAGTAATGCATGGCGTGTTTCACATTGTTTTGCGCGCTGAATGTCAGTAAGACGATAAATCTGCTGTTTGAGAAGCTTATTGCTTAGTTTTTGATTATCAATAAGCGTTTTTAGACAATTGATGGCCACTGGATTACTCTTCGGAGGGCAAGAGTTTCTCAATAGTGACTCAATTTTATCTGTGAGAACTTTTTTAGAGGAAAGCAAATCCACTAAGCAAACAGTCAAGTTATTCAGCTTCATGATCTGATCAAAGGTGCAGGTGGGCTCCTCATGGAGGTAGCTTCTTGCGCTTTTATTCAGGTGATAGGTTTTTAAATCTTTGATCACTTCTCTAGGCAGGTATGTGCTGGACTGCACGTAGTAGCAGTCATCGTTCAGCTTGAGAAGCAGTAAGTTTGGCTCGTTCCTCAACTTGGATTCAATGACCTCGTAGTCGCTACCGAGATTGACCAAAAATGAAAGTTTCACATTGTAACGTACCAACAATTTCCAATCAGTGTCTATTTTGGCGTAAAGGTTGATAGTGAATGATTTGAGAGATAAACTGGAAAGTTGTATATCGTCGCAAATATGGACCGAGTCAGAGAAAACTCGACTAATATAAAATGGGGTTTTCGTATCTAAAAAATGGTTAACTGTGAAAAAGCACTCCAGAAACATGCGCTTGTTGATTGCCTGAATCTCCAGCTGACGCTCCACAGGATCACTTCCTAGTTGAACCTTGTCTTGGCTTGAAAACTCCTCGTTTCGAGACAATTGAATCAAATCTCCCACCCGACTCAATGTCTTGACCTTATTGTTCTGAGTACTTGCACCGTTGGCCATATTCACAGTGGATTTTGTCTTCAATCTCAGTAATCGGGGATCCTTGCCGGACACATTTGCAGGTAATTTGAGGTTCCTCACCAATATTGCTTGCACGTGTCGTATTTTTCGTTGGTTTCTAGCACTAAAAGCCTGTCGCTGGGCCAGGTTCCAGCTTGTGGATCGTTCGCAATCCAGATGGGGCACGGAGGTCATCAAAGATTTGATATTTTATTTATTTATTTACACTACACAGCCAGTCCGTCATATTTTTCCAATGTCTTTCATGATAACGCTCGCTCATTTTTGCGAGGTCCACGGCCCCTCCATGGTGATATGCACTCAGAATGTGCACTCTGGCGAGCTACTAGACTCTTATTATGGAGCAAAAGTACCACCATCTTCGGTGTGCAAGTCATGTGAATTTATAGTGCCCCAGGAGAGCACAAGTCTCCGGACCCAATCGGGAGATCAAATTTACATCAGTACGCAGCATCCATCATCACAGCCCAGATATGCAGCCCTACGCCAAACGATAATGCGAGTTTTTACAATTGAATCGAATCATGATATGAATAAGCCTTTAAGCTTCGGCGATTCCAAAAACGGATATTCTGTGAGTTTGGGCTTCAAGCTTATAGATGATACCGCTAGGGGGTCGGAAAGACGATATTCCCTTATTTTTACCTGCGACAGCGAACAGAAGCTTTATGAGAACTACTCTGTCATTCTTGATCAGCTGATTGCCATGGTCAAATATATCACAACAAGATCGATGCACATCATAGGAAACCGTCGCAAAAACGAGAATAATAACGAGACGTACCTGCGCAGGGGGTCTCGGATGCCCAAAATCAAAAGCATCATCGAATTGTTGCAGGATGACAACTTCTTTGTAAAATTACATCTGTGGGCCTCGTCATTACTTGACCAATTATAAGTTTAGCGATACATAGCTCATAGAGAGAAAGCAAGAATAATTTTAGGCGACTTCCTGGTCTGGGTAGCTTCTCAAATCCAACGTAAGAGTTTTAGAGGTGTTGAGCTTCTGCTCTCTGTAAATTCCGACCAAAGCATCACTCCGTTCAAAAAGTCCATTTTTCAGGCTGATAACGATGAACTGGAAATCTGGACCTGCGTTCTTCGCGATGTAATTGGCAATTTTGTTCACGTTGGCATTATCAAGGGCGGCATCGACTTCATCCAACACAAAAAATGGTGAAGGATGATGCGAGTGGATTGTGAATAGCAGGGCGAGAGCAGCGATAGTTTTCTCGCCGCCAGAGAGAAGCTCCATGTCTCTAAATCTCTTCATTGGAGGCATGGCATGATACTTCACACCGTGCAAATACGGCTCATCCTCGTCTTCGAGAGTCAGATATGCAGATCCCCCGAGAGGAGAAACGTTGGATTTGGTAAGATCCTTGTAGACGCCATCTATCGTTGCTGCTATGTGATTGAAGGTGTCCATAAACTGCTTGTATCTCTTAGACTTGACAGTTTGAAACTCTGCCGCAATCTTCTTCTCCTCTTGCTTGGCTTCAGAGAACTCTGCTTCCAAATCAGCCAGTCTCCTCTTAACATCTTCGAGTCTTTCTCGCGCCTTCATATTAGGATTCATTGATGACAATTCTGCCGTGATTCGATCTATTTCTGTTTTTAGCTCACTCAGCAGTTCCTCAAGTGCTCCTGACTTGAAGCTAGACTTCAGGCCCGTGAAGTCAATTTCAATCTCGTCTGCAAGCATATTCTCGTCGTTTTCAGATTCGTCAAGAGGAATGTCGTCCATGGAGCCAAAAGATAACGGTAGCTGCACATTTTCTAGCTTGCAATTTTTCAGGATGTTCATCTTTTCAAGCTTGGCTTTCTCAACCACATCTTCAAGGTTGGCAATCTTCTTGTTGATGTCGGAAACCTGCAGACGGGCGTCGGAAACTACATCTTCCAACTGGTGGTAATCAGTCAGCTGTGTCTTGCGCTGGCCTTTAGCTCTTTGCAGCTCCTCTATCAGCACTTCGTGCTCACTTTCAAAGGTGTCAAGATCGTTCTCTATCGTCTCTTTGCGTGAGACCAGCTTGCTATAGTTGTTCTCGAGCTTCGACATGTCTTTATTAAGGCGATCCAGGCGCGATTGATAGTCGTCCAGTCTGTCCCTTTCAAATCCAAGTTTATTCTCAAGGTATTGGATTTGTTTGATGTATCTTGCCTTCTCCTTAGAATGACCCCTCGACTTCGATCCATACGTTTCCTCGTATTCGGAAATGTTCGCAAGGTTGTGTTTTTGACAGAAAGAGGCATATATTTCCTGCTGAACACTTGCGAGTTCCCCATTGGTAGAATCCACTTTCGACTGTGCTTCTGTAAGCTTTTCTTTCAACCCTTGTAGCTCTTTCTCCAATTCAACTTGTATGCTTTTTTGATTTTTGATTTCAGCATTTGTGTCATTCAACAGCCTATCCAGTTCGAGTCTGGCATTTTGCAGTGGAGGAATCTGACCTTCAAATGCCGCTGCCTCATCCATGAGCTTTTTTTCCAAGAGCTCGCTTGTCTTTTTCCTTGAAAGTTCTTCCAATTTGGCCTTGATTTCTTCCTTTTGGGTAGTTAAAGCCTGAATCTCGGATTTGTCCCATCTTCTGCCCCCGTTTTGTGTCAGGCCACCGGTCATAAGACCAGATTTATGAATTAAAGATCCTTCCAAAGTGACAACCTTCACGTCCACGTTCTTCTCCCACTTCACATATTTGGCCACGTCCATATTATCACACACTATTGAGTTTCCACAAACATACTGAACAGCTCTTTCCAATTCAGGATCAAACGTGACAACATCAAAGGTTGGGCGCACATGCTCGTCGATATTACGCAGATAAGCTTGAGGAGGCTTTGACTCAACAGAGTCCAAAGGAATAAATGACGCCACTCCTGCCCTCTGTTCTTTTAAGTAATTAATGCACTTGTTTGCAACACTGAGATTGTCCACAACAATTGCGTCAAAGTTCTTTCCCAGAATTGTCGAGACTGCAAGCTCGTATCTCTTCTGTGTGGGTTTGCATAAATCGCACACTAGACCCCTAACTCCTGGAAACAGTCTTTTGAGTGAAGAGCAATTTTCACGGAGTCTCTTATCTCTGGCAGTTTCCCTTTGGCTGGCATGCAGCTCATTCAATTGAACTAGCACCTCTTTGAGAACCGTGCTCAACTCATATTCTTCCTGAGAGATTTTCTCCTGAGAAGAACGCACAGCATTAAGTTCTTCCTTTTTCTTGTTGAAGGAATTTTGCGCGTCATTGATTTGGGAGACATTTTCTTGAATTTTAGAGCCTATCTCTACCTTTTCGGTTTCAAGGTCGCTAATTCTTGTGCTGACAATTTCGTTTTGACGTGAAACATTCTCAATTTGTAGGTTTAGGGAGTTCACCGAATCTTCAAGGTCGAGCAATCTAGACTCGATATGTCCACCCTTCATGAGAAAATCCTCTCTCAATTTTTTGTATTCTTCTAAAGCTCCGGAGCTCAAAGTCTCCACCGTACTGGCCTCAAATTCTTTTACGTAATTGTCATAAGCCTTTTGGATTGTAGCTAACTGCTTCTCGATTGTGTCAACAATCGCGCTCTGTCTTTCGTGGTCATCGGATAAAGTTTCAATTCTCCTCTTATAATCACTAATTTTTTTGGATAATTGCAAGACCTCAGACTTGAGAGGGATTAAAGCTAGCTGTTTCTCTTTAATTAAAGCAGCCTTTTTCGATATCGATTTCTCAATTTTGTGGTACTCGCTATCATCCTTGTTACGCGTCTTAATCACATTTTTCATTGCAGCTTCATTGTCTTTCAACACCTTCTGCAAATCTTTCAACTCATGAGTGGCGGATTTGAGTTCACGTATACTTTGTTCAAGCTCTTTGTTATTGTGATATAGCTCAGTTAAATATTTCGTCAAAATGAAGTCGGAGAGTTCTTTGCTTTTCAGGTCGAACTGTTCAATTTCGAGAGATTGGTTTTTGTATTGATTGAACTCTTCCCGAAGTGCCTTTTTTCTCGAGTTCAACAATGCCGTGGTGTCGTGCGCTTTCTCTTTCTCTTCCATAAGCATATCGTAGTCTTTTTTATGATCAATCGAACCACTAATAGTCTCGATCAACCGTGTAAGCTCTTCTGGTGATTGCGAGGCGATCTTTTCAACGTCTCCCTGAAACACCAGGAAGTTCCTAGCTTTGATCAAGATATTCTCTCTCTTTAGCACGTCTGTGTACTGAATCGCGCTCACTGTTTTGTTGTTTATTCTGTATTCACCGACACCTGCCTCATTAATACTTCTTTTGAGCTTCAAGATATCTCCATTTGATTTTTCGTAAATGGCCATCACGTATGCTGTAGAGGGATCATTTTCTTCTTCACCACCATCGTCACTTTCGCCCAGAACCCTCCCCCTGTAAATCAGGTCTTTCAGATTATTCGATCTCAAATGGCTAGATTTGATTCCCAACACAAACGAGATCGCATCCATCATGTTGGATTTACCCGATCCGTTAGGCCCAATGATGGAGGTAAAAAACGAGCTACCAAATCCAATGGACGAGGTACCCCTATAGGATTTAAAGTTGTGTAGCTCAAGACCAACGAGTCGCCCCATTATCACTGAATTGAAATCTAGTTGACTGTTCTCAATATTTACGCGTTAGCTTTTTTTTCCCTTTTATCTATTCTAATTTCTACGCGTTGCAAAATATATGGAAAGAAAATAGACGCGTCTATTTTTTCATGAGTTCGCCGTTAAGTTGGGCCTCAAAAATATCGAAGTCGTACACCTCTTCTGTCAAACCACTCGACTCACCTTTGAGGTATGCCTTAACTGCATCTCCCCAGAGAACCTTGTTCTTATAAATAGCAAAACCATCTGACAAACCGTCAATGGCGCCGCAGAAGTCCTCAGCCCTATTCTCGGCTTTGATTTTTGTCACTGGAGTGGTGTAGGTCCTAATAAACATGACGTCAGCCTTGGTCTTCGGTAATCTTGTGAAACATTGTTTTTCGACACGCATGAAGACTTTGTTGAAATCGAGATCTTCAGGAGAAAGCGGCTTGACTGACGCAGCTGTGCGGGTTCCATGATTCATAGAAGGCGCAAATATGTTAGTATGTGCCTGCATACTCCAGTTGTACCTAACAACGAACTCGTTAACACGAAGCCTCTCAAAGAATTTGTTCATTGAAACTTTCAGCCGTTCCAGATATTGTGGGACAGGACCATGAATTGCAGTTAGTGGCTTATTGAACTTTTCACCGGGAACAAACCCATTCGGGTAGCAGGACACTCCTGCTCTCCAGACATACTCGTTTTCTAGTTCACCTTTCTCTCCATTTTTCAGTAAAATAATAAAGTCTTCCTCAATGGTGCGTCCAAGAAATTTGAGGACCTCTAGTCGATCCTCCGAGGCAGGATCCAGTGGAAAAGACTCATCTTTGATCTTGTTATAAAAAGTGGCACCATTCTCCTTGACATGGAAGTACATCGGATATCTCTTCATTAGGAAATCAGTAACGGTGCAATATAACTCTTTCAGGGCCGCTTCTGCGCTAGGATGGCAAGCCATAGAGATATCGGCTCTTTCATTCATAATCCTTTCTCTGAGTTTTGTGGACTTCAAATAGGTATTTTCAATCACAATGATGTTTTGCGGATCAGCTCTCTGTATAGCCATATTGACCCTGTAAGGTGCGTTCTTAAAAGGCCTGTAGGGAGCCGGCTCCTCCTTTTTCCAATCGAAATTCGGATCAACAGGCTCAATCGTCACTTCTGGTAGCACATCCTTGACTGAAAGTTTTGACTTTGTTGGTCGCTCAAGAGTGCTTCCATCAAGCGGCCTAACAGGACGTGGTAGCAGCCTTGATTGTATAGCAAATGCCGAGAGAATTAGCGACAATGCGACCAACAGCATTGGCCCACTATATGGCCTGAAAAAGTCAGGGAGCTGTGAAAGAATAACTTCCATTGAAGAACGAGACCTGATATCTTATTACATTTATACCAATAAGATTTCGCTTGTTTCTCAATATAGGGATTAGATACACGACGGCAAAATCAGAATTGGAAAGATAAGCTTTTTCGAATTGAGATATGCGGTGTAAGGGTGTAGTTGGAAGATAGATTAGGGTGATCTTGGATCTTCCTCTATTCTTACAAGTTATTAAACGTTACATGTGTTGACTCACAACATGCGGTCGATTTCCGTGGTGGTAAACCTGTCTAGCTCATCAAGATGATCCCACCATTTGAATAGATATGATTCGCAGATCAACTTGAACCATGGGGTGAACACCAAACTTGGATCCTTAAACATCTGTTCAAGCTCACCTGCTGAAACATAACGGGTGTCTTTCACCTCGTTTGGGTTCGCCTTAAAAGCTGGATTAGCTTTGATTATTAAAATGTAATCAATCTCGTGCTCTCCCCATGGCCCGTTGCTAGGTGCCATGTAATGAATTCGCGTCAAAAACTTGAAGTTTTCAATAGGGACATCCTTCGGATCGATTCCCAGCTCCTGCTCTAGTTTCCTTTGAGCTGCAGTCTTGGCTCCTAGGATAGATGAGTCCAAGTCTAACCCCAATTCAGACCGAACACAAAGAGGATGAGAACAACATGTGTTAGTCCACATGGAGGGAAAAGTAATCTTCTCGTCCGCTCTTTGCTGTAAGAGAAGCCTGTTGTTCGAGTCGAATAAGAATACTGAAAATGCTCTGTGGAGCAGTCCCTTATTGATATTATCCATGATATGACAAAGCTTTTTCGTTCCAGCACCGATCGCTCTATCATCATAATCTAGGACGATACAGTTCTCATCCATGAGTTTGATTTGCTCTTCGTCATGACCTCGAAAGAGAGAGTTGTATGTGGTAGAGCCGTTTGTCGTCGAGGAAGAAGACTCTCCAGTGGTGGCTTCCAAGGGCGTCACTTCGGGGAACATGGTCAGAATATCTTCTCTGGTGAGAGACTTAACTCGCTGGTGATATTCAGACAACTTGCTCATGGTGGGGTTGCTCTAACGATTGACAAAGTGAGCCCTCTTTCCGTTAAGTATATTTTTTTTTTCTAAAATCCTACAATTTAAACGAGAAGAACACATATAATTGCTGTCAATCTGAATTTGGCTTGGACAGAGGATACAAGGTTAAGTATATTGTCTACTCAGCTCATCGACTAGAGCAACCGTCTACTGTCATCAGGATTTCAAGAGTCATGGTATCCCAAATCCTGGTATCAGTAGACCTGATTTGATTCGCATTTTCAACATCCTTACACTTGCATCAGTCTCTGTTCTTCGATTTCTTTTTCTGTCAATCCTATTGCAGGAAAAATTTTTGTGAAAATTTTTTTTAACATTTCTTTTACGTAACTCTAATAGTATACTAGTGCGTGTGGACGAAGGATAAAAAAATTTTTTTTTTGTACAAAACAGTTTGCCCTTTTTCTATATTAAAACCTTTGTTTCATCAAAAGAGTAGTCAGAATGTCCGCTGCTGCTGAATCGAAACAGAGCGCAGAAGTTTTGTCTGAATTGTTTAGCAAACTTGCTGTTGCTGCGCCAGAAGAGAGAGACTCTGCTGCTACTAATGTCGCTTCTTTCCTCAACGGTGAAATCATCGAGCATGATGTCCCATACGAATTTTTCCAAACTTTGGAAAAGGCTATCAAAGACAAGAAGCAGGCCGTGAATGCTCTTGTCACTGTGAGACATATTGCAAGTGCTTCCGACTTGTCCCCCTCTGTCGAGCCATACATCGTCGGCCTTGTTGAGACCATCTCATCGAAGGCAGGTGACAAGCAGCAAGATGTTAGAGATGCTGCTGCTGCCGCCCTGCTTGCCATTGCCAGAGCCGTCACTCCGGTTGCTATCAAGGATATCTTGGCTCGCTTGATCAAGTGCCTGCACGAGACCGCTAAATGGCAAGAAAAAATCGCTCTTTTAGATGCTATTGCTGTTTTGGTCGAGACTTCCAAGGCTCAGCTTGCTCTTAGAATGCCCGAGCTTATTCCGGTGCTGTCCGAGGCTATGTGGGATACCAAGGTTGATGTCAAGAAGGCCGCCACTGAGACCATGACCAAGACCACTGCTACCATCGAGAACAAAGATATTGAGCCTTTCATTCCAAAGCTCATTAGCTCTATTTCTGATCCAACCCAGGTTCCAGAAACCGTTCACGCTTTGGGTGCCACTACCTTCGTTTCCGAGGTCACCACCGCTGCTTTGTCCATCATGGTTCCATTGCTTTCTAGAGGTTTGGCCGAGAGAGACACTTCCATCAAGAGAAAGGCTGCTGTTATTATCGACAACATGTGTAAACTGGTCGATGACCCACAAGTTGTTGCTCCATTCATGGAGAAGCTGTTCCCAGCTTTGAAGACTAACTTGTCTACTATCGCTGACCCAGAGGCTAGATCTGTTACCGAGAGAGCTTTGAACACTCTTAGAAGAGTTGGTGCTGTTCCAGCTGATGACAGCATTCCGGAAGTCTCCACCGCCGGTGATGTTGATGTTAACCTTGCCATTCTGAAGGACTTGGTCAGAGACAAGCCAGCTAGATTTGACATTGTTCAGAAATACGTTGCCGCTATCGCTGGTGATCTGATTGACGAGAGAAAGATTGATCCAGAAGCTTGGTCTTCCGCTTTGACACCATTCTTGACCATTTTCTTGCACGAGAAAGAGTCGAAGGAGATCATTGAGGAGTTCAGAAAGAGATCCGTTGACAATATTCCTCAACCACCAGTCTTTGAGGACGAGGATGATGAGGGTGAGGACCTCTGTAACTGTGAGTTCTCTTTGGCTTATGGTGCCAAGATCTTGTTGAACAAGACTCAACTTAGATTGAAGAGAGCTAGAAGATACGGTCTGTGTGGTCCAAACGGTGCTGGTAAGTCTACTCTGATGAGGGCTATTGCCAACGGTCAGGTTGAAGGTTTCCCAACTCAAGAAGAGTGTAGAACTGTCTACGTTGAGCACGACATTGACGGTTCCCACGCCGAGACTCCAGTTGTTGACTTCGTTTTGGACCAGAACACATCTCTTGACAGGGACACAGTGAAGGCCAAACTTTTGGAATTCGGCTTTTCTGAGCAAATGATCGACATGCCAATTGCTGCTCTTTCCGGTGGTTGGAAGATGAAGTTGGCTCTTGCTAGAGCTGTGTTGGCTAACGCAGATATCTTGCTTTTGGATGAGCCAACTAACCACTTGGATACCGTCAACGTTGCTTGGTTGGTCAACTACTTGACCACTTGTAACATCACCTCCATTATTGTTTCCCACGACTCTGGATTCTTGGACAATGTCGTTCAATACATCATTCACTACGAAGGATTCAAGCTTAGAAAATACAAGGGTAACCTTTCCGAGTTGATCAAGAGAGTTCCATCTGCCAAGTCTTACAAGGAGCTTTCTGCATCTGAGGTCGAGTTTAAGTTCCCAGAACCAGGTTTCTTGGAGGGTGTTAAGACCAAGCAAAAGGCCATTGTCAAGGTTTCCAACATGTCCTTCCAATACCCAGGTACCAGCAAGCCTCAAATTTCCGACATCTCTTTCCAATGTTCGTTGTCGTCGAGAATTGCCGTCATTGGTCCAAACGGTGCTGGTAAGTCCACCCTGATTAACGTGTTGACTGGTGAGTTGCTTCCAACCAGTGGTGAAGTTTACGTCCACGAGAACTGTCGTATTGCTTACATCAAGCAACACGCTTTCGCTCATATTGACTCGCATTTGGACAAGACTCCATCTGAGTACATTCAATGGAGATTCCAAACCGGTGAAGACAGAGAGACCATGGACAGAGCCTCTAGACAAATCAACGAGAATGATGAGCAGGCTATGAACAAGATCTTCAAGATTGATGGTACCCCTAGAAGAATTCAAGGTATCCACGCTAGACGGAAGTTCAAGAACACTTATGAGTATGAGTGTTCCTTCTTGTTGGGTGAGAACCTTGGTATGAAATCCGAGAGATGGGTCCCAATGATGTCTGTCGACAACGCTTGGTTGCCAAGAGGTGAGCTTATCGAGTCCCACGCTAAGATGGTTGCCGAGGTTGACATGAAGGAGGCTTTGGCTTCCGGTCAATTCAGACCTTTGACTAGAAAAGAGATCGAAGCCCACTGTGCTATGCTGGGATTGGATGCTGAATTGGTGTCCCACTCTAGAATCAGAGGTCTATCTGGTGGTCAAAAGGTCAAGTTGGTTCTGGCCGCTTGTACATGGCAAAGACCTCACTTGATTGTTTTGGATGAGCCAACCAACTATCTGGACAGAGACTCCTTGGGAGCTTTGTCTAAGGCTTTGAAGTCTTTCGAGGGTGGTGTCATCATCATTACCCACTCTGCCGAGTTCACTAAGGACTTGACTGAGGAAGTCTGGGCCGTTGTTGACGGTAAGATGACTCCATCCGGTCACAACTGGGTCCAAGGCCAAGGTTCTGGTCCAAGATTGGAGAAGAAGAACGACGACGAGGAAGACAAGTTCGACGCTATGGGTAACAAGATTGTCACCACTAAAAAGAAGACTAAGCTTTCTTCTGCCGAACTGAGAAAGAAGAAGAAGGAAAGAATGAAGAAGAAGAAGGAATTGGGCGACGCTTACGTGTCTTCTGACGACGAATTCTAAGCTCCTCCTCCTATTATCAAAAGCCTTTCTCATCTCCCTTTCTCATCCCCCTCTAATTGTTCTTTTTATCTAGGCTCTTACTGATAATCAATACAATTTATATACTATCTATCTTTTCACTGTAGCCCTTTTCACGTGATTGATGGGATCTCATATATATTTTATATCCTTTTATTTTTAACGCTTCTTTCTGAAACCATGAACGATGTATTTTGATAATTTACTCATTTACGCCTGTCTTTGTTCGCTTGTCCTATCCGCTTATACTGGATTCCAGCCAGCTGCGGAGTTGAACACGACATGGAACGTCACAAATGAAACTCAGGCCACCAATTCTTCCCTTCCAGCTTTGAGACATCAAATAAAGTGCCCTTCCTATCCGCTTCTCCGAAGTGGTGACCAAATAAGTCTTGAAGAAAAGAATTATGTCATGCACAGGAAGCAGGAAGCCAAAAAACATGTTGTTGACCTTTTCACTCGCTTTAGCATTGATGAAATAAGTTCCGCATTTTTTGACAACTATACCCCCAGTATAGCTATAAGCTTATCGGGAGGCTCATTTAGGTCTTTCCTTACTGCTGCTGGTGTTTTAGAAGCATTTGACTCTCGGACTCCCGGAACAACAGAGTATGGTTGTCTTGGAGGGTTATTGCAATCGACCACTTATATGGCTGGAGTCTCTGGTGGTTCGTGGTTGATTCTCTCGCTAATGCAATACGATTTTGGACCTATTAGTGAGCTGAAATCAAATGGATCTTGGAAGCTCAACTCATCATCATTGCGAGGGCTGCCCGAGCTCAGCATCAATTTCAAAGACTCTCAAAGACTGTTAGGGGATTTTCCAACCGATATCCCGACAATTACTGTGAAGACATCAAATTCATCATCGTCTTTTATGGTATACTTCAAAAGTTTGTTCAGGCTCAACCAGTTGAAAAAGAGCAGCAATGAAATGGACTCAATATGGAACGAAGCTTTACAATTTTATGAGACGCTACACGAAGAGGTCTCGCGACGCAAACAACATGGATATAAAACCTCTCTTACAGACTACTGGGGCAAAGCTATTGGTGATATTATCTTCTCCAGCAGCGGTCCCCACGATATGACAATGTCCGGCGCGAGAAGCTTATCAAGCTTCAAGAATCATACGCTACCTTTCCCAATCATCCTGACCAATTCTAAAAACGTCGACAAATCGAACGAGGGTCACAGAAGGATATTTGAGTTCAATCCATTTGAATTTGGATCTTGGGAGGAACACCTTAAAGCTTTCGTAAAGTTGGACTACTTGGGAACAAAGATGTTGAACGGCAAGCCACTGACAGGTTTATGCACTATTGGTTACGATGAAATGACCTTCATAGCCGGAACTTCTTCAAGCTTATTCAATAGTATTCTAAGTCACTTATGGAAATATATGGCTAAATCAAAGAAACAAACTTATGACTCTATGAAAACCATTCTTAATGTCTTTGGATTGACTTCCTGCGAAGACATCAATGCCAACAAGTACGTGTCAGATTATGCGCTCATCTATCCAAACCCATTCTACGGTTATGGCAATACAACTCTCTCAAGCACAATCCGAAATTCCACAGATTTATATCTCGTGGATGGAGGGGAGGATGAGAACATTCCTTTCCAGCCATTCCACCAAAGAACAAGGAGCGTTGACGTAATTATCGCAATCGACTCAAGCTCTGATCTTGACAACTTTCCTAATGGAACAAACATTGGCTTCACGTCAAATCAATATCAAAGCTCAAAATCGTTTTTTGTGTACGACGAAAAACGCTATGCCGTATTTCCCAATATCCCATCTCCTGATCTGTTTGTTGAGAACAAGCTTAACAAACGCCCTGTGTTCTTTGGTTGTCATATTAAGTCAGCTTACAAATATTTGGGTGAAGCATCAAAATACTCCAATGAAACCTCAGAAAGCTGGCTGCCCCCGCTAATTGTGTATATACCTAATACTGGGTATACAACAAATTCCAATAAGTCAACATTCAAGTTGAGCTATGAACAGAATGAGATGGCAATGATGATTGAGAACGGGTACTCGGTGGGAACTTACGGGAACAACTCCTATGACCAAAGCTATTTTCAGTGTATTGGGTGTGCCATCATCAAACGGGAACTAGATACGACAGGTAGGGACATTCCTGATACATGTCAAAAGTGTTTTAAGAATTTCTGTTATAATTAAGGTTCATCGATCATGCTTTAAATTTTGGTGGAATCTTTGATAGTCTAATAGGAAACCTTTGATTGTAACCCGAGCCAGCGTCTTCATGTTCAATCTCATGTAAGTGATGCAATAGTTCGTGCTCAACATCTTCTGCATGTTGCACCATCACGTCGGGATCATTTTCTGCATGATACTGGATCCAGTGATGTTTTTCATACTCCTCCTCGAAATCATACTCGTGCCCTGGACCGTATCCAAAGTCTGGGAACTCTCCGCCTTGACTAGAATATTCCATCCACTCATCAAAGGAAATTTCTCCATCTCCGTCTTTATCAATTAAGGACATCACTTGTTTAACAAGGTGATTCTTCATATCATCTGTGATGACCTCGGTGTCGTCGTGAGAACCGGTACCATCTCCCTTCCCAACCACTTCCTCTCTCAACAACCCGTACATTCTTAGAATATCAAGTTTGCCGAGACGTTTGACATTCCTTGTATCGTGGAGAATAAACACAGATTTAGCGTCGGCATGATCTAGATCATGCTCTTCTTTCATGTGCCATCTTTGCCATGATCCCTCAAATTCGTCCGGAACTTTCTCTTTCAATTCCTGGCTAGAGGTTCCTTTTTGATGTGCGAGAGCAAGCGAGGCCAAAAAGAGTATGCTGAAGATATTCATCATTCAATTTTAAGAGCTTTACATTTTTATTTCTGATTTAACTAATATTTTCTAACGTCGCGTCGACTAATCACTCTATTCGTTAACTATTCTTTGTAATTTTGCGTGCAAATCCTCCAAATCATAACTAGTATCATTATCTTTATGTGGAGTGACTCCAATGCAATCAATGCCCAATTCCCTTATTTCTTTAGTATCCACCTTGATTTCATTGGAGGGTGCGAGGTGAACTAAGTGTGTAACGAAAGAGGCGTAGGAAAGTGTTGATTGAGATGTCACATTTCGTCTCTCGCAGCTTGTCTTCATTGAATATACCAAAGCCTTGTGTACAGCTTTAATGAAACCTAGGGCATCTAATGACTGTGTTTCACGATCCAATGTCCCGTTGAGAAGCAATATTTTTTTCTTATTACTGTTCTCGAGTATAGCTTCTCCAACTCCTTGTAGAATAAGAACGGGAATTATAGAGGTCATTAAAGATCCAATGGAATACACAATCACATCGCAATTCGATAGGCATTGAAGAACACGCGATTGAGCCACAGGATATATTTCTTCACCATATGGAGAGATATAAAATATTCTTTCTATCGGTGCTGGCAGCGGTGCCGTGTCGTCTTTATCCACATGCAATTGAGACTTCCTGAGGTCTGGATGAATGTAACTCGGCACTGCAAACTCGGTTTCATCTTCGGTATCGGAATCTAAGGCTTGATTATGTTTGGCTTGGCTGGAAACTCCGTACAAGATTGCTTGGCTACCTAGTTTATCAGCAGGAGCGGTAAAGTGTACATTTTCCAAAAGTGATGAATACGTGTGAGAAGGGGAAGCTTGTCCTGAGGGAATGATAGGTGGCGGGTGTATTAGAGAGTCGGATCTCACTATAGGAAGAGAGAATCCTGGTTGATTGCTGTCTTTGTTAACCTTTAACTTTGAAGGGTGTGAGATCTGTGACTGACCTGTAATTATTGTACCATCTTTCAATAGTGCACTGATGTGGAACGTGAAATTCGTGTTGAGACAGGGAATAACGTGGAGTCTCGATGAGACTCTGGCAACGCGTAAAATTAGCTCCACTGCAGAATCCAAAGATCCACAAAAAAGTCTTGCGCCGGTGAGAAACAGATTCCCAATGCTGGCAAGCTCAAGTCTGAAATTCTTTGTACTATTCCGTGACCGTTTCAGAATTTCCATGTGAACGTGGATCAGAAAACTCCTGATGATCTCCTTACATGCGGGATCCACGTCAGACCACAGCTCGTGTGAGCCTTCAACTATTGAACCCCATTCTAATTTGGCATCTGTGGCTTTGCTGGGAAGCCTGTGGGAAAGCAAATTACGGATTCCTTGACTTTCATTAGGAATAAGTCTCACAATTCTTGACCTGAGGTCTCCAACAGAGCAACCACCTAACACTCGAATAATCTCAGATGTAGAACCACCGTTGTCTGAGACGGGCAGAATATGCGAGACCGAAGCAGTCTGGCCCTCAGACCCTGATAGATCTTGGAACACATCTAAGATTGTGTTCGTCGCCGTGCCCCCTGAAATAACAGCCACGTTAACCATTAGAAGGATGTTATCAAATAGTGTGAACTTTTTTTGTGGGTGTCAGTAATCAGGAAATTCTTGAGTCCGGGAACAAAGTACAGTTGCCCCTAGATAGTGCTTGGGCTCAGTAGACATTGCTATCTCTTCAATAGCGTGTAGCTTCGGAGTCATTGGCATTGTCCGCCAATCACACCTTTGCACCAAATATCACAAACCTTATTATAGTGCTCAAGGAACCGTGTTTTTTTAGTTTTTAGCAAATAATGTCTCCTCCTGCTATTATATTCACCGATTGGGACGGTACAGTCACCCTTCAGGACTCTAATGACGTCTTGACTGACAACCTTGGCTTTGGTTACGAAAAGAGAAAGGTTTTGAATGACCGCATGCTGAATGAGACTCTTTCTTTCAGGGAGGGTTTCGACGAGATGCTCAGGTCAATTCCTGCAAACGGCCATTCTTTCCAAGAGTGTATTGACTACTTGCTACAACATATTAAGCTGGATCCGGGTTTCAAAGAGTTCTATTACTGGTGTCACGAAAACGGAATCCCTCTTTACGTTATCAGCAGTGGCATGTCCCCAATCATCGAGGCTTTGTTGAAAAAGCTTCTCGGCCAGCAAGTGATGGACCACGTGACCATCGTTTCCAATGGCGTGGAGATCAATGGCAATGACTGGCACATTGTTTATCGTGACGATACTCCATTCGGACATGATAAGGCCGCGTCCATCAAGCAGTGTCTTGAGAACTACGATCTTAGTAAGAAGCCATACTTATTCTATTGCGGTGATGGAGTTTCCGACTTGTCGGCAGCGAAATCCTGCGATCTGTTGTTCGCGAGAAGAGGAAAAGATCTGGTTACTTTCTGTATCAAGCAGAAGATTCACTTCACCCAATTCGACTCATTCAAGGATATATTGAGCGATGTCCAGAAAATCGTTTCGGGTGAAAAGAAACTAGAGGATTGTTTTGAATAGAGTTGATAGATCATTAATACACAGAGCTGCTGTCAATAAATATACAATGCATTGATGTTAACTAATAAGAACCCACATCAAAAAGAACAATATGAGTATTCCAAAAATCTTCACCATCAACCACCTGTTACTGGTTACCGTGTTGTAATACTTCAAAAGTTCCCTCTGTGCTCCGCTGATGTTAAGACTAATGTCTTCAACGTTGTTGTCTATTCTCTGTATAACCTCGCCTTGCTCTTGAACCATTGTTGCCAGTTGTTGAAACAAACCACCAACCTCATTAATCGTAGACTCAATTGCCTCCACTGCTCTATTCCTCTCCTGCAGGTACTGATTACTCTGTTCTTCGAGTAGCATGAGCTGCTGGGATTGATCTGGTATAGACAGATAGTCTTGATTTGGTACCGACCCACTTTGCTCTTCATCCATTGAAGATAGAAAAGGATTTTCAGAAATTTGTGTTCCCTTCTTTCGCAAAGCGTATGGCAGCAGTTCATTACTTTTGCCGTTTACTCCCGTGTCGTTGAGCGATCCATTCACAGAGGCGAGTAGCTGTTCTTGTCGGGATTTTTTTGCCAACTCATTGCGCTGTCTCGTTTGCAACACCTCTTTAAACGTCTCGCTGACGTTTTTCACTTTTGTGTTCAGCAACTGCACAACATTCTTGGTATACGTGTTTATTTGTTTATCGCCGGACGACTTGGTTACGCTCGACTGTTGAAGTTCTTTCAACGATCTTTCGATCTTGAATATGTCTTGCTTGATAACATATGTCAACTCGATCATGTCTGTGGGTTTGTCATTGAATAGTTGTTTTTGCTTTGCAAGTGCTGCCAGCTTCCCTAAAGAACTGGTGACCCGAGCAATGTCTTTAGCGATAAGACCAGCCTTCCGAGTAAATTCGCTCCGTTGAGATTTTGTAGGACCATTCTGTGTAGTCACTGGTGATACTTTGTTGTGGTTCTGCTTATTAAAAGTTGACACACACTGGAGGAATTCGAGCGTTCTATCTTGAACATTGGGAGGATATACGTCCATATTATTACACTCCAAATAATTTGATACTAAATACATTTTAACAACAGACGATTATTTTGGACGGGCTGCAAACCAAATTAGATAGCACCTTATATTCTCCCTGGCCGTATAAACCCATTTTTACAAATCAACCTTCTGACCACAATCGTCACAGAAAAAGAAAATATTGCTGTGCGCATCCCCATGGGACCTAGCTGTGAACTTCTCGGAGCCACAATTGTCACATTGGACTCTTGACTTCACCGATTCCGAAGTTACAATGGAATCTGACGTTTCCTGTTCTTGATCCCCGTTTATTGTCTCCTGAGACGTTTCTCTATCATGCATTGATACGGCATTAGTCACTGGATGGTTATTTCTGAGCGAGCTATCGTTTTCGTCTGTGGTTGAGATAATTGGCACATGTCTGTTCTCCAGTCTAGAAGAAGCCAAAATTTCTTGAAGCTTCACATCAATGGACCTCACTTTGGAATCGGACAGAGTTGCATCTGAAGCTGCCTCTGGATTTGGCATTTTTGCAATCTCATCTGTAGATGTGAACAGAGATCTATCCCTGTTCGGAGAGTTCAGAGCCGCTCTGGTTGCCAGAAATTCGGATTGCCCAAAATCTTGCCTTCCTCGATCATTTTCATCTCCGCCATTCATTGTGCTTCTATTCAAAGAACTGCTCTTGTTCATGAAACTAGATGATCGTGATCTATTGCGAACTTTGGATAAAGACTTGCGGTCATGTTTGCCTCCAAGCTTTTTGAGATTTGCCCGGAACGCTTTACGCTCATGATAAGCGAAATCTCTGCGAAAGACTCTAATAATTCCATCATCATCAGTCGTAACGATAATAGAGGTCGAAGGATCGTCCAAATCATCATCTCCCCTTTTCACAGTCGCCTCCAAACTCATTCTGGCTTTCAGATCGAAAATGGGATCATTTGAGAGTTCAAGCAACTTCAACGTTGCCCTGGGAGCGAATATGGCAACGTTACAACGTGAATGGTGAACATGAAATGCGCCGTAATTCTTGTTTTTATGTCGACAGTTTTCGTCCTTAAATAAGGATGTGAGATCCCACGTAAGCTTATGACCGCCCTTCATCGTCTCTGGTGACTTTAGGGCATTGAGATCCAACGCCCATAGATAAGCCCAACCGTCTTCCGAGCCAGATATGATGAATGAATGGTTTTCATTGACAGATGCCCGAATCGTAGAGTGCTCATTGTCGTACCCTTTGTATCTAACATTCAAGATTTTCTCTCTGTAACTGAAGAGCCTCACCCGTGAGTCGTTGGTTGTAACAACCAGTTTGATATCGTCCTTGGTTTTGAAAGCATCTATTCCTGTTACTCTGGGCGCCACGTTGTTGCGCTTGATTTGAAACTTGTCAATCACCTCAAGATCTTTAACCGACAGTATGACAAAGCCCCCAGCTTCTCCTCCTAGGAACAGCTCATCAGCGTTAGGTGAAAACTCCATGCACGTGATTCTCATTCGGACGTTCGTTTTCAGCACAACGTCCTTTTCAAGAATGGACCATAGCTTTACAGAGCCATCCCACTGACAACTAAAGAAAAAGCGATCGTCCTTTTTATGGAAAAGGACTTGAGTTGCAAAGTTTTTCAATTTGAAAGCCGCCAGACAATCATTCCTGTCAACATGCCAGAGCTTGATAGTGCTATCTTGAGAGCAGGAAATAATGAAACCATTTTCGGACCAGTCAATGCTCAAAACAGTATCATCATGATGAAACTCACGGACCGGCCGATCCTTAAAAAGTGGCGCAAATGGAGTGCTACCCTGCTTGTCCTTCTTTGATTTTTTCCCAGGACATGAATTGCACCAATTAGAACCGCTTTCTGTATTTTCAAACGACTCTACTGAATCGTTGATTGTAGACGAAGGTCCAATTGATATGGAATCCGACTCTTCAAAGGGAAGATTCAGATGGCGACCATTAAAGCTCTTGCTTCGAGCAATGTCAGGAATCTCTCTGTCCAAACTCGAACTGATAACTTTCCAAACTCGTACCACACCATCATCACCTCCTGATGCCATGTATTTCCCATCTTTACTGAAAGAAAGGATGAAATTTGCATGTTCATGTGTCGTCTTGCGGGCATAAGAAGAGGCCAGACCATGCTTCTTTGGTTTTTCCTTGAAATTATGCTCGACATCTTCGTCTATGCTGGCAGATGTATCGTCGGCTATGCTTGAATCATCCGAATTCTTATCATAAGGACTTAACTCCTGTGAAAGAAAAAATCTAGAGAAGCCTTTGTTAGGGCTTTTGGGGCTGCGCTTGAAGAACTCCCGGTATTTAAGCTCCCTAGCGAGTTGTTTCAGCCCTTGATCCATGGAATGTTTACTGCCGGCATGAGGAGACAGCGTTGGCCTTTTTAAGGGAGTGCTAGTCTCGGAGATCAATGGCTTCTCGGCCCGAATCCCCAATTCAATCCCGGGATCAAAATGGAGAGTGGCGCTTGACACCTCGCTTGGAGTGGCTGGTATATTAGGAAGCACATTCGGACTCATGACCTTTCTCGAAACGCCTTCGCTTTATCCTGAGCGCACAGTCCTCTACTTTAAACAAGTCTTCACAATTGCTTGCTTTTCGATTTAGGTGAAAGGTATGGATAAACCCAAGAGTAGCTTGTATATCTGGTCTGAACAGTGAACTCCAATGTGCTGAGCCTCTTTTGGGTAGCCAAATGCCGTATTAAAAGAAATGATGGAAAAAGGTTTCGGTCTTGGTATGAAAGCCCCTAAATTTAGCACTCGGTGATAAGCGACGCTTGTTAATTTAATCGCCGCGGCTATCGACGCGTCGAATTTCACGATGGCACTACAAGTATTGCAGAATTTTCTTCAAACGATGATTTGAAAAAATTCAATCTAAGAATGTCTCAAGCAGCGATAGAGACGCCTTCCTCTTGGGCGGATGCAGAGAATGATTTGCCAGCAACTCAAGTGACTGAAAATGCTGATGGAACGAAGACCATCATTTCTTACAAGATCAACGATCAGGGCAAGAAAGTGAAAGTGACACAAAAAGTTAAGCTGGTCACTGTTAAGGAGACTGTGGACCCAGCTATTGCTGCCAGGAGAAAATGGGCCAAGTATGGAGACGAGCAAGATAACCCTACTGTGGGGCCGGACGATAAAACCACGCAATTTGGAGAAGAAGTTCAGTTGATTTTGGGAACATCTTGGAAGGAAGATGCGCAAAAGGAGGCCGAGAACAGAAAGAAAGAAATGGCCAAAAGCAAACCACAAACCATCACTTGTAGAACGTGTCAAGGTGATCATTTCACGTCCAAATGTCCTTACAAAGATACGCTGGGAGCTGCCGATGCTACGACCACTACTCCACAGGCATCCGCCACCGCCACTCCGGAGCCATCCATGGCAGCTGTTGCGGGCTCCGGCCCAGTGCGGTACGTGCCTCCTCATCTCAGGAAGAGGGCCGGTGGTGCTGCCCCAGAGACTGAACGCAAGGATCGTGACGATTCTACAACATTGAGAGTTACCAGTTTGAACGAGCAAGTCGATGAAATGATGCTGCGTGAGGTGTTTGAGAGATATGGTATCATCAAAAGAGCTACTGTGCTCAGAGACAGAGAAACAAGAAGATCCAAGGGTATTGCATTTGTGGAGTTTGAGAATGTTAATGATGCTCAAAGAGCTTTGGAGGGTCTCAACGGTAGAGGTTTCATGAACTTGATTATGAAGGTGGACTGGTCGAAGCCAAGAAAAACCTAGTATACTAAAATCAGTGCAATAAATGCTGTATGATAATTGAGACAAGACCGTCGCTTTCGTATGTTTCATTGTGTCTTCCCATATCCTGGACGATGTACTCGTAGTGTGTATACGGCAACTGATCAAGCCACTTACAAAATTCCGTGGGCTGTGTCGTGCTGAGCAGCTCATCTTTGGTGCTGTGGGCTATAATTGTTTTTCTTAAGGAGTTAAACTTATCCCTAATCTCTCTTTTTAAATCGCTTGTCATTTTGTAGTGGACCATATTGCACCTTTCTGACCAGTCTAGCTCCGACTTGAAAGCAATTTCCACGAATTCCTGCAGGTAGCTAGGGTACTCTTCGAGCATTTTGGGGATGTCGAAAATACCGTCCAGAAACACAATAGAGTCGATGTCAGGAACTGATAAACTGAATTCAATACCATAGAAGCCCAGGAAAGTCTTGAACTCCAGTATCTGGGTACACATAGTGGATCCGGCAGAATGGCCTATAAGAGACACTTTGTTAATGTTTAGTTTGTGAATAAAGCTCAACGCATGTAAAACATCTAAAATATGGTCAGGATGAACAACTTCTGGAGACATCCTATAATCCAGAACAAAGAATTGGATTTCAGTGACCTGCTGCTCAGTTGTGTAAGTACCATTATTCAGTTGCAAGTCCAGCTTGTCAATCAGTGGTCCAAGCTCATTATAGGTATGAGACTCCCCAACCCACGCACCTCCATGGATGTATACGATCGGAATGTTTCGTACTATTTGGGAAGAGGGAACGACCACTCTATAGTGCTTCAAAAGTTGGCGAGGAGATCGATTGTCGTACTTGTGTACCTTGGTGTACTCAACTACCATCGTTTAGCTTCAAGGTTACCCTACTTTTTTCGACTCCTTTCAAGTTTTTTTTTTTTCGGAAGGCGACTTGTTGGCAAAATATTAATCCATTTCGTGTTTACTAACTTTAATATAGACTATGTCCACGGAATATTCGGATGTTCAGTTGTTTGTGAGGCCTATTGGCCCACACGTGACTCATGAGGAAGTGGAGGAATACTTTTCGCAAGTTGGACCACTAAAAGAGCTTAGGTTGATGCCGGGTTATGCCTTCGTCGAATACCCGAACCCAGAAACTGCTGAGAAAGCGTTCAGTGAATTTTTGGAAAAACCGTTTGCTGGTGAACCACTTCAAATCGAATACGCCAAGAAGAAGCCGGAATATGCTAAAAAGGGTGAGAACAGAGTCAAAGTTTCAAATCTTCCTCCAACCACTGCTTGGCAAGACTTCAAAGATTTCATCAGAGAAGAGGTCCGTTTGACTCCAACCTTTGTCAGAATTCCCCCAGAAGATCCTACCATCTGCCATCTAGAATTCGCTTCGAGAGAAGATCTCGAATCTGCGATCAGCCAGCTGAACGGTGTCAATTACAGAGACACTCAGCTAGTGGCTGAGGAGGACACTAGTCCATACATTGCTTCGGCTTCTAGAACGATAGGAGCAAGAAGAGGCGGTTTCAGAGGTGGAAGAGGATTTTACAGAGGAGGAAGAGGCGGATATCCTCCAAGAGGAAGAGGTGGCTTTGGCGCACCAAGAGACTACCCTCCGTACAGGGGCCCTCCAAGAGGAGACTATGGTGGATATCCCCCAAGAGGTGGGTACGGGCCTCCACCAGATGGACCTGTGGGAGGGTACGGTGCTCCTAGAGGACCTTCTTATCGGGACTATGGTCCTCCACCAGTTGGTGGACCACCTGGCCCCGCTGGGCCTAGCGGCTATAGAGGTGGCCGTGGCGGATATCCACCTCGTGGTGGTTACAGGGAACCACGTGGAGGCTACCGCGATTATGACAGAGGTTACAGAGATGGGCCACCTGCACCAAGAGGAGAATACAGATCCAGAGAAGAGGGAGCTCCATATCCAGAGCAAGGTGAGAGAGAATATGCCAGAGAGAGATCTCCAGCACGGTATTGAACACGAAATTCATAATGATTTGTTAGTTTTTCATTTTGGTCAATTAGTTTTTTTTTCCCCTCCACAGACCCCGGGCGGACTAGCAAGAGACAAAAAAGTATCAATTGTAACAATCCGTATTATCTCTTTGTAAATGCATCTGGATACAATCGGTCAAATACCAAATGTGCTCTAGACGATTCTTTCTGCTGGTCAGATAGATACTACAAGAAAAACTAGACAATCACCATGTACCCCTATAGACTGTATATTAATATTGTTACATCACGTCATCAATGAGGTTCGCGCTGTATGTCATCACCAAGTCGCTCTGAAGATCCCTTTCAATATCCCTAATTGGAGATATAACGTCTAATGAGTGAAGTTTGTTGATTAATTTGTTTAAGTCGTCTTTTCCTTCATTGGGGCCCGTCTCTGGCACCTTAAACGCCGACACTAGTGATGACATGAGTAATACGTTCTTCTTCTGTGCTGTTCTAAGAGTCGACGAGAGTTGTTTCTGGGTCACGCTGTTCGTAAAAGTCAAAGTATCTATATAGTCGTTCTGCCATTGGACATAGTTCTCCAGCTTTCTCAAATGATCATTTGTGCTACTCGATTGCTTGAGCTCTGATATACACTCGAGTAATTTCTCTTTTTCAAGTTGGAACTGTTTCACCATCTCGTCTATACTAAATTGTGATTCTTTGTTTACCTGCACTTGATTCTCGATCCTGGATGTGATAGTAGCAAACCTTAACGTGCTCAGGGTTTCATCAAAGTCTGTAGGCGACACGCATGCTATCATACACGTTTTTGAGTTGCCACCAATATTCTCTTTCAAAAGCCATGTCAATATGGAATCTCTATAAGGTATAACTGTTTTTTGATTTGGCTTCTCTGAGAGTATCGTTAAGACTCTACCCAGAGTAACCAGTGACTTGTTGATTCTGCTTCCTTCCTGTTGCCTGGTCTTATCTAAGCCGTCACTGGCAACAAACTTCTCTGACCCGGCAAGATCAACTAGCTTGAGATTGGACTCAAGTCTCACTAGAGATCCGGTAGCAGGATCAAACTTCTCTTGGACCACGGTTACGGTTAAAATCGAGTGAGATCTGGATGATTGTTTGTTTAAGTGAGTCTCTGCAGTGGTCCTGTTCTCAAAACCTTTGTTCAGAAGCTTCACAATTTCCTGGGAGTCGCTTACACTGTATTCATTTAAATTCTCGATGAATGGAACTCTTTTACTGTTTTCCCGCACTCGTAGCTTACTACCACTTCCAAGTAGGTCATACACATTCTCTTGATAGATTTCAAAAAAGGAGACCTTTACTTGGAACTTAGTGTCAACTTGCTGGTCCAGTCTGTCAAAAAGCTGTTTGCAAACCATGGGGATCAAACCATCTTCCTCATCCGATCCCATCATTGTATATGTTTTACCCGATCCTGTTTGACCATATGCTATAACGCAGCTATTGAAGCCATTCAATGTGTTTTCGAGCATTTCTAAACCCACTTCTGTGAACACAGTGTTTTGATTTGCGTAAGGAACACTCGGTCTTCTGTCATATGACCACAGACATTTACTGAACATAAACTTCTGGGCTTCTCTGTACTTCCTCGCCAGAGGTGAATTGATCCTTGGTCTAAGAATTATTGATTGGTCATTATCGATATCAACAAGGCATTCTGGAGATCTTTCAGTTTCTCTCTCGAGTAAAGGTCTCACTCTCACTACCACTTTAATAGAATCTTGGTGTGGAGCTTCTGTTCCTCTGGTTTCCTGCTTCGAAGCTGCATTCAATTTCACTGGTGACAGGGCCGTTCTTTTGGTGACCTTGATCATAATTAAGCTATCGACGAGATATAAATATAAACAAAAGAGACTATCGACGCGACAAGATTGGATTTATCTGGAAATTATATTTAGTGGCAAAATCAGTCAAGTTACACAGAAATCAATTGAGAAACATTAGTTTCTTGAAACTCCATCGAGCCAGTATGGATCAATTGACACCGGAACAGGAAAACAAGCTGCAAAGCTTCAAAGAGTTTACGTCTTACAATGAGAGCGATGAGCAGGAGAAAGTTCTGAGGCTCCTAACGGTCTGCAATTGGGATCTCGAGATTGCAGTCGCTCGTTATTTCGATAATGACTTCCCGACTCTGACAGATGAAAGACCGCCATTCCCAATTCCAAACGATATAGATACTCCATTTGTCAGATCTTTCGCTAACATGGAGGCTGGTTCCTCTTCAATAAATATATCTTCACGAGACTCAACTGCTCCTCGAGCTCTTGCTTTTGATGATCCATTTCTTGACCTCATTCCCAAATTACCGAAAGCGATCCCAATTAACAATCGCTGGAAGTTGCAATTAGGAATCAATACAAATTACCAAGAACGAAAAAGACCCACATACGCATTACTACCACCTGTGATCTTCATTCTCATGTTGTTCCCAAAACTAATCTGGCTTGTGGGATATGGATTGAACAAATTGTTAGGTCCTGTCTTTCCTAATTTATTCAGGATTCTTGGACTAAGAGAAAGTCCCACAGATTTTCCTTCGAAACCTGCCCATACATCAAAGGAAGCTGTCTCGAGTTATAACATCAAGGCTTATGTCAACGATACATTGGGTGAAACCAGTGACCTTCCAATATTCGATGGAAGCTTTAACGAAGCATTTGAAAAGTCTAAATCTGAACTCAGGTGGTTGATGTGTATCCTGCTCAATTCAGAAAAGGAAATCAGCACTAAATTTGTGAAAACGTATCTCAATCACGAGAGTTTCATCAAATTTGTCACAGAAAATGATATAATCCTGTATGTCGGAGATGTGAATTTTCCTGAGCCTTTCGAAGTGGGCAAGACATATCAAGTTCATTCTGTCCCATATATTAATTTAATTGCCAACGTGTCTGCAACTGGTACAACTTTCCCATTGATGTCCATTGTTACTAGATACCATAATTTTGAAACCTGTACCAAAGATTATGCGAAGAAGCTCGTCAAACGTCTGCAAAAAATAATTGATAAGTATGAGCCGCAACTAATTACACAGAGATACGACAGACAGGAAGCAGAACTTGCTCGGTTACTAAGAAAACAACAGGATGAGGCATATGAGCAGTCCTTGTTGAACGATAAGATCAAGCAGGAGGAGAAGAAACAAAAAGAAGAGGAGCAACAGAGGAAGCTGGAAACATTAAAACAGGAAGAAGAAGCATTAAAAATTAAACAAAAACAGGAACTGGCTTTCCTAAAAATTCATGTACAGTCATTATCTCAGACAGATGAGAAGAGTTGGAAGAAAGGTGATTATACTACGATACAATTAAGAAATCACGAGGGTCAGCGAACAGTGAAGAAATTCTACAAAGATCAAACTTTATATGATATCTTTGTGTTTGTTGAGTGCAAAAACTTCTTACGCGTCCAGTCCCAGGAACTTGAGGTTCCCGAAGAGAACGTCCTAGATCAATTGGAGGTGGAAGATGTGACTTTAGATGACTACCAACATGAGTTCAAATTCGAACTCATATCGCCAATGCCTCGCATCAAATTCCATGCCGACAAAAACAAACTCTTGAAAGATGTTAGGGAGCTGTGGCCGAATGGTTCATTGTTAATCGAGCGAATTGAAGATGAGGATGGCTTCGACGAAGAAACTGACGATTCTTGATTCAATAGTATATATCGCGATTACCTTTGTCTTTTAGACTCTGGAGCATCAGGCTCTTTTAATTGATGAACATTATCTGATACCACTCCTAAAATTATACTCCTCAGTTTCTCATCTTTCTGTTCCTCACTAAGGTCTTCATTCATAATATTCTCAATCTGTTTCCTTCTCTGAATCAAATCTTCACTCATATCCTCATCGTGATCCTTAGATAAATACATCTTCACTTTTTCACCACTTGGAAGCTCTAGGTTATTTAGTGGAGCCTCGATACCTGTCTTCATGGCGGGCAAGGTGCCCAGCTTTTCCAATGACGACAAATATTCAATAAGCTCAGGATACTCATCCTCTTCCTCCTGGTATTTGGCTGGAGTCAAACCATCCTTGTTTTTGATCTTGATATCAGCTTTGAGCTCCTCGATCAAAAATCTGGCAGCCTTCAGAGTTTCTACGTGATGCAAAGGAGTGTCGCCATCTGAGTCCTGAATATTGATGTCTCCGCCTTGAGAAACAAGATATCTCAGTAAGTCTAAGTTACCATAGCTTGCGGCAGCGTGCATGGGAGTATAGCCATTAGGATCTTTGGAGTTTGCAGTATAACTTCCAGACTCGATATATTCTCTTACCTTGTCTATTTTGTTATCGGAGGCTGCAATCCATATGTTCGACATGATCTGGTGCAAGTAGATTAATTTTCGTTTTTTTTTTTCTTGACTGTTCGCAATGAGTAAAGTGCCGACTGAAACATTAAATGCTTCGGATGCATCCTCGGGGTTTGATTGGTGGATACGAACCCTCAAGTACAAGACGGGCATAAATCTCACAGATCAAGAGAAAGTTGCGTACGAAGAGGAGCGAAAAATCAAAACGGAAACGGAACAGTGTGCTAAATGTAATGAATACAAGGATTTCATGCTCCAGTATTCTCCAACGGTCACATTTATGGTTGACCAGATCCGTCGGGCAGGGGGCTACGTGGATCCAGCAAAAATCAATTGTGAAATCTGTACCGTTCCAAGATATGGTGGTTTCAATCCTGGTTTGGGAGTTCAACTTTGTGCCAACTACATTGATGACAGATGGGTTCTCAATGACACTCTATCTCATGAGCTTGTCCACTGGTATGATAATACCCGATTCAAAGTTGATTGGGGAGATATCAGACATCATGCTTGCACCGAGATTCGTGCGGCGTCACTTAGTGGAGAGTGTGCTATTGTCACAGAATTCAAAAGAAGACTAGGGTTCATGAGGTACGCAAAAGGACATCAGGCGTGTGTTAAGAGAAAAGCAATATTAAGCGTTATCAATCATCCCAAGTGCAAAGACAAACAACATGCGGAAGAAGTGGTGGACGAAGTTTTCAGAAGCTGTTTTAATGACACAAGGCCATTTGAAACTATTTATAGATAGCAAAGGTGACAAGGAATATTCCTAGAACACCAAGTACATCGTGCACATAAGACTTGGACCCAAAACGATACCGAACCAGAAGATGCAATTGCCTAGAACCTTTCTATCCCTCATCAACTTGGTTTTGCTTAATTGCACCAAAGGTAGCTGACTCATTTGCAGCATGAGTAGATAGCCCCTTAGACGCTTGAATATAACAAACATCGCAAGTTCATGGACAACCGAGCTGAGCAAGAAGGTAAAGATTGTCGCTCCCGTTTTATTCAATTGAAGAGCACTGATAGAAGAATGATACACATGCCTGAGAAGAAACTTGTGCACAACAATATTCCAGTCCCTAGCATATGCATTCCAATCGACAGAGTTCCACCAGTAGCCATAAAATTCCCTATCAGCAAAGTAAGACAATTCTGCAATAGCGTTTAGAATAAGCTCCCAAATGAGATAGAACACTAATAAATAGACGCCCAGGAAAGGTGGTATGAACTCGATAATGATCATCGGGTACATCTTCATTCTGTAGTAAATTGACTGTGTTTCTCTTAGTTCAAGGCATTTGACCACCATCGGGTATAAATATGTTTCGGATATAGTGATCATCAAGAAAATAACACCGAATATACCTGCAATTTTGGTAAAGAGATATCCTTTTCTTATCCGTTGAGTTCTTGGGTAATCGATTTGATACACCAATGTAGGATACATGGTGTACAAGAAGAAATTTCTGAGTGTTATGTTCTTTGGAAATGGTTGTTCGGAGGACTGTGCTTTTAATTCAAACTTGCAGAACTCCACGGATTTAGTCAAGGGAATTCTGATTTCATCAGCCAGGTCATCATCGTGCTTTTTCAGATATCCTTCAGAGTACTGTAGTTCATCCTTGATTGACCAAAGATACCCATTGAAGAATGCATACGAATGTATTTTCATCAGCTGTACCAATGAGTGCAACAGTAAGAAGATTTTGGCAATCCATGGAAAATTGAGGTACTCTGCCAAGTATAGGAAGAATATCAAAAAGAAAATCTCGTATATTGATTGTATCACCCAACCGAGTCTATTCCAACTAATCTTGTTCCTTTTCACCAGCATCTGAATGAAAACAGGAACGTACATCATTAAGTACATCAGCAAATCCACTAAGGCAACACCCAAGAGATTATCTGACATAATACTAATGATTCTGGAGTTGGCAAGAAGTCCAAATTTGACATGGTAGTTGAATACAACGTTGAGCCCACCAAAAAAAACACAAAACCAGAAGGCAACAAAGAGACCGTAGAACTTGGCGCCAAACTTCACCTCTTGATCGAATATTGACTGTCTTGGTCTGAAAGTGAGGTCATCCCACTTTGACCTAAAAGATCCATCTCTTCGAAATCTGAAGGCAGTGTCTGGTAGAGCCCGAGTAACTGCTGTTGTGGAAGGTCTTGGATCCAATTGCTTCATCTCACTGGCACTGTCCCCCTCATACTCATCATCCTCCAGGATGGAACGCCGCTTGTTTCCTGAGTTCTTGTCTATAATCTTGAGCCGTGCATTCATGCTGGATTCCGTGGACTCCGGTCTTTTTAACTCAACAGGTCTGATCTCTTCCGGCTGCATGGTGGCAAATTACTAGCTGAGCAATTGGCAAACTGAAAGTTCAACACAAACGCAATTCCTGGATTGAATGACTGGCTACCGATCTAGTAAGCTCCTTATCTTTTTTTATTACTTGTAAAGAACCTTTTTGAACCTGTCTCAAATGATACACAGCCGAGCAAATTTGCGGCTCAGGGGCGCAAAGGATAAAGTTAAAAAAATTTTGTCAAATTCATACAGGATTCAAAAGATCAACTCAAGGTACCCATCATGTCTCGTCCTGAGCAGATTGCCCCACCTGAGATTTTCTACAATGATAGCGAATCACGAAAGTATACTACCTCTACAAGGGTGCAACATATTCAGGCCCAAATGACGCTGAGATCTCTGGAATTATTAAACCTTGATCCTGAAAAAACACATTTCATACTAGATGTGGGATGCGGATCCGGTCTATCGGGTGAGATATTGACTGAAGAAAATCAAATATGGGTTGGAATGGATATTGCTCCAAGTATGCTCGCGACTGCTCTTGACAGAGAAGTTGAAGGGGATCTTTTCTTAAGTGACATGGGCTGTGGAGTGCCATTCAGAGCCGGTACATTCGACGCAGCTATATCAATCTCGGCAATCCAGTGGCTTTGTAATGCTGATAGCACAACAAGTGAGCCAAAAGTGCGACTAGCTCGCTTTTTTAGCACGTTATATGCAGCTTTGAAACGAGGAGGAAAGTTCGTTGGTCAATTTTATCCAGCAAACGAAAATCAAATCATTCAAATCACTAGCGCAGCCAAAGTGGCTGGATTTCAGTGCGGAGTTGTGGTGGATGATCCAGAATCGAAAAAGAACAAGAAGCATTATTTGGTTTTACAGGCAGGACACAGCGATCGTCCATTAAATTTGGGCAATATGAAAGTCGAGTCTTCCACACCGAAGAAAGAAAAGAAAATGAGCAAGAAGATGATGAGGGCTATGGAGACAAAGAGAGAATACATTCACAGGAAAAAAGAGCTGATGAAAAGACGAGGGAAAACCGTGGCACAAGACTCGAAATTTACAGGAAGAAGACGGAAACCTCGGTTTTGAACTAATGTAATATTTATTGCAAAATCTATGTCGCGACTCAATAGTTTTTTCTTTAAAAATTTTCCATTTAGAGGCATCCAGGACATGTTTGTGACTCGAGCAATCCAGGGTCGCATCACCCGTTTTGGTGTCAGGTATTCTGCTATTAGTAAAAGAAAACGGATACCAGTGCAGCTATTGAAAGATTTCCCAACTATCGGGGTCAAAGGACAAATAGTGCAAGTGAAACCGAGCGTTATGATAAATCGACTTCATCCGAAAAACGGAGCAGTGTATATGCACTTGCCTGACTCTAAGCCTAAAATTCCTGTGGTCGAGCCAAAGGAATTGGACCTGGTGTCCATGGGCCTGGAGCAGGAGAACAATGAGTCACAAACATTGACTTTGGACGATTTGATATCTTTTGATTTAAATCAATTACTTGGCTCTGAGAGAGATGCAATCATCGCTAAGTTGCCTCGTCGCGTTTTGTTCAGAGCCGAGAAGTCTAACAACAAATTGCGGAACCCAATTTCTGGAAACAGGGTGCTTATGACTTTGAATAGAATGGTTGCACAAGGCTTGAAACAAAACGAGGATCCAGACCAGGTGAATGCGTTCTTTGCAGATTCTCACCTGAAGTTGGACATTCTGGATCAGGAAGAAAATCATTTAGATTACATTCACGAGGATGGCATCTACTCTGCACAGTTAGCCGACTTGCGCGATGGCGAAAAACTTGTGCACAGGTTCACAATTGGTGTGAATGTTAACTAAGGATGTATTGTAAATAGTTCAAAATATATATTAACGTCTCGAAAACGGAAAAGGAAGTTTGCTTGGTAGCTTTTTTTATGGCTATCGAATCTCTAATCAACAAGCTAGGGTCACCAAAAAAGGCAAATAGAACATCCAGCTCACCCAGAAGACAAACTCAAAATGTCCCTATCGGAGAACAGTATCACATTATTGATTACTCGGTGAATATATTCAGCCCCATTCCGGGATTTGAATCTTTAAACCTGGATGATCTTGACTTAGAATCAAATTTAGAAGACGATGATGACGACAGAAACATGGAGATTCTCATGGGTTGTATAAAGTTTGTGATAAGAATCAAATTTGATTTCCTTTCCAAGTCGAAGCTATCTTCTAAGACGAAGGCAAAGCTTTCCGCCCTTAGATCATCTTACCCTAATGTTGTCGCACTCAATCAGTTATATACAGTCCTACCGAACATGGAGACGTTCGTTGATTCCCGTGTGGAAAAGTTGGCTATTATGGGGCGTTTAAAGCTCATTTCGCATCCGCAGGAGAACGTCCGCTATATTATTCTTACTGAAGATTTGAAAGAATTAATTGAGCAACATACGAAATCCGATCAGATCAGCTCCCGCTTTATGAGCTTGCTACATAATTATCCCAATGTTGAGGCTATTCCCGCTACGCTACTCTCGAGACATGGCCTCAATCCAAGACCCTTGATAGATTCGGGCTTCTTAACTTTTTCGTCTATGAATGAGTGGTTCACTCTGACTCTTCCAAACCTTGGACCTTTTTGGAGACTAGTGAAAGGCTCAAATATGGCCATCTACAAAATAATAAAGACAACAAAGTTTGAACAGATACTGGAAGACGACTTAAGAATGAAGTACGAGGCTAATCAGAGCAACTTCGTCAAATACAACGGGCTAAACATGATTTGGAGTCTAAGTGTAATGACCGGGCGAGGAATTGTGGAATGTTTCAACTCACCTACGGGACGTGTATATAAATTGACAGGAAAGAAAATGTAACAACGTTTATGAGAATTAAAAATATAAACCTTTTAATGTTTCAATTACATTACAACACTCACTGTCTTATTTTTTGCTTGCCCATCTGTCTTCTTTGTTTTCTTTCCTGTTGCTTCTTTTCCAGTTTACGTTGTTCGTCCGCATTCAAGCCCGATTTTTGTTTCTTTTGGTCTTCGAGCTTTTTTGCAGCCAGTTGCTCCTTTTTCAAATCTTCCTCCAATTTTTTCAACTTGGAAACTTCTGCCTCTCTGGTCTTCTTGCATCTGCGGGTGAGTTCAGCTCTAAAGGAGGCTTTGCTGACAACGTAGTCAATGTAATCATTCAACAAAAATTTTAGAAGTTCGTTAGCAGCTTCCACTTCTGCAGTAGATTTAGGAATTCTAAGCTGAACCACTATTTTCTTGCTTGGAGTAGTATCGCTCACAGTTTCAGGCTTTTCGTTGCTCTGGTCGGTCACAGCAACAAATTTCAAAAATGACTTGCATTTTTCCAGAACAACATTGAACTTCTTGTGGTGTAGGACCTCATTCATTTCTGGCACTTCATTCATAAAAACAAACTCAACAGGTAGCTTGTTGGATTCGGAGGTCTTGGTCAAAGAAAGGAAATAGTTTTCTTTTCTAAGCTGGTTCATGTTATCCTTTGAGACAATGGCCCAGATAAAGTCATCATAATTAAGGCTTGCTTGACTATCAATTTGAAAAGTCAGGTCGACAACATCTTGAGGAGGAGCCACAGTTCCAGTGAAAAAGTCGAAAACAAGCTCCAAAAACCAAACAAAAACGTTTTGCCTTGGTTGGAGCTTAAACTTAGCAGTCAATGATTCGATGTTGAGTCTTCCAGTGGCATAGAATGCATAATGTTCAGAATCATCTTTAGCCAACAACTTGGATCTTGTAACACCGACTTGGGAGAATTGTTCTTTAAGGAGATCCAGATTGGCGTTGAGGAAGTTGTTGACCAGCTTATCATTGTACTTCGAGCCGATGAAAAAAGTCAACACATAAGCTGCAATGAAGCCAACGGAAATCATCTCCAATTTCCAGGGATAAAGCTTGAGTCTGTCAAGCAGGCTCATATCAGCCAATTCAGGCCAGCTATATTCAGAGAAACTTTTGGATCCCTGCCCAGCAACACAGGTTCCAGCCAGTGCAAGAAGTGCCAGAGGAAGCATAATCGATAAAGGATAAATAGTTCGAATTGTTATCGACGTCCAACATTTTTTCGCAAAACTCGCGGCTACAAATTAGATTTTCCAGTTGCGACATGGGCTTTGTTGTATTGAAGTTGTGTATCTGAATGCGCTTAAACTATATACAATTATCCTACATTTTGATCTCCTTAACATCAAGCCGGCTGTTACGGATGTAATAATGCCTGTTTCTCGGTCTGTAGCTTGCAGGTCTGCGCAAAATATCTATTCTCATCACGTTCGGATTGAAAATAGGCACATTCACTTCGACACCCAAACCTGTGATTTTGTTTCTGAGTAAAATTGAAGAGGCGACACCGCTTCTCTTCACCATGATGATCGTACCATTGACTGGCTTTTGATTCTTGTAGAAGACACTAACTATGTCACCCGATCTTAGTCTTTCGGGATTTGAGCGGTCAATCAATTTTCTTTTCTCTCCAGAAGGATCTAGATTCTTGTATTGAGCTTCTCTGATGTAGTCCATAAGTGGCTGACCACCTCTGAGTTTTGGCAAAGGCTCATAAACAGTCATTGGTTGTTTGGCGACAACTGGGAGTTAGAATTCAAAAACGAGAATGATTTAAATCAGTGACATACCATTCGATAGGGAGAACGTTCTCACTGCAAATGACCTTGGGATCATCTGAGCTGATTTCAAACCGAAAACCCGAAGCATGGTCGAAAGTCCTAGCTATCACGAAAAATCAAAGCTTGAAAATTTGTGGAATATTACGTACACCGGGTAACTTACTATGTATCATTCAAGCTCAGCCAAATCAACTTCTGAAGGCTCTTCCTCAACGACTTTCTTATTCACTTTCCAAAGATGGACGATGTTGTCATCTGCACAACTAGCCACGGTCCATGGGATCTCCTCACTAAATTGGAAGTCGTTGATACCACCTGTATGTCCACCATGCATCATGAGTAGCTCAGGAACACCGTCTTCCATCTCATCCTGCAACTGCTCTTTTCCAATCTTGTTGATATCCCACAAGATTATGCGGCGATCGGAGGACGAAGATCCGACTATATTCTCGTGGAATGGATCCCATTCGAGGTTCGTTATAGATTTTGTGTGTCCCATCATTATATGAAGCGGCTTAGAAACGTCTCTCAAGTCATACAGGTACACGTTTCCGTCTTCACCACCGGCGGAAAATAGGTATCTCGAGAACCTCGAGAAACAAAGAGTATTGAAGCTGGTCCTGGTGCTCAAAATGGTATCAATGGCTGGTCCTATTGTCCTTTTGTCCTGGTAAATGAAGTGTTTATCTTCTGACACAGAACCCAGCGTGTTACCGCTAAAGTTATGCCACCTAACATCATTGACAATGCTTGTATGGTTGGTAAACACATTGGTAGGCTTGATTTCAAGTCCCGAGCGAGCGATGTCCCACACGGCCACCGTTTGGTCGTCAGAACACGTCGCCAGCTCTCCCTTCACACTTGGGTTCCAGCTCAATCCATAGCCATTTTCAGTATGGCATACAAGTCTTGTTTTGTTTTCCTCGTTCATTTTAGCGTCCAAATGGTACACGAAAACATCTCCCTTCCCGTTGATCGTGGAAATCACTCTAGGATTTTGTGGCATAGCGCGCACTCTATTGATTTCTGAGTCCTGGTCCAGTTTCTTGGATATCCTAAGTCTAGAGTTGATTTGCTGTAGCTCTTCAGGGGTGGTTTCTGGTCCATTTTCCCAAATCGAAGCAGGTATCTGGGTGGACGCTATTTTCAAGTAGTTGACATCTTCCCCAGAAGTATGGGTCGTCAAAAGAAGGTTTCTGGTTCGGGAGATCTTTGTATCCTTCGTTTTGTTTTCGAACGTGCCGCCGGGGATCCACTGTATGGATAACGAGGGCCATGTCAACGCGGTCTCGCTAATGAAATCGTACATGTATCGACAATTTTTTCGCCAAAGCTTGTACTCCTCCAGGATCGTCAATTCTTCACTCTTCTCTTCGTCTTGTGAATGATGCTCATCATCAGAAGATTCAATTGGCAAGTCTCCAAAGCTGACTTGTTTAGAAGACATAGTAATTGATAAAAACAGTAATAAAAAAAAAGTTTAATCTAAATTTCATGGATCAGTATTATGAGCTTCAACAGGTAACACGAGAATATGACGAGGGCTCATTTTTCAGTAAGATCGAAGTCGACAAGAATGAGCTTCAGATTGATTTGACGACTTTAGAATGCGAGCACTACATTGTAAAAGTCTGTGAGAATGGCTGGTATACAAACACATCCACTCAGTACTTTCCTACGTTTGAAAGCCTTGCAAACCACATTAGTCCCCGATTTCAGCAGCAATGGCTTATCAGAGTGAATGAAAAACTTCACGCCATCTAATTATTATTACACCATACTATACAAATATTCAAATCCTGCCAGAGTTAAATAGAACATTGATGTGTTCTGCCAAAAACTCATCTGTGTAGAATTCAGATCTTCTCACAAGTTCTTCGTCTAGAATGCCATCAGTTCCAAACGTGAATGAATCACTGGAGAGAATTTTGAGAAACTCGGCGTTCTTATCCAAAACTTCTTGCAAAAAGTCAACCGGATTGTCACTCAACTTTCTGTAAAAGTCGTATTTCAACTTCGAGTAATTGAGGAGTTGGAAGTTCAGCTTCAAGCTTTCGTTCACTTTACCCAGATCGCTCATTAACTGTTTGTTCAATACACTTTGATTAATCATTTCGCTGATCTCTGCAAGCTGCTGGGAACCAGGTTTATAGGATGGATCCACAAACCTAGAGTTGACTTTGAGGTCAATTACCAAATCTCCTAGGGTCGTCTCTTTGAGGGTATTGATACTGTATTGCACCTTGATTGGCTCGATCGGCTTGAGAAGCTTTGTTGAAACAATTTCCATGATCTGGGTCAAGGTAAGCGAATTGATGCCAAATATACGGTATAGAAGATCATCCGTCTTGACGGTGACGACTTGCTGAGGCTGCTGGTTCGTGCCTTGTTTGTCCTGGATAGTCTGAACCTCAAACAGATTGTTCATTTTGATGTAGTTGAATATTTTGTGAATGCAGTCAGATTGCGAGATCTCGTTTGATCCAACAAGTTCAACCAGCGCATCCTTCACAACCTGCAATTTGATTGGGTACATTTTTGGCTGAATGACAATGTCACACAAGATCTCCTTTTCAGAAGGATCCTGAGATTCGTCTTCGGGAAATTCTGATTGGGGAATGGATGAACCAGACCTTTTGATATCCAGTCCATCAAATTGGTGCTTCATTCTTTCGAGTTCGTTAGTGCCAAAGTTATCATGCCATTCGATCACCCTTGAATCTGGACCACCATTGACTGACCCTATTGACAAGTCTTCGTCGTTACCATCTTTTGCTTTTAGTTCTACCGAAATTCCAGAAAGAAAAGAGCTAAACTTTCTTCGTTTTGGGGAGTCTGAAGGCTCGGTATCATTGAGTAAACGCCCTTCGATTCTCAGAGTCCAGGACGGAGGCGGCAAAGATTCGACTTGTTGATCTTTCACTTGCCATGGTTGGTTCTCAGAAGTGTTGTAAATGAAAATCCTCAAAATTTGGTAATCGTTTGAGTCTTCCACAAGGCCATTCGTGACGGATTGTTGATACTCCTGAAGATCAATGATTTTTTTATTTATCATCAAATCCAGCTCCCTTTCCTTGGTTCTGAGTTTGTTGTACATTTCCGTTTTGTGTGGAAACATGGACGCGATCGACTTGGAGATGACCACATCTGTGGGTTTAATGTTTGCGGACAACTGGGCTCCTTGCGACACTGACCCTTGGGGCTTGGGTCCCTGATTTCCCATTATGCTATGCTGAACATGGCCTTGTCCATGAGCAATTGCAGCTTGTTTAGCCAGCTTTCTTTGCTTCTCCCTTTGGAATCTAGAGGCAGACATACAAAAACAAGATTTATCCAGAGATTTTTTTTCGTGTATAGAGATTAAATGAATTTAGGGGCTACATAACCAACAACTGCAATTGATGAGTAGAAAGAAGTACGACGAGCTGACGGCTGTAAATGAGCTATCTATTTTTTGCCCTCCTTTTCGAGCTCGCTGACAATGATAGATTCAAGAACCTTGAGGTCACTTTCCTCAACCAGTTTAATTTTGGTTTGCATGGACGACAGTCTTTTCAATTCCTCTGGAAGCACGTCTTTCTCGAATGAATAACCCTCGAATTCACTCAAAGCCTGATTCACAACTTCAGAAAACTTGGCTGGATGTGCGGTAGAAAGCGAGATGTATTTCACTTTCAAATCGTTGCCATCATAGGCAATTTTTCTAAGAGCAGTAGCCACTCCCACAGCTGTGTGAGGATCAAGGATATAATGATTAGAGGTTTTTGTGTAAATCTCCCTGATGGTCTTCACCGTATCCTCATTGGACACTCTGGAGGAATCCAAACTACCCTGAGCCAACTTCAGGGTATCTTGGGTAACTTCGAAAACACCTTTTGATGCCAAGTCCTTCATATAACGGGAGAGGATCTCGCCTGTTTTCAAATCATCGTTTAAGCCACTAGTTCTTTTGATCATATACCACAAGAATCTCTCGAAGTTGGACGACACGCAAATGTCCATGGCAGGAGAGTAGGTCTCTTTGACCTGAGCCTTGTCGTACTTCCCACTATGCAAGAATCTATCCAAAATGTCATTTTCGTTGGTGGCAACCACTAGCTCCTCAACTGGAAGGCCCATCTCCTTAGCGTAAAACCCTGCAAGAATGTCGCCAAAATTTCCACTTGGCACAACAAACTTCACCTTGAAACTTGATTTTTCAGCTTCTGGAAGTTGCTTGAGAAGCTGGAAATATGCGTAGAAGTAGTAGGTCATCTGAGCCAATATTCTGGCCCAGTTGATAGAATTCACTGCTCCGACATGGTACTTGTCATTAAACTCTTTGTCACCAAACACTTTTTTCACGAGGTCCTGGCAATCGTCAAAAGTACCATTAACGGAGAGAGTGTGGATGTTGTCGTCCAAAACGGTGGTCATCTGGCGCTCCTGTAATGGAGAAACCCTTCCAGTCGGGTATAAAATGAACACAGAAACGTCTTTCTTATTTCTGAGACCGTAAATAGCGGCAGATCCAGTGTCACCCGAAGTAGCACCGACAACAGTGATGATGTCTCTCGGTTCGCCTTCTTTTTTAGCGGCGTTCTTCCTTGTCAGGAAAAACTCAAACAAGTTACCAACGAACTGGAGGGCAACGTCCTTAAAGGCATAGGTCGGTCCGTGAAACAACTCCAGAAGATACAAGTTTTTGTTGGAGTCAATAGGAACCAGAGGCGTAACGTCCTTAGATCTGAAGGTGGAGTACGACTTGGTGATTAGGGTCTTGAGCTCATCATTTGAAATCTCAGATTCCTTGATATAGAGTCTCATGATCTTGAATGCAAGTTCCTGGAAAGAGAGTCCTGACCATTCTTTCAAGAACGAATCATCGAGTTTTGGAATTTCCGCCGGGATGAAAAGCCCGCCATCGGTTGCCAGGCCAGTGATGATAGCTTCCTCAAATGATACACTTTGATGCTCGGAGGAGCGAGTCGATCTGTAGGACATGCTTGAAAGTAAAAAGATATTTTTTTATGACTCAAGACTACCCTACTTACTGTATGACCGTGGGGCAGGCGGTACCGGGGCAAAAAATTTTCTTGCAAGCACCAAGAAAAAAATAAGAAAATTAGCTCCTACCCGGGTTCGAACCGGGGTTATCAGAATCAGAATCTGAGGTGATACCACTACACTATAGAAGCTATTTCTTGACTAGCTTTTTCGTGACTAGCATAAGTAGAACAACTCAGCCGATCTCTGTCTTCATTCGGCACGGAATACTTATATTTTCTTATCTACGATAGTTGTGCAGACGTGTGCCAATAATCTTGGAATTTTATTGTTGACATACGCAGCACTATAGTTCTTGTGCATGATGCCGTTTTTCCAGACTCCTAAAGCAGAAAGTGTGGTATCTCGACGGTGCTGGCTCCTCGGGGACGCGCAAAACATCAAAGGTGAGTATTCAACTTGCTCTTTCAGGAACCCGCGGTTAATAGGCGCGTTTGTTTGGCTGCAAGTTTTCTCTGCACGATAAGACTTTCGAGCTCTACGTTGATCATGCCGTGATAAGCAATCAGTAGCAAAATATTCCCGACCGATCAAAATATATAATTAGCTTATTATTTCAAAGGTTTGGCAAAGTTTAGCCTGGAATGGAGAAACACGACTCGCACGACATTGCTGTGACATTCAGCAAGTACCGAGATGTTCAGCGCCCGGACGTCATCAACGCAAAACTCGTGAGCTCTGATAATGAACTGCTCGCCCAGATCGGGTACAAACAGGAACTGAAGCGTAAGTTTTCCACTTTACAAGTGTTTGGTGTTGCCTTCAGTATCATGGGTTTGCTACCATCCATTGCCAGTGTTTTGGCTCAGGGCCTCACTGGTGGCACTATCACTCTCATTTGGGGTTGGGCGATCGCATCCACATTCGTTCTCTTGATTGCAATCAGTATGGCAGAGCTGGGAAGCAGCCTGCCCACATCGGGAGGCTTGTTTTACTGGACACATTTCTATGCCCCAGAGAAAATCGGGGTGTTCCTGTCATACTTGGTTGGAAACACTAACTCGGTGGCTCTGGTGGGTGCCTTGTGTTCCGTGGACTATGGTTTCGCCGGCGAAATTCTAGCCGCAGTTTCTATTTCAAAAGACGGAAATTTTGATATCACGTCCAGCAAGACCTATGGTGTTTACGCAGCCTGTGTCATTTCGCACATCGGAATAACCTGCTTCGCCTCCAACTTTGTGTCAAGACTTCAAACGTTTTCAATTGTGTGCAACCTGGGACTCATAGTTCTGTTCTTCATTGCATTGCCAATCGGTTGCAAGGTCAATGGTATTGAGTTTAATAAGGGCTCCTTCATTTTCGCAGATAACGAGCAGCTAAGTGGTTGGACTCCAGGCTTCAACTTTGTGATGAACGGATTCATGCCTAGTGTCTGGACCATTGGAGCGTTCGATTCGTGTGTTCATATGTCTGAGGAGGCCAAGAATGCATCCCACGGTGTTCCTATTGGAATCATTGGATCTGTTTCTGCATGCTTCATCCTTGGATTTTTCATCTGTATTGTTATTGCGTCCTGTATGGGTCCAGACGTGACAGCTATTCTCGATTCCAAATTCGGTAGCCCAATCGCCCAAATTATATACAATGCAATGGGCAAAAATTGGGCCATTGCCTTCATGTCGCTAATTGCCTTCTGTCAGTGGCTCATGGGAGCCTCGATTCTCACTGCTATTTCCAGACAAATTTGGGCTTTTGCGAGAGACGATGGTCTTCCATTCGCTCCCATCGTGAAAGTGGTCAACAGAAAACTCTCGACCCCTATCAGAGCCGTCATATATGGTGGAGTTCTTGCCCTACTATTGGGACTGCTTTGTCTTATCGGAACAACAGCAGCCAACGCCTTATTCTCTTTATACATTGCTGGAAACTACTTTTCATGGGGTACCCCGATCTTCCTCAGGCTCACGACAGGGAAACACAAGTTTGTGCCTGGGAAATTCTACACTGGTGACGTGATGTCCCCTATAATAGGCTGGATAACTTGTGCATTTATTGCTTTCATCATAATTTTGGTGATGTTCCCTGCCGAACCTACAGTTTCCTCGACGACAATGAACTACACGGTTGTCATAACGCCGGGATGCATGATCATTGCAACTCTGTACTACTTGGGTTATGCAAAGGGAAAGTACCAAGGCCCTAAGAGTAACTTGTCAGAACCTTCAATTGTTCACGAAGGTGAAAAGATCAGGGAAGACGAGGAGGTTTACCTGGTGCATTCAATCCAAAGCGTGAAGTCCAGAACGGATGAGAAAAACATACTGCGGGCAATAAAGTCTGGCGAGCTGGAGCCTGTCATGTCCTTGACTCATAGAGTGGAAGAAAAATCCGACGTTTAATTGTATAGCAGCTAAAATTTGATAAGATTAAAATCATGTAATATAATTTTGCTGACAGGAAATGCCCCGATTACGCAAAGTCATCAATTCAAAATACACATTAGATGACGAAGACCTCCCCTTAGACTCGCAAGATCAGTCCATCATAATCGAGAACCTCAAGGAGAATGTGCCTTTCAACAAGCTTCGTCCTCGAAATCAGCTGGATGATAGGTTTGCTAAGGTGCTGCATTTGATCCAGGCATGCTTTGCTGCAGTTAACCTTATCCTCATCACTCATCCACACTATCGGCGTGAAAATCCAATAGTCAGTTGTTTTACTTGTGTGGCCATTCTCGGACTTTCGATACTGATCCACGTCGAATTTACCAAACCTCGAGAGCTTTTTATCAAGTTCACAAATATGCAAGTTCTTGTCGCAATCATGGCGATCTCGGCGATAATATTTCTGATCAGCGCTCGCTTTTATACTGGGTTTCTCGATATGCTCTTTTTCGTACCTTTCCTCTCGTCACTAACCTTATATTCCTTCATCAAAGACATTAGAGGCTTGAGTCAGGATATTTTGGAATTGGAGCGACTGAAGTTCGACTATAAAGAGGCATGAATAACGCATATATCACAGAGCGGCTTCATGGCTGAAGAACTCCAACAAGAACACTCTGATCGAGTCCGGGTTTCTATGCGACTTGTGCTTCGACCAGAACCATTTCATATTTTTTGAGGAAACCTGTTTCAGAAACCCGAGAACGATGTCCCGTCGTCCCGATATCTGGTCCTGTGTTTTACTTTGAAGCGACTCTTGAACAGAGGACATTATCTCATATGATTCGTGTAATATAGAACGGGAATAAAAGCAAAACACCAAAGGGAAATCAGATTCTAGTTGCAAGTAGTTACTTGCCATGAGATAATTGAGATCCTCCATTAGCAGCTTTATAAAGTCGCTGTTTGATGGGCTGAGACGATCGTCGTTGATGTAGATATGAAAAACGATTTCATCCAAAGTGTATATTAACGTGTTGTTGAGCTTTGCCATTCCGTTTGCGTTGTTTTTGAGATCTTGATACATTTGTCGATTCAGCAGATCATCCTTGAGTACGATAGAGCAACAAGTAGTTTGTGCCTTTTCTTGCTTGAAGGACGCTAAATACCTTAGCTGCTGCCATATTTTGCCCTGCAGCAAACAATGTGCAATCATTTCACAGGCTACAGGATGTCTTTGAGGACACAGAATCTGGCCGTCAAGAATCAGATTAAATGATAGCTTTGATTAGTATCAGGTTGATTGGTTACATACCTTCAAATTGGACAAGTCGGGTAGATACACCAGATTCATATTCTTCGTATCTAATACCTTTAATTCAGACTCTGTCAGGCTTAGTTTTGGGTTGCACGTATAGAAGGTTTTCAGATACCCATGTTGGAACTCAAGGCTTATATTCCTGCTGAAGATTGTCGCACTGCTCATAAGAGAGCTGTATTACACTTGTAAACAAAATAAAATATTCCCCCACATACACATAGTTATTTAAGATTCCATTTCATGTATAGCTTGATGAAATAGAACATAGTTCAAACACTGCCATAATTTTGTTGCTCGCGGCCAGGAAGAGTGACTCCAGCATATCTCGTATGGGTATCATGCGGGTAGCAAGATATGATATACCAGCAATGTATCAGAGCTGGCAAAAAGCCGAGGAAACATAGTGCAATGTTAATCCAGAAGTCTGCAGAACAAATACCACGCTTGATGGCAACTGGAACAAATGGTAAAAACACCCCAATGAAGGCCAATAACCAATCTCTAGCGTGCATGGCTGTAAGTTTTTCTACAACTTTTTATGAGTTTGTCTCCAGAAGATTGCTGTAAGGCAGTGCAGGAATATATTTTACTAGAGTGCGGAAAAATAGGGATCGATATTTTCAGCTTCGAAGCATGCTATTGAAAATTTTGTGACACAATAATTCACAGAACCCTGGATTACGCATCTCCATCTCGTACATGACAGTTTTCAGTTGCTCGAGATTTTTCTTGAAGCGCTGGGATTGTGATTGATGACTGATGCTATCAAAAGACTCGCGGATTAAATTATTGTAAAAATACTGGCCGCGGGGGTCAACGTTTTCTTTGACAGAAGCAGCTTCCGTGGAATCCTTAATTGGATACGGAGTGCTGTTGCTGGCCCGGTGTCCTGCAGTCGATGGTCTCGATGTCCTTGGATGCTCGGACCGCTGGTTGTATAATGGTGAGGTAGAAGGGGTCACGGCACTATCTGGTCTCAGTATGCTATTTTCGTGAATACTGTGCATTTCATTTTCATCCATACCACCAGATGACCCAACTGAGGATGAAGACTGGTTGCCACGGTTAATTTGAAGAGAAGTCAATTTGACCGTTGGATCAAAGTCCCAGTGGATGTCTTGGCCGCTACGCTTCTCCTCAAAATTTAACGAGAATTTGGGTTTCTTCTTAAATCTCTGCATCTTGGATTTTTTCTCCGTAATTAACGGTAGCATGGGACTGTATCTGCTCTTGACCTTGTAGAGGAGCTTTGTTTTAAGCAGAGTTTTAGCCGATGGTCTTCGGCTTGGCTCTTTGTTTAAACAGTCTTTCACAAACTGTTTTAAATAAACACTGTACTGATCCCCTGTTAAAATAGGCGCAGGACGATCAGGAATCTCAAATATCGCCCGCATTGGTTCTTCATTGGAGTAGGGAGGGAATCCAGTTACCAGCTCGATAGCGGTGATACCTAAGGACCAAATATCGACCTTTTCATTATAGCCGTCACGTCTCAATATTATCTCAGGAGCCATCCAAAATGGAGTGCCCACAAATGTTTCCTTCTTATTCATAGTCTCTGTGAGCTGTCCGCTCACACCAAAATCTGCCAATTTGATTTGTCCGTGGTCTGTAACCAAGATATTTGCTGCCTTCACATCTCTATGCACTTTGTTCATTGAGTGGAGATACTCCAGGCCTCGAACGGTATCTCGCAAGATGTAGGCAACAACCCTCTCGTCTAATTTTTTGAAACATTTGAGAAAGTCTGCACAGGATCCAGCGCCACAATACTCCATGACAATCCACATGGTGACATCCTTTATGTATGTCTCATGGCAATTTGTGATATACGGAGACTTAAGTCCTTTCAAGAATTTGATCTCCTGAATCAAGACAGGGATGTCGTCCTCCGACTTCTCAAGATCGATAATTTTGACTGCAACCACCTGTGAGGTCTTAACAAGTTCTCCCTTGTATACATCTCCAAAATTGCCCCTGCCGATACATTCGCCCAATCGGACAAGGTTCATTGGATCATGTTGATCAAAATTGAGAGCGCGGTCGGCTTTCTCATCCATCGAGAATTATAAATGGAGTTGACTTTATTTAATAGTTAACGCCTGCCCTTTTTTTTTTCCGCTCCCTAAATATAGTTCAATTTTTCATCTTCTTTTTGAGCAGATTGAATTTATGCTCCTTCGGCGTGAACTTTGGTGCGGCGGCGGTCTGAGATAACAGTTCAGTATTCGTAGTTTTGGCAGAGCTTCCTTTGAAGCGGTCAATTTTTGATTGCCAGTAATTCAGTGCTTCGTCGGATAAGCCTATCACATTCTGGACCTTGTCCCCACATTTTGTTCCGTTTAAAATGAGATACTCTGCGAGGTCAAAAACCTTGATAGACTTGTCCTTGCCCTCTAAAGAGGGGTAATTCAAAGCATACTCCAAAACAGAAAATGAAGGAGGATCCAAGTTTGTAAGTTGATCAGTCGGCTTGTATAGCTTCAAGTCACGATCAACGCCAAGCGCGAAACTTTTGCTTATTTCAGGAATATTATGAGTTCGCACACCATGAATCAAAAGATCAGAGGCCTTTGCAGCGTCTTTTCGATTCACATATTGTTTCGCAGCATACTTATTGGTGATAAATTTTAGCCGTTGTTTATCGTTGGAATCGGGGCTGATGTGAAATTCTTTGGGCAGCAACTCCTCATATATAGCATTGCTTAACCTGTTGTTGATAAACTGCAAAAGCTTATAGCCTTCCTGAGTAAAAACATCCAATTTGAGTGAGCGAACTTTAGATATCGAGGTCCCAAGTGATCTGTGGCAAGACGAGCATTTCACACAGAAGATCACAAGCAGATTCATAGAAATCCACTCCACTGACTCTGTTGATCCACATTCACTGCAGCGAGTATTGCTGCTGTCAACCTTTTGAACCATGCGCAAATTCTCTAAGGAAACCGAGGAGACTCTTCTCTGCCTACCGTCAGTTTGTAGGGACTCTATTTTTGTGTCGTTGCCCAAAGATTGTGTTTCCCTTGTCTTCTTAACGTTCATAAAGAGAGGATCACCAGTCAAGTCACCCCTGGACCTATGGAAGTTGATTTGTTGACCTGCATCATATAGCGCTTGAATCCAGGAATCGCGATCTTCCTCAGAGGTGGCTTGAAAGTAGTGTTCTATACCGGTACTAGTGATGACCCTAAAACAGTTTTTGCGCTTCTCCATATCCAATGGCTTGATACTTGATAAAGATATATCAATAGGCTCGTTTCGTCTTGAGGTGCCTTTTCGCCAGTCCATGAACTCGGAAAGTTTACCATTGTTAAGCACAACCCATTGCTTGTGCCAACCAGACTTTCCTTGGCCTCCCTGGGTAAACAGGATACCAGACTTGTTAGGACCCGCAATTCCATGAATTTTCGATAGTTCGGCATTTAGTTCAGCCATTGAAGAAGCACGTTTAACGGCTGCTCTGATCTTCTGTCGCTGTGACTTTGAGGAGTTGTATGCATTGATGAAAGAATTTTGATGGTTGCAAAAGTCTAAAATAAGATTCACAAGCGTGTCGAAAAGAAAAACAAAGTAGTCAATCTTGGCCAATTCAAAACCCTTTCTTTTCTGAAGAAGTTTATCATCCTTGGACTTGCCCGAACTAAGTAACCTTGAGAGCCAGTCGTAGTACTTTTTGCTCTCGTCCTCGAACACTCGTTTCTTGGATGCCAAAGATGATTCCAATCCGGAGAGTTTATCAGTCGACGAGAGTCTGGATTTCAGCTGCCTTATGGCGGACTTGTTTTCGTCAGTTAGATTCTCAAAAGAGTAAACGATGGATTTGTCAAACTCACAGTAGTAGAAATTTGGAAAAGTGGATTCGATGACGCTGAACGATTTTATGAGCGACGCTCTGGAACTATAAAGTTGATTGGATAAAGATTCGTAGCTAGTTAAAAGGTCATTCGTGGATCGTATCGCTTGCTTCAATTTCGTGATTTTGGTCTCATAGTCATTAAGCGTTTCTCGAAAAACGGGTCCATCTTCCAAAGATATTGGGAATGGATTCCCCGAATGATCTGCTATGTTTGCAGGATCAATAATTTCAGTTTTTTGTGAAGGAGTAGTGTTTGGCGCATCATTAAAGAGAAAGACAGACAGCTTGGAAAGGGTCTGGCTACCCTCCATTAGCTGCAGAGTAAACTTTCCGTTAAGTTTCGAGCTGAGCTGAATGTTGTATTGAGTCATATTCGCTTCAATCGGATGTTTCATCACTTTGTTATCTGCTTCAATAGATTCAATTAAGTACAAATTGGAGCCTTTTGGAAAATCGGCTTCAACATTACAGAATGAGGAGGGGACTTTCAAGAGAAGCTTTGACTGATCTTGAATGAACTCCATAGGTGCTGATTGTGATATTTTCTTCGCAACTAAGTCAATCTCAATCACATGTTGTGCGTGCGTCTTGAAAGTCAATTTCGTGAGCTTGGAGGAACCACGATTAACTTGAACATCGCTTAAGAGTATTGATACAAAGACATCCATATCAAGGACGCTGTGATTGAATATTGTACAGAACTATAGCTAAACAATGTTCAATGCAATATTTTCTAGGGTGGGAAATATATTTCTCGTACAGGTTCAGTCGAACGACGCGACGATAGGTAGCCAGAGTTTATATTTATTGCGCTAAAACTAGCAGCACTGTCGCCACGAGGCCATACAGGAGTAACAACGGAAGGTGCAGACAAATACTAGCAACATCTAATAACAGGTGTGCAATGTGAAGAAAAAACCGGTACAATTAATCAGGTCTAACGCGCTAATTACGTAGAGTCAACCGCCCACCTCTGCAAAAAAGGAAGAAACGCAAACAGATTCCTGGTTAAACAATAGACAAATTAGCATCGACAACCGTTCACATTAGAGAAGGAAAGCACCTGCTGCAAGAGCGGCAGCTCCAGCAGCGTAAAAAGAACCATGAATTGGAGCACCACCCTCGTAAGTTGAGACTGGCGCGCTGCTGTTCGAAAATGGACAATCAGTGACAGAAGAATCGCATGAAGTAACAGTGACCGAAACAACTGAAGTTTGGGTGGTAGACTCTGTGACACCAGTAGATGCAGCGAAGGCCGAGGCAGCCATAAGGAACACAGTAACGAATTGCATTGGTGGATTGTGAGTTGTTCAGTGTTTGCAACGAACGGTATAAAACTTGTTTAACTTGACGAAAGAAGAGAAGTCGAAAAGGTAAATAGGGAGGAAGCGTCAATTTATAGTGTTTGATGCATTCCTGCAAGTGGGGGTTCAATATTAATTGAGCACTATACCGCCCAGTGAATAGGCAACTCAAGTAAGCTCAAGACGCCAGATGTTGCTACCATCTGGATTAAACGCTGAAGCATTCATGAAAAATATTGAAAGTATAAATTCTTCAGTCGAATTCTGCATCTACAACTGCAATAGCAGCATATATGCCAACTACAATTTATTGCTTTGGGAAATTATAATGCAGCTTAAAAATCACTGCGTAAGCGAAATGCACTAATAAGGGGGGCTATTTCAAAAACTATCGTGCTTATTGCCTGATGTGTGCTATTAGAGCAAAGAGAGCAATCAAACTTGTTGCTCAGGAAATTAGAGCCTCGCAAGCGCATCACAATGTGCATCGCCCAAGACGAATACATCAACGTTACGTGGGTTATTAATAGCATCGATACAATTCTTTCTAGGTGCAAGGGAAGCGGCGGACAAAGGAACTGAATCTTTTGAAAAGACGCCTAATTTGCAATGATGCTTATCAGCTTGAATCTGCTACGCAAACCATCACCAACGCGTAAAACTGGCACAGATATTTCGATTTCCTGATTGAGCGAAAAATTTCTCGACTGCCAGTCTGATCGAACGTTTTTCAAGTTTTTCAATTTGAATCCCACCAAACATTATGAGAAGCATAAAGTGTGTGGTAGTGGGAGACGGTGCAGTCGGAAAGACCTGCCTTCTGATCTCCTACACCACGAACCAGTTTCCCCAAGACTACGTGCCAACCGTTTTCGATAACTATTCCGCTAATCTCATGGTCGACGATGAGAGAGTCACGCTCAATTTGTGGGACACTGCAGGCCAGGAAGAGTATGACCGTTTGAGACCTCTTTCATATCAACAGACCGAGATTTTCATCATCTGTTTTTCCCTCGTGGAACCGACATCCTTTGCCAACGTGAAAAACAAATGGATTCCAGAAATTAAGCATCATTCTCCGAGGAATGTTTTGATTCTGCTTGTGGGCACCAAACTGGATTTGAGGGATGATCCACATGTTCTTGACCAATTGGAAGAATACGGACAGAGCCCGATCAGCTTTGAACAAGGTCAAAAACTAGCAAAGGAAGTTGGGTGTATAAATTACATGGAATGCTCAGCTGCCTCGCAACAAGGTGTAAGCGATATTTTCGAGTACGCAATCAAAGCAGTCTTACATCCTCCAACAGAGGAAAGGAAGGTGAACCAAGCAGCAAATCTGAAACAGCATACGCCGCTGCCTGCACAACCCGTTCAAAAGAAAGTCAAAAAGAGCAAAAAGTGCACTATTCTTTGAAGACACAAATCAATGCTAAACATATAGATCGTTGAGTTCCATGACATAACCGGTTACATCACTATTTATCAATCAGTTGCATTCTCGAAGGATGGACCGATGAACCGACCGTCAAGGGCTCGTCATTCTTGGTATTATCAGTTTTCGCACTGCGTTTATCCAACTCATGTTTGTGACGTTTCAGTTCCAGTTGTTTACGTCTCTTCTCAAGCTTTTCATTTTTAGATTTGATTTTAGTGATCCGCTCTTTAGAATTTCCGCCGCCACCAACCGTCAATTCCACGTTTATTTTTCGATTGTTCATGATGGTATGGTGCATCTTCAACGCTGCTTCCACTCTTTTAACGTAATCCTCTGTTTCGGTTTCAAACTCCAAAAAAGCTATGCCTTTCTCTTGACGGATTCGAATCTTATCGGGACTCGAGCTTTTGAAGTGTTTTTCGAGGTCTTCGTTCGACACATTATATGGTAAGTTCCCTATAAAAAGAATTTTGCGATCTTTCTTCTCCTGCGATGACTTTCTTCTGCGGGTCTTTTTTTTCTTCAACGGTTCCTGCTTTGTCTGTTTCACTTTATCTAGCGTCTCAGCAGCCTTTTCAGAGTTTTTGGACTTGAACTGAAGAGCCTTCAGCTGCTTTTTCGTGAGTTTTTCTGACATTGAATATCAAACAAATTTTTTTTTGAAGATAAAAAATAAAATGCCAAAAATACAGATAAAGCTCAAGGGCCGGACCACGGCCGAAACGCTACAGACAAACAAGAATGTGAAGCAACCACAAGAAGATGACAAGTCACAAGGTTTTGATAGAGCTACTAAATCAAATGAACATTCTCAAGCGTCCCCGGTAAAGAAAATGGAAAAGGATTTGATAAAAGACAGTCTGGAAGAAGAAACTCGTGGGCGCCAGCTTTCTGATAGCGAAGAAGAGCCACTTGTTGAAAGTGAACCAGGCATATCGTCAATGATTGGATTCAATGATTTCGGGTCGACCAAAAACAAGAAAGTCAATGGTAATGCCGCATTTGGTGCAAAAAAAATACCTAGAACTGAATATCGCCAGTACATGAATCGTGAAAAAGGCTTCAACCGCCCACTTTCACCACCTCGGAAGAAGAAGAAATAAATTAATTCTATTCACTATTCATCAGCAACTTAGAGTGTTCCTCATAGAGTGCATCGTATTTGGATTTCATGCTTGCATATGAATGTTTCAGCTCTTCCAACTCGGATCTCAAATTTTCTTTGTTTTGCTTGACAGTCGAGTCAACACCCGTGAAGTTGGAGAACCACTTCTGTTCTGATTTGACAGTGTCTAAAAATTTATCAAGGTCAAGCTGTTGAGGACTCTGAGAATCAGTGAATTTTCTATGAACCTCATGTTTTCGAAGGTCCGAGTCCTCAACAAGGTTTCTTTTGAGAACGGGAATTGTCCGCACAGCAGTCTTCAGTGCAGAGTTACTGACAACATTAGCCTCCATTCTAAATAGTTTCAGAGTTGAGACGGGCCCAGCAAGCTGTTTTAAGGTGCGCACAGTTTGTTTCGTAGCCACGTCCAAAACTAGTACTTTGCCATTGCTATCGCCAGTAACAATCTGTGTGCCGTCGAACGAGACTGATATTTTGGTCACTGGGTTTTCTCCTGTCTGATGGTTGGTGAAAGTTTCGCGCAGCTCTATGTCGTCTTTCAAGGTGATGATCTTGCCAAAACCACCAACTTGCTCCCATATCTGTGTTTGTGGATGTGCTTGAAACAGATTTATCACCCGTATGGTTCCGTTTGCGAGTCCAATATATAGACATCTAAATGCCGGGTCTGCTGCAATGGATTGGATGGGTTGCTGTGCGACAAATGTTGTCACCAAAGCCAAAGAAGTCAAATCGTAGCAGCGCACAGTCTGGTCTGTGGAGACAGACCAGAGCTTTATGTCATTGATGAGCCCGGAATTTATCAATATATCAGTAACCGGTAAAGTGTGATCAGTGAATATAGCATAAGGTTTATGAGAGTCGGTCAGCATGTCCAGAACTTTCCAAACGACAATTCTGGAATCTGCTCCTCCACTCGCAATATAGCCTTTCGAGTACTTGATGACTCCGACAGACTGATAATGGCTCTCTTTCACTGTAAGCAAGAGGCCCGAGTCAAGTTCCCAGACGTACAAGCGACCGCTCATTGCTCCTGCAACCAAAAGCCACGATCTTTCAGAGTCTGGATGTGGACAGATTTCAAGACAGCTGATTTCCTCTGGCAAAGGAATGGTCTGTTCTGGCGATTCTTTTCCATGTAAGTATACATGGATGAGCGCCTTGCCCTTGCATGCGACAATAACCTTGTGCTCACCACCAACTCCAGTGAGAGCTGTGCCGTTAACGTTCGAGTAACATTGGCGATATTGACCAATATGCTGTGACGAGTGAATACTAGACAAAAAGCCAAATGAGGTAGAGTGTTTTTTGGAAGCGTCGCCAACAGAGTTGTAGAACAGAAGCTCGTCCATGCTGAATGATAGTTGACTGTCCAAATAATTTTTTTTTCAAGGCTGTGTGTGGTAATATTTATTCATCGATTTTCCGTTGATCCCTCTATTCATTGATAGTATGCCACTCAATATTCTTGGCACTATACTGCTGGAAGGAACTGATAAGGTTCCAGGATGGGACTATGTAAAAAAGTATGGACCATTCCTGGTTTCAGCAGGGCTTACAAAGTACTATTTTGGTGGATCAACTAATACATGGGAGAGAGACCTACACGGTAAGGTTTATCTCGTAACTGGGGGAACGTCAGGTATTGGCGCTTCTCTGGTGCGCGAACTCGCCAATAGAGGGGCACAATTGGTTTTGTTGACCTCACAGCTGGATGAAGATGGGTCAGGAGGTGCCTGGATTACTGACTATATCGACGATCTCAGAAACGACACGGGAAACCAACTTATTTACGCAGAACATTGCGACTTGTCGTCCCTGTATTCCATAAGAAAATTTGCTACCACATGGCTTGATCAGTCCCCTCCACGTCGTCTTGATGGGGTCCTGTGTATGGCAGCCGAAGCGGCACCAATTGGCAAGGTTAGAGAATCAAGTATAGATGGCGTTGAACGTCAAATGGCAATCAATTATTTAGGCCACTTCCATCTTCTCACATTGCTTGAGCCGTCTCTCAAAGTTCAGATAGCCGATAGAGACGTTAGAATATTGCTGGCTAGCTGTATGAGTCAGTCCATAGGTGAGATCGATTTGGATGATTTGTTATGGGACGTGAGAAAATACCCTGCAAACCAGCCATGGAAGGTCTACGGAACATCAAAGCTAATGCTTGCGATGTTTGCAAAAGAATACCAACGGAGGCTGGATAGCTTTCAAAGAAAAGATGGAGAGCCAAACAATACAAAAATCAACATCGTGAACCCGGGACTAGTAAGAACCCCCTCCATGCGTCGTACACTCTCCATGGGCTCAGTTTGGGGTTTGCTGCTTTATTTGATAACGTATCCCTTTTGGTGGTTCTTCTTGAAATCTGGAGAACAAGGAATGCAGTCATTTTTGTTTGCAATTAATTCTCCTGAGTTTGTTAAAATGCATGGTGGTAACTACGTCAAAGAATGCTCAATAGTCAAAAAGGAGCAGCGCTCCGAACTCAACAACAAGGAGCTGCAATCAGCTTTGTTCGATAAAACTAAGGAGATGGTTGATATTTTGGAGAAAAGGTCTGCTATCGAACGGAACAGGTTGAAAAGGCAAAATGGAGACAAAAAGAAAAAGGAGAGCAACAAGAAGAATTCATCGAATAACGCACAGATATCAGAGACGGATAAACTCAGTGTATTCAAGTCGGCATTTAAGAACCAGCCTGAACCCGCATTGCTGCATAAGCTAGCTCCGGATCAGGAGGAAAAAAAGAACGAAAGATTGAGGAGTCTGGATAAGAAACTCCAACAAAGTAAGAAATTGACAAGCCAAAAATGAATGAGTCAGCTCATTTTAGATAAAGCGCTTTTTTACCTCATTTCCATAAATAACCGAGATTTGATAAAAATCTATGAAAATTTATCATTTCTGGAGATCTGTAAATTACTCACCAACTAGCCTAAAATTCAACCTCAAAATGTTTTTTCTAAAACAATCCTTTAGAAACAAAAACTTTATCAGGAGCATGTCGTCTGCGCTAGATTCTTCAAAGTTGAAGATCACCAAAACTACGGCACCAAAGACTAAGCTGCCTAATGACCAACTTGTGTTCGGCCAATCATTCACCGATCACATGTTGACTATCGAATGGACCGCAGAGTCCGGCTGGGGCATTCCAGAGATCAAACCATACGGCAATCTGTCTCTTGATCCATCTGCTTGTGTTTTTCACTACGCTTTCGAGCTGTTCGAAGGTCTCAAGGCATACAAGGATAGTAAGGGAAAGATCAGAATGTTCAGACCAGACATGAACATGAAAAGAATGAACAAATCTGCTGCCAGAATTTGCTTGCCTACTTTTGATTCTGAAGAGCTCATCAAACTTATCGGAGAGTTGTTGAAAATCGACGGTGCTTTCATCCCACAAGAAAGAGGGTACTCTCTTTATATCAGACCAACTATGATTGGAACCACAGCAGGTCTCGGTGTTGGAACTCCAAATAGAGCTCTTCTTTTTGTCATTTGTTCGCCTGTTGGACCATACTATAAGACTGGTTTCAAGGCAGTTAGATTGGAAGCCACCGATTACGCTACCAGAGCATGGCCTGGAGGAGTTGGTGACAAGAAACTCGGAGCAAACTACGCTCCGTGTATCAAACCTCAACTTGAAGCTGCTTCGAGAGGATATCAACAAAATCTCTGGTTGTTCGGTCCAGAAAAGAACGTTACGGAGGTGGGTACGATGAACTTCTTCGTTGTCTTCCAAGACAAGGCCACAGGAAAGAAAGAGTTAGTGACGGCGCCATTGGACGGAACAATTTTGGAGGGTGTGACAAGAGATTCCATTTTGAGCTTGGCAAGAGAGAGGCTCAATCCATCGGAATGGGAGGTTAACGAGAGATACTGTACCATCACTGAAATTGCCTCTAAGGCCGAAACTGGTGAACTTGTCGAGGCATTTGGTGCCGGAACCGCTGCAGTTGTGTCGCCGATTAAAGAAATTGGCTATAATGGCACTGCAATCAATGTTCCTTTGCTTCCTGGCGAGCAGTCTGGTCCTTTGACCAAACAAATCGCAGACTGGATTGCTGAGTTGCAATATGGTGTTGTTGAGAGCGACTGGTCTAGAGTCGTGAATTAATAAAATATATAAACGGGTCAATTATAAATCATCTCTACTCATTTGGTCCGAGAAGGACTATCTATACTCTTGATTTGCTAGTAAAAACATTTTTGTGCTCTTTATAAAACGAAATGTTCACTTTTGAGTCTCAATTGAATTCATGTCTAAAGAGTACATCCAAATCTTTCAAGCTGCTTTTCGCAACGAATAACCAGTTTGTGCTTCCAATAACTAACCGCATTCTTGTATTGGACTCGTCATTCAACCCTCCTCATAAAGGTCACTTGTCACTGGTAGCCAAGTCGCTGACACATAAACTAGGAGATGAATTTACCGCTCACAGCAGCGTGAACTCGAGGTCGGTGTTATTACTACTCTCTGTTAAGAATGCTGACAAGCGACCACAACCTGCCAAATTCGAAGACCGTCTTCAAATGATGTATTATTTGGCTCACGAAATCACAGATCAAATGGGAGTTTCTTGTGCTATCGGAATCACCAATTGCTCCCTTTTTGTGGATAAAGCTCTGACTCTGGAGAATTACTTTAAGAAAGAATATACAGACCGTTTGAGGTTTACCTTCCTGCTTGGATATGATACACTAGTCAGACTTCTGGCTCCAAAATACTACGAGCCTCGTTCTTTGCAAGACGCGTTAGGGAGCTTCTTCAAAACGAGCGACTGTTTTGTATTGACAAGGAATGACGGTAATGAATCTTCGGAATCACAGTTGCAATACCTTGAGAGAATGAAAAAAGGGATGGTAGCAGAAGCACCGCCTAGGTGGGCTGATAAAATATTTCTAGCTCAAGGGGATTCTGACACGCAAAGTCTTAGCTCCTCAAGCATAAGGAAACTCATTGGGTCTGGTGACGATAGCTGGATCTCGAAAACAACACCAAACATAGCTGCTTTCATCAGCGAACAGCACCCTTACAAAGACACCTGTACACCAGCATAGCGAAATATTTTCTAGACACGTCTTATTTTCTGAGTTGCGTGCGCTGCACAGAAAATTTCTGCGAACGACAATATGGCTGCAATTCGCCACCCACTATTTTATCGTTGTACATTTCCTATTTCCACATTTTTCTTCCAGCAAATTTGCCACTCTGGTGTTTTAAAACTTGTTCACCAAGTTCTACCAAGTTAAATTTTAGCTGGTACCAGTACTCAAACCCCATATTTGGTTGCAAATAGAGAGGTTTAAGAGTCTTATTTTTACAAGGCTTGCCGTTCTTCTGGACTACTTAGTTGTTACGTTCAGTTGTACTTGTGCCAACACTTTCTTCTGATTGGTCACCAATAGCAAGGAGGCTGTCAAGAGATATTCGTGTCAATTATCTCAAAAAGGAAAACTTTTTTTGTGCAAAGCGCACGCCCAAAAATGGTGCTCTCAGTCAAAAGAGGATCATCTGTGAATACAGATTTTGATAAGGAAAACAACCCTGTTTCGTCACTTTCGTTTCCGTCCCGCAAAAAGCACTGCCCACTATCCTCGAATAAAGGCAGTTTGCTCTACATCCGTAGTTGCCAAAACTCATCGAGTGAAGACGAGTCCTCTGAAGATGAAGCTTCGCGAAAGCCCACAACTCTCAAAGATAGAAATAGGCTAAGAAATAAAAGGAGGAGTCACAGAGAGCTTCTGAGAAATTCTCTGTCATCAGCAATGATGGACTCAAAGTTGTCAAAAGCTGTTAGTCAATACAGTGACGACGAGCAAGAAGAGAATTGCGATAAAAAGGAGGATTTATCTGAGAATGCGGCCGGCCACAGTTCCTTCAGTAGAAGAAGCTCGGCAGTGTCCTCTCCTCTCAATGTGACACAGTCGCCATCCCTCGATATGAGTCCAAAGTCAAGGCGTTGTCTTCCAGACTCTGATTTCGCAGCAAGAAGTCGTTGTTTTGAGTATCTCGTGGGGGCTATTGATGAAGCTTGGGCAAGATATTGTGATGCCACTGCAGTTGATGAGGATGAAGTGTACGGATTTGACGGGGGAAGTGGTATTCCGCAAACCCCTACCTCGATTGCAATTACATCTGACGAAGAAGAAGGTTATAAATCAGAAATTTCCACGAATACAAATATCACGGAATATGAAAGCGATTATCCTGCGGAGGTTCCAAAACCAACAACTCGTCGCGTATCCGAAGTTCCTGAAAATGTTCGTTTGCAGCAACTGAAGGATAGACTCATCAAAACAAAGTATTATCTTCAGGACTTCGTTGACTCGGATGATATCAACGAGTGTTTGCTTTTTTGGAAAAAGTGGGATCTAATCAAATATGCTACCATTGAGTTGGTGGAAGATGACGATGACGATGAGGTCATTGAGTCTACTATCGACGAACTCGAGAGTGGACGGTATGCTTCTTCCATCGGTGCATAAGGAAATATCATTAGGAAACAGAACATTGATGTTTTGTTTCACACATTGTACACTATGGGCTTGATTATATTTAATATTTGCGGTTGGGTGAGGTGTTATTTCAAGTTGATGTTTATATTTACAAACAATGCCCCAATAATTGTTTGAAATGAGTTCAATTCTTAAATTTGACAGTTGGTCAAATGACTTTTAAGTCAGTCTGTTCATATATAGTTGAAAATATCTGTACATTAGGTTCAAATACAGACTTATCTACCAGAAAACCTTAGATGTCAACTGTTCTGAATTGATATGCTAGTATGTTTTAGCAAAGTTATAATGCTTACATCAAACCGGGGTCTTGGGTCTTAACTGTTCAATTTCGTCATCTAGAGGAACATTGGAACCCAGACTTGCAATTTCCGTTTTGTACTTCAAGGGATCAAAGTTATCAAGCATTACATCTGGGCTCAGGATTACCCAGCCTGGCCTCAGTCTGACGGGATGGTCAAGTCCTGTTTTTGATGGCACAATATGCAGCCGTTTGGTTGAAGTCGAGAAATTCTCGGCAACTTGGTATATCTGTGCTGGAACAGCCGAATTCTTCGTGGATGCATTTTCAATGGAAAGATCAGTGTTAATGTTGCAGTGAATAAGGTTTTTGTCCGATGATCTCCGTACAGTTCCGGTTATACACATCCAACAATGCCATTGCATTTGTTCTAACAACTGCTCTTCGGGGATAAGTGAATCAGTGGGATAGAATGGCGAATTTTTGTCCACGGGTACGAACACAAGCTCTTCTGATCTCCTGAATTTCTTTGTCCATGTGCTCGTGTTTGAAAGAAGTTTAGAAAGTTCGGATATTTTCTGGGTAGACGCCCATATGAACAGGAATCCCGGTTTAGCACATAGTTTATCAATTGGAAGTTGCGAGACCAAGGGGTACAATAATTGATTTTCAGATAATGCACCAATCATAATAACATCAAACTGTAAGTTGTCTTCGTAGATCCATTTGTTCAAAGTATCAACCATTTTTTCAGGCTTGACTCTTGAGCCATAAGCTCTGGTAGCGTACTTCATAACCTGTTGCTCTTTTAGTTTGATAAGCTTCTGTAGCTTAGGATATCCTTCAACAGGTTGAACTGCATTTCTTACATATTTGACTGGAAGGACGCCAGAATGGATGTAGTGATTTGAGTAATCATTCTTGAAACATAAAACGGAGCTTTTGCTCTCATTGTTTGTCTTACTGTTGGTGTTTCCTTTCCCTGTCCTATTGTTTGTCTGTTGGGGATTCAAGGAAGCCAAAGTCCTTGTATTTTTAGCATATGAATCCTTAGCGGAAGCGCGGGTTGCAACAAGTCTATGGCCATCTCCTGGCTGATGTGCCAATGATTTTTGTGCACTATAATCTGATCCCTGCCATCCTTGAAGGCTTGAGAGGTAAGGGTATCCTGATCTTGTACCTACTGGCCTCATATAGGATGTGTTATTCATTCTGAGGTATCCCACTCGAAGGAACTCAAATACAAATCAACGCACCTGTTTTTGGATCCTTCTTATAAGTCACAAGCCAGCGAAAGGTTGTTGCACGCTTGTTTTGAAACCTTCGAAAGAATACGTTGATACGCCAATGATCAATTTGGTTTTGAATCACACTGTTTCAAGATTCTCGGAATGCTCAATTGGGTAGGAAGTGCCTTATTTATATTTAGTTGATGTTTCAGATCTCACATCTTGCTTTTCTTATTTGATTTAATTTTTAACACGACGCACAGCCTTTGTATCCCTAAAAAGGGCAAAACTGTTTTTTAATCCTCAAATGAAAAGCTTGAGTGGTTCGCCGACTAAAGCAATCGGATTAGAACAAGCAAGACCTCGCCCGGCCTCTTCGAAATCTAGGTTTGTTGTGGCAAATCAGAAGAAGCATGACTCCAGTTTCCAATTTCTGATCGACAACGTTCAAAGCTCTACCGTCGGCGTGTTGAAGAAGGTAAGTTTCGTCCACCTCGACACTAACGGCACTAGTGTGATGATAATAGTATCAATGAGCTATACACATCATTGAAGCGCCTGAACCAGAACTTTTCCATGGGTCTTAAAGAGCGGTATGAATCATTGATACTGAGCGGTATTTTAGAATCCCGTGTTGGGATCGTCGCGTTGCGTTTTGGAGATCACTCAGTAACGACAGAGTTGTGCTCTTTGTTCTTCACTGTGCTAAAGAATTTTGAACATTTTCATGACACAATGGAAGAGTACTCTTCCTACATTTGCAAAGCGCTCGAAAACTTTGTGTCCGGTTTACATGCAGCACCAGATTCAAAGCTCTTAAAATGCTCTATTCTCCTTGTAGCCAGCATCATTCAAACTTATACTAAATTTCCAGCACTTGCAGAGGAATGGTTCAAAGTCAAAATGTCAAAATCAAACCCCAATGAAGCATCAAAAAAACGATTTCCCACATTTGATTTCGTTCACAGATTCATAAACTCTACAATTTACCCTCCCCCAAGCGAAACCTTTACGCTTCAGTATCGCGATATACTGCTGGGTAACCTAGCTAGGCTGGTAGATATTTCTCAACAGGTTCGTCTCTATTTCACTGAATCCCAGCTGTGCGAGACACTCCTAAAATACCCTTTATCTTTGCGAGAGCAGGAAAGTGAAAACAGACTAAGACGGGATCCAATCAAAAACAAAGTTACCACAGAACTATTCACAGAAACTCAAGAATATCAACTTTATATTTCATCACTCATTTATTACCTTGATATCATGGAACTGTGCAAAAATCATGACTCGAAAAACCATTTTGTGCTGGTACTAGGAGACTTCTTTGAGAATCTGTTAGTTTACTACAACATAAATAAGAATGGTACCATAGTATCCATCTTATATGAGGGACTCAAGGCAATAGCAGAAAAATCAACTTTTAAAGTTTGTCATAATTTGATTACTGCTATCATCGAAAATCCTCTATTTCAGTCTATGATTTGGTCTAGTCTACTTTGTTTTAAGGAATCTGAATTGACAGGAACAATTGAAAAAGCCGCCTCAAGAGTCACTCACAAATACACTCTTGACTTTGTCAAATTTATCTACTCGACTTCATCTCCAACGATTCAAAGTATCGTTTTTGTGAAAACCCAACCTTGTTGTGAAAAAGGAGAGTCATACTGGTTCTTATCTAACATCAGCCAAATTTACTCTCGGGAAGAGGACATTTTCTTGGTAGCTACAAAAATGAAGCAGTGCTTTGATATCGCTTTACGTTCTAGGAAGTCAATCCAAAAAGGAGCATACTTGAATGAAGAGTCACTATTTTATCAAGTGCTAGTTGTAAGACTCAATGCGTTCTACCTGTATGACGCAACAGAGAACAAGCAATTCTTGAGTTTAATAATAGCACTGGTTCTCGATTTGGGTGGATCTCCGTTGGATTACGAGGAGTCGTCGTTGCTTCTTGCACTGAAGAATCTAATATTTACCTCCCAATTGGTTTCCACGACTAAAAAGAAACTCTTTACAATCGATCCAGAAGGCCTTTGTTTTCCGTATGAAAATATTCCTTCCCTATTGAATCTTCCAGATCTGAAGCACTGGGTATATGATCAGAGAATGGGCTCTGTGAAATTGAAAAGCATTGCTAAGATGTTTTCAGTGAATCAAGAATTGCTAAGGAAATTTCTTCTTGAACTCTACTGTTATAAAAAGGTAATGGGGATTGGAAAGTAGAAACTTTCTTTTTCACCGTTTAGACGATCATGCAGCCTCAAAATAATATTCGCTAAATTACTGTACAGATATTATTGTTTTTAAGATATGATGTGCATGATTTATTAACAAATTAGGGAATTAGAATGGTTCTAGCCTGCAATTTTCGCATGAAGTGGCCATCATACAGATATGAGAATGAGAAATTTACCCGAAAACAGGTTTGGCCGTTATTAGCTCTCATTCCCCAAGAAACATCCCGGGCTGGCCCATTGAAGGCGGGTCGATGCATATGCAGGGGTACATACCGGTTAAGGCCATGACCTAGACAAATCACACTCTCATTGAAGAGGCGGATGAATGATATGATGTAATACAGTATTGCAGAAAGCTATAAAAGCCCCTCCTGTTTCCTGTTAGACCATAAGTTGTCCACTCATCAATGAAATTTTCCACTCTCTTGATTCTTGCCTTCACTTCATATACCCTTGCAGTTCCTTTTGACGCTCAGGATTTGGGAGAGGGAGCCACTCAAGTCTTGAGCTATGTCGAAAACAAGTATCATATCTCCATCGATACTGACGACTTCAAATGCTCAAAAACTGGAACTAATCCTACAGGTTATGCCACCAGTGGTCAGGCTCCAATTTCCACCAACTCTAGTGATGGTCCCAAAGCTACGAGTGGTTTCTCTACAATAAATCCAAGAACCACGCTGTCCACCTCGTTCTTGAATGCTACCCACATTCCAGAACCTACTGGCCAGAAGTTGTTCTCTTCAGCTGCTTCCACCACCACTACCAGTGTTGCTACTGAGTCCTCCAGCTCTCAAAGCGAGACTTCAACGAGTGTCTCGACGAGCGGCTCTCATACTGGTAGAGGCACCTTCTACGAAGTGGGAGCTGACAATTGTGGAACCTCTAGTACGAACTCTGACTTGGTCTGCGCCATTTCCCACTCTCTTTATGAGACTTCTGTCAATGGTGAGGATATTTCTTCCTACTGTGGAAAGACTATCACTGCCAATTACAACGGCAACTCCGTGACGGTCAAGGTCGTTGACTCTTGCGAGTCATGTGGAGACAACGATTTGGACTTCTCTCCAGCCGCCTTTTCTAAGCTGGCAGACCAGGACTTAGGCGAAATTGAAATCACCTGGTCTTGGGACTGAGACGCATTATAAGTAATCAGATATATTCAAATATACCATGCTTTTTCGTATAATCCAAGAGCAAACTATTTGGCCCATTTTTCAAGTCTGGAAGCTGGAGCAAGCAGACCCTCTTGTCGAGGAACGTCCTCTATTCTGTGATAGGAGTTGATGTTTTTCCTAAGCACAATCTGATAACAGGTAGCAGAACCTTGTCTGGAAATAATAGTGGAATAAGAAAGGAAATATTCCCAAATTCTATACCATTTGACACCATATTTGGAGATGACTTCATCCTTATTGGCCAGCCAGTTTTTGTACCATCTGTATAACGTAGCAGAGTAGTGAACACCGATGTTGTCAACACTAACAGTCTCGAAGCCAGTTCCTTCCAATGCAGAGATCACGAAGTCTAAAGGAGTCGAGGCATCTGCACCAGGGAAGATGTACTTATTCATGAACAAGCCCCATATCAGGTCTTCATATTGCCATGACTTTCTCAATCCGGCATATTGCAAAAAGAAAACACCATCGTCATCCAACATGTCATAAACTTGGCGCAGGAACGAAGAAAACTTCCTGACACCAACATGTTCGGCCATTTCCAAGCAAGTGATCTTGTCGTACTTCTTGCCTTCCTCTTTGGGCATTGGAGAATCTCTATAGTCGCAGCACACGATGCGGGACTGGTCAGGGGAAACACCGTAAGATGCTAGCTTCTCATTACCGTACTTGGTTTGATTCTTTCCCAACGTGACACCAGTGACCTCAGCTCCGTATTGAGAGGAAGCAAAACAAGCAAGAGTACCCCATCCGCATCCCAGATCAAGCATCTTGTCGCCCTTCTTCAGGCCAATTTTTTCGCAAACGATTTTCAGCTTGTTGTCTTGGAGCTCCTCAAGAGTCTCGTTTTTCTCAATTTCCGTGATAATACCAGAGGTGTAAATCATTCTTGGACCCAAGAACCAGGAGTAGAAATCATCGCCTCTGTCATAGTGATCTCTCACCTGTTCCTCATCCTGGGACTTGGTATGCATGATGACTTCTGGAATCATGCCGAATAAAAAGAATTTGAACAAGCTCAAGGTGAATCTGAACGAAGCCCAATCGTGTCTGTATTCCATAACGTCTAAAGCGTCACCCTTGAAAGACACCTTTCCTTCAAAGTATAGGTTGTGGAAAGTCTCCATTGGGATTTTCTGCTGATCTTTGTACTTATTCCTTAGTTGATCGTCATGGAATTCAAGGTAGTATTGAACACCCATGTTTGGCAACTTGACCTTTTCATTGAGCCTTGGGGAATAGGTCGACAAAACAGTCCACCAGGCCATCAGAATTGGAATCGCTAACAATGCGAACAGAAAAAGAAAACTGTATAAACCCAATCCAAGTCTCCTAGTGATATAGAAAGGAACACCTAACATAATGGACAGAAGAATCCAGTTGTTGAAGTGTTTGGATCCTGCACCATCAGCCGGCAATGGCGCATTTTTGATAGCCGGGTACTACTTGGTTAATAACCTGAGATGAGGACACTCACGTTTGTGGTTCGTAGACCACAGTTGAACTGTTCTAATTCTTTCAATGAAGACATTAGAAAAGAAATATAATATTAAGTTACGACCTTTTTTCGGACACGTACTTGAAAAATTACCCTCTTCCTTCCTCTTATGGAGAAATACGTTGAATGGGGGCGAAGGTATTCGCATCAATTAGCTAATGAATTTGCATTCTACATCTATGACCAGTCATACGTTAGCACGGTATATCTATCCTATGCCACGGTAATTGTGATGGCTGTCGTTTTAGTTTCTTTGGGAAGCTACAGCACTCTTGAAAGACCAAAGAACGCTAAAATAGCCAACGAAAAACATCCCTTATTTGATCCATCAGATCGAGACGAGACATCAATACCCGAAGCAATAATTGATGAGACTCATGCGTTTGCCATGCCAGTATTGGCCGGTATAGCTCTCGTAAGCTTATATTTCGCAATACGAAATTGGGATATCCAAAAAATCATTACCATGTTGAACGGCTATTTAATTATTCTGAGCGTCAAGGCGAACTCATTCATGATCTCCTATCTGATAAAAGTCACTGCCCGCAACATCTGTCACCAGCTTGGTCTTGATTCACAGCGATTTGTCAAAAGATATGCCTTGACTATATCGCGGGATGATTTATTTCACTCTGCAGGAGTGGAAGAAAACTTCTTGCTCCCGGACTCTACAGAAGCCGAGAAAATCATCAAAAGTGAGATGCTTCTAAATTCACGTGTAGACATCAAAAAAGATAGTCAACTGTTCAATTTTTACTATTCCACGGCGGACGTCTACGGTTGGGTCTTTGGAATTGCGTTCTCCATTGTGTTCGCATTACTAGATGGCAAAAACAACTGGATCCTAAGCAATATATTCGGCGCATCTTTCACAATTTTCGGCCTTTCCGTTAGCAGATTACCTAGCTTCAGACCAGCATTGATCATGCTAATTCTCTTTTTCATCTACGATATTTATTTTGTCTTCGGATCTGACGTCATGGTTAATGTTGCTACCAAAATTGATTTACCTGTCAAAATGCTTGTCCCAAGCAAGCTGTCCAGCGAGGATAATGAGATACACATGTCGATTTTGGGTTTGGGAGACATGATCGTCCCTGGGCTATTCGTTTCGCTTTGTTTGAGATATGACCTATTCAAATATCATGAGCTGCATCCCTGCACAGAGTTTCATCACCTACAAAGATTTGACAAGCCATATTTTCACAGTGCTCTGGTTGGTTATACGATAGGGCTTATATCCACCGTGACTGTATTACATGCTTTCAACCGTGCACAGCCGGCGCTATTATATCTGTGCCCTAGTATTATTCTATCAACACTTTCAACTGCCCTATTTCGAGGTGAATTGAAAAGTCTGTGGGATTACAGCGAAGCGGAGAAGACGACCACGATGGAACAGCCCGTCGATTTCGTCTGCTCTTCAGAAACACTTTTCTTGGCAGGGCCTTTGATTTCGAGTGATGATGATGACGAAGATGAAGACTATACTCCGGAAGCATTTTCAGACTCCGATTTTTAGATTATGTAAAGTGGTATTTTTTTTCAGCAATTATCTTTATCTTATGTCTTGGGAACAAGCTAAATTCTCTTTTTCTCCACGATCGCGCGGCTGCTATCTGGTCACGGATGAGGTATTGAAGAACCTTCCACAGATCAAGAGCTATAAAGTCGGAATGCTCAATCTGTTTGTCCAGCACACATCATGTGCTTTAAGTTTGAACGAAAACTGGGACCCAGATGTCCGTACGGACATGACGACTGCCTTGAATATGATCTGTCCGGACAACGGAGGTGGAAAATGTCAATTCATCCATACGGATGAAGGCCCGGATGATATGTCGGGGCACGTGAAATCTTCCTTGATCGGTGCCTCCCTTAACATTCCTATTAGCAATGGAAGGCTAGCAACAGGGACATGGCAAGGTATTTGGTTGCTGGAGTTTAGGGACTACAGACACACAAGACATTGTGTTGCTACCATCAACGGGCTCAAGGAGTAAGTCGGATTAATTATTTATTAATATGTTATAAAAAAAATTGAAATCTAAAATATAATATAGTAACAGTCCAATGGAAGCTCCTGATCCTACAAAACAGAATCATGGAAGTGCATCGGTAACGACGGAAGGCGGTCAGATACGAATCCGTAAGGGACAAAGCTACGAGGATTTTCTTATACAAAAGAATCGGTTTTTGCAGGAAGGTCCCATCATCAACGAGCTTGGAACCTTTATGGAAATTCCAATAGGAGTCGTTAACCTTTGCTCGGCAGACAGTATAATCAGAGGCCAAATAGTTCATAGTTTAGAGCGACGTTATTATTTGGGTCATTTCGAGGATTGTCTCAACATTTGTGATAGACTTATAAGCAAGCTAGAACTAGAATCAAGCGACAAACAAGAACGCAAACAGTACGAGAAATTATTCAAACAGCTCGCAGATATTCAAGAGAGATGTCTCAGTAAGCTGACCAGCACGTTAACGACTGATGAAGAGAGAAAAACATAATCAATAAATATCAAGAAGGACACCTGTTGGACTGCTCATGTATTGGAAGCTTGAATTACACCTTGGAAAGTGTTTCCCTTTTCCGAAAGTGTACGTGCAATTCCATGCAAGAGACTTTCCTTCGTTGGTAAATGTCATCATCATTCACGCTTTGTAGCTCATCAAGAACTTCTATCGTTTTAGTGAACACATCCACTTTGTAACCAAGCTCGTGATCAAAGTGCAGCGCGAGATTAGTAACCTTGCCAATTGCTTTCCCCATTCCGCGCACAATGACATATGAGACGGACTTATTTTGATTTGGTATCGGCTTCCCTTTCTTCGTATATTTGTGATCATAATAATCAATATTTTTCCTTACTCGTTTCACTGCTGACATAAATGGAGTAGAGGACTTGATATGCACCACCGTCCGTGAGTCATTGTACGAGTATTTGAGTGGGGGAGCGTGCTTGATTAGCTTATAATTTTGCATGGCTTAAAATTAATTCAAATCAAACTTAGTTATTTTTTATGGATTGGGTTAGTCAATACAGAAGCCCGCCAAAAAAGGGCGATAAGTCGTCAAACAAGTCGATATTATCACCCCCTGGCTTTAGTGAGCAGTTTTACAGACAATGGAAAGAGGGAAAGGTCAAGCCGCAAGGGAAGTTAGCGAACAAAGACTCCAGCCTTGAGAAACTAAAATACGAAAGAGCGTGGGATTTGGCAAAATCGCCCTCTAAAAATATTCCTATGAACTTGATAATGATGTACATGTCACCTAACTCTCTTCAGCTGATTCCCATCGTCATGGTATTGATGCTATTTGTCAACTCCATCAAGGAGATTTATCAAGTCAAAGAAAAGTTCCGCGAATTAGAATTAAACAATAAACAGGGAAAGACGCTTTTACAATTTCTATATGTGGCATGTTGTTGTGGAAACATGGCTATTGGCGTTTGGAAGTTAAACAAGCTGGGCTTGATTCCCAATCGGAGCAGTGACTGGCTTAGCTGGGAGCCACTTGAAGTATAATCTAGGAAATCTGTCTTTTGAACATTGACATCTTTGAAGGAGATGTAAGAGAAGCGGTAGTATTCGATCTTTTGAAACCAAACATTGTCCGTGCGGAATCTCCGTTCGACCCGTTATTAGGATCCACAGGCTCTTGTTGCTCTGACTCTGACATCTCTCGTTTTAGCACCTGATAATTTTCCAGTTTCTGAATCAACTCGATCGCCTCTTCCGGCAAAATGGTATTGAATTTGCGCATTCGTGTAGTCTCGTCTTTGTAGGATTCCAGATTTCCATCCTTTAAAAGGTCTATGATTTGTGTCAGACCAGCAAATATTGTCTGAAATGTCGAATTGGAAGTTTCTGAGTCAGCAGTTAAATGCCGCGCCGATGTTCTCTGTTGCTTAAGGCCAGGAATAATAGATTCAATATACTTGATGTCCGTCTCAAAATTCAATATACTCTCGTTTGTGATAAAATCAGTCTGGTATATTGACTTCTTGAAAAAAGTGACAATCTTGTCAAACGTTCTAATCAGCAACAAGGATTTGATTGTGTACGGAAGGTGCGAAAAGTCAAGCACAAATATGTTTTCCAAAAATAGCCCCATATCTTTGATACCAATGCTAGGCTCCTCGTTGACCTCCTTAGACTCCCAATCAAAATCGACCATGTCAAACAACATATCAATTTTGGAGTCCACCATATCAAACATACCTTCTTCAGCTTTCGACTGTATCGTTTGAAATTCTTTTTGAGCCCGTAAGCGGATCAATAGCGATGATGACCTGCATCTTGCGATGGTGGGATCGCTGGAGTAGTTAAGATAATTTTCAATTTCAACCACGGACCTGGAAAAAAACTCTAGATTAATGAGATTTTGGGAGACTTCTTCCTTATATGAAGAGTCAATTTTCGTTTTGAGATCCTTCAACACAATATTAATAAGAACATGATCCACGGATCTACCAATAAGCTTTAGGATCTCCGAATTTTGATGGGTATAGTATTTTCCAACAAATTCGTAAACATCATGAATAAATCCCCTCATCTTTAGACAAGTAGCCACGTAGATTATCGAGAATGGAAGTACAACTGGAAACTCTGCTATATTATCCTTGAATTGGTGGAAACAGTTTGCCTGAACATTGTTTAGCTGAGTCTTATTCTCAATAGTGATAGGCTGTGGGTTTTCTTCAAAAGACAAGTTTTGATAATCAAGCTCAAAGTCTTTTGTCAGCGTCCTGATATATTGTTGTAATAGCGTAAGAAGCACCTCATAGAGCGCATCCACACTGAACTCATAATTTTCCAGAATCTGGACAAATATGCCGACAATTTCGTTCAAATCTTTCAGTTTTTGAAAGTCATCATGATATTTCTCAATATGCCTTTTAAGTATTGGAATGAATTTTGTAATGACGGAATTGAATAGATCATCTGTTTGCTTTTTGTTTCTCAATTGGTATTCTGTTTTGGCTGCAATCAATCTATCCGTCACGAAAAAGGCAGCGAGCGAGTAGATAATAATTTTTAGGGACTCGTTATTGGAAAACATGTCCAATTTGTGCGTCTCGAGCGCCTCTCTTATAGGGTAGATCAGTCGATCACGCTTTCGTAGCAGTTCGTTCGAAAAGTCATCTTTAAGTCTATCAAATTCATCGATCAGTTCGAACACCATTATAGAATGATAAACTGGACCAAGATCAATCTGAATTTTGTCATTCGAGAGGGGGTTGAAAGATTTAAGCTCATCATTTCTGAAAGCCCTTTCCAAAGGCGTATTAACCTTGAAAGGAAGCAAACTTTCGTCCTGCTGTTGCTGCTCAGCCCATGCTTGATTGAGCTTCTCAAAATGCTCGAACATTTGTTCTCCGATTGCCGTAAGATTTTTCTCAAAGCTAACATTGAACCATCTTATTAGTTGATTAAATGTCTCATCTATGATAAGCTGCTTGATCGTCGGTAGCGAGTTATGAATTTTCTGAGTGAACTCGAACATTTCAATGTCTTCAGATCGACTTTTTATCAGCAAGTTCAAGTTAATTAAAGCTTTATAGTAGCTTTTGTTGTGAAATAGTTCAAACACCTTGTTTGTTTTATCAAGCATATCCAGGCACAGGTTTATTGTCAATGTGGTTTCTGATATCTTATTATGGAGACGCTTGTATTTGAGAGCAGTTTTCTTCTTATCCAGATAATCCAATCCTGTCTTTCTAAGCTGGCCATTTATGGATGTGATCTCTTGGCCTATTTGCCCTGAAGATTTTGATACTTCAGATATGTTTTCAATTGAGCTGGTCAGCTTGTCTATTGAGTTAAAGGAAGCTCCTTCAAGGGTATCTTCCTTTTCTTTGTACGCGCAATCAAGTCTCGATATCAAATCATCCAAAGACTCTTTGTTCGCCAATTCAGCTTTTATTATGGGCGCAAACTGGTCTAAATAGTCATCCGATGTGAGGGCATACTGTATGAGTGAATCATTATCATTATTGTGTGGGCTTTTATCTATTTTTGATGTCATATGAAACAAACAATTGCAAGTTATTTTTTGTTTATTTTAAGTTGGGATTTACACAGCCAACTCAAACTCATGAACCGAATATTAGTCGCTGGCAAGGTGGGTGTGGACAAAGTGCGGCTTGTCCAGCAAGTGTTCTCCATCAATGACAGAGATTTGGCAGAGGATGTATCTCAGAGTGGCCTAATTGTGGACGATGTTCCAATCGCAACGAAGTATTATAAAACATCGGTCTGTATCTTCGTTGACGAGTTTGAGTCTGCTGAGGAATGGTTTAATGAGCTTTATACCCCAGAAGCCAAAATACTTCGAGAAGAGATACAGGGGCTAATAATTTGTATCGATCTTCAAACCACAAGCTACGAAGAAATCGAAAAGATTGAACAATATCTACAGCGCCTGGCGACTCAACTGGACGACGAATATACTGAAGATTGTGGAGAGCCCCAATGGGATGGGTTCAAGCTTGTCGTTGGATTTGAACCACAAGAGGCCGAGGAATTCTATTACGATATGTTCATTATGTCAGGATTTGAGTATATTACTTATGATCAAGAACGGATCCGCGAGTCAGTTCAGACACATAGATGGCGATTCTTACAAGAGCGAAAAAAAGCAAGCAAATCAAGTAAAACTGCTGTTGATTACACGCAACCTTTGCTGGATCACGGTAATGAGAAGTCTCTAGACGTTTTGCAGCTTGTAGAGAAAATGAAACTGGCGCGCATTGATGCTTCACGTCTTCCCGAAGACCAGAAGCATGATTTTGCACAAACGATATCCGAGAAAATACTCGACTACCTTGAAAATGGTGAAATATAATTCATCTTAGCTGCGAATTCAAATAAGTTTTCCCCGCATAAATTATAGTTCAACATGAGCTTATCTGGGATCGGCCAATTTGCCAACAGGCATCTAGTCAAAACAATAAAATATGCGGCTCAGCCACAGCTATATGTTCATAAGGCTGGATCCACTGCATTGCTATCATTTAGTTCCAACCCAACACGCTTACCAATAGGCAAAGTTAAAGCAATAGATAATCTAGGTAGTGACTACCAGGTCACACCAGATAACTTTGTTGAAAACAAGTCTTTCATCGAACGACTACAGTCTGTCATTAAGGGCCATGTTGCTGATGACATGATGTATCGATTGGATTCGCTTAACTATCGTGGTTCTTATATGCCCATATATGATCTAAAACGTGTTCCCGAATACATGAATCAGCAAGTGAATGTTGATAACGTGCTAGGTTACATCAAGGTTGATGCTATGGGCAACATGGACGAATCCACGTACCAGGCCAACAACACATATAGATTGTGCAATGCGGACGGAATTATAAAATTGAGTGATGTTATCCTCGAGGAATTGAAAAAGCAGTTGTGAGCTCATATTTGAACAAAATCATTCACAACGTCTATCAGTGCCGTGTTAGGATCATTGCTCTCGACAACCATGGAGTCTGCGGCGTGAATAAGCTGCTCAAAATTGGATAATGCTGAAATGCCACTTTTCAGATTTATCAACATGCAAAGCTTGTGCACTACTCTAGCCCGTTCAAAGTTCACAAATGATTTGTACAGCACAGTGGCAGTCGGGTCATCGTATGCAAGCAACCCCAGAAGATCGTCTAGAATTCTTTGATTTTGCTCCGAAGTGTAAGTTGATTTCATATGTTTAGCAAGTTTAATAAACTGTTCTTCACTGTCGTGACCCACCATGTTCACCAGCTTAAGACAGTCTAGCTTAAACTGTATATCTGTATTGTCTTTAAGCAGACCAGGGAAATTTGAATCAACTAGCTCTGTGGCTAAATCGATTTCATTGCTTGAAATAAGTTCCTTGAGCTGTTTCTTGATGTGACTCTCGCGTCTTAGAATGTATGGAGTTTCTGTACTGCCCTCATGATTCAGATCCTTCTCAAAAGACTTGAGCGCACTTGCATATCCTCTGTGATCGAAATATTTTTTGATCATCTGGTTGAGCGAGGTCTTGAGATCGCTGGAGTCCCTAATTTCTGTGCCATTGTCTAGTGCCACCAAGGGTATTTTAAAGTTATTGATTGTCTTTAAAAACCGTAATTTGAATGAGTCGACATAGTTGTCAATACTGAATCTGAAGCTTTTAGTATGGCCAAAGTTGGTTGAGATCGAGTTCCATGACCCCAGACTCACTACTGGCACAACCCGTTTGATGTTCGATGGCAAGGAAAAGGCTTCACCAAGGAATACACCATTTTTGGTGATAAATATCGAACGATTGACAAAATTCACTCCACACCCAACGACATCTTTATTGCCAAACTTGCACGACGTCCGAACGCTGGATCTGCACTCCTCAAAGCTTATCAGCTTCCCGTCTTTGCCTTTGTATCCCCACGCGTTCTCGTCGTGGCCCCTCAAAGAACTGATAATTTCCTCTGGTTGATCTCCGTCCATGTAACCTATTGTTATCTCCGACCCCGAGTTTAGGCCAAAAAGAATCTCCACTTCATAATAGTATATGCCTATCGTTTCGTGCACGCTAGAGTCTGCTTTTGTCGAGTAGATGTTGGAACGAGCGTGATGAGGAAGATTGACTGTTATCGAGGAAGTGGAGGACATGGATTTAGTGGGGTTCTTGGTCGATATCTCTAAACCGTCTAGCGAAAGTTCAAACTGGCATTCCTTTGGAGTAATCCACCGAGATGGGAGAGATTGGTAGTCAGTAGAAGGAGCTAAACTATCCAGAGGTTCAACTTTTAACGCAGCAGAAGGAGGTTTGCCAGCACTGCTATCGTCTAATTCTGTCACGATCTCATCTGTTTCGGTCTCGTCGTTGACAAATTCATCTGTGACCATTGCACTTGCTTTTGCAGATCCCTTGTTTTTGAAGATTTCCACCAGTTTATCGATATAGTCTTCATTCTTGCTAAACATGACTGGATTTGACCCAATTATCCCAATAGTGGAAAGTTGGCTTACCATGGCATCGCGAATGTCATCCTTAGACTTTGGTTGTTCAGCTGAGCGTATCCGTTGAAGTGTCCGCTGTGCAACGGCCCCGTAACGCAACTTGAGTAGATAAGACGGAATTTCAATCATGGAGATTTTATTTTATCGCATAATCCCCAGATAATAATAATGAAAAAAAATATGCCATAGAATTGAACAAATTACCTAAACAAAAACAGTAAACTCGTTGAAGATATCTATACCAGTATTATACATGATGTTGAAGCATGACATTCAAACATAAAAGAGGTGGAACTCATAAGCAAAAGAGAAACCTAAATCGCAAATGCAGTTGATGCAAAATTGCTAATCGTCTAATATCGTTTAGTATCTGTAGTGATCAGCCTTGAATGGACCTTGTGCTGGGATATCCAAGTACTCACTTTGAGCCTTGGTTAACTTGGTCAGCTTGACGCCCAAGTGGTCCAAGTGACAAGCAGCGACGGTCTCGTCCAAAATCTTTGGCAAGGTGTGGACACCAATGTCGAATGGACCAGTCTTCTCGAACTCAACAAATTGCTTTCTGAAAGCGGCATCGTTAGCCTTGAACAAAGCGATCTGGGCTAGAACTTGGTTGGAGAAAGAACAGGACATGACGAACGAAGCGTGACCGGTGGCACAACCCAAGTTGACCAATCTACCGTCAGCAAGCAAAATGACGTGCTTACCAGACTTGAGCAAGTATCTGTCAACTTGAGGCTTGATGTTGACAGTATCAACAGCGTTAGCCTTCAACCAAGCGACGTCAATCTCAACATCGAAGTGACCAATGTTACACACAATGGCGTCCTCTGGCATAACAGAGAAGTGCTCACCAGTGATGATATCTCTGCAACCAGTGGTAGTGACGAAGATTTGACCAATTGGGGCGGCTTCCTCCATGGTGGTGACTTGGTAGCCAGAAACAGCGGCTTGCAAAGCATTGATTGGATCAACCTCGGTAACGATCACTCTAGCGCCCATACCTCTCAAAGCCATGGCACAACCCTTACCAACGTCACCGAAACCAGCAACAACGGCGACCTTACCGGCGATCATAACGTCGGTGGCTCTCTTGATACCATCAATCAAAGACTCTCTGCAGCCGTACAAGTTGTCGAACTTGGATTTGGTAACAGAATCGTTGACGTTGATAGCTGGAACCTTCAAAGTGCCCTCCTTCATCATCTTGTACAAGTGGTGAACACCAGTGGTCGTCTCCTCAGAAAGACCGTAACAGCCCTCCAACATTTCTGGGTATTTCTCGTGGACAAGAGAAGTCAAGTCTCCACCATCATCCAAGATCAGGTTGAGCTTCTTGCCGTCTTTGAAAGCAAACAGCTGCTGCTCGATACACCACAGGTACTCTTCCTCGGTCTCTCCCTTCCAGGCAAAAACAGGAACACCTGCTGCAGCAATAGCAGCGGCAGCGTGGTCTTGAGTGGAGTAAATGTTACACGAGGACCAGGTAACCTCAGCTCCAAGAGCAACCAAGGTCTCAATCAAAACTGCAGTCTGAATAGTCATGTGCAAACATCCAGCGATTCTGGCACCTTTGAGAGGTTGAGATGGTCCATACTTTTTTCTGATGTACATGAGACCAGGCATCTCGTTCTCGGACAACTCAATGTCCTTTCTACCAAAGGCAGCAAGGGAAATGTCAGCGACTTTGTAATTGCTCATTTTTATTAGGATAACAGTTATAGAAACAAGTTTGAAAAAAACGAGATCTAAGAATCTTTTTATACAATACAAAATTCCTTTTGTTGAAAATTTTCACAGCATGTGGTTGTCCCGATTATGTAACCAAACGGCACCATAGGAGGCACGAGTAAAACATTGTCTACCTGAGAGGCTTGACAACTCGCAAATGGCTGTGCTCGCACTGCACAATCGTCAGGGAAACTATCATCAGAGAATTGCGAGTGATTGTCGATTCGTATTTTTTCACCTGAGTTTTCCTATCGTATAGCTCGTACCTTTTGGTGTACATCCAAAATTCTCGCATTTATATGACGGCTAATCTTGGATAGATCCATCGCGCGGTCTGTATTCAATGCCCTGTGCCTGCAAATCACCTCGGACATCGTCAGGCAATTTGCCAAGGACTCGCACAGCATATAAACCAGGCACGAAGTTCTCAATTCGGAGCCATCTCGCCACCCATGATCCCTGATCTCCATGTGTAGCAACAAGTCCCTCAAAGGTAGGTGAAGTACACTCTCGAACGAGATCGTCGTTGTCTGCAAAATGTAAAACTGATTCGCAGTTTGGACATCCTTCGTTACGGAATTGCTGCAATGTTAGGCCTCAAAGTGATTGAAATACTTACACTCATCGACTGTACAAGACCGCAGAGCATGCAAGCCCTATTGAGCTTAGGTGCTGGTCTTCCTCTTTTCTGCGACATGTAGATTGGAAAATAAAAAAATTAGTAAATTACACTATGTTTAAAACCATTAAATTGGTTAGGCCCATATTATCACAACGAGAACGACGTCTATTCTCCACAGATGTTGCGTCTGTGTTTGTGAGCGGCGCTGAGCTGGTTTCAGCTGCTCATGCCGCTTCCGGGCTTCCCTGGTGGGCCTTCATTCCTCTGATAACGGTGTCGGTCAGAACGTGTATCACTCTGCCTCTGGCAATTTACCAGAGAAGGGGGCTACAAAGGCAGAACGAACTACGTCCCATTATAAGTGCGATGTTTCCCATTTTCAAGCTTAGATTGGCCGCCAGGGCCCAAGCAGCACAGCAAAACGCCAGACTCTCCAAAAGTGACGTTCCCATCAAGACAGAGACCGAGCAGCTCTCGGCAAACAAAATCATCGTACTGGCTTCCAAGGAAAGAATGAAACGGCAAAGACAGATTTTCAGGGAGAACGGCTGTCAGTCGTGGAAGTTCTTGGCACTTCCCGCATTACAGATACCATTATGGATAACATTATCTCAAACCTTTAGGGTCCTTACAGGTTGGACGAGCGTGCGTGCCACTGTGCTGGATCCCACGCTATCAACTGAAGGACTCGGGTATCTTACGAACCTCACTTTCACTGATCCATATTTCATACTGCCTGTGGTTCTCGGAGTCACAGCTTTGACTAATGCGGAATGGAATTTTCGTACGGCGGACCTAATGAAGCTAACCACGAGAGGAGTGAGGAACTCGTTAAGACCTACTGCTTTTGACAGTGTCATCAATCTTACCAGAATGAGCATCTGTTTCCTTGTTGTTTTATCGGCCCAAGCTCCAGCTGCTCTGTCCCTTTACTGGATTAGCTCCAACATGTACTCGTTGGCTCAAAACATTCTTTTAAACAAGTTTATGCCCTTGAGATACACTCCATATGCCAGATCAATGCCTTCGACAAAGAAGTTGGCAGGCGAAAGCCTTGTGGAATTTTAACGTCTCTACAACTCCTCGTATGTACATAGTTCAACTACATCTAAATATTCGCATTGCTTATCATTAATGGTTCTACAATAAGCCCCCTTTAGCTAGTATCGGACGAACTTCCCTAAGCGAAAGTCAAACTTTCGGAAGTACAGTCCTAAATCATCAAACAGCGCAAATTGACTGGCATCCACCATAGAATTGGAAAAGGCCAGGTTTTTCTCATGGACAATTACCGTCTGGCCCGTGTTAGTGAAGCATTGGCAATAAACTTGTTTATGATAGTTTTTGAAGCCTATTATTATCATAGGCTCCCCCCTACGGTCCACCACCATCTGGCCATCTTCAAACTGGGAATATGAACCTTTAGGGAATGGCAACTGATCATCTCGTTTGACCTCATTCACGTTGAATGAAAGTGTACCCTTCATGAAAGCCTTTTTCAGCTTTGAATGTATGCCTTTGATCCCTTCCATGCTACTGGTCAAATAGGCCACTCCTATCCCTAGGAAGGCCAACCTATTTGACTGCACAAGCGAAACAAAAATGGATTGCAAGTCTTCTTCTAAGTTTTCAGTCTCAAAATGTATCAGCATAGTCCAGAACTTGTGCAAGACGTTTATAGTCTCTTTGTCAGTTCCATAGAAGCCGATAATCTGGCCCTGCAAACGATCACCGGGCCTCTCCACAACCAGTTGGCCATCCATAGATTTCGGATGCATATAAGCACTTCTATCTCGTCTCTCCGTGGGGTATTGACAGAAAAAGCTGGTTGCTATATTTTCAATGAACTTCTGCGGATCAACCTGTGATACATATTGGTGGAGCATCAAAGAGGGCTGTGGCAGGTCATGAATTTCGGCCATGTTAATCTGCGTAGTTTTGTACGATTCAATCATAAAATGGGATGTCCCTCCAGGTATCGTAGAATCTTCAACGACAAGGTTCAAGTGGTTGATCCTCACTGGAATTCCAAGCTCATGGCAAAGTTTCTCCATTATAGAATGGATCAGTTCGGTCTTGCCGACTGCGTCGCCACCATAGATCCGGAAGAGACAGCAGTCCTCCAATGACACTTGCGAACAGTAGTCACCTGTGAGCGAATGGGGAAGCGATTGCAATCGGAGGACCCTTTGGAGAATGGATGCTAGAATCTTGACTTTATTGGTGTTGGAGACCCCATCGTCTAGCTGCAACCCATTATACTCGTGCAGCACCCTGCTCAAAACTTGTGTTCTGTACCCATAGAATTCGTACACATATGGATCAATATAGGCAAGTTCACCAAACATCTCCTCAAGAGACTGAGGATATTCCCTTTTACATATAGTGCGATATCCAAAGTCGAGAACCTTGCACAATCTGATCGCTTCTAGTAGTTGGCTAGCGTAATACACTGTTGATAGGTCATGTAGACGTCGATCCATCTGCCGCAGAAAATCTTCCTGAAGGTATCTTCCCTCTCGTAGAAAGCTGGAATCGAAATGCTTCGTTATTCTGAGAAGTTCTGGAACGAACAGTTGGGGATTTTGAAAAATATAGCTCACGTCCTCCCAAATTTCAGACTTCGTCATCTCAGTGCCCGAAATGAGGCCCCAGATCAGGTTGCGCAGCCAACGGTCATATCGCGAATGCTCAATATATTTATCAAACCAGAATCTTTCAACTTCGGAGTCAGGGCTCTCAGAGTAGCGGTACCAGTTGCTCACTACTCGTGGTCTCCAAAACAAATTTGCAGAAAAAGTGTCATAGAGATATTTGCTAGTAGCACGAAGACTCAGACAATCCACATCATCCAAGTAAGAAGCCACCAACCACCACGTTTCCGGGGGAAGTTGTATATCCTGGCACATCTGCGGAGGTTGAAAAAAAAAACCTAATTTCTTGCGTGAGCGCAATTCGCTTGATCAAGATGCTATAATATCTATTTATGCCTCGTTCACATTTAGTGGCTCCATGATCTCGTCATAGAGCATTTTCTTCAACTCGAATAGTGACAACTCGTCCTTACGCTTGTCAAAGTCGAAGAAGTCATCGGGTATCTTCTCTGCAACCGGCTCATCGTTTGGTTCATGGTAAAAGGACACATACGGGTGGTTTAGGGCTTCCTCGACTGTAATCCGTTTTTTGGGATTGAAAGTAAGCAGCTTCTCTAGTAGATCAATTGCATCGGGATTGGCATCGGGGAACAAGTCACGAAAATTCTTCTTCTTCCTAAAAGGTAGAGTCCGTATGTATTCCTTGGCACGTTTGGACTTGATTGAAGTGTAGTCCTCCATTAAGGGGGTTCCCAAAACGTCGATTATCAGCCATAGTTGGTTGTGATAGTCCGTTCCTGGGAAGAGCGGCCTTCCTGACAACATCTCAGCGAGAATACAGCCAACGGACCAAACATCGATGGCTGTCGTATACTCCTGGAATGTCAGCATAATTTCAGGTGCACGGTACCACCTGGTTGCCACATATTCTGTCATAAACCCAAAATTGTCCTCCTGAGATGCTACCGAACGAGCCAGACCGAAATCGCAGATTTTGAGGTCGCAGTTCGAGTTCAGCAGCAAATTGGACGGCTTGAGGTCGCGGTGAAGCACATTTGCTGAATGCAGCGCCTTGAGCGCGCGTAAGGTTTGGTATATAAAGTACTGGCAGTGATTGTCACTTAACGTCTGAGTTCGAATGACGCGATGCAAATCTGTCTCCATTAACTCTTGGATCAGGTACACTTCATTGAAGCTGTCAAAGTCGTAAGGTATCTGAATATCCAGTATTCCGATAATGTTCTCGTGGTTAAAATGCTTTAGTAGTTTGAGCTCACGCAGAGTTCGTAGACAAAACATGGTACGCTCGAAAGGTTGGATTTTTTTGATAGCGACCTTTTGCTGAGACGGTTTATATATGGCGGAACAAACGATGCCATATGCTCCCTCGCCGACTATATCTTTGATCTCATAGTAGTCGCTCACATTGAACGTGATCTGAGTTTGGCTCATAGTTTGAATTTCAACTTCATACAGTGTAAAATGCTATAACGTAATCGCATAAAACCGCGTAGTGTTTCAAAAGTCAATGCTACACCGCCTCGTTTTCAACCGGTTCTAGATCCTAGATCGTACCGAATAAGAAATCGCGCTTGTCACGCGGGATGCAAGGATTTTTTTTTCAGCCAATCTCTATCATATCACGTGATGTTCCAATTCTTACACTTCAGCCCTCCAAAGGTTTTTTTATTAAATTTTTCACTTGAACAAACTCATCATCAAAATGGTTGCCAACTTCTCCAAGAAAAGAAAGCTTGTCGCTGACGGTGTCTTCTACGCCGAACTTAACGAATTCTTCACCAGAGAGCTTCCTGAAGAGGGATACGCTGGTGTCGAGGTCAGAATCACCCCAACTAAGACCGAGGTTATCATCTCTGCCACCAACACCCAAAGAGTTCTTGGTGAGAAGGGTAGAAGAATCAACGAGTTGACTTCCCTCATCCAAAAGAGATTCAAGTTCGCTCCAGGCACCATTGTTTTGTTCGCTGAGAGAGTTCAAGAAAGAGGTCTGTCTGCCGTCACTCAATGTGAGTCCCTCAAATACAAATTGCTGAACGGTTTGGCTGTCAGAAGAGCTGCTTACGGTGTTATCAGACATGTGATGGAGTCCGGCGCCAAGGGTGTTGAGGTTGTCATCTCTGGTAAGTCCAAGGGAGCTAGAGCCAAGTCCATGAAGTTTGGTGACGGTTTCATGATCCACTCTGGTCAACCAGTCAACGACTTCATTGACGTTGCAACCAGACACGTTTTGTTGAGACAAGGTGTTTTGGGTATTAAGGTTAAAATCATGAAGGACCCAGCTACCAACAGAAGAGGTCCAAAGGCTCTTCCAGATTCTGTTGTTGTCTACGATCCAAAGGAGGACCAGCAGGTTGCTGAGCCTTACGTTAACGACTTCAAGCCAGTTGCTGAGGAGGCTGTTGAGGCTTGAGTGTATAGCGCATAATGAAACATATAAGTCTATTAGTCTTTATTACCTATGTTTTTCTCACTCATTTGACCAAGCAAACCTAGAACGTTGTCTAAGTTTGGCTCCGTATTTATAGAAGAAGAGAGGTGCCGGGGTGAGGAGAAGTGCAAGGAGCCCCAAAAGCAAGCATGCGTAATGAACTCCTAACTTTTCGTACATTTGGAGTCCAAACAGCGGGAAAATTCCGGCCATGGAGCATCTTGTAAACGTGTTCGCAGCTGCTGCAGATGCCGCATACAGCTGATATGCGTCCGCCGTGTAGGTGAAGATCCCGGAAATGATCAGCCCTGTGGACATGCCATAGAAGCCAGAGGCAATGAGCGCTCCGATCCAGTGGCACTGTTTGTAAGTTGTGAATGCCAGTGTAATTAGCGAAATGGGGGCCAGGAAGCCGCCAACAATCAGTGGTGGGAATCTGTATTCAGGTTGAGGTTTGCCTTTCAATTTGCTTAGTCTGAGGTAGAGTTTGGCAAAATATGGCGAAATGCTAGAAGATGCCAGCATTCCAATAGCCATGCCAAGAAATGCTAGTCCCTGTTCTGCAACATTGAATCCCCAAACCTTGTGGAAAGTGTAAGGTATGGAGAAGAAGAACAGGTAGACAATTCCCAAGACCAGACCCGAATAAAAGCAGAGGACAGTCATCATTGGATCGAATACCAGAACTGACAGCGGCCGTTTTGGTGCCTTCAAAATGGCCTCCAACATGTTTGAATGCATCTTCTCAATTGGAGCAAACAGCTCTTCTTTACCGGTACTCTTCCTGAGCTCTTGAGCCTTCCATTTCGTCAATATCGGAACATATGTCTCTGGGACCACCAAAAACACCAACAACCACAGAAAACCGGAGAAGATCAGTAGACTATAGAAAGTCCACATGTACTTGTCTCCACCGAAGTGAACGACAATACCCGCAAGCAAAGGACCTAAGCTTGGTCCCAAAAACGGACAGAGCGAGTAAACGGTCAACGGCGTTCCTATGGTTTGCTTTGTGAAAATATCGGATATTGTACCAGGTGCAACCGATAAAAACACAGAGCCAAAAAGCCCCGTCATAAATCGGCAAAATATCATGAACCCATAATTTGGAACGAAGCAGCCCAAGATCTGAAAGATGTTGCAAGTTGTGAGGCCTAAAATATAGGTCGCTCTCCGTCCATAAAATTCGCTAATCGGAGACAAAAATAGGGGTCCCCAAGCCATGCCAAAAATATAAAATGACACCCCTAGTACGAATAGCTCGTGCGAAACGTTGTACTTCTCCTTCAATGGTGTTACGAGAGACCAGCAACTCGACAACAGGCAAATATCAAGACCAACGAAAGCAAGGGTAATCGTGATGAGCCATTTGCGCCACAGGGGAAGTCTCAAGGGGTCGCGTTTGTCCCCAGCTCCCAAGCTCACCTCATAGCATTGATTATCACCATCCTTGTCATCGGTATGCGAGACGGTATTCACAACAGCCTGATCAGGATAGAGACTGTGGTAACTCTCAGTCTTATTAAGAGACAGACGATGCTCATCCTCTAGATCATACGGGTGTAGATCGAAATTGACGGAGTCTTCTAGTGAACTTGTGTCTGAACTTTCACTTTCACCCATTTTTAGCTTTACGATGAGCACACGTACCTTAATTTATATATGTCGGTATGCTGACCCATTTTAAGAATCCACGTATCTTTTCGGGCTTGCTGATGTATTCTTGATAGGGTGATTGAATTTTTTTTTGTGGCAACGGGTGAAAGCCGCACGCAATAACATGATTGTTTCGGAAAAATTTTAGGCAGGGCTGTACGACGGGTGAAGGCAAAATTTTTCCGAATTTTCAGCGTACACAAACTAATAAACACATTAAATAAAATCGAGTTTTTGAAAGATATCCAGGGTTACTCCTGGTGCATCTGTTCGTCTCTTCTTTGTTTCTCTTTCTCGAAACAAGAGTATAAAGACGAAAGCGCACGATCAACGCTAAGAGTAGTTCCCGTCAAGGTGAACTCTCTTTGGCCTCGTTCATTGTCCTCAGCATCAATGTTGATAGTACAACCTGATGTTCTTCTGATTTCCTGAATACGGGACCCCTTTTTTCCAATCAAAGCTCCCACAAACTCTCCTGGAAAACTAGTTTTTTCAGAAATTTCTTTATCAGAACCAGTTTCCAATTGGGGGTCCAGTTTAGATCCACCTTTATATGGGGGTTGGCGAGGAGATGGTGTATAATAGATAGTTGCCACCACGCCATGATAGTCGCTTAAAAGACATCTGGAGATAGTGTTGAGCGCTTCGACCAAATTTGTGTTTGCACCCTGGACCTCAACTATTCGCTCAGTGGAATTTCTGAGATAATCCTTCGAGGCCACCATCTTGATATTGTAAGTTTCTTGAATGGATTTGATTCTGCTACCTCCTTTTCCAATCAATGTTCCCATCTGTGAATGAGGAATCAGCAATCTCAAACTCAAAGTTTCGGCATAAAATGGATCAGAAGCGGCCGGGGTTGGACATAGGGGTTTCAAAGGGAAGAAGTTGTATGTTATCAGAGAGGTGGGGTCCGTTCCATTAGCGGAAGCACTTGCGACAGTCTGTACATTTGAATCTGTGACAGCTTTTGCAAACTGCACCAATGCTTTAGGCACATTGTCCACGATGCCGGTGACAGTAAGGATTCTATCGATACATCCCTCAATGACTTTTGACACACCTGCCTTCACATTGGTTTGTTCGCGGATCCTGGTAATGTTGTCGCCATTCTTGCCGATAATAGCACCGGCCTCTCTTCTAGACACCAGCATCCTGTAGGTTATCAAGCTTTTGCCCAAATCCACATCATTGGTCATGCCATCTGATGAAAATAAAAGCATTGGCTCTTGAGTGAAGTTGGAATCAAATAAGGATTCGGAAGCGGTCATGTATAAGGGGTTGGGGTGTCGATGGGACCGAAGGGCTTGAAAAATATTGCTATTGCTATACGATTTTAAAAGGCGAAAAAGAATACGTGAAAAAATCAATAAGATTTTTTTGTTTAATTTCAGGGACAGACTCGGCGATATTTTCACACCGATCAAACTTCTAGGATTGTAGTCAGCTTCCATTTCAGAGGCTCATCTGCCGCAATATTTTTTTCCTCTGCTACCACCCGGCTCTCGAAGAGACGCTTGTCTGCTATCGAAATGTGTCGGAAAGTCCGGGTAATTAACTCACCGTCTTCATTGAATCGAGAGTAGAACTTCTGATTGTAGGTGTCAATGTCGATAGCTTCCTCGAAATCTGAATTTCGTCTTTTCCTGACTACGGTACTTTGCCTTTTTGTTGTTTGTTCATTGAGTTCAGCAAAGCTTCCAATGCGCTGATATGGTGACTCTTGTGGCTTGAGTGCGACAAGATTGTTGATGGACTTGTATAGCCGTTTGAGAAGCCGGTTAATAACATTTTCAGGGGTAGGATCCTGATTATCGATTGACCAGGCTATCCACGAACGCTTCTCACTAGTCGTCAATTTATTCGTAAGAGGATCATTGCATTTCAGTCTAGCTGGGTAAGCGTTTATGTCAATGAAGCAGATTATAAATCCGGATTTCAGATACAATCCTGTCTCCTCCATGACGATGTCGACTTCAACTTGTTTGTTTTCTGCGAGTCTTTCTTTTTCTTCTTTAGTGAGCTCTATAGCGAAATCCCCCAGGTCAAGTAGCACAAATTTTCCATGGGGGACCAGATCATTGATATTAGTTGCAGGGAAAAAACTAAGCAGTTCTTCTTGATTACTTTTTCTGATCACTTTGAAATTCATGCTACCCAATCCAAGAGCGTTTTGGACAATTATGCCACATGAAAGGTTATAGATGTCCGCTGGCAATTGGACGGTTTTTCTGTACTTGACAAGGTAGGTTTTGTTGACATGCAGGAGAGATCGCGTAAGGTAGCTGTGGGGCTCATCTATTTGATAATCATCATATTCAACGAAAAGTCTGCGATTTTTGTAGATTCCATAGACTAGCTTCCAGGAATCTTTCACGTATTTGCAATTGATTATGTCTTTTGGGTTCATGGTTTTGCGTATCTCGGAATCCAGCTCGGGGTCTCCTAACTTGTAATGATTGCTAACGATTTGTCTCAATGTCCGGCGCCAATAATCAAAGGAGCGAATGTAGTCAACCAGCTCTTCGAAGTTATACATTGCAATGTTGAAAATTATGTTTTCTCCAAGCTCGTCAACAAGCTTCTGGCAATAGTAGTCGTTGTACATGACGTAAAAAAAGCGACATGTGGCCTTCAGCTCGTTGGGAACTTGCTTGAACACTTCATAAAGAATTTCCACCGGAAGATCCAGGAAAGCATTCACAGGTTTCAAGCCATAACGTGGAAACGACGCCTGACGGACGAGGAATTGCATTACAAGAAAGCAACAATGTCACAATTTTTTGGGGGTAAAGATAATTACATCATATACTCCTCAAACCAGAGTTTATCAAAAGATATTTCACCGTGTCTTTTACTAGTCTATTTATGCATCGATCAGTGGAACGTCGGACTCCTTGTGGTTTTCCTTGTTGGTCTCCACTTGTCTCTCCCTGTCGTAGAATTCGGCCAGAATCTTTGGAGAAATTCTGTTGAGCATCTCCTTTGGATAAATTCTCAAAAGAGACCAGGCCTGGTCCAAAGACTCGAATATGGTTCTGTTCTCGTAGGCACCTTGCGAAATAAATGTTTTTTCGAATTTCTCCAAGAACTCCAACGACAGCTTATCTTCTGTCGACAAAGCTTCCTCACCAACCACAGACTTCATGGCAGCAGCGTCTCTACCAATTGCGTACTTGGCGTAAAGCTGGTTACTGACATCACCGTGGTCTTTTCTGGTCATTCCGTCACCAATGGCACTCTTCATTAATCTCGAAAGAGACGGCAGCACGTTGATAGGTGGATACACACCTCTGTTTGAGAGTTGTCTATCCACAAAGATCTGTCCCTCGGTGATATATCCTGTCAAGTCAGGAATAGGGTGAGTGATATCGTCATTTGGCATGGTCAGAATTGGGATTTGGGTAATGGATCCGTTTCTTCCTTCCACACGACCAGCTCTCTCGTAAATAGTAGACAAGTCAGTGTACATGTAACCAGGATAACCTCTTCTACCTGGCACTTCTTCTCTTGCAGCGGACACCTCTCTCAAGGCGTCCGCATACGACGACATATCCGTTAAAATGGTCAACACGTGTTTTTCTGTCTGGTAAGCAAGATATTCGGCAGTAGTTAAGGCCAGTCTTGGGGTGATGATTCTCTCAATGGTAGGGTCGTTAGCCAAATTCAAAAACAAGGAAGTTCTATCCAGAGAACCATTCTCCTCGAAATCCTGTTTGAAGAAACGCGATGTTTCCAGGTTGACACCCATAGCGGCGAAAACAATACAGAAGTTCTCTTCATGGCCGTCCTGAACATCCTTGGTCGGTCTCACCAGTCCTGCCTGTCTGCAGATCTGGGCTGCTATTTCGTTGTGGGGAAGACCCGAAGCCGAAAAAATAGGGATTTTTTGTCCTCTGGCGATGGAGTTCATGGTGTCGATAGCAGAAATACCAGTGGAAATCATTTCCTCTGGGTAGATACGAGCATATGGATTGATAGGAGAGCCGTTGATGTCAAGGTAGTCTTCTGCGAAAACACGAGGGCCATTGTCGATCGGTCTTCCAGAACCATCAAAGACTCTACCAAGCATGTCCTCAGACACGGGAATCTTCAAATTCTCTCCCGTGAACTCGACTCTGGTCTTCTTAACATCGATTCCCGAAGTACCTTCGAAAACTTGAACAACGGCTCTGTCGCCCTTGACTTCCAGAACCTGACCAGCTCTGGTGCTTCCGTCTGGAAGAGTCAGGTTGACGATTTCGTTGTATCTTGGGAACTTCACATTCTCCAAGATGACAAGCGGACCATTCACACCTCCAACAGTATTATAACTGATACGGGGATGGATATTGAATCCCTGCATTACTGCTTTCTTGTTGAGTTCAAAAAGTTCCTGGTCTGAGAGCATGTTAACGTTTTACTAATTGCAATTGACCGAAGTAGATGCTTTGTACCGCAATCGCTAATGAAATCTGCCTGGCTGGCTTTCGAAGCAGCACAAATTTATTATCATCCACGACCAAAAGCCGGGTAAATATGTTTTTACTATGGCTTGATCTGCTATATAACTTCCCAGTTGTCTGTTTTGGCCTGCCTGGAATGCTTGTAGTGATGGAACCGGCTTCTTGATGGTGGTGGAATACTCGATTGATAGACAGGAGCGGTATTTGTCGAGTGCAAAGGCGCTGTTTTGTAGCGAGACGCTGTGGAGTCGGTATTCTGTGAGTTGTAGTTGATTTGCTGGTATGTCGAAGTGCTAGAAGCCGAGAGGCCTCCATTGGCCAGCTGGCTTGACCCGTTTTCTCTGTCTAGTACCTTCAAGATTTCTGTCACAAAATAGGCATGTAGTTTCGATGACAGCCAGTCAGGATCAGGTATGGGAGAAATCTCGGACGACCATTCCGGCACCACTGGCGTATTGGTGCTTCCATTACTGGTGGAAAGTGATGTGGCTCCAAGAGAAGTGGAAGCTGATGGGGAGGGGGCAATAATGCTATTAGCTATTTTCGATTGGATGTTAATTTTTTGGTCCTGAAGGTACTCCACTAGGTGTTGGCTATTGTAGAGAGACATTTCAAGTGCTTCTTGCGAGCCATCTTCCAATTCCTTTTCTTGCGACGCATGTAAATTAGCATTTGATCGTCTTCTTTTGCTCCAAAAATTAAATATGGACCTGCGAGGTGTAGGTTTGTTGTCTTCTCGTTGGTCAGGAACATGCTCTTGCACAGTCCAGTTGAGATTAGGCACTTCTCCAACAAGAAGCTGTAGTAATTCATCGACGTTCACCAAGTTCTCAAATCGTAATGGTATTTGCCTTGTAGCGTTGATGAGTACTACCATATTGATAAGCAATCTAGCTAGTGCGCCACAAAATCGAGTCAAGTCCTGATTAGTGGACTCGAATAAGCTGTTGGTTCGCTCGGGATTCTCGCCGGGCGGTCCAAGCGTTAATGAGTATGATTCGGATGCGTCCTCGACTATGTATATGAACGGCGTCGACCTGACAACCCTATATGGCACATCAATATTGAGATACTCAATCGACAATGACACAAATTGAGCAACCTTGGTAATAGAAGTGATCACCACCTCAGATGTATAATACAAGTATTGTGATAAGGGAAGAACCGGGCTGAAAAATATTGCATTCCTGAACCCAACCGGCTTCGAAACGTTTTTGTTTCGTAGGTTCATGAGATTATAGTTCAACCGTTCGAGGCTTGGTAGCTTGGATTTCGACAAGTCAGACTTCCTAACAGCTTTCAGGTTCTCGTAGCTTGACACCTTCACCAGCTGTTGAAAATGCTGGTTTTCCGCTAGTTTGATTAGTCTGGCTGTCTTGTCCAACTTGTCTACTTCAATTTCCCTTATGGTGGCGCGAATCTGTTCGAGACGTTCTTGATGTTTTTCTGTTAGTTCCTGCTTCTTTGTATGAATCCTGTCAGCCTTTTCAATCTTGGAAGCCCTCATTTCCTCCACTTTTGCTCTGAGATGCATGTTGGCAAGCTTTTGTTGCTTCAATGTCTCATCAACCTGCGTGAGGTTTTTCTTAAGTTGTGACAATTCCACCGCGAGGAGCATGTAGGCGAGTCTAGCAATTGCTTCTGTTGAAGGGCTCAATTTCTCTCTTGAGCCCACAGCGGCCTGTAGCTCCCCTTCCATGTACTTTCTCAGCACTTTGGAGCTGTAACCATTGATGCAATCTTGCAGAACCTTATCAATTTCATACCCGAATGTCTCGTTGAGATAGCACAGATTGGTCATATTCAATTTCAGCTTCAAAATCTTGAAATTTATGCATGGTCCACAGTAGTAGTCTGCTTTAGTGCTGTGCGTTCCGCAAACGCCGCATACTATATTCATTTGGGATCATAATATCTACTGCAACGAGCAAAAGATAAAATTAATTTTGGGCTTATATTATTTACATTATGTATTTCTTGATTCTCAAATCATGAAGATCAGAAAGGTACCCCTTGCATTTCTTTGCATTATCGCGATTGGCGCTTTGTATCTTGGCCTAGCGGACATTTCGATGCCTTACGACAAGGCTCTTCACTTTGCTGTTTTTTTCTTGATGACGCTCCTCTTCTACTGGACATTGGATATAAAGTCAATTCGCATAGTGCGCAACGCTACGTTTGTGGTATGTACAATCACAGGAGGAATCGGAAGTGAATTTGTGCAACATGCCCTAGCCCCATACCGATCTTTTGACGCGTGGGATATAGCTATGAATATGGCAGGTTCCGCATCTGCTATTGTCACATCCAGCATATTTCATCAATACTTTCTAAAACGTCGAAAAAGACAACGCAAATTAAGACCCATGAACTGGAATTTGGAAAGCCGAATTGGTATGCATTTTGATGAAAGTGATATAGAAGATACAGATATAAACATCCCGCTAAATAACATTGGGACCGATTCCGGCACAACCATAGCACAACACAATTAATTCTTCCAGCTGCATGTTTCGCTAATTTCTTGACACAAAAACTCGAGGTATTTTTGATCGTCCTTGTCAAACCCGTTTAGTTCCAAACAATCAATATCCAAAACGCCAACAAGCCGTCCGTCGGCCACAATAGGAACCACAATCTCGCTCTTGGTCTCCCCATCGCAGGCTATATGTCCGGGAAATTGCTCGACATCTGAGACCAGCTGGGTTTTTTGCGTGCTGGCTGCAGTGCCGCATACACCACGCCCCATCTTGATCGTTTGGCATGCCACTTTGCCCATAAACGGCCCAAGAATGAGCTGGTCCTGGTTTTCTGGATCCATTACATAAAAACCTGCCCAATTCACTCGTTTGGAAAGTCCTTCATTGTAGCAGTGCCACAGCAGTGAGCTACAATTGGCCAAGTTACAAACCCAGTTAGTGTGTCCCTCACTGAGACTCTTGTAAGAGTCCACAACTTGTTGCAACAGCTCCTTTTTGTTCGCCTGGGCGCTGAACTCGGAGTAATCTGCGTGGTGACCCATGCTTCAATTTTTTCGCGGATTGTAAAATTAATTTCTCCATGGTCTAGGATAATCTTTTTTGGCTGGTTTCACGAGTTGCGGGATACTCGATTTTCGGTTTAGGGTATTTGACGACGTGGACCTTGTAAGCGCAGACTGGGTTTTCATATAGGCGATGTGTGGATTTGCTTGACTGCTATTCATCCTTGACGGCGAAATTTCCTGCATAGTCTTCGACCGAACAATATTCGAGAGTCTTGGAAGATAAGACGCTGTCTCGCTCCTCTTTAGTTGCTGCTTGCTTTCCGAGCGCTGGATTGATGCCTTTGTAGGTTGCAAGTACGAGGGTCTTTTGGACGATTGTGGGACAGATGCAGCTGCACGTGGAGACAGCGAAAACTCCAGCTGTGGAAGTGGACCCAAATGTGGCTTTTCCTGCCGCTGTCTTCCCAATTGCTGTTCCATTATCTTCTGCTTCTCCTCTGGCGGCCTTGTTGGACTCTCAACTGGTTCCACGATCTCCTTGTAGCCGTCAACAATTCTCAGTCTCTTTGATGCACTGCCCAGATCTTGTGCTCCCAAACGCTTGTCATTTGGAGTCTTCCTGGTTGTCTGCTCTGGGCCCTCAAATATCTTCCGCGTCGTTTCGGCAGGCTGTCGTCCTGTACGCCGGGCTGCATAATGAGAAGAGATGGACTCCATTCTGTTGAACCGTCCTCGGTGGTCACTATTGAAACGGGTAGATGGTCGTCGGCTTCGTGGCTTAGGACTTGTGCTGTTCAACTTCTGAATGTTAATGATATTTTCCGACCGTACTTTTTGATATCTATCATTGAATTCGTTCAGCACCGAGGAGGTAAGCTTCGACGAAAACAGCTTGGTCTGAAGAAAATCCATTTCTTTTGTAAAGGACGGGTTTTCTTTATCCTGATAGCTTGTATCACAATCAGATGCATCTTTTGGGGAAACCACAATGGATGGGTATAGCTTTTTTCCATTCGTAGGTGTGAACCTAAAAGCAGTTGATGACGGAGTGGAGGTTTTTATTTCGCTCCTGGACCTAGGAGGAGTCTTGAGCGTGAACTCCTGGGACTGGAGCGAAGGAAAACCACCAGGGACATTAAAGTTTGTCATGATGACTCCGTTTGCGGAATCTGATGTTCAATATTCAAGTCACCTTGACTTATGATCTATCAAATTTTGGTAAAAGATAGCGTTAATAGTATGCCAAATTAAGAAATACATAAATAAACTCTGAAAAATTACTAGGTCGATCGACGCAAAACTGAGCTCCAACGATCTTGAACGGCCCTCATCTTGATTTCGTTTTGGGTGCGCTGAATCGATATCTGAATACCGCCAAGACTAAGAATTCTTAGCTTTGGGAGCTTCTGGACAAAGAAACTCAGATCTTCAAGCATATTGTCCAGGATCAATTGTACCACCCTTGAAATATCGATGTCCAAATAGCCATAATGCGAGACTTCGATAGGGTCCAGGACGGGATACTTGAGGATGTCCAAACCGGAGCTCGTTTCGAATTTGGTCAAACGAGTATGCAAAAGTCCGATTAAAAAGTTGTAAGTGGAAGCCAGGTCCTTGCCACCAAAACTGAGCTTTTCGGAGTATCGGGATAGCAGTTGTCGAGTCTCCACGCATTTACGGCAGTTGCACCCAGTATAAAGATACTCGACCGCGTTCAGTTGTGGCTGATTTTTGACCTCCCGATTTATTGCTATGAAAGGTTTCCAATTGTAAAAGAAATCTGGAATCATTAAAGTCTCCAGACGGTTGCATGCAAGTATCTTATTAAATTGACGAACTTTAGTCTCTAAGAAGTTCTGGTCAACGATAAAGTGTGTCATTCTATCTTGGTAGCTCATGCTGATTGGTGGTAAATATGCGAAGTTGTTCATGCTCAGGTTGAGGTAAGTGATGGAAGGACTGAATATATCCAGATGTTCCATAATGCAATACGATAGATTGGAGTTGCTGAGAACCAACTGCGATGTCTGAGATTGGTTTTTGAGCAGATTATTCGAATTTAGATGCACCAAGGAAAGTTGCTTCAGGTTTTCGAGTTGACCTTTAAAAAGGTTCACCATGCGAAGGTTGATCTCCTCGCTTTCTTCGCCAATAGAAGTTTGCTTGAACTTCAGCTCAAACCGATCTAGTTTGGCAAGATCCACACATCTTGCCACTGCTGGCACAATATGCAAGTCTTTGATATTCAATGACAGCCTGTTCAGCGACTCAAATCTTACACACTCATCATCCAATTGGGAAAAAAGAGTGTTTACTGCATCTGAGTTGAGAATTTCCAAAGACTCCAGAGAGTCAAAAGTTTGCGACAGCTTTTTTGTCATAATGAAACCAGCATTTTGGTACCGGTTGGAAGTGTTGATGCAGATTTCGCGCGCATCTTCGGAAACGTCATTGAGATCTGTGATGTTGACAAGCTGATAGCTCTGCAAAGAGACGACTGAACTTGCTTGGCCGAAGTTCGAGTATTTGTTGAACTCGTCTTCGTCATTCTCGTACAACAAGGTGGATGATCTCTTCAGGTTTTGGGAAGCAACGTACTCTTTGTTCATGAACAGGAATTTGTAAGGAGTTGTCTCATTTAGGATCTTAAATTCCTTGAGCCCCAAAAGGGGGACACTGGTGTTCTTCAACTTGAAAGCAATGAACATTCCCACCAGGACTTCGAGTCCTTCAACATTGTTGCTGTGGGACGCAATGAGAAAACGTTGGACCAAACCTATTAAGGACCTGTTGCTCTTCAATGCCTCAAGGAATTGCCTGAATTTTGAGGTTCTTAGAATCGTGAACTCGGATTCACCCACTGTGTTGAACCTGGTGTCAACCAGAAGCAAGCTCCGATACAATTTTGGGACAGCATGTGCTCGCAATTTTTTGCACGATAGCGACAAGCTGAGGAGGCTTTTGGTGTCTAGGTCGGACACCACGGTGTCAAGGATGTCGTCTGGTAAGTTCATGGGGTACTGAAAATTGCCGAAGCAATTAGGTATTTATACAGAATTTTGTGCGGCGTTGCGGTAACCTAAAAATTAATGTGGAGTAGTAAATATGTCTAGCCCAAAGTTTGGGTGCGCGTAAAAGGCACCCAACGGGTCCGCCAGATTTATGTTACACTTCGTCACGTTAGTGAAATCTGGTTCGTAGACTTTGCTGGCTGCTACAACTGAAAATTGGACAGAAACTCATCAATGTCATCTTGCGGCTTCGGTGGATGATATGCATGAGTGACAACAGGTCAGCAAACCTACGGCAAGACGCCACATGCCAAGCACTTGTTTAAAATTGTTCATAGGGCACTTAATGCCTTTTGCGTGAGCTGTAGTGCGAGGTATTCATTGAACACATAGCACCGCCACAAAGATCTTTGGTCTGTGCCACAAATAAAATACCGCTGAAAAGTTTGGAGCCCTATTACTCATTCTGCTCATGGCTTTCGCAATTGTCGGCTGTGGAATTGTCGGACTTTACACGGCTCTCAATCTTATTGAGAGTGGCGTAAAAGGCTCGGAAATCACCATTGTAGCAGAGTATCTGCCTGGCGACCAGTCGATCAACTACACGTCTCCCTGGGCCGGTGGAAACTTCAGCTGCATATCTCCAGATGATGCTCAGACGTTGAACTTTGACAAAACCACATACACACACTTGGCTGCTATTCGCAAGCTTCTAGGTCCAGGCTGTGGCCTAGACCGCCGTCCTAGTACTGAGTACTGGGAGTATCTTCCAGACGAGCGGAAAATTGGGTCATTGAGTTCGTATTTAGAGGATTTCACGGTTGTTCCATCATCCCAACTTCCAGAAGGGGTGGCCTTTGGAATAAAATATGTCTCGTGGAATTTCAACTGTCCAAAGTTCCTTGAAGTGCTGAAAATATACCTGGCTTCCACTGGCGTTGTCTTTGTGCGCAGAAAGATCCAGGATGTCGATGAGATGTTTGAATTTGCCAGGACCGTGTTCAACTGTACGGGAATTGGAGCCAGAGGACTCGGGGGAGCCGAGGACGACAACATATATCCTGCCAGAGGCCAAGTTGTGGTGATCAAGGCTCCCCACATAAACGAGAACCGAATGCGGTGGGGAACTGAGGACGTGACCTACATTATTCCTCGACCAAATTCTCAGTCTCAGGTGGTGTTGGGTGGCTACTTGCAGGCCAATAACTGGTGTGCCGATACGTGGAAAACAGAAACCGATGACATTATTCGCCGAACAAGTCAGTTGTTCCCTGAAATCGGAAACGAGCCAGAAATCCTTCGCGTGGCATGCGGTCTGAGACCAAGTCGCAAAGGCGGTGTTCGCGTTGAAAAAGAGCAGCGCGCAAGAGGATTGCTCGTCCATGTCTCTGGATTGTCGGGCTACGGCTACCAAGCGGGCTATGGGGCTGCTCGTCGTGCGGTGAGACTGGCTCAATCGTATAAACTCTAACTATAATCCTAATGTATTCATAGAAGCGTCAAGCGGGTTTTGATTGACATCAAAAAGGTAGTTTGGGAGACTGAACATGTTTGGAATCAGAGAGTCCTCATCGTAGTAAAGCCCGTCAAGCAACGAGTCTTCACTATTATTAGGAGTCTGTTTTCCTGAGGTCGAGGAGGAACCCCAAATCTGATCCAGAAACTCTCTTTGCGGCTGCTGGTCGGTACTTGTTTTGTCGAGCGTGGGTCTTTCCATTGAAACGCGAGTGTACGACGAAGGAGACTGGAAATTAGGCATTTTCACAGATGTAGACCCGTCTTTTCTGGCCTTAGATTTGATTTCGTCAGCCATTTGAACAAACTCATCAAGGAAGTCTCCTACGTCGAGCTTGCTACGCTCCTGAATGTTTGGGACAGAACACCACACTATGTAGAAAAGACATCTGCTGATTTTGTCCATCGTTTGCCATTTGTGGTGGTTGAGGAGAGACTTAATAGCACCGACTGCAAAGTAGTTTTTGCTCACCCAGAACAGGAGTTGCACGTCTTCTACCACTTCCGGTGAGTTCAGGTTTTGCAAAACTTCCGCAATCAGCGCAACATAGGCGCACATGAAATAGTAGGTGGCAAAATAAACATAAGCCTGGTTGTTCTTGTCAATCTTGTATGCAATGTGTAGTATCTGTCTTATAGCATTCAAACCAATGCTTTCAAACCTAGCGTGTTGATTGTTCCTATTCGAAGATAAATGAGAATGTTTATGGTCTGAATACCAATTCAGACGCAGCATGGTCTTTGATATAATGATCTGGAGCAAGTAATACTTCAAATTGTAGCTAAGGACCACAAATGGAAGAAAGATGCCATCAGTCACGCTTGTCGCCTTTGTCAGAGAACCCAAATAGTGAAACGCCTCTCCTGGTCGGATTCTCTTGGGGAAGCACATTCTCCAACACTCCAGATCATGAAGTAGTGATTCGATCGTACTTGTGATCTGAGACCTTGTTTTCCTGACGAGAGACGTAGCCGAAAACAGTTCCTGGTACGTTCTTGACGAAATGACTGCAAGATCGTATGTGAGATAGAGTTCAAAGGAGAGATCTTGTTTAGCATTATCCAGCAACGACGTCAGCTTGGCAACGATTTTGTCCCTCATTATCTCTCTTTTATGTCTTCCGTCCGGCAAACGTTCGTAGGGCATTGCCCAAAATTCCTCAAATCCAGGTAAAGGAGGCGTTGTGATATCTGTGTCATTAAAGATAGGAGGTAAGCCACTTTTGAGACACACTTCTTTATCTAGAACGTAAGCCCTCCACCATAAGTAAATCTTTTGATCCCTTCTTTCTTGGTTTCCTCCAAGATAGCTCTCTTCTCTGTGCAGACCCAACTCGAGTGCAGATCTAGCGAATAGTGTGTTTGACAGTGTGCACGCATGGTGATCCATACAAATGTCAGAAATAGGCACAAGCAGATAAAGAGCTTGTAGTTTCAAAAGATTGGAGTGCGACACCATCTGATCGAGAAGCAGTCTTAAACAACTTTCAGAGAGTTTTCTTTCTAATTCCTGCAGATGAGTCAAGGACATTGGACACGGAAGATTCATTGTTCTTATCAGCTCACTGACTACGCAACACGAATGGAGCATAATGCTGCTCATGAGTAAGATTTCGGATGGGTGCAATGTGTTCACAGGTCGGAGGCCACTCTTATACTTCAAGTACTTGTCAAAAAGTCGGTGCACTTCAGCGGCCTTCATAGGATAGAAATCCCGAAAGAAAGGCTCAATGGTGCTCAAAAGATATTCAATTATCTCCGCTGACGGGTAGACATCCCATGTCGCGTTGGCAATAATACCATTTGGAGTTGGTTTCCCTTGATGTTCTGCCTTCATCAATGTGATGATATGACGACGCAGAACCTTGGTTGGTGTGCTATCCGGAAGGAGACTATCAAGCCATTTGAGACCTTTGGCAGAAAACAACGAAAAGGTGGTCAGAGGGCCAAAGTACAACTCTTCAAGGTCTGCCTGGTTTGCATTCGAGTCTCCAGCAGGCTCAGTATCTGGCTTGCAGTTGTCAAGAGAGTTGCTCTCTCCAACAAAAGTTTCCTTGCTATTCTCTGTCTCGGGTTCCAGTTTATTCAACAACGCATGCACCATGGATTCGAGTTTATCGAGCCTTCCTTCAAGGTCCTTGGGGGCGCCTTTATGAGACTTTAGCTTACTATTTTCAAAAACCGCGCTCTCACTCTCTGAAACATCGCTCACGTTGACGCTCTTCCTTCTTCTGGATGACCGCTTTTTGGCAACGTACATATAGGTACATTGAATATTGTGGTTCTTGCAATTCTTGCAAAATGATTCCCCGTCACATTTGATTTTTTTGCTGCGACAAAAGTCACAAGCTTTTGAAGCTCGCTTTAGGGTCTTTTCAAATTTATCCATGCCAATAATCGGTGAGTCGAACGTCTATATATCGGCTGTCGGTAGCAATTCTCAGTGCCGAAATCTCGGAACTTTAAAAATCGAACTATAAATATTTCAAGCCTTCCGTCGATCGACGTTTTATTGACTATCTCGATTCGAGGCACGATTGGCTGCTTTCAGGAGACGTGTCTTACATCAAAGGTCACGAGAGGCGTTGCTGACGTGATTGCCGTCAAACTTGGCAGCTTCATTAGGTTGTGAGAGGAAAGTCTTGTCTTGACTGTTCTCTGCCCCCCAAATTCGCACTGATAAAGGATATTACAAATGAACAAGCTCCCTTGAAGTACTGTCTTCCATCCCCTACTCTGATAAAACTGATGAATCCGAGATTGGCCTGATACGCATTACATGCAATATAGACATTACTCTATTTGTAGTTACTGTTATGAAGTTTATCTTCACATGCCTGTTTTTTTCTCGAGCGGAGAACACCGCCCTGATTTGTCTAAATCGAGTGTTTGTTTACGTTTATCCGTATAAAAAAAGTAATCCTTAAACTTATATTCTTTAATATGTTGGCCTCAGATAGCACAGTGAGAACTCCAAGAAGGGCTCAGTCGTCGCTCTCTAATCCGTCCTCGGACCCAATGGAGTCTACGAGGAAAAGGCAGAGCAAAAAAGACGACCAGATTCGTAAGAAAATTGAGCACGATCTGAGAAAAAAGAACAATGTTAGTATGGTTTCGAACCTAGGCTCGCCACAAAAGCGTTCCAAGGGTAGTTCGGGTGCAGCAGGTACAGTGATGTCCCTGAAACCCTCAGAGGCAGTGATTTGCAAACCCACAAACACCGTCTACGAGGCAGCACAGCTCATGTCTGTCACCAAGGAAAACTGTGTTTTGGTGGTTGACGATGAGGGCCTACTTTCAGGTATCTTCACCGCAAAGGATCTAGCATTTAGAATTGTTGGATCGAATTTGAATGCAAACCAGACCACTATCGATCAGATCATGACCCCTAATCCAATGTGTGCTAAGGTCTCTACTTTAGCCTCTGACGCGCTCTCTCTCATGGTCAACAAGGGGTTCAGACATCTCCCTGTGGTCAACGAGGGCAATCAGATAGTGGGTGTTTTGGATATCACCAAGTGTTATAATGAAGCAATGACCAAGCTTGAGAGGATGTATGAGAGCTCAAAAAGGCTGTACGATGCTATGGAAGGTGTCACAGAAGAGCTCGGACCAGCTAGCCAGCCTCTCCATGTTATAAAGTATTTTGAGAACTTGAAGAACCTAGTGAGCGGTCCAACTTTGAACTCTGTTCTCTCGGAAAGAACTATTCCTGTGTGCTGCGACATCAAAACGACAGTTTACGAAGCTGCAATTCTAATGAGAGACAACAAGACCACAGCAGTTTTGGTCAAAGATTCCAAAAATAACGACGAGGTGACGGGCATCTTTACATCAAAGGATATTGTTCTCAGAGTGATTGCTGCTGGTATCGATCCAAGAACTTGCTCCGTGATCCGTGTGATGACTCCTAAGCCTTCTTATGCCTTGGCTAGTAGCTCCATTCACCAAGCTCTCAGACAAATGTTTGAAGGTCGTTATTTGAATCTTCCAGTTGTGGATGACGATAACAGTGAAATCGTGGGTGTCGTGGATGTTCTGAAACTCACTTATCACACTCTGAACCAGCTGCAGTCCATCCAAATGATCCACAATGGGGATTCTGATGCCAAGTCAAATGAGGAAAAAGAGGGTCCAGCTTGGAACAAATTCTGGACGTCGTTGGACAACGACACCACCTCCCTGCATTCGGCCTCGCTTGCTGACGTGACCCAATCTGAATTGGCTCAATTCAATGTCTCCACAAACGACGCTGTGAAGCCATCGGATTCAATTTCGTTTTCGGGAGCTCCAGAGACCTCGTCGTCAGCCTTGAAAGCTCCACAGGTGGAAGTTGACTTTGACGAACCGGTCTTTTTCAAATTCAAGTCTCCGCAGGGAAGAACCCACAGAATCAGTTGCAAGCCTAGCGAGGGTATTCAGTCTTTAAGGGAATTAATTGAGTCTAAGCTTTCCAGACAGGAGATCAGAACTCTTCTGACTCCCCCAGAAGATACTGAAACTGGCCAAGTGTTCGAGCCTGCAGAGCAGTTTGCCATTTCCTATGTCGACGATGAGAATGATTTGGTTGCTATAACATCGGATCAGGACCTGAAAGACTGCATTGTCGTGTTGACTAGCTTAAACAAAGATAAGATCAACTTGATTGTCCACCACCCCGACCAGAACGTGGATGTGGCTTCTATTCTCAATTCTGCCAAGGCTTCTAGCCCAAGCACAGGTCTGCCAAACGACACTATCCGCGAACTGATTTTGCCTGGCGTACTATTTGCTCTTGCAGCCTCAGTGGTGGTGGCCTTTACTATTTCTCGGAAATGATGTGCCCAAATATCGATACCTATTATATACAAGCTAAGTGGATATTTACTTCTCTCCGTCGCTGAGAGCTTCTTGTATGGCATTTTGCTCCGCCTTCTTGGCCTTTCGGTGCAGTTTCTTGATTTCTTTCCGTTTTTGGCTCTCAAAGACATATTCTCCAACAGTAATGTTGGTTCCTTCAAACTCCTTAGGATCGAGGTGCACAGCGTCAGGTACTTTCTCGTTGAAAAGCTGGCTCTTGGGATCCAACTTGCCAAGCAGGTATCGCTCAATCTTGTCGAACGAATCCAGTTGAGACAATTTGATGTCGGGAATTGAGGTTCCAAACTTTATCTGAACATCTTTCAGTAGTTTGAATCTGAGCGCGAGGTCGTCAAGTTTGAGATCTAGTGCATTGATGGATGGCACATGGGTCTTGAAGATTTCTGTGAGAAGCTCGCTGACGACTTCCTGATATAGGCGCGAGCCGGTGTTTCTTTTCGAGAACTCAGACTTCTGGGGTAACCACGTACTGAAAACAAACCCCTCCATTGCTCTCTGAGCTACCTTTGCATCGCTGAATTCGGAATTGTATTTGCCCAAAATCACAACCTTGTTAGAAGTAACGGGATCTCTTGTTTTCGTCTCTATCTCCTTGATGACCTCTTTGGTGTCTTTTACGGGCGTTTCTGGAGCTGTGTCCTTTTTTTTATAGAATTTGAAGTAGTCGAGCACTGAAGGACGGACCACAGAATTGTGGAATTGCCGGACAGAAACGGATACGCCTCTAGCTCGTAGCATAGTATCGAGAAGAATTCGAGGTTGAAAAAAAAAAAAAATCCTTTATTAAAATAGCTGGCCGGGTAAAAAATATAGAGATTAATGACATTTGATAAAGAGCATAACACAGATCTAAGTAAAGTTCGTGTGTTCATTGTCCGCCACGGCCAGACGTCATGGAACAACCTCAAGATCTTACAAGGTCACAAAGATGTGCCACTCAACGATCGAGGTCTAGAGCAGGCTAGATTTGTCGGCCTAAGAATGAAGGATCTAGATATAGACGAGTTCGTTAGCTCTGATTTGAGTCGCTGTGTTCAGACTATGAATGAGATCACATCTGCGCACCGCGAGAAACCTAACTTCAAGCTGAGGTACACATCCAACCTGAGAGAGCGATCTATGGGCCCCGTCGAGGGAATGCCCCTATCGGAAGCTAAGGAAAAGTATGGTGCCCAATTCAAAGAAATGGGAGAGACAAGAGTAGAGCTTTTGACACGGCTGCAAAATGAGTGGAACCGAATTATAGACGAAGCCACTTCAAACGGGTACACTAATGTGCTGATTTGCACTCATGGCGGTGTAATCACCAACTTCACTAATCATCTTTATAAATCATGTGCCTACACATTGGCTCCTGGATTACAGGAAGAGGATTTGAAAGTTCCAAGTAATACCAGCGTGACAATAATGGATGTGGACAAAAGCACGGGAAAGGGAATAATCCTGAGATTTGGGTCGGCCGAACATTTGCATGGCCATGTCGAGACTGTTGATCAAGACCTGAGATAACGTAACACAAAAATGCTACATAGGGAGATTACGACTGTACGTTTTGGTAGTATGATCTGAAAGCGGGGAGATGATGCAGACAACAAGCTGAAATATATAGACAGAGACCATACACAACATCCTTGCACCTTTTGTTGGGATTTAGCTCAACAAAATCAAGCGTGGGGGCATGTAGCTACCGTCCTGGCCAGGGTTTAAATTTGGTGCTCTTTGGGCAATAAAGTGATGGCAGTATTCATTGAGGTCATGACAACAAGCCCTGCTGCAGATACCGTTGCTTATGTAAGTGCGAGCGTCATTTTTTAATTTTTTTAGGTTGTTGGCAGAATAAAAAAGACATCTAGGAGATAATTTTTTTTGCCCCCTCTAATTTCTATTACTGCAGATCGCAAGTCACCATGGTTTTCCAAGTCAATGTGCCAATTGGCGAGGCAAAGAAGGGAGAGACTGCTCCAAGAAGATACTACAAGTCAAAGGATGCTGTGGTTACCCGTCCAGTTGGATATGAATGTAGCACAGTGTACGAGTTCTTCAACGAGGCACTACAGAAGCACGGAGCAAACAAAAAATGTCAAGCATGGAGAGATCTGAAGAACGTCCACTATGAAACCAAACAGGTTAAGAAGTTTGTTGATGGTGCTGAGAAGCTGGTGGACAAGGAGTGGGTTTACTACGAGCTTTCCGATTACAAGCACGTCACGAACGGTCAAATGAGCGAGATTGTTTCGGACTTCGGTAAGGGACTTGTCAGTCTTGGCGTTCAGCCAGCCGGTGTTGACAAACTGCACATTTTTGCATCTACGAGCCCTAAATGGATGAGAGCATTCATAGCCGCACAAACTCAGGCCATTCCTGTGGTCACTGCATATGACACTTTAGGTGAGGATGGACTGACCCACTCTATGGTGGAAACAGCTACTTCTGTCGTTTTCACCGACAATAATTTGCTGTTTAAGCTCATTAATCCAATCAAGAAAGCAAAGGATATCAAGTACATTGTCCACAGCGACCCAATTGATCCTAATGACAAGCGTGGAAACGGTAGACTTTATGAGGAAGCCAAGAAGGCTGCTGAAAAAATTCTGGAAGTCAGACCGGACATCAAGATTTACTCCTATGATGACGTCATCGCTCTTGGCAAAAAAGCACACGACATCCCTCACCACCCTCCAAAGCCAGAGGATCTGTCATGTATCATGTACACTTCTGGTTCCACCGGTACTCCAAAGGGTGTCGTTTTGAGCCATGCCAATATTGTTGCAGGTATTGGAGGAGTTGCCCTTGTCATTGATGATAAGACTATCTCTGAGAACGATGTGGTTATCACTTTCTTGCCATTGGCTCACATATTTGAGCTTGTCTTTGAGCTCCTCTGCTTCTACTGGGGCTCTGTTGCTGGCTATGCCAATGTGAAGACTCTCACTGACGCGTCTACCAAGAACTGTGAGGGTGATATTAAAACCTTGAAGCCTACTATCATGGTCGGTGTTGCTGCCGTTTGGGAGAGTGTCAAGAAAGGTATTTTGGCGCAGATTGAAAAACAACCATCGACAAGACAGAAAATGTTTTGGGCGGCCTATAACACCAAACTTGCATGTAAAAAATTCTCGATTCCTGGTGTCCCATCATTGATCGATAACGTCATTTTCAAGAAGATCAAGAATGCAACTGGAGGAAACCTGAGACTGATATTGAATGGTGGATCACCAATTTCGCAGTCGACCCAGGTCTTTATCAGCAACACAATTGCACCACTTCTACTCGGATACGGTCTTACCGAAACTGTCGCAAACACCTGTGTTACCGATCCAAATCATTTCGAGTATGGTGTTTGTGGTTCTTTGGTCGGTTCCATCACTGTCAAACTGATTGATGTCCCTGAGGCTGGCTATTTTGCCAAGAACAATCAGGGTGAGGTTTTGATTAGCGGTACTCCTGTCACGAAAGAGTACTTCAAAAACTCTAAGGAGACAGAGAGTGCTTTCAATTATGAGGAAGGGTGGTTTTCAACAGGTGATATTGGTGAATGGACTTCTAACGGTCAATTGAAGCTGATCGACAGAAAGAAGAACCTTGTCAAGACACAAAACGGAGAGTATATTGCCCTTGAAAAACTGGAGTCAGTCTACAGATCCAATAATCTCGTCCTGAACATTTGCTGCTATGCTGACGAAAACAAGGTGAAGCCTATTGCCATCGTCGTTCCAAACGAGAATTTGTTGAAAGATCTCTGTGTCAAGCTTGGTATTGTCAAGTCTAAGGACGAAGTTCACTTGTCTGAAGTGGTCACCAACAAGAAGCTCGCAAACGAGTATACCAAGAGCCTGGTTGAGACTGGTAAATCCCAAGGACTCGCAGGTATTGAGCTTATTCAGGGTACTGTTCTGGTTGATGAGGAATGGACTCCCGAAAGCGGATTTGTAACCAGCGCACAAAAGCTGAAGAGAAAGGATATTCTTAACAGTGTTCGTTCTCGCGTTGACGAACTTTATGCCTCCTCTTAGTGATTTTCAAGTATGTATCACATAATATCTAATAATCTACAATAATAAATAAATAACTCATCGATCTTATCGTTAAACATTATTTCATTTCATCGGCGACAAGAGCATTGAATGTCGCAAGATTATCTAGATAAAGGTGGTGGCCGCTATCCTCGACGATCTTCATGTCTGCACGAAGTCCTTTGGCTCTCAAAGTTTTGCAGGCCGACACTCCACCCATCTTATCCATCCAGTCGTAGCTACCATAATACCATACACTATCGCAATTGAGGTTGTGAATTCTGCGCAGCAATGGATTTCTAGGGACTCCTCCTGGTGCAAGCATGTAGTTCAGCATGTATTCCCCAGACCCTCTAGCATTGAAGATCGCGTAAGTGTACATGTGCATCAATTTTTGCTCTTCTGCGTTCAGAATGCTGTTGTCTTTGGAAAACCGTCTTGCAGTCCAACCTGAAGTTAGGTAGGAGCCAAGCGGCCCGGCTTTTCTAACTAATGCAAATGGGGAAACATTTTTATTCCACAGTTTGTCAAACCATGGTGGAATCTCGGGCTGTCGAGTGCTGTATATTCCGGCAGGAGAAACAAACAACAATTTGTTGAACAGCTCGGGGTATTTGAAATTCGTCAAAGCGGAAAGATATGCCCCCATTGAATGTGCAACAACCATGGTGTTGTCTCTATTGAGCTGTTTTTTGTCGAACCATTTTTTAATAGACTCGGTAAACCAGGATTCTATTTTCTCGTAGTTGGCATTTGGTTCATGATATGGGAATTTAGGTCTAGAAGAGCAACCATAACCGAGCAAATCTATTGCATGAATATTCCAGTCAGTTTTCCTCGAGGCAAGGTCCTGCAGATTCTTGACAAAGAATCCTAGTCCCGCTCCGTATCCATGCACAAACACCACATGTTTTGTGGACGGTTTGTCTATTGGTGAGATATGAAACTCATTTATGTAGTTGTTTTGTTCATCTATGACCGTCTGAATTACTTCGGCACGATGGGTGGCTGAAGGCGTCGGATAAAAAGGTAACACCGACAAAAGGTCATGCTGGATTTTGTTGAGTTGATGTCTTTTCAAGTAATGTTTGAAAGAGTCAGAGACAGACAGCGGAAATGTGTTGCTCAAAATCTTGGAAAGAGGCACTCCTGCAGGCGCAGTAGACGTCCTGTAGTGTAAGTTCGAAGAGCTTGTGGTATTCATGGACCCCATATCTGTTGAAGCCATAGGTTTTCTTGCGTTTGACACGGTTTGGTAGGCCTGAGCTACCGTCTGGACCATTCGGTTGCTGAGTCTTTTCATCTCCGTACCTCGAAAGATAAGTCTCGCTATAAATAGATTCTGACCATAGTACCCTCACGTGTTGAGGTCAAACAAAGAAGATCTAAAAAAGCCTGCTATTTACTTACTTTCCTCGAACGCTATTTTGAAGGCATATTTGGCATGCACCTGTTTTTACGTATTATGTTTCCGATGGAGAAAAAAAAATCGCTACTCGAAAGAAATCAAATAAAATAGTGAGACGCAAGCAAAAAACACTCAGTTTGAAATTGACACTCTCGCCGATATAACGATTTAAAATGTCGGACTCGTCGCTTTCAAGATTTGTGCAAACGCACAAGATTGCGCTGGCTGTGACGGCCGTTGTAGGTGCCGGATCGGTGGCCGGATTGCTGTACTATTTGAACCAACAGAATGCAGGTTTGGATGATTCTTCGAAATCGAAGAAGAAAAACAAGAACAAGAAAAAGAAGAAGTCTGACAAAAAGTCTGCAACAGTAACTGCCAACTGGCCTTCCTCCAATATTCCAATCAACGAGAGCACTGGTTTACCAAATGTGACTGAAGAGCTTGTCAAGGGCATGACAAAGGAAGAACGAAACAAATGGGCATTGGCTTTGAAAGAGACTGGTAACCAGTACTACAAGGCAGAAGATTTCAAGCCAGCAATTGAATGCTACACTCTGGCCTTGCTCTGTAAAACCGATCCGGTTTTCTATGCCAACAGAGCTGCTTGTTACGCTGCCCAAGGCGAGCATGAAAAATGTATTGATGACTGTACCGAGGCCTTGAAATTGAATCCAGGCTACTCCAAGTGCTTACTCAGAAGAGCCCATGCTTATGAGAATATCGAAAAGTACGAAGAAGCTATTTATGATCTTACAGCTTTGACCATTTACGGCGGGCTGAACGATCAGTCTCCGGAAACGTTATTGGAAAGAAATCTGAAGAAGCTGGCAAACAAAATTAATGAAGAGCGCTTTTCCACTCTTCCGAAAGAATTGCCTTCCTCTTCCTCTATATCCTCCTTTTTTGGTGCTTTTGCTAAGGAAAACATCGACTTGGATGAATCTAAGTATCCAAATCAGTCTTGCTCCCAGTTTCTGGTTAAAGGCTTGAATGAAATGGCAAAGGATACTTACGAGAATTACGTCAACGCAGATGTCCTGTTTCATCAAGCTGTGACCAGCTACGAAAAGGAAAGTTCCGATACGGACGTTAAGCATGCCGCCCTCGCCTATGAATATAAGGGAACTTTCGATTTCCTCAAGGGTGATTCTGAGCCTGCAGTTTCCAACTTCAACAAAGCTCTGAGCTTAGATCCAAGATGCAGAACACATGTTCTTTTGGGTCTTGTGAATGCTGACAAGGGAGATTTTGCTTCCGCTGACGAAGAGATTGGCAAGGCCATCAAAATGAATCCCGAAGATCCGGATATTTATTATCACTACGGACAATTGTTTTATCTGATGGGAGATTTGGACAAGGCCAAGGATAACTTTGAGAAATCTAAGCTTTACAATCCAGAAAATGTATTCGGCCACATTCAATTGGCCTGCATCGCCTACAGAAAAGGTGAATCTGCTACCTGTGATGAATTGTTCAGGGAGGCCAAGAGAAAGTTCCCAACCTCTCCAGAAGTTCCAAACTATTATGGAGAGATCTTGTTTGATAGACAAGACTACGCAGCTGCAGCGAAGCAATTTGATACTGCTGCCAGATTGCAGGAGGTTCTTCCAACCTTCAATATAGGTGCTTTGCCACTCATAAATAAGTCGGCTATCTTTCAGGTTAACAAGGACATCGCCGGATGCGAGCAGCTGTTGAAGACCGCTTGTGAGTTGGATCCTAAGTCTGAGGTTGCCAGAATTAATTTGGGACAGATTTATCTTCAGGCACAAAAAGTCAAGGATGCCATTGAATTGTTCGAAGAGGCATGCCGGTTGTCTAGATCCAATGACGACAGAGTCCAAGCAATCTCGCTTATGGAGGCCTCGAAGATTCAGTTGAAGATCAAGGAAGATCCTATTTTGAGTGCTAAGGTTGAGGAGATCTTGAGACGTGCAGGAATAGAAAGAAATGCCTAATGTATATATTAAGGAGTACAAGCCGTATAATGATGCTATCATGTACTTGAGAATGTCTGTAGACTGTTATCTTGATAGAGTTAATATATTACTTGCCGTAGTCAGCATACCCTAAATAGCAGGTAATTCTACTTAGTCCTGATGTGCTTCAAAGGTCCGGAAGAATGGAAGAAGTTTGCTGCGTACTCTTTCTTCTTGAATTTTCTTTTCTTAGGCTCTTGGATGAAGTAGTCCCAACCTTGATTATTAGCAAAGCTGATAGCACTTTCCTTGGTCTCGAACGAAAGCCTGGTGCCTTGCATGTAGTCACTGGAAGACTGATACCCGATCAAATCATTCTCCCATCTGTTCCCTCTTGGAAGAACATCCCAATCAATTTTCCAGTACTTGGAGTTGTTGGCAGAGGACTGCGTAGCCGCCTTGGATTCCTTATAGATACGCACCATTCTGTTTGCGGCAAGCTCTGCTGGAGCTCCGCTAATGATTTGTTTTTGATTCGTAGATTCTTGCAAAACTTGGTTCACAGAGGAAACCGTTTTTTCATTGCGCAAGGCACGCACTGTATGGAACAAACGAGCCCCTCTAAACATTGGAATCATTCAGGGATTTTTTACTCCACATTTGTATCCTCAACTTTATTCCAGTGGTGTAGAGATGTATAATTAAGACAAATATGGTAATAAAAAAATGGCTGGGTTGCAATATTTTAGGATTCTAAATCCTTTCTTCTTGGATCTATGTCGCAGCTGATTTTGAGTGCACTGCGAGACGTGATTCCGACGCTTCCCGAACCCTATCCAAAGGAAGTAGTCGAATATGCGAACTACATGTATATTTCCTCGAAACAGACTTGTCCTCTGGCTGCCCAAATGGAAATTGCACGGTTTCATCTGTGCTGTTTTCTGGCTGTCGAGAAACTCAAAGATAAGTTTAATCTTCCTGACCCCAACTTGAACCGTATACCAGCTCCAAAGCGTAAGGCAGCTGCTGTTCTAGAGCAATTTCGGAATCAATTAAAGGGCCGCAAGAGACAAGGGGAGCCTCCTGTAACTCCCTCGAAAAGAAGAATCACCGAGCTAGCAACCCCAGAGTCCACGCCTGGTAAAAAGCGCACGAACGCTTTAACTCCAAGACCGACGCCCTCAAAAACGAAGAATGTGCTGGCGACTCCTGAAAACACACCCAGGAGCTTGAAAATGGAAATCAAAAGTGAGGAACCATTGGATATTGGATCCGCGGCCAGGTCTTTGCAGGACAAATTGCTTGCTGCCGCGGACGAAGTGAAGGGCCCCTCTAAAAGAGGACGCAAAAAGGGATTCAAGATGCTGTCGATGGCAGACCGGTCTCTGAACGACGATACGATTATTACGACCGCTCATTTGATCTCATTTTGCAACAAGTTTTACTTGCCAGAAGACATCACAAAGAACATACTAAAGACATACACGAATTACTATTACCGTACCAAAAGTCCATGGGGATTGTTATGTGGACTGGTCTCCATTGCGTTCTTGAGGCTGAACCGAGAAAAAGTGGATGCCAAAATGGGATTCAAAACACAATTCTTCAGGAACCTCCAGGTGCACGAAAACGGTGGCCTCAAGTTTAATGAACTGGTGGATTGGATCGCGCTTGTTGAAAGATTATGCGAGACAGAAAAATGGGTGCGCGATCTGGAGGACAAAGATCTGTTGAAAACCAAATCTAAACTTCCATTTGGGATACCGACACTGAACTCCTTTATTGGAAACGAAGTGTGCTATTATTCCAATGGTGCAATCCGCGAGTATGAAAATTGGATAGGCAGCATTAAGAAACAGACGAGCACATAGAAAAATATGTACATGGAAAATAATTTTTTGAAAAATTAAGTTTACCTTTCATGTTTGAGACTGATGATTATCATATCAAGCGACCTGGGGACCCTCCGTCAAATGGCCACCCCAAAAAACATAAATGCGAAGACACATCCATGGATGATGTCGATTCGGTTTTGGGTTCTGAGCTAGGGGACTTTGTGAAGGCAGATCATTCTAGATGGCAGCATATCGTTGAAAAAGTGGTCAAATCTGTGGTGTCTATCCACTTCGCTCAAGTGGTCAACTTTGATACAGAGAGCTCTCTTTGTAGTGAAGCTACAGGATTTGTTGTGGACGCGAAACTTGGAATTATACTGACTAATAGGCATGTTGTTGGGCCAGGGCCGTTTATCGGATATGCCGTGTTTGATAACCATGAAGAATGCGAGGTTAAACCTATCTACAGGGATCCGGTGCACGATTTCGGATTTCTTAGATATAATCCAGCAGATATCAAATACATGGATGTTGGTGAACTACAATTGAGGCCAGATCTTGCCAAGATCGGAGCAGAAATAATGGTCATAGGTAACGATTCGGGTGAGAAACTTTCTATTCTTTCTGGTTTTATCTCGAGACTCGACAGAAACGCTCCAGACTATGGAATCAACTCATACAATGACTTCAACACAGAATATTTGCAGGCAGCAGCTTCAGCTTCGGGAGGGTCCTCGGGTTCTCCTGTTGTCAATATAGATGGCCACGCCGTGGCATTACAAGCAGGAGGTAATACGGAAACTTCCACAGACTTTTTCTTGCCTGTGTATCGAGTTCTCCGTGCTCTTAAATGCATTCAGAACAATGAGCCTATTACAAGAGGAAGTATTCAAGTGCAATGGCTATTAGAACCATTTGATAAATGTCGCCGTCTGGGACTTCGCGCAGAGACAGAGAAACTGATGAGAGAAAAGTTTCCGAGCCTTAACGGTCTTCTGGTCTCCGCTGTCACGTTACCTGAAGGCCCCGCCGACGGGCTAATCAGAGAAGGTGACTGTTTGATCTCCATCAATGGAGAACTGATATCCACATTTATTACAGTGGATGAGATTTTGGACACTCATGTCGATAAAGAGATAGAGATAGTCATTCAGAGAGGAGGCAAAGATTTAACGGTCCGCTGTACTGTTGGAGATCTCCACGCGATTACACCTAGACGATACGTCAATGTTTGCGGTGCAACTTTCAATGATTTGAGTTACCAACTCGCTAGAATTTATGCGGTGGCAGTGAAAGGTGTTCACGTGAGCAATGCCGCTGGCTCTTTCGTGTTTGGAAACAACGTTCCTAATGGATGGCTTTTAGACTCGATTGACGATAAAGATGTGTCCAATCTCGACGAGTTCATCGAGGTCATGAAATCTATTCCAGACTCTGCTTTCGTAACCGTCAAGTGTCGCCACCTTACGGACCTTCATGTCCCAATTATCAAAATCATCCAAATCGATCGTCACTGGCACTCTAGTTTCCGTTTGGCAGAAAGAAACGACGCAACTGGTCTTTGGGATTTCACACCTTTGCAAGAGAAACCATTACCACCACCAGCTCTGACCCCGAAAAACGCTAAATTTGTGGGGCTTCCGATTGAATTTGATGGCTGCAAGCAACTTGATCGTTCTCTGGTGATGTTGAAGAGCACCATGCCTGTCCCCCTTGATTCGTTTAGTGGGCAGTCGCGCAAATCGTACGCAGTTGTGATTGATGCTACCAATGGATATCTGCTCGCCTCAAGATACTGTGTGCCTCATGACCTATTGGATGTTACTATGACCGTCGCAGAATCCATCATAGTACCAGCTAAGGTTGTCTTCTTACATCCAACCAAGGGATATGCCATCTTGAAGTACGATCCCAGATTAATCTTGGCTCCCTTGCAAACTCCTCAGTTTGGCGATAAGCCTTTGGGAAGAGGTGACAAGGTGGTGTTTATTGGTCACAACAGAGCCCAAAGAGTCGTTGTCGACGAGACAAAAGTTAGTGACATTGGAATCATACATCTTCCAAATAATGTTACTTCACCAAGATTCAAGGCTTCCAACTTCGAGGCCTTATTGATCGATTCCAATTTAGGCCAGCAATGTGGCTCTGGAGTTCTCTGCGACTCCAGTGGGCTTGTCCGCGCGTTTTGGCTCGCCTTCGACGCCGACGAGGACAAGACCTATTCCATGGGGCTGGACGCTACAGATGTGCTGTGGGAACTCGAGAATCTCAAAACTCAGCAGGTTCCGGAGCTCAAATTCATTGATGTCGAGTTTGGGAACATCCCGATCGTTAATGCTAGAATCAGTGGTGTTCCGCAGGAATGGATCACAAAGATTGAGGAAAGGTCTGCAGATCAGCCCAGACTGCTCAGCGTTCCAAAGGTGAGCATTTCACTCGACAACAAGCCTTCTTGTGGCTTGAAGCATGGAGATATTGTGCTGAGTGCAAATAATCGGGTCATCACACAATTTCGTGATATCGACCATGTTATCAGAGACCTCGGCGAGAATGAAAATGAGGTCTTATTCAAAATTGTCAGAAACAAACAAATCATGGACATTAATGTTCCACTTGTTTCCAGCAGCTCCTTTGTCACCAAGCATATGGTCTATTGGGCCGGTGCCGTGTTGCAAGAGCCTCATCATGGTGTTAGACAAGTGATCAAACAACTACCATCCAAGGTCTACTGTACGGCCATGGCACCAGGATCTCCCTCTAGATTATACACTATTGGCGTTACCAATTTCATCACGCATGTGAATGAAAAGCCAACGCCAACCCTGGACGAGTTCGTCAAGGTCGTGAAAGAAATTAAAGATAATTCATACTGCAAGTTGAGAATCGTGTCATTTGATAACGTGCCATTTGCACAGACGCTGAAAGTCAACTACCACTACTTTGAGACGATGGAGATGAAAAATGAGGAGGGGTGGCGTGAATACGGAGAGTTGGACTCCTCCTCTTTGCATGCATAGATCAATCGTTGATAAGATTGCAATTCGTTAGCACTTCGTTTGTATTAATCTTGTATATACAAGTCTCGTGAGTGTTTCACAGGTATGGCATTAGACGCTTAAGCTGCTTCTCTTGAATGTGGTTAGCATAAGTAATTCCAGTTCTCCTTTTTAAAATGCTGTGCGGATGACCAGCGTTTCCGTGCTTGCGGCCCTGCAATCCACGCTTGTAGCCAGTGCCAGTCTTACGCCATCTTCTGTAAGTCGCACGGTGCGTTTTCGCAAGCCCACGGGTCAGTTGTGGAAGTGAAAATTGGATGAATGGGCGAAGAAGTGAGAACATGAAAATGGACAGACGAAATTTTATGAAATTTTATTTATTCACTCGCTCTCGGAAGAATAGCCAAATTGCGAACGGATGGGTTTTTGTGCAACAGATGATGTTTGATTTATTTGGTCACTGGGAGACTTCTCTTGTTGTGACCGGGTCTTAGGAGTCCGGCCTGCGGTGTGTGGACTTCTGTCTGGCAATCCAGCGCGTATAGAGCTGTTACCATAAGCCGTGGCTTTTCGCCTGTTGATCCTATAAGCTCTGTCTTTTGTGTGATTTCTTCGTTTGCGCTCTTCCATAGCATCGATTTTTTCGAAGCCGTTAGTGATGGCGCTGTCTTCTGCTCGTTCTCGTGCTCTTTTAGCTTGCTTATATGTCATTATCTCCCTTTCAATCTCTGTTTTTTCCTTTAGTCTCTTGAATCTTCGTTCTTCTTCGAGTTTATCATAGTAGTCCACATCTTTTTGAGTCCACTTGTAAAGAGAGTTTTCCTCCTCCATGCTGTCTCTATACTCCTTATATCTTTGCTGCCTATTCACCTTGAGCTGCTGCGCAAGCGTTTTCCGCTCCTCCTTGCTCTTCTCTTGCTCGAAAGCACTCAAGAGCTTCTCCTCGTGTGCCTCCTGTTTCGCCAAATCCTCATCATCGACCTCATCTGCGGCCACAAAGCGGGACATAAATCTGTGTGCTTCACGCTATTTTCCAATTTTTTAAATAACAAATTGCTTGGTATTTTAGTTATCTGCATGGTCTTTCATAGAAACGCGTTTCGAGGGCCACCTCGAGAAGATGCACAATTCGGTGGATCATATCGATCACATGGTAGATATCCGACTCCCCCAGATACGATAAGAAGCGACAGTTCACCTCTCTTGCGTTATTACGACTATTCGTCTGTTCCTAGTCAAAACCATCGTGCGGACAAAAGAGCTGCTCAAGTTGGTAAGGACAGGCTACATCGCAGTTCCAAAATCACATACGACCCGGATTTGCGAAAGGACCCCTCAAAAGGCTCAAAACCTATATATATCTTTACAGACCGCGACCGAGGAATATGTGAAGACCCACGCCCAAAAGCGCTTCAAAAGATACCCAAGCTACTGCGGCGCCCTCATACTTCTTTACTCATACCCAAGTATAAATACGATAAGTACTCTGTGGGGCCCGAGCCATCATCACAACTTGTCATATGGAATTTTCCGACCACAACTCCGCTCGTGATCATCAGAAATAATTTTACTCAGTTTGGTAAAATTGCGGACCTGAAAGGGATCGACGACCCTTTGACGGCAGTCCCACTGGGTATGTGTGTTTTGGACTATGATGGAGATCCTGATTCAGCACATCAAGCGGCCACTAAAGCCGTTGCGGCAATGCACAAAAAGTTGCAGATCGGAGGTCAGTACCTGCGATGCGGACTTAACAATAACGATCAATTATTTAATACCATCTACAATCGAATTCTTGATACCAAGAAACAGCAGCTGATCAAAGAAAAAGAAGAGAAAAGGCGCCAGCAGGAGCTGCAAATGATGCAGAAACGAGACGAGCAAAAGAGAGAGAGGGAAGAGCAAAGACGCGAGCGAGAGGAACGCAAGAAACTTAATAGGCCAAGTCGAGATGATCTGCCCGTGAAGCTCTCGGCTCATGATCGTCATGTGAGAACCTTGTCCTCGATTACTCTTCCATTCAATTTTGATAAACACATTGCGAATAGGCCATTTCTTCTCATTCCAGATAAATTCGTCAACACTCGCAATGTTAACTCGTCAGACATACGAAAGCTACTTTCTGGGCATGAGTTTGATCGGATCTTGACTCACAAATCGGGCTTCTACGTTGTGTTCAATAATATTGCAGATGCTGAAAAATGCTTCGACGAAGAAGACGGAAGACATTTCTCGAAATACAAGCTGTATATGGATTTCGTTGTGCCTGATGAGCTGATGAGTCAGACCAAGATTGGTGAGAGAATTGGTCACGTTGGCCAAGCAAAAGCAGTGCTGATTAGAGAATTCCATGATTACTTGCTTAAAGATTTGAGAGAGAAAGTAATTGGCCCGAAGCTGCTCTCATTCTTGAACAGCGACAAGTACAAGTCGGTATTAGATAAGCATTTGAAGGAAAAAGAAGACACCAAAGATCCCAAGGCGAACTCCTCGAAAGCGCCTGTCGGTGTTTCTACATTTACCGTTCAGCATCAATCTATCCCAATATCATCGCTATCTACCTTCAGACGGAAGCCTGTGGAGAAAAAGTACAAACGTAAGCTTAACGCTGTTCCTATGGCTCATGCGCTGAATTATTCTGACAACGAATCGGAGGATGAAGATCAAAGCAAAGCTTCCAAGAAACAAAAAATGCTTGCCATAGAATCCACTTCTTCTTCGGATGAGGAAGATATGCAAGATCTTTCGGAATCTAAAGCTACCTCGCAACCAACGTCACCTGAATCACTGGACCGTCAGAAAGAGGGATCTGAGCCTGATCAGAAAAAAGATCACTTGGTTAGCGAGTTATACAAGCCTTCCCATGATGTAGGAAGGACAGTTTACGATGACGATTACAGTAAAATGGACTTTGACTTGAACAGCCTGCAAGCGGTCATTCATGATGAGGAGGATTTTGCTTTTGCAAGAAAAGCGTTTGAAGGCTTACCAAAGAGCGAAGAGATCAAAGATGTCAAATTTTGGGCCTGGAAACACAAGGAATACGCGAAGAGAATCAAGCATTTGAGCTCAATGGCTGAGACAAGTGCAGAAGATGCGGAAGCTATCGAGTTTTCACAAGAAATTTTGAAGAACGATAAACTTCAAAATTCGACTGGCAGCTTCCGCACTCAAGGCTATTATAAAATACCTGATAAGATAAAGAGCGAATACCTTTTGCATCGCCGGAAAGCTCACAAGCCTCTAAATACTGTTCAAAACGAAGATGAGGGTGAGACGCAAGCCGTTCAGAGCTCCAGGGTCAATAGGGCTAATAATCGTCGGTTTGCGGCTGATATCAGCGCCCAGAAGCAGATGTTGGGCTCTGAAACGGATATCCTGGATCTGAACCAGCTGACAAAGAGGAAAAAACCTGTCCAATTTGCCAGATCCGCCATTCATAACTGGGGATTGTATGCTTTAGAACCGATCGCTGCGAAAGAGATGATTATAGAGTATGTCGGAGAGCGAATCCGGCAGCAAGTGGCTGAAGTCAGGGAAAAGAAGTACCTTCGATCAGGCATAGGCTCGTCCTATTTGTTCCGTATTGACGAGAATACCGTTATTGATGCATCCAAGAAGGGGGGCATAGCGCGCTTCATTAATCATTGTTGCGTGCCCTCTTGTACGGCAAAGATCATCAAGGTGGAAGGAAAGAAGAGAATTGTTATTTACGCTCTACGCGATATTGCAGCCAATGAGGAGCTTACTTACGATTACAAGTTCGAAAGGGAGACCAATGATGAGGAGAGAATCCCATGTTTATGTGGGGCCCCAGGATGTAAAGGATATCTAAACTAAATCAAATGTGCAGTATTCAAAACACTAAAGGATAATACTTGCTCCTTCTAAGGTGGTGGCTGGTATGTTGGAAATACGGTTGGGATTCTTTATCGTCCTGATCCAGCAGTGAGACATTAGCCACCTTTCCATTTGCCAAGAAGGCTGGTATCGATAACGAGGACGTCCTAAGATATCAGATCAATAGCACAAATTATGACCTAATCTTAGCCTCGTGTTGAGTCAAGCTTTTTCACTTTGATTCTAGAGTAGTGTGGAATCCTATGTAGTCCTTCTTTCTCAAGTAGGACAAACGAATTGGGGCTCAACGTATTAGAACATGATCGTCACGATTGAAATGAGTTTGCTTGGGCTAATATTATCTAAGCATGTTTAGAGATTTAGCTAATCAACTGAAAATATTTCCTATAATCAAACTCAGCTACATTAAAATTTTCCACTAATTATGTCTGACAACATGGAACTAGATGAATACAACAGAGTGAGTATTCAGTTAATGGCTAGAAGTCTAACATTTTAGGATCGTTCGAGGTCACCTGTGAGAGAACAATGGCGCCAGCGGTCTCGCTCGCCTCCACGTCGGAATGAAAGAAGAGACGATAGACGCGGTTTCTCCTCTCGCCGAGGAGGAAGAGGAGGGCCGTTGCGTGCAAGAATTGGTAGCAGGTTTGAGTCTCGTGGCCGCGGTCCACGTGAGAGTGAGTCGAAATCTAATAGAGTCTATGAAAACTCGATCTTTGTTGGAAACCTTCCGTACCATACCACTTGGTACGATTTGAAAGACCTTTTCCGCGAAGTCGGTGAAGTTGTGCGTGCGGACGTGGTCACTTCTCGTGGGAGATCCCGTGGAATGGGAACTGTTGAGTTTGCAAACAAAGATCTTGTTCAAGAGGCGATCTCCAAGTTCGACCGCACAATGTACGAGGGCCGCGAGATTTTTGTTAGAGAAGACCTCCCTCCCCCAGAAAAAGAGAGCACTGGTCGCGAGGAAAGAAGACGAAATGCTCCTCCTCCTCCAACGGAAGGATATGAGGTCTTCATTGGAAACTTGCCCTTTAGTGTGAGATGGCAATACCTCAAAGACTTATTCAAAAGCTGCGGTCCAATTATTCGTGCTGACGTGAGAGAAGATCATAGAGGACGTTCTAAAGGATTTGGTACTGTGATTTTCGAGAACTCTGAGGATGCAGATAGTGCGATTGCTGATTTCAACGGTTACGATATGGAAGGAAGACGCATTGAAGTGAGACTTGGAAAGCAGTTCATCAAAGAACCCCAGGGACCAACAGAGTCTAGGAACTCCGAGTTTGTTGCCGGTGTTGTGGGACAGGGTGAACCAAGCGACACCATTTTTGCGGACAATTTGCCGTGGGAAACGTCTGAGACGGATCTTTTTGACCTATTTGGAAGTATTGCTTCAGTTAAGCGTGCCGAACTGCAATTTGATGATCTGAATAGACCAGCAGGAAGTGCTGTCGTTCAATTTCAGGAACTTGACGGCGCCATTGCCGCAGTCAACCAGCTGGACAACTACGAATACGGCAGAAGACGTCTTCATGTTTCATTTGCAAAGAGAGGAGACACTGTTTCTACTGAGCAAAATATGGACGTGGAGGCAGAATATGCTCAACAGCCCGATGAGGTTTCTCAGCCTGGTCCAGAAGCTCCCGCCGTCGAGCCAACAGAGACCGCTGAACCAGCGCCTGAGCAAGAGATGGAAGAGGACCACATTGAAGAGTGATAGGATTACAAAAACAAGAACTTTTTGTCATAGAATTGTGTATTATTATTGCGAACTGCGATGTATTTTCTAGGCGGACTTGGTTGTGGGCTTCATGGCAGTCTCTATAAATCTAAGGAACCGTTGCCCATATTCGACCGGGGGTACAGCACTAATGGTTTCGCGCCTATGGTTCAATGTGCGGAAAAATGTTTCTAGCTTTTTGAAAGTCGAATAGTTGGTTAAGCAATCGATGACTCCCATATAATACACAATAGGTAGCTCATTATCTTGCTCGTCTGTCGCTCTAATACCACCATCGCTGTCAAAGTACCCATCAGATGCGGTAGAAGCTGATTGTTGTCGTATTTCAGGAGGATCAAAATTTGGTAGCTGATTGTAGGGATCGTGCTGCGTAGCAAGAGTTAGATCATGTACTCCAATCAAAAATGAGTAGTCCATAATGTTGAGCGTTTCAAGAAGCTGGACGTCGCTTCTTAGTTGGTTTGCGATTTGCTTGCGTTTGGTGGGTCCAAAATTGAGTCGATGATGATCTTGTAGCCAGTTGAGGTCCTTTTGGACTATCGACGTCTTTCCTTGGGCTTTAGCGGCACTGACATTAGTGAAACGCCCATGCGTTGACCCCTTCAAATCAAATTTCTCATGCAAGTCTCTATGTGGAGGGAATATGTTGTTCATCACCAAGAAATGAATTTTGTGAATTCCTGTGATGAAATGCATCTTTAGACGATGGAGACCGTAGAATTGGCAGATAAATGTCTGTGGATTTTTTTCCACATACTCATAGTATTGCTTGAGACATTTTCGAAGATGTTTATGCTCGGAATGATGAATCGTTTTGATGATAAACTTGTAATCTCTAGAATAGTAGAAAAAGGATCCACTTTTTCCAGGAGAGCCTAACTCGGTCAGACTCACACGCTCCGTTAGGGACAAAAGATAATCAGCCTGATCAATGTTAAATCTGCTACGCAGATGACGGAAAACTTCGGGCGCGTAGTCTTTGAATTTGAATTCATATTTGGTAGATGGTGTCATGGTATTCCCTTCCATATCAAAAATTAGCTTTGAAACGTTCGTAAAATCCTCATCCCTAATAGGCCCTGGAAGCTTCGAACATCTGGATACAGCGACTCGAATACCAGTTATCATATTATATGCCATGACATAGTTGTGGTGACCTTCCACAACGCGTTGTCCAGGGATCACATATCTATCATTAGATTTTGCTCGTGACTTTCGTTTTTGGGGCCCGATATTGAATGAGTTACCTCTTGCAAAACGATGGCGGCTGGTGAGTGTCTGACGATTATGTCTATCAGTACCTGTGGCTTCCGTTTGTGAATAAGGTTCAGGTATCGCAATCGTATGTGACTCTGTATACCCCAGCCTGTCCATACCACTCGAGTGTGTTGTTGTCTGTGTATACTGTGATTGACGCTCCATGGTGATACTCATTTCGTTTCTGAAAGGAGCTCGTAAGGTTTCTCGGGATGTTTTTGAATTAAGATTTAGCTTGGTGGGAGCGATCGCCTCATCCACGCTGGTTCGCTTCCCATTGGAGGGTTGCTGAGCCATTTCATACTTTTTGATCTTCATCTCGCCATTCGGGAGCTTGGTAAGGGTTTCCAACGGGTCTGGATCAGAGTTTGTTGTGTTTAATTGCCCATTCTCTGGTATTGTTTCTGTTGTTATGGACGTTACCGCCAATACTGCGCTCTCTGTTTCGGGCATCCTAGGGTGCACAGACGCTGTTTGCCCAAAAACTAGACTGATTGCAGAAATTCCAGCTCCTTCTACCTGTCTGCTGCTTCGTTCAAGCACAACTATAGATCGTGAAGTGCTGGTATCTAGAAAAAAAAAAAGTGCTAAATTTTCCCGGTTTTGCGGGCATGAACTCTGAAAAATTACGAGTAACATAGCTGAGCACTCTATAAAAGCTAATACCTTCGCCCCAAATTTGCCATGATACGCGTGGGGCCTAGACTTGTTTTTAGAGGGTTTCGCAGCTTGGTAAAGCCGCGCCAAGTTGTCCGCATTCCTTTGAACATACGCGCTCCTCTCCAGTCGATCCAAGCATGTCAAGATAAGGACCAGGCTTCTCTCGAGGAGACTCCTAGGGAAGCGAAGGGCCCCAAGAAAACTGGCAAAAGAATAAAAAAGAAGACCGTCCAGGGTGACGAAATTGACGAGTTTGGAGACCGTGGTGCCAAACCAGATGTCGAATTCACGTATTTCTACCAGACCCTGAAAGATATCGTTGACCAATATCCTAAAGATCAGTACGTGGTCTTGATCCAAGTCGGATCATTTTATGAGCTCTACTTCCAGCAGGCTGAGAAACACGCATCAATGTTGGGCTTAACGTTGAGCAAGAGAGTGCTCAAAAATCATGAAATATCCTTTGCTGGCTTTCCTGACTATAAACTTGAAAAATACCTACAGATTGCCTTCGGCCAAGGGCTCAAGGCCGTTGTTTGTGATCAGCATACCACTGCGCAGAATGTGATTGTGAGACCAGTAACGAGGCTCGTGACCCCAGGCACTATCATTGATGAAGCATTGAGAGATTATCATCGCACAAATTATTTACTTGCTATCCAATTTCCTGCAGACCCATTCAAAAAAGATGCGCTGGGCCAAAAGATAGGTCTGTGTTGGGTAGACGTTGGCTTAAGTCAATTCCATGTGCTTGAAACAAATATGAATGAGCTAATGGCCAACATAACTAGGATCAATCCTAGTGAAATTCTAATAGCCAATGATCTGGATATCGATTCTTTGATCACAGGAAAATGGTTTCCCGAATTGGGAGAACTAAAGAAGTACTATATAAGCAGGTACTCGCTGCCATCAGTCAGCACGTCACTACTCGATTTTGCCAACCGCTTCTCAGAAAACAAGCGGCTTGTCCAGAGCCGTCTGGATAAGCTCTCTCTAAAAGAAGCTGGAGCCGCGAAAGTTTTGCTGCACTACTTGAATGACTGTCTGCCTTTCTACAAGTTGAGTTTTGACTTACCCAAACGGTCGTTGCCAAACACCCTAATGCATATTGATCCGCGCGCTGCACAAGATCTGGAACTCACTGAGACCATAGTTGGTGGTTTTCGAACTGGAGCTCTTGCGTCCATAATTGATAAGACGTGTACGGTACAAGGTTCCCGGCTGCTGAATACCTGGCTACTCTCTCCATCAACCGATGTTGAAGAAATAAGGAAACGGCAGAGGTATATTGAGGTTTTCCTAAACAACCGCATGTTTGTCCAGGAGCTGATTCAGTTGTTACGCAAAACCACCGATTTAGGTCGAATCGTCCGCCGTGCAGATAACAAAAGGGCAGACATGGGGGAGTACTTGGAGTTGGGACATACCATCATGATAATCGATGAGATCTACAAGATGGTGAAGGATTGTGCGGATAAAAAACTAGTCAATCTTGTCTTGCCTTTATTCGACAAATTCAAGGAGTTTCCAGCTCTCATGAGTTTGTCTCAATCTATCATCAACACAATAAATCCTCAGACCCTTCAAGTGAAAATCGATACAAACAGGAACGACTCTGAAGTGCTCCGAAAGTACTGGTTTTTGAAGCCTACTGCATCTCCAAAGCTCGCAGAACTCAGAGACAAATATGATCAGCTTGAGCTTCAGTTCCAGGCTCTGACACAGCAATTGTCAGCAAAGTTTGAGAAATTTGGCTACCAAGGTGGTTTCAACTTAGTCCGTGATCCTCGGACCAATGATTTTGTCATTGACGTTCGCTCGTCCAGAAAATCATTCAAAAGCCTTGTCGAGAATATGGACCTTCAGCTCCGTGAACGAACAAAGTCCAGTGCAAAATTCTGGACAATGGAATGGCAAACTCTAGGCACAGAAATGCTATTTGTTGAGCAAGAGATTTTGAGAGAAGAAGAGAGAATCATATCCCTGATTCGGGAGACTCTGCTTTCCCTTTCTACGGAATTACGCCAGGTTGCTCCCATCATTGAATTTCTAGACGTGTGCTCCTCATTCTATCTGTTAGCTTGGGAAAAGGGTCTTGTCAAGCCGACTGTGGACATGAGCACCAAGTTTGAGATAGAAAACGGACGCCATTTGGTGGTGGAAGAGGGTTTGCGTGGACGGGTGACTGGAGTTGAGAATTTTACAGCTAATAGTTGCTCTTTGGATTCTGGTCGTGGATGGGTGATCACAGGTCCAAACATGGGTGGTAAAAGCACCTTCTTGCGGCAGAATGCATTGATTGCAATATTGGCGCAGATAGGCTCATACGTCCCTGCCACAAAAGCTCATATTGGGATCATAGATAAGGTTTTTACCAGAGTTGGAGCTTCTGATAACATTTACAGACATCAATCATCGTTCATGGTCGAAATGAACGAAACTGCTATCATCTTAAGGGATTCTACGGAAAGGTCCTTGGCTATAGTTGACGAGCTTGGCCGAGGAACATCGGCGGTTGAAGGTATAACCATCGCATATGCATCTTTGTCTCATTTAGTAAAGAATAAGAACTGCAAAGTGCTCTTTGCAACACATTTTGGCCCAGAGATTCACAAACTAATGAAAGATGATAAGGACTTAGAGCGGCGTACGGATTTCTATCAAACTACCCTGACCAGAATACATGATGGCAATCTACCGATTGACGAAAAGCTCATTTTCGACCATAAACTGATTCCCGGAATCAGCTCTCATTCGCATGCCTTTGAAATTGCACAACTGGCTGGCTTTCCCTCCGATGCATTAGAGCTGGCCAGAAAGACGTATGTCAAAGCTACATCAGGTCTATAAAGAAATGAGTAACATATATCACACGATCTATTAATTGGTTGTAATTATATATTTTCAGGGTCATATTCGTCGTCAGAGAGAGGTTTCGCAGACTTGTCCGGTGTATCGAAGCTTTGAGGCTGGCATTGTTGCTGGGATTGGGTTTGTGTTTGAGCAAGTTGAATGAACTGGCTGACTTGCTGGAAAACGTTTGGATCAACTTGAGGTTGAGCATTCTGGGCCTGTTGGTAGGGATACTGATAATTTGGATATTGATGGTACTGGGGATACCATTGATATTGAGCATGTTGCTGATAATACCCTGTAGTGGAAGGATATGATTGTTGTTGAGGATAGTATTGTTGTTGGACTGGACTCACAAAATTCATGGGCTGATACAGTTGCTGCTGAGGCTGAATTGGAAGCGCCGATTGCATCGATTGCGGCGGTTGAGACATTTGCACTGGCTGGGTAAGCGAGGTGGGTTTTGTCGAAGCCAAGGATTGCGCAGTAGTTTCTTGTTTCGGTGACTGTGTAGCTTGAGAAGGAGTTGCTGTCTGTGTGGTTCCCTTTTTTGGAAGGGAAGTCAGCTGCGACCTCATATGATTCGGTAGTGGCCTTTTCGTTGTCTCTTCCTTCTTTTGGTTCTTCTTTCGCTTTCTAAGAGCTTTCATCGCTGCTTCCTTCTCGTCATCAGAAAATTCCTGCTCTTCCTCAGGAATTTCCTCGTCATTCCAATTACTGGCATCGCTTCCCTTTATTGTCTTTATTTGAGACGTGAGCACAAACTCGGACTCAGGAACAACATAGAAAACCTTCGCGCCTTTCTTGTCTTTAAACGCTTCAAACTTTTCTTCCGTCTTGAATTTAACACGATAAGAAGGAGACTGAATTCTGCCAAACGTCTCGAACAGTGGGCCGACCAACGTTCTGTCTTCTAAGCAGAGAATTGAGCCATCTTTCAAGACGCGAATCTCGCCTGAAACGCTCGCCTTTATCACAATGCTTCTTTCGACAAGAGCTGTGATATTACCGATGTACTCAATAGGCGCATCTGGAGGAACAGAAAAGTCTTCAGGCAATTCAAGCCCTTCCTCCTCTTGCTCGTTCTTGGATTTGATTGGTTCTGCAGATACGTCGCTCTCGTTGTCGGAGACTTCAACCTCACCTTCTTCCTCGGACTCGGAATCTGAACTCGACTCTGAGCTAGAATCAGAAGTCGAGTCACCTTCTGACCCTGATCCAGAGTCTAACTCCGAGTCTGAGCTTCTGTTGTTGTCCGATTCGTTGTCAGACTCTGCAATTTCTTTCGTTTCATTGAAAATACGATCCTCTGGATTTTCTTCATTGTTCTGTTCTTTTTGTTCGTCTTGTCCTTCCGAGTTCCCCTTTGCTATTTCAGAGACTTCAAAATTACCGTTATCCTCCTTTCCATGAGACTCATTGTCTTGAGATCCTTCTTGTTCAACATTTTTTCCATTTACAGGATTCTCTAGTGATGATATTACCGTAGACATTCAAAGCTAAAAATTTTTATGCGGCTCAATCCTGATAAGTACTAGAACGATATGAAATATTGAGATGCTGGGATAAGGAGAAACCGAACTACAGGATACAATTGTTATGCTGAAAAGCAATTCTTCCAGGCGCAATTGAGAAGTTCTAGCATTGGTATCATCCCTGACCCCACGAATTATACCCTAAAAATTTATATCTCTATCTTTTATAAAAAACCAGCATCAATTGAACATAAAGCTTTCAAAAATGAATATACATTGAGACACCCCCTAACGTCTTGCAGTAGTCTCATTTGATGCTAAACTGATGGTGCATCAGAAATCCTTTGAGTCAGAGAAAGAAGGCTTGCCTCTTATCCTGCTCCTTCGCGACATGCATATTGTTGTAGCCTTAAATTTTAATTTTTTTTATATTTTTTTTGATAATTTTTTGAAATAATTTTCACTTAAAGGTATGAGCAAGAAAAAGGCCCTTGATTCACGGATTGCTGCTCTTATTCGCAATGGTGTTGACACCAGAGAACGAAGTTTTATAATCATGGTTGGAGATCGATCCAGGAATCAGATTCCTAATCTCCACTATTTGATGATGAATGCAAATTTGAAAATGAATAAATCCATTTTATGGGCCTATAAGAAAAAGCTTCTTGGTTTCACTTCCCATAGGAAGAAGCGAGAAGACAAGATCAAGAAGGAAATAAAGCGTGGAAAAAGGGAGCCAAATGAGCTCGATCCATTCGAAGTCTTCATCACAAACCAGCAGATCAGATACGTGTATTATAAAGAGACCGAAAAGATTTTAGGTAACACCTACGGTATGGTCATTCTGCAGGATTTTGAAGGACTTACTCCCAACCTTATGGCAAGGACAATTGAAACGGTTGAAGGAGGAGGACTAGTTGTCATGCTACTGAAGTCCATGACATCTCTGAAGCAATTGTATACAATCACCATGGATATCCATTCCAGATATAGAACTGAAGCCCACAACGATGTTGTTGCTCGTTTCAATGAGCGGTTTTTGCTGTCGCTTGCTGATTGCAGAAATTGCTTGGTGTTGGACGACGAGTTGAATGTTTTACCCGTTTCTGGCGGAAGAAACGTTAAAAGGCTTCCCCCGAAGGATGATGAGGAAGTGACCGAAAAAGAGCAGGAGCTGATTGACTTGAAAAAGAGCCTTGAAGATACTCAACCGGCGGGGGCACTGGTTGCATTGTCCAAGACGGTTAACCAAGCGGAGGCTATATTGAGATTTATTGACTCGATCGCCGAAAAGACTTTGAACACAACAGTGACGCTGACTGCTGGTAGAGGTCGTGGTAAATCCGCTGCACTGGGTATTGCCATAGCTGCAGCCGTCGCTCAAGATTACTCCAACATCTTCGTTACATCTCCGTCCCCCGAAAACCTAAAAACGTTGTTTGAATTCATCTTTAAAGGTTTTGATGCCATGGGATACGTTGAACATCAAGATTATGATATTATCCAGTCGACAAATCCATCATTTGCTAAGGCAATTGTGAGAGTGGATATCAAAAGATCGGGCCACAGACAGACTATCCAATATATCTCGCCTACCGACAGTCATGTTTTGGGCCAAGCAGAGCTGTTGATCATTGACGAAGCAGCAGCAATACCCCTGCCCGTGGTGAAGAAATTACTCGGACCTTATTTGGTCTTCATGGCTTCCACCATCAATGGTTACGAAGGAACAGGAAGATCTTTGAGCCTGAAATTAATTCAGCAATTGAGAGACCACTCTAATACGATTGTCAGTAATAACTCTCAGACCCAGGTTGTGTCGAGAGGCAATAAGAAATCGACAGAGGATGATTTGCATATCCGTGGACGCAATCTGGTTGAAGTCGTTTTAGACGAACCTATCAGATATGCTCCTGGGGATCCGGTGGAAGCCTGGTTGAACAAGTTGCTCTGTTTGGATGCAAAACTGACAAAGAATACCAAATATGAGACAAGGGGCTGCCCACACCCTAGCGAATGCAATCTTTTCTACATCAATAGGGACACGCTATTCTCTTACGACCCAGTTTCGGAGGCATTCTTGCAGAAAATGATGGCTCTTTTCGTTTCTTCGCACTACAAAAACTCACCAAATGATTTGCAGCTTATGTCTGATGCTCCTGCTCACCAACTTTATGCTTTGTTTGGGCCAGATGTTGGCAAAGACGGTTCCATTCCAACTCCGTTATGTGTGGTGCAACTTGCTTTGGAGGGAGAGATTTCTAAGGAGAGCATTCGAAGCAGTCTCAATAGAGGTGTCCGTGCTGGTGGAGACCTCATACCGTGGTTAATTAGCCAACAGTTCCAGGACGATGACTTCGCATCCCTTTCTGGTGCTAGGGTCGTCAGAGTCGCCACACATCCTGATTATATGAACATGGGATACGGGTCAAGAGCTTTGGAGCTGTTGACAGACTATTTTGAAGGCAAGTTTGCCAACATCAGCGAGGCCTCCTCATTTGAGGATGACAAATACTCTCTTAGGAGATTGACTGACAATGAGCTGGAATCAGCGGTTTTACAGCAAGAGGAGATTAAACCAAGAAAGGAAAACAAATTGCAACCACTGTTTATTAATCTCGCTCACAAAGCACCTTATTATTTACATTACATGGGTGTTTCTTATGGGCTGACACCAGACCTCTTCAGGTTCTGGAAAAGGTCTCACTATCTTCCAGTTTACCTAAGACAAACTGCAAACGATTTGACTGGCGAGCACACATGTGTCATGCTCAAAGTACTCGAGAACCGTGAGGACCAATGGTTGAAGGAATATTCAAAGGATTTCCACAAAAGATTTGTGAACCTTTTGGGCTACAACTTCAATGTTTTACCTTCTGTGCAGGCTTTGAGCGTTCTGGAGTCTTGTGAAAAGCCACCTCAGGAGAACTTCACAAAGGATGAGCTGGACAAATTCTTCTCGCCATTTGACCTCAAGAGACTCGAGTCGTACGCTAACAATCTAATCGACTACCACGTTGTGGTGGACCTATTACCAATATTGTCATATCTTTACTTCCAGGGCAAAATCTCTAGAGAGGTGAACTTGTCAAATGTGCAGGCAGCCATTTTGTTAGCTATCGGACTGCAACACAAAGACATGGACAAAATTGCCAAAGAACTTTCTATTGAGGCTAATCAAGCCATGGCAATGTTTGCCAAGATCATTCGCAAAGTGTCGACTTATTTCCGCTCGCTTGTGCAACAGAAAATAGCAGAGGAGATGCCTGAAGTGGAGGACGAAACTGTTCGCGAGATGAATGGTGAGGAAACCAACGTTGCAGACATTGAGGAGATCGAAAGAGAGCTGGTTGATGAAATGAACAAGTCCGGGGCTTCAGCGGTGAGCGCTTTGAGAGAAAAACAAAAAGAGCTCATCAATTCGCTAAATCTTGAGAAGTACGCCATCAACGAACAAGGATGGGACGCTAACAAATTAGAGAAAGCTGCCAAGAACAAAGGTGTGGTGAGCGTCAAATCGGGAAAGAAGCGGAAGACTGGAGAGACGGCTGAACAAATTTACGATCAGGAAATGAAGAAACAGAAAGGGCCTGGTTCAAAGAGATAAACCCCTACATATCATCCTGGCTGTTTGCAAAATCAATTGATTGAAATCTGTGTTGTTGTCATTGTCGAAAGCAACAACTCGTGGCTCAACAATCTTGGCAGTGTTCTCTTTTAGCTGTTGCTCGTTAAGGTATGCATTTTCAAACAGATGTGTATGGTTTTTGTAATATTGTGGCCAAACAATTTTTTCAAAGTACCCAGGAGGATCTGTCCATATGCCATTGTCTATAGTGTACTGTCTGTTGTGACGTCTATCTTTGAGAGTATTGTAGTCTGTTTTGTAGAACAGACAAACATCTAGAAGGTCGAGAATCTCCTTGTCGTGATACAACAAAAATCCATCTATAAATACTATCCGGGGTAGGCTCAAGTGTCCAACTGTTTCTTTGATTCTTTGCTTGATTAGGGGGTCGAGTTTGATGGAAATGTCGACCGACTCTTTGGAAGACTCGGTGAATCGGAAATTTGGGTCCTCTTTGAATTTCCTCAACGTGTTTTTCAGCTTCGAGAAATTGACTGCCTCAGGACAGTCCCAGTCATACTCTTGCAGTTCTTCATTGAAGGGAATCTGCTCATCTGGGTAGTAAAAATCATCTTCGTGTAGTAGTACAGAGTTCGGGAACAGTTCACGTAAAGTTTTAGCCACAGTGGTCTTCCCAGAACTCGAAGCCCCACTGACTCCTATTATGAGAGACATGTAGGGAAAAAAGATCTAAATCTACAAATTTTTAAATAATAATGGCAGACGTAATAAATGCAAACCCTACCGTGCTGGATGCAAGCTTGCTGCCGACACGGCATGGTGCAATAGTGGAAAAGGACGAAGAATCAGTAGTGCATCAGGAACTCACTGAGCTCTCGCTCGATGGAATAACATATACGGATAGCGAGGGCGAATCCGAAGACGAGGGCTTTGATGCTCAGGAGATCTATGATTTGATTTCGACAATATCTGACCCCGAACATCCGCTCACACTTGGGCAGCTAGCTGTCGTCAATCTCTCAGACATCAAAGTTATCGATCCCCAGGATAAGAATCAGATAGGAGAAGTGATAGTCCGCATAACGCCAACAATCACACACTGCTCTTTGGCCACCCTCATCGGGCTTGGAATCAGAGTTAGGCTGGAGCGTTGTTTGCCTCCAAGATTCAGAATACTGGTCTTATTGAAGGAAGGAAGCCATCAGAGCGAAAACCAAGTGAATAAACAGCTAAATGACAAAGAAAGAGTTAGCGCCGCCTGCGAGAATGATCAGCTGCTGAAGGTGATCAGCCATATGCTGGCTACCTGCGCATGAAGGGATAAGGATAGTGTAAGACACGCGTGATACTGACCAATCACGGCATGAGAATACGATGGAGGGTTTTGTTTATGTGATTGCAATCTCATTTACTGGGACACTCATGGCTCTCGATTTGAGAGTAGCTTTCTTCAGTGATGGAGGTGTTCATGTAGGGATGCGCCGCAGTAGCTTGAGCGATACAACATTTATCTGAGTGCTGTGGCTACTCTGTCAGACACCCTTGCACTGACGAGCCTTTGCTATAATTCTGATTATCGAAAAAAAATTTCATTGTAAAATGGTCACCCTTACCAGAATCGAAGACGAAAGCCAACAAAAGCCTGAAGAAAAGGTGTTCAACGCAGGCGAGGAAGAAGTTGAATCCGAATCCGAAGTTGAAACGGAAGACGAATTTGACGAAAATGAAACATTGTTGCAGAGAATCGAAGCTCTTAAAGACATGATTTTACCTGAGCAAAGACAATACATTGCCTCGACTTTGGAGTCTGCTTACTCCACTGCGTCAACTTTGGCTAAAAAGTGTGGCAACGGGTTGTGGATTCTGACTTCTTCTACCTTGCTTTTGGGAGTTCCTTTGGCTTTGGGAATTTTTGGTGAGACCCAGTTGAACGAATTGGAAAAGGAAATGCAATTGCAACAAGGTAGCAGTGACTTGCTGGCCTCGGGAAGCGAACAACCAGCTACAGCAGCAAGATAAGCAAGGAACAACACAAGAAACGTCAGCTTTTCACTGACCTCACCTAGCCATGCGTATTCTTGGTTGCTCATGTAAGCAAAAGTCATCGAGCAGTGTGTATATATAAGCAATTGGTTTATGGATTTAGTAGTATACATGCATGCGTGTTGTAGTCAATAAGGAGTTCTGGGAGCCAGTGAACTCTTTGCTCCAATCGATCTTTCAAAAGACTTTCTGGTGCTTTATACTCAAAGCATAAATATCCAGGTAGGTTGTGATCTCGTAAATCACCTCTAGAATGAACATAGCATGCACTCCAAGGGCAACACCAAATCCGAGATATACAACTGAGCACAACACACCATCATAGTCATATCCATAAACGTGTGTTAACAAAGGAATCAAAATGAGCTGCACGGCGGGAAGAAGCATAGGAAGGTTAATGATTGGGAATTCTTGTTTTGTCAAATGGCCGATAATGATACGCCCCACAGTGAATGCCATTGTAGACCCAATAGTGAGCATCATTGGCACAGTGTACACTATTCTGATCTGCTCATGAACGACGAGCATCAGAAAAACGGTGCCATAATAGGCAAAGAAAGGCACCAAACCTCTCATCGCAGACTTCTGTTCAGTTTTAGAGGCAACATGTTGGATGACATTCCGACGGGCTGAATGAATATTAAAGTAGAGGAACACAGCACCAAAAGCTAATGCTAAATCAAGGGCTTTAATTGGGTATGCTGAAGATAGGTTGAAAGCAGAGAGGTCGACGCTAAAAACCTCGAATTTCCAGAAGCTTGGGCCATGCAACGCAGTAGCAATGAATAGGACAACCAATAATATGATTCCTTCCACAGGACCCGAGCACTCACTTAGAAATAATTTGTGAGTATAGAATTCCTCCCATGTGGACAAGTAGAAATTCATAAGAGAAGCAAATTGGGATGTGTACACCATCCATCCCTTGCCCAAACCTGCCACAGAGGCAAAGATCAAAACAGAGAGAGTGGTGTTCACCGCATCAACACAATGGTCGAACAGTTCGCCAAGGGGTCCAGACTGTCCAGTTCTTCTTGCATGGATTCCATCACATGCATCAAAGGTTTGGTAAAAAAAAATAGACGCTGCGTAAACCAAGTAGCACCATCTAGGCGATTGCTGATTCAAATCTGGATCCACATAAAACACGAGAAGCAAAGATACCAAGATGAACATCAACCCCGATAGCGTAACCATGTTTGGGGCCATCCACACGGGGAAGATCTTTTCAAATTGGACCCAGAATCGCTTCAGGACATATTTGGTCAACAGTGACCTATCCTCGGATTGATACCTACTGTTAGTGGTTGGAAAGCTTGCTGGTACTTACTTGTACTCTTTCAAGTGAGGTAGGGCCTGCTGAGGTAAAAAGAATCCCATGATCTAAAGTGTTTACAGTATAATAAAACGGAAGGTCGATAATTGAATGTTTAGGATTACATAATTTGATCGAGAAATTTCCTAGCTATTTCGACTCCCAAAAATGTAGCTGCGTTCGCTGGGAAGCTTCTAGCGAGGGCAGGACCCAAACCAGGGAAGAAAGCCCTGATGCCACCCTTTGAATAAATAGAAGATGCTGTCTTGAAAACTGACCGGTTACTTTCTGAAGACTGTTGGACGCTCTTTATAGTGTCAATAGGGAAGATAGCTGTCCACATTGCAACACCAGCGAAACCTCCTGCGGTCATGATAGCTGCGATAGATGTATCACCAGAGCTTGGGGAGAGCTCCTTCTTGAAGTATTCATAGGTAGCAAAGTAGACGGCAGATCCAGGCCCGTCCCTGGCCAAGGTAGCTGCAGACCCTTTGAAAATTGATTTTAGCCCACCTTGCTTGTAAAGCTTGGAGACCGTTTGCATGAAGGACACCTTGCCTTGGGAGGTCTGCATCACCACTTTCACACGCTCAAAAGGGGCCGCAATTAATGTAGTAGGTATAGCACTGAAAAATCCTGCTGCGCTTATCTGAGGAATGGTGAGGGGCGATTTTACTGGATCGATATTGTAAAATGTGCACACAAGTTTCTTGCCCACATCATAGCCCCAGAAAGACACAGCAAACATTGGGGTGACCCCCAGCAAAGGAGATGAAACTCCTTTGTAGAAACCCAAAGGCCCACCAGAGGCTAAGGTGCCTTTGATACAGTCGAGAGAAGACTTATACTGATTTGTCTGTAAAAGCACCTTGGTATAGTCGAATGGCTGGCCAGTTATCACCGCACATATTCCACCAAAGCCACCTGCACCAAAGGATTTGAAATTGTCCAAAAGAACGGACTCTGCAATACTATCCTCCATTTACTCTACACCAGGGTTTTTTTCAAGCTTATATAAAAAAAACAAAATTTCCCCACGTTCAGGGGTGCACCGACATGTGATGAAAACGGCCAAGGGGAAAAAATAATCGTGACTCGAATTTGATTGTTGATGACTATATACCGCCCTAGTTGCTCAGCATGATACCAAGACACCTCAGAGTCTGGTCATGATCTACTGTCAAATCTTCGGTGAATTTTTCCAGGTTATCTTCGAAAGACTCTATGATGTCCACGGTTAGCTTTTCCATAAGCTTGTTCAGCTTAACATCGATCGAATTGAGATAATCGTCATAACGGTCCTTGTTCTCAAAGTCCAAATACCCATCGTCGCGCAGCATTTCGGTAACAGATAACATATCCACCAACAAGCTATTAAACTCTTCATTGAGGCTGATGAACTGGTTGATGGTTATTATGAAAGAATCAATTTGCTCAATGTAATAAAGACCCGAGTTTCTGCCTTTGGAAGACTTACTATGCATATCAAACAGCCTAGATCTGGTGATTGAGGTGATGTAGTCACGATGCAGTTTTGTAAGCTCGTCCAAGTTATAAGCACTATATCTCAGCTCAAGGAGAGCTTCGTCGGACTGAGGGAGGTAAGTCTTGTCAATTTTGATTCTTCCACTTTCCAGTACTTTTAAACCCTTAGCATTGCGCTTGACTTTTATATCATGTTCGTCTGTTTTGGCAAAGGCCTCTAGCAGTTTTTGATACTTTTTTTCGATGATTTCTAGGTCAAAAAAGCTGGTGATGATATTAACAAACTTGATGAACTCGTTTCTCAGTATGTTAAGTCGCTTGAAGGTTTTGGACAGCCAAAGACAACGGGAATCTAGAACCGAGAGGGCGTAACTAGGGTCAAGCTTCAATTGTCGACGGACAATTTTGCTTCTCTTTTCAATATGCTTCAAAGAACTCCGCCTGATGCTGTTGGACTCTAGCCACTCCACGTTCAAAAGGTAGTTCACCTTCTGTAAACGCAACAGGAAATTAAACATTCGCAGATACTCTCTGGAATTATGCGTGGGCCCATTCAAAATGTGATCGAGTGGAAACTTTACCTGGAAGTCTAAGGTGAAAACATCCCAACCAATGTTCCCATGTCCCATCTCAAGAATTCTAGCGTCCAGTCGATTCAGAACCTCAACTGGAAAATGTCTGATACTAGAATTCTCAATAGATTCCTGTAGAATTTTCATTAGATGGTGAGATGACAATGTTGATGAGGACTCGTTTAAAACAGGGAGGCCCTTGACAATAAGAGAGTTAATGAAATCGCCTTTATTCATCAGCAAGAGCTGATGCAGATAGCTTATTTCTTTAACCAGACCGTATTTCTCGTAAAGAACATAGCACAGATAATTGATTATTTCGTCGTACTGCTGTTGCACGAGCCTGTCCAATTTGTTGGCAGCCATGTCCAAGAAGTCACCATTGTTTACAAGCAATTTTCGATACTTTAAACCAAACTCGATGCACCATTTCATTTCATTGCATTGATTTTTGAGATAAAGAAACGATTTCCCTATCTGGTAGATCAGTTCTGAAGTCCTTACGAAAGTCGGAACTTTATCCGGCTGTAGTTCTGGACCCAATTCTGTGTACGCGATGAAAAAGTTCTCCCTGATAGTATCTTCTCGAATCAGCGATCCTTCAAATATCCAATCCTTAATCATTTCAAAGTAGGGCAAAGAACATGTACGAAAAATCGTTATTGCTAACCCCTTCAATGACGGGTCTCCAATTTTCGCAAGCTCGCTCAGATTCGACAAAAATTCATTTATGGGAAGCGTTTGAATTTGTGTTGTAAGGTTGAAAAGCATCCGCAACTTAATGATTGAGTCATTGAGTTGCAAGCGCACGTACCTTAATGTCAAGGATTCGATGTTCGCTGGATTAAAAATCTGATTCACAAGACTGGTGTATTGAAATAGTTCTTTTTGTAATAAGCTTGAAAAAGCGACTTTGACCTGCGAATTGGCCAGAACTTTCGGACTCATCGTTTTCAAATGCTTGTATATTAAGGCAGGTTCAAATAGCTGATAGAGCAAACCCGCTGCACCATAGCTTATATTAGTTGGTACTTTTATCTTATCATCGAATGGAAAAACTTCCGACGTCGAGCCTATCAGTGTGAATGCCAGGCTTTTGATCATTTCTTGCTCTGGAATAAGGCCATACTCTGTATTCTGGTAGTAAAATGGGAGCAAGTGTTTGCTGAGGGGCTCCCCTACAGAGAAGCTTTGGCTTGGCGGTCGGCTTGAATGTAGTCCATATGTTGATGAGGGCAAAAACGCGGTGCTGGAAGGTAGGCCAGGGGATGAGAGAAGATGACGTTGATAAGCCATGCTTGTGCTAGCTCCCAGATTATTTGCGACTCCAGAAGAGTCGTATTGTGCCAGACGGGATGGCATTTGTCTTTGTTTATTTGTTTCGTACGAGTCCAATTTGATCAAGTATCTCGCCGCTTCGTCTGTATTTTTCATAGACAGGAGATCTTCAGTTGTTTGCTCAAGCTTATCCCAGACATACGTGTACGCAGGCATATGGGCAAAAATAGAACGGTATTCATTCAGGGAAGCCAGAGACTGGGAAGTGCTCACGGAAGACGTATACGACCTTACCAGCAGGGTATATACATCATTTGTTAGCTTGTGAATGAAATTAGCATCGAATTCATCTGGAACAATGCTCCTCAAAAGCCGAAACAGATAATTGATCACGATTTGTTCCGACTCCATCAGACTAAAATGTAAATAAAAAATAAATACAATAATAGAGAAAGATACGGTGTAAGGTGTAACATGCATTGATTATATCTCATCTTTCCAGCCCTCTTCAAGGAACATTTCTTGTTTCAAAGGTGGAATGTCATCGTAGCCAAAATTGATCATTTGGTCAGAATAGTACGTGACGCTATAAAATTTGAGCAAACTGCGTAAAGCGTACTCATTTTCCCAAGAACGCTTCAATCGCTCGTTGAGATTGAAGATAAACAGATTGTTTAGCCACTGGTCGCGCAACCCCACCTTGTAGAATAGATACACGAAGGAGATAAGATCCATGTTGTTGGAGCGCCACTTTTTACCATTAAATGGACAGATTAACTTGATAATCTTCAGAACCGGTTTATAAAAATTGGAATTGTAGATTGTGAGTAGAAACCGTAAACTTTCTGTTGGTCGCACTTCTAGAAGCTTGTAGATTCGTTGAATCTTGTAGTTGGAGATGGTTGAGTACAAGCTTCGCAACAACTGTGTGATGATTGTACAATAACGATGATTGGGCCTCAAAATTTTCACATGTGATTGCCCGTTGAAGGGTGGAATGTACGTTTCATACGCTTGTTCATTCACTTCAAAAATATCCTCGGAATTGAACTTTGGACTTTGGGGAGCCTCACGGCAAAATGAAGTTGCGGCTCTGAAAAAGTTATATTCCTTTGAATCGTACAGCACCTCATAATCACAAAAGACAACTCTATTTTTCAGCAAAGTTTCGGGGTCATTGAAATCAAAGGAGTTCTCAAGTTGAGTCTGTACTTGGTTGCTTCCAAGGAAGCGGAAGAGGTTCAAATATAGATCGTTGTCAAATAGCAAAAGAGCAAAATATTCCTGTTTCAAAATATGTGACATTTTGAACCACTTCAGCATTAGGAAAATAATAGTGGAAGCTGCTTTCAAGCATGTTTCTTTGATGCGCATCAAATCAAGCTTTTGCTTGTCGTAGTTTGACATAGCAGAAATGTTATAGGGTTTCTTAAGCGGAAGAAATGGATTTTCTGCGGATTTATACCCGGAAGCAGGGAGTACATTGGAAGATATAATCTGAATCAATACTGCCGCCAATGAATTCAAGTATGGCAATGCCGAATGGTAGAACTGCTCGACGCGTTGCAACGCAACGAGCTCGTCAGCAAAAATTGGGTTTTTCTCAATGTCTTTCTCGGTATATATAAACTTTGACCCAGTAGGCTCAGTGATACCCTTTTCTTGCTTGATGAAATCCTCGAATACATCAGTAAATTGTAAAGCACTAAAAGACTCAGAGACATGAGCATGGAAAATCTTCGTTGCCTCCTGGATGCTCACGGGTATGTCTTGAGAGAATGGATACAAATTGGCGAACTGGGGCTGCGTGATAAAAACCTTTTTACGGCCTTGTCCGTTCACATGTTCAATCTCAGAGATATTAGAACTCCTCGATCCACCTGTATGTTGTGGGCTCAAAGTTGGCGATGGGGCGGGCGTTGCTATATGTATTTCAGGAGGGCAGCTATTTTGCGAGTTTGAAAGCTTGTTGCGTAAATGATGTTTTTGGTTGATTAATAACGCAGAAGTGTTGATCAACTTTGAGCAACTTTCATTATCTTGTTCGACGCTCAGTTGTAAGATATCAGAAACTTTATGTTCAGGAGGCGAGTAGGTAGGATATCTTGCAATGAGCTCTTTGCGGAAGTACTGGTAGTCAAGGGGAGTGATACTCTCAACTTTTGCTCCACGAGTTCCAGGGGCGCTGCCAAAGACATGACCAGATTCACATTTGAATCTGAGAAAGGATTTGGTAGACTGCAAGAGCTCAGAATCTCCAAATTGAAGCAATATCAGCTTTGAGAAGAGAATTATCACATTGCGAAGCTTAAAATAATGAGCCACCGAGCTGTCCAATGCAGAGCCCAGCTCCTTGTCATTGGCATCTGCAGTCAGCCAGCGCCAGTTATCAATTGCCTTCATTATGGTAATGAGAATCTGGCTCGTGTCTATGATGCCAGCTAAAAATCTCACTTTTTCTTTAGTTGTCAAAGCAGCAAGGACAACAGTGTACACAATAGTCATAGAATGATACAACTGCGAAGACCACATTTGGAGCTGTTTGTGATTGAGAGGTTTCTCTTGGTTCTTTAGATCACTCAGGCTAATGAGTCTAGAGCTGAGAATCTCCAAAATCGGGAGGAGCACCTCGTGACTTAAAAATAAGCGAGAGCTGTCAATAATCTTAGTTGTAAGTTCACTTATTTCTGATATCTCACCATATTGACCCATTGCTATGTATTCCAAACATATGAGTATATGCAATGTTGATTTGTTTGAAGCGTCGATCAATTTTTTGACAAGATCTGAGGGAGTTTGATTTTGGGTGGCCAGTTTCTTGATATTGCTCAATTCCTTAAGATCTGTAGCGGTAAACCAATCCATATATTCCGTTTCAAAATCTTCAAGCTCTCTATATTCGTATTGCAGCTCCGGGTACTCGAGAATGATGTTGAAGTTGTTCAGGCCGTCAACTTCGTGTTCGTCTTCGTCATCATTATCTGTGAATGAGAAACTGCTGTGGGGAGAGGATAAGATATCCTGATCATCGCTGGTTTCCACCATCTCCCCACGATCAATGATGGTTCCTGGAAACTGATCCAGTTCCTCCAACTGGGCCTCCAAGTCACGAATCTGAGTTTCCATAACAAAAAATTAGACTACAAAATAATTTGAATCCAGATTCGCAATTCTTTTTCATGCTGAGTTTGGAGAACTGCGTCGGTTTGAAGTAAGTACAAATAGAACTCCTTCATCTAACACCAGAATCAAGCTCGTGACAGCAGATGACGAGACTATAGTGGGGTCCATACATTCCTATAACCCTAATAATGGGCTGTTATCGCTAGTTCGTCAATCCGAAAACTCATCCAAAGAAAACTTTATTGTTATCAAGAACACGTTCATCAAAAATATCTCCTGCCTCTCCAAACCAAAGGATGTCAGTACAAGCTCTATAAATGAGAAATTTGCAAGTATGCCTCGACAACCCCACCCCGTGCCATTGAATATGCTGGGGCATAATTATAAGGTCACCAATGCTCATGTGGTGAAAAAATACCAATCACAATATGTGCTCAATAAGACTTTGGCAGACAGAAAGATCACGCCGGAAGGGAAAGAAATCTTTACGAGTTTATTCAATTTACTTCCTGATGGTGACGTCTCGCTTGACAAAAACGACAACATCATCGTGTTCGACAACCACATTGTAATCTCCAAACCGTATGGCACTGAAAACTGCAAGATGGTTTCTGGAAATGATGACCAGCAGCTCTCATACATCAAAAAAATCATTAAGGATGTTTGGACGCGACTAGAGTCCGAAAGAAAGGGAGGTTGATTAAGGTCATATTTTATTTCTTCATGCCAAGCATACCGGCCAAGGCAACCTGGCGTTGAATGAAAACCATATCTTCTGTATTCTTTAGAGTAGCGGTAAATTCAATGTCCACGTTCTCCAAAAGCTTGACACCCTTGTTTTTAGTTCCTTTGAATCCATCGAGTTCAGACCAAGGAATTGTGACAAGACAGTGAGCGACCTGTGTGGGATTTTTCTTCACTTTGGACTTGGGCCGCTCAAAATAATTGAAAGACTGTTTGGTGGCCAAATACTGGTACATATATTCCATTATAGTGTTGATCCAGACCCGACCCAATCCTTGTAGAATCGAATTTAAATTGAAATTGAATCGGACGACCATATCTGGCTCACGGGAAATCGCACAGTAGTATGTGATTTGCATATTTTCAGCATCTTGTAAGGATGCTCTTTCTCCGTTGATGGTCACTAGCATGTCTTTTGCATTATCGAGCAGCGAGCGACTAGGATTCACTACTCTAATTTTAACATCTGTTGCCTGGAATTCGCTCTTCAGCAACTGCCGATAGAGCTGCTGCCTCTTCTTATCCCGTAAGAAGAACTCAAAATAATGCATGTAACGAATTTGAGACGGGATGGTAATACCTGTACGGAAAGCTCTCCTGCGTTCTTGGAATACCTCATTGGCTTCTCGAAAACATAATCCGAATTTGAACATCAGATACGCCACGATTATGCTTCCTGTCCTTCCCTTGCCATGCTTGCAGTGTACGACCACCACATGGTTGGGACTTTGCTGAAGAAATTCCTCAATCTCGACAACCGTTTCCAGCAAGGAGAACAGGGGAACAGGACTATGGTCTTTGAACGGTCTGTATAAGAATTCCCCTCCCATATGTGTGACTAACGAAGGATCATAGCCCATTTTTTCTTCCCTCAGATTCACGATCATCCAGTTATTTTTCGCGTGGTTACGATTTAACGCCTCTACCAAGTCAGTTATGTTATTAGCACAGACTTTGGCTTTATGGTCTGTAGGTCCAGAACAAACTGCAACATTGGGCAATATATACGATAGGTCCAATTTTCGACTGTGAATAACTGTGGAATACTTCCCTGGAGCGGGAAGCATCATTAAAAGAAAAGGGATAATAATTTATTAACCCCGGAAATTGTCTTATCTAAGGGCAATTAAATTTGACGTAAAAAATAAATCAAGCAATGCCAATGCCTATCCCAATCCCTGCTATCTGTGCTGGAATTGCAGTTTCTACAGTTTTGTTCGTGCACAGAGAAGAGATAGCAGAGTTTTTTGAGGACCTAGCGGTCGACCTGCTAGAAAAAATAGAGAGAAAGAGAGACCAACGAATGAGAGCAAAGGCAAAATGTCTAGGAGAATCAGCTACAGTGTTTGACGACAGTACCGTTGTGAGAAAAAGAAGGGTCTCGGAATGGGTCAATGACCAAAAAGAATATGGCTCAGATACAGATAGTGTGGAAACGCCTTCGCGCACAGCCTCCTCTATTTAGTTCATAAGGGCTATTAAGATCAATAAAACAACCACCAGCACGACCAACAATATACATGTCCACTTTCTTTTTTTCTTTTGATAAGCATCCGCCTTAGCAAGCTCACGATGTGCAACGCGGTTATCACTGGTATACGTTAATAAATTGTCCTCAATTGTATCAATCTGTTCGCCTTGCTGGTTGACCATTTCATTCAAGTCCTGAAATATCTTATTGATATCCTGAACTCCGCGAGATATGTTATCGATGGCTTGTTCTCTTTGCTGTATAACCGACTCATGAAATTCTAGCTCCGCGTTAGTGATCTGGGGCTTCTGCTGCTGCTGAAGAAGAGGAGTCGTTTCGGCGGGGCTGGCGTCATGTTGGTTGTTTTCGTACTCTTCGTTGACCACAACGGACTGAAGCCGCTCATTGTACGCTCGTTGAACTAGTTGGTAATTGCGGAACATTTCTGCGCATTGCGTTTTGAGCTTTTGTTTAGTGTATTGCAAAGTCGAGTTATTTACCACCTCTGGACTCTTCTCGAGCGTTGCCAGACTTTGGTCAATTTCCGAATGCAGCGAGTTACATCTCTTTACTAGTGATGACAACTTGTTTCGCAGACTAAGAGTGTCCTTTTTAGTACCCAATTGTTGCTGCAATTTATCGAACTTTGAGATATTGGAAATCAAATCTGACAGCTGCGAACTTATTATGTTAAGCTGGTCTGTGGGGCCGGACGAGCCCCCCTTGTTCGGGGCTTGTTTTTGGGCCTCAAGATCCAAGTTGGCAAACGACATTAAACTGAAGGAGGTAATCTTTTTTGTGGCGTGGGTGGCGGTGAAATCTCGAAGAAAATGGCTGGGGCCCAAAATATATTTTTCTAATCCCAAGTTTCTTGACGCGTCGCGTAGAGTATGAAACACGATAAACGTGCAAGACTAAGGGCTGCTCGGGCCGGAATCAAGCTTTCGGACGAGGAAGATGGCTACGAGGACATCTATGAGGAGGTTGATGAGCAGCAATTCCGCCAGCACAAACAGCATCAGCTTCTGAACGACGATTTCATCGTGGATGACTCTGGCAACGGTTACGCAGAAACAGGCGCAGACGATTGGGAAGGTGCGAATCAGTACGCAAGCGAAGACGAAGACGAGCCTGAGACTCGCCAACGCAAGAAGATCGCCAAAATCAAGCGCGACACGCCCCAGATCTCCTCCTTTTTCAGGGGAGCGGAGACTGAGAACAAGCCTAAAAGCAAAGTCGATAATCTTGACGATATTTTGAGCGACTTCACGGCCCAGGCAAGCACCAAGGCTCGAAGCACGCCAATGTTCAGCGTGAAGAAACGGACGGACGTGTTTTCCTCGCTCAAATCCGACAGAGTGAAACCTGTGAAGCCGCTGAACGTGAAAAAGCTCATGTTTGAAGACGAGGTCCCTGCGAAAAGAGTCAAGCTTAGCTCTGAGGACGAAATATACGCTCCTGAGTCCGATATCTCGAACTTGTCGAAAATCGAGACGCCGTCTTCACCAATAAAGGCCGCCATCAAGGAAGATGACGAGTTCAGCTCGGACGACGAGATCGACGTCACAACATTGAAAACAGCACGAGCGGATGTGCAGAGAGTGAACCTGAGCTCAACGAGGGAGCTAAAGGAGACAAAAGTTGTCGAAATCGCAACGTCTTCGCCAACTAGAGACGCGTCAGAAACTTCAATGATGAATACCACTTTCGAGAAGGTGGACGAATCACAAGTCGCTGACTCCGAAACTATACAGATGTTCTGGATGGACTATGCGGAGGTGGACAACAGCCTGCTTCTGTTTGGTAAAGTGAAGACTTTGGACGGCAGACATGTTAGCGGTGTGGTTCAAGTCAACGGTCTAAGTCGAGAGATATACTTTTTGCCGCGCGAATCGCGGCTGGATGAGGACGATGGCCCGCCGCCTACTGCCATGGACGTGCACGAGGAGATCATCCCGCTTTTGCTGGACAAGTTCGGGCTTGATCGAATCAAGGCCAAGCCAGAGACCAAGAAATGGGCTTTTGAGCTAGAGAATATCCCTAAGGAAGCCGAGTATTTGAAAGTCTTGCTGCCCTTCCAGACACCAAAGTCAAGAAACACTGTTTTGCCGTCGAATTTGGAAGGAGAAACGTTCCGTCACGTATTCGGAGCAAATGCCAGTATTTTCGAGACTTTTGTGGTCCAGCGGAACGTGATGGGCCCATGCTGGCTAGAAATCAAGGGGGCGGACTTTTCTGCCATTAAAAACTCGTCTCATTGCCAGGTGGAGGTTGCTGTCGCTGATCCAGCACAAATCAAACCAATTGAGACAAACCTGCCTGCTCCAGATCTCACGGCACTCAGCATCAACATCCAACCGGTGACGAACCTCAAAGAGGGCAAACAGGAAATTGGATCCGTCTCGTTTGCCGTGTACCGAAACGTCCACCAGGACACACCAATGCCGGAAGATGCGGTTCCAGATGAGCTTTTGACTCTTGTTCGTCCTGTTGGTGGCTCTTTGGCCCTGCCGCCTGGACTCTCAGAGTTGGCTGCTAAACGGAACGTTCCGCTGCGGAGTTTTAATAACGAGCGCACTCTGCTGAATTGTCTTGCAGCCATGATCAAAAAGACGGACCCTGACGTCTTCATTGGACACAGACTGGACGCTGCTGTGCTGGACGTGTTGATGCGGCGGATGCACGACCTGAAAATCTCTCAATGGTCTACCTTTGGACGCAGGAACAGAAAGCAGTGGCCCGACAGGTACGGCAAGGGATCTGGGCGTAATAACATGTTCTACTTAAAGGAGATATTTGCCGGAAGACTATGTTGCGACATTGCGAACGAGATGGGTCAATCGCTGACCTCTAAATGTCAGTCGTGGGATCTTCCCGAGATGTACGACATTGTGTGCAAGAAGAAGTTCATGCCGATGGACGTGAATCTTGCCAATCCTCAATTTGCCGAGGACGCAAACCTGCTTCTTGCCGCTTTCAATGAGAATAGCATGAGCGTTAAGATTATAGCAGAGATTGCCTTTAGAGTGCAAATCTTGTCACTTTCGAAACAGCTGACCAACCTTGCCGGAAACGCATGGGCCCACACGCTTGGAGGAACGAGGGCAGGAAGAAATGAGTATATCTTGCTGCACGAGTTCACTAAAAATGGATACATTGTTCCAGACAAGGAGACCAGATCACAAAGACAGGCGGCTGCAGCGGCTGCTGCTCTGGAACAAGATGGAGATGAGAGCACTGCCACGTCTAGCAAGAAGACGAAGTACCAGGGTGGTTTGGTTTTCGAGCCCGAAAAAGGTCTTCACAAGAACTACATACTGGTCATGGATTTTAATTCTCTTTATCCATCGATTATTCAGGAGTTCAACATCTGTTTCACCACTGTGAACAGATCGAATCTGGGAGACAACGATCTTCCCAATGTTCCACCATCAGACGCTGCGCAAGGGGTTCTTCCGCGATTGCTACAACAGCTGGTCAACAGACGTCGAGAGGTCAAGAAACTGCTGAAAGATCCTCGAGCAACCGCTGTGGAAAAGGCTCAGTATGATATCAAGCAGCAGGCATTGAAGCTGACTGCGAACTCGATGTACGGTTGTTTGGGTTACGTCAACTCTCGGTTCTACGCCAAGCCGCTCGCTATGCTTGTCACCAACAGAGGAAGAGAGATTTTGATGGACACGCGTCAGCTGGCCGAAAGTATTGGATTGCGCGTCGTCTACGGAGACACCGACTCTGTCATGATCGACACCGGCTCGGATAACTTCCAGGAAGCTATCAAGATTGGTGACGACTTCAAAATCAAGGTCAACGAGCGGTACAGATTGCTCGAGATCGACACAGATAACGTGTTCAAACGACTCCTCTTGCACTCGAAGAAGAAATACGCAGCAATGAACGCTACGATGGATGCTTCAGGACTTGAAAAGACCGTGCTGGAAGTGAAAGGATTGGATATGAGACGCCGTGAGTTCTGTCCGCTTTCGAAAGAGACCTCCACATATGTTTTGGAGAAGATCCTGGGCGACGCAGATCCCGAGGATGCCTTGAATGATATCTACACTCACCTGGAAGATGTGAGAAACAAGCTGACAGACAACCAGATTCCAATGCACAAGCTCACCATAAACACTAGATTGTCCAAGGATCCAGAGCAATATCCTGGAGGCAAGTCCATGCCAGCCGTTCAAGTGGCTCTGAGACTCAGAAAACAAGGCAAACTTGTTCGTGCTGGAAGCGTCATGACATTTGTGGTTACGGACAATGGACAGGACAAGGGAGATTCTGTCGCAGACCGCGCGCGTGCTATAAGTGAAATTTTAGCCAACCCTTCGCAGTACAGACCTGATCCTTATTACTATCTGGAGAAGCAGATTTTTGCTCCGATAGAAAGACTTCTGGAACGGATCGAGGGCAACGACGTTGTCCGCATGGCATCAGCTCTTGGGCTGGATGCTCGCAAATACGAGGCTCGTGCAAGATTTGTGCAGGATCGCGCTTCCGCAGAGCTGCAACCCTTGGACTCTACAGTTTCAGACAGTGAGAGATTCCGTGATTGCAAGCCCCTGGCTCTAAAATGTATGTCTTGTCATGCGTCTTTCGAGTTTGGTGGAATCCAGGCGTCCAGAAGATACCAGGTCACCTTTTCCGGGGTCAAGTGCCTGTCGTGTGAGCACGTGTTGCCACCACTGGCTATCTCCTCCCAGCTAGAGCACTTTTTGCGCCGCGAGATTTCAGCCTACTACGCTGGCTGGCTCGTCTGCGATGACTGTGGTGTCAAAACACGCCAGGTATCTGTTTACGGAAGACGGTGTATTGGCAAAAACGGCAAGGCCTATGGCTGTAAGGGTATCATGAGATACGTCTATCCAGACAAACAGCTCTACAACCAGCTACTATACGCCATGAGCCTGTTCGATGTTGATAAGGCCAAGAAACGCGTGTTGAAGCCACTGACGGCCGATCTCGGAATTGAAGACAAAGAAAACAAACTCGTGCCAATGAACCAGGGTGAGTTGGATGCTCTCGTGGAACAGAATAGAGACTCATTCAAAACATACCAAAAGGTGGTTGACAAGTACCTGACAGAGTGTGGACGGCGCTACGTCGACATGGGTGGCATATTCGAGTTCATGAGTGTATTTAAACGAGACTAAATATATCATTTTTTATCCTGCGTCCACTGAAGAACCTCCAGTCTTGCTGTTCTGACGCTATCTGTAAGCGATTGCCTCCATTCGTAGCGTTTCTTCTCTATGTTAGACAAACAATCTGAAACCTGTGCAACAGTTTCGTCCATGTGCTTGCTCACTTCCGGTATATGCTCTCTTGAGAGAGAACTTAGCCAGCTTGTAGTGTTCTGCAGGGTCTTTGGCATCAGATACTTCGTGGCAGCTAATCCAAAAGCCACAGGGGTCACAAACCGAAGAGGCAGAGACCTGGTACGCACCATGATCGAACCTGTTAGCATAGCAGTCAAAATGTACAATCCAGAAGGCAGAACAGGCTCGGCAACGAGTTGGTGATATTTCTCAATGACATTGCGCTTCTCGTTCAGATATGCAGCATGAAGGTTTCTATACTCGGCATCGAATATGTCCAGCTTTTGAACAGCATATTCACGAGCTTGTTTGGCGTATTTCTCGAGCGTGCTATTGGTACTGATGACTTTTCCTTCCACAACCTGCTTGTGTGGGTTTCTGAGTAAGTCCTCCTTTTTACTGAGGTCCTTCGGAATCGCCTGGTTAAGCCCCGGAGTGGGCAAAATGTCCTCCTCGTCGGAATAAAATGAACGACCCATGGTGGATGAGTTTTGACAAAAATAAATTATTGGCCGATTATATAAAAAATATTTCTATCCAACAATCACCTGGTAGGAAGTGTATAACATGGCCACTCCTCCCAAAACCACCAGGCTCATGTCAATGGCCTTCATAAGTCTCGTATGGGCGCATATCTTGTAGTGCAGCATTGGAGGATACATGTACACCAATGGAATGCAGGCAAAGGAACCAACAAAGGACACAAATTGGTCCAGGTTGGACGACCCCAAATATGCGATCAGACTTGTCCCAACCACCACGCATGTACGAAACATGTTTTTGGACCATTTAGTAGCCGAGTCGGTCTTTCCAGACCGCCTTTTATAGATTCTGGATTCAATGATTCTAATTGCAGGCAGCAGCTGTAACGGAGCAGAAAGAAGTATAGCTATGGCATAGAACAATTGGATGGATCTCACTGCAATGGATGACTGCGGAAGGTTGAGAATCACTACTGTGTTGACCTGATCCCCGTAAGTCATGTATCCCAAGGAGCCGACCCCAATAAATAGAATGGAGCATACAATAATGACTGCTCCCAAAACTTTTGGATACTGTTCTGGATGCTTCATCGATTCTTGAACCGGGATAATTAAGCCGATTCCCTCAAATGCAAAGATAGCCACACCAATGAACAGCGACCACTTGTCTTGATTGAAGAGCTCAACATGTGCCGGTCCGTTTTCTATGAGGTCCAGTGAAGCATAGTATACTATGGTGACCAGACCGCTCAAAATAAATATGTTGGCTAAAAGGGCAGCCAGCGACAGCTTTGTGATGTTTCTAATCAATGAAAGTGGTATAAATACCACACATTCCATCACAACCCACTTGCCAAGGGAGATGTCCATGTTGAAAAAGTTGATTGTAAACGCGCGGAGGTTCTCAGCAGTGAAAATGGTGTATGCAGCCACAAAGCCAACTTGAGAAAGAATGATAGAGCTAAGAATGAGCAGCTTCATATTCTTTCCGTAAAGAGTCATTCCAATGTCACCGAATGAGGACACCCTAGTTTTCACCTTCGTCAACACAAGAATGTAGTAGCACCAGTATGACAGGACTCCAAAAAAGAGTAGAGTTAACGTGCAAAAGAGAATGCCACCGTTGTAGAATGCGCGAGGTAGAAATAGCACTCCTGTTCCGACAAACGATTTAAGAAGCAGGAAAAACGATTTCAGCGTCGATGCAGTGCCCCCATGAGCCCGCGGCTCCAAAAGAGGAGTCTCCTCGTCGGTATCTTTGTCGACCACATAGGAACATGCCAGATAATCCTCATCTTCCAAATCCTCACCGGCAAAGTGTCCATAAATGGATAAGAACTCTAAGAAATTCCTAGTGAAGAATGTTGGCTTGGACAACTGGTGACCATACTTTGAGTTCTTGTGAAGAATGAACTGTCTTCTGAAGCCTCCCGGAAGACGAATTTGCGATGCCGCAGAGCCACGGCGTTCTCCAGGCAAATCTGCACCCGTCAAACTGCGTGAACGTCTCAAGTTGTTTTTCTTAGCAGGTAACGTATAGAGATCTCTCGTGATATCACCACTTGCTAACTTCAGCGAGCCCTTTGCATCAGTAGCTAAATGCTTGGATACATTCTTCCACAATGTAGGATCGTCTATCGCGGAACTGTGGGACGACGATAGGGGAATGTCTACCTGTGGCTCACCACGTCCCAAAATGGACGTGTCTTCAGCCTCTGATGAACCAGAAGTAGAGAGAGACGGATAAGCTTGAGCAGAGGGATTCCTAGGCACAGTCCCAGGGCTGGCTCTATCATCGATCACTGAGGAACTGGGAGATTCGGGCCGTTTCTGATTGAGTACAGATAAGGGCGTTCCAGACACCAAGGGCGATGCTGCAAGTCTGGCCATGGACGTCCTTCTGCTGGTGTTACGGCTCGCAACGCGAGCATCGGAATCCCTTCGCACTATTGGCACCGGTCCCGAAATCCTTTTCGTGGGAGACTCGCCCATGCTGATAAATCTATAGATAAATTCTGTGTTTTACTTTGAAACGTCGTCTTATGCTTATCGTCGCGTCGGAAGAAAAATATTTAAATTATTCATGGTTTGGCCATTTGGGAAACGGTCGACACAGTCAGCCGAAGAGGAGACTGCAATTGAGGGGAAGGATAAGACGGAACACAAAATCTTTCTAGAAGATGTTCCCCCGAAGTTTGACACAGATTTTCAAAAGGCGGCGCCACAGCACACAACTCAGTCCAGAGAGATGAAGAGGATATTATCGAATCTGAGCTGGTCCGATTTCCACCCCTCTAATCTGTTGGCGATACCCTGCTTCCGAGATGCTGGATTGGCAGGTTTTTCATGTTTATTTGTGTTTTCGTCCGTGATGTTCTTATACCATAAAGATGTACGTAAAGCTGCCAACTGGGGATTTGGAGGGCTGATGTTGGGCGCGACATTTGCATGGGAGCAGTGCAACGCTCAGCGGCGAAGAGAGCAACAGGCTGTGCAAATGGCCCAGGAACGATACAGACAGCGCCGTGCAAGAAAAACCGAATAACAATCTGGCCCATCCTGTCATCTAAGCAACCATTCCGGAGCAACCTCTTTTCTTGTTTCTATAGTGCTCACATCAAACGCCTCAATCAATAATTCGACGAGAATACGCCCTCCTCGCACTCCTGTAAAGCGCCTATATTCTTCGCTGACACTGGCAAGGTTCCAGCCTTGTAGTTTTCTTAGACAGCCTATCACTGTTCCTGTTCTGTGTCTTCCCATACCGCAACAAACAAGCAATGGGTAATGGCGTTTGTCTGAGATAATCTCCAATGCTTGTTTTATAGAGGACTCTGAAAGTCCGTCCCAAGAGTTCGAGTCTATAGAGTCGTAACCCAAATTGCAAAATAGGTTGATATCGTTTTCCTCCATGAATCTTAAAAAGGTATCCTGGGGCTCCTCGGTAGCAAGCCATATCACGGACTTTAAATGGAGCTGCTCAAGAAATGAGTGGTTGATAGCAGATGGCTGGCCGGATCTGTATAGGTGTTTCTCGACAGGACAGAAGTTGATCGGTGGGACGATGCGCAAAGAAGGCGGGTTCTTTACCACCACCGTGTCATCTCGTAACTCGTTCTCTATTGCGTTATTCGGCAATTGATCGATCAGGATGGCACCCTTTGGAGGCAGCTTTGCCTTTTTCTCCATTGATGAAAATAATTTAATTTGTTAAATTCTTTGATTTATTCCACGTATGGCAAAGAAAGACGCCAAAGCAAAAACTGTGCCTGCTATAAAGAAACAAAGCGGCTCTGTTGCTGCAGAGCCTACGGCCAATGCCATTTCGTTTTTTCAGGAGCTGGGTAACTCCGTTAAAATCTCGTTCAACAGTTATATTTCGGAAACAAAGGACAACCAAAAGTTACGCTTGATCGATGCTTTCCTTGTGTTTCTGGTGTGTCTCGGTATATTGCAGTTTGTATTCTGCCTGCTGGTCGGAAATTTCCCATTCAATGCATTTTTGGGAGGATTTATCGCAACCGTGGCGCAATTTGTGCTTACAGTGTCGTTGAGGCTACAAAGCTTGGATGCCAACAAAACCGTGTTCAAAGGAATCACTCCAGAACGCGCGTTGGGTGACTATATATTTGCCAGTTTGGCATTGCATTTTGTCGTTCTTCATTTCATAAATTGAGCTCTCCAGTTATATATCTATTATGCTACAGCTCTTCTTCTTCTTGGGCTATACTCATGACGCTCTCACTTCCGTCATGCTCGTCGCGCTCGGTGTCTTCTCTGTAATCGTCCTGAGGGAGCTCAAACTCACATTTGTCGAACTCCTCTATTTCCTCTTTGGTTCTGGGGACCTGCCTGAGCCACTTCATACGAGGCCCCGAGGCAGCTCTCTCATTTATGCGGAATCCAAACAACTTGAGTTCATATTGCTTGTTGAGTCGCTGTTGACATTGTCTCTCGATCTCGGGAAACATTTTGATGAAAAGCCCAGCAAAGGAAGTCCCGAAGAACGCCCCATCGATATTCAAGTAGCGGGACGACGAAGGCAGATAGATATCGTTACAGCATGGACAGTACAGTCTCACGGTTTCGATTCCCGTCTGGTCGTAGCGTCCAATAGGTATGAGTCGCATTCCTTCACAGTAGTATCGCGGACAGGTTCCGAATACTTTCTGTTCGTATTTTTCTGCCATGAGATGGTATCCCTGTTTGGTGAGAATAAATCTTGCATGAATTAATCCATATAGTAACTGGGCTGCATGCTCCACCAGTGGAACGTTGGATACTTTGATGGGGACTTCGGGTTCCAGATCCAAAATAACATCCAGTGCCTCTCTATAGAACGGAACAACTGAGCTCAACCCCGTCAAGTTGAAGTCGTCTTCGATGAACTCTGGAGCAACCTCCACAAAGTAGTCGTGCCCGAAGATCGAACAGTACTGGGAAATCCAGCTGTCCATCTCCTCACTCGAGTTCGACTCTAACTCGTTGGTTATATTCATTTAGGAGGATACAGTGTTGGTTTAAACTTTTTATTTTTATCTTGCGGTCAAAATTTTCACCATGCAATTGCAAACGCTGTTTTTGGTCATCACAGGGTTGACAATACTCTCGAACCTTGTGTCAATTGTGACCAAGGAGAGGATCCAAGAGGCGGTGTATGTTGTGTTCTTGAGACTGTTCTTGACTGAAAAGTATAACAAGCTAATGAAACTCAAGTCGGAGCAACTAGCCGTTAACAAGGAAAGGAACGCGATCAGCGCGCAAGACAACTACGCCAAGTGGACAAAGCTCAATAGAAAATACGATGCGCTAGCCGAGCAAATAAAGAAACAAGAGCACGAGCTCTCAGGTCAAAAATCATCAATCGACAACTATGTCTCCAGAGCATTGCAATTGTTGACCACGCTTCCTATCAACGCATTAAAGCTCTGGTACGCGCGTAAAAGTCTTTTCTACACCAGACCAGGAACATTTCCCTGGGTCATCGATGCATTGATCATCAATCTGCCCTTTTTACCCAGGGGCTCCGTGGGGATATACGTTTGGTGTTTCTGTGTAAACAGGGTCTTTTGGATCCTAGTGGACTTTGTCAAGGTGCTCACCGAGCCAAGACCGCTACCGCCATCCAAAGAAAAAACAAATTAATACATCAAAAAATAACCCTTAATACACACTAATCCCAAAACAATGTCTTAAATACCAAATTATCTAACCCATTCCAAAATTCCATCAAGCGACCCAAATTTGCGTTTCTTGCGAGTAGGATCCAACAGTTTGTGAAGCTGAACAAGTTGTTCGTAGTTGTCGGCTTCCTGCGTTAAATTGTTCATGTTTAGGTAGCTTGCGGATCTGGTAAGTGGGTTCAGTCTCAATGGCTTCAACTTTTTGTGGTGAAGTAATTTGTCCACCACATAGTGGAGCCACAGTAGGTTGGTAGATGGACTATAGACAGACCAGTCGATATTTGCCTCATCTTGTCCGGCGAGCTGCTGACGCATCATTCGGTAAACATCGAATTGATAGTCGCCCTTGCCTTTGAAAAAGTGCGGAGAATCAAGGCCTGTGAACATCGTTTGCCCACCAATCCTGGCTCTAGACAATGTGTAATCGATAAGCTTCACTTCGACAGAGCTCTGCTCATCGAGAGTTAGGTCAGCTAAGGAGTCCTGAGTGGTAGCGGTGGCACTGCTTGCAGACCGTTCTTTGATGACAATATTTCCCCAATGCAAATCACGGTGCTCGAATTCATAAGCGTCCTGTCCTCTTTTCAAAATCTCGACGATCTTGACAAAGATTTCTAATGCTTGAGTCCAACTCTTGAGCTCAAAATGTTCTAAGTCTTGTCCTCCATACTCCAGGCGGATAATGAGGTGAAGCTGATTTTTGGAGTAGTCATCTGGCCTTGCGTTGTTGGAACCATGCTTATGATTGTACTTGTCCCACAGTTGCAATAATTCGGATGGCATTGGGCCTCTCACAACAGTTGCAGATTTCATCTTGATGAAACCCGGCACAGACGACATAGCCATGGTGATGCTTTGCTCCTGAATCAGCTCTTTCAGTGTTGGCTGATTCAGATCCTCGTCGCCAAACGAGATAACTTTCCAAACACTTTGGGGATCCCCAGTATGAGAGTCTTTTTCCAAGAAGACCTCACTATAGGAAGAGTCGGTGAGTTTTTCCAAAACCTTGGCTTTGGATAGCATCTTGTTCATCAACGCGCTGAACGACACAACACGTTGTTGGTTGCAAAGCTTCAAAAGTAATTTGTGCTGAAGAGAATCGTATTCTTCAGCACGAACAGCAAAAACCTCTTTGTTTTCATAGCGAGTGCGATTGCTTCCTGTGGACATGAACGAAGAAATGGAGAGCAATGACGAAGAGTTTCTAAGTTTGTTTTTAATTTTGTCCCTCGAAGTTTGATTAGGCACTGGTAAAGAGATGTCAACCGACATTCTGGAATTATTGGCCGTACCACCAACGAACGATTTTCTCAAGTTGTTGAGAGTAAGTCTGCGAGAGGAAGAAGACGAAAGCGTAGGTTCATCGCGGGACGTGAGCGATCTTAGCGAAATAGAGTGCCTGAGTCTGAAAAAGGACGACTTTTTCTTGAGCTGCGGAGACTCGGGATCATCTTCAGGAATTGTGTGGGTATCAACAACAATGTTTTCCGCGTTCTCGACAGCTTCTTTACCGTCTCCTTTCACAACACCGGCTATTCTGTGAGCTATTGATTTCAGACTCGAACCAGTGGAACGTGTTGACACCGAAGAGGTGGTGGCAAGCGATAGCGTGGACAGCCGGTTGTTTTTCTTTTCTTCTCGTTCTGACAACTTGTTTATTGTTGTCTCGGCAAGAGCCCGTTTTCTGTCCGCAATAGGAGCACCTCTGAGCCGACTCAATGTGTCTCCGCGGTTATCTTGGTATATATCAAAGGAGCGGTTTTCTTGCAGAAGCTCATTCAAGGAGAGAGAGCCCGATTTGGTCGGAAGCCTGCTAATTCTCTTATGAGAACCAAAGGAAGGCACGGTTGGGCCAGGTGACCCGGTAGGGCTTGCAGAGCCCGAAAGAACCATGCCATGTCTTTTATTGGACGCTAGCATGTCCAAAATACGTTTTGTTACACGTCACTGCTCAAATGTAAATATCTGAGGTTGTTTATATTAAAACAAAATGTAAATTATTATGGAATATTATGTTGGGCTTGCTATATGCGGAAAGTTGTAAATATTTTGCACCAGCCACCGCGACACAGCCATCAACCTTTATTCACAGTGTTTTTGTTTACTTGTAACGAGCTCATGGACGACGATTTTAGAACCTCGGTCATTCGCAAACCGAGCGCCAAACAGCTCCGGCCACAGCTCAGCCAGCATCGGCTGGACGACATGTTTGGCAGATCGCAGCTCTCGACGGTACGTGAAACGGAGTCTGAACACGCGCCCCAAAGGCTACTGAAACCCAAAAAGTCCAAGCTGCTCGCAAAATATAAGGATGAGGACTTTGAAGATGACCAATGGGAGCAGTTTGAGAACATGGATTTGGGAGCGCGGCTAAAGCAGCGCAGAGAACACAAAGACACATTTGCATCGCGCTCTCAAAGCAGCCAATCTATCTCGTCAGGATTCAGCAGCATCTCCGCCAATAGCTCACAGTTTGTGGAGTCTGATACAGAACACAGCGACTACGCTGAAGACTTTGATGACCTGGAGCAAGATCTGAATCTGGCCCAAAAATTGGAGCTTCGTCGTCAACAGGCGGAGAAGCTAGCAGACCTCACGCGACGCGCTTCCAGATTATACCTCGACGATAAACGTACCTACGAAGATGAGTTCGACGACTTTGAACCATCAGAACCACAAACGATTCGTCACTTCAAAGTGGTGAGCCCAAAACAGGTGCGCAACAAGTCCTCTACTCCGGTTCTTTCAAACGAATTCGGTCGCCGCTCGCTCCGCAAGTCGTCCTCGACAATGGACATTCCTCGCTCAAGCCTTTCGCGCTCTTTGCATCGTACGATGTCAACGATGGACCTGATGCCGATGACTCGGGCTAAGAAGTATACATCAGACCTCGACGAGATTGACGATTTTCCAGAAGACTTGACCATCACACTCTCCGATTACAAGAAACTGAAACGCAAGAGTCGCGCTTTGGACCTCTCTAAATATGCAGAGAAGGATACCCGTCCTCGCCGTACTCAGTTCGCAGATCCGTCAGTGACTAATAGCACACGATTAACCAAGGAAGGGAAGCTCAAGATGATCCGATCTTTAGGACGGGCCAGGGCTCGTCAAGTGATGGGTAACATGGTCTACAATCCAGAAGAAATGAAGTGGCAAGGAAATGAAGAGGACCTAAGCCTGTTCGAGTCGCAGAGCTCAAGGAGGCCCGCGCTGCTAAAGAAGTCCTCGATGCAACGCAGTCAGAGTAGCAAGAATTTGCAAGTTGTCGGAAACATGGTATACGACGACGAAAAACTTCGCTGGGTTAGCATGACAGGCAAGTACGAAGATGACCCATTTGCAAATTTTGATGATACCATCAGAGATCCTCCGAAGAGAAAAAGGGAGCCCAAAATTGTTCCTAAAACATCTCACACCGAGCACTTCCGCATATCGGACGATCTGTATAAAAGCTGGAAATTGGAACACCAGCGCTGGGCACGCAAGGTCAGCAACTGGTTTCCTGCTGACGAGGAAGGATTTGCTTATTGTTATGAGCTAAAGACATTTTTAAACGATAATTAGATAATAAAGCTATTGATAATCCCAAATAGGAAAAAGTTCAGATTTATGGTATTTCGAGGAAGAGTAATTAGCGACGAGCTAGTGCTATGTTTCAAACCCAAAGAAACTGTCTGACAAACCTCAGACGTCTCAGCTCATTAGGAAGACCAAATGGGCAATTTTTTGGGGCCGAGGCCCTGCTTGTACCTGGCCTGTTTTCCTTATTTGGCCGACGAGCCTGATCTGACATGAGATACTTGAACTAGCTTGACAGGACTCTAGCTCCGGTTCCAATTATAGAATCCAAACCAGAAGTTTCAGATTACCTGTCAGAATTATATAAAGACCAAGAAGTCTTGGTTCCTGGCCAATGACCAGTGCTATGAAATTCGCTCTTTTAGTTACTCTTCTGCCTCTTGTGCAGGCACTTCCGCTCGCCAAGCGCGACGGCACCGAGATGGCCATTCAAAATCGACTGGGCAACTACTACGAGATTGACGGTATTGTCGGAGACTACTTCACCAATCTTTCGTTCGTTATCAACTCGGCCCAAGACGACTCTTGGGTCTCGTCTGACCAGTTCAACACTAATTTATCAAACACTTTCACATCTTCCACAGAGGAGTTTTGTTTCCAGGATTTTGTCACAGACATGACTGTGTCGGGAGTGTATGGCTCGGACACAGTGTCCATTGAGTCTCTGAGCATTGACAGCTTGAAATTTGGCGTTGCCACCACCAACCAAGTCGGCTACAGCGCATCTCTAGGACTCGGCAGTTCGAGCTCGTTCATTGAGGCCCTCTACAATGCAGGCCATATATCAGGCAAAATCGTGTCTATCTGGCTACAGAACAATAGATCTCCCGGTAAGATCAAGTTTGGTGGCACAGACAGTTCTCTTTATTCCGGCAGCTTGACTTATGTCGACCTGGTCGGCTACGAGACCGACAAGACAAACGGCGGGTACTTCATCTCACTGGACACAGTTGAAACCTCATCTGGCTCTAAGCTCGCTAGCGGACAGACCGGCTACATCGACACTGCTTCTGTTCTCTCTTATGTGCCGTCTGAAGTTCTTGAACAGATTACCAACGATCTGCAAGCCAGCGTTGACCAGAACAGCGGTCTGTGGACAGTTGACTGTGGCACAATTGAGACCACTGACTTGAGCTACAAGCTAGTTTTTGGCAGCACCGAGATCGAAGTCCAGGCGAACCAGTTATTTTTCCAGGAGTCCAACACCTGTTACCTGACAGTGACAGAGACCCAGCTTGATAGCGTTGTTGTTTTGGGCCAGTCGTTCCTTACAAGCATTTACTTGGTCTTTGATCTGGACAAACAACAGGTTGGATTGGCCCAGGTTGACGTGGACCAGAATGTGGTCACGAGCTGCTCTGTCTGCACTCAAACGAGCAGCAGCAGCAGCTCAACTACAGCTTCCAGCTCTTCTACGTCTTCATTTACAAGCAGTACGAGCAGCACGAGTTCCAAGAGTTCCACAAGTTTCAGCAGCTCTAGCACCACTAGTTCAAGCACCAGCTCGACTACCAGCTCCAGTTCCAGTTCCAGTTCCAGTTCCAGCTCTAGCTACAGCTCCTCAACCATTTCTAGTTCCACCTCTTCGTCCAGCAGCACACTGAGCTCAAGCACATCAATAACCTACACCTCAAGCAGCGTGTTTCCCAAAACTTCCAGTTCAATGTCCAGCTCATTTTCGGTCTCAACCACTTCCGTCTCAACCACCTCAGTTTCAACCACCTCAGTCTCATCAACCTCCACTACGCCTGTCTCAACCTCATCAGACACAAGCAGTTCGTCCATTGTCAGTACATCCTCCACACCCAGTTCCAGCTCCTCAACACTACCCTGCTCTGGATCAATGGTCACCACAACTTATCCTACAACCATCTCCGGCGGCGACTGGACCACCGTCTCTGTGGTGACCAACTACGTGTGCTCGTTTGCCGTCTCCAGCTTCGACACCACCACCGACACCACGTGCACCATCTGCACAAGCACAACGCCAAGCCCTGAAGTTGCCACTGTCTTCAGCCACGAATCGTCTGCAACACCACAGTCGACAGTCATTTCGAGCACTAGCACGGACACAAGCTCCACCCCAACGACTGCAATATCCACCACTCCACTGCAGATGACGACCATCTCCAGCTCCTCCAGCTCCTCTACCCCTGAAAGCCACTCAAGTACGCTCGCTTCAACCTGGATCACCACTAGCACCCCAACTACACCTGCCACCTACGGAACGACCGTGCACACCGAAAATACGGTCATAGAGACACTGAGCTGCAGCACAGAATCGGCCCCGGAAAGCTCTAGTGTTGCAGACACCGTGGCCCCTACCACCTCCTCTGAGACTCCGCCAACACCAACGCCTACTTCAGAGGTGTCATCTGCAACACCTGCCACCCAATCCACACAGACCATCACCGAAGACTGCTCGTGCTCTACCTCAGCCTACGTTTCCTCTGGAACCACCATGTTCACAGTTGTCTCAACTTACACCAGCACTAACCACGCTCTCGTGACTCCTTCTACCAGCAGTTCTTTGCCGTCCGTTACGGAATCACAAACACCTAGACTGTCGTCCCTGGCAGACTACTCTTTCGTCAGCTCCTCATCCACTACTTCGGCCCATTCCGTCCTCACCTTTGCAGGAGCCGGCGTGCGAAACCAGGTCAGCCTCGCTGCCATCCTCCCTGTCTTGTTTTACATTCTTTAGTTCATTTCGTTATGCTATATAAATGCAATCTGTAACCTGCCCTAATTAAAAAGTGGTACCAGGATTGGTATGTCTCACAGTTTTGGCTCTATTCACCACGAATCCCGTCTCGCCTGTCGAATGTTTGTTGAATCCACTCAAATCTTCATCGTCATCGTCGCCGAAATCGCCCTTGTTTTTGTCTCTATTCCAGAACGCCAGCTTCTGGAGCCAGCCGCTTTCCATCAGACCCACCATCCGGCCGTTGGAGTCAACGTAGTAGTCTGTCTTAGGTCTCCGTTTCTTGTAGATGAAGAACAGTGCAAGCAGGAGCAGCAGTAACAGCGGGACACCAAGTCCAACGACCACTCCAATCACGATTTTTTTGTTTTTCGACGAAAGACCACCAGATGACCGATCCGTGTTTTCGTTCACAGACGACGACGGCGACGACGAGGCCCTGGCAGCTGTGGACGAAGACGATTCGGAAGTCGGGGACGACGCAGAGGCTTCTGAGGTTTGAGACGACGCCGAGGTGGTGGAAGAAGCGTTTTCAGATGATGCGGTTGACGATGAGGACTCGGTAGCTGACTCAGAACGCGACGTGTTTGCAGAGCTAGAGGCTGATTGCGAGGATGAGCTCGATGCGGTGGAGGATGATGGGGTATCTGAAGTGGAAGAGGATTTGTCACCGGATGACGACTCGCTCTGAGTACTCTGATCCGAAGACGACTGGTCACCGCCTGAGTCCGAGGACCACGAGGAGCTCGAAGAAGACGGCGTAGTCGAGGAAGACGCCGACGAGGAGCTTTGTGTGGTCCAGTTGGTTGTCTGGCTGTTGGATGTGTCAGAAGTGTGTGAGCTGGAAGCAGTACTCGAGATCGTCGACGACTGGGAAGTCGAAGGCTCGTTGCTTGAGCTATGAGTGCTGCTGGACTCCTCTGAAGAGCTGGATGCTTGCGTCGTGTGTGCTGACGAAGAGGACGACGACGATGAGTAGGAAGAGAAAGACGAAGTTGGGTCATCATCGGAGGTTTCAGAATAGCTTGAGTCGGTCGAGCTGCTGTCACTCCCATCACCGGAACTGGTGGAAGTGCTGTTGTTGTCGTCCTTCCTGATCAAGCGGAACTTGACGACCCCTGCGTCGGTGGTTTGTTCATCGGATAGGGTAACCAAAGATGGGACTTGTTTATTCAGCAGAATCGGGGTCAGCACAAAGAAGACCAAAGTCACCAGCAGAACGATCCACGCAAGGACGTCTATCACCGATCCCCGTGACGAAGGCGATTTCGTTCTCATAAGTAGAAGTGCAGAGGAAAGAGGTCCTTGGCTTCTGATCCAAGATCACGGCTAAAATTAGAAAAAAAACTTCTACACGTAATTTCTTTTATGCTTGAAAGTGTAAATAAAAGACTAGAATAATCATTAAATCAAAGCGTCATTACTTAAAACTTATTTAGACACGTCCAATGGGGTCAATCTCAAGTATGGCTTGATGGTTCTGAATTTAGGGAATAAAGTCTTGGCCTCCTCGTTGGAGACGCTTGGGTGAACAATAACATCGTCACCTGGAACCCAGTTGATAGGAGTGGTGACTCTGTACTTGTCACCGGTTTGCAGGGAGTCAATGACTCTCAGGACCTCAGCAGTGTTTCTACCAGTAGAAGCTGGGTAGGTCAAGATCAATCTGATGGTCTTCTTTGGGTCGATGATGAAGACAGATCTGATAGTGAGTTGGACACCCTTGTCGTCAACGTTGGTGGCATCTTGGTAGTCGATCATGTCGTACTTCAAGGCGACCTCTCTCTTAGGGTCAGAAATGATTGGGAAAGTAAGCTTGGAGCCGGTAACCTCGTCGATGTCCTTGATCCACGCCTTGTGAGAGTCGGTACCGTTAGCAGACAGACCAATGAGCTTCACGCCTCTCTTGGCAAACTCTGGCTCCAATTTGGCAAAAGCACCAAGCTCAGTGGTGCAAACTGGGGTGAAGTCGTCTGGGTGAGAGAACAGAACAGCCCAGGAGTCGCCAATGTACTCGTGGAAAGAAATTGGGCCGTTAGAGGTGTCGGCCGTGAAGTCTGGAGCAGTAGATCCGAGTCTGAGGGTTCCGTTGTCTGGCTTTGGAATTGACATGATGAAAAGTTATGGAGAAGACCAATGGGGGCGAGAATGGCTGTTTTATACCATTCTTGCCATTCTTGCCAGATCTTGCAGAATTGTTATATGTCACGTGAAAAGTTAAAAACTTCACCAATTTTCGGGGAATGGGGAAATTTTACAGCTCGAGGGGCAATCCAGACAATGTTATTATCCAAACCGGGAAGCGCACCATAATAACTACATTTTTTTTTTCAATCATATTTCGAACTGTTTATTCTTCAAACATGCCGTTCCTAGAAAGGAATAAATATCAAAACCCAAGTCCTTCAGGACCATACCTTCTGTACATAGATTAGTTGTTCTCTGGTCTCAGCTTTCTGACCTCTTTTCCGACCTTCCAGATTTCCATGTTTCTGATGGTCTGCAGCTCCTCCTCCAATCTCTCTCTGTAGTCCGCCTGAGAGTTGAACTCCAGAGATCTCTTGGTCTCAGAGCCGTCCTTCACAGAAGTGTACAATTTTTGGAAGACTGGCTTCAAGGCGTCCTTGAAGACTGGGTACCAGTCAAGAGCACCTCTTCTAGCAGTGGTCGAGCAGGCATCGTACATGTAGTCCATACCATACTTTCCAATCAATGGGTACAAGGATTGGGTAGCCTCCTCGACAGTCTCGTTGAAAGCCTCCGATGGAGAGTGGCCGTTTTCTCTCAGGACTTCGTATTGAGCAAGGAACATACCGTGGATACCTCCCATCAAACATCCTCTCTCACCGTACAAGTCAGAGTTGACCTCTCTTTCGAAGGTGGTCTGGTAAACGTAACCAGATCCAATGGCAACAGCCAGAGCAATGGCCTTCTCCTCGGCCTTACCAGTAACGTCGTTCCAGACGGCGTAAGAAGAGTTGATACCTCTGCCCTCCTTGAAGAGCGATCTGACAGTTCTACCGGATCCCTTTGGAGCAGCCAGGATCACGTCGATGTTGGTTGGTGGCACAACGTGGGTCAACTCCTTGAAGACAGGAGAAAATCCGTGGGAGAAGTACAGGGTCTTACCCTCGGTGAGCAATGGCTTGATGGTAGGCCAGGTCTCGGACTGAGCAGCGTCAGAAAGCAAGTTCATGACAATGGTTCCCTTCTTGATGGCCTCGGTGACGTCGAACAAGTTCTCACCTGGAACCCATCCGTCCTCAATGGCAGCCTTCCAAGAAGCACCGTTCTTTCTGACACCGATGATGACGTTCAGACCGTTGTCTCTCAGGTTCAAACCTTGACCGTAACCTTGGGAGCCGTAACCAATCAGAGCGAGAGTGTCGTTCTTGAAGTACTCGAGCAACTTCTCTCTTGGCCAGTCGGCTCTCTCGTGGACGATCTCCTCGACACCACCAAAGTTGATCTTCTTGATACCTCTGACACCAGACACTTGGGTTCTGGCCAAGGTTGGTCTAACAGATCTGGTGGCGCTAGAGAGAGCTCTTCTAGATATAGCGGCAGCGGCTCTGGAGCCGGCGGTTCTGGAGATTCTGGCAACGTACATTGTGATGATGAGTTGGAAAGTATTGGTTGAAAAAAGCTGGAAAAAAATTTTCCATTTTGTAACGTTAGTCACCGGCCCGGTAGCGGACAGATCAAATAAAAAAGAGTTTTGATCGAGCACCTTTACACCTGTACCCCACTTCAATTTATCTTTATGTCTGTTTCTTTCGCAAGGACGGTCAAAAACATCTGGCGAAACGGCCTCAAAAGGTCTCTTCGCCAGATTGCGATGATCAACGACACCAAGTCTGGAGTTCTTGTTGGCGAGGACGATTTTGGGAATAAATTCTACGAAACTAAAGACCCTGATGAAATCCATATGAGAACAAGATGGGTAGAGTACAAGAACTTCTGGGACTACGACGTGTCGCACATCGAGCCAGGCTGGCACTATTGGTTGGCTTACGGAACGGATACGCCTCCGTCGAAACTGAAACCAGAAGAAAAAGCAATCAGTTATTCTCTGAATAAGGTTCACCACTACAACTATACACAAACCAAAGGAGCCTTTGTGACGTACAACACCGCCAAACCAAAAATTGCTGAATGGGATGCCAAAGTTACGCAACGGGTTTAGGTTTGTCTATTCATTTATTTATTATAACCGAATTATTCTTTCGCAAAAGTAGCAGCCACAATTAGCGGCAACACCAACGACACATCGGCGAAAACCTTGACGCTCTTGGCATCGGCCTTGATTTTTCCCCAGGACACAGCCTCGTCAGGACGAGCTCCAGCATCGGAGCCGTCGAACTCCTGGCCGGTGTTGATATAGACAGCGTAATCTGCTCCGTTTCTCATCAAGCAAGCGTTGCAAATATGGTGCTTGATCAGACCACCTCCCAGAATCAACATTCCTGCGCGCGAAGCCTCCATTGACAAAGAGTTGATGCGTCTAATATCCTGAACGATATCGATCCTCAGCTGCTTAGGAGAGGCCTTGAAAGTGTGGAAGAAAAGCATATCACCAATACTTCCGTCCGTCAAAGCAGGACAGAAAATGGGGATTTGGTTTTTGTGGGCCCAGTACAAGACCGACGACTCGTCGTTGATCTCCTTACCCAAACGATCGATGACCTTGGACGGCGTCCAGAAAGGGACATCCGCATCCAGAGAATTGGCACCGTTTTTGGCGGCAGAGGCTTCTTGCTCCTCCAGCATTTTGTCCAGAACAGGCACAATCCACTCCTCGAATTTGCAGTAATTGTCGTTAGGCACAATCAGGTTTCCAATTCTGTTCATACCGTCATCTCTAAGCTGTTTTCCTGGCAGAGCAAAGTCGCCCATGTAAGTTGGAGCAAGACATTTGATCAAGTCCTCCTCAATTCCCCCAGCAGATGCAACAATGGCGGACACCATCTTGTGCTGGACCAGGAACCGTAGGGTGTCCCTGAGACCGGAAGAGATCAAGTTCGAGGTGTACCCCATAAAAATGGTGGTTTTCTGGTACCCGTTCTCGTCGAACTCTCCTTTGCGCTCGTGCTCGGCAAGTTCCGAAATGTGCCTTCCTCTCCAGGTTCTCATTTCGTCAATAATTTCACAGGCCTTGGCCAGAGAAGAGCCCTGGAAGCCCATGGTTTTCATGGAGTCGATAAGGTCGGAGGCGCGGGCGTTGCGGCTCTCAGGTTTCGAATAGTCGACACCTTTCACTTCCTGGAAGTGCTCAGGGACAGGCACGGACTGCTTCAAAACAGCATCTGTGGCTAGATCAGGGAACCCAGACATACTTTTCAAAGAGATAATTTTTCACAACTTTATTTCGCCGTTTCTTACGTAAGTGTCAACTGATAAAAAAATCATTTAATATCCACTTTTAGCACACAGCTCTACACCGCCAAAGCCCTGAATTTGAGAGGCATGTCTCCAGATCTCGGAATCGTTGTGTAAATATCTTTCATTTGGGCGTTGACTTCGTAGTCGTAACCATCGACGAGAGACACCTCGTACCTGCTGATCACATTGCTAACACATAGCTTGATTTCACACGTGGCAATGTGCAACCCTAGACACATGCGGGAGCCAGATCCAAACTGCATCATCTGTCTGTTCATGAATTTTAATTTTTGCTCGTCGTCAACTAGCCATCTGTCTGGTTTGAAGACTTCGGGTTGTTCAAAAACAGTTGGGTCGCGGTGCAACGACCATGGCTGCATGACAACGACAGTTCCTTCGGGGATATATGTCGATGGTGTCTCTTTAGAGCCTCTCCAGCGGAAGCCCCCTTTGGGAGCTCGACGAGGCTCCTGGCCAGGAATGGCAGCATAGATACGGAAGACTTCCTGCGTAAGTGCGGATAAATATGGGAGTTCCTCCACGTCGGAATATAGCAGCGACTGGTAGTTGGTGGTTGCAATATTTCCTCCATTCAGACCCGCAAGCTCAGCCCTGAGTCGTTGCTGTTTTTCAGGGTCACGTGCTAGCTCGTAGAAAAAGTAGCTAAGGGTTGTCCCCGTGGTGTTGTGGCCAGCAGCAACGTGGTCAAATACCTCGGACCGTGCTCGACGAGCGTCGAATAATTTTTCGCCGTTAGTCCCCATCAGGACACCGACCAGCGTGTTTGTGTTTCCGGGGTCTTTTTCCAAACACTCACTGAACTGGCTGTTAATCCAGTCGCAGGCGATTTTGGACGCCTTTGCAACGTACGAGGGAACAACCCAGTCGTACAGCTGCGGCATCTGAGTGGTCCAAAACCACGAAGACGACTGGGTCATGAAAGCTTTGATGACTGTTTCTCCTTCTCCAAAAAAATCGTCAAGTAGCGACTTGCACACCTTGTTGCCAAACGAAAAACTGGTGATGGTGTCCATTGCCATGACGGACCATAAATGGAACGTGTTGAGTCGTTTGTCCTGATTTTGCTCCAGCACTCTGAGGAGGGTGCTCATCACGGTCCGAATCTTCGCCTGAAACGGCTCGGAAACAACATTTGATTTGGAGTAGAGCTTGGCAGACACCTTCCTGCTGTCTCTGTGTGTTTTTTTCTCGACAGTGGAGAAAGTGTTGAAGGAGCCGAAGTTGGCAAACTGCGTGTAGAAACTGGTCTTATCAAAATTATTGATATAGATATCTTTGAGATAATCGGGGTCAGAGATATCGATCTCTTCGGGGCCGATTCTCACTATGGGCCCGTACTTCTTGTGGAGTTGGTGAACGTACCTGTTCCGGTTTTCTGACCAGCTGACAAAAAGAATCCAGTATTTTGTCAATGCACATATTCTAGGACCAGGAATTGCCGCAAGCGGATGGAAGTACAGAGGGTAAAGCACATATGAGTAGATCCCATAGCTGATCACAGCTGCCTGTATGGCTGTGAATAGCTCTCCGTGGTATTGAGCGACGAACTGTGCCAGCATAATGAGTAATTCGAATTTTTGGATTGGCTTTTCGCGATAAGCTCCTCTGATAGCGGATGCGAAATCTTAGCGCGTTTGCTTGAAAAAGAAGTGGGCTGGCAATTGAACACAAAATTGTTAATGCCAGAAGGTGGCTTGTAAATGCAAGCAGCCAGGCTCTGTCGTAGACAACTTCTGGGTTGGTCTTGCTAGCTCAGGCGATTCATCGGCCGAGAGATTAAAAGAGCCTATATCGACGCGTCGATCAGTATCTCGTGAAATAATTTTTGCGTCTACAATTCTCTCATGTTCAGGACTACGTTACGCCAGGTACCTAATCTGACCGTCTTGGGCCTGAAATTCCCGCGTGTTTGCGTGCCCTCGCTCAGATGGCATCGATTGCTGGCGACCTCCATTCCACCTGCGCGCAAGGTAATTCGCCGTGCCCCTAACGACTCATTACTGAGTCAATCTTATGCCATTCCTGACGAGCGCTCCAAAACTTCTCACCAGGGTCTCCCCTTGCGTCCCTGTGTTGCAGTCACTGCATGCGAGGTTTTCGATCTAGAAAACGTGCGTTCCGTCCTTTCCGAGCACCACATCGAGTCGGAAGAAATCGTGCGCAACGAGGCTGTCCATTATCAGGTCAGAGACGCTCCCGTCCGCACAGACGTGTTCGTGCTGCACTCGGGAACGGTGGTCTCATGGGGAATGCCAGAGCAGGATGTTCTTGACAAAGTCTTGCCCCTGTTGCGGAGCTCCATGAACACCCCCTATGAGATCCAGACAGAAGACCTAGATTACATAGAATATGAGTCAGGACAGGAGAAAGAGGGCCAAACGTCCACGATAGACCACGAAATCATATGCATCAAGGGCGAACCGCGCCAAAAAATGCTGGACAAATTAGCGTTCTCGTATGGTATATCCAGATCAACCAGGCTCGCAGTTCTGGAGTCATCGCTGGAAAAACATATTCAGCTGACCCGAAACACAACGGAAAATTTGTCGCAAGGGAAGCAGTTAGGAATCGGCGCGCGGGAAGTGCTACAGTCGTCCGGAAAATTATTGCTGCTACGCGGAAAATTAAATCTGTACTCTGAGCTGGTTGAGACACCAGATCTGTACTGGACGGAGCCTAATCTGGAAAAAATCTACAACCACGTTTCGAGAATCCTGGACGTGAACACGCGGATCAGCATTCTCAACAGGAAGCTGGATTACTGCTCTGACGAAGCACGAGCTCTACTTGATATCCTGACTACCCGGAAAGGCACGAGGCTAGAATGGATTGTGATTTATCTTATTATGATCGAGGTCTTGTTTGAAATGCACCACTTCTACGAACGGTATGAGGAACATCAAAAAGAAAAGGAACTGCCTGCAAATAGTTTATAAATCTCTATAAAAAAAATATCTATGACGTCATATGACGTAGGGAAGCAAGTTTCTTTTTTTTTCCGATGGGACGGTTGCAGGAGGAAAGGACACCTTAGTTCTTCCTCTCAATCACCTCGAGCTCCAGTTCGACAACTCTGTCCTTGAAAGACTTGACTTTCACTTTGGAAAGATCCTGGATGACGTAGTTGGCACCGTTCTCGTATAGCTTGTCTGCATCGAAAGTGGAAGCGATACCAACCACGGTAGCACCAGACGCTAGACCTGCCTTAATACCTGCAGGAGCGTCCTCAAACACAACCACCTTCTCGATTGGGTATCCCAGTCTCTCGCTCAGCAAACGGGCACCTCTTTTGTAACCTTCGGGATCAGGCTTTCCGACACTCACGTCCTCAGCGACGATGAAAATGTCGGGCTTCTCAACACCGGCCTCATGCAGAACGTTCTGAAAGTGGCCGTGTGCCAAGACCGAAGAGCCACTGGTAACAATGCAGAATGGTTTGCCCGGAAGCTTGTGCAACTCCTTGAACAAGTCACCTGCTCCCTTGATCGGGTAGTTCAACTTTCCGTAGGTCACGGACACAAGTCTGTCGAAATCATAAGCGCCGTCAATCAGAGCCTGCTCACTCTCGAACTTGTCCGAGAGGTACTTTCTGAACACATCACTCACTCTCACCCCGTGAGCCTTGTGGAAGAAGTCTCCGTCCTCGTTCAGATGAGGGTAGGTGGCCAGAAGATCGGCCCAGGACTTTTCGATGGCCTCCGTGGAGTCCACGATGGTACCGTCGAGGTCGAATTCGAGAGCGTTGACACGTAACAACTGAGTTGACATTATTAAAGAAGATCAAGATTTTTATCCCACGATCTGCAGCCCTTAAATAGATCTGTGAGGGCTCATAACCCTTTTCAGCTAGTTTCACCTTGCAGAAAAACAAACGTTGGGAATTTGAAAGGAGCAAGAGCAGAAACAACTCGGATATGTTTTCCTCTAGAAGGCTTTCGAGGCCTGCTCAGCAGCCTCCGGCGGCCCCAGCGTCGGGAGCATTGGCTGCAGCTATGGTGATTGGTAAGGCTCTGAAGGAGAACGACCACAAATCGGGCCCTCTGAATCTACCTAAGCAACCCCAAAGAAATTCTCAGGCACACCGCACTGCAAGTCTCTTGGGCACAACGCGCGCCGCTAGTGCCACTTCAAACACCAGCAGGCCGATTTCGCGGACAGGCAGTCTCAGAAACATTCCAAATTCGCCAGTCGTACAGACAAGACCTATAAGATCGTCCTATGCAGGGCCCAAGCGGGCACAGAGTTTGACAAGTGCCGGGCCTCGCAATCAACAGCCTCTTCACCACCAGGGCTCTCTCAATGGTCCGAGTGCGCATTACGAAGGATTCGACATGGAGTCCCCGGCTGCTTCCGCTTCGCCACGAATGGTGAAAAAATGGGTTCCATCAGCCCACGGTCTAGTTTGTATTGAAGTTCCTGCAGAGCAGTCCGCCCAAGAGTCTGCCAACGCCCGCAGAATTGTGGCCCGTTCTGCATCCATGAACTCCTTATCAAGCCGGGCTAGAAACCAAAGACTTGCAGCAAAGTCCGGTCCACCGCTGTCACAAAAGAAAAGTGTGCAGGGCATGTATACGCAGAAGAATCAAATGTCCGCTGGGCCTACCATTGTGGAAGACGAGACTGAGGATAAGAAAGAAACAGCAGAACATATCGTCCCGCCTCAATCTGACACTATTGTTGTTAAATCTGATCCTGCAGAGTCACATGACGCTCTGAGGGAAGAGACTAATGACTACTCAGAAGATGATAGGGAGTTAGCTGAACAGAAGCTGGAGGAGCTAGTCAGACAGAAAGAGCAGGAAATATTGCAGTCTGTGCTGCAACAACAGGAGCTGGAAGCTGCACACTCTCTGGTATCCGTGTCCAACGAGTCGGTTTCCATTCAAAATCCGTTGGATACATCGAGTTTCTCCAAGGCATCGCTGTCAGGATCCTCCAACGGCTACGACGAGGTATCTTTCGTCGATGGATACACCGGTGGCTCCACCGACAATCTTACCGCGAAGGAAAATTCAGGAAATACAGAAACTGCAGATGAGTCATTGGTGACAGATACCAGTGCTGACCGGACGTTCCAGGAAAGCGACACCGCCACGTCAAACACCACGCAGGACATGGGCCAAACCATGGCGCAAAGACTCAGACCGACACTCGGGTTCCAAAGATCGTCACAGGAGCAGGTTTCCCCTCCATCGCAACCAACCAACGATCCAGAAATTCCGGTTCGCTCGTCCAAGAGACCATCCATCAGCAAGTTGGAAGACATCGATGGCTCGTTGAGTGCTACGCCGGAAAGAGCACCACGGCAGGTTGCTGAGACACCAAAGATAAAGTCCGTTTTGAAAAATACCAATAGCTCTTCCAGATTGTCTGTGAACGATGTGGCAGCCTCTTCTCCTGCCTACCTCTCTTTGGCCACGGCAGAGAACACCAGATTGAACGCAATGGCTTCGTCATCGTCTCTCAATTTGTCGCAGCAACCGCGCGCATCTCCATCGCATAAGAGAGCTCCTCAGCCGGAAAAACTAACTAGGCAACCTCCTAATGAGCACAAAGGAACGCGGCTTAGTCTGCGCAATACGCAAACGGCCCCGCAAAAAGGCAGGCGTGACTCCGTTGGTGGCTTACCATCCAACAGCTCAACGCCAGCGCATCTAGCAGCAGCTACAAAAGCCGCACAACATCATAATCCGCAACAATTCGAGCCAACTCAAACGACAAAGAAACATGAGTACAAGGCTGCGCCAAAGTCAGAGGCTCAAATGCGTGCGGCTGAACTTTACAAGAAAGCTAACGAAAGAACGAGTCGTCGTGAATCTATTCTTAATGTTCAATATGTACAACAGGTTGGCGTGAAGCTTGAGAGGACCTCATCGTTTGAAAAGAACCAGGAGGCCAAAAGAGCCAACAGGTTCACGCTGAGAGATGAGCCCGCTTTTGCGTCGGCTCAGGAACAACCACAACAGGCACAAGCCTATCAGGCTCCATACAAATCGCGTTTTGATGACTATGATTCCGACGCTGAGGAAGGGAACGGACAACTTAATGGCAAGCCATCTCGGAATACACTGAGAAGCATTAGTGCAGAACAACCGCGGACGCAGCAACAGCCAGCACAGCAAAGGTTTTTCAGCGAGCAGGCTGCACAAGGCAAGGCTCCTGAAGAGAAAAAGAAGAGGTTTGGCAAGCTGCGCAAGTTGTTTGGCAAGAACGCCAAGCATTAAAGACATGAAAGAGCATGCGATATATAACACATATATGCAACTAATCTATCATACAATGATAACTATTGATCCGGAATCTTTTGCTTGGTTTCTTGTGTTTCTTTGGTTCCGCCTATTGACAGCTCATTGAAGACATCGTTCAAGGGCGACTGGAAGTTGCCGAAGTCATCCTCATCTTCTTCGTTATATGAGGACATTGTTTGTGCCCGCGAAGTCCTCGTAGCGATTGAACTCTGTTCAGACGTTGCAACCGACTTTGTAGCGTCGTCCATTCTCTTGCGCACCTCGTTGGCCACTCTGCGGCCGTCGGCTAAGAAGTTGGTGAAAATGCCACGCAAGTTGTTCACCACACCGAGGCTTTCGCTCACCTTATCGTTGACATGGAACGATTTCCAGAAATCGTGCTGGAAAAATGACTCGTAGGTGTCGTCCGCCAAGATAATCATTCTGAAAGTAGACGGCGTGATATACTTGGGATTGGACGGATCAAGAGCCTTGTTGTGTTTTAGTTTCTCTGAGTCGTCATCCCCCAGATCTATGAGAGGGGTCTGTGGATCCTGTTCTTCCTGAGCATATTGGAATGCCATTTTCAGGAACTTGGAGCTGGAAGCAAGATATCTTTCGCTCTGTTTGTTTTTCCATTTCTCATCATTAAAACGAACTTCCTGCGGAAGCTTGATCTCCTCGTCGTTGGCGTCCAGTCCCTGTTCCTTGAGTAATCTTTTGCGTTCAATGATTTTCTTTGCAATCTCGGTTTCTATCTCCTTGTTGGTGATGTCGTCAAATATATATCCTTCTCTCCATGGAGTCGTCACAAAAATTAGATCCTCTGCAAGCATCAGAACAGATTCACTACGAATCTTGCCTGACCCATCATCGTACAGCTCAATGAAATTGGAGAGCGAGTTCATGATATCCTTGTCGATCAGCTTGTTGATACCAAGAACGATAGTCTCCAAAGTGAGATGGTCCTCACCCTTCGACCATGCTGTGAAGAGTCTTTGTAAAAACAAAGCCTGCGACGAATCTGTTTCGGGACTGACCCAATCAACCAACTGAGCCATGAATTTCACAAAGGAGCTATAGTCCATTGTGAGATTGGCCCTGCCAATAGCTGCATTATTCTCCGAAATCAGAGCATTGTAATAGCGGTCGTAAATATTGGACAGCTGATCGTTGTTCAGGTTGGGGGTCTTGGGCAGGTTCCTGATAGCGGCTCTCTTAACGAATATCTCTATTCCTTGGAACACTTCATTTTTGTGTTTCGAGCGGTACTGCGTAACAAGCTTATCGTCGATCACTGAAAACTCGCGGAATGCAACCTCCCACAAGTTATCGAACTTGCTTCTCATCTTATCAGGATTCACAAGAGAAGGTTCTGGCTCGTCAAGTGTCATGAAAAACTCTTTGAAGACCGCTAGACACTCGCCGTCGTCCTCGCACTTTAATAGTGCTTCGCCGTTAACTTTCAGAATCGCCAGGCCAACCTGGAACAACGTCCTTGGGCCATGCAATAGCAACATATCAACAACTCTAAATGCAAACACCAAGGGCATCGTGTTGAGAAAGAACGAGAGAAACCACGGTAAAGAGACAATGGACAGCTGAATATCCTGTTTGGCAAAATGGTCTCCAAGTATAGGCATTGTCTTCTTCACGAGAGCCTCAAAGACTTTCTGGTCGAGCAAAACGCCGTACATTGTCTGTGAGTAGTAACCCGGAATGATTCTCTCACATAAAACATAGAGGCACCAGAAAACTTGTTCTTCAGACATGTAGATCAAAAGGGCAGCCGTCACAATGTTCATGGCCTGGCAGTACCCAATATCCGGGTTTTTCCAAGAATAGGCTGTCAGCACTCTTCGAAGCCTGTTGATACCCTCCTCTGTCTGGTATGCCGGATATTCAGGCAGGGATCTGTTGAGATCTTTTTCAATTTCCTCAATTGCAAAAGACTTCATACCGTCAAAGTCTACCAGCAGTTTGTTGTACTCGTCAAAATTCTTGTATCGAAGGTATATTGACCCACAGCATGTCTCCCATAATTCCCCCCGCAGCTTGTTGGGCAGTCCGTAGCTGACAAGCCGGTAAAATGGTATGTTTTTGATCAATGCAAAATTGCGTCCATACTCTCTAAAAAAGTCAAACCACTTCTTCATTTTCAGTCTGTCGTTCATCTTCTGCGCGTTCCCAGGGAACTTGAACACCCATCCCAGCCCTCCCGTTGGAGGCGCATCGATCTTGAGTCTGGACGATTTGTTTTTGTAGAGCAGATACTCGGAATATAGTCCCATCAGAAATAGATTCATTCTTGAAACTTCGTTGACATTCTGTTTCAGAGACCGCGTCAAGTTCTGTCCAAACCGCTCTGCCTGTGATTTGATGCCCAAAAATTGTATGGTAAACTCCAAATCGCTGGTGGTGTGCAATTGGATTGCAAAATCGAAGGAGCGATGGAGTCTCTGAATTTTCTGTATCATCAGCAGCTCAATCACGAATGAACATGCCACGGAGTCGTAGGAATCTTTGAATGTAAGAAAGTTGTTTGTCAAGGTGAGTTTTCCGCTGAACACAACGGCCGAGCTCTCCGAAGAGTGGGGCTGGCCCAGATGCCGAGGGCTTAGGACCACTTCCACGGACGCCTCGTCCACTATTCGCTCGCCTTCAGGAAGCCTAAACTCCGCGCACAGAAGCTCGTCTTTTCCTAGCCGCTTCGACGATGTCGACCCGTCCAGGATCGTGTGTGTTTTGGAAACAATGTCCTTGAAGAAGTCCATCAGCAATAATTGACGTAATATTTATTATCTCTATTTTATTAGGGCTACTAGGCACAGCCAAGCTGTATACAGTAGAAATCTAAGATTATACAGACTCCTCAGATATTTCCTCGAGCGGCTCAAAGTTTTGTATTTCCGAACCTGAGGTTTCGTCAATCAATGGCCGCTCGTGTCGCTGGGGCTCGAGCACATCCGGGTCCTCGCAGTGTCCAAAATGGTCTGTGTGTCGGTGCAAGTGCGAATGCGACTTTGGAGTAGAAGACGACGAAATCGAGGTTCGCCGGCTCAATTCGCTCTGCAGTTCATCTTTGTAGCTCAGCAGGTGCTGGAGCTTGCTTCTTTTCTGTCGTTTGGTGATTTTGTTTGCCATAATCTTTCCTGTATTTCTGAGGATGAGTCGCACAACATCTTTTTTGAAGTGCTGGAAGAAATCTTCCTCAGACCACATCTTGTTGGTGTACTCGACTTTTGGCACCTCTAGCTGGAGTCTGTGAACATCCACCACTTTGTACGACCCTTGGCCTTTGAAACTAAGTATCAGATGTAGGGGATTGATGGTGATTCTATTGAGAAGCTGGTACTTCTTTGATCTTTCCACCATCTGGCTAATGTACTGCTTTTCGTCTGTGTTTTCGTTGTTTCTATGACACGAAAACTGGATCGTGCTGAACTCAGACACAGAGGTTGGACTTCCTTCTCGATCATGTTTTTTTATTGACAGCATCCGACTCATCTTTTTCAGCTTTCCCTCGCCATTTTCAGAGCGCTCAGAGAAGACAGAGTTGGATGAGTCGAAACTCGTTCGCGAAGACGGAGTTTCTGGGCCAATCGAGTCCACCATAGACGACGACTCGTCGTCGCTTGACTCAGTGTCGTCGTCTGAAACCTGTTTCGGATACACGAACTTGTAAATTTCCACAGCCGTTTTGAAGTCCACTTCAATTTTCAGTGGAGCAAACGTGATGGATTTGTGTTCCACAACAGGTATGCCTCCAACTGCCTCCAGCATTTTCCAGTCCACAAACACCATAGGCGTGTCTGAAGAGCCCTCTTTGTGGACCTTTTCGACGATGGTCTTGTAATTAGTATGAGGTTGGAGGTCTTCTGCGACAAAATCCTGAATAAGCACCCTGTTTCTGCTAGCTCCGTCAGGCCTTTGCTCTGTTTGATAGCAAGACTGTCTAGCTTCGACAACAATAAACTTTTTATCCTCGCTATCGAGAAGCTCCAACCGAACATGGTCCGCATTCAGCACCCATTGCCTTTCTTCATACGAATCGTTGTATTTCATCGCTTTTGTGTGCTGGAGATAAGAGACAAGCATTCCGAGCTCGAGATAGATTTTCTCAAGCTCAACGTCTATTTGCAAGACGTCATCTTGGTCCGGTGCATTACCTTGCATCATCAACATGAATTTCTTACACTCACTCAACAGCCACGCTTTCTGCTGCAAATCGAACATACGGAATTTGATGTGGTCAAAGTCCTCAGAAACAGAGAACTTCACGAGGCTCTTCACCTTGTCCTTCATCTTTTGCTTTTCGGTCATGCTGGAGTCCATAAAACTCATGGCCAGATTATAGATCACGTTGTATTGCTGACTGTTCGCAGTGACCACGACCTCTGGCGTCATGACTTGGATCAGCTCTCTAAATTTAGTCACATTGCACTGGTCAGTCTTCATGTACCTGAGCTTGTTAGGTTTGATGAAAATCAGCCCCATAGACACGTTCCAGATGACAATTGTGTTGGCCAACAGGTTGGAGCAGTAGTACATTTCCACAGGCAGCTGTGGTGGCCAAACGGACTGAGACCAGAACAGTTTGTACTGTCCATTCAGAGTCTTGTCCTTGTCGAGGACGTAAAAAAATGCGTCTCGCAAAATGATTCCATTTCGGGTCTCAACAGGAATCCTTTCTTCGTCGTCCTGCTGTTTAAAGTCAACAGAAACCGAGCTCACGGTGATCTCCTTTGACGTGACTAGCACTGCACTCTTCATCTCCGTGTCGAAACAAAGCTGCGGAAGAATGAACTTGAGCAGATACGTGTCTTCAAAATCGACATCTTCCAACTCATCTGACTCTCTCAGCTTGCGTTCAAAATTGTAAAAGTTTGAACAGGACTCCATATCCAGTGACCCATGCTCGTCGAAACTGCCCGCCTTGCGCGGCAAGCTCTGACTTTCGTACAGCTCCTCGGCAAGCTTGATAGCTCTGCGACTCAAATTGAACACCAGCGACTTTCTTTCAGAAACGTTATCGATGTAACTCGTAAACTTCTTCTTGGTATGCGAGCTCCATCTGAAAACCACATGGTAGATGATGAAACGGTTTCTGAATGACGACGCCGGCGGAGAAGAAGGAGCGGTGCTTCTCACGGTCGGATTGGAGGACCTGCGCGATATTTTGGAATTCACCCTCGAAACAGTGTATGATGTTTCGACGTCGGAAGCTTCATTCTCGTCCAGGAATTCGTCATAGTCGGGGATCGTTCCGGCCTCAAAGCTGTCTCTTAAACAACGAGTCACGTGCAAACGAGTGTCCAGATCTTTAATTTCCCGTTCCAGCTCTTCTATGCGCTTGGCAATAAACTGGTTCTTTTCTGGATTGCTCTGTAAAGACTCCAAGGAGGTCTCGTGTGTCTTGATCTGGTCCTTAAGCTCTGCCGCGCGTTTGTTGGCAACAGTGAAAGGCGTCCGTTCGGGATGGTTCCTGCCGACAAAGCAGTCGTGTGTCCGTTCCTGAATAGCGGCAAAAGTGTACTGCAGCTCTGGCTCTTTTTCCTGGAGGAAGTAGCAGAAACGAGTCGAGGATGCGAGCGGCGTCGCCTTCCACTGAGGATTCTTTGGTTTGATCTTCGGCATGTTCACCTCGACAAAGTCGTCCATATCAAACCACACCACATCCTCTGCGTCGGGTCTCTCGCTCACAGAGGAGCTCGACACGTCCATGAAGGAACTGGATTCTGTTATACCTATCTCACGTGCAAGCATACCAACCGCACTGCGTTCGTTGAATTCTGCAACCAGCAGCCGCAAATCCGTATTGACAAAATCTACTTCACCCTGGTTGAACTGGAGACTAAAGTCAGGATTTTCAGAAGCACTCGTTGGACACTTGAGTTGGTGGAGATCCAGCGCAAAGCTCTCAATGGAACACTTGAGTCCTGTGAATGCCAAATTGCTGTTAGCCCGGATGTCTGTAGGGTGAATGTATACGTGTGTCAAGTATAGTGGTTTGAGCTTGAGTGAGTAACTGATGGAAAACAAATGCTTGCCAAACTTCGGAGTCGGTCTGTAGTCCAGGAACTTGTTCTTAAACATCTTTCCGTTCTTTATAGGCAGACCTAAGCTGCTCTGGAACGTATTCCACCAGGTGAAGAAATGAGAAAACACGAGCGGAGTAAGATGGATGCTATTGTAAGAACTTGCCCCGGTGGAATCCGATTCCAATGAAACGCACATATGGAGATAATGGCTTCGGAAGCCTTCATAGGAGTTCCAAGACTCGAGCTCTTTGTCGTTTGTAAAGGTAGAGGGGTTTCTTAGACGGACCTCGTAATGAGGCTTGAAGCTACTGGTCCGCTTAACCTGTCCTGGAACGTATTTTCCAACAGGACTTTCATTGCGCTCAAACAGAAATCCCAGCTTCCAGATGACCGGCTGGCTCGACAACTTCCAGACCTTCTTCTCAGTAATGTAATCTAGCTCGTAGGGGTTTTTGTCGTCCAGCAAATACGTCAGGTTGCTGCGACTGAATCTAGGAATCACCACGTCGAATTCGTTGCTTTCAACAACCAGCAGCTCATCGGAACGGCCGGTGCCGTTGATCTTGAGGTCGACTTTATTATTCCACCTGAACACAAACCCGGCTCCTTGACCCATAAGGTCGTAGGGCGAGTTTTTGCTTTTTATAAATAGATGGATGCCGTTGGTAAATGTGAAATGGAATTTTGCGTGCAACAAGAGCGCGAACTTGTCCCAGAATCCTAGCTTTGGACTTGGATCAAGAGGAGGCTTGGATAAAACATCAAAACTGTCCATTGCGTACAACAATGCCGGCTGGATCGCAGAGTACCACGAAACAATGGCATTCTTCGACGAGTTGACGTTTACTTTCATGTCTGTGTAGAATTTGACGTTGGTCATGGTTCTCGACACATGCGAGGCAAACATGTTGTCTGTGCAGCTAGGGTCATTGTACTGCGACACAAACGGAACAAAATTGTACCGCAGCTCCTCAGCAACGTACATCTGCTCTGCGATGACAAAATCACCTTTGAACGCCACCGTCTGCGGAGTGTCTCCGTCACCACCACCAAACGATATGAATGGGATCGGGTAGTCTTTGAGCTGTATTGTTAGACGCGAACAGGTGATGTGCATGTTAACAGGGAACAAAATGCCGTACTCCATATCGTAGGGCATCCCTTGCCCCACCTTGTGCAGAAAGTGTTTGTAGTTTTCGAGCCCGAATGAAGGCTCCGAAAGGTCCCAACGTAAATTGGCCAACTCAAACGAAAAAAGGGGTGCTACCGAGTACGCCGTGATCACAGGATACTTGTCCAAGAATCTGGCAGAGACAGGCGGGTCTTCACCTCCCCTGATCGAAGAGAGACGTTTGAGGTGGCCAGACTCGCTTATATTCCTGTGAGACTTAACTCTGAAGACCCATGATTTGCTGAGGTTGCTGAGCAGCCGCAGTCTTGGTAGCTCAATCAGCTCCTTCACTTTCCTAAGGTATTCTTTATACTGTTCCACGTCGTCACTCAAGACCTCGTTGGCAAGCTGCGAGCTTACGTGTGTATGCTGAACTTTGCCAGTTGAGCTAGGATTATAATTCTCGGGTTTTAGGGGTTCGCCGTTCACAAATGTCAAAGCAGTAAACTCCTTCTGTAATTTTTCTCTAACCTGTTTCTCGTACTTTTCAAAAGTCGCCAGTTTTGTGATACGCATCTTTTGCTCAATCCGCCCAAGCAGGAAGCACTTGTTGAGCTCTGCTTCAAATGGATCGTCGTGCATGCAAAACTGAAACTGTTTAGCGTTTAAGCGAACGCTGGGAAATTTTAAGGGACTCTCAACTTTGCTGGGCATTATTACAGGCACGTTGAAATCCACGTCAGAATCTGGAGTAGACATGAGGTGTTCGAAGTTGGCTTCCATTTTCGTGATAGCCTTGGTGAGTGCTCTAAAGTTGTCGAAGGTTTCGAAAAAGACGTATTCGAACGGAATCTCAAACCTCACCGAGCGGGAGTTGATTATTGCGAGGTGCTCGGCTTGGGAGTGAATGCGGATCGTTGTGTTAGCGTCACACAAAATAAATATAAGACTCCATGTCTGAGAGGTGTACGGACTTCTTCCATAAAGTCTCAGCGCTCGGAAGCGTGCGTGACAGTCATCGTCGACCGTCGATATAGCCTCCATGCGGTCCAATTCGAGCACAAGGTCAATGTCGTTCGGTAGCTGGATTTTCATCATGAAGAGCTGGATTCCGAATAGGTACGTTAATGGAGGCTTGTTAGAGACATCTTTCCTCTTAGGCAAAGGAGGTATCACGGAGGTAAGTATTGCTTTGACGAAAAGCACAGACCACAGAACTTCCGCAGATAATTTTGTATCGAGCAAGGGAAGCGAGAGAGACAGCTGGTGCCTGTCTTTGAAGTACTTCAGATGAGGACGCTCGATGTTAATGAATTCCTCTAGCTCTCCGCTGTACTGTTCCTTATCGTAATCTTTCACCAGCTTTGCCTTGAAAAACTGGAGCTCCACGTCCAGCTTCTTCTTCACTATGTCAACTTCCATCTCCATCTCTGAAGCCTCAAGGAAAACGCCTCGTTTGTACTTATTCATGTCAGACTGATCCACCTTGTTGAAGTATTTCACAGGAGTCTCAAAACACGAAACAAACTTGAACTGCTGGATTTTGAGAGAGATGCGATCAATTAGCGAATTTTCTCCCTTAGACGATGATTGTGTTTTGGCACCGGATGTTTGTCCAAGACTTATCTTGTGCTCGTACAATTTTTGGAATGCGCTCAATTCCGCCAATAGGACCTCTACGGTGCCCACAATAATGTCTGTCTGCCCAAACAAACAGCCTTCTCGTTTTCCAAATGACATACTAGTGCTCACGTGGTCAAGATAAAAGAATTTGGACATTTTCTCTGGCTCCACAAACAAGAATTGTATGTTGCGTATCAAGAAGCCAATTGTCTTATGAACAGAGCCAGAGCCACTGCTGAACAGGGAATCGTATGTGTTTGCTAGCGACGTGTCAAAGGCAATGTCCTCCACGCGCGCTTTTATCGTGAGTTTTTCTGCCACGGCTAAATTTATAACGGAGCCCATAAGTTGTATTCGGATCTTGATTTTGGGGAGCAGGTTCCGCAGATATCCAGGAATCTCGAGTGGCTTTTTGGGCACTGCCCCTTTTTTGCTGTCTGGCTTCACCAGCTCGTTTATATCTGTGTTGAAAACTAAATTGGTGGCCGACACTGTGGTTTTGAACAAAAATCTGTTTGTTGCGGCAAAACGATCTATGAAGCCCTTGTCATCTTTATTTTTCTGGATCTCCAAAATGTCCTCGAAATTGCACAGCGAGAATATATTCAAAAATGGAAGGAATAGTATGATTTTATTTGTCTCCACTTGAGTGAGCTTAAGGTTGCTGATTCCAAAAAGTACCTCGTAGATATGTTGGTCTCCAAAATTAATGTTTGCGGTCTCCTCCTCGTCCAGTTTTCCCAGTGCAAACGTCACTCTTTCCAAAAGTAAGCGGAATTTGTCTTTCGTGAAAGAAGCATTTTCACACTCCACAGAAATTCGTCTGAAAGGTAGGGGAAATGGCTGTGAGGGAACCTCTTCTGATTGAGCATGGGTATCCGACTTTGGCACAGAACGCGCTAGTTCGTCGGAATCTAGTGTCAAGTTTTTCAAATTCAAAGTCGCACTGTAGTCATCAAGCGAAACCGAGCCAAGAACCCTACTGACTACCTTTTGCTGGTTGATTTTGATGGAGCCCGAGGAGAATTGTAAAGCACTGGAAATAATCTGAGCTCTCGCGCATTCTAGTTCCATCAGCACCTGGTCAGTATACTGAACGTCATGTAGTTCTATGGCCAGCGGAAGACGCTCCAAAAGCCTAAGAACGCGCCCATTGGTCTTCCTTCCTGAAGACGGTACCCGTTTGCTCTTCATGTCCTCATGTAATCTGTGAATACTCGCGCCACTCAGCACCACCGTGAGTATTGGCTCATGGTGCATTGCCCCCATTAAATTGACCTTCAGCTGGAGTTTGCTGAGTGAGACGCGGAACCCTCGGGTGTGATATCTAAATCTATGGATGGAGTTCCATGATACCCAGCCGAGAGAACCCTTCTTTCCCAGCAGAAGATTCAATGACACTATTATGGCCACGTAAATGGCACAAAGCGCTATGAGAGTGTTCATTGGATCTTGAGACGGTACCCTAAATTAATAACCATGCACTTGCTTTGCTGAAATATTTAGGGTTTTTTTTGGCTCTATATTTTTTTTACATAGCATAATCACGCCTGCAGTATCCCACTGTCCATCAAGGCATTGTGGATAATTGTTTCCTTCACCACTGCGAAAGCCAGCTTCATGTTATTGGTGTCAGTTGCCTGCGTAACGTACGGCATGATGTTCACGTTGGAACGGTTGAGCTGACGGAACCGCCAGAGAATGTACTTGACAGCCTTGTTCACATCGTTTCCACCGACGTAGTCGGGGAAGTAGTTCTCGAGCGGCGAGCGAGGCAGTTTCTCGATGAAGACATCAATTTTGTTCAGGCACAGAACGATAGATGTGCGCCGGAACCACATTGAGTTGACCACAGAGTCAAATAGATTTAGAGACTCCTCCAGTCTATTCTGGCTGCTCGACTCCAGCAGGACCTGATCGTATTCAGAAAGCGCAACGCAAAACATGATCACAGTGACGTTGTCGAAACAGTGGATCCACTTCTTCCTTTCTGACCTCTGTCCACCCACGTCGTATAGATGAATGTTGATGTCTTCCAGCTGGAACTTGGTGTCGTATATTCCGGAGGTCTGTTTCCTAGTCCTGAGCACATCCTCCACGGTTGGAAGATAGTTTTCGGCAAAAATGCGGTCGATGTTGTCAAAGAAATACTGAGCGGAGTCCAGAATGTAGAATTCGTTGCGTTTCTCTTCCAGCAGCTTGTTGACGACCGGTTCTCTGATAAGCTTCTTGATAAGGCCCGCCACTTCGACATTGAACTGCTCCGTGGTGTCGTCCATGGCGGTCTCGTAGGCATCAATGGCGTCTAGCTGCTGAGGCGTGAGCGTTTTTAGTTCGGACTCGGCATTGAACTGTTTGATGGCCCGGACCAGCGATTGCGCACATTCGATTATGTTCTTGAATACAAACGGCTTGAAATCGTAGAGTTCGCGCTTGGAAAACCCGTCCTGGTGGAGAATTTTGATTTGTTTGAGAACAGTGCTCTTACCGGACTCTCCAGACCCTAGCAACAGCATTTTGACTTCCTGCTTTGGTTTGCTTTTGTTCTGAGTGGATTGTTGTTTCTCAACGGTGTTCACTGCCCCATTGGATGCGGGGGCTTTTGGCGGAGAGGAGTCTCCTTCCTTGGATCCACAAACACCCATCCTTAAATGTCCATACTATAATTTTCTGCTGTAGTGCTAATCCATAAATTCTACCAAAAAAATTGCAGATCTTTTACTCCGGTCTTTCTTGGCTTTTGCTGCTTTGGCCTATTAATTATTTTTCCAGCATTCTAATTTATTGTATTATTTGGTCACTATATGCGGTCATTAGACAGGCTTGCCACCAATGAACTCGCTCCATCTCTTCACCTCTGAAGGAATTACCACCTCGGACTTGGCCTGGTTGGCCAACAGAGCTGGCAGCTTTTCAGCGAGACACTGAGAGAAGAGCAACGAAGTCTGCGGCTCGTTGAAGAGTGGGATGGCAAAGTCGATGGCGTTTCTCCGCATAACGTAGTCCTCGTCCAGCAGACTCTCGGCCCGCTCCTTGGCAAGGTTGAAGACACACTTGATATCGTACTTCTGGAACACCTCTCTCAGTTCTCTCTTATTTTCCTTAGGGAACTCAATCACCTCAACAGGAGTGTTAACGTACTTGCTCAGGTACTCGGCAACGGCAGGAGAGGCAACGTAGAACTTGTAATCCAGCGGGCTCAGTCTCTTGGCAACATTGCCAAGGTTGTCGTTCGACAAGTCTCCGCCAAAGAGAATACCAGCAGGTGGTTTAGGCACGTGGAAATTCATGGTCGAGAGAATGGAGGTCCAGTATGCGTCCACCACGTTGTCTCCGAAACAGGCGACTTCTCCGGTGGATGCCATTTCGACGCCCAAGAATGGGTCTGCACCAGCCAATCTGGTAAAAGAAAATTGCGGCACCTTGGTAGCAACGTAGTTGTAGGATTTTTTCATCAGGTCGACTGGAGCAGGAACATTGCTGTCTAGCAAGGCCTTGACTGCGACATCGATGAAATTGACGCCCAGCACCTTCGAAACGAATGGGAACGATCTCGAGGCACGGATGTTACACTCGATAACTTTGAGGTCGGGCTTTCCGGTGGATGGGTTCTCGGCCTTGATGATTTGCATGTTGAATGGACCGGTAATGTTCCATGCGGCAGCAACCTTGTCGGCGATCTCCTTCAGTCTGTCCATGGTTTCCTGGTCTAGGCCCTGTGGAGGCAGTACCAGAGTAGCGTCACCGGAATGGATTCCGGCGTTCTCGACGTGTTCCGAGACAGCGTGCACCAGGACTTTTCCATGGGAAGCCACAGCGTCGATGTCGATTTCCTGCGCTCCTTCGATGAACTTCGAAATCACCACAGGGTGTTCGGCGGAGACGTCTGCAGCGTTCGTGAGTTTCTGCTCCAGCTCAGACTCCGAGCGAATGACTGACATGGCAGCACCGGAAAGAACGTACGAAGGCCTGACAAGAACCGGGTAGCCGACCTCATTGGCGAAGTTCTCGGCCTCCTCAACGGACGTGAGTTCTTTCCAGGCAGGCTGGTCGACGTTGATGGAATCCAGAATACTGCTGAACTTGTGTCTGTCCTCGGCCTTGTCGATGTCCTCAGGGTTGGTTCCAAGAACCTTAGCGCCCTGCTGTTGCAGCTTGAGTGCAATGTTCTGCGGAAGCTGGCCTCCAACGGAAACAACCAGGCCCTTGGCGTTCTCCAGCTCGTAAATGTCCATGACTCTCTCAAAGGAGAGCTCTTCGAAGTACAGTCGGTCGACCTCGTCGAAGTCGGTCGACACGGTCTCTGGATTGTAGTTGACCATGACGGTCTTCTTGCCTGCCTTTCTCAGGGCACGGGCAGCGGAAACGGCACACCAGTCGAACTCGACAGACGAACCAATACGGTAGACACCCGATCCCAAAACCATGGTTCCAAACTCGTCAAACTTGACGTCGTGCGACGTGGCGTTGTACGTAGTGTACAGGTAGTTTGTGTCGGCAGGGAACTCGGCGGCGAGCGTGTCGATCTTCTTCACGAACGGAGTGATGCCAAATGACTTTCTTCTGGCACGCACCTCCAGCTCTGTAGAGCCAACAGCAAGAGCGATCTGCTTGTCGGAGAATCCAAGCTTCTTGGCGCGGCTCATCACGTCCTGGGTCACGCCGAACAACGAGCCAATGGCCTCCAATTCCTTTTGCATCTCGACGATGTTGCTGAGCTTGTACAGGAACCATTTGTCAATTTTCGATAACTCGTGTACTCTGTCAACGGTATAGTTCTCGTGCAACAACGCTTGGCCAACAGCAAGCCACCGTCTGTCGGTCGGGTGCGACAGAGCGTGGTCGAGGTCGTCGAATTTGGCTCCCTGGAATCCAATGAACGAAGGGTCGACCTGTCTGATGGCCTTCTGGAATGACTCCTCGAAATTACGTCCGATGGCCATCACCTCTCCAACAGACTTCATCGAAGAGCCAATGTCTCTCTTGACGTGCTGAAACTTCGAGAGGTCCCATCTTGGGATCTTGGTGACCATGTAGTCCAGAGATGGCTCGAAGTTGGCACTCGTGGTCTTGGTGACAGGGTTAGGCAGCTCTGGCAGAGTGTAGCCAAGAGCAATCTTGGCAGCAGTGTAGGCCAGAGGATATCCGGTAGCCTTGGAAGCCAGGGCTGACGATCTGGACAAACGGGCGTTGACCTCAATAACTCTGTAATCCAGTCCGTCTGGCTGCAGAGCATACTGCACATTACACTCTCCAACAACACCGAGATGACGGATAATCTTGATGGCAGCAGATCTGAGCATGTGGTACTCCTCGTCAGAAAGCGTCTGCGAAGGAGCAACCACAATCGAGTCTCCGGTGTGGATTCCCAGTGGGTCGAAATTCTCCATGTTGCAAACAGTGATGCAGTTTCCAACTCTGTCTCTGACCACCTCGTACTCGACCTCTTTCCACCCCTTCAGGGACTTCTCAACAAGGATCTGAGGAGCCAGAGAAAGCGATTGTGAAGCGAGGTTTCTCAGCTCAGTCTCGTTGGCAGCAAAACCAGACCCAAGACCTCCCAGAGCGTAGGCAGATCTGACAATAATCGGATACCCGATCTTGTCGGCAGCAGTAAGAGCATCGTCAACAGTTTCAACAGCAATGGACTCGGCGATCGGGATGTTGATCTCATTCAATGCCTGAGCAAACAGGTCTCTATCCTCAGAGGTTTCCAGAGTTTTGATTGGAGTTCCAAGAACCTTGACACCGTATTTTTTGAAAATACCCATTTTTTCGAGCTGAACACCAACATTCAAACCAGTTTGGCCTCCGAAAGTGAGCAGCACTCCGTCTGGTCTTTCTCTCTCAATGATATAAGTGATGTACTCAGGAGTCACTGGAAGATAGTAGATCTCGTCGGCAAGGGCATGCGAAGTCTGGTTGGTAGCAATATTAGGGTTGATTAAAATCGACTGCTTGTTGGCCTCCTTCAGAGCCTTGATGGCCTGGGAACCGGAGTAGTCAAACTCTCCCGCCTGGCCAATAGACAATCCTCCAGAGCCAATCACCAAAACACGGGAAACATCCACCAAATGATGTGCATTTTCTCCAGTGAAACCAGATAGAATGCCTGCGCCCGCATATGTCGATGCTTTCTCAACCTGTGAGGCATAGGTTCTAGCCAAGCTGGTCTTCAGAGGGGCCAGCTTTGGCATACGCCAATGTCTGGCAAGAATTCTGAGGGACATGATGACTGATTTTCGAAAAATTTTCGACTGAAAATATTTTATAGATGAGGAGGGTCGTGTACGAAGAATCCGCGGTTTCCGGACTTACGCGATCTGGATATTTCCGGACGCCAGAAGGATATCATCAGGGGGGGGACTTCTATTATATTGTAAAAACCTAAAGAAAAAATGAGGACTCTGAGTCAGCTAGCCTAGTCTCTCTTCCATCTCACATGCGAGTACTTTCTAGCGTAGTAGATACCGCCGACAGCGAGGTTGGTGTTCCAATGGTCAACGTACGAGCATAGGGCAGAGGCAAGAGCCAGCTCTTTAGGGATCTTGGACTCATCAACCTTAACGGTGAATCCAGACGCTCCGGCCGGAATCACCTGCCCAATTCTCTCTCTGACTTCCGATTCCTTCTCTCCCACATTTCTCACTTTCTCCAAGAACTTACCCTCGGTCGTCCACTGGTAAGTGGCACCGTCAGCTAAAGTGAACATTCTGTACTGGTCTAACGCGTCCACTCGATGGTTGATGATGTGCCATCCAAGCTCGGTCACAGGCACATCAGGGGCTCTGATAAGAAGAATGTTTGATCTCAAACCGGCTCTCAATGCAGCGCAAGGTTCGTCCTCGCCGTTAGGCCCTGTGCCCAGAATTTCCGAGTTATACATCTTGTATGCACCCTTAACCGCTCTCGATCTCACGAACCAAAAGAGTCTTTTGGAGGCCTCGGTAGGGCCCAAAGGACCAGAGCCCTCGGCCTTAGTATCGTAGACGTCGAAAATCTTGGATCCGGTTCCAAACCGTCTTCTCACGGCAAATTCAGAGCAGTTGTCCTCATCCAAATCGATAATGTGTGGAACATACCGCGAAGAACGACGGTGAGGGTGGAAAAGAACCGATTTGGCAAGAACCACCGGCCTCATCACCGGCGAGAGCAGAAGTTCAATAGGCATGCTGTACTATCTGTGGATGATTGTTAGCAAAGTAGTCTTCAGATGTGGTATGAAAGAAAAGGGGAGTGATTTATAGTTCATCCTAGACGCTGGGGCCCAAAATATCCTCCATGCGGTGCACGGGTGTCGGTTTCCAAAGTGTTATTATTTTGTTTTGGTAATTTTTAAAATCCAGCCATTTGCATAAACAGATAAAGCTGGTTGGTGTGTCTGGTGCTAATTTTCTGTGTTGGTCTGCTGGATTACCCTTCATAGAAACCCTAATCTTGATCTTTTCCCATAATGGCTTTGTCCAATGCGAATCCGGCAGGGCTTTCGGGGCCCAACACTTCGTCTAACTTTGTTAGGGCCGATGATCTGGAGCAGAGAGTGGTCTCAAGGATCGAAGTGGACACCGTACAATCGGAAAAGCAGTTCGTGAACAGATGGCCAACGCTCTTTGAAATTCTCAACCGCAAGACCCAATCTCCTGTTGACCTGTGGTCGTTCTATGTCTACATGAGAGATGAACAAAGAAACATAGACTATCTAGACTTTTGGATCGACACGGTGCAGCATATGGGTCTTTGCAAGACCTATGTCAAGGGGCTCAAACAGTCGCTGGCAGTCAACGAGAGAATACGAAATGCTGACCAGACTTTCAACTCTGCCACGGGACAAAGCACTCCCTTGAGACAGCAGACTCCGCCTTCTAATAGACAGTCCAATACCAGCAGCAGAGACTCAAAGTCCTCGTCGCTCCTGTTGGACCTGCTCATGCGCAACAATCTCCTTGAAGAGTCCGATTCCCGCAGAATGTCCGCTTTTCTCCGAGGAGAAAGCAGTGTGCGATCGAGCGATCCGTTGGTGAACGCCAAGATCGATGAGCTGAAACGACAGTCACAGACTCCGAGCGATGACAACTTAAGAGATACCACAAAGGAGTCAAACTCTGCGAAGAGAGTTTCTAGAATCAATCCTCAAATGATTGAGACTATGATACAGCAAGATCTGCTTCCTCCTGAGAAACCGTTCAAGGACAGTCATTTCGCCACACGCGAGAAACTCAATCAGTCGGCACAGAATATAGTGCGCACCTATTTCCTCGACAGCTCGCCCAAGAGAATTGTGATACCTCCAGAAATGGTAGAAAGAGTGATCCGGGCCGTTCACAGAGACGGACGCGATGACCCAGAGATCTTTGACGAGTCGCGCGAGTTTGTTTTCAAAGCTATGGAGCACGAGGCCTACCCTAATTTCCTGCGATATCATGCATTGTCAAACGTGACGTCTAAATCAGCAACGTATAGAATGCTGGGCTCGTTTTTGTCTGGATTGGGGGCTTTCTGGACCGGATACACTCTTATTTTCCTTGACTATCAACCAAAGCAAGTGCGGTGGGTCGTTGTCGTGCCTTTCTTTTTTGCATTCTACTTGTTGTTGAGCAGCTACTACCGGGTAGATCCCTTGTTGTATTTTGCTGGCTACAGCGAGAGCTACGCGTCGAAAAGAGGACTTGTGCCCATCAAAGAGCCTTTTGTGAAGAACTTGCTGCGGCGTCGCTCTATATTCGTGCTGTTGCTCATCTTGCTGATGACAGCTGTTCTGAGCATCATATTCGCCCTGGTGCCAGGCAGAAGGCTATGACAGCAGATTTTTTTATTCACTTTATCGATGGTTATAAACGGAAGATCTCATTAGGGTATCGGTCAAACGTAGATGGTAGATGTGTCAACCTGCATGGCGGACTGTTGCGGGTATTCGGACGGCTGAACATAGTCTTCCTGGAAGTATGGGTGCATCAGAGCTCTCTTGGCGCTGATTCTTCCTGCAGGATCGTATGTCAAGAGCTGTTCCAAAAGATCGACACCGTGAGGGTCCAGATTAGGAACTATGTCGGCCAAATTCTGCTTTGACCATTTAGGGAAGCTAGGCTTGAAATCGCTCAGATAAGTGACGTCTGGCCAGATCTCCTCAGTTGGTGTTCCCAGAACACGGAAGATCTTGAATATTTGATCGATCTCAGAATCACCAGCAAAGAGCGGCTTCCTGTTGGACATCTCGGCAAAGATACAACCGATAGACCACATGTCGACTCCTGTAGAGTACTGTTTCCCTCCAAGCAGGATCTCAGGGCTTCTGTACCACAGCGTGACAACCTCGTGAGTGTATGCACGCAGTGGAACGCCAAAAGCTCTGGCAAGGCCAAAATCGGCAACCTTCAAGTTACCTTCCTTGTCGATCAGCAGATTTTGGGGTTTCAGGTCTCTGTGCAAGACTCGGTGCGCGTGGCAGTGGTAGAGCCCACGAACGAGCTGGAGCATGAACTTCTTGACCATGTCTCTTCCCAGCCCTTCACCTTCAGGAATAGACTCCATGTATTTCTTGAGGTCCATATCAAGGAACTCGAAAACAAGATAAATCTTGTTAGAGTTGGAGTGCACGATGTCATACAGAGCAACGATGTTGTCGTCACGAAGCTCCTTCAGAAGCGAGATTTCACGAATCGTGGTGGATGGGACTCCCTCGTCCTCAGATTCCAACCGGATCTTCTTCAGTGCCACTACGCGGTTGTTGTGTTTGGTATCTAATGCCTTGTAGACCACTCCGTAGGTTCCTGACAGTTAGTATAAATTGCACAAGCCTTGTCTTAAAGTACTCACCTTCTCCAATCTTCTCCAGCTTCTCGAAATCGTTTAGTTCTGCCATGGTGTTTCGTAATCTAGTTAACTTTTTTAAAGGGACGTGAATTGCGTATGTAGTAGATCCAACAAATGAGTTTCTTGTGCCACGGTATACAGCTGAGTTATTGCTTCTTTTGCTTTTGGCAGGTCTAGATCTGGGGACGTCGTATATCAGGTGACTTGAATACACTCAATTCCACTTCGATCTAACTCGTTTTCGTGATCTGTCTGAAAAGAGAAAAAGTTTGTTTACGTTTTTTGCGGTGCACAGATGTCGTGTTCCAGATGGCTCTCCTGTGTCTTCAAACTATGTAGTCCATACGTAGAGTCAGCACCCGGCTTTACTCTGCCTTGGCCTCTTTTTGCTTTTGCAGCTTCTTCAGCCTCTTAGCTCTCGTGGCCTTCATTGCCTTGAAGGTGGAGTTGGCGATGAACTCAGAATACACTCCCACGGTATTGTGTGCAACGTATTGCATCAGGGCATGGGAAGGGTATGGAGAGCTAGTGGCAAATCTGTCCTGGGCACCGCCTCTTCTGCCCATGTTTCTCAAAGTGGCAGCAACAAAGTCTTTTGGAGTAGGAATAAAGAAAGAGCTTCTTCTGATGGCCGACAGAGCAGTGGTGACAAAGTATGCCAGAACCAGCTCGACGTCAATCTTCTGGCTCTTGAGCTCGACAGACAAGGCTTGAGAGAAGTTTTGCAAAAACGACTTCGATCCAGAGTAAGTGGCAAGGTACGGAGTTGGGAAAAGACCGGCAAAGGAGCCAACGTTCACAATAAGACCCCTGCTGGCCTTCTTGGAGGCAATGGCTTTGTCGATAACAGGAATGGTGAGTTTGGTCATTTTGGCCAAAAACAGGTTGTTGATGGTCAGAATGTTGTCCAGTTCCTCGTCTGGCGTCTCGACAAAAGGAACTGGGCCTTCGTGCGAACGGCCCACGTTGTTGATCAGCACCGACACAGGCAGGTCTTCAATCGATTTGGAGAGCAAGGCGTACAGTTCAGGGGTGTTTTTCGAGCAATCCGCAGCAACCACTCTGGTTTGCACCTTGTACTTTGTCTCGATGTCTGTGGCAATTGCCTCCAGCTTAGATTGCGTTCTTGAGATTAAAACAACGTTGAGACCCCTGGAAGCAAGTTGTTTGGCAAATTCCTGTCCGATACCCTCGGACGCTCCGGTGATGACAGCCCATGCGCCCTTTTTGGCTCCGTAAACCTTAAAGTCGACAGGGGGCAGGAGGAACAAACTTGTGATGAGCGAAAGGAAGCTGTACGTTTTTGAGACGATCTTCAGCAGCCCAATTGCTGTGGCCGCGTAGACTAGGCCTGTAATCAGTTTGCAATCAAATGTTGGAAGAGCTGGCATTAAAAAAAAAAGAAGGCAGAAAATTATTGCCAAAAAAACTCAAGTGGGGACTTGTTTCACAAATCGCCATCATAAAAAGTCGTCGCGTTCTCATTATTACGTACGTCTGGTCCTATACCGTACTGCTTAGATGAAGTTGAGCGCCTCCAACTTCTCTTCTGCTAGTCTACACCGCACGTCCTCGCTTCTGCCCGCTCTGGAGTACCTTTCCACATCCATCTCTAAATGAAGGCGTTTTATAGCCGACTCCGCTAGCACCTTATTGATTTTGTCCAGTTCGTCAAAAGATTTGCTCAGTGATGCCTTGGTCCCGCCCGAAACTCTGAGCCGTATCACCCAGTGGTTTTCGTTCGAGTTTGTAGGCTCTGTTTCTGTACCGACAGAGTCCTGCTGTCTTCGATCGTGTTCGCTTCTACCCCCGTTTCGCGAGCTTGGCTTCGAATGTGCAAGTTCGCTGTTATCTCTGGACGACCCTGATCCATTCATGGAATGCGACACACCGCTTCTGGGCCGAGACTCGCCATCGCGTTCCTCATAATGGTCATATTGCTGGTCGTGATGATTGTCGTTGTATCCGCCGTGATAGCTTCCTCTACCGCGTCCCCGGGGTCTGTGCGGTCCCCTATAGGGCCCCCCTCGACGGGGATAGTTTCCCCGATAATCTTCGCTGGTTGGCTCAGGATATGTGTTCGATTCGTATGGCACACCGTCATCGTTGTAAGACCGCTTGTATGCGTACGATCCACCTCTTCCACGTCCTCTGGAGTAGTATGGGTCTCTATAGTTATATCCATAACCATAGCCGTTACCTCTAAACCCACTCATGGTAAAAAGCAGAGATGTCCGTCGAAAATTAAAGAGGAAGAAAATATAAAAAATGCAATTTTGCTTATTAGCTTTAGATTGCAGCATATGAATTGTCGCGGGGGTTGTTGACATTCTCCTATTGTAAACAAACGTATCTGAGATTGCTTCATACTATCTCTGGGTCGAAAATCTTCAACATTGGTGAGCACGCATAAGGAGAGTAGACACTAGGTTGTCGGGACACCTACTCTTGTCCGGTCATACTCACGAACAGCATAACTGATTCTGAATTCAGCACGTGTAGCTCAGTGGTAGAGCAGCAGATTGCAAATCTGTTGGTCCCCGGTTCGAACCCGGGCACGGGCTTGAATTTTTTCCAATTATTTTTTAGCTGAAAATAAAAGTTAGCTCTCATTAATTATGAATCTATCCACTAATTTGGTATTGAATATGGACATCACGACCCAATTCCACTCCACAATACGGTAATGCTCCCCCTCGGCCAGTTTGCGAAAATGGGCCTGTAGCGGCTCATCTTTTGCTTCGCAGAGTAGATATCTTGTAGCTGCCACCTTTTTTGGCAGTCTCTTGGTTTTCTTGTCAAAGATCAGGCACACCTGGCAACCAAATGACTTCACAATACTACTGATTAGGTCTGGCCCGCCTGGGATCGTAGCTGAGATACAGAAGTCCCCCGTTTCAAATAGTTTGGAGTTTGAATGTTCAATCAAATTGACGATATTCTGCGCACCTAGCGAGGGATCGAGGAATAGCTCTTTCATCTTGGGGTCTTTCTTGAAGTTGATATGTCTTGATAAATTATACTTGTCAATTCGTGGTTTCACGCGCTCAAAATTGTCTAGTTTATGCGAGTTTATGGTAGCGAGAACGTCTATGAGGAACATGGGCGTGAGTAAATATTTTGGGCTTTTGCTTAACGACTTGAGAAACTTCTCGGTTCGAAGAATGCCAGGAGCAATAATGCAATTAAGGGAGTTTGTCGGCTGTTCGACAACCTTGATACCCACTTTGCTGAAATTTCGGAGATCAGAAGCACTGAACTCCCTATCACAACCGGTCAGTATTGCAACGATATCGTACGGTTTGCTGTTTGGTTTGAGCTTTTTGCGTGGCATTTCCAGTGAGCTAGACACATCTTGGGAATCCATTCGCGTGTTCTGGCTACTGGTCAATCCGATCTCTAAGCTTGTGTGACCAACAGCATGCGCAACGTCCAGCTGGTCCCCGAACTTCAAGTAGCGGGGGTCAGAGTCATCTTGGAGCTCCCATTTGGCATAACTTTCCTCGAGCCATAGATGGTTCAGGCATTTGATATTCCACTCCTGTGCGTATTTGTACTTTTCGCCCGTCGGCTTCGCGACAAGCAGATGCGTGGTGGTGAATTGTCGAAGATTTTTCGTAAACGTTCCGCCCATGATTTCCACCAGCTGCTGTAAATACAAGCGTGAATCGCCACTATAATGCGTAACGGAGACCACCACCCTATCCATCCCTTCTAGGGGTTCTTTAGGATATGGATAGTGGAGCATTATTTTACCTGGAGTGATCCACTCCTCGTGCAACAGCATCCAGAATAGCCAATTCAGGTTTCCGGTAGGCCATTTCTCCTGGTTCGCGAGCTGGTACATATCACCAACTCGATACTTCCCAATGTAGGTGTCTGCCCGATCTTCAGAATCCACCTTGCCTCCGTGCTGTTCTATGAGTGTTTTCAGGCTAGAGCTCACTCGGCTCGAGATATTAAAATCATCATCCAAAAAAAATGTCCGTCCTTTGAACAGAGCAGAAGTCACCGGCTCTGCGTATCGCTCCTTAGAGCCAACACCATATCTGTCCTCCTCGAGTCTGTGTTTAGATATAATACTGTCTAGAAGCCATTCGGGCCTCACAATCCTAATAACGTCTCGCTCACAAGCCTGGTTGAATGCGATAGCCATACGGCACATGTCGTCGTCTGTGTCAACGGCAATCAGATGGGTTGTTCTTCGGGACAGATGGTCTGTGTGTATTCCGCCAAATGAGCGCACGGCGCTGAACAGGGCCTCCTTATCGCCTTTGCAGATCGAAGCTGCGCAACATATGCTTACACTGCTAAGGAAGTATTTGGGATCAGGTGAATACGATCGCAACGTCTCGATCAGGTTTGCAGCAATTGAGTCTACCACCCACGCATCTCGCACAACCGGAATCATCAATTCTTCCGCGAGCTGGTACTCCACAAAATCTACCGTGTTCGAGACTATCAGTGTGACTTTTGCCAGTTTCTCGTTAGAAACTGGAATCAGGTCAGAGTTCCGCTTGATCAGGATGCCACCCTCCTCATCGTATCCAGTGCTAATGATCTGCTTCTTCAGGTTCTCTGCCTTGGTCGCAGACAGCTCACTGGACTGTATGATGAGGAATCGATGGCCCTCAAAAAGAGACATGCGCGTTTGGAGTAAATATTTCACGGAAAAAAATATTCTTTTATTATTTTACCATGTCCGAGGAACCCAAGTTTGCTGAGCAGCAGGTCTCGGCATCTCAGCTGATGGCTGAGGCGTACGAAAAGAGACAAAAACCCGTGCAGCCGGCCAAGATCCAGATCCAGGACCTGGAAGAGCTGAGGGAGTACCAAGGCCGGAAAAGAACAGAGTACGAGAAAGCTCTGCGTGTGAAGCGGTTCGATTTTGGCCAGTGGATGCGGTACGCACAGTTCGAGATCGATCAGAAGGACTATGCGCGGGCACGTTCGATTTATGAGCGCGCGCTCGAGGTCGACCATAAACAGGTACCTTTATGGATCAGATACATCCAGACAGAGCTAAAAGGCAAGAACATCAACCACGCTAGAAACCTGCTAGACAGGGCGACGAGACTTCTTCCTCGTGTAGACAAATTATGGTACCAATACGTTACAGTGGAAGAGTCTGTGGGGGATGTTGTTGGAACACGCCAAATATTCGAGAACTGGCTCCAGTGGCGGCCGGGCCCAGAGGTGTGGGAGCACTATATTCGATTTGAGACTCGGTACAACGAGTTCGAGAACGCCAGGCTGCTTTTTGAAAAGTTTGTGGTGATGCATCCCAGCTCTGCAACCTGGCTCCAATGGGCAGAGTTCGAGAAAGAGCACGGAGATGAGGTCAATGTCCGCAATGTTTACAGGCTTGGAGTCGAAGCACTGCGACAAAAAGGCACACTGGACGCAAAGATCATTTACTCGTGGATACAGTTCGAGATCTCGATGAAAAACTGGGAGCAGGCGAAGCTGCTTTTCGACTATGGGTTTGAGCATTTACCAGAGGACGAGAAGGTCGCGCTGCGCGCCGATTACACGCAATTCGAAAAACAGCATGGCCAGAAAGAGTCGATTGAGAAGTCAGTGGTGAGCAAACGGATGGCTGTCTACGAGCAGGAGCTGGCGCGCAACCCGAACGATTACGATACATGGTGGGCGTATTTAAAGCTTGTGGAGCCTATTTTTGACGAGAAAAAATACGCGCACAAACTACAGGAGGCAACAGATACAGTTCCATCGAGTGAGCTGAAAAGCGGATGGCTCAGCTATATTTATCTCTGGATGAAATATCTTATTTGGAGCGAAAAACGAGACGTTAAGAAAACCAGAGAGCTATACCAGAAATTGATCTCGCTCATTCCTCACAAAAAATTCACCTTTTCTCGCGTATGGGTGATGTGTGCAGAGTTCGAGATTCGACAGGGCCAGCTGGCTGCTGCCCGGAAGGTGCTAGGACGGTCAATCGGACTCTGCGGTGATATAAAAGCTATGAGGTACTACATTGAGCTGGAGACGCAGCTTCGCGAATTTGACCGTGTGCGCATGGTCTACACAAAACTGGTCGAGCTGCATCCGCGCGACAGCACTAACTGGATTGACTTTGCTTCGTTGGAGGCAGATCTAGGGGACAGGGCGCGTTGTGTTGCAATTTACGAGCTGGCAGCCGGGGAGGACAGTTTATCCGTGAACGAGAGGAAGAAGGTGCTGGAAGCCTACTACGAGTACGAGATGGAGGAGCGCAAGTACGACAACGCCAGAAAGATCAGAGACCGCATAGTACAGCTTACCGACGGCGACGTGAGAAGTCTTGTTCAGCGGTGTCTGATGGAGCTAAAAGTCCCGACGCAGCAACAACTTGACGAGTTTGCGTGCCGCCTAGAAGAAACAGGAGACGACCAGTTCCAGTTCGAGGTCACTCAGGAGGCCAAGGATCGCTGTCGCGACGTTTTCAACAAGACGATTGAAACTACAGACGGTCCAAAGAAAAAGCAGATGATAGATGCATTAATATCGTTTGAGCGCAAACACGGTACAGATGCACAGGTCGCTGCCGCAGAGGCGCGACTCCCGCGCATGGAAAAACGGTTCCGGCATAATGCTAATGGTGAAGAGGAGGAGTATTATGAGTATGTGTTTGACAGTCCAAAGCCTGTGAGAGCATCCGGACTCTCACGGTTCGAGGAGTGAATCAAAAGTCATGCTTTCGAACAGGAATTTCGAAAATGCAGGTATTAAGCAGACAGTACGTTGTGACTGCGATCAATGCAAATGAGTAGATGGTGGCTGTGATTTTAAAGCCCAGCCAGCCAGTTAGAGTGTACAGCTCCGACTGGGAAACGGCCATGGTCCCCAATGGGAATGTCGACGCCCAGAGCGTCTTTGACCAGCTGTGTATGAGGCCATATTTGAAGACTCCCAAAGTAGCCATCACGGTAATGCAGATGCCCATTGAGACGAGAGACATGGCCACGTAGATGGACCCAAGCTGAAGCAGTGCCGCCACCACTTGTAGGAACTCTTGGCTGAGCAAAGCTGTGGCCTTAATGAGCTCTGGCTCGTTCTGAAGGAGCTCTGCCAATTGCTGGAAATTCAGCAGTGTAGCAAATGCGCCCTGTCCCAGCACACCAATAGGGATGAAACACGAGTAGATACTGGCTTTGGAAGGCAGGCCTAATGTGAGCAGCTTGTAGAAGTAGACAGATATGAGCGGGAAAGCAAGCAGAAGAGCGTTGCTGAGTAGCATGAATGTGACGATCTCAGACGAAAGCTTCCACCTGGCAGAGTCGAGTTCTGCGCTCACAATGGAGCCGGTGGACGAGGCCACTGTCAGGGTGACCACGGGGAGCAGGATGGTGGCGTTGAGGTTGCTGGCGTCCAAGTTGTTCACGGCCATCATCAAAAAGGTGACTCCCCAGGCACAGAGCAGACTGAGAGCTACCTGGATCCACCACAGCGTGTAGGTGAAAACCGACCATTCCGGCCTCAAATAATGAATCATGTTGATCAACGAGCCGAGTCCCATGGTCTCTGCTCCAAGGAACACGCTGAGCCGGTGATCTTTGAGCAGCCCCCAAAATGAGACTCCGTCGTAGCGGTTGAAGAGCACAAAGTAGCGCAGGAAGAAAAGCGCGTGAATGATGATAAATGCAACGAGATCAATGAAAAAATACACGATACCCACGTATTTCATCCCCACGCGGACCTGCTCGATCGGGAAGTTGTACATCACTGAGCTAGTGATGCCCAGCCCCATATTGATGACGAAGTAGATCGGGTGGAAGTCTGCAAGCACAGCATCCAGAAACGTCCCAATCCGAGACGGAGATACCGTCGTCTTGGTGTCAAAGGATGAGAGGGAGGATGCCATTGAGAGAATATTGGGGCAAATGTACCATATATATCATGCTCGGAGTTTGATACGTCCCCGAGGAGAAAAAAAAATCAAATACCGAAAATTACGGGGATTGATTAGCGGAAAAATAGTCACGGTCATGATTCATTAAAAAACTACATGATCACGCACTCTCATAGTTTTGGCTTGCTTGCAAGCCGTTTCAGTAGTTGTTCCGGATACAGCTCAGTCGTCACAAGGGGCCCCATGTGCCAGAACCCCCCGTCGACTATCTGCACGGTACCGGTGATGTACTGCGCAGCGTCGCTGAATAAAAAGATGGTCGCCTGCGCAATGTCGTCTGTGGAGCCCAGTTTCTGTAGAGGAATCTTTTTCTGCATTGGAGACCCCGAAGAAAGCTTTCTGTACCCCTCTGTGTTGCCAATTGCACCTGGAGCAATCGCGTTCACACGGACACCGATCGGTCCCAATTCAACGGCCAGAGCGTTGGACAGGGCATCAACACCTGCCTTGGCAGCACCCACATGTGCCTGGAACGGCACACCGTAGTAGTGGAAGGTTGCAGACACGAATAGGACCGCGCCTTTGTTTTTCTTTAGTTCGCTGTAGCATGCCTTCACCGTGTTGAACGAGCCCAGCAAGTCGATATCCACAACGGTCTTGAACGCATTGGCACTTAGGGAGTTGAAATCGGCGATGAAGTTCCCAGCCGCCCCACAGATGACAAAGTCGATCCGGCCCAGCTCGTCCACAGTCTTCTGGACGGCGCGAACCAGATCGTCCAGCTTGCGCACGTCGCAGTCGCCGATGCCTATTGCCCGGACGTCCTCTCGTAGTTCGTTCAGCTCAGAGGCTGCAGTGGTCGCCTTCTGTGTGTTTCTGCCGATTATTGCTACCGAACAGCCCAAAGTGACGAGGGCTTCGGCTTGGCGTTTGCAGATAGTGCCCGAGCCGCCGGTGACAAAGGCAACCTTGTCCTTGAACAGATCTGGCTGCCAAACACGTAAGAAGGGAGAAGAAGACATAATGGTTCTGGAAGGTAAGTTATTTCACATGCATATATTCCCCACAATTATTTTTTTCACGTCTCGCCAGCTTCTTCCTCTTCGGTGTAATTATTAATTTGGAACGTTTTTCCAGCCTTGAGAATAATGCTATTCAGCTTTTTCTTCTTTTCGGGCGTCCCAAGATCGTCCTCGTTCGGTCGGGCGTTTTTCGACGTCAGCGGAGAGTTCTCCTGTTCGACGTCGTCCGGAATGTCTGGAGACGTAGGACTCACCTCTATAGCTTCGGCCTGCAAAGACTGTTCGCGCGCGTCGTCGCCGGATGCAATCAGCTCAAGCCCTATAGGGTCAAGCTTCAATATGTCAGAGTACTTGGTCACCATGTAGTTGCGCAGCGCCTTGAAGTTCATAAGAGCTTTGTTCTGTAGCACAAGATGGAGCACACTCAGACAGGCAGAATTAACCAGATTGTTCTGCCGAGCTGTTTCGCGCAGCATGTTCATGAACTCACGAAGCACGTCGTTCTCAATAAGATAGCGAGCATAGTCCTCGTCGTCCAGCATGATGATCGCTTTGATGCAACGCAGGGCACTGAGCCGTAGCTGCAACGAGTAGCGTTTGTGGTGGAGGTTGCCTATTCCGCGGAGCAAATGGTGCTCCAAAATAAACGTCTTGCTCAAGGTTCTGTCATGCTCTCTTGCGACAAAATTGAGTAGCTCGCACAGGTTGGAGTATGTGATGGTGGTGGACTTGCTCGACGGGCTGGAAACGCGTTTTTCTAGCGGTGAAAATAGCTTTTCTGCGGCTCCCTTATAAAAACTCTGGAGATAGCCGGATTCCACGAGGCTCGTGTCGACGTTGGAGTCTGCGTTGCCGAGAGACGAATCAAAGGGCAGGGTCGACTGCGCGATGCTGGCAGGGTCCAAAAGAACCTTGATGGCCTCGAATGCCTGCGTTTTGAGTCCAACGTTGGAATCGTGCAAAAGAACTTCGATAAGGATGGAGATCAAAGTCGTGTCGATCTCGGTCTCGTTCTTGTTGAAGAGAAGCACGTCATGCTCTATGATGGTGACAATGAGCTCCGTGGCCAGTATTCGGCTCTCCGTGGCGGAGTCTTTGAATGCGAACTGGATGAGTCTGACCAGTCCCTGGTCGATCAGGGCTTTGTAGAACTCGGATCGCGGCACAGGCTGGAATTTCTTGGCGATGTGAGTGAACTGGTGGATCAGCTTGATTCCGTCGCGTGCCTTGGACACGTCGAGGTCGGACGTGTCGTCGTACAGCTTGAATAAGGCGGGCAGGAACTCGGGATCTGAGCGAATGAATTTAAGAATGTGGTCCTCATTGTGATGGATCATGGTCGAGATACAGTTGAAGGACGCGTCGTCCAGCAGTCTGGCCAGTACGACGTCCTTGAGAAAATAGAGCCGGAACGTTCGTCTCACGAGATCCTTGATTTCGTCGCTCTTGATCGGGATCACCTCTTTGAAGCTGGTCTTTTCGGCAAGGTACTGTCGGTTGTTGGTCTTGTAGTTAGGGAACTCGGAATCGTACTCGAGGATCCCGACAATGCCGTCGATCGAGTCGTCGTCCACGAAAGTCTCCATAATGGCCGATTCGCTGTAGAAAACCAGCGTCTTGACAATATCACATAGATAGTAGAGGTTGATCAGATTCTTGTTCTGCTCGTTTCTGTGGAACGTTTCAATCAATTTAGTCAGAAAGCCCTCGTCCCGGATAAATTCCAGCAGAGTCTCCTTGAATCTGTTGGACTTTGCGCCCTGGTTCAAGAGCTCCAAAAGCTCCGCCAGGTTCGTGTCAGTGGGGAAACACGGCTCTGGCACAGGGCCGGCAATCACCTCTGTGACTTCGCCGTCCTGGCCGTTCGATACCACGGCCACAAGCGATATGTTGGGCTCAATTGTGTGCTGGATGTTGATGAGAAATTCGCATAGCGACAAACACCCGTCTGGCTCCTGGAACGAGAGAGCGTAGTCGTTCCCCTGACTGTCTGTCCAGACAATCAGCGTGTCTTGCTGTCGCTGGTACTGTGTAGAACCCTCGATCGTGGCCTTCAGTAGCGTTTGGGAGGTGTCATTCTCGTTTCGAACAAGGAAATGGGGGCCTCCCTCCAGCATTCCTGAACAGTACCCCGTGCCCCGGTCGACCCACTTGTCGTCTTCGAGCGTGTACACCTTCACGCGCCGCGGCGAGGTTGGCCGTACAGCGTCCATTGGGGATATTATTACGAAGCTCGGAAGCGGTATGGACGCGAAATATTGCACAAGTCTAGGACAACGTTCAAAAATGTGACGTTTTTGACTTTACCTAATCGTCCGCGTTCGACGGGCAAAAAAAAAAATTAAAAAAATGGCGACGCGTCGGTGCTATCTTTGTGCATTTAAATATATTGCCACTAATCCTTGTCGTCTCCGGCTACAAAGCTCGCAGTATCCGCTGTAGTGTCTGCCGGCTCTTCATTGGCAAGCAGCCTTTCCTTCTTCGCCAGCTGCTCCTTCAGTAGCTTCTCTCTCTGTTTCAGTTCCATGGCTTTCTTCTCCAGCTCCGCAGCACGCTTAGCCAGCTCCTGCGCAGACTTGCGCTCCAGCTCTTCCAGTTTCTGGTGCTTACTCATCAGAGTCTCATGCTTGAGCAGATAAGGCACGGTCTCGCTGATTTTACGAAGCTGTCTGGCGTTGATTGACGGCGATCCGGAGTACTGAGACGACACAGAAGGAGAGTTCGGTAGCCGAGGCGTCGTGGTCGGTGTGGCTGTGTTCGAGCCCGTCAGCCCAGCGCCCACAGGCGTCTCTTCCTTGTCATCCACCAACGAGGTCAGCTCGTCGTCTTTCTGGAACGAGTAGTCTGACTCTGGCTTGCCCTTGATAATCTCTGGAGGCTCTGTCAGCGAGGCTGCGCCCAGTTTCGAGGCCACGGAGTCCACCTTGTTGTCCTTGGTGATCTTGGTGGTGCCTGTGGTTCCCGTGGACAGCATAGACGAGATTCTCTGCGAAGGAGCGTCGAACTTGGCCATGGACTTGGAGTTGGCAATGTCGGCGAGGTTCGACATTGACGGCGGCTCCGACGCGATTCCTCCGGCCTCGGCTGCACGCAGTTCCTCAAGCTCGGTAACACTCATCAGTTTTTCAGTACGGTAGTTCTCGTACAGGAAGTCGTGCGTAATGTCCTTGAGGTCCTGTAGATGGGAGCCCAGAAGAACAGACTTCAGGACCGGGAAGTCCGAGTACTCGGTGTTGTTGATGTCTATGGACCCCCATGGATAGGCCCTGACACGGGTCTTGACGCCGTTGATCTCTGCTTCTTCGTCAGAGGTGATCACGGCAAACGGCTGCATCTCGCTCAGATACCGGTTTTCCTCCACCACGTCGTCGTCGTCGTCTGCGTCGTACTCAAACTGGTAGATCGGGATTTTATGATGGTCTATGTCCTGCATGATGTTTCTTTTGAAATTGAGAAGCTCTGTTTTCGTGAACGAGTCGGCTCTGCCAATGACAGGAATCACGTTTACAAATTTCGACAGCTTTTTCATCGTGTCGACGTCCAGCTCGCGCAGCCCGTGGCCTGTAGGCGTGATGAAGTACAGACACACATGCACTCTGGTATCGACAAACCGGGGGTTTCTTCTGACCCTGGTCTCCTCTGCCAGGACGAGATCGAACTGCTGTTCGAGGAAATTGATGATCTCCGTGGCACACACCTCGTTGTTGATGTTGTCGCCAAAGCCCGGGGTGTCAATGATGGTCAGCAACAGCTTGGAGTCGTCCTCGTCGAGGATCTCGACAGAGGTCTCTGTGATGGAGATTCCAGGCTCCTGATTCGCCACTTCCGGATCAAAAACCCTCTCGTACTCGGTGGCGTCCGAAACCACACCGCTCAGGTTGGCAAACGTGATCGTCTTGCGGATCGTCTCCTCTCCGGTCGGCTTGTGGTACTGGTACCTGTGCGGAAGAATGTTTCTCTCGAGAAGCGAGTTGACAAACGAGGTCTTGCCTGTTCCCGCACACCCGCACACCATCACCGTGAACCGGATGCCTCGCTTCAGGTCTTTCTGGCGTCTCAGCACGGCAGACGAGTTTCTCTTGGACATTTTGCAAGCTGGTGATGAGTGTCCTTTTTGTTGTTTTTTCACGCGTCCAAATCGCTTTGATTTTCTGCCATGCGCAGATCGGGCAGTCTCTTAATTTTTTGAAATATCTCTCCATGTCTTTCAGAACCATCGAGGCAGCCCGCGCAGCACTGCTGGATCAGGAGCTCATGTCCACCATGGGCTTTTCCATTGACCAGCTCATGGAATTGGCTGGTCTGGCCGTGGCACAGGCCATCTACAAAGAGTACCCGCCCTCCTCTGCCAAGAATTGCTTGATCCTTTGCGGCCCAGGAAACAACGGCGGAGACGGCCTTGTGGCCGCCAGACACCTCAAGCTGTTCGGCTATGCCCCAACAGTGTACTATCCAAAGCCAACAAACAGAGAAATATTCACTGGACTCACCACGCAGCTCCGCAACTTCAACGTCCCGTTTGTGTCTGACCTCGCTCCAGAACTCAGGTCATGTGACCTGATCGTGGACGCGCTGTTTGGGTTCTCGTTCAAGCCGCCAATCCGCAAACCTTTCGACGCAGTCATCGAGAGCATGCTGCAAGCGCAAAAGGACAAGAAGAAGATCATCGCCGTGGACATCCCGTCCGGCTGGGACGTCAACGAGGGCCCTGTTGCTGAAGAAATCTCGGATTACCAGCCAGACCTGCTGGTGTCTCTCACGGCCCCCAAACCATGCGCAAAACTCCTGAAGAAAGGAGCACTACACTACGTGGGAGGACGATTCATCGAAAAGACGTTTGCAGAAAAATGGAACATCGACGTGCCAGAATACCCCGGCATCGACCAATGCGCAAAAGTTGATTAGGTACCATACGGACAAAATGGCTAGCAAAAATATATGCAATTCATACGAGAATGAAATATGGCAAGCAAAAGAACTGAATAAACACACTTAATGATATGGAAATGTCCCTTATTCGCTGGAAAAATCGACAAACTTATAACAAGAGCTAGTAATACAATGGAAAATTCATGATCGTCAACCAAGCTCATTTCGGATACTGGGAAAGTGGCATTTGCTGGTAGGAAAACTGTTGGAATCCATTGTACTGACTTCCGCCGTTCTGCACAGCAGCCCCAGTTGCATTGCCGTTTTGCGTTGTATTATTTTGAGAACCGTAGCTTGGATTATTGGACCCCCGTCGGTTCTGGCCTGGACCCCTCACACCTAGTGGATTCTTGCTGAAACTCAGGCGGATTCCTCCTTTATTATTCGAGGTAGATCCATTGGCACGAGGAAGTGTGCGACCATACAGTTCTGCCAAAGCCCGTGTAGCGTAAGCAACATCTTCGAACTCAACAAAGCACATTGGTCCATGATGCGAGCTTGATCCGTTACCTGTATTTTGCTTCGTTCGGAACGACAACCTGCGGAAGCCTTTCTGTGGCTGGAATAAAGTACGAAGCTCAAGCTCTGTAGCGTCAGGTGGCAGATTACCAACATACAGTGTGTTGCATGGTGGATTTTGGTCAGCGGGATTCGCGGGTGGAGGCACTCTGGCCAACAATGACAACTCGGGAATATGCTGCTGCTGTTGTTGCTGAGAAGACTGAACCAACGATTGCTGGAATGGGGGCGACGTAATCGAAGGAGTTGAAGCTCCGTTGACAAGCATCGATTGCTGCGTTCCATTAGGTTGCGAAGGAGCACTTGTGGCAGGCGTTGATTGATTTCCATTGAAAAAAGCAGATCCTTGTTTTCTTCTGTCCCACTCGTTTGTGATCGGGGTGGGTAACCCTGTCGGAAGGGAGGAAGCTAGACCGGTATTGATGGTCAACGACTCAGGGATGCTCTTAGTCGGTGTGTTGTTTGCGGGAGAGGACCCACTCTTAGATGTACTCAAATTTTGCTGCGATGACGGTAGGCCATTGCTTCCCGTAGACCACGGTCTGACCATTTGGTCGTACTCATTATGCGAGTCCATCAAAAGCACACCTTTACTAGTCGAAGCCAACAAAGGCGAGGTCAGTTGATCGAAGACGTTCTGCGTGGATGACGTTGAAGTCACAGGAACAGTGCTCTGTTGCCCTGGAACCAATCCGCCTGGTAGGGCTGAAGTCGGTTGAGACGGCACAGTCTGGGATTGCGATGCTGTTGATGAAGCTGATGAAGTGGAAGAGCCGGGAGGTATGTTTGGATTATTATGACTTGAAAATGGATCGCTGAAAAGGAATCTCGATCTTTGCGTGCTTAGCGGGGGTCTTTTATTCAGTCCAATATTTGACGTCTGAGGTGGGCCGAGCGAGCTAATAACCGGAAGAGCTGATGAGTTGTGAGACGGCGATGTCTGTGCATAAGGCGAACTAGCAAATGACGACGTTTGATCAAGTTGGTCGTTGACCAATTCCACGTTGACCGGCTGATATGCAGTACTGAATAAGCATTTATCGTCGAGAAGTTGCGCAACTTGCTGCGCTGTTTTCAGCGAGCTAAATTTGGCGATGATGACGGGGCTCGATGACACAGAACCATGACTAGAAAGCGATGTCGAGATCGAGCCATTATTCAAATGCGCGGGAGACGAGCCATGAGTTGGCGAGTCCACTTCATGGACGATATCGACGAAAACAACCTCATCTAAACACAGTGAGAATATAAGAAACGCCTCCCTTAGTGTGGTATCCAGTGGCACATTCTTAATTTTCAACACAGCACTCGGTATGAGGTTTGATGTTTTCAACGACAGGTTCGACATTTGTTCCGTTAACTTGGGCTCGTCGTGATTATCTTCCCTGGTGCTCGGAGTCAATGTGTCCTCCGACGTATTATTTAGCTTGGTTTCCAATTCTCCGGACATTGTTATGGCGATAATTATATGCACCTAAAAATACGCGTTTCTTGTTATAGCCTTGAAAAAAAAAAGTTTTGAGCCAAACAGCCGAATGGAGATACTTGATAAGTCGATCGGTGCTAAAACGTTGTGAACGCTCGATAACTTCGGAAATATGTAAACTTCGTAACGTAATGAACTGGAAGTATCTCACGCGGTAATAAAAGACTCTGTAATGACTCTTCTAGTACCCAATCCAGTGGGAAAACCTTGCTGCTTGTTGGTAGATAATTTGATTGTTTATTATAAATTGGAGCGATAAAAGCGTAACAAAGTCAACAAATTGAGACAACAAATTGACTGGCACTTGAAATTATTAATTTGACCCTTTAAAAGGGATAGAGCATAGTATTATGGCAAGGTATCCACTAGGTTGAAGATAGAGATAGGTTTAACTTTTTCTTTTGTGGAAATGGGAAAACGTCGATTTTTTTTGCCCTTACAGTCGGCCCCAGTTTACGTAACGGCGATATCAATTCTTATTGGCTGAAAATGACGCAGGTGAGGTCGATTTTATTGAAAATTGGCAACGCTTTCCTAAAACGATAAAAAGTACTGCCTAGCTAGGCCAGCCCTTCCTGCATTCGGCCGGGTAAATTATATTTCCAACGGTGTTACCCTGACCAGGCTCCGCTGCACATGGCTAAATGCTGATTGATGCTTTCAAGCCCGCGGATTATGTAAATCCTGTAACTTTATGTATCTAATTTATGCATGTCACAAATCCATACATGAAGGATACCACAATACTGACTTTGTGATTCTTGTGATTTGTCTTGTTTTCTCTCCCCTTTAAATAGCAAGCTCACTCCCTCGAATTTCGTTTGCGATTTTGTTATGTGTTCACCTTCTTTGCAAATGGGAGGACAGGACAGAAGATTCAGCAAGCGCAAAACTCAATCTGCTACCAAACAGAAAAAATCCCAGGGAAAAGAATCGGTTAGGGATAGCACTAAAGAAGCTGGCTTTGAGAAAGAAAAAGAGTTGATCTGTGTCAACTACAGCGATTTGGCAGTGTGCTGTCTTCCTTTCATCACACCGGCCAACCATCAGATCAACGAAAGCAAGTACTCCAAAGACATTAACTTGAATTTATTATACAAAGAAACATCTAACCCCAAATCTTTGTCTTATAAGAGCGCAACTGAAATTAGTAAACAACATCTTATGAACAATTTGATTGGATCTATGCAGATGCTGGGGCTCTTTGACTCAGCAGAGAAAAAACAGTCCAAATTACCTTTGTCAGGCCTCTACTACTCCGATTCTGAGGAGCCAGATCTGGACGACGACGTGGATGTCGAAAACCGTCTAGCGCAAACAAAACTGGAGCACAGCAATCTATTTGATCCAATGGGAACTGACATGATGAAGACACAGAATACAGTGGACCTTGTTACGCACGAAGACCCATTTAATCTCCAAACAAAGAATATGGGACAGTTAGGTTCAATGGTGCTCTATTGAGGCCGTTTTCAACCGCAATTTCGCTATAATTATTTTCGCTCAATGCAATTGCTGTGATTGATAAGCGATGCTTTGCAATCAGATATTGATTATTCGCAACACTTCGTCATCTCGCCCTTTCGATAAGGATTTTTTCGCATATTCCTCGAGCGATATGTTGACTTGGATCAACCACTCACTTCTGAGAACTTCATTGGCAGTGAGTCTTCCATCTGGATCTGGATTCAGCATCTTTACGACCGTTTGTCTGCTAATTTCCGGCAGTTTCAAGAAAGTCGAGTCCAGGTTTCTGTTTAGTTGGTAGGAATCTAGCTGTTTCAGCGATGCCAACTCATATTTACTTTTATATTTTTTGAACTCATAATCTTTGGAAGTTGCTTCTGCCCATGGTTTTTGTAGGATGGCGATGTTAAAGTACAGGATGGCCAAGGCCCAAATGTCGATGGCTTTGTAATTAATTTTCTTTGCGTCGATTTGTTCGTCCGGAATATTTTTATAGAGGTACAGTTCTGGCGATTTGAAGGAGGTGGTGCCCAGCGAGAGAAACTCTGCCGTTACCGTGTAGCTCTCTATGCGGTTCAGGTCCATCGCGTTGCCAAAGTCGCCCAGCTTGAGCTCGCCCCTCTCATCGATAAGAAAGTTCTCTGGCTTGATGTCTCTGTGCACTATATTTTTCGAATGAAGGAATTTGATGGCCTGAGCACACTTGAGGAAGAGGAAATCTTTGTTCTGGTTTGGGATTTGCAGATTCATTTTTCGAGCCTTGGACAGCAGCGACAACAGGTCGCCGTTTCTGCAGTACTGGATCAGCATGGAGTAGAACGGCTCATCTTGGCCTGTTTCCAAGAGAAAATCGTAAACATCCAGCACGCAGGCGTGTCCTTGGACGGCTTTCAGTGTGGCAAACTCGTTGAGCGAGTTGAACAGATACGTTCTGATGGACTCTTGCGGTCTGCGCTTGAAGCTTTTGAGGACGACTATTTGGTTGCGATCGGAGTTCAGGCGGCACTTGAAGATCGTTCCGCCCGAGCCGTGGTCAATTTCGCTTTCTTTCGACACGAGCGAATTGACAGAGGGGAGGTCCAGATCGAGGTCCTGCGCCGAGCCGAGTCGTGCTGGAGACGAAAGTTTCTCAAATAGCCGGTCTACCTTGTTCATTTGCTGGTTCTGCAATTGCCGTCGAGAACGAATATGTTTGGTTTCCTAACTAGGACATCCACCAACCGAGAGAGGTGCAGGAGAAGAAACGAAAGCTGGCCCCCACTCTTTTTAAAATTGGACGGCATATCGTGGCCAGTGCAAAGGTGTGGTGTATTTTCTAAATTTTGTAAGCTCTAGAATATCTGCCCATTCCCTCAAATGACGACCGCAGTCCCCGAAGTGTCTGTCTCGGTCGTGACTCCGGCACAGAGCGGCGGCTCGCCCGACCACCTCAAGTCGTCGTGGCTGGTGAAACGGCTGTTTGATGCGTTTGCAGACGCCGTTGTCGAACAATCGAACGAGGCAGGGATCCCTGGGAATCGCAGCAAGTCCATGATCTCGTACTGCATTTCGCCGTTTGCACTGCTGTGCATGCTGACGGCGACCATTCTCAACCGCATCGTCATTTTTGCAAGCACAAGAACCAACAAGCGACTGCCCAGAGTGTCCAAGGTCCTGCTCCGGCTGACAGCGATTTATCTGCTGATGGAGGGCAGCTACGGGCTTCTTGCGGCCCTCAAGCTGTACACGCAGTCGGCGCTGCTGAAAAGGCTGATCCCGCGCTACTACGACTTCGACAAGGACACCTTTGCCAGCTACACGTTTCTGGGGCTCAGCTACAGTCCGGAGTATTTTGCGCGAACGACAACCTTCAAAGACAAAAAGACAACGTTTTACGGCCCGACGCCGGCGATCCTGAAACCGTTCTACCTGGCGCTGTGTCTCAGCCAGGTGCTCGAGACGTTTGTTGCCGTCACGAGCGGGTCTGAGCCCTGCATCGAGAACGGGCTCACGCTGTTTGAGTACTCGCTGGCGTTCCAGGAGGTGCAGACGGCGAACCGGCCGTCAACAGAGCTCTTGCTCATCGGGGCCACCGCACTCGCACACCAGCTCAATATCCATCTGCTGGGTCTTTTTGACAAGCAGAAATACCGGCTCATTTTTTCCATGCTTATCGGCACCTTCACACTGACACTGTACACGCAAACGTTTATATCCGGGCGAATCACACACATGCCGTTCACCGTGGTGATGGGCTACCTGCCGCAGATGATCACGCTGCTCGTGATAGTGTCCAGTCTGCTAATTTTCCTGCTCGCGGCGCTGTTCAAAGGCTCGTTCGCCGACCTCACCTTCAGCACGCTGACGCAGCACCTCGACTCGATCGACGTGTCCCTGGCAGACGATTTCTACACGGCCCTCATCAACATGGGCACGTTTGTCATCAACGCCGCGTCCAAACAGAGCTACGTCAAGGAATTCGACACCATCAAAGTGCCTGCCACCACCTACCTCGAGGCTGCACAGCCCGGATACGGCAGAAAAATCGACAGCCATCCGGAGCTGGCCGCGCACCAGCTGCAGCAGCGGAAAAAACAGTCCAAGCTGTGGATGGTGATGCGGCGGATCCAGGATGTGCGCCGACTGCTGTCTGGGTTCGCCAGGATGCTTGGCGGCCTCGTCTGGAGACGGCACTCTGTGGCCGACGACGACCGCGTCGTGGGCGACGTGCGCGAGGAGGACTGGCGCAGACTGCGCGAGCGCAACGCCCAGATGCTGCTTGGCCTGCGTGTCGACGTTGACGAGTTCGACGAGCAGCAGTTGCAGCAGAACTACGCACAGCTCCTGCTCAGCTACCAGCTGTCGGACGTCGACACCTCGGCAGACTACAGTCCTGAATTTTTGGAGAGCGAGAGCGAGCTCGAAGACGAGAGCGGCGCCGAGAACGAGCTCGGCCAGCTGGTTTCTGCGCAGGACCTGGAGTCTTTGGTCGACCCGCGGTCGTCAGAGGAGATCCTGTTTGCCCGGATTCTGCAACAGCACCTCCGTTCGTCGTCCACGCTGACGCGGCGCAGGTTCAGCGAGAACTACACGCCCGACCTGCGGCTCATGGACCTCATCAGAGAGAAACGCGTCGTCCACGACGACGACCTCGGCAACTGTGTGATCTGTCACGTGAACGCGCGTCAGGTGATACTGTGGCCGTGCAAGTGTCTTGCGATCTGCGAGAGCTGCCGCGTGTCGCTGTTTGTGCGCAACTTCAACGAGTGCGTGTGCTGCCGGTCGAAAGTCGACGGGTACAGCAAAGTGTATATTCCATGAGCTCCCTGGTTTTGGAGCCCTGGAAAGATAATAGCTCGGGTGTATTTATTAACGAAAGGTAAACAAGGCGTGCGCGGCTCAAGATTTTGGCGTTGGGAAAATGTTTTTTTCAAAAGCAGTAGTTCATTTGTTTACGTTTGTTACAACAAGATACCACGGCCTTTCCATTGGAACCACCAGATTTTAAAAGGTCTTTAAGCTTTAACAACACCGCAAGTTGCAATGAGAGAAATTGTAAGTGTGCCCGGTCTGGGTCGGCGACGCGTATTGGCGTTGTGTCCGCCTGAAAATCTATAACCCACCACAGGTTTCGTGTGGTGGGTGTCTGAACAAGTACTAACTGTTTTAAGATCCATTTGTCTACTGGCCAGTGTGGTAACCAGATTGTAAGTATATTCGACGCGTCTTATGTGTGCTAACGTATCAGGGTGCTGCCTTTTGGGAAACCATTTGTGGCGAACACGGTCTAGATGCTGACGGAAACTACCATGGAACAGACGACATCCAAAAGTCCAGGCTCAACGTCTACTACAACGAAGCAAGCAGCGGAAAATACGTGCCAAGAGCAGTCCTCGTTGATTTGGAGCCAGGCACCATCGACACTGTCAAATCGTCAGAGTTTGGTAATTTGTTCAGACCAGATAATCTCATATACGGCCAATCTTCCGCTGGCAACGTTTGGGCCAAGGGTCACTACACAGAAGGTGCCGAGCTGGTGGACTCTGTCCTGGATGTCGTCAGAAGAGAGGCCGAAGGTTGCGACTCCTTGCAAGGTTTCCAAATCACCCACTCCTTGGGTGGTGGTACCGGTTCTGGTATGGGTACTCTGCTGATTTCCAAGATCAGAGAAGAGTTCCCAGACAGAATGATGGCCACTTTCTCTGTGATGCCCTCTCCAAAAGTCAGCGACACCGTTGTGGAGCCATACAACGCTACCTTGTCTATCCACCAACTGGTCGAGAACTCGGACGAGACCTTCTGTATCGATAACGAGGCCTTGTACGACATCTGCGTCAGAACTTTGAAACTGAACCAACCATCCTACAACGACTTGAACCACCTTGTGTCCTCAGTTATGTCTGGTGTCACCACTTCGCTCCGTTTCCCAGGACAATTGAACTCCGATCTTAGAAAGCTTGCCGTGAACCTTGTGCCATTCCCAAGATTGCACTTCTTCATGGTTGGCTATGCTCCGCTGACCTCCATCGGATCGCAATCTTTCAGATCGCTGACTGTCCCTGAACTGACCCAGCAAATGTTCGACTCCAAAAACATGATGGCTGCTTCCGACCCAAGAAAGGGAAGATACCTGACTGTGGCTGCTTTCTTCAGGGGTAAGGTTTCCGTCAAGGAGGTCGAGGACGAGATGCACAAGGTCCAGACCAAGAACGCCGACTACTTTGTTGAGTGGATTCCAAACAACGTTCAATCTGCCGTTTGTTCTGTTGCTCCTAAGGGTCTCGACATGTCTGCCACGTTCATTGGAAACTCGACCTCCATCCAGGAGCTGTTTAGAAGAGTTGGCGACCAGTTCAGTGCCATGTTCAGAAGAAAAGCGTTTTTGCACTGGTACACCTCCGAGGGTATGGACGAGATGGAGTTCACCGAGGCAGAGTCCAACATGAACGACCTTGTCAGCGAGTACCAGCAATACCAGGATTCGAACGACATTGACGAGGAATTGGACTACGCTGATGAGGCTCCATTGGAGGATATGATGGAGTAAGTGCAAGGTATCTAATTTTCCGCTTGGTTGAGTTTCATTTCTTTGGGTTAATGCGAGATCCCCCCTTGTGCCTTGCTTTTGATAGCCGAACACTTGCAGACAACATACGAATGGGACTCTGCCAGAAATCTGTTTCGACTAGTTTTATTCAATATACCCCCATAAGTTGTCAAGTAATTATATATAATCCTGGTTTTCTGTGCAAGGCTGTGTTTTCGGTTTTTTAATATCTAAATGTTTTGGCCCAACCTCGTTGTCTCTTGCCAGACGCTGCCCGAGGTCCAGGAATTGGCCGCGCGGCCGGATTCCAAAGACCGTTCGGCGATGATCACGTACGAGCCCACGCCGCACCGCGACCCGATTCTCCAGGTCGTCACCAACGTCCCCAACTTCCCGTACGTTGTGATGACGTATCGGTCGCTGTACCTATTCGACTCTCGGACAAATGCTCCCATTGGAGCGCATATACGCTCGGACAACTCGCTGGAAGAGTTTGGGTCCAATCTGAAGATCAAGCGGTCTCCGAGTGGAAAACAGTTTGCGGTGGAGACTTCCAAGAACATACTTCTTATATTCACTCTGCGGAGCGAGCTGAGCGACGAGCTACTCACAATATTCAACACAGAGGGCAAGGTGATACAGAATGGGCTGCCTGTTTTGACCGAGACGGCCAATGGCGCGAGCGGGCCGGACAACCTGGTGAAGAGCTTTATTAACGTGCTTCTTAGCGAGAACCAGATGGAGCTGCCGAACTACGACTACGGGCTTCGTCTGAAGCTTGTTCTGAACGTGCAGAGCCCGCTGGCGGACTACTTTTTCTCTTCCAACGGACACTTGCTGCTGGTGAACTCCGATCCGCACGCTTTCCAGCTGATCCAGCTGGCGTCATCTCCGTCCCAGTCCGACATCGACGCCAAGGACGAGGGCAAGCACATAAAATTCATTCTGGTCAACGAGCTGGAGTGGTACAAAAGCAACAGCGGGGCAGTGACGCGGGAACTGTTTTACAGCTACGAAATGGGCTGCTTCTTGTGGCTGGACCAGAACGGTGGCTGCTGGATAGTCCAGAAGCGCGGCGGCACCGACAACGTGGATTTCGTTGGCGAGCAGGTGCACCGTGCCGAGGACGGCAGGGCTGTGAAGTGTCTGGTGAACCATATGAAAAACCTGGCGTATTTTGGACTGGAAAACGGGGACCTCGTGGTGGTGCAGCTGCTGCGCAACATGACGGTGAAAAAATTGAAGGTGTTGAAAAAACACGTTTCGTCGCACGGGCTGCGGGACCTCGTGCTCAGTCCGGACGGCGACTCGCTGATCGCGCTGTACGAGAACGGCTGGAACGTGTACTCGACGCTGGGGAATTTAAATTTCTCGACGTACGACTACGAGAGCGCGGCCTGGCTAAAGCCCGCTAATATCGGGTTTCTGAACAACTTCGAGCTAATTCTTTCTGTTGGCAGCAAGCTGTACAAGCTGAACCTGATCACTCTGAACCACTCGCGGTTTCTGAGCTCGGCAACGTTCAAACGGCCCGTCCTGATGGCTGCCGACCGGCTCTCGCTGTTTCGCGCGCTCGACAAAAATCTCATGGACCATCTAAAGGGCAAGTCCACTGTAACCAACAAGGAGACCAGTATCTGGCTGGACGTGATGCTGCCGCTCTCGTTCTACATTGGCAACCGCGACATCCGCTGCTGCGCAATGAGCGACGACGGGAACAACGTGTGTCTTGTTGGTAGCAGCGACGTTTTCGTGTACAGTCTGCTGACAGACGAGTGGAAGGAGCTGAAACTGACCGAGAAGGGCGACAAGCCGGACATCAACCCGGTGCGCGTGTGCATGTGGTGGAAAAACCACCTAATCTTGGGGTCCAGGACGTTTGAGACCGAGACCAAGTCGGAGGTGATTTTATTTTCCACCAAAATTCTTAGCAAGGGTGTACCGTTCACGTACGAGCAAATTGTGTGGGGGTTCAACTTTGCGGAGACCGCCTTCGACGAGAACTTCCTGCACCTCAACATCGACATAGCCGGCGACGAGCTGCTTGTCATGAGCGACCGCCTGAACTGCTACACGTGGAAAATGAGTTTCAACAGCCAGGGCCGCAGCTCCAGCTCCATACTGCTGAAGAAGTCCAACGTCTATCAGCTGCGCAACTGTTTTGAGAGCGAGATCGAGTCGGTGGTGCGCAATTTCAGGGCTGTCGTGAAAATCAACGAGGACGACCTGCTGGTGCTGTCGAACTGCGAGCTGGCGTACATCCGCAAAGAAATACTGTCTGTACGCGAAAAGGCCGTTTACCACTCATACCGTGTGAGCTCGACCGTGGAGTACGTGGCGAAGCTCACGCCCAACGTGGTGGCCGTGTTTGACGGCTGCGAGATCTGGCTGTACGACTTTACGAACGAGAAAAATATGATGAATATCCTGCCGATCGCCGTCCAAACGGGCAACCAGACCCAGGTGCGCGAGAACGGCGTGCTGGTCGTGGAGTCCAACGGCACCAACTCGTACCCGCTCACGATGCTGAGCGACAAGAACATGATCTTTGGCATTGAAATCGACTCGGCTCAGGGCGCAAACCTCAAGGTGGAGCCAACGCGCAAAAACTACCTCAACAACGTGCTGGACCACTATATCCGGCTGAATCTCGAGGTCGACCAGGGCAACAACAGCAACATTCTGAGTCTGTCGTCGATCTACAAGCGGTTCCACCGGTTCAAGCACTTTGTGTTTGTTCTGGAGCTGCTGCTGATGAATTATATTCAGAAAAGCTACGACGGCCAGGACGACGGGCCGGAGTATTTTGACCGGCTCATCAAGCTCATCAAAATGACGGGGATCGAGTACTCGGTGTACCTAAACTGTCTCAAGAAAATCGAGGTCCACTACTGGTCCACGTTCTTCACACGCTACTCAGAGAGTCCGCGAGACATGCTCTCCAAAATTTACAACGTCGACAAGGACTTCAAGCTGTCGGCGCACTACTTTATCATCATGCTGAACTACGAGCAGACAGACGAGAAGATCGGCGAGAAGGACGTCCAGCTCATCAACGACATCCTGGTGAAACTGGTGCTGACCAAGGATTTCGAGACGTCGTTCGAGCTGGTGCGTTTCATTAAGCTGATCGACGACAAGATGTGCAACCGCATCATCGGCAGCCTCGAGTCGGGACTCAACACCTACTCCAACGGCCGGATAAATAAATAGATCATAAATAGACACGCTATCTAGCTGGCTCCCTTGAGGAACTTGTCGATGAAGGAGTCGTTGGCAGTGTTGTCGTACGAGCTGAACGGCTCAAAGTACATCATCACGTGGCATTGCTGTTTCCAGAAGTTCACCAGCTCTTGGAACTCCATTTGCGCTTTCATGTATAGCACGTTCTGCACGGCCAGGTCGTTCACAAACCGCTGTCTTTCGAACTCCTGACGGATCTTCGTCTTGACCTGGGAAGCAGGCACGTCCAGGTCGTAGTTGTTGACAAAGTTGCGCGAATGTCTCAAATACCGTCTATACAGGTTGAGCACGCGGATCCGCATCTCTGCGCTGGACGTGGAAAACCGCGTGGTCTCTGCAAAAGCCGTAGGAAGCGTCATATCAAGGAGAAATAAGTTATTTTTTCTCCACTTTTTGGGGATTAATTCTATCCAAAAAAATATATTTATTTTATTATATAATGGAGTCCTGTGCTATTTATCAGCACCCGTCCAAATTTGGGTTTTTGATAGGCTCTCTGCTGGCATTGGGCATCTACGTGTCCTACATACCCCAACACGTCAAGATCGTCAACCGAAGAACGAGCGAGGGTCTCTCGCCACTGTTCCTGCTGCTGGGATCCTCGTCTGGGTTCTCTGCCCTTGTTAATCTGCTGCTAGTCAGCTCTCCCGCGCGCAGATGCTGTTTGAACGAGCTCAGCAGGTTCCAGTGCATCTACTCCCAACTTGGCCTCATCCAGGTCGCCGCCCAGGCCGTTGGCTACTCGCTCATCCTGATCCTTTGCGCGTACCTCACAAGACCCCCTATAGACCTTCCTGGCTCGAACGAGGAGAAAATCGCCAAGGCGTACCGCGTATTTCTCATGTACGTGGCACTCAACACTGCCCTTGCCACCTACTTCCTCTTCTTCAACGCTGATTTCGAAAAGACAGTAGCCTTCGCCAATTTCAGTGGTATCCTGTCCACGATCCTCGCAACGGCACAGTACTTGCCCCAGATCCACACCACATACACGCTGAAACACGCAGGAACGCTTTCCGTGCACATGATGCTGCTGCAGACCCCAGGCGGGTACCTGTGGAGCTTCTCGTTGTTCATGCAGCCCGGCTCGTCGTGGAGCAGCTGGCTGCCCTACTTCACGGCCGCCAATTTGCAACTCGTGCTTCTGACCATGTGTCTGTACTACAAGCGCCACAACCCAGAAGAAACACCGTTGTTGATATGACAGTCTAACTTTACACAGAAATGGTCTTCCAGACGTTCAGACCGTCCGTTCCCGTGCTGACCAAAGCACCAGGAATCTGCTTGTGCCATCTCACGTCCTTGACGTCTTTCTGCCAGTGCACAAACAGCAGCTGAGGTGGAATGTCGGACAGCTCCTTGGACTCCTCTTTCTGCTGCTTAATCTCCTCGTCGTCGGCCTCCACAGCCAGGTCCCATAGGGTCACCGTGTTGTCCTCGGACGAAACAGCAACAATAGACTCGTCCAACGGGTTGAATGCAATGGAGGTGACGGCAGACTTGTGGAAATCGTAAGAGACAACCGGGGAAGGCTGGCTACCAGGCTGGAAGTTTCTAAGGTCCCAGACGCCCCAGGTTCCGTCGTCATGGCCAGATGCTAGCAGATAGTCGAGCTTGTCGCACCAGGAGATCACGTTCACGTCGGTCTTGGAGGCCACGACGTTGAGCGCAGGCTTGTGCTTCTTGGATCTGGTGTCCCATATTCTGACATAGCCGTCTGTTCCTGCGGTTGCAAAAACCGTCGTTTCGGACCGGGACCACTGGATGTCCTCGATCGATGCATTACTGGCCTGATAGGCCGTCTTGTCCGTCACCCACTTGCTGCCCGTGCCGTTCGTCAGATAAATTCTGCCCGACATGTCTCCACTCAGCAGAGCACCAGAGTCTACAAGCGGCGACCAGTCGAGTCCGTATCCCTCGACATTTCCGTGGTTCTTGACAATATGCAGCGGCCGCTTGTTCTGTTTCGGAATCACGTACCCTGGAGTGTCGAAGGCCTTCATTTGCGCGCTCAAATCGAAAATCAACACCTCGGCACTCTCCGACATGGTGGCAGTGTAATATTTGCCTGTTTTCTGTGCCAGAGGAAATACACGGAGTCGGTTGGTCGTGTGGCTCAGAGAAACGGTCTCGCTTTCCAAAATAGGGTCGTGCTCGTCCTCATCATCGTCGTCGTCGTCGTCGTCGTCTTCGTCGTCGTCTTTCACCAGAGTCTTGGCCAGCGACGACAGCTTCATCACGATCATCTCATTATCTTTGTTTCTTTCGGCCTGCGTGGCGGTGGTCACGTACATCGTGGCCGGATATCCCCGCCTCTCAGAGCCTAGACTGTCCGGCATCACGTCCACGGTGAGACAAGGCCACGGCATGTTCACGTTATGCAGCATTTCGTAGACACTCGGATCTGGCTCGAGCACCTCGTCTGGTCCAAGGGGTCTGGATCGATGAGGCAAATACAGCTCCTTTTCGCCTTTGGCCGGTTCTGTGTCGCCCTCATTTGCCTTTTGCAGTGCCTCCTGCACTTCCTCCATTGGCTGGTCGTTGTCTTCCTCCCCAGAGGTGTCTATCTCTATGATTTCTCCTTCACTCTCATAGTCGTCTCCGGAAAGGTCTTCCATGTCGCCTTCCACCTTCGAGCGGTAATCGTCGACCTCCTCTGCCATGTGTGCCTCTGTGGTGGCATTTGGGTCTCTTTTGGCAGAATTGCCGTCCACAACGTCCTCTGCTGCTCTTTTGGACATGCTAGATGATAATTAAACTTTTTCAAAAATTTTTTTTTTTTTTTAATAGCCAACCCAAAATGGAAGTAATATATAGATTAAATTATTTTGTATGGAGAGAAAAAGCTTCCTCGATCAAGAGCCGCCGCCCGGGTATATTGCCGGTATAGGCCGTGGAGCCACTGGATTTACTACACAGGCTGATCTGGGGAGCTCTCGACGGCTTCCTGCGGGCTCATTCGCACCGGAGGACGACAACAACGAAGTCGACGAAGAGAGGTTTCTAGACGCAGACAACGACGACACTGGCCGGTTCGGTAGTGTCGGTGACGACGACGATGACGCAGACCGGATATACGATGAGATTGAGGCCAAGCTTCAAAGGAAAAAGGCGAGGCCCAGAAAAAGAGCGTTGAAGGACGCTCTAGAGGACGAAAACAAGGTCCACGTCCAGGAAATCAGTATTGGCCAGTCCATCCGCACAATCGGGGAGGAGTTCAAGGAGTACAAGGAGAAACTCTCTGAGGTGTCCGCCGAGGACTGGCTGAATCTCCCGGACTCTGGGGATTTTACAAAACGGAATAAAAGAGCACGCAAAGAGATGCAGGAGCGCCAAAGATTTTACAGAAACTCGGATCTGGTGACCAGCGGGCTGCGTGATGCGGGCAGCACAGGTGACAAGGCTCTTTTGGACGAGAAGGACGTGGACCTGACGGGGCTTTCTCTTGCCAAGGAGAAAGTGCTGGCTGGACAGCTGACCAGTCTTCAGGACGACAAGGCCGTGTCTGTAGACGCAGAGACTTATTTGAGCCAGCTGCAAGAGGTTTCCGGTGAGATCAGCACGGAAATTGGAGACTATCATAAAACGCGGACGCTTTTCGCCAAGATGCGAGAAACCAATCCGTATAAACCAGACGCATGGATAGCCAGTGCGCGGCTGGAGTACGAGGCGAAAAAGTATAAGCGCGCGCGGGAACTGATCCAGCAGGGCTGCGAGAAGTGTCCTAGGTCCGAGGAGGCGTGGCTGGTGAACATCGAGATGAACAAACAGGACGTTTCTGTGTGCAAGGTGATCATTGCCGAGGCTGTGCGATACAACGCCAAGTCGGTGCGCTTGTGGCTCTGTGCTGCTTCTTTGGAAGCGGACAGTGTGTCCAAGAAGCGGATTCTACGAAAAGCTCTCGAGTTCCTGCCACGGAGCAGCGAGCTGTGGCTGGAGGTGGTGAAGTATGAGGACGACGAGACCATGGCGCTGCGGATGCTGCAGAAAGCGACAGAATTGGTTCCTGGCAACGTTCCGTTGTGGCTTGAGTACGCAAAGCGCGGCAACACTAAGCAGATCCTTGAGCAGGCTCTGGAAAAAGTCGACTCTGTCGATGCGCACACTGTCTGGATAGAAATGGCCAAGGACGAGGAGCAGAGAACTGGCAACGAGGTTAAGATTGGCCGCATTGTTGAGTCTTGCTTTGAGCACACGTCTCTAGACAGAGAGACGTGGTTGGATATTGCGTCGCAGTGCGAGAAAGACGGGTTTTTGCTGGTAGCCAGAGCCATTGTGTTCAACAGCATGAATTTGGGCGTTTCTGACGACGACAAGCTTGATATCTGGAAAGCGGATGCTCTGGAAAGATCGCCTGAGATCTCCCGATCGATATACATGTTCATCACGGCAAACTTTCCAGACGATATTGAGAGCTGGATGGATTTTATCAAGATGGAGAAATCACTCAGACAACACGACCAGCTCTATGTTGTCTATGAGATGGCCAGGCACGCAAACCCAAAATACGAGCTGTTCTATCTGATGTATGCTAAAGACAGGTGGAAAGAGGATGGTGACGTTGAGAAAGCCAAGGAAATCATTGCAGAGGGGCTGGAGATGAACCCAGAATCCGAAGATCTCTGGTTTGCGGCACTCAAGCTGCGGTCTGGAGAAGAGGCGAGACAGCTGTTTGTCAAGTGCAGAGAGCAGCTCGGCAAGAAGACAGCTCGGGTGTGGTACAAAAACGTCACTTTTGAGAGACAGGACGAGAATCGGGCAGAGGCCAAGAAACTTGCCGAGCAGGGCATCCAGCACCATCCGAAAGAGTTCAAATTGTACCTGCAATGGGGCCAGATTTTGGAGGAGGAAAATGAGCTGGCAGCGGCTGCAGAAATATACCACAAAGGAACGCTGATGTGTCCAAATAGCCCGCTCCTCTGGGTCCATCTCGTGCGAGCATACGAAAAGCTAGGCAATCTGATCAAGGCGCGCTCGATTCTGGACCAGGCGGTGATTTCGAATCCGTTCAGTGACCGGATCCAGCTCGAACGTGTGCTGCTCGAAGAACGAGCACACAATCGGTCTCAGGCCGAGCGCATCCTGGCCACTGCTCTCAAAAAGCTTCCCAACTCTGCGCTGCTGTGGCGTCAAAACATCCTGTATGCCAAACAGTCGCACCGCAAAAACTTGTACACCACGGCTCTAAACTCCACTAACGACCACCCGATGATCATTCTCACTATTGCCAAAGATATGTGGCTTTCCGGCAAAGTTTCACGCGCGAAGCAGTTTTTCGACGCCTGCTACGATAAAGACGCCGGTTATGGCGACTATTACATCCAGTACTATGCATTTTTGATGAAACATGGCACGAAGGGTGAAATTCAGGAGCTCGAGGCTCGCTTCAAGGAAAACGATCCTCATCTCGGCGAGGAGTGGTGTGCCTTGATAAAAGACGTTCATAGGAAGGACACCGACCTGGAATTGTTGAGAAAGGCGGCGGAGAAGGCAGCAGGGAAGCAATGACTTGGTTGCAGACTGTAGATAGATGTACATTAATTGTATTATTAATTTGGGCAGCAAAATAAATACAGCATGTCCCTAGCAGAGGTTTACCAGCAAGGGGAAGCCCTTGTTGGCGAAGCGGGTCTTTCCTGGAAAAGTGTGTGTGTTCGGTGAGCAGACGTGGTTTCTAGGAGAGCAGGGATAAAATTGCTTGAGTCATGCAACGCGACAGAAGAAATGTTGCATCGCCGTATCCGGCCAAATAATTTCTCTAAAATAATCATTCTTCTCTGATGAACAGAATAATTGGCCTCCGGCTCGGCGGGCGTGCGATCCCCAGAGCTACCGCACAGACGAATGTGGAACTCTTCTGGAGGAACAGACTCTACGCAACGGTCAAGACGGACAACATCGACTGGGATCCCATGAAGACCTCGAAACAGTTGATCAAAGGAAGGGAGTTGGAGTCGAAAACGAGCAGACGAATATTTTTTGGGCTGCTGTGCCTGACACCCGTCGTGACGTTTCTGCTCGGATGCTGGCAGTTCCAACGTCTAAAGTGGAAAAATAAGCTGGTTGCCGACTGCGAAGACAGACTCACGTACAAGCCGCTTCCGTTGCCAAAGTCGGTCACTCCAGACCAAGTGGGCGATCTGGAGTACCGCAGAGTGCTTCTCACGGGAAAATTCGACTACAGCCGTGAGGTGTTTGTGGGTCCTAGACTGGAGAACGGCCAGAAAGGATATTTATTGATCTGTCCCCTGATCCAGTCAAACGGGGCGGGCGAAGTGCTGGTCAACCGTGGCTGGATCAGAGAGGACAGGGTGATTCCAGAGAGCAGACGGCTGCAGCACCTTTCGTGTCCGCAAGGCGAAATCACGGTCGAGTGTCTACTAAGAGTTCCTCCGTCCAAAGGCAGATTCCACATGGAGCACGAACAAGGCTCGAAACTGTACACGTACCTCGACTTGGAGGCGATGGCGGAGGAGTTGCACTCACGGCCGCTTTATGCCGTTGTCGTCCAGAATTTCAGGGACCATCCAGAATGGCTACCAAAAAAAGACCAGGAGAGCATTCCATGGTGGAAATTCTGGGCCAAGTCGCCGCCTCCGCAAGAGACTCCCGCCCAGGACCCAGACGCAGAGTTCAGCCCGTTGCAGTTTATGAACGCGGGCGTGCCTCTGGGAAAAGCGCCAACCGTAGACTACACGAACAACCACCTGCAGTATATGGTCACGTGGTGGGGTCTGTGCTTCATCTCGACCATTCTGCTGCGCATGGTGATCAAGAACAGCAGGGTGATCAACCCAAAGATGGAAAAGACGGAGAAGCTCAAGCACGCCAACAAGTACCTGGGCTAGTCTGTACATAGTATTACTCCGTGCCACATCCGTGCACCGGTGCGTAGCGACGCGTATTTGGGAAAAATAATAAAATAAAGAGTATTTTTATTTAATGAGACCGTTCGAAAACGAGGGAACGAGCTCGCGGCTGCCGATTGTGCGGCCGGCTACGCCGAACCAGAACCGACGCAGCATGCGGTCGTCCAACCTGATAGGCACGTCCACGTCGCCGGCGTCCAAACAGCAGCACTATCCTCTATCGTCCCCTTATCATTCGCAACACAACCCGCCCTCTCTGTCGACTCCGGGGTCTTTAGCGCAGAGCGACTCCACCGAAGCCGCGCAAGACGGGGCCCCAGCATCCGGCGAGTCCGATCTGCCGTTTTTCGACAAAGCCCGACAGTTTGAGTTCATTGACCATCTGGATAGCATACACATGAAGCTGTTGAAGCTGAACGAGATCCATGAATCGCTGACCAATTTCAACGAGTCGTTTGGCTCGTTTTTGTTTGGCCTCAATATCAACGCATGGTGCGTGAACTTTGAAGAGGCACCGACTCCAAAAACCTGGAACCAGAAACAGCAGCTGGACGAGATCCAGACCAAGATTGACTCTCTGCAAGCAGAGATCGAGAAGCTGGAAAGAGAACGCAAAGACAGAACGATCATGCCTCCCCCAGGGCCTAGTAAAGCCGCGCAGACCAAAGAAACTCCCGCGAGACGATCGTATCTTCGAGGCAATAGCCGCGCGGTTTCGAGCTCTACAAGGCGCCAGTCGTCGATTCCGAAGCTTGTGAGATCGCATTCGTCGTCATTGAACCAGACACCAATACAAAAACCCGCCGCGACGCCCAGCAGCAGACTAAATCTGTCCTCTGCGAAAAAGACCAACATACGACCGGGAAGCTCGCAGGAGGACGAAAAATGGCAGGTCAAGGGACGCAAACCTTTTAGATGAATACATAATAACTCATGGCTTAGGGATTCTCAGGCTCTTGCTAATCATCAGACAGCCCTGGACGAAGAACAGTCCACTGAAAGGGTGCCACTCATAGAACTTGCCCTCCCACAGGAGTCCCAATGGCAGATCGGCGGCGGTCCACTGCTTGTAAACAAGGAACGACATCAGAAACACGAGCCACAGGGATGACGGAATAGGCAGTCCTTCAAAATACTTGGACTTGCCAGTGAAGTCCTTGGGAATGTTGGAGACGGTGACGTTGAATCTGGCGAGTCTACCGAGCCCGCACAGAACGCAGAAGGTGAGACAGAGAGCGTCGAGCGTGGTTTGAAGCCCTATGGCAAACGCAATCGAGGCGGGAGCAACTCCGAACGAGATTAAGTCTGCGAGCGAATCGAGCTCCTGGCCAATCAGAGAGGCCTTGTTTCTGAGTCTGGCGACCTTTCCGTCGAAAAAGTCGAAAAATAGGCCCAGCAAAATGAAGAAAATGGCTCGCTGCACGTAATGGCTCTGGTGCGTCAGCGTGAATCTGAGACATGAAATGATCGAGTAAAAACCACTAAAGCCGTTCAGCATGGTGATGAAGTCGGCCATATGTAGGTTTCTAATGAAAGACAGATGTCTATTGTCCGAAGTGAATGCTATGATATCGGTTTCATTGGGCGGAGGCAGAGGCTCGTCGGTCAGAGAGAAGATCGAGGACATCGACGAGGACCGTTTGGTCTTGATGTTCTCTATGGAAGCACCTTCTGAATCAGACGCGTCAGACATGGCCGACTCCGGCGGTGGAATTGAAGGTTTTTTAGCGGTCCGAGACGGTCTCTTAGACATGAAGAGATGAGTAGAAGCAAGCAATATATGTATGTTTATTTTAATTTTTGGATGGCTCGTGTGGTGTACGGGTGTGCTCCTTCCTATCTACACAGTTCTCACCACCTGGTCGATACATTTGGCCACATGCTTGACGTTGCCCTCGTTCAGACCGGCGATGCTGGCTCTGCCAGAGCTGACCAGGTACACGCCGTGCTCCTTTTCCAGTCTCTCGACCTGGGCCGGCGTCAAGCCGGTAAAGGAGAACATGCCCTGTTGCTCGACAATGTGCTTCCAGGAGCCCGGGGTGCCCAGCTTCTCGAGCTCGGCAGTGAGGGTCTGGCGCATCTTGGAGATCCGCGAGCTCATGGTCACGAGGTCGTCCTCCCATTGTTTCATGAGCTCGGGCGTGTTGAGGATGAGAGAAACGATCTTGGCTCCGTACGCTGGCGGGTTGGAGATTTCTGCGCGGATGATCTTGGACAGTTGCGAGAGAACCGCCTTGTTGAGCGCTGTGTCGTGGTTTGGCAGCACCACGTGCACGGCGCCGACTCTTTCGCCGTACATTCCTGCGTTCTTGGCAAACGACTGGCACACAATGATCGGGAAGCTGTAGTTCTTGTCGACGGCCTCGCGCACGGCCCACGCGTCTTTATCGAGCGACCCGGACGAGAAGCCCTGGTACGCCGAGTCGAACAGAGCCAGATGTTTGCCTTTTTCGATGGCCTGTAGGATCTTGAGCCACTGGTCCGGTTTGGGGTCGAGCCCGGTCGGGTTGTGCGCGGTGGCGTGCAGCAGGAACACAGAGCCCTCGGGAGCCTGTTCTATGGCCTTCACAAAGCCGTCCAGGTCCAGCGACTTGGTCTCGTTGTTCCAGTAGGGGTACGAGGCCGTCTTGAGGCCAAGGTACTCAAAAATCTGTACATGGTTGGCCCACGTAGGCTTCGAGAGGTAAATGACAGGAGGGTCTCTGGTGGCGTTGGACACGTAGAAGTCTTTCAAGAACTTACCCGCCACGTGCAATGCACCAGTGCCGGAAAGCGTCTGGATAGACACGAGTCTGCCCTCGGCAATGGCCCTGGACTGCTGACCAAGGATGATCCGGGCAGCGGCGTCGGTGAACGCCTTGTAGCCGGAAATCGCCAGATACTCGTGGTTGTACTCCTTGGAGTTCTGCAACAGGTTCTCGGCGAGCCTGACAGAGGGCAAAATCCACGGCTTGCCGTCGTTGTCTCTGTATGCACCGATTCCAAGATCGACCTTGTTGGGACGCGGGTCCTCGCTGTATCTGGCCTTGAGACCAAACAATGGGTCTGGAGGCAGCTGCGGGATGTTCTCGACGCTGAAGGATCTTGTCATGGCGAGAAAAAGGGTGGGAATAAATGTTTTGCAACTGTTTCTTTGTTAAATAGGCTACTTGCACCCGGAGGCCTGCACGGGGTGAGCGGAGATGTGACGTGGCGGGGGTTACCCGGCCTCTTTGGGCAGACGGTGCGGTAGCGGGACGGCGAGGAGAGGAGGGCAGGGCTCACGCGTGGCCGTAGGGACGGCGGCTACGGCAGAGCATTCTGTGTGCTGCGGGTCCTGCGTTTGTGCTCTGCTTTCAGCACCGTCGGAAATCGTTCTCCGGTGTCAAAATAAATAAATATTTTTCTAGTATTATTTATCTGCAATATGGATCTTCTGGGCGACATTGTCGAGCACGACACCTCCACAGAGCCCCAGACACCTGTTCCAGCGATCTCCGGGCCCACGACGGGGTTCCCTGTCGCGGCGAAGAGAAGGCCTGTGCGGCGGCGGACGGCTGCCGAGAGCCCATCGAGCGGACTCTCTGAAAAAGAGCAGATCCACCTCGAGAACATCGAGCGGCTGAGCAGGATGTCCGGAGAGGAGCGCGAGCAGGCGAAGGAGGAGCTGATCAGCACGCTGGACCCAAAAATCCTGCAGATGCTGCTGAAAAGAGCAGAGCCAGACAAGAGCGAGCCAGACAAGAAGGTGCGGTTCAACAACGAGGCGTCCGTCAAGTACGTCAAGCCGTCGTCGCCGCTGGCAATGCCGAAATCGAGCAAGGAGGACGAGGAGTGGGAGGACATTGAGTATCTGGACGACTCGGGGCCAAGCTTCGAGGAGGCCCAGCGGCTGAAGCAGGCGTCGGTGCATTTTCCAAGGCCGAGCGGCGAGAAACTCGAGAAACTCGACATCAACGACCCGGACTTCAACGACAAGTTGCACGAGAAGTTCTTCCCGGACCTGCCCAAGGACCCCAAGACGTTGGAGTGGATGAGGCCGGCGCCGGAGACGCCGAAACAGGTCACCTACAGCGCGGTTGCGGAGCTGCGGTTTGACCTGAACGGAGACCTGATCACGTCGGAGAACATAGAGAAACACGGCCGGGCTCCGGAGCTGCACCACCACGCAGCAAGCCCAGAGCTGCCCGGGTACACGCTCGCGGAGCTGGCGCACTATCTGCGGTCGACGCTGGCCGGGCAACGGTGCATTGCGCTGCGCACGCTGGGCCGCGTGCTGTACAAGCTCGGGCAGGCCGAGTACGACGTGGTGGACGAGGACGAGCAGAAGCAGGATCTGGCCGAGTTCGAGCAGCGGTGCTGGGGGCTCGTGATCGACCTCAAGATCGTCGACATCATCAGCGAGTGCGCGTCGGACCGCCAGCGGAACCTGAGCGTCAGAAACTACGCGATCGAGGCGCTGTATCTGTGGAAGCAGGGCGGCGGCGACCGCAAGATGCAGGCTGTGCTGGGCGAGCGCAAGACGGCTAGTCGGCGAGCTGGCTGATCTGGACCTTGTTGATGGTCGAGTTGAGCCGCTCGTTGCGGATCACCTTGTAATAGTGGTCGGTGAAGTCGACGGCGTTCATTGCGCGCAGAAACTTCTCGTCGTGCGTGATCACGATCAGCTGGAAGTTGCGCTGTGTGGCGCGCTCCTGGATGATGTTGGCGAGCGCCTTGGCGAGCGACTCGATGTTGTCGTCGTCCAGGTTGGTGGTGGGCTCGTCGAGCGCGATCATGCCGAAGTTGAGCCCGATACACTCGGCCAGCGCGAGCCGGATGATGAGCGCCGCCAGCACGCGCTGCCCCGCCGAGCACCGCCCGCGCATGTCCAGCTCGGTCCCGTTCTTCACCATGACCACGCGGTAGTTGTACGAGCGCGTGGTTGAGGCCGTGCTCGACTTGATCGGGTCTGCGCGCACCATGATGCTGTCCACGTCGTTGCCCATGTACGTTTTTTTCCATAGCTCGTCAACGATTCGGTTGATCTCCTTCATCTTCACCTGGTGGAACTCCATCACCGCAGAGTCGATCGCCTTGTAGTATGTGGTCAGGTCCGTCACCATCGACAGCCTCGTCTGCAGGCTCGCGTACTCTTTGGTGTACCGTTCGTCGACATCCTTGTAGTCCCGTTGCAGCTCGTGTTTTACCGACTGGATCTGCCGCGACAGCTGCGTCATCTCGCCCAGCTTCGTCGAGTACTCGCTCTGGAGCTGTGTCTGGCGCGCGCGCAGCTCCTTGCTGCGCGCCACGTACTCGTCGCGCCGCGACTCGGCTTGCTGCTGCGCGAGCTCTGAAATCGTCGCCCGCACCTCGCTCTGCTGCTGCTCGAGCGCCAGCAGGTCTAGGTTGTACCGCAGGTTGCGCTCCGCGTTGTCGGCGTCCTTAAGATCGTTCTCGAGCTGCCGCAGCTGCGCGCCCAGCTGGTCGAGCGCGGCCTCGTCGTGCGCTATCTGCTCGCGTAATCGCACAGACTCCTGCTCGAACGTCGTCTTGCCCGCATGCTTCTGCTCGAACTCGCTGATTTGCGCGTCCAACGCCGCAATCTGCGCCTGTGTCTGCTGCAACTGCTCCAGCTCCGGCCGCAGCTGAGTCAGCTCGTCCTCTCCGCGCCGCTTCACCTCGCCGTACCGCTCCTGCTGCACCGCCTGGCTCGCACGCAGCGCAGCAGCCGCCTGCTCCGCCCGGTCCAGCGTCGCACGCAGCTGCCCGATCTCCGTCTCCAGCTCCTGCAGCGACTTGCGCACGTTCACGTTGTCCAGATCCGACTTCTCGAGCCCGATGATCTCCAGCCGCCGGTCCTTGATCATGCTCTCCAGCCCCATCAGCCTGCGCGAGTACTGCTCGCGCTCGGCCACGTGCCGCTCCAGCACCAGCCGCAGCCGCTTCGTCTCGCTGCTCGTCTGCGCCTGCGCCAGCTCCAGCTCCTCCATGGATTGCAGTTGCCCGCCAAACAGAGCCATGTCGTCCTTTAGGCCTTGCAAGTGCCGTTGCAGCGAGACCTGCTCGTCCCGCAGCCTGCCAACCTCGTCCACAACAGATAGCAGCGACGCGAGCTGCGACTTGTGGGCCTGCTGCTCGTCCAAAGCGCGCTGCTCGCTTTCAAACTGCTCGCGGGCAGCTGTTTCTCGCCCACGCGCAGCCTCCACGTCCTTCTGCAGCTGCTCCAGCTCCACATCCAGCTTCCGGTGCCGCTCAACCTTGCCCGACACCTCCTTGAGACGGTCCAGCTTGTCCCGCGCAGCGCGTAGCGCGTCCTCTGCCGAACGGTCGCTCTCCAACACACTGGTTTGCTGGGCAAGCAGCTCCAGCACCCTGCTCTTCTCGTCGGCAGCACTAAACTCCCGGTGGCACAGCAGACATGCGTTCTTGTGGTTGATGAGGTCAATCGCGCGCTTGTTGAAGCCGATGCAGTACTCGCGCACTTTGAAGCCGCCGTCGCAGTCGCTGAACTCGTACTCGGCGTCCTCCAGCAGCTCCTCAAACTGCGCAAGCGGCGCTGCGCCCAGAACCGCGCGAACGTCTTTCTCGAGCGCGGCAAGTTCGTCGCGCGAGCTAGCGAGCTGCTGCACGCCGTTGCGGTGCGCGATCGCCGCCTCGTTTAGCGTCTCGCGCAACTCCTGCACACGACCGGTTTTCTCCAGCACGGCGGCCTCCGTCTGTCTGTAGCGGGCCGTGAAAGCGTCCACGTCGCGCGTCTCGAGCCGCGAAAATGCGTTCTCCAGCTTCTGCTCCACGGCTTCCAGATTTCTTCGCAAATAGTACACTTTAGCCGTGCTGTCGGACTGTCTGCTGGCCTGGCTCACCTTCCGGAGCAAATCCTCTTGCTCCAGCTCCAGCTGGCGGATCTGTTTCTCGGTCTGGGCGATTTTCTCGTTGATGGCGGCCAGCGGGCTCGAGTCGCGCAACTGCTGCAGCTCCGATTCCTCAGCAGCCAGCTCAGCACGCTCGCGCTCCAGCCTCGCCTGGTTCGAGCTCGAAAGAGACAGGATTTGCTGGAACTTGGCGCGCTTCGTTTCCAGAGCGTCCACGTCCTTGCGCACGTACTCGGCATGCTGCGCCTCGCGCGCAAGCTCCTCCTTGAGCGTCGTGAGCTCGAACTCAACGTCCTCGAGAGCAGCCTTGTGCGCGGCCTCCTTGGCGGCAAACTCGGCCGCTAGCGCGTCCAGCCTTGCACGGTCCAGCTGCTGCTCAAGCCGCTGCTTCTCGCTGCGGTTCTGCTCGTGCCGCTCAAACAGACCGCGCAGTCGGCCCTCCTCCCGCACAGAGGTGTTGTACTCGTCCCGCGCACGGGCAAGTTGCGCGCTTCGCGCCTCGATCTGCGCGCGCAGCTGCTCAACAGCGGTCCTCTTCTCAGCCAGCACGTTGGCAAAGTTGTCGAGCTGCTCGCGGATCTGGTCGTCGGGCAAGTCGATGCGCGTCGTCGTCGAGCGGATCACGTCCATCTGCTGCACAAGACCGCTCTCCTGCTGCCGCAGGTACTCCAGTCGGCTTATCGTCTTCTCGTAGTCCTGGTTCGTCGCAAACAGCCGGTCGGCCTCCTTGTTGACGGCCTCGATCTCGCGCGCAAGCGTCTCGGACTCGGCGTTCAGCCGGTCGACCTCGCGGTTCAGCTCGGCGACTTGCGCGTGTTTGTGGTGCGCGCGCGCACGGTCGTTCCGCAAATGCTCCACGGTGTTGTTGATCACGCGGATATCCACGTTCATCTCCTTCTGGATCGCCCGGAACGTCTCCAGCACCTTGATGAACTTGACCGAGTCGAAGATCTCGTCGAAGCGCTTCTTGAGACTCGCCGAGTCGCTGATCGGCCACAGGCTCTCGTCCTGGTGGCAGAAGATCACGTAGTTGAGCACCGCGCGCGACACGCCAAGCTGCTGCGGCACCGCGGTCTCCATGTCGGCCATTTTCGACGTGACGGTCTGTTTTTCGCCGTTGTGGACGGCCACGAGCTGGTTCTCGCGGGTCTTGAAGCTCGTGGTCCCTGTGCGCGCGTTCTTGAACGCGGCGAGCGACTTGGTGAGCACCATGCTGGTGCGGTTGACGTTCTGGAACGCGAGCTTGACCTGGGCCTTTGTCTCCGTGGCGCCCGTCATGCTGGGATCGTTGACAAAGGCGCCGTTTTTCGAGTTGGGGGGGAGATCGCCCGTGGTGGCGTAGCGCAGGGCCTCGATGATGGTGGTCTTGCCCGAGCCGTTGGCGCCGACGATGAGCGTGAGCGGGCGCTCAAACTGGATGGTTTCGTGCGTGTCGCCGCTGAACGAGCGCACGCCCGAGACAGACAGTTTGTAGATGCTGGCCATGGAAAGGGAGTACTTACATAAGCGGGTTTGGAAACAAAAAAAAAAAATGCCATGAAAATTTGGGCATTTTCTGCGGCAAGAACAAAGCTTCACACACATTCTTCTTTTGCCCTGTCCAAACTGTTCATGACGACGTGGGTGCAGCCAGAAAAATTGCCGGACGCGCCCCTGGTGCTCTACAACACGCTCACGCGGTCCAAGGTGCCGTTTGTGCCCAGCTCCAGCGACGAGGTCACCTGGTACAGCTGCGGGCCGACTGTGTACAACTCGTCGCACATGGGCCACGCGCGGAACTACGTGACGATCGACATCAACCGCCGCATTCTGCAGGACTATTTTGGCTACAACGTCAAGTTTGTGCAGAACGTGACCGACATCGACGACAAGATCATCATCAAGGCCAGACAGGAGCATCTGTTTGGCGAGTTTGCCCGCAAGCACAGTGCCGTGGACGCGCAGTTGCGCGAGACGGCGCGGCGGGCGCTGGCGGCGTACGTGGCGAAGAACCTGCCCGAGTACGACGGCGCCGTGTCCTTTGACGAGTGGGCGCGCTCGCTCGACCTGGCAGCGCTCGGTCTGCAGAAACCCAAGCTGCCGATGCACGTGAAGGCGTGCGTGGCGGCGGGCGAGGCGATCGCCCGCGAGACCGACCTGGCGGCGTTTCTGGACAAAACCAAGGACGTGATCGTGCCCGAGCTCGACAGAGAGCTCGGCCACACCGTCACGGATCCGGAGATCTTCAAGGCGTGCTCGTCGTTCTGGGAGCACAAGTACGACGAGGACATGGCCGCGCTGAACGTGCTGCCGCCGACGATCGTCACGCGCGTGTCGGAGTACGTGCCCGAGATCGTGGCGTTTGTGCAGCAGATCATCGACAAGGGCTATGCGTACGCCACGAGCGACGGGTCGGTGTATTTCAACGTGGCCAAGTTCGACAAGGACCCGGCGCACGAGTACGCCAAGCTGCAGCCGTGGTCGAAGGGCAACCTGGAGCTGCTCGAGGACGGCGAAGGGTCGCTGTCGGCGGCGCAGGGCAAGCTGAACGCGTCCGACTTTGCGCTGTGGAAGGCGTCCAAGGCGGGCGAGCCGTCGTGGCCGTCGCCGTGGGGCCCTGGCCGGCCCGGCTGGCACATCGAGTGCTCGGTCATGGCGGCGGACTTTGTCGGCGACAAGCTCGACATCCACTCGGGCGGCATCGACCTTGCGTTCCCGCACCACGACAACGAGCTGGCGCAGAGCGAGGCCCACTACGACTGCAAGCAGTGGGTCAACTACTTCCTGCACACGGGGCATCTGCACATCGAGGGCCAGAAAATGTCCAAGTCGCTGAAAAACTTCATCACCATCGAGGAGGCGCTGGCCCGGTACTCTGCGCGGCAGCTGCGGCTGTGTTTTGCGCTGGTGCAGTGGAACAACGCGCTGGACTTCAAGGAGAGCCTGTTGAACGAGGTGCGGTCGATGGAGTCGTCGCTCAGCAAGTTCTTCAAGAACGTGCGGGCAATCAAGGCCGACACCGACCACCGCCTGCGCGCGGGCGAGGTGATTTCGAAGAAGTACGGCGAGCATGAGAAGCGGCTCGTTGCCGAGCTCGCGCAGTGCAAGAAGAACGTGCACGCCGCGTTCTGCGACAACCTGGCCACGCCGCAGGCGCTGCGTGCCCTGCTGGAGCTCGTCAACGGCGCAAACACCTACATCGGCGCTGTCGGCGCCGATCTGCGCGTCGAGCCGCTCGTCCAGAGCGCGCTGTACATCACGAGGATCCTGCGCGTGCTTGGTTTCGACACAAGAAAGGACGGCCTTGGCTGGGAGGACAACGTGCAACCCGAGACCGGCTCGGGCAACTTGGAGGAGGCGCTGATGCCGTACCTGAAGGTGCTGTCGAATTTCCGGGACCTGGTGCGCAGCTCGGCGATCGCCAAGGCAGACTACAAAGTGTTCTTGGACGCCACCGACACGCTCAGAGACAAAGAATTGCTCCAACTGAATGTGTCTCTTGACGACCGTGCTGGTCAAGGAGCCCTGATCAAGTTTTTGAACGAGAGCGAAAAACAGGAGCTGCTGAGGCAGCAGGCGGAGAAAGAGCAACAGCAGCTGGAAAAGGAGAGGCGGCGGCTGGAACAGCTGCGGCTGAAGGAGGAGAAGGAGAAGGAAAGGCTGGCCAAGGCGAAGATCGACCCGGCAGAGATGTTCAAGACCGCGGAGTACAGAGAAATATACTCCGAATGGGACGAGAACGGGCTGCCTGTGAAACTTGCGAGCGGGGAGGAGGTGACCAAGAGCGCCAGGAAGAAGCTGGCGAAACAGCAGGAGCAACAGCGGCGGCTGTTTGAGGCCCATAGGTAGATATAGATGGTATATGCAGTAAGCTATTGTCTGAATCTGTGAGATTCCGATTTTGGCAAAAAACGGCTAAAATTCGCAATCTACTCCGGCGCCACTAAATCGCGGGGAGAAGGAATAGGGAATCGCGAGACCGTGGTGGACAGTACGTCATTTTGAGGTGGCTCGGTGCACATGACTCATGAGTCACCGAGCAAGTGGTGCGATTATTGAGTGGGGGTGTGTGGGTGGTACATGCAATAACCTAGAGGGTAGTAAACCAGGTAATGTCACTCTTGACGCTTGTCAGCAGACGCTGCGAGGGTTGCGCAAACCAGCGCTGTTGGTTGGTACGGTGTCGGTGCACACTCACGGAGACGTACACTCCGCCGGACTGGGCTCCGAGCTGGAACTTCTGCACCCCGTTTTTTACGGGTGGGCCCCCGTAGAAATCCGGGTCCTATATGTCCGCGTGATGATTCCCTTCCAACAGAGCGCGTTACGGAGCAGCGCGCGGTGCGCATGGGGCCAATCAAACGCACCGAACCAGTGCCGAAAAAGAGTCATGTGTGCACCAGGCCCGACAAGTGACTACAGCCTGAGCCGTGCTCGTGGCGTCCAGGTACCCCGTCGTTTCCCCCAGAGACTCACCGCGGGGCGTCTTGTTCCCGAACCGGAAACTCGTCCACGGTCCGGACTTACGGACATCGGAGTTCCCCCCTCACAGTGCCGCACCCCATGATATGTCCCTCCAGCATTATGGGTGCATTTCCCTGGAGACTACCCAAGAGGTTATTGCATTGTGCTATAAATCGGGCACATTTCCCCCCAAATCTCAAATTTCATGTCTATTCAGAACTACGTCAAATCCAGAGTCCCTGTCACGGACCTCTCCAACTACTCGCTATCGCTCAACGATAACATCCCCACGTACAATGCGCCGCTGCCCAGCGTGCCTCGCATCAGTCTTCCCTCGCTGCCCAAACTCTCGCTGCCAAAGCCCGAGCCACAGGCACCAAAGGTGCTGGCGCCTAATAACCCGCCAAAGCCATACTCCAAGTTCGACCTCCTGCTCCAGACAGCAGCAATGCACAGCGTCCACAGCGAAAATCCCACAGCAACGCCCAATTACGTCTTAGCTCCGAAAACGACGCACAACTCTCCAAAACTGGAGATTTCCAATCTGGTCATCCAGACCACGCCTCAGCCACGATCCGCGCCCAAGCTCACCTCCATCAAGCTGGCGTCGCCGTCCACGGCGTCCAAACGGCAACGGTCCGGGCCCTCGTGCGACTGCTGCCGCGCGCGCAAAATCAAGTGCGACTCCGAGATCTTTGTGCTTGCCGAGCTGCCGAAAACGAGGTCCGCAGCGGCCCCCCGCGGCTCCGAAATCGCCAGCTGCAAGTTTCTGTACGAAGACGAGCACAGGTACCAGTACTTCGAGATCGACACGTCGCAGTACCAGAACCAGCGCTTCAACACCAAGCTGAGCCAGTTCCGGTACCTGAAGTTCAAGCCGTGCTCCGCGTGCAGCTCGAAAAAGCTCGCGTGCTGTTTTTCAAAGGGATTCACTAGAAACGACATCATTAAATTCAATAAGTCCGAGCGCATGCACCAGACGCCGGAGAAGGACGAGCCGAAAGACGAGGTGTCGCTGCCGGCCGTGATGGGCTCGTACGCCAAGCACCCCAAGAAGACCTCGTGCAACACTTGCAGGTTCAAGAAGATCAAATGTATCAAGCTCGAAGACAACCCGTCCTCAGACTGTCTGAGCTGCTCAAAGAAACATTTGGAGTGCGCTTATGTGTAGTATAGATACCTAATGATTATGAAACACGACTCGCACAGCACACTAGTCTGTATCGGGCTTTTTCGTGATTGGTAGCTTGAGATGTTTGGGCATTGGCGGAGGCGCCATTTTGGGCGGCGGACTCATCTTTGGCGGCGGCGGAGCAAACATCGGCGTGGTGCCCAGCTTCATTCCGGGCGGAGCGGCAATAGCTGGCGGCGGCGAGCAAACAGCCGTGGAGTCAGCCTTAGGAGCAGCCGTGGGCGCAGCGCCAGACCACTCGATCTGTGTCATTTCGGACTGCACGTAGCCCTCCGCCTCTCCCTCCAGATCACGCATCATCATCTCAAGGTCTCTGCCGTGTCTTGCCGTCTCCTCCAGGTCCGCCTTACAGTCGCGTGCCAGATGGCCAATGTTGCCGCAGCGAGAACACACCAGCGACTGCGCAAAGTTCTGTTTCCCGAGATTCGGACACTCGTACCGCTTGTGGCCCTTCTCGCCGCAGTTCAGACACAGCTTCTCGTCCGAGGCGCGCAGCGTGCCGTTCAAAATAGCAAGCTGCTTGAGCTGGTCGCGTTTGTGCTCGTTCTGGCCCTCGGGAGCGCTGATCGCGCCCTGGATGATCTCGCTGCACAGCTTCATGGCCTTCTGGATCTTCTCCTCCGAGTCGGCGGTGATGAGACAGTGCAGGTCGTCGTCCAGATTATTTTGGTCCGGTCGTATCAGGGCCGTGTTTTTACCTTCCTTCACCGACCCTTTGCCCCTGATCCCGATCTTTGCGCCGCTTTTTTCCTGGATCTTCTTCAGCGTGTGGCCCCTGGGCCCCATCAGGAGCCCGATGAAGTTGATCTCGGGGTGGTCACGTGCAGGGATGTACAGCTTGTCGCTTGTCTTGGTCTGTCTGCGGTAGTCTGGCGGCGGCCGGTAGTCGGGGATGTTTCGCAGCGCGTTCTCTATCAAACGGCCTCTTTCGGCCTCGAACCGACTTCGGTAGCGCTGCTCGCGCGTGTTGGTTCTTTTTCCGCTCGCGTCGTACACCGGGGGCGGAGACGGCGACCTTGTTCTTGTGGGCGGAACAAACGAGTCTGTCTGGATCATCCGGTTGATTTCCTCGATCCGCACCATCACCTGCACGGCCTCGAGCTGTTCTGGTGTGAGGGAGACGTTCAGCAGCGTGGGGACCTGAATCCCGTCCAGTCTCGCGACCCGTTGCGGTTCCCCAGAAAACATGAAATATTTGTATATATATTTATTTGAATAAATAATTTTAAATAAATTCAAGTAAATTTAAATAAATTATTTCCCATGGCTCCTCTTCAACAGGTCTCAAGACACGGCGGTCCAAACAAATGTTTCGGCCTTTTCCAGAGTGCGCTGGAGTGCATGACGAGCTCCACCACCGCCGATAGAACAGAGTGCCTGCCGTTGCGACAGGACTACATCGAGTGCCGCAAACACCGTCTGGAGACGTACAAGATGTTCATCGTGGAGAAACACCTGGACGAGCGCGAGGACCTGGACAGAGACGAGGTCGGCGCGCCGTACCTGAAAAGACGGGACTTTCTCACGCCCAAGACGCTCGGACTCGCCGACGGAGAGGACAAGCCGATCCTCACGCACAAATTCTGAACCGGTGAGGGGAAGCCAGAAACTCTAAATATTTATTTTATTTATTCACACATCTCGTTATAAATCGCCGTCCGTCTCGCTTTCGCCTATACTCTCATTGTACACTGCCAAATTGTCCTCCTCATTGGAATCTGGTTCCATGATGTTGTAGTCGTAATTCGTCTCCTGCGCTTTGGTGCCTATCACGTTGGCCTGGAATTTTGTCTCGTCGTCCTTTCTCTCGGTCTCGTCTTTCTCGTAGAACTCGATCTTGAGCTCGTGCACTATGTCGAAACACTCCGCCAGCAGCGCGTTCAGCGTTCCCTGGCCCTCCGGTATCTGCCCGTCAATCATGAACTTCCCGTCCTCCCGCATGTTGTCCACGGACGCCAGCTTCATCTGGTACGGATACAGCTCGCGGATCGACGAGATGCCGCCCGTCCGCTTCAAGTCCAGTAGACACCGCCGCACCGTCGTCAGCTGGTTGTGCAGCGGCTGCAGACTCTCGCTGACGGGCTCAGAGCTCTCCAGAAGCTTGTATATTATGGCATAGCACCGTCTGAGCAAGTATAGCAGCACAGCCTGTCCGCGGAGCTCTTTCTTGCCGAAGTAGCCGTCCACACGCAGTTTGTCGATCTGGTTGAGCGTTCGCTGGTAATTGAAGATGTCTGTGGTTCGAAGGACCCATCTTCTGGTCACAAGCAGGTTTTCGAGCGTCGACTTGAGTTTTTCCAGCTGGTTGTAGATGTCTGCGAGCTCTGGGCTCACCATATCCTCGCCGATCTTCATGTCCTGGATGAGATAGTGGCAGTCGTCGATCAGGCCCTTCAACACGCCCTCGCCCTTGGGGTGCTCTTCTTTGGAGAACTCGAGCTCGCACGCCAGCTGGATCTGCTCCAGCTGGCTCGAAAACACCTTGAGGTCGTCTCTGTTGGCGGCGTCGTCGCTCGTGATCACATCCAGTATCCGGTACTTGAGCGTGATCAGCCTGTCCATGATTCTCTGCACGTTTTTGGGCAGCTTGTTGATCTTGTCCTCCAGAAGCTTGTACTCCCGATAGGACTGCTCCAGCTTGCTCTTGAGCAGACTCAGCTCTTCCGAGGACGTGGTTTCGTCCGAGTTGATGATCTTGGCGATCTCGTCCAGCCGGTCTCTGATCGGGTCCAGGTCCTGGTGCGTGAAGATCTCGTTTTCGTTCAGGTGCTCGAGCAACCGTTGCACGGTGGACAGCGAGGCGTACGTTGCGGGCGCCGTGTTCTTGAGTCCGCACGTGACAAAGCACAGACTCAGCAACTGGAAGATCTCGTCCACCAGGACGTCCACCTTGTTGGGGAACTCGCCCTCGGCGGCCCCCTCCGTGGGCCGAATCGCCCGCAGTTCCTTGACTTTGCTCAGGACCTGGTCGTATATTTCTCCTATGCTTTTGGAATTCATGTACGTCTTGTGGTCGCGCTTGATCAGCGACAGACGTTGCCTGATGGCGGTCAATTCATCGTATATGGCCTGTTCGATAAGCGGGACGGTGGTATGCATCAACAAAAAGAATAGAATAAATGGCACATGTTTTGAGAGTTTTTTTTTTCGGTTCTCGCCGTCGATCGACGCCGCCCGACGCGGTCGCGCGCCGCCAACCCCCCATTCCTTTTTCACCTCCTTTAAAAACTTTTCTCAAACAACACCCTTCTTCACGTTCAACACATCGCCGGATTCTTTCGTTTTTGATCTATCGCGCAAGCGCGACCCCGGACTTTCGTTACACCATGAAGACAATCCTATTTATTCTCGCCTTGATACCCGCGGCCTCGGCCTTGTCCAGCATCGGTTGCTTTTCCGACATCCCTTCCTCCTATGTGTCCAAGGGCACCTACACCTGGCAGTCGAGCTCCCATTGCTCGTCAGAGTGCTCCTCCTACAAATACATCGCCCTGACAAACGGAAACGAGTGCTACTGCGGCGACGACAAGCCGTCGTCGTCCGACTCCTCAGACAGCTGCGACACCTCTTGTGATGGGTATCCGTCAGAGAAGTGCGGAGGCAGCAACGCCTACACGGTGTACGGGCTGAGCGACGACGACGTGTACGACAACTCGCTGAGCTCGGGAGCGTCGTCGAGCACCGGCTCGTCCGGCGCGTCGTCCAGCACGTCGTCCCCGGCCTCGTCGTCTACCGTCTCGTCCTCGTCCTCCTCGAACACCGCACAAACAACACAAGCATCGAGCTCCTCGAGCTCCACACAGGAGTCCACGTCCTCCACAGAAACACCCACAACCAGCTCGGAGAGCTCGAGCTCGTCCACGTCTCCCACCATGACCGCCACGGTGCTCACGTCGACGGTGAGCGAGGAGGGCTCGAAACAGACCACGGTGGTGTACATCACGCAATCCACGAGCTTGGCGTCTGCATCCGCATCCGCAGACTCGAGCTCGCGCTCGGGCTCCAAGTCGTCGAACAAGGGAGCCATCATCGGAGGAGCCGTCGGGGGCGCTGTCGGGGCGTCGATCGTGATCGGGGGCATCTTCTTTGTGATTTTCCGAAGACGCCGCGACAACGGCGACGACACGGCCGTGGACGATCTTGCGTACGAAGAGGCGCTCAAGTCAAACCGCGATCCGTTTGCCTCTGCCGACGACGACCTCTACTCCTCCGACAACGGGTCTGGGTCCGGGCGAATAATGCTCGGCCGCAGACGCCTGAGCGACGGCTCGCTCGCCGACGCGGCCGACTACTACAAGAAAGTGCTCAAAGTGGCGAACCCGGACGACGATAAGAATTAGCCCCAGCCGTTCTGTTTCTATAAGTACTTGTATGGGTTCATGATTCCCTGCGGGTCAAACTTGCTTTTGATATCTTTCATCAACGCAATTTCCACCTCCGACTTGGAGTAGCCGATGTAGTTCTTCTTCTGGAAGCCCAGTCCGTGCTCTGCCGAGATCGACCCCTCGTGGTCGCTGATCCACTGGTACACGTACGGCTCCAGACACTTCTCCACCGTTTTATTGTACTCTCTCACAATAACGTTCACGTGAACGTTGCCGTCGCCGATGTGGCCGTACCCCACCACGTCGACGACCGGCTTGGACGCGTCGCTGACCGACCGCAGCCCGTGCTCGTCCAGTCTCGCCCGCAGAACCTCGATCAGCTCGTACATCACCGGCAGCGGCAGCGAAACGTCGTATTTGTACACTCCGCCGTCCATGTTGGAGGCCTCGCTGATCCCCTCTCTCCAGGTCCACAGCGTTCTGAGCTGCGACTCGTCCTGCGACACCACGCCGTCCGCGACCGTGCCGTCCTCCATGATCGACTCCAAAAACGTCTCCAGCTTGGCGTCGTCGTGCTCCTTGCACGAGCCAGACGTCTCGATCAGCACGTAGAACGGATACTCGGGCACCTCGACGTCCGGGTCGTCCTGGGCGAGCGGGTGCGCCGTCTTGAGGAACCGCTTGGCCTGCCACTGCGACTGTCTGTCCATGAACTCAAACGCAGACAACACCTCGCACAGCTCTGCCCGGGCCCTCTTGAAAGTGGTCTGCACAGCCTCGTACGACTCGAGGCCGAGAAACGCAATGTTGACGGCCTTGGGCCGGGCCGGACACAGGATCGAGACGCCGGTGATGACGCCGAGCGTGCCCTCCGAGCCGATGAACAGCTGTTTCAGGTCGTAGCCCGTGTTGTCCTTCCGCAGAGCGTTCATGCTGTCGTAGACGGTGCCGTCTGGGAGCACCACCTCGAGACCGAGCACGGAGCCGTGCAACGAGCCGTATCTCAGCAGCCGCAGGCCGCCCGCGTTGGCCGCGACGTTGCCGCCGATGTGGCACGAGCCCTTGGCGCCCAGGTCCAGCGGGAAGATGTAGCCGTTCTCCGCGAGAAAGTTGTCGGCATTTTCCAGAATCAGCCCTGCGTCCGCTTTCAGAATACCCGACGTGTGGTCGAACGAGCGGATCTTGTTCATGCTGCTCAGCGACAGCACGATCTCGTCGAACACCGGCACAGACCCGCCCACCAGCCCCGTGTTGCCGCCCTGGGGCACCAGCGCCAGCTTGTGCTCGTGGCAGTACTTCACGATCTCCGACACCTGCTGCGTGGTCTTGGGCTTGATACACAGCGACGACTGGCCGCGGTACTTGCGCATCTGGTCCTCGTTGTAGAACAGGAGGTCGTCCTGGTCGGTCACGACGGCGGCCTCGCCAACCACCGACCTGAAGAAGTCGACGGCCTGCGGCGTGATCTTGCCGAAGTCCAGCCGCTTCACCTGCGGATACGACTCTGCTGTCAGACGGACGGTGGACGAGCGGCGCAGGAGCGCGACGACGGGCCCAGCAACGCGCGCTTTCGAGACTCTCTGCAGCACCAGCATTATATATTGGAGGAAATATTTCAGCCAGTGATTTTTTTCCGTTACCGCATGACATAAGCAATGCCACCGCCATAGTCGAGCCGGAGTTTGCAGGCCGCCCGGCATGGCAGCGGCCAGTGTCTGGTGCAAGGTGTGTGCGACCATGGCCACCGTTTCTCCGTGGCGTGCGACCTCTTAGTTTTGTCGTTGACTCATCCCGGAGAAATGGAGCAGGTGTACCGCCCCAGCCATAAAAAACCGCACCCGCCAGCCTGGCCGCAGGATCTGGCCGGCACACTTCTCTCCCAGCCCAGCGACTATCGCCCCGCGACGTTGCCACAAATCTGCAAAATCTCGTATTCTGCTGCTCGCCAAAAATCCGTGACCTGTCGGAGTATCACAGGGAAAAAAATTTAGGCCCAGATAAGAGGGGCTACGAAAAGAAAAAGTTTAATTACCTTGTTGGACCTGTTTATTTCCCGCGTAAAACAAAAGATGGACGCCGGCGACACAAGCTTCGGGGCTGCCACCGCGGTAAGCTCGCTCACGTCGTCGAAACTCAACTCCCCGATGATCATGTCGAGGGCCTCGTCCTCGTCCGCGTTGACATCCGCCATCTCTATCCCTGGACAGACCATGAATTTGCACGTGGTGAACAGCAACGGATCGGAGCAGAACCAGCTGAACTTGCTGCCTTCGAAGGGCGACACGGGCAGCGAGGCTCTGAAGCTGGCCATCATCTGCGTGGGGCTTCCAGCCACTGGCAAGTCGTACATTACTAAGAAGCTACAGCGATATCTCAACTGGATGCAATACAGCACAAAAATCTTCAACGTGGGCAACACGCGGCGCCAGAAAAACGCCAAGCCCAGCGGGTATCCCGTCCAGGGGCCGACGCTCGACAAGACCAGCCACGACGCCAATTTCTTCGACCACTCCAACAAGGACTCCTTCCACCAGAGAGAACAGTGGGCCCGCGAGACGCTCGACGACCTGATCCATTTCCTGCTGGTTGACCAGGGCAACGTGGGCATTTTCGACGCTACAAACACAACCAAGGCCCGCAGATCGTGGATTATCGAAACGATCACCAAACGCACCGAGGGCGCCGTGAAAATTCTGTTTTTAGAGAGCATCTGCACGGACCAGGAGCTGATCGAGAAGAACATCCGTCTGAAGCTGAGCGGACCAGATTACAAGGACATGGACAGAGACCTGGCGCTCAACGACTTTCGCAATAGACTCAAGAACTATCAGGCCGTCTACGAAACCATCGACGAGGAGGAAGAGCTGGAAAACGAGAAGTACGACATCCAGTACGTCAAGATCATGAACGCCGGAAAGAAGGTTGTTTCGTACAACATCAGCGGATATCTTTCGTCGCAGTGCGTTTTTTTCCTTTTGAACTTCAACCTGTCTGACCGGCAGATCTGGCTGACGGCCAACGGCGAATCCGAGTTTAATGCAGCCAATAGAAAGGGCGGCGATTCCAACCTAACCAAAAAAGGCGAACAGTTTGCTAGAGCATTGCCAAAGTTCATTTGTAAAAAGAGACAGGAATTCAAGCTTCGTCACCTTAATAAAGAGTATGTCAACGACGAGTTTTCATTCCACACAAAACCGCAGCTGGAGCAGGAATTCAATATCTGGACGTCCAATCTCAAGCGCACTTTGCAAACAGCGTCGTACTTCCCACAGGAAAAGGACGGAGGCGATTTCCATTTCAAGTCGTTCCGGATGCTGAACGACCTGGGTTGCGGATCGATGGACTCCATCACCGAGGAGGAGTTCAGAGCCAAATATGTGGATGAGTACAGGTCGCAAATGGCGGAGAAACTCACCTATAGATATCCTGGGCTTGGAGGAGAGTCATACCTGGACGTGATTTCCAGGCTACGGCCGATGATCGTGGAGCTGGAGCGTTTGCGCGACAACGTTCTGATCATTTCGCACAGAGTGATTACGAGGGTATTGCTTTGCTACTTCATGAATCTGAACAAAGAAATGCTGACCGAGCTGGACGTCCAGCACGGCTATGTTTACTGCATAGAGCCCAAGCCGTATGGGCTGGATCTCAAGATCTGGCAGTACGACGAGATGACCGACGCTTTCTACGAAGTGGACGAGATTGAGCTGATGAAGAAGAAGCGGAAACGGGTTTCCATCTCCATCGGCAGCAATTTCAGACCGATCTTCAAGAAGACTGTCTCGCCAGACTCGTCAATTAGCTCGTCTGAGTACTCCAGCTCTTCGGAAGAGGAAGAGGATCGCGTCAGCCGCAGAAGGCCGAACGTCGAGCCCGAGTCCTACGAGTTCTCCAGAATGCACTCTGATACGGCATCGGAGGACCTTGATACGGTCATAATGGACGAGCGGTCTCCCCAAAACCAGGATATAGAGCACCAGGTCGACGAGATTCTCAAGAACGAAAAATTGGTCGGGCTTCTTCGGGAGAAGCTGCAGACCCTCGCTTTATAGATTAATAAATTATTTCATGATTTATTTTATTTAAACTTATTCATTAATTTAATATTTTCATTTATATTTATCTAAAATATTATCATTGATTTAGTTTATTTTTCATGGCGCACTGGGTCGATGTCGGCGCCACGCTGTCGCAGCTGGCCGAAATAGACACCGACAAACTACTGCCGTCCAAGAAAAGCAACATCGGCCTTGGTTTGACCCCGAAAGACCAGGTGCGCAAGTTCTACGAGCAGAGCGCAGACAACAAGACACTGGAGTCCAAGGCCTGGCTCAGCGACCCGCATTTTTTCCACACCGTGCACGTCAGCAGTCTGGCGCTGATGAAAATGAGTCTCCATGCGCGCTCGGGCGGGTCCATCGAGATCATGGGCATGATGACCGGCAAGATCTTCGACGGCAACATCGTTGTCTTGGACAGCTATCCTCTGCCCGTGCAGGGGACCGAAAGCCGCGTGAATCCGCTCAACGAGGCGTACGAGTTTATGCTGCAATATCTGGAACAGCAGAAGAAGCAGTGCAATCGGTCGGAGAACATTGTTGGCTGGTACCACTCTCACCCAGGCTTTGGCTGCTGGCTGTCGGGAATCGATGTCAAGACGCAGGAACTGAACCAGGGATTCCAGGATCCGTACGTCGCCGTCGTGATTGACCCGGAGAAGTCGCGGAAGCAGGGGTTTGTGGACATCGGGGCGTTTCGCACGTACTACCCTGAGCATCTTGCGATGTTGGAGACGCAGCAACCAAATCCCGCAAAACGCGATCTGGGCCGTCACGCAGACAAGTATTACTCCCTAGACGTGAGCCTTTTCAAGTCCGACAAGGACGAGCAGGTTTTCGACAGCCTCAATTCAAAGTTCTGGTACAAAGATCTGGTGCAGGCGCCGGAGCAGGACCAGGTGCTGGAGATAAATAAAATTCGCGACGTTTCGAAACAAATCAGTCGACTAAAGCCTGTTCTGAAAAAGAACACGGGGCCGCCGAACTCGGCGAGCTCGACAGGAGCCCCGGAAACCCTGCTACATCGCTATGAATCGGGGAAAGTGTCCAAAACCGAGGAGCAGGCCAAGAACATCGGCCTGATGCTCAACTCGCTCGCCATGTCCGAATACGATCGCATCTTGAAAACAGAGGTCGCCCGTCTCCGCAGGTAGCTACTGGCCCTGTTCCTCCTGGTACCTGCGGATCTCGTCCTTGCTGATTTGCGCTGCCTTGACGATGTTGTGGAACGTGGCCTGCAGCGTCTGGCTCTTGATCTTCTGCGGATCCGGCTGCTGTTTTTTGATGTTCATCTTGTCGAAGTTTTCCATCAGCTGCGAATCGGTCGAGTTGCCGTGGAAAATGAAGTCCTCCTCGCCTTCCTCGAAGCTGGAGTCGGTCGCCTCGCGCAGCTCGTGCAGTTTCTGCAGCTTGTTGCGGATAAGCACGAGTCGGAACGCCTTGCGCAGCTTGTCCTGAGCATTGAAGCCCTCGCGGATGTTTCCGATGATGTTGGCCTCGTTTTCGGGCTTCTGCTTGGCCAGGTGCGACAGTATCCATGGATGTTGCAACAGCTGGGCCGCAGACGGCCGCCGACGGTTGTCGATGTCCAGACTCTTGAGAATGAAATCCTTCGCGTTGTCGGAAATATGCTGCCAGTACTTGTGGTGGAAAACCACAAAGTTGTTGCTGCGCACCTCGTCGAGAAACTCCTCTGGCGTCTCGGCCCGGATCGGCGAGTAGCCACCTATCAGAATGAACGTCACGATACCCAGAGACCATATATCGCAGGACCTAGTGTAGCCGCCCTTTCCCAGCCCGTACAGCTCGCCGTAGCCCTCGGACGCGTAGATCTCGGGCGCAATGTACCCGTACGAGCCTGCCACGCCGGTGATTTTCTCCGTGGTCTCCTGCTCCAGCTGTCGCGAGACACCAAAGTCCGCAAGCACCACGGGCGACTGGTCGTCGGGCGTGAGATACAGCACGTTCTCGGGCTTGATGTCTCTGTGGACAATGCCGTGGCTGTGCAGGTAATCGACGGCCGTGAGCAGCTGGTAAACGATGTTGCAGGCGTCGGACTCTGTGAAGGAGGTCTTCTGGATAAGCCTGTCGAACAGCTCGCCTCCGGTAGCCAGCTGGGTCACGATGTAGAAATTGTGCTTTGTTTCGAACCAGTCCAGCAGCCGGACGATGTGGTCGTGCTGGATGGTCTCGAGAACCTTGATTTCGCGCAGAACGGCGTCCAGATGGCCCTTGAGCCTGGACTTGAGAATGATCTTGACGGCCACGGGCTCGCCTGTTTTCTTCGCCACTGCTCTTCGCACAGTGCCGAACGAGCCTGCCCCGAGCGTTTCCAGGAACTCGTACTGTTTTTTCTTGTCAGAGTGCGGGAACTTGTCAAACAGCCTATCCATATTAAATAGCTGTTAATAAATAAAGTATTTTTGGCAACCCTGCTGCCGATAAAAATATTTCTATCGTTTGCAAATCTCAATTCATATCGTAGCACGCTTCCGTTGCAACTGAGAGCTGGTGCTGTGTTGACAACGCTTGCTTGCTAATCTGCGCCATTGACTTAGCCCCTGCTCAGCCACGCTTCCAATTTCACCCAACTTTTTTTTTCCAGCTATGGACCGCTTAGTGTCTGCGTTCCAGTTCGAGCGGCTGCTCAGTTCCGACTCCCAGCTGAAGACTATCGCGCTCCTGGGCACCATAAACGGCCAGCAGGCCATTTTGCAGCTCGAAAAGTCGCACTTCGACACCGCCAGACTGCCAGACCTGCCCGTCCAGGAAATTCGCGAAATAGCGTCCAATGACGTCTACCACTGGGCCATGACCACCCTGCAGCAGTCTGCGGACCGCGACCCGGCAGCCAAGCTCAACCTCATCTACCCGGCCACAGACACCCACATCCGAAAGTTCGAGAAGCCGGTCTTGCACATTGTCCGCGAAACCCCCGAGCTGTACCGCAGCGTCGTGGTGCCGTACATAGAAACCATGCGTGGAGACAGAATCAAATGGGTCCGCAACATTCTGTACGAGGGAGCCGAGGCCGACCGTGTCGTCGTCAAAAACGACGACTTCGTGCTCATTCCAGACATGAAATGGGACGGCACCACGCTCGAGTCGCTGTATCTCTGCTGCATCGTCTACCGCGACGACGTCGCGTCGATCAGAGACCTCAACGAGACGCACATCCCGTACCTGGAGCGCATCCTGGACACGCTGAGAACGGAGATCCCGCGCCGCTACAGCATTGCGAGCGACCAGCTGCGCGTCTTCGTGCACTACCAGCCGTCGTACTACCACTTCCACATCCACGTCGTCAACACGGCCTACTACGGGCTGGGCGAGTCGATTCTGGCCGGAAAGGCCATTCTGCTCGAGGACGTGATCGACACGCTGCGGTTCCTGGGACCGCACGGCTACAAAAGACGCACGCTCACCTACGCGATCAACGAGTCGCACAAACTCTGGGAGCTGGGGCTCAAGAGCGCTGCTACGTAAATATACAGGTGCGAGGGTGTCGGTGCAAGTTGTACACCACATCCCCAAATTATGTTTTTCCATGTGGCGTAAACACAGCGAGGTGGAAGAAGAGCACTTTGGAACCTCTGGCCAAGTAGACACTGTTTTCGCCGCTATCGCACGCCCGGACCTCTGAGAATGGGAAAGAAAGGGTACCAGCAGCCAAGCGTATGTTTTTCTAGGTTTTATCTATGGCTAACCAGAACAGGAAATGTCCCAGGTGAACGACTTCATTTTTGGCACCGAGGGCTACCAGAGTCTGCAGCCGCGGCCGTCGCTGCTCAGGACGCTGACCGGTCTACGCAAGTCGCCGATGGACAACTCGCACCTGACTGTGGACAGCCAGAAGGTGATTGGGGCCTCGTTCTCTCATCTGGACCTCGGTGCGTCTGACACGCAGAAACGCAACTCGTCTCCAGACTCGCGGTCGGTCCATTCGAACGGCTCGACCAAGTCTCCGCGTCCGAGTCTGAACCTGAACCTGTCGAAGGCGAAGAAGTTGTACGATTTGTCGACCAAGATCGACGACGACGCCGATTGGAACGACGACATCGACGATCTGGCCACACCCTCGCCCCAGGACCCCAAACCGCAATTTTACCCCGACATCTCGGACCTCCAGCTGCAGGAGTCGCCGATGGACAGGCAGACGGTGCCCACAGAGCCGCCGCCAGCGACACAGCAACCGTCAGAACCGCAGCCAGCACAGTTTCTCCGCGCGGACTACGAACGCATCATGAAAGACCCCTTTGTCATCCTCGAAAGGACCAGCAACCAGTCCAAATACAGCAAAATCGTCAAGGCGCTGAAAAACCAGCCGTTTGATATGGCCGAGCTACGCAAGCTAACGTGGAGCGGCGTGCCGGCCGCGCTCCGACCGCTCGTTTGGCAGGTGCTTCTCGGGTACCTCCCGGTCAACAGCGCCACGAGGGAGGCTGTTCTGAGAAGAAAACGGAAAGAATACACCAACAGCATGACACAGCTGTTCCGAGTGGAAAAGGACCAGGCTGTGTGGCACCAGATCTCCATCGACATCCCGCGGACCAACCCCACCATCAAACTGTACTCATTCGAGTCCACACAGCGATCGCTCGAAAAAGTGCTGTACTTGTGGGCAGTCAGACACCCTGCGAGCGGCTACGTGCAGGGAATCAACGATCTGGCCACGCCGTTCTACCAAATATTTTTGTCTGCGTATTTGTGCGACCATGTTGACATGGAAGCGTTCAACACCAACCAGTTGCCGCAGGAACTGATCAACTGCATTGAAGCCGACACGTACTGGTGTCTCACAAAGGTGCTAGACACCATTCAGGACAATTACATTCACGAGCAACCGGGAATCATCCGCCAGGTGTCGGAGCTGCGAGACCTGGTGAAACGAGACGAGCCGTACCTGGCTGAGCATTTCGAGGAGGAAGGAATCGACTTCATCCAGTTCTCGTTCCGCTGGATGAACTGCATGCTGATGCGCGAGCTCCGGATGGAGCTGATCGTGCGCATGTGGGACACGTATCTGTCAAGCTATCCAACAGGATTCAATCAGTTCCACGTTTACGTGTGCTGTGCTTTTCTGCGACGCTTCAGCGAGCAGCTGCTGGACATGGACTTCCAGGATATCATCATGTTTCTCCAGGACACGTCCAAGACCAACGACTGGACAGAGGCCGACGTCGAGATGATGCTCAGCGAAGCGTTTGTGTGGCAGTCGCTGTACGAGAACGCCACTGCCCATTTCAGAACATAATATACAGATCTACCTATAATCTCCCCGTTTTCTCCTTACGCCTTCTTGCTGCGCTTGGCGCTCTCCAGCAGGTTGTCCAGAACCATCGCCACGGTCATTGGCCCGACTCCGCCAGGGACAGGGGTGATTTTCGAGGCCTTTTCTTTGCACGACGCAAAGTCGACGTCTCCACACATTCTCTGGCCCGATTTCCTCGTCGCGTCCGGAACGTAGTTCGTCCCCACGTCTATGATCACACAGCCCTGCTTGACCAGGTCGCCCGTGATGAAGTTGGCGCGGCCAACGGCGCTGACAATAATATCTGCGTTCGAACAGTAGAACTTGAGCTGCTCCGGGCTAGTTTTCGAGTGGACCACCGTGACGGTTCCGCCCGCCTTCTCCAAAAGCTTCGAGAGCGGACCTCCAACAATGTCCGATCTGCCGCAGACCACCACGTTCTTGCCTGTGATCTCCACCTGCTCATGTTTCAACAGGTACATGATGCCCTTTGGCGTGCACGGAATGAACTTTGCAGCAGCGTTCTTCTTGAAAATGGCGGCCAAATTGAGTTCCGAAAAGCCGTCGATGTCCTTCTCCTGCTTCACAGCGTTGGTGATCCGCTCCTCGTCCAAATGAGCAGGAAGCGGGAGCTGCACCAGTATCCCGTGCACAGACGCGTCCTCGTTCAGCTCGCTGATGCGCGCCAGCAGATCGGCTTCCGAAACGTCGTCGGGGAGTTTTTGCAAGGACCCGTCGATGCCCACCTCCTGGCACGACTTGAGCTTCATCTTGACGTAGGTGGACGAGTCAGGACGGTCTCCGACCTGGATGATCACGAGCCGAGGCGCGAACGACAGGTCCTGGGCCTTGAGCTCTTTGATCTCGGCCGCGATGGACGCACGCAGCTCGCTGCTGATGGCTCTGCCGTCAATGATGGACATGTTTGTACGAGAATAAATAGTAATTTTTTTTCCACGTGAAAGTAAACCTGGGCAAATTGTTGGCTCGCGGTGCGCGGCGGGCGGTCGGTGCGAGGTGTGACAATATGCTCGCTGAGCGCAGGGCAGCAGAGCCCGGCAATGCGTCTGGCGCGGCCGGTGACAATCGCGCGCTCGTGCTGCATTGTCTGGTGTTCTCTTGTGCGGGCCAGGCGAAACAGCCGTGTGTCTTGTGGCCCGTTTCAGACGGTATTGTTTGCGGCATTGGCGTCGTGGACAGCAGCAATTAGATTCCCCTATTGGGAAAGACCGTTCGTCTGGAGCCTGTGGCAGACAATAGGCAGATTCCATGTTCGGGCAAATTAAAGAAAAACTGGTGCAGGCGCTGTTATCCGTGGCCCTAAAAGTGAACAATCCGCACCGAATTGAGCGAAATGGGCACAGATACTGCCAAAATGTTACCCCTTTGAAAATCATAAAGGCCAAAAATAGTCGATCAAAAATTTAGAAAAATCGGTATACCAAATCTCTGGTGCCTATGATCCTGTGCCATGCAGCAGCAAGACCAGGACAACCCCACGCCGCGCCAGGCGTCTCCGCTGAGGAGAGTGCTCAACACTCCGTCCGAGCCCGAACGGCAGCCCGCTCAGAATCAGTCCCAGGAGGCGTTGTCGCAACTGCTGGGCTTTCCGGTGGAATCATGGCCACAGTCCCAGGAACAGCTGGATTTGGTGATCCAGCTTAGGATCGAGCAAGAGCGCACCAAGTTCGAGCAGCACAAGTCCAGGAACCTGGAGATGGCGCTGGAATTACTCAATGCGGCGCGTCAGACAGGCATTCCTCCGGAACTGATTCCGTTTCTCTATGCCAACCTTTCCCCGGAGGAAATCAGGGAACGCATTGACATGGTGCTCAAATACCCTCTCGCGCCGCACGGGTACCCGGCCCCGGGCCAGCGTGCCGACGAATCGCCCGTGCGAGCGTACTCCCACCGGCGGTCGTATACCGCGTCGTCTGCCGCGTCGTCTGCGGGCGGCGCCACATCTGTGTGGAGGGTGAACCTGCCGCAGCAACAGCAGTTCCAGTTTCACCACTGGTCTGGGCCGGGGGCCGGCCCCACGCCGTCCAAGGGCTCGTCTGTAGATACCGCGGCGTCCTCGACAGCGGGGTCCGTCAACCCGCAGACATACCCAGACACGCCGTCTGCGCCGTCCACGTCGTCGCCGACATCCACCCACAAGCGCAAATTTTCCGACCCCGTGGCCCCCACGCACCAACGTCAGCCGTCGTCGCCCACCAAGACGCGCAGCATATCGCTCGACAAGCGACAACCTGCACAAAACCCCCTTGCATCGCCCTACGTCTACAGAGACCCGGCCTACGGCGCGCCGTCGTACCCGCCACACCAACCAGGGGTCGCTGGTGTGTCGCGGTTCCCGCAACCAGGCTCGCCGTACCCGTCGCGCCAGCAGCCCCCACCTTACTATTATTCTTCGCCCTACCATCAGCAAACTTACCAATTTCCCGCCTCAAAGCCGCAGGAGCCCGTGCTTCCGCCGCTCAGGCCTCTGGAGCCAGACGACAAGACGAAAAGCAAGTTTCTTATCAACACCCCTAGAAACCCGCCCAAGTGATACCCGTGTGCAGTCGCAACATTAGCATATTAGATAATAAAGTTACAGCATTTGTTACATCTGCGGAAACGTTCCGCATGGAATTCTGCTCCCGTCCTAAAAAAATTTGGAGTTTAGCTTCTACTTCCGCATTTTCACTACTTATCAAACGTTCTTTTTTTTTTCTGCTAGTATTTATAAACACTCCAACGTCATGGAATCCAGTTCCACATTTTTGCAATAGCCTCGATAATGACGCCTGATCCCAAAACAGATGACACGCCCGATCAGCAACCGCAAGAAGTGCCCCATACAATCCTCACCAAACGCGAGAAGTCATTCATGACGTTCCTGCTGTCTCTTATCGGTGTTGCATCTGCCATGAGCATGCCTATTTACTGGGTTGCACTGACAGAAATGAAGAAAAAGTTTGGGGTCACTGAGGAGCAGATCAATCTCACCGTCGTGGCGTACTTGATCCTGCAATCGGTGTCGCCAGTGTTCTTCTCTACTGCAACAGACTATGTCGGAAGACGGCCGGTGGTGCTGGTGTGCCTATTGGGCGGTCTCGCAATAAACATCGCTCTGGCTGTCTCAAACGCATACTGGATGATCATTCTTTTCCGCTGTCTGTTGGCCTCCTTTGTCTCGCCGCTGATCAGCATCGACTCCTCCATCGTCAGCGACTTTACCACCAGAAGGGACCGCGGTGGCTACAACGGAACAGTGAACGGGTTTCTCCTGGTGGGCCAAGGTTTCTCGCCCTTTTTCGGTGCTCTGGTCGACAGCGGGTGGGACTGGAGAGCCATCTTCTACTTCTGCGCCATAATCGACGGCGTGCTTCTGGTTGTTGCATTCATCTGCCTTCCTGAGACGAAACGGAGCATCGTCGGAAACATGTCCGTCAGACCGGACCACTGGTACCACCGGGCCCCTATACTGCTCTATTTTGGCAACAGACTGTCTGATACATCAAAAAGCACTGTTGAGCACGTCGATCTTCCTACGTACAATCCGCTTAGAACAGTCATGATCGTCAAGTATCCACAAGTGTCCATGGTCCTAATTCCCAGCTCTCTGATATTTGCCACATGGACCATCTCGCAAGCATCGTTTTCCACAGAGCTCTCTGAGTCCTACGGATTCTCGACCCTGAAAATAGGTATCTGCTTTTTTGCTCCCGGAGTGGCTACAGTTCTTGGAGCTATCATTAGCGGCAGGGTTTTAGACTTCGCCTACAACAACCTTCGCCGGAAACACATCCAGTCCGAGAGCGCCCAGCCACTCAACATCATCAAGGCAAGAGTGCAGTACTTTTTCATTCCGTCGCTCGTCTGTGCAGCTGCCTCTGTGGTGTTTGGCTGGTGCTTCCAGAAAAAAGAAAACGTGGCCGTCATCCTTGTCATGTCGTTTCTGATCACTTTCTCGACCATGTTCCCGATGAACGCTGTTCCCACGCTGCTGATAGATATGTTCCCGGGACAGTCTGGTTCTGTTGCGTCGCTCAATAACTTGGGACGCTGTGGCATGGCTACCATCTTCATGGCATGTCTGTCCAGAATGGGCAAGGCCATGAATTTGGGCGGTACCTACACGCTTATGGCGGGATTAATAATGCTTGGAAACATCTCCGTGTATGCTCTTTTGGCAAGAAGCTCTAAAATTCTCGCAGATGTTGAGAGACGCAAACAGGAGCTGGACGATAAATAATAAGTAATTTCAATAGAATAGCAAAGAGGCAATAGCTATAGCGGCACGTTTTGGGTCTACCTACTACTCGCGCGACACAAGGAGGCCACCTGTGCCGGTATCCTAAAAATGACATATTTAATACTTGGATTATTTAATAAAAAAAGTATTCAGATAATTTTCTTGTTTAATGTCCACCCACGCCCAGGGCGACGCTATAAAGCTGCTGACATTCAACCTATGGGGTCTCAAATACGTCTCAAAGCAGCGCCATGAACGCATTGCGGCGTTTGCGCGCAAGCTTCGGTGCGATCCAGACTACGACGTCGTTGCCCTACAAGAGATCTGGACGGACGAGGACTGGAAATCAATTGTCGATCTGTGTCGGGAAGTTTATCCGTATACACGGAGATTCTCCTCTGGGATTCTCACAGGCCCTGGTTTGGCAATTCTTTCAAAAGTGCCAATAAATCGGACGTTTTTGTATCGTTTCCCTGTCAATGGAACACCCGCAGCTTTCTACAGAGGTGACTGGTACGTTGGGAAATCCGTTGCTGTGACGTTGCTGGAGCCGCTCAGCGAAGGCGCTTCGCCAGTGGCAGTCCTGAATTCCCACATGCACGCACCCTACGCGCTTACTGGCAGCTCCGCGTACGCCTGTGTCAGAGCCTGTCAGGCCTGGGATATTGCGTCTGTAGCTCAGACGTACAGCGAGGCCGGCTACGCAGTCATTCTGGTTGGCGATCTCAACTCGCGCCCGGGATCGCTGCCTTATAGAATAATGCAGTCTGAGGCAGGCCTCACTGACAGCTGGGAAGAAATACACGGACTCACGGATGCTGATAAACTGCGACAGATGACGCCGGAGGACCAGATCAAACTCGGAGGAGCCACCTGCGACTCCACACTCAACACCTGGCGCGCAGATAGACGTCCAGATGAGGCGTGTCGTTTGGACTACGCCCTTATAGACAACACTCGGCTCCGTGCTCTGGATGCGTCCGTGCAATTTACTGAAAGGGTTCCTGGCGTGGGCTCCTTCTCGGACCATTTTGCGTACTCGGCGACCTTCAAGGTACTTCCAAAATCCAACACGCTCCCGTCGAGGCCTTCAAAGTCCCAAAGACTGGAAATTTATCAGGAGCTTACAGATCTGGTGGCAGAATATTTGTCCTCCAGAAATTCGTGGCAGAGCCGGCTTCTTCTCTTGCACTTTTGGCTCTCTGCGTTCGTCTTCGTTGCGTTTCTGGCCGTCATCGTCGTTGTGTCGTTCGTCGCTCCTTGGGCGTCGATTCTCTTCCTCTTTTTCGGGGGTCTCGTGCTGGCTACCGGACTGCTGAGCGGCCAGATCGGATTCCTGTTCTGCAGATCTGAGCGCAGAGCCATGACGGAAATCATTCTACAAGTAGCAGACGCTGCCCGCGTGTTACAAGACAGGTGATCTTACCAGCGGGATTATTCTCCCAATTATTTTCGCGTGCCTCGAAACAATGTACCGGCTGTCCTGTTTAGGAAATACAATGTCGGAAGCCAAAAAATACCAGATCTTGAGCTCTTTTTTCAAAATGACCATATCGCTCTAGTGAAAATGGTGGAGAAGGAACGCGCGACCGAGACGACGGAGTCTCCAAACGACGGCGAGTACGTCCTGACCCCGGAAGAGGAAGCCAAATATGGCCGTTTTTCCAAGAACCAGAAACGGCTATTCATGACCATTATGGCTATAGCCACGTCGCTAGGGCCGTACTCCTCTTCCGCATACATGCCAGCAACACAGATGATTGCCGACGAGTTCAGCACCACCGGAGCCACCATCAACTTATCTGGAACCGTTTTCAACATAATGACTGCGATGTCCCCATGTCTGTTCAACCGGCTGTACGAGTTTTACGGCTGCCGTCCGATTTTCATTCTCATGGCCACTCTCTTGCTGATACCCTCGATTCTCACTGCTGTTTCTGTGAACCTCCCTATGTTCTTCGTGTTTCGCAGTCTCACAGGCCTATTTTCCTATTCGTTCATCAACATGGCCGCGTCAGTCACTGGCCACATCTACCAGCCCACCGAGAGATCCACGGCTTTGAGTTGCTGCTTAGCAGGCACTCTGGCAGCCAGCGCATTTGCTCCCGTCCTTGCAGGAGTCATTATCACCTACGCATCCTGGAGAATCATTTTCTGGGTCCAGACAGGCATCACTGCTTTTGTGCTGGCCATGGCCGTCGTCTTCCTCAAGGAAACCACGCCAGAAACTGAGTTCTCCATATGGAAACGAGAAACGTCCAGAAAGTTCAAGATCATCGCCGTCAACCCTTTCAAGGTGGTCTTTGCATTGCGCATTCCAACGCTGTTTCTGCCGGGCATCACCACTCTCTTGCTATCATTCAACTATTTTGCATTGCTCACTCCAATCAGATACGTTGTGGACCCGCGATTTGGCTTCACTAGTCCTATCCAGGGCTCTTTGTTCTATCTCGCTCCTGGCTGCGGCATGGTTATATCGACCCAGTTTGCGGGCAGATACGCCGATTGGGTGCTGAAACGAGCCATCAAAAGAAGAGGCGGCCGGCTTGTGAGCGAGGACAGACTTCAGGCGTGTTTGCCGGCCATGCTGCTTATGTTCTCGTCGATCATAATCTACGGCTGGTCTATCCAGGAGAAAAAGGGCGGGCTCGTGCTGCCGATCGTCATGATGTTCCTCAACGGGTTCTCCCAGACGTTTGTGTACACGCCGGTGAATTCTTATTGCATTGGAAGCTTGCCCGAGATCGGGTCGCCGATCGCCCTGGGCTCAAACTATTTCATCCGCAACATCGGAGCGGCGATCGGGTCAGGGGTCACCTTACCCCTGTTCGATGCCATCGGCATCGGATGGTCCAGCGTTATCAACGGGATCCTCATAGTCGTGGCCTTTGGCACTACGCTGCTCTGCTACAAGCTGGGCCAAACCTGGCGCACAAGATGGCTGAAAAAAAACGGCTATCGCTCGGGAGACGGGGACGACCGAGAAGGATAGAATTAATATTCTCCTTTTTAATTCTTTTGACAGCCTAAATAATATATATCTTGCTTTCGCGTGAAACACAAGAACCTCTCAGTTATAAATTAATCGGTATCAGTCATGTCTGGCATCGAGTCGACCGAGGAGCCTTGCAGCAGCATGACAGAGTCGCAGACTCCGTCCGACTTGGGGTCTGAAGAGCGGCTGACTCGCAAGGATTCTGGCCCGCAGTCGCAGAGCCCTACCAAACGACACTTCGCCTTTTCGCCTCACCGACTTATCACATCGATCTCGCGACATACGTCGCCTCACAAGCCACGACCGAAATCCCAGTCAAGGGTGCCCACGCCGAAACTGCATCCTCTACCGCCACACCGCCTGGTTAGTCCTGAGAGAGATAAGCCTTCCATAGAGGGCATATCCAAGTCGTTTGTGAGCTTTCTCACTGCTGCCAGCGTCTATGCTGGGTTCCAGGATTTAGAGGGAGAAGACCAACAAGTGTCGCCCGACGACGTTTCTGCGGGCGAATCAGAGGACCAGCAAGATAACGAATCGTCTGATGAACACGAGGACGACGACCGGGACGACCGAACATTTTACGCCACAGACCCGTCGCCCACCGAGCTGACCATCAATGAGAACACGCTATTGCCAGAGCCAGAGCCACCGCGTCGGACGCTACGCAAAGCCAGATCGCGGTTTGAGTTTTCTGTGGTCAAGAGACTTTCTGAGAACGAAAGCGATCAGCTGGCGCAGAAACGAGCTATTGCGCTCTCGAACAAGCTGAAGAGAACATTCGACATTTCCGATACAGATGAGTTCATCAGCGATTATCCGTGCTGGCTGATGGGAGACGTTCTGTTGCAGGGCCATCTGTATATCACCAAGCACCACATCTTGTTCTTTGCATTTTTGCCCAAGAAACAGGGCTCGATCTCGAAGTCGGGAGCGCTGACCACGAAATCGTATCCGTCTCTCAGGGAGCACCGCAAATGGGCTGTCTTGCGCAACAACACCTTCAGCGTGTATTCAAACTCGACAGATCTGTATTTTCCGCTCCTGGTGATCGATCTTCGAACTGCTTTGCGAGCGGAGATTCTCCAAAGCAGTAGCACCGAACAGAACCCTAGCAAGCCTGTGTGGATTCGAATCATCACAGAGTCAAGAACGCATTGGTTTCTAGCCGACAACTTAGCTTCAGCCAGATCCTGGGTTTCGAGTCTGAAGAAGCACATTTTCGCATCCAAGAATAAAGGCGACCAGGTGGCGATCAAGATCCCGTTGCAGAACGTTGTGGACTTGGAGCTGACCTCTGTCATTGGGGTCACCAAAAACTTGAGGATCAAGGTCATTGAAAGCGCAGATACTTTTGCCATAGACGATTACTTCCTGATGTTCTTTTCAAGAGGAGAAAAGGCCGTGGAGGATATCAAGAAAGTGATTCACGATGCAGGCATGGAGATCTCGGAGGGAACAAGCACCGAAAGCGAGGAAGAGCCGGGCGTGGACAACAATCTTCTGAAATCCAAGATCGAGCTGCTGAAAAAGTCTCCCTCGATGGTGCAGACTTCCAGTAAGTCGAACATCGCCGCCATCCGAATGAGCGAGCCTGCTGACGAACTCGGTCCGGAGCAAGAATCTGCGCAAAGCTCTAAATTTGTGTCGGACGACGAGATTGTGTCGGCAGACGACAACCAAGTGCTGGAAGAGAAGCGACCCGAGGACAATCTCGCAAATGCTGAAAAGGACAGCCAGGACAAAGTTTCCAGAACCAACAGCCGTCGTACGTGGTCGACAAGGTCTCTAGTGCAAGGCCTAACGGCTATCACGCAAGGATGGATGTCGCCTTCTCCCATGGCCCATTTTGATGAGAAATACGCGATGGTGCGAGGAGAGGAGGATTCGTATTTCATCAAGGATCCGGAGCAGCGTAAAGCAGCTACGGAGCGGTTCAGAAAACATTTTTCACTCACGGATGCTGAAAAGCTCATTGCCACGTACCATGCGTATCTGGTCAAGGGAATTCCTGCATACGGTAAGATATATCTTGGGTCCAACGAGATGTGTTTCCGCTCGACATTGCCCGGAACGGGAACGATAATGATTCTACCCTTTTCGGATATTGAAAACGTGAACAAGGAGAAGGGTTTCCGATTCGGGTACTCAGGACTGGTGGTTGTCATTCATGGCCACGAAGAGTTGTTTTTCGAGTTTGCGAGCGACCAGGCACGTGACGATTGCGAGTTCATGCTTTTGAAGCAGATGGATATGTTCAAGAAAGGAAGCACCGACAGCAGTCCTCCGAATGCAAGCGAAGGCTCGAGCGATGAGAGCTGCAATTTAGCGGAGTCCAACACAAGTTTAGCGTCGGCCAGATTGAGGATGTTTGAGAACCGTATCCATGATGCAATAGGTCTGGACGTTCCGATTATCATAGAAGAGCACCCCTTGACAAAGACCAAGGTGCGGCCGCTGAAATCTTATAAGTTCACGCTTCTGACGATTGGATCGCGAGGAGACGTCCAGCCATACATTGCGTTGGGAAAGGCCCTGATAAAAGAGGGGCACCAGGTTCGTATTGTCACTCATGTCGAGTTCGAGCCCTGGATCAAGAAATACGGAATCAAATTTGCTTCGATAGCGGGAGACCCATCCGAGCTCATGGCATTGATGGTCACCCACCCAACCATAAATTACAACTTTATAAAGGAAGCCAAGTCAAAGTTCCGCAGCTGGATCGATGACCTATTAGTCACCTCATGGAAAGCGTGCCAGGACACAGATATTCTGATCGAGTCTCCCTCTTCGATATGCGGGATCCACATTGCTGAAAAGCTGCAAATTCCTTACTTCCGTGCGTTTACTATGCCATGGACACGCACAAGAGCGTACCCCCATGCCTTCATGGTTCCTGACCAGAAACTGGGCGGTGCCTACAATTATATGACCCATGTTGCTTTCGAAAACGGGTACTGGCGAGGAACCGCTCATCAAGTGAATAAATGGCGTGTTGAGACATTGGGGCTGCCAAAAACGTCTTTAGCCGAGATGAAACAGAATAACGTTCCTTTCCTTTACAACATCTCGCCAACAGTCTTCCCTCCTTCTGTGGATTTTGCTGAGTGGGTCAAGGTGACCGGGTACTGGTTTTTGGATGAGAGCGAGACATACGAGCCACCCGAGGCTCTGAGTCAGTTCATTGAGCAGGCGAGAAAAGACGAAAAAAAAGTGGTTTACATAGGGTTCGGGTCCATCGTGGTCTCCAATCCTTCGGAACTTACCCAGGCGGTAGTGGATGCCGTTCTTGAGGCCGACGTCAGGTGCATACTGAATAAAGGCTGGTCAGATCGTCTGGGAACCAAGACGGATATCGAGGTGGCGCTACCTCCTGAGATACATAATGCCGGAAGCGTGCCCCATGATTGGCTGTTTCCTCAGATCGATGCTGCCGTTCATCACGGAGGCTCTGGAACCACAGGGGCCTCGCTGCGGTTTGGTCTGCCGACGATCATTAAGCCGTTTTTTGGAGACCAGAAATTCTATGCGGGAAGAGTCGAGGATCTTGGATGCGGTCTTGGGCTAAAAGATCTGAACTATAAAAGTCTTGCAAGGGCGCTCAAGGAGGTGACCACCAACACGAGGATTATCGAAAAGGCCAAACTTGTCGGAGCCAGAATCCGGTCCGAAACAGGCGTTCAAAATGCCATTGAAACCATTTACAGCGAGATGGAGTACGCTCGGAGCCTATCTATCAGCAAAGTGAAACAGGTTTCTGTTGTGAAGAGCGACGAGGAGTTTGATGACGACAAAGACGACGAGGTCGAAGGCTCGTGGCTACTTGTTTGAAATACTTGTCAGTTAATAATATCCTTTGTTACATACTCTATTACCAATTTGCAACGTCCTCGGCCTCACCAAAAACGCTTTCTTTCTGCTCTGTGCTGTCGTCCTGCCAGTCCGGGTTATTGCCCTCGTGGTCCATAATGTCCTTGATATGGGCTTTCTCGAAATTCAGTATCAGATCATTTATTTCTTTGAATTCTAGCAGGAACGCATCATGTCCTTCTGGAGAGTTGATTTTCTTGAGCGTCGAGTTTGGCATGTTTTTGGCAATGAAGATCTGCTCGCTGAGCGTGAACAGCGCGTCCGAGTCGATTCCGATAATCAGGGCCGGCTGCTTCAGGCTCTGCAGTGCCTTTGCGGCGTCATTGTCGAATTCTGGGCGGTCGCGGCCGACGTCGTGCGTGTCGAGCTTCCTCGTGATGGATATGTAGCAGTTGGCGTCAAATCGATGGTGGAACTTTTGTGCTTGGTACCGGAGATAGCTTTGTGCTGAGAAGTAGTGTTGCGGTCTGCGTCTTGGTCTGGTTCGAGTCGAGGTGGCAGAGCTTAAGCTTTCTGTGTCTGCCGAGGAAACTGACGAGTCCATCGAGTTTGAGCGACTAGCGTGCCTTGATTCAAACGACCTCCTGTGCACAGAGGCGCCGTGGTTGTGGATTTGCCAGTGTTCTTCTTTGGCCGAAGGAGAGTCCTCGATCGCATTGGATTCTTCGGGCCCAGGAGTGCTCTGCTGGCTCTTATTTTTCTGCTGCTCTGTGGGCTGGCCGCGGCCGAATCTGCTCTCAAACGAATTGCGCGACCTGTATGTGAGCAAAGCTGCCATCCGTGCAGCTCCAAGACCATTCACGGGCGGGTCTTCTAAACTGTAGTAGCCGTCGTCATACTTGGGGTCGGAGTAGATGCACTGTCTCTGGGCCTCTCCCCACGAAATACACCACGCCGAGTGTCTCGCGCTGGTCGCCAGCGCCACCAGATTCTTCACAAACCGTCCTTCGTCGACAAAACACCATTCTAGAGCGAGCATGCCTCCCATGGAGCCACCCACGCACATGGCGACCTGCTTCACTCCCAGAGAGTCCAGAACCAGCTTGTGGATACGCACGTCGTCGCGCACGGTGCAGATCGGAAACTCCGGCCCGTACAGCTGGTTATACTCGGGATCCATGGTCACAGGCGAGGCAGATCCGTACGGAGACCCTAGCGAGTTCAGACAGATGATGAAGTACTTAGTGGGGTCGAACGCCCGGTCGCGTCCTATCAAGGGCCCCCACCAGTCCTTCACGTCAGCAGAGCCGGTCAGGGCGTGTGCTATGAGCATGCAGTTGTCTCCTTTGTCATTGAGCTTCCCCCACGTCTTGTACGCCACTGGCACTTTGTAGAGCACGTCTCCGGATTCGAGCTCGAACTCTGGAATCTCCACAATTGTCTGGCCGCTCACAAGTTTCGAAAATGGGTTTTCGGGCTGCTCTTTGACGATCTTGTAACCCATATCGGTGTGCAAAGTTAACTCTGACTTTTTTTTGATGTATTTTTTCTAATTTATTTTTGCAGTTGCACTGCCTCTCGTTCTTCATGCTAAAACCCCCGAAAATCAGAGTGCGGACGGGCTCATGGACCGAGTGCCGCGACGAGGTGGTCCGGCAGGTAGAGAAACAGAACTTCCCGAACCGGATCGATTTTCTGGTGCCAAAAGACGTGTTTGTGAGCAAGAACATCGAGGCCAAACTCGCCGATCTGGAATACGGCTATGGCATCGTGGACTGCTCTTTGCACACGATTTTGCAGAGTTTCGTGAAACAGGCCATGGAGATCGATATTGAGAGTATCCAGCTGGTCTCTGTAGGCCAGCATGCTGAGCACGAGGACACGGTTTCTCTGATAAGAGGCATTTTGACGCTTCGATTGACCGCAGAGTCCTACTATAGATCCGGACTCAAGGGCGTTCGTTCTGCTCTTTCTCAGGGGAATAAACATACCAGGCAGCAGCAGTTCGTGGTGCAGCTGGATCTGAGCCAGCTGGCGACGGAAGACAGAAACTCGCTGCGACTCTTCTGGTTTGCGGAAAAATACCAGAAACCGCTCCGATTCGCAGTGGTTGGGGACTTGCAGCTCGAGGGAGTGCGCAGAGTCGTTGTAAAGCCCACTCTGAGTCGACTGGGCCGAGTGTACACGCCCAGCCTGGTTCCGCTGGACGACGAGGAATGGCTATCCACTACGCTCGAATGGCTAGCATATGCGTCCATCAACGGCCAGCAGCTCTCGCCGTTCGACAGAACCGACGCAAACGTCTCGCGCTACCGCGAAACGGTGGACTTGTGCAACGAAGAGGAAATCTATAGAGTGTCTGTGAGCGGGCTGGTGTCTACGTCGACGGCAGAGCAGCTGCTGCAACTGATGGACACCAGCTGGATAGCCATGCTAAAATACGGCGTGCAGGACTCCAACGTGGGCTTTGGCAGGTCAGAACACATTCCTGGGCCGAACGTTCAGGCATTGCTGAAAAACGGCGACACGTTTGCTCTGTGGCATCAGTCACGCTGATATATGTACATTATTATTCTATTCACTCATCCTTCTCTTCGGTCTCCTCGCCGTTCTCGCTCTTCGAGAGCAGTCTGTTGAGCTCGCTTTTAGGATTGGCATACAACTTGTCGAAGTTGTCGTACTCCACGATCACACCCTTGTGGTTGAACACGACAATTTTGTCGCTGGTCTTGATGGTGCTCAGCCGATGAGCGATGCTGATAGTGGTAAGACCGGCCTCCTGTCTGAGCTTGAGTGTGCGCTTGATGGCCTCCTCCGACTTGGCGTCCAGTGCAGACGTGGCCTCGTCCAGAATCAAAATGCTTGGCCCAAGAAGCAGCTCTCCACGCGAGCTGTACGCTTCAGAAACAGACACCTTTTTGTCGGTCCGATGGCCCAAAAGTAGCGTTCTTGCAAGAGCTATTCTCTGTTTCTGTCCTCCACTTAGCTGGGCGCCCCTAGAGCCAACCACGGTTTCCAGTTTGTCGGGGAAATTGCTGATGAAGCTCGTGCAGTTCGCCAGATCGCACACTTTCTGGATCTCCTCGTCGGTGGCGTCCATTTTTCCGTACGTGATGTTCTCCCTTAGAGTGCCAGAAAACAGCATGGGCTCCTGCTGAACAACTCCCGTCTGTTCCCTGAAACTGGCCAGACTGACCTCCGTCAGAGGCTGGCCGTCGATTAGAATGCTTCCAGAGAGTGGCTCGTAGTGGCGCAGTAGCAGCTGCGCCACGGTACTTTTTCCGCACCCGCTCGGCCCAACGAGACACACATGGTCACCCTTGTTGATCTTGAGGTTCAGGGATCCAAACACCTGGTGCGTCGGACGCGTCGGGTATTTGAAAGCGACGTTTCTAAACTCAATGTTCCCCAGCACGTTGATTTTCTTTCCTTCAGAAGGCACAATGGCCGGTTGCAGCCTGATGAGCTCGAACACACGTTCTGATGCTCCCACGCCCTTCATCAGCTCAGAGTAAAAGTTCGACAGCGAATAAACGCTTGAGGCACTGAATGTCGTGTACAGCATGTACGAAGAAAGCTCTCCAATGGAAAGCTCGCCTTGACGCACCATCTGCACGCCCAACGACAGCAGTCCGATGAGGAAAACGTTACCGACAAAGCCATTGCCAGCGAAAAAATAGCCATTGAGCCGGCCTTCATACACAGATAGGTTGTACAGTCTTTGGACCTCCTTGCGGAACTTCCCCACCTCGTACTCCTCGTTGTTGAAGCTCTGGATAGTTTTTGTGAAGTTGAATTGCTCCTCCGACACTTTGGTGAGATTTCCGAGCTGTTTCTGGATGTCTTTGGAGAGAGCCTTGATTTTTCTTCCAAACACCAGCGACATAAAAATTAAAACAGGAAAGATCAGTGTCATGTAGCCTGTAAGCTTGACGGAAATGGTCACCATCATGACAATTCCAACAAGCCCGCTGATCGACGAGCGCAGCCCGTCGCTGATGTTCTGGGTGACAGAGCGCGCCACAATGGTCGAGTCATTGACCAAACGTGAGATCAGATCGCCAGACTTGTGGTAGTCCCAGAACTTGGCATCCTGGTAGAATATTTTCCGCAATATATCGAGTCTCAGCTTGGCCATGATCCGCTCGCCGACTTTGCGCAAAAGAATGATCCTCCCGAAGTTAGCACACGCTCCCAGGAAAAAGAGGGCCCCCACCGCGGCGTAGAATTGGTTAGCAGGCACTTCATAGGACAGTATGCTGATGGTGGACTTCTGGTCCTCGGCTTTCGCCATGTCTATCACCTTTCCCATGATCATAGGGAAAACCATCGAAACAGAAGAGGACACAAACAGGAGTAGTATGGCAATTGACATTGTAGGGATTTCTGTCTTTGTGAGTCTGAGCAACTCCCATATCTCTTTGAACGAGGACTTTTTCTTTTGTCCACCATCGGTGCCATCCTTGGGCTCCTCTTTAGACTCTTTTTGCGACTCGAATTTCTGGCTGGTCGAGCTGAATGTTCTTGCAACCTGCAACGGACTCACGCCCACTGCAGGCCTCACAATGCCGGTATGGCTAAGGGGAGCCCATGTTCGGCTCACCAATCTCACGCTCGAGAGCGGAGTTATGGCCGGACTGCGCAGGACACCATGTATCACTGGTCTGCCGAATAATCTTGGAAGCAACAGCATGTATTAAATGGGATTCGAGACTATTCACTGAGACACTAGTGGAATATTTTGCTCATCAAGAAATTCCGCGATTTAATTATTTCGTATTTATTAATGTATATAACTGATTAATTTCACCGTCTAGCTGAATTATTAAAATCCATATTCGCTGCCACCGAAAACGCCAAACAGATCGCCCACGAGGTTCGACATCGCCAAGTTATCCGGAGTCGTGGCCCCTGAAACGTCAGGAAACCCGGAAACGTCGAACGATGGCAGCCAGTTTTCGTCTATTAGTTCGGTGAGAGATGGCTCCAGAATTCCTGCTGGGGACACGGCTTGGGTGCCCTCGTTCAGCAAAACAGGCTTCCGTCTAGAAGGGCTCTGTGCAACAGGCGGCACGCTCAATGGCTCTCTGAGCGTGCCCCTTTCTGCGCTGACGAGCGGCGCAGCGTAGCACCTTCTGTCGTCCGGCTCATATCGTCTCAACGACTCGTCCAATATGACACTCGTGTACAGCGACCGCCGTTCTAGATTGACTTCCTTGTTCACGGTGTTCAGGATGCCTCGAATCAGCATCTGCCGTCTCGACTTGTCGGTCAGAAACATCTTAAGACTGAACATCACGAAATCGGCCATGGGCCACTTTTTCTTCGTCTCTGCAAGAACGTTGATGCATGAAAGAATCGACCGATGCGCAATCTCCGAGATCTTCGGGTCCTTATTGTACAGATGGTACACCATCATGGTTCCTGCGCTCCACATGCTGTAGATTATCATACCGTTGTACTTCTCCAGAAGCTGGTGTTTTGTGAGATACTCGCCAATCAGCATGACCGTGTACGCTGCCTTGAACGAGACGCTCCACGAGGGGAGCGTGTCGAGGTTTTCTGAGGCTCTTTCCGGCCGCGAGCTGCTCACGATGTTGTTGCGGTGAATGAATAGCAGCACCGTATGGTACTCTAGTGCCAGACAGGCAGCGTAGAAATTAGGAGGACTGTTTTTGTCGCGCACATCTAGCTTCAGCGTGTCGGGCAGTTTCTGGATCCATTCGTAGAGCAGCATATCGCACTCTTCGAGCAAAGAGTACGTGGAGGCGCTTTTCTCTGTGATTTTCGAAATCAGATTCTGGTTGTCCATAATACTTCTCGTCACTTTGGCGAGAGCCAGCTTATGCAGGAAAAAATCCTTATCCAGATCGCTTGTATCGAACTCGTAGCCAAAAGAGCCGTCTTTGCTGTCCACGAGAGTCTGTTTCGTCGGCCAAGGGACCTCGCACTCGGACAGATCAATCGAAAACGGCCTAGCAAAGGTGAACGAGCTGTAAGTGTCTCTGATGAAAATGGCCCACCATATTCGCTTGTACAGGTTTTTCTCCATGATAGTCAGCTCTGGCCTCTGGTCGAAGTTTCTATTAAGCCCAATACACAAGGCCGTTGACGCTGCCAGCTTGATTGTATTGAGGAATATGCCGTTTTTCGTGTTCCCCACATGGGAGTCCCAGTAATTTCCAAAAACCATCATCGACTGAAGCAACGGGATCGGCTCTGTCTCCACGTGGTGCTCAAAAAGCGCTTTGGCACGGCGATTGAGAAGCATGCTTATTTTCTCCTGATGAGCCCGTTCCTCGTCTGTCCAGTTGGGGTCGCCGTAGACACGCGAGCCGGCAAACAGCACCGACTGGAGCAGCAGTAAGCTCTGCGGATTCTTCAGTGTCAGGTAGTCTTCCAAAAACTGTTGCTTGTTTATCACTGGTAGCTGGGGGTGCAGAACCTGGAAATAGCTATCAATGTAATTTTCAAACAATTGCTCATCCGGGATATGGAAGCACCCCAGACCGTCTAGATAATTATATTCCACCTTGTTCAGGTGGAACAACTGTAGATACTCGGATCTCTTTTTCTCGTCCATATACTCTTTCAGCGCCATGTGGAGGAAAGTGGCAGGTCCGTAGTACTCATCAATCGCCGACGAAGTGATGTCTCGGTGCAGCATTCTGTTCGGATCGAGCCTTCGTGCATACAGCTCAGGAAGCTCGGTTCGCGGGTCCTTTCCGATGAACTTGGGTATTTCCGGCATCTTGGTCGACTTGAGAAATTTGCTGTCCGACTTGAGCTTATCCACCTTTTCACTGCTTCGTTTTTTAGGCTCGGGAAGTAAACAGTCGATATCGAAGTGGACACAGTTGGAACATTTTTCCGGATATGTGAGCGTAACGTCGCATTTAACTTTTCTCTCACGGCAGACCAGACAGGCCCGAGCAGATCGCCGCCTTTTCTTGAAGTCGCTCATCGCAGGTCGGCCAGGGACTTGCATTTTGAAAAGTAAATATAAATTGGGCCCACTTTAAAATGTAGAGATGTGTTTTTCGGCTTTATTTAGAGTTTAGCAAAGAAAAGTACATGCTTTTCCTAGCTACGAGCAAGGGAGTCGTTGGCGACTGAAATGGCCCATCATAGGTTTCTCCTCTAAGTATCAACAATTTTGCGTCGACAATGCACCCCTCCAATGCTTAGTCAAGCAGACTCTTGGCAAGTCTATAGAGCTGCGGAAAAATAATGTCTGACGTTTCACCTCCAACTTTGTCGTACACACCTCGGGACTGGTAGAACCGCTTGATTGGTTCCAGTTGCTCGTAATAGGTCTTCAATCTTTTGCGAACAGTTTCGGGATTGTCGTCTGGCCGCTGAAATAGTGGCTCCCCGGTCACATCGTCCTTGAACGGAACTTTGGGAGGATTGTACTCTAAGTTGTAAACTCTTCCCGAAGAATGCATCCACCGATTGGCGATTCTTCCGACAATCACATCGGGCGGGACATCCAGTTCAACAACCAGATTTATATTATTATCTTGAAGCCGGCGTTCCAGCTCCAACGCCTGGCTGGGAGTTCGCGGAAATCCATCTAGCAGAAACGACTTGTCTAAAATGTCTCTCTTTGCAAGCTCGGTTTCCACCATTCCTGCCATCAATTCGTCTGGAAGCAGTTTCCCCTCTTTGATATATGCATCTGCAAGTCTTCCTATAGGGGTCGAACTCTGAATTTCAGCCCGCAAAAGGTCGCCCGTGGAGATAGAAGTGAGACGAGGCATTTGTTTCAAGAGCCGTGACGTGAGTGTGCCTTTGCCTGATCCAGGTGCTCCCAGAAGAACAAGTCGAAGCGGCATAACGGAATAAATATTATTTTGACGGGGAAAGATTTCTTAGATAGCCTTAATCATTCCAGCGACGCGGTTGGATGGAAAACAGTAGAGTCTAGTTTTCTGACTTTAAGATTGAAAACCTGTATGATATGCATTATTGAAGATTCTCGCATTGGCCCACGAGAGTGCCCCTACAGAGGTTTCCTGATGTTGAAGTTGTTTTTGTCTTACCCCGTTCTCGCTTATCAGATCGTCGTGTATGCGAATAAAAAAAAATTTTATGAAAATAAATTTGATTTAATTCAAGACCTTAGCAATGGAGTTAGCAGTTTCGGACAACGATAAAAGCATCCTGCTTGAGAAGAAGAACGTGCTGAACCCAAGTGTGCTGGATAAATATAGACTGGCAGGCCAAATCACTCAAACTTGTCTGGCTTACTTGACTGAGCTCATCAACGACTCTTACCATCTTGGAAAGCATGAACCTTATTCTATCGCCGAGCTTTGTCTGCTTGGAGACTCGCACATGAAGGTTGCGCTTGATAGCGCGTACAAAAACCAAGTCAGGGAAAAGGGTATTGCTCAGCCGGTCACTATCGACGTGAACGATGTTGTAGTTGGATACTCACCTGAAGTTGACGATGAGACAAACTTCAAGTTCAAAGCTGGAGATATTGTCACCATCAATCTCGGCTGTCACATTGATGGATACACCTCCAACCTGTCGCACACACTGGTGATATACCCTCCGGGAGTCTCTGTGGGCCCATTGCTTGGCTCCAGTGCAGACGCAATCTGTGCTTCCTATATTGCATCTGAGACTGTTATCGCTTTACTTGCATTGTCTTTGACACCAGAAAAGATTCCTCAGTCTTTGGCTGATGGCTCGGGCCTGATCAGGGGATCCACCATAAGACAGATTGTGGACTCCATTGCCGAGAGTTTCAACTGTGTGGTTGTGCCAACTTCCAAAGTCAGAAGAATAAGGCGGTTTTTGGCAGGTCAGGCAGAAGGGATTGTTGCTGAGAGAGATTTCAAAGGTGTTGTCTGGTCCGAGGCTGATCAAGAGCTCAAGCTTCTGAAAAAATCGCCAAAGTACAATGGCAGCCAAGAGCTTGCCAAATACGACAAGACCAGGAGCGCCAGAGTGACAGCTTCTTCTGCAGTTCCAACCGACGACTTTGTTGTGTCTCCTGGCGAAGTTTACACGGTCGACATCAAGATGGCACCTTTGCAGGAGACTGAGGGACCAGGCTTGATCACTTTGCAAGCCGTTGACAATGTGACTGGTTCCAATAACTCCAATGACGCTTTCAAGCCAAGACCTAGTGTATTTGTGCGAGACGTTGCCATTTCACACCAATTGAAACTGAAAACCTCAAGAAAACTGCTCTCGACCGTTGACAACAAGTTGTCTGTCTACCCCTTCAAACTCGCGCATTTGACATCTGGCTTCCCATTTGACCTTTCAGGAGACATTGACCAGCAGCTCAGATCCATCCAGCAGGACATCAAGCCAGCTCGGTTGGGGCTGGTAGAGCTCGTTAATAGACACCTTGTTGTCGCCAAGCCTATTCTGAGAGCCAGGTTCGTCCCGCTCCAGGTTATCTTAAACGCTTCAACTTCCACTGGTGTCAATGGATACGACGCCGAAAACCCTGTTTTGCCGGGCCTGGAGCTTCCTCTGCCCAGACTGGGTGTCACTTCTTTAAAGCTGAAATCGCTGCTGAAGGCTTCAAGGGAAATTCCTGTTGCTCGTGAACAGTCCACCGTTGTTCTGAATGGAGACAACAATGAGCTGATACGCCTGAGTGGTGGCCTTTCGACCTCGAAACCAAGCTGGGTGCACTCTAAATTCCAACTTTCCGGGAACGTGGCACAAAGCGTGAACGATCTTGTGCAATTGACGCAGGACCAGAGATTTGGACTTAAAATCAAGGAATGTCAGCCAATGAAAAGCAGTAATTAGAGTATAGATAAGCTAACGGAGACATATCCTTTTTTTTCCCAATGAAAGGGCCAAATACGTAGGAAACTTTTTGCACCTTTGCACGGGGCAGGGTAACGGGGTCATTTCATTTATGGAGGGGAGCAGCGCGAATGGAAATTCTACTGCGGCTCTCTCTCGCCAGGCGGCGCCTGCAAACCGGAATTTGTACTGGCTCCTTTGTGATTTATTTACTTTATAATATTTCGAATATACTATCGTCAATCTTATACCAGCTCTTGTGTTAATCAAAAGTGGCAAAACATCCTTTGATAAAGTCATACTCAGTCATATTTGTAAGTATCGGTAAAACGTATCGTGCAAGTCGGAAGCATATTGTGGCAATCGGTTATCATAAGAATCACAGCGGACGAGATTAGTTTCAGATGGTCAAGATCGTGTCATGAGGGGGTGAAGTAAACGTCTCTCCTGTTACGAGAAGCTCTTCGGTCACGAGTATCCGCCGGGGATGGACAATTTGTCTGAAATGACGCCATCGAAATACCCAACTCACGGAAGACGACAAAGTCGAACTCAGGTACGGGTTTCGACTTGGGACACCCAAATTCCATGCCGCTACCGAAACACGTAGTCGTTTGGAGTCTTGGGAACATTGTCTGCGGATACGAAACGCACTGGAGAGCCTATCAGAGTCGTGGAAAACGCAACATAACGAAATGACTGTTATGGTGTAGAGTTGTTCCCGATTTAGGTGAGATGTTTTTTTTTTCCATTGCTAAGCGACGGTGCTCACAACCGATTAACACGTATTTGGTGGAAAAAAGTGAAAACAAGTGAGGAAATCAAAGGGATACCCGTTGTCTACTTTAATTGCTACCGACTTGTAAGCATTAGGTTGAAGCCCCCCAATACTAACAATATCTGCAGATTCGCAATGCCAGCTTCCCGTGAAGATTCTGTTTATCTAGCCAAATTGGCCGAACAGGCCGAGAGATATGAGGAGATGGTCGAGAACATGAAGGCCGTCGCCTCGTCTGGCCAAGAATTATCCGTTGAGGAAAGAAATCTGTTGTCTGTCGCCTACAAGAACGTGATCGGTGCCAGAAGAGCCTCATGGAGAATCGTGTCTTCGATTGAGCAAAAGGAAGAGGCCAAGGGCAACGAGACCCAGGTTTCTCTTATAAGAGAGTATAGAGCCAAGATCGAGGAGGAACTTTCGAATATCTGTGAGGACATTCTGACAGTGTTGACCCAACACTTAATCCCAACCGCACAGAGCGGCGAGTCCAAGGTGTTCTACTACAAGATGAAAGGTGACTACCACAGATATTTGGCCGAGTTCGCGGTCACAGAGAAGCGCAAAGAGGCTGCCGACCTTTCGTTGGAAGCCTACAAGGCTGCTTCTGAGGTTGCAGTGACCGAGTTGCCACCTACCCACCCAATCAGATTAGGTCTGGCGTTGAACTTTTCCGTTTTCTACTACGAGATTCTCAACTCTCCAGACAGAGCTTGCCATTTGGCCAAGCAAGCTTTCGACGACGCCATTGCCGAATTGGATACACTATCAGAAGAGTCTTACAAGGACTCGACTCTAATCATGCAACTCCTGAGAGACAACTTGACATTGTGGACCTCCGACATGTCTGAGGCTGGCCAAGACGAGCCGGCTCCTGAGAAAGCTGCTGAAAAACCAGATGATGAGTAAGTTTGCTAACTGTTTTCTGTATAAAAGTGCCTTCCATCTCAGGTTATGTTGTCGTTGCTTTATGATTTATAGTTATTAGTTAGCTAGACCCCTTTCTCTTCTAAATGGTACAAATTAAAACATCTTCCATTTTTTTATAACAGATAAGCAAGAATTTAACTGAAATGGAGGGCATCGATTTTGAAAACACGGGTTCTGACTTTGGCGCCGTCTTTAAAATTGTCAATTTGGCTGTGGCCGCTATTTCGGTAAGTGGGTTTGGTCGTTTGACTAACGTATTAGGTCATGACCGGTGTCACTGAGCTGTTTAGTGGTTTTGCGTATTTCTTCCAGGGTCTATACATTTTGGGTCTTGGAGGTGTTGTTGGCTACTTGGAGTTCAAGAATCCGCCTCAGCTGTATGCCTACGCATCGTCTTTCTTCTCCTTCTTGGGAAGAGGGCTTATATATGTGCTTATTGCGATCCTGAACTTCCACGGGTCTGTTTTCAGAGTGCTGGCAGGGGTGCTTGTGCTTTTGGCCGGAATCGTCTACATTGTGCTCGAATTTATTCCTAGCATCCAAGCACCTGAGAACATGCAGGGAGAACGTGGATTGTCTACAGATGAGTTAGAGGATGTAATTTAAAAAAAAGAATCCATGTTGTATGTGTATCCAAAAAAATCGACAACAGCAGGACTCGAACCTGCGCGCGAAAATCGCAAAAGATTTCTAATCTTTCTCCTTAACCGCTCGGACATGTTGCCGGATGTTGGAGGTTTTGGGTTTGTGATCCACACATCGTTCGTGGAATGGAGGAATACAGAACTAATAGGGTTTACGTTTTAGACTGGATGCAACTCCCCACGAACCTAGCAACTGACTGATCCGTGGCCTTCTATATCTTGGCTGGGCTCCTACCACCCACATTCTATTCTAGCCTCCCGTGCATATTTAAAATCCAGACAAAATAATACTGAAAAATTAGATGCTTCCTATATCAGCCAACACAGAGCACCGCAAAGCGGTGTTCTCGCTCTACAGGCTTGTACTACGAAACACTCTCCGGTGCCGGAACCTCAATGATACACTAAAGCTCAAATGGATGGCCAAGCTACAACAGTTGTTTCGAGGGAGAGCCAGACTAGAGAACGCTTTTCAAATACAGAGTGCACTGGACGAAGCCATTAAATACAACGAAAAGCTCCGTGGTCTCAGCAATGGCGACCAGGCCTGTTTTCGGGAGATCATCGGCCGACTGCAGCACAACAGAAGCGCCCGGTCCAGCCTTGCCGTTCTGCAGCATATCGCTGAGGCCGAGGCTCCCAAGGTGGATCCAGAAGAGAAAAGACAGCGTCGTCAACTCGCTAGTTGGATGAAGCTGTACATAGAAAGACGCCAAAAATCGCACACGCTCCCTCGGAAGGCCGAGCTGGACCCAAAGTACGTCGACAGTGTGCTAAAGTCTAGGATGTTGTACGAACGGGCAGAAAAAGCTGTCCGACGTCTGGCAGAAAAATATTCGAGGCCGTCAACGGCTCGCGTAAAGTCCGTGACAGGCACAATGAACAGACTGTCGGTGATCAGCACTCCCTGGAACGAGAATATCCATGTAACAGGGAGACGGGGAGTATTTCTACAGCGAAAGAGCCATCAGCAGTACATAGATGAGCTCAACCAGATGAGAAACTGGGAAAGAGAGTGGATGTTCTGGCTTGAAAAAGAACAGGAGTGGGAGAACTTGGTCACGGGCAAGGATGCGAACGACTGGCTTCAGCCGATCAACAGCTACAAGCGCGAGCTAGCGAGCCGCGGAAAAGAGGTTGAGGAGAAAACGTTCTGGCACAACAAGATGCACCATGTTTATTTCGAGAAGCTGAGGCCCGAGTTCGACGAGATGTGGCTCAAGAGCGGCAAGAACCTGGCCAGAATGCGCCAGGTCATGGTCCTTGAGCAGATGGGCCCGTTCACGGACTGTGTCGACGGGTCGCTTGGGAAACTGTTGCGGGAGCACGGGTTTAGGTCGCCAACACGGCTGTCTAAATTGGGTATAGAGTAATAATAGTTCATGTCATTAATCGTTATTCAATGTTCTTTTCACGGATCACAATGTTGTTGAACTGATCGATCAGGTTGTCGGTCTCTAAATGCGGGTCACTGATACTCATTTCCCGCAACAGAAGCATGATATCGTCCGGATTCGCCTTGCCCTCGGGATCGAAGATGTCGTCGAGCAGGATAATCGAGGACTCGGGCGCCTTAGGGTGGAAGCGGGGGAGGTCGAGCTTTGTGCGGGCAAACAGAGCGTCAGTGCCGAGCTGCTGCTTGTAGAATTCCGAGCACTGGTAATGTTTTTTGCAGCAGTACTTGTGGTTGTAAGATCGAGGCAGCCTGAGTTGCGATACCAGCTTGTTGATCTGCATCTCCTTGATCCGGCCTGGATCTCGGAAATCGCACAGCGGATACCCGCAGTAATGGTTGATAATTCTTTCTGTGACTAGTTCCTCGTAGCTTTGTTTTGATAAGTACCGGGCCAGCAATTTCAGGGTGGCCTTGTCGCACGAGTGCTCCATCAGTCTCTCTATCAGCTGGTACGTCAACATGTTTGCCTCTTTGGGAACGAGCAGGTCCTTGCCCTCGTACGGAGCCAAAATCGGCTCCAGCGTGTTCACTGAGGGCATGAATGTGTTGGAGAAAAAGTTGTCACTAGAGTAATTAATCTAGTGATGTGCTGCGGTCACAATTGTAGAGAGCTGGCTGTTTACAGGGATGTTGGCGAGTCGGAACGCGGTTGGAGGCTCCAAAAGCAGTCAAATTGATCGTATCCGATTTCGAGCACTGTACTTCTCTTCTCTGCCCTGACCTAAAATCCTGGCTGAAATCCCTAATATTTTTTTAGATCATTTTCTTGTCCATGAGAAGACGACTTGGGAGCTCCCCAAGCGCCAAGCCACCGTCTGTAGACGACCGTCAACAACAGACATGCGAGACTCAGCTGGGGAGCGGAATAGAGTTCCATAAACCGTCCAGCTTCACCCTATGGCGACTGCTGCTCACGGAGTTGAATATATACAAAGACGACCAGACAGACAAGACAAAAACGCCCGATGGAGAGGACGCGGCCGTGAACTCGGAACTGCTTTTGAACTTCGTAAAGCTGCCTGTGTTTCTGGAAAACTTCATGTGTTTCGGACTGATCTACTGCGTGATTGTGTTCCTCAAACAGATAACTGTGGTACCCCTGCGATTTGCGCTCCATGCGTACCATTTGGCCAGATCGTGCTTCACAAACAAAAACAGCCTGACGCTGCGTTCGGACCGGACGAAAAACGATTTTGTCTCCATGGTGCTTATCCTGTCCAGTCTGGTGCTCCTACGCAATTTGGACTCCAGCAAGATGTACCACAACATCCGCGCCGGAACGGCAGTCAAGCTCTACTTCATGGTGGGCGTTCTGGAAATTGCCGACAAGCTACTGAGTGCAATTGGCCAAGACATCATCAAGGTGGTGTACTTCATACCTATCGCCACGTCCCGAAATACGCTCTCCAAGTTCCTTGTGGTGAGTGCAGTGAGTATCTGCTATTTGACCCTACACTCCTACGTTTTGGCGTACCAGGTGATGGCCCTCAACGTCGCCATCAACTCCTACTCCAATGCCCTTCTCACGCTAATTCTGTCCAACCAGTTTGCTGAGCTGAAAAGCTCCGTTTTCAAGAGATCCGAAAGAGAAGGTCTGTTCCAGGTCTCGTGCGCAGACCTGAACGAAAGATTCCAGATGCTGGTGATGCTATTTATTATCTCCTCACGGAACCTGTACCAGCTTTACGCAAACACGTCGGCCACCGCACTATTCGATAACCTGAGACCAAACTCCTGGTACAGCCACGTGACGTTCTCTACCACCCTCAACAACTGGATCGGCCTGCTGATGGGCCCAATGTTCACCGTGATTGGCTCAGAACTGCTCGTGGACTGGCTCAAGCACGCCTACATCACCAAGTTCAACAGGATAAAGCCTGCCATCTACAACAAGTATACCAGAGTGTTTGCGAGCGACTACGTTGGCAGCTTCCGGTCCAACCTGACAGCGTTGGACGAGTATCCTGAAGTGCTGATCAGGAGAACCGGACTGCCTGTGTTCACCCTCGCGATCGTGTTCATCAAGATGTGCGTGTATCCGTGGATGAAACGATTCATATACAACGAGACCACCGAGTCATTCAGCATTACGGGCCTGCTCTTGTCCATCCTTATTTTTTCCCTGCTCACAGTCGTTCGTCTGGTCCTATCGCTCGGCCTACTCCGCTGGTCTAACCGTATACTTCGTGCGAAGCCTGCAAAACAGGATTTCGTGAAAGGCGACCCAAACGTAACATTAACAGACGTCAGGGGCCAACGGACCCAGCTGTACGACTCCCATGAAAAGGTGCCGCCCTCGCTCGAAGAATTGAGGTCGACTAAAAAAGAGCGGCTCGATTCCGTTGTCAGATTCGAAATGGTTGATAAGAGAATTTGGTGAAAAATAAATCTCCGGCCAAATTATTTATTATTCACAATATTTTTTAATGGAGGCTACACGCAAAGTCCCAGATTACGGGGCTATAGAAAGTGAGGGCCCGCAAGAACATTCCCCCACCAGATTTGAGTATCTCACTGAGCTCAAACTGATATGGAAAGACAGCATGCCGCTTATCGTCGCATTCTTCCTGCAATACTTCCTTAGTGTGAGCCCGTTGTTGGTTGTCAGCCGTATCTCGGCACAGGCTCTGGGTGCGGCGAGTCTGGCCACAATGTACATGAACATCACGTATCTGGGTGTTATACAGGGCGCAGTCACCGCCGTGGACTCGTTTGCTCCACATGCTTACGGAGCAGGCAACTATGCTATGGTTGGCGAGGTGGTGCAGAAAAACCTCGCCGTGAACACCATCTTGCTGGTTCCGATGGTTGTTCTCTGCTGGTTCAGCGGCAAAGTGCTGAATGCCCTTCAGCCGGATCCTGAGCTGGCGTCTCTTGCCCAGACCTATCTGCGGATCGTCACGTTCGGTATCCCAGGTCTTTTGGTTTTCGAGCTCGGGAAACGGTACTTACAGGCCCAGAAAATATTCCATGCCTCCACATACGTGCTTCTGATAGTATCTCCCCTGAGTCTGGTTTTGACCTATGTGTTTGTGTTCACTTTTGGCTGGGGATACGTCGGAGCACCGGTGGTGGTAGTCTTGTCGTTCTGGCTGATGGCGGTGCTCCTAATAGCTTACGCGGTCCTAATTGACGGCAGCAAATGCTGGGGAGGATTCAGCTACAAAGCGATGTGCACTGGATTGTACGGCCAGATATATTTGGCCCTGTTTTCACTGGTTTCTGTGGAGGCAGAATATTTTGCGTTTGAAGTCATGGCGCTGGCCGCCGCATATTTTGGGGAAACGGCCCTCGCATCCCAGTCGATCTGTGCGGCCGTCGGGTCTCTTATCTTCCAGGTCCCGTTTGCCTTAAGCTGCTCCATATCCACCAGAATCGGGTCATTTGTTGGGGCAGGCAACCTTGAGTTTGCCCGAAAGTCGACCAAGATGTGCATCAAGGCCACATTTGTTTTGGGAGTCAGCGTCTGCATTTTTCTCTTGATCGCTATGAGGCCAATCACCAGGGTTTTCACGGATGACTCGGTTGTTGCAGCAGAGTGCTACAAGATACTGCCTGTGCTTTTCTTCACGCAGTGCTATGATATGGTCAACGTCACCTGTCAGGGGCTGCTGAGAAGCCAGCGGCGCCAAGACGTTGGCTCGGTTTTCAGTCTGTGCTCATACTACATCTTCGGCTGTCCTCTCGCATACATTCTGGCGTTCAGGCTCAATTGGCAAGTGCGTGGCCTGTGGATTGGACTCAGCATGGCTGTGTTTCTGCTCACGTTGGTAGAGGTTGTACTTTTAGCGCGCACGAACTGGCCAAAGGTTATGGAGCTGGCCAAACAGGAAGAAGACGAGTGACGTTTATAGAGAAACTTTGATTATATGCAACCTTAATGCTTTATTTACCCCACGACGAGATCGTTTGGTAGCTCGTATACACCATCATCACCAGGCCAATAATCAGCACCAGACCGTTTGCCAGCTTTGAGCTCCATCTCAGCTCCTCAAAGCTGCTAATATAGAGCAGGGGTGGGTAGATGTAAATCAGAGGAATACACGTGAAACTTCCTATGAGTGACACAAAGCGGTTGAGATCGCTTGAGCCCAAGTATCCGATCGCACACATGGCCAAGACAATAAACACGCGCACCACGTTTTTGAGCCATTTGATGATGGAATCGCTTTTTCCAGACATCACGCCCTGGTCGTCCACCGCGTCCTCCGGCATGCTCTGGATAAGCTGGCGCAGATCGCGCGACGTCGAGTCGTAAACTGGCATACCCGAAAACAGCTGCTGTGTCTCGCTCCGCATCTTGTTTTCCGAGTCCTTTCTTATTTTTTTTCTCCATGTAGCTCTATCTCGGTGGAAAAGGTACGATTCAAAAATTTTGATAGCCGGGAACAGTTGCAAGGGAGTCGACAGCAGAATGGCAAGAGCATAGCATATCTGAATGATGAGCGCAAAGTTGGTCTGCGGGAAGTTCATCAGGATCACCATCTTTACGTCGTCTCCATAACTCAGATACGATATCGTCGACAAGGTCACGAAAATGACGGTGACCACCACCATCACCAAAATAAGCAGTTTCTGGAACTGCTCCGGATGTTTCATAGACTCCTTGATCGGAATCAGGAGCCCTATACCTTCGTACGCAAACACCGCAGTTCCCATGAACAAGGTCCATGTGTTTGGCTGGAAAAGAGACACCTTTGGCGAAATGCCGTTGACCAGTAAATGTGCCCCGGAACAGGAGTAAATGTAGATCAATCCCAGCAAAATGAATGCGTCGGCAATCAAGGCAATCAAACTGAGCTTGCTGATGTTTCTCGTCAGTGAAAGCGGAAGGAAGATAAGCAGTTGGACAACCACGAACAGACCAACACCGTAGTCGCTCGAGAAAAAAGTATTGACAACCACCCTGAAATTCTCGGCAACGAACACAACATAGCTGCTCGAAAAGCCAAGCTGCGACAATGCCAGCGACAGCAGAATCAAGAATTGAAGCTTTGGTCCAAACAGCTTGAGACCCAGATCACCGTAACCAGACACTCGACTGCGCTCGGTACACCAGATCAGGGTCATGAAGCAGTAGTAGGAAATAATGGAAAAGGCCATAATCATCACATTGCAAAATAGAAGACCTCCGTTCGAAAACGATTTCGGCAGAAACACCACTCCGGTTCCAACAAACGCTTTGAGCAGAAGCAAAAAGGCTTTCTGGTTTGACGTCTTGTGCGAAGAGCTGCGAACACGAGGCTTAGCGGCGATTCTGCGTCTTGTTCGCGTTCTGTTGGGGTCGCCCACAGAGATATTGGACGACCTCGCACGCCTGTCGCTTCTGTATGTGGGGCCTGGGGAAATAGACGACGACAGCAACAAGTCGGCCTCATCTGCTGTTTCGTCTCCCTCCTCCAAGTCGCTGGCATCGCTTATGTCACTAATATCGCTCTGCTCCAACTCTTGCTCGTCTCCCGTCTCCTCCTCCAAATTTTCACCTGCGAAATGGCCGTATAGAGACAGGAACTCGATAAAATTGCGCGTCACAAAACTGGCCTTCGGCCGCCTTACGCGTCGTCTTCGAGAGTGGTGGCTAACTAGATCGGCAGCAGAAGGCGTTTCGCCATCGGCATCGGAAGCTCTGTGCGCAACGAACTCCCGGCGAAACGCTCCTGGCATTCGAAGCTCTGACGACGTTCCCGTGGACTGCAGCGAACCGGAACTGGCGACTTTCCGTAAAGGCGTGCCAGAGGACTTCTGGTCGCTCACCCAGTTGTATATGTCTCTAGTGATGTCTCCGCCCTGGCGTTTGAGCGAGTCGAAATGGGTGCCAGCCGGCGAGTTGGCGTCGCGAACAGGAGAATGGTTTAAATGTCTTTCCACAACCTCGACCGCCTGTGGTATAGGCGAGGCGCTGCCGCGTACAGAGGACCGCAGCTTGTCGGAGTACGTACTGGCCATCAGGTTCGAAAGCATGCTGGGTCTTCTATTACGAGGCCCCACACTGCCAATGGGTGTGGTGACGGGATGCAGCTCGCGAAACCCGCCAGTTATCGTTACGGGGTTCGAAACGGTCGTGTCCGGGTCCTCCTGCGACGTCAAGCTGCTGAGCTCCCGCTTCGTGTCCTGGCTGATGTACTTGGCAGAAAAATTGCCGTCTTCAAACACTGTCGATGACACTAGGTTCTGGCCCTCATTGGGCCCCGGCTTCGACCCGAAGTTTCTGAGCTGCTCCGAAAGTCTAACCGAATCCTCGGAATCGGTATCTCTACCTTGCGGGGCCGACTGTATGTTCACCGGTAAGCTCATGGTGTATGATGAGATTAGTTTTCATCAAAAAAATTTTGTACGGCTGTGCTAAATGCTCGACTGCCGCATAAGCAGCTCAAGTTCCGAGTTCTTGTGGAGCGGGAAGGCCAGGTTGTGGCGGTGGACAACGTACTCAGAGTCAAAGTACTCAATGGCCGACGGGATCTCGTGCGTATGCAGGCCTTTGATTTTGTCAATTTCGTACGACGAGTAGTTGCAACGTCCGCGTCCCACGCTAACGGTGTTTTTGGACCTGTCCCACTTGCCGGTCGCGCTGTCTCTGATTCCAACCCTGATATCCACACACTCAAGCTGCCCAAACTCACCTTCAACACCAATGACCCCCACAGGCAGCAGCCCGGCCCGGTTCCGACGCGTAATGGCCTCGTAGCAGCCAGGATCGATGATCAGAGCCCCGGCAGGCTTGAGACCGTGCAGCAGCCAGAACTCCTTGTTTCTGACGGCGTTCCTTGGCTGGCCAATGAACCGCGTGTGCAGCGGGATTTTGTGGTGTTGCAATTGAGAGAACTCGCGTTCATTCGTGATCTGGAACTGCTCGTGCGACTCTGCAGAAATGATCTCCGCAGACTCTCTGAGCTGAGCGTCCATCTCACAGATATAGTTGGCAATCCGTATCATGTCATGCGGCCGCTGCGAATTGCAAATCACAGTCGTGACGCCCGCGTTAGTGGCCAGGTCCGCGGCAATCAGCTTGGTTTCCATTCCCCCAGTGCCGATGCTCGATCCCGACGACTTGGTGTTCACCTCCAGACTGTTCATGTTCTTCACCAAAACGACCGGTTTTGCGTTCGGGTTCAGACGCGGATTTTCAGTGTAGAGACAGTCGACGTCGGTGAGCAGGAAAAGGAAGTCCGCGTTGCACATTCCAGCAGTGATGGCAGAAAGCGTATCGTTGTCTCCGAATTTGATCTCCTGCGTAGAAACAGTGTCATTCTCGTTAACAATGGGGACAACGCCCATGTCCAGCAGTTCGATCAGGGTGTTCTCAGCGTTTCTGAACTGGGAAAAATCCGTAATGTCGTTTCGGGTGAGCAAGATCTGCGCAGTCTTCTGATTCTGGTAGCTAAACATGCTGTCCCACAAGGACTGGAGCTTTCCCTGTCCCAATGCGGCAAGGGCTTGCACGGCAGACAGACGCTTTGGCTTTTTGTCGACGCCCATGCGATGAAGCCCTATAGCGATGGCTCCGGACGAAACCAGCACGATACGATGGCCCTGTCGTCTAAGAGCAACCAGCGTCTCCACAATCATCGACACATTGGCAATCCGTGGCTCGTGGGTGACCTCGTCGACGATCGACGAGGACCCCACCTTCACCACGATGGTGAACTTCTTCTGATCAGTCATGGTGGAAAAAACAGATTTCGAAAAATCTACGCCACATCCGTGCACCGAAAAAGACCCAGATCCGCATCAAATCACCCTCTTCTAGTCTCCTCCAGAGAGGTCCTGGACCGACATCGCGTCTGTAGGCTGCGGTTCTAGCATGTCTGCGAGGAAGCCCTCGTTTGATGCCGCGGCAAATCGGCTCGTTTCCGGCAAACTGACGCCCTTGTTGACGTCCTTGTCCTTGTCCATGGTGAACGGCTGTCTGCACATTGGACACAGCCCTTTGGCGGTCTCTGTCTCCAGCCACTTCCAGATGCAGTGCATGTGGAAAGCGTGTTGGCACTCTCCAATGACTGAGCGTTAGCGAACTAAATGGGCCTTTTGTACTTACCTAGTGGGCATTCGTCTCCTGGATATTTGCAGGTTGTGCACGTCCCGTCAAAGGATACACGGCAGATACCGCAGACCTCGTCCTCGGGGATGTCCCAGTGCCACGAATAGATGGCGTAGCAGCTGTTTAGTTTGATTTGCATGCTCTGCTTGGGAACTGACTTATTTAAGATCGGATAAAATAAATAAACGTCGCGTCTCCGAGTCGCTGTGCGGCGTAAAAAAATTTATCTATCCAAATAACTCTTTTTTCAGCATGTCCAAGAGGTGGATTGATAAAAAGACGGCACAGAGCTATGCGCTCTTGCACCGTGCGCACGAGGATCCGCTTTATTACAACGAAGAGGCTGGAGAGCGTGTGCTTGTGCCGATTGAGAAGAGGAAAAGAAATGCCAGAGAGCGACTGGAGACGAAGCAGGACCTCCAAAAAGAGCTAGATTCAAAAATAGCCCAAGGAGACATCAGGAAAAATGAGGGAGAGGCAGCCCTGTATGGAATCACGTACGACGACTCTCAGTACGACTATATGCAGCACCTGAAGCCTATTGGTGAGGACAAGACGGGAATATTCATAGCTAGAGAGGACAAACCACAGAAGGTGGAGCTGCCTGCAGAGCTTCTGCCGTCCAAGGAGACAGTCAAGTACGATTACCAGCGTCAGCAGAACATCCAGGACGACATCGCTGGTTTCAAGCCTGATATGAATCCTGATCTTCGAGAAGTTCTGGAGGCCTTAGAGGACGAGGCATACATAGATCCCGACCAGGACGAGGATAACGTGGACGTTTTTGGCACACTGCTGGGCGGAAAGCCTGAAATAGTGAAGGATTCGGATTACGAGGAGTATGACGAGTGGGATATGGACAATTACGAGGATGAGTACGGCGACTACGACTCCAACGGCGAGGCCGAAAACTTCGACTGGGAGAAAGATTTTAGCCGGTTCAAAAAAGCGCAGACTCGCGGCAAAGTGGCCAACGACTGGGACAGTGACGACGAGTTTGACGAGGAAGATGAGGAAGACGAAGTCGGCAGTCTGCCCGATCTTGGGGCCACAGCAATGAAGAGCAAGAGCTCAAAGAAAAAAGAGAAACGTCGCAAAGGTGCGAAGACAGACACCTCGTCGTATTCCATGTCTTCGTCTGCTCTGTGCCGGACAGAGCAGATGACCATCATCGACGATAAATTTGACGTGATGAAGGAGCGGTACGAACAGGAGGAGGAAGAAGAGTACGAGCCATTTGCATTTGAGAACGAGCGTCAAGATCTGGCTGCTTTGGTGGACGATTTCCTGGATAATTATACATTGGAGAAAGGTGGCAGGAAGATTGTGAAAAAGGACAAAGAGCTCGAGAAAATACAGCGTGCTGCCGACAGTGTGTCTCGGAGCAAGCTCGCTCTTCGCCGCAAGAAGGACAGCAACGGAGGCGACCCGTCTGCGTTCAAAGGTTTGGCTGATGATATGAAGAAGCTGCGTATGTAATCTGGGGAAGGTCGTGCGAAGATCTTGGGAAAAAAATTTAATTATTGTCTTAAAAAAATTATTTAAGTGTCAGGCATGGCTAGAAAGAGTAGGACAGTGGCCGAGGAGATCGCCAAGGAGCTTTCAAAGCCCGTATTCAAGGACGTGGACATTGAAAACGAGCCAAATAGCTCGTCTGAAGGAAGCGACGATGAGGTGTCCCGCGAACACTACGTTCAGAACCGCAGCAGATTAAGAGGAGTGGAAGTGGGCGAGAATTACAAGGGAAAGAAGGTGAGTCGTGGTGATCTATACGACGAGGACGAAGCCAGAAGTGAGGGCAGCGAATCTGAGGAGGCAGAGTCTAACGATTCTGATATCTTAGCAGATGTGACTGATAGTGAAGTTGAAGAGGGAAGCGATAATAGTGAGGAAAGCGAGGAGGGTGAGAGCGAGCAGGAGAGCGGACACAACGATTCCGACGCATCGTCGGTGGGCGACTCATACAAGCGGGAGAGAATATCACAGCTGCTGGCAGAAGAAAAAAAGCAAATCATCTCGAGGCTATCTGCTACCGCCAAGAGCGATGCTATCAAGGGATACGCTATTCTGAGCCAGCATCGAATATTTGATCTTATTTTGGACAGTCGGATCAAACTACAAAAAGCCATTGTGTCTGCCAATCAACTACCACTAAACACAGAAATATACGATTCGCTATCCAAGAAGGAAAAGAAAGAGGTTGAAAAAGTGCAGGAAAAGGTCTTCGAGCTTTTGGAAAAGACGATTAATGTGCGCAGAAAACTATATGCTAAAGACAAAATTGAGCCTCCTGCTGCCAGCACCAAAAAGAGATCACTGGCTTCGCTGTACGAAGAGACTAGCGAGTTTGATTCCGTTTTGGAACCGTTCAAAAAGAATGTTTTGGTGAAGTGGTCTGCAAAAGTGCAGGCCGCATCCGGCTCGTCTGCTCTTCAATCCGGCAAGTTCCAGACCATCAACCAAGACGCATATTCTCAAGTCCAGAGCAATCTTCAGGATATGGAGAGATTGGTGAAGAGAACGAAGCTGAATCGCCGCGGTGTGACTCCGTTGGGCATGGAAAAAGACCAAGAGCCAATTCTATTCGACGACGACGATTTCTACAGAGTTTTGCTGAACGACATGGTGGATAAAAAGATTTCTGACAAAGCGGCCTCGTCTGCTGCGATTGTGACAATGAGCTCGAACAGAATACACAAGAACTACGACCGCAAGGCTACAAAGGGCCGCAAACTGAAGTACACTGTGCAGGAGCCGTTGCAACAGTTTGAAGTTCCAAAGAGGAGCGAGTGGGCATGGAACGACGACCAGATCGATGAGTTCTTCGCATCGTTGCTGGGCAGAAAAATAGATATGGGAGAAGAGGCTGAGGAACTTGAGCCTGAGGAGGGAGAAGCTATATTAAAGTCCGACCTCAAGCTGTTTGGATAAATAATAAACTGAAAAATAGATTTAATATTTAATTTATCAATTTATCGCTCTTTGCAATTTCATGCGCAATTCCTGCGAGCCATTGAATGACAACGCCGCCGTCTTCACCGTACTCATTAACGGATATAGTTCATGATGTGCCGTTGACCAATGAGGACATCGCGCCGGAGCCTGCCCAGATATCGGCGATTGAGACGTACGATCTCAATTTGTATGTTGGGACGAGTCTCGGAGAACTGATCCATATGTTTTGGATCGACGACGAGACAGGATACATGGCGGTCTCAAGACAGCAATTCAGCAGTAAGAACAAGCCAATAGATAAAATTCTGCTTCTTCCACAGGTAGCGAAGGTGCTCGTACTGAGTGGAGGAACCATTCAGGCATATATTCTTCCGGAGCTGTCCCCAGCCAACATAGGAAAAATCAAGGATGTCAATGACGTGTGCATAGATCTGGATGATAGGAGACTGGACGCCAAAGAGGAAAATTACATTGGAAGCGTGAACAATATAGATTGGCACGTTTATACTGACGTTACGGTTTTTACCAGCAAGAGCGTCCGATTAATTCGCATATTCGACGACAGCATCAAGCTTGCTAGGGATCTCAATTACCCAGGCACTCTGCGTGGTGTCAGGCGATCGAAGTATGTTGCCGTGGGCTCACAGACGAGCTACGATTTGATTGATTTGGTTCAAGGACAGAAAATTCCACTTTTTCCTTCCCAAGAGTCCTGCCCGCTGATACTGGCTCTTGGAACGAATGAGTTCCTGATGGCCTGCGGGTCGTCTGACGGTCCTTGTATGGGAATGGTGGTCAATATCTCCGGGGAGATCTCCAGAGGCACTTTTACCTGGCCAGAGTACCCCAGCTCTCTGGAGGTTGATTATCCGTACCTGATTGGTGCCTTTGGCAAGTCGCTCAAGATTTACTCGCTTCACGATCAACGACTTGTGCAGACGCTAGACTTTGAATCTGAAGTGGAGGTCACAAAGGTTAGTCATCTGTTCAAGTCCGATGACGATGGCCTCAAGTCGCTACTGGAACGGACACCAGTAATATATCAATCCACAGCAGAAGAGGTGCAAAAAATTGCAGAGGAATCCGATCAGCATTACGGCACCATGTCGAGCATTTTGGTGTACGATAGAGACGGGAAAAGTATCCGATTAATCAAGCTTCAAGCCAAGGCTTTGCGATTATTGCAGGTATACCAGTCTGCCAGCACGGACAATTGTTTGGAGATATTCGACGAGATATTCGACGAGTACAGAAACCCAGACGTTTGCAACGAGGTCGAGAAACTGTTTATTCTCCATCTGTTGGCTCTTCTGGGCCTCAAATATGAGATCTTCGACCAGTGCTACGATATATGGGCCAGCAACGTCGACAAACTCGACCCACGCCTGCTGCTGTACGCGCTGGGTATCCCGAAAAGCGAGATCTTTGGCTCGGTTTGGATTTTTAGGGGACTGGCTGACGAACTGGAGGACATTAGGAACAAATACAGCACCAGCGCTCGAGCCAAGGAATTTCTTCAATTGTATTTGTCCACTTGTATATTAGAGGCAAAAGATGGCGATCTTTTGAAAACCATAGAGCTCAACTTGGCCAGACAGAATTTGGAGTCGCCTGAATTTCTGGCACAGCTGAATAACGTCAAGTACAGCAAGAACGAAATTATTGAGATGCTGCTTGAGACAAAAAACTACTACTATCTTGCAAAATTTTATGAGAAGCTTGAGGACAAAAGCCAGACGCTCTATTACTGGAGAAAGCTACTGGAGGGGGAACTTGCAGACCCCAAATTCCAGGAAAAAGACCCTTTGAAATATATGGTTCAATATCTGCTCACTTGCGACGAGCCCTTGATTGAAACGCATGGCAAGTGGCTGCTCGAAAAATACCCTGAATACGGGCTTCAGCTGTTTATGCATCCTGAGCTGAAAGATCATAGTTTCAAGGACGTCAAGATATTGCAAATGTTGTCGAAACAGCACAGAAGAGCGTATTTGCATTATATGGTGACGGTCAAGGGAGAAAAACAATTCACGGGAGACTTGATTCTGTCACTGCTCAGAGAGCTTATACAAATGGACGGTATGCAACAGACTCTGGAAAAATACACATCACTACCACTTCCAAAGCTCCAGTTCTACGAGTTCTTAGAGCTGGAGTCGGCAAGGGAGCACTCTCAAACTATAAAAATGCACGATCAAATATATCGCTATTTGCTGCAAATAAGCAAAGACACCATGTCGATACTGGATCGCAAGAACGTGGCTGAGCAGTGCCTCGAACTAATCGGAGCATACGAAGGACTTTATCTCCTTTTGGAGGCAGCCATATACTACAAACAGGCACAGCATGAAAAAGTGGTGGCCGTTTTTCTTAACTTGGAGGATTACGAAGCATGCGAGAATTTTGCTCGCACATTAAAACTCCCAGCAGACTCACAATCAGACGGCAGCAAGAGTCCGCCATCTACGTCGTCGACTATCTCAAGAACCGAGTCTTTGCAAATGCTGATATTCGAGAAATATTTGCAGCTGGAGCGTCCGGAGTTGATAGAGCGATTTCTGAACAACAACAACGTTTTTCAGGATGTTGACGACGAGGCCAACATTGCTGCGAAAATGGACAAGTTTGTCAGTTTGCTCAACAGGATCCCAGATACTTTCCCTATGTGTCGATTGGACTCGTTTTTGGTAAGCAATCTGATCAGCTTCCAGGACCAAGTGGACGAGACGACACTCTGCAAAAACCTGACCCGCGCATTATATACGAACCTTAAGGGATTGAAGGATTAGACGAAACGCGAGAGACATAACTGGCAAAATTAGAGACTTGAGGATGCCGCGCTACCACGGATCATTAAAAAATATATTTAAAAAAATATGGCGATGTAGTCGATACGAGGTTCGAACTCGTGACCTTCCCCGTGTGAAGGGGACGTCGTAACCACTAGACCAAACGACTTACTCACGTCCTGTTTACTATCATGGTGGTACATACCCAATGTAGAAGCTGAATCAAGGAACGCTGTTGCGCACATCGACACCACTGTGTGCTACTGTCTACCGGCTAGACGCAGGATGGGTCCACAAAGTCATTTCTGTGGCAGAATTAGGAAAATTTAGTGCGCGCAAAAAAAATTCCTCGCCGGTTCCGCACTTGATGACCATTTTTCAGATTTAGTCACATATCGGCGAAAATTTTTTAAATTTAACAGCTATCGTTGCGCATTTTTCTTCACCAACATGGCACAAACTAACCCGTACGGACCTAATCCCAGCGATTATCTTTCGAATGTGTCCAAATTCCAGATTATCGACAGCACCCTGAGAGAGGGAGAGCAGTTTGCGAACGCATTTTTCACCTTAGACATGAAATTGAAAATCGCCAAAGCATTGGACGAGTTCGGTGTGGACTACATCGAATTGACGTCGCCCGTGGCGTCCGAGCAGGCGCGCGAGGAGGTCGAGGCCATCTGCAAGCTCGGTCTGAAGACATCCAAGGTTCTCACGCACATCAGATGCCACATGCACGACGCCAAGGTGGCCGTGGAGACCGGGGTGGACGGAGTGAATATCTTCATTGGAACCTCCAGTTTTTTGAGACAGCACTCCCACGGTAAAGACATGTCGTACATCACCAAGTCCGCCATCGAGGTGATCGAGTTTGTCAAGTCCAAGGGCGTTGAGGTGCGGTTCAGTACCGAAGATTCGTTCAGATCTGACATTGTGGATCTGCTCAATATCTACAGCACGGTCGACAAGCTCGGCGTGAATAGAATTGGTATTGCCGACACCGTGGGCGGTGCCAACCCTAGACAAGTCTACGAGCTTATCAGAACGATCAAGTCGGTTGTTTCTTGCGACATCGAGACCCATTTCCACAACGACACCGGTTGCGCCATTGCCAACGCCTACACCGCCCTCGAGGCCGGAGCCAAGTACATCGACACGTGTGTGCTGGGTATTGGAGAGAGAAACGGAATTGTGCCGCTGGGTGGATTTATGGCCAGAATGATTGTTGCCGACCCAGACTACGTCAAGTCCAAATACCAGCTGAAAAAAATTAGAGACCTCGAAAACTTGGTGGCAGACATTGTGCAGGTGAATATTCCGTTCAACAACCCAATTACCGGATTCTGCGCATTCACCCACAAGGCCGGTATCCACGCCAAGGCCATTCTGGCCAATCCATCCACGTACGAGATCCTGAACCCTGAAGATTTCGGCCTCTCGAGATACATCCACTTTGCCAACAGACTGACCGGATGGAACGCTATCAAGAGCCGCGTGGAACAGCTGAACCTGAAACTGTCGGACGACCAGATCAAAGAGGTTACCACCAAAATCAAGCTCATGGGAGACGTGAGGCCGCTGAACATCGAGGACGTGGATTCCATCATCAAGGACTACCACGCGGACGTGAGCGAGGAGCAGGCGAACAAGAGACAGAGAACGGCCTAGACGGGGACAACGCATACGTAGGTTGAATAGATAAGTGGCGATTACCAGGAGCGGGAGCGCAGGGAGCAGTGTAGCAGGCACAGGAGCTGTAGCTGTGGTTTTTGGGTTTGTGTCACGTGACTTCCACGTGATGTCCTGGTTTGCACGTCGCACCTTTTTAAAATAATTTTTCACGAAAATATTTCTTCATCCAACACCATGCCAAGTAAGTATCAGAAACATGACTGGACGTTTTCCAGTCGAGGTTTCGGGACCTCAGCTCTTTCAAACACTCCATGAGAAACTTGCACTGAACCCCCGACACTTCAGTGCAAGAACCTGGCCCTCTGGGCGGGCTCTCAATGTTGTATTTGAAGTAGCGTAAATCCCTGTTTCTCGATTCTCTAACACCCGTAGGAGCTCCAAGAACCCACTCCAAGACCTACTCGGTCCCAAAGAGACCATACGAGTCCGCCAGATTGGATGCCGAACTTAAACTCGCCGGTGAATACGGTCTGAAGAACAAGCACGAGATCTACAGAATTGGTTTCCAATTGTCCAAGATCAGAAGAGCTGCCAGAGACTTGCTTACCAGAGACGAGAAGGACGAGAAGAGATTGTTCGAGGGTAACGCCTTGATCAGAAGACTGGTCAGAGTCGGTATCTTGCCAGAAGACAAGATGAAGTTGGATTACGTTCTGTCCTTGAAGATTGAGGACTTCCTTGAGAGAAGACTGCAGACCCAAGTTTTCAAGCTTGGTCTTGCCAAGTCCATTCACCACGCTAGAGTCTTGATCACCCAGAGACACATTGCTGTTGGAAAGCAGATCGTGAACATCCCATCCTTCATGGTCAGACTGGACTCCCAAAAGCACATTGACTTCGCTCCAACTTCTCCATACGGTGGAGGAAGACCAGGAAGAAACAAGAGAAAGTCTCAGGCTTCTGCTGGTGGTGACGCCGAGGAGGGAGAGGAAGACGACGAGTAAGTAGATAATTGGAAAATACAGATTAGCAGGAAGCAGAGTAGTAGGGTCAGTGCGGTTTGTGCCCGCTGGTGATCTATGCTCGCGAGATTAAGACCACGTGATCTTGCGCCGGGCTCGGGGCGCTTGATTAATCACATCCCTGCACCGGGTTTGATATGAAAAATTTTAAATCCGTATTCAATTATCACTCTATAATTAATTCAAGATGGGTAAAAGGTAAGTGGCCAGCGCCTTGTCTGGGGCTTCAGCACGCCAGATCCCCCCAACACTAACACGCAGTCATGGTTTGAGATCCAGAACTCGTTACGCATTCAGTCGTGACTTCAAGCAGCACGGAGCGCTGCCTATGTCCGTGTACCTCAAGACCTACAAGGTCGGAGACATCGTCGACATCAAGGTCAACGGATCCATCCAGCAGGGTATGCCATACAAATACTACCACGGAAAGACCGGTATTGTCTTCAACGTGACCAAGAGCTCCGTTGGTGTGATTGTCTACAAGGTTGTTGGAAACAGATACATTGAGAAAAGATTGAACGTCAGAATCGAGCACGTCAAGCACTCCAAGTGCAGACAGGAGTTCCTGAACAGAGTCAAGGAGAACGCCGCTAAGAGGGCCGCTGCCAAGGCTTCTGGCGAGCCAGTGTTGCTCAAGAGACAGCCAGCTCCACCAAGACCATCCAAGGTCGTTTCTGGTGTCCCAACCAACCTTGCTCCAATTGCCTACGAGACCTACATTTAGTGAGTAATGGATTAGTAGAGTGAAGAATGACTGAACTGTAACCGACTGTGCTTGTGACATGTCACCAGAGAAATTTCTCCTATATTAGCTTGGCTGTGCTGAAAAATAAATTTTTATAATGAATAACAGCATCGAGCGATTAGAGAAGGAGATTGAGGAGAGTGTACCGTACTTTGCGAGCGATGAGACGTCGTCCGTCCGCAAGGAGGCGCCCGAGCTCTCAGCACAGCCCCGGGAGGTCAGGCCGTGGGTCCATTTTGTTGCTGGCGGCCTGGGGGGCATGTGTGGTGCAGTCTTCACCTCTCCCTTCGATGTTGTCAAGACCAGGCTGCAGTCCAGCGTTTACCGCGACGCGTACAAGAGCGGTCTGCGCAACGGCGGCATGCTGAGCGGCGCAGCGCTGCATTTCAAGGAAACCCTAATGATTCTACGCAACGTTTACACGGTCGAAGGACCTCGAGCGCTTTTTAAAGGACTGGGGCCGAACCTCGTGGGCGTGATACCCGCCCGGTCGATTAACTTCTTCACGTACGGCTACTCGAAAGACCTAATCAAGAACTCTGTTGCGTTCCAAGGCGAGGAAAGCTCGCTCGTGCATCTTCTGGCCGGCATCAGCGCCGGGTTTGTGACCAGCACGGCCACCAACCCGATCTGGCTCGTCAAGACCCGTCTACAGCTCGACCGCGCCACTACAAAGACGTATAAAAACTCGTTTGACTGTCTGGTGAAGATCGTCAAGCACGAAGGGGTCTTTGCTCTGTACAGAGGACTGACGGCGTCGTATCTGGGCTCTGCAGAGAGCACGCTCCAATGGGTGCTGTACGAGCAGATGAAGTCGGTCATTCACCGTCGGTCCGAGCGGTTGCAGAAGGAGGGCAAGCAACCGAGCGAGATGATGGACTGGTTTGCGCGGTCCGGGTCTGCAGGCGTGGCCAAGTTCGTGGCCAGTCTGATCACGTATCCGCACGAGGTTGTGAGAACTCGGCTTAGACAGGCGCCGTCGCAGGACGGCCGGCCAAAATACACGGGTTTGATCCAGTGTTTCAAGCTGGTCATCAAAGAGGAGGGTCTGGCGTCGATGTACGGCGGCCTGACGCCGCATCTGATGCGGACGGTGCCGAACAGCATGATCATGTTTGGCACGTGGGAGCTGTTCACCAGCATTTTGTCTAAACTTTAATGTACATAGCAGACAAAATATTTTAAACGGCTACGGTTTTTTTTAGCTACCATGTCGTTCAAGTACGAGTTTGCCCGCTACATCAAGAGCCCGGGCTCGTGTCCGGGGCTGCTCTTCCACGACGACAACGCACTTATCATCAAGGACCTGTATCCCAAGAGTCTGGTGCACTATCTCGTGATTCCCGTAGAGAAAACTCTCGAGAGGCCTCAGGAGGCCTTTGCAGACGACGAGTTCCGGAAAAAAATGGAGAAATACATCGACAAGGCGCGCGAAATGGTGGTAGCCAACTGGCCGCAGCACTATACCGTTCCTGGTGGCGAAATAGCAGACTACATCCAGGTGTGCTGCCATTCGGTCCCGTCAATGGCTAACTTGCACATCCATGTGATGACCAAGGACCTGTGCAGCGAGCGGGTGAAAAATAAAAAACACTACAACAGCTTTGCCACGTCGTTTGCGATCCGGTGGGACGAGTTCCCGCTCGCAGCAGACGACCCCCGCTGGAACGAGGAGTACTGCAAGTCGCTGCTCAAACAGGACCTGGTGCACGGAGGAATTAACTACGGCAGCTCTTTCAAACGGCTGCGGGAGGAATTGGACCGCAAACGGGCCCGCATCGTCTACGCGAAAAAACGCAGGGTGTCGCACTAGTTGTATCGTCGCTCGCTATTTGGCACCGCCGCCAAACATGTACTTATACACGTCTACGCCGGGCGTCTCTGGCTTGTCGGATCCCTCGAGCGGCGTGTCGTCCTCGAACGAAAACTCGCCCAGCAGCTCCTCCGACAGTCTCAGGTACTCCGCGGCGACCAGGTCGTCCTTGGTCAGGCCCTCGCGCGAGACGTCGGCCATGTTGTTCTCTATCCACTCTGCCACCTCGGGCAGGTGTTTTTTGCGCAAGAGAGTGGTCAGAAGACCCTCGAACTGTGTTGTATCGAACTCTGTGTTCGGATACACGTTGGTGTGTTTGAGAACGTCTTTGTTGAGGTCCATTGTCCGGCTGAAGGATGTCAGCTGCGACAGGATCACGTTGTACTGGTTCTGAAGGTTCGACCAGTTGGGCAGCGTCGCGCTCGCCGCCATGCTGTCCTCAAGCTTGCGAAGGGAATGCGTGAGCTGTGTGAGACGCGGCCGCAGCTGCTCCAGATTTTGCACGGGAACGTCGTTAAAATTGAGAGACATGAAATAATTATTTGAGTATTTAATTTAATTTATTGCATCTAATCTAATTATATGGCTAAAAAAAAGTCCAAATTAGAGCAGCTCGTCGAGAGATACGGCAAGCGCGCGAACCTTGAGCGCCGAATACGGAATCTGGATGCGCGCACTAACAAGACGATTTCCGACCGGAAGTACATCGAAAAGCTCAGAGCAGACCTCGGCTACTGGCAGGCCCAGGAGACCACGGACAAGCAGGAAGAGCGTCCGAAACGGGACATCAAGCTGTTCAAAAACTCGCTGTACTACGACGAGGAGCTCAATCCCGCAGGAATCACGCCACCGGGCGGGCGGGAACAGAAAGGCGAGTGCAAAGTGCCGGGCAATGTCCAGCTCAAGTATCCGCTTCCTCAGCAGGAAAGACCGCGGTTCTGGCACATCCACCAGGTGGGGGCGTACGAGGCGGGCGAAAAACGCACGCAGCTCGTCCCCACGGTGCTACGGCGATAACAGTGTACAGATAGCTCAATATGATGAATGTCATTCTAACGAAATGTAGTTCTATCTGCCTATTTCTCCTTAGCAAAAAGCTTCTCCACATCCTCAACAGCCTGCGCAAGCACCCTGTCCTGGAACTTGGCGTTCTGCAGCTCGGATTGCACCTTGGAAATGACAGTGGAGGCGAGTTGTTCTTGCTCGTGCTGTCTGACTTGGGCCTCGTATCTGACCCACGAGTCCAAAACAGACTTGGCCTCGGACGCAACGGCGACCTTCTGCTTCAGCTCAAAGGCCTCTGCCTCCAGAGCAGCGGTCTCCTTGGACATCTCGAAAAGAGCCTTGGTGGTGGAAACGACGTCTTTCAGGTTGGAAACCTGGTCGATTCTGGTCTTGACCGCGTTCACGTGGTCTGCTCTGGCCTGGTTCAACAGGCCAACAACGTGGTCGGTTCTGTTCTTGGCCATTTCCCCGTACAATGGAGCCACAGCCTTGGAAATCAGGGCAATGAACCCAAGGAAGGTCACGAGCAAGATCGACTCGTCGTTGACAACATACAACTCGGAAGAAATGGCGTAAACAGAGGCGGCGGCAGTGGTGGCCAGAATGCCCGTCTTGGACAGGAACGAGTTGCCTGGAAGCGAGTCAATCAGAGCGTTGGCCTTGGTCTTAGGGTCAACAGGGGTCGACAAACATCTGATGCCGACGGCTCTGTGGCCGATCGTGGCCATTGGTTTTGCGGAAGCTGGATCGTTAGTCAATGGCGCGCGGGAAAACCTACCTCTAGCTGCTAGTCTTGCCAACATGGTGTTTTCGGTACAGTTGTTTTAGAAAAATTTGGCTGAATTTCGTTGGTCAGAACTACGCGGGCACATAACGGGAGCGGGTCGAGCTCGCGCACACCCGTGCACCGGCTACAGGTCATCCATATGCGTCCGATCATTATAGCTATACGCGCCTGCCGCTATGCGTACGTGGCGTCCATGAACTCGTCCAGTTCCTGCTGGTCCTGCTGGTTCACGCGCTTCAGCACCTCCGACGCGCTGCTCTCCTGTATCACGCCGTCGATCACGAGCTCGTCGATCACGTGATACGCCACCTGGAAGTTGAAGATGATGTCGAGCTCGCACACGCTGCCGTATGCCTTGTCCATGATTTCGACGTAGCGCTGGATGAGGTCGAGCGTGATGAGTTCGTTGTCGTCGTTTTCGACGCACGCGATGAAGAACAGGCTGGCGTATCTGCGGTAGACTAGCTTCGAGTCCTTGTGTTCGAGCACGTTGCACATCTTTGGTTTGCGCAGCGGGATGATGGCGGTCAATTCCCTTATGATCCGTTGTTTCTCCTTCTGGCTGACGGCGATGTACCATTTGGACAGTCTGACTTTGCCCTGTTTGGACAGCAGAATAAGGTACTTAACGGCCATGGGGAATAAATAAAAAATAAAATAAAATAAATAGCAGGCAAAAAATAACTTCATAGCACGCACCAACACCGTTGTTGCCGTGAAACCCGCTGTTGTTGGAGTTGTCATTTTTGCGCCACAGAACCACGCACACAGCAACGCGTCCATGGACCAGTTTGTGAGCTACGTTATGGGCACGGGTGCCGACCGAGCAGAGCTGCTGCGGCTGCTCCGTGAAAAACACAAGGAGTACGAAACGCCCGCCGAGGAGCGCCCGGGCTCGGACAGGGTGTCCAGCGCCGAGCTGCTCCCGGTGAAACAAGAGAGCGAGGACCATCTGCACCCGCTTTTCCGCGAAAACATGGCCGACAGGTTCCAGGAACCAGACCTGCACACGCAGTTGCAAAATCACAACATCGACCTGCCGTCGATGGACGACGCGCACGTGAAAGAGCTCAAGTCGCAGGTTGCCAAGGAGTACGAGACGCTGGCAAGGCAGTTTGCTGCGGCGCGAATAGCCAACATCGACCAGCTAGTGGACAAGATCGACGATGCCATCAGCTCCACCAAGGAGGATTTCGTGTATCTGCAGCGCCAGATGAGCGTTCTGGACGCGGACGGGTTTGCGAGCCGGCCTGTGGTGGAGTCGCCGGCGTCCGACCCGGACCTTTTCTACAACTACTTCGCAACCAGCTACGCAGACAAGATGCAGCTTCTGGGCCAGATCGCGGCGCTGACGGCGCACCGGCTGGAGACGATCGACCGCGAGACCGACGCGAACGTCGCCATCGTGCACGGCCAGTACAGAGCGGCCCTGGTGGAGAACAGGGAGGCGTTGCAGCAGCAGATCCACGCGAAGATCGACGAGCTGAACGCCGAGTACCCGGCGCAGACGGGCGAGCCTGCGGGCGCGGGCGCGGCGCCCGAGAACGAGCTCAAGTCGCGCAAAAAACGCTCCAACTCGCTCATAAATCTGGCCGACATCGCCCAGGTGTACGGCGACGACAAACCTTGAGGAGCCTGGATTATATAATCTCCCAAAAAAAATATATTGTCTAATATTTAAATACAGATCTTTTGCCCTTGCTCCATGGACAGCCTAGTTCCTTTGTTTTTGGATATCACCAGCACGGACGATGCTGGCGTGGCGCAGAGCTTCCTGGAGATGGCCGGCGGCGACGTGGACACCGCGGTGAGTCTGTATTTCGAGCACGGGACGGACGTTGGGCCAAGCAGGCCTGGCGACGACGCCGAGGTGGCGGGCAGACTGCAGCAGGAGATGTACGCCGAGCCCGACAGCGCGGACGAGGGCGTGAGACGGCCGCTCGAGCCGGTGCACGACCAGCTTGTGGCGGACTACGCCAGGGTCGACCCGCACCGGGGCATGTTTGGACGGACCCAGGTGGGCATTTTCAACCAATTGGACGAGGAGGACGACGGGGACGGCGTGGAGGTTGTGGATCTGGACGAGTACGATGACGACGACGACGAGTTCCAGATGCTGGACGACGATGGCGACGCGGTCCGGCAGCAGAACAACCGACGCGCTCGCAGGCGCAGAGAGTTCCGCACAAGCACACAGAGACGGCTCGCCAACATTTTCCGGCCGCCCTGGGACATTATACAGAAACTAGACCTGGACGGCGCGAAGGTGGTGGCGCGGCAGGAGAGAAAGTGGATTCTGGTCAACATCCAGGACATGACCGACTTCCGGTGCCAGTGTCTCAACAGAGACTTCTGGTCGAACACAGAGATCAAAGAGATAGTGCGGGAGAACTTTGTTTTTCTGCAGTACCACCATGACTCGCCGAACGGCGAGTACTACATCAACATGTATCCGTTTTCGGAGTATCCGCACATTGCGATCTTGGACCCGATGACGGGCGAGCGACTCAAGATATGGAGCGGCGTGCCCGATGTGCACGTGTGGGTGGAGCAGGTGGTGGACTTCATGGACCGGTTCTCGTTGGACAAGAACAAAAAGAACCCGATAGTGCAGCACAGCGTGCGGCCGGACGTGAGCAGTTTGAGCGAGGAGCAGCAGATCAAGATGGCCGTGGAGCACTCGTTGAACCCTGACGCGGCGCGGCAGCAGGACAGCGTGGATATCGTGGACCTGGACAACGGCGAAGGCACGAAAGAGCGGCCGCTGGAGCTGGAGAGCGACGAGCCGGTGATCGAGGCCGTGGACGTGCCAGACCCGGAGGGCGCGGACGTGACGCGGATCCAGATCCGGTCGGGCGACGGGCGCCGCGTGGTGAAGAAGTTCGCGCTGCAGGACCCCGTGCTGCGCGTGTTCCAGTTTGTCAAGTACTATTTTGCCATAGGCAACAGGCCGTTCCATCTGACGATGCAGCGCGAAAACCTGATCGACAGGCTCGGCCAGACCGTCCAGGATTGCGGGCTTCGCAACGCGTCGCTGCTACTGGAGGTGGAGGAGTGAGGAAATACAGATATAGGAGTCGTAGCTTCGTTAATTTAATTTTCTAAAAAACTGCTCACGGGCCCGCCAATGTGGTCGAGCGCAAGCAGGAACGTGTCGTGGCCATAGAAGCTGTCCTCCTTGCTCAGCTCGACGTGGCGGATGTTCGACCCGTCGCCGCCGCGCTCGCGGGCGCCCTGGCGGAGCAGGTCGGCCATCTCGCGCTGCTGCCACGCAGGAAATAGGATATCGGACTCGACGCCGATCACGAGCACGTCCTTGGCGGCCAGCTTGGCCAGCCCGTGTTTCAGGTCCTCGGCGGCCTCCTCGGGCGTCATTCTCCGCGTGCGCTTGTTCTCGCGCATCGGCGACTCGAACGAGCACTGGTGCACGGGTTTGTACTCGAGCTCCGAGTCCGGCACATAGTCGCCGTTATACCGCGCCTCGGTCTGCTGCCGGCTTCTGGCAGCCTTGGTTCGCGCAGACAGCGACATGTCGAACAGGTCCATCGCCTTGGAGATGTACAGGAACGAGTTGGGGTCGTATTCCAGACACCATTTTTCTCCCGCGTGGTCCAGGTACGTCTCGATTAAAAAGTCCGGACACAGAGCAGGCTGTCTGGACGGGTCCGCCCGTTCGACACCGAACCGCGACTCCCACTCGGGACCGGACCGGTACGTGATCGTGGCGATCTCGCGGGCCAGTTTCATGCCCGTGTGCGGAGGCAGCGAGCCGTAGTAGAAACCTTTATTCCAGTTCGGGTCGGTCATCAGAACCTGTCGCTGACAATGGCGCATGGCAATCGAGTAGGGGTGCGAACGGGCACATCCAGAGATGCTCACGACCTTGGCGACCTCGTCGGTGAACTCGTGCGCGTATGCCAGACACTGCATTCCGCCCATGGACGAGCCCATCACGGCGTGCAGCCTGTCGATCTTGAAATGCTGTTTCACGAGCCGGTGCTGTGCCCGCACCATGTCGTTCACAGAGATGATCGGGAACCGCGTGGCGTACACCTGGCCGTCGGACGGGTCGGTCGAGGACGGTCCCGTCGAGCCAAAACAGCCGCCTAGCACGTTGGTGCAGATCACAAAGTACTTATCGGTGTCGAGATATTTGCCAGGACCGATAAAGTTCTCCCACCAGCCCTTGGCCGGGTTTTTCGCGGTCGAGTGCGCGTGCGACGACGCAGACAGGCCGGTCTGCAGCAGGATGGCGTTCGAGCGGCTCGAGTTCAGCGTGCCCCACGTCTCGTAGGCCACCTGGAACTGGGGCAGGTATCCGCCGTAGTCCAGGAAAATGGGGTCCGTGGAGCGGAAAATGTCCACCTTGTCCTCGGTGATTCTCGCGTACGCGGGCTCGGGCCCGTTTTCCACCAGCGATTGCGACCTCTGCTCGAGTTTTTCGAGACAGGGGAACGACAACTGTGGATTCGACGGTCTGGGATGGGGGGTCGACATGGCGGCCGCACGGACTGCGCTGGCACGCGGCTTGCATGCCACTGCGCACCGCGAGAAGTGTCTTGCAAATCCCACAGAGAACAGACGCTGGCTCATGGGAATGGGAAGAATAATTGGAAGAGTCTGTTTGTCTGGTAGCAGCAAGTATTGGCTTGTGTGCTTTCACGTGACCGGAGATGCAGGGAAAAAAAAATTAGTCGGAGAAAAAAAAATAGAAAAAAAAAAGGGCATTAAAAGGGGATAAGCGAGGATACGCAGGATGGATTACAACGCCTCGCTCAAGGAATGTGCCGTTCCCGAGAGGATCGGAAAACTCTATTTCCGCAAAGCCCCCGACACGTACATTCTCGAGCTGTCCACGTATGCTGCTCCCAAGAAGAGATCCACCGAGACAAGGCCTTCGCGGTGCACGGCAGACATTCTGGAGGCGATTTGTCAGAACTCCAAATTTGAAATGCCCACGTTCCTTTCGTCTCGCAGCAGCAACATCATGCTGCCCACCGAGGACGACACAACGCTCACCGCAGAGTACCTATATCCGTCCTCTCCGTACTGGGAAGGAGAAATACAGGTGAAGCCCCACGAGATCAAGAACGAGGACTCGGACGCGTTCGAGTTTTGTGAGAGCTCTGTATTTGAGAGCGTAGACTCGGAGAAATACTAGCATTATAAATCGCTCTGTCTGGCCCATTTCACGTTGACCTCGATGGCCTCTAGCGACTGGCTCACTCCCTTGTCGAAGCCCGTGAGGTCTTTGGCGGCAAAAAATGCCTTGGCATCGGCGTAGAGCGGTTCGGAACCAAAGTTTGGCAAGAAGTTTCTGAGCACTCTGTCCAGAGTCCAGATCGATGTCTCTTTGTGGAACCGGTCGAAATTGGCCTTGAAGAAGTTCCAGAACGGTTCTTGGGCAACGGGGTTCGAGCACAGCGAGCCGCAGAGGAAGATATAGTCCATTTCTGGAAGATATTCGGTGAAGAACAGGGCAAAGATATCGTCCAAATATGCCCTGTTGCTCACGGATCCAAGAGCAGACAGCGCAATTTCGCGCGCGTCCACAGAAGACGGATTTTTCACCTCCTCGATCACCTGCAAAAGCTCTTCGCGGGTGCATTCCTTGGACGCCAGCAAAGTGGTGAGCTTGGCGCGGCGCAACGAAGGGTCTGCGGTGGAGCGAGCGTACTCCAAGGCGAGCGAGGACTGGGATAGTCCGCACTGCTCAAAAACTAAGGAGCGCAGCTTAGATTCCTGAAAAGTGAGCTTTTCTTTCTCCATCAATCTCTTCAGAACCGGCTCGTACACCTGCTTGCTGAAATTGACCAACATTTCCAGCTTTGGCGAGCCAAAATAGAGTTTCTTCAAAGCACCCAGCCGTTTGGCGATCTCCGCCCAGACGGCATACTCTTCTTCGCTTTTGAACCGCTCCACGAGCTCCAAGCAAGTCTTTGTCGAGCTGAGGCCGGCCTGTGCTGCAGCAAACGTATCTGCCACCAGTCCGATTTTGTCTCTGGCGTTCAAGTCAAGAAATACGCGGTCGAACAGAGCCGGATCATAAACGACACGATAGAAGCCTGTGGTGGACTTGTTAAGCTTTGCGAATTGTTCCAGAGGAACCGTCTTGCTTTTCTCCGTCATGTTGAGCTCGGGAATCCACCAAACTGTGTCGTCAGACTTTCCAGAAAGCAGGAACCTCTGCTGCGTGATCTCGACCTGGTCGCCAGCTAGTTTCGCGTGCAGATAGGGAAAACCAACGGCTCTGATCCAGGGAGCAACCAGCGTCGTGATATTCTTGCCGGTGGTGGCGCTGACGGCATCCCATAGATCATCGGAACGCGCGTTGCCAAAGCTGTGCTCTTTCAAATATTTGGAGACACCGCTCAGAAACAAGTCTACACCAACACTCTCCGCAACCATGCGCACAACAGAACCCCCCTTCAGATACGAGATATAGTCGAATATCTGGTCGATGTCGCGTCCGTTGAGAACTTGCACCTCCACGGGATGCGAGCTGGTCAGAGAGTCCAGGTCCAAGGCCGCCTGAACAGAAGACGACACAAAGTCTGTGAACACGTCCCATTCGGGGTGCATGTTGTCGACGCAGAGCCAGCCAATATAGGTTGCAAACGATTCGTTGAGCCAGAGATCCGACCACCAGCTCATGGTGCAGTAGTTGCCAAACCACGAGTGGGCGATCTCGTGCGAAACAACGTATGCCACCTTGGACTTGTACGCCAGATCCGACTTTTCTGGGTCAAACAGCAGCGCAGTGGCCCTGAAAAGGACAAGTCCCCAATTTTCCATTGCGTTGGCTCCAAAAGCAGGCACCGCAATCAGGTCCAGCTTCGGCAGCGGATAAGCAATGTCAAACACCTTGGAGAGATAATCAACAGCCTTTTCCGCCACAGACAGCGCATACTTGCCGTTCTGCGACTGGCCAGGCACCGTGTAAACGCGGATAGGCAGCCCGTTCAAACGGGACTCCACATACTCAAACTTGCCAATACACCAGGCTACAAGGTACGTGGACATTTTTGGCGACGACAAAAACGTGACCGTCTTCGTCAGACCGTGTGTCTCAACCTTATCGACTGGCATATTGGAAAGGGCGTCGTACTCACTGTCAATTGTCAAGCTTATTCTGAACGTGGCCTTGAACGCAGGCTCGTCGCTACAAGGGAAAGCAGACCGTGCGTCTGTCGACTCAAACTGCGTGCACAGCAAGGTATGCAGTTTTTCGCCGTCCCTGTAGCTCGAGTCGTAGAATCCTCCCATGTCTGTGCGAATTGGGCCGGTGTACTCAATGGAGAGACTCAACGGGCCGGGTTTCACTGGCTCTGCAAATTTGAACTCCACGGTCTCGTCTTTGTTGTTGGTAACGGTGTCTGAAACAGCAATGGCCTTGTCGTTAGAGCTGGCAGTAGCTTTGCCTATTTGCAACAATTTTTGGTTCAGGATCACAGACTTGATGGTGTCCTGAACATGGAAATCGATTTTACAAAGCCCCTGGAATGTCTTTTTGGCAGCATCAATGTTGGAGATACAAACATCATAGCTCACAGGCTTGACCGTCTCTGGCAATCCATGGTGGAAAGACGTGTCTGGATAATGCATCGATAGGCGTCTGAAAAATGTTTGTGGTCTAAATCTGAAAAACGCTCGCCTAGACAAAAATTGCATATCTACATTTTTTATGACTGGGTATTTTATTAAGTGAAAAGAGAAAACAAAGCAGACACAAGCTTTTCGACGAGAAGGCTGAAATTACTCAACGGTGACCGACTTGGCAAGGTTCCTTGGGCGGTCGGGATTGTTGCCGGCAGCAACAGACAGGTAGTAGCTCATCAGCTGCACAGGAATGATGTTCAGCAATCCTTGCAAGCAGTCCACAGACTTTGGAACCTCAATCACAGCCGAGGCCTTCGAACGGTCTATAAGCCTGTCTCCCTCGGTTGCAATGATTATTGGACGGCCGTCTCTGGCGGTGATCTGTTGGATGGCAGAGTTCAGTTTCGCGGAAAACGAGTCCTGCGTAGCAAATGCCACAATCGGCAGCTTGTCGTCAACCAGAGCCAGAACTCCGTGCTTCAATTCTCCGGCCTGAATACCTTCCGAATGAATATAGGAAATTTCCTTGATCTTCAAAGCACCTTCCAGAGCAGAGGCATATTGGTAGCCTCGGCCAACAACCAGGATGGACTGCTTGTTGTGCAAATACTTCTCGGAGATCTCCTTGATTTTTTTGCTTTGCTGTAGAATTTTCTCAATCTGGGTAGGGATCTCTTCCAGTCCCTTGATAATCTCTTGATGGCGCCTGGAATTGGTGATCACATGGTTGGAGATCTGCAGGGCAAGCATGACCAGCGCAATGTATTGAGAGGTGTAGGCTTTGGTGGAAGCCACGCCGATCTCAGGACCAGCGTTGATGTGAACACCACAGTCGGTTTCTCTGGAAATGCTTGAACCAACAGAGTTGACCACACCAACGGTCAATGCTCCAGCAGCACGGCATCTCTTGAGAGCCATCATGGAATCTGCTGTCTCGCCAGATTGAGAAACAAAGATGCACGTATCGTCTCTGAAGATAGGCGGAGATCTGTCCAGGAAATCAGAGGCTAGATCCACGGAAACTGGCACCTCTGTCAGCTCTTCGAATAAAGACCTCACAGCCAAGCACGAATGGTAGGAAGTTCCGCAGGCAATCATCTGGAACCTTCTCGAACGTCTGATACTGGTCAGAAACTCCTTGATGCCTCCAAGAGTGATGCTTTTGTTCTTGAAGTCGATTCTACCTCTCATGGTGTTGAAGGTGGAATCTGGCTGCTCAAAAATCTCTTTGAGCATGAAATGGTCGTAGCCGCCTCTCATGATCTCGGCCAGTTGCATCTCCAAAGTGTGAACGGGTCTGGTGGTGGACATTCCTGCTGCCTTGGACGCTCTGTGGATGTGCAATTCTCCGTTGTCAATGTGGGCGATGTCGTCGTCTTCCAGGAACAGCACCTTCTTGGTGTGCTCAATGACCGACGAGGCGTCCGAAGACACGAAGAACTCGATTGGTTTGTTGTAGTCGGGCAAGATAGCTCTCGACTCGGATTTTCTCAGTGTCATCTCGCTATTAGTAGGCAGAGTCAGGAACGAGTTGGAGTAGCTCGATCCGTTGGTGCCCTGTGTAGTCGTGGCAGGATCAGAGATGAACTCGACGTCCACAAAATCCACCTTGAGCTTCTGCTCGCTCTTGACACCAATCAACAGCGGAGAACCCTTTCTGGTGGCCACCAATTCGTTAGGATAGTGGATCGACTTGACCATCAGACCGTAGGACCCCTGCAGCTGGTACAGGACCTCCTTGGCCAGCTGGTAAAATTCCAGGTCGTTGTCCTTGTCGAAATAGTATTTGAACAGCTTGGCGATAACTTCGGTGTCGGTGTCCGATCTGAAGGTGTGGCCCTTGCTCTTCAGGAACGTTTTGAGCTCTCTGTAGTTGGTGATGATGCCGTTGTGGACCACGATGAACTCGTTTTTGTCGTCAGAGGGCTGTGGGTGGCAGTTCGTCTGGGTGACACCTCCGTGGGTGGCCCATCTGGTGTGTGCGATACCCACATGGTTGGCAAACGTCTCGGAAGTGTTCAGGTTCTGCGACTTAATCTCGTCCTTGAGGTTTGCAACCTTGCCAACCTGCTTGTACACGGCAATCTCCTTGGCAGAGGTGGACTCGTCGAACTCCTTCTCACCATCGATACCGATGCCCGCCGAGTCGTAGCCCCTGTACTCGAGCTTGGAAAGCCCTTCCACCAGCGTGTCGATGATCTGACCTCTGGATTTGCCGACGTTGTAGTTGGCGTAGCCGAAAATGCCACTGCGCTGTTAGAACTCGTGTTCTGTGCCTTGTACTTACCACATGGTTTATCAAAAGCGAGTAAAACTAGGCGCCAAAGAATATATCCGGGATCTGAATGGATAGAATGCACAGACTCTAAACCGCCGAAAGAAGCACTTTTGTCAGCTGATCAATGCTTTCAGAACGCTGAAACTCGTCCTATCTCTGGAATGAAACAAAAGATTATTTTAACTTTTTTTTGTCTGTAGACTTGTTTACGTGTTGCCCCATGTAGAATTAGTGCGCACACGAATCGCAGAAAACCTTGTTTGTGCTATACAGTTTAGCTCTTTCTCTTTATTTTGCCCTCGAACCCGGCTCTTTTCGGGGCCCGTGTCGCGCCCTTGAACGAGCGCAGCTGCTTGGTCTGGTGCTTGCGGCTCTTGCCCTTGTTTTCGCGCCGGATCCGCAGGTTCTCCTCCCTTCTGTCCTGCTTGGCCTTGATCTGGTCCGCCACAAACTGCTTCCGCTCCCCCCACTCGCGCTCGCTCTTCCTCTTCTTGGCCTCCTTGCGCTTGAGGGCCTTTTTCAAGAGCTTCACGTCGTCCTTCACTTTGATTCCCTGAGCACCGGCAAGCGCCTTGTTCCACTTGTGCTTCTCCTCCACGGCCTGCGCCTGCTCCTTGTCCATGGCCGCCAGCTTCGCCTTCTCCTGCTCCGCCTTCTTCAGGTGCGCCTTCACGTCGTTGTTCGATGGCCCCTTCCGACGCCCCACCTTGCGCACCCCACTCAGATCAGACGTGGCTCTCTCGCCCTGGCTGAACTCGATATTATTGTACATCACCACGTCCTCCTTGTCGTCCTTGTCGTCCACGTCCTCGTCCTCGCTGCTCGACTTGTCGTCGTCGTCGTCCTTCTCCTCCTTGTTCTTTTTCTGCTGTCTTTTGAGAGCCTCCTTTTTGCGTCTCTCCTCCAAAATCTGCTGTCGAGACGTCACCGTGGAAAACTTGGTGCCTGGCGCCTTGCGCTTCTCCTTCAGTGTGTTGATTTTCTCGGCCAGCTTCGCCCGCAGCTTCGCCAGGTTCTCGGCCTTCTCCTTCTTCTTGTCCGGCGTGAGCGGCTGCTTGGAAGATTTACGTGGGGGTGGCGGTGCGATGTCGCCATCGCCGTCATCGTCAAATACTATCGTAGCGTCGTCAAGTTTCAGTTCTGTGTCGGTGGCTGTGCTCTCGGGCTCCTGAGCCTCCACAGCCGCAGGCTCCTCCGCTGGAGAGGACTCCTGCTTCTTGCCCGGTATTATCACCGGCTTCGCCTCAAGCGCGTGTCTGTCCTTCTCTTCCTTCGCACTCACGTCTCTGGTAGCCTCTGGATCCAGCTTGGCCTTCTTATTCTCCTTGGCCTGGCTCTTGCTCTGCTTCTTCTGCTGCCACTGATTGGACGTGTCCTCGTCGTAGTAGTACTTTGCCGGAATCAGAGACAGCAGCCCGTCAAATGCGTTGGCGTGCTCTTTCAGGCGGTCCTGGCCGTTAGCGAGAAATATGGGGTCGTTAGACACTTACCTGTAAAGAGTTATTCCCCATCATGGTGAAAATACAGCTTGAAAATTTTCAAATAATTTTAAATTTTTTTGAGCCGCACATTTATTTCAAGCACAAATGCACGAAGTTATCACGATCTCGGTCGGCCCCCACGCCAACAACATTGTGACGCATTTCAATAACCTCCAGGAAGACAAGCTGTATCTAGCGCCGTCGCTGGCACAGAACCCAATAGACCCCAACGTCCACATGGAGCCGGTCGCAGAGGGCCCCAGTTATACGTTCTACCCACGCACCATCCATTGGGAGTACCAGAACGGGTATGGCGCCCTGGCGCAGTTTGGCACCGAGGACGTCGAAAAGACAGGCTACGAAGTTATTGAGCAGCCGCGCGTGGAGAAAAACAAGTACCAGGAACTGCTGGACTCTGCACAGCCAACTAAAAGCGTGCTGGAATCGGACAAAGTGCGTTACTGGACGGATTTCACGAGGGTACTGTATAAGCCGTGGGCGCTTCTGAGCATTAGGAACTGGGAGTACGACTACAAGAGCCAGACGGGATATCTGAAAATGCACCCAGAGAGAAAATTTGAAGGTTATGACGTGGGGGCAGCCGAGTATAAAAACCAGCCGGACTTTGTCGACGAGACGTTGCGACAGACGATGGAAAGATGCGACTTGGTGAACGGCATGAACCTCGTCACAGAAGTGGACTCTGCGTGGGGTGGGTTCTCGGACGAGTTATTGGCCGACATAAGAGACGAGTACGCGAAGACAAGCGTGCTCACGTGGAGTCTCACGCGGGACAACGAGCGATTGAGTTTTGAAAAGCTGGTCAGCCGTGTGCGCGCTAGCGTGGGGCTGATGCGCAACTCGTCACTGTACCTGCCGCTGAGCACGACGCCTCCGGTGCCCCGGTGGGCGGACGCGGCAGACCTGTGGCACGTCTCGTCGCTCCAGTGCATCCCGCTTGAGTTGGTCAACGATCTGTTCGCCGCAAAGCCGGCGCTCCTCATGGCCGATTTTGTGAACGGCTTGAGCACGATGAGGGGCCAAAATGTAGTGTGGGACATAACCGCTGCACCCCACATTTTTAGCTGTCGCCAGGTGTACGGAAACAAGGGAGACCATTTTTTCGCGCAGACGGCCATCACAAGAGGGGCAGCAAACAACGTGGACTTTTCCAGGTTTGTGGACAGCGGCACCTCGGCCAGACACTATGTCGAGTACCGGTCGCCCATCGCATTCAATAGCCGTCTCGACAGTTTTCCTGCAGGCTTCAGCGAGGAGGAGGGACACACCCCTTCTCTATGCACCTTGGGAGTAACTAACGCGCCGCGCAGCTGGTTCAAACAGATGGCCGCGCTGGTGTCGCGGCACTACAGAGGCGACGATCGCGAGGAGCTCAGAGACGAGCTTGAAACTATGGGCGAGCAGTATGTGTGGGGGTACGAGTCGGATGACGACTATTGAATACAATGGATACATTATTAATGAATACTGTCTATCTGCAAGCTGCAACTAAGCTACTCGTTAGTCAAGTCTCTGCCGAACAGAGACACCTTGAGCCAGTCGGCAGCCACCAAGGCTCTCATTCTGGCGGAGATGCACATGGCGATGTACGAGGATCTCCAGATCAGGTAGGTGAAGGCACCGCCGGTGGAGGTGGAGGAGAAGGACCCCCACACCAAGTCGGCGACGGCCTTCTCTCCACCCACGTACGACAGCGATCCCAGGTGGTTGTACTTGAAAGGCTTGATTTGGGCCAAGGCGGCGTCGAGTCTGGCCTGGACCTTGGATCTCTCGTCGGAGTTGGAGGCTCTGGCAAGCTCAGATTGCAGGTCGTCGATGGCGGCCATCTTGGCGAACGTGGAGGCAAGGTAGTGGCCCTCCTGGTGGGCGACCTGTCCCGTAGGTGGGTGGCCCGTGAAGGCACAGTCACCGATGGCATACACGTTCTCGGTGCCCTTGACCTTGAGGTTCTCGTCGACAAGCAGGCCTCTTCTGGCGCCGGCCTGGGCCTCGATCTTGCTGATCAGGTGGTTGGTGAAGTTGGCTGGGCGGATACCGGCGGCCCACACAAGCATACCGTATGGGATTTCTTTTTGCTCCACGGAACCGTCCTTCTTTTTCGTGGAGGCGGTGATCGTGGTGGCAGTCACTTTGTTCACGGCTGTGTTGAGGATGAGGTCGATGTTGTTCTCGGCAAACGTCTTCTGGGCGTACGTCCACAGGCTCTTGGAGAACGAGTTCAGCACGTTGGGTAGCGCCTCGATCAGGGTGACCTGGACCTCTTTGGCGATCGAAGGCATCCACTTAGTGAGGTCCTCGTCCACGTAATCCTTCAGTTCTCCCGCAAACTCGACACCTGTAGGGCCTCCTCCCACAACGACAAAGTGCAGCAGTCTCTTTCTCTCCTCGCTTCCCTCAGGATACAGCGAGGCCTTCTCGACACACTCCAGGAACCGCTTTCTGACCTGGATCGCGTCCGGCAGCTCTTTCAAGAAACAGGCGTGCTCGGCAACACCAGGAATGTTGAAAGTGGATGGCTGGGCGCCCACAGCAACGACCAGGTAGTCGTACTTGAGCTCCTTGACGATCTCCTCGGCGTCGGCGTTGGACTCGGGGAATTTGATTTTCAGACTGTTTTTCGTCACTTCCACGTCCGTAGCGTCGGCCTCGATGTAAGTCACCTCTGCCGGGGTTCTCTTGGCGATCGATCTGATTGGCTCGACGATCGATCTGGCCTCGATGGTTCCCGTAGGCGCAGAAGGCAGCAGGGGCGTGAACAGGAAGTAGCTTCTAGGAGAAACAACGGTCACATTGTACAGACTAGTATCGAGATCTTTGAGCATCGAGGCAGCACCCCATCCACTTCCCAGAATGACTATGCTCTTTTTCTCTGCTCCTGCAGCAGTGAGAGCGGTCTGGGGTTTCTGGTTTCTAGGGTTGGCTTCTCTGTAGATGGAGGCGCCCATCCAGGTGGTGGCCAAAACAGTACCAATGGCACCCACGTCTAGAGGAATCCGGAACAGCTTGTGGAAAAGAGATTTGCGCTGGGCGGAGGTCGCGACGACGGACGAGCTGAAGGCTCTGACGGCGACAGTGTTGAGGCGCACGGCCCGTCTTGCTGCCAACATAATCTAAAATGGTAAAATGTTCAGGTGGAAGATGGTTTTTTATACAAAGGTAATTTTTTTCATCGAACCTGAGTGGATATTCGCGGACAATAGGACACAATACGCCCGGTTGCCTAAAAGAGGAGGGGCTACATTTCTTGTTTCGCGGATTCTGCGTAGGAGGTACGCCGAATGATTAATGGGGGTGCGAGCGCTTGCGCGAAAAAGGGTTTCGGCCAATAGGACGGCCGCTATTTTCGCTGTAGGAAAAATTCGGCTACTGGTTTCATCCTATTCCGAGTCGGAAAACTTAGCGATGCTTACGTAACGTCCTCAGCGGGCTACTCCGACCAGCACCTGCATCTCCGGAAACCGCGGGGTTTCACCCCGTGTTTATCTGGCCCTGTCGTACTTGTCAAAGTAGTCCTGGAAGAAGCCTCTATAGTGGAACTTTCTGCCCGCGGCGGAGATTTTCTCCACGTCGCTAGGCTCCAGCTCAAACTCCCACACCTTCATAGTGTCTCTCAGCCGCTCCTTGTTGCTCGACGTCGTGATCGGCAGAACGCCTGTCTGGTACACCCATCTGAGCAGCAGCAGCGTGTTGGTGACGCCGTACTTCTGCTCCAGCTCTCTCAAAACCGGATCCAAAGGTCCCTCCGTCACCTTCGTCGGGACGATCGGCGTCAGCGGCGAAAAGGCCTCCACCAGGATCTCGTTCCGCTTGCAAAACTCCACAATCCCGGGCGACTGCTCCTGTAGATAAGGGTTGTACTCTATCTGGTTGACCTGCGGCTTGTACTTACAAACAGCGAGGATTTGCTGCAGCATCGGCTCGTCGAAATTGGACACTCCGATGTTTCTGGCCTTGCCCTCGTCGACCAGCCGCTCCATCTGCCTCCAGGCCTCCTCCGCGGTGACGTCGTTGGCGTCTGCGCCGAAAAAAGGCGCGTGGATCAGAAACAGGTCCACGTACTCGATCTTCATGAGCTCCAGGCCCTTGACCAGCGACTCGTACGGCCCCGACGGAGTCGTCGACCGATGTCTGCCTCCCCAGCCCTGGTTCCACTTGTCGGTGATCCAGAGCTTGCTGCGCGGGACTCCCGACTCGGCGATCGCCTTGCCGACCTCAATGCGGGTCGTGTACACCTCTGCCGTGTCGAGGTGGGTGAATTTGCCCTCTGTGAGCGCAAACTTGATGATGTCGACGAGCGACTCGTCGACGGAGTCCTTGAGCACAGGGTCGCCCTTCTTCTTTTTCTGGTGCTTGGTGCCGCTGCCAAACGCGATGGCAGGGATCTTGTCGCCGGTGCGTGCGAGAGTGAACGAAGGTGTGGCCATAATATTACAGGGAGAAGATTTTTAGCGTGCTGATAAGCGGGCTTTGTGGGTGCAAGACGATGCGCCACAAGAGAAAATAAGAGGATTAGCTCCGTGCACGGGTTTTTTGTTTATTTATTACAAATGGTTAGTTGTCTCAGGATCGTGAAACTCGTGGGCATCGGCTCGCTGGGGCTGGCCACGTCCAGCTTCGGCCTCGCAGCGTACAACGCCGTGCCTGATCTGATCAACTCCACCAAGCTGAGCATCCTCGACTCGCGCGAGCTGCGCAACAGGTTCCGTGGCCTGCTCGTGCAAGTGCGCTCGATCCTCGCCGTCTTCGGCACCGTGGCCTCCGTGCTCTTCTCCATGGCATACACCAGGTCGCCCGTGACGGGCAAACACCCCTACCTGGTCTACGCCGCCCTGGGAGCACCGCTGTGCGCAGCCTACTACTGTTACGGCGTTTTGCCACTGGAGCTCCAAATTTTCCGGTCCCCGCAGAAACGCGACCCGGGCGCCCTGCCGGCCAAGACCAGCAAGACAGACGACCTGACGTCGCCGCTCGACAACAGCGTCTACAACGACCTGGGAACCGAGTCCGACGCCGTCCGCGAGGAGCCGGCCGAGGACGAGCAGTTCCAGGAGCTCGAGCTCAAGACAGAGACCATTGCGAGACTGCAGGCGCTCAAGCTCGGCTACTCGTACTCGTCGCTCATCTCTGGAGCCGCCCTCCTGCTCGCCACAATCGGTTATCTAGGTGACCCTCTATAATCTAATACACACACATCCCTTGCCAACTGTGGCTTATCACGTCAAATTTTGCTGGAACCTTCCGATAAGGGTGACTCAGAAAAACGGGAAAACGAAAACACCGGTTACCCGGACACGGGCCGCATTGACACCTGTGACCCACCCCCCGCCTCCAGATATAAAGGCTTATCTATCTCCATTTTGTTTCCACGCTGTCATCCATCTTCCTTATAGAATTAGTGGCATCTTTATATACATGACATCGACGGTCCTCTCAGACAAGGTGGACTCCCAGCTCAAGCTGCTGTCTCACGACTTGCAGGCCACCATGGACGAGTATCTTGCGTACGAGAAGGGCTCGTACCTCAAGAACAAGTACAAGTTCCTGTCCAACTTGCAGAACGGGTCGTTTGGCCAGGTCACGTGTGCGCTCAACATGGTGGACAACACCAAGGTGGCCGTCAAGGCGTTGAAGAAGACGATTCCCGGTATATCCTTCATGGCCAGACACGAGATCTCCATCATGCGCAAGCTAGGGTACCATCCGAACGTTTGCCAGCTCCTGGAGAGCTTCGAGACTAAGAAGTACATTGTTCTGGTTCTGGAGTACGTTCCGGGCGGCGACTTGTACGACGCCATCCACACACAGTCGCCGCTCGGGGTCGAGTACCAGACCAACCCGCAGATGTTTCTGAGTCTTGTGAATCAGCTGGCTGATGTCATGCGGTACGCATACTCCCGTGGCGTGTATCACAGGGACATCAAGCCCGAGAACGTCTTGTTGATGAGAGACGGCAGCATCAAGCTGTGCGACTGGGGGCTTGCCACCTACGCAGGCAAATGCAGAGACTTCAACGTCGGTACGGAGAAGTACATGGCTCCAGAGGCTCTTCGTCAGAAGGGCGAGTGGTACGACGCCAAAGGTGCCGACTCGTGGTCTCTGGCCATCACGTTGCTGTTCACGCTGTTCGGCAAGTGTCCGTTCCGCAAAGCAGACACCAACGACGTGAACTATGTGAACTTCCTCAAGTCGAAGGAGTTCCTCTACGACTACTACCCCAGCATCAACGAGGTCTCTTTCAGGGCCATTGTGGAGTGTTTTATGGTCGAAAGAGATCTGGACGGTGGTCTGGAGCTGCTCCGCAGAGAAGGCCCTACCAAGGGCTTCACGCTTGACCAAGAGTACAAGCTGGAGCTTACCAGACGCCAGCAGGAGTTTGCCGTGCAGTCCGACCCGGCTGTTGCCTCTGTGCGCGACGACGATGTTTTGGGAGGCGAGTTCTTCATGTTCGACACAGAGCCCGAGTACCGGGTCGAGATGCTGGAGGAACAGAAGCAGGCTTCTTACGTGGGCGCCCCGCTACGTGCTGTGGACATCCGTCCTATTCCCGACTCCGTCGGAACTGCCTACTCCATCTTCGATACGCAGGCGCCTCCTTCGCTTACTTTTTCGTATGAGACCAACGACGGGTTGGTTGGATCGTGGTGCGACGAGTTTGATGAAATGTGCGGTGTGAAGCATACTAGGTGAGGACTATTTAACGCTAATGAATGACGACAATGACATTAAACCAGGTTTTTCCTGCGCCGTAGCTTTTTCTTTCTTTCTGCTCTGTCTAGGGCGAAGTCGGCCATCACTCGTGTGACGTATTTTCTTGAGTAGTTCACTTTCTTGAAGATGTCGCGCCACATCACCAGCAGAATCAGCGCGAACGTGAACGGAATGGTCACTTTCCAGTAGAACCCGACTCCTTTCTCCAGGTTTCCAAACCTGTCGAAATTCATGCCAAAATATCCTGCCCAAAAACTCAGTGGAAGGAAGACAACCGTCACCAAAGACAGCTGTTTCATGGAGTTGTTGGTTTCTACCGACAACGTGTTGAAGATCAGGTTCACCAGATTTTCAATCGTCCTCGACATCGACTCTATGTCGTCCACGTACGACACCAAATGGTCGTATATATCGTTCATGTACAGAACGCTGTTTTCAGACATGAATTTGCGGAAGTTGGTCACGTCTCTCATCTGGTGGATCAGGTTGCAGGCTGGCATGATGCGCGACTTGAGGTTGGCCAGCTCGTTGATCATTAAATGCAGCTCCTGGGTGTGCGAGATGGTCGGGTTGGTGAGAATGTCCAGCTCTATCTCGTTTAAGCGTTGGTCGTAGGCAGACGTCACCGGGTAGACGAGATCGACTACGGCGTCGAGAATCGAGTGGAACAGAATCGAGGCCTCGTCGCTCGTGCGCAGCAGCGTGTCTCTGGCCGCCAGTCGGGTCAATATGGCCTTGGTGATGTCTCCTGCCGAATGCTCGAAAAATGTAATCACTGTGTTGTCGTCGGTGAGGAAAATCGAGACCTGCTCGATTCCTACGGCAAGCCCCTTGCTGTTGAGCGGTCTGCGGATCTCGAGGTTGCGCATCTTGCGGCTTTTCTTGCGTTCGTCGCCAAGAGACCTGAAATTGATGTCCGACAGCTTTCGCATCTTCCGCTCGTCGCTGATGCGCTCAGAAAGCGACATGTCCACGGTGTGCACAGAGGACGCTCTGGAGCGCAGCGATTTTGAGTCGTCGGCCGACAAACGGCGGTTTCCAGCCGATTCTCGCGGACGGCTCGTTCTGACCACCTTAATCAGGGGAAGCACGGTGAACAGATGGTTCGCGTACAAGTCGACCTTCGTTCGCTGCGGAATGTCGATCATGTCCTCAATGGACAGTCTGTGGAGGTTGTAGTGCTTGCCGATCGTCGAAATGGCCTCCCACGAGAGCCCGTTGACGTTGATCCACCGGACGTGCGACCACGGGGGCCGATTCTTGACTCCGCGCTCAAACGCCAGCTTCGACTGTGCTGCGCGCTTTCTGTACTCCTTCAATCGCGCCTCGACAGCCTCTGGATCGGGGTCGTGGTCGCCCTCAGCATACAGGAGCTGGAGATCCAGAGCGTCGTCGTCGGCGCCTGTTTCAGAGACAACCTCGTAGTGCGTCACTCTGTATCTGTCCGGCGAGTAATCTGTCACCACGACCCACGACCCGGGCGTATTCAGGACCACGTTTGTTGTTCGAACGTCGATTCCTGGCTCCCAGCCCGTGCGTTCCTTTTTTGTGCCGCTGCCGGCGTATTTCCGCGACCTGGCCTTGTTTCTCCGTCTATGGCCGCTCTTTGGCACCGTCACGTGCGGACCCGCGGCCTTCTGGTGTTCCCGAGTGGGCTGCGAAACCGGACGAGGAGAGTCGCTGTCGGACTTGTGATTCAGATCTATCTGGTCCGTGCTGGGCCCAGACCCGTCGTCGCTCGCGTAGTCTGAGTCCGACCAATGAGCCGACTCGGGCAAATTCGGCAGCTCAGGATCTGCCGAATCGTAGACAAGCGACATGAGAAATAATTAGTACCTATTTTATTTATTTTATTTTATTTTATTTTATTTATTTGATTTGATTTAATTAAATTCAATCAATTTCATATAATCAATCTCATATATTCATCGGATGATTACTATCGTCTCTATTTAAATGAGAATTTTCGCGCCCCTTCGCTCTGGTCAGCTCAACTTCCTGGCTAGCCGCCAGCCAAGATTTCCCGTCCCCGATAGTCCGCGGAAAGCAAACCTGGGCACCATTATCCAAATGCTCCAGCTCAAAGTGCCCCATCTTCTGCAACACAATCTGCCGCAGGAATTCCTGTCCCAGGATATCGTCCTGAGACTGCTTCCCGCTCAGAGACCACATATACCCGTCATCCGCGGCGTTTTGCTCTACAACACCACATTCAAGACGCTGCAATTACTGGTCACCTCATTTTTCCTCAACCCAGAAGCAAAATTGCACATTACACATATGAACATCAAGGAGGCAAGACAGTCGCTGTCAAACACAGACCTTGTCAACCTCTCGATCAACAACAACTTGCTGGATTTCGAAGAGTCGCCAGAATTGTCCCCATACACCACCAAAATCACCATCAAGTGGCGCACCTGTCTCAACGGGTGTCTGCATCTCCACGATAACAAGACCGCCGACGCCAGGCTCGGCGCGTACAACCTGGACACCAACAGCCTGCTGCACCTAAAACTGCCCCTGCAAAACCTGACCAAACTCAACGACAACTCCATCGAACGGGTGCTTACGGGCATCTTTGTGTTCGAATTAACCGACAAAAACGACAAGATCGCTGTACATACCATTGACGACTGCGAAATCATCGAAAACGAGCAGCCGTCGCCAGACACAAACAACATCGGCTTTGCCCCGGGAGCATAGCCTCTGTATATAGCCTAGTGCTCCGCAATGCGTCTCAGAAGCTCTACGTTGAGCTCGATGCTTTCCGCCACCTTCTCGCTGAGACACTTCATCCTGTACAGGAAATACAGCTGCAACAGCAGAATGAAAGTCACCAGTATTGCAAGCCAGTTTCCGGCCAGTTGCTCCAGAAAGAGAACGTACCTCGACGGTTGCCTTGCAACGGGCTCGGCGAAAATCTCCTCCTGTTTTTCGTCAGTCTCTTCGCTCTCTGCTGGCCTGCCCGTCTGGATCTCTGGAAGTATCTTGTCGAGCTCTTCGCCAATCAGGTCGGCGGACTTCTGCTGTCCCGACTTGGTGCTTTTCTCGATCACTCCCTTGATCCAGCTCGAGCCGGTCCATACTATCTTGTAGCTGATTTTCAGCCGTGTCTGGCTTTCTTCGGCCCACGTAAAAATGTACCTCGTGACTACGTGGAACGCAGTCCCGCTCGGAACGTTTGGCGTGCACGTGGTGCTCACCACCTCCACGTACCCGTTGAAATCTTTATGCTGGATGAGCTCGGACGCCTCCACCTTGGCCGATTTCGGGCCAATCGAGTTGTTGAGCTTTTTCTCGTACTCAAACTTGCGCACCAGCTCCTCGTTCTCGTTCTCTCTGAACGGCCCGTAGTCACTGAAATTGTACCCGTCGCTCAACTCCATGATGTGCCTATGGAAGGTGATTTTCTCGCCAAAAAGAACGTTGAACACCACGCCCATCGGCGCAGCAAAGACCTTGTCCAGAATGATCGACTCGCCGTGCGCCTCGGGCTCGTAGCTGCACTCTGTGGGGCTGTGCTTGTCGGGGCCCTCGTTTCTATAAACAGGACTGGCAGCCACCTCCTCTTCTGTCTCTCCGTCCATCAACGGACCGTTCTCGTCGATGGTGAAGACGTCGTCCTCCGAAAGCTGCTGGACCGCCGGCGCAGGCAGGTTGCTCTCGATCAGGTCCAGAGCGCGCGACTGCTCGTTCTTGGCCTTGCTCAGGGCCACGGACTTCGACCACACGGTCTCCAAAAAGTTCAGCGTCGAGTCGCGCGAGATGAAGCTCGCAAAAGTGTGCTTTCCGTCTCTCGTCTCGATCACTATCCCGTTCGGAAACAGTCCTGCCGTCGATTTGCGCTCGAAATGGACCACCTCGTCGTGAGAAATCACCAGACTGGTCACCCAGCCGAGCAAGTTGGAGTTGAAACACAGATAGTGCTCCGAAACGTAAAGCCGGCCTTGGAGCAGGATTTCGCGGCTCAGTGCGCAGCTGAAGTCGTCCAGAAGCCGCTCGTTGTCTGGGATATTTTTGAATAGCTCGTGGAACTCCACGTTCCGCGTTAACGAGGCGTAGCGGTACTGTGTGTCGAGGTACTTCTCGTCCGTGTACAGTTTGTTCGAGAACTCTGCTGGCGATCGCTCAAAGCTGTCGTTGGAGGCCTCTGTGAGGGGCGTTTTCGGCAAAGACGATATGCTGCTGCTTTTTGCTCTGCGCGAGGACCGCCGGTAGCTGAGCATCTCTGTGTGGCCGTTGACGACATGTTCGAGCTTGCCCTCGTCCTCGGCGTCCGGCCGACTGCGCAACGGAGTGCCCAGCGTGGAGACTGTGTCGGTAGTCGTCTCTGCCTCCTGCTGTCGGGATATGGACGCAAGACTCTTGATGCTAGACATGAACGTGGCGTTCGGCGCCGGCACCGGCGTGGCAGGCTGCTCGCCGGCCGATTCCTGGCTCATCTGGTCTCCGTCGCCGTTCATCGACCCGTCTGTGTCTGCTAGACCGTCGCCCTGGTTAAACGACAGAGAAACGGCGTCCGTCTTTGTTGTCTCTGGGTTTGCGGGCGTGGACTTCTTAATTCTAAGCGGGATCGAGGCTGTCGACGAGGCTGTGCTCGTGGACAAGTTGGACGCCCCAGAAGGCCGCGGGCGCTCGGGAATGGCCATTGCGGAGGTGCGCAACGACGAAGCGTTGTTGATCACCTCGTACGCGTTGTCGTCCGGGAGTCGGGGGATATCGACCGAGAGTTTGCGCTTGGGGAGCGGCGTGGACACGGACGAGACCGAGGAGGCGTGGCTGCGGGCCTTGTGGGAGTCCTCGAACGAGGGCGAGGCCTTGTTTGTGGGGGTGGGGCTTGCGGACTCCTGTGCGTCGTCCATCTCGACGAAGGGCCCTAGTTCCATGGCAATTGGTTGCAGGTGTATGGTGCCACAATGATGCCACAAATTTAGTGTCGCGAGAAAAGTTTCAAGCTAAGCTTCTGTAAGATCAGTACTAAATGTAATTAAACGTAATTAAATTTAATTAAATTTAGTGATTAATTATTTTCAGCCGAAAAGTTGATCATCAAGATAACGTAATCGGTTGCTGTGCAGATTTGCAAGATTGCGGCGACTAAAAGGTGCTCGGGTGTCGGCCGTGGCTAGCAGATAGTGTCTGCTGCATGGCGCTGGCGCTTTCTCTAGAGGTCGTGGCGTCTGTATGCTCCATTCAGCTAATATTACGGCAAGTGCTTTAGCGCCCCGATACCGTTCAGGCGCCAGAAACAGGGACAAATAACGGCTTTCTTGGTATTCTTTCTCAGCGCTTGTCGCCGTATATAAGTCCAGCCTGTGGTCCATAAACTTAGCTTTCTTTGCTATGTTCTTTTCTCCACCATCGTGAAAAGATATCCCAGAATTCAGGAAGCTCAGATACCCATGTCCAGAATTGAGATCTATCAATTGCACTGAGGCAACAATAGAGCCTCTACACACACGCTCGTGCTAGAGCTGATAGGCTTACTCTCCTGGCATACCAATATTCCTGTTCATATACTGCCACCGACTCATTTTGCTGCTCTTGGTGGACAATTTTCGGCGCTATTTTGGGAGCTTTGGCTCCAGGCTGGTTTCTACACTGCATCCGCGCAGGGAACCCAGCTTTTATCGCTCTGCTTCAGAAATCACAGTTTTCTGAAGCAAAACGATTTATATCCTCCCGGCGAGACTGATAGCACCGGTTCTCCTAATGGGAGGATACGTCGACGCAGCCCATGCTGCGGAGGGGATATATAGAACTTTTAAAGGTTTGGATACCATTTTTTAACGTACCTTCCCCTACATGGATAGGGAGAGCGCATCCCCCCTATAGAAGGGGAGAAGTATATCCCCCTTCAAATAGGGAGAAATATAAAATGCGTTCCCCCTACAGAAGGGGAGAAATATATCTCCCCTTTCAAATAGAGGGAAGGCAATTTATATGCCCTCCCTGTTTGGGGTGGGTAGCCTTTCTCCCTCCCCTATGGTCAGGAGAGCCGCATCCACCCCTGGTTATGAGAGTGTACTTCCCGTCTTTCTGGTACAGGGCGGTAGTGGAGCCCTAGTACCGGACGACCTATGGCTTTCCCAGGCCTACCCCGGCAGTAAGAGTTCATGGTATAACTGGAATATAACTGGAATCTTTGAAAACTGGAAGTGTGCTCTCTGAAATTGAAATTCGTGACTTGGTAGCAGAATGACACTATGATAGCTAAATGTAGCAATGTGGTGGAAATGTAATACCTCGATGAAAGCATGATCTAGTAGAGTAGATGGCTGAGCAATGAACAGTGAATAGCACTGTATTATGAGCACGGCAGCTCTCACGCTGAAGGGGGCTCCTCCAGTAGAACGCACCGAGGTTGTACTGCCGCTTCCTATAAGTTAGCTGCTGACATCGTCAGCCAATTGCGAAGCAATTCTTCAGGGGAATTCGATATCTGCTGACCTCGATTCAAGCTTCAAGGCCGTACTTCTTGCCATGCCATGCAAAGCGTCGCTCGGTAATTAAACCCGCGCCAGCATCTGCACAACGCTGACAGGTTCCTGGTCCTTTCAGTACCCCTGGATGAGATTGTAAAACCTATCCCGCTTTTTGCAAGCCACGATGGATGCCCCACAGTCCAACGTCCACGTGAAGACACTGCAGATATTAGACCGCTTCCATCCGTCTTGCAAAATGCGGTTACTCAGCGCATTGGGCCAAACGTGTCTTCTTTCGGACTCCATTGCGAGGAAAACGGAGTCCTCCCAAACAAGTGGCTTGAGAGTATCGTCCGTGATGAACAGAGAGCTACCTGAAGGGGGCACACCTGGTGTACCAATGATGAGCATTCTTCTGTCCATACTTACAACGGGAGAAACTGGGCCCTTTTTATACTCCGGCGCCAGCGTAGCTCTCCTAAGCGCCGACAAACCCAAGTGGTCTCGTCGTTGGACCGCCAGCCAACCGTTGGGTGCGAGGTGTGGTGCGAGGGGTGATTAATGGTAGCAGAACATTGGGAGCAACGGTGTCTGTGGTCTGTTTAGCGATTATCTGGCTTTGCGGGCCCCCGTATAAAAGCTCGAAACCCCTATTCTATTGGTACGGAACCGCGTGAGAACATGAAGGAGACGGACGTATTTATGCAGCAGCTTGTGGACGACCTCAGTTTCGAGGAGTACAGCGGTGCTTTGCCCGAGGGAGGAACTTCTGCAGAGGACAATTTGTATCCGACGCCTCCCCTGGACTCGTCGCTCGCGCAGATATTCAATGATTCGCGCTATAATGGGCAAGTTCCACGCTACTGTTTGGATGAGCCGATGCCTTGCGACGCCGTCGATCTCAATGCCCAATTTGAGCACTTTATCGACCAAAACGGACTGGAAAAGAAGAGCACGCATGCAGACATATGCAAAGAAAACCAAGACACATCGCCGGACTCGAACTATAACTGGAGGCAGGTGTTGGAGGTGGGGATTCTGGACGCGCTGGAGTCACCGCAGACCACTCCCCAACAGCCGTGCGAAAATCTGTCTCTGGGACAGGAAAAGACGCCCTGTCGCGGGCTGGACTTTTACCGCATACGGAACAACATCAGCATCCGCGCGTTCGAGGCTTTCAACAAGCCAGACTCAAAGTATATCTATCAGGAGAACAGGAAGTACGGCACGAACTTGTACGAGCCGGCGGTGAACCGCAAGCTGAATCCGCAGCTGCTGGGGGACGAGGCAGGCATGGCCTCGCGCAAAAAGAGCGCCAACACGGGCAACTTCGCTCTGTGTCCGTTCTGTCCCATGACACAGGAAAATAGCAGAAACGAGTTCCAGAAACTGTTTTTCAAACGCAACGACAGCAACTATCTCCACCACATGATCCAGTTCCACGGGGTGTTCTCGAACGGCCGGCTGGTCAAGGACCCTGCAAAACGGGGCTGGCTTTTTTCCAAAGAGACAGCAGAGCCTGTGGAGGTGGTGGAGTGCCCGTATTGCTCGGAATGCATCACGCTCAAAAAGTACAAGGCCTCGAACCCAAACGAACACCGGCTACTCAAGTATCTGCGGCACGTGAAAGAGCACCACAAGACGGGCAAGAATCTCCAGCAGGTAACGTTTTCGTCGGAGAAAGCGAGTCTGTGAGCTTTCTTTCTATAAATAGAGTGTATTTTGACAAAAAAAATATTGGGGCCCGGTCCTGCAGCATGCAAGGTACAGGGAGCTGTGAGAGAATTACGCTTTTTGTTCGCTGATGGTGCCATTTGTAGCACCGTCAATAAATTGATGACGCTCTACGCACCTGCTTGCATTGTTGTGTACGTTTAAAAGGGAAAACGTCATCACAGGATACACTTCCTCTGCGCATTATTTCTAAAAATATTTGACAGTGCCTCAAAAATAGCTTCTGTAAACACGCCCTGAGCCCTGCTCCCGACGCTATATAAGGACTCCCAACTCCCACACAGCTGCTCTCATCACCAAATACCAATCAAGCTTTTCTGAGACACTTACAATGAGATTCTCGTCCACACTCGCTCTTGCTACCACCGTTGCTTCTGTCCTGGCCCAGGAAGTCACACTCTACATCGACTCTTGGGACACCAACTTCCATGGAAATGGACTCGAGGCAAAACACGAGGGAGCTGCTCTCGACTATCTCTTCCTGATCGACGAGGCTGACCCTAGCTACACCTGGAATTACAACGCCGACACAAAGAAGCTGACTGCCAAGCAGGGTGATTATGAGTTCCCAATCACCTTGGGAGACGCTCCATACGTTGCTTGGGGAGCCACTCCTGGCTACGAGAACTACACTTTTGCCAGCGACGGTGCTCTTTTGGTTAACGGCTCCCAGGAGAACTTCTACGCCTGCAAAGACACCAATGACCCGTACGGCTACTCCAGCGCCTCGTACGAGCTGATGTACTACAAAAACCCAAACGATGTTCCGCACAACAGGTGCTATATGGTGACTGTGACGAGCGTCAAGCCTAAGCCTCTGCCTTTCAACACCAAAACTCTTCCTATCTCATCCACCCCTACCATTCCAGGCTCATCGACTCTTCCACACTCGTCAACTGCTCCACGCTGGTCTCCGTCCTCCACAAGCCCAGTCCACGGCTCCGGCTCCGTCACCTCTGTCCTTTCCAGGGTCACCACAGCTTCCACACAGACTCACACCGTCTGCCCGGGCAACTGCTCCTCGTCGGCTGTCAGCACGTTTGAGAACAACGCCGCGGGAATTGCTCCTGCCGGAGCTGCCGTCCTGGGAGGTATGGCCGTTTTCTTTTTGTAATTTGGTTCTTTTCGTTTAGTTTAGACCTGTATCTTTATAATAACTAATAATAAAACTTCAACCCAGTTGACCGGGCAGCAGTACCAGCTGTCAACGGGCACGCCCGTCCTTGCTCCTCTCCGCCCGAAAAAAAATAAAATCTATCCAGATCTCCATAAATACAGCTTTACGTAGAGCATAACTAAGCTCGCTCGATACCTCCACACACAGCCAAAGTGCCTGCAGCCTGTAACGCTCATCAACGCACCCCTCATTTCTTGGCATGCACCAACACCTTCTTGAGCGAGCCGCACCAGCTGCTGTTCGACTTGGCCATCATGTACTCCAGAATGCTCTGCTCCAGCAGTTTCTGGTCGCCCTGCCGGCTCAGATCGACCATGGCGCCGGCGAAAATCAGGTTTTCGTCGATTTCGGTCGCCTTCTCCAGTTTTCCCCGGTGATACGCCAGCTCGCGCTCGGAAAGCGTGCTTTGCGAGGTCAGCACCTCGCGCAGTTTTGCCCGGATCTCGTCGAGATCAGCACCGCCTACCGCTTCCGCGCCCACCATACTCGCCAGACTCGTCTGGCTCCGGTTCAGCACCGTGTCCGGACAGTCGTTCCAGCCCGGAATCTGCGCGGTGCCGTTCTGGTACGAGGTCATGAGCTCGAGTATTTTAGACTGATTTATTTTTTTGGATCTCGTTCCACCTTTCTAACTACACCTCGCACCGCTACACAGACACCTCGCGTTGCACCTCGCGTTGCACCTCGAGCGCGCGGGTCAGCACGTCCTCGATCGACGGTCTTTGGGCCGCGTCCACCACGAGACAGAAGCGCACGAGGTCCTGGAGCGCGGGCGAGTACTCCGGCGTCGGCGGGAAGCTGTAGCTGCCCGAGCTGATGGCGAGCGTGATGTTGGCCCCGTTGACGAGCTCCTCGCGCTCGAACGGCGAGTAGCCGTACAGCAGCGCGTACAGCGTGCACCCGAGAGACCAGATGTCGATCTTCTCGTCAATCTGGTCGCCGACCTTGATATCGAGCAGTTCTGGCGCGCGGTACGGCAGCGTGCAGTGCTCGTTGCTGAGCTCCTGGACGGTGATGGCCTGCGCCCGCGACTTGATGCTGACCCGCGCCCTTTCGCACGAGCCCAGATCGCACAGCACCGGCGTCCCGTCCTTGGCCAGCATGACGTTGGCCGGCTTTATGTCTCTGTGTGCGAAGCTGACCGTTTCCTGCAGCTCTGTGCCGTCTCGTATGCTCTCGTCGACGTTGCTGAGGAACGGGTTATTTTCGTCGGCTCCGTCGCTGTCGTTCGGCTCCATCGACGACACTATCGTGTAGTTTTTGGACACTTGGTGGCGGTGCATCGACTGGAGTCCGCGACACACGCCCACAAAGAGCCGCAGCGCCTCGGTCTCGTCCATGCGCGCGTTGTTGACGCTGTTCTGGTTGATTATGTCCTGCAACGAGCCGTTTTCAAAGTAGGGCAGCAGGATGTATATGGTTTTGGAGCCGTCGGGCTCCTGGACGACAGACGAGTCGATCGACTTGATGATGAAGGGCGAGCGAAATTCGCGGTAGTTGTCCACCTCCTTCATGGCGGCCTTGAAGTTGGAATTGCCGAACGGACACCGTATTTTCTTGAGCGCATACAGGCCGTGGTTGTTTTTCGATTGCACGAGGTACACGTAGGAAAAACCGCCCTCGCCAAGCAGATTGAGGATCCTGAACGAGGCCTGGTTGATCTTCAGCACGGGCGTTGTGTTGAAGATGCACGGGAAGCACAGTCCCACGCAGTCCAGAAGAGCCATGATAATAAATAAAACTTGTTTAAATGCTTTTTTTAGTGTACATCTCTGCACGGGGGACAGGTAAAATTTGCATTTGCAAGAAAAATATAAAGTAAAATAAAATACTTGTTTATTTGCACTGACCATCGCCGACATGTCAATTGCCACGAAGAGCGACGGAGAAACCGTGGGAAACCTGTCTTTGATTGCCGCGCACTCGCACATCACGGGACTCGGGCTGGACGACCAGCTGCAGCCGCGCGAGAACAGCCAGGGCATGGTGGGCCAGCTGAAGGCGAGAAAGGCTGCCGGGGTGATTCTCAAGATGATCCAGCAGGGCAAGATTGCGGGCCGGGCGATTCTGATTGCGGGCCCGCCGTCGACGGGAAAAACGGCCATTGCAATGGGCATCTCGCAGAGTCTGGGCAGCGACGTGCCGTTCACGGCAATCGCAGCCTCCGAGGTGTTTTCGAAGGAGCTGTCCAAGACCGAGGCGCTGAACCAGGCGTTCAGAAAAAGCATAGGCATACAGATCAAGGAGGAGACCGAGGTGATTGAGGGAGAGGTTGTGGAGATCCAGATAGACCGGTCGTTGACGGGCGGCCACAAGCAGGGAAAGCTCACCATCAGAACCACCGACATGGAGACGATCTACGAGCTGGGCAACAAGATGATCGACGAGCTGACCAAGGAGAAGGTGATTGCCGGCGACGTGATTTCGATCGACAAGGCAAACGGCAAGATCGCGAAGCTGGGCCGCTCGTACACGCGTGCGCGGGACTACGACGCCATGGGCCCAGACACCAAGTTTGTCGCGTGTCCCGAGGGCGAGCTGCAGACGAGAAAGGAGGCGGTGCACACGGTCTCGTTGCACGAGATCGACGTGATAAACTCGCGGCAGCAGGGCTTTTTGGCGCTGTTCAGCGGCGACACGGGCGAGATCCGGTCCGAGGTGCGCGACCAGATCAACATGAAGGTTGCCGAGTGGAAGGAGGAGGGCAAGGCGGACATCATTCCGGGCGTGCTATTTATCGACGAGGTGCACATGTTGGACATAGAGTGTTTCTCGTACATCAACCGGGCTCTCGAGGACGACTTCTCGCCGATCGTGATCATGGCCACCAACAGGGGCATTTCCAAGACGAGGGGCACCAACTACAAGTCGCCGCACGGCCTGCCGCTGGACCTGCTGGACCGGTCGATCATCATCCGGACCGAGGGCTACAAGGAGGACGAGATCAGGAGCATTCTGTCGATCAGAGCGCAGGAAGAGGAGGTGGAGCTGAACGCGGATGCCCTGAGTCTGCTGACCAAGATCGGCATGGAAACGTCGCTCAGATACGCGGCGAACCTGATTGCCGTGAGCCACCAGATCGCCAAGAAGAGACGCACCGACACCGTCGCTCTCGACGACGTGAAGAGGAGCTACACGCTCTTCATCGACAGCGCGCGCAGCGTGCAGTTTGTCGAGGAGAACAGCAACCAGTACATCGACGACGAGGGCCGCGTGCAGCTGTCGAAGAACGACGACGCCATGGACGTGGGGGCCTAGAGATCTACAGCACAGTAATACGGTTTTTTATTTGTACATTCCTGTAGTCAGCCGCTTCCCTTGGTGTTGAGGATCAGACCAATAATCATGCCGTACAGGCCCAGCACCTCGGCGAAAATCAGAATCAGCACGATCCCCACAAAGAGCCGTGGCTGGTGCATAAACTGTCTGACGCCCTCGTCGCCCACTATGCCGATCGCGTAGCCAGAGGCCAGACAGGCAAAGCCCACGGACAGGCCGCAGCTGAGATGCATGAACCCGTTGAACAGCGTGTAGTTAGTGCTGGGACTGAGGCCTCCGGCGATCAGCACGGCCACGACAAGCCCGTACACGGACAGAATGCCGCTCATGACGACGGGGATGAGCGATCTCATGATCAGTTCCGGCTTGAACGTGCCGATTCCAGAGATTCCTATGCCCGACTTGGCGGTGCCGATTGCTGCGCCGGCGCAGCTCAGAACCATCGCGGCGCAGCAGCCGGCGAACCCAAAGAACGGCGCAAAGGCGGGCGAGTATTCGGACTCGGGCAGTGTCGACCTGGCGTTAGTGGCAGAGGGGGTATACTTACATTTTGACGGTAAGTTTTGTGAGATTAATAAATTATTTGTGCTGTCTGGCGATGTTACCCGGAGGAATTACAAAAAATAATAATATAAATACACCCATGTCCTCCCCAGCCAAGATCCATCTCCAGCTGCGCGAGCTGCGATACCTGTACGACGCACTGCAGACGGCCGTGGCCGCCAAGGTGGACGCGCACCTGGCGCAGATCCGCGGCAAGGACGACCCTGCGCTGGCGAAGTCGGTGCGCAGGCTCGTGGCCCAGTTTGTCGACGGCATCTTCGACGACATACAGCACTCACTCGAGCTCGACGACGTGGCCGCATCGCAGCTGGCCACCAACACCGTCTCCAGCATGCTGGGCAACCCCGCGCTGCTCAGCGAGAAAATAGAGCCGTACGACTTTGCGCTCAACGACAGGTTGCGCGACCTGTACACGCGCGTCGAGGAGAAGGTGGAGTCGCTCTCGAACCTGAGGCGCACGCAGCCGGCCAGCATCCGGGACGAGTACGAGGCGCAGGTGCGGGAGAACGAGGCGGTTGTCGACGCGATCGTCGCCGAGTCGGCGCGGAACCGTGCGGCTGCGTACGACGCAGCAGAGGCCGTGCCCGACATGGACGACCTGCGCCGCGACTTCAAGAGCATTCTGAGCGACCTCGCCGACCTCAAGCGCGACGTGCCCGAGGCCAGACACGGCGTCGACAACCTCGCGAACGTGATCTCGTTTGTGCACCACTAATTTTGTACACTAGCGCAAGTAGCAGAATTCTTGCTATTTATTTATTTCAGTTATTTTTGGCTATTTATTTATTTATTTTATATCCATTTTTCATGTCGTTCCAACAGCTGTTCCAACAGATCTCCGACCAGGGCCGGCGTCTTTTCGCCGCCACGGAGCGCGCGCCCGCGCTGTCGACCGGCCTGTGCGTGTTTCTCGTGCTCGTGTACCTCTACTCGGTCGCAGACCCGGCCATTCTCGACAAGTGGTCGCTGACGCCATGGACGCTCTACAACCTCGAGCTGAGCCGGCTGACGACGTACCCGCTCGTGCACGCCAATTTCGTCCATCTGCTGTTCAACGTGGCGTCGCTGTACGGCCCCTTGTGCCAGTTCGAGGTGCAGAACGGCACCGTCCACACGGCTCTCGTGCTCAACTTCCTGGCCACCTGCGTGGCCGTTCCGTACTGTCTGTGCGGCATGCTCTTCTTCCCCACCACGAGCGTCCTGGGAGCGTCCGGCTGGGGCTTTTCGATGCTCAGCTACTACTACTACCTGCAGGCCCAGACAGCAGAAAACACCAGGATCTACACGGTGGACGTGCCTACGACGATGATCCCGTTCATCCTGCTGCTCGTGGTGGGCGTGCTGGTGCCGAGCTCGAGTTTCATCGGCCATTTGTTTGCCATTCTGGCCGGATACGCGCTCGGATACGGATACCTCAGACACTTCACAAACCCGCCGTTCCGGATCGTCGAACGCGTCGAGACGGCGCTGGCAGGCGTGATCGGCCGCCTGCCGCGCCAGGTGCACTACATCCGCGAGCAGGACGTCAGCAGCGACCGGTACGTGCTGCCCTCGCACGGGGGCCAGGTGCTGGGCACAAGCAGAGGCTGAAAGAATTAAGGGTAGATAGATGTATCAATAGTACACTTCGTGAACACTCATTTCCCACGCAGGATCTTGGCGAACTCCTCGATGTCGATCTGGCCGTCCGAGTCGGTGTCGGCGGCCTGGAGCATCTGTCTGGCCTCCTCCTCGGTGAGCCTCTCGCCGATGGTGGTGAGCACGCGGACCAGCTCTGTCTGGGAGATCTTGCCGTCGCCGTCGCTGTCGAACACCTTGAACGCCTCCAGGATCTCGGCCTCCACGTCCTGCTCCTTGATCTGTCTTGCCATCATGGTGAGAAACTCGGAAAACTCGATCAGCGAGTTGCCGTTCGTGTCGATCTCGTTCACCAGGTCGTTCAGCTCCTGCTGCGTTGGGTTCTGGCCCAGCGCCCTCATCACTGTGCCCAGTTCTGATGCGGAAATCTTGCCGTCGCCATCCTTGTCGAAAATGCTGAACGCTTCTTTGAACTCGTCGATCTGTTCTGGGGTCAATTTCTCGCTCTGCGTCGTTAGCGGCCGCACAAACAATTGCTGGTACTCACCATTTTATAATAATAAACACGTATTTATTTGTGTTTGTCAACAGGCGATTGCCAGAAAATTAGTACGCTGGTTGCGCCCGTGTCTTTTTGGCAGACATAATAAATCGGGCTGCCAGGAGAAACAAAAATAGGGACTTATTTTATACCTTGGCTTTATTCATTACACAATTTGCTAGCAATTAGGATCAGCCAGAACACATCTCGCAGGCCTCTGGGTTGTTGATGGCACACGCGACGACCTTGGCGTTGAAGATGTCGTACTCGTCCGAGGAGCCCTTGTTTCCGGTCTCTGCAGGCTCTTTGGGCTCCTCCTTGATGCTCAGCTCGGCCATCGAGCCCTCGACGCTGGTGGGAGCGGTCTGCGGCGAAGGCGTCTCGACGGCGGTCGAGTCGGCGGACGAGAACGACGCGTCCTCGCTCGAAGAGGTCTTTCTCGGAACGTACTTCTTGAGCTTCAGCTTGTCGAGCGTGGCGACGGTGGACGAAGCGGTCGCGGCAGACTTCTGGTCAACAGTGAACTGGATCGCAGCAGCAGCAGCCTGCGTTCTGAGATAGTACATGCCGGTCTTGAGCCCCTTCTTCCAGCCGTAGAAGTGCATCGACGTCAGCTTGCCCATGGTTGGGTTCTTGAGGTGGATGTTCATCGACTGCGACTGGTCGATGTACGCGCCTCTGTCGGCCGCCATGTCGATGATGCTCTTCTGCGGAATCTCCCACACGGTACGGTACAGGTCCTTCAACTCCTGCGGCACGTTTGGCAGGTTCTGGACAGAGCCGTTGTCCTGGATGATGAAGTTCTTCATCGAGTCGTTCCACAGCCCGAGATTGACAAGGTCTCTCAGCAGGTACGGATTGACGATCTGGAACTCACCAGCAAGCACTCTTCTGGAGTAGATGTTGGACGTGTACGGCTCGAAACACTCGTTGTACCCCAGGATCTGCGACGTCGACGCGGTAGGCATCGGAGCCACCAGGAGCGAGTTTCTGAGTCCGTCTTTCTGGATACGGGCCTTGAGCGAGTCCCAGTCCCACAGGTCGGTCGGCTTCTTGCCCCAGAGGTCGAACTGCAGAACGCCCTGCGAGGCTGGCGATCCGTCAAAGGTCTCGTACTTGCCGTCCTTGACGGCGAGCTCCGCAGAGGCCTCCAAGGCTCCGTGGTAGATGGTCTCGAAAATCTGGATGTTCAGCTCCCTGGCCTCTGGAGAGTTAAACGGCAGTCTCAGCTGCATGAACACGTCGGCCAGACCCTGGACACCCACGGCAATCGGTCTGTTGCGCATGTTGGATCTTCTTGCCTCCGGAACAGGATAGAAGTTTCTGTCGATGATCTTGTTGAGGTTCTTGGTGACAACCTTGGTGATCTGGTGCAGCTTCTCGAAGTTGTACCAGCAGGTGTTGTCGTCGGACTCGACGAACGCCGGCAGGGCGATCGACGCCAAGTTGCACACGGCAACCTCCTCTGGCGACGAGTACTCGACGATTTCGCAGCACAAGTTGGACGACTTGATGACACCCAGGTTTTTCTGGTTGGTCTTGGTGTTGCAGGCGTCCTTGTACAGCATGAACGGCGTGCCTGTCTCCGTCTGGGCCTCCAGAATAGCGTACCACAGCTTCTGCGCCTTGACAGTCTGGCGGCCACGGCCCTCCTTCTCGTACCTGGTGTACAGCTCCTTGAACTCGTCGCCGTACACGTCGGCGAGTCTTGGAGCCTCAGAAGGCGAGAACAGCGTCCAGTCGGCGTTCTGCTCGACTCTCTCCATGAACAGGTCTGGAATCCACAGCGCCGGGAACAGGTCTCTTGCCCTGATCTCCTCCTTGCCGTGGTTCTTCCGGATATCGATAAAGTCGAAGATGTCCGAGTGCCACGGCTCAACGTACAGAGCAAACGCGCCAGGCCTCTTGTTGCCTCCCTGGTCGACGTATCTGGCGGTGTTGTTGAACACCCTCACCATCGGAATTATACCGTTGGACGTGCCGTTGGTTCCAGCGATGTACGACCCGGTGGACCTGATGTTGTGGATGTGCAGACCAATGCCTCCGGCCGCCTTGGAAATCAGGGCGCAGGTCTTGAGGGTGTCGTAGATGCCTTCAATGGAGTCGTCTTTCATCGCGACCAGGAAACACGAGGACATCTGCGGATGAGGAGTGCCGGCGTTGAACAGAGTTGGCGACGCGTGGGTGAAGAACTTCTGCGACATCAGGTTGTACGTCTCGATGACGCTCGGAATGTCGTCTCCGTGGATCCCGATGGCCACACGCATGGCCATGTGCTGGGGTCTCTCGGCGACTTTCCCGTCGATCTTGAGGAGATACGACCGCTCCAGCGTCTTGAAGCCAAAATAGTTGTACGAGAAGTCTCTGTCGTACACGATGGCCGAGTTGAGCTCGTCGGCGTGCTCCTGGACAATCCGGTAGGTCTCGTCCGAGATCATCGGCGAGGGCTTGCCGTTCTTGGGGTTGATATAGTGGTACAGCTGGTCGACGACCTGCGAAAACTGCTTGGTGGTTTGCTTGTGCAGGTTGGAAATGGCAATTCTGGCGGCCAGGGTGGCGTAGTCGGGATGGATCGTGGTCATGTAAGCGGCGGTTTCGGCGGCGAGGTTGTCCAGCTCGATGGTGGTCACGCCATGGTACACACCAGAGATGACTCTCTGGGTGATGGCAACGGGCTCGACGTGCTCCGGGTCGAGGCCGTAGCACAGCCGAGACACTCTGGCGGTGATCTTGTCGAATCTGACTGGCTCTTTGCGCCCGTCTCTTTTCAAAACGTACATTGTGGATGTGAATTTGTTTGGGGTGGAACAGAGGATTTATATACGCACGCGTGCGCGCGACGCGTAACACGCGTGGCGGCCGGGTAAGCCAGGCGAGGATTTAGCGGATGCGAAAACAAGAGCGGGCCTGACTAATCAATCAATCACTCGCCTGGTGCGAGGTGGCCGGGGTGGCGGGTGGGTGTGAGTCACGTGACTTGATGCTAGGTCTCGTGCCCTTTTCGTCCTTACCTAAGCACCCACCTCTGGCTTTTGAAAAATTTCGACAAAAAAAACTTCACTCAACCAACCATGGCTAAGATTTCTCAAGACGTGTCCTCCTCCAGATCCAAGGCCAGAAAGGCCTACTTCAACGCTCCCTCCTCTGTGAGAAGAGTCCTGATGTCCGCCCCTCTCTCCAAGGAGCTCAGAGAACAATACAAAATCAAGGCTCTCCCAGTGAGAAAGAACGACCAGGTTCTCGTTGTCAGAGGTTCCAAGAAGGGCCAGGAGGGAACCATCTCCTCCGTGTACAGACTGAAATACGCCATCCAGCTCGAAAAATTGACCAAAGAGAAGTCCAACGGAGCCAGCGTGCCAGTCAACATCCACCCATCCAAGGTCGTCATCACCAAATTGCACTTGGACAAGGACAGAAAGGCTTTGATCGAGAGAAAGGGTGGAAAGGCCGAGTAGAAGTGTCATATACTAATAAAAACCGATATTGTTATTTGTGTCCGACTTTGCGGGCAAGAACGTACACAGTCTTCCACGAGATCTGGATACTTGTTTGTAGGTCCCAGCCGAGCCTTTTGTTGAGCCGCCTGTACACTTCCTGCAGCAGGTCCTGGGCGTCGGGCTTTTTCTGGTTCGCCATCTGCCACCGGTGGTACGAGCTCCATGTCTTGGCGTATTTGAGGTACTCGTCCAGGGTCAGTTTTCTGGAGATGGTGAATTTTGCGTGCTCTGCGGGCTCTTTTGCCGGGTCGTGGTACACCACCTCGACGTTGGAGAACCGGGAATCAGCGGCCAATTTCTCGTTCACGTCCTTGTACAGCCGTCTCAAGATGCCGCGTCCCGGCTGCTCCCAGTACGGACCCAGAAATGCCCCGTCCTCGTACACCATCTCCTCGTAGATCTGGTTGGCCTCGGGCGCTCCAACAAACACAGGGTCCACGTAGGCGAAGTATGCCACCGTGCCGTTGTCGCGGAGCAGTCTGCTGAGCTCATTGAGCCATTTGTCAGTGTCGAACCAGTGCACGCACTCTCCAGCCACCACGACATCGACCGATGCGTCTTCGACGGGGACTTTTTCTGCAGGACACACATAAAGCTCCACAGGCGTGCTCAATGTGCGTGCCACCTCTTTCGACCGCTCCACCATCACCGTCGACAGGTCTGTGGCCACCACTTTCTGGAAGTGGGGGCTCAATGGCTTGAATGCCTGTCCCGTGCCACACCCAATGTCCAGCAACGTGTCGAACTTGTTGCCTGGCACAGAGCCGTGGTACTTGAGGATAATGTCAAACAGAGAGCCGGGGTACTGCGGCCGGAAGTCGCCGTACTGCTTCGCATCGAATTGCTTATCTGAAAACGCAGACATACTTAAAATGTGGAGAATAATTTCTCGGTTATTATTATTATTTATATAGTCAGGGGGATATGCTACTTGAAAAAAAATGATGAAGAGGACGGGCATCTTACTGTAATTGCAGCTTCTGCTGCTCTCTTGCCCATCTAGCTGTGTCTCTGGTGCCCTGGGAAAACCTCTGGTTGGTCCTGGTCTTCTTGATGAACTCGCCCACCCAGTCCTGTTGGTACAGCTCTCTCAGTCTGCCGTCGCTGAAGATCTGGGCCAGGTCTCCGAGCAGCCCCACGGCAGACCGACAAACGCTCTCGCTCGAACACATGGCCTGGTTATGGTACACCTGCATCAGGAACGTGGCGATCTGGAGCGTGTACGGCTGCAAAGCGTCCGGGTAGTCGTGCAGACCGGTCACAATTCCCACGTAGGTGTCCAGAACGGCCTCCTTCACGCTCAAAATGTAGTCCTCGGTCTCCAGAGACGCGTCCTCGGGCTCCAGCTGCTGCGCAGAGCTGCAGATGTTCATCACGACCTGCAAATACTGGATAAACTCCGGTCCGATGGACGACGCGATGTCGCCGAAACACGAGAGAATCAGCGGCCGCAGCTCGCGACGCACGTTCTGGCTCGAGAGCGTGTTTCCCAAAATGGCCATGAACCCTTGGCAATACGGAATAAATGCGTTTCCCAGGGAATGAGAGATGTCCACCACAAGGCCGATGGCAGCGTCGCAGACGGGCGAGTCGGTGTTCTCGAGCGCCTTGGTGAGGAACGTCAGGAACGACGGCATGTACTTTTCGAACTGGACGTCGATGGCAGACGCGATGGACGAAATGGCAATAAAAATGTCCTCTTCTATGATCGAGTTTGGTTCCTGGATCTGCAGCAGCCGCAGGAACTTTTCCATCAGCTGGTCAGAGACCGCGGCAATGTCGCCGCCAATTCGCCGAACCACGTTCGTCAGCAACGACAGAATGTTGGCCTGCAACTCTTGCAACACGGCCTTCTCCTCGCCGGAAACCTGTGTTCCCTGCATCAGCACGGATATGGTCTGGTCGAGCTTGGCAAGCGACTCCGACGCAATCTGGTTCACCATCGGCATGTCGTTGGCGCTGCTGTACAGCACAAGCGTCGACAGCGCCTCGTAGGCCGACGTTCTGGCCGAGTGCTCGTTATCAGGTAAATTTGTGTTCTGGATCAGAATCGGCACCACCAGTGGGTAATACTGCGACATGATGCTCGACGGAGAGTCCTTGGCGTCCACACATAGCTGTTCCACAAGATTGATGAGCGTCCAGCAGCAGTTCGTGCTGACTTTCGGATGGTCCTGCAGACCGGCAGCCAACGCCTGGATCACCTCGGGAAGCATCGTGTTGACGTCGATCGCCTCGACCACCATGTCTGCTATTCTGCCCACGCACCACGCGACGGTCTCCTTGACTTGCAGCGACTCGTCCTTCATGAGGGCCAGGATCGGTCTGAGCGCCTGGCCGATCAGAACGGTCAGCTCCGAGCGGTCGGGGCCGTCCAGAATCGAGCCGAATGCCATCACGGCGGCCTCTTTGTTTCTCCAGCTGGGCTGGTTCAGGTTCGCCTCCACAAACTGCAGCACGGGCTGCACCACGTAGTTTGTGGTGTTCTGTGCAAAGAGCTGCAGACAGGCGCCCGCAGCCATGGCCACCGACCAGTCGTCGTCGTCGGGGTCTTCGTTCTGACGCAACAGCAGGCTCAGAAGCGTCGGCAGCACGTCCGTGATGGCCACGAGCGCGAAATTGTACGAAACAAGGTCTGCTGGCGGCTGGTCCTTGTATTCCTCCAGCTGGATGGCGATCTCGAGCTCCTCCTCGCACACCGTGCTCCAGAACTCCACCGCCATGCACGCCACCCTGTCGTCGGAGCTCTGCATGCCCGAGACCGTCAGACCGTACAGGGCCTTCTCCATGTAGATCCCCATGTACTGGTAGTACAGACTCATGATCTTGGCCAGCGCTCCGAACGCCAACGCCTGCAGCTCCGGGTCCGCCGCCGTCGTGGCCTCGCACACCACCTGCATGATGTAGTTCCGCTCTCCCTCGCGCTCGAAATTGCCCGCAATGAACTCCAGCGAATTGACCAGCGCATTGATGGCCGTCTTCCGCACAACCGTGCTGGGCTCCGACGACTGCGCGCCCTGCACGATCGCGATCAGGATCCCGTTCGCCTGCGCCACCACGGCCGGGTTCGTGGCGTCGGCACTCTCGCACACGTACCCGATGGCCAGAAGCGACGCCCGCTTCACGTTCACCGGCTTGTCTGCCTTGGTGTTGTCCACTATGATGTGCATCAGCTCGTTCCACGTCCCCAGGGGAAGCTCGATGTCGGCCACAGCAGCCACCAGCTGGGCCGCAGCGTTCGCCACACGCTCGTCACGCGTCAGCAGGGTCTGCAGCGCCGTGTCCTTGATCTTCTGCTTCAGATCGCCGTCCTGCTGCACCCACCGCTCGGCCAGCTGCTGCTTCTTGACCGGATCCTTCGACACAAGCTGGTTTTTCAGCGACAGCCCGGCCAGGATCCGCACCTCCGTCCTCTTTGTTTCATTACTCAGCACCTCCACCATGCTCAGAAGATACGCGCCCCAGCTCTGCTCCGACAGCCGCAGGAGCTCCGCCTCTGCGCGGCCACGCTCGCCCGGGTCGGAGCTCAAAATGGCGTTCTCCAGCAGATTGCTAACATCCATGGCTTGACTAAAATATTTATTTGTTTGCAAACTTTGTGAATTTGTTTTGGATGGGAGGCCCACCCGCAACCGGGGTGAGGCAGGGTTACCCGGCCGGAGCTAGAATTTTTCGATACATAACTTGTCGTAATTTTTGAACTCGCGCAGCATCGCGAGCTGCTCGTCCTGGTTATGTGGGGACACGGTGGCGACCAGCTCGTCGTATTCGAGCAGGTTTGCAAAGTAGAAGAGCTCCCTGTACGAGCTGTGTTCCGAGTACGGGATCTGCAGCACGCGCGCCTTGTTGTCCTCGCGAAACCGGTCGAAATGCTTCGAGATCGCCGCGTACACCATCTCCGGCGACTCCGCAGCCACCATCGCGTCCAGCGACGGCACCGGCTTGCCGTACCGCACAGACCACCCTGTGGGGCGAATCCCGATCGCGGCCTTGAAATGGCGCGAGTACGTCTTGAGCTGCTCTGCGAGAAAGTCCTTGTTCAGCTTCGGGAGTGCCACGAGGTGGATCTGGCAGCTTTCTGGGTTATGCGTGTCTAGTAGGTTATCCAGGTTTGGCCATCCAAACTGGCTGAGAACGGTTTTCTTCTCCTCGTTGCAGTAGATCTTGGTCTGCAGCATCTCGGCGAGCTTGATCGCGAGCCGCTCCTTGCCTATGAGGTACGTGCCGATGACGATGAGGAACTTTTGCGGTTTGCGGTCGACAAAGAAATCTATAACTCGCTGCTGCGAGAACTGCATGGTTTCCATCTTGCTTTTCAGCAGCTTGCATAACTCGTCTATAACTATCTCCTGTTTCGGGAAGTTGTATAACGGGTTCAGATACGTTGTGTCCAGGTATATCTTGTGGAACCGGCCGATCTGCATCAGCGACTCCAGCATCGGCTTGTTGATGCGGCAGTCTCCGCAGTGCAGGTACCGCAGCCCGGGCGACTCGATCACAAACATGCCGCTTCCGGGACAGTGGTTTGCGTCGAGACAGGTTATTTTGAGATCGGTGTGCGGCACTTCGATGGTCTGGTTATAATCCACGCTGAGCAGCAGGTCTGGGTTCACCCCGAATTTGTAAACCAGTAAATTGCGGGTTATGGGCGTCACAATAATAACCGAACCGTGGTCCCAGTTCTTGGTGAGACCTCCATAATGGTCGGAATGGAAATGCGTCAACAAGTACACCGAGATGGCAGGGTGCGGGGCGAAGCAGAAAGCGTCGACGGCGATGGTGTGGTTTTCGAATCTCAGGATCTTCTCGTCAGGAATCGGCGGTCGCGGTCGTCGGTCGCTTTTCTTTTTCGTCTGCTCCACCGCGCCCGTCGTCTTGATCCGTCGGTACAGCACTTTTTTCGTGTTTGGGTTGACGAGACACGCCTCGACGTGGACCGTGCGGTCGTCCAGCGACAAGTGCGCGATGTCCACCTCGCAAACAGGACAGGCAAACTGCGTGCTTTGCTCTTCCTGATAATACGGCAGCTCTTCCTCTGAGTCGCACACAAACAACGACTCCTGCTCGTTGTCGCTCACGAGATCTATGACCGTGGCCTCCTTCTTGAGCGTCTCGTCAGGGCCGCTGCTTGTCCGGCAAAACTTGAGGATCGAGACCTGTTTATCTACCACCTTGCGTTTTGCCATGGAAAATAATTTAGCAGATTGGGTAATTAATTGATCTATATTTTTTTTTTCGTGCATTTATTTATTTCTTTTATGGGTCTCTTGTCCATCATCCGTAAACAAAAGCTCAAGGAAAAAGAGGTGCGGTTACTGCTTCTAGGCCTGGACAACTCCGGCAAATCCACAATCGTGAAGAGCATGCTGGGCCAGAACGTCAAGGAAACGAGCCCCACGATGGGCTTCGACATCTTCACAGTGCCGTACGCCGGCTTCAACATAAACATCTGGGACATCGGGGGCCAGACCTCGCTGCGCGCGTTTTGGTTCAACTATTTCGAGAAGACGGATTTCCTCATGTGGGTCATAGACAGTTCCAGTCTCCACAGGCTCCAGGAGAACTTTGTTGAGTTCAGCAGGGTGCTGGGCGAGGACAGGCTCGCGGGCTGCGGCGTGCTCATCATGGTCAACAAGATCGACCTGTTCACAGGCGACAGAGACGAGCTGCGGACAGAAATCGTGCGGATTCTCGGGCTCGAACGCCTGGAGAACCACGCGTGGCAGATCGTCTTTGGCAGCGCGTACACGGGAGAAAACATAAGAGCAGGACTCGACTGGATCGTTGCGGAGTACAACACTAAATACCTGAGTCTATGAGCCGTCGAGCCGGTCGAACCACCACGAGCAGCTGTACCAGTTGTGGGTGAAGTCCATGTCCGGGTTGCACGAGCATTTTTTCGCGAGCCGCAGCGCCGCGTCGGTCGGACACTGGAGATACGGCTCGTGCTTGTAGCCGATATCTGCAAACCGGTGGATCTGGCCCTTTTTCAGGATGAGCGACAGGATGAGCGAGCGCACGGGGGCGTCTCCCCAGCGCTCGTAGAAAAACCCGTTTTGCCGGTCGAGATACTCGAACATCTCGGTATATTCCTGCGAGCGGAAGACGTCCAGGTCTCCGAGCTCAAAATTCGTCCAGAAATGGCACAGATTGTACGAGTCTGTGTCGCCGTCGTACACAAACCTGGCATAGTTGGACTCATCGTGCAGGAGCGCTTCCTTGCCGGCCAACCGCAGATAATCCTTGACATGACGGAACAGCGAGGGAATGGACTTCGGGTATTCCAGAATGCTGATGGCAAATGCGTATGCGTATTTGTGGGCATGCATGTGTGCAAAGATGTCATAGTCTATGTCGCAGTAGAGCTTGACGCCCGGCTCGACCCGCCAGAAGTACTTGTACTCCTGGAGCAGCGGATGTCGGTAGAAGAATCCGCTTTCGAACCGGCACATGTGTCTGTATGAGACGGAGTCGGCGTAGGGCAGCACGCCGTCCTCGTCGGAGAGCAGTTTCTCGATATTTTCCTCCATGAGTGTGCGATTCAGACTTGACGGGAACTGCCAGTGGTGTGCGTCGATCTGGCCAAATTTGGAGTTTCCGGACACCAAGTTCGCCACTTCTTGCTTGAAAGTATCGTCAAACGGCTGATCGTTGAGAAACACCCAGTCGTAGTGGAACCGGCCGTTGAACCGGTCCTCGTAGTTCTGGATCGTCTCGAGCATGTCGTGGAGATCGCTGTTGCGGCACAGCGTGTACAGCGTGGCGTTCTGGAGATCTTGCGGTGGGACGGCCGAGGCGGCCGGTTCCGGCCCTGCGGCGTCGAAGAACGGCCCCACAAGGCTGTTCTGCCACGAAACGAACACCACTGCGACAACCAGCAACAGGGCTTGGATCATGAAGAAAAAAAAACATATCGTCGCGTCGATAAATATATTTCCGTCCTTATCGTACAAATAAATAAATACTCTGTATTTTCTTATCCCTTCCTTCTCTTGCCATGCTACCCATATTTATTTTGTGCACATGGCTCGTCGCAGGGCACGGCATGTTCTTGCCCGACATGCGGCTCTCCACGCTCAAGAGCCTGCCGCCGCTCAAGTCCTGGCCGGACCCGCCCGAGCGCACCCTAGAGCCGGGACAAGTCCCGGCGTACGTGATAGACTACGCCCCCCTGGTGTATCTGTACTCTGAGGAGCGGTACATGCCATACAACATTGCGGAGTTTGTGACGCATTTCCACGCGGAGCTCGCCAACGGCACGAAACTGGACCAGTTCGGCTCCTCGCTCAACCTCTCCGCCTTGGAGGCCCTGCAGAGATACCATTCTCCGGTGAATCCCGTGTACATGACGGCGAACGAGGACTTCGACAAGGACCCCGGGTGGATCACGGGAGCCAGAAACAGACCCAACTTCTACACGGGAGAGCTGTCGGACGTGCCTGCTACGCTCGTTGTTGTGGACAAGGGCAACGGCTGGGTTGACGCGTACTGGTTCTACTTCTACTCTTTCAACGAGGGCCCGTACGTGATGGGCACCGGGCCGTTCGGAGACCACGTCGGCGACTGGGAACACTCGCTCGTGCGCTTCTACAAGGGCGAGCCGGTGATTGTGTGGATGAGCGCACACGGAGGCGGCGGAGCGTATTTCTACACGAACCTCGAGAAGCTGGACCAGCACCCGGTGATTTTCGCTGCGCGCGGAACACACGCCAACTACGCGTCCACGGGACAGCACGCACATGACCTGCCGTACTCGATCCTGGCGGACTTCACCGACAGAGGCCCGCTGTGGAACCCGTCGCTCAACTTCCTGGCCTACACGTACGACGGCGAGACAGTGGAGTATGCGAACGGGTCGCACCCGGGCCGCGAGGAGCAACTGGGCAACTGGCTCTACTTCATGGGCTACTGGGGCAACAAGAAGCTGCCTCCGTCGGACCCGCGCCAGCGGTGGTCTCCGTTCGAGTGGAAGTACATCGACGGGCCGTGTGGGCCGCTGTGCAAGAACCTGCTGCGGATCTCGCCGTGCCAGCGGGCCAAGTGGTGGAATTTCTGGAACGGTTGCAACATACGGCGATACATCAAGTACGGCAACGGGTATTTCGAGTCCGAGGGAAACAACAGCTGCGGAAACCTGTACAACAAGATACGGCCGCGCATTTTGCAGAAACTGGTGAAGATTCTGACGTTTGGGGGCTATTTTTGCTGGGTGATGGATGTGATATACGGATAATGAGTAACGAAATAAATAAATAAATAAATTAAATAAAATAATTATGTTTGATCTCCCTCTATACTTTATCAAAATTAGTTTCGTTATTGGGTCTACGGTGGCAGTGGCTGCACTGCTTGGAATCTACAAATACCAGGGCAGCATCATATACCCCTCTGGTCTGAACGGGGCGCGGGATCACGTCGATACTCCGGCCGAGTACGGGCTGGCCTACGAGGATCTGAGTCTCAAGACCAAGGACGGCGAGACCCTCAACGGCTATCTCCTTCTGCACGACAAGAACAGCATCGACTACACGAACAAAACGGTGATGATCTTGTCGCCCAATGCCGGCAACATCGGCCATTTCCTGCCCGTTGTGAAATACATCTACGAACAGTTGCGGTACAACGTTTTGATCTACTCCTACAGAGGCTACGGCAAGTCGACCGGGACGCCGAGCGAAACGGGGCTCAAGATCGACGCCGACACCGTGATGGAGTACGTCGCGTCGCACACGCAGCTGGCAGAGTCGTCGCTTGTTCTGTACGGCCGGTCGCTCGGCGGCGCCGTCACCCTCTACATTGCGGCCCACTACGCGAATCTCGTCGCCGGCATCATCCTGGAAAACACGTTTCTGAGCGTTCGCAAGGTCATTCCGCACATATTCCCGATTTTGTCGCCGTTCAGGGCGCTGTGCCACGAGATCTGGGCGTCCGAGGACGAAATTGCGCGCATCCCAGATACCATTCCTATTTTATTTTTGAGCGCGCTCGAGGACGAGATCGTGCCGCCCGAGCACATGCGCACGCTGTACGAGCTGAGCAAGTCGAAAAACAAGACCTGGAAGGCGTTTGCCGGAGCACACCACAACGACACCATCGTGCAACCCAAATACTGGGACTACTTCTACGAGTTCATGCGCAACATCAATCCTGTTGAAAAATAGTCTATCTGACACACTCGGTGCCGCAGCCGGGACAGCAGTCCTCCATGTTGTCGACAAACCAGGTGCGCAAGCATCCAAAGTGGCCCTTGTGGCCGCACCGTTCCAGAACAACACACGCGCCCTTGGCGGGCTCGTTGCAATAGATACATCCGCCCTGCGTTTTGCCGCACCGGTCGCAGTACCAGAACCCAAACTCGATCTCCGGGTCCTGGAGCCACATGTTTTTGCTGTGCTCGTTGAGAATCGGCGTGTTGCAGTGCTGGCAGAACAGCCGGAACGACGTCTGCGACTGGCCGATCTTGGTGAACAGCTCGTACTGCATGGCCGCCGTCTTGAGGACATTGGCGCTCACAGCAAAAAGACACCGCCGTTGCAGCAAGTCGTGGTAAGTGAGGATCCAGTCCTGGCACTCCAATTCCGACAGCGCCTGGGGGTATCTTTTTCCAAACAGCAACGCCAGCGTTGCGCACATGGTCGTGTCGCCCTGCGTGCTGCTGTACACGGCGGCCTGGCGCACGAGGTCGACCGGGTTCCACGGCGTCGCGGGCTCTTTCGACACCGGCACCTCTTTTGGTAGCAGCCGGAGGCTCTTGGCGGGCGACGAGCTCAGCGACGCCATCTGCGTCATCGACAGCTTCTTGGACCTGTACTTTGAGTGCGGCGAGCCCGACAGCTGCAGTTTCTCGTTGTCGAGGTCGACGCTCGTGCCGGTGAACGAGAACGTGTGGCGCGCCAGCGAGTCCGACGCGCGCTTGATCTCGATCGCCCGTGTCACGTGACCCGAGCACTCGTCGTCGTCGTCCACGATTGCGTTCTCGTTCTCGTTTGCGTTGGCAGTGAGCCCAAACCGGCCGTCCCGATTCAACCCCCCGTCATACGAGTCCACAGACGTGCTCAGATGGTCGCTGTTGTTCAGGCTCGACCGGCTCTCCGTCCGCACAGCCCCGTCGCGCTCCTCCAGATGGAACTCCTGCAGCCCCTGGACCACCTTGTCGTTTTCTTCCCACAGAATACTGCCCTCGATCGTCTTCCACACCTGGCAGTCGCGGTATCTGCCTGCCGCAGCGGCTACCGACGCGTTGTAGTCGCAAACTTGCAGCAGATCCATGCCGTCGGGGACTTGCACGAGATAGTTGGAGCTCAGAAACCTGAAAACGTCGGTGTCGTTGTCGGGGATCGGAATGTCCGCCTGCAGAGCGTACGGAGACCGCACTGCCCGCTGGAACTGCGACGGCTGTCGTGGCAGCGCCGGTCGCGCTTTGGCCACGAGATTGGGCGATGTCGGGTGGTACGGCTCGCTGGGCACTAGCTCCTCCGTCTCCTCAAACTGGTTGCGGTCCTGGCTCACAAACGTCAGCCGTGCTCCCGCCTGGCTGTCCCACGCGGCGGCCATCGTCGGCAGCGTGTCGACAAGCCGCGGCTCCGTGCTCACGTCGTGCTGCACCAGCGTCTTGTCCTTGGACGCGCTCACCAGGTACCTGGGCGTTTTCCACACGAGTCCGGTCACCTGGTTTGTGTGCAGCTCGATCACGTTCTTCGGCACGTGCTTGCGCGCCAGGCTCCAGATCTGGATGCACGGGTCGTCGTTCAGGAAGCACGTCGCCACGTCGGTCGTCAGCACGGAGCCGTTGCCCCGCCCGCGACACCAGCTCGCTTTCGAGACCGCGCCCGCCGTGTTGATCACGTGATCCGGCTCACGCTGGTGGTCGCTGCCGGGGCCCATGTTCCAGACCTGCAGCTGTTTGTCGCGGCCGCCGCTGATGAGGTAGTCGAGTTCCGGGTGCCAGTCGAGCGTGAGCCCGGGCCCCGTGTGCGCGTTGAGTTTGCGCTCGAACGCGGACGGTTTGCGCAGGTCCCATTTCTGGATCACGCCGGAGTCGGCAATGCTGCAGAAATTGCGTGCTGTGCGCGGGCTGAACTGGACGCAGCGCACGGCGTCGGAGTTGCCGCGGATTGTGAGCTGGGCCTTGGTGTTTTTCGTGCGCAGGTCCCAGATCTTCATCTTGCCGTCCTGCGACCCGGACAGCAGCGTGTGCGGGCTGAGCGGGTTGAAGTCGATCGAGTTGACCGCGCGCTGGTGGTCGCTGAACGTGGACCGCACGCGCGTGCCGCGGTCGAGGTTGTAGACGTGAATAGAGCCCGACAGCGTCGAGATGGCGATGTTTCTGCCGTACTGCTGGTAGCCGAACTTTGCGTCGGCGACGAGGCCGTACTTGTTGCTGCGGGAGCCGGCGTTGGGCGCGACGAGGTCGTACTCGACGCTGATCTCGCTTGCGGCGACTTTCACGAGCTGCAGCGCCTTGGGCCCGCCGACCACAAACAGGTTGGGTGTTTCGTTGGACTTGGCGCACGCGAGGATCTCGTTGACGGTGTGCAGCCGCGTTTTGTTGGACTCGGCGTGGTGTTTCGACACCGACGCCGACGACGGCAGGATCGAGAGCGACGAGGCCGGCACCGCGTGGCTCACCGACGACGAGGACGGGTTCGGGCTTGTGTTGGTGGACAGGCCGTAGATGTTGAAGGCCATGCGCGAAAACTGCCCGCTGGAGCGCCGGTGGTGGTCCATGACAAACATGGCGCTCGGCGAGCTGCTCAATGGGCGGTCCGGCGCGCGCTCGGCGGGTCTATCGAGCGACTTTTCCGACTCGTGGGACATAAATTAGATTAAATTATTTTATTCACAACACCCGTACATCGCCTGTTTCCACCAGGTCCTTCACCGCGCGGTAGCGCACCACGTAGATGCCGTCTTTCGTGAGCTCGATCTCCTCGTCGTCCACCTCGACCACGTTCTCGGCCGTCGCCCGCACAAACACGGGGCGGTCCAGGTCCGGCTCGTCGATCATCGACACGCCGCCGCCGGTCTCGTCGATGGCCTGCAACGACTCCGGCAGGTTTTTCATGAACTGCGAGTTGTACAGCTCCAGCAGCAGCTCCAGGTGCCGCTCCATGTACGCAAACTCGTTGTTGCTGAGCTTGGCGGTTTCTTTGTCGCTTGAGCGGATGTAGAGCGAGTACTTGTCGATTTTCTGGAGTCGCGTTCTGGTGTACGATCTGATGATGAACTGGACGCGGTCGAGCTCGGACTCGATCACCACGAGCCGCAGCTTGATCTCTCTCTCGTGAGTCTGCAGTTCGATCGAGTTCAACTCGATCAGCTCGATCTGTTTGCGGATACGGATCAGGATGCGATCGATCAGCTCCTGCTCGTACGGCAGCAGTTCCGGCACCGTGCGCTCCTTGACCCAGGCGTCCAGCAGCCGCCGCACGTCCTCTGCACGGAGCTCGTCTTCGTTGTAGCCCGGTCGCTTCGACGCCTCGAACTCCTTGAGGATGTCGTCGAAGTTCATATATTAGTCTGATTTATTTATTTATTTGATTATTTTAGTATTTTATTTATTTTATTTATTTTATTTTTTTATCTGATTTATTAATTTCTCTATTTTTTATGGACCGCAGAGCAGCATTGGAGGCCAAACGGGCCAAATTGGAGGAGCTGCGACGACAGCGGCTGGCACGAGAGGCCCAGATTGCGCCACCGAAACCGGCCCCTCAGAGAACCTCCATTGCGGACCAAGACGAACAAAACAACAAGGAAAATGAGCCGGCTCAGCATGCCCCAAAGCCCGTTCTGTCAGACCCGGTCCCGACTGGCGTTCAGCACGATCTCGTCCAGACTCCCCGCCAGAACGAACCCCCCGTTCTGCTGGAAAAATCCACGTCCACAGACGACGAACAGGCTCGCAGACTATGGGAACAAGAAATACGCCAAAAGCTCGAGCATGAGATCCGCGAGCAGCTGCAGCGCGAGTTCGAGCTCAAGCAGCAGGCCCAGAGCTACAAGCCGGACCTCACGCCCCTCCTGGGGTCGCCGATCCCGCCGCAGAACGAAAACAGGAACAGCATCTATGCTGCTGCCAAAGAAGAGCCCGACGTGACCAGCACGTTTGTGACGGCACAGAAACTGCTCTTCAGCGACGCCGTTGCGTCGATGGCCGTCACGTCGGTCGACTGGTCGCCGCACTATCCCGAGCTCATCGCTGCCGCGTACACCGGCGCCCACAGGCCGTGTTCCATCGTCGTCTGGAACACCCTCACCCTCGCACCCGAGTTCAGTCTCCAAACGTACACAGACATCACCGAGGTGAAGTTTGTGAAGTCGCGCTCGAACCAGCTGCTCGCTGGCGGCGTCGACGGCAGACTGTACCTGTACGAGTTCGACTCGGCCACGAGGTATCCGGTCTCGTCGACGGCCAGCTCTGGCAAGTATCCCGTGGTGGCCATTCTGGAGACCTCGAACTCGGTGGTGAGCGTTTCGTCCGACGGCGCGGTCTGTGTCCACTCCAAGAACCTGATCACCGCGATTTCGCGCTCGCGGCTCGCGCTCGGCCAGAAGTTCCTCATCACAGCGTGCTCCCTCAAACAGAACCACCTGCTGCTCGGGCTTTCCACAGGCACGGTGTACCGGGTGGAGCTGGGGTCGCTGGACGACCCGGCCGCGCTGCAGCTGCTGTCTGCGACGGCGTGTCCGCTGCCGGTGGTCTGCATCGACCACAACGCGAAGACGGCCGTCTCGTGCGCGCTGGACTACAAAGTGAAGGTTTTCGAGAACGACGAGCTCCACACCATCAACACCTCGAGCCTCGTGGCCGACGTTAGCCTGGACCGCGAGTCGCAGACTTTTGTCACCGTGGGGCCCGACGGAGCCGTCGAGTTCTGGAATCTGGGCGAAAACAGACACGCGAGTCTCGGGGCGATGAACCTGGGCGTGCCGCTCAACAGGGTCGAGTGGAGCCCCGACGGGCGTGTTTTCGCGTGTGCCGCGGCCGACGGCCACGTCTACCTGGAGATTCTGTAGCTAGCACTAATGTATTCGTTACACAGCGAGTCCTGCGCGCGCAGAGATGCCGATCTCGCCAAACAGCCGGTCCTGGCTCAGCTCGACCGAGTCGCCCGTGGCAAGCACCAGCAGCTCGAAGAACGTCCGCGTGGCCTCTCTTTTCGGGTTGCGCGACAGCGGCTCGGCCGAGCCCATGTCGCGGGCCACCAGCTCGCTGAACGTGGTGGCCGGCGCGTCGGCCAGCAGCGCGCGCACCTCGTCCGCGACTTTCACGGTGGCACGTGACACCGTCTGCGAGTCGCTCGGGTTGTTTGTTTGGAACGACTCGAGCTCCTCGTCGAGCTCCGGCAGCTCCTGTGGCGCAGCGGGCGCAGCCAGCTCCTCGAACGCGGCGTCTTCTGCCCCAACGTCGAACGAGGGCAGCTGCAGACTGACCTCGTTTTCCGCGGCCTGCTCTGCCTGCTCTGCCTGCTCTGCCTGTTCTGCCTGTTCTGTCCGTCTCTTCTTCAAGACAGGCACTTCGAGCGCACCAAACGTCAGACACCGCGGTTTTGCGAGCTCCATCACGTTTTGCAGGTCTCCTGTCCGCTCGTCGGCCACCGGCGGCGCCGGGTAGCTAGCCTGGTACTCGCGGATCAGCTCGCCCGGAATCTCGATCTGCTCGTCCATGACCACCCGCTTGCGCGACGTGCGCACCACGTCGACGTTCTCAAACACAGGCGGCCGTCTCGTGCGCTTGTCGGGGATTGTCTCGATCTGGACTTCGGGCCCCAGCTGGTCGCCGTGGCCCGGCGTGGCCGGCTCGTTCTCGTCGATCTCGAGAACAGGCTCGCGGAAGTCCGGCAGCTCAAAGTCCGGCACGTCGTTCAGCTGCTGCGACGCGTTGGCGTCGTCGCCGGCTCTGCCCAGCTCGACCGACGCGTCGCGGTCGACGTCCATGGCGTCGGCAAGGTCGAAGTCAAGGTTCAGCTCGAGATCGTCCTGGACGCCGTCGAGCTCGTCGACCTCGGCGCGCCGCGGAACTTCCACCGAGCGGTCGAATGTGGTGGACTCCTCGGGCAGCTGCGTCGGCTGCGTCGATCGCTGGGTGCTGAAGATCTCGTCGAAATTCAGCGGCTCCTGGTACAGCAGGTCGGTCTCGGTGACGGTGTCCTGCAACGTGACGGCACGCATCGACGGCAGGACGGTCGACTCGGCCGGCAGAATGACCGACTGCGACGCTCTGAACGACGACTTGAGCTTCAGAATCGCGTCCGTCACGTCGTCCAGCAGGTACTTTGCCTTGCGGGAGTAGATCCGCACCACACCATACAGCAACTGGCCCGTCAGGCGCAGCGCCAGCGGCTCTGTGGACACGCTGCTGCTGGACACTATCGCCCTCGTGCTCTCGGTGATATCTGTGTTGAGCAGCTGGTGTTTGGTGAGCTTTTTCTCGAGGTTCGCTGCCAGCCACACGTACGCCAGCGGGCCCTCGCGGGAGAGCAGTTGTTCGGAGTAAAACATGCAAAGAAGAGCAATGAGAAGTGTTTAGTGGTCAAAAAGTTGGTGTGTGTTTTTTTTTTTTTCGTGCAATTTTGTAACGCGTTGGTCGCGAACGTAAATAAAAAAATTATTTCGCGATATTCCAACTTGGGAGCCAGTTCAGATAGGCGTACTCCGACGCCCTGCCAGCCATCCCGAGACACAGCGGGCTGAAGTACCAGAACAGGTACCCGACAAGAGCGTAGAGAACACCGTAGACCGCATATCTGAGCCGCGACGGCCCGGTGACGTACTCTACCACAAAGCCAGCCACATACATGGCAAAGTACAGAGCAGGCATGTAGTGGTGCACGTAGGTGACGCGGCCCATCACGATGAACGGCAGGTAGTGCAGCAGCCAGCCAGCAAACGGAACCAGGCCGCAGATCGTGAACTTCCAGAGCTGGTCCGCAGAAACGGCCAGTTGCTGTCGCTGCCACAGCAGCAGCAGCCGCACCGCCAGCAGCACAAACCCGCCCAGACACGCCGTGGAAAACCACGTCGTGAACGGGTGGCTCAGCAGGTAGTACTTGGCCACGTGGGGCCCCCACGAGCACATGCGCAGCCCCACGAGCGCAAACGGCCACTGCCACCAGAACGACGCGATCTCGTCGTGTTTGTGCACGTCGGGCACGAGCGCGTTGTTCGACGCAAGCATGCCGTGCTGCACCATGAAGAAGTCCACCAGAAACCGCGGGTCCGGGTACACGTAGTCGCTCTCGACGACCAGACCGTCGTTCTCGTGCATCTCGACGTTCCACAACGTCGATCTGTCGAACGGCAGCTTTGTGTCCGGCCGGCACACCACCTCGCCCTGCTTGAACCCCCACGTCGGGTACGACTCGCCCGTCGTGGCGAGGTAGCAGCCCAGCACCTTGTGGCGCAGCTTGAACGTCGTGGTGAGCGGATGCACCGTGTTGTAAAAATCTGGGCCGTTTTCGGTGGCAGCGTAACTTTTATTTCCAGAGTGCAGTTGCTCGACGACCTCCACGACCCAGTCGTCCTTCGCGTCGCCGACGGTCTCGTCGCCGTACCCGCTCACCTCCCAGAACCTGTCGGAGACGTGTGCGTGGATGGCGTGCGAGTGGAGGTTGGCCCTGGTGAGCTCGTGCTGCAGTCGGATGGCGTCTCCGTTCTGGATGAACGGGCCGTACTGTCGCTGTGTTCTTGCCGGCCGCACGACAAAGTTGTTGTTCGCGTCCTTGAACCCGTACGTTGTCACCTGGTGCTGCTCGGAGCCGGCAGGATACTTGGACGGGTGCGAATGGAGCAGATTAGGAGACTTGCCCTGAGAACGGATGGTGACCTTCGAGTCGATCGCCAAGTTCCGCGGATAGTTGCCCACGTCAGTGTCCTGCATGCTGGCCTGGTACAGCGACGAGAGCGAGCCGGTTCCGGAGCCCGGCTTGTACAGAAGTGCAAAGTGGATCTTGAAAAAAATCAGGTACACCAGAAATGGCAGCACAATGAGGCCCACGACTCGGTAGACCCAGCTTTTCGCGTATCTGTGCAATTTGAAGTTCGGGCTCCAGAACTTCAGCCACAGCTCCAATACAGTGTACAGTCCCACCAAAGCCGTGACAAACAGACCCACCCATTTCACGGAGCACACGCATCCAATGGACACTCCCGTGATACAGAGCCAGCCGACCCATTGGGTCGAAAACTCCCTGTTTCGCAGACTGTGCAGCTTCGCCAGACAGTACAGCGTGGTGGCCGTGAAAAACAGCAGCGACGAGTCCAGCAGAATGAACTTGCTCAGCGAGATGTACGACAGCTCCAAACAGCACATCAGCGAGATAAGATACGTGGTCAGCAGCGAATAGCCCATTTCTTTGCACGTAAAGTAGCAAACCGGCACCACCAGGCTGCCGAACCACGAACCGTACCATCTCACCCGCGCATAGTCGAACGCAACAGGGTATCTGCTCCCGCTCTCAAAATTGAAATTTTCAATAGATCCATTAAAGCCGGCAAGATACTCGCTCAGGCCGCAGAGCATTTTGCCCAGAGGAGGATGCACGTCGTGGTAGTACTCGTGCTTGAGATACTGCGAGCCGAACTTGCCGAAATGCGCCTCGTCCCAGACCACGTTGGGGTTTTTCTCCAGGCCGTACAGTCGGAGATAGGTCCCCAGCACGGTGAGCAGAATAGGCCCGACGACGGACTCCATGGTCGCCAGGGACGTCCAGACGCCGGTCGTTTGTGCGCTGGACTTGTCTGTGTCCACCGTCTCCACGGGCCCGCCGGAGACAATCTCGTCCGGTAGCTGTTTTCTTTGTCTCAACATAGAAAAAAGATTCAATCTAAAATAATCATTTTTATTTTTCGTAATAAACACTCGTTACACATAAGTAGGCGTAGCGTGAAAATCTCATAAATCATCTCTCAAAACTCAAATTCTCCATGCCAATGAATATGTCGTCCATCTTGCTGGTAAGTCCAGTGTTTGGGAATTGCGCCTGTCCAAAGAAGGCTGCATTTCCGCCCAGAGAGGGAAGGCCGCCCCCACGAGCTCCAGACGTGCCACCGCTGAGCTGCTGGCCCAGGGGCGTCTGCCCGTTGGTCCGCAAGAGGTTCAGAGACGCGGCAGAGGACGAGTGGTGCAGAGTGGACGGGTTCTGATGCTGCAATTGGAAAATGTTCGGCGAAGAGGTGGCGCTCTGCAGCTGCTGCGGCTGCGCAAATGTGTTTGGCTGGGTCTGCTGCGTCACGATCCGAGGAGACTGCTGTCTATATCTACCGGGATTCATGGACAGTGGAGACGCCGTGCTCACCAGGTTGTGCGACTGCGACCGGATCAAAGAAGGTGGAAAGGCCGGCTGCGTGCCTGTTGCCGGGGTCGCGGCCGAGGACACAGAGGTGCCGGCAACGCCTGTGACCGAGGTGCCTCCGGTGGTCTGGACGCCGAGCTCGGATCTCTTCACGGTGATAAAGCCAGATTCAAAAGACTCGACCAGGTTCAAAAACTGGCACAGAACAGATAAAACTTTGCGCTGGTTGGAGTTCATCGACGCCAAGGGGAACGCCAGCTCGGAAACACTGGCAGGTAGCGTTGGGTTCTTGAATTCGTCTCTAAAAACAATCAGTTTGGAATAGATTTCTAACGTTTCAGGGTCATTAAAGTCCACGTTGCTCGGCAAGGAAGCAGGCTGGCCACTCAGGGTCACGTAGAGTCTGTCCGGCATGAGTTTGTGTGCAGTGCTGGCATTGTTGAGAAGCGAGATGTTGGTCTGCGCTGGGGTGGACGAGTTAGGCATTGAGCTGATGCTGTAAAGAGAAGCCAGCGAGGTGGCGCTGGTGGACCGGTGCTGTTCCTCCAATTGGCCGCGTTTTTCTCTCTTCTCGCGCTCGATCCGCTCTCTTTCGACCATCGGCAACATCTTCTTGTACTCGACCCGGAGCTTTCTGCCGCCGATCTCCCGGCCATTCAGAACGTTCACCACCATGGACGTTTCCTCGGTCGAGTTGAAATTCGCAAACGCAAGGCCGCGGAAGACGCCGTTGTCGAAGTGGTAATTAAAGGCATACGGTAATGGCAAGCTCAGCTTGGACATCACGTCGAGCAGCTGTTCTTTTTTGATTGCGAACGGGATGTTTTTGATCACGATCGCGGTGGGAATCACGTCTTCCTCGTCCTTTTCGAACTCGTGGGGCTGGTGAGCGTGGTTGGGCGACACAGGAGCCCCGCTGCTCTGCTGTCGCTCCTCGCTCTTGTCGTTGACAGTGGAGTTGCTGCTGTTCTTGTTGGTCAGCACGCTCAAATTAGTGGTCTGCGACTGCTCGCTCGGCATCGACGACATGTTGAGACTGGACATGTTGATGCTAGGAGCCACCTGAGCCTGCTGTTCTATCCAGGGCGTGACGTTCATCATGGTGTTCGTTTGCTGCGGCAGCCAGTTGGGGTTGAACGTGCCGTGCTGTCCAAAATGCCGGCTCTGCGACACGCGACCAGAAAGAACCGAGTTTCCTGTCGTGTTTGCGTTCATCGCTTGCATGGACGCATTACCTCCGTAGGTGGACGAGGTGCACCCGGACGCAGACGACATCGACGACATCGACGTGTGGCGGTTGGTGTATTCTGGGGCCGAGACATCCAGAGGTACCTGCTCGTAGGAGGGCGACTGAGACTGGAGAGACATGTTGGACGGGGAACAGAACAGGGACAAATTTCTGACTATATCTTTTTTTTTATTCGCTGTGCCACTCTTCGGTAGGGTAAGGGCGCGGGCCAGCGTGGCCGTCTACAGGATATCCACGGACGGGGGTGGTTCTGTGGCTTGCAAACTGTCCCGGCGCCGTCAGACCAGCGCAACCAGCCTGTCGGCCGCTAACCAGCGCCCAGCGACACCGATTTATTTCGTCCGGTTTTGCTCGTCGACGCGACGCTTGACGAACTTTTTCCACCACTTTTTCGTATATCATCATGAGCAGCGTTCCAGGAGGTGCAAAAACACTGGCCAAGAGAAAGGCCACGCAAGAAAACAAGCTCAAGCAGCAGCTGCAGAGCCAGCCAACGTCCACACGGGCTGCTGGCGCCGGCGGCTCATCGTCCACGATGCTCAAGATCTACACCGACGAGTCGCAGGGTTTCAAGATCGACCCGCTCGTCGTGCTTGTTCTGGCCGTCTCGTTCATCTTCTCGGTCGTGCTACTGCACGTGCTGGCCAAGCTGACCGGCAAGTTCTTCTAGTGCTGCTGGCAGGGCACCCAAATAAAAGTATACTAATATATTTCTATTTACATGACACTCAGTAGCTTGTGCACCGTTTGCGGTCCTTTTTCCACGTCAACGACCAGCTTGTCGACGCCGTGCTGCTGCCGGATTTCCGACTCGAGCTTCCCGAGGTCGCGACGGAGCCCGCGCAGCTCGATCTCGATCTTGGGGTATTGTTTGCCGATAATCACCTGCACAGGCGTGCCCAGCCGCTTCGACCGCGCCAGCTTCTCGCCCAGATGGCCCTCTGTGGCGTCGACGCGGTACCGCAGCCCGTCCAGCTGCGCACAGAACTCTTCCACGGCGCCAAGGTCGCCCGCGTACGACCCAGCCACCACTATGTCCACCTGGATAGGTGCCACGCTGGCCGGCCACCGCAGACCGTCTGCGTCCCTGGTGACCTCTGCAATGGCCGCCACCAGCCGGCTCACGCCGATGCCGTAGCAGCCCATTTCGTAGTGCTGTTTGCGGCCCTCAGAGTCCACAAACCCGGCGTCCAGCGGCTCGCTGTACCGTTTGCCCAGATAGAACGTGTGGCCGACCTCGATTCCCCTGAAACTTTGCAGTTTGCCCGCCTCGCACAGCGCGCACCCGTCGCCGGCCTGCGCCGCCGTCAGCGGAACGCCCTCGAAGGTGGTCATCCGCGACCGCGAATACGCCACCTCCAGGTCCGGTAGCAGCGTGCCGGGGCCGACGCCAACGTCCATGATCCGCACAATGTTCCTGAACTCGTCGTCGCCAAACTGCCTGTACGTCCGCACCGCCTCCTCCGAGCTCACGTCCGTGCGCAACTCCACCAGATCCTCGTCCTTTAGGAACTTGAAGTTCACCGTCCGGCCTTTGGGATAGTAAACTAGACACAGATCGTTGTCCCGCGTCAAATGGTGGCTCACCGCTGCCTCGTCGGCAAAACGGCCCTCGGCGACGTGCGGCCGCACCCGCTCGACGTTGCCCACAACACCGCACGCGTCGCACTCCAGAAGCGTGTCCTCGCCCGACTCGCTCAGAAAATGCCACTCGTAGCTTAAGTCGCCGCCAATCGCGCCCGAGTCCGCATTGGCCTTCACAAACGGCACGTTCAGCTCCTTGAAAATGTCGTAGTACACCTGGTTCATTTTCTCAAACGACCGCAGCGCGCTGGACTGGTCCACGTCGAACGAGTACGCATCCTTCATCACAAACTCCCGGCCGCGCAGAAGCCCGCCACGCGGCCGTTTTTCGTTCCTGTACTTGCGGCCTATCTGGTACGCAATCACAGGCAGCTTCTTGTAGCTGTCGGCCGTCCGCTGGACCAGCTGTGTCATCTCCTCCTCTGCCGTGGCAGCCAGACAAAAATCGCCAACTTTGAACAGCTCGTCGTTCTGCCAGCGCCCGGTCTTGTCCCACAGCGACTGGTGGGACATCACAGACAACGACACCTCCTGGCACCCGGCCCTGTCGTGGTGTTTGCGGATGATCTCCTCGATGTTGCGGATCGTAGACAGCCCCAGCGGAAGCCAATGGGTCAGCCCGGCACTGGGCTGGCTCACGTAGCCGGCCTTGATGAGCAGCTCTGTCGTTGACAGATCGGCGATGTTCTTGGCAAGTTTGCCCGTCGGAGCCCCAAGAATCGTGGAATACAGCCGTCGCAGCATGGTTTTTCTAGCTGACTGTCGGTTTTTTTATTCTCTATCGTTGCTTGGAATGGATTACGTAATCAGCGTCCCCTGGTTCTTGAGGAAGAAGATGTGCTCCTTGACAGCGTCGCCCATCTCGTCGTTGCCAATGCTCTCGAACAGCCTGAAGCCCTTGAAGTCCTTGACGAGCAGCTCGTGGATCAGCGTCCAGACCCGCAGCTCGAGGTCGATCTTGATTCCCTTCTTGAGCGTCACCATACCGCCCGCGTTGCTGTCTTTCTTGGCGTCTCTCATGATCTGCCACGATCTGCGCCGGGTGTTGGTCTGCTGGTCGAAATAGTACGCTTTCGTGAGCTTGTCGACCTGGAGCTTCGGGAAGTTGCAGTGGAAAAACGCGTATTTGTGCACGTCGTCCGGGTCGATCTGCAGAATCGACTGGCCGTGGAACAGGTTCTGGCTGTCGATGTATCCGACGATCTTGGTCTTGATGCCGGTCATCAGGAACGAGCCCTCGTCGGTGACTCTGCTGGCCAGGTAGAACGTTTCCTTGTCTCCTTCTCCAGGGAAGCCCTGCGAAAACAGCGGGTAGAAGAAGTCTGGGCCGTGCAGGTTGTAGTAGTATGCCAGAAGCAGGGTTTTGAAGTGCGATTTCTTGTTCACCATGATCTGGCCGGACTCGACCGACGGCGTGGCCGCGATGATGTGGCTGTGGCGGTCGAGGCCGCTGGATCTGTAGAACGCCGGGTGCGTCGACCGTTTCCAGAAGTCGGGCCAGCACACCATGCCGTGCTTGTTGTACTTTTCGCCCTCGAAAAGCTTGGCCGGGCGCTCGAGCGGGATGTTGTCGGAGTCCAGATACAGCACGTTGGTGAACTTGGTGAGCAGCAGCGCCAGCGCCTTATACTGGTATCCGCTCAGCTTGGACACGGCGCTGGTGGACAGGTAGTTGTTGAAGTAGGAGCACGACACGTCGGCGAACACCATGGATATCTTGTTGCAATACTGGTCGTTTTTGTCGTAGAAGGGAACGAAGATCTCGATCGGGGTCTGGTCCTCGAGCTCGTCGCGAATATATTTGATTGACACAATCGTGAGCCAGTAGTACTCCTTGCCGGAGACGTACACGATCCCGGTGCTTTTGTCGTCGTAGTGGCGGGCGTACAGGTCCTGGAAACCGCGGAACAGCGAGTTTTTCTCCGCCAGATACGTCTCCATCAGCAGAGAGTGGACCCTTGTGAGCTCGTGCTCCTGGTCGGCCGTGATCGAGAGCAGATTGTTGAGCTCGTTCTGCGCAAGGTTGTTCTCGTTCTCGTCGTAGCCGTAGTACTGCCAGTGGTTGCGCGGGTCCTCTTTGTACGAGGTGAATCTGTCGCACTGGAGTCCCAGCTTGTTTGAAAACAAGGAGGTTACTCGCGAAACAAGGTGGGCGTTGGTCTTCTGCTGCTGGGTCTTGAGGGCCGGGTTCCGCAGGACCACGTACGCCGTCACGAACAGCACCGCGCACAGCGCGTACGACGCCAGCAGCCGCTTTCGAAGCAGCCTTGGCGGGAGTCTCATGGGGGAAAGAGTGCAAAAAAATTGGAGCCCCGAAAAATATCTACGTCGCTACTGAGGGGTCCCTGCACGGGTTGTGTGGAGTGGGAGCATGCACAACGAGCATGGATCACGAGTAGAGATTATGTGGTTATTATGTGGTTGCGCTGTGTGCTGTATTATGCTCAAGTATGGTACAGGGGAATCTGAAACCACGGCCGGTCGATCGACGGCGCCTCGCACGATGTCCGCGACAGCACCGCCGAGGCGGGCCAGATCGATCGCAACGGGGCGAATTCCCCACTTGCGAATCAGATTGCCCACGTTGGTAAACAATGTCGTCATATAATTGCTCTCGCGCAACCGAATTTGCGGTCGATTGCTCGCAGCAATTTTCGCCAGGTATATAAACCTCGGCGCTCGCCAGAGGCTCCTAAGCATCGCCATGTACAGAGCCGCACTCAGAACCGTCAGAACCGTCCGCCCAGCAAACACAGTGACGATCCAGCAGCGCTATCGCGGCGGAGTCGTCGACAGCACCAAGGAGGTGCTCAAAGATATCAACCTCAAGGTCGGAAAGACGCTCGCCTCAGGGCTCGACAAGGCCGAGGACGTGGCCGAAACCGTCAAGGAGGAGGTGTCCACCGTCAAGGACAAGGCCGCCGACAAGAAAGACGACCTGTCGCAGAAAGCGTCCGAAAAGGCGGCCCAGACCAAGCAGGACGTCTCGCAGGAAGCTGCCGAGATGAAAGACTCGCTGCACTCCAACAAAGAGAACGTCAAACGCGAGGTGAAGGAGAACTTCAAGGGCTATGACAGTCTGCAGGACAAGGGCTCCAACATTGAGCGCGAACAGCAAAGACCCGACGACGGAGTGTAGCGGCGTGCGTTTATAGCGGTGAATAACATTTTGTCATTTTTTATTCTGGCTTTTCTTCATCTCCGGCACGCTGAGCGTCGGCTGCACGATGTCGATGATCTTGAGCTCCCTTTTGGGTCCTGCCGGGCTCGAAACGGCGCGGTTCCGCTGCGCCAGGTGTTTAATGGTCTGGTTGCCCGTGTATATGTGGTGCTTGAGGATTTTTTCTGTTTCTGTCCTGCGCTTCTCCAGCTGGGCCACCTTCTCGCTCAGCGCCCTGACCTCCTCACGGAACATGTCCAGCACTTTGTCGTCCGTGTCGATCGGGCCCTGCTCCTGCGCGAAGACGGCCGCCGTGGTGTCGATTTTGTCTCTGAACCGTGTGTCTAGTCTCGTCTTGGAAGCAAAGTCCATGAACCGGTCTTTGCTCTTTATATGCTCTGGGAGCGCGCCCACCACCGACTCGACCACCGCCGTCAACGACGAGATCTCCTCGTTCGCAGAGTCCAGCTTCTGCTGCAGCTTTCTGGCCTCCTCGTGGCTGCTCTCGAATATTTTGTTTCTGGCCTCCAGTTGCTCCTTCAGGGCCTCGTTTTCGCTCCTGAGCGCCTCGTAGCTCTCGCTCATGCGCCCTACGCGCTGCTCGAGCACGCCGGCCTTTTCCTGCTCGCCCAGCTTCTCCTTTTCCAGCCGCCCCTTCTCCTTTTCCAGCTCCTCGACCTGCTGTCTGAGTTGGGCCACCTGCTCGCTCAGCGGCGGCGCGTCGTCGTCGATCGCGTCCGCAAAGTCGTCGTCCAGCGCCTTCCCGGTCGACGAGTCCGGCGTGAACACGCCGTTCTCCTTTTTCGGAGAATAGCCAATAAACGAGAGGGCCGAGCTAATCGACACGCGCGCGGCGTGGTTCGCCGAATTCGCCGGCGGCGAGGCCGGCGACACGTTCCGCAGGCCGGGCGCGATGATCCGGCTGGGCATATACTGCGCAGCAGCGGGCCCAGGGCCGGGCGAAGGAGCGTACTTGCTATAGTCAGGATTGAACGCGGCCGGCGAGCCAGACAACGTGGGCGACCGGTTCGCGGGCAGAGAATGCTGCGAGCCGCCGTACGGACTGCCCGGCTGGTGGAAATCGTGGTACCCGTACGGCAGCGACGAGTTCGACGCGCTTCCGACACTCGCCATAGACTGGACTCTGGACCCGTAATTGCCCATCGCAGGAGCAAAAGGAGGCGCCATGGACGCCGTGGGAGAGCTGCCCGACGCGTTCAGCTCGCCAAGCAACATGGTTTTCGGCCGGTGCTTCTTTTTCTGTTGCTGCTGGATGTGCGCAGAAAGCGATGTCTGGCGAAGCCCAGCACGCTGGATCGTGGACATGTTGTCGTCGTACGCGTCAACAGAGGCCGCGGGCGGCAGGCTGCCTTGGTCGTGGTACTCTGGGTGAGTACGGGTCGCGGCGTTCATCGCGTGTGGCCATCTACCAAACGGGATTCTGGTGCTAATCTGGCCTGTGCCACTTCGGGCAAGTTGGTTTTTTTTTTGGAGGCCCCGGAGTGGGCGAGGGCGCGCGCGCAGCCAAATGCGCGTGTGCGCGCATACTCCATGCGCGCGGAGGGGTCACGTGACCTGCGGGTGGTGCTCGGAGCGCAATTGTTGGGCGCGATGCCTGTGCGATATGCAGCAGATGAGCAGATGCGGCAGGCTGTGTGGGCAGAGAGTCAGACACTGTTGTGTCTGGCGGAACATTTCTGTATGTGGCGCTGGAATCTGTCGGATCTGTCGTGGCGTTTGCCGCAGTACGGACACCGGTACTTGTCGGTGTGGCCGATCATGTGTCTGTTGAGGTTTTCGCGCGAGCTCATCACCTTGTCGCAGTGGTCGCATCGGAAAACCAGTTTTTCGCCCTCGTGGACCTTGCGACAGTGCTCCTTGAGCCTGCTTCTGCGCGTGAACGAGCTGGTGCATTGGCTGCACCTGAATTTTTTCAGTGCTGTCGGGTCGGTGCTGGCAAATGTAGGTTGCTTTTTTCCGTCTAGCGAGGGAATACTGTTTATAGAAACTCGATGTTCGGTGGAGTACATGTTTTTCGTTGCGGGCGAGTTGGCGACGTACTGGAGCTCTGGCTGCTGGGAGGAGGCGAGGTAGGTGCCGGGCGAGGAGTCGTAGTCCCCCAGGATCATGTCTGTGGTGTAGTTGTCGTAGAGCTGCCATATCTGGGGCATGTGGGTTACGGGGCCTGTCTCGCGGGCTTGTTCGGAGGCCTGGTCCTGATCCGGCGGCGAGAGGTTCCCCGCGGACTGGTAGGGCGAGCGCATCAGGTTGGGCGACAGATGTGATTGGTTCATGTCTAGCAGTATGCTCATTAAAGATTAGGGCAGCATGTCGTGGGAAGGGCAAGCTGTGTATATATACAGTGCCAGTCCTGGCCAAAAGTAAGTGATGGTGCGTATATTGTTGCAACAATAGGCAGGCAGATGTGACCGAATGTTTTTCTGCCCCCGAGACAATACAAGGCACCACGTATTTAGCTTCATGCATGGAAAACTTTAAAACTCTAACCGCGGCTTCTTTGGATCTTGTATTTTTCTTCGCTCCCTGACGGCTGCATTCTGCAACAGGCCCGTCCCGTCGCTTGCAGGCGATCTTGCGAGATCTTGGCAATCAGGGGAGCAGGTGCGAGCGCCGGCTTTTCTGCTCCACACCCAAGATCGAACGATTTTATATTTTCGCGCTACCGCATGCGGCACTGAAGCTAGCTTATTCAATGCCACAAAAACCAGCCTGCCCGATCGGCAATTATCGCACAGGACTACAAATTACCCGCCGGTGCTTCGAGCGAGCCCAGCTTCTCCAGCTCCTCGCGGTCGGCAGCGCTCAGCTTCCACTTCGACCCATCGTTCCCGTGCTGCCCCAGATACTGTTCGTACATCTCCAGCGCGCGCGCCTCGATCGCGTCCAGATCCAGCGTCACGTCGGCCTCCCGCTCGTCGGCAGTCAGCTTCGCCCATAGGGCCACACACGATCCCCCGGAATTTTCGATTTCAGCATGGTCTGCAGGACACTTGCATCGACAACCCACCCCGACACCGCCCTCTGGCACCGGCGTGTCGTATCTCGCCATATTGCGCTCGTCGTTTTCGTGGTAGACGTGTTTGTATCGCGCGCCCGGCTGGTACGGCAGCTGGCGCGGCGAGTTTTTCGGACAGTGGCCCAGAGTCGAGTGCTTGTAGCCGATGTCTCTGAAATAGTGAATTTCCGACAAATTGAGAAACATCCCTGCTCCAAGAGAGTGCACGGGAGCGTCCCCCCACCGCTCGATGAAAAACCCCTGCGACGACTCCACATAGTCGAAGTACTGCTGGTACAGCTCCGACGTGAACAGGTCTGTGCGCGCGATCTCGAAATTCGACCAGAAATGGCACAGGTTGTACTCGGTCCCGTCGAACTGGTCCTTGTTGACCGTGTGCAGCCCGCGCTTGTTGCTGTGGTCCACGAGCTTGTTGAGCGAGTGCTGGTCCAGCCGGGCGGCGTCGTCGCCCGCCGTCTGCAACGCGTGGTACATCGGAACCCGCTCCTCGAGCTTCTTCCAAAAATCGCGTCTATTAGTGATGCTCCTGTAGTGCTCGCTGTTCTGGCCCTTGTATACATCGAACCGGTCGACGAAAAACTCCCACGCGTCCGACAGCGGCACGTCGTGCTTCTTGATGAACGCATTCGTGTGGCGGAACAGGTTCGGCACCGTGTTCACCAGCTCCTTGATTGCCACGGTGAAGCCGTATTTCTTGTCCCGCATCTGCATCTCCACAAACGGGTCGTACGTGAGGTCGCAGTAGAAGTCCACGTCCGGCTCCACGCGCCAGTACCAGTCCAGTTTCCGCACGAGGGGGTGTTTGAAGAAATAGCCCGAGTAAAAACGGCACATATTATGATAGCTTGCGGTGTTGCCGTACATGATCTCGCGGTCTCCCTGCGACTCGATGGCCTCCTTGAACAGCACGGGGTTGGTCTGCTGCTCGTCGAACTTCCACTTCGCCTCCGGCACCGTGCCGAACCGCACAGGCCCGCTGCTCACCTGTGCTACTTTTTTTTTGAACTCCTGGGTAAAGCGTTCGTTATTAAGAAAGATCCACGGATAATTGAACCACTGGTTGAAATGGCGCTCCAGCGACCGCATCGACGACACCACGCCGTCGATCTCGGAGTTGCGCGCGAGAACAACGAACGCGGCGTTCATCCGTGGGTTTTTCGCCTCGATAAGAGGGTCCCTGCACCCGCTCTCGAACACGGCGTCCTTGGCCGACGCTATGGGCCGTTCCGACATCGGCAGTTTCTGCAGCGCCTGTTTGGAAAACCGCTCCTCAAACTCCATCTGCTCCAGCCCGGCCAAGTCTAGAGAGCGACGAAACAAAACGCGAACACACAGCCCGGCCGCGGCCAGCACCAGAATCAGGAGCATCCACGGCCGCACAATTACTCGTCTGTACACCCTGAGCCTGTGGTTCAGCAACGACAGCGCCTGGCGCTGCAAGTCGTAAAGTTTCATTGCTGCAAACTCATCCACCTTGTGTTTAGTTTTTTTCAACTGTTTCTCTGGCGGCGCGGGTCAAAATATTTTTCAGAAATATTTCTTCACAAATGATGGTCAGCATTGTCAAGGAGAGTTTGGGGCTGTCCTGGCGACCCATCCGGCTCTCTGGGCTGCGCCGCAATTTTTCCGATACCGCTGAATTTCCTGTGAGCCCGGAATGGACCAAACAGCAGACGCTGTTGCGCAAACAACGTTCGGCCAGACGACCGTACAACGGCCACCATCTCGCCAAGAGCAGCTTGGGAGACGCCGATTTGGACGCTTTCGACGGCGAATGGGGCGACCTCACCGCCGAGGCCAGACAGTACTGGCACGAGAACTCGCGGCCGTTGCAGAAACCGGACTGGATCGCCAGATCTGAGCCGGATACAGAGACAGGCCCTGCGTGGCTCGACAAACTGCTTGCTTCGCACACACCGCTGCAGAACGAGATCCGCGTGAAGCAGCTGCACGACTATTTTCAGCATTTTGACGACGCGTACTTTCAGAACATAAAGCCCAGCAGAGCCAGCTTCTACCAGCAGGAAATAGCCGAGTATGGAAACGCTTTGCGCAGGTACAAACAGCTGGACATCGACGACTCGCAACTGCAGCAGTTCAGCGAGCGAGCGCTCCTGCTGAACCAGATCACGGACCACGCGCAAATCACGGCGGCCAGAGCGGCCCTGCTAAAAGAAAGCAGCACGCACGCTTTGCCTGGCGAAATACGAGAAAAAAATGGCCCCATCGAGGCGGTCCAAAAATGGTACGAGTCGCTTCCCGCGCCGAAATGCAGCCACATCGGCCGCGACGATTTCGAACTGCTCGCCGCCGCCATCAACCTGACTCTCGCCCAAGACGTGGCGGAGCTGGCGCCAGAAACACTGCGCTGGATCCGTCTTTTCTACTCAGAAATGGTCACCAGCCGCATCCCGCTCACAGAAATAGAAACACACAACTGGATAAGACTCAAGCTGGCATGTTCCGACGGCAACGTCCTCGAGTTCCTTTCCCTCTACCCATATAAATTACATGTCTCGCATTTTAACTTGCTGCTTCCAAACGTGGACCCGCAAACTCTTCTGGTGCAAATGAACAAGGCAAAGATCGCCCCGGACAGAACCACGGTGGTCCATCTCCTGGACCACTACGGCAACACGGGCAGCCTCAACAGCGTGCTCAACACCATATTTTTCACGATTCACGACTTACGACTCAACCTGGACTCCCAGCTTATAGAATCGTTTATTGGCGCTCTCATCAGGGCCGGCGAATCCAAGCTGGCCCTCTTCATCCTTGTGCAGACGTGCCATGTGTACGAAATCAGCCCGACGCTCGAATCGCACGACGCTCTTTCCGACACCCAGACCATCATTCTGGACTATCTGGTGTCCAACTTCGTTCATTTCCACCACGCCACGCTCCAGCATTCGATCAAGCCGACGGCTGCCATGATCAGGCCGTTCCTTAAAGTGTACGACTCGGCGAGCCGGAAAGACGTTCTGGCCGCGCTTGTCCAGCTGGTGGATAAGTACGACATCGAACTATAGTCCATTATCTGACCTTAGCAATTGACCTGGGTGAACAGACTCCTGTAGACTATGCGGTCCTCGCTCTTCGTGCTCACCACCTCGCTCCAGATGATTTCCGCGCTGAGCTGCGCGCCGTAGACACACCCGGAGTCCAGCCCCGTGCTGAACTCGCGGAAACACACGCCTCTCTTGGCGTCGTGTCCGTAGTACACTTTTGTGCCGGCGGTGAACGCGTCGTCGCTCGCGTTGGCGGCCACTTCGAGCTGGTGCCGTGTCCAGAACCGTGTCCACGGCTTCGATTTCTCTCCGTCGACCACCTCGTGGCGGTTCTCGGTCGGAACGGTGTAATCTGGAGGCAGCAAATTGCGCATCGTCAAAACTGCCTCCGGGTCCTGGTCTTGCAGATCTTCGACACTCCAGACCAGGCCGCCATGGACAGCCACCCCGTTTGCCGGAACAGAGGCGTACCTTGTTCGTTTTTTGTTCGTCATTCTCGGAACAGGGCCCAGCTCCTTGATTAGCGGACACTTGGAGATGTAGTCGATGTGTTCGGGCATGAGACGTTTTGCGATCCGCATCTGCTCGTCCAGGTCGTACTGTTCTGTTGCCCGAAGCTCGTTTTTCGACTCGTTGAAGCCGACGCCCGGAAGACCGTGGTACTGCACATACCGTTTGAGAATGTCCCATTCGTGGTTGCCCAGAATGCAGTCGACGCGGTTCTGGATGGCGTACTCCAGCACTCCGAGCGAGTTCTTCCCTTTGGCCAGGAAATCGCCCAGCAGAACAACGTGGTCGTGGCGTCCGCCGTCATATTTGACGTGTTTCAGGAGTTTCTGCAGCTCAAACAGCGAGCCGTGAACGTCTCCAATGAGGATGAGCCGTTTGACGGGTTTTTGGGAAGCCGCAGCCCCCAGCTTCTTGAAATGTCTCCTGAACAATTTGGTATCCTTGTCCAGCAAGCTCCATTTTTCGAAATTGGGCACGTTTTTAATGGGCGACTCGGGATCGTTGTATTTGTCACTAGTTGACTCGCCATTCACCAGTTCAGGCTTCTTCGGAGGTATTAGCGGGTGTAGATAAACAGGCGCTTTTCCAACCTTGATCAAGTCCGGGACGTCTGCGGACGGGGGTGCCAAGCTGGGCAAGAAGACCATCAGAAAATATACAATTGGCAATCCAATTATCAATCCGAGTGCCCAGAGTAGCCGTTTAGAAGACCCGATGCGGACCATGAGCCGCTCGAATGGACTAAACTCCTCGTCTTCGTAGTCATTGGGTCTCTGAAGAGGGGTGGTTTCCGAGACCATAGAAGAGAAGAAAAAATATGTGCAAAGATGTTCTGCCAGGAGTTAAACTCTGGTAAGCGAGCTCTCTGGAATGGCATTCGCCATTTGGGAGTCGTGAAAGCGTTTCAACACTATATACAAGCTGTCTAGTTTTTGGCGGCCTTGTCGTCGCCGTTGAGCAGGCCCGTCAGCATGCTCTGGATGTCGCTGGTTTCCTGGTCAACAGGCATCCGGGCAAGCTCCTTCTCTGCCTCTGCTCCGCCCAGCAGCAGCTTCATCCGCTGGCCAAACTCGCGCGGGCCCGAGATATCGTAGTACCAGAATCCTCCGGTAACAAACATCGCCATCGACGAAACAGCAAGCAGTGAGGCGTGTGCGACCGCGCTGGCGGCGTCTCGGTAGAACGAAAATTTAGGAGGAACGTGGTTGTGCTGGTAGAACGTCGGGTTGTACCGTCTGGCAATAACGCCGCGATAGGCGATCTTGGACGCAACGTACGTCAACACTGCACATCCATAGAAAAGCGCCGCCTGGCGGAACCGTCTCTCGTTGTACTTTGCAACAGCCTCGGACGTGGTCTCAGACTTGGTCTCCTTCTTGCTCCCCCCGCCTCCTGCACTGAGTTTCGGAAGTCCCAGCATAACAATAAATTATTAATTAAATCGATTTAATTTTTTTGGCCATAAAATAAAATATTTGATAATCATGTAGGCCATAGGAGCATAGATTATTTAGCCACCTGTGCGAGGGCAGCGTGTTGAAGATTGATGATTTCCACTCCGTGCTCGCGATACACGCTCTCGGTCTTATCGTTGGCGGACGGGTTGACAGCGCGCGAACAGTCCTTCAAAACATACGTTTGGAAGCCAAGGTCCGCAGCATCCACAGACGAGTTGAGGACGCAGTAGTCGTAGGCCAAACCAACAGTGAAAACATGCGTTATTCCGTTTTCGCGCAGGATCTTCTCGCACTCCGTGTGGTGGAGCCCCCAGGTGTCCTGGAAACACGAGTAGTACTCGCGGTCCTGCAAATAGCCCTTTTTCACGGTGTAGGTAGGAACCGGCTGTTTTTGTAGCAGGTCCTCGAAAACAGGTTTGAACTCCTGTGCGAGCTCGGCGCCCTTGCTGTGCTGCACGCAATGGACTGGCCAGAGCATCTGCTCCTTGACGGTTCCGTTGTGCGGGTGTCTGAACTGCTTCGTGGTGTAAGGCTCCTGGCCGTGATTTTTGGCAAAGGAAGTGTGGTCTGATGGGTGCCAGTCCAAAGTAGCAATGATAGTCTTCCAATTGTACTTTTCGAGGTCCAGTAACTGTAGGATCGGATCAATCACCTCTCTTCCCTGAGGCACGGCCAATGACCCAGTCGGAGGGAGAAAATCCTCCTGCAGATCAACGACAACTAGAGCTGGATTTGTTTGTGACATGTAGAAAAAAATAATCAATTATACGGGGTAGATTTTTTCCCGTGTGGGACTGACTTTTTATAGAACTGCTAGGCCTTTTTAATTCTTGATTCGCTTAAATACCACGAAACTCGTTTTCGATCTTTATTTGAGAACATTCGACTAACTTACCGTCCACACAAAGCCCTGAAGTATACCAAGAGCAACTCTGTGGTACTTGGAGGTTATTGACCAGCACTTTGTAAACAAGACACAGCTTCGACATAGGGGGAGAGATTACACGTTTGCCGCACAAATGAACCTGACGTCTGATTTCATTCACGAAACATGCACGGACGAGTCTCCGCTATCAGCAGACCTCAACCTGGAGCTCGGATCCAACGCCAGCTCGATCTCGTCGTCCGAGTTTTCGTCCGACTCGGGATCAGCAAATAGGAGACTGTCTCCAGAGCAAAGAGTCGACCCTGACGACGAGCACGAGAGCGATCAGGACCTCTCGGAAATTTACACAATCGAGGACGTGTTCAACTCGGCTCTGATCAAAGACCGACAGGGTTCAACAGGGGTCTTGGAGACTCTGCAGTCGCTGGTGCAAGAAAGCCACACAAAAATCGATACCGAGAATCTGGCCAAAAGGCTCACGGACGCAGACCCAGAAACCAAAGACAAGCTGCAGTTGGAGTTTGTTACGGTGCTGACCATCATCAAACTGTCGAAAGAGCTCAACGGTGTGCTGACTAGTCAGATGAGCGAACTTTCTTTCCAGAAAGCTGCCACTATTTCTTTGGCTGCCATGGGTCTGTTTAAGTACCACTTCCAGCTACAGCAGACTCACCCGAATTTTGGGTTCAAGAATTTTGGCTCCCTGCTGGGCCTTGAACAGTACAACCTCGTCAAACCCATTTTGCAAACTCTTGTTCTGGCTCCAAAATACAACTACGCAGAGCAAGAGTTGATCAAACAACACTTCACCCTTCTCGTTGCTATGCACCTAATGAACAAACATATGTTTGATGCGCTCTTGTCTTCGTTTGCTCAAAAAGACATTTACACTATGTTCACGCACATATTTGCCGCAGAGTCGCAAACCCACCCAATAGCCAGCGGTGGCCTTCACTCTCTTTTTGAGAATTTCAATCGCTGTGAAACTTTAGCGCAAAGCTCGCTGTGTGAGGATAAGGATTCGCGCACACTGTTCGGTATCGTGTTTCCTCCCCACTATCAGCGGGTTGCTGCTCAAAGTGTTGACGCATTATTGAAAATTGATCATCTTTGTGCCAAACCTGACATGTCTTTTGGGAAGCTCAACGAAGTGTTGAAGCTTTATTTGGAAAATGACATAAACAGCGAGATGGTCTCATTGTACTCTTTGCACAGGCCAGCGCTGTTGAAGACTCTGCACAAGATCGTCGACGTGCAATCAAAAAACGTCACCAATTTGCAAAAAATAAGCTATTATTTGCTGGCAAATATTAGCGAGTTTATTATCACCAATGTTCCGCTGATCAATATCGAAGATCACGCTTTGCTCGTGATTCTTTTGAACATTAACAACTCCAACTACAAGCAAAGTTTGGGCATCACAAACGACTCTTACACGTACGAAGTCACAGAGACTACCATGAAGATGCTGTTTGAGATTGTGGACCAAAACTTCAAGCTTGAATATCCAATGGAGTTGAATTTGCTAAGCTATCTGAAAGCCAGCTTGAAGAACCTTGACTACAATTTAAACTCCTTTGAGTCCTTTTTGAACCTCTCTGGGCTGCTGAACGACATGGGAAGCAGATTATCGATTCACGCGCTGTTGGAGACCGTCCAATCTGTTCTTTCATCAAGTTTGAACAAGGAGCTTTTTGGTCTAGTGGGACAGTCTGCAAAAATCCCAGAGCAGCTCAAGCACCCGTTTGGGTTTGAGTACATTCCTCCGCTAGCAAAATCCAACTTCATTTTTGAGAACAATCTAAATATGGGTGATGATTCTATGAAGAGAATTCGGGCACAAACCAAAGCAGCCTTCAAATCACTCCAGACCGGCACTCACCTCAGGGTCAAGGGCACTAGGGTGTTGCAGGACTGTGTTGTTTTGTGTGCTATTGTGAAGTCGAAAGTTTACAATTTTTTGAGAGAGTTCAACGATGAACTAGGCTTGATGAAATTCTCAACGGAACAAAAGTCCGCGGTCAAAGACGACACGATGAACAAATTTAAGCAGAAAACTTTTACTCAGCTGGCTTTGTTCAAGTCTCAGCATGGACTGGACTACAAGATACTCAACAAGTCCGTTGACCTGAACCTGGCAGCCACGCTCAGCAGCTTGAAGATCTGCGGCAATTTTGACAGGTTCCCAGAGTTGGTGGACTCTTCGTCTTTGTACGACAGACCGTTTTGCAACATTTTGTACCACTATCAACTTGACTCGCTTCTTAGTTACTTGCTGGTTTACAAGGAGTTCGGGCTGTTTAGTCTGTTCAAAATAATGAAGACGGTTTTGCTTGGCGACCTGACCTTAATACCTATTGCTTCAAAGATGCTGTCGAACCTGGTTGGCTTCGAGAACTCGTCCAACAAGCCAAAGATCCAGTACATCACAAGCATCATCCACCAGAGCGATGTTCTGTGCAATCTCGTGAGACAATTTGTGGAGCTGTTTGATGATGCGCGCTCTAGCTCGTTCAGACAATTACTCGATTTCATGAAAATCCATCCTTCGCCGATCAAGCCTTCCAAGATTCCTAAGGGCACTATTGAGCTGGACTTACGGCAGTTTCTTCAATATCTGGAGTCGAAGTCCGAGGAGCGCCAAGCGGTCTGAGTCGCATTTTATCACTACTTTTGGTTTAGTCTTTGCTTCTCGAAATGAATATCCTATCAATACAAAATCAAATAAATGTTGAAAATTAATATATACGACTCACCAGCTAATCTATGCAAACCACTCGCTTATCACCTGCTTTCCCTCTGTGTTGTACTTGTTCAAAAGAGCAATGGCCTGGTCCTGCGGCAGGGTTCCCAGCAGCTGTTTTACGGTCCCCACAACTTTCTCGGCCGTCTTGCCGGAGATCGAGCCAAAAAGCAGCGCCTGTACCACGTCGTCCACGATTTTAGGAATCATGCCAGCCACAAGCGGATGCTGCTGTTGAATCAGCTCGGCAAGGAACATGTAAGCATACGGTGCCGCTTCGTCGTCCTGCAGCACAGGCATCAGCTTGAGCCAGTTCTCCACCACCTCGTGGGCATTTGGAACACTGGAGCCAAAGGAATGCAGCACTTTGGCGATGGCAGCGATCGAGTTCTCGGTGGCAGACAGGTTCTCGTCTGCCTTCGAGTCCGGAACGTTGCACATGGCCAGCATCGAGCCCAGAGTGGCAACGCAGAAATCCTTGAAGTGCTCTCTTCCGTACTGCGCACACGCACCCACGGTGTGCGAAGCGGCCTGCCTGATGCTTGCCTGAGGAGACGTGAGCGACTCGCCAACAGGGTTCATGAAGAAGTCCTTGAACTGGAACGCCAGCGGACCGGTGTACTCAACAAGGTCGGACACGGAGCACAGAGCCAGCAGTTTGAGCGAGGTGTTTTCGTCGTTCATGTACGACGCAAGAGTTGGGATCAGAGACTGGTACGCCGGCAGGAACCGTTCTCTTGTGCTCTTGAACATGGCGGTGATGCCCTTGGTGATCTCGTCGAGCAGTTCTTCGTCGGTGTACTCCTCGTCGTCCTCCTGGACCTCCTCGTTGTACTCGTCGTCGGCGTTTTCTCTGCTCTTGATTCTCTCGTAGATCTCGGTCAGGTTGGTCTGAATCGAGTTGCCGGCAGCCAAAATCTGCTCGTCCGTGAGCACGTTTGCGCCAATCAGCTCCAGACCCTTCGAGATGGCGTAGTAGTACGCAACCAGCAGTTCTGGAACTGGATCGGTTCCCAGCTGGTGCACCAGCTTGTCGAACATCTGGGTCCACAGCTGTGTGGCCTGAGGCGACGTTGGAGAGCCGGTGGCCTCGATGGTGCACTGGAGCAAAGCAGGCATGGTCAGCGCGGAAGAGCCTCTCACGCCGTCATGCAGATAGAAGTCCAGGCCGGGAATCACAATGTGGGTTGCAATGTCCTCCACATACGGAAAGAAGTCGCCGCCCAGCACCTCGGCATAGGTCTTGAGGAGCTCGATCGCGGCCGTTTTGTCGTCGAGAATGGCCGTGTGCACAGCAATGTGTTTTCCGGCCAGCTGGATAACGTCAAACTCCTCGTTCTGGTTGAGCTCGTCCACCTCGTCCTCGTCCACGATCGAGATGTCCTGCGCGGCTTTGGCGGCCTCCAGCAGCGGAGGCAGCACGCCAGGCAGGTACGGAATGAAGTCCTTGCCGATCAGCTTGCAGATCCTGCTCCAGCCTTGCTCCAAGTACGTTTTGGCCGGGTCGTCTTCTCCGGTCAGGTTGTTCTGGATATGGGCGAAGAGCTGGACAATCTCCTGCGCGTTCGGCATGAACTTCTCCTTGCCGACCGCCAGGGCAATCAGCGCCGAGCACTCGATCGACTTGGCCTTGAGCAGCCTGTTTTCCTCGCCCATGTCGGTTCTGAGCACCTCCAGCAAAAGCGGCATCAGAGTGTCGTAGTATTTGATGAACTTGGTCTTTGCAGCGTCCGCCACAATGGCGATCGTGGTGATCACCTGCTCCTGGACGTATCTCTTTGGAGCGCTCTGCAGCAGCGTCAGCAGGTTGGTCAGCAGGTCGTCCAGATACGGCTCCAGAACCTCCTTCGTGGCGTCCTCGCAGAAGTTCACCAGAGCGGCAGCAGCGTGCGCCTGCACCCGTGGCACGTTCTTCGTGGTGAGCATCGAGATCAGCGCAGGCAGAATGCGGTCGCCCGACGTCCGCTGGATGACGTCAGCAAAGTCGGTGGACATCTGGCCCAGAGCGTTGCAGCACGCGTACTGGACCCGTGGATGGCTGTCCTGCAGCGAGGGCAGGATCAGGTCGAGGATCTTGGGGATCTCGGCAATCAGCACCTCTCTGCAGCCCTCCGCGGCAGACGACAGCGCCATCAGTGCGGCCTGTCTCTCGTGCCAGTCCTGCGACTGGAGCATCTGCGGCAGGTACTGGAACAGCGGGCCGGCCAGCGACTGGCCGCCGAGCCTGAGCGCTGCTCTGTCGAGCGACTGTCTTGCTGCGTTGTACTCGTCCTCCTCATCGTCATTGTCGATATCGTCCGAGTTGTTCCACTCTGCCGCGTCCTCGTCGTCGACGCACACCTCGGTCATCAGCTTGAGAGTCACGAGCACGATCGTGGTGGCGTACGACGATTCTCTCTTGCACATGTTGGGAGAGGTCTCGCAGAAGGTGGTGAGCAGTTCGAGAGCGGCCAGTCTGGCCGTGGAGTCGAGGTTTTTGTTCTGAGCCACCTCGGAGCAGAATCCGATGATTGTAGGGAACATCGGCTTGAACATCTTTGGTGCGAGGTCCACAAGCTCGATCAGACTCTCCAGCACAGAGGCCAGCGCGGTGTCCTTGCCGTTTTCCAGCAGTCTGGGCAGGGAGTTGAGCAGGTTGGGTAGCAGCGAGCTGAGGTTGGTCCACTGCGACTTGGGCAGATTCTCGAAAAACGCGACAAAGGCAGAGCACGCAGCAATTCTCACGTCGTCGCTGGAGTCCTCGAAACCGACATGGAACATCTTGAGCGTGTCCTGGAGCTGGTAGTTGGTGATGATGGCCGGAGTCGTGCTGATGATTCTGAAAGCAGACTCTCGGAAGCTGGCGTCCTGGTTGGCGGTCGCCTGCATGATGGTGGGCAGCAGGCTTGGCCAGCCAAACGAGTCGTCCTTGGCGACCTCGGCGACCGCGTCGGCAAGCTTGTGTCTGACATTGTTGGACTGAGGAGCGCTGAAACCTTGCAATAGGACGTTGCGCACCTCGGTCTTGGCCTGCTCGCTGATGTGGTCGACCTGTCTTGCGGTGACGGAGTAGCCCTGCTCGGAAGGCGACTTGATGGCAAACCGTCTGAACAGCACCGCAGAGAAGGCCTTGGTGCTGTCGTCGGCCGCCGTTGCGGCCTGCTGAGCAAGCCAAACAAGGAGAATATCGACGCGGTCCTTTTTGGTCCACTCCTTGTTGAGCGTGTGCTCGGCCTGCTGACGGATCGCGTTGTCTGTGGAGGCCAGGCCCGACAGCAATTGAAGCAGCATGCCGGAGATCTCTGGTGGGATTTGCGACATGGTGAAAACGACGCCAAATGAACGTGCGGTGTGTTTAGCGGGGGATCAGACTGCGTATCTCCTGTATGATTTATCCACTAGTTTCGCTGAAGCAACTTGTTTTTCCTAATGCGTCGCTCAAACCGGAACCACCAATTACCTTACGTCTTTGTTGGTGTTAGCTGTCTAATGATTATTTTTTTTTCACAAGGTAGAAAAGTCCCGTATTGGGTCGTGTGTGCACCGGCTGGAAAGTTTTCAAAAAAAATTTGAATCATTATAAATAAATAAATTAATTGGTTATGGGATTGGGAGCTCCACGGACCAAGCAGCGGTTTGGGTTGGACCCCAGAAACACAAACTGGTCGAACGACGTGTCGCGGTTTGGACACAGGCATCTGGAGAAGTACGGCTGGAAACCTGGCCAGGGACTCGGGCTGACCAACAATGCAACCACCTCGCATATCAAGGTGGTAATCAAGCAGGACAACACTGGGCTGGGTGCGTCGCTCGCGCGCAAGTCGGCGAAAAAGGACGAGTTTGACAGTGGCGAGTGCATGGGGCTGGACGTTTTCCAGCGGCTTCTGGGGCGGCTGAACGGCAAGGAGGCCGAGGTGAACGAGCAGATGGACGAGTTGCAGCGGAACCGGATCATCAACGGGCGGTGGGGGATCAACTTTGTGCGCGGGGACGTGCTGAAGAGCACGTGGGATGCGAAGGAGGGGAGAATGAGGGACGGAAGGAAGGAGAAGAAGGAGAAGAAGGAGAAGAAGGAGAAGAAAAATAAAAAGCACAAGGAGAAAAAGCACAAAGACAGCGAGAAATCGCGGAAGCGCAAGAGAGAGGACGCGGAGGTTACGCGCGAGTCGATGCTTGTGCCGCGCGACCGCAGCGAGACGCCGCCGGTGACGAGCGGCCGCATGGCGCTCCGACAAAAGTGGATCCAGCAGAAGCGGCTTGCTGTGGCGGACAGCAAGGCGTTGCAGGAGATCTTCATGGTGAAATAGAATCGCATAGCATAGAGCGCAGCTAAAAACATGGTTTATATTGAAAGCACTAGATAAAGATGTAGGAGAGTCCGCCCAGGAAGAAGGTGGAGAATAAGGAGAGCAGGCCCAGCTGTGGGGCCGACAGGGGCACGGCGTTGACGCCGGCGCCGGCCGACGACGACGAGGAGCTGGAGCTGCTGGAGCCGGAGCTGGAGCCGGAACTGGAGCCGGAGCCAGATGCATGGGACGAGTTCGAGGAGCCGGTGGCCGACGGAGAGGCCGAGGCCGAGCTCAGCAGCGAAGAGCAGCTGGACGCGGTCGAGGCATTGGAGTTGAGCGAGGCAGAGCCGCTGAAGTCGCAGGCGGACGAGTTGGAGTCCTGTTCCTCGTAGTACTTGTTGAGCAGGAACGAGAGCTTGTCCTTGGCGGAGCAGTACGAGTACGCGCCGTAGGAGCCGTTGCTGCCGCTGGTGGAGATTTCCGAGCAGTCGGTGAGGTCGCACACGATGCCGAAGAAGTCGCCGTAGTCGTCGGAGTCGACGTCGTCGGAAACGACGCATTTGAGCGACGACTCGAGACAGTCGCACACGGCCTCGTTTGGAGTTGGAGGCAGGTCCGTGGACGCCTTCCAGTTGCTCTGGCTGGTTGGACAGCTCAGCTCGGTGGCCGACTGCGATGCGGCAGACGCAGACGCCGTGGTAGGGCTGATTTTCTCGAGCTCGCTCTTGAGGTTCGTGTAGTCGCCCAGGGTCGAGACGGCGTCGTCCTTGATGGAAACGAGACCGTAGTCGTTCTCCTCCTGGAAGTACATGTACACGATACCGCCGGACCACACGTCTGTCATCTCGTCGGAGTAGATAGCCTGCACCTCTGTGAACTCGCGGGGCTTGACGCTGTTGCAACCGTACTCCGAGAAAAAGATCGGGATCGTCAAGTTGGAGAACTCCTCCGTCCTGGCCTCGTAGCCGGAGCTCGAGAACGTGGCATTTCCGCACCACTCGTACATGTTGATGCCGTAGAAGTCTGCCTTGACGTCGTCGTCTCCACAGGAGAAGTAGTCCGCAGACGGAACTCTGGTGTTGGCGTCGTCATTGGCCGAGTAGCCGATCGGAATGTCTCTGTAGTTGTTGTCCTTCATGTACTGTCTCATGTCTCTGATGGCCGCCTTGACGAACGGAGCAGCGTCGCTGTTGGTCTTGTTGGTGATGACCTCGTTACCGGCAAAGAAGCCGAGCACGTTGTCGTAGCTCTGGAACATGTCGATCACCGTGGCGTATCTGTTGTACAGATCGACCGTCCAGGACGGACTGGTGGTCTCGATGGACTCGTTGGGGGTCGAAAGGTCCGAGATCACGTAGATTCCAGCGTCCTCGAGCAGAGACATGCATCCGTCGTGGTCCTTGGAGGCGTCGACGGCATACACGCGGATCACGTTGATGCCGAGGTTCTGCAGGTACGGGATGTCTCTCTTGCACGAGTCCTCGTCAGCGAGCGGATCGACGTAGGTAGCGTCGTCGGTAGCATTTTCTGTGTTCTTCTGGTACGCGACACCCTTGACGTAGAACTGGGACCCGTTGTTCGAGTAGAAGAACTTGTTGGACACCACGTCGATGGTAGGCAGGGCCAGCGTGGTGGACAGCAGGCCCGCGAGCGAGAGGATGGATTTCAGCTGCATTTTTCGGGCTGGAAAAAACGAGTGGATTTGTAGCTGAGAATATTTACTGTCGAGCTGCTACAATATATAAACTGGCAAACGAGGCACGGCAGACATGTCTCCCGAGTAAGTAAACAATGATAGTACCACCGTGTATCAGAACATTCTGTCGTTTCTTTTAGAGTCTAGACACTGCACAGGGGGGCAGCCGGCTCTTGCAGGATTTTCTGCGAATAAAATCCGCATCAGGCAATCAGCGCGATCATCATGCGAGAAATGGGAGCCACGCTGACGCGCTATCTGCTCCGTTTCAGGATCCTCACCGGGGCCTCCGCCTTGAGCTCCCGACGACAACAATCATGACGCAGGTGCATTCTGTTCTAATTAAAGATATTTCCCAAACGAGTACTGTGCGGCTATTGTGGCCCCTGGCGGCGGAATGCGTTTCGCTCGAGCTCGCTTTAAAATAGCAACCAAGAGACGTGTGGCCGATCGTTCTTGGCACGCTTGGTGCCATCTCCCGCCTCTCCCGTCTCAGATATAACTACCACGCTCTACCGCATTTCTGGGTTTGATTGTTCTATTTAGACTTTACGGTCTTACATTGTCAGAACAGCCAGAGCACCAGCAGCACACAGACCGGAGACCAGGATGGTGTAGTAGCTGTTGGAGCTGTACGATCTGGCGGCCGCGCTGCTGGACGACGAGCTCGAAGAGGTGGACGACGAGCCGGACGACGAGCCGGACGACGAGCCGCTGGAGCCGGACGCGGTGGAGCGAGAGCCAGAGCCGCTGACGCCGCTGACGGTGCCGGTTCCGGCGGTGCCTGCGGCGCTCAGGATGGAAGAGCAGCTCGACGCGGTGGTGGCGCTCTGCACGGTGGCAGAGCCGTCGAAGTCGCAGGCGCTCGAGTTCTCGTCCTGGTCCAGATAGTACAGGTTCAGAGCGAACGAAAGCATGTCCTTGGAGCTGCAGAACGAGTACGCTCCGTACTTGCCTGTCTTTCCGTCCGCGGTGATGCCGTCGCAGTCGACAAGTCCGCACACGGTGCCGAACAGCTCCTCATAGTCGTCGCTGTCGACGTCGTCGGAAACAACACACTTGAGCGAGCTGGCCATGCAGTCGCACACGGTCTCTTCTGGCGTTGGTGGCAGGGTGTCGGACGCATTCCAGTACTTGAACCCGGTCGGACACGACAGCTCGGAGGCGGTGCTGCTGGCCGAGGCAACGGTGGCTGTGGTTGGCGACACGTTGTTGATCTCGGACGAGTAGTACTGGAAGTCGGTCATGGTGCTGACGGTGGTGTCGTCGATGGCAGAGACAAGACCATAGTTGTTGTCCTCCTCGAAGTACATGTACACAATGCCTCCAGACCACACGTCGGTCATCTCGTCGGAGAAGATGGTTGGGATGTCGGTGAATCTTCTTGGCTGGATGGTGTTGCAACCGTACTCGGAAAAGAAGACCGGAATCGTGAGGTTGGAGAACTCCTTGGTTCTGTCCTCGTATCCGGACGTCGAGAACGACGAGTTTCCGCACCACTCGTACATGTTGATACCATAGAAGTCGGCTCTCTCGTCGTCGTCTCCGCAGGCGAAATAGTTGGCCGACGCGACTCTGGTCTCGGAGTCGTCGTTCGCCGAGTATCCGACCGGAATGCTACGGTATCCCTTGTCCTTCATGTACTGCTTCATGTCTCTGACGGCCGCCTTGACGAACGGAGCCGCGTCCGTGTTGGACGAGTTGGTGATGACCTCGTTTCCGGCAAAGAAACCAAGCACGTTGTTGTACTGCTGCATCTCGTCGATCACCGAGGTGTATCTCTCGTACAACTCCTCAGACCACTCCGGGCTCGTGGTCGAGATGGACAGCTTGGGCTGCGCAAGGTCCGCAATCACGTAGATGCCCGCGTCTTGCAACAGCGTCATGCAGTCGGTGTGGTCCTCGTCCGCGTCCAGAGCATACACTCTGATGACGTTGGTGTTCAGCTCCCTCAAAATGGGAACGTCTCTCTCACAGGTCGTCTTGTCGGCCAGAGGATCGACAAAAGACGTGTTGGTGGTCAGAGCAGTGTCGGCCTGGTAGGCCACGCCTCGAATATAGAATTGGGACCCGTTGTTCGAGTAAAAGAACTTGTTTCCCACAACCTCGATGGTAGGGAAGTCGGAGTCAGCCTTGGCCACAGCGGCCAGGACGCCAGACAGGGCGCCGATCGTTTTCCACGAGAAGATCATGTTTGCAATAAGCGAATTTCGAAGTTTGTCCGCAGCGTGCAAATTTTCGGTGGTGCTGCTATTTTTGTTTACCTTTTCGTTCCGCGTGCCAGGCTTAGCGGACGCGGAAAACCCGGGCTGCTAATTGGCAGACACACGCTTACAGAATGCTACCAAGTATAGATTCCGCTAGATCCAGTACGTACTGAAGGTCTCGACGCCCGGCTTGGAGCGCAGAACCGTAGACGGCGCCCTGTCGCCCGTGTCGTTGTTGTCCTGGCGGTTCGGCTGGATCAGACCGTAGAAGTCGTCGGGAACGTACTCAGCAATGGACTCGGCCAGCGTGAGGTCCACCAGCACGGGAATCACCACGATCGCAGCAAACAGCAGGATGATGAAGAAGAACAGAAACGCGTACTTGGTGGCCTCCCGCGCACGCACCTTGCGCTGCGTGGTGGTGTAGATCGGGCCCCGCAAGTACCGCGACGGACTCAGCCACATCAGCATGCACGAGTGCCAGTGGTCGATGTACGGCACAAACAGCAGCGGCGTGAACACAATCAGTATCAGATGCCCAATGGCAAAGTCGGCCGCGAAGAGACTCATCTCCACCGTCTTCACAATCAGCTCCCGCATCGGCTGTGTGACCGCATACCAGCCCAGATCGCTGCCTATCCATTTTCCTGACCACCAAGCGCGGTTCGTGTAGTCCTCCTTGATCTCTCTGGTAAGGAGCATAAGCTTCACGGCCTGGAATATCACCCGCTGTACATACAGCGAGCAGGTAAAAGCACACAGGAACCGGCAGAAGTTCCAGCCTTCCAGGAACCAGATCACCTCCATAACAACAACATGCGAGATCACAGCAGACCCGTGTGCAAGCGCAGCAAGCACATTGGGGGCCTTCTTGCAGCATATGCTCAGGATCGGGCCCGCAAAACAAGACAGAGGGAAAATTGCAATCAGGATCGAAAGATTCATCACCAGCGGGGCAAACACAATAATCGCCAGTCTGAGCACCGAGTTCACGGGCCTGGGATCCCTGACACCCGTTTGCGCGTTGATGAATGTGTACGCCATGAAGATGCACACAGTCTGGAATAACGGGACAATCACCTCTGCGAAAAAGGTATTACCGAACGGAGCACGGTGGATATTGACAGGCACATACTTGGCCTGCTCCACGTTTGTCCCCATAATCTTTCTCTTGAAGCCAGTGAACTTGGACCTTGAGAAACGTGTAAACCCGATCCACGAGTTCTTGTGCCACTTGGAGTTTCCTCTGCTGAGCCATCTAATAAAATCTCTATAATCCAGGAAAAAGTCGGTCCAAGCAAATTGATGAGGATTGAAAATAAAGGGGGATAAACACAAGGAAACCAAAGTGATCCAGAACCACAAGATTGCCGGCTGCCACATGGTCACGGTTCCGAATAACAGAATCAAGAAAAGTCTTGTACCTGAATAGATGGAACTGATTGCATACGTCGAGTACAGTCTTGTAAATGGGATTCTCACTATAGCGAATCCTCTACCTGTTGAAATGTACCTGGCTCCACCAAATACAATGTCATTTTTCAGCGAGTTGGAGTACACCTGGCAAACGAAAACTTCAAATAGGGGTGAGAGCGAAAGAAAATGAAAGAACAGTCGACTAAATGCCTTCCATGCTCCTCTTTCCGATAACTCGTGAAACACCAAGGGAACGAACGAAATGAAGAAACAAATGAAGATAGACAGAACATATCTGGTAACCCAGTCGAGCACTGGTTGCAAGTTTTGACAGCCCACTGGTATCTGGAGATCTGTGATTGGTACGTCTTTATCGTATATGCATGTAATCGACTCGTGATTCATCGACCCCAAGTTGACCATAACCAGAAGGAATAATTGAAGTGAAAGCATAATGAACAAGTTATTGATGTGGAAGCCTGGATGGGCATAATAAAAGGACAGAAATCTGTCGAGTGGTAGAGATGTTCCCAGGTAATAGTATTCTCTGGAGAGCATTTGTTCGCCCATACCTCCACCAATCTTGGAAGTGAAGTTGAGGATGGTACCGAACCCAAGATCTCTGCCTTTTCCACATTGATAGTAGTCACAATGCTTGATTCTGCCTCCACGAGTCACTGCATTCATTCCAGCATAGATGTCTTCGTTCAGATGAAGTCTTTTCTGTGCTTTGGAGATGCCTCCTCTGGTTGTCATGAAGATGGCATTTAAAAAGTCGGGATGCCCATAATGAAGTTTACCCCCAATTGCAGCCAGTGTACGTGCAAACAGAGTACCAAAAGTTTGCTCTTTGGCCGCAGCAACATCCCCGAGGACACCAGTATTTTCCGAAAAGATATACTCTCTAGCTCCTATGATGGCGACAGGGGTATTTCCTGTATTTGGAACAGAAGGGATGTATGGGTTTGTAGTGTCATAATCCATCTCTTCAAACTCAGACAATACAGATCTGATTTTCAAACATTCTTCCAGGTAATTGTCTTGATTTGCGTCGATGACCTGGATGTATTCTCCTCTGTAGAAAACCAAACAATGATTCTGGTTGTCCGACTTTCCGTCTCCAAGGATAGGGTTACCTGAGAGCTGAATCTTGTATAACTGTTTCAGCTCACCATTTTTCTTCTCATCTGACTGATATAAAACAGAGTAGAATTTGATGTCAGCTTCTGATCCCCCTTCAGGGACCTCCTGCTCCAAACTGGCAATATAAACTTCCGGATAGGCATTCAATAACACTTTAACATCACTTTTCTCCTGCTCGGTAAACTTTTGGTACCTTTGCATGGACACCAGAAGTCTGAATTTGCGGTCTGCTATGCTATTCAAATACTCTTCAGCATTCGAGCTTCCTCCAAACATCTCAATCATTTCTGGGTTTTCCACTTTGTGCAACAGCTTAATGGCCTTTCTGTAGTTCATGAATCCAGAAACTGTACGATACAAGGTCTGAGACCTCAACGTAGCCCATATTCTCGTTCTTAGGACGTACTCGGGAGCCGACGATTTGTACCCTATACAGTAAAGGGGCAGATCGCTAATTTTGTTTTCAATGAAGTCTTTTTCGGATTTGACAGTTGCGCCTGGCATCTTTTCACCCTCACTGTAGGATATTATTTTGGTATCACGTACAAAATAATCCCATTCGTGGGGAAGCATATGCTTCAAATATTCAAGAAGGGATATTTTCGAGCTTGGATCCTCCTTGATGATTTCTTTCAGGCCCAAAAGAATTTTCTCTGAATAGTGCGGTATTAGAACCGTAAATGTGGGCATTGCTTCGACTGGAATCGGTTCAGGAATAGGCGTTGATAAAGATTGAGCGAAAAATGAGATCCTTCTTTCCGCCTCCGAGTTTGGCACAAAGAAGTCCTGCAAAGTCGTTGTACTATCATCCTGGAACAAAAAGAAAGAGGGTGTCCTTAATGCGGTTTTCCCATCTGCCTCGTCTGGAATTTGGTCGTAGATGAGACGATGCACATGATCCACCGATAACAAATGTTCGCGATATAGGGAGATCACAATTGCGTTCCACACCTGTGATGCAAGAGTGCTGGGTTTGAATTTCACCTCCATGTCTGCCGTCGATAAAAGCTTTGAGTAGATTCTTTGAGGCAGCCTGCTGAAGACATTTCTCCAAGGTGAGAGGATCGATATTCCACTGAAGAATGACAAAGAGAGAGAAAAGGCACAATTCCAAATAATATACCAAAGGTAAGTATCGAGGAAGAAGAGCACCAAATCTGTCAGTATCATCAGCGTCAAAACAAACTTCCCCTGATGACGACAAAGCATTGTTCCGAAATAAGCTTCCCCGTGGCATCGACTGTAATCGATTATGGACAAGTTTCGAATTGGATCTCTAAGGGACAAGGTCAAGAAAAAGTATGATTCGACAAACTTGGCACTGAAAACCAGTATCCAAAGCATGATAGACAAGACAGAACCTCTGGAACTTAGTTTGGGAAATGAAGAAGTGAAGACTTTGGAAGCATCGTAACCTTTGGCTCTTTTGTTCAAAGAAAACTCAAAGAGTGTGCCCAAGGGCTGAACAGCAAACCATAGGGTAGTGAGGATAGAAACCACCAGCTGTACAATGGATAGAATGTACGCTAGCCTGGAGACAGTGTTAAGGGGGATCATTCCTAGGATGAAAACTGAGGGGCCAAAGTTTATAATGGTAATGATTATCAGAAGAACTAGCCTTCTGAAGAGATGTTTCGCACCGGGCCAAAGCCTTGGAACAAATGCCCACTCCGAGATGGTGGCGATAATCTGAATCAGGCAGGAGATAGTGCCTCCAAGTGCCATGATAGAGAATCTCGCTTGTGGAGTAGGCTGATTATTCAAAAGCTGAATATAATTGTGTGTGTAAAGGGTAGGAGAGTTGAAACTTGAGTAATACCAAAAGACAGAAACATGGATAATCCAGATTCTGCTGAAGTTTGTAGCCAAATGCCACCAGGTTCTTCTTTCTTTGTAAGTTTTGTAAAATGCTTTCTTCCATTTGATGCTTCCAAGCTTCTTGTATCGTTCGTGTTTTGGCAAGTCCATCAGTTTGGTACCATCTGTCGTGACAATTCGCTGGAGATTTTTACTGTACCAGAAAAGCTGGTTCATGTCGTCATAACCGATGATTTGATGGTGGTCTTTTTCTCGTCTCACGAAGGCTCCGTCAATCAGCTTGTATTGCTGATCTCTGAGGTAGTTGTACAGTGGAGTGATCACCCGAGTCAGATAATCTCCCTCCTCATAGACCACCTTTGCTGACTCGTCTTTCTTAATTTGTTGATAATAGTCGAACGAGCACTTGTATATGAAGCAAAGACATTCTGGGCAAAACCTCATATTATTAGCTTCTCCCCATATGAGCAGGTAAAGGGCTATATGTTCAACCATCTGGCTCGGGGTGCAGTCGTACAGTCTCTTTTTCCATCTATATTCGATCACATCAGTTTTCTTGCTTGGATGGAAAGAAGGCTCCGAGAAGTCTTTCGAGTTTTCTGACTTTTCAGGCTTTCCCTTTTTCTTCTTGTTTTTCTTCAACATCTTGAGATCAACATCATTGCTGAGCTCTGAATCATCGTCCACCATGGCACTCAAGTACCATTTGCGGTAGTTGGCATTTTCTCCACCAATGTAATCTGCATGTAGTAATAACAAAGCGTGAGGGGCCGGCATCCTACTGGCTTTCGAATCCAGTTGGATCATCAAGTGATCGTACATATTGAGCGCAGAGCTACGCTGAAACCCAAACACATCCTTCAATTCCATGAAGATGTCATAAATCTGGTCTTTTGTGATTGGAGCCTCGTCGTCGCTTGTCCACGAGTAATAGGGATCATCGCTGATAGGGGGCAGCGTCTTTGGTTCTTCGGCCACTGGTTCAGGAGCACTAAATTGGTTTGGGTAGTATCCCCAATTGGATTGGTATTGCTGTTGTTGCATGTACTGCCAATTGGGATCCGCATAAGGGCTCTGGGGCTGTTGTTGACGTTGTCTACCTAGAACATCAGGAGGGTAATTCGAGTCTGGTTCCTGGCGCTCACTTTGCCCCTCGTAGTCCTGTCGCAAAAGGTCCTGTTGGTAAATCGCATCGTAGAATTGCTGGTCTTCAGATTCCTGATTTGCAGCCACTAAAGGTAGTTAGTAAAGAGGGAACAAGAAAGATCCTTTCGAACCTTTTTTTCTGAAATGGGGACAATACTGTTGACAGGCAAGCCGGTAAACTAGTAATATGGCGCCTATTTGATAACCTCTTCAATTCAGTACAAACAAGTGTGAAGCAAGCCCAAGTGGAAGAACAAATTAAAGCTATCTATCGCTTATTAAATTTAACGCTTTGTGGTCCATCAGCCACACACTTAGTGTGCGCCACCTCACTTGCCTCCACTGCCCAGCTGTTTTTCCAAAATATTTTTGGTCTCAATAAATTCACCTATATGACCATACCGATTTCGGTACGAAGTTCACGAATACCTCCAGCCTTGTACCAAATTGTGTTCTGTCGCAAAATGAGCTACCAGGGATTTATTGCGCCGCAAAAAATTGTCCCTCCTGTACACCGCGACCTAAAGTCGCTTGACAGAAGTTTATTTTCATTGTCCTTCGACGTCTGGACGGTTCTGTTTCCTGAGGCTGCGCAAATGGGTAACTTCATTAAAACATTCAAACAGGATACTGTGCAAATCCCGCGACTGCCGTTTTTGTTCAAACTGTCTAAGTCGGAGAACAAGCTCGAAGAGTATCCCAAAAATCCAGATTTCAAGGCTGTTGCACTCAATCACAGGGTCCAGTCGCTGGAAGACATAGAAACATACATTTCGCCCGAGGCACAAAACTATATACGAGATTGCGAGGGCAAGTTCTTCAAGCACCGGTTCACACTGGACTATGATTTCTGGAGAGCAGAGGAAATACTTCAGAGCGTTCTCCCAGAAAACCTTTTGCACGAGGTTCCAACTTCTTTCACCAAGACGGGCCACGTAGCCCACGTGAACCTGAAAGATGAATACAAGCCGTACGGCACTCTCATAGGACAGGTGATTTTGGACAAAAATCCGTACATCAGGACTGTGGTGGATAAACAGGACACAATCGACACTGTTTTCCGGACATTCAAAATGAAGGTCATTGCAGGCGAGGAGAATCTGCTGGTGGAACAGAGGGAAAGTGATTGTGTTTTCACGTTTGATTTCTCCAAGGTGTATTGGAATTCGCGGCTTTCCACAGAGCACGGACGGCTGGTCAAGATGTTCAGCCCGGGAGACGCTGTTTGCGACGTCATGGCGGGTGTCGGGCCTTTTGCCGTGCCCGCGGGTAAAAAGCAGTGCATCGTCTTTGCCAACGATCTGAACCCAGAAAGCTATAAATACCTCAAGCTGAACGTAAAGAAAAATAAGGTTGACAGCTTTGTCAACTGTTTCAATGAGGACGGAAGAGATTTTATCCAAAAGTCCCCAAAACTGCTTGCGAATTTTGCAGAAAAACACAAGCAGATTGAGGTTAGCAAGCCGAACGCGCGTGGAACAAAGAAACACAAGGTCACCAGGGTCGAAATCCCATGCTTTTTCTCGCACTATGTCATGAATTTGCCGGACTCTGCCATAACGTTTGTGGACGCGTACGTGGGTCTCTTTTCCAATGCTTTCCCAGAGTTGACGCGCAAAGAGGTGAAAAACCTGCCAGGATACAAATTACCGACCATTCACGTCCACCATTTCGAAAAGTTCGCACCGACCGAGAATCCAGAGCCGACCAAGCAAGAATTGCAGCACAGAATCCACCGAAAATTGGTGGACCTTTTGAAATTTGAGATACCGTTCGAAAACCTCTCCTTCCATTACGTCAGACTGGTGGCCCCCACCAAGCCCATGTTCTGTGTCTCTTTCACGCTACCAGAAGAAGTCGCGTTCGCCACAGCAAAAAAATAATAGCCGTTTAAATTGCATACGATAATCATATAAATAGCACCTTCATCAGCATGACGATCGTAACTCGGAAAAAAATGACATCTTGTCTATGTTGCTAGCAGCACGTGCTGGTCACCGCTGTGTGTGTATTATGCTGGCCACCTTTGCGCGCCATCTGCATGCACTCCAGAAAGAGCTATAGCTCCAGGTCAGGTCCCTGGCCCCCACCATGAACCCGGTGTATCTGTTGAACTGCTCGCTCATGTGTCCGTCTCTGGCCGCGTGCTCCTTGATAATTGCCAGGTACGCGTCCGCGTACCTTTTCAGCGCTCCCACGGTGTCGGCAAACGCTTGCGAGCCAAACGGCAGGACTGTCTGGTTGTGTATCTTGAGGTCTGTAATGCTCTCAAACAGCTGTCTCAGCTCAACAGGAATAACCAGGTCTTTCTCGTATCTGTAGTGGCTGTAGATGTATTTGTATATCAGTTCGGCGGCAGAAGCGGTCGCAATGAACCACGGATTTCCTTCACTGGTGTCGACTCCGTTGTAGATGTCCTCGGGGTATCTGCCCAGCGCGAAAGCAGCGCTCAAATTCAGTCTGTTGTGGTTGATTGGGTAGCGATACTTCATGTCATTGGCCAGAGCAACAAGGGTGTTGAGCGAGGCTGGATCGTCCACGTTGAATGGAATTTCCACGTCATCTTGGGTGTCGACGTTGAATGTGTGTGTCCTGATGATCCCAATTATAGTGCCGGCGTCAATACCGGTTCTCTCGCCGGTAGCCAGCAGCTCGGGGGTTTCGATCAGGTACGGGATCGAGTTGAGTCTGAAGCCTGAATCTATTAAAATGAAGTATCTCAGCGCAGCGTACGAGGACGTCAGGTTCCCGTAGAAGGTTTTATCTTCAAAACGCAGAGCCTCCTGGAAACCCATTTTCAGCGCCTTCAGCTGCGTGAGACTGGTGAACAGATGCACAGAATTAACCTCTTCCCAAAGATCAAATCCTTTTTTGTACCAGCTGCGGGTCACGTACGAAAGGTCTGGCTTGACCACCTCGTGGTAGATTGTCTCCTCGTCTATGAGCTCGTCTTTGAGAACAAGCTCCTTGTTGTACTTCCGCAGAATATTCAGGTAGCTGATCACCGTGCTTGCTCTCAGCGCGGGCCCGTCTCTCTGGGGTCTGCCCCAGGGGCCAGTAAATTCTGTGGAGTTGACCTCGAATTTGGGCTCTCCCAGTCCCTCCAGGGTTTCAAAGGTGCCTGATGGGTTAGACAGCCGCTGCAGTTTCTTAGAGTTCACAATGTACGCCTCAATAATCTCCGGAATATTATACTCTGCGTCCTCAAACCCAGTGTCGTCCAGATAATCGATTAGGGTGCCGATCGTGACTGCTGAGTCTCTGGTCCATTGGTAGAAGTAATCTGGTTTTGATCTGGACGGAGACGCTATTATGGCTCCCTTGGCAACGCCCGCGAGATCGGTCGAGTTATGGTATCCGCCGATGTTGGAAAGAATTCCCTTAAAAGCAAAGTCCTTTTGCGATATTAGCCAGGACTCAAAGTCGTCTGCTGGGGCGGCCTCTTTGGAAACAACGGCCTGGGAGACAAACGTGGGCGGCGAGTTGTCTGCCGTGCTGACCGCTGCCGTGACAAAAGACGCCACGCCGGTTGCTGAGTGTCTGATTAGACGGGAGACGTACGAAGCCAGGTCGTTAGGATAAGGTGATCTGTTGGCAAACAAGGGCAAGGCTCCTTCTTGAACCAGCGGGACGGCGCCCGACATCGGAATGGGCGCCAATCCGGCGAGTAACAGGAGACTGACCTTGAGGTTCATCTGGAATCCGTCAGATCTTAGATTTCGAAAATGAGGTTGATTTTTTTGTAGCAATCGATAAGGGCTCGAATTTCAGGGTTACTGGATATCCTGATGAAGCCTGGAAGTGGAAAGAGACGAAACGCTCAGATGAATACCTGGTCATCAACTTTTGAGTTGGTGAAATAATCTATTGAAGTAAGCGCCCAAACAGGACCATGGAAGCAAGTAGTGTTTGGCTAGTTTGCATACAGCCTAGACGGTGGGGTATTGTTAAAATTTTTAATGACATATCTTGCGAGTTGGCGCCCATTTTGACTTAGAAATTACAAGTTTTGAGGTGACCCACGCAAGCGGGTGGGGCTGTTAGCTGGGGGTCTCAGTCTCCTCTCGCTAATATGTTACACAGATCGATCCAACGCATGGAAGCGGGAAGCAGGGGGTTATGTAGCGCAATGGACCTAATGCATGCCGGGTGTGGGGAGAACTAAATAGGAAATATTGGGGAGCCGGTCTACAGTGGCTGCGGCCGGCCACTACTCGGGCTGGAATTAAGTTCTGAGGATTATTAATTTGGGAGGTCGTACCGGATGAAATGAAATCGCTGGGCGAATCTTGAAGAAGCCATAAAGCTGACGTTCCTAACACCTACAGGGTACATGATGGCTGAAGCTGGGTGCAAATTTGCTCAATCCTATAAGGAATATATTCTAGACAATATTCTCCAAGACACAAACCTCAAGCAGAAAACTCGTTAAATAGTGATGCGGTTTCCCACGTACAAAATCTCCTGGTTAGGTTCCTCGCTTTTCTGCGGAAGCAGGAAGTCCATCGTGCTGTTGTTGGAAATGCCATTGATCGGCGCAAATAGGTAGTTGATCAGCCATCTTCTCAAGACTCTCCATGGTAGCTTGGCAATCCGCATGGCCCTAGACTCTTCCTCCAGGTCCTTACTATCGTATTCCTTAGACGACACAAATTCCCTTTCAAACAGATGAACGATCGGAACAGTGAAATGGTTGTTGTCGTCCATCACATCGTCTGTGCCGTACACATTTTGGAGCTCTTCGATATCCGGAATCGACAGTAGCAGGCTTCTCAAAAGTTTCTTGGTGAGCAACGTTTGGTGCATGAATCCGGACCGGACAATGCATCTATAGAAGCCAGGAATACCGGCAATTCTTTGCAGACGGTACGATTCTTCTTCCTCGATGAACGGAAGCGTGCTCACACGGGGCTCTATGAGGATGAATATCTTGGGCACGGAATTGAAGGAGTGGATCAGATGTTCAAATAGGTGTGGCAGACAGCTCCTGTTGGTGAGAGTGGTGGAAGAAGTGCAGTACATGATTCCCACATGATTGTTTCTGGGGATCTTGACAACATTTCCATAGTACTTCATTTCCAGATATTGGTCGTCCTGGTTTCCCGTGGTGCCAAAGGAGGGAACAGACGCCACGGACTCCTCGTCGTTAGCCACAGTGTCTCTTTTTTTGCCAATGTCACTGTTCAAGTTGACGACGACTGCTTCTTTTTGGGCCTTGACCGTTGACGAGCTCACAAATAACTCGTCCACGGACTTTTTGAAGCTGAGGTCATAGTTGACCTTGAGACCTCTGCACCATCTCCAGAAGGAAATAAAGATGAAGCTGATTCCAGCCATTGCCAGCGGAAACCAGGCACCGTTAGGCACTTTTCGCAGACCTGAAATGATCAGCAGGGCGTCCAGAGTGCCAAAACCTAGCATGAACACTATTGGTATGATTATGTTGATCCGATAGACATATATCATGCAGATAGTGATCAAGATTGTTGTGAGGATGAAGTCGATAGAGATGCCCAGTCCGTAAGCTGCGGTCACGTTATTGCTGTTTTTGAATCCAACTGTTGTAAGAACCACACAGACCATCAGAACCCAGTTGGCGACAGGGATAAAGATTTGTCCAGAGTGTTTTTCCGAGGTGTAGATGGCCTTCAGCCGTGGGAAGCAATCCAGTGTGATGAGTTGCTTCAGGATGCTAAAGACACCCAGTATCAAAGCCTGAGAGGCGATGATGGTTGCGAGTGTGGCCATGACGAACATGAACCAGTAGTAGCCGTCACCATTCTGACCTGGAATGGAAAGGTAGAACACATTTGAGACGCCAGTCGGGTGCTCCATCAGATAGGCTGCCTGTCCAAAGTAGCATATTATCAAACATGGGTACACGAAACAGCACAGGGCCAATTGGATGGGCAGGGGTCCGAAGTGCGAGACATCGGCGAACATTGCCTCGCAGCCAGTCAGACAAAGCATCATGGAGCTGAAGGAGTCGATTCCTTGGTCTTTTAGGAACTGCACTGCATAGTATGGATTAAGTGCTTTCATGATTTTTGGATGGAACTTGGCAACGCAGATGACTCCATTGACAAATAAGCAAATCAGCCATATAGTGACAATTGGCGAGAACATCATGGACAGCTTTCCAGACCCGAATCTCTGGGAAAGAAACAGAATGATCAGGACACCACACGAAACAGGCATCACCTTGTCCTCGAAAGAAGGTACTGCCACCGCAATGCCCGAGATCGCAGACAACACAGATGTCGTTGGAGTCAGAAGGCCATCTGAGAACACCAACGAGCATCCCAAAAAGCACACTGCGAGAGTGAATTTTGATAGGAAGCTTTTGATGAGCTCGCTGGGCATCGAGTCTCCATGCGAGTAATTGGAAGCATTGGTGTTTGTTCGCGTGAGCGAAAGCAAATCGTCATTGTCAGCCAGCTCTTGGGCGTACTCTCTGCTGCCAGGAATTTTCACGCCCTTTGGGCCAAACTTCAGCGTTCTGGCAATCTTGGAATAAATGGCAATCTGTCCACCTTCGTTGTCGTTTGGCCCGATATTCAGCACAATCAAAGCATACTTGACTATCACAACAATTGTGAAAAGCCAAAAGATACACGACATTGCCCCATATACCTCTTCGTGACTTGGATTGCTGGTGCCGCTAAATATGGTTGAGAACACATACAAGGGGGACGTTCCCAAATCTCCATAGATAGCTCCCACGGAGCCATAAGCCATTTTGAGGACTGCAAGTCCATTTCCCAATCTCTGCATACTGTTAGGTCTTCAGACTCCTGCTTTGGTACCTACCTTTGCGGAAATCATATAGTTGCGACCAGATGCTAGAAAAGGGGGGTTTTAGCTCCTTTATACGTCTCTGAGGAGCAGCGTCTGAGGTATTTTGGATGCTTCGCCATCTACAGTCATCCAATAGAAACACGTTTTACGGGGAAACAAAGCAGGATTCCCAAAATCAGCAAACTCTTGCCCTGGTGAGGGCATTCAGAGTTCAGCTGTCACGAATAATCCCTAATTAGACGAAAAAACGTTGATTGAAATTCGCTCACGGCTGTGCGCAGCAAAAATTTACGCACGTTGGAGGATACGCGTAGCAGAATTTAACGGCTAAAAAGAAGTGAGAAACCATTCCAGACTCCGAGTGGCAATGAGATCTGACTACCATATAGCGAGCCGCCTTCTGGAAGGGCAGCAGGACTTGAGCGAATTTCTCGCTATTCTGGGTTGTATTATGGCCTGTCGCAATCAGTGAAAAACCGAGCCTCGTTAAACAACAGCGTATACGTCATGGCCCCTGAAAATAATAGTAGTTCCTGGAAAAAATATCTCAGATTGTCGCATTTATTATGCTTGGCAAATTTTTAGTCTAATCATTAATCGTTTGGAGGGTTTAGTTTTATAGGTCGCTCACCAAGTAAGGGAATTACATCGCAGTTATCACCGGAACAAGCCACACCCTTATTGATTCCGCGCTAGAATTGATCCTACTGGTGATCTTTTTTCTGGTCGGATCACGAGCAACCAAATATGAACATAACCAGATATTAAAATACACTAAGGTCCTAAAGAATGCTTCAGACGACACGAAGCGCTCCTACGTCCAGATTTGTCCAGTACTTTTGCTGCGACAATATTGATTGTGGGTTCTTTGTTCTCGTTGATTCCTTAAGATTCGCAAAAGTAGGAACAATAGTCAACTATTGTGCTGTCACTGTGGAAACCTTGAGCTCAGACGTAGGCATCTTGTCCCAAAAACAACTGTTTTCTGCTACAAATGGTCCGACCACGTTCCCCGAAGCACGAACGGTGCTGGTTCTGGGTTGATTGGCTGGGTTCTGTAAAAGCTTTTTGATGGCTCTTGTTTCAGCAGCACTTAAAATTTGGATTGAGACAGCTGATTTTGTTCACCGTGTCTAAAGTCACCGGAACGCTAGTTGATTCGTTATTTTGGTGCTTTTTGCCAATTGAGTCTGTTGACCTCAGACCCTTAAATTGTCTTTGAGTGTGCGCAAGGTGAAAAGCTAGCCAAACACTTACCTGGAACCAAATCAATCATTTGTACAGATTTGCTCAGCAGCAACGATGTCAATTCTCTGTTGAGACCTATCAATAACTTCTGTTCACCTTTCTCATTGAGCATGTACACTGAGGGCCGCACTTTCAACTGTTCAATTTACAAATATCAACAGCTCCCGTCAAGCTGTTTGGTGACCCATAACCATAGAATGGACGTCCCACTGCAATATATAGCTCTTGTTGAAACTCGAAAACCTCTAGTGACCTCCCAAATCCCGAATACCCTTCCCCAAGAGCACCTTGGTATATAATACCGCCAAACCCAGTGTTTTCTTCACCTAGCAAAATTTCTTGCTGGATTTTCAAGTTCGCATTAGCGTCCAAGATCTTTTCCACATTTAGTTTGTAAATAGCACCAGCGCCGTCGAGATAACCTTCGGCAACTATGTATACCTCATTTCCTTGTGCCAGGGCATTGACGCCAAAAAACAATTGATGTCCTTTCTCAGGTCTGATCTTTGCTACCAATTCCAGCCTTTGAAGATCCAGGTATAGGTATGCTGCTCCACACAGCAGACAGTTGTCAACGGTTTCGGAGTTGGCAAAAACCATGATCCATGTTATTTTGTTCCAGCTTCCAGTGATGATTTTATGAAATCCGTACAGTCCAGTAGATTGAGAAGATGTGCTTCTGATAGCTCCGTCATGTAAGTCGGAATTCGTGCCATATAGGAACTCTCCTGATTTATTGAATATAGCAAGCAATCCGCTTCCTGCTGAGCCAATGAACAATTTGTCTTGTGAAAATGCAACTGAGGTTGCGAACTCATCATATCCAGAATCTCGCTGCAACTGGTGAGGAATGGTGAGACAGTTGATCTCCATTTCATCATCGTTTATAAGTAGTGGAACACCGTATGATCCCGAAGCAGAGCCGATGTATTCTTCAATCAACTTTACAAAATGAGCTCCACTCAGTATTTTCACTATACCCCTTTGAACGGCGTCCAAAGTGTCATAGTGACAAGATCCCACTATAAGATCATCAATTCCATCTTCATTCACATCGGTTACCACAAGTGTCAGTCCCATTAGTTTGGGGCCTCCACTGCCTAACCGTGTTTTGGCCTTCTCATCAAGAATTACAGCCACAAGTCTCGACTCCAAAAATACATTTAGATGGGATAGTCCTGGTTCCGAAATGACTAGAAATGAGTGGTGTGGTGTATTCCATATTGCCATTCCATGCCCGAACCTTGGAGCAAATGATAGCTCTTCGGTTTCCTTGTATAGCTTCGTGCTTATAACATGCCCTTCCCCTGCGAACAATTCTTTTAGCGGCAAGACGTATACATAGCCTTGTCCTTCATCGTACTCTGCTCCAATAAGTAGTTGAGCGCATCCGTAAGCTGTCACATGAAACAACAAGCTGGTACCAAATTTGGAATTCACATTGTTACTCCAGATACGCAAAGCGCCTTCGCTTTTACGTCGCATGCCTATTTGCCGGTCATTTGATTTTCTTCCATAGCTCTTTGAGAGGAAACCATCATTGAGACCTGATTGAAAGATAGGACAAATATGCCAGGGATCGTTCAGCAATATGCCGTCAAATAGTCCCGTAAGGCCCTCCAAGCAACAGCTGATGGTATAAACTATATCATTCAGGCCTCCAAAGTAATAGTCATCCAGAACTTCATTGAGAAGGGGAGATCTATATCGTACCGCTGGAGTGAAAGATTTAAATGTTCCCAATTCACCCTGTAATGCTGCGTATCCTCTCATCATGCAAAACTCAATTTCGTTTTGAGAAACTTCAAACCCCAACTTCCCGTACGTTTCGACCAGCCCTTTTGTGGGAATATCCCAAGGAGTGGAATAGTATTCCAGAAGACTGATTCTTTGATTGGGTTGAAGGTTCTCAAATTGGTGCGATAGCACGAGAAAATCTGCTCCAGTATCTAGAAATGAGTGCGCTTGGCTCACGTTTCCATTGAAATCGATATGTGCCAAATATTGGAGCAGCCCTTGAGATTTATGCAGTGAATGCCAATTGATGTCTGCTATTTGATGTGTGAATACACCATAAATAAATGCTTTTAGTTTTAATTTGGTATCTGGTTCCGCCGTTTGTTCATATGTCAATACAAGTTTTTGTAAGAATGGAGGCCAATGGGCTTCTTCACCAGCATCCGAATGCCCCATGCAGTCGTAGAAGGAGTCTGGATGAAAGGCTCCCGCTAGGAGAGACCCTGTCAAATCTTGTATGTCTTCTGGTAGCAACGAATGAACTCTCGATAATATGTTCATATGTACCGCCACGCCAGCACAGCTTACAAACGGTATGAAGAACCATATAAATGATGGCATCTTCACGGTCTTGAATTGAATCTATACTAAATAATTCGACCCGACTATCGACTCTTATCAAGACTGATATTTTTCCGATTGCTAAATTATCGTGCAGGGTCTGAGTCCACTCAACTTCAACACAGCTGTTGAGATCACGGCTGCGTGTTGTACAATTGAGGTCTTGCAACGAACAAACCAGGGTATGTCCACTGCAATATCCAAATGGCTGATCTCTGTCTGTGGGACAACCAGTCTGATATCGTTGATGATATCAGCCCTGGCTATTTATTTGCAATCAAGTAACTACAGAAAACCCTTTGAGCAGCGACTCATAGTGAGAATACTGCTTATTGTTCCATTATTCGCAGTCACCTGCTTTGTGACTTTGCTCAACCCGAAAATTGGGGGTATTATTGAACCGATAAGAGAAATCTACGAAGCGCTGGTTATTTATACATTCTACAAGCTCCTTGTGTACATGCTTGGGGGTGAACGAAAGATCATACAAGACTCATTTGGGAAGCCAAAAACTAGCCACCCATTTCCCGCTAACATCATTTTTTCGCCAATTGATTTTTCCAACCCTTCACACTTTTTACTCGTCAAGCGATGTATCCTACAGTATGTGTGGGTCAAACCACTTTTATATCTAGTGATCATCATTGGAATTCTAACCGGAATATACGATAGCTCAGACATCTCATGGGGGAGCTTGTACACTTGGACGGGACTAGCTTATAATGTGAGCGTCACTATTTCATTATACTATCTTGCTATGTTCTGGAAATGCTTATATTCTGAGCTAAAAAAGTTCAGTCCATGGGGTAAATTTATGTGTGTGAAGTTGATTATTTTCGCTTCGTACTGGCAAGGATTAATGCTTGATGTAATGAGCTGGGCCGGATTGCTGTCCCCTAGGAAATTAACAAACGTGGCCTGTTTGACGGGGAGCCAAATTCAGAATGCACTGTTATGTTGTGAAATGATTTTTTTTGCATTATTGCATTGGAATTCTTTTCCCTACACTGACTTCACTCACGAAAAATATGGTGATGCAGCCCGGGTGACTACTTTCCATGCCTTCAAAGATTGGATTCTTCTTGGGGATCTTGCTTACGACCTCAAAATGACAACACTGTACGGCGACACGTATAACTTTCGCAATTTCGATTCTATCAACGACAATCGAATCTACCCAAATTCGGCAAGTTTCAATCAGCGTATCTACGATGGACTACGATATTCTTCTGATGGCCGTAAATATTGGCTCCCAGACCAGCGTAAAAATCAACGAAATCATCGATCAGGATCATCTGGCTCATCTTCAAATTCAGTGAATGGATTACATACCACCATCGACGAAAACACTTCTCTTCTTGGACCTCATAGGGTCTCTTACTTAGATACCGTTTCTGAAGAGCTACAAATTGATTCAATTGACAGCAACACAGACACCAAGTACCTCTCGCCAGATTACGCAAAAGATGAAACCCTCTATCATTTCGTCCGGACAAAAAAATATGTTACTGAGAAAATCCTAAATTATCCCGTGACGTACGAGTACAAACTAGTTGACAGCTCTAAAAAAATGACGAAACTGAAGAGCCAGCTAGAGCAACACCGGAACTCTAATAGTCATTTGTTGAGGACTATTGACGAAAGTCAATAAGGTGATGACTCGAAATCACTCCCGCGATCAAAAGAAGATCTATGATTTTTAAATTCTTATCGTAACATAATCACAACCTTATCTATAATATGAAGTCATAGAATAAAAGAACTGACAAAAATTTTCAAGGCTTAGACTACTGCCAAATACGTTGAATATGCACCTTAGCAGTACTTTGGGATCTAGAACTGTAATTTATTTTTGAATACATAATAGTTAATTGTGTTTACTGCGAATGGTGTCAGGAACCACACTAAAAGTCGGACATCAGCTGATAAATTGACAGAACCTTTTTTTGGCGGCACTGCTACACTTTCCCCACCTAATTGCTGCTGTTGATGACACAAAATTCCTATTGTAAGATTTCACCCGCATTTTGTCCTGATGGGTAGTGAACGACCATTTCCTGTGATTTGGGATATATTGCCACAATGTTGACATATAATAGAACATATCGTGCTCTCAATACTTTTTGTAATCTTGACTGACATCTTTATCAACTTCTTGGCACTTTGGATTTTTTCTAATTGATTAGTCACAAAGCCTATCCTGTTCATATCTACAAAATGGATCATATAGACCAGTCCCCTGGCGCACAAACCTCACCGCGCATAACAAGCTCGCAACTAAATAAACCTATTACAGCGGATCGTCATATCTTACCCAATAGGCTGCCATCAACATCAGATTCACCATTCGCTGAACCACAAGTTAGCAACAGTGCCAACGTTGCCCCTTTCTCAGCAACTCAGACTACCATAAGTCCAAAGTCGACAAATGCTTCTTCGCTCAACAAGTTTGAAAATGCGCCTCATTCCTCATTATCATCTACTTGTTCCTCCTCGAGATCAAGAAGATCTTCAGTGGGCAATGCACCATTGAGTCCGGAGAATCTTATAGACGTCATGGAGAAGGAACAGGAAGGAATAGTTTTGAAATTAATGAAGGAGATACAAAATTTGAAAGAAGAAAATAAACAGTTAAAGCAACAACTGGCGAAGTTCATGCCTGGATCAGCCACAGGTTCCAATTCATCTGCTTCAAACTCCTCATCCGTAAGTAGATCGTCAAGTCAGCGACGTTCAACGATCGGAGGATCAGTAGCCAGCTCCAAAAGATTACCCAGTATCTCCACCACCGCACTAGGAATTAGCAGTTTCTACGAATCTCAGCCTTTTGATCAGCCAGATTTTCGAACAAGCAAAACACGTAAAAAAGGGGGAAATTCACCCACATTTGCAAACTACTCTCTCAATTCTGTCGGAAGGAGAGACAGTTTCACTTCCGATAAGGTTATGGAGGATATCTCACCCTTGTGTATCCCGGGTACATCAACAAGAGACGACAACAACAACAAAATGGACCAGAGCGCGTTAACTCAAGCAAGATGAATATATATTGGTGCATGTGGTTCATGGCGCTTAAATCAATCAAAGACAATTTGGAACTTTGTTTTGAGTATTAAGTTACATCGTCTTCTTTCAGTCTGACCTTCAAATAACGAGAGCCAACCCAAGTATCAAGCTGAGCCATGAGATTCAATTCCATTCCAATTTCCCTCGCCCTCTGCATCTTCAAGGGAGGATTTACTTTAGCGGCTCCTGCCGAACTTCAGTCCCAAGCAACTACAACTCACCATTTTACTGAGTTATCATCCGTCAACATCTCTATGTTGGCCACAACTCCAATGCCAAAATGGCTTTCTGATTTCACTGGACTCAACGAGTGGCCGGGAGCAGACCCACCTTACATTCCGCTGGACTTCATTGATTTAAAAGCGATCCCGAACTTTCCCCCTCGACCAGCGGGTACATGTCCTCCAGATCGTTCCAGTTGCTCGTTTGATTGCTTCAAATGCATTTCCTTCGATGATGCTTATACGTGTCCCGTCCTTTCTCAGACTTTCGACGATGGTCCTTCAGCTTCAACACCGAAACTACTAGAGGGTCTGGATCACAAGACCACATTTTTTACTGTTGGAATGAATGTAGTTCGGTATCCGGAAATTTACAATCAGATCAAACAAAATGGGCATTTGCTTGGCTGCCACACATGGTCTCATAAGTTCTTGCCAGGATTAACAAACGAGCAGATTGTCGCTCAACTAGAATGGTCCATTTGGGCGATGAATGCGACTGGCGGCCATTTGCCAAAATGGTATAGACCTCCGTACGGTGGTGTTGATGATAGAGTTAGACAAATTGCTAGAGCTTTTGGAATGCAAGCTGTTCTCTGGGACTATGACACTTTTGATTGGAGGATGGAGACTTCACCACCTTCCAAAACAGCCAGTCAGATTTTCAACGATGTGAATCAATGGAAGAGTTCTGGGTTAACTGGCCTTATTTTAGAACATGATGCTTATGCGTCTACAGTTGATGCCGGAATTGAGGTGAGCAAAATTCTAGGCAATAATCAAATGACAGTTGCCGAATGTGTTGATAGTATTGATTACATCAAAACTTTTGACTAAGCAAATATAGGTTAATGCATTTATTTAGGATGAGTCGTTAAACCCCCTCAAGTCATCAATGAAGATGTGACCAGACTAGTGGTTTTTCCAAGTGAGGTTGAATCTCCCATCTGGCACAACATAATTATCTAATTTTTCAATAACTTCCTCGGGTGTACTTGCAACCGCCACAATATTGCTATTATTCTTGGAGATGAATCCCGCTTCAACAGCTTTGCTCAAAAATTTGATAAAGTCGTCGTAGAAGCCATCCACATTAAACAAAACCACAGGTTTTTGATGAATTCCCAATTGAGACCATGTGGTAACTTCCATAATTTCTTCCAAAGTGCCAAACCCTCCGGGCATGGCAACAAAGCCGCCGTCTGCTTCCATTCCCATCATTCTTTTTCTTGTGTGCATGTCCGACACAATCGTAGTTCTACCGTAACTATCATCTAATGGGGTTTCTCCTTTGTGATTGTCCACATCGGATTGAATCTTTTTGTTAATCTCATCAACAGAGCCAGTTCGTTCTTTGGAGACCAAAGCATCGGGAATGATTCCATGAACATAACCACCTTTTGATGCGACAGATTTGGCAATCAGTCCCATCAGTCCCGTAGTTCCACCGCCATAAACCAGCCCATAATCCTTTGCCGCAAGCAAGTTTCCTAGCTCCGTTGCCGCTTGAGAATAGGACGCTTCTTTTCCAAATGATGAACCGCAAAACACACAAATTGTCTTTCTGGGATTGACCGTCATTTTTTCTTTTGTACTCAATGGTTCAATAGAACGGACGAAAATATGCTTCTTATATAATAAATCAAATCAGAATTGAAGGTTCCTAAAAGGGAAAGTTTCTTTTATTTTCACCGGGGGACAAGAAATTCACGTCAGGCGCCATGAATTCGCGCGCCTAAAATTATGACTGAGGTTAGAATCAATAGAAGCTGGGCCGGAAATTTTTCGGTCCTTCCTGGATGGGTTAATGTTATCGTGATAATTATTCCGGGCTATTTTTTTTTTACCGGTATAAATACTAATCAGGAAAGCTATAAAGATAAGATAAGTATTCTAATATCCATTTTATCTCAAACAAGCATCAAGCCAACGCCGAATCTCGCACGAATCTATCAACGATTAATTCAAAGGCGGCAGCAAATGTGACCCCTAAAACCATCTCCCAGTTTCCATTGGGAGTTGAAAAGTAATCTGTTTTATCGTAAATAGTAATCCAGCCCAGTTTGTAATCGTTCGGTGAATCATCTTGAGGATGTCTTTGAAGAAGACCATCTCTAGCAAAGTAAAAAGTTCGTTCGCTCAATGATTCTTCATCATCAAAGCTTATGGCCTCCAAATTTTCGCTAAGCTCTTCACGAGCTGAGTGAAACGAATCTCCTTTCGAAAATACTTTTTTCGTAATTTTTGCTTTAATATCCCTTTCGCAGGGTCTGAAAAGTCCTATGATTGAATCATGCCAATATGGTCCACCTAACTTATCATCAATGTAATAAATTGAACCTTCCTTTGATAACTTAACTCCATCAATTTTGTTCTTGAACAAAATGGTGCTCTTTTTTTCTTTAAGCGAGCAAACACGAAGATTCTTGAGGCGATAGCAAGTATCCATCACCATTCCATTTTGTGAGAGCGAGTTGGCCTTGTTGAAAAATGTGGCCGCGATTTTCTGTTGCTTCGAACTGTACGAATGCCGTCCTTCATCATCCACAAACTCGCAACCAGTTCCCATAACCTCAAGATCTCCTCCCCTGATATGCGATTGTTTCAAGATTGTGAAAACCTGGGATGGGTCAAAGTTTGTGTCGCTCGACTCTGGTTTTAAGATTGGATACCTTTGTTTTCTGAACACCAACTGAAACCCATTGTTTGAAGCCGAAACATAATTGTTGTCTGAAGAATTTTTGAGTACAAGCTCAACATAATAGCCAGGTGCGCCTCTAACAAATTTGTGTCGATTATCAGGGTTCGTTGTAAGATAGAATTCAAACTGACTGATTTGCAGAACGTGATACTTCCAGAACTTTTGAGCATGAGAGGAGGGTGAACCATGCTCTTCGTGGCTTTCGAGAAAGTTAACAGCATTGGGAGAGAATCCCCGAGCGGATGATTGTCGTAACTTCAATGTCTCGAGGGAATTTTTCAATACGGTTCCTGCACCAGATCCCGAAATTCGTTGCGAATATGGACTATCTGTTGGAAATCTTCGCGTCAAATGAGACTTTTGAGGCTGTCCCTCAGAGTCGTTATTTAGCCTATTCCTAGTAGATGAAAAGTATGTTTGTTTATCGTTGTCCTCGTACATTGGTACACCTAAATGAATACTCCTCCTATCGCTATCCCCAGTATTGACAAGGTTTGAAAATTTCAAGTGGACAACACCAATGATCAAATTCTGCCAAAATAATAAATACTGTAATTTACGCAACAATTCTCATGATATCGGTAAACATGCAAAGCCAAATGAGACTACTTACGCTCAAAAGCTAACTGCACTTTCGTGTTTGACAATCATGATTGATTTACACTAACCAGATTGTACACATAGAATTTCATTCATCATCACTCTCAACCCTTTCTTGTCCACTAATGTGTCCGATGTGAGCATCCGCATCCTTTTCGAAAACATACAAGCGAGCATTTCTCTCATGTGCAGTTTTCGTTGTATTCTTCATACTATTTGTTCTTCTATGATGATAACCATCAAAGGCTTCCCACGCAAACCGCCCTGATCTTTCAACTTTATAGTTGATTGATTCTCTTGCTAAACGCTTGACTTGCCAGGAGTCATACGGCTCACCTTCAAATAACGCCAAAGCAATCCTTTTCTTGGATCTTTCTGATTGGATAGCTCGTACTTTACCAAGATCGGGTTCTCTCAATGCTACCCCGGTCTTTTCGTCGAGAAGTTTCTGTGTGGCTAGTTTTGATGCATCGAGAAGGTTGAAGAACTCGTGGCAACTTTTAAAAAAGGAGTGAATCAACTTTTGATGAAAGAGTATGTTCCTTGCGACATCCTTGATGCCTTTGCCTGTATGAGGGAAATTGAACATGATGAGGTCAATATGATTAGTTCCAAGCATCGTGATATTGCGATTAGCATGTTTTCTAACATTCGAGCTTAATTTAAAGGATCTGATTAATTGTGTTGCATCTATGTTGAAAACAACATGAACGCCACTATTCCTCAATGAGTCAATGATATCTCTTGCATGTGGATACTTTTTGTAAACATCATCCTCCGAATCTAGACTTGTCGCCCAAGTACAAGAAGGATTTACATAGTGAGCACGGACTATGCTTTGTGTAAACGAGAAGTCTCCCTCCCCAACCAGTAATAGATGGTCTGTCGGAGCAAATGGTATGAATGGTTTGTTCGTATATGTATGAATGGTAGCGTTGATGGTATGAGTGTTATTTTTATAATCATCCTTTATTGGAATTTTCCTTTTTGCTTCTGCACCTTCCCTGGAGAGCAAACCGTATTTTTTGTTCGCGTCTGAGTAATATCGCGTCAATGCAGATTTCAGCTTACCCTTTCTAGGTTTTGAAGATTTGTTTTGTTTAAGGGGGTGCTTAGCCATTCAAAAGTCTTTTCATTGAAGTTCTACACAAATTAAAACGTCGTTTTTTTTGTTTTTTTTCGCACTGCGTAATTTTGTAAAAGGAGGTGTAGTGGGCAGTCAATAAGCACATCCGTCATCAGTGCCTCAATTTCTTTCTTATGTTGGAAATACTTTTGTGATTTGTTCCCTTTTGAAAACCTCTCCTGTCAAAGGGTCCAAAATTTCATAGTTGTCCAACAGACCAGTAAACCTGTCCTTACTGAGAACTCCAAAAGAGTCGTTCAACTCTTTGGAAAGTTGAGCTGGCATGAGCTTCGATTGATCAAAGTTCTCCCCACTAATCTTGTAAGATTTGGAACTCAACTTATCATATTGGTATATATTACCATTAGGAAGCATCACTGGATTGTCATAAATATTTGATTTAACCTGATGAGAGAAGGGGATATCATGAGTGAGTTCATATAGATCGGGTGAGCATATCGGGCATTCATTATGTATCGCAACTCTTCCATCTTTGCTCCTCTGGTCGATCAAGTAATCGTCGAAGCTGATGTCACCTGTACGTGCTTGACTCAGGGTCGATGAGCGCATACAAGACCTTGTCTTAAGGGCAGTCGATCCCACACTTAGAAGCAAAAGCAGGTCTGGTTTTTGGCTTATTCCATATATGGAATTGAAGTTGAAAAGGAAAAAATCAGCTAGCTTGGACCATTTACTTTCTTCCAAAAGCTCTTTTAACGGTGAGACATTTCCTTCAATTTGGCTCACCAGATTCATACTCTGGTCGTAAAACGAAGAGGTCTTATCATGTTGACGATTGTGATGTAGTTGGTTAGGATCGTTTAAGTAAGTTCGGTTCCAGCAAAGTAATGCCGCACCTGAAGCAATTTTGTATAAGTTGTCGTCCACATTCGTGTCCAAGAAATCCACCAAATATTCGCTGGCAATCTCGAGAGCCTTGGTAAGCTCTCCTAGCTTGACGTTTTCAATAAAACTTTGAAAATAAGTTTCAAACTTTAAAGAAGAATTTGGATCGTTTTCCTCCTGGATTGACTTTAGATTCTTTTTGTTTTCTGTGCACCATTTGATCAAAATCTTCAGATTCTTGTGATACTTAATCTCCTTGTAAATTGCAAGACCTTGTAATATCACATCATAGTCAATCAAATTATCTAGCCCCAGTTTTTTAGCTAAGATAACACCCGAGTTGTATTCATCGGAATGTAGTGGGTCCATATAAGAGCTTTTGAGAAGGAAGTCGATCAGTAAAAGGTTTATTTCCTCTTTGTAGAGTGCTGCATATTTGGTAAGTGTTTCTTCGTCGGAGCGGTCTCTTCTGCGGCCATCGTATATCGTCTGAAATTGTTTTAGTTTTTGTACTCTCAGTTTCAGCTTTGTAATATATTTGTTATGCTCTTTGACCCTTCTCTCAATCTCTCCATTGAATATCTCTTGCTGTTGAATAGTCGAGTCGATAAGATTGAGTTTCTCCTGTTTATTTCGAGTGTTCTCAATCAGCTTTATCTGGGATATATAATAGCTTTTCTGTGATTCCACCAGTTTTTGTATGCTTTTGAAATTCTTTCTCAGCACCTCAGTTGGTGTTCGAAACTGAGATTGCTTTAATTGTAAATGAAAATCAACTGAATCAATCATCTTCCATACTTTTTGGCAAGAGATTCTATTCTATTTGATGCCCTTCAAATTAGTCCACGTTACGTAATAAATAGGGTCAGGCTGATAACGGATCCTATAAATATAGCGAGCTCAACTGTATATCTCTCTATACACGTAAATATAAATGTCAGCTTCTAGTTTTCTAATCATCTATTTAAGACTGGAGTTTTGATAGAATTGCCGCAGTAAATTCGGTAGTGGTAGCATTTCCCCCAATATCCGGCGTCACTGCTTTACCTTCAGCCAAAACGTCATAGGTTGCCTTAGCAATTTTATCCGCATAAGGATCTAATCCAAGATGTCTCAACATCATGGTTGCAGACAAGATCATACCGGTAGGATTGGCAACATTTTTATCCTTGATATCCAAACCAACATGTCTGCAGCCAGGCTCAAAAACGGCATGCTCTCTACCGAAGTTTGCTCCCGGCACTAATCCTGGTCCACCAATCAGGGCGGCACCAATGTTGGACAAAATGGATCCATACAAATTTGGCGTAACCATAACGTCAAATTGTTGAGGGTAAGAAACGGCTTGCATGGAAGCATTGTCAACAATCATGTCCTTGACCTCCACTCCTGGGTATTCTGCAAGACCAACTTCTTTTACAGTAGATCTGAATAGACCGTCACCTAACTTCATGATATTGGCCTTATGAATGGCAGTCACCAATTTCCTATCATTCTTGATAGCAAAATCAAATGCAAAGCGAGCAATTCTTTCAGTCTTGTATTTGGTCATGATTTTCAGAGATTCGACAACACCCGGAACTGACTGGTGTTCAAGGCCAGAATACTCACCTTCAGTGTTTTCTCTGACAAGAACAAAATCAATATCCTGAAGCTTAGATGGAACACCAGGAATGTTCTTTATCAGCACTAAAGAAGCAAAGATGTCAAGCTCTTTTCTCAATGCAACATTCAATGACTTTGCAAAAGGGGAGCTAGGTGTGTATGTAATACCCTTCAGTCCCACCTTGTTTCTCTTCAAAGACATAACAGCCTCGTCTATCTGAGAAGCAGAACCAGAGACTCCCGAAAGCTCCACTGTCTCCCAATCAATAGGAACATTCTCTGCAGCAAAAATTGTCTTCACCGAATCTGTGATTTCTTTACCAATTCCATCGCCGGGAATCAAGGTAACTATATACTTTCCGCCATACTTCTTTGGAAGAAAATTCTCGTTTAGTGTCGTAGCAAATCCTCGCTTGCCTGAGGCTTTGACTAAATGGCTTTTGACAAGTTGCGACAGCATGTTTGGTTCACAATTAGCAAAAAAATGTAGATATTAAATCTGAATTATATATTTTCAAATAGAGACCATTACGGAAAGGAATCTGCTGCCTGGTAATTTTTCAAACGCTCCAGCCAGCGCTGCCGGGCGCTCGTAAATTCTTAGGGGAGAACTTTGCAAGAAATCCGAACTCGAGTCCGAAATTTTGGTTCTCACACGAGGTGTTGACAACAGCCATCACCGAATACGGAGTTTACTAATGGTCATGTGACCTCTGGTCATGCGAGTCGTGAATGCGAATGAGTCCAAGGATCAAGAGAAAAGAATTTGATTTTTAGTCGACAAAGACATCATTAGCTCGTCAGACCTCTAGGTGTACATTCGTCATAAGTAGAGGGTCTTGCAGAGTATTTTGAAGTGTCCTAAAGGTTTCTTTAGCTATTTACAAACTCCTGGAGCAAGGCACGCGAGAACATTGGCAAGTCTCAAATTATAAGCCCAATGATTGACTGTGTGTGAACTTATACAAAATCAAAATCTGCGACTTTTCAAATATACTAAAGCCGCTATTTGAGCAGACTTAATGGAATGAGTAACGCACTTCAGTATCTCACCATTCTATGTTCATCTCACCAAATGGCTTGCTAGTCTGCAATTCGGCCACTAAACCTTTAGTAATTCCCCCATTCAGATATCTATTAAGTATTGTAGCCTTCTCATTTGTGCCTTTTCTTCGGTGGCCATCATCATAATTTTTTGCATTACTCAGCTTTTCGTGTTTAGACGCGACTGGACGCTTAGACGAGGAGGTTGCCTCCGTGTTTTGAGACTCTGGGATCAGATAGAAAAACAAAAATTCAAGCACTTTGACTTGTACTTCTTTCCATTCGTGGACCAAAGTTGAATCGTCGGACCTGTGTGTTAGTAGTTCACACAAATACTGAGGACCTCCCAATCGCTCAAATATTCTAAGATTTGGAACATTTCGAACAAGAGAACTCACAAGAACAGGAATAAGAGCTTCGATTACCTTGGGGCTATATTTTGGGCTGAGAAATTCCAGTAGAACACACATTTTGGATTCGTATGTCATTAGATTGCGAGATGAAGGATGAAGTAGAAAGCAACCTTGCAAGATTCTGAAAAGCACTCTTAGTGACTCATTTTCCTCGAAAGTACTAACAAACGGAATGATTTGAATGAGCTGTGACACCACGTTATACTGTATTTTGTCTTGTAAAATCAAGAATTCTCCGAATACCACATCGCCTACTTTCGGCAGTTTCCACCTCCTTTGATATTGGCTCTCTAAACCGCGTGTAAAACCACTCTCACATGATGTTGCCTTTCGCCCAATAATAGATGATGGACTATTGGTTCTTCTCACTGCGCTGGGCTCATGAGTCAATTCATCATATTTGAGAACGCAAAGCTTTGTTAATAGTTGGTCTAATTCGGATAATCCTAGCTTCACCTGTTCAGGGTCTCTCCTATTGCAATTTGTAAGTACACTTCCAAGGTACTCTTGGAATTCCGACATTTTATTTCGACTATTCAAATGCGATGAAATAGGTCATATTAAACTAATTGATCCAAATTCCTGATTAGATAATAATTGTCGAACTTGATTTTTAACGATTACCTAAAAATTATAATATATCAGATTGATAAGTCACAACGCTGATTGTGTGACAGCTATAGAATCATCAATGACTGTCCTGAAAGTACAATGATTACTTAGAGTGTAGGGGATTTGTTTTTGCTCTACTCAATACTGAAGCACGAGTGCCCCTTGTAAGAAAGGGCTTGGATATCGACATGCAACGCCTAAATCGTTGGAATTTTTGAGCAGAACAGTATCTGCATACGATATCAAATTTTAGCTAAATCAGCCAGCTTCACACAAGGCCGTGGTCCAACATATGACTGAATTCTAGCCTTATGCGTATGCTTGTTAAAGATGTTTCAACCTGATTGATAGGTTCACTACGTATATATACTTGGAACCATCAAGATTGAAACACAGTATTGCAGGCATGGTATATTAAGTAATGTTTTACCTCAAGCAGGATGTCTAGGTGAATTATTATGTAACGCTCTTCACGCACATGAGAACATTTCAATCATTGACAGCCGTTTTCGTGTCATTGACTTGTTGTGGCTTACATGTCCTCTATTTGTTTGCCTAAAATTCACAAATTAGCGGAAGTTTTTCAGTGCTTTGAATACAAGACTGAGTTGATGCACTCTGAATAGGTGGGCAGACAATTTCCCTTTTTGAGTCCTATAAATATAATTTCCGTGGTCAGGACAGAGACATATTTATCATTCTTTCAGACGTGAAACCAGAAAACGCGACTAGCCATTGTACTGTATCAGGATTTTAGAAAAACTAAAGGATACTACGATTGTCTCCCAGTTAAACTAATAATATTTCTTTTCCTTCAGATTATCTTAGGTACACTATTTAATTATAGTTCATATTTAATTTGTGTGAAATTTATCAACTTTCATGATTATAGATAATTAACGTGCGCCTCGATTTTGTCCAAACTTAGCAACAGGCGTTTAGTTTTGCATAGCGCCACGACAGTAGTACTTGCTTTCTTGGAGGCTGCTAATCAGATGGTTTCTTGTATTCGTGTCTGAATGTACATATACTTCATAGGTAAAGAAATGGGAATCTTTCTTCTTTATGAAACTCAGTATTAATTAATGAGTGGTTACGCTAGCTAGCAAGTTTAGAGTTTCTGTTTATGTTTAAATCTCGATAGACTGATACAATTTTGTTTACGTAAGTATTCATCGATTGGTTTTTGTCCTGCCGATTTAATCTTCTATCTGGCCACGCAAGACTCTTTTCGCCAGCTATTCTATCCCCCCAAATCACCCCAAGTCATACTTCAGATATCACTAGCAACTTGTTTTCTTTGTCTGGCTTTTGTTAACTCCTTTCAGACCATATTCTCAAAGAGTCCAAAAGAGTAAATCTTATCGAGAGTGAATACCAACACATTCAGGCTTTCGAGTGATCATCAGAAAGGAATTCGAATTCATGAGAACTGTGACCTGCTTTTACTCTTGAAATTGCCGTACAGTCTAATTGATGGTCGAAACCGATTTCAATTATATGCTTCTCTTCCTGGCGCATGATGAATCAATCAATACTTCACTGATGGGAAATAAAATCTTAATAGGCTGTTTTGTCGGTCTCCTTTCGTCTGCTTGTCAATCCGTTGGCCTCATTCTTCAGAGAAAATCGCATCTGGCCAATGAGTTCGCTGCTCGAAGTGGCCATCAACTGTCCCCATACAAAAGATCGTTGTGGCATCTAGGCTTTTTGTTATTCATCATCTCTAATGTTTTCGGTTCTACTATCCAGCTTTCTACTCTTCCACTGATTGTATTAAGTCCTCTTCAGTCAATAGGCTTGGTGTTTAATACCGTATTCAACACATTAATTTTACATGAGCAATTTACTCGAAAATCTCTTTATGGAACTATGTTGGTTGGTGTGGGAGCATTCTTGATCGCATTATGCGGCGGGGGTATTGGTGAACCAAAATATGATCTTGCAGACTTCATGGTGCTTTTGAGTCAAAAGGAATTTGTTGCTTGGATAAGTGTGGAATTTGGGGTAATTATTCTCATTCTTTGTTGGATAATCGTATCTTCATGTGAAACTTCCCGCGAATCAAGACAAGGCCAGGACAGTCGTTGTATACAAGTCTTTCATGGATTTGATGCGAAATTGAAGGAACTTCTCAGAAGTGTCCAGGAAAACGCGTCAAACACCAATTCATTTTTTCACTTTTCAACAATTATCTTCAAGGAAAAGATGCTTCGACTTCTTTTGTGGGCCCTTCACTGCAACTCTGCTGTCTACAATTCATTGTTTGTTTTCCCATTGGGGACTATAAAGTCAATCCAAGGTATATTATATGGAGTTACATCAGGTATACTTTCCGCTCAGTCTTTACTGCTCGCAAAATCTGCGATAGAGATAGCTCTTTTGACTCTCACTAATCGCAACTTTAGGCAGTTGAACAGTTCACTGGTCTACCTGCTAGTATTTGTTTTCCTAGTGCTTTGTTTGTCACAATTGTTCTTGCTCAACCAGGGACTGAAACTGATTAGCACTTCCATCTTATACCCGTTAGTATTTTGTGTTTACAACATCTCAAGCATATCTAATGGGCTGACATTCTACAGGCAATGGTCCCAATTTTTTGGAGCAGCTGGATTTTTCATTTTCTTGGGGACGGTTTTGGTTGTTTGTGGCGTCTTTGTTTTGAGTGAATCATCTAAGCACGCAGAGACTCGGTATTACAGCTCTTCCAGATCCAAATCTACCATAAGCTCGCCTTTATTTGATCCAGAATTTCAAGACTATCAAAGTATAGCTCAAATAACTCCCAAATCAAAAAACACTAGAAGGTTGTCTCTCAAGGAACGAGTTATGTCTTCCATGTTTTCTTTAACAGACCCTTCAGATCCAGAGAGTCCGTATTACGATCCATTGTGCGTTGGTACGTCACCATCTGGAGCCTCAAACAGATCTTTGCCAGCGGACTTGATAAAACCAATTATCAAAAAAACTGGCAAGAATATCAATAATGCTAGCCGAAAAGTCTCAGGTTTTTTAAAAAGGTCGATCGAGAGCATACAAACGACTCACGCCAGCTCACATCACCAATCACACAATCAAGATAAAAGCGCGATATCCTCCAACATATATGGAGAAAGTCCCCAAGTTCTTGATGCATGCTCAAAACAGACGGAATACGTGTCGTTTGATTCTCTGAGAGAGTTCAAAAACAGGAATGAGACGAGACTAGCATCTATATCTTTCAAGGACTGGCCTAAAACTATCCCTAAAGGTAATCAACAATTACCGGATTTTCAAGATTCTGCTTTTAAGTCTATGAGCTGCGTTCCAATCTCAAAGAATTTTCAGCTGACATCAAGTACGCCTATTGATTATCACGGATCTAGTTTGCGCTCCGATCAGTCTACCAGTCCTACAAAACAAAAGAGAAGGCAAAGATATGCAGAGAGATGGTTTTCAGGAAGCGAGGGGTCTCATAAAACCCTGCCCCACGGAGACCAGACTGAAGACACTTTTTTAAACGAACCAGGGTCTCCCAAACGTGTACCATCTTATTCTCTCAATTCAGATGATGACTACAATCCTCACAATGCATTCAACTTCTCACTAAATAACACAATCGATGAAATACATAATCAGCTCAAAGGTGACCAGGAAGAAGGGGCAACATATAGAAGTCCAAACTCAACTAAGTCTTTGCTCGACAGCATTGATCATGACGATAACAATCTGATATCAGACTTGAATCAAGCAAATCCGACATCCACTTCTGTCACAAATTTCAGTACATACTTAAGTGCACATAACGCTCACGACAAGTTCTTAAGCACGGACAATAAACTGCATAGCTCAGTGAAAAATTGGAAAAGAGTCTACTCTTACGAACAAAAACGGGTACAGGAAGAATTAACACAACCATAACTCTGCCTTCTTGCTACAGCATTGAACTTACGTCTCCTCATTGACAACGAAAGCCCCAGAGAGTGACAAGGCAGGCTCGCTGATGTTGTTGTGTTGGTAACTCAAAACTCCTACTCCCCCAGCATCTAAAATTAGCTGAGGATTTTGGTTGATTTCTCTTCCCAACCATCTAGCGGCAAAGCACCTCAGAATATGGCCATGGCCGACAACAAGCACATCACAAGCTTGACCTGCTTCTAAAGCCTTTTTATGCACTGCACGAATCCGATCTATCACGGCGTCCACCCTGCTTGTAACCTGCATATAGTCTTCTCCGTTCTCACAACCTTTAGACCAAATGTCCCAATCAGGTCCAAGACCTCGACTTTTCCTCAATTCAAGTATTTCGCTTGTCTTCAAACCTTCATAGTCACCGTAATCCCATTCCCTGATATCATTGTCGATATCAAATTGGATATGTGCTTTTTCATCCGAAGATAAAGACTCTAGCAAGAGATCGCGAGTATGTATTGCTCTTGTTCTGGGAGAGCTAATAACCAGTTTGAGGTCTTGAGTCTGAATGAGATTTGAAGGTTTATTCCCAACTAGCGTCACACCAGTTGCCTTCATCTGCTTGACGCCATAATTAGTTAGATCGAGATCTGTGGTTGAGGTATACTGTCCCGATTTGGACCAAGCAGTTTGGCTGTAATGTTAGGAACGTGAATTCTCAGGCACTCAACTTACCCATGACGAATGATAATACACCGAGGCACTTGAGCGTGAAGACCCATGATGAAAACAGTTTTGTGTTTAATGCGAGTCACTGTTGAAATGGCTAGATTTTTTTTTTATTCCAAACAAATGGCAGATAGGTTTCCGAGGAAGGTGTTTTTGAAACACCGAAAGCAACGGCACAATTGCAACAATTAAAGTATGATATTTTGTATGAATGATAAGACATATCGGAGTGGCTACAAGCTGATTACAGGTTTGAAGCTGCTCCTCATTTTTGCGAGGACGACTATTTTATGATTCAAACTAGTATCTCACCCACCAGTAATCTATGAGATCATCTGGCAGTTGTTCTAAAAGTTGATTATTAAAGATTGCATAAGCAAGTACATAAAAGCTCACGTAATCAAAATAGCTCCAGCAAGAGCTGATGGAATGGTTTGCAACAGTAAATTAAAACTCTGTCTGTTGCAGTTCAAGTTCGGTGCCGGCTCTCAAATACTACCAAGGTCTCACTTTCCGGCTTGATGACATGTGCACCATGCTTCGGGGCAGAATTGAATCAAATCCTATATAACGGAAACAGACTATGAGCTTAGAATCATGATAGGCTGACACGGGCTTCGTTTTATGATAAGTGATCCCTGGAATAAAATTAGAGGATTGAAGGCTTTCTACAAAAGCCAATCAGTCAGCCAGCTTTGAGCTCACAAGTGTAAATCCCAAAAATTTCCTGGAGCAGCAACAGTCAGAGATACACTACTTGGATGCTAATGAGTACGGTGCGTATAATTCAAAAAGAAAGTTTGGGCAGTCAAAGCATCAAATAAAACGCAAATCAAAAAGATCATGTTAGTTGCAGACTCTTAATTTTACATTTTGCCATAGACTTTGAATGATCCAGAATGCATGTTTCACCTTTGAAAGTGTGCCTTTTTTTGTGAAGTTGACTAACAAACCAAATGCACTGTTTGAGTTTACCCATGAGAACACTTTGTTTCTATCTGAGCGATTCTTGCATGGATCGGAAGCGCACACTTAAAACATTACAACATGTATGCTATCTTAGAAGTAAAAGTTAATTCCATTTCTTATGTATCCTCCAAAAATGATGTGATGTCGAGTTTTGTGTGACAGACTCGCTACTTAATAGATTAAAGAAGTAGCAATCAGAACGGACAAGCGAGGGATAGATCTCAACTAAGACAGATCGATATCTTTTTGGCACCACCACTTCAACCAAAAGAAGGCTAGCGGCTAGAATTTCATTTTGAGTTTATTTTGAGAGTGAACTAGCTGCTTTAATGAGATAGCCATCATATACATTTTGTTCCCGAAGTTACAGTGTTTGAGTTGGTAAATGTTAAAACAAGCGTTCTAGATCAAAGGCTCTATTTAATACAAGCCTACCGGTCACTAGGGGATTTCTGTCTCAAGAATCTATGATATATTATTGCATTGGAATTACTCCCTGAAAATCTTAGATCAATTGTCGAAATGTCCATAACTGATTGGTTGACTAGTGTGTTTGTTACTGTAAAGGTGACCATATGTTCGGGATTATTGAGATAGTTGGACCCCCAACAACATTCTACAAAACGGTTTCCTCAGATAATGAACGAATCATCACAAACAAAACATAGAAATCGATGGATTACCCAGCGCCGCATACCTCCAAAATTGGGACGGAATGCATCATTGCATTATCACAACGTGTAAGTTGGTGAATAAGCATACTTCCAAAGACATTCATTCAAGTAGGTACAAATTAGCTATTAATCTCTGTTTCATGAGTTTACTTCAGCAAATTGGTAGATTTCACCGATATACCCACTTTCCGAGATGCCTAGTTTTGACTGCTAGGTGTCTTGCTTACGCTGGATAGTTTTTCGAATTTTCTAGGTTTTTGGTTTTTCACTTTTGTCAAGAAGTGATCTTAGGTCTCAATCTCACGACACAAATCGATTTTGGTGCAAGTTCCGAGCCTGCAAAAAGCCAATCTGGTGAAACTAGATAGTGTGTTATGTGTCTACCTATCGATCACGAATGAATATTTATAACTCCCGACTGCGATTAGTCGTCAAGTAAGCCTAGGACTTTATCTTTCACTTTAGTCGAGGTCGACGGAGCGTGGAGTTGCAACATAAGACTTTGGACGTCAACAATGGTGATGGTCATGTCATGATGACTAGACGATATTGGCGTCGAGCGTTCCTCAACTTCTAAAGAGCTAACAATTGACTGTAGCTACAATCTAAACTGGAACAGTTACAGTTTCAATGAGCCTGTATTGACAACTGCTAGAGTTGATTCATTGGAAAACAAGCTGGCAACAGAGCCGGAACCAGCCATTAAGCTGTCAATCAATGTACGGATAAAAGGTTTTGAGCCTGCTTACGAATACAACAATCAGTGTCATGTTTGGGCAACTGATATATCATTTCTCCATTAAAACTTTAAGATTATCTTTGCTACCCACTCAATAGCTTGAGAATAGCACGTGGTCAAAAGAAAATACGATTCATGCTATAACATGCTATATGTTGACCGTACACCTTTCGAATCAAGATTCATTGAAAAACTTTCTTACCACAACAGGGACCCTCACCTTGTCCATTTTTTGAGGCAAGACCAGAGTAATGTGCCAGACTCTGGACATCAGATAACTGCGAAAACCCGAATTGCCCCCCCCTCAGACATGTCACTCGACACAACTTAATAAATATTGAATAGTATCAATTTTCAGCTGCTTTCCTACACATTCGTTTTTACTCCTAAGTACCCTTAATTACTGTAAATGAGTCTAGATTCTGTCAATCTCATTCTGTATTTTAGCGCAATCATCCAGTCATCCGTATCCAGGTCTGAAATTTATCCGGTTTGGAGCAAAATACAGCGTGCAATGTCGTTTCAATAAGCTCAAATTAGGTGGAAAATCTGAATCACGACTCAGTTAAGGCAACTGGAACCTAAAATTTGAACTGAGGTAAGCTAGAACAACCGTTTTGTCAATGTGTCTGGGCAGCGTGTTGGGGATCAACTTGAAGGTTGATCTAAGCCAACAAACAACATGCAAGGTGTTTCATAATCAAATGAGCACCTCCTAGTTTTATGCTATAGGTTTTCAACTCTGACTTGTAATTTTGACGCTGGAGGCTTGTTCCAGCAGATCATAGAGCTTCGGCCGCAAAATTTCGAGACTCAAGTGTAAGGTATAACTCATTTGTCTCAAGGCCGTACCGAGTTCATGGAAATGCTCAATTCCCTTTGAATACCGAAAGTAAGCTTATTTTTGTCAAATTAACTCATTCGAATATCATTCTACAATGAGTCAAGGTACAAAACATTTGAGTTTGAAATTCCGTAAAACAAAGTGATAACATAAACTCATATATTCATGATTGGTTTGCGTGAATCACCGGAGGCTTCACTTAATGAGGTTGCTTTTACGTTTGACACAATGAAGTAGCTAGCATTTTTTGTTGAAGCTTTGTTTTGATAAGTCTAATGTCTACAGTCATTGCTCTTCCTTCAATACTATGAATATGTATCAGATAGTTAATATCTTTGGTATACCTTAGTCTCTCACTTATAAGTGGGATATGACACACCCTTATATATTATTTGGTTAGTCTCATATGTGATCCAGATTCGTATCATCTGGATCTGATGCACATACTATGCATGTGCTAAGACCCAGAGACCTTCATATCAGGATAAGCCGCAGAGCCATGATATAATCTATGACTATCTTATCTCAACAAGATCGTGCTGGAGTATGTCTAATAGCTATATCTAGCGTTAATATAATTTGCAACGCAGAAATTACTTTACTGGTATTTTGGCGTGGCTAGATAAAAGGAAATGATAAGGTCATCCAGATATATCAGGTGCACATCATAGATTGATTAAGATGAAGAGTTAACACAATTGACGTACCACGTGGAGATACCAATGTTCACAATATAAGAATTTATACGCAGCAGAAAGTCATAATTCTAAAGAGCATGGAAATAATAATCATTTGCATTTAGCTATTGAGAACATCTTGTTCTTGTTGAGATATGATAGTCATAGATTATATCATGGCTCTGCAGCTTATCCTGATATGAAGGTTTGTTGGTCTTGTTGAGATATGCATATGAGACTAACCAAATATTATATAAGGGTGTGTCATATCCCACTTATAAGTGAGGGACTAAGGTATACCAAAGATATTAACTATCTGATACATATTCACACTATTGAAGGAAGAGCAATGACTGTAGATATTACAATTATCAAAAGAAAATTTCAACAGGTTATGAGCCCTGCGATCGCTTTTTGGGCGACCAACTCATTTAACGATGATGATAAGCTTATGTCAGCGGCAAATTTTATGCATTGGAAAACAAAATTCACAAATACTTTAAATTCATTTAAACCATCATTTGTTGACTATATTCAAACTGGTAGTTTACCTTTTTCCCTCGAACAGTGTGGAGGTAACGAACAAGCTATTGAAATTCAAGCTGCTTATGACCAACTCCTGTTATTCTGGGTACACACCTCAGTGTCACAACCAGTAAAGAATCTGATTAGTCAGGATCAAACTGGTTATCAAAAATATCACCTTCTGATCAAATATTATGGCCAAATGTCCTTTAGACAGTTGTACAAAGAATACTGTTCTATCAACTCGTCAAATGGACAAGGGCCTATGGAATGGGGAGCAAAATGTGTCAATCTACTTCAATGGAATCAAGATCCAGCAGTATGGTTAATCTTCTCCAAACTTAGTTCACTGCAGAATGAGAAACTAGAACAAAATCTTTTTCTTGACTGCGGAAATGAACTAACTATTCAAGGAGCTGTCACGGCAATGCAATTATGTGAACACGAAACCAAGTCCGGATTCATGGCTACTAAACGTTCTACCAGAACGACGAAAAAGAAGAAGAAAGTTATCTGTGCAAGATGTCAGAAAACTGGCCACAAATCTCCAGACTGTAGAGCACCAACTCCAGTTTCAAAAGGGAATCTGGCTCAAACAGAATCTGATAGTGACGATTCGACTTCCTTTACTGCAGTTTACTACGGAAATCTTTCTCACGAAGAGGAAACAGCTTCAAGTACAACTCATGTTACTAACATATCTCAATCACCTGAGACTGAAATCTATTGGATTGTCAGTGGTGCATCTGAACATATTTCGAACAACAGAGATCACTTCACAGACTTTCGTCCAACCAGTGGATATATTTCTGGAATAGCATCTGGTGTTATGGTGAATGGGAAAGGAACTGTTGTCTTATCTAAAGGACACAAGACAGTGACACTAAAAGATGTTCTATATGCTCCACAATGTCCATCCAACCTGATTGCTATTAACAAAGCTGTGCTTGCTGGTAAGGAGATTAAAATTAGTAACAAGAAATTATGGTGTGATAAAGATTTATTAGGAACTTATCATCATCAGAACAAACTGTTCAAATCTACATACCAAGTGAAGTCTTCATCTCCTTATTCTAAGGCATATAAAGCCTCAGTATCAGATCCTCATATTGTAATGGGACATCCATCG